AGGTAGTTAGTAATATAAGAGATTTTCTCTAGTACTAGTAGAACTCTCTCTATTCTTTATATATTATCCTATTAGGTATTCTATGTATATTAATAGACCTATTTTACAAAACTATAGATTATGCTAGTAATTTTATAAGTAGATTTATTAATATAGTAGAGTATTAATATAGCTACTCTTACTATCTCCTCCATCCTTTCGAATTGGGAGGTATAGTTAGTTAGGCAAGTCTCTTGCTAGTTTAGCTAGTATTAATTTTATATATATAGCCTAGTTAGAGGTAGAAAATTCTATCTTAATAGGTATATATATAATAAATTAGGTATACTTATAACTACTATCGCTACTACTAATATTAAACTAGTATTAAATAATAGTGCTTAGAGTTAATTAAAATTTAAACTAGGTCTTAAGGTCCTATGACCTCTAGCTATTAAGCTATTATAAGAAATCGATTTTGCTAAGAGATAGTTAATTTTTTTTTTTAAAAAAACAATAAAAAATAAGAAATAAGATCTAAGAAAATTATAAAGATCTCTTAGTATATTAAAATAATATATATTATTAGGTTTAGTAAACTAATTAATAATAATATTTTTATATCTTATAGTTATATTATTATTCCTAAATCTATAAATTCTTTTTTAATATAAATAAAAACTTAATATATAACTATTTTAGTTTCTTATTCTATTTCTAAAAGATATTATATATCCTTTTTTTAGGTTTAGATTATTATATATATTATCTAAATATCTAATTAGATCTTAAGTTTTCTTATTATATTATAAATATAATAGTATTTTTATTTATATTTCTTTCTAATTATAAATAAATATAGAAAAGATATATCTAGGTATCTTTTATTATTTTTATATCTATAACTAATTTATTCTAAATAGCTAATTAAAAGACTAGCTAGTCTATATAGCTTCTTTAAATATTAGAAGATCTAATAAATATAGCTATAGCTAATATATTAGTTTTAATTAGAGTAATTTAGAAAGAGAAAATTAGGTTATTATTTTCTATATTATTATTCTTATTAAGATAGATATCTAGTTAAATATAAAAACAGTAATTTAGATAGATATCTATAAAGATAGATCTTTAATTACTTAGAAATATCTATCTATTTATCTTTTATATTTATTTAACTAATTAACTAAAACTATTTCTAGTAGAAGAAAGATATATTCTACTCTATTAATACTCATATCTATTTAGATAGTCTAGTATAGCTTATATTACTTATAATTCATAAAGAATATCTAAAGATTTTATGTATTTAAATTTTTAGGGGCTTTTAACTACTCTAAGACCTCCAGAGACTTTTATAACTACTATATAAAGCTCTAAAAACTTTAGAGAGTGTTCAATAATAGGGTATTATAGGATTATTATATATAAAAAGCTATAGCCAATTTAATTTAATCTAACTAGCCCATAACCTATTTATAATAATCCTAGAGAAAGGGAAATAAAAGGGATAGAATAGCTATCTAATTATTCAGCGGAAATAGGGCAGTAGGCTATAGTTATATAGTTATATATAGGCACTAGCCTATTATAATTTCAGTACTAATAAGTATAAATTAGATTAAACCTAAGATTCCTAGGTCCGACTCCAGGTTCTAACTATTATAATTTAGGAACTACTAGGTTTAATTAACACTAGGTATAGCTATTGACGCTAAGTCAGATAAATGCTAAGATATAGCTTATACTCATTTTAATACTAGTCCTTAATATCACAAAACTCCCAAATCTCTAGATAGATGGATCAAAGCTGCTTCTGATATAGGACATATATAACTATTAGAATTCAACCTTCCTAATGCTATAATAGGCTCGACATTCATGATCGATCTTTAAGTGATCTGGCTCTGAATATAATGGCACTTACCAATTCCAGTTAGATGATGAAGAGGGGTGATAGATTGACCATCTTTTCATTTAACCAAGCCATTCTTCCAATCCACAGCAATACTTCAAAGTCCTAGAATATCACTGAACACACAGCTTTTAGTATCTATAACATACATGTTGATCTCTATGAGAAGTCTATCCGCTAGCTCAAATGAAAGAAACTTCTTCAAAAACAGTCAATGCATAGTGCGCCTAAGTCCGGCTACCAGATGCTATCATTCTATCACAGCAATACAGAGCAGATACATAGGAGCTACTATGCTCGCAATAATTCTTGCGCCGATTCGTAAGCTCCATCTCTTCTCGAGCAAAGAGTAGGGATATAGAGATAACCCAAAGGATTGGCACGAGCCTCATTACAATACTCTTCAAGGGTACCTCAAGCCTTATAAGCAACGACTATCACATGGTTGGTGACCATTCTAGTCACCAGTAATGCATACCTTAGAGCTCACATAGGATGTCTCTCAGCGGCCAATGCCTAGTAAGGCTGACGAATCGAGAGATATATAGGAAGTGGTATGTATAATATCTGATATATTCTCTCTTCTTACCAATAGGCGAGCTCTAGGAACACCTCTGGTGCATTATCTCTACTTCCAGAGAGACTGCGAGCATGAGTATCCTATCCTTGATAGTGCTAGACGCTATATTTTTTCTGTTCCTGCCACCAGGGCGGGAGCGGAGCGACTCTTTAATTCTGTCGGGACATTTGCCATTATCGACAAAGGTCAGTAAGACCGACTACTATTTTGATGATATTTGAGTGAACAACTAGCTTTTTGATCTAAATGAGCAGGAGCTTGCTTCGATGAATGAACTCTTATCAAGGGAAGAGAGGTGATGGAGGAAGACCAAGCGGCGCAGGATAGCCAGCATGCCCAGGGTGAGATTAGTGAAACAAAGGAGGATGATTCACATATATTCCACCCTCAGCAAACAGGACTATCTATTGAAGTGGCTAGCCAGCTCAACAGAACTCACAGTCAAGTGAAAGAGAACGAGAGGATCCAAGATTATCAGAGGATAATGCTGAACCCGGTCTACCCTTGCCTCTATTGCAACTCCCTGCTAATAGAGAGGTTGAATCTAGGGTCCGCACAGCTGGGAGTATTTTAGACCTTCGAAACGCCCAAGGGATGATGACGTTTGCAGTTAAAATACTATAGAATGAATCCAAAATGAAGTAATCATTCGAAACTATCCCTACCTTCCTTAATATCGATGTAAGCTAAATACATGAAAAAAACGCTGGTAACTAGAACTTTGATGTAACTCACATTATCAAGCTCTTTTTCTTCTTTGAGAGCCTGTGAGCCCTGGCATTAGCCCAAAATCACCCACGGGCCTATAGAGGTCTAGGTAGATCGACCGGAAGAAGTGGAGGACGTTGGTCGAAACTAACGAAAAACGGCGGACCGAAGAGCCTGGTTAGAACGAACGAACAAACGCAACAATACATTCTGAGTAGTTGCTGGTACCTCCTCGCTGTAAAAGTAGACCCAAAAGCCAGCCTATCATGGCCAGGGTTGCCTAGAACGCTAGGCAAAAAGATTCATGCGATGGGGGCTGCAGCTTCTCTGCTGCAACTAGTTGACAAATCCTGTCTAATCACCATCGTCATGGATCACGTTGCTAATTTCAGGATACTTAATAGTTCAGCGAATTCCCCAAATCCCATGGTAGGTTGTCATCACCCATACTAAGCCTGTTTCAAGTTCAGTGCCAGAGCCGAGCCTATATACATTTATGATCTAACAACCTCAATAACCTTGCTATATCTTTGTCTGTGTAGATTGATCTTTAAGACACCAACGGGGAGAAGAGACAGAGAGGAAAGGAAAAGGAAAGAAAAGAGAAAAGGCGGCGAAGAGCTCCGCCTTCTTCATCAGGCAGGCGCCGAACTAACTCCCTCCTTCTCCCACAACACTCGCATTAGTGCTTTCACGTCAAGTATTCCCTCAATTATCAATTTCCTCCAGGTTCTGACTTCAGGCCCTTATCAAAATGGCTCATCCAGCTCTGGAACTATCTCCTTTTGGAAAGATCCCTACACCCCCTCTATCTCCAAGGAAGAGACGTCGCCTTTTTCGTGGTCCTGAAGAACCAGACGGGGAGTTGAGTCCTGAGCAGTATATCAATAGCTCAGATCCATATCGCTCTACAACCCAACCTGTTCTTTTGCGGGAATACTGCAGTCGAACCTCTTGCCCAAATCGGCCGAGACACAAACAGCTTATCCCGCCGAAATTGAGCTGACTGAATTCGGTAGAGAAAGACGGCTTCTACTTGAAGCGGGGCCGCACAACTGGCATAACAGCAGGTGTTTGCACCAGTGCCTTGGCTTACTGCAATTGGCAAGCAAGAGATCGTAACCGATACAATCACAATGAAAACCACCTTAGGTTGTCCGCAAGCATAACTGAAGAATTCGTGGTTGTCAACAAAAAGAATCATCAAAGAGACTTCGAACAATTGCGGATTCAGGTGACTTCTCATCATTTGTCATTAACGTCAGGGGAAAGCTTTGCGCTTGCTTTACGCCGGGACATATAGATAGTGTGGGCCTCCAGGAGAGAAACAAGAATACGCTGGTGCTGAGCTGGCAATGAGCATGCCAGAACTTCCAGGATTTGATTCGACGAAGGTAGGGGGCCTCTGCTTCGCTCGACATCCCGCAATTGGTCAATGGCCATGCACGCTTTTTCCTGTCTGTCGCTCCTGGATGTCACCGTTCGTGCCTACCTTGATCTTCCTTGCAACCATCGCTTTGAAGATTGTATTACTACATTCTATTTCGATGCAGGTGACCGTTTCACTTTGTGGTGGTTTTTGTTAGTATATCTAAAAAAATTGGCGAAGGGGCGCTGACAATGGCATCAAAGGTAGTCATTTCCGAATTCTGATTTACCGTCACTTAGCGATGTGTAATAGGTATTCAATAAGATATAGATAATTATTTAGTTCTCTAAATCACAGCTATATCTTAGTAGGTAGCAAGCCACTTCGCAGTTGAAATTCTAGTAATAAAGAGGCAAGGACAACACTCAGTTTTTAAAGACTCATCTGCCCTAAGATACTTCACCCATTAGGTCCTCATCTATCTCGAGCCCGGCATCCTCACCCATTCCAGGGTTGACATCGCTCATTCTCGCCCAAGCCTGGCCTTTTTGTATACTATCAACGAATTCATCGCTAAGCCCCATATGGCGGTTACTCTCATCTAGACTGTCCACCAAGGCCTCCAACGAGTGTCTTTCCTGCATGAGACGGGTTTGTACCCTACTCTCGCGAGAGAGCTGGCGGAAAGAAGGGGTGGCCAGAAATCGCAGCATCGTGGAACTATTGCGATTTGGAAGTTGCACTAATGTGGCCTCCATAGCACCGGACATGATGAGAGAAGCTATGATTGACTCTGTAGCTTCGTCACTAGTGTGCGCGGGTGATGCCTGCTCTGCAATCGCCGTGACTGTTAAGGCGGCAAATGTCTTCTTAACACCGATGATAGTATGCTTTGAGTAAGCATTCATCACCTGAGAGACGAGGCCCATATTGTTATCCTAAATCCACAGATCAGTGATAGTCAAGATTAATAGTATCAAGTGCATGGCTCACTCACTGCGCACCAAATGTCCCGAGCAGCGTCAATTTCCGCCTCTAGGGCTTTCCTATCACCCCGCTCAAAAGTCTGAGCGAGATTGACATAGGGCTTGGCGAGGGACTGATAAATTTTAACCACATTGGATGCAATCATGCTCGGATGTGAGCACAACTAGTATGAAAATCATTAGCAAAAGAAAAACCAAGCTAAGGTCGAGCCGGGGAGTAGAGTTGGTAACCTACCTTGCCCTTGTCTAGCAAGCCCACTAGAACCCACTTTTTGTAAGCTTCTACCATGATCATACTGATGGAGCCCGTAGCTGGCATCGAGATGACAACTCCAAAAAAATGGGCCGCTTTGCACCACTTCTTCAGTGCCGAATACACCATTCCACCATAAAGGAAATATCGTAAATAGTCTTTGTAAGTCAAATTGGACGAAAGCCCAGAGGCCTCGGTGATGAAGGACAAGCTTGAGTCGTGCGTGGCACACGGTACCACGGAGGACCGTGATGTGGCATGAGAAGTCGAGGTGGGGAAGTGGCAGACAAATTTGTTCAATACTGGCAATGCATAGGCATAAGCTCTTGCACGCAAGCATAATTGGACTAGAAGGAGGTGTGTTGATGTGAAGACCGCACATGAAGGGTCAAGCCGCAACATGGCATCCCTGACCAATCGTACGGCTAGGATAGGCTAAAGAATGTCAGCTCCTTGGACATGAAGTGGGCTTCAAATGATCAAGTCTCTTGCCTTTGAAGCCATCTGTGCAGCTTGTCCGACAAGTTCAACTAGCTGGCGCCACTCCTGGCCCGCATACCTGACTTGGACCGGGTCGAAAGCCTTTAGGTAGGAGACCATCCTAGACCAGAGTCTTCCTGGAGGAAGCAAACCTGCTGGTACAGTTTCACAAGATGCCTCTTGGAGGGCATGGATCTGTGCGTGGAGGAGAAACAAATAGGCGAGGGAATCTGCACCTGGATCGAAATGCTGCCAAAGAGAGACAGATTAGTTCTTTCCTACCAAGAGCACACCCGAGCAAGGTATCGCTGCTCACATCAAAGAGAGAGTCGTTGCTGGAAAGACTACCACGAGACATAACATGTCTTAGGGATGTCACATTAGCACGGATCTGGCGGTCATATCCCTCATCGGACAGACGTGCAGCTTCACGCAGCTGTGCGGACTTCGTCAGAAGCCCCTCAACAATGTCCATATCGAAAAATCCAAGTAAAATCACTAAGCCACAGCTTTGAAGGACGCAGGATGTGATCAAGACCTAGCAGGTCGGGAGGCGTGGGTGGGAAACACAGTGGCGGCGGGTGAGGCAAAGACGAAGGTTGAGAGGGAGACGGAAACAGAAATGGAGTTGGGAATAAATGTAAGAATTTGCAAAATAAGGATTTTTAAGGACAGCAAGCCCAAGTCACCTTACATAGACGGTGGTGGTGGAAGTGGTGGTGGTAGTGATTGTGGTGTTGACCAGCAGCTGAGAGCTCCGCAGCAGAAAGAAGGGCGGTCGGCAGGCAGCTGATAAGACGATAAGACGATAAGCCGATAGCGGAGTTCCCCACCACTCCGAAAGCCACTCGCCTTTTTTGACTCACCTTCTATCATTCTTCACCCGCCGAGGTCCCTGCCTGTCGCCTATCCCTTCCTCTTTTCGAAATATTCTCGCACCAGATCGATTACGGCCCAATTCATCCTACCGGCTGGGGATCCCCAAAAATTCAATGTCGTTGACTGATTCGGCTGCGGTCGATGTGGCTCGCAGCGCATCGCTTGCTTCTCGTCACCTTGCAACACTTTCCAATACCGCCCGGAATGACGCATTGACAGCCCTCTACCAGGCTCTGGACAAGAACCGAGATGTAATTTTGGCTGCCAATGCCAAAGATGTTGAGGCTGCTACGCGGGCGGCCGACAGTGGGAACCTTAATCATAGTGTGCTCAAACGACTTGACCTTTCCCGGGCCGGCAAATACGATGACATGCTAGAGGGGATTTTGAGTGTACGGAACTTGGAGGACCCGGGTACGAAACCATAATCGCCCCCCCGGATTGATTCCAAATATGAATTACCGGCTAATCTCGAGGCGGAGGAATAGTTGGCAAAGTGACCCTACGGACCTTGTTGGATGAAGGCCTTAGCCTGGAGCGAGTCAGCTGCCCTATCGGTGTTCTGTTGATTATCTTTGAGGCTCGCCCAGAGGTGATCGCAAATATTGCTGCGCTAGCCATCAAGTCGGGCAATGCTGCTATCCTGAAAGGTGGACTTTTGACTTGCCTGTGATATACCGTCCCAGGGCTGACTTATATCGATAGGTGGAAAGGAATCTATGGCATCTTTTGTGGCCATCGCGAATGTTGTCTCGGAAGCCATTGCCAGCTCCCAAGTGCCCGTATCATCCATCCAACTGGTCAAGACCCGTGACGTGGTTTCCTCCCTTCTAGCCCAAGACTCGTTTATTGATCTTGTCATTCCCCGAGGATCCAATGAGCTGGTTCGCTTTGTGAAAGAGAACACTAAGATCCCAGTTCTTGGCCACGCTGATGGTCTCTGCTCGGCCTACATCCATTCGGACGCTAATATAGACACGGCTGTGAAAGTCGTTGTGGATTCCAAGACTGATTACCCCGCGGCCTGCAACTCGCTTGAGTCCTTGCTTGTCCACGAAGATCTTCTGGAATCTATCTTTCCAGCGGTTGCGAAGGCTCTCATCGACAAAGGTGTCTCCCTTCGCTGTGATATGGCTTCAAGGGCAGCCCTGACGAAAACGCTTCCGGCTGATCAAATCGCGCAAGTGCAATTGGCTACGGACGCCGACTACAACACTGAATTCTTAGACCTTGTGCTGGCCGTCAAGACCATTTCTGCTAGCAGCCACCCAACCGCGGCCGTTGAGGCTGCCGTTGCGCACATCAATGCGCACTCGTCCAAACACACTGATATTATCTTGACCGAGTCCCGCGAGCTGGCAAATCTGTTTATGAATGCCATTGACAGTGCGGGTGTCTTTTTGGAACGCATCGACCCGGTTTGCGGATGGAATGAGATTTGGGTTTGGAACAGAAGTGGGCATTAGCACCAACAAAATCCATTCCCGAGGCCCCGTTGGCCTAGAAGGCCTGACCATTTATAAATACCTGATTCGAGGCAATGGTCACGGGGCGGGAGATTACCACGATGGCGCAGGAGGACGGAAATATCTTCATACGAATCTGCCCCTGGACGAGTAGCCTGGTACTTAGTTTTACCGTATAGGAAGTTCCCTTGAAAAAGAAAAAGAAATCCAAACGTATTTTTTTGTTGAAACATTTCGCCATCATAAGAAAAGATGAGGACTAAGCCGGATGCATTTTTCTCTTGCCCTCTTCCATCCACATAATCGATCCCTCATTCCGACCAAAGACGTTTCGCCACTTAAGGTACATCGAATTGAGGTCTCCAGCCAGACTCGGCGAGATACACACCCGGACATTCAGTGCGACCATGGATCCGCGCCATTGCACCGATAGGTTTATGTCCGTCTCACAATCCTCACAAGATCCTTTAGACCTTGAAACCCTTGGAACGTCTGCGACCACGGGCGCGCTCGAACTTCCGTCCCTTGCTGGCCACGTAAGGCTTCTATGGAGTTCACAAGTTGGTTAGCGCACGGAATCAATGTGTGAGGAGGAGAGAGGAATGAGTCTCTCGCCACCAGAAAAGAAAGAAGAGATAGACCTGAAAACGTACCTTGTGGGAGTGAGGGCCGAAACCGAAGTGCTTCACGGCCTCACGGGCGTTCTTGGGGCCACGGAGGAGCAGAGTGTTGGCACCGGTAGGGGCACGCAGAGCGAGCTGATCCAGGGTGAGGATCTCACCACCGGCCTTCTCGATACGGGCACGAGCAGTGGCGGTGAAGCGCAGAGCAGCGACTGAAAGCTTGGGGATGTTCAGGAGGCGGTTGTCATCGGTGACGGTGCCGATCACGACCACAGTCTTGCCCTTCTGCGCGTCGCTAATGTTGGAGGCAATACGCGAAAGCGAAACCGGGGGGCGGTTGATGCGCGACATAAAGAGGCGGCGGAGAACAGTCTTGTTGAAGTTGGACTCCGTGCGGCCTGTGAAAGATCCAGGTCAGTTTCAGACCCGCATTTTGAAAATTTCCCCCGTCTTTTCACCTCCGTCTGCTGTGTTGCACGAGGATATCGGATTGTGGATGGGGGCAGGGAGTCATACGAGCCAGGAAGCGGTAGAGCTTCACCAGAACCTGCAAGTAAACGTTCTCGCTCTTAGGCGCCTTGCGGTGGCTGTTGCGCACATGGTGACGGTCCAGGTCGATACCTAGTTTTTTCGAAGATTGGTTAGCCGGGGAAAGAGGAGAAAGGAAAGAGAGCGGATGTCTCGTTGAAGGTCAATGAAGATGCTGGAATGGTTAAACATACCCATGGCTGCTGATATGAATTGAACACCTGGGAGTTAGCTTGCTGTCGCACCCGTATGGAAAGTGCAGGAGGTTTTTGGTCTTCAACTCTCGGCTGCACGGGTGTGTGTGGGTTGAGCCCTACGCTAGTCCTGATTGGGCTAAACAGGTCACCTGATGGATGCAGGAGCAATAGGTGGATTATCTAACTATATTTGATGATTATCTAAGCATATCCATGGATGGAACCGTAGGATCGCCGCCACTCTCGCCCAGAGGAAAGTGGAGCTACCGACCCGATGGTGGGAATGGCCATGCACTAAGTGAAGGGCTATTTCTGTCACATGAGGGAAGAGCGCCGAAAGGACGGAGAGCGGTATGTTATAGCTCTGGCAGGGACTCGACGGTGTCCCCATTCCGCCTCACGAAACCTCTTTCGTTTCCTGGCGAAACAAAACTATACAAAGGGACCTGGCCACCAGCCGAAAAGAAAAAGAAAAGAGCCCCACAGGAAGATTCTAGCGAGGATCAAGAAGAGGACGGTCTAGGTGTATTGCAACTAATCTCTATCACCCAGGCTAACCAGGAAGTCCCGTGTCAGCTCAAAACTGAGCCAGCTGCTGGCCATGCTAGGCGCAACCTTTAATAAATTGGGTCCGATGCCCTTGAAGAGTCCTCGTAGTCCTTCCTCGGCCACAATGACCCGTACCGCATCCCAGATCGACCTGTACTGATATCCCATGCCAGACATGGTATTGATTTGGAATCGTCGCCGTAGCACGTCACTAATTGTTCAAGTCAGCCTCACCCAACCAGGAGTTCCGTAGCGGAGAAGGACGGAGGCTCACAAGGGATATGTGCACGTCTGCGCCACCGCACCAGAGATCGCACCAGCGAGCAACTTTCGCCAGGAACTGGGGTGCTTGTCTCCCTCTGGGGTTAAGTATTTGCGAACCGATTCGTAGGTCATGAAATTGAGCCCGACCTAGCGCAAGTTAGCGAACATGGGTACCAAAGCAAACCGACGCGATGTCAGGAACACTCACGTAAGGGGCGACTCCGGCGACCGTAGGGACGATTCCGCGGTAGAGACCAATCATGCCACCTTCGTTTTTGTATATCGTCACCATGGTGGTGAACATGCCGGGCAGTTTTTGGGATGGGTCTCGGGCTCCAAGGTCCGCAAACGATGCCGACTGAATGGAAAGGCGGGTGCGAACAATATCTAGAGGGTAGGTCACCGTGACTGATGTGATGCCCGCAATACCTCCACAGATAAGGCGACGTGTCGGGGTCATCTCACCATCCGGAGTTTCGGCAAACTGAGGTCGACCGTGTTAGCCCCTAAGTCAAGGTGTGAAAGTGGTACACCATAAAGACTACAACTTTCCGCAGAACCGATGCAGAATGGAGAAGGGAACCAGCGAGAAGGCCGGGAACATAATCGGACTTACCTTCTTGTAGAAATTATAACTTCCAAACTGCACTGCAGAGTAGGGAATAATGCGAATACAATTGGTTCCATTACCTCGCATGAAGCCTCGCCAGCCTTCCTCTCGTTTCATCTTCCCGAGGGCTTTCCATATTGACAACTTGTATTCTTCTCGGCCAACGCTTTGAATCTGGAGTAGGATTTTCAACCGCTCCAGAGGGGATACAATCGTCCGAGAAACGGCACCAGCGACGCCACCGGCCATGAATGCGGCCACAACTGGGTCTGCCATCCTTTCTTGTGTTCGACGTAGCATAGAGGGTGGTTCGGGGATCGAGTCCTAACGAAAGGCGAGTGAGTGAGCGGGCTATGGGTGGGGGGGGGGGGGGGGGCGAAGGCCTAAGAGCCATGTAGATTTTCAACCCACCTTGACTGGACCTGGCGAGGAAGGCAGCTGCAGGCCATGCAGAGTAGGCCGTGTCGTTCCCTCCAACTCACTTTCCTGCGTCGCGTCTTGGCGATTGAGGCTCATCTTGATCGCATGCGTAGTGGTACTGAAGTCAGCAAGAGAGAATGAGACTCCTGTCCTCGCACTGATGTTTCCTTTGTCTTAAAACAGATGCGACAGCGGCAGCTGAGGTGATCGGTCGGTAGACAAGCAAGATTGATGGCCCGAGGAAAGGAAGAATAGAAAACAGGGAATCCGGGCTGGGCGTGTCGTGCTGGCCATGAAGAGAGTCCAGTGTTGTCGCTTCCTCGTGTTCTACAGGCCCATCATTGACAATCCAGACCCAGCGGTGCTTTGTGTCCTGAACCCCCGAAAGTCAAAAGGGGGAGGGGGGGAGGTTCTGTATGGGCGATTTGCTGGGTCGGAGAGCAGGACTAGGGGGCGCGGAGATTGGGGTGAGGAGTCAGCTCGGGGCTGAATGAATTGCTTTTTGGCGGTAGCAAGGAACGACAGCAACCACAGCAGAGTGTTTCCTGGTGTGAGGGCAGATAATTGAAGGAGATGACGTCGGGGAAGAGCAAGAGGAAGGCACGAAAACACCACTCCGACTGTCGACATGCTCACGGTACCTCCCGAGGTGCCACTTGGTATACTTGGTATGTATAATGTATTCACTCACGCCTGTATGTATAGGGCCATACTAATAAATACTAACAGCCAATAGGGTAGTTACATACTACATATGCAGTACATCCACACGCATCTTTATATAGTAGATACATCTTAATACAGAAATTATACTGTATGGTATTGTAGTAAGTTTCCGAGGTTCTCCCCATTGCTTTCATCATTCATCATTGGCGCAGTTGGTGCCTACACCTTACCGGAGGAGCCACCTCCCTTCGATCTCCAATTCCCTCTTTCGTGAACCCCTTCACATATCTTTCTTCACTTCCTTCTTCAACCCCCCTACCCGCACCCACCCTCTGTCATTGTCGGTACTGTCCTTCGTGCAATGTCTCGATCGGGCACCACCCTCTATGTCACTGGCTTCGGCCATGGCACCAGAGCTCGCGACCTTGCCTACGAATTCGAACGGTACGTGACGCCTACACCTTCGCGCTTCTTGAGCTCTCGGTCTTCGATCCTCCTCCTACCCCCAAGCCCCGACGGTACGATGACCTCCACCCGCAGAGCCCCGAACTGGGTTACTGTTGGTGGCTGCGTGTGAAGCTCCGGCCACCCCGTTCGCCTTCGAAGGCCTTTCCCTCTTCCTAGATGCTGGTTTGGTCATTGGTCATTTGTCATAAAACCTTTTCATCTCAAAACATGTGGTCCACCATACTGACTTCCGAACTAGCTACGGTCGCCTGGTTCGCTGTGACATTCCTGCGCCGCGTACGCCTTCGAGTCGACTGTGAGTATTCTTATATGATGGTTGATCCCTTCGTTCCTGACCGGTCAATCAGGTTTGCTTTCGTTGAGTACGAGAGCCGCCGTGATGCCGACGATGCCTACCACGAGATGCACAACAAGCGCATTGGGCGTGATGACCTCTTGAAGATTGAGGTAGGTTTTGACCCCCACTCCCACCGCCCTTTGCCGGATGGTCTCCTAATGTCCTATCCAGTGGGCCCGTACTCCTCCTTCAGCCTCGTGGAGATTCGATTCGGGTCGTGACCGTCGCCGCGACCGTACTCCCCCTCGCCGCGGCCGCTCTCCCTCGCCACGTCGCAGCCGCGGAGACTACTCGCCTAGACGGGACGACCGGTACGAAAGAGACTACGATCGCCAGGATCGTGACCATGATCGTCGGGACCGCGACCATGACCGCCGAGATCGCGACAACGATCGCCGGGATCGCGACCGTGAGCGCTCCCGCGACCGTTCCCGTAGCCCTGACGACCGGGACCGCGATGTGAAGGATGACCGGGAGAGGCGCGAGGATGACCGGGAGCGCCGTGAAGATGACCGGGAGCACCGTGAGGATGAGCGTGAGAATGTCCCCAATGGTGAAGAGAGGAAAGGTGTGTGGTGACCTACGTCTTTGGTTGAATTTCAGTCCGCTTACAAGTCGATTAGTACCCCTGGACCCCGTTCCTTCTGCTCATGATGAGCTTGATACTGCTGAGTAGATCAACTCAGTGCCACCATCTGAGCCTTTGCCTTGAGTATCGTGAACCGCTGCCGATTCATTCGAAGCCTGACTGGGCGATCACTGACTACGGGTGCCAGCGGGGACTATAGGAAGGGACTACCCATCTCTCAAGGCTTACCTGACGCTTCCGGAGATGACTTGATATTGATGTTGTCACAGTACACGGCATTTCTCCCATGATCCTCTGGTTCTTCCTTCTTTCTTTTTTCTCTCCTAGTTAAACAACCTGTCGAGGCTGGGATTTTGCGTGGTTCTTCCTGGTTGGGGGTTCCACGATTGGGTTCTTCCCCGTTTGATTTCCTATCCGTGGGTGTTAGTATTTATCCTGGTCTGCAGCTCGGATTCCGCCGAAACGAACGTCGAGCGATCGTGTTTAATTCCTCGCCCGCGTCTCTCTCGTCCTTGCGTTTTCCACGATGAATCCCGCCCGCCGCCGGTCTTATTCGCAGATTAATTTCAAAGCGGTTGTCCATTTTCCCTTCCCCGCCATGTACGAGCGGCCGGAATCTTCGGGGGATTGCGTTCCCATCTCGAATCGCCCTCAGTAGAGTTGTATATGTGTGGGTACTTGTAGCACCGAGAAGGGAGAGTATGTTGTGTGCGGTTCTCCAGGTCGACCCTTTCCCTCCCAAGGACCTCTAATATTGACATTCACAGCATCTCTCAGAAACCCCATAGGTAGCAGTAATGTTAGCACAGGAGCAAACAAGCAGCCCTCGATCTCGAATGAGTTGTATTTGATGCGCATGATTTCAATCACCAATCATATTATCCCGGCAACACAGAGTAGTTCCAACTGTGAAGCGGACTCACGATTGAGGGATGACGTAGGAAAATCATTGTGCGGGGAAGGCTTATCTCGGCTTCTCCCCAGGGTTTCCCCCTCCTGACAAGCATATTTGCATCTAATTCGACCGCCATGGAGCCAGCCAGAGAAAGAGGAATCAGTATTGCTATCGATGTATGGATATCTCCCTTTTGTTTCTCGGATACATTCTGGCTGGAGATGGGGGACCCGAGTACTGACGCACACTAGAGAGGAGGCACATTCACGGACTGCATTGGGAATCCCGGCACAGGACGCTTGGAAGATGACATATTGATCAAACTCCTCTCGGAAGATCCCACCAACTATGCAGATGCACCCCTTGAAGGCATTCGTCGCATTATCTCCAAGTTCACCGGTCGCGAAATACCGCGCGGGGAACCCATTGATACGTCGCTGATCCAGAGCATTCGGATGGGGACAACCGTCGCAACCAACGCTCTGCTCGAGCGCAAAGGCGAGAAAATTGCTCTAGTGGTCAGCAAGGGCTTCCGAGATTGCCTTCAGATTGGAAACCAATCCCGACCCAGGATCTTCGACTTGGCCATCAAGCGCCCCGAAGTGTTGTATGAAGAAGTGGTAGAACTGGATGAGCGCGTTACTCTGGAGGATTACGCGGAGGATCCACAGCGTAATGTCACGGCCACAAATCGGCGAGATCAGGCTCTGCCTGGTGATGAACTTGTTCGGGGACTATCTTCCGAGGCCATTCGCATTCTAAAACGTCCCTCCGAGGAGAAGGTAAGGGCACAGCTGCAAAGGGTCTATGATAAAGGCATTCGAAGCATAGCAGTATGTTTGATGCACGGATACACCTTCCCCGACCACGAGGCGCTGGTTGGACGACTTGCCGCGGAGATTGGCTTTCAGCATGTGAGCCTGAGCCATCTGCTTATGCCCATGATCAAGCTTGTCCCGAGAGCTACTTCAGCCTGTGCGGATGCCTATTTAACCCCTACCATCAAGAAGTACATCTCGGGGTTCCAAGATGGCTTCAACAGCGGTCTTGGGAGCGAGAGTGTCAAACAACAGGAAGGTGCCCGAGGTGCACGCTGTGAATTCATGCAGTCGGATGGAGGATTGGTCGATGTCAACCAGTTTTCAGGTCTGCGAGCCATCCTCTCCGGGCCCGCTGGTGGAGTTGTTGGCTATGCGTTGACCTCATATGATCACGCGTCGAAAATCCCCGTGATTGGCTTCGATATGGGTGGAACAAGTACCGATGTGAGCCGCTATGGCTCGGGTCGCTATGAACATGTATTTGAAACCACCACGGCTGGGGTGACCATACAGTCCCCTCAGTTGGATATCAGCACAGTAGCCGCCGGCGGTGGCTCCCGGCTGTTCTTCCGCAACGGGCTCTTTGTTGTTGGCCCAGAATCAGCAGGGGCTCACCCAGGACCCGCGTGTTATCGCAAGGACGGCCCGTTAACCGTCACAGATGCCAATCTCTTCCTCGGGAGACTGGTTCCTGACTTCTTCCCCAAGATATTTGGTCCGCATGAAAATCAAGGCCTGGATGAACAGACCAGCCGGCGGCTATTCGAGCAATTGACCCAGGAAATCAACCGCGATATGGCTCGAGAGGCACAGAACAAAGAAATGACCCCTGACGAGGTTGCTTTCGGGTTTATCAAGGTTGCCAACGAGACGATGGCTCGGCCTATTCGGTCTTTAACCGAGGCCAAAGGCCATGATACATCGAAGCACAGACTGGCGACCTTTGGCGGGGCAGGCGGACAGCATGCGGTGGCCATTGCTGAAAGCCTGGGCATTCGACAAATTTTAATACATCGGTATTCGTCTGTGCTGTCTGCATACGGCATGGCGCTGGCCGACGTGGTTGACGAAAGTCAGGAGCCCGAATCCAAAACATGGAGTGATGAGCGAGGGGTGCGCCAGGAGCTTGCAGAGCGGATGGACGAACTAAAGAACAGATCTGCACGAAGACTACACGACCAGGGCTTCGATAATGAATCTATCGTCTTCGAGGAATATTTGAACATGCGATACCGGGGCACGGAATCGGCCCTCATGATCCTAAAACCCAGGAAAGAAGAAGCCGACCACCTCTTTGGCGGCGACGCCTGGGCCTTCGGCAAGGCATTCATCCAACAGCACGAGCAAGAGTTCGGGTTCACCCTACCCGACCGTGACATCATCGTGGATGATGTGCGGGTGAGAGGAATTGGGAAGAGCTTTAAGGCGACTGAGAAGACCGTCGATCAACAACTCCAGGAAGCAAAGCCCAAGGATGTGATTGGTCACGAATATCGAAGCTCCCAGGTGTACTTCGAAGGTGGGCGGCGCGAAACACCCATTTATAAACTCGACGATCTGCATATCAACGACCGCGTGCAGGGGCCGGCGATTCTGGTCGATGATACCCAAACGATCGTGGTGCCCCCCGAAGCCTCGGCACTCCTCATCAAAACTCATGTTATCATCAACATCGGGGCCACCGATGCCGCTCCTCCCCAGATCAGCACTAACTCTGTGGATCCAATTCTCCTCAGCGTTTTCTCTCACCGGTTCATGGCTATTGCGGAGCAGATGGGGCGCGCCCTACAGAAAACCAGCGTAAGCACCAACGTTAAAGAACGACTCGATTATTCGTGTGCATTGTTTGATCCAGAAGGCGGATTGGTCGCAAATGCCCCTCATCTGCCAGTCCATCTGGGTAGCATGTCTACCTGTGTACGGATGCAAGCCCAAATCTGGCAGGGCAAGCTGAAGCCGGGCGATGTGATTGTCTCCAACCACCCCGAGTTTGGAGGCACCCATCTCCCCGACATTACCGTCATCCAGCCCGCTTTCAACCAGGGGGAGATCATCTTCTATGTGGCATCAAGAGCACATCATGGTGAGTGTGAATTTGTTCTATACCAGGGTGTCTCGCTGGTCTAACTATTGTCCCCAGCTGATATTGGCGGGATTCTGCCTGGATCCATGCCACCTCACTCCAAGGAACTCTATCAAGAGGGCGCCGCGATCAAGAGTGAAAAACTGGTGTCCGAAGGCAAGTTCAATGAGCACCGTATCACCGAGCTGTTATATAAGGAGCCGGCCCAGTATCCGAACTGCAGCGGCACTCGATGTCTCGCAGACAACATAAACGACCTCAAGGCCCAGATTGCTGCAAACAAGAAAGGAATTAACTTGATCGGCACGTTGATTGAAGAGTATGGCCAAGATGTGGTGTTATTCTACATGCATCAAATCCAAGATAATGCAGAGCTTAGTGTGCGCAACCTACTGAAAGAGATCAGCCAGAAGTTCGCTGGCCGCAACCTCAATGCTATTGACCACATGGATGATGGGACTCCAATCCAGTTGAAGATATCAATCGATGGGGAGAAAGGCGAGGCGGTGTTTGATTTCGATGGAACTGGCCCAGAGGTATATGGTAGGTTGCTAGATGCAGAGTGGGGTAACCAAGCAGGACCTTTGCTGACCGTGCCAGGCAATATCAACGCCCCGGAAGCAGTGACATACTCTGCAATCATTTATTGCTTGCGAAGCCTGATTTCCGCCGACATCCCACTGAATCAGGGCTGTCTGAAGCCGATTGACGTCCGCATCCCCCCGAAGAGTCTCTTGTCGCCATCTGAATCCGCAGCGGTCGTTGGAGGCAATGTATTGACGGTATGGACAGATCTCTCTCTCCTCCCCCCCCACCTTCCCCCATCTGATCTGACTGACTCGCCCGATTCGCCAGAGTCAACGGGTAACCGATGTCATCCTAAAATGCTTCCAGGCTTGCGCTGCTTCCCAAGGTGATACCAACAACCTAACCTTCGGATTCGGAGGCAATCTACAAGGAGAAACCGAGACAAAAGGCTTTGGTTATTACGAAACCATCGCCGGTGGGAGCGGAGCAGGCCCTGACTGGGAAGGCACTTCGGGAGTACACACCCATATGACCAATACGCGTATCACCGATGCGGAGGTTTTCGAGCGACGATATCCCGTTCTGCTTCGAGAGTTTAGCCTCAGGGCCAACTCCGGGGGTGCTGGTCAGCACCGCGGCGGAGATGGCGTTGTCCGAGACATCGAATTTCGTACTCCCGTACAAGTCTCCATCCTCTCCGAGCGCCGAGTTTACCATCCCTATGGCCTGCAGGGAGGCGAGGATGGCCAATGTGGCCAGAACCTCTGGGTGCGCCGAGTCCAGAATGCTGACGGAGGCTGGGAGGATCGATATATCAGCCTCGGTGGGAAAAATTCGGTCCAAATGCAACCAGGCGAGCGGATCATCATTTCTACCCCCGGAGGTGGAGGATGGGGCCGAGTCGGAGAACAGCGCCAGCTTACCCACGAGCAAGATGCTCGCCATGCCTGGCGAGGCGGTTCTCTTGCCAACCGGTTGGCCACGCAAGAAGCCAGCATGTGAAGCGGTGGAATTGCATCCTAGATAAATAGAGAAGAATAACATGAAATTTTGCATTATGGGATATTTAGAAAATGAAATAAATTCAACCAAACGAGGAGGCATTAGCATCGACATGCTACCCCAGATGTCCTGCCTATTTCCCCATGCAAATCACTATGCCTCGCTGTCTTCATCACTCGTCGCCTCAATATTCTGCTTCGAGGGGCTCGCATCTTTGTCTGGCCTGCTTTGCTCTTTATCGCCCTCGTCATCCACCTGGCTGGCGGCGCCACTGTACACTGGTCGAGGTAGCGATTCACCCCGCTGCTGAAGGGTTTGCTCAAGATCTGGGAGAAGCTCAACCAGGGCAGAGAACTGTTCGATGGACATGGAGATTCCCTAAGGAGTAGATAATCAGCATGAGTAGGGAATTTTGGAAGATTCAAACCCTGCAAGAATTTTCCAAACGGAATGACCAGATTAAGCGCACCTTTTTTCCGGGGAGTTCCTGCCCGTCCTTCTCGTAGTATTCACGCACGCTCACCATGGTTCTGCCTCGGAACTCGGAAATAGTCACACGGCGCATTTTGGAGATTTCCCAGTACCGATCCCCATTGGCATCAATCTTGCTGGTTAATTCATTCCCCGAGGTGGCCTTGACTTTCTTAGACTGAGAGCAATTTGCATCACCAGGACCCTGGGGGTCCGAGGCACGCTTTCGGGAGGTCATACTGATGGAGGAGCGATAGGAAAAGTGGAAAGTGAAGATGATAAGTGAGGCTCAAAGCAACGCGGAGAGACGCGTCGCAGCACGTGCTGATAAGGAACAGCTAGGATCATCTACATACGTCATCGCTGGCTAGACCTGACTGTTTCACAGCGTCAACACCCGTAACCCCTGCAGCATCACCGAGAAGACAAATCCTCGGGCGACCGTTTCCACTTGCAAGCTATCGAAGATCTTCTCGAGAGCTTCCCGGCTAGCTGCTGCACCCATGACGCTCGTGAGCGCCTGGGGAATACCTCTCTGAACAAACAGCCGACGCGCGGTATCCCGCAAGTGCGCCTTCTCCTGCTCGCTGGGAGCAGCAGGCCAGGCCTTCAACTCGGTCTCCGTAGGGAGAGCGTTCTCTCGGAGTTTCTTCAAATATTCCCCGAGCGCCTCATCTGACGTATGATTCTCGATCATGGACTCTTGTAACAAACCCCGAATCGTCTCCAGAGTCGGGCTTCCAGGACGCAGAATATATGTTTTAGCCGCGTTCAACAGAGTCCGGCGAATGTTCCATGCAGATGACAGCGTGTAGAGCTCGTTGATCACGGCGAATATGAGCTCCACCGCGATCTGAGTCTCATCTGCGGTGATGGGCGCCCGTTGTCGGCGAGTGCCTTGGGGTACGATACCGGAGTCATCAGAGGGCTCAGTCTCATTTTGGGGACTGGGTAACGCTGCTTCAGTATCTTGTTTTGTTTCTAGCTCCTCCATATGGCTGGTTGATCCTAGAGAGTTTCGGTTTCCAGACGGTGCAGGGGGCGAGTCCAGGGCACACGCATCCTGTTCGCTAGCTGCCACATTGACGCTGCTACCAGTATCGCTGATTGCAGGAAATTTGGGCCCACCTTCCTTCGATATCCCCAGTCCCACTGAAGTGGAAGTTGGCGACGAGACCGGTGCAGGGGAATCTTGCTCTTCACTTGGTCTTGGAGAACCAGACCAGTCACTCATCTTGAAGCCCACTGGCGAAGAAGTATCACGAGGTAGAGCATTGGCAGAGCCAGAACTAGCTGGTGTATCCTGGCCAGTGTTCAGTGGGTTCTTTCGGGGTTGGAATTGTCGGTCTGATGTGTTCGATGGCTTCCTGTTGTGCCCAGCGACGCCTCCGAACACTCCAGTGACCCCGTCAAAGACCGTCCTGCCACCTCCGGCCATACCCTTGGGGGCGTTTGTCAGTGCTCCCAGCAGGTCTTTGCCCATGTTCTCAAATGCACTCTGGCTCGGGAAGGAAAAACCTTGTTTGGTAGAGCTCCCCTCGCCGGAGCCTCCTTCTTTTTCCACGAATCGTCGCATTCGTTCAGTTTCAGCAAGTGGCTCGTGCTTCATCGCCTCCTGCAGATACCGCTCCAAATCTTGAGCAAGAGCTGGTCGTGTTTTTCCCTTCCATTGGGGCAGCGTAGGAAATAGATCAGAGAAGGTTTGGATTCGGTTCAGGCGGGAAACCGTTGCAAGCATTTCGTGGAGAGATTGGAAGTCCGAATATTTTCGAAACACCATCCACCCTGTCGCGCGGCTTGACGCTGGTTCGATCTGAAGCAGATAGTCCCACGTAGGCCGCGATTTGATGAGCCCTTTCTCGCTCCGTGCAGCATCGTCATCCACCAAGACCCTGGCGCCATGGAGAGTGACAGGTGGCGCCGTAGCATCTTCTCGAGCTGAAAAGGGAGCCGAGGGCGTCGCCTGCGCGCCTAAGGACGCGTGTGGCGATGCTAGATTCTCCTGGGCTGCAGCTGAATCTTGAGTATCGGTTGACAGACGCTCTAACGAGCCATTGGTCCTCTCTGTAGATATAACTCGTTCCTGAGGCTGAATACCGTCAGCGGGTAGCCCGGGAATTGTGCCCTGTATATCTTGGGATGCAATCATGGCACTCAGGCGCTTTGCCTCCAATGTCGCTTGTTCTGTTGCTTTGTCTTGGTTGCTTGGGGGAAGGCCAGCGACCCGTGACGCGGCCTCTATATTGGTCGATTCTAAAAGTGCGTTCTTGGAATCCTCCGACACCTTTGAAGAGTGGGCACTCTGATTGCGTGCTCCCTCGACGCCAGCGTCGATTGCGTGCATAATCTCCGATTCCCCGTCCCGGAGAAGATAGATAATCCAGTCATTAATGAATTCGGGTCGGGAGAGGCTCTTGACCGTCGATTCTAGCACAACGCCTGCAAAGATCTCTCGGAGGAAATCCCGAACCGGGGAGCAGCTATATGCTTGTGGGTCTAGAAAATTCGAGAGGATGTCATCCGCGATCATGTTGAGCTTCTTGCGCTGTTGTTCCTCAGATAAAACATTTGCAAGACTGCTGTCCGGCGAGTTTTCGAGGTACTGCTCGACAATCTTCTTCGCCTCCGTGGAACGAGGATCAGCAGCGGCAAATGCAGCAGCTAGTTCGTTCAAGAACACAATAATAATAGACGAAGAATTCGTCAAGAATTGTAGAAATGTATCCTCCGTTCGTTTTCGCGCAAGATGGGACGAGACGGTCGTGATAAAATAGGTCAGGGTTCTCCGGCAGGAACCAGGAAATGCGGATTCGCTAGGTAGGATTGGCTCATACCAATACCTTTCCACTTGGGTTAGCTCATTGCGGATCCAGAGTAGAGGTTTGGCGTCTTACTTCACATAGTCCCTGACGACCGCATCGGTGAGCGATCGCAGGGCGGCCCCGGTCGCTGGCTGGAAAGCTGTATATTCAAGGTCGGCTATCGACAGATCTTCCGGCGCAGCAACAATAGCGCTATCGTCCTGACTGGCAACCTGCGCAAAGGTGGCGCGTTCAGGCCAGTCCAACAGTCTCGAAGTGACTTCCAGAGCCAATTCCCTCCGCTTTTTGGGCATTTGTGATTCTCCACTGGATCCTGCTTGGGTTGAGCCTTCCCAGGAGGCATGCAGAATCACACCCAATCCAATTCCAATCAGCACCAGCCCAACTCTACCCAAGATGATGTACGTCACAAATGCCAGGAGGACAAAAACACCGACGAGAGTCTCGTTGCTGGCAGTGGCGAGAAAGTCGAGGGTGCGATCGATGAGCTCCTTAGGTCGTACCGAACTCGGGGGATGCTGCTGCGTATGGGAGGTGTCGAGCGTTATCTTTCCAGAGGAAGCCGTTAAGTCCGGGGTCAGAGTGGCTTGAGAGGCCACCGCATCATTGCTGGATAGGTTCATTGTGAGTCTGACTAGCCGGTTAGCCTGATTGAAGGGTCAAATAGGTCCGGCTGTGTTCCAACCTCCATGCCCCTTGGGAACCGATCAACCTTCAGGTAATGTCGTGAGGGGGGAATTGCCAGCAGATAGATCATCGCAGGAGTCGAGAGCGGACCTAGGCACCGACGCGCATTCGGGAAGGTTGAACGCGGGTCAGTGCGGAGGCGCATTTCCGAATGTGGGCCCGCCGATCAACGCTGAAAATTTGCCGGTTATTCGACGGATGGCCACGGCACGGAGTAGATGGACTTGAGTTTGATCATTTGAAAAACAAGGCGTAAACAAGCAGCGTAGCACATTTGACTGTGCATTGATTCTCGAGCGGTGCGGTGCGGCGAATTGGGCTATCGTAGACATCAATGGCGCACGTGATTCGGCATGTCTTAATATAGTTTGATTCGGCCACTGTCGGCACTCTTGCCAATAGCTCCTCCAATTCGTGGTCGGTCCGTAGTATGGAGTGCCGGATAGGCCAAGGCCAAGGCGATATGATGAACACCGAGTAAACTTCGGCAGATGGTTTACATGAGTTTTCACAGATCTTTCTAAGCCACTTACTGATGAGACAAGGAAAATACCAAAGTAGAGGAACAATATAATTCATTAAAGAGATCAGAGGCGTTTGTATCCATTCATCATTTCCTCGCCGTCATAGGACGGCCAGGAATCTAAAGCTAAACAGAGTGGAATTACTCTCCGCTTTCCGAGTGAATCCAGGCATTCAAAGAACATGCGTGTCATGCCGGATGATAAAAGATTGCGGGTGGGAATCATAGTCTATATGGCCTTGGTCTACTCGGGGACATCCTAGGAGGTGGCCCGGGAATGGGATGACGAAAGAAGAACGAGAACAAAAGATGCAAGGGGAGCTACACCGACCGGACTTCATCGTGTCCGGACATACTTGGTGTGCGAGCCCTGAGCGACAATGCTAAGACCTGTCTCGGTCTTCTTGGAGATGGTTACCGTGGTGAAGGCAAGCGATTTACCGACCTTGTTGGCACGGCTCTCGATCTCCAGCCAGTCGCCGTCCTTGGCGGTGGAGAGGTAGTTGACGTGGATATCGGTGCTGACACCCGTCGCGTCCAGTCCGCAGGAGGCAATGGCCAGGCCACCGGCCCAGTCAGTCACGCAGGCCGAGAAGACACCGTGCAGAGTGCCCTTGGAGTTGAGTTGGCGGGCGCCAACTTGGAGTCGGGCCCGAACCACACCCTGTTCAGCGTCGTAGACGTCGACCTCGCTCAGAAGGAATTCATAGATCGGGCTGTTGGAGCGAGTGCGATCCCACACTTTCTGGACTTGTTGGAGTTCCGCGCTCATGCTGGACGGCAGTCGAGATGAGCCAGGAGCGTCAGGGGGAAGGGGGAGAGTGAAGGGGGAGAGTGAAGGGGGAGAGTGAGAAAGGAAAAGGGAAAGGGAAATTTCGGTTGGGAAGAGTTGGGCGGTTTTGTGGGCCCGACCGCCTCGGTTAAGCTCCGGCAAGTTCGAAAGCAAGATCAAGACCCACAGGAAAGGCACTCGAGGGATTTCATGGTTGCATCCGCAGAGCAATGGGTAGTGATTGGTATTGTGATGGAGGTACCGAGGTATCTACGGATCTATTTCACACGGCTTGTCTACAGGACTGCCTCCCTTGATCCGATGTCGCGATTTGCGCGACAGCATTTGAGAGAGCATAAAGTGATTCACATCCTCATCGCCCCAGTAGGTGAGGTGGCTAGCAATACTTGCAATCAATGAGATGTCGAACGCACCCCTAGAGTAGAAGGAAGATCGGATCAGAAGGCATCAATCCCGTAGGTAACGAAGGCGAAGGGGAGGAAAGATCACACTTACTCTTGAATGCTATAGTCCACGCGGCCATTGGAGTTCAAGGCACGTACTTTGGCATCTTCAAACTTCAACTTCCGCTCCTGGTCTTCTGAGTCGACACCAGAGTCTGTTTCGCCGGAAGAATGGGCAGAATCCCTCTTATGGACGGCCCGGCTCTTCTGGAAGCCGTCATAGAGGGTCTCGAGGTCATGATCAATGAGAGTCTCGAAATGATCGTCCGACTCCTGCGAGCCATCCTGGCCCATGCCTGGCTGGGTGCGCTTATGTCCCGCCGGATCGTCAGTCGGCTTGACGGCCCCAGCATCCCGAACAGTGGAAGCGTCTTCAGCGTTCAGCCCCAAACTGCGGTTCAGCAAGCTGCTCGCGACACCGGACGTAAAATTACTCCAAAGGGAGCCCACACTCCTGACCCATGCGGGACCCCAAAATGGAGAGACTTTGTCCGGAGCTTGTCCACAGGCTTTTCTTAACAGAGGGCAGTGGTTGGGGCTTGAGGCTTGCCATCGCCGGCGAAATGAGTGGCTCGATCCGATAACTCACGGGATCCGAGGGATGGAAGATATTGTAGAGGTCGCGGCATTTTGGCGCAGAGATGATAGCCGACTTCTCAATCATGTCCCGCCTGGAATTAGAGTGGGAGTCCCGGTTGGAGGCCCTGAGCGAGCCCAATGTTTGGGAGTCTAACTGGACATCCAGTGCGCTTGTTCGGTTCCTGGCGCCAAGGGGAGAATGCCCGGCAATAGTCTTTCCCTTCAGCATCTGAAAGAGGGCAATAGGTGACCCCAGGCTGAAGAATTCTTCGCACTCAAAATTTAACGCACTCCGCACTCCACCTCGTTGGTCGGCCATATCATCACTGTCCTGGGTGCTCGACTTGCCCCCTTTCACGGCATCGAGGTCGCCTGGTTGGTGGCACAGGATGTCGAATAAAATGGCACTCCCGAGAGAATGACCGCAGAGACTCACGGTTCCTTTGAAAGATGGATTGCGTTTTTGGTAAAGTCGAAGAATTCGATTGCACTCTTGCCTGACGATATTCGAGATGTGCTCACAGTATCCGCTCTGGTAGAGAAGTACGTCCATCGCTAGGTCTGAGATAAGATTCCGAACGGCGGGAACACTTTCAAGTGTAATATCTGCTAGGCTAGGATACGCATCATCTTCAAGCGTATCCGCCTCCGTCAAATCAAGTTCTTTTCGATTCTGTCGAACTCCACGGTATGGAAAGTCAAGAAGATGACGCCAGCAACTATGTAGACATCAGTATATTTCGAAGGGGATGGGTGAGAATCTGGAGCTTAGAGTGAAAAAAGGTCAACTTACACAGGGAGAACCTGAACGCGACAATTGCTATCGCTGTCTGCGAATGCTGAGTTCAACGCTTGGAGATCAGGCGATGCTTTGTAGACTCCCTTCAAGGTCTTGCGAAGCACGTTGACGTCGTGAATGAAGTTGATGCTCTCCAGGCGCAACCCCAGCCGCTGGCCGATGCCGTGGGTGACCAGCACCAAATGATCGACGTCTCGCTCTCGATCTTCAGTGTCAACCTCTCTCGAGTCTTCCATTTCCTGCTCTTCCTGTCTACGGGCCTGCTCTTCGAGTTCGGCTGGATTCTGTGGTTCGCCTGCAAGGGACGACATTTGCCGCTCTAACGTTGAGATTGGGCGCCTGTCCGCTGTTTCAACCTCGATGTCACTTTGGGTTCCCGACATATCTGCTGGATTAGATCCAGTCTCTGGCGTGTTATTGGAGGCGAATCCGGGCTCCGGGTGAGCCGCGCCTGGCATCTTCTCATCTTGCTTCCGCTCTGGTCCCCGAGAGTCGACCGGTTCCCTGGGTCGTCTGGTTTCCACCAATCCACGTACGACTTTGGTGCCGGGAACACCGCCCAGAGTTTGATATACGGTGGTGCTAACGCGAGACATGAAATCGTCAGTAGTGAGCCAGGCTGTTGAAGCATCCTGATAGGCAACGATCCTGTTCATGTAGGCTCCAAACAAGCGATACTGCGGAGCCTCCGAAGGAGGCGCAGTTGATCGGTTTCCAGCGCTTTGGGACTGCTTCTGAGGCTTGACAGAGCGAGGTGCGTCCATGTGACTGGATTGAGCGTCTGCGGTCTCACTAGATCGGTTGTGTCCATCCCTCGAAGCCGAATCGGGCGATCTGCCCTCTTCCATATCGGCTTTCCACGGCTGCAGCTTCAAGTATCCCTCTTCTAGTTGAGTCGCCAGATTCTCCTCGCATGGTCTAAAGACAGAGCCTTCTTGGAAAAACCAAGTTCCACGCCGGACTTCGTAAACAGGACCGATCCAATAGGCCGGGCTGAGCTCTCGTTCGGCCACATCTACATCAAACAAGTAATCCTCGTTGACCGGAACCTTGGTCGAAATATGTGACGTGGCCTCCCTCCGGTTCTTTCCATGCTCGTGGGAGTCTTCAAAATCCGATAGTTTCTGAAATGTAGTTTCAATGGACTGCGAGTCTTTGGGCGAGAAGGGAATGAATTTCTTGGGCGGGGGCGGCGGTTTCTGGTCGGGCCTTTTCTGGTCGAGTAGTGCAGGCTTTCGCTTTGGTGAATCCACGGCATAGAACCATCTCGCTTTCAACGGCGGGCAATCGGATGGATAGTGGCGCTGGCTCAACTTATGTCGGTGGGTCACGGTGTGGTCCTCACCCTGCGACCGTTGCAAGACATCTGGGTTTGGTAGCGGGCGATCGGAAGGCTGAGGGGTAGAGCTTCTCGGGGTGCTCCATGGGGAGAGAGTCCCCAGAAATGATTTCTGGTCAACGCCCGCCATGGACGTCGGACGCGCCCGTCGCAGGGCCACGGAACGAACCAACGTGGCTGGTGGGAGTAAAGCGCGCAATTCGGGAGGGAGAGAAGCGAGAGGTTGGCGAGAGTGAAGCAGAGCTCAATGCCAGATTATTGGCAGGAACAGTCGATCAGCGCCATCGAGGTCGGAAAGGATGAAGCGTGCAGAATAGTCGCAGTACGTTCCAATGTTTTGGCCGCGGGTCCGTGACCAGGCATGATGTAATCGCCAGCCGGCATGTATCCTGCTGACCACACCAGCTGTGCATTCTCTACAAGATGGAACACGGTGGTTCTCATATCATGCTGGATGCTTGATTCATGGGCTACAAATAGGTCTGTCTATTACAGGATACTTCTATGCCCTCGATTTTCCTATACTTCTATATATTTCTATATATGTTAATTGGGGCCTTGGAGGGGGAAATACATACTTGCCCCTCCTCTTGCAGGCTACACATGGACAGCCCACGTGCCAACCTTAGATATAATGGGTTAGGGACTCTCCACCAACTCTCCACCAACCCTCCCCCCGGCTGGCTCGATAGACACGAGTCAAACATCGCCCAATCCAGGCCCTCGCTGTCGTCCCCGACATGAAAAGGGTCCAACCAACCCAAGGAGATGCCATGGCATTGGAAGGTTGAGGGTCCAAGGAAAAGTCGGGTGCCACGTCTCCCATGAATCCGGTGAAAAGCCTATCCAAGATTGCCGTAAATGCACGTGAAATATACGGGGCATCTCGACTCGCGGCAGAATTCTCCACATAGGTCGCATACGCCTGCTTCAGCAATCGAAGGATGATATCTTCTGTTTGAGGGCCTACGGTCGACGATGGGTCCCGTTAGCGGATATGAACTACTAGGTAGAGTACTATCACGCCGAGCAGAAAATCATTCGTGAAGTTAGACAACATTCAACGCTGATCATGTAGTTGACCGCCGGGTAAAACCTCTCCATGGATTTCGATGAATTAGCGCACTAGCCGTTGACCGGCCTCTGTGCACGCGTTGGTACTAAAGACGCTGCCTCGGGTTATGTATCTGCGATGAAAGATATATAAGCTCTTCAGGCAGATGAATTCAACATAAATCCGAGTCATGATCAGAAGGGGTGGGTCGGCGGTAGAGTCGGCCAGTGGTCGTGTGCGCAGGACGCTTGTAATGGTCGTGGACATGCGTCGCATTTTACGATCTAGCTATATTGTCTATGTATCGGACTTCTCGTGGAAACCCAGGGCGTCTCGGCATACCTGATAGAAGCTGGCTATCTGCTGATTTTTGACGAACCGCAGCAGTCCGACCACCTCGTCTTCTAAGCGAGAAGGGGGAAGGAGCTATATGTCGACGTCGACGTCGGATGGTTTCTCTGTGGGAGCGCAATACTTCCGGTGTAGCAACTAGTTCAAGCTCTGGAGGCTCTCCTTGGTAAGCCACTAGGGCCATCAACTCGCAGGTATCGTCTAGGATAGCAGACTAATGGGTAGAGCCGACATATCTCCCTTTATCAGGCGTATCAGCCAGGGTTTGATCAGCCACCCTTTAATCTCCAATCGATATAGATTCCGGGGATACACTATAGTTTCCAGGCTGTCCAAGTGTTGGGTTCTGCATCAGATCCTTGACCCGGGACTCGAGGTAGCTCAGTCGGTCTTCCGCTATCGCCTAAGTATTGTTTCCCGGCGGTGCCCCTTAATAGGAGGAGAGAGCGGTCTTATCTTTTCGTGTGCATGAACTATGATGGTTGTCGTCGATCGTAGCGGAATTTCGCCCTCCGGCACTGACTACAGGTCAGCTTGTCTCGGGGCTGGTGACTTTCGCCGCTGCCTCATGGGGTGCCTCTAAACCCGAAATGCGCCCGTAAGGCTCGAGAAATCAGACATTCTCTCTACAGCCTTCGATGCTAGCTAGTATCGGATACGATCTAGCGCCATGTTGTGGAAACTAGACAGGTATGATCCTTGCCAGGGGCGGAAAACATCCCACAGATCCATATTGCCCTATTGACTCGTTACTGACTACTAGGTATTTAGCTCGTCGGCTTATGCAGGGTAGGGCATTCGATACCGGCCCAAATAATCATGGGCCACTAGATTGGGAATGGAGGCCGAGCCATGTCAAGCAGTACAACAGAAAGAGGAGGATGGGAGAGGGAGCCGCGGGGATGATGTCCTTACCTTAGCGCTCCATAGTCTGTCCAACTAAACAGTTCCCCTATCCTTTACCTGCAAGCTTCTGCTCTGCTCCTCGGTGGTGTCCCGGGTTGCTATCATTAAATAGTTTAAGTTAACTATTTCGTGAACCAGCCTCGAATTGGACGAAGAGCTCTGTACCGAAATCGGCTGTCTGTTTAGGTAAAACGACCGGAGAACTCGCCCAATTGGGGAATGCCTGCTCTGGATTGACGCCGTTCAATCGTTCAATCGTTGAAATTGTTTAATATCGTTCAATTTTTTTATCTAAAGTATTTAAATTATTTAATATTATTTAATCGTTCAATGGATCAAATCGTTCAAATCGTTCAAATCGTTCAAATCGTTCAAATCGTTCAAATCGTTCAAATCGTTCAAATCGTTCAAATCGTTCAAATCGTTCAAATCGTTCAAATCGTTCAAATCGTTCAAATCGTTCAAATCGTTCAAATCGTTCAAATCGTTCAAATCGTTCAAATCGTTCAAATCGTTCAAATCGTTCAAATCGTTCAAATCGTTCAAATCGTTCAAATCGTTCAATTCGTTCAAATCGTTCAATTCGTTCAAATCGTTCAAATCGTTCAATATTGTTTAATTATTTGAATCTCTTAATCGTTCAAAGTATTCAGTTATTTAAAACATTTTATCGTTCAATCGTCTAAATTATTTAATTATTTAAATCGTTTAACTATATAAACTATTTAATCGTTTAATTATTTAATTATTGTTCAATCCTTCAATCGTTCAATATTATTTAATTGTTTAAATTGTTCGATCGTTTTAAATGTTTAAAACGTTTAATATCGTTTAATATCGTTTAATCATTATTTAATCGTTTAATTATTTAATTTTTTATATCGTTTAAATCATCTAAATTGTTTAATCGTTCAATCGTTATTTAGTCTTTTATTATTTAATTGTTCAATTGTTCAATCGTTGTTCAATTGTTCAATCGTTGTTCAATTGTTCAATCGTTGTTCAATTGTTCAATCGTTCAATCGTTCAATCGTTCAATCGTTCAATCGTTCAATCGTTCAATCGTTCAATCGTTCAATCGTTCAATCGTTCAATCGTTCAATCGTTCAATCGTTCAATCGTTCAATCGTTCAATCGTTCAATCATTTAATCGTTCAATCGTTTAATCGTTCAATCGTTTAATCGTTCAATCGTCGTTCAATTGTTCAAATCGTGCAATTGTTCAAATCGTTCAATTGTTCAAATCGTTCAATTATTCAAATCGTGCAATTGTTCAAATCGTTCAATTGTTCAAATCGTTCAATTATTATGTCCATCACGAGCACATACTCCCAGGCGCTGTATCTCGTCAAGACAAGCCCTCATCCCCGAAATTAGGACCGCAGAGAAGGCGCTTAAGTCCTTCCTTATATATAGACAGCAGTCTATTCAAACCCTCCATGCAACCCAGGACATCTTCTTTTACCATTATCAGGACTTTATTACCGGTGTGAACACGGGGCTCAGACGGGAAACCACCAAGGCGCTGGTCCGATCTGCCCGGTCCGACAGCCTCCCTCGGAAGTCGTGGCAAATACAAGGCCAACGCCGCAGTCCGTCTTTTACAAGCCGAATTCCCCGATAACGCAAACAGTGGTGGCTCCGGTGCAAGGGGGCGTTGAAAGATAACGAGTCGATTCAGAAAGCCTTCCGATGTAGCTATCTAGTATGGATGAGTGGATATCTTAATCAACAATATGGTAAGACGCCTCTGAAGAAAGAGCCTATCAATCCATGACTCCGTCCAGAGATACCCTGCTAATTGGACACCCCGCCCTAGGGGGACAATCTGAGGCGCATATGTACGCCAGAGACATGACGATGCGCGAGATGTGGAACAAGACATGGAACGTCAACACGACCGGCATGCACATCCTCACTCACATATTCGTACCATTGCTTGGCAAGTCCTCGGACTCGGCTCCTCTTCATCACTAGCGGTACGTCAACGCTGATGGAGACGGACAACCGGGCAATCCCGCTGAACCGGTCTCCAGTGAAGGGCGGGCCGAAAACCACGCCCTCGATCCCGACCTACCGACCCACAAGACCGGAATGAACATGCTCATGCGCGAATGGACGCAGATGCTCGCCAGGGCGAGGTGAAAGCATGGTGTGTTTCGCCGGGCTTCCTGGCCACCGGACTGGGCGGCAATGCAAAGCGCACAAGGGGCGCGATCAGGACGTTGAGAAAGGCATTCGGTGGGACGACGTCTCGCCGTGGTAACCTATCTGCCTAGAGGGATGAAGAGGGAAGTCGATCCAGGGATCGGAGGGTAACGAAGGGCAGGAAAGCGAAATGCGGTCTCTCCCCATTCAATTGGTTCCATGCAGTGCCTCCAACGTCATCAGGGCAAGGCAACAAGGTCCATGGAGGCGGTAGGTACCGGACGAGACGCCGTGGTACTTTCAGAGTACTTCCCATGCGCGGTTCCACACAAGCACAGAAGAAGTACTGCTGAAGTTTCCACCGGTAAAATACCATCGATCTCACCGTGCCCCAGCGCCCTTCCCACCTAAACAACCTCCAATTACCATACCATACAACTGTCTTACGTACGCGGTGGCTCAGTCGGACCGACCCCACCCCCTCCAAGCCGGTCCGTGTACTCCGTTATAGCGTGGGACCAAGTCGCCTCCTCTGCACTGCCCATCATCTCTGCCCAATTCCTCCCCTGGCCATTGATTCTGCCTGGCCTGTTCGCATCGCTTCTTTTGTGATCCGTTCCTGCCTGGGAACGTCTTCATTTTCCCTTCCCTTCCGTTTGCCTCCCCGAGTCCCGGCGCGATCCTGCTTGCGCCTGATCACCCCACCGTCGACCGTTCACTCAAGATGAACGTCCTCAAGCTCCAGAAGTGCGTGCCCTTTCAAACTCTCGCAGGAAAGGTTCAAATTCTGACAGCGTCATTGTCACTTTATCTAGGCGATTCCCGCAGCTGGACCAGGGCGAGATCTTCTCCCTCCAGGATGCATTCCGCAAGCTGGATGTCGATGACAGGGGCTACCTGGACGAAGCGTCCGTGATCAAGGCCACTCAGCAGTCCGAACGCCAGCCCTACGATGTTGTGCGACAGGCGCTCAAGGGCGTCGAGCTTGATAGCTCCCGTCGTGTCGAGGTCGAGGACTACATCGATGTAGGTGGCTGTTATTCGTTCTTGATTGAGCTCGATTACCTCGAGATCCCGGCCCGTTGATGCTAATGAACCCGCAGCTGGTATCGCGACTTCGCTCAGGACCTGCCCCGGGTGCTCCGGGCGGATCGAGCCCCGCAGCCGTGATTCAAAAAGCTGGAGCCGGCGCGGGCGCGGGCTCTGGCGGATCCCGACACGTTACCAAGGGCAGCCTTGGTGGTGGTCGCATCCACGTCCAGGGCTCCTCGGCGAACGTCACTCACACTATCAACGAGGATGAACGAACCGAATTTACGAGACACATCAATGCCGTTCTTGCCGGCGATCCCGATATTGGCAACCTGTTGCCCTTCCCGACCGACACCTTCGAGATGTTCGACAAGTGCAAGGATGGTTTAGTCCTGGCGAAGTTGATCAACGACAGTGTGCCGGATACCATTGATGAGCGTGTTTTGAACAAGGCCGGCAGGAAGATCAAGGAATTGAACGCCTTCCACATGACGGAGAACAACAACATTGTGATCAACTCTGCCAAGGGCATCGGCTGCTCGGTGGTCAACATCGGTAGCGGGGATATCATCGAAGTCCGTGAACACTTGATTTTGGGCCTGATCTGGCAAGTCATTCGCCGTGGTCTGCTGGGCAAGATTGATATCAAGCTCCACCCCGAGCTGTACCGCCTGTTGGACGAGGACGAGACCCTGGAACAGTTCCTGCGCCTTCCCCCAGAGCAGATTCTGCTCCGTTGGTTCAACTATCATCTCAAGAACGCCAAATGGGAGCGACGGTAAGTCGATGCCTACGTGCTCCGTGCCGGGCGATTTAACTAATGCTGATCTACCTACAGCGTGACAAACTTCTCCACAGATGTGAAAGATGGGGAGAACTACACCGTGCTCCTGAACCAGCTAGCACCGGACGTCTGCTCTCGCAGCCCCCTGCAGACCCGCGACTTGCTCCAGCGCGCCGAGGAGGTCCTCACCAATGCGGAGAAGCTCGACTGCCGGAAGTTCTTGACCCCCACCTCTCTTGTCGCCGGAAACCCTAAGCTCAACCTGGCGTTTGTTGCGAACCTGTTCAACACGCACCCAGGACTGGATCCGATCACGGAGGAGGAGAAGCTGGAGGTGGAAGACTTCGATGCGGAAGGTGAGCGCGAGGCTCGAGTCTTCACCCTTTGGCTGAACTCCCTGGATGTGCAGCCGGCCGTCAACTCGCTCTTCGATGATTTGCGTGATGGATCCATTCTGTTGCAGGCGTACGACAAGGTCATTCCGGGCAGCGTCAACTGGAGGCACGTGAACAAGCCCCCGGCGTCGGGTGGGGAGATGATGCGATTCAAGGCGGTGGAAAACACCAATTACGCCATTGAGCTTGGAAAGCACCATGGTTTCTCTTTGGTCGGTGTGCAGGGTGCTGATATTACCGACGGCCAGCGCACCCTTACCCTGGGTCTGGTGTGGCAATTGATGCGCCGCGATATCACTCGCACCCTGTCTGCGCTGGCCCAGCGTCTGGGCAAGCGTGAGATCACCGACGCGGAGATGATTCGCTGGGCGAACGACATGTCTAAGAGTGGTGGCCGGACCAGCTCCATCCGCAGCTTCAAGGACCCGTCCATTGGCTCTGGCCTGTTCCTCTTGGATGTGCTGAACGGCATGAAGAGCAGCTATGTGGACTATGACCTGGTCACCCCCGGCCGGTCTGACGAGGAGGCGTATGCCAACGCCAAGCTGAGTATCAGTATTGCCCGAAAGATGGGTGCTACCATCTGGCTGGTGCCCGAAGATATTTGCCAAGTGCGCTCTCGCCTGGTGACCACATTCATCGGTATGTTTTTTTACTTCTTTTTCTCAAAGGTAGTTCCAGTTTCTCACTATTTCCACAGGTTCTCTCATGGCGACGCACGAGAAGATGTAAGGAACACCCGTGGCTTTCGTACCCGTTTACATATCCTTTATGGGCCTGAAGAGCGCCATTGCTCCTGCTCTGGTATGGGCAGCGACTTCCTAATAGGTTCTCGGTGGGGGCTTGCGAATAGTCCACTTTCCCCCCCTTTTTCCCTTGCGGGTTGTGCTTCAGTCTTTACGATCCATGTACATCTTGTGCTTGAAACATGGCGAATGCGAATAAAGAGAAGTGGCTCGAAAACAAAATGAGAGAATTGAATATTACTTTTTGAAGAATGACGCTGTAGACCACATAATCGTTAGCTTGGGCGCTGCTGCAGGCCGCTCAAAGGTGCTGGTTGAACCAAGCTACGGCTTGGGTAAATGACGCCTCCTTGGCGAATCGAATAATGGGCTTTGAAAGGTCGGCGCGGACAGCGAAGCCATGTTCGACACCGCTAAACAGGTTGATCTGGTACGGCTGGCCCGTCTGGGCCAGTATTTCCTCGGACTCGTGGCGCTTCGGAGCCGGAAAGATGGAATCATTTTCTTGAATGGCCCCGAGTCAGCAAATTGCATGAGAGAGAGGAGGGCTCTCCCTGGGTTCAATCAGGAACGGAACAAGGAATCTCACCAGCTGCCGCAATGGACAACGAGCCCTTGATGGCCGCCAGCTCGTCAGCCTCTACGAAGCTGGGATGGGCCAAGTAGGCAGCGTCCGCACCGCCCGCCTGAAGCACAACGGACCGCGTATTTAGCCTGCACATGATGGAAAGCCATTAGCCCTGGTCCACACGGAAGTCGCCGATCGAGCCTACCCCAAAGCAATGCCCAATGGCGCCGACCCGCTCACAACCCAAGGCGGACTTCATCTCACCGAACACCGCCTTGACGACCGGCTCCACACGCTCGAGCAGGTGGCCTAGCGGGCCCTTCAGCCAGGCCATCAGGTCCCAGTCCTCCGGGGGATTCAGCGGCGCAGGGTCGCCGTGGAACAGATCCGGCATGACGACGAAGTAGCCGTTGGCGGCCAGCTGGTCGGCGATTAGCTGGACATTGATGAAGCGGGTGGCCGATCGCATTCGTCAGCAGCAGTACAGCTCGCTTGGTAGAGCGGTCGGCGGGGTAGGAGACATAGGTCTCGACTGCGAGGGCTTTTAGCAATTTTCACAATGCGTTCGGGGGGCTAAGGCCGAGATGTGTTATAAAACTTAGAATCTGATTGTTCGGACATACCTCCGCCGACTTGCTGGAACTGGCCCTTGGCCTCGCCCTTATGCTTTACGCCAACCAATGCAGCAAGCTGCAGGAGGATTGGATGCCATGATAGACGATGGGTGATTGGACTTGTGTGTGTGCTTGTGTGTGTTTGTGTGTGTATGCGAGGGAGGAAAAGAGAAGACACGATTGGGATAGAATGGAAATATAGTCGGTACAGAAATCTTTCCGGACAGCTGCAGCGGACGATAGCGGCACCTAGGAAAGTGCATAATGTAGGTATATATGACGGCGGATAATAGCGGCCACCTGGGAAAGTGCACAATTTAGGCATATTCTAGACCACCCTAGGGACCACTCTGTAACATAGGAATCGTTCTTTACACTATCTTTCCTATCCAAAATTAGATTCTCCACTTTCTACTAGACCCCATCTTGACCACTATTTCGCACCACTAATCCTAGGTGGTAAGGTAAAGCGATTTATACTATATAATCCACTAACTCTCGATATCCCTAGGCGTTGAATACCCTTATTGTTACCCTTGTTGTGGCTATCATGTGAGTAATAGTACTTAGAATCTTATTAGACTATTTGATAACTAGGACTTAAGAGGTTATGGGTGAATCCTATTATATATAGGATGAAACTCCTTTATATAATCATGCTGCTAGATTGGTTATCGCCGAACTTGTGTTGCCCGGGAGAGAGTGGTTGACCATGGCATGCAGATTTCGTTTTTAGGACCTTGTGCGAGCTGTATCCATCTCGAATCGCCCCGTCGGGTTGCGAGCATTTTACTTGATGAATGACGTGCATAACGTGCATAGGGCCGGTTTGAACTCGATGCACAGTCAGTGCAACGATATCGCAAGCTTTCTACATCATTTTGTGTTCACTAAATAATCAAGTACAAGCTGCACAGCAGACTCGGCCCGGTGAAAATCCCCAGCCAAAAGACGACATTCCCCACCAGCCTCCGGCCCCGCATGAGACGCGTGCGGCTCAGCGAGACCAGCGGCAGCTGGGTCATCTGGAGGAAGAGCAAGTATCCCCGCAGGCGCCGGAAGATACACAGCATGATGAGTTCATGCACACAGGCCGACAGCAGGAAGGTCATCAAGCTTGCCGAGACCCGCGAGAGGTGGAACGTGCTGATGGAGCTATGGTAGACGTGTCGCAGCAGGAAGTTGTGGACCGGTCGATTCCAATCCCGGGCAAACTGGTCCCAAGAGACCGAGTTCCACCAGTCGGCGTAGAATCCGCGATCGGCAAACCTGGTGATTTCGGCGAGGGCATTGAGCTGGGGGGAGAACCGTTCATCAATGGCTCAGATAAAGGACGGAGGGAGAAGAGGACGAAGAAGACTCACCACACACTCCCAGATCACATAGAACGCCAGTAGATACTCCATCATGAAGGGGAACAGTAGGTCGCTGAGCACCCAGGGGAATTCTTGCAGTCTCTGCGGCACCGTCAAGCCTCTCTCCTTCATCTGTACCGTCTTCATGACCACGGGGTAGATCCAGGACTCGGAAACCACAATCATCACAAAGATGGTGCCAAAAGTAGCTGCGGTCTTTTCGGCGACATATGCCCAGTCGATTCGCTCCGTGCGTGGGTACTCGAGCTCGTAAACCAAGATGGGCAGAGTGACAAAGTCACAAAAGTTGCCCACGGTCAAGTTCCGAGGATATTGGTTGTGCGATGAAAAGTGGCCGCGAAGCCCTTCCGAAAGTAGTGCGATCTCCTTTTCCAAGAGGCTTTTGAGGGAGAGCAGTTGGGTTGGCTCAAGTGGGGTGCCGTTTTCAATGGTCTCGGACAGTGACAGGAGGTGATCTGTGTCGTGGGTGCCTCGAAAGTTCTTGAACTCATCTGAGCCTCGCTGCCGATTTTGCTTCCTCAAGTTGGTAATTTCGGAATTCAGTCGACCATCATGTACCGAGGAGGAGGAGGTGGAGTAGCTTCTCGATGCGGAGCGGTGGCCGCTATGTTCCTCCAGGCGCTGGAGGCGGACCCGGAGCAAGTCTCGCTTTTTGTACAGCTCAGACACTGCTGTCATTAGCAATGCTCCAAGATGGGGCGTGAAGATGGCATCCACCTACAGTATCCGTTATAAGAGGAATAGCTGTGTTGCTTCATTAGCATTGTCAAGCAATGCAGGACCATGAAGACGGTGTGCGTCCATGGCCAGTCACGGTGGTAGGTCCACCAAATGAAGCCAGCGAGATATGCCGTCTGCCAAATCTGGTTCCGGATTGGGTTTGTTGTGAGTCTATCATTTCAACCAACGGACAGTCGCTGGGTACCTACATTTTGGATCACCCACCCTAGCCCGCTCCAATGGACGTACCCTCTGAGGATCTCCCGTTGCAGACCAAGACAAAACAAGGTCGAACAACACAAGATAACGTCGGTGATCCCCAGCACCAGGACATCTCGGCTCAGCATGAGCTCAATGATTTCGTTCGTTCCGAACGGGGTCCCATAGGCCCTGAAGTTGTTGGCCGCGATCTTAACCATCATCAAAGCCACACCAAGCCAGAATAGCGTGAAGAATCCATGGAACTGCGAGGAGGTGAACGAGGGGTTTTGACGATCGAACGTGCTGAGTTGCCGAGTAAATTGCAGGTCTCGAAAACGGAAGCGATGCTTCTGGAGATCGCCGGATTTCTCTAGATGCAGATTGGACCGCAGCACTTCCTGCAGGAGCTCCGCATCCTCTGCCGTCAGGAGGTACTGGCCGGCTTGGTCGGTTTCCTGGAGTTTCACCGGTATCGGGATACTTCGGCGCCTGCGCGCACCTTCGTGGTCGACGTCTGCATCGGTCGACGCAGAAGGAGTGCTGGAGCTGGATGGCGTGGACATCAGCGGCCCTTGCAGTAAATCGTCTCTGTCATGACGGTCGTTCATGGCGGTCGGGTCCACCAGGGGCTGTGTAGCTGCAGGGGAGCAGGGAGACCGTTGCCACGGACCTTGTGCAGACCCTCTTGCATCGCTGGGGACGGTTCGGGTGGTTCGGAGAGTGGCGAGGCCGAGACGAGTAAACAGATGACATCAATGGGCCTCGGGACGGAGATATCCTTCTGATAGGCGGATCAAAAGGCTAAAGCCTAGGCTTCGCACGAGTCGCGTTGTTGAACAGTCTGGCCATTTTTGTTCATCCGTGCATCCCCTGTTTTCTGTTCATATTTTCAGGCGATCTGCAGCATTTCCCGGGTCTGGCATGTCTGGCGCGCTAAGCCATGCTGGTCGCGGGGAGGTTTGATGGGTTGGCTGGTTGTCCGCGCGTGCGGAGTAAGTCGTGGAGCTTTTGGCGCTTCTCCAACAACCATCCACCGCGGGCCCCACCCTTGAAACCGCTCGAGACCACCCAGAACCACCTTGTTGCCCTCAGTTGACTCCCGCTTAGCTTCGTCATGGAGGATGCACCCCAAGTCCAAGTCTCTGCGGACATACCTGACGCGCAGGATGCAGCTGCCGATATTTCCAACGAGATCAAGATAGGAGGCACTCCGGAGACAACGAACCCTCAGCCGGAACAGCCCGAGACGAGTGGACAGACCGAAACACCAGTGAAGAAGAGCGTGGGCTTCAACTTCCTCGAGTAAGATCCCCCGTGTCTCTAGAGAGCCCTCCTGGCCTCATCCAGAGGGGGCAAGGAGCCTTGCACCTTTCGTTGAGAGACACCGCTGCCATAAGCTGATTGCTCACCAATTAGCTTTCTGACCTCTCCAATTATCGAAATCATTGTTGGAAAGGGTGACGAGGAGACTGTTCTGACCGCACACCAAACCCTGCTGTTGGACTCTCCATTTCTATCCGAGTTCGTAGAGAAGTTCGACACATCAGGCCCCGTGAGTCGCACAGCAGACAGTCCTTTCTTCGCCAATACTGACGTGCCTGTTCGCACCAGCGCCGCATTCACCTCCCGGACGAGGACGTTGAGGCCTTTGGATGCTTCCTGCAGTTCAAATACACTCGCGACTACACCGTGACACCCCCTGAGACTCCCTCTGCATCCCAAGAACCCGAGGGCGGGATCGACAACAGCGGCGAGGAATTGCTCCGACATGCGCGGGTCTACACACTAGCGGAAAAGCTGGGCGTACCAGCACTGAAGAGCCTGGCGCACACCAAGATCCACCGCGTGAATGGCACTCCCAACGGCGAGCTGGCCTACGCTCGATATGTCTACACACATACCTCGCAAGATGACACCACCATTCGGAAGCCGGTCGCCTCATACTGGGCCTCTCGCGGCCATATTTTACGGCATGATGTTCAAGAGGATTGGGATCAGATGTGCCGGGAAGTGCCCGAGTTCACCTTTGATGTGGTAACGCTCCTGATGGACCGCAAGGAGAAGACCGGTCAGACTGAGACCGAGTCAACCCCACGCGGACGGAAACGCCTGCGGGCAAGTGAAAAGTGAAAGGGGTAGGCTGGACCACAGAAAGCCAGCCTCATGGTGCAAGGTGCATATTCGCCAGATAATACTCCCTACCTATTTTGCCCACGATCGACGTTCAATCCCAATTTACAGCCAACCAAGAGTTCTGTATAAATCCAAATCAGACGCATAAATTACTGCAGTTTAGGGAGGCTCGCTAGACAGCTGCCGGATTTATAATATATCTATCGACGGGCTCAGGCTTGCTTATTGCGCAAGGCTCTCAACCTCCAGGATGGCCTTGGGGGCCGAGGTCAGGTTATCAGGGCCGTTCTTGGTGACGTGGACATTATCCTCAATGCGCACGCCTCCAACGCTCCAATAGCGGTCCAGGACCTCAGTGTTGATGTACTTGCTCAGCTCGGGCGACTGCAAGACCGGGTCAATGATAAAGCGGCAGAAGTAGATCTGTCAGGAGTTAGCTGCGATGAATTTTCGGGAAAGAAGCGTATTCTTCATCTTACCCCGGGCTCGACGGTGATCACAGAGCCGGCAGGCAGGTTGCCCCGAACGCGCAGGTAGCGGAACATCTTGTCGGGATCGGCATAATTGGGATAGCCACCAGTGTCGTGGGTGTCCATGCCCAGATAGTGACCCAGACCGTGAGGGAAGAAGGCCACGCTGACACGCTTCTCGAAAATCTCGTTCTCATCGCCCTGCAGAATACCAAGCTTCAGCAGACCCTTGATAGCGATGCGGTGCGCCAACACGTGCACATCGTCCCACAGAACACCCTCCTTCAACACAGCAATACACTCCGCCTGCATCTGCAGGACGATCTCGTAGATCTGGCGAGTCTCCAGCGGAAACTTGCCAGCAAGAGGGATAACGCGAGTAATATCGGCACAGTAAGTTTGGTACTCGCCACCAGCATCAATGAGCAAGTTGCCCTTGCGCTTCTGGGACCCCGACTCGGTCAAGCTCTCGTCGTTCTTGACGTAGTGGAGTGTAGCACCGTTCGCGCCGGCGGCAAAGATAGGGTGGTAAGACATCTCCCGAGCGCCATTAGCAATACAGGTGTTGATGAAGGCAGCTTCGACCTCGCGCTCATTGGTCGCAGTCTTCGCGGCCTTGATGCAGGCAATATGTCCCAGAGCAGAGATGTCGTTCGCCTTCCGCAACAGCGCGACCTCATATGCATCCTTCACAACACGAGCATCCCCAATCACGTTCTTCAGGACGGCAAGATTTGTCGTCGAAAAACCCTGGAACTTGATGTCCTCGGAAACCTGCTCCTCAATAGCGAAAGCCAAGGTCTTTCCACCCTGAGCGGAGGCGATTGAGGCCAGGGTAGCATTGACATCGGTAGTGTACTGGACGTGGTCGACATCGTAGAGCTTCTTAGCTTCTTGGGGGGACAGCGGCAAGCCGGACCAAATGACGGAGTCGGGGTCGATGGGAGGAATGAAAAGCGTCAGCTCGTCCTTCTTGACATCGTAGACCACTGACGCATCGGGCTCCAGACATCCGGTCAAGTAGAAGAACGGGCGACGCTGCCTAGATGCTCAGTTAGCTTGTGCAGCTCCCGCAGGCCCAGGCACGAGTCGCGGGTAGGTCCCCAACGTACCGGAATGGCATGGCCTCGTCATTGTCCTCGATCAGACGAGTTTTTTGCGCCTCGAGGTAGAGAGCGCCGGCCTCACCATGCTTGTCCTGGAGGATCTGAGCGACACGGCGCGCATGCGCTTTGGCCGGATACTTGGCGGCGAGAATCTCATCGACCGACGCCATGGTGGACAGGGTTGGGGAGGAGGAGAACGTGAAAGTGACAGGAATGACAGCTGCGGGTCGAGTTGGGGGAGGCGCGGGGCAAAGTAGTACCATTTACGTGCTTCGGTTGCATTGCTGCGGGGCTCTAACAACAATGGGCCCGGCTACGAGCGGTCGGAAATAATGGCTCTCATTAAACATCAACCATCAAAATTCACCATCGGCGCTGTATATGTGGACTCATTAACCGTAGCATAAATTGAAGCCAATCAGACTCCGCATATTTCCTATGCCTCCGACGCTGACACTTCCTCGAACTCCATCTGCCACTTATCGACCTCAGCGAACTTCTTCGCCGCGGCGCGCAACTCTGCACTCATGTAGCGACGCGGTTCAACTTCCGCTTCTGACTCCGACGCCTCTGAATCAGGCGGAGATGACAAGGGCGAAGATGATGGTGACGATAGAAGCAACTCGTTCTCCTTGTCGATATCTCCGGTTTTACTCGCGCGCGAGTACGCAGCCGGCTCTTGTGTGTCCGCCGGTTTCGCGGGCTGCGCTGACTTGGCCCTGCTCTTCTTTTGCTTCTGATTGTTGAGCTTAGTCTTATCGCGAGCATTGCCCAGGGGCTTTGGTTTGCTTGTCTCTCCACCCCGCCTGGACCTCCTCACAAGCAGGTAGCTCAACTCATCGTCATCGCCAGAGGCTGCATCATGCATGCCATCATCACTCTCGTCGCTGGGAACATCAAACTCGCCGGCGGATCGGTGCTTGCGGCGACCCTGTCGTCGCCGGGGGAGAAGTTTGTCTTGTAATGCGGCGGTGGACAAGTGAGCTGGGTCTCTAGACTTCTTGGCCCCCAGGGCTTGCTGGGAAACAACGCTGGGCGACCGAAGGCCTGTCGCGTTAGAGCCCAGTGGGCTGCTATCGGGAGGAAGCATTGTTTGACTGAAGACTTCAGGGAAGCGTAAAGGCCGGGGTGTCTCTTCGGGCGCATCGGGCGTCAGATCGCGAGGAACGGGTGTGGCACTGGGGGTGTCCTCGATGGTGTCGGCGACCACCTCGGAAGGGGACTGGGGTACTTGTATTTGCTCAGCGCGCTTGCGCTTGCGTGACCCGCCAGAGGATGGCAGGGATTCAGATGGGGACTGTGACTGCTCGCCCTGTCTGATCAACAGCGACTTGCCTCGAGAAAGATGCAGTGGTGTAGATTCATCCGCCGGGCTCAGTCCGCCGAGAAAGTCTTCCTCGTCGAGGTCGGACGAGCCATCCTCTGCCTGCATCATCTGTAGGATACTCTGCTGTCGCGGGCGTCGCCGGAAATTGCTGAGCATGGAGCTCTCAAAACCAGGTGTACCGGGAATGCGCGAGCTCGTGTCACCTTTGCGCCCCGCGAAGGATAATGTAGATGAGTAGCCGCGGGATCGCGTAGGGGGCCGACTGCCCGTCCCAGGACGACTACCAGTGCCTGGATGGTCACCAGTAGGGGAGGACTCGATTGCTTGCTCATTGGTTTTGGTCAAGGGTGTTTGGCTTCGGAGGGTTGGTCGAGGATCCACGCTGGACGCGCGCTCCGCTGGAGGCGGCAATTTGGCGGCATTGGAGTCGGGCTGGTCGCGTTGTTCAGTTGCATTGGCGACCTTCGCCTTGGTCAATCTGTTTCGTTTCGGAGCAGGACGCGGCATGGTGGTAGAATTGGGTAGGGCGCAACAGCTTGCAAAAGGAGGAAAGAGGAGGTGGGTTTGTTTTGGGCCGACGCGTCCACGTGTGATAGCGTTATCGGGGGGATCGGCGAAGTAAACTTCGACCGCAAAGAGATGAGATTACTTGGCTAGTACCGCGGTGGATCACAGAAACTCTACTGCAACGACGAGTACCTCGACGGTATCGAGCAGGTCATATCGTGAGACTGGCCCAATGGTCTGATTCTGATTATTCCCCTATCGGACTGCCGAATCAACCACGGACAAGCTCCCCGTGTACAGGGCAGCTTCGGCTCAGCGGTGATTTGCTGCTGGGTGAGCCCCTCGGCCCACTAGGCCCAGACTGGGCAAATCTCGAGGGGCGGACCAGACCGACGCAATCAGGAACGATGCGCTGCCTCGCCGTTCCCCGGACATTCTCTTGAGCGGACCGAGTCGTCGGCCGCAGATCTGACTTCTGCAGAGGGAGGAGTACGCTGCTACCAATCTATTTCTATCTGGATGGAAGCCTCGCCCCAAGCCTCGCCCCAGCATCCTGCTACTCCGACCATCATTGCGCAAATGTCGACGGATATGCTTCCGCAACCTATCACTCAGTGATGGCATGTGGACCAGACAGCGGTATTTTCAGAGGAAAAGAACACAAATTTTGCCAAAAGGTGCCGCCATTCATTGATGACAGTGATATCCACACTTGAATCTTCGCCTGTGACCAGCAATCATGACTCCACCTCCAGAAAGGGACTTTGACCTCGTCGCAGGGGCCGAGCTCGATATGTCGGGCAATAGAAAACGCTCCAGCGAAGATGCGACGGAGTACCCGCGCAGACGAGCAACCATTGCCGTAAGCTTGTTTGGCCTTAACCCATGATGATACCCTGGGAAAGCGACCAGCTGAGACCATGAGTAGTGCCAGATATGCCGGCTACGCAAAACCCGATGTAATGGAGCCCGACCCAAATGCCAGCTGTGCACAGATCTCGATGCCGAGTGCGTGTACCGAGAGCCAGGCATCAAGCTTGACGCTGGTGACAAGCTGATTCTCGAGCATCTGACACGAATAGAGGGCTTGCTGCACTCCAGCCTAGCGGGCCAAGGCCCTCATCACCTAGCCCTATCGTCGACATCTCCAGCCACGAGTAACGACACTGGGGCCGGGAGCGAGGGCCTGATGACCAAGATTAATGGAGCGCCGACATCCGGAAGGCTGATCGCGGTGGGACTCGGCTCCTGGGCCAATCCGCCGTCGAGCATTAGCATATCTACTATGCCCAAGGTGCACAGCACCCCGGCGCTGCATCTACTTCAATGGCCCCTCATTAGGGATTTGATATTGGGACCGTACGACCCGCAGAATCTCCTCCAACTTGAAATGGCGCGCGAACCACTGCGGATGACCCCGAACTCTGGATTCGATTTAGCTAATACGCCTGCATATGTGCAAGCGTTCTTCAACCATGCAAATGTCTGGTACGCCTGCGTGAACCCATACACATGGAACAGAAACTACAAAACGGCCTTAGCACAGGGGTTCCAAGATGGGCCAGTGAGCTGCCTAGTCCTATTGGTCTTAGCCCTTGGTGCCGCCAGCCGCAACGGCAGCATCGCGTTCCTGCCAGCAGATCGCGAGCCACCCGGACTTCCGTATTTTGCCTCAGCTTGGAAGATCCTGCCATCAGTGATGATGCGCAACTCTGCCACTGCAGCGCAGTGCATGGTTCTCGCATCGGCCTATTTGTTCTACCTGGTGCGGCCACTCGAAGCCTGGACCTTGCTGTCAAACGTGAGCATGAAGTTACAACTGCTGTTCGGCAATCCAAACCGGGTGCCAGCGCAGTGGAAAGAGCTCAGTGTGCGGGTATATTGGAACTCGCTTCTATATGAGAGCGATCTACTAGCGGAGCTGGACCTCCCACACTCCGGAATCGTGAATTTTGAGGAACTGGTCGATCTGCCCGGAGGATTCGAAGAAGATGACGACGACGACAACATCGAAGACGAGGGACTAGATGGAGAGCACGAGAGAGAAGAACGCAGCGGCAGCCTCACCGAAGAACAGGCAGGACACGATGAATTGTGGTACTTCCTAGCTGAGATTGCTCTCCGAAGGCTCTTAAACCGGGTTAGTCATCTCATCTACCAGAAAGATGGCATACACACTATATCCTCTCTGGGACCGATTGTCTCAGAATTGGACTTCCAGCTGTCCCAGTGGTACGACAGCCTCCCGCAGCCGGTTCAGTTCCCACTGACGCAGACGCCGCTCTCCAACCCCGTACAGACGGTGTTGAGGTTGCGTTACAACGCCTGCCGGACGATCATCTACCGCCCGTACATACTAGCCACCTTCGAGAACGAGCAAATTGGCGCCGATCCGGCTGTCCGCGAGTGCTGTCGCAGGTGTCTGGATGCTACACTGCGGCAATTGGAACATGTCACCAGTCACCGCGAAGGGCATCTTCCGTATCTCTGGCAGGGGGCGTTGTCAATGGTGTCCCAGACGCTGTTGATCATGGGCGCCACCATGTCGCCGACTCTGTCGACGCTTCTTCCGCCTCCACTACGGGTTGACGCGATCATCTCAAGTGTAGTCGCCGAGGTCGAGCGGTATGCTCATCTGGCGCCGAGTTTGAAATTGTCCTCGGACATCATCCGTGATGCGGAGAGAAGACGGCAGATCTGTCTTCGCACGGCCGGGGTCAGCATCTAGTTGAGAACAAGGCGTGCAAATCGGTCTTAATCTACTCAGATAAATGTGGAATATGGGGGTGTTATCTAGTGTCTCAATTACACATTGGAGCATTTAGAAGCCGGATCGCAGCAAACCTGTATTCTTTTATGATGTATGTCTCACATTCAAATGCCAACAGTGAAAAGAATCGAATCGAATCAATGGGAAGTCGTCACTCGCGTCTCAAATGCATGCCAGGGGTATGTGATCAGGGCGTGAAGAAGATGAGAAATGCGTAGCACAGCAAATCAAAGGCGGGCAGAGGAAAAAGACAGGCAAAAATCATGCTTTACACAAGAAGTAAGAAGAGCGAACAATAGGTAGGTACAGCCAGTCCCATCTCATGGCAATTATGTTCTTCAAATCATATCTCAACGAGGCGAATCATGGTATCTTAAAGACATGGCGATGGGGTCAAAATAGTATAGACGTCAAAAATAATATGGGCAGATAAATCGGAGACTCAGCCAGCCGGCGGAGGCCTCGGCGGACAGGAGGTCTTCACAGGAGATGGACAAGGGCAAGGGATGGGACAGATCATCCTGTGGGTGAGGGTGAGGGTGAGAGACAAATCTCGGTGTAAGAGAGATGCATAAGTGAAGCAACCTAAATCAACACCCACTCGCTGCCGCGCTTAATAAACTTGTCAAGCATGAGGCCCACGTCAGCCAACGCGAAGCGGCACACGTAGAAGCCGAAAAACTCGGCCGCGTGTCGCGTGCTGAGCTCCAGGCCAACGTGGGTTGGAGAGGAATGTTTGAGACCAGGGTCCTCAACCTGCTGGGCGATTTGATCTGAAGCTGGTCAGCATGAAACGTCTCGAATGTAACAGGGCGCAATCCACCAACATACCCAACACTTGAGCGGCGTCAAAGAGACGTGCCAACGCCCCCATGTAATGGGCGTTCGGGCCCGAGAAATCCAGCGAGGTCACACTGCGCCGGGCCTGACTGATGGGTGCTGCGGTCATGGGGACCGAGTTAAGAGTCAAGTGCTCCTTGTTGCTATCGCGAGCCGCCGGGACCGTGGAGGCTGCGGTACCAATACCAGAGGTCTTGGCTCGCAGACGTTTCCAAGTCGGCAAGTAGGATTTATTGGAAGTACCGGAGGTCCTGGAGGGGGCTGGCTCGGCATGCGCAGCATCGTCTGGTGCCGCGTTCGGCTTGAACACCGGGACGGCCGTGTGGACGCCAACCTCATGGCCGAGCTTCTTCGATAGCCCAATTTGGACCTGATCGAGCACACTCTCGAAGGACTGCATCTCTTCTAGCACGGCGTCCGCATCGTATGTGTCGACCTGGGCCAATTTGAGCAAAGCAGCCGTCAGCAGATCACAATTCGACACTTTGTCCTCCAGCGCCTTGATCTTGACATTCTTCACGCGCCAGACATCGCGAGGAATGAAGAGCTTCGCGGACAAGTAACCACCGTGAGGATGGGCAATCGTCTGATAAAGGCATCGCATGAGCCAGAACGGACGAAGGAGGAAGGACTCGGGGCAGGGTTCCAGTGGGAGTGGCGCATTGGGGACCAGCGAATTCGGACGCCCTAAAGCAGAGGGCGAATGGATGTTGCAGTCGAAGAGATTGAGGCCACCAGTAGGTAGACCGTTCTGTGTAAAGTGTGCAGCTGTTGGGGTAGGCATGACCGGGACGCCAGGGACCATCACGGCCTTTTGAGTGTCCAGAGTCGGGAACGAACCACTCCACGGGGTGGTAGGAGAACCAGACGCAGTGTCAGTAATGGGGACGGAAACATTGCGAGTACGGAAGGATTTTGAGTTGGCGTGGGCCCTGTCCAGGCCATCTGGGGCGGAGGGGACTTTGCCCATAGGTCGTGCGGAGAGAGGGAGAGGTGGGAGTCCCGGCTCGTCGTCATCGTGCGTACGGGCCTTAGCCAGATTGATGTGATCCACCACCGAGCCAACGGAAGGATTGCGCTTGGAAGGGTGCAGACTGGTTCGGAGGCTGGGCGTGGACGCTCTGGGAGGGTCTTGAAACGAGTCGTCCTTAGGAAGCGGCGGCGGGGGTCCGGCCGTCGAGGGAGTTGTGAAGGGATCGATCCCGGAGGCACTGGACCCGGTGCGAGCACGTGTGCTCGTCTCGATCTTCAGTTCCCTTGGCTCTTGTCCCGACAGTCTCCGAGCCCGTACCCCGGGAACTGGGGGCGGTCCCATGGAGGGCGGAGGAGGGGGCTGGGAGAAAGAGGCTCGTTGGGGTGGTAATCGAGGGAAATCAGTCGAAGCAGGAACGGGAGGCAATGCCGCATTTGGTGGAGAAGAAGAAGGCAGTTGGACCCTATCATCATCCTCCGTGAGGGTGGACAGAGTAGCGCCCGTGCCCGTAATGTTGGACGCAGCTGAGCTTTCCCAGGTTCGTCCCGACAGGTTGCTCGAGTCCGACTCTCGAGGGAGCGCAGACTTGGACTGAATGCCGAACTCAAAATCGTCCATCACGTAGCCCTTGGTCATCTCCTCAAGCAAGCGCTCTTCTTCTTCGGCCTCCTCATCCAGGTAGTCCGAATTGCGGCCCACGGGGTTCTCCAGCACGGCCTGTTCCTGGATGTGGCGGAACTCCCTACCACGGTTCATGGCGGCCTCAGCCTCCCGTTCGGCTTCCCGGACCCGCTGTTTTGCCAACTCAATATTCCTGTGCGCATTGGCCAAAATATCCTCGCTTTCTTCTTCCTTGTACTCCAACACAGGCTCCAGGCCTTCGTCATATGCCGCTTCCACCGCTGCATCGAGTGCCGCATCAAATTCGGCTTCGGTATCGGTACTAAGACGGCGACTTGTTCGGCGGCGTAGATATACCGATGAGGCCTTCGAATTGGCCGATGAGGGGGAAGATGCACCGGACTCATCGATGGTGTCCAGCCACGACGTTGATTCATTGGTCTCTGCCGCGGCAGATGATTCAAGGAATTGCTCATTGTATGCCGCAAGATTGTTCCCAAGACCTGCTGGGGTCGTTCTGCCGGATGGCAGGGACGGCCGCAGCGATTGGCGGCGAGGGGGAATCGCCTCCGAAGGCAGAGACCTTGATTCTTCCAGTCCCGCTTGAAAAGCAAGGCTGGAGTGGGCCGAGCTATGCTGGCTGTCGATATGAAAGCCATCGATCGCCGAGGCATGCAGGAGCTCACCGTAGGACTCTTGACTCAAAGGGCGCTCGGGGAGAGCCTTACCATCATTGTCCGGCAGGGGGAAGTCCATGCGCTGCAATTCGGCGATGCGGATCATATAGGTATCCCGCTGGACAGCTGTTAGCTTTGTGACCGTCGTTTTCCGATCGGACAGAGAAATCGGACGGAGTCCCGGTGGACTTACAATCTCTTGGAGTTTGAGTTTCTCCTCATCCCCCCCATTACTTCGAAGCATTACCCATTGTAGCAGCTGGCAGGCGTCCGTATACGCCTCCATGGCGCCTTCAAAATTCGCCGCATTGTCCAGCAGCACGGCCGTGTTGGCCTTTTGAAGAGCTTTGGATAACATTGCTTTCTGTGTTTGTCCATGTTGTCGATTCTCTCCGTCCCCTTCGCCATCCGCAGAAACCGCACCATCACTGATGCGAGTAGCGGCCGGATCGTGGTCGGACGGAATATTTCTCAGATCCCGGGCCTCATGGATGGAGGAATTGTGGAAGATGTGGCTGGAGGCTGTGAACGACAGGTCGAGATGCGAGGTCGGTAGATCGGCGGGGAACATTTCCGATGCCCTCAGCTCGGGAAGACTTAGCTCGGGCAATTCCCCTAGTCCGGGGGTACGGTGTGGGCTGTGACCCGAGATGGACCGTTTAGAGCTGCCCCGATGGTGGCCGTTGTATTCAGAGGGGCTCTTGCTGGATGTCGTCGACTGCGACCAGCGATTCAGACTGCCCAATCCTTCTTTGATGGGACTGATGGGAGCCAACGCGGGAGCGATATCAGGCACGCTCTCCGACACCATCCCCAATCCCGTTGGTGTAACGGCTCCTGAGGGTTTCACCATGCGGTTCCGCGAGGCTGGGCGCGATGAACGCGAGGCTGGTCGATGGGAAGGTGGCCCGGACGGAGGCTCTGTGTGGGGGGCCGACGGATGTCGGGAGTGGAACGATCGGGGCTCATCTTCCAGGGCCGAACGGTGTAGCATTTTCGAAGGAGGCTGACAAGTTGCGATGAGGATTATAGTTGGTTCATAGGCCGGAGCCTGGCATGGAGGAGGACGCGTTTTCGTAGGCGAGAGTGGAAATCCAGAGTCGCAAGGATTACTGGGCAAGTAAATCGATCGGTTGCAGGGGATCCGGGGTGTCGTCAATCATTCTCCGACGGTTCGCGCCTGAATCATAAGAAATCGAGACGATCGCTCTTTCTCTTGGTCGGTTCTGTGCTTCTCCTAGCACATCGTTTCGTCGACGGGCGAGGGGCTTTTCAGGTCTATCGCAAGATAATCGCAGACCGGAGAGACATCGCTTCGCACAATGGGAGCTATAGTCGAGGGCAAGGGCTCGTCCACACGGTCAAGCAGACGAGGAACTAAGGATAGGATAGCCCAGCGAGGAGTCCGGTCGGCTCGTCGCAGTGTGCGCGTCGAGGGAATCAGGGGCCGCGGTCCCGCCGGTTGGGTCAGGGGTGGTCCGTGAGTGCCGGGCGGTGGACGATGCGGGGATTGCGAAGCAGAGTCGATGAAAAAGCAAAGTGCAGGCAGCTGAATCACGTCCAGAAACGCCGAAAGTGGGATCTAAATGGGATCTGAACGGGAGAAAGTCGGACGCGAAAGTCGGGCGAGGCGGGGGGGCCCAAAAAAGGGGGTGTGCCTCTCCAGAGTCTCGCCCTAGCGCGGCCCGCGGCCAGCAGCCAGCGGGAGTGTCCCTCCGGAGGTCAGAGTGTATACATCCGGCCTGGCGAAGGTTTAGAGTTGTCACGATCCGAGTCCGATATCACATAGAAACATCGAATATCGAACACCTCGTAACTTTGTTTGCCTAGCTGCAGCCCCGGAGCTCGGACGTGACGGATCAGATTCGAGGGGTTTGTTTGGTGACCAAACGGGAGGTCGTTCGGAAGTGTGGCTGCCACGCTTAGCACCGGACCAGGAAAATTTGGGATGCCCAAATTTCCCCCATAGGACGGGCTCATGCATCCATCCTGCTACGCTCGCCCGTTTGTCCGTCTCTGCTCCTCGTTCGTGGGATCGCAGTTGCCTGAGTCATTAAGATTATCCCTCCGTCCTCGCCTCTTCTCCAGCATGGCCTTGGCATCCACCACGCCGCGTGATCCGAACACGCTGAGCAACTACAACAACTGGCGCTCCACCCACATCACCGCCAACTTCGACATCCTCTTCGACCAGAAGAAGCTGGTCGGCAATGTCGTCCACCAGTTCAAGTCCACCACCGATGCCCAGTCGCGTGAGATCATCTTAGACACCCGCCATCTCGACATCAGCGCGGTTAAGGTGGATGGCCAGCCCTCCCAGTGGGAACTGCTGCCCGCGCTGGCCCCCTTTGGCACCCCACTCAAGATCACCCTTGAGAAGGGCGTCGAGCTCAATGGCACCGTTGAAGTGGATGTAGGTCTCCCCCCCCCCCCCCCTTGTCGGCAAGATCCCGTTCCATCCGCCGTCCAGCGCTGAGGTGTCGTAGATTGCCGTGCAAACCACGGACCAGTGCACGGCCCTGCAGTGGCTCACCCCGACCCAAACGTCCAACAAGAAACATCCGTATATGTGTAGGTGCTGCCATGATCCCGTGCTCCAAGGCCTCTCCTAATCAGAGCTTCCCCAGTCTCTCAATGCCAGGCCATCCATGCGCGGTCCATCTTCCCCTGCCAGGATACCCCCGACGTCAAGAGCACGTTTGACTTCAACATCACGTCTCCGCTCCCGGTCATGACTAGTGGCCTGCCCATCCGGCAGTCGTCCCTGACCTCCCAGTCGGGAAATCAGCTGTACCGATTCCACCAGTCGGTTCCGATTCCCAGCTATCTATTTGCCATTGCGTCTGGGTAAGTGACGGATCCCCGTGGGACCCCAATCGGACAGGTCAAGACTAACTGTGCGCTCGAAGTGATGTCGCCGAGGCCCCCATTGGTCCGCGCAGTGTCGTGGCCACTAGCCCGGACAAGCTGGACGAGTGCAAGTGGGAGCTAGAGGCCGATACAGAGAACTTCATCAACACCATCGAGGTACATCGATCTGTTATTGCGAGGCCCGTTCGACACCGTTATTGACTGAATGTAGAAAATTGTGTATCCTTACGTCTGGGGCGAGTATAACGTTCTGATTCTGCCGCCCAGTTTCCCCTATGGTGGTATGGAGAACCCGATCTTCACCTTCGCGACTCCCAGTATTATCTCCAAGGTACGCCCCGAGCATGATAGATGAGCGATTGCACTCCTTGGATCTTCACACACTCATGCCTCAGGACAGGACCGTGAGAATGTTGATGTCATTGCCCACGAGCTGGCGCACAGCTGGAGTGGCAACTTAGTGACGAACTGCTCGTGGGAGCATTTCTGGCTGAACGAGGGTTGGACGGTCTACTTGGAGCGTCGGGTATGTATCAGCGCTAGCGTCCCTGGGCTTGTCAGATCGACTAACAGATGCATAGATTTTGGCTGCTGTGTACGTACTGGGGATGGATCTGCTCACGTGGGTGGTACTGACTTCTGCAGGCATGGCGAGGCCTACCGCCACTTTTCGGCCATCATCGGCTGGAAGGCTCTCAAAGACTCGGTGGAGCATTTCGGCGCCGACCACGAGTTCACCAAGCTGATCACGGACCTGAAGGGCAAGGACCCGGACGATGCTTTCTCGAGCGTCCCCTACGAGAAGGGCTTCAACTTCCTGTTCCATCTGGAGAACTTGGTGGGCAAGCCGAAGTTTGACAAATTCATTCCTCACGTACGTCTCCACCACTAACCATGCCTCCAACGGGGGAGCCTGGATTAAACTTTCACTCTAGTACTTCACCACCTTCAAGTGCAAATCCCTGGACTCGTACGAATTCAAGGCAACCATCCTGGACTTCTTCCAGTCCGACGCCGAGGCCTCCAAGCTCTTGAATGAGCTGGACTGGGACAAATGGTTCTACGCACCCGGACTACCCCCCAAGCCGGACTTCGACACCTCCATGGTGGACGTGGTGTACGCGCTCGCCAAGAAATGGGAGTCTCTCCCCGACTCCTCCTTCAAGCCGCAGGCCAGCGATCTAGAGGGCCTGGCAGCGAACCAGATCCTGGTCTTCTTGGAGCAGATTCTGTTGTGGGAGAAACCACTCAGCCCGGAGTTGTCCAAGCTGATGGGCGAGGTATACGGGCTGTCCCAGAGCGCGAACATCGAGGTGGCCAACCTGTACCTGCAAGTCGGTATGAAGGCCGGTGACGAGAGCGTCATCGAGCCCACCACCGAGCTGCTGGGCCGCATCGGACGCATGAAATTCGTGCGACCTTTGTTCCGCAACCTGCAGAAGATTAACCGCCCCGTTGCCCTGGAGACCTTTGAGAAGTACAAGGACTTCTACCACCCAATTTGCCGGGCGATGGTTGAGAAAGACCTGTTTGGTAAGAAGTGAATTTCGGTCCCACCAAAAGCAAGGAAGCGCGCAGAAAAATAAAAGAGCGAAAACTAAATCAATAAATTGTCTCCGATCAATTAAAGACCCAGGAAGGCGACTTCGCCGGATCAAATACTGTACATGACGGATTAGCCTCGTAATAAACGGGCGCCCTCACGGGGTCCCATGGCGATAATAACACACGATGAAAGAAAAACTTTCAAGAAACCCAGCGCCAACAGCAAATCTATAGACCCATCCACAAAACAACCCCACTCACTTCGATCCATCCACCAGCTTCCCATCAAGCGGCGAGAACCCAAAGATCTTCGAGTCCTTCGCCGCAGCACCACTCAACTCAAAAACAATATCCGCCTCATCCATCCTCGCCAACTGGGCCGTCACGCGACGCATATAAGCCACGACCCAAGCAACCTTGCTCCAGTCAATCTCGCCCCCATCGGGGCCCGTAGCACTCGCCTTCCACAAATTCCTCCAGACAGCCGCGCCCAGCACGGCATCGCCCTTAATTAGGCCCTCGTCGTAGGCGGCAATGATCCCCCGCCATTGGATGAAGAGGTCCTTCAAGTACTTGTTGCGGATGCCGCGGCTGCCGAGGTCATGCAGGACGTCCATGCGGTGCTCCGCATTGTGCGAGAAGTGGTCGATCAGGTGGCGGGAGTAGGTCTGGAAGGATTCGCGGTTGGGGAGGGCGCGCAGGCGCACGGTGAGGAGGTACATGTGCAGGAAGGTGATTTGGGACCAGGTGGAGAATGTTGGGACGAGGCCGAGTTCTGTAGAGTGGTTGAGAGGGTTAGTGATCGCTATCGCACTGATACCGGGTCCGGTATTCCAATATCCCGCCATATTCCATGTGAAGTATCGAATAATCGGATATTGTAACGGGCTAGAACAGGTCCCTCCAGAAGAGAAAAGAAAGGGAGGCATCCGCAGAGCTCACGCACCTTTATACCACCAGCTCTCGGAAACACCCAAATGCTCGCCGGACTCGGTCGTTGGCACGGGCACGCCCTTCTGCGAAGCCTGGGGAACCTTATAATCCGCCTGGCTTGAGCACGCCTCGAAGAGCTTCTGGGTCATGCCATAAGCGATATAAGTTTCGGCTGAAGCTCCAGGAGCAGTCGCGCTCCTTGCCAGGCGAGAGACCGCGGACTCCGTAGAATACAAGCGCGAGGCACGTAGAGAAGATGCGGACGCCACAAGCGGAGCCTTCGCGGCCCCATTGCACCTAGGGCTGGATGGGGAGGCAGACTTGGAGGTCGTGGAGGAGAGAGATGCGCGTGGGTTGATGTGGCGCTGGCCATGGGTCAGGTCTGCATTGCTCGGTGGAGGGATGGGATGGATTGGGATGGATGAGATACCTGGAGGCATTTGGTCTGAGAGCTGCGGAGCTCCCGCGCCCATAAAGTTGACAATCGAGCTGTGGACATAATGGAGGTGTCTTGGATTAAATTATTGTTTGATCTCGCCGATTGGGGGATCTTTTTTGGATATCGAGGCTGTGTTTGCATTGTTTGCCTTGGGTTGTGGCCGATCATCGACGGCAGATTTGTGAGCAAAGCATGCAATGCGTACAGTCGATCAGTTATAGGATAGTTGATTTCCATTTATACCAAACACAGTTGATGCAAAACCTACTTGTATGTGAAAAGATTTCACAAGATCATACTTTCGATTTGCATCCTCTTGAGAGATGGGCGTGATGGTTGCGGGTCGAATTATCGAAGATATTGTTTACCTTGCTTTGGTCAAGCTATCTCGGAATTTTCACGCATCGCCGAAGGGCCGTTGTCGCTCATTGCTCGCGAATTAGGCTTCGTCACAAACTGATGAATCGTCTGATTATTGTGAAAGTAGATGATGGTGTAAATTGCATCGACGATCGATCTACGGCGTGTCCTGACTCTATGCATGTAGGGTTCACCCCGACGACCTTGATGTTGTCCAAGAGATCAGATGAGAGACAGCCTGATGTGATATCGCGAGCATGGAAATGAATTGACCCAGTATAGCCGATCTGTAGCGACCACCTAATCCTAGGATGGGTTGGATGCACCGGTAAATTGTAGCGATGCCAGTATTGGCGTCTCGGACCATAAGTGGAGTCAAATACGGTCCATCCACACCTCCTAATTCCCCAAAATTGCAAAAAATTTATTATGCCACTGACGAAAATCTGCAACCAATGGCCGAGTGGTATTCCATCCTATGTTCGCGGCCACAAGAAACCTGTGGATGAGTTGGAACCCACTACGCGCGTCTGGAGGCACTTTGTCCGGGAAGAGTGGACTCCAGCGGCGATGGGGATCAGCAGAGATGGACCCTCATCGAGATGGGCAACTACGGATCAGAAGCTGCGTGATGTGGGGTTCCAACACTCTCTTTCTGGAAGAATGTAGGTCTCTAAAGAGCTGTAAATATGTAAAGGTTCTTACGATAGGGACATAGCTATCAATCCCGCGCGCCGGAACGATTTGCTGTTCGATCTAGCAAATGTAAGAGATATGTCAAGCCGACCTCTATACTCAGATCCCGGCCATCTTATTAGATAGAATTCTGACCTGAAGCTAGGAGGAACCCTGTCCTTCGTGCCCTCTCTGAGTCGGCATCTCCACATAGACCCCCAAGATCCAAGCACTACTGGCGAACTATCTTATCTCATTATTCTCATGGGATGGATCAATCGATGTTGTTACACATATATGCCAGGAAATTGTGACGTTGATGCCCATTAACGACAACTTGTCTACTTCCAACCTATTAGAATTCCGCGAAAGCGTTGCCCGACCTAACTTTCTCGATATGTACATGGCCCAAGATGGAACGCTGTTATCCTCTGACTCTTTCCCGAAATTGATCATTGACGACCGGACCCTCGAGTCGGGCTTACTTCTCTGAGTCCAATTCGGAAATACCGGGGTTCGGGGCGCCATTGAAGGCTATAGAGATGTGATACGAGCACACAACGGCCATTCAGAGAGTTGTTGTGCTGGTCGAAATAAATGGATTTTAGCAAAATTCCCAAGCGAATAATTCTGCTTTGAACTTTGGAGAATGAATAACGGTCGAAATATAGATAGGGCACATTGAGAGACCACCAGATAAGGTGCATCGGGTGTTTACATATCTTCATATTACCATGTCTCGCACTGTCGGGGATTCCGCTGCTTCGAATGACCTAAAGTTCTAATTACAAAAAATCATCTAAGACATGTAAGGTTGGTCCCAGTTTGCTCATGGTACTTAGTCCCGCGCGGTTGGTTCACAGCTGGGCGCACTCCATCTGCCGGGAGGCCTTGGCCCATAGTCCATATCTTGGCCATAATTTTGATTTCGTATTCTTTTTTAAAAATTTCATGTGGCAATCATATTTCATAAAGGGGTTGAGATCGAAGTCCTGTTCAACCGTAAAGGTCTGGGTCTCAACCTTCGAGAACCACTCGTTCGGCGCGCTTTTCTACGACAGGCAAAATTTCAGATAGTCGGTTTGGATCCCTCATCAAAGCCGGGATATCATCCCGAGTGTTTGCTAGGACCTGAAATCCGTCAGCGTGAACGGCCTTGAAGTAACTGGTGGTAAAGTTGTCTTACCTGTCTGACCTTCTCGTATTCACACTCCTTAGCCTGGTATTCCCGAATCACCTCACGACTCTCAAAATCCACATAGACACGGGTATCACGAAGACGGATCAGAACATTGTCAAGACGCATGAAGAACCTTGACAGGAGAAGGAGTCTTCCTGGCATCACGCGGATCTTGCAAGATAGCATGGCAATGCCATTGTCGGCCAGCTCGTCTTCATAAAGCACAACTTCGTCGAAGAACAGGATCGGGTCCGGGCGTTTCAACAATTCGATGGGAATCGGCTTCTCGGTCTCTTCAAAAGGCCGTGCATTGGGGCTGAGGGTGCCCTTGTAGTCGGTGCTGTAGGACCAGTCGAACGGCTTCACAACCTCCTTAATCCCCTCGTGCGTTTTCTCCCTTGTAAGAATATATTGTCAGATCCAAAGCCAATCGATGGTAATAAATTATCCAAAACCCCTCTTACCTGCTTTGCTGCCACTCCTTTGAATATGCGACCTGGAGCATAGACTGCCCGGTCTTGTCCACCAAGTTCAGTGCGTCGAACGCGTTAAAGCCGATCCCCCACCCCGTTTTCTCGTGTTCAATGGTAACATGATTGTCCCCGAAAATCATCTCGGGCGGCGCAATGCCCAGCTGCTTGGTCATCTCCTCGATCGGTTCGGCTTTGAGAATGGGCAGCTTCAGCGTAGCGATGCGGAAGCCCCCGAGGGAGATCCCATGAGGCTTCTTGGTCTCCGGATAGACTGACGCATGGCCCGTAGGCATGCCAGCGGGTTTGGAAGCCATGAGGACGTCAGAATTGGACCATGTCGTCATGGAGAAAGCGTTATCTGGCGAGCGATCTCGTGCTGATAGCGATCGCCCCGCGGTGCACGGAGAAAGAGGCGGGCCGAGACGTTGCTAGGGCGACGCGATGGGGATTGGCATCCAAACACCCGTTCCTCTCCTCTCTCCATCTCCATTCGACCATTCGACCAACTCGACAACTACGCCAACCGATGATGATGGTGCGAGCTTGAAGTAAATCAGCTCGTCTTAATTTCTACCGACCACTTCTCCCACACAACACCACCTTTCTTGCCTCGTTTTCTGTTTATTCTACTCACACCCGAGTCAAGCAATGGCGACCAAGACGCTGGAAGCTCGTTTCGAGCACCTGTCCGTCAAGGACGAAAAAGATGCTGGAACTGACAGGGCCTACGGGAAGCACAAGGTACTAATAAGCATCAAAAATGGAACCGGACAACAACATGCTGACTCGATCCCTGCTTAAGGGTTCCCTTTCAACGGCCGTCTCTTTATCTGGTCTTGGTGGCTCCGCTCCGATTAACAACTCCAACCGGGCGCATCTACTGAAACTGGCTCTTCAAAACACTAATGACAACAAAGTCAACTCGATGAATGTTCCCCCGTCGCCTGGCAAAGGGTCGCAGGGTACAATTGTGTCTCGCAACACCGACGAGAACGGTGATCAGCGCAGCGCCTCTCCACTCTATGACCAGCCCAAGTCACTGCACCTGGGTATGTTCGAGATTGGAAAGCCCCTTGGCAAGGGTAAGTTCGGTCGCGTCTACCTTGCCAAGGAGCGGTCCTCGGGCTTCGTCTGCGCTCTCAAGGTGCTGCACAAGTCGGAACTGCAGCAGGGTGGTGTTCAAAAGCAGGTTCGCCGTGAGATCGAGATTCAGAGCAACCTCCGTCACCCCAATGTCCTCAGACTTTACGGTCACTTCCACGATAGCAAACGCATCTTCTTGATCCTTGAGTTTGCGGGCCGTGGAGAGCTCTACAAGCACCTCCGCAAGGAGCACCGCTTCCCCGAATGGAAGGCTGCGCAGTATATCGCCCAGATGGCGGCTGCGCTGAAGTACCTGCACAAGAAGCATGTGATGCACCGTGACATCAAGCCCGAGAATATCCTCGTTGGCATTCATGGCGAGATCAAGATCAGCGACTTTGGCTGGAGTGTACACGCCCCCAACAACCGGCGCCAGACGATGTGTGGAACTCTCGACTATCTGCCCCCAGAGATGTTGAAGCCCGGCTCGCAGGACAACTACTACAGCGAGAAGGTCGATTTGTGGAGTCTTGGTGTTTTGACATATGAGTTCTTGGTCGGAGAGGCGCCTTTCGAGGATACACCGGTGATGACCCAGCGACGAATTGCCCGGGCAGATATGGCTGTGCCATCATTTGTCAGCCCAGAGGCAAAGGATTTGATCAAGAGGGTGAGATGCCCCTATTACCACCACTTACGATCAATTGCTAACTTGTTACAGCTGCTCGTTCTTGATCCAGAGAAGCGCATTCCCCTCGATGACATTCAGCGCCATCCTTGGATTGTCAAGCATTGTGTGAAAGAGGCAAAGCGCAGCTCCGGTTCTTCCAAGGACGGAAAAGCATGATGGCTTATGCATGACAGGCTGGTGTTCCGGTGTCTTTTTTCACTTCCGCCTTTGTCCCACGACATGGTATTTCAGGCATTATTCCGTATGCATTTTCGGAGTTTTCGTTTTTCTTTCGCGGAGTATAGCAGGGCAGGCATTTGCAATATGGGGACATGTGGGCTTTAAATCTTCGTTTTCATCCAGTGCCAATGCAATATGGTACATTCAAATCAATTCTATGGTACAAAACAATTGGTGTAGAGCGCGAGGGGAGTCATAGGGAGGGAGATAAAAACAGAGTGGAGATTTGGTATGGTATCATCGGTAGATTTCATCAAAGGGCCTAGTGTCTCGGAAACAGCTGTCCCACACTTCATTCACCACCTGCTGTGCGTGAGCCTCGTCTCGGCAGGTCGGACGTGCCCTCACAGACAGAACTGCCCTCCTCCGCACACATTCCTGGTGCTGCTGGGTAAGCTTCCATTGGCCTCGCCGGAAGAATTCGCGCGACCATCTACATTCGCCGCTCAGGGAGCTGGCCCGAATCTAGAAGAAGACAGGAGTCAACAAAGAATCATCCCAATATGAAGAAAATCGCCCAATTGAATGGCCATACCTCTGTGCAAGCAGCGTGTCGCAGGTTATCAGTCCAGTTGACCTTGAATCGCAAGTGGTCGTAGGCATGAACCATCTCATGAGCCATGGTGTCCTCCAAATGACCTTGATCCTTCATCTCATTGGCACACAGCAGGATTCCAAACTCGGGATCGAACCCGCCTGCTTTCCGGTTCGTGCACCGACGGCAGTAGATGTTGTGGCTGTGGAGATCGCCTCCAAGTTGCCGGATGTTATCGCTGAGGAATCGGATGACGGGGCCTGTATGGACAGAATCTTAGCTCTCTCTTTCAATCAAGTTGATGCCAACTGATATACTCACTGTACTGAAGCAGGTAATCGCGCTGGTCTTCACAACGCTTGCAATCAGCAGATTCATTGCGGATATCTCGCGCAACGCGGAACTGCTCAATGCCCTCGGAGGACATCTTGCCCGTCAAGATGCGATAGATATTGCGAAACTGGGTGAACGTGTCATCGCCAGCAACATAACCCGTTTCGGGCTTCTCATTTGAAGGTGCAGCCGCACCTGGCGTCTGAGAATCCGACATCTTGGGCTCGCAGATTCCTGGAAGCGCGCCGGGGAGACGAAGAAACTCCGCGGGCGGAGGATTCCGGCAGAAATGCCGGAGGATGTTCTGATGAAAGCGGCTGGACGAATCTTTCCCGGAAAACAAACTGCGGGGTACAGTGATCTTCTGTTCTTTTATTTCGAATTCCAGTGCGCCGGGGGAGGGCTTCTATCTTTTCTATCTTTTGGCTAAATTTTCTTTCTCAACCATGGCGGCCTCGGGCCTGACGATTGTGATCAAACTGGGTGCGGGGATATATACCTGCGGATGACTCGAGATCTGACTCAACTAACAGATTCCATGCCTTCACAGGGACGAGTTCAATTGTCGACGAGAAAACACACGAGCCGATCCTCTCAATCCTGACATTGATTGTCGAGACGGTAGCGAAATTGCGGAAAGAAGGCCATCGGGTGGTGCTGGTCTCATCAGGCGCCGTTGGCGTTGGCTTGCGAAGGATGAATGTGGACGATCGACCGACCTACCTACCCCGAATACAGGTACGATCTTGTTTCTCTGACAGGGCACTGGCTCTTGATGGAATATTATGACCAACTCGGGCGTCAATGCTGACTATGGAGTTATACAGGCACTTGCTGCCGTTGGCCAGTGTCGGCTAATGAGTCTTTGGGACAATCTGTTCTCACATCTTCGAGTTCCAGTGGCTCAGATACTTTTGACGAGAAATGACATTGCAGATGTAAGATGTGACTCTACCCATTCATCCACGACCTGCATATCTCTAATACCGACACAGAGAAGCCAATACATCAATGCCCAAAACACCTTTGAGCAATTGTTTGACATGGGCGTGATTCCGATTGTGAACGAAAACGATACCCTTGCTGTTTCTGTATGAGCTTTCCTTGCCCTTCGCTGGCTGCCAATGTCGTAAAATCTCATGCGATATTTCTAGGAAATCAAATTTGGCGACAACGATACCCTTTCAGCGATTGCTGCGGCTACCGTCAAGGCCGACTATCTATTCTTGATGACCGATGTCGACTGCCTCTATACGGCCAATCCGCGGACCAATCCAGATGCCGAGCCCATTGAGGTCGTGTCTGACATTTCAATGTTGGAGGCTGATGTCTCTTCAGCCGGCTCAGCCCTTGGAACCGGCGGCATGAGCACAAAGATCGTGGCCGCGAAGCTCGGGACGAGTGCCGGCGTGACGACCATCATCACCAAGAGCTCCAAGCCTGGAAACGTTCACGATATCGTGAAGTATCTTCAACGGCTCCAGGAAGCCCCCGAATCAAACGGCAACCAGACACTGGATATCCCGCGTCCCCCCCTTCACACCCGATTCCTCCCCTCGGATACCCCGATTCAATCCGTAACGTTCTGGCTACTCCACGGGCTTACCCCCCACGGCACTCTATATATTGACTACGGCGCGTACGACGCGCTCGTCAACCACCAGGCCAGCCTCCTCCCCGCCGGAGTAGTTGGAGTTGAAGGACATTTCGCGCAACAAGAAGCCGTTCGGCTAGTAGTTGTGGAGAAGCACCCCGAAGCCCTAAATGGAGACTTCATCCACCACGGGCAGGAACCCCGAGAAGTGGGGCGTGCGCTTGTGAACTACAGCGCCACGGAGATCGCGCTCATCAAGGGACACCGGAGCACACAGATCGGGTCCATACTCGGCTGGTCAGACAGCGAATATGTCGCATTGCGAGAGAACATCTCCTTCCACCCCGAAGAAAGCCACCCAGCGACCCCGTCCCTTACCCCCGCGCTGGAGGAATGGAAATCGCCCCAGTCACCGCCACGTTCATAACGCAGCATGAATAACATGAAAATGACACGAGGGGGGCCGTGGGAGAAATGGAGTTTATGTTCTAAATACGAAGAGATGACTATTGGGTGGATTGATAGTGACACTAAACCTGGTAGGTCAGGTTTCACGATAGAGGATGATGCAAAGAGCACGAAAAGTTTCATCACATTGTGATATGGCGGAGAAGAACTGGTTTGGACACCCAAAGAATATCAGTCTAAGAATGCCGCGCGCAGGACTCAACACTTGCGCTCAACCGTCGAGTCCTCAACCGAACCCCGAAGAACTAGATGGGTACTTGGTATATTAAATTAAGCTGTTTTCAATCCGTCCAACGCTCCAACCATTGCTGCATTCTCTTGTTCAGCGTAGGAGCGGCCGCGGGAGCAGCCTTACAATGTTAGCAGGGGTTTATCAGAAGCTGGAGTCACGCAATACATACCGTGTTCTCAATGCTCTGCGTAGTCCAGGTCAGGTACGCCGTGTCGGTGTACTGGACAGTCGGGGCCGGAAGATAGGTGGTGGCAATGGTGAAAGGGAAGGGCGGGTATTGAGGGGTGGGTGATTTGTTGGCAATGGTAGTGCCCGCTCGTTTCGGCACGGGGGCATACTTGGTCGGGCCAGTCTGCTCTCCATAGGGGATGGTGTGTGGGTCTACAGCCCAACGCTTTCGTAGCTCATTGCGGTCCAGCTCGGTTGGAATAGTCGGTGTCGGGAACTGCAGGAATGGCTCGGTCGTGTCTTCCCCGATTCCGCCGTTGAGTGCTGAGCCTTTGAAGCTTGGAGGTTGTTCAGCTGTGTCGAGCAGGTTGACGTCCCCTATAGGGATCAAGGGTAGGGGGACAGGCTGCATTGATTTGACCGCATTAAGCACGTTGATGGAGAAAGTGCCTTCCATATTGGTCAGAGTGAAGTGCGAGGTGAATCCGGACCATTGCTCCTTGGGGTCTGACGGAACCACCTTGAGGAAGCTAATTAAGATAGAGTAAGTATAGGACGATTTCTTTGGTGTTTGGCATCTCATTACTATGCATCAGGATCATTCCCACCCACGCTTGGGTCGATTCGGAAGGACACTAAGTCTCCAGGTCTGAAGGTTCCATCTGTGATCACTCGCGCCAAAGACTCCTGTCAAGAATCATATAGTCAGCCTGACAAGCTTCCGGCAAATGATATAAGTGGAAGATATGTGGCATAGTCTGCACTCACATATAAGCCCGTTGACTCGTCACCGGCACACAGGTAGAAGTCATAGGACCTTGTCTGGCCATCGAACGCCCAAACCAGACTCACTTCATCGCGGCTATCAAAAGTCAGACCGCTGATGAATTGGGCCGAGGCCGCCGCAAATAAGGAATAGAGAACGGGCCACAATCGGTCGAATCTCATGCTGAGTCTGTTCGGGAAACTGAAGAGACAGAAAGAACAGGCAGACAGAGCTGAAAGCTGGCCCAAGGGGGAGAGGACGTAAACCATCCCTTGGGCCGTGGTATGTTGGAAGTGAAGCCCTCACCACATTCCACAGTCCAGACGGGCGAATGATGTGCAGCGCTAAGATAAGAGCGGCCCGTGCTATCGGCGGGACCACTTTTCCTTCCACCGGCCGGCCGCTTTCTCCCTTCCACATCAGCCCACCATGTCAAGCCAGGCCAGTTGGAACTCCGTGACGGGCATCGCGACCCTGTTGCTGGATGGCAATCTAGTTGCCATTGCGATCGCTATCATCATCGCCTTCGGTGTCCCGGTGTTTCTGCATGTTGTCTTCTACCGCACCGCAGCATCGCCGCCGTCGAGCAACTTTCTCCTATTGGGACCTAGTGGAGCTGGCAAGACTGCTTTCACAACCTTGGTAAGCCTATTCTTCCCGCTTTTCAGATAGCTCCTCGTATTGACCGTACCCTGTAGCTCGAGGCCAAATCTTCGCCGGCCTCCAAGAAGGCGCATAGCACCCACACTTCGCAGACCTCAACTCTCATCTCCGTCAGCCTGCCCCCGACCGTCCCTACCGCATCCAACCGCTACCGATCCGTCAATGATCCTTCTTTGAAGGATGCCTCGAAGAACCCGATCAGGTACCACCTGCGGGATACCCCCGGCCATGGCAAATTGCGTGTCTCGCAAGGGATCTCCGAGCTGCAGGCCATGTCTACATCCAACGATGCTAAGACCAAGCTGCGCGGTGTAATCTTCATGGTTGACACCGCCGCCCTGGTGGACGAAGAGACCCTCCGGGATACCGCGACCTACCTGCACGACGTCCTCTTGATTCTCCAGAAACGGGCCTTGGGCAAGGGGAAGTCGTCTACGAAACGGGTCGCCGAGATCTCCGTTCTTGTGGCCGCGAACAAGCAGGACCTGTTCACGGCTCTTCCTCCAGGCTCGGTGCGGGAGAAGCTGGAGACGGAGATTGACCGCATCCGCAAGTCCAAGACCAAGGGTCTGATGGACGCCAGCATGGACAGCGCGGGGCCGGATGCTGAGGAAGATGAGATCCTGGGCGACGATGACGGCCAGGGTGTTTTTACCTTCAAGCTTCTGCAAGAAGTTGGCGTCAAGGTCGAGGTGGTTGGCGGCGCTGTGAAGGGTGACCAGCAGGAGGAGTTTGGCTCTGGCGTGCGCCGCTGGGAAGAGTGGGTTGGCATGTGCCTGTGAGGTACGAAGCCCTTTTTGCTTGACGTGAAAACTTCGCTGGCTATGACATAGCATGAAAACCTCTGTTGCTCTTGTTGAAACATTTGTGGATTTAGCATTATTTCTGGATTGCACATATATTGCCTGTACCTATAGTGTCGACAGATGTCTCTAATTGCGGCGGGCATCGCAAGATCGAGCCTTCAAATGACCAAATTCTCTACTCACAACCCGGGTCTCAGAGAGTCGCTGTCATTATCATATGCTCTGATTTCGGGGCCTCCATTATGCCAATAATAGATTTGCATGGCCAATATAGTTCATTTTACATCTCTAGTACTCGTACTTATTGCATCTGTATGATGCTGAGACAATTCGGAGAATTCGGAGGATTGCCTTTGCCAACTCCCAATAGGAAGTATTCCCGTGTGCGGGGAGCTTCATCCTCCATCTCACTGTCACTGACAGGGCTCGTCCTCCGTCTACTAGGCACTCTTCTACTGTGGTCCCCAACCCGTTTCGTTACCTCACTAGTCTCGCCCAAGCTTCCCACGCTTCTCTTCCCCTGCTGACAGTGCTATGTCGAGACTCCAATCGAAAATTTACATTTTAATGGACTCTTTCCCGGTGATAGGGTCCACAAGATCACCCTGGTAGAGTGTCAATTCCAGAACGGTTTGATGGTCCTTCTCCGCACCCACATATCCATTGCTAGTTTCACCGGCGTGATCCCAGTAGAATTGTCGCGGTAGAGCAGATCTGGACGACGCGCAATCATCAGCTCAAACTGCTCGAGGAGCTGTCGCTGAACTGCAAGGTGGACTGGAGTGTTCCCAGTGCCATGTAGGCGGGCCAGACCGGTCTTCCTCGCAAAACTTTTCTCCCGACAGTAGTCTGGCTCTTGTTAGCTTGGCCACACGACGGAGCCAATGGACACCTACAGGGTCGATTTGAGACCTATCCAGATCCGACCAGAAGATTGAAAACCCGCGATGCGACTATTTCGAAAGCCGAGTCTCCTAGGAAGGAGAGCGTCTTCTCCGATCGAACAGTATTGGTCTGCATGATATAAGCGGCCAGAGCGCGGCGAGGCAGAGACTTGCTTCAGAATTCGAAAGAAAAGAGCACAACAGCATCCTGCGTATGATGGTACGTCGTTATATATCATACCTCTCGACCGATCTAATCATCTCCTTCCTCATCACTTCTCACTCTGCCAATCGGCCCCCAGCGTCTCCGCAACCTGCGCATCAATCCAGTCCTAGAGCCATCACATTAGCATCAGCATCAGCACCAGCATCGAAAACATCCATATCTCCCATAAACCTGCACAAGAACCGAACGAAGAACATACCCATAACTCTCTCCCAAGAGCCACATCCCCCCCCAACAAACTTGGCTCACACACCTTCGCAACGGGCACGAAGTACCGCCCCCTCATACCTCCCTCGCTAACCTCGCCACTCGTAGCGAGATACACCGCCGTCGCCGCGCCCTCTTCCACACTCTGCCCAAAGACTCGAGCCAGCCAACGAACCAACCCGCCAATCCAGGGCCCCAAATACATCCCCCATACCTCCCACTGCGCCGTCACAATGTTCCCAGGGAAATAGGAATTTACAAAGACCCGGTTGGCCGGGTTGCCATCCTCATCCTCAAGAAGGCGCCGACTCAGCTCCTTCGCGAACAAAATGTTGCCCAGCTTGGAGCGGGCGTAGCGCCAGACGCCGTCGTGCAGCGCGGGCCATTTATGGGGTGGGGAGGACAACCGCTCTGGATCGAGCGTGCGACAGAGAAGGTGTAGGCTGGAGCTGGTGACGACGACGCGGGCGCCCCGGGGGGTTGTTGTGGCGGCTTTTTTGAGGTGAGGGAGGAGGAGGGTGGTTAGGGCTTGGTGGGATATGCAGTTGGTGGCGAAGACGGGGTCGATGGTATGGGGTTGCGACGCGGTGGTGGGAATGCCGAGGCCTGACCTCAATATCAATATCAATATCAATATCCATATCCATACACCATCCCGTCATACAATCGTCGAATCACAGGGCCGGAGTACATACCGGCATTGCAGATCAGAATATGGATGTACTCTGTCTTCTGCTTGATCTGCTGCGCCGCAGCCCAAACCGCCTTGATATCACCCAGATCGCACTTCACAAAGTCAACTCGAGTATCACCCTCGCCGAGAGAGATCCCTTGCCGACATCTCCATTCTTCGCGGGCAGTTGTGAATTTATCTTCGCTTCTGGCGACGACAATTACCTTGTCAATCCCGTGGAGGAGGAACTGTGCGGTGATTTCTGTTTTCCGTCCATAGCCATGGTTAGCGAGGCAGTCCCCATTGTGGAGGTGATTGGAACAGCTGGGAAAAGGTAGAGCTGTAGAGCTTGCCTTTTCCAATACCGGATTGGCCCCCCTAAAAAGTGAGGTGATAGTTTAGTAGGTCGTGGCAGATATCCTTGAAGTAATGCATTAAGCAGGTCGAGGCATACCGTGATCACCGCGACTTGCCCGTCCAGCGACGGTGTGTCCTGCAGTGAGAAATTGCGATACGTGAAAATGCCGGTCATGGTGTGGTACTCTGAATACTGAATATCGGGGGGTGGGTAAAGTTATTCAAACTGAGGTGAGAGGATCGAGCGTGATCACAAAGAGCAGATAGAGAGAGACGTCATTCGCGCGTGAAGTGCGGAGGCAACAGACACTCGAATCCTCCAACCCCCTCCAACTCGACATCGACGGTGTACACTACAAGCAAACACAACAGCACAGTCGAAATCTCGCCCACGTGTTTAGAGTCGACGAGAATCTATATCTATATTATGTAGCGATGTACGCGCTTTTCCACGCACGCTCTATCCAAATTCCTTTTCCCAAATGTTGAGTGTTGAGTGGAAGTGTTGAAACCGACCGGGGGCCACTCAGCCCTACGAAACGCCCGTCCCAAACAGAAGACAGCAAAACAGAAAAGAAAAAGGCCAGAAAACAAATCCAAGAGTCCAGGGATGTTGAAACTCCATCCAAGAGGCGCACGGCATGTTTCCCCCCCGGCATGCCGGTGCATTAGGCAAACGCAGTAGTCATCAAATCATCTAAGCCTCAGCACCATTCACCTTGCCATGATGTAGCATCCAGGTGAGCAGATCGACCTTCGTGGCGATAGCAAGCGGCTTCAGGGCGCCGCTCTCGTCCTTCTCAGTAACCACGGCCGCACTGTTCCATTCGAAGAAGCGGTTCAGCACGCTGAGAGGCGTGTCCATGGTGATCTCCATGAACTGGCGGCGGGCACCGGCGCTGGGGGACCGGCCCAGGGCACGCGCGTCGGTGACGACCTCGTTGATCTTCGAGAAATCGAACATGACCTCGGAGACAGGGGTCTTGCCCGTGGCCCGGCCGTGAGTCAGGCGGCTGAGGACGTTGCCCAGGGTAATCAAGCCGACGAGTTTCCGACCGGACGGGGCGAGGACGGGCAGCTGGTCGAAGCCCCTGTCACGCATAATCTCGATGGCGGCTTCGCAGGCGAAGGTGGAGGTCACGGTGGTGATGGGCTTCAGGCGGAGCGCGCTGACCTTGGCGCCAGCCAGGGGATCTGCTGTAACGGGGGCGGCTGGATCTGCGCAGGCTCGGCGGGGAGTGTGGCGAGGAGGTCGTTGGCAGCGAGCCAGTCATCATCGGCGAACTGCCCCCAAATCAGTATGTAGCACAGGACGATCTCAGCACTTTAGGATCTTCTTACCTTGGACAGGTAGCTCCGAATGCTATCCGGGAGAACGACCACGACGACGTCGTCCTGGGCGAATTTGCGCTCCTCGTTCGCCTGCACCAGTGCAGCAATGGCACTGCCACTGCTGCCGCCCACAAGCAGACCTTCTTCGGCGATCAAACGACGAGAGTACTGGAAAGACTCCTTATCGGCCGTCTTGTACCAGCGATCGACAATCTTTTGGTCCAGCACGTCCGGAATGAAGTCATACCCAATACCCTCGACCTTATAAGGCTCATTGGCATGGGCGTCGTTGAGGGACGCCGGCAGGGCCAGAATAGAGCCCTGCGGGTCCGCCGCGATGACGTCCACGCTGGGGTTGTGCTTCTTGAGGCCGCGGGCGATACCCGTGATGGTACCACCAGTACCGGCGCCGGCCACAACGGCGCTGACCTTGCCCTCGGTCTGGGCCCAGATCTCCTCGGCGGTGCCAAACTCGTGGGCGTTGGGGTTGTTCACGTTGCCATACTGGTCCAGGATGTGGGCGTTGGGCAATTCCTTCTGCAGGCGCCGGGCGACACCGATGTGGGACTCTGGAGAGTCATAGGCGGCCTCGTTGGGGGTGCGGATGATGGTTGCGTTCAGAGCGCGGAGAACGGCAACCTTCTCCGCCGACATTTTCTCGGGGAGGGTGATGATGGTCTTGTAGCCTGTGTCGCGGAACGAGCCCGAACGGATTAGCACGACTGCAAAAGCGGACTCCATTTGGTCGCACTGCACTGGAACGAAGTGAACTCACCCTTGACAGCACCCACCAGCGCCAGACCAATACCACTGGGGACGAGCGTTAGCAAGGGGATCTCCAACTCCCACGATGCCACACAGGGCGAGAAACGAACGTGTTGCCGCTGGTCGGCTCAATCAAGGTATCGCCAGGCTTGATACGACCCTCGCGCTCGGCCTCCTCGATCATGCGCAGGGCAATGCGATCCTTGACACTGCCACCGGCATTGAAGTACTCCAGCTTCGCGTAGACGGTGGCATCGATTCCCAAGCTGCGGGGCAGGCGGTTCAGGCGGACCAAAGGGGTGTTGCCGATGTGCTGGGTAATGGTGTCCAGCGCCACCGGCGGGATAGCAGGTTTGGTGGTGGAAGCCATGGATGCGAGAAGGGCACCCAATTGTCAAGATTTGGAGGAGTGTGAGGTGAAGATGAGTTTCTTGCGGCAAAATTTCGCCATCGCCTGATCGGATTTTCAAGGCTTATCGAGCCCCGCCCGACGGTAACCGTCCCGGTGGACTGTCGGGTGGATCTCGAACGGCCCGGTCTTGCTGCTTGACAAATGCTAATGGGAAAAATGGTGGTTTTGTTTTGTTTTTTTTTACTTTTGGCTTGGCGTGGAGGAGTTCCAATTCTTACCAAAGCTTAGACTGCAGGTCAATTGCCGTATTTTACGTGGCCGCTTCGAATGTCAATCCCCCGACCTTCGTCTCCGTCGTTCACACTCTCCCCTCTAGTGATAATTGGCGTCAAGAGTCAATCAATCTTGGAATGGAATGACTGGAATATCCAGATACTCAATTTATTGAAAATTGGGCATGGTCGTTCCCAAGCCACGATACTGTGCTACACCTGCAACCACAAATCGGCGTGCGAATGATGGACACCTCCAACGGCAGGCGGGCACTAAACCCAGCAACAGTTGGAGAGAACTATTGCCCACCCAATAAACACCAGGAACTTTGTACACGTTCTGTTCTTTTCCTTCGTATTTCCCCCTCTCTTCGCTCCTGCTTAGAACGTCTCGCCCCACATCGATCTAGCGCAGTCCACGATATGGCCGGCCACATCGGACCGGGGACATGCCGGAGCCACTGCCAGGTTCAGGACAATATCGTGGGTGCTCAGACAGGATTCATAACTAATTATCAGATCCATTGATTACGTATGTCTGACCCCCGATGTCAGCCATTACTACAGAGTAATTGTGGTGGAAGTCAACTACGGCAAGATTTAAGCTGTGCCCGCTCGTGCAGAAAGCTCCACTTGCCACACCCATGGGTCGCGCTGGAGCTCCTTTTGCTGGCACCTCCTAGAGCTCCGAGGGTACACTTCTCGTCTCCTTCTTCTGCTCCATCCGGTCTTTCTTCACGACATCGATCCAGACCGATCACTGCCTCGAACTCGCGCGCCCCTGCTCCCGTCCATTCGCCAGCATGGACGAGCCCTTCGGCCGAAGAGCCGGGATCGGCGGAGATGCCTTTCTACAGAAGCCAAGGGTGTGGCTGTGCATGGCCGTGCCACATTCTGATTCCTCACAGTCGGGAGGTGTTTCATCCCTGAAAAATATGGGACCTGGCATGAAGTGACAAGCCCCGAGAGAGAATGGTCTTCAATGCTAGTCGTGTGCCCGAGCCTGCGGTCGACGTGGGAGGCTGGGCATACAGCAACCACCAAGCCCAACCACTGGGGAGCACTGGACAAAGGAGGATCACAGCAACCTCGGACAGGACTTGGCAGGATGCCAAGACCTCCTGGCTCGCTCAGCTCCATCAGCTGCGTTTCTGCTGCGACTGATTGGCAGGAAAGGCTGGCCAGCGCAGCAGTGTGGAGGTGGGTTTTTGATTTGCTCTCCTGTCGCGTGTTATAGTCCAGACGGAGTCACTGTTGCCGAATTGCTTTTTTTTTCTACCGCCCAACCTTGACTTCCAAACCCACCCCCTCTCCTCGGGTCTGCGACAGCCCTCGTGCATCTTCGCTCTGATTCTCGACCGCTGCCAAGCATCGACAAGCATCGACAAGCATCGACAAGCATCGACAAGCATCGACCTCGCGTGAATCTCGTTCTCCTTTGTTGATCGAATCCTCACCCCCTTCAGCTTCCAGCGCAGAGAATGGGCTCCATCAGGTCGTCCGCCTCGCAGACGGCCGCAGCGTCGAGCGGTGATGGCCTGCAACCATCTAAGTCCCAGGAGAAGGGGATCCTGAACAATTCCACTTCCAACTCCAACCCCATCTTGCCGACCATGCACCAGCATCATTCGACCCGCTATGTGCTGGGGCTTTTCCGCGTGAACAGTGCCGGCGAGAGTGGGCGGACGGGCGTCCACCCGCTCCACTTCCTCAAGGTGTGCTTCAAGAGCATCTGCACAGCGTCGATGATCGTGAATATCCTGTGGCCGTTTGTCCCAGCTGCAATTGTCATACATTTCGCCCGCCCGGACCTGCACGTGTGGATTTTCGCGCTCAACTACATTGCCATGGTGCCCTCGGCGAACCTGCTCGGCTTTGCGGGTGGAGAGTTGGCGAAGAAGCTGCCCAAGGTACTGGGAGTCTTGGTGGAGACGGCTCTGAGTGCGGTGGTGGAAATTGTGCTCTTCATGGTCCTGCTGCATAATGACCATGGAGGGCACCTGATCCCCGTCATTCAAGCCGCCATTCTCGGCTCGATTTTGGCGAACCTGCTCCTGTGTTTGGGTACGTGTTTCTTTGTCGGCGGCCTGCGACGGTCCGAGCAGGTATTCCATGAGGCAGTCAGCGAAGTTGGAACGGGATTGTTGCTGGTCGCTGGCTTTGGTCTGCTGATTCCGAGCGCGTTCTACTCTGCCTTGAAGGGATCTGTCAATGAAGAGTTCACATTGGCCATGTTGGACGAGTATGCGCTGAAGATCAGCCGGGCGACGGCCGTTATCCTCTTGGTCGCCTTCTTGACGTAAGTGCCTGGACGTAATATGCATATATCTGGAGTCGCAAGTGACTAACCCATACCATAGATACCTGATCTTCAACCTCCACAGCCACAACTCCATCTTCGATGAGATTTTGGAAAAGGACGAGGCACAGGATGAGGACCGGCACGAAGAGCTACGACGAGCAAAGCTCACCTTTGTAGAGTGTCTGGTGGCCATTGTCATCTCATTAGCCTGCGTCTGTATGTCCGCCGTTTTTCTCGTGCAAGAAATCGAGTACATCGTGGACCTCGGCGTCTCCGACAACTTCATGGGCCTGATCCTCGTTCCTCTCGTCGAGAAGGCTGCAGAGCACTTGACCGCGGTGGACGAGGCGTGGGACAACCAGATCAATTTTGCACTCTTCCACTGCCTGGGTCCTTCCATCCAGACTGCTCTGCTCAACGCCCCGCTGGCCGTGCTCGTGGGCTGGGGCCTGGATAAGGAGATGAGTCTCAACTTTGAGATTTTCATGGTCGTTCTGCTGGTGCTGTCCATCTTGGTCGTTGGAAACTTCTTGCGTGATGGCAAGTCGAATTACTTAGAGGGCACTTTGTGTGTCCTCGTCTACTTCATTATCGCCGTCACCTCTTGGTACTACCCTAAAGTCGACGTGGCTTCGACTAACCAGGCCTGATAATTGGCTCAGCCGGCTGGTTATAAAACTGCATTGCTTGCTCTATAGCCCATTGCATTTCTGTTCATAATAACTTAACTTATCTAATTTTATCTTTGGTAATTAACTTACATGCTTCTCAATGTGACCTCGTATTCTTTGTATGTAGCCCAAAAGGGCAAACTGTATACCATCACGTGATGGGTAATACACCGCAACGTTGGACTCTGCGGAGCGAAACCTTGGGAACCCCTGGGGTAATGAAAGACCGAGTAACTCCACAGGAGACGCCTTACTTCCGCGCACCCTTGCATCTAGACTGCGTCGGGTTGGCCAGAGCTTGCTTCTTTCCATCTGGTTGACGAGCCCGCGCAATTGCCGAGCTCCGGTTTGCCGCTTTCAACGCGCCCACCCCGCGGGCCACAAGCCATTCTCCCGCGATGAGGACGAACGGCACTCTAACAGATACTATCCTCACAACGCTGAAGGAGCGAAGTCTCCTAGCCAAGCGAGATGTGATCGAGTCCGCTTTGGAAGATCCGGGCATGGGCCAGAAGAACCAAGAATGGGTGTTGAAGCACTTGCAACCCGACACCCTGCTCTCGCGGGAGGAACTGACCTTGTATGCCCCCCACGAGTAAGATGCCTAAGGACCATTCTCTCTAACATCATATTTCAGGTATAACAAGCTCGAGAGCTCTGGCGCCCTCCAACCTCTCCTCCGCGATACCGAACTCAGCGCGACGCGACCGTTTCTCGAAGACGACATTCGATCAGCGATAGAATCCCTCGAAGCATCGACCGTCACAATTCAGAGACAAACAGAGACATTGTCACTGCAGTGTGAGACTCTCAAGAGACAAATGCGCCAGCAAGACAGCTGGGAACAGGACCGAAGCCGGGATATCGCACGTCTGCGGAAGAAACATGAAGGAGGGAGACAGAGCACGAACTTCGCTGTGAGCATACTGCCCAGGGTTAAGCTTGGAAAAGAAAACACCCTGCTAACATACTGCAGGCCAATGATCTGGCGGATGAGCTGGAGGCTTGCTTCCGAAGCGCGACAGACAAGGCAGGGGCTGAGAACAAGCAGATTCTCGCATCGCTATCTACTCGCTTAAAGCAAGACGACAAGATCCTCGCCGGGTTGGAGACGCTCATCTCCGACATCAAGTCAAATAGCAACGACGCGGCTACGGTCAAGCGAACAAGTCAGCTCGGCGCCATGCTAGCAGACTACAACGCGGAAGAGATTCACTATCGTCTTGACCGGTTATATCTCGAAACCATTCTGTCTGGGCCATCGACGTCTTGTCAAAACGTCACGGAAGGCGAGACCATCACAGCTTTGGAGGAAGAACTGGAGTCTCTCTACCCCGAAATTGAAATCTTAGCAGAGATGTCCACAAAGCAACAATTCCACGAGCCTATCCTTCGTGAAATTCACCACCAACACAGCCAGCTTCGGGCTGCATCCGAGGAAAAGCTGGCACATGTGAGCTCCCTCCTCCACAATTCTGACCTGCACCGTACTAACATATAGTAGGCCCTAGACGTCCTTGTCGACATGACTCAGTCCAAAAAGGCCCTGACCAAGCAGCTCGGCGAACGGGAATCCTCATGTGAACTCCTGGAACAACTAGCCTCACTCTATCAGGCCGAAGCAGGCTCCCAGTCCATGTCTCAGTCATCGTCCCGACGAGAGTCTCTGCGGCGGCGCTCCATGCCGCCGGGTATGCTCCTCGGGGTGGCCCCGCGCGGCCCCGCCCCGGTTCCCCAACAACGTGCACTGGAGAGCCTCCTACGGCGCATTGGTGTGTCGCCCGAGTCGGTGATTCGGCCCCAGGTAGCGGATGGCGGTGCCCGCGAGCTGCACGAGAAGCGGATACACCTATCCGAGATGCTCCGGGGTCTGGGAGCAGCGGTCGACTCGCCACTGGTAACTCAATTAGCCCCATCGGACAGCGCCCTGCAACTTCTGGCGTCTGCATTGCACGCGAATTCGCACTTTGAAACGTCACTGCGAGATCCTAGCCAGGAAACGGCGCTGTCGGGCTTGGAGTCTGAGCTCGCCTCGCTCCAGAGGGGTGTGCAAGGGCTCAACCTGGACGTCCTGCACCAGCGGGACAAGACGCAGGACCGCTTCCTCGAGCGATGGGGCTAGGATGAGGGTTCGAGCACAGAGACGGGGGGTGCTGCCTAGTAAACAGATACCCATGGACGCCCCATTGATCACCATATCCAGGATTTTGTCCGCCATGCAGCGGCATGCATCTCTACTCAAGCCACCGGAATCATTTTCGTAGCTTCTCATCCTGTAATTGTCGGCGGCGCGAAGAAAACTGCAATTAGCAGTATCCCGCTGTGCGTCTGATTCGACGCCCAGTGTGGCTGAAGCCGAAGACATGCGCCACAGCTGTGCTCATTAAGCGGCACAACATCACTATGGCATTGATCCCACAGGATTGTCGCGAAACAAAGTCCCGCCAGGATGGGCCCGTTAATCCACCTATTGCGCATGATGTCAGTGCCCGCGTGAATCGATTTGAATTCCTCATCCATTTGGGTACCGAAGAGCCTCCATCCTCATCACGGCCATTAGCGCCGGATGCGAGGCGGTCGCTCCCGCGCAAGGCTGATTGGGGAGGGAGAGGAAGATATCAAGATCCCGACGTCAACACAACCATACACATGTCCACCCAAGCAACGAGGAATCTGCTATGATAACAAGGTGGGGTCATCATAAACTATCATATTATCATAGCGCTGGCCATTCTAATGGATGATCCAGCTCACCGCGCGGGCCCGTCAGCTGTGTGGCCCCTGCTGACTTCGACTGCGCCCCTGTGACCACAGGGTATCAGCCACGCCGAAGTATGAAGAAAATGAACACAGTCGATACCAGACCAGACTGTTGCCTTACTTCGCACCCTTAGCAGACCCAGTATGGACTCGGAAGGAGAACATACAAAATGGCGCGGCATCGCCAGAATCATCGTTCTTTGTCGGGCACAAAGGCCTTGCAGCAAACAGCCCCATCGAACTCCGACTGACTCTTCTATGCAAACCCATCCTCGAAATTGCGGGTGTTGCTAAATTGGAATAATCAATACTAAACCTAAATCCGGAAACAATGACCGGTTCCTGATCGTGCGTCTGCACAAAGGCTCCATCACCTGCAGCAAGCCTATGACTGTCCCTACGCTTGGACGTCCTCTCTCCTTGTCTACGATCTATTCTTCTCTACACTTGGAATTGAATTCGTTCAGACTTCTACCACTCGAAACACTCCTCGATCGATCATGCCTTTGTCTCTGCCCGGCTCTCTTGTCTCGGGAATCTCTGGGTCGGTCGATGCATTACTCCTCCCAACCTTGCTAAGAATCTATATATCGCCCTCGCCCTGTGTTCCGGCTCCACACGCGCCGCAGATATACCCCCAATACCACACAAGAACAGCCCACGACTACAAGGACGCGGTATGCGAGACGAGTGCTCCAGTGAATACGGCTATTACTACGAGAACGGTGCGCCCGGCGTGCAAAATCGCCATCGGCTCCGCCGGCCTGTGTATATGTATCCCCTTCGACGGCGGCGGTATATATACTCTCCAGACGGCAGTTACAGCGGCTGGGAACCAGAAGGCCCGGATCGACTTGCCTCCCGTGGGTCTCGTACTCGGCTCTTCCCTTCTCCGTCCAGCACAAGACCCAGAGCCAAAATCGTGGAAATGGGTCGGCCCCGGCGGTGGTGGCGCTCGCTGTTCAGCCTAGAGCACTTCGATATGTTACAGCGCATGAAGAGGGAGAAGTGGACGCGCCGTGGGTGGGAGGATCGACCGAGACCGTCTCGAGCCCGGGACGCCCGTCAATCCTACTCTGGGTTCCGGTACGAGCGTGGGCCCAGATGGGACGGTCCGACGATATATCCACCTCGACCGCCGCCTCCACCGTCCCGTCCGCGCGCGCCTCCCCAGCATGCAAGCTCTCGCTTGCGGGATTCAGATTTGTCGCGGACAAGAGACGCTCCATCTGATTTCCCAGAGCCACGGAGGAGCCCTCACTCGTACGAGCTCCCCCGGCGAGATTCAGGCAGACCGCAACAGCAAGAGCCACTATATCCCCGGCCGAGACCCCGACCTCGACCAACTCGGCCACCCAGCCCAGTCAATGAACGCGAACCGCCTCGGCGGGGCCGATACACATCGCCAGCCCCGATTACAAGACCAAGCCCAAGCCCAAGCTCAATGCCCAGTCTTCGGGTAGGGCGACCCGAGTCTGGCCCAAATCATCTCCAACGGCAAAGCCGGCCCTATTCGATGTCTAACGTCCACTCCGAGCGTCCCTTTGATGCAACACCACTCGCACCGCATGACCCCCACGAACGTATGATTAGAAATCGGTCTCGCTCGCCAGAGACAGAGCGCCCGGCGCGGCGGTCTACAAAAGTGCGCTTTCGAGAGGGCCACGAGGAAATTGGAGGCCCCGTTGAACCTGGTCTCCGCCCTGGTCTCGCACCCCTCCCAGGCGAGCTACCCACCCAGGGCGGACGCTTATCCGTACAAAATCATCGAGCGGCGGCCTGGTTTTGTGCAAGCTGGTGCTGAGCGGCGATCACGACCGGACCGCGTGGACTATGTTTATCGGGAACCGAGGCGCGTGCAGGCAAACACCAACAGTGCCCGCTGGGTGGGGCCGAGGTTGCGGTATTCAGGGCGGTATTTGTGACTTGACTGAAGTTCCTTTCTATTGTTGCTGATGATTGATGATCTATATACTTTTCCGCATGTGTTTTCTTCTGCCGACTTTGAGCGATGGCCAGGGACACATAAAATGGATTTATGTATGGCTTGGTGTTAACGGATAGATACCTGGCTTCCGTGGAGTATCTGGCTTCTAGATTATTTCTCTGCTTACGCTTTGGGTGATCATCAGAATTGGAACTTGATTGCTTTTTCTAGCTTTTGTTCTATAATCTGTACGGTTCTCATAGTGAAGAGCGATACCGCCGGTTGAAATATATATTTATTTTTGCACCTCTAGAGTTTAGGAATTTAATAGAAATAAAAGATGTACCTCAAGGTCTCTATCTAAAATGTAGAGGTTGTGGCAGGCATTACAAATCCATTCAAGTATTTCTTTTACTTGAATCTGTCATGACTGCATGATAACTAATTGTTCGGATCTGCTGAAATCCAGATCAAGTAAAAAAATGCCACAGTGGGGTAGTTGATGCCCCAATGCAGTAAGAGGCGGGTCGACGAAATGAACACCTTATCTTTCGCCTCTCGTCCAGGTTGCCCCCTAGTTTTTCCCCCTCCACCTGCACTCTCTAGTGCGCCAGCCCATGAACTTGCTGGGCTTCTTGCCAAAAAAGATCTCACTCTGGTCTCCCGACTGTGTCGTGGGTGATTGGACCACAGTGAGTCCGCAGTGCTGTGAGTGATTGTGCCGCGGTGGCTTTTTGGACATGGGACGTTAACAATCAGGCAGCCAGGTCCCCTAGGTCCCACAGTTCTCGATCGTCTTCCCAGTGAACCACTTCATCATTGCGGAGCCCGCCCCAACTTCTTATTGCGAGTCGCAAGTCGCTTTGCGCATCGAAATCCGCGCCTCCTCCCTTCCTTTTCCTGCGCTCCGTTTTGACGTCCGATCACCGCGAATGCCTAGAGCCTTTGCGCAGCCACACAATCTGTCATAAAATGAGATATCCATCCGAGGAGCCACCGTCAACCTGCAGGTCCAGGTGTGCTCATCCTTACTCGCCAGCCGCGGTAGCGGCCTATTCCCGCGCCGGGCAGTAATTTCCCAGGCAGCATGGCCGCTGTCATGACACAAACCCAGTGCGCCGCTTCAGACGGCGCGAGATCCCCGGGGTCACTGCTGAAGCTGGGCTCACCACCTGGCGACGTCGATTCGATCGGATCACCAGCGCTGCAAAATGGTGCCGCCGGGGTCTTTGACATCGCACCCGAGACAGCGCTACTCCTGCTCTGCAACAATATCGAAAAACTGGTTGCGCATTTCGCGAAAGTGCCTGCTTCCTCTCACCCCAACTCTAATGGCTCTACCCCGATGGAATCTCAGACCCCGACGGAAGAAGAACCGCCGATACGGAGCGTGGGACTGCACTGCGGAGATGCAGAGGATGCAGGCGGCGACCGCAGCAAAGAAGATACATTTCAGCTCAGGGTACTGTCTCGGAAATTCCTCTCGAAGAAGATTCCCCCGATTGCGCTGAAGGATTACCTGCAGCGCCTACACCAATACTGCCCCATGTCCACCGCCGTGCTTCTCGCTGCGAGCGTCTACATAACTAGGATGGCCCTGGTGGAGAAAGTCGTCCGCCCGACGCCGAAGAATATCCACCGGCTTGTGCTTGCGGGTGTTCTGGTGGCAACCAAGGCTCTAGAAGACCTCAGCTTTTCGCACAATCGCGTTTCTAAAGTCGGCGGGGTATCTGAGCAGGAGCTCTCCAAGCTCGAGATAAGCTTCTGCTTCTTGGCGGATTTTGACCTGCGCGTGGATGCGCAGATGTTGATGGATGAAGCGACGATGCACTGCACGGGGAATTTACAGCTATCTGAACCCTTGGAGGACAAGAGTGGTTGATCAACGCTCCTCATCTTGAATGCTTGTCTCCCATATGTACCAGCACTTGTAAATACTAGATCGCGACCAAATATCAAGACTGAATGCTTCTAGAAAGGCCGAAATGCGGCTGCCTATGCGGCTGAGTAATCCACAATTGTGCGAGTTCGTACCCCGAACGTAGTCATGCAAATCCGCAGGTATCGGTGAAGAGAATATCCCTGAAGACTAGAAGGAAAGTGCGAGATTCCCCATTGACTACGGCTCTCCCGCAGGTCTATCTCATCTCATCGGGGCGGACGGCAGAGAGCGGTCGGGTATTGTGCTTTAGCGTTGGCGCCAATCGGCTCCCCCGACCCCAAAATAGGCCCCTTCGCCGCTTTCTCCAGGTCGATCATCCCCCGAAATATTCCCCTATTTTTTGGTCAACGGCAAACCAAATTCAACGTCTCACACCAGAGATCAGTGGACGCGAGGATAACGGGACTCGCGATGTACCTTTAGAGACAGCCAGTCCTCACAGCAGTTCCTGGAAACACCGCGTCGACTCGACTCGCACCAATCCCGTGTCCGTGTCCGGCTGCGGCCTTCCGAGCGTCTGTTCCCCTTCAGTTGACGATAAACACACACATCACCTGCGCGCCATGTCTTCCAGTTCATCGCCCGATACGCAGGGTAGCAGTCTTGCGGACCCGACCTCGGTATCTACATCCACGCCGAATAACAAGGAAACCACGACAGCCCCGAACGATGTCGAGCTCAAGAGCATGCGGCCTGATGCGCCCAAGGGCTCAATCCCGTTGGGGGAGGATATCATGCAGCTGGCTAGGATGGGCGAGATCCCCGCGATGCAGAACCTGCTTGCGACCAAGAATTTGACAGTGAATCATCACGACGAGGAAGGCATCACGCCGTTACATGTATGTTCCCGCTTCCCGCGGCCCTGCTCAGACAGCCATTTTCGTGGCCGCCCGCTGGGATGAGGACGGCAGTTGGTACTGGATATGGAAGACATCTGGCTGACTGATTAAATCTATTTGCTTGGCATAGTGGGCGGCGATCAACAACCAGTACGCGATGTGCAAATTCCTGCTCGACTCCGGCGCCGATGTCAACGCCAAGGGCGGCGAGTCAGTGGCCACGCCGGCCATGTGGGCGGCGCAACGGTGTCACTACTATATTGTGAACTTGCTACTTTCCTACGGCGCGGACCCGCTCCTGACCGACGTGCAAGGGTACAACATCCTGCACTTGGCGACGATCGACGGCAACGCCTTCCTCGTCCTCCTGCTACTGCACCAAGAGATTCCTGTGGACGTGGTTGACCAGCAGGGCCACACGGGTCTGATGTGGGCTGCTTACAAGGGGTATCCGGCGTGCGTGGATCTATTCCTGCGCTGGGGCGCTAATGCCAACGCCGTGGATGAGGGTGGCTTGACGCCGCTGCACTGGGCGTTGGTTAAGGGCTCGCTACCGAGTGTTCTGAAGCTGCTGGAGTACGGCGCGGACCGGTTTGCGGAGACCCGCGATGGCAAGTCGCCCAGCACGGTGGCGCAGGAAATGAACACTTCGCGCATCTGGCTCCGGGCTCTCGCTGAGCGCGGCTACGAACCGGATGGCACCCAAAAGGCGGTGCCGATGGGTTTATCGGGGTATGTCCGGAATAAGAGCGTCATGGGCAAGTTTTTCTTCCTTTGGCCGTTCTTGACTCTCCTGGTTGCCATCTGGATGCTGAGCCACTTGCCGATCTTCCTTGGTGTTCCGCTCACTCTGGCAACCCTATTTGGTATGCAATACTTTGCGCAGCAAGTAGCGAACCGTGGACCTTCGGAGTATCGCGTTTTGCAGAAGACGGTACGTTCTGATTTGAACTGCTGCCCACTGTATCGTGAAATGAAACTGACGTAGAACAGCCCTATCTGGCTGGTGTTTTTGCAGCGACGTTGTTCTGGGTTGGATTCCGTTACGTTTTCAACGTGCTACCAGGTAGGTTTTTCGGGGAGCCGGCTTCAAATGAATGGACACCTGACTGACGGATGATAGCTACCTATTCCTCGGCTCCGATCCTGAATATCCTATTCGCGGCTTTCTTCAGTTTGACTGGCTACTTCTACACCATGGCTATGATTGAAGACCCAGGCTATGTACCGAAGATCAGCAGCCGAATCCAGCAGCGGGAAACGGTCAAGCAACTGTTTGAACTGTGGAAGTTTGACGAAGAGAACTTTTGTGTTCCTTGCATGTCGAGGAAGCCCCTCCGTAGCAAGCACTGCCGCCGTTGCGGCCGCTGTGTTGCGAAGCATGACCAGTATGTACTTCTCGATGGGTCGTATGTTGATTGACCTGCCTACTAACTTGATCCAGCCACTGCCCTTGGATTGACAACTGCGTCGGAGCGAACAATCTGCGCCACTTTGTCCTCTATATTGTCTGCCTCGAAGTCGGTATCATTCTCTTTGTGCAGCTTACCATTGGCTGTAAGTAAATCTCCGAGTACTCATTTGATAGGAACTCACTTGCTAACTTCCTCCCCAAGACATCCAAGGCCTGCCCCCCGTCGCAAATGCCAAGTGCAACATCATCAATGACACCCTGTGCGACGTCGTGACTCGCGATAGCTTCACTCTAGTCCTCGATGTCTGGGTCATCCTCCAGCTGGTCTGGGTCACGATGCTGTGCGCGGTCCAGCTCGTTCAAGTCTCTCGCAACCAGACGACCTACGAGAACATGCGCGGCCACCACATCGACCGGTCCTACCCTAGCTCGCAAGCCTTCGCCTCCGCCATGACCGCGGGAACAACCTCGCTTGCAGGTGCCGGCCTCTCCGCGTCCGGTGCCGGGCCAAACCCGGCCCTGGCCCGGCCCCCTCCCCGCCGGCGCCACGGCTGCCTCTCGCAGTGGTCCTCTCTGCTGGGTATCGACACATTCTTCGCGACGGCCCGACACGGCCTCCGCGACGGGCCGCAGGCCGCACAGCCGCGCAATTCATTCTCCCGCGGCGTGGCCACGAACTGCCGCGACTTTTGGTGTGACCCAGCGCCACTCTTCGGCAAGCGCGCGACGGGCTCAGCTATGCTGGGCGGCGAGATGGTGAATTATCACGACATGTACGAGACCCCGATGCGCATGCGTGTGGGCGGTCGGTCGGCCGAGGGGGGCACGTATCGCAGCGTGGCGGGCGAAGATCCCGAGCAAATGGTTTGAGCAAAAGAACGTCAATCTCACCTATAGTCTATCCAACTATAGCGAACCCTACATATCTACCTGCGGCCTAGGGACCCCACTAAGACGAAGACGAAGATGAAAATGAAGATGAAGATAAAGATGAAGACGAATACTCCTTCCCTTCCTTCCCTGTGCTATGCGATGGTGTTTGGAGACTTTGCATTGATTGACGCCCGTATAATCCGGGTTTGGTTTTGGTTTTCGAGCAACTCCCCCCTTCCATGTATGAACTGAACTGCAGCGCCGGTGTTGCATTGTATGTGTGGCATATTTTGCTTTCTACCCTGTCCCGCTTATTGTTGCTTTTTTCATTCGCCCTTTGTTTACGTGTGTGCATTTTTAGAGAATCCTGTACAGTGAACGGCCGCTAGATAAAGACTTCCATCATTCATGTTGACCTTCGACCTTGACTTTGACCTTGACATCACCTAACCCGCTCTCCTCTTCTCAGCTAAGCCCCTGATATCTGCTACACTCGTGTACTGCACTACTGTACGAAGGACTACGTCTGCGCTGCGCAGTTTCCCCGCAGCACCGCTGTCGATAAGATAGAGGAAGACAGGGTCCTGCAGCTAACGTAGTCACAGCTCACTAAGAACAAACATCTGCCGCCGCAGGGCCGATTCCTGCACTCTGTGCTCTGCGCCCTCCCGCCTTCCGCAGGGCTTCTGGAACGCTGCCTCTTCCTGCTGCAAGCTTCGAGCCGGGTACACAACCCAGCATTACCCGCCTGTCCCCGGGCGCCGAGGTCCTAGACCAGATCCCGAGTGGCGATGGCCTCTCATCCCTCTGACAGGCCAGCACGGCACCACAGGAGCACTGCTACCGCCAGGAAACCGCAGGGCCAGGCCGAGAACTGCCTCAGCTGCGGCTAGCGCGCACATCCGATATCGCCTTCTGTCAGAGCCAGACCCTGGCGAAGATCGCATCTAGCATCTCGCAGCTCGGCCGCCGCCGTGTCTGACCTCGGATTTTAACTGGCGGGCGGGCCAGCGGAGACCCTCTTGGAAAGATGCCACTGCAATTGCAACCTGCGCCGCACCACACAACATGCCACACATCCCGCCCCGTACTGCACGCTGCCATGCACTGCACCGCGCAGTTTAAACCGGGCCAAGCCAGCCATCTGATGGGGGAAGGGGCTATGTACAGAACTCCTAGGGAGGAACAATACCCACCAGCCCCTGCAGGGGCGAAGCAGGCCCGCGACCTCGGGCTTCTTCGCCCGAGTAGGCGCGTGCAGGGCGGGTCCTCCGTAGCCGGACCGCCCATGCTAGATGAGTGTGCTAAGGGCCTTGTTGGCAGGTGGCAGGAGGGGCAGGTGCAGATACGAAGGACGAGCCAACCAACTAGCCAAGTAAACGAGTAAACTTACCGGACAGAACAGGGCATCGCAATGACAGGACACCATTTGTCCAGGGCTGGGCTGGAGGAGCTCCATCTCGCTAGGCAGAGTAGGCAAGTGATAGACGGGTGGGACATGGATCCGGGTCTGGGAAACGCGGCCAGCACCTACCGGATGGACCACGGAGACAAGCTTGTGCTGCAGGGTGCCCTGCCCGCGCCATACGGAACCCAGGAGCCCCGAGGATTTTTCCAGAGGGAATTGCTCTGAAGAGTCCACAAGAACTACACAATCTACTGTAGGGTACTCTACACCGGTCTTTCGTCAGGCCAGCCCGATTGCCAACGGAAGCGGGATCGGACGTGGCGTTCTGATCAGATAAAAATTTTAAATTTTGCGCGAGTTATCTGATGGCGCCACGCAACGGACCCACCAATGAATTTGTCTCGGCTGCGTAACGAAGAAACCCCAAAGCCACGGGCATTGTACTGTACCTGACAGCTAGGCAGATCTTGGTAAGTACAGTTGTTCCGTGGGAATAGACTGGTACGCTTGTATATACTCCGTATAGTCATTTGTTATTTACAAGGGAGATGAAATGGTAATCCTCAACTCCGTACTCTGTACTTACTGGTTCCATTCGGTTCGCTTATTGCTCGTAACTCCACATTCCGGGAATTGGGAATTCTTTTCGTTTCTTCCTAGGGGTAATATATGTAGGTTCTGAATGAAGGTATGAACATCCATACAGTAATTCCCCCCCCCGGGCGACAGTTTTCTGCACGTTTGTCCTCCGTTTCACCACCACCATCACCAACACTGCCGATCGGGAATAGCGTCACGTATGCGAGGGCTCGAGAAACGTATGATGACTGATTGATTGATATTCACAACCCAGTTACTGTCTACTGCCACTACTTTCACTCATATCATTTTGCCCACAACCTCGGCCGAATTACGGCCTAGGCAGTACAGTAGCAGTATGGAAGTACTTCGGAGTGTTAAGTTATAGCTACAGGGCGTATCCTCCGTTCTAACACGGGCCGGCCAGGGGTGCTTCCGTGTTTCGCGCGGTATCCGAGGGCTTTTCTGGCGGTCTTGTCGAGGCTTGGCGTGGCGGCGGAAACGTAACGGAATCGTCTGGAAGGCTGGATGGCTGGGGTGGGGGCATTATTTGCTTGTACTGTAGGGTACTTCTGATCTAACTAGAGGATAATACATTGTACCTTGTTAGTTCCTTTTCCGGTAGTCCGTTCTCCGTAGGGCCTCCACAGTTGGGGCTGTTTCTGCTGCTGAAGACAGTGAAGAAAGCTTGGGATGTAATGCCGAGGCGGGCACACACACACACGTGTAGAGTACTCCGAGACCAGGCCATAGGTAGAAGACAGGGAGTGCCACTACTCGGTCCTTTGGATGAGAGACTTTGGTGCAGCTTTTAGGGAAGGTCCGGGCTAAGGGGCTGGCCGCAGTATACCGAGCAATGGTCGTTAGAATAGATCACCCTGATTCCATGGGGGGCATCATAGCATTAGAGCAGTAAGAGAAACAACCTAAACCAGAAACAGAACCAAAAATCTAGAAAACATGACGGGGACTCTAATATGGCATATAGCATAGCGGCAAAAGGATGAGGGTATGTGTGAGAAGACAGCATCATGTGTCGCCCATGTCGGTCCTCGCGTAGGAAGGCTAGGGTTAGCCGGGAGTGCCAAGCCTCCTCCATTATGCTTCAGCCCAGAAGCCCAGTCGACTTTTTGAGTGCTTGCTCGTTATGACAGTTCGCCAGGACATTCAAAAGTCCTAGCCAGGGGAGATATGACAATTACAGCATGGCCCGTAACCGGGTGTCCTGCACCAACTGGCCGCTCAATTCCTCGCCAAACACCGAGCTGACAATCTCGCCACCTCGCACCGCCAGAATTGACAACAAGCTATCACTCAACCCATGCGTCTTCTCGTTGCAACCCTGCAGCCAAATGCCCGCATGTGCGGACACCTTAGCCCCGTCCAGCGCAACACGGTAGTCGCGGCCTGGCGCCCACGCCGTCTGGCCGGCCGGCCGCAGGCTCCGCACCTGCTCGAGCAGCTGCTCGTGCGCGTCGCGCTGGTAGCCGGTCGCCACCATCAGCGCGTCGACCTCCAGCACCTCCTTGCCGTCGGCGGCGTCGTCCTTGGCGGACTTGACGTGGATGCGCATGCGATGGGCCGGATTGTGGTGCTCGATGCGGGCGACTTTGCGCTCGGGCAGGATGCGGTGCTGCCACTGGGCTTCGTCGGGGTTCTTCACGCGCTGTAGGTACATGGTGTTGTAGATTTCTTCGATGAGCTCCAGGCGGACGACCGAGTAGTTGGTGGCTTTTTCCTTGGCGATGCGGGCGTGGCGCTCTTCTTGAGGGAGCTGGAAGAATTTCTCCACGTGCTCTGGGTTGAAGATCTCGTTGACGCTGGAAATGATTAGTTCCAATTCAATTATTGCCATATTGCGGGAGGGGATAGCTTCCCACGTACAAGGGCGAGTCATCGCTCGGCCGCAGAGCGGTATCACGGAGGATCAGAGTCGTGCGCGAGTTGGGGTACCGGCGCTGCAGGTCGTGGAAAATCTCGGCGGCGCTTTGGCCGGAGCCCACGACGGCGATGTTGTAGGGGGCCGACTCGTTCTTCAGCACATTAGGTAGGGTGGTGCAGTACTTGGAGGAGTGCATGATGCGGGTATCCTGGGGGAAGCCGGGCGGCATCTTAGCCGTACCGCCGAGGGCGACAACGACCTTGCGGGCCCTCCGCGATGAGATCTCGCCGGTCTCGGTATTCCGTGAGCGCACGACGAAGTAGTCGACGACGCCATCGATCTTGCTGCCAGGCACCACCTCCACGACCTCCTCGCCGTAGTTTACGATGTTCTCGAAGTGCTGCGCACACCAGCGCATGTAGTCCTCGAACTCCATGCGGGCCGGCAGGAAGGTGCCCAGGTTCGTGAAGTGGATGAGGCGGTTCTTGTTGTGCAGGTAGTTGAGGAAGGTGAAGCTGCTGCGTGGGTCACGGAGGGTCGCGAGGTCCTTGATAAAGGAGATCTGCATGCGCGAGCCGGGCACCAGCATGCCCGAGTGCCAGGCAAACTGCTTCTGGCGCTCGAGGAAGCACACCTTGGGCTTAAAGGCGGATCCCGAGGTGCGGTTCAGCGCCGGGTCCATCGCATCATGCAGGGCGATGCCGATGGCCAGCGAGGCCGGGCCAAAGCCGACGCAGAGCAAGTCGTGCATCTCGTCGGTGGGGGTGGAGCGTAGCAGAGCGCGGTTGGCAGGAGATTGGGCGCGCGGCGCCATCTCGTTCAGGAAGGGCAGCTCGGACTTCCGGGGAATGGGCTCCATGTCCAGACGGGTCCGCGGGGGGATTGTTTTCCACAAACAAAAAAAGATAGCGTTCAGTCAATCGCGGAAGGCGGATGAAATGGAGTCTGAAATGTACAACAGCAAAGCAGGAGAAGACCGAAGGAAAGGGCCCGAGCTAAGGAACGAAGCTAAGCTGTGCAGAAGGTAAAAGAGAAGCTTCAGGTGCAGGGGAGCCTGGTTATGTACACTGGCACCGACAGAGCCGATCCCATCAGCGGGTCGCTACCCGGAGATTTCTCTTCTGGGCAGAAGTCGGATCGATGCGAAACGGAGGGTGGTGCGATATTGAGGATGTGGGTGATGAATGGTGGTGGAGGAATTGACGTGCCGTACGGTACGTTTCGGTGGTCCCACCAGCAGCCAAAGCGGATCAGATAAAAAAAATCTATCGTGGAGTGGAGATACAAAGGCCAAGAAAGGAGACCAAGACCGAAAGCAGGACTAGCGGACTGAGCAGGGGGGAGAGGGATGTCGCACGATTCAAAGGCGTATTATAGTCTCATTCCGGTTATCAATCAGTCTCCACCATAGCCCGATGTGCAAGTTTTTCGTCGCTAGCGAACCCAGGCAGCCGGTTGTTATATACATCGCTGGGACTGGGATTCCGGGCAATGTGCGGAGTAAACAAGGCTCGATGATTCTTCCCGTCCGCCTTCTGGATTCTGCGCTGCTCCACTCTGCGCGTCACTCTCAGGTTCCTGCACATGGCCATGCAGCCAGGGGGACAAGACAAGATTGGCAACAGTCACACCAATCCTTAAATGCTCGAGAACTACGAAAAAGAAACACTCATCAGCAAAAAAAAAAAAAAAAAAAAAAAGGAAAACGAGAAAGAAAAGCCAAAGGTTAGTTACGTGCCTCCGCAGATGCCCGATGTCGGGAAAATTACTGGCCCGTGATTAGAAACATTCCCCAGTACTGTATGTGTACATTGTTGGGTATGTACTGTATACAACAGAGGAATGGACAGTATGGCAGTAAGGCAGTATGGAGGGGTACGGACTGCATATGCGCACATACAGTACAGTACATTTCCTTCGTCTTGGCGATGGTGGGGGGAAATTACCCGCTAGGAAGGTCAGAATCCCGAAGCGGAGACGATACCGAGGAATAATCGCTTCAAAGGATGGTATTACTGAATCATATCACCTAGAGATAGTTGGTACTATGTCTGCCTGATCCAAATACATAATCGCTTCAAAGGATGGTATTACTGAATCATAACACCTAGAGATAGTTGGTACTATGTCTGCCTGATCCAAATACACAACAAATCTACATATGATACTGGTGTGGTGACCACCGACAGGGAGGAAAAGATCCCCTGGCTGACGCTGACTGGTCGCCGCAGGAATCCGGATCTTGCTTTTAATTTAGCCCATGTGCATCTTATGCGCAGTTGCGTGCATCTGACATTTTGCGTTTTTTCGTCGTTTATTTTGCCTGAAACGTGGGGTTGCGAAGATCACGGGTGCTTTGACTCGGAACAGACTTTACTAGCCGGGAATTAAGACTATCGGAATTTCTTTTTCTCTCTTTGTTTTTCCGTGGGAATAATGTCTATAATTCTGATTCTCATGGCCTGCAGAACCGCAAAAAGGGCAATAGATCTATGATCACTGAACGAGGAGAATGTATCCGGTCGATGAACCCAGAGAGATGACGGTGTACCGCCAGTTGGAAGGTGGGTCATTATCTGTGCCATGATTTGAGTTAGATTACCATACTGCGTACGCAGGTAGTACCTTTGGTGCAGGAGTGAACCTGCCTCTTCTTACGGGACCGAACAGACCACCATACGCACGTCATCGAACCCGCAGCCCGGCCAAGCTCCGCCGTTAGGAAGCTCGGATGGAGGGGCACGAACCACGACACGACCATAGTCGTGACATGGGAGGGCGCGACGATGTCGGAGAAACTATAGCAGGGTCACCGCCGCGAGGAGGATCATAGTGATTCCCAAAATAAATGGTTATGACCATCATAGTAAGAATCAAAATTGATCGAACAGTAATATCAAATCATAAAATGTCCCCTCCTCATGCCACGGCCCAGGAAAACAAAAGAAACGCTCGGAGCTAGATTCCCACTCAGGCATCAGCGTTCTACACTAACTCGTAACTTGTCGGGGACCAACTACTGACTGCGGACCCTACTGGACCTGAATGTCCACTTTTTTGTCCATTCTTTCGCTCTGCCCCTCCACTTCCGCTCGCGCGGTGACTCCAACTCTAGACTTTTCAGGCGCTTGTCTCGGTCATTCGCTGCAGGCCAAGCAGCCGATCATCATTTGATACCACACACTTCTCACAGACATCCTTCAACATCCTCTATGATTGGAAATCCACCGCCTGCACCCCCCTCCTCCGCATTGCTTTTTACTCGTTCCCCCTCCCTGTCCACGGGCCCTTTCTGCCGCGAGTACGCCTGCTCACTTTCCCCTAGGCGGCTACCACCTGCATAAGACCGGAAGAAGCACCCCTCCAAAGGCCTGAGTAGCCACTCATATTGCGTCTAATAAGCAATCTATAAGGCATCATCCGCATCGGACCATGCACGATTGACCCTAGCCCCGGTGGAACAGCCTCATGGAACGATTCACTCCATTTCCCGCCATCGACGGCCCTGCCGGCCAGTCTGGCAACGATGCTGTGCGCGCTATTCTCTCATGGCCAGTGCATACGGCGCACCTGCCCTTGGAGCTATTAGCTCTGTCCTGGGCTGTGCTGCTACGAGCCTTCACGACCGAAGAATCTCCGGTCTTCCTGCTCAACGGCCAGCCAATCAAAGCCGACTTATTTACTCGTATAATCCAGCCTGCGACACTGGATGCGCGCGCCGAACTTTCTGCAAAGCACACCGCCGTGCGCTTGATAGATGAGCGCGAGGAGACCGGGTTCTCCCAGCCAGAGCGCGAGACTAGCTACAGCCACGCTTCCCCCTGTTCTTTGACGTGGACTTTCAACCGCAACACCCAAACGAGCACGTTGCATTCTTCGACTGGCATGGACGCAGCCTTCGTGCAGCAGCTGGGCTGCCAGCTGGAGCACATCGTGCAAGACCAGGCGGCTCTCTCGGGCATGCAGGTGAAAATGCCCGTCTCGACCGAGGAGGTCCCTGAGATGTCGACGTCGACGTCTATGTCCATGTCAATTTCAAATCCATCCCCTTGCATCTTACCAGGCCCACAGCTGCTGCATGAGCTGGCGCTGAGCGGTGCCCATGACGGCAACCCTGCGATCGAGTTCTTGACCGCTGATGGAGACGTTCGCTGTTTGTCGTACCTCGCCTTGGACCGGGTCTCGTCGCGGATAGCGGCGCAAATCACGGCTGCCTCAGTGCCGAGGAGAAAGGAGGCGCTGAAGATGGTAGTCCCCGTGCTTCTGCCCCAGTCCTTGGAATTGTACATTACACAGCTGGCTATCCTCAAGGCGGGTGGTGCTTTTTGCCCTTTGAACATCGACGCACCATCGGATCGGATAGAGTTTATCCTGCAGGATGTTGCTGCCTCGGTGCTGATTACACAAAGACCCCTCGCAGCAAGGGTACCCCAGACGGAACATCTGGCGGTCATCACGGTAGACGAATTAGATTTGGAGACGGAGACGGAGATGGGGAATTTGGATGTGAAAACCGCGGAGTGGACCCTGAAAGCTGCACCCACTGATCTCGCCTATGTGATGTATACATCCGGTTCAACAGGGCGACCCAAAGGCGTAGGCATTTCCCACCTGGCCGCCACGCAGTCGTTGCTCGCGCATAATGACTTGATACCCCACTTCACTCGATTTTTACAATTCGCCTCGCCGACCTTCGATGTCTCCGTTTTCGAGATCTTCTTCCCCCTCTTTCGCGGGGCCACCCTCATCGGCTCCGAGCGCGAGCAGATGCTCCTTGATATCTCCCATGTGATGACTGAGATGCGCGTCGACGCGGCCGAGCTGACACCCACTGTGGCCGGGGAATTGCTGCGTTCCCGGGCCGCGGCGCCCTGTCTGCGCGTGCTCCTCACCATCGGCGAGATGCTCACCAGGCATGTGGTGGATGAGTTTGGGCAGTCCGGGCACGCGGACGGCATTCTTCATGGCATGTACGGGCCGACAGAAGCGGCGATCCATTGCACGGCTGCGACGCACTTCCAGTCTCATGATCGGGTGAATTTGATTGGCAAGCCATTCAAAACGGTGTCGGCTTTTATTATGTCCTTGGAAACCAATGACAAGGATGCATCTTCTTCCTCTGGTGAGCTTCAGCCCCTGCCACTCGGCCAGATTGGCGAGCTGGTCGTGGGTGGGCCGCAGTTAGCGGACGGGTATATCAACAGACCCGAGGAGAATGCCAAGGCGTTTATCGAGAGTCCCGTATACGGTCGACTCTACCGGACGGGTGACAAAGCTCGGATGCTGCCGTCGGGGGAGATAGAATGCTTTGGACGGATCTCTAGTGGTCAGGTGAAGCTCCGTGGCCAACGAATAGAACTGGGCGAGATCGAGCATGCCATTTGCCGCGCGCCGGATGTGCGCAGCGCAGTGGCCATAGTGAGTGGTGGCAGCCTGGCTGCATTTGTCCTGGTCAGCGACAAAGGCACGACCGATCGCGCCCTGCGCGATGTCTGCCGGCAGTGGCTGCCCCGGTTCATGGTGCCCGGCGAATTTATCCTGGTTGATCAATTCCCCCAGCTTCCCTCCGGGAAGATCGATCGCAAGGCGCTCGAAGCGGAATTCGTGCGCCATCGCAGCACAGCCCAGTCTGTTGAGCAGCAGCCGTACCGGGATAAGACCGAGGAAACAATCGCTTCGTGCGTGGCCGATGTGCTCGGCAGACAGCTTTCGCCGGCGGAGAGTCTGAGCGCTGCTGGACTTGACTCCTTGGCTGTGATCCGGCTTGCCTCTCACCTCCTGGATGCTGGGTTTCCTCTGGATGTGGCCCACCTGCTGGAGGCCGATTCCGTGGACGGAATATGGAGACTTGCAAAGGAAGCGGAGACGTCGCAGTCAACCGAGGACACACAAGCAGGCCTTCAAAGGATCCGCCAATTGGTTGCCGATGCCGGTGCGGCAAGGTTAGAGTCTCTCGGTTTGAGCGCGCAAGTGGATACGATCGAGCCGTGTAGCCATATTCAGCAGGCGATGATTCTGGAGACGGCCCGACACACCAACGCATACTGTAATTGGATCGAGCTGGAATTCCACCGTTCATTCAATACGTCTGCTGTGCGAGATGCTTTTGCCACGCTTTTGGAGCAGTATGATCTCCTGCGATCTGGATTTGTCGAGATTGGCCTGAAGGACCACTTCTATGCTCGCTTCACCTATCACACAGTCGATAAGAGGATTTTCCAGAAGCGTGATGCGTTCGACTATGACTTCTCCTTGCTCGCGGAACAAGATCTGCTTCATCCTCTGCGGTTCCAGTTGAAAGAGACAGATGAAGGTCTCCGAGTGCTCGTGCATATTCATCACGCGCTGTATGATGGGTGGTCATGGCAACTGATACTGAAGAGTCTCCATCGCCACTTGCTGAAAGAGGACCTTCCACCCAAGCCTACGTACGGCGTGGTGGCAGACTTCTTCATTGAGTACAAGCTGAGCAAATCTGCCAATGAATCTTCCCTCTTCTGGCGCGATCAACTCCAAGGCTCGTCTCCCGCTCCCTTCCCCAATTTCCACTGGACGACAGATGTGTCTTTAGGTACACAGGAGGCTACTCGCGAGCTTCAGATCTCTGTGTCCAAGCTCACCGAGGTATCGCAACATCTGCGGGTCAGCCGGCAGACAATCTTCCAAGCTGCACTCTGCTACATCCTCTCCACCTACCTCGGGTCCGGCGACGTCATCTTCGGTACCGTCTTTTCAGGTCGGACGCTCCCAGTCAAAGGCATCGAGAGCGTTCTTGGTCCTTGCATCCGCACGCTCCCCACACGCATGGATCTTGACAAGATGCAAAACGTGACAGACCTTCTTCTGGCAATCCAAAACATGAACCGCAAGTCTCTCGAGCACGGCAGCCTTCCGCTCCAAGATATCAAGAAGGCTTCTGGAATCGACTTGCAGTCCAATCTTTTCGACACGGCCCTTGTATGGCAGGAAAGCATCTGGTCGGACGATGAATATTGTGCTATGTTCAGGGAGGTCGGCACTGCGGAGTTTTTGGAGTTTGCGCTGCTGCTGGAGCTTGAGCCTAGAGAGGATGGGATTCGTGCTAAGGCGACCTATCAGCAGTCGGTTCTGCCTCGGGAGCAGGCAGAGCTTCTCCTGGAACAAGTTGACTATGTTGCGTCTATTCTGATCGATTCTCCTACCCTTGAAATTGGCGATATATCATGTCAACTTCCCCAACATACGTTGTCACTGGTCAACGCACAAGCCCAGACGCAACGCGACCTACCAGGTCTGGTGTCTCCTATTGAAAGACTCGCATCTGCCGATCCCTCGCGCACAGCTGTTGAGTATCTGATAGAGCTAGACTCTATGACCCCCGCAATTGAAAGCATTACCTATGGCCAAATGAACTCCCGGGCCAACATTCTTGCCAAGTATCTGCTGCAAATGGGAGTCAAGCAGAACAACCGGGTTGCTGTTTTTCTGGAGACAGCGATAGACTCGTATGTCAAGATCCTTGCCATCGCCAAGATAGGCGCGGGCCTTCTGCCTTTGGCGCCCGGGACATCTTTGCAAACGATCGGCTCTATTGTCTCAACAACAGACGTGGATTTCTGTGTCATCAATTCATCCACACAACTCCCTGATATCTCGATAGCCCTGGGATCCGTCCAACAAATTCTTCTTCCTGATTATCTTGACGATCTTCACGACGATACCCCTCCTGCGATCAATGATGGATTTCATATTATTTGCGCCGAGATCGCTTCGGCCGAGCATATTCTCTTTTCGGCCCAGAACTTGAATAGCTATATAAGCGTGCTTTCAGAGACATACAACGCCCCGGTAGGGTCCAAGCTGCTTCAAGCATCTTTAGTTCAATCCCCTGGTAAGTGTCAGATCTGTGCGGGGCAAGGAATGTGTGGTTCTTATCTTACTGTGACTTAGACTCAATCCTTGGAGCCCTCTTTGCCTGGCATGCTGGTATGACGTTGTGCGTGACACCAGATGAGCTCCTGGCCACCCATGCGCAGCAGGTCGTCAATGCCCTGAGCATCACACATCTTCACTTGACTCCTAACCTGGCATCTCGCTTGGACCCACAACAAGTCCCAAGTGTGCGATACTTGCGTACTTCGGGTGAGCCCTTGACGGCGAAGGTGCATCGCGATTGGGCTGGGAGAAACTCCTGTCACGGTAATTTTAAAGCGCCATTGAAAATGATGAATATAGTGGTCTCGTTACTGATGTTGGTTTGTTCAGGTTATAACACTCGCGGCTTGGCTGGTATCTGCACCGCATCGCCTGACATCCAAATCTCAAGCATAGCCACAAACGTTGGGGCGCCACTGAAAAACACATCCGCTATGGTCATTGCCGACAAGTCCGAGTTTAAATTGCTGCCACGTGGTGCAGTTGGAAGATTGTGCTTTGGTGGAGACCAAGTGGTAAGCCGCAAACAGATGGGATGGTTCGATAAAATCTAACTGCCTTTCAAACAGGGATTGTCTCGTGCGGAAAGCTTTTTTGAACAACCGCAGTTCGGCCGGCTTTATCGAACAGATGACTTCGGCAGAATCCTCCCGGATGGAAGTATTGAGTGCCTTGGGCAGCATGCTGCTATCGCCGAGATTGATCTTGCCCTCATCTCATCTCAGCTCGTTCAAGATTCCGTGAGCCTTTTCGTGAACAGCCCAGTTACTAACCAGCAGCAATTGGTCACTGTTTGGGTTCCCTCGCATGAGGCTCGGACATCAGCACACGGTGAACACCTCGACATAATAACCAAGGACCTGCTGAAAGAACTGGCTTCGATACTTTCTTCCTCTACAGTCCCTGGACTTCTTATCCCAATGACCGAAATCCCAATGAGTGATTCATTCATGACTGACTATGCAAAAATACAGCGAGAAATCGAGCAAATGCATCCAGAGCATCTCAAATCATTCTCCATCGCTCTCAGTGATGAACACACTGACAATTTCACCGATTTCGAAAAGACAATTGCCGCTGCTCTTTCCGTAGTCGTCAATGTTGACCAGCAGAATATTGGAAAACACACGTCGTTCTATAAGCTAGGATTGGACTCATTGTCTGCCATTTCCTTCTCACGAAAGCTCCAGGATTCAGGATTTGCTAGGCTTGCGGTGTCTACAATCCTGCGCTATAGCTCGGTCGCTCAGCTGGCGGCTGTTGCCTCCCTAATGACCAATAGTCACCAGTCTCGACAGCCGGCTTCACAAGAAAAACTCTCCTCGGTTTTTGATGAGAGTTTCCTCCTCGAAGTCAAGAAGGATCTGAATGCGCAGGGCGCATCTATTCAGGGTGTCTACCCTTGTACACCCTTACAGGAAGCAATGCTCGCCGAATCTGACTTTGATTCCGCCTATTTCAATCATTTGTTTCTTCAGGTGCACACGAACCTTGAGACGCTGAAGGAGTCATGGACCCAAATGTTGAAAAGACATGGCATCCTCAGGACCTGCTTCAGACAAACTACCGATAAGCGATTTGCATATGCCCAAGTGGTACTGGACAGTGCGATTCTGCCCTGGGCCCAGGTTGAAACCTCATCTGATAAGTTAAAACAAGATGTTGAGAGATGGAAATCGGAATTCGAGCATCAATCCCCGGTCAATGACAAGTTTCCTTACTCCTTGACGGTGTTTGAAAACTCTGCCGCGCATAGCACGCATCTCTTGTTATCAATTCATCATGCACTGTACGATGGAGAAGGTATTGCACAACTGTTACACGAGGTTCAACTTTCTCTTGCAGGCAAGGAACTTCCCGACACTACACCTTTCAATCGCTTTATTGAGTGTATGATTTCCGTCGACTCTGACGCGGCCGATCAATTCTGGAACCGATATCTATCGGGCGTCTCGCCGACTCTGCTGTCTGCTTCCAAGGAGATCAATGGGTTTGACGATCAGACTTCTTCGCATCAGATCCACGTGAAGCTTAATCCTCCTCTCGCCTCATTCAAACAACAATGCAAGGATCTTTCCGTAACGCCGCTGAATGTCTTCCATGCCGCATGGGCGAGGCTACTTGCCTTGTACTCCGATACATCCGATGTTTGCTTCGGCAATGTGTTCAGCTGCCGAACAGTCCCACTGGAAGGAGCCGACCGAATTGTCGGCCCCTGTTTCAACACCCTTCCAATGCGGGTCAAGCTCTCTTCCACTTCGACAAACAGAGATATCATGAGGATGTCCCAAAGGCACAACAATGATATACTGCCTCACCAGCTTAGTGCACTCCGTCGAATCCAGAGACAGACTCTTCAAGGGGGCTCTCAACTCTTTGATACATTGGTCGTTCTCCAGACTAGAAACACTGAGCTTGACCCTCAGTATTGGGAAATTCTTTCCGATGAAGGAAACATGGGTTTACCTCTTATCTGCGAGATTGTTCCCAATGAGATGCAGAACACTGTTCATGTCTGTCTCCACTTCCAAACATCACATATTGACTGTGATGCGGCAACAAGACTTGCGCGGGATTTTGTGGTGCTCGTCGAGCATATGACTCAGTATCCTTCAGCTCAAGCTTCTGACAAGCGGGTGATTGGGGCCAATATTCCCGTCATTTTTGAGAAAAAGAAAGCCGAGAGCCCCAGTATCAATGGGAGGGTTTCAACAAAGGGACCTGAATTCCGAGTCTGGTCCTATCAGGAAGAAACTCTCCGGGAAATTCTGTGCAAGTTTTCAGGAGTTGAGCCAGAGGCTGTTTCATTGCACACAACCATTTTTCAACTTGGTCTGGATAGTATCAACGCGGTCCAAATATCTGGAAGGCTGCGAAGGCTGGGATACAGGATATCCGCGGGTGATATTCTCGAGGTATAGTTTGAATTTGGGGATCGTTTGATGCATGTTACTAATAGACGTTAGGCCGCCTCTATTGACAAGATTGCTGGCCTCCTCGAGACAAGCGAGAACGGGACCAAAGAGGACGAGTACAACTTCTCTGCTTTCGAAAATCAACATTTGCAGCCTGTCTGCGAGTACTTCGGTATCTCTCCACAATCGGTGCAGTCTTTGCGGCCTTGTACCCCCGTTCAAAATGGCATGTTGGCATCATTTACCCACTCACATGGAAATATGTACTTCAACCGAATGGCCTTGAAGCCTTCCACGCCTTTGGATAGGGGCCTGCTTATGGAAGCTTGGTCGAGGGTCATGGCCCAGCATGAGATGTTACGAACTGGCTTTGTTCAGCTGAATGATCAGCAATATCCCTTTGCTATGATCACCTATCAAGCTGGTATCAGTGTTCCATGGCAGGAATCATCCCGCCTAGATACCACTTCTCAAGAAACCTTTGTTGAACGCCTGCACCAACCTCCTTGGAACATTGCCATTGAGCCTGGCGATACGGTCACCACGATGCATTTCTCTGCCCTCCATGCACTCTATGATGCACAGTCCTTAGAATCAATATTCGCGGATGTCATGGCAGCCTACGAAGGAAGAGCTCTTGCCCAGCCTTCCTCGATTCCGGAAACCCTTGGGCCCATCTTGATCGAGAGCAAAAAACAAACCGAAAGGTCCCAAGGATTTTGGGAAGAATTCGCCGCAGATATTCATTCCACCAAATTCCCGGACTTGCATCCCACTCGCATTGATAAGAAAGAACTCCTCACTAGCTCGATTCGCTGCTCCCGGTCTCTCAGAGCCCTTGAGGATGGCTGTCGCGATGTAGGAGTCACGCTTCAGGCTGCGGGACAAGCAGCATGGGCTCGCTTGCTTGCCGCGTATACTGGAGAACATAGCGTCGTTTTTGGAACTGTTCTCTCGGGTCGCAATTTATCTGCAGCTGCGCAGGAAGCTGTTTTCCCTTGTCTGGTTACAGTACCATCGTCTTCACGCATTGAAGGACCTAATCGTGAGCTTTTACACTGCACTTTGAAGCGAAATGCGTCCCTTGTAAAGAATCAGTTCACTCCATTGGCGCAGATTCAAAGGTGGCTTGGCAGTGACGAGCCGCTTTTTGATACTTTGTTCGTTTATCAAAAGTTTACGACAGTATCTGGTCGCTCTTGTGGCTGGGAAGTCGTCGATGAGGAGACCAAAATTGATGTATGTTTACAATGTTCTCCTAGGATGTTCGATTTTGGGTTACTGACGTCTTCCTAGTACCCTGTCTCTATTGAGCTGGTTCCGCATTCGACCGAGCTAGAAATCCGAATCAGTTACAGGGGTGACCTTATTCCGGAAGAGCAAGGCGCTGTTCTTTTAAAACAGTACAGCAGGTTGCTGGAGCACACTATCTTCTCACCAGATTCCAGCTCGGACGATTACCTTTCCCTCGGCAACCAGTTCCTCTCAGTCACACCCGCCAAGGAGAGAGTGATTCCCACTTCAGTATCTCTGCTCCATCAATTTGTCGAAGAGAGCGCTCAAAAGGTTCCAGAGAAAACTGCCTTCGAGTTTGCATTCGGGCCCAACGCAGATAAGCTGCAAAAGGAAACTTGGTCCTACCGGGAACTTAACGAGGACGGCAATCGAGTCGCCCATTTCCTGCAAGACAGGGGGGTCACTCCCGGCGGAATGATTGCCATCTGTTTTGACAAGTGTCCTGAAGCTTCTCTCGCAATTCTGGGAGTCCTGAAGGCTGGCTGTGCCTATCTGGCCATTGATCCCTCTGCTCCCATTTCGCGAAAGCAGTTCATCATGGAAGACTCCTCGACCACGCTCCTTCTTTGCAATCACTCACACAAGGCGGAGCTAGAGAGACTCTCTGGTATTGACATCCAGGCGCTAGATGAGCCTGGCAAATATCAGGACTTTCCTCCCGCGCAACCACTCTTGACTCGTGATATACAGCCTGATGATACATGCTACTGCTTGTATACCTCTGGCACAACAGGGACACCCAAGGGCTGTGAGATCACACATGAAAATGCTGTGCAAGCCATGCTTGCCTTCCAAAGACTCTTTTCGCCCCATTGGAACGAGGACTCTCGATGGCTGCAGTTTGCGTCATTTCACTTCGACGTCAGTGTACTAGAGCAATATTGGAGCTGGAGTGTCGGGATTTGCGTGACCTCATGTCCTCGCGACCTGCTGTTCGAAGACTTACCTGGGACAATCCAGAAGCTTGAAATCACCCACATCGATCTCACACCTAGCTTGGCAAGACTGGTGCACCCTGACGAGGTGCCATCGCTGTGTCGAGGGGTCTTCATTACCGGTGGTGAGCAGCTGAAACAAGAAATCCTCGATGCGTGGGGACAGCATGGAGTTATCTACAACGGATATGGTCCGACCGAGGTTACCATTGGATGCACAATGCTCCCACGAATGCGCGCGAATGACAAACCTTCCAACATCGGGCCACAGTTTGACAATGTGGGCTCATATGTCTTCCGACCTGGCACTTCGACGCCAGTTTTGCGCGGTGGCCTCGGTGAGCTTTGCGTATCGGGACCTCTTGTCGGAAAGGGCTACTTGAACCGAGCACAACTCACAAAGGAACGATTCCAGACTCTACCAGAATATGGAGACCGCGTCTACAGAACAGGCGACTTGGTTAGAATCTTGCACGACGGTAGCTTCCAATTCCTCGGCCGGATCGATGACCAAGTGAAGCTCCGCGGTCAGCGACTTGAGATCGGTGAAATCAACCAAGTTATCAAGCAGGCGAGCTCTGAGCTCAACGAAGTGGCTACGCTAGTCATCAAACACCCAAAACAATCCAAAGACCAGCTAGTTTCCTTCGTCACCAGAATTGATGCAGACAAGAAACCCCGCAATGTCGAAGTGCGCTTCTCTGAAACTGACCGGGTGTTGCTGTCAACGGTCAAGGATGCCTGTCACACACATCTTCCTGGATACATGGTACCAACACATATAGTCCCGATGACTCAGTTCCCTCTGTCTGCCAACAACAAGGCTGAGATGAAGGTCTTGAGAAGCATTTACCAGGATCTTTCTTTGGATGATCTGCAGAAACTAAGTTCAATGGCTGTCGAACAAGCAGTGAAAAGTGCGCAGGAGGAGGAAATCATTTCAGTTTTGTCCAAGTTTATTGGGTCTCCAGACTCGGCCATTTCGTTATGGTCGAGCATCTTCGAGTTGGGTCTTGACTCTATCTCGGTGATATCATTTGCCAGAAGTCTGAGGGAGGCGGGTTTCCCTGAAGCTCATCCATCGCTCATAATGAAGCGTAAGCCAGGTGTCTATATGTTTGCACGCAATATATCTAACAATTGCATACAGATCCGACTGTCACAGGAATGGCGTCAGCTCTACAGACATCTTCAGCGCCCTCGACCTCTCAGAGCGATCTCCACAGAAAGGCAAAGCAAAATATCGAGGCATTTGCTCACAAGCATTCTCATTCTGTTATCGAAAGTATCGGGGTTGTCGACAGTGATGTCGAGCAAATTGCACCTTGCACGCCGCTCCAGGAAGGTATCATTTATCATTTCCTGTCTAGCAGCACACCACTTTATTGCTCGTCTTTCGCGTTCTCATTACACTCCTCAACCAACATTGAAAGGCTGCAAAACGCTTGGAGCCAGGCACAACGCCAGGTACAGATGCTTCGAGCTCGCTTCTCGCCTTCTCCTGATGGCTACGCTCAAGTAATACTGAAGAATGACCCGCTTCCGTGGTTCTATATGGAGGCTCTTTCCGAAAAAAAATTGAAAGCTTGCGAAAGCAGCAGGTCCAAGCATGGATATCCGGCCTTGAAGGACTTTCGACACGGTTGTGGGAGGTTGGCGTCATTCACTCTCCTGAGAGGTCGGTGCTGTGTCTCAATATTTTCCATGCTCTTTATGATGGGAACAGCCTGGCTCTTCTTCTTGACCTGGTTGCCCAGATATATCTCAAGCGGCATGAGGATCTGGAACATCCTCCTGAGTTTCTGGATGTGTTGCATCTGGGGCCTCTTTGTAAAGCTCCGTTGGAGGAAGCATTCTGGAAAGAACACCTGACAGAAAGTCAGCCCAGAGTCCTAGCAGATTCCAACCACGCCAACGGCCTCACCGACTCACTTGTCCAAAAGATTCAAATCGATTCCACGGAGGATTTGGACCACCTGAGGAAGTCTCTCAACATTACCGAGCAGGCTATCCTCCATGCCAGCTGGCTATTGACCCTTCACCAACACTACGGATTCCTTTCACCGATTGGCATCATTGCATCTGGACGTTCAATTGACGTGCCAGGAATCGCCAATGTTATCGGTCCTTTGTTCAACACCATCCCCAGCAACGTGCAGCTTCGCGGGCTCAAGACATGGTCTGAAGTCGCTCAGCGATGCCATGAATTCCACGTTTCCACAATTCCCTTCCAATATACCGCATTGCGAGACATAGTGAAGTGGCTGGGGAAGAGTCCAGATGAGCGTCTCTTTGACTCACTATTCGTATTCCAGAGAGAAAATGCCGATATCGAGACGTCTACCAGCAAATTGTGGCAACCAACGGACTCGGAAGCGCAACATGAGTACCCTTTGGCTTTCGAAATCGTGCGCCACAGTAATGAATCTCTTACCCTGACAATCGCGGCAAAGGGCCATGTTCTATCTTTAGAAGCGGCGCAGCAGCTCCTGGTTAAATTTCAACAGGTTTTGTCTGACTTCTCTCAGAACCCAAGTCGCAAGCTGCCTTATATCAATGGTGTTGCGGGAGAGGATTATGCTCACACAAACGGCGAGCTAACCAAGCCAAACGAGCTAGATGGCCTGGAAGATACCACCCACAAAGCCTCATTCCACTGGACCAGTCAAGCCTGCACCATTCGAGACGTCATTGCAACCCTGGCCGGGGTAGATGTGCTATCAGTCGGTGAAGAGACATCGATTTTTGAAGTCGGTCTTGACAGCATCGATGCTATCAAACTGTCCTCGCGCTTGAGCAAGTTGGGCATCAAGCTTCCTGTGAGCGCCATCATGCGCTACCGCAATGTGAAGGCCATGACTAGCCAGCTTGCAGAGATAGTCCACGACGAGCAAAACGAAATATTCCCCCAGTTGGGCCAAATGGAAGAGGCATTGACAACATTCTTGCAACTTGAAGGACTTATGCCTGAGGGCGCATGCCGAGTTCTTCCTGCAACGCCAATTCAAGAGGGAATGGTTGCTGAGATGGTGGCATCTGAGTACCGGCACTACTACAATCATGAGGTTTTAGAGCTCGAGCCTCATGTGGATCCTACGAGTCTTCAGGAAGCATGGAGAGCCGTTGCCAAAGCCCATCCCATCCTCCGCACGTCCTTTGTTGAGGTTTGGGATCCAGAGATCTCGGTATCTTATGCCCAGATTGTTCACGATGAGAATACATTCGATTTCCGGACTGTGCATCTGAATGGAAATTCTCTGGATTCAGTTATTGAGTCGCAACGCATAAGAGCGGCCTCTGAACTCACCAATCGCCCTCTTCTGAGCTTGACCATGGCCGTTGATCAAGATGCTCGTTATCTTGTTCTCTCAATTTCCCATGCTCTCTACGACGGCTGGTCGATTAACCTGCTCCATGAAGATGTTGCAAAATCGTACACTGGTGAAAACTGTACCCGTCCTCCAGCTGATGACATCCTGGAGCAAATCATCGCATCATCGGGTGATCGTGCTCTTAGATTCTGGAGGGCGAGCTTGTCAAACTGCAAACCTGTATCTTTCCCACCAGGGGAGCATTCCGAGGCCGTTTCAAAGGTAGTTCATCGCGCAGAAAAACCGCTTTCTGTATCTTTTGACAAGGCGGAGGCCTACTGCAAGCGCCATGGTTTTACGATGCAAGCACTTTTGGTCAGCTGTTGGTCCCTTGTTCTCGCGACCTACGTCAAAAATCTGGACGTTATCTTTGGACTTGTTCTTTCGGGCCGCAATGTGGCTGAGTCGGAGAATGCGATGTTCCCAACGATGAACACAGTGGCCATGCGGGCAATCCTCCACGGGACTCGACTGGAAATGGTGAAATATGTTCAGGAGACTTTGTTGGAGATGTCTGAACACCAGCATTTCCCATTGCGACGAGCGAGACCCGACACAGGATCGCGGCAACTATTCGATACGCTCTTCATATACCAGAAGAGACCGGCTGGATCCCAGTCTGTGTGGCCTGTCCTGTATAGGTCCACTGGAGGAGTCTCAGATGTGGAATACCCGGTCTGCGCTGAGGTTGAAGGTAGTGGAAAGGACCTGGTGGGCCGGGTGGCTTGTCGAGGTAGTGTCCTTGGGGAGAAAGATACTTTTGCACTTCTGGAGCACATGTCACATGTGTTTTTGTCAATCGTTGACGAACCCGATCGGCAGACTGTCGATTTCACTGGCAACTCCATGGAAATCTGCGGGTATCTGATCGCTCCTGATTCTTCGGGAGATGCTGATGGATCCTCGTTGCCCCAGACCCAAGCGCCTGATCAAAGAGAATGGACACCTATCGAGTCTAAGATTCGCAATGTCCTTTCAAATGTGTCTGGCGTTCCTGAGGATTCCATTGGCAAGGAAGCCAATATCTTCCAGCTTGGTTTGGACAGTATCAGCGCCATCAAGGTTGCTGCACTTCTGAAGAAGCAAGATGTCAAACTTGTGGTCAGCGATATGCTAAGAGCCGGTACGATCGAAAAGATGGCTCAAGCAGTGAACAAGAACAATAAGGAACTCACTTTAACGGGCATTGTCAATGCTCTGAACGAATCGCTCAACGCCGTTGACGTTGATTCGTTGCTTCAGTCCTATGGGATTGATCCGCAGCACACCCAGAGAACAATACCCGCCACTGCCGGACAGACGTACTTCCTTGCCATGCACACCTTGAATCCCGACGTGTTTTATCCGAAGTTCTATTACTTGGCGTCAGCACATTTCAACCCGGGTGTCCTTAATAGAGCCTGGTCTCATCTGATAGAGGAAATGCCCATCCTCCGAACGGTTTTCCTCCCCACTGGCAACCCAAAACTTCCATACGTCCAAGCCGCTCTCGATTCGGTGCACAACCCTCCCACCTGGCACGATGAACTCGATCATGCTGTCAGCATCAGAAGTGACTTTGGGTCTACACCGGTTGCACTGCATGTCTGTCGGACATCCCAGGGAAACGCGCTTATGTTGCACCTCCACCACGCACTCTATGATGCTGTCAGTCTTCCATTGATGATGGACAGGCTTGCACAGCTGTGCAGTCAGCCCACGTCTGAATCTGCATCCATTTCGCACGACCTTTCCCGCCTCGTGGCATTCCAGCACTTTTACTCTCCTGTTGATGTTCGGCGGCAATTCTGGCAAACCTATCTGGGCCAAATCTCAACCGAGGGCACCGGAGAAGAGCGAGTGGGTGATTGGGGTGCCATCAAGCATGATTACCGGCCAGGGCTGGTTTCAAACGTGTCTCGAGTTGAGATAGCCGCCAAACGCCAGGGGCTCAGCATCCAATCGATCTTCCTGGCCGTATATGCTCGCGTACATGCCCAGATATTCGCTGCGACGGGGACCGACAGCCAAACGATGAAGCGACAGCTCGTGGTTGGCTTATATCTTGCCAATCGGTCGAACGGTATGGAAGGTCTTTCTGAACTGGTTGCTCCCACCGTCAATATTGTTCCACTCCGGTTGGATGACAAGCTCAGCAATGATCATGTTTCCCTTTTCACGGCTGCTCATAAGATCCAAGAGGATATAAACGAAATCAGCTTGGTGGAACATGCAAGTGTCTCTCTAGCAGAGATTGCCGAATGGACTGGGGTGCGAATCAGTACCTGCGTCAACTTCCTGCGACTGCCGGAGCGAGAATCATCCAACAATTATGCGAGTGATCGAGTGATGTTCCACCCAATCTCGCACGATGAGCTGGTACCTCTCCGGTTATCCAGCTCGAGTGCTCATCCGCTCGCCCCGCCCCAGACCAATGGTGACCCAGCCTTGTCCGTTTCAGTCCAAGCGACCGGGCCCGCCGCTTCAATGGCGGCTATGAACGAAGTTTTTCGGGTAAGCCGATCCATCCCGTAAATCCACTATGGCGAGCAGCGGACACTAATGCAATTCTACGTTTCCAACAGCCTACGATCGACGTGGAGGCAGCCATCCGAGAGGGCCGGCTGGACTTTGGCCTTTTCGCCCCTGATACTCGCCTCGACCGCCCCACCGCCGAGAAGGTAATAGAGGCAATAAGGCAAGAAATGGTGGCTTTAGTTGCAACCCCAGCATTTACATAGAGACCCCTGGAAGCGAGCATCGAAACGAGGAAAACTATGAATAGCAGGCTAGCTGGGTGCACCCTGCTTTGCTCAGCAACCTTGGGGCTTGTTTATTTTGCCGTTGAATCTTTTTCTCTTCTATTGAATTTTCCTTACCCGGAGCAGGACGCGTTCTCCTTTCCTGTGCATATATTTCTTTTTTCCCTGTAATTTTGACGGTTTGATGTGTTCGTTCTCACCTTTTGTGCCATTTTCAATATATCGATTTGCATAGAACCTGAGAGGCCGAGTGAAGATGATTGATGCTTGCAGGACCCACGGGAGACGCGGGACGGGCAGATCCCGGACTGATCGGCCACATCAGACTTTGTTGCCAAGCGGCCAGTTCCTTCTCCGCCATGTAAATAAACAGGATCGCCTAGGGATTGTTCAAGGGCTCCTTCAGATACCGGATATTCTGAGCTCGAACCACAGATAGGACTGTGGGCAGTCCACACAAACTTTAAAGAGTCTGCCTGTTGCTTCGGAATGACATAGTGGAGAGTCAACGGCTCCCGGAAGCGCTGAGCCGCGAGCGCTCGGGCTGGAGCCGGAATGGAAGGGTTGGCGCTCATTCCTGGGCCGTCCTGGACGGAAGATAGTACACAAACAGGCTTGATGGATCAGATGAGAGATCCATTGACCATGGGGAGTGGGCTCATGGGTGGCAGCCCGAGGCAAGGGGAATTCGCGTGGCGGGCCTATGGAAAGCCCAACAATGGGCGGGGCGCGTTGTGTGTGGGGCGCAGTGGCACTGGCTGGCCCCGGCCGTCCGAGCCGTGCAACATTGGCTTTTTCGTTCACCAAGCTGCACGGCGTTTGTGGTTCCCACCCTATAGTGGTAGTCACGGTCATGGAGCAGGCCACGTAGTGGACAAAGTTTTGGTTACCACACATCCTACATCCTGAGTGGCGTTCTTTTGGGCGCAGGGGCGAACCCGGAATCGTCTCCCCAAAAAGCAAGCGCGTCGGGCCTCACAGACCAAGTAGCGCAGGAGCCACTCTGCATCACGTCTGCGGGTAACAGTCAGGATCCGGATGAGAGCTGGACTGGTAGAGGGGTAGTGTCCCGTCCATTGGCTCTGTACGCTGTGTGTCGGTCAGTCTCCCTGGCGGTATAGATCAGATGCGGGTTACATAAGCGCTATTTGTTTATGTCACGACGCGTCCCCGCCACTAATCCCAAAAGGGCATCGAGGATCAACAACGCGACGTGCGCGTTGATCCGTTGGCTGCCAGTCGGGCCTACAGTCATTTATTCTCTTGCATCTTCGTGCCTTTGCCTCCCACATTCCTGCTATCCGCCATCTTCCTCTTCCACTCCATCGGTCGCTCCGTCAACTGCGCTCTGGATCGTCCGGAACCCTACTCTCCTCTCGATCACAAACTCGACCTGTGCCCAACTCGCGTGGGCTGATCTCGCTCGCGGCCGCCTTGGAGGGGGATCTACCCCTTGCACGTCTGGTCTTCCTTGAAACACTGGAAGTACCCACGCCCAGGCATCGGCCCTGCCTCGTTCAGATCCCTCGAGAAGGGCATCGACATCATCATCCCATCATCCGGTGCCTGCGACTCCGAATGTCTGTGTGCCAAGCCTGAAACATTCCGGCGCGACCCCTCGAAACAATCGGCAGAGACACAGCACGCCTTATCTTGTCTGTCCTGCCCCAGGAGCACGCGCCTTGTTTTGGGACCCCCCGCGCGTGATCGGAGGACCATCACTGAATTCCTGTCGCCTCGCCATGAGTGGATGAATCGCGACTGCCCTTCGCTCCTTCCCTTGTCACTTTGCGGCTGCGCCTTCCCAGCATTCCAGTGTGCCTATTTTGCGTGCCTGCACCGACAGGGTCACCAGCAGCATCCTTTTGACTCTCTCGGGTTGACTGCCTGCCCACTTATTCTCTCTTTGAAGACCGCATTTGGTGTCGCCTCAAGTCGCGTCACAGGCGCTCTTTGTGGAGGATTAGGCCACACCCTCCTTTCTGTCGACCTCTTGTTAAAACTATCCTATATCACAATCCTTGACTTACTGAAAGCTTGGGCGACCCTTTCCACTGAAATAGCGTGGGAGATCAACTCGGTGTGATTGGATCGACGTCTCATTCTGGGCTTGTTGCGCGGCACGTCAAGCAACACATTCCCCATCATGGTTGCGACCTTTTCACCACACCGGGACTCTGGGGGCACCCTCCACCTGCCATCCCACTCGCCGCTCCATCACGTCGATGCCACTTCCGCCATCCGCCAGCTTCGGCGCTCGTTGTCGCGCTCGCCTTCCAAAAGCTCCAACTTCTTCCTCAATTCACGGAACCACTCCCCCTCCAAGTCCGCCCCATACGTCTCCTCACCTCTGTCGCCCTCGCGGCGATCCGCTCACAACAACTTTGTTCTCTTCCCATCTAGCAGCCAGCAATCACCTCTTGCAGTCCCATACCCACCTAGCGCAAAGATTACACGACCGGCCATGCGTCGGCGAACCTCCCCGCGCAGCCCGGCCAAGCGCGCTCTCACCGTGTCCGCCGACGGCGGCAACGCGATTTCAACTCAACCCATTTCCATTGCGCCAGGTGAAGAAAATGCCTTGACACTGGACGACTTGGCCGATCCAAGTGAGAGTAATACCTGCGGCAGTCCGCGTTTGGGCGCCACTCCAGCTGCCTCTCTGACCGAATCTACTCTTGCGCCACGACCCACTTTGTCGCGCATTGAAAAGCGACGGAGTGGCACCTTTGGAACCTTTGCGACAGTCAGTCCTTTGAAGCGCAGCGACGGGATCATGAATCTGGACCAAGCCTCTCGCGGCAGTCCCTCGGCAAAAAGACGCAGTGTTCATGCGTCCAACTTTGCGACTGACTTTAGCATCTTTGACCACGATAGTGAGACTGCGCCGGCGAGTCCTGCTGGGAATAACAATGAATTGCCATCCTTCCCGACTCCTATCCAACCTTTCAGCCCGTTCGCGACTATTCCCAAGCGATCTTCCTCACTGCGGCGATCAACTTTGCAGCAGCGACAGGGGGAGCGCTCTCTCTTTGGTCGGCCCAGGGCCATGGGTGATGCCGAGGGATCGCCTGGCACTCCGTTGGTAGTGCGGCCGCGCATGTCGTTTGATAGCGGCCTTTTCCAATCTGGTCAAGAAACCAGCAACCTCTTTTCTCCTCGTCCACCTCCCGCCAATCCTCTCTTTTCGCCAAACCCACCCGCCATGAACACAAACACCAATGTTGGAACCACTCAGCCTCCTCGCCCTGCTGCTCACCCTCTCTCCCGTACGATCACTCAATCCTCCTCTGGATCGAGTCTCGAAGACTCTCCTACCCATGAACCCGTCCACAAGCCTGAGCGCGCCCCACGACCACTTTTCAACTTCTCCAAATCGCTTCCAGCTGGCGCCACACGGCCTGCGCCGGTGCGCCGGGTGACTCGTGAAGACTCAGGCGAGTCGTTCGCGACACCGGAGAATTACAAGCTCGTCAAGCCTTTGCCAGCTGCTTTCATGTCCACCGGATTGATCTCGAAGAAGAATCGCAATGCAGAGGAGCCACATGCTGGGGGGTTCAACAAGAACATGCCGGATACCCCATGCAAGCGGCCCGTCAACCTCTTCACGGCTGGAGCAAACCCTCCACCAGACAGTCTTTTCAACAAGTCTCAATTCGGTCGACCGTCTGAGGCGGCGCCTGCATCCCCATTCAACCCACCTGACTCGTCTGCTCGCCCGACGGCCGGTCCCTTTGCCCGCGGCATGGGCATCTTCGGCAGCAACTTCAGCCGTCCTGAAGCATCGCGCCGTGGGAGCGTCGTGAGCGTCGATGGTGACGACATGCTGCAAGCCCAGTCCCCATCTTCGCGCCATGACAGCCAACCCCTGACTGATTCCGACTTCCCTCCTACTCCTACTAAACAGACTTTCCTCCCATCTCGCACCTATCCTCCAACCACCTCTCAGATCGCCTCGCTGGAGCGCCTCTCGGAATCGAGGGGCAGCGCCAATTCGACTCCTCTACGTGATCGGTTCCTGCAGGCTTCCACTTCCCCTCGTACCCCTCGCGATCAGTTCTTCCCTCCCGACCCCAGCGGCTTGTCCATCTCCGCGCCGAACGAGCAGCAGTGTCTCCAACCCGATTTCGGCAGCAGCACCAATCTTCCTGCGACCCCGACTGGTCCTCGCGAATCTTTACTCTCGAGCAAGCGCCCTAGTCTCCAGCTGAGTGGGTATCATGCTCCTGATGTCGACTCCAGCTTGACCTCCCGCTTTGAGAAGGTTGAGCTCATTGGTACCGGGGAGTTCTCTCAGGTCTATCGGGTTGCTCAGCCTCATGATGCCGCCTTTCCTTCTATGTTCTCCCTTCCCTCCAGTGGCCCCAAGTCGCCCACTCTCTTAGCTCAACAGGTATGGGCTGTGAAGAAGAGCAAGCAACCGTACACGGGTTTGAAGGATCGCGAGCGCCGCATTCGCGAGGTGGATATCTTGAAGACACTAGTCAACGCAGATCACGTTGTCTCCTTCATGGACAGCTGGGAGGACAATTGCCACCTCTACATCCAAACTGAGTTTTGCGAGGAGGGAAGCTTGGATGTTTTCCTGGCTCAGGCTGGCCTCAAGGCCCGACTTGATGACTTCCGCATCTGGAAAATCCTGCTTGAGCTCTCTTTGGGACTGAAGCATGTTCATGACCAGGGTTTCATTCATCTTGACCTGAAGCCAGCCAACATTCTGGTCACCTTTGAAGGTGTGCTGAAGATTGGAGACTTTGGTATGGCTACCCGCTGGCCTGCTGAGGATGGTATTGAGGGCGAAGGGGATCGCGAGTATATTGGCCCGGAGATTCTGATGGGCCGCTTTGACAAGCCCGCCGATATCTTCTCCCTTGGTCTAATCATGTTTGAGATCGCCGGTAACGTGGAGCTGCCTGACAATGGAGTGTCATGGCAGAAGCTTCGCAACGGTGATATGAGCGACGTGCCCAGTTTGACCTGGAGCTCGGAGACTAGCATCTTCCGTGACGCCTCTGGCAACCCCGTCTCTAATGAGTCGTCCTTTGAAGCGCTCTGTGCATCTGACCTGGTTGATGACGACTTTGGTGATGAATTCCTGACTAGCCGCAAAATTAGTGGCCACAAGCCGTCCCGACTCGCCCGCAGCGGCGAGCTTGTCGACCCTCCCATCTTCATGATTGACGCTCACCATAATCAAGCTCTGGACAAGATCGTCCGCTGGATGATCTCTCCTGAGCCCCATGATCGACCTACTGCCGATCAGATTCTGGAAACCTACGGCGTACAATTTGTGAACCAGCGCCGCCGTGCTGGTGCTACCGTCTTCGAGGGCAACTGGGGTCCTGCGGACGAGATCTTGGCTGAAGATGCCGAAATGATCGATGTGTAATCTATCTCCCCTTTTCAACTAGTTGTGCATATGGAGGGTGTTCCGTGCTTGATGTCCATTTCCTTTGTCATCTGTCGTTTCTGGTGTTGACACGACTGGGCGCTTTGATGTTTCCTTCTGATTCTTGCCTGTCTTTCATGTCACGTTAACTGATCACGATCATCCTCTTTTCTTTTTTGCCTTCGGCTTCTCGGGTCGAGGCCATCCTCTTTTGTTTTCAATTGGTCTCCCATTTGTGGTGCCATCCTGATCCTTATCGCTTGGATCCTGCTTCGCCATCTTATCCCAGTTGTCTGGACGTTTGTTTCACTTGTCATGACCCGGAGGAGTTTGCAGAGGGTGCAATACCCAGAGCTCAGCGCGGCGTTTCTCCATTCGTTTTGTGGCGTCTTGTTTATTTAACCTATTCATTTCCTTTGTACTTGCCTAGCATTACCAGGTGTGACGAATGTACGAACATCCCTCAATGCAACAGGTTGCTCATTCATACGGGCTACTAGGGCTGCTGTCGTGAGTGTTTTCATCATATTCTTACGCGCTGGTGTCCTTGTCCTCTTTTGCTCTCAAAGGCCATCTTGTTTAAAAGACTATGAATGATTCCCGCCATGCTTTGTTGGATTAGCGAGATCTGTCTGTGTTGTGGCTTTTTTGTGTGACCAGCTTGATTCCATGTTCGTGTATAGATGGAATCCGAATGATATCCCAAGTGTTTGATAAATCACCAATCAGTTCGCTCCACGTAGCCAAATGTAGAATTCCAAAGTTAGTCGTTAGGCTCTAGTAGACAGATGTACTGTGTGGTTGCAGCATATGTACCTACCGATATGTATCTGTGCAGAGCGGCAAGCGGAAAGCTATACTTCGGAAGACGAGATGTTCCCGCCGTCGCGTTTCCGGGATCGCCACTCAGATGGTCTTGGCGCAACCTCCGAGCTCTGCTCTTCACGTACGTTGCATCCTAAATTTTATCTTCCAGCCCACATCTCCATTACTGGTCCCCGGCTGGCCACTACACGCATTCCTTACCTTTGCGCACTATGTGCCCTGCCATCTAACACGCATCAACGACCTTCGCAGTCCCCGGAGCAGCCCAGGAGACCACCCTGATCCTCCGCAGACTCCGCACCCATCATGGACAACAAGACTTTCGTGTCCGACTCCCTCATCCGCCTCACCGGCGCATCAGACCCAATCGCCATTGACTTCATTCTTGCGGAAGCGTCATCTGCCAAGTCCGCCTCCTCCCTCCAAGACAAACTCGTTTCTTTCCTCGATGGCAGCCCCGACGAGATTGGCGCATTCTGTGGGCAGCTCTTCTCCAGGGTGGGGAAGAGCAGCAGCCGGCCTGGCGCATCTTCACAGCCTGCTGTGAGCAAAGAGTCCACGAAGAAGAAATACCGTCTCGTGGATATGGGCGAGGATCTCCCTGATCCCGCCTCATCACTAGAACCCGTCAATGTCGAAGCGGAGCGCGATAGACGGCGGCGCCGGGATACGGAGCGGGACAGCGACCGCGACCGAGAGCGGAGCCACCGGGACTCTGAGCGCAGTCGCCGGGAGAAGGACGATAGCCGGAAACGAGACCGCAGCCGGGACCCTGAGAGCCGAGACCGACCACGAACGAAGAAGTTGCGGCAGAGAGACACACATGACTTCGATGGCCGCTGGGGCGACGAAGAGATTCCCGAGAATGATCTAGGCATCGGCGAGGACGAGGACGAGTTTGCCGAATCACCCTCGAAGCGAACACGACTCGAGGATGGATCAGCCTCTCCGCGTGCCGCCTCGCCAGCCGAGGACATTGACCCCCAGACCAAGCAGGAAATGGAGCGGCAAAAGGATCTACGTGAGCGAGATGAGTTTGCGAAGCGATTGGCCAACAAGGAGAACTCCAAGTCTAAGAAGATCGTGGAGGACCGGACAAGGGATGGTGAAGCAGCGCGACGCCGTGCACTGGCTGACGATGCCTCTGCGCGAGCAGCTGTGATGCCTGACCTGCGCGAGCGCTCCCGACAAGAATATTTGAAGAAGCGCGAGGCCGAGCGACTGGCCCTGCTGCGGCGCCAGGTTGCAGAGGAGGCCGCGGAGCTGCGCGACAACCCGAATCTCACGCGCCGGGAGAAGGAGGAATTTGCGCGAAACCGGCAAGTTCTTCAGATTGCGGAGGAGCGACTACGCATCGACGACCATCGCGATGGTTATATGATGCCGGAGGATTACATCACGGAGAAGGGCAAGATTGACCGTAAGAAGAAAGAAGATGCGCTGTACAAGCGGTACGTCGATCGCGACGAGGCGGGCCAGGAGCGGTTCGTTACCGAGCATGAGGAATGGGAGCTGGAGCAGGCTGCCAAAGCCAAGGCGCAGATCAAGAAGGCCGACTTTGTTGACGAGGGGGACTACGAGTATGTCTTCGATGACTCGCAGCAGATCAACTTCGTGCTGGAGTCCAAGCTGGAGGGCACGCAGAAACCGATGACACAAGAGCAAATGCGGTTCAAGGAGCAGGTAGATGCCGCAGAAAAGAAGGCTGCTACGATAGAGGAGACACGGAAGAGTCTGCCTATCTATCAATTCCGTGATCAGATCATCCAGGCTGTGCATGACCACCAAGTTCTGATTATTGTGGGTGAGACAGGCTCTGGTAAGACAACCCAGATCCCACAGTATCTCCACGAGGCTGGCTTTACCAAGGACGGCTTGAAGATTGGTTGTACTCAGCCGCGTCGCGTGGCTGCCATGAGTGTCGCAGCCCGTGTGGCTGAGGAAATGGGTACCAAGCTTGGCAACGAAGTCGGCTACGCGATCCGTTTTGAGGATAACACGAGCGACAAGACGATCCTGAAGTATATGACTGACGGCATGCTTCTGCGAGAGTTGCTCACGGAGCCGGACCTGGGCCAGTACTCGGCACTGATGATCGATGAGGCCCACGAGCGGACCGTGCCGACGGATATTGCTTGCGGTCTTCTGAAAGATATTGCCAAGGCGCGGCCCGATCTGAAGCTACTCATCTCATCCGCGACCATGGATGCACAGAAGTTCCAAAAGTACTTTGACGATGCGCCCATTTTCAACATCCCTGGTCGCCGGTACCCCGTTGACGTGCATTACACCTCGCAACCCGAAGCCAACTATCTCGCAGCCGCCATCACCACCGTCTTTCAGATCCATGTCACCCAGGGAACTGGTGATATCCTTGTTTTCCTGACAGGCCAAGAAGAAATCGAAGCTGCGGAGCAAAGTCTACAAGAAACAGCACGGAAACTCGGCAGTAAGATACCGGAGATGATAATCTGTCCCATCTACGCCAATCTGCCGTCCGAATTGCAGACCAAGATTTTCGAGCCCACGCCACCCAAGGCGCGCAAGGTCGTGCTGGCGACTAATATTGCCGAGACCAGTCTGACCATCGACGGCATTGTCTACGTGATTGACCCTGGGTTCGTGAAGGAGAATGTGTTCAACCCCCGCACGGGCATGGAGAGTTTGGTCGTGACCCCTTGCTCGCGGGCCTCGGCCAACCAGCGAGCCGGTCGTGCTGGACGTGTTGGCCCTGGTAAATGCTTCCGGTTGTATACTAAGTGGGCGTACTACAACGAATTGGAAGAGAACACTACGCCCGAGATCCAACGCACTAATCTCAACGGAGTGATTCTGATGCTGAAGTCGCTGGGCATTGACCAGCTGCTTGACTTCGACTTCATGGACCCGCCACCGGCGGAGACCATTATCCGCGCCTTGGAGCAATTGTATGCACTGGGTGCATTGAACGATCGAGGCGAACTCACCAAAGTGGGCCGGCAGATGGCCGAGTTCCCCACCGATCCGATGCTGGCCAAGGCCATTCTCGCCGCAGGCCAGTACGGCTGCGTGGAGGAGGTGCTGTCGATCGTATCGATGCTCGGTGAAGCTAGCGCGCTATTCTTCCGGCCGAAGGACAAGAAGATCCATGCCGACAGCGCGCGCAATCGATTCACGATCAAAGAGGGCGGCGACCACCTCACGCTGCTCAACATCTGGAACCAGTGGGTTGACTCAGACTTCAGCTTTGTGTGGGCGAAGGAGAACTTCCTCCAGCAGCGCAGTCTGACGCGTGCGCGCGACGTGCGCGACCAGCTCGCCAAGCTGTGCGACCGCGTCGAAGTGTCTGTTAGCACGTGCGGCTCGACCAACCTGGTGCCTATCCAGAAAGCAATTACAGCCGGCTTCTTCCCGAACGCGGCGCGGCTGCAGCGCGGCGGCGACAGCTACCGCACGATCAAGAACGGGCAGAGCGTGTATCTACACCCATCCAGCACGCTGTTCGAGGTCAACCCGCGCTGGGTGATCTACTTCGAGCTGGTGCTGACTAGCAAGGAGTATATGCGCAGCAATATGCCGTTGCAGGCGGAGTGGCTGGTGGAGGTTGCGCCGCACTATTATAAGAAGAAGGATCTGGAGTCGCTGGGGCTGGATCGCAAGGTTCCGAAGGCTACTGGGGCGGCTGGGGAGAAGAGTCGAGGGTAAATCAGGTAAATCAGGTAAATCAGGAGAGTACATACACCTAAATTAGAAGAACTGTTTCTGCAACCCCAGTCACCCACCGTACCTGACACTGTTCGAGAACCAACCATGTGCGTGTTAATTGAGTATGCCATACTGCCCATTCCATAAGACGCGGAATAATCATCAAACCTAGCCGATGCTGGATGGTTCAATAGGCGACACTCCGGCAGACCAGATTAGCCCCTGGCCACCTAGACATCTTTTCCACAAAAGTCACTGGATAGTTTTATATCGACTAGACCGTCCCACCCTCACAACTGCCCTTCAACTGACGAATATTCGGAAGAAACGAACGATATTCCGGCCCATAGTCCACACTGCCGCCAATCAGCAGCATGCCATTCGCAATGGCCCCGACCGCGGTAACACAACTGGACCTCGGCCCCGCCCTCACCCCGGACTCCACCCTGCGCAGCCTTTAAACGTCACACTCACCCCGTCGGATCCCTTCTCGTTTCCCGCAACACTCTGCATCCCCGCACATATCCACCATGTCGCAGTCCTTCACCCCCGCCGACGTCGCCGCACACAACAGCCCGGACAAGGGCATGTACATCATCGTCGACACGGCCGTCTACGACGTCACCAAGTTCGTCGACGAGCACCCCGGCGGCGCGAAGATCCTGAAGCGCGTAGCCGGCAAGGATGCGTCCAAGCAGTTCTGGAAGGTGAGTGCTAAAGAAGACTGGGCCTGAACCCGCTATCTATCCTCTTTCCCCCCTCATCCCCCTATATGGTCATGATAATCATATGCCTGGCGTGGGCTAACTCCGGATCCACGACAGTACCACAACGAGTCCGTGCTGAAGAAGTACGCGCCGAAGCTGAAGATCGGCGATGTCAAGGAAGCTGCAAAGCTGTGAGATTCTGACTATAGAAATGGAAAGGGAAGAGCGATAAACGGCCGACTCCTCATCCCGTGCTGTCGAGCGTGATTGAGCCTCGGAACATACAAAGCGGAGGGGCGATCAGGTCGGGGGCTGGCGGACTGGTGGGCATGTCATGTCATGCCAGCCCACACTGTGAGATGGGACTGGGACTTTGGTGGGTGATCGATATTGATGTCGATGTTGGTGTTTCTGGATACGTCTACCTAGAATTGGAGTATCGAGAAGATGTGTTTATACCCGCTTTATACGACCTACTTTCTGCATCTTTACTTTCTACATTTAGGGTGTCTGATATTGGTACTGAGAAGGGAGTGCATACTATTTGCCATAATGGCCTCATATGAGATGGTGGTAAAATGTGTAAAATAATGAAGAGAAAGAAATATTGATCAACTCCAACGCCCCCATAATCCATCGCTACTTCGAATTGGTATCCTTTCGCACAATGGTATCAACATGATCAAAGCAAAAAGAAAGTTCAAAATCAATTGAACAAGAGATATTCAAGGCAAAAAAGAAAAGAAAAGAAAAGAGAAGGGAAGGGAAGGGAAGGGAAGGGGAAAATAGAAATGTTAGGTATGTAGGTCAGAATGGGTGTCAGTGTCAATATCAAGACATAGAAAAATAAAACATATACATGAGCTGCACATGTAAGAAATGTCAAATGTGTCAGTCAAGATGGCGATCAAGAACCGGCGCCCCAGAAGAGAGAGAATAGCAATCGAACTGAATGAGAAGAGGAGAGAAAAGGAGAAAAGGATGAAAAGGAAAGCTGGGAAAAAGGAGCCAGGAAAAGGCCAGCCGACCCTAGAACCCACGGAACGGATCCGACCGAAATGAAAGCTCGCTTTCATCAATAGACGGCGCATCATACTGACTCCACTGACTAGACGCCTTGCGCGCATGTCGCGAGCGCGCGGCCGGCATCGCACGAGGCCGATTAATCTGCTCGGCATGGTGATCAATGAACGCCTCCATGCGCACGGTGCCAACATCAAACATGTTGCTAGCAGCGGTATTCGTCGTGCGCCCGCTCGCCTCAGACATCCGACTAATGCTGCTGCGGCCGCTGCCAACACCCGTTGGCAAGGCGGGCGGCGGGACGGGCGAGAAATAGGGTTCCGAGGAGCCGGTCGTCCCGCTGTGGACGGAGGGCATGGTGCCCTGGCTCGAGAAGCTGCGGATAGCGTGCAGGGCAGGCGGGCGCGGCGCGGTGTTGCTACGCTTGCGGGTGTGCGTGTTGTGGCTTGAGAAGCGGGGCACGTGCGGCGCGTCGGCGGCCATGTTGTCTAGATGGGTGGGAGGAAGCTCCGGGACTGGAGCGCTGGGCAACGAGTGTTTGCCTTTTGGTATGGGGCGTGGCCTGCCCTTTGCAACGCGGATGGAATCGCGGATAGGATTGCGGCGGAGCGTGGCTTGGGATGGGTAGGAGGCCTCTTCTTGCGGAGCAGGGGGGAGAGCAGCGAGGTCTTGCAGGCCCGTGGAGGAATGACTGAGGAAGGAGAGGGCCGTGAGCCAGACGTAGTGGCGTTCGATGGTGAGCGCGGTGAATTTGAGAGCACGCTGTGGTGTCAGGACTAGGATAGAGCGATGGAAAGGGGGTGAGGTGCCGGCGCCCTTCGGTATTGGATTGTCGTCTTTCACGTCTAGGACGGATTGGATGGTGACTAGAAATATGGATGAGCATGATGGCGTTGGGGATATCGAAAATGATAATCAACGGCGACTTACACTTGCGGCCACTCTTACCCAGAAGGGCAAGGCCGCTGGTCGGCTGCTTGCTACTCCACATAATAGCACCCTCGTACGGCGCAAGCCAGACCCATCGCTTATGCCGGACACCACTGTTGGTGATGTTGGCTGATACCTCGTCGGGGTTCTTCCCCTCCCAGTGATCCTTGGACTCGCCCATGCCGAAGGACTTGCGGCGGCGGACGTACTTGAACATCCACTCGCCGACCATGGTTTGCGCAATGGCGTCCACGACACTGGTCGGCTGCACGCCGCCAGTCGAGTCATTCCGCTCATGGTCCCAGGTCATGGATGGCGCGGCGCGGTGCGAGACCCTTTTCTGGCCGCTTCGCTGGTCACGCGGAGCTGTGATATCATCAAAGGGCATAGGCGGCGGGGGGTAGGAGGGGCTATCTAGGGCGAAAGAGGAAGCTGATCGAGCTGGGGAAGAGCGGGTTTCTGGGCGCTCCGGGAGGTCGGAGTTGGACATAGCTGCTGCGGAACGTACCCTGCGCAGGGTTGGTCGTCTCACAATGGTTGCACGGCCTCCGCGGTCGGAGAATTGTCGACCGGCTGAGCGAGTTGGGCTTGGAGGTCCGTCGCTGCCAGTCAGTGGGATCTTTCGAGAGCTGAGGCGGATCGGCACAGGGAAGGGCGGGGCGATACTGGATCCTGCGCTGCCGCTGTCGAGGCTGGGCTCACTGGGGCTGCGGGCACGGGTCTTCTGGTGTGCTGCCGCGCCGCTGGAAATCATGGCCATCTTGCGCATGACCGGCGGGCGGCTGCCGGAGGAAGCGATACTTGCATTTGATCGATAGGTGGCGGCACGAGTACCACGGCCAACGTCAGAGCGTCGAGACTCGGGATCAGACAGATGCTCGTCGATTTCAGGAAGAGGCATCTCGTCGAGACTGGACCTGGACTTCGCATTGACCATCTTGCCACGACGGAGAGTGTATGAAGCAAACGGACGGTTCAGGAGCTCATCGTCGGTGAAAATATCACGCTCCTCTGCGGCAGGATCTTCGTCGTCACTCAGCTGTTCGAACCCAGCAAAGAGACTGCTGGAGCGGAATGGCCGTCGGAGACCAGATGACACCAGATCATCCGAGAGTGGACCGTTGTCGTTATTGCCCGGATAGGCCTGCACAGGATCTGAAGCCAGTGCACGGGGTGGCTTTGCAGGTCGCTCAGCAGTTAAGGGCCGCTGCTCTCGTTTAGAAGAACGCGGAGGAGGTACAGGTGGGCGGTATGGCTGATAAACTGGCTCTTTGATTTCGGATCGGGTTGGTAGATCTGGAATGGCGGAGGGCAAGAGGCTGGCCGGGAGTTTGACAGGACGCTGATCGATGCGGATCTCCTCAGTCTGGATCGCGACCGACCGTCCTTCGACGACGGACCTGAAATTGGCTTGAACAGACACATTCTTGGTCTGCGGCGGGAGAACGACACTATTGCGAGGCGAAGCTGGTTCTGAGCCCGGCGGGTGTATAGCAATCATCGGAATATCCATCTTCTGCGAGGGAATGACGTTGGGCGACAGGATAGCCTTCTCAGCCTCCGATGGCTCAGGCTCGGGGATGGACTCCGTCTGTGTCGAGGCTGATGCCATTTGCACTGGCTTTGCGGCTGCTTCGGTTGGCTTCTGAACAGGCGACTCGGGCACCTTGGGTGTCCACGGGGGACTGGGCAGTTCGCCGATAGTCTGGCAAGAGCTGGACACCATTTCGACCTTGATAGTCAGCGTCGACGAGTCCCTCATCTCAGGCAGTTCTTCGTCAATATCGGCTTGGGCGTTTAGTGTCGCGATTACTGCAGGTATGGGCTCGGCTTCTTCTGCCACAGCCTTCACCTCGGGCGACGACGGAGGGGAGTACTGGATACCGGTGTCGCGATAATCCACACGTGGTCTTTCTACTTTTGCCGGGCTGACCATATCGATGGCACGGAACTCAGCAGCCGTAGGAGACCCGTTGCTTTGCATCGAAAGACCCAGGATTTTCCTCGCCTTTGAAGCAATCGTATGAGATGCCGTCGAATGGACAGACATCGGCCTTTCTTCAGGAAGCGCTCCCGGAGAGGCGGGTGTTTCATCATCATCCGACACGACAAACTCTTCCTCTTCATCAAATGCCAATTCCTGGGCCAAATTCAAACCCGAATCGCCCTTGCCGGGGGCCATGCTCATGACTGAATATCGAACATTGTGATACTCGGCATCATTGTCGTCCTCATCCGTCGTCACGCTGGTCATACTCGTGCGCCGACGGCCCTGGCTGCTCGAAGCGACACTGGCCGTGTCGCTGCCTTTCGCCTTATGCTTGGCGATTTCGTCATTCTCGCTATGCTGCGAGGTAAGCGTGCCAGCTTCCTGCGCCGCTGCGACCTCACTCAAGACCGTTTTCAAACGGCCCTCCACTACGTGGACTTTGCGTTCCAGATTCCGTCGCTCATTGTCCCACGTCTCGCGATCGCGATCCCACAGCATCTGCGTCCGCTCGACCGCGTCTTCGCGGCTGCGAGCTCGTTTCTGAATTTGCTCGAGCTTCCTACGGGCATCATTGATGTTCTCGACTGCTTCGTCCCGCTCGCGGGCCAGCTCCGTCATCGCCGACGACGTCCCGCCCTCCAGCAACTGGATCTGATGCTTCAGGGAGCGCGCCTCTCGGGTAGCCTGGGACAGGTTCTCGCTCAGCGTCTCGCTTTCCGTCCTCGATTCATCCAAACTCTGTTCCAAGGAATCGATTGCTTTTGTTTTGCTCTCCACCTCCCGGCGGAGGTTGAGGATCTCAGAAACAAGCGACGCATGGAGGGTGGGCGTGATTCTGCGGGGGTCGAATGGTGAGAGTGTATCCCCCTCCATGATCTCGTCGTCTAGATCGCTATGTCCGTCGGGTGAGAATGCCGGCGTCGGCAGACCTGGCGGGGAGGAGGGCGGCGCGGGGGACGAGTCTCGACGCCGTCGAGCCGGCCTCGACCTCGATCTCGTCTTGGAGCGAGCTCGGGATGTCGACGGTGCCGAAGAAGGTTGAGCCATGGGGGCAACCGGGGGTTGTAAATCCGTTGTCATCTCGTATTGCGCGTGCAACGGAAGTGTCAAACCATCACCTGGGTATGTTCGTTTCCCTGTGCTGACCAGAGCACGACACGGTCGTGTCCCATTCAATCGACCGTCTACCGTAATTCAATCATGCGTACCAGAAGAAAATTGTCTCGTGTCTCAGGGGTATCGTGCCGCGTCGTTTCGCTGGGAGAAGCCGCGTCTTGCGCAAGGGTGGTTTTTTCTTTCGTTCGCCGACAAACCGCTCGAAAGGAAACAATGCAATTCAACGTTGGCTGCGGTGGAACAATCAGTCAGCCACGTCGTTGCAGCGCGTATGCGGATGCACACCCTGAGCGCGAGGGGAGCCCAGTACAGCCGGTGTTCATATGCACGGAGGTCCCCTTGGTCTACTTACAGGGAAGCAATACAGGATGTCGAAAATCGGGGGGTTGGATCGGGCAGAGAGGTGGCGGAGGGATGCAGATGGATCAGATGTCAACCGGCCCCCTGGGAGATTGGAATGGGGGTATTGGGATATTGGGGGGTAGAGCGGCGTGAGCGGGCTTCGAGAAAGGCCGATCGCGATCGCTCGAGACCGGCGGACAGATGTACGTATGGGGACCACCCAGAGGGAGCACAGGCGCAAGTCCTGACCGGGTCCGTTCTGGAGGGTCGCGATCTGCCACTCGAATTACGAACGAGGCAACGATCTGAGACGCCGACTCGATGCCGACTCGGTCGATTGGACGTAGATGTGACTTCAGACTTCTGCGTAGATCAGCCTTGCGCAGATGTCGGGACCCGGCTGCGAAACGCGCCTTTTTTTTTGGCCGAAAAAACAGAGGTCCAGGGGTGTTTGTTAGGGTTTTTAGGGGGGGGGCATGGGGAAGCTAGACAGCGAAACCCGATTAGCCCAGATGCAAGCTTGCTCCGCTGTGAGCTGCCACCTAAGACACTAACTCATCACAGCATGGCCCCAATTTTCGAGCTCCGGAGCATCAGAAACCATGTGTGCACAACCGCCGCAGCAGGTCCGTTCACAATGGCGATTGGCAATGCAGTCTGACAGCTTGAAACCCTGTCGGCCGTCTACCATGGAAAGCATGCGAAACCCCGGGCGTACCGTAGTTGGCGGGTCTTCTAGAAAGATAGCAGCAAAAGAAAGGAAGATACGAAACCCCCGGACACAAGGATACGTACAAAAGAAAGAAAAGCAAAAAAAAAGCTATTTTGGAAAACGAGAGAGGCGTCGCCGTAATCTCGGCATACGACGGGGCGTCCTCGAATAGGAAAAGAGTCGAGATAGCTTTCCAATTTGCTGTGAGATCGTCCGGACTCCAGCATGGGGAAGGTGTTCGTGACGAAAACCCGGATTCAGGGTTCCACTTGGCCTGGCGATGGGTCCCAAACAACGCGTCCGGCTGTGCAGCTCGAAGCCTTTCCGGATGGACAAGACCTGGCCCGCTCCCCCCCTCCCCTAATTTCCTCCGCGTTCTTTGTCGGTGACTGCGCCTTCGGTGAATTTCGAGGTGGCTATAACCCACGGCGGTGGTCATGCCTACCGTGCGCCATGACCAGGGCCAATGAGAGACACGACAGCGCCATCGTAGAGCACTCACTCCATAGATGAATCGAATATATTGGCCAGCGTCCTCGAAGCGGATAAGAAGGACTGGCTAGCGCGTTTGGAAGTAACCGTTCCCCTGTTCGGGCGTTGGCCAGTCCGCCCTAGCGTAAAGTTCGCCTGCGCTGATCGTCGTAGGTAATTTCGTTCACTGGGAGCCCATGGCCCGTGGCCTGACACCGTGTTTCAGGTCCATCACGCTGCATCCGATCTCCTTGGATGTCTGGACGTGCTCTGATGCCCCAGACTTCGTACGTTTATACCTCCATATCTTCTTGCTGCCGTTTTTCCCGGCGGAGGGTCCGCAAGGCGCCCGTTCCAGCACTATCCAAAGGGGGGACGAGAACGGAGTGGCCGGTCCGCGAGCTCCATCCGAGGTCTCCACCACCAGAGCTCGACAGTTCCACCCGAATAGGAGCCGAACTTTTGCACTGTTGATTTGCCCTGCCCCTGGACCAAAGTCCGGGACGCATGCTGAGGTCATCCACAGGCGCGGTCTAGCAAGCGTTCTGGGTGCTATGCCCATGCAGTAGCACTCCGTACGTACGGAGGAGTTGGTGCACTTCCTAGCTGCAACATTGCACCTTTGCTCGGGCGCATTCCCCGACCTGGACACCACTGCCGGTCGCACAGCCGCAGTCGCAGATGTTGAGCGCGGCTCAAAAAAAAAAAAAAAAAAAAGGATTCAACAGTAGCCAATCAGCCACGCCGCTTGGGAGTTTATTGGCAATAAATTCTTAGTGGTCGTGCTTAGCTTTAGCACCGCACTAGGGCTCCTGTCAAGAAAAGAAACTCGCGGATTGACTCTGCATGGGACCGAATGACGAGTCGCCGCTGCCAATCGACCTGTCAACGGCCCGTATCTCGGTTGCGCCCCTCACGGCCCCCGTGGGTCGAGGTCGCAAATTGTTCACGGAGATGATCCCTCCTTATGGCCGGTGTGGTTCCGGTGCTAGTTCCATTGCTAATGCGACTAGCAGTGACTGAATCCTAGCTTTTGCAGATATGGGGAGTGGAGGGGATGGGGAGAGTGTTGAATGGAAGTTTGATGAGAAGAGAGCAGGAGAAGGCAGGGGAGGAATGCCTGGTAGTCGCCAACTCCGTCGCATTCTTCGATGCCTAGCATGAAAGGTCACGACTGTAGGTAATCATAGAGTACCCAACAGTACTCAATTGACACTCGCACTCCTGTCAGGCGAGTCGACTCCCAACAGATTCAACGTAGCCCCGGTTACATCACCTACTCCTTTCTTACACTTTCTTACACAGGTCTATCCCACGAGCCAGGATGACGCCCTATTCGGTACACGTCTCAGCCTCCCGTACTGATAATACTATATACTTTTCGATGTATCACCCATGCCATGTGAGTCAATCCGACTTTCTCGCCTCGGCCCGGCAGGCAAAACTATCAGCCTGATGGACGCGGGGAAATGGTCGCCCATGACTCAGCGGCGTTTCGCCATATGGACCTTTCAATGCAAACCACGTCCTGCATGGGAGTATCAATTCATTCGATCCTAGCTGTGTTTTGAACAGCCTCCGCCAGATCTCAACAACGCGGGGACGGCCTCGAAATTCCGAACGCGACTATATTGCGGGGAAGCCCCGGGACGACCCTCCAGCTCGCCGATCCAACCCATCTCCCCGCCATGCCAGACACTCCGCAGGCTTTATTTTTCGACACGTTCGGCACAGTCGTCGAATGGCGATCCTGCGTGACCAGCGCGCTGACCACCATCGCTCAGCAAGTCCTGCGCGATCCACACAGGGATATCCCAACCGACGTGCGCCAGCGCGCATCAGCGCTCGACGAGTCGGACTGGCTCGGGGTCGCCGAAGATTGGCGGCGGTCTTACGGCGTGTTCACCCGCACTTTTGATGCATCCAAGCCCTTCATATCGGTTGATCAGCACCATCATACCGCACTGCAAGATCTTCTTCGGCAGCGGGGGATTCGGGACTTGTTCAGCGATGACGAGCTGTGGGAGCTGACGCTCGCCTGGCACCGGCTGGATCCATGGCCGGACAGTGCGCGCGGGCTCGGTCTGCTGAACAGCCGATTCACCACATCGACCCTGTCGAATGGCAATGTCTCGCTGCTGCAGGATCTCAAGGAGCATGGATCCCTGCCCTTTGCCCACCTGGTCAGCTCCGAGAACTTCGGCGCGTACAAGCCTTCGCCGAAGGTATATCTGGGTGCGGCTAAGCTACTGGGGCTTGACCCGTCGCAGTGTGTCTTGGTTGCCGCGCATCTCAATGACTTGGAAGCGGCCAAGAGCTGCGGGTTCCAGACTGTCTATGTAGAGCGGGAGAAGGAGGAGGCACGGTCGCCCGAGCAGGTGGCGCAGGCCAAGAAGGAAGGGTTTGTGGATATGTGGGTGGATCTGAATACAGGGGGGTTTATCGAAGTGGCTCGGCGGTTCGGCATTGAGGAACGGCCGTGAGTTTGTATCGCAGCCGGTAGAATACTTCATGTATAGCCGCAATTCTTCGCTGTTTGAGGAATCTGCGGGTCCTTGTGACTTGATTATGCGATAACGCAGTAAGTCGGTGCCGCATTTGTCAGCTCCCCGACAGCCGACGGAACTTAGCTTGGAACTACATTGAATGCAGTCGCAAGCAAGTAGGAGCTATTATTGATACTTTTATAATTGTTTTCGTCGGAACTGAGTCCCAGACATATCCTGCTTCCACTTCTCCCGGAATCTCTTTTTGAAAGCTCGGCGCTGATCTCTAATTTCCGACAAACTTCTATGAGATCATCGACGCAACCATGACTGACCAAGTGAGTGCTATCAGAGACTCTGCCTCTTGCAGAAGGTTTGATCAATCAACTTACTTTCACAGAACACGAAAATCTACAAACATGCCGATTCTGACGGCCACTTTCGGCGCAAAGACTCGTCCTTCCGCTCCTGGATCTCGCGTGATCCATCAGCCGAATTCCCCGCCGAAAAGGACCGCTACGTGCTATACATCAACTACGGCTGCCCCTGGGCGCATCGTGCCAATCTCGTACGCACTCTGAAAGGTCTACAAGATGTCATCCAGATGGCAGTGCTAGACCCGGAGCTCGGGCCGAACGGATGGTTCTTCTCTGGGCGTAATGGATCCGACGACAAGGATCCGCTATACGGATTCACATACCTCAAAGAGCTGTACTTGAAAGCAGACCCGATGTACGAAGGACGATATACGGTGCCCACGCTGTGGGATAAGAAGAAAAAGACGATCGTCAATAACGAGAGCAGCGAGGTGATTCGCATGATGTACTCCGAGTTTGACGAGTTCTTACCCGAGGCCCTGCGCGAGGTGAATCAGCCCGGAGGTGGATTCTATCCGAAGAACCTGCGGGGTGAGATTGACGAGATGAACGCGTGGGTGTACCCTTTGATCAACAACGGCGTTTACAAGACAGGATTTGCCACTACGCAGGCTGCATACGAGGAGAATCTCTATCCATTGTTTGAGGCGCTGGATCGCGTCGAAGCTCATCTGGGTCACTCTGCGCACCAGCCATTCCTCTTTGGGGAACATATCACCGAGGCTGATATTCGCCTATACACGACTATTGCCCGCTTTGACGTGGCGTATTATCTAATCTTCAAATGCAACCTGAAGATGATCAGACATGACTATCCTCGAATTGACCACTGGTATCGCACACTCTACTATGACGAGTCAGAGCTCACTCGAGGAGCGTTTAATAAGACGACCTACTTTGGCATTGTAAGAGCAATGTCCCCAAATCGAGTTGAATGGCCAGGAGCTAACGGACTGTAGTACAAATTTGGGTATTGCGCTGCGCTTGGTAGAAAGACTGGCAATGACCAATTGGTAGTTCCAGCTGGGCCTAGTCCTGATATTTTGCCACCGGAGAAGGAATAAGGGAAAGATACCGTGCGATTTCGACGCGGGTACTTCTAAGGTTGAGCAGGTACTCAAGCAGGATCTGATACTTGCAAAATTATGGACGCTGGCGACTAGCAAGCTGGGGCCGACTGTGCCTAAATTAGTATGCATGCAGATTTGAGAATTGGCCTGTAGAAAGTGTCGAGAATTTGGTCTTGCCTAGTAGGCAAGCTAGGGAAGCCAAGGGAAGCTAGAGCCCCGGGAAATCACCTACTAATTGTTTCGAGGAATATACACCTACCAGAAAAGCGGTTGTCTAGGAATTATGGACCTCCATATAATCATGCCCAGACCTCTGTAGTATTCCTCTATGGTATAAGCTATATCCCTGAAGACCGAAAGAGTGAGAAAAGCCTGCGAAAATTCAATTTTATGTCACTCCGGTCCTAGAAAGCACATCAACCTGGTCAAGCTCAGGGAGCGTGGTATATTAGGTTCATCGAAAGCGCTCAGATTGAGTATGAAAACCTCGGACACATCATTGACTAGCTTCAGAAACTCTCTTGGAGCTCCCTTAGCCTGTTCTTGGGTTCCATCTGAGAGAGGTGACGAGGCGACGCAGCAGCCCCCTGCGGCTTATCTTACTAGAAAGCAACACATGTAGGGCGACCATTTGGTGTCCCGGAATAGAAATATATAGATACAGTGAGCCCACTTTATATATCATTTACAATGGATACCTTATATATCCGGCTTGATCTTCTCTTACTTAGGGAATGGAGAATCCCAGTTCCGCGCTAAACCAAGTCGGATCTCTACATAATACATGCTCATCAAGCTTAACGCATGGCCAGCGAGACTTCCATCGGACTACTATAACAGCATGAGGAAGGAGGAAGGTGCTGATCGGCGGAAGGGCTTAGCGCTGAGATATGAAGCTCCAAGATGAGCTTGATAATAAGCGGGGATTTTTCCTTAGTCCTCCGAGCACGGATGATCAGATAACTCGAAGCTTGCGGCCCACGGTTCAGCGGTCTGAACCCGGGCGCCACAAACGCGAATTCAGCTTTGTAACGAGAAAAGATACTTCGAACGGATACAGAAAGGTGGCTTCGGAGCAGATGCCCAGGTCGACGCCATACCGTGTACGGCTCACCCACCTGAACCAAAATTGGAAACCTGCGATCGTGATTTGGTGAAGAAGTTTGGTACACGTGCCGATCGCACCTCGCCAAGATGAGCGGTGGGGCTGGTATAAGCTTGTACGCGCTAAGTCTAATTGTGACCGTATTACCACAAGCATGTCTCCGTTTCGGTATTCCTGTCGTTTGAATTACGTTGTCCAGAATGTTCGTGTAGTGGACCTTACCACTTCCACGGACAACGCGGCGTACTAACTACTTCGACAGAAGTGACGATGATCATTACTTTGTCAGTATCCGTTTGAGACAAGTTCAATACCTTTTGATCGGCATGTTCTCGGCTGCCCGAGAGGAAAGCCAAGTTGAAGAAAGACTCCTTGGCGAAACTCAACAGGCGAACTTGAGATAGAAAATAATCACTCCATGCCAAGAGCCGAACATGCGGTATATGCTGGCTTACTTACCGCATACGCCCCCCTTCCCTTGGCGACTTTGTTGGAGATTTGGACGATCTGATAAGGGCCTTTGATAGCTGGGGCTTCAGAACGCGTATCCGGTTAACGCTTACCCGGACTGAAATTCTGATTTATTCGGCGCGCAATATGTGCAGTGATTTTTGAAGATCAGGTGCATGAGTGAGCGCTCCATTATGTCTGCAGGTCAGATTGTAATTTTTCTGCATAGAAAGAGGATCTAGTATGATCGGGAAGCTCAGTTGCAGATGGTAGTGGTGCAGATCTCTATCTGAGCCTGTAATACTGACAGAGAATTGGTCTTACAATGCAATGGGCTCTCTTACATCGCCGATGCCATTGTACTGACTGCATCGAGAGCTCCAGGCTCTGGAAATTTTGCCGTGCTGGGCGCGTTATCAGCGTCGCAACCACAAGCTATTTGAGACTCGTATTTTCTGGAAACCCAAAGATCATCATTTGCTCGTTTCAAGCGCTAAAATGAGGTGAGCCTTAATTATGCTGAATCAACGGTAGGACAAAAGTGATTGGATGGATATGGAGCAATAATTGTCCTATATCAAGTAGCTATTAAATAGCTACTGCACCATGTTCGATTCAAAACAATTACAGCTTGCTGTCAACCCATTTCGGTGCTCTCTTTTCAGCAAAAGCCTGTAGACCTTCTCGCAGATTCTCACCCTCGTTCAATGCAGGCTCCCAGTTCTCACTCAATAGGCGAGCTCCATTTTCAGCACTTCCATCTTCCCACCCACTTAGGATACCTGCTCGGCTGATAATCACGCTGTCGGGGCTGTTTTCGATGATACTCGCGGCATACTCTAATGCAGATTTCACAACTGGCCTGTCTAGCACATCACCATCAGACGGACCATCCTCTGTCACAGCATTAATCAATCCCCACTCCTTCGCCTCCGCGGCAGTAATTGTCTTCCCCGTGAGTGCCAACTCTGTTGCTCTCGGACGTCCAATGGTGCGTGCAAGCCTTGGAAGAGAGCCCGCCATTGCAACAACACCCCGCTTAGCCTCAGGGAGCGCAAAGCGCGCGCTCTTAGCAGCAACTACAAGGTCCAAATTAGAGACAATCTCCATTCCCCCACCGAAGGCAAGCCCATTGACTGCTGCAATAACAGGCTTTTTGCCGTGTCGTCGGGAAAGCGCACCAAACCCAGAGCGAGGCATCATCTGTTGACCGGCGTGTTCTCCATTCACGCGCCGAGCGGTAGACTGGTTCCACTCCTTCAGATCCATGCCAGCGCAAAAGGCGCGGCCAGCGCCGGTGACGATGGCGCAGCGGAGCGATGGCTCGCTGTCGTACCAGGAGAAGAGTGACTCGAGGTCGTATTGTGCGGCACTGGTCATTGCGTTGAGTGCCTGGGGCCGATTGAACACAACCAGCATGACGTGAGGAGCTGGGAATGAGACAGCTGCGTAAGATTGCGGAGGCGGCTGCCGCTTGAATCCTTGGGATTTCATGGCCATTGGTGCGAATGGCCTCGTCAGTTTTGTAGTATGCGCTGAACAACCGCTATGGCTTGGTGATGATATTGCTGAACTGCCAGTGAGATGCAGGGCCGGACAAGAGCTTCATATCACTGAGAGGCACACACAGAATTTATCGAGGTGCGGAAAATGTACTCGTCTTCCGAAGATTAAACCTATCTGTCAGCACATGAAGGGATAACTTACCGCTAGCAACTGATTCGTTGCTGATGGGTCCACATTCGTTTAGCATTTCTTATGTAATTAGTCTACGGGACAGCAAAGAGAGCCTTGCTGTAGCTGAGTAACGGAGACACAGCGAATAGCGGTGTGTCTCAGGGGCTATTTTAGCAGGGCTGTTGCCCCCTGTTTTTCTGTTGAATCAATCAATCTTATGCATCCCAATTGATTCCGCTTGATGTCATTCGTCTCTCTGCATACTAGGCTATACAGTATCAGCTTGCTGTGACAGTTATGAGCCCGATAGCCCGTTGATATCACCAAGAAAGACACGCATCAATTCGCCTGGATCTTTCTGTCAACGTGAGCTTCCTGAATCAGCCCTGTATAGCCACCCAGCGGTGGTTCAACCAACACCGAAGGACTGCAGGTCCCGCTCGAAGACCCTGCAAAACAGCCTGATTTGTATGCGAAAATGACGTCTTTCGAGATGACTCAAGCGTTACACGGAAACCCCTACGACCAACGGCTCCGGTCGGAGGCTCAGTGGCGAGTCTGGATCAGCCATATCGAGTCAGCCGCGACAGCCCTGAAGGTGTGGGGATATCTCGACCCTGATGTCAAAGATGAAGATATCAGGAAGCCACCCGTTGAGCCAAGAGACACCTTTCCCCGACCAGACGAGGTCAAAGCTGGTGTAACCAATGCGATGGAGCTGGATGATGCCGACTACACCAGATACACCCGCCTTGTTGCCCTGTTCGAAAAGGAGAGAGCGTTTTGCCATGCTATCCACAAGAGCCTAGCCGATATGAACTCTCACGTCTTGGTGATGACCCATCCTGAGAAGCAAAGCTTGCTGGCCGATAGGAAAACTGCGAGGGAGAAGTTGATGAAATTAGCCCAGGAATTCAAGCCAAAGGGGGCTACCAGGGTGCAACACCTCAGAAACGCATGGAAGCAGCAAGCAACCACTCCATTCAGCAAGGCCTCGGTGTCGATGGCTAAATGGCTGACGGACTGGTCAAACCTGTATGATGAAGCGTATGCAGCGAAAGTGCCTGATGTCTGGCGCTGTTCCTGCGTTACCGAACACCCTGGGGACGCCTTCGCCATCAGAGACTTCCTCCAGGTTATCCCTAGCCAAGACAACTTCTTCATTAATCAGTATAAGGCTAAACTGGACGGTGGGGAGAAGCTGAAGTTCCAGGACGTTCTCTCGGAGTATCGGACTCACCGGGACACTCAGGATTACAGCAAGAAAGGCCTAACAGGCGCTGTGGCCTTCGCAGCGACGCTGTACGGCCATCAACAGCCTGAGCAAGGGCAGTCCTCGAATCAGAAGAAGCAACGCTGCGTGTGCGGCAACCCAAGACATCAATGGAAGGACTGCTTTCACATCAACGTGGCTAAGAGGCCGCCGGGCTGGAAGCAATATGAGGCCACTCGCAAGAAGGTCGAGGACGGCATCAAGAAGCTGAGCCTCGCTGATCAGCAAGAAATAGCTAAGCTGATGAGCCCCGGAGCCTCATCCTCATCTAAGATAGTCGGTCAGACAGCTCAGCTGGCTATCACCGATGGAGATGATGGCTTTGGTGATATGCCGACCGAAACGATGAACTTCTTCTCTGAAGACGACCCAATATGTTCCTTCACCCTCGATATTACCCCAGCCGTGTGTAACGCCGCCCTATCCCATCCACTCGAAAACAGCTGGATCATTGACTCGGGAGCCAATATCCACATTTGTAACCGTCTGGATCGTTTCGTGGGAGGTCTGAAGGAAGAACGCCGTATGGTCACACTCGGTAGTGGTAAAGTGGCTGCTCAGGGCAAGGGAACTGCCAAAATTATCGTTGAAGACCCTACTGGCAAGATCTTATGGGCAACCTTACCAGATGTGTAGTATATCCCAGGCTTCAAAACCAATATCCTGTCAGTGTCAGAGATCGCGAAGAACGGCTTCTTCTTCAATAGCCGCTTCCCAGCCATCACCAGGGATGACAAGCCAATAGCGGTATGCGTCAGGAAGTTTGGGCTCTATCTTCTGGAGCATCACCAGGATAATAGGCCTGTCCCAGCAGCGAATGGCCCTCCAGTAGCCTTTTCCACACTCAAGACCTCTCAGAAACCACTGGTATCCGTTGCATCACCGCAGATGTGGCATCGCAGGCTTAGCCATATCTATGACCGACGTGTTGAGGCACTCGCAAAGATGGTTGACGGCATGGTTATCAGGGGAGAATTCAAGGATGACGCTCAATGTAACCCTGAACGATGTGCAGTCTGTCAGCAAGCGAAGGCAAAGAAGCAGATCTCTCGGAGGTCAGCAGCAAGAGCAAAGATCCACGGCAAGTTTGGAAAGCTTCATTTTGACCTGTTGCAGCTAGAGGAAGCTTACAACGGTCACAAATGGGTCTCTCACCTGTTTATCGAGGGTATTCGCCTCCATATGGCCCAGACCCACGAGAAAAAGAGTGGATGTGTCGATGCCATCATCAGCTTCATTGCCATCTGTCGAAATCAGCTTGGTATGGATATCAAGGTCTTCAAGAGCGACAACGAACAGACCCTAGGCTATACCTTCCGCCTGTACTGCGCCAGGGAGGGTATCTTGATGGAATTCAGCGTCGTCGGAACACCTAAACAGAACGGCTTCATCGAGAGAGCAGGAGGTGTTATTATCATCATCGCCAGAGCTCTCATCATCGATGCAGGCTTACCGAAGAATCTTTGGCCAGAAGCAGTGAATACAGCGGTCTATTTGATCAACAGAACGCCCACAACACTACCAGACGGCCAAGAGATCATCCCATGGATTGAAGCTATTCGGAAACCTCATCACCAACAGAATGAACTGCGTCTTAACCTAGCACATCTCCGGGTTTATGGCTGCAGAGCGTACGTGCGCCGTCAAGGGATTCCCCAGAAAGACAAGATGGCGCCACGCGCAGAGATAGGGTATTTGGTCGGTTATGTTGCATCGAATATCTGGAAGGTGTGGTTTCCACACCTTGATGCTGTTAGAGCAGTCAGAGACGTCGAATTCGATGAGAACGCACGATTCAGCCCGAAGGAAACAGAGAGACCACCGCCAGCCGACATCCTCGAGACGATGCCATGGACGGTGGGACACAACGCCACAGAGATGCCTGTTACCGTCGATGAGGGCCTCGAGATGACCCTTACGACACCAGAAAGGCACACAGAAAGGCCACAACGGCAAGAAGAAAGGAGAGAAGAAGAGCAGAGCTCTACGAAAGAATCCGCATCAAATTCCCTGGTTCCAGCGATGATGACACCGTCGCCGACTCCCTCTCGCCAGTCAACTCCGGCGACAGTGCCAGAGAGGTCATCAACAGTCCCAGGAAGCTTTCCAATAGAGCCATTGCCACTCTCAACATCTCCAGCAATACCAGAAACCTCAAACCGCCTCGAAGCTGAGGGGGTGGGAGGGCCTAATAAGCAGCTTCTCGGAGAGCTCAGACAGGCATCAGAATCACCAGAAGCATCAGATCCACCACCGTCAGGATACCGTGAGTATGGATCTCTTGCACCGAATGACATCAGCGCATCGCTCTCGGAAAGCAACATCATCGAGGGTAAACGTAAGCGCAGGAGGGCTTATTTCGCATCGGTAAACGATCCAGAGGACTATCATGAAGGCATTCTGTTAGCGTTTTCTGCAGAGATGAGCTCGCCACAGACCTACTAACGCCCTCACCGGGACGACCTGCCACCAGAGCCAAAGAACTGGGCAGAGATGATGCGTCACCCGCACAGAGATGGCTTCGTCGAAGCAGCTTCGCAGGAAGTCAAAACACTAGAGAGAAAGGGCACCTATGAAGAAGTCAACCGGCCGACAGACAAGGGCATTCAGGTCTTGCCGTTGACATGGGTGTTTACATACAAATTCGACAGCGACGGCCTGTTGATCAAATACAAAGCGAGGATATGCGTGAGGGGAGACCTTCAGAAGATGTTAACGGATGAGAAATATTCAGCGACGCTGGCCGTGCGAACTGCCAGGGCTATCTTCGCTCTCGCAGCAGCCTTTGACCTCGACACCGCTCAATACGACGCTGTCAATGCATTTCTCAACAGCCAGATTGATGAGGAAGTGTATGTGGAACTGCCTCCTGGCCTTTACCCTCCGGGACGAAGACTGAGGTGCTGGAAGCTCTTGAGAGCCCTATACGGCCTACGGAAATCACCGAGGCTCTGGCAGCAGGAAGCGTCAAGAGTTCTGACAGCGTTGGGCTTCAACGTTGTTCATGAGGATATTTGCCTGTTCACCACAGATGGCATCATCATCATCTTTTACGTTGACGATATCCTCATCTTCAACCATCCTTCAATGCGTCAAGAGGCTGCGAATGTGGCCAAAAGCCTCAACCAGACCTGGGAGCTTCGCTCGATGGGCGAAGCGCAGTGGTTCTTGGGCATCCGCATCGTGAGAGATCGTCAACAGGGCAAATTATGGCTATGTCAAGATGCCTATATCGCCACGATGGCTACCAAATATCATTTAACCACTGAAAGACAGCTTGAAGTCCCTCCTGTCAGCATAGCTAACCTTCAACCTTATAGTGGAACGGCTACCGACGAGCGAAGGCATGAATTCTCAGCCAAGGTCGGTTCCGCACAGTATGCCACCACGATTACCCGGCCAGACGCAGCGAAGGCCACCTCACATCTCGCTCAGTTCCTGTCGAACCCTTCCCCTGAACACGTCAACGGAATCAACCTGGTTATCGCTTACCTGTATCACACACGGACGAGAGCCATCTGCTATCGAAAGCTTCCTGATTCGCTACAGCAGACCGTGCAGTTCTTCAGCGACGCATCGTATGGGGACAACCACGATCGGAAGAGCTCATCGGGCTACATCAGTTTAATATTCGGAGGACCGGTGGATTGGAAGGCCACGAAGCAGAAGACTGTGACAACGAGCACCACTGAGGCGGAATTGCTGGCAATGTCAGACGCTGGCAAGTCTCTATGCATGTGGAATCGTCTGTTCGCGGCTATTATGTTCGTTCCTGGTCACCCTATCGTCCTGCAATGTGATAACCAGCAGACTATCAACCTGTTGACGGCCGAATCACCTCAACTGCGCACGAAGCTCCGACACATTGACATCCACCAGCACTGGTTGCGGCAGGAGGTTCAAGCCAAACGCATACCGGTGCAGTGGGTCAAAACGTCGGATATGGCAGCAGACGGCCTCACGAAGCTATTGCCTCGCCAGAGGCATGCCGAATTTGTCAGGCAGCTGGGGATGGAAGATATTGGACAGCTATTGGAAGGTGAAATCAATGCCTAAGGACGTCAGATGAAATGGTGCAGCAAATTGCCCACAGCCATTTTGCTGAGGGGGTGTGTCAGCACATGAAGGGATAACTTACCGCTAGCAACTGATTCGTTGCTGATGGGTCCACATTCGTTTAGCATTTCTTATGTAATTAGTCTACGGGACAGCAAAGAGAGCCTTGCTGTAGCTGAGTAACGGAGACACAGCGAATAGCGGTGTGTCTCAGGGGCTATTTTAGCAGGGCTGTTGCCCCCTGTTTTTCTGTTGAATCAATCAATCTTATGCATCCCAATTGATTCCGCTTGATGTCATTCGTCTCTCTGCATACTAGGCTATACAGTATCAGCTTGCTGTGACACTATCCTACCCCCCCGTGGAAGTAATTGAGATTCAGCCAGGCTCCTCGGACGGTGGGTAGTGGGGTAATTTACACCTGGTTATTACATACATACAGCACTCAGTACAGTACATACACCGGCAGTGGCGGTACGGGCGCATTTACGAAAACGCACGGCTAGATAATCTGATTAATCTGATAAAAGTCTTATTTTTATCAGATTAAAACTCAACCCGAAGCCATCTGGATAACACGGTCATTTCCTGGCCAATAGACCCACACCAGGCCTAATTGCGCCCTAATCCACAATTGGTCTCATTCAAAAGCGGATTCAAGTTCAAGGAGGTGGGTCTCTCATTCGAGGGAAAGATTTTCCGCGATTTTTCTTATCCCTTCTATGCCAACGGGGTTCCGGCTCGGCCTGCAGCTTACATGCAGATGGATATTACCGCAAGTTATTAATGCCAGGTGCGGCATGCCAATTGTTTCAGGCGCTCCGGACATGTGCGTGGACCAGACTGCGTAGTCGAGTGGGTACACTGCACCCAAGCTTATACGAAAGGCTTCACAAAATTAGAGGAACCCGGGAAATACGCAATACCACGGCGTAATAAATGCAAGACAGCCGCATGGCGAAAAAAGTATCCGGCGCAGCGTTCCACCTATAAGCATCCCTACTCTCAAACTTCAAATGGAATTGACCTAGTAAATATTAAGACAGATGTATTCATTCAATCGCATTCCAAACCGCTGATCATAAGCAATTATAACCGCGGCTTAAAAGCCAACCCCGTCCCTGCAATATGCGGCGTCCCCTGATCGAACGGACAAAGCTGGAAGAATCGCTCCCTCGTAACCTTAACGAGACTTGCCCTCTTATGCGGCAAATCCAGCAATTGATCCTGATGCAAGCCAAAAGTGTAATCATACATATGTACCTTATCATTCGTCGACATGGGCTCCCCAATAACATTCTCGGTGCGATGATCATCTAAGAAACAATAATGGATCATACTTGGCCACCACGCCATGACACGGTGCGGGCCGCGGAACGCATCATTGCCCACAAGCGTGTGACGACCGCGGTCAAAATCGCTGCTGGCATAGTGCGCGCCGATGTTATCCTCCTTCGCCCAGAAGATCTCGTAGTAGGAGAATATCGTGTCGTTGAAGCGGCCCAGCACGGTCAGCGTGTGGGGGTCCTCGTCCTGCCGCTGCAGGTACTTGCGGTGCTCGTCGAGGGAGCCGGTTTCCTGCCAGCCCTTTGCGACGCGTGGATCATTCTGCCACGTGTGGAACAGGTTGAGGTGCGCGGGGTTGCGGTAGTCTAGCGCAATGAGGGAGAAGTGCTCGTCCAGGAAAGGGATGTACCGACTGTAGACGACCGAGCCGGGCGTGGGCTTGGGATGACGCCGTGGGTGACGGCGGTACATGGTCTCCGTAGAGGTCATGCTGTAGTCGAGCAGCGGGACGGCGGCGCCGGTGCTCCAGCTGGGCAGCCAGATGGGCTGTGCGCCTAGGGGAGAGGCACAGCCTTGCCAGAAGGCGCTGCGCAGGATGAGGAGCTCGTTGGGGGTGGGCTGGTATTTTGTGCTGCTGCTGACGGGTAGCGGGTGGTCGGTTGCTACCATCGACAGGCGGAGGGCATGCGCCAAAGCGTCAGCGTTGGGACCCCGGAGCTGCAGACGGAATGTCTCGATCTGCTCTTTCACGGTGAAGGTGGCGTAGAGGAACAGCCACACCTGGCCGACTGTTGGTGCGGAAGAGCCCTTCCATGTGCAGATCGAAGTTGGACTGCGCTGGGCGCGGGCCCAAGCTGTGTTGTTGGAGTCCGGAACCGCCGTGTCAGGGTTCACGGGCTGAAGTGTGCTGAAGAAGAGCTGATCATTCTGCAGCTCTTGGGGAAACGGCTGGGCTTCACCCTCGCTAGACTTGCGTATTTGGAGGAGCTGATTCCCATTCTGAACCTTGCCGGAGGGCAGCAGGTGGTATGTCGTCAAATATGGATGCGGCAGGCGAATCCGGATAGGCGCCAATTGCTGAGAAGGCGATGCCATTTTGGAGATGTGTAAGGGTGCAAAGTTAAGTTTGTGAAGCTACTCGCGAGGATTGTCTTGGCCAGCGTTATAGCCAAAAAAAAGAACTGCGGCTTGAGCCGAATGCTCAGATCTAGGCTCAAGTCCCGGAACGCTCCGTGGGGCAGCGCCAGCCGACTTCGCAAGCAATGTTCCATTCTATTGCGCGTTGCTGACACAAATCTCAGGATTTCCATACCCATGTGGGCCTACAGCCTTTCACTAAGCGGAGTAGCACGACGAGCGGCAGTTCGTGGCGTTGATCATCACTCGGACCTACCGCGGAGGGGAATAGGGCCTTGGCTGAAACCATCTGATATGGAGCCCGGAAGGGAGTACAGTGAGATTATCAGATGGGAAAAAGCGACCAGGTAATATTGTTTCGACAGCCCACTTTGAAATTCTCAGGTTGTCCACTTCTGGAGATAAATTTTGGGATATGCCAAGGAGCAGTCAAGGCCCTGGGCCGGCTAAGATTCGCCGATCGCTGGGCAGACACCATGGCAAAGCTTGGATATTTGGCAAGGCTACGGCGGTTCTTCACAATGATGCTTCCCTTTTTTCTTTTTTTTTTCTCTTTTTTTTTTTTTGGTTGTCTCGCTTTCTCTTGTCTGTCTCGTGTTCCATTCTACATACGATACATCAGAAACCCCAGTATACCGTACTGAGCGCTCTGCAAAAGATGATCGCCGTAAGTGGAGCCGTCTACGCAATGGGAGGGCAATCTACTTCCAACTTCAATACCCAGCGGGGCCCTTTAAATTACGCTTATACGGCCAGTTCATTCCAGAGTATATTACTTACTAGCGTATTTCTCACGATTACCGATATGTATGTAATAACGATACGGACACTACAGTATCAACGATACAGCAGATACCCGAATCCGCGAGGTCTACCACCTGGTGGACGGACCCATTGGTCCTGCGTTAGGGAAGACACGGTAGATTCCATAATTCGTTGCTTTTTCGTCAGATGCAAGCCATGACACACCCGAGCCCACCACCGGTGGGTCTCAGGGCGCTGTAGTCCCCGATCTCGCGTTCGAGAAAAGCAACCCAGCGGAGGGGCCAGTTTCCGAAGCAGCAGAGAGAAAAGGCGCAGAATGCTTTTCGATGTTGCAAAACACATCAATCGTTAGCTCCTCTCTGAACCACTCATACCGTTGGACACGCCTACGAGGACCTCGCCATGGCTTCGGGAGCCATTCTCTCCACGGAGCGTGCGGCACCGAAGAGACTAGCCAGATTTGTCCGCTTCGACGTGCCACTCGTGCGGGCAAGCGAGTACCACGGGCAAGAGGTTGATCTGCTATTGCTGGCCTGGGCGTTGCTGCTCTATCGCTATAGTAATGGCAATCAGGTCCAGCTTACCTGGGGGCGCAACGGTACGGCCGCGGATGTCACCTTCGACTTCAGCACGGCGAGCATAGCGTGCGATGCGGCCGATGCCATCTCGGTCGCACTCGAGGGTGTGCGATCATATCGGCAGCAGATCCAGGCGGGGAAGCTGATTGCGCTGGATAATGCGGTCGTATTCTTTAATGATGAATGCGCCCCAAGCGACTTGCCCAGTAGCGCGCGAGTCAGCGACGGCGATGCGCTCGGGGGTGGAATGGCATGGGTAAGATAGCAGCACCCTAGTTGAATCGGTTAGAGAGCCAGTAACTGATGCGCAAGTTATGATAGGGTAATATCCAGCTTCAAGCGACCATGTCTCATAGTCATTTGTGGCTGCGGCCCTGCTGGCGCGAGCCCCTCGGCGCCGAATACATCGCGACACACTATGCACACGCGCTGGTCGAAATCCTCAATACTGTTATGTCCGATATGTCGAATACCATCTCGACAGTTCTGAAGCTAGGCGAGCTCGACCGATCCGAAATTTGGCGCTGGAACAAGGCTCTTCCTCCCGCCGCGGACACCGGTATCCAGGATTTAATATCGGAACAAGTGCAGAAACAACCAACAGCACAGGCGATCTGCTCCTGGGATGGAAATCTGACGTATGAAGAGGTTGGACGATACTCAACTGACCTTGCACGCCACCTTGTGGGCCTCGGCCTGCAAGTAGGCCAAATTGTGCCAATCTGTTTCGAGAAGTCTCGGTGGACCATTGTCGCCGTGATGGGCGTGATCAAGGCAGGCGGCGCCTTTGTTCTGATGGATCCCAGCCAGCCGCTTGAAAGACGCCAGACCATTGCAGAGCAGGTCAGCGCCTTGCTCATTGTAACGTCTAAGACACATGGCCCCTTCGGTCCCAAGATCGCTCCTGGCGCCAAAACCGTCGTCATCGCACAAGATACGCTAGACGAGCTCGCCAAACAAGCAGCTAAGACGACGCAGCGCGAGCTCCCGGTAGTGCCGACAGATTCCATTCTTTATCTGATCTTCACATCTGGAAGCACTGGCAAGCCGAAAGGCGTGATCATCAACCATACCACATATACCACAAGTGCGATCGCACGAAGCGCAGCGGTCGGGTACACCACGGAGTCGCGAGTGCTCGATTTCGCGTCTTATGCATTCGACGTGAGTGTAGATAGTATGCTCTGCACACTGCTTCGAGGCGGATGTCTCTGTATCCCCTCCGACGACGACCGACTCAATGATCTCAGCGGTGTGATTCGTCGGATGGGGGTCACCATGTCCAACATGACTCCTTCAGTTGCCCGCATCTTGATTGCGGATATTATCCCCTCCCTGCACAGTCTGGGCCTCGGTGGAGAGTCGTGTTCTGTTGGCGACGTGTCTGAATGGGGCCAGCATACCCGGATTGTGATTGGATATGGCCCGTCCGAGTGCACTGTTGGCTGCACGATCAATTCCAGCGCGGCTGGTAAACCCTACGTGAGTATTGGCCCGGGTAACGGATGCGTTATTTGGCTGGTTGACCCCGAGGATCACAACCGACTGATGCCTATTGGTGCGGTTGGCGAACTTCTTGTGGAAGGCCCTATTGTGGGCCAGGGCTACTTGGGTGATCCCGAAAAGACAGCAGCAGCATTTATTGAAGACCCCGAATGGCTGGTGGCGGGTGGCGGAGGCGTACCAGGTCGCAAGGGCCGGCTGTATAAGACGGGCGATCTGGTGCGCTACGATCCCGACGGCGAGCGCGGGTTTGTGTTCGTTGGTCGCAAAGACACACAAGTCAAACTTCGCGGGCAGCGAGTTGAGCTGGGCGAGATCGAACACCATCTCCGACGCCTGCTTCCAGGGGGCACTGACGTAGCAGTCGAAGTCATCGCACCTCAGGGTCGGAGCACGGAGTCGATGCTACTGGCTTTCATTGCGGATCCCACTGCCAAAAGGTCCGAAGGCAACAAGGAGGATGAGCTGCATGAGATCCAGTTTTCGGCAGGCATTCGCGAGAAAATGTCAGACCTCAATGAGGATCTGTCCAAGGCGCTACCGATCTACATGGTCCCATCGGTGTATGTTGGTATCAACCGGATGCCGATGCTTGTCTCAGGAAAGACAGACCGAAAGTCTCTGCGTACATTCGGATCGCAATTGACTCTGAAATCCGGCAGCTCTGAATCCTCCCCCGCCGAGAGCCAGAAGCCTAGCTTGGAGACTGAAGTTTGCCTTCACGAGATCTGGTGTCGTCTGCTTGGGCTGAGCGCAGACCAAGTGAGCACGACCCACAACTTCTTCATCCTTGGCGGCGACTCTGTTCTGGCGATGAAGATGGTACCGGCAGTACGCGAGCAAGGCTTCTTGTTAACTGTCGCAGATATCTTCAGTTTCCCCGTGCTATCGGAGATGGCCAAGTCGATGCAGAAAGCGGATGCAGACTCGCAGGTCGAGGTTCTTCCGTTTTCGATGATTGGCTCGGCCTGGAATCAGGATGCTGCTCGCATAGAGGCAGCTACTCGATGTGGCGTGGAGCAGGCTGCGATCGAAGATATCTACCCCTGCACTCCACTCCAGGAAATTCTAATGGCGTTTTCTGCTCGATCTGCGGAAAGCTACGTTGCTCAGCGCGTTGCCGAAATTCCCAACCAGGAGACAGCTGAAAGACTGAGAGAGGCATGGAGTATCGTCATCAAAGACAGTGCAATTCTACGCACTCGAGTCGTTGAGTTCAGGGAACACGGCTTCATGCAGGTTGTTACCAGCGCATCCCTGACGTGGCAAACCATAAATCGCAGCTTGAACCAATTCTTGGAAGAAGACCAGAAGACCCCCATGTCTGTCAATATGCCATTGAGTCGATATTCTATCGTCTACGATGATTCGGTCAGCAAGATCTACTTTGTCTGGACCATTCACCACGCAATTTACGATGGCTGGTCCACCGATCTGATCATCGAACACGCCAGGAGCGCGTACCAAAAATTCCAATATCTCGTCCCGCCGAGTTCAAACACTTTATCCAATACCTCGTCGACCCCGCGCGCGAGTCCTCGAAGGACTACTGGCGTGTGCAGCTACAAGGCGCCGCTGGTCCTCAGTTCCCTGCCCTGCCATCACGAATGTATATCCCCGAGCCAAACGCCCTCGCACAGCGCCTCATTTCCGTTCAGCAGTCGACTCGCTCCAGCATCACGACTGCAACCCTTATCCGTGCAGCATGGGCGCTAGTCGCTTCCCAGTATACGATGAGTGACGATGTCGTATTCGGTGAGACCTTTGCCGGGCGCACACTCCGCATCCCAGGCGTTGAGCAAATCGAAGGCCCCATGATCGCAACGGTACCCGTGCGCGTGCGGATCGATCGATCGGCTCCCGTGCAGGAGTTCTTGCAAGCCATCCAAGAGCAGGGTCTCGTGCGAGCTGCACACGAGCATCTCGGAATGCAGAATATCCGCCGGGTGAGTGGCGATGCACAGCTGGCCTGTGAGGTCAAGATGGGTCTTGTCATTCAGCCCCGTCCGGCTGAGGTGCCTGATCAATCGGAAGATGAATTGCCGCGTTTCCGAGTGGAAGATGCTGCGCACGAGGCTCTTCGTTTCAACTCATACCCGCTGATGCTCGCGTGCTCCCTGCGTCAGGATGGCTTCGAAGTTACTGCGAGCTTTGACTCAAAGCTCATCACCGAGCCGCAGATGCACCGTGTACTGGCGCAGCTCGAATATGTTGTGTCCCAGCTTTGCGGCAATGAAACTGCTCAGCTGAGCAGTATTACGTGCCTGGGAGAGCAAGAACGCGAGGAGATCTGGCGGACCAACAAAGGCGCAGCTCAAGATGCGACACCAGATGACTTTAGTCTTGCTCTTGAAGAGGCAAAAGGGCTGACTATCGGAGATAGATACCCGACAAGATTCATTCCATGGATCGTCCATCCCGCCAATCCCAGCCAGCTCATGCCAATTGGAACTGTCGGCGAGCTACTGTTGGAAGGCGTCGGCGATGCGGCAAATTTGGATGCTCCCAAGTGGCTTGTCCAAGGGATAGGCAACGGTCAATGCCAAAACCAGAAGCTCTACCAAACAGGTGATCTTGTGAAGTACGCCGATGATAAGTCGCTGGTCTTCATGGGCCGCAAGGAGAGCCTCCGAAGAGTCAATGGTCACCTCATGGATCTCACTGCCATCGACCTCCAGCTTCGCAACTGGCTCCCCACGAACACCAACGCCGCCAGCCAGCTTATTGTGCCGAAGGGCAAGGATACCCAATCGCCAACCCTGGTCGCATTCGTGAGCGAGGCTACCTCAAAGAATGGATCAATGGTGGATCTTGGTCTCGATGCAGAAAACGCTGGGCTGCTATCAAATGTCATTTCTGCCGAGCTCGCTGAGTCTATTGTTGGCCTCAACAAGAAGCTCGCCGATGTTCTACCACCATACATGATTCCGTCCGCTTACATACCGTTCCAAAAAATCCCCTTTCTCCGCGATCAGGTCGATGTTGAAGCCCTGAAGGCGATGGCGTTAACTGTTACTCAAGAGGTCCTGCTCCACCTGCGCACGGCGTTCATGAATTTGCATACTGGGAGGGGCATGAAGCAGATGACAACAAGGGAGCGGGCGCTTCGCTCTATATGGGCCAAATTTCTCAGCATGGAGGAAGATAAATTGACTTTGGATGATAACTTCTTCCGCCTGGGTGGTGATTCTATCATGGCGATGAAGCTTGTGTCGGCGCTGCGCTTGGAGGGCTATCACTTGTCCGTGACGGATATTTTCCGCAATATGCAACTACGTGATATGGCTAGTGCCCTCAAGGATGCTTCCGTGAATGGTCATCGTCCTGTCAAGAAATATCATCCTTTCTCGCTGCTGAATGCTAGAGATGTTGAGATGTTCTTGACTGATAAAGTTAGGCCTGCGCTACTTGATGCAAGCTCAGCTATTGAGGATGTTCTTCCTGCCACAGATCCGCAGGAACGCGACGTGGAGGCGTCTGTTTATGCCCCCCGGAGTGCCATCCAATACAATATGCTGTATTTCAAGGACGTTGATACGACAATGCTGGTAGATAACTTTAACAAAGTTGTTTCAGCCCATCCGATTTTGCGAACTGTTTTCGTCAAGGATGACAATCGCATCCTGCAAGTGGTATTGAAGAGCTTAAAGGTGTCGGTATCAGAGCACAACACAGAGAAACCTGTCAAAGAAGCCTGCAGGGAGATAGCGGAAGCAGATATCGAAGTCGACGACTTGTTCAAATTTGGAGCGTCTTTCATGCATCTCTTTGTTATCAATGGCACTGACGAGACCGGCATTATGATCCGGATCTCACACGCACAGTATGATGGCATTTCATTCCCTGAAGTCCTTCGCCAACTCGAGCTGCATTACTCCAAACGGGAGGTCTTCCCCTCGGTGCCGTTCTCAAACTTCATCCAGTACCAAGCCGAATCAAGGATCGAGAACATTCAATACTGGCGCAACATCCTGCAGGGGTCATGGCTGACGTCCCTCCAACCACCGCAACCAGAGAGCAAGCCCAAGTTCATCAAAAAGGTCGTTGACGTTTCCGCTCGGTCCCCAGACATCACAATGGCCACGCTCCTCACCGCAAGCTGGGCCCGCGTGCTGGCCCAACACCTCGGCGCAGACGACATCACTTTTGGTGGCGTAGTCTCCGGCCGCACAGTCGACCTCCCCGGCGTGGACAATATCATGGGTCCCTGCTACCAATACATGCCACTCCGAGTCAAATTCCAGCCAGACTGGACCGCGAAGGAGCTGCTCGGCAGTGTCCGTGACCAGTTCCTCGAGGGCAGCCGGCACGCAACGCTTGGCTTCCAGGAGATCTCAGACAATTGCACGAGCTGGTCGCCGACGATTCCGTTCTTCTCTTCAATCGTGCACCACCACGATATTGAGTACTTTGACAAGATCCCATTCGCTGGTACTGAGGCCTGTGTGGACTATACGAATCCGCACCTGGAGCCGCCCAACCCGACGCGCGTGGTGTCATACACCGAGGGCGGGAATACATATGTGGGTATTGCGGGTGATGAAATGAGGTTGGAGTTCTGGCAGGCCAGGTTGGATGAGTTGGCGTGTGCGATGGAGGGGCTTGTGAGCGACCCTGCTGCTGCGAATTGAGGATAGGATAACTTGTATCTTTTCCTTTTCTGTTGTATCTAGTAATTTCTTGATAGTTCATAGAAAGGTGTCTTAACTGAAGAAAAGAACAAGGGACGTATAATCCCGTGTGCTTAAGTGAACTCATTCTTATGCATTGAGTCGTATTCTACAGTACAGTAGCTCCTGGGAATGTGACAGTACGCGTAATATACACTGCATTAGGACGGTAACCCTGCACAAGCCCTAATTTCACACATGGCCTTACATAACACCGCCCTCACGCCGGGCTTCGGCCGCCCTTGCAGCGGCTTATCTGATGGGGTTTTATCTGATCTGACGTGGGAAAGCTCAGCTTCAAAATCTCCCCGTACCCCAGATTGACTGCCGACAACCACACCACTTGCACGCAATGGAAATCAAAATTCTCACCTCGCTGGCTCGAGGCCAGGCTGGAATCCTGCACCACATTGTACTTGATCTCCATAGCTCTCAGACCAACGTGAAAAACTAGGAGCTAACCAACCTCCCATCCCTTGCACAGACCGCCAACCTCGTCTCCTTCGAATACACCCGTGGCGCGCCCCACAAACCACACACCCTCGTCTTCGTAGGCGGTCTGGGTGACGGCCTTGGCTCCGTTGAGTACCTCAGCGACATCGTACGTGCCCTTGACTCCACGGAATGGACTGTGTTCAACTTGATTCTGTCCTCCTCGTACGGCGGCTGGGGCATGGGCCGGCTCGGCACCGACATCGACGAGATCGCGCAGACAGTAGAGTACATCCGCGAGTACAAGGAGCCGCACTATGGGGTCGGCAAAGTGGTCATCATGGGCCACTCAACGGGCAGTCAGGACGTGATGCACTACATCAACTGCCCGAACCCACGGCCAGCGCACCCGATCTTCGACAAGTGCTGGGAGCCGATTTTGCGGACGCCGGTTGACGGTGCGATCATGCAGGCACCTGTGTCGGACCGGGAGGGGATTTTGTGGGTTGTGAAGTGCGGCACTGCGAGGGATAGCCCTGCGGCGATGCGGGAGCTGTATAACAAGGCCGTGGAGGATGCGAAGCGCGATACGTACGAGGATAATGAGTCAGTGGATACTATTGTGCCGCTGTCAGTGACAGGCCGCATTGGGTATCCACCCACGGCGCCCGTTAGCAGCCGGCGGTTCCTGAGCCTGGTTAGTCCCGACAGTCCCGAGAAGCCCTCGGAGGATGACTTGTTCAGCTCAGATCTGAGTGACGCACGATTGAAGGAGACCTTTGGAATGGTGGGAACGCGGGGGCTGTTGAATCAGAAGTTATTGGTGATGTACTCCGGTCGCGACCAGTCTGTTCCTCCGTGGGTGAATAAGGAAGGTCTGCTGAAGCGGTGGCAGAAGGCTATTAATGCTGACGGGCGTGACTTCTGGGATCATCGTAGTATGGTCATTCCTAATGCATCTCATGCGCTCAGTGACCCGGATCAAGCAGAGCCTCGGCGGATTCTGGTTGAGAGGGTGACATCTTACTTGAATGATATTCAGAAGGCATGATTTTGGAAAAGTTTAAACTACAATCCAGTGTAGATATCATATTCAAATTCACTTGGGAATTCGAGATTATATACACAGGAATAGATAGAGACTCAAACATTGAAGGAGTTATTACCATGAAGCGAAAGTATTCGACGATACACTACAAATGCCAGTGTTCCGTGAGCTGCATTGCCCGGCTCCTGCTGATTTCGTCAATCATTCCTGCCCTTTTTCACATAAGAGTTAAGAGAACTGAACCGCTAGTAGATGGGCGACTACTGGACTCTGATTAGAAAAAAGCAGGAAGTATAGTAATAAGGTGGAATAGGTTAGTGTATTTATTCACTTAATTACTATGTACCAGGTTCCGGATCATCAAGCTGCAATTCTTGGAAAACTCTCTCCAAGTTCTCAAGACCACCAATAACATCATGGTAGAAAGCTTTTTGAAGCGCAGGGCTGGTGAAATCACTATCATGCCCAAAGTCGCAGTGTAGACATTTCTTGATAATCGTTTTAAAGCTCTTACTCACCATACGGTAGCTATCTTCTACCAATCTGTGGGCCGTGAAATACTCTGCAAAACCCGGTGTTGTTCCTTTCTCGAGGTCGACCGGTTCCTGGAGGGATCCGAGGGGAGCTTGGTATGCGAGTTCGAGGAGCATGATACCCAGCCCAAAGAGAACGGGGTTACGGATAAAGTAATGGTAATCGGAAAACTGGGACTGAGCCTGCATAGAGGAGTTTGGTGCTTGAATCGTTGTAGTCATATATGGTAGGACGTTTTGGGCGTGCCGAAGTAAGGAATCATGGCTTCCGAAAAAATGAACATCGTCGCTGCGCCATGCTTTGTTGAGCCACGGCGTAGCATGATAGTAGAGAACAGCGGTGGCAAGGTATCTCGCTAACCGGACGCGCTGGTAGAGACCCATGTGTTTTGTGGTGTCAGTTGATGACTTTAATATCAACTCAGTGAGTGATGCAGCTGTGGCCGTGCTGTTGGTCTGGTTTCCGATATACGCCAAGTGTTTACATATCTCGTTTTCCCCAAGCAGCCCAATGCAACCATTGCATTCTCGCAGCCGTAAGGACCTCTTGACCAGGGTACAGAAATTCCTTTGCAGATAGAGATTTGGTATTGTGGCGATGGGTTCTTCCGGCCATGGCGCCAATGAAGGGCCGGATAAAAGCTGGAACTGTACATGTTTACGAATCTTCGGTGGATATTGTGTTTCTTCAAGTTGTCTTGGTCGTTTGAGAGAAGCGGAGCCCTCTGGGAGTAGGGTGGACCCCAGTTCGGAGCTCGTCCCAGGAGACTTGATGGTTGATTCGACGTTAATCCAGATTGCGTTCCCCAGCGTCAATTGATGCTGGATAAAGGCTACATTAAATCGTACACGGGTTGAGGTTCCATCAAGATCTGGTTGGAGGGATAGATGCACTTTGTGGACATTATGTGTATCACAAGCAGTTCCAAAGGCATCATAGAGGCTGCAAGCCGCTTGCTGCACAATGCGGAAGTGCTGAAACTCGCGGCGAGCTTGGAGGGTCCCGGGTATTGTCAACTTTTCCGATAGCTGAGGCTGTTTGTGTGGGAGGATCGAAGAAGCAAAAACCCGAACCAGGGATTTTAGGTCTTCTACAGCGTCCTGAATATACGATTGATTAGCGGGAAGGAGGTGAGAAAATCTCTGTAGGTGTCTTACTTTCAGCGTGTCTGCAGCACTCCTGGGCTGTCTTTTCTCCTTCATAGCAGCAGGAAGACGCCTTGTCATGGATTCAATTTCTTCGAGCTTTGTTCGGATTGCTAGAGTTACCTCCAAGCAAATCTTTTTCGATGATCCGAGGAAATCTTTGACAGAATCGGAAGTATCTGACGACAGCATTTCCACATTGCTCGAGAAGACGACGCGTTGGGTTTTCAACGTGCTTCTGAGATCGACATCTCGGGGTAAATGCTTTCGGAATTGTTTGAAACATGCAAGTACATTCTTGAAGCTTAGTTCAATTGTCGGCAGAACTGTAACGGTCAGACTAGGGTCAACTAGCTTAGAAGGACAAGAATTACCTTGGAGTATGTCGCCGTCGCTGGCATCAATATTATTTTGTGAATGGTATCCTTCATCCCCGTGAGCTGATTGTGAGGATGCTGCTTCGGATATATTATCCACGAGAGAAGGCAGATAATCGTGAAATAGTTCCTTGCGCTGTTCACTTCCTTCAGGCTGATCAACAGTTGCCCACTGTTCCAGAAGTGACCTCATACATGCCGCAGCTGCTCCAGCCGTGTATTTCTGCCATACTTTATCCTTATGACTGTCAGCATAGTCGCACACTCCTTTCACGACAATGCAAGGCAAGTTGGTACAGACGCCCGCACCCTCCATCTCAAACGCAATCACATTCTCCTCGGCAGCAATTCTGTCTCGGTCTATGCCAGACTTCATAACCATGTCTCCTGAGGCTATGCCTCCGAAGTGGATATTGAGCCCACCTTGGGATGGGCGTGAACGAACGACCAATCTCTTCTCGTCACATTTCAACGTCTCACATGTGGCCTGGTGAGCCTTGTTGCAATATTCGTTCTTTTTGCATTTCCTACATCTCGAGGGACTATGATGCATATGATGATAGGTCGCCTCAAAAAGTCGATCTAGCTCTCTTGCTGGGCAGCGATAATCGCTACTTCGCTTCTGCAAGGTAGTGAGGTGATGATGGGTCTTATCGAGTAAATATTCACGGCCTTTTCGACTTTTCAGCTTGTGCAGGAAGGCTCGTACTTCGATATTCACAGCAGAGTCGGCTGCTGTCTCCTTGCGGCGAAACCCCCCGGCAATCTTCTGCCCAAGTCGTATAGCACGATATTGTCGCTGATTACTATATCACCAAGGAATATCCCCTCGTCGGCTCCACTTGGCACTCCTCCGCAGACACCAACAATCAACGCAAGTCGGATACCTGGAAAGCTGGATCGGAAGCCTGCTGCGACGCTGGCTGCATAGCCTTTTCCGATGCCGGGCATGTATGCAAGGACGACATTATGATTGCCGATTACCCCCGTCCGATATGCGTTTTGATCTCCCGAGGCCTTCCCGTATTGATCGCCATGTTCGTCCCAGAAATGGTCGAAAAGGGTCCCTGCAGCATCGGCTTCCAACTGTAGCGCGCAGATAATCGCGACAGCAAAATCCCGTCGGTGTTTCGGCGGCAACGGGTCTGTCATCGTCATGGCTGTGTGTCAACAGAATGAAAGGATAGATGCCTGCGAAAAAGGGGCATCTCTAGGAAATTACGTGCGAGTTGAATGGGGCGGGGTCAGCCTCACCAGTCAGCCACACCAGTCAGCATCGTTCGGCTTGTAAGCTAGCCGCTTTACGAACTTGCATATTTAGCCCCTCCAAGGGTCGCACTGCCTCACGCCTTCTGACACTGGGCAGAATCTTCCATCCATCGCCAAGAAAACCACGGAGGAACCAAGGAAACAAGGGAACTGCATGCTCTCTGGGCTATGGCCAGACTCATTCACAGCACTCAGGATCCAAACGTTGGCTTCGTCGAAACGCTATACCAAACCTGCTCAACCGCTCTGGTCCATCTATGGAGATCACGGCTTCGACTAACATTGCTTGGCCCGCAAAGAAACACCTTCAAAAAAGATGTAGCAAATATTCGGCTGTGGGAGGAAAACTTTCCTCCTGGTCAGCTTGACGTCCTTTTGGGACAGTCGGGCCATTTAAGGACCAACGTGGTCGAGAATTTGAAAGGCGTCGGCAATATTCTGATGCCCTACTTCGCGGGTTGTGAGGGAAACACCACCAATGCACAGAATGAGCGCAGCCCCGTACGACATCTCGCACGGGAACTTAAGACTCAATTAGAGAAGGCCACGCTCATGCTTTCTGACGAAGACGGGTCTAATTCGTCTTCGGATGATGAAGCATCTGACGACTCGTCGTCAACCACCGAACGCGAACAGAATCGCTTTGGACGACTCCACTGCTATATCAGCTGCTTGATGGATCTCGCACCCGTGATAGAGAAGCATATTCTATTTGTGCAACGTCAAGTAGAACCAGAATCTACTCTCTTTGAAAATGATTTTCATATATCGCACAATGCACAGCCATTTGCCATGCGCATCCGAGACCGGTTAGTGTTACTCTGCATTTTTCTTCTCCTCAGCTAATCTCGAAACAGATTTCCAAGCGCGCCAGCTCTTCTTGTAAAGCGACTGGCAGAGGCTAATTGGGAAAGGTCCGTCCGCATCGGAGCGCAAGCAGAAGAGGAAGAAGAACCGTCTGAAGAGGACCATATTGCGAATCGTGACGCTCGCACCCTTTTGAATCCTTATTCCCAGATTCATGATTCTGGACTTGTCTCTTCCATGCGAAACCGGGTTGACTGGAAGTATGTTTTTGAATGAGCCCGGTAGCATGAAACTGCAACATAACTAACTGAGTAGAATGCATGATTTCGGGAACTTGCAGTCGTATCTCTGCACACATGAAGAGTGCAAAGATGCACCGAAGACCTTCCCAACCCGCAAGCTATGGGAAGATCACGAGTTCAACAAGCATTTTACTCAAGTGCAATGGCGCTGTTTTAGGTGCAATACCACCACCAGCACTCAAGAATCATTTGTCCATCATTTAATTACAAGCCACGGCGACATCACATTGGCTGGGCATCGTCTGACAGCTGCAATCTCAGAAGCTGAAGAGAACAACTTGATTCCAAATTTCAAGTATCACAAGTGTGCGTTGTGCCCACAGGCTGGTTGGCAAACGTGGAAAGAGTACACCACTCACGTTGGACAACACCTGGAGGAAATCTCGCTGGCATGCGCTCCGAGAAACGGAGGTGGTAGCAGCGACAGGGACTCGACTGATGACACATCAGACAATGCGATCGAGGTGAGCGTGATTAATCCCTTCGGTACAGGAGGCCCTGAACCCGGTATGGATCCGGGCCATCAAGATCTCAGTATTCCAATGCTGCAATCTGAATTTTTTGAGTTTGGCAAATCAAAGGAGACCATCTCCGCGCAGCTAGGTGTGGCACGCCCCAATTCTATACCTCCTGGGTTGCCTTTGCAGGAATTTCCCAAAAGTCTATGGAGTCCAGTTGCCGAAGCTAAATCTATGGGGCAAATATACGACGTGCCTCCTCGAGATCTCATACGCTCTGAATCTCTTGCGACATCATTCAATGCAAACGAGTGGATGGCGGAGATTGATCCTGTACCATTACCGCCAGAACCTCAAAACCTCAGTCGCGATCACTCCTTTGGCAACAGACCCTTATCAATTTCCAGCGCCCACAGGGTTCCTGGGCCGAGCGTCCCTGGCAAGCATCCGGAGGAAATCCGTAATATCGACAGGACAGAATCTTGGTTCCGTTGTCTGGATTGTAGCTTCACAAGCCAAAGCAAATCTACCTTGAAGCGTCATGTCAATGATCGCCACCTCCACGAGTGCGAGTACTTCTGCCCCAAAGCGGGGTGTGACTACATGAAGTACCGGTGTGACAAGATTCTGCAGCACTGCAATGAACACCACCATGAAGCCGCGGCGTGGGACGAGATTGAAGTGCGGAAGAACCCGCTTCCCTGTCCACTCTCCTGCCCGTGTTGTCGGCTTACGACACCTGGCTGGAAGGACTTCTGGCAATGCTACATTGAGCATTGTAAGGAGGAGCCTGTTCCGTCTATGCATTTGCCCCCCACACTGCGAGGCGAGTCATCCTTTTCCACCCCAATGGCAACCCCTAGAGCCATACAGCCTATGATCATAGAGCCTACAGCCATACAGCCTACAGCCATACAGCCTACAGCCAAACAGCCTAGAGCCGGAAGGCCTGGAGCCATACAGCATAGGTACATACAGGTGCCCGCCATGCAGGCTCAACCGATACAGACAGAAGATGATACGGAGTGTCAGATAGACAGTCAACCAAGCACGCCAGCAGTCACCCTTGATGCATGCCAGGATTTCAGAATTTTTTAAGCTACCTATGGCGAAGAATACATAATATTGGACGAGCCTCATCTAGAGTATGGGAGTATGGCAAGTGCGGTTTTTCTCGTGACATAGCAGTACAATGCGGTCCGAATCGGCAGTCTCATCAGTCCCTCCTTTATAAAGCTCCTGCATACCCGCACGAGGAACCGGATAACTAGGAGGCATGGTCAACATCACCTGAGAGCTAGTTATCATGCAATCCTACCCAACTCTCACTGTACGCTCTCAAACGATGTCAACATAAGATTTGTAGACTCTATCGATCCCAACTATCCCACTAGCCCCGTTCAGCCCCAACAATCTCAATCCCAACCAGTCTACTTTTTCCACCTAAAGCTTCGCCCGAACCCCTTTGCCCAAAAAGAACTCCCGAATCCTCCCCCTCGCAACCTCCACAACAGCCACATCTTCAACAGTCGGCGGCACACCAACCTCATCCTCAAACCTCCCCTCAACCCCATTCTCCACCAACGCCCTCAACACCCGCCTAAGCGTCTTCCCACTCCTCGTCTTAGGAATCATCCCGCGACCCTGAATCACACCACCCAGCGACGCAATAGCCCCAATCTGCTCGCGAACAAGGGCATTAATCTCCCTAAAGAGCGCATCTGGCACGGCCGCGGGTAGATCCCGCTCACCGGCAAGTGCACCTCCACCAGCCGCAGCATCGCGCAACTGCACGAAAGCGAAAGGTAAATGGCCCTTCAACGCATCCGGGATGCCCACAACACATGCCTCCCCAACGCGCGGATGCGACAGAATAGCCTGCTCAATAGCGCCCGTACTAAATCTATGCGCCGCAACATTGATAATATCGTCACTGCGCGACATCACATGCACATACCCGTCACGATCGATCATTCCCGCATCCCCGGTATCCACCCAGCGCCCGGCGAAACGCGCGAAATAGCCGCGGTAGAAGCGCTCGTCGTCGCCGAAGAGATTGGTGAATGCGGTGGGCGCTAATGGTGCGGCTAGCACAATGTTTCCCATTGTTCCGGGTGGGACTTCGGTGCCGGAGTCATTCACGATTCGGACGTCGAAGCCTGGCATGGGGAGGCCGGCGGAGCCGGGGCGGATGGGGAGCGGGGGTGTAGGCGGCTGGGTGCGGTTGTGGGCGGGCTTCGAGCTCGCGTTCAGCGCTAGGCCTGTCATCGGGGAGCCGGACTCAGATGACCACCAGTTATCAACGACCATTGCGCCACGCGCGGCATACTCGGATAGGAGATCCTGGTATGCTTTCACGATACTGGGCTCGCTACGCTCCCCGGCGAGAAACAGCGCGCGCAGACTCCGCAGCCCGCCGCGAGCACCAATATCCTTGAACAACGCGTCAGTTGGATCGTCCTTGCGGATGGCGCGCATCGCAGTGGGTGCGGTGAACAGGGCGTTGACGCGGTGCTTCTCAACGATGCGCCAGAAGGCACCTGCGTCCGGAGTGCCGACGGGCTTGCCCTCATAGAGGACTGTCGTGGCGCCGACGAGCAGTGGTGCGTAGAGGATATACGAGTGCCCGACGACCCAGCCGATGTCCGAGGCGCAGAACATCGTGTCGCCGGGGCCGGTGATGTTGAAGAGTGTGCGGATGGAGAGGTCCAGGCCGACGGCGTGGCCGCCTGCTTCGCGGAGCACGCCTTTGGGCGAGCCGGTTGTACCTGGGTGGTGTTAATTGCGGCCGCCCAGGATCTAGATCTACATGATACGAAAGGAAAAGGAATACGCAGGGTCTAGGAGTGAGGTACCAGGAAGGAGAGACGGGGTGAGAGACGAGACGGGTACGTACCACTGGTGTAGATGATATATAGCCCGTCGGTGCTTTTCACCGGCACAGGCCCCGCGCGCACACCGCGCATGCGCGCGCTCTTCACCAGCCGCTGCCAGTTGCGCTGGCCACCGAGCTTGTCTGGATTATTCCAGCGCAGCTGGTCGCGCTGCCAGACGAGCACCTTGTCCGGCTTGAAGCTGCTGGCTTGCACAGCGCCCTCGACGAGCGGCCGGTATGCGATAGCGCCCTTGGACCCTTCGATCCCGCACGAAGCGGTCATGATGGCGCGTGGCCGGGCGGCTTCGATGCGCTGCGCTAGCGACTGTGCGGCGAAGCCGCCGAAGACGGCGGCGTGGATGGCGCCTAGGCGGGTTATGGCTAGCGCGGCGATGAGCGCGGCCGGGATCATGGGCACTGTGGCGGTGTGTTAGTGTCATGGTGATGTGGTGTGTGGTAAAGCAGGGTATCGCATGGCATATTCTGTGGTGTTGTTGGTTCTGCCACAGGGGAAACTATAGCTAGAGCTGTAGCTAGGAACCAGCTGCAGCTTCAGCTGGGCAGGGCAGGGCAGGGCAGGGCAGGGCAGTGTAGGGTAGGCTAGGGTGGATGGAATTGACAGGCATCACGGTATTGGAAGAGAAACAAGCAGAGGCCATGCTTCCGCCACCAGCGGTCACATACTGTAGATAATAACGACATCGCCCTTCCTAACCCCTTCCTCCCTCAACACGCCCGCCAGCACTTCAACCTCATCCAACAGGCGCGCATACGTATACTTTTCGACAGTCTCGGTGACGGGCGACTCCCAGATAAGCGCAATATCCTCGCCATGGCCGGCATGCACATGGCGGTCGACGCAGTTGTACGACGTGGAGATCTCCCCGTCCGGGAACCATGACCAATGCTCGTGCTGCGCGCCACTGGGCAGGGTCTTAGTGCGTCGGGACAGAGCGCGTGACGGGGTTTTGTGCCAGTGGAGCCGCGAGGCAGGCTCGGCCCAGAAGGACTCTGGGTCGGCGAGCGAGTGGGCGTGGGCGGATTGTTGGGGGTGTGGCGGCATTGGATTTCCGTAGGGTGGATGTGGGTTGGGTTGGCGGTAGGCTTGGATGGGGTGTGGGGGAGCTGACGCGGGGATAGAGTAAAGTCGAGTCGACTCGGCGGTTTGACCAGTCCAGAACGACGGGCTGTCACGGACAGGTTCGAGCTATACCCCCCTGGCTTATATCTCCGGACATGCTACCCGAGGTCCAGGTCTCAGGCTCACAAGGAGGCGGGAGGGTCGGGGGAACGGATGGGTGTAGGGATGTCGGGATTTGCGCCTTTGAGCTAGCTAAGTCAAAAGGGAGTAAGTTTGAGACTAGAACAAACAAGTAGTGCATGTTCAACCGGGCAGACCCAGAGACGAGCTCGCAGAGGCGGACGCAGAATGCGGGGGAGGGACTGGGGACCCGAGGGAGTCCGTGCATTCCCCACATAGCGGTTCCCGACGGGTACATGTGTTTCAGCCAGACCAGCGCAGAGGGACGAGGTGTTCGAGGGTGTTGGGGGAGTGCAGGATCGACGTGGCCTGCTTTCTTCAATGGATCGGCTCCGAGGGGCCTAAAAGAGGGCGCGAGGTTAAGTGGTCGTTGAGTCCTGCGAGGGTGGAGAGTGAGGCTGAACGCTAAGCTTACATCTCACGACGGCGTCACCTGGTTGGGTGGGCGGCTCGATCCGGCCTGCTCTACTCCGTCACTCTAATAACCGGCCTGGCTCCCCGTTGTCTAGCCAGCTACCATAACCGTTCCTGCTATCATCGATAATTCAACTTGCCCCGGAGCCAAGCAATGGGGGTTCTAATTCTGTATGGGTCTATATACGCAGAAGAGTGGCGGTAGAAATAGCCCAGAGATGATATCAGGAGGGAGAAAAAATAATGGTGGTAGTAGTCAAATCAAAATAGAAAAAAGATGAAAATAAAAGAACAAGCTCAGTCGTAGGGTATCATATCGAAATGCCTGCTAATGCGCGACTGCGATCTTCTGGCTTTGTCGCCTGGGAAGTTGTGTGTTTTCCCTCCCCGTTCTTCTCTGCGAGTGGCGTCGGGTTGCTCCAATGATATGCAATGCCGGCCCTGCTACGATCCATGGCCCACGTAACGATCGCAGCAGCATCTGCTCGTCCCTGCTCAGGCAACACACCCCTGCACAGGCCACATAGATGGGGGGGGGGGGGGGGGTGGCAATTGTGCGAGCTGTGGTGGATGCTGTGGTAGATGCCATGGCCGACCACGACACCAATGAGCGAAGGTGGTCTGACCCGCATTCCCAAAAGTGCTGAGACATGCGGGCACTGGACGCGAGATCGTGGTGGCGAGAGGTGTGAGGCCTTCTCGGGCGGGGCGATGTCGAGCGAAAGGGAAAGTGGGTATAGAGGATCGTGCGGGTTGAGTCGAGGAAGTGGAGTGAGGTTGTGAGGTTGTTGCGAGGAAAAGGGCCGCCGACGCCGAACGAGGTCGTAAACCAAAAGACAGAACCACCCCTTCCAAATGCACCCGGAGACCAAAAAAGGAAACAAGAAGGAAAAAGGAAATGAAGCGATCACAAGAGGGGAAATGAAGCGGACTGCCATCGCGATGGGAAGCAAGGCAAGCTAGCCAAAAAAAAAAAAAAAAAAAAAAAAAGAGAAAAAAACCAAAAACCACAGGACAGAGAACTTCCTTTCCTGGACGGACCCGGCCGATCACAGGAGAACACACTGGAGACGACTGCGATGTCGACGATCCGGACGGAACGACTTGGGATATTCGGGGCCCGCATCGCGGTCCCGGTGACCCGAGAAGCCCGCGGCACCACCCCCGCGGCCCTTCGCGTTCTGTGAGTGTTGACGCTGCTGGCGCAGCATGCGGACAACATCGTAGAAAGCCTTCTCAACATTGATGCAGTTCTTCGCAGAGGCCTCGACAAATTCACAGCCCAGCTCCTTGGCTAGGGCCTGGCCCTCCTGCGCGGAGACGGCGCGCTCCACGGCCTTGTCGCTCTTGTTGCCGACCAGCATCACGGGGACGGGCAGGGGTGAGCCGCCGGCGGTGTGGTTCATGGAGGAGCCCAGATAGCTCGGGCCGGAGGGGGAGCTGGAGCTGGCGGACTCCTTGACCATCTTGATCTGGTTGTAGAACTTGGTGATCCGCGAGAAGGAGGCGCGCGACGTGATGCTGTACACCAGCACGAAGCCTTCACCGTCCCGGATCCACTGGTCCCGCAGTGCGGTGTATTCTTCCTGGCCCGCCGTGTCCAGCACCTCGAGCATGCATGACTGTTGGTCGATGACGACCTGTTTGCGGTAGGAGTCTTCGATGGTCGGGTCGTACGTTTCGACGAAGTGGTTCAGGCATAGCTATAGTGGGGCGAACGAGGGTTAGTGATGGATTTTGGTTTCTTTTTTTTTTTTGGGTATATTGAGCCCTCAGTACGCCGTGGTCGCGTTGTGGTGCGGTCCGGGTTCTGTTGATGATCCGGTCGGGGGATCGGGGGGGGGGGGGGGGGGGTTTTTCACGGAACCAACCTGGATCGTAAGGGCCGTCTTTCCAACGCCTCCATCTCCCAGCACCACCAACTTGTACAATGTCATTTTCCCCGACATGGCGGGCAGATGGGAATCGGGTGCGGTCGGAGCAAGGGGTGGTCGGTGGAGGAGTCGGAGGGGGGGGAGGGGAGGGGTTCAGGGATTGGAGGGTTCGCGAGGAGAAAGGGAGGGGAGAGGACCAGGAGGGGCACGAAGTCGGCGCGGAAGGCCACGAGAAAAGGACGAGGCGGAAGCTCCGACAAGAAATGACGCAAAAGAGCAGGGTTAGAAAAGAAGAGGGGGAAGGTGGTGAAGGAGGAGGGCGTGAGGGCGAGTCTCTGACGGACTGACTAAAGGCCCCGTTTTGTGCGAAGTTTGGTCCGAGCAGTGGCTGGAACTAAGTGGAGTGGGAGGGGTCGGCCATGGAGGACGATGGACACGATGGGTAGGATAGGATAGTTATAGGAATTGGACAAAAAGGGCTCTCATATTTGGTGAATTCAGGCAAATCAGCATGCTGCGACAACACGCAGCTACATCCCAGCCTATAAGGCCGCGCGACGGGATGAAATGTGTGCTCCCAGCGAGCCGGGCTCTCCCATTGCTGTGGTCACCCTGGACCAGTCTAATCCAGTCTCATCCAGTCTGCTCCAGTCTGCTCCAGTCTCCTCCAGTCTCATCCAGTCTAATCCAGTCTAATCCAGTCTAATCCAGACCTGCCCGTTCTGCCCGTCTACCGATGTCCACTCTTCCGGCCCGGAGCCAGTCGCAACTGCCTCACTTCCCTGCCCTGCCCTTACAAGCTCCGAGACCGTCTGGAGCACGGGCCAAGTGGGACGGGTAGAGCCATGCCCAACTAAACTCGCTGAACCCACCAAAGGGCCAAGACCATTATGGAATTACGGGTGGAAACGGTCCCCCTCTCCTGTGATCATGAAAGTGATCCAAGCTTTCGCGGATCCGGCATGATCGATGCAGAAATCCGAGAGAGTAAAAAAGAGTACAAAATAATAATAAAAAAGAGAGAAAGAGACAAAAAGGGAAAAAGGGGAAAAAGGGAGGGAAAAAAAAATAAAATAAAACAGGAAACCCCAAACGAAGTTCCGCCCTGGTGAGATCATCCACGATCATAGTTTGCTGTCGTCCCAGCTAACCGCTAACCGCTAACAGCAAGCAACCCAGGGTCGTGGACACGGGAACGGGAACGCTGGAAGGATTCCGACTCCCATCACTGGGCTGACTAACTCCCGACCAAATACATTCCAGGAGTATCGTGCCCTCCTATACTCTCATCGGTCGCAAGAAATGATGATATCAGATCAGAAGTACAACATGTGGAGTACTTAGGACGCAAAGCCTCATTGACTCCTTCAGGCAGTACAAAGTACATATTCAACATATTCAACAAAAGGGCCAAATGATAAAAGGTAGGGGGTGAATATCAGATGCCGCCCCGCCAGGCAGTAGCCCAGCCGATCCCACTGCGCTCCCTTTGTGATTTGATTTGACGAATGTGCGGCCCTTTTGCGTTGGAGCCCGGGTCCCACCCGGAAGCGATCCGCGCTCCATCAGGATCAAAGATTGAGGAATGAGAGGGATCAGAAAGGAAGGAGAGCAAGAACTCCTCTATCATCTTCCCTCCACCGTGCAAAGATATAGAAAGAAAGGATGTCCAAGGTACGGACTCCGCCAGGATGGCCCAGAGAGGAAACAGCCGTCGACACGGACGACAGCAGTCTCCGCAAAAAATCTGGTCTATCATCCGAGCCTTCCTGGGGGCCTTCATCTCAGCCTAGGGCTTCGGCCCTAGCTCCGACAGACGAGACCATGGGCATGGGATTTTGTCATTGTGATCGTGATCCAGTGCAGTACCGAGGAGAGGCATGGGCAGTCTCGGCGAGGGGAGGCACCATAAAGGCACGACAGCCCACGTCGCGAAGCAAAGCAAACAGCGAAAGCGTCCCGGATGGATACCTGTGGCACCGGCGGCGCTCGCGCCTGAGTGTGGGCCCGGGGCCCGGCCCATCGTGGGCCGGGGCTGGACGGCCTGGGAAACGCTTTGAGCTTTCAAAGCGCTCGGAAGGGTGGAGTGGGCGAAGCCGAAAAGCAAAAGCAAAAGCAAAAGCAAAACAACAGGCACAGCACGACAAACAGGAGACGAACGCGTCCAATTCTACCTCTCTTTTCCCCTTTCTCCCCCAACAGAGGCATGGGATAGCCTGGACCGAACACCTCAGAGAATGCGCAAATGGGTAAGAAGACTCCGGCCAACCGCCCAGTCAGGGGCGTCGATGCGAAGATAGCCTCCAAACCATGACAGGAAGCTGCTTTGGCCCGAGCGGGGCCAGTGGGGTTCTATCGGGGCGCCCTCCCCCCTCGGGCCCAAGCGAGCGGATCTCGCGCTCGTGGGAGGTTTTTGGGTTGTTTTTGGTTTCATTTTGCGGTGTGCCATAAGTTGCTGCTCACAGCGTCGTCATACTAGATAGATCGTATCAGATCAGATCAAATCAAATCAACACGCCCTGGATAGAGCACACGACCCTCGAGTAAACTCGAGCAACTCGAGCAAAGAGACTACCGGGCTCCTTTCTGCAAGGCACGATGTCTCTGTGCCTGTGCTAGTTCTCCGATTGGCCTGCACGTGGAAATGCCCACCAAGTGCCAGCCCTCGCTTTAGACGGCCCCACCGTGTTTCCTCGCCGGAGACCCCCTCATGGCCTAGGATCGCTGGGCCCCGCTGCGGCAAGCTCGATTCGTAGCCAGAGGCTACTGCTACAAGTTGACACGAGGTCACTACGCCGTAAGGGCTAAGGGGGGGGGCCGCCTACCTTATTCTGTATCAAGGTTGGAAAAAGCTCATGGACTGAGATCCACCGGCCTGCTTGGCCAGCTCGAGTATGCCTCCCCTAATCCTCCTCTCCATCACCCCCCGAATCGCACGCTACGGCTGCAGTGGAGAGCTAGCCCGTGGAGCCTTCATCCACAACGTCCCCCTTCTACAGTCCTTTCTGGAAGAAGCGTTTTGCGTGAAGAGCGTGCTCCCAGGCTGTGGACTGGACAGGTGCCCCCTAGCAAATTTAGACACCTCCTGGCCGTGGATACCCTCGGAAACACTCTCACTGCGCGACGGGCCCCGGCACCCACCCGCGGAACGGCGCGTGGATTCCCGCCGATAGATCGTCCCCAGGCCTGCCTGGGATGGAGATAAGTCCTGCTATAGGCGGTGGGGACTTGACGGAAGCTATTGAGTACGGCCGTGGTTAAAGAGGGCGGGCATGTCACTGCGGCTGCTGCTCATTTTCTGGCCGGCGAGAGGGCTGCTGGTTTGTTTGGGGGGCCGAGATCGGGATGGGGGTTCGGTGCTGTATTGGCTGGTGGCTGTGTTGCCCGCGAGGGAATCCGTGCTTCCCTGGTTAGGAAGGGTCTGGCCCTGCTTGGCTATGTATTGGTCCGTGGGATTCGTTGATGGGACAATGGGTTGTCTGTTCTTCTGGCCGATGGAGGACACCTCATGAAGCCGGAATTGACTTTGGTTTGGGGAAGGCTGTTCTTGACCAGTCCGCGGAGATGCGGATATCTCGTTTCTCCTGGCATTGCCCTCTTGTGGATACTGCGAATCTGCTACGCTCCGTAAGCCGCGTGTGATGGTCTTCGGGTGGTAATCACGGACAGGTTCTCATCGGACAATCCAACCCCAGACCATAGCGAATATGCAACCCCTTAGGGCTTCGGCTTGGCCCCCGAACATCCCCTCGGGGCGCCCTTTCCCACTCTGTCCCTCAAGGTTACCATGCTGCAACGGCGCATGATGCCTGTCAGCACAAGCTAACTGGTTTTGCCGAAAGGTCCGGCAGGAACAGGGAAGAGGAGACGCAGAGGGAAACGGACGAAGGGGACCCAACACCAAACACGCAACACCGAATTCGCCGGTCCCGTCTTCCAGAAGTGACAGCGCGGCTTCTTCCGCGGGTCCTCCCGTACTGCTGTGCGGCCGTTGGAGGACCATATGGCTTACGTTCTAACGGCCCGCTATGGTCTCGCCCGAGCGCTGGTCTGAACGAGTGGACCGCCCGCCTTCGCCGGGCTAGCTTGGTCGTTGCGTCGCGTAGCTGCTTCCCTCGTACCGCCAATCGATAGCTCGGGAGAGGCGCTCTAATACCAGACAATGCTGCAGCTGCAGCTGCAACATGCAGTACGCGTCCATGCATCTTGCGCAATCATCCTGTTCAATGTGACCGATGCTGATCCTCGATCGGCAGGGACAATCCCAGTCGCCTGGATACTGGGTAGACTATCTCGCAATCGGGGCAATGGCCAGCCGGCGTGCTGGTTGGGGGCAAGCTTCTAGGGGATGTGTCCTAGTTAGCCAGCCCCTTGGCATCGGGCGAGTTCCGGGGCTAGCGAGTCGACTCCGTACTAGTGCATCACTGTGTTTGTGGCTAGTCCTTCAGGGGTGAGAACATACCCAGCAATTCTGATGTAAGTGGCTTGATTATTCGTCGTAGGCTGGGGTCATGTTTCGATTGGAACGTTCGATTCGGGGGCCAATGGGTCGAATTGCTGCTGTAAACCTGGCCCGTCAAAACTAGGCTCCATCGAAGATTGATTGCTGTGGGGAATTTCCAGCGGAATGCAATCTGACGGAACTCTAAGTTGGCTTATCAAAGTGAAGACCTCCGGAGGAAATCGCAGGGGCGATCTGCTACTCCCCTGAGTCCCGCAAGTGGAGATCTAGACGACAGTCGACATGGGGATGCTGTCTTGCAAACTTTCCCCCAGGCGTAACTTTATCGAATAGCCCTTAACTCCTCGTGGAGAAAATGCAATGTTGACCTCGATCCTGAAACACGGTCCAGTACTGCGATGCGAGTAAACAAGGTATTCGTATCAGTCAGCAGAGCGACCAAGGCCGGTCACCTTCCGTCCGCAAAAACCTAAAATGATCCCTGAATGGGGTTATCCTTGGCATGTCGAGTCTGACATGTTTCACCACATATTTCATGTCCGATGCACTCGAACAGTCGCCTCAAGCCAAACGGTCTTAGATGGATGTTGTTGTACATGGTTGCTTTCAAGGGACTTGCCTACCTCCGCTTCCGCTACTTCCATCGGCTCAGACACACCCAGTCGTATGGACATCCATTGAGCAAGTTAAACGAAACTAAGGTGTGTTGAAAAGTGATCCACGTTTACCCAGTTGCTGACCTGGCTCCATGACCAAACCTGTAGACTTCACATCCTACAACAAAGTAGTAGTTCAAATCAGAGTTAAGTTCTTCTTTTTAGATTGGTATACTAAAGATAGGTGGTGAGAATAGCAGATAATGATCACACCGGCCGACTTGGTTCAATTCGTTATTTAGGCGCTCTTGTTGTTGATCTTGAGCAGCTCCACCTCGCTGCCAAATTGTTAGTCACGCAAAAGAATAATTTCTTCATTGCAAAAACTTACAAAATCAGAGTAGAGCCTGCAGGGATCTTGCCAGATGACCTGTTGGAGAATAATGTTAGAACGCTTTTGGTCGACAATCACAGCGGCGCAAAGAAACTTGGCCAGGTGAGGTGCTCTCGTGTTTTGACGTACTTGTCACCGTAGCCATAGTCCCTAATGGTAAATGTCAGTCCTGGTCATCTTTTCCCTTGTCTAATCAGACTTTACTTACGGGGTAATGGTCAGGGTGGACTTCTCGCCCAGGGTCATCTGCATGACACCCTCATCCCAGCCTGATGAAGCAGTGTTAGCAATCCAAATTCAAATCGACCCTGACACCCGATCCGATGACTCAAGGGTGTGAGTGTGATTCCCATCTTATAAAAGGAAATTGGAGGGAAAGGATAGAATACCCTTGATGACCTGTCCAACGCCAATCTGAACGTTCAAAGGACCACGACCGGGCGACCTGGAGCTATCAAACCTATTGACATGGATTAGTACTCAATGATTACAATTGATAAGCTTAAAAGCCATATGTGATGGATGCCAGCTTACTGCTTGCCCTGGAAGCCCTTGTTGGCCTTCTTAGCATCGTAGAGCCAGCCTGTGTAGTGGATAGCGACCTTATCGCCCGAAGCAGGCGAGTCAGAGCCGTTTCCACGGGTGATGATCTTTCTCTCGACGCCCATCGTGAACTATTCTGGTAATAAACGGGGAGAAATAGGTTAGGGGTTAATGAAAGGAAGAAGGAGGTTGAGGACGAGGGGCAACGCTGATTCGCAATTTTTTTCTGGAAGTGGGGGAAAGCGGCGGGAGCGGCTAGGCCGCGGCGTAATGATTGCTATACGGATCTTCCAGGTAAGAGTGTAGGAACATGCATTTCTAAACCTTTTTAAGGCCAGGGATACCTATTGATGTTTTAGGAAGAAAGCTGTTTATCTAATTAGACTCTTGTGTCTATAGTGCGGCTTTCAAAGCGTTTATCGGTGGCTCGTGTGGAGTAATCAGAGAACTACGCTGATGTAATACTGGACGTGCTCAATTCTAACCAATGATCAAAAAGCGGCAAGGTGGGGGGAAGTACTGCAACTACTGTACCAGAAAGAACGTTTCGAGTGGAAGGCCAGGTACGGCCTTGTGTAAAAGATCCACTAAATTGATATCTATAATTATTTGCTGGGTTTTTCCCCTACATTCTATGAGAATTTGTTGAGTATACACCTGACCTTTCACTTCCATAGCTGTAGATCGTTTAGTCGTTAGAGGATCTCGAGTTATATAATCAATATGTATCGAAGCACCGAGCATGCTAGTCATGGATGCAAAATTGGATGCATTTCTGCACAGAAAGACCTTTTAAAGCAACAAGCTATCTGAGATTATTCACCAAGCTGGACAACTCTAAAGGTCTTCAGAGAACCTTTGGTATAAAGCACACCGAGAACACCGAAGAAAATTAGAGTAAGGGGAGTGGCGCATGTAGGAGTAGGAGCGCGCCGCTCCGACTGTAAGGCTCTAGAGCAGCGACGAAAGGTAAGGGAGACAACGTCTCAGCCAATGGGGGCGGTGGACGGTATTGGATTTCGCGGCAATGTCACACCGATTCGAAGTCGTGTGACATGGCGCAGCCCAACAATGCGAACTGCAAGTAGGCCACAGTAGGCCTTTACGAAGCTCGAGGTTCGTTTTCAGGAAGTTTGCACTCTGTTCATACTCTGGTTCTGTACTCCGTACATGTCCAGATAAGCGATGCCTGCCAAAGCGAGTAATTTTCTATGAACTCCAATCGGGCCGGGATGAGTTTAACGAAAATATCACTACTGTAGGTCTTAGTGGTTGTGTTTTGCAGACGATGATTTGGGAAAACATCGGGAATTTACCCCCGGATGCCCGGTTTTGATCCCCGCATCTCAGCTCGGCGTCCCGATCTTGCCTGATTTAACATCTGCATTAGGTGCTACATAGAGTTTGTCTTTTTTTTTTTTTTTTTTTTTTTTCATTTTGTCCACCTTATTTTGAGATAGGTTTCCATCATCTATCCGACTTTTTATCGCTCATGTTGCACAAAACACTTTACAACTTTCAGAACACCTCAATGCCGTCTCTCTTGCGGACACTCCTGCTGGGAATTTTCCTGGCAAGTTTGACCAGCGGCCAGATTACTAGTCCGAACTATCGCATTGACGTTCATTCTCATGCCATACCAAGCATTTGGAAGGATGCAATGACTGCAGCGGGCTTTCAAGTAAAAAACGGCACTTTGTATAATGACGGTGTTCCTGTACCTGATTGGACTCTGGACTCGCACATTAGTGCCATGGACACCCTTGGGGTTAATTATTCGACCATCAGCATCACTGCGCCTGGCGTTTCCTTTGTCAAGAACGCTGGCAAGGCCAAATTATTAGCCCGCAGCATCAATCTCATACTTCATGAGTACACTCAGGCTCACCCAACTCGACTCGGGGCACTCTGTCTCTTGCCTCTCCCTCACGTTAATGAAGCGATAGAGGAGCTGAAAGTTCGTTTTACCCATTGGAAAGTGCCCGGCTTAATCTAATTTGGATTTTATAGTTTTGCTTAGACTCCCTCAAATTCGTCGGCGTGGGCCTTTACACCAACGCCAACGGTGTGTACCTTGGTGACCCCGCACTTGGCCCTGTCTTCGCGGCCTTAGATGCCCGCAATGCCAGCGTGTTTGTTCATCCAGCCTCTCCGACCTGCACATCTGTCGCCTTAGGCTACCCTATGCCGATGACGGAATACCCTTTTGACACTGTCCGTGCCATAGAGAATCTGCTACTAACCGGCCAGCGTGCGCAATATCCGGGCCTCAAGATGATCTTCGCACACGGCGGTGGTGCAATACCCTATCTGGCCACCCGCATTGCCGGCATCGCAACGCTTTCCTACGCCGGTGGGCTAGCATTCACTGAAACTATGGCGCAACTTACTGGATATTATTTTGATATCGCTAGGGCAACCTCTGCTATCCAGCTTACGGCCCTGAAGAGTTTTATTGGGGCCAACAAACTTGTGACTGGAACTGACTGTGAGTAACAAGGTCGAACTATGCCCGGACAAATGTGCAGCTGCAGTATACTCACGTAGACAGATCCCTATGTTCCCCTGTCACAAGCACAGTCGGGCTTAGCTGGGGTCCAGGTAAATGGTAATTTTACCGATGAGGAGATGGGCTACATCAAGTACCAGAATGCTTTGGAAATATTTCCACGGATTGCCAGTGCTTTGCAGCGGAGGTGAGACGTCTGTTAACCCGGAGTGCAGAAAGAGTCAGGAAATGTCTTACAGGGGCAAAGAGAAATGAATGTACTTTGTATATTTATTTTTAGTCCGTTTTCATAACCTTCATTCTTGTTGTGTCAGAAGGCCACTAAAAAACCGCTCGCTACAAACTATACCGCATCTAAGTGGTGACTGTCCGTTTTCGCTGACTTGGAGGATAGTATCTTCTTGGCTTACAAATAAATCCTACACTCTGTCCAGCACGGAACAGACAGGCCCCAATATAAAGTTTCGGAGGAGGGTAGTACAAGATGTGCAAATGCTGAATACTGCATCTGAACTGAATGTCTGAACATTTGAGCTCGAGCTGCTTTGCATAACGATAATTGGGACTTTTACCGTGTCACCCTTGAATTGATAAGCCTCTCCACCTTGCTTTTGCTTGACGGCCATGACATTAAGTTTAGTTTCTTCGCGCGGTGCTCCATAGAATGAGGGTATAAAAATACCGATCACCCCACCAACCATCCGTTGCATATCCATATATTCACTAGCCTGTCAAAGTGTCTGTTCGAGTCCACATTGACAAACAAAGTATGATCGACAACTGATTTCCCCTTGTTTGCTGACAGATCCGTATGCGAGCTTCGCTTAATTCAATATAGACCTTGTCCGAGGTCTACTTCCTTTGTTCGGTTCTCCAATCGTCTCGGGAGACACAAAGCTTTATCTAGGTCGGATCGTCCGAACAAAGAGTGTGAATAGTTAATAAAGGATCGAGACCATAACAGCTTGCAAATGCCTGGATATATAATCATTTCAAGTCTTCCCCTCATTTAGGAGCTGATGGCTAACCCTCACCACTTACCAACTGTGTACAATGGCCCTCCGTCGTAAAATGGGGCGGATTTTCAACAATTTGAACTGCTGCGCTCGCCGCAGCTTTCCCGCCCAGGCGAATCCAAATCAACAGGAAACACTGTGTGCTCAGTGCCAACCTCAAGTTCCTTCTGCCCAACGGGCTATTCAGCTACTTGCTCAGGTTCAGGCTCCTCGACCGGCTGCTCAGCCGCAAGGCCCTCCAACTCAGCTGGCTACTCAGAACCAGCCTGCCCACCCCCGGCCTCGAGTTCATTTTGCTCTGCCAGCTACTCGACAGTCTACTCGTTCTCGGCCTGGTATATATGCTCGGCCCCCCCGGCCGAATGCTCAGACTCAATACCCTTCGGCTCCACTGGCTATACAGAGCACAGCCTACTCGACCGGCTGCTCCCCGGGCAATGAGCAGCCTACCCAGACACAGCCTCAAGCCCAGCCTATTTAGCCGGCTGCTTAGCCTCAAGCCTAGTCAGTTCAAGCGGCTGCTCCAGAGGCTCCTTTCCTTTCTTTCTTTGGATGGGGTGCTTCTTGACGACCTTAACCGCTAACTCAGTCCCAATACAAATTGATTTTACAACGATGACCGGGGTTTGGAGGACACAGCTACCGCTAAGTTCATTGGTCGATCTTTCACCTTTTGTCTTCCCCTTTCTTTCTTGGATTTCATGATGACTTATGCTTAACAGATCCCAATACAAATTGCCTTGGCACTGGAACTAAGGATTCAGGAGGTTTTGCAAGATAGCGTAGATCCCACGTAGAATTTCATATTAGTGGTTGGAGAGATCTATGTATATGACAAGGATGCCTGTCGTATACGTACAAACCAAAGCCCTGTTGGTTCACCGAGTATCGCAGCGATGCAGCCGTGGATATCCTTCCAGCATAGAAGCCTCCTCACACTGAATAAAGTGTTGATTCTACGAGGGATGGGGATTACTGTTTAATATGGGCCCCAACACAGTGGTAGAGATGAATGAACGATGACATCCAGGGAAGGCTTGCATGGACTAGGCCCTCTTCCAAGGCCCATGGCGAAAGAGTGCAGGGTGGTCGTAGTCATGTGCTAGCCCCGAGGCTGGAAGGAACAAGCGGGAAGTGTATCAGCTGTCACTGGCAAGATCAGATCTCTCGGCAGGTCGCTCCATCTGCCATCGCAGACCTTTTGCCTCGACACGGAGATGTTGATCATGATCCCAATGCTGTGCTGCCACAGAGCTTTGTACAGTCTAGCCGGAGCACACTTGAACCATTTGTTCATGATCGCTGTCCATGTGGTACGTTCACGGTGACGTTTTTGCTTTTGCGGCTCAACCCCTTCTTAATATAGCCGAGCCAGCCATGCCGTACGGATAGGGCATTCAATCGACAAGTCTCACGAGGACCTGATCGGCGGCCACATGCAGTCTAATGATCACTACTAAGAGCGTTTACACGAGCGGGCTAGGTTCAGAACGCGATTTAGCCGGGCGGTGCTCTCAACCACGCAAAAGGACTCTGCGAGCTCGTCCACTCAGACCTCGTGGCCCCGTCGAGCAACGGTTATCGCGGGCGCGATCAGACCCTCACCGTCAACGCTCGAACCCTACGACTTACAGCTCTTACAGAGGCATCCCAGCAGTGACTAGAAGATACAGACCGCTACTGTACACCTCATGCCTCCCGTCCGTCCCGACTCTTCCTATGATAGGTGCCTCCCATGACTCCGCGAAGCCTCACTCGCACCATGCGCTCGCTCGAAAATACGCATCATGGTCAATTAGATACCGAGGATTGCCGGATGGGGACCGGTGACAGCCACGAGGACGGGACGACCCGGAAGCTTAAGTCGTTTCGCGATCCTTCGGTAGGGCATGCCTAGTTCCTTTCTTTGTTGTTGCGCTACTAGGCCACACAGGCCACCTCTCTTGTGGAATAATTCCGACTCTGCGATATACACGCGGTGTTGCACCAAGAAGAATGTAAGAAAAAGAATCGTTTGCTGATGGACATCGTACCCAGCAGCCAGCATGTATTATCCTCCTCTTCAGCGTGTTCTGCATGAACGGCGGCACCTTCGTCGTTCCTGAATTTCAACGCCAGCCTCGCCCTGATCTGCCACCAGCGCTACTCCTCCAGCAATACGCAGCCAGGCCCTGCCGGGAAACGAAACCCGATGGAAGAGCTGGAGCACTGCTCGGGCGACGAGAATGCGCAGGCCGACGTATCCCGGCTAATGATCTACTGCCAATTGACCGCAGGCATACTCTCAGCCATCACAGCCCCAAACCTAGGCTCACTCTCCGAGACGATCGGCCCTAAACCAGCCCTCTCCTGTAGCACGATCGGTGTCCTCCTATGCAATGCCATGATGCTTCTAATCCTGCAGCATCCGGACTTTATCGACCTGCGCTGGGTGCTAATCGGGTACGCGATCGAGGGCCTCGGCGGGATGTATATCACAGCTATAGCGGCGTCGCAGTCCTACATGACGGACCTATCGAGACCGCACGAGCGCGCAGCTTTACTCCGCTACATGCAGGCATGCACTTCCTAGTCGCGTCGATGAACTCCTTCGAGGGCGTGTACTGGGTTTCCTTCTGTGCATATCTGCCACTGACTCTGGCCTTCATCTTCATCCTGCCCTAATCGCGCTGGGCGCGGTCCGATCACGTCGAAACCGAACCTATGCAAACCCCGCCACTGCGCCAGAATCCGCTGCGTCAGGTATTCTCGTCGTGTAAGTCACTCTGGAACGCCAGCGTCAACCGACGCAGCAACCTGGTCATCCTCGCCATGATCGAGCTAGTCGTCTTCGGCATCATGGCGTTCCTGCCGCCGCTGCAGATCGCGTACTCATCGTACCAATTCCACTGGCGCCCCACAATCCAGAGCTTCTACATGGCGCTGGTTAACTCATGGAGCATCTTCGTGCTGGTAGTGCTTTTTCCTGCGATCATGTCAGTCGAACGACGGCAGATCCGGCGCAAGCGCAACAGGACTCATTCAACCGTGTTCAACACCGGCGACCTGGGTGCTATCCGCTCTAGCCTGTCGCTGTAGAGACTGGGGTACGCGGGTGTAACGCTGACGCGGTCGCCGGCACTTTTTGTCCTGGCTTCGCTGGTGTTTGCGTGTGGGAACCCCGTCACGCCGCTGCTGACGTCTAGTTTGACGGCACATGTGCCAAGTGAGCATTCAGGGCATTTGTTGGGCATGTTGAGCTTTATGCATGCGCTTTCGCGGATCACGGTGCCCACAGCGCTGAACGCAACGTATAGCGTGACGATTGGCGTGTTTCCGCACGCGTTATTTGTGCTGCTGGCTGTTGTGCTGTCGTTGCTGCTGGTTTCGAACTTTTGTATCAAGTCGCATGGGCTGCGCTTGAGCCAGCTTTAAATTTCCCATGCTGCAACCCCTGATAGTTCGCTCTGTATTTGTGGTGTCTTTTCAGGGTGCAGGCATGTCATGTCGTGCTGGTCACATATGTAGGCATGTTATGCTTTACTATGCTATGACCTCAAGGATACCCATGCATAGAATTATTCTTCTTCCCCTGTCTCTGCCAATGTGTCCGTCTCTTCGTTTTCTGCTCTCGACTGTGTATCCGTCCGAACAATCGTATTTGGAGCGCGCATTTGCTCAATGGTATGCAAGTACAGTCGTGGGGACGCAGGAGAACTCCGGACGATTGTCTCGACTTTCTCCAGCATGCGCTGCGTCCGCCAGTAGACATTATCAACCAGGGCCAGGTAATCCGGAAGGGGATCCGGGAGACGCCGCACCGCCTGGTCAAGCCTGCCCTTGTACTTTACAAGACTGATGCGGTGCAGGCCAAGGCGGGCATCACTATTCCCATCGCTGCGGTCCACAGCGTCCAGCAATGCATGGAGGTCCAATTCGGCAGGCGACTTCGAGAAAGCCTGGGACCAATCCTCATACGGCGCTATCCAGTCGATATCATGCCGATATGTGGCTCTATCATCCGGCAAAAACCATGGTGCGACGACGACCATAACTCTGAGAGATGTGCAATGCGTCGCGATATACTTCAGCGTCTTATAAAGAAGCAGCCTGTGTGGATTCACCACAATATGCTGGATGTGATGTAGCAAGGCATGGCGGGCTTCCACATGCCGTAGCAGGCCACGATCGTTGGGAACGTCGCGCACGAAGAACAAGTGTTGTGTGAAATTGAACCAGCCCAGCTTTTCGATGTGAGTGTGAGTTTGGCGCAGGACCTGGCGGGCCTCGGAGTTAGCTTGACCGATGGACCTATGGGGGTGGGTGCCGATTGTTTTGAGCTGATAGCGGTTGATGCGTTTAAAGCCGGTGCAGGACCAGGAGGCTGTTAAGGCGAAGGTCCAGATGTAGTGGCGGAGTTCAGGAGGTAGGGAGGAGAAGAGAGGGAATGTTGCTGCCATTGGATAGGGATACTGATATGAAGTATGGGACAGTGCGTGTTCCTGTTGTTTGTTTAGGGACTAGTTCTTTGTAAATGGACGAAGTATACTTTGGACTTTGTTGGCTGCCTGCTAATTTTGGCATGCACGTGCGGAGTCACGCCCCCACCGGGCTATTCGACGCCTCCTCGCCGGCGAAAATCAAACAAAGCAAAGACGGCAATTTCAACTCCAAGGAAACATTCAGGACTTCCAAGTTACTTTTGTTTACCACTCGTCATCTGCGACTACATCATAAAGGATGCACTTCAGATGTGCACCCTCCCTTGCGGTTGCCTCAGTACATACGCGTCAGAACCCCCACACCGCGATTCCTCAAAGCTCCTCGATCGCCGATACCTGATGCTCGCACTACCCTGACCTGGCCAATGGCAGTGTTATTCGAACGCGGAAGAAGAAAGACCCAGCTGGACCAGTTGGGTGAACCCCGATCGAATGGCCCCACCGGGCCAAGTGAGCTGGCGTAAGACGCTCCGGCGCAGGGTCACGGACAGCCCCAATAATGGGCCGAAGGGTTCGAACCCCTCCGAGATAGAGCAATGAAGACCGTTCAATGTGTCTTGATTGTTTCCATAGTTAGTTATGCAGTTGGAGACTGCTGGCTATGAATATGACAATCTCTGTACGCCTCCGACACCGACTAGCACACTGGCCTAGACTCTACCGACCAGACCAGACTGTCAACCCTCGCATCCACGGCGCCCAAGACGGCAAGGATCCTCAGGAGCGGGCCAAGCGCACAAATGGGTTCTTGCGGGGACGTCGCCATAGCGAGGTATGAGCAAGATAATGCCACGGGACACCACGACCGACCTTGCGTTGTATAGTTCCCCATTGGCCCTCCAGCTCCGCTCTCCGTGCACGTTTGGTCCAATGACCCAGCGGATGCAATTTCCTCACTACTGCCACTTTGCAACCTTAACGTGCACCCCCTATCGGCCCCCTTTTCGCCCTGCGCTAGCCGCTAGTTAGTTGCACGGGTACCTGAGTCGACCATGGCGCTCCCTGGCGCCTCCCTATAAACATCCCGTTCGCCCCATCCCCTTTCCCACCCCCATCCACACGCTCTCTACCCAAAGCCCCCCCCCCCCGGTTCAGTCTTCACGACCGAGTACATTCTTTTCAGAAACCACACTCTTTTCCACCGCGTGTCAAATCATACCCCTCGTCTTCACAGACCCCTCGCTTCTTCAGGAACATTCTTCGAACAACCTCACATTCCAGCCAAAATGCGTTTCTCCCTCGCCGCCGCTGTCGCCGCTCTGGCTGCTGGTGTTGTCGCCAGCGACGCTGTCACTGAGACCGTCACCCGGTTCACCACCTTCTGCCCGGAGGCTACCACCATCGTGCAAGGTGGCTCGACCTACAGCATCTCTACTGTGCGTGAATCCCTGGTTGTGGGCGGGTGTTGACTATGTTTGTTTTGAACGGACGGGCCGAGTCGGGAGGAAAGAAACCATCGCGACTCTCCCGACATTCCGTTCTTACATGCCTTGCTCTACAATCTCTCCACACCATTTCTCTGTCTATATCGAATCATATCGCTGACTTGCCCCAGCCCGGCCACATCACCATGACCGGCTCCTTCACCGTCACCCGTCCCCTGATCACCCAGACCGTGACCCAGTGCAACAAGTGGTAAGCACCTACACCCCCACCATGATTAAGCCCAAGCGACCAAACTAACTCATCCACCAGCTCTTCTTCCACCCCCGTTCCCACCACCCCCGTCGTGTCCCCCAGTGCCCCGGCTTCGACCCCTCTGGTCCCCTCCGGCGCCGGTGCCACCGGCTCCGCTACCTCCAGCACCCCCGCCGCCTCCCAGCCCGCCTTCAACGCCGGTGCCATCAACGCCGCCACCGGCGCTGGTGCCGGTCTGGCCGCCGTCTTCGGTGCCGTCGCTCTCCTGCTCTAAGCGTGAGTGGGTTAAGTCACTCTCACCCTTCGACGTGATGTGATTGGTATCGCATGCACGGTGTCAGGGGCAGGGCCCGTCCGATCCCGACCGTAGTCCAACCCATCTGCTGAATAGGTTGGATTGTGGTGTGGATTTGATTTGGACCTGTTCCTGCGTCCAAGCCAGGCGTTTGTTCGGGCCCTCGGGTATGGGTTTTCTTGAAAGTTCTTTTTTCAGCTGGGGTTTTTTCTGTTGATTTTATTTCTTGGATGTACATGTCGTGTCTATGTCTTTATTAGATAATACATAATCGACCTGTGACGGTCATTTATGTCTTCTTGATTCCGACTCCGATTTTCGACTCTGATTTGTTTTGTGCGAGATTCTCCTGGACATACCGTTTCTTTGATTCTTGAATGACTTTTCTATCGTATTTGTTTCCTCCAGTGTTCGTCGTAGATTGTAGTCTCATGGGTTGGACAATGCCTCTCCATAAAGACAGGTCCATCGGTGAATGCAGTCAGGGCCTGCACGGCACCAATCATATCAGATCTTCGGTGAATACTGGTATAATGTTTTATGTTTTATGTTTCTGCCATATTGTACAATTCCCTCCGTCTGTTTACGTCGCTCGATCATCCCACTAGACTCGCGTCTGATTCGAGGGTAAATTTTGTTCATGTCGCTTTTCTCCGTTTCGGCGGTATCCGTTATATTAACTGATTCTAAAGCCCTTCTTGACTCGCATTGACCTTCACATGGACTGATTGGATTATGCTATTTTTCTGCCTTAGTACCAACAGTAGCCCCAGGGACATGGTGGGGATTCCAAAAACTAGAATAGCAATGCTGTGAGCATCTGAACCGGTGTCAAATCTTGATCCGTGCACTTACAAGGGACTACCATATAGCTTTCTCTGAAGAGTCGATTTGCAACTCCATGCAGTGGCTCCGGAAGTGAGTGCGTGTAATCCACGCTGTCCAAGATGCAGTCAATCTTCTGAAGAATATTCATTAGATTTGAATAGTTCACTTGACAATAAATGCACCTCTCACCTTCAGTTATCAAGACTGTTTCCAAACTCAGTCTCAAGCTTTTCTTTGAAGATCAAATGTTGAAGAACCGTAGTTAAAGTGATTCTAATCATGATGCCGGCTTGTTGGAAAAGATAGTACGATGTACTGGTGGTGGCGGTGTAATTCTCCGGGGTACTGGCACTCAAGCCGACGAATTGCGCAGAGAGTGTCATCCCAAACCCAAATGCAAGGAGGAATGAATATACTATCTCCCACACTTGATGACCAAAAATCGACCAGCGAACAAGTACCAACACAAAACCCACAATGCTAGTACTAACCACACTTTGTGTTGTCCGGTTCTGGGAGACATGTCGTTAGTGAGATAGAAAAACCTTGCACTTGGGAAGTACGAAGTGTTTCTGTAAAAGGCGCATATGATATTTCATACCTTTCCCCAAACTTTCCAGTCAAGACTGCTCCCATCGCGGCCCCAACTCCAGCTGGCCCCAGGCATAGCCCACCCTCAATGGTCGTGAAGCCGCGCAGGCGGGCAAAGTATGGAGCAATACTTGAGTTGTACTGAAAAGAGGTTCGCCTGGCTGAATGATCTGTGTTCAAATGTTCGGCGAAAGAAAATGAGCATACACCGGGGTTTCCCATCTGCAAAAATTGTGACACCACATAGGATCCAACCTGGGTGGACTTAAGAAGATGCAGTGGAATGACGGGGTTCTTTGCACAATACACCTCGATAAGGACAACTGCTGTGCCACAGGCCAAGAAGCCAATACCTAACTCAATCCCGATGACAATATGTTTTCTAATCGTGTGCAGATCGGCGAGCATCTCAACGAGTATGACAAAGCACAGAATAGTGCAACTTAGCACAAGGATTCCTGGAATATCAAGTGGCGGGCTTTCAGTTTTAGCGGCCTCCTCACTTTTCTCACATCTGCTTTCTTCATCGCTGGAGGTCTCAGTTGCAGCTTGTCTAGTGTTCGCTTGTAGTTTGAAAAAGGTGACGATAGCACAGAGTATCACGAAAGGAATGTGTATCAGAAATGACCTGTCTCGAGAACGCGATATTCGCTGTCTATTCTCGTCTTTCGATCAATTTGACCCACTCACCATCTCCATCCTTTTATTTCGGCAAGCAAAGCACCTAGCGGGCCTCCACCCATACGCCCATCACAGTAACAACCATAAGATAACTCCTTAGAACGGCAACCTTATGTGTACTGGCCATATCTAGAGCCGACATAATAGGCCAAGCTTCAGTATATGAAAATATCGGATCGCAGGTGGAACTGCCATACCGTTCAGTGCCACTGAAGCGAGGTCCAGCATATCCGAAGCGCCGGCTCCCACCAGGAATCTCCCGACGACAGAATAGAAACGAGGTGTGACACCTCTTGCTTACGTTGGATTCAAGATTCAAGCAGGCATCGAGTGTTGCTCATTTCGTACGACATGATGGGTCCCACTCCATAGAACGTATAAGCAAGCAAAAAGGTCTTACGTTGGCCGAGGACCTCATAAAGCCAACCGTAAATTGGCAGTGCCATAGAATACCCAAGATTATACCCTATAAACAGCCATTATCCGGCTGCTCCTTTGTAAAAATATTCTGCGATTGTGCCGGACGTGGTGAGAACGAAAGTCTCGTCGGATGCACTGAGAAACGCGCCTGTTCGCCCAGAAAAGAAGCACTTCATTAGGCGAATCCAAAGGCGTAGTACTTTAGAATGAATGCCAAATTCAGGAAGCTCAGATCAAATAAAGGACTGCCAGAAGCATTTTGCTCTTTTTCAAAGGTCTCTCTCTACTCCTCATGCTTGACGACCGTTACCGTTTCCGACCCAGATTCGTCGACAAACGTTTCATTCTCATGGGTCCCCATGAAGATGGCCGACAAAAAAAAGTCCGTGAGATTTCACCGAACAATCGGACTGGAAATTTGCTCCTGAACGTGTTATATCGATTGCATTGTGTGAGGCAGAAGAAAAGGACCTTGAGTACGCTTTATGAGACCAGCTCCTCTCCGGAAACGGTGATCCTTCCCGCAAATACGACCTCTCTGATCCATGCCATCGCGTCGTCCTCACCCCCCTAGGGTGCTGGTTATTCACGTAGTAACAGGTAAATACTAAACTATGTAGGTAGTGGATAAAGGAGGATTCGAATAAATTGTGAGGACCCTGCTTGTGTGTATGGTAAGCGTCATCACATCTGTGATCGACTCAGCAAACCTATTCCACGATGACGATCGCGCCGCTCCTTGCTTCCGGATGGTGCGTAAAACATAACTCCTGGACCAGCTATATTGCGCTGCGATCACATCTTCCACACGATTCGAAGGAATGACGATGAACCCGACAAGACCCTTTCGTGTTGAAGAGTAAGACCCTGAAGCGTGATGGGCGGCCTGGAATTAAGCGGGTCTGCGTCGTTGTCGTTTTCTACTCTGTGACTTGGATCTACAGGCGTAATACCGTGATTTTGTGGCGAATTGTAATCAACCTTACTGCAGAATTATTTTCCTTTTGATCATCTTCCTCCTTGGGTGGAAGGAGAAAAGAGGGTTAACATGGACGACGAGGCGGGCGAATGTATCATACCGCCGCTCCATATACTGCTGACCGCGGTACCTGCTTTTATTCAGATCATCAGAGCAAGGTGATTCTGTAAAGGATGTCAAAATTAGAGCTAGGACATCTATCTCGAGAAAGCAGGAGTTCATGCATGCATCTGAAAAGAGTTGGTTTCAACTCGATTTTAAACTTGGATTTAAAGAAGCGGCCCCCATGACCAGATAGCGCGGCTGGCCGATAGGGGAACGGCCCGCCTTTATCGACGGGTAGGTAGGAGTTCAACTATACATTCGCAGGCAAGGTTGACATGAGACAAGTTGGCTTCCCAACTGGCTCGAAGAGCTGATCAGAAGACAGGAACAGAGAGTATGATTTGCATATGACCAACAAGGTCAACGGTATGTGATGATTGCCATAATATTAAAACTATCTTAAAAGCCAGGCGCGAGAGTGTACATGCGTTCATTGAAGGGGGGTGACGATGAGCATTGCGACCGGCTCAACACTCGGAAGACATGTCACATAGGGTGAAAACTTCAGCCTGAGAAAGGCGAAGCCACGATCGATCGAAGAAATGCCATTCAATTGATAGCATGGATCAGCCTGGTATGTCCAGCATCAACCCCAATTCCACTCAATCCTTCGGCAGCTATAGAAGCTCAAAGTTGAACACAACACGTCCAATCCGATGGTAATCTGATCCCTATTATGGATGGTGAATGGACGCGGGACCTTCTCAGCAGCGCCCGTCCAGCGACAGCCCAGCGCGAAGCCAGGACATCACCGACGAGTGCTGACACAGATAGAACGCCATCTCTTCATCTTGGATTTAGTTGTGTGAAGAAGAAAAGGAGGAGGACGGCAGAATTGTGCAAGAAATACCGCCGCGGGCGCACGAGCCAGGCGGACAGCCTATCCGGGGCTAGCGTGGTTTTCCGCTTTCCGCGGGCAACGGGGAAGCTGCCAGCTGCGACCGCCGGAGTCCCGATTTATAAAGGCACATTCCTATCGACGCGACGGTGATTTTGTGGTCTTGTGTCTTCTGTCCGTTCACCATGTCTCTCTCTCGCTGTGGGCGCCTCGCCCGTGTCTCCCTAGGAGCCCTCCGGACACCCGTGTCCGTGTCTGCCCGCCCTTTCGTGTCTCGCGCCATCGCCGTGCGGGGAGTATCGTCATCTAGCCGGGATGCGCAGCAGAAGGTAGGAAAGAAAAATCCCCACCCCTCAATGGGATACTATAGGCATGTAGTGAACTAGCTAACATCGTCTTCAGCTTCTCACTTCATCCCTGCAAGAATCCGACCCGACTGTGTACAATATCCTTGAGAAGGTACGTCCGATAAGACCTGGAGCTACGCCAGGGCAACCTACTGAGACCAATCCCAGGAAAAAAACCGCCAGAAGCACTTCATCAACCTGATCCCGTCCGAGAACTTCACCTCGCAAGCCGTCCTCGAAGCGCTCGGCAGTGTGATGCAGAGTATGTGGCGATAACTCTCTTCCCGGCTTCGCCCTCCTTGATAAGCTACGGCATGCTAATCGCATATCCAGACAAGTACTCTGAGGGATACCCCGGCGCCCGTTACTATGGTGGAAATGAACACATTGACGCATCTGAGCGTTTGTGCCAGCAGCGTGCTCTTGAGACCTTCCGTCTTAACCCGGAGGAATGGGGTGTGAATGTTCAGCGTATGATGCCACTCTAGCCCGCAAACCACGCAACGCAGCGTCACTAACATGGGCACAGCCCTGTCCGGCTCGCCCGCTAACCTTATGGCATACTCTGCCGTGCTCAACACTCACGACCGCCTGATGGGTCTTGATCTGCCGCACGGCGGCCACCTGTCTCACGGCTACCAGACCCCCACCAAGAAGATCTCCGCCATTTCCAAGTACTTCGAGACCCTACCGTACCGCCTGGACGAATCAACCGGCCTCATTGACTATGACGCACTCGAGAAGCAGGCTCAGCTGTACCGACCCAAGCTGATCGTGGCCGGCGCATCGGCCTACAGCCGCCTGGTGGACTACCCCCGCATGCGCGAGATCGCCGATTCCATCGGTGCCTACCTGCTTACCGACATGGCGCACATTTCCGGTCTCGTGGCCGCGGATGTAATGCCCTCTCCCTTCCCCTACTCGGACATCGTGACCACCACCACCCACAAGTCTCTGCGCGGTCCCCGCGGCGCTATGATCTTCTACCGCAAGGGTGTGCGCCGCACCGACAAGAAGGGCAACCCCGAGATGTACGATCTGGAGAACCCTATCAACGCCTCAGTCTTCCCCGGCCACCAGGGTGGCCCCCACAACCACACCATCACCGCGCTGGCCGTGGCCCTGAAGCAAGCCCAGTCCCCCTCCTTCCAGGAATACCAGAAGACCGTGCTGGCCAACGCGCAGGCTCTCTCCGACCGCCTGGGCGAGCCCACCAGCAACGGTGGTCTCGGCTACAACATCGTCTCGGGCGGCACCGACAATCACCTGGTGCTAGTAGACCTGAAGAACCGCGGCGTGGATGGCGCCCGTGTGGAGCGTGTCCTCGAGCTGTGCGGCGTTGCCAGCAACAAGAACACCGTGCCCGGCGACAAGTCTGCCCTCAAGCCCGGCGGTCTGCGTCTGGGTACCCCGGCTATGACCTCGCGCGGCTTCCAGCCCGAGGATTTCCGCCGGGTTGCCGACATCGTCGACCGTGTTGTCATTCTGACTCAGAAGCTGGATAAGGCTGCCCGGGAACAGGCGCAGTCGCGTGGGGTTAAGAATCCCGGTACTCTGAAGGCCTTCTTCGAGTACCTTGGTGAGGGCGAGGAGGTCTCGGAGATTGTCTTGCTGCGGCAAGAGGTGGAGGACTGGGTGGGCACTTTCAGCCTGCCTTGGGCTAAGGACCAGTAGACATTTCTTTTATCTCTTTTCCCATTTTTCACTTCTGTACATTTCCCAGCCATTGTTCAACACGAAATATGATTCCAAGATTTCTTAACGTTCAAAGACGTGCCGCTTCATTTTGGGGAGGTATACCTGCTTGGGACAGGATGTGTAGGGCAGGATCGGCCGTATTTACCGTCGCGTGCTAAACTCAATCGCTGACGTAGCGACCCTCGGCTCGATCCCCGATAGTTCAGCGATAAGCGCGGAGTTAAGACCCCTCGACGTGGACAAAGAACCGGCACATTATCACATTCCAATTGTGACGGTCTGATTACATCTCCGTAGTATCTACCGAGTAGTCCAGAGCACCCGCATCCATCATCCACCATAAGAAGAATGCAAATCAGCCAGGTGTGACCCCCCATTTGTGTTTCCATTCAACCTCGAACTACCTATTGACTTGGCTCACCACTAGCTCTATGTGTACCCCATCAAATCTCTGCGGCCGGCCACAATAGCAGAGGGCGAGCTCACATCACTGGGCTTCCGCTATGACCGGCGCTTCATGCTTCTGAAATTAACACCAGGCCAAGACTGCGGGGCCCCGACGCTGAAGAACATGCACATCCCGCACTTCCCAGAGATGGCGCTCTTCCAAACAGACATCGAGATCCCAGGAAACCAAAACCAGCAGGGGAAAGTGATCGTCACATACAACCCACCCTCACTGACAGACACAAACCCAAACACAGCGATCGGAGTCGAAGGTGCGGGCGACATTCCACCGCTCCAGAAACCCAAGCGCCTCGAGATCCCTCTGCAGCCAGACACAAAGCATCTGAAGCGATTCACGGTCACAATGCACCAGAGCCCGACAAAAGGCTACGACATGGGCGCCGCATACAATGACTGGTTCAGTGCGTGCTTCGGATACCGCGTCGTCCTCGCATACCTGGGGACTAACACGCGCAGCGTCCTCGGCACGCTGGCCCCATCCAAGCGCAACAATGAATCGTGGTGGAGCATCTGGCAGCAAGAACTGACTCTCCCGGGCAAGAGCAACAAGCTGCTCGACCGGTGGCTCGTGCCGCTGTCTCTGGCCTACCTGGTCCTCAATGCGGTCAGCTGGTGCCACGCCCAGATACAGGCCGGCACATCAGCCGTACAAGCGATTGCGCTGACGGGTGCGGTTCTCGCGGCGCTGTGGAGTGCGGTGAACTTGTTCGTGACACGCCGGCACGAAGCGCGGATCGGGTTCGCGGATTGCGCGCCGTTCCTGGTTATCTCGCAGACGTCTGTGGAGAATGTGTCGGCGCGGCTGACTGGGGGTGAAGAGATGGATGGGACGAAGTTTCGACCCAATATAGTGGTTTCGGGTGTGGAGAGCGCGTTTGAGGAGGACTTTTGGGCGGAGTTAGGGGTGGGAACGGGGGGAAACGTGCGGCTTTTGTTGACGGGGAATTGTGTGCGGTGTCAGAGCTTGAATGTGGATTTTCAAACGGGGAAGATGGGGGTTGGTGAGAGTGGGACTGTGTTGAAGAAGTTGATGAAGGACCGGAGGGTGGATAAGGGCGCTAGGTTTAGTCCTGTGTTTGGACGGTATTCGTTTCTTGGACGGGGTTCGGTGGGCCAGAGGATGAGGGTTGGTGACGAGGTGCAGGTTTTGAGGAGGGCGAGCGAGTATACGGTTACCGGTGAGGTTGATCTGAGATCTCTTCTTGTGCTGGGGTTGAGTTGAGGGGATTTACTAACTATGGTGACTCTAGATTGGCCGGGCTTGACGAACTAGATGACTACAACAATTGTGCAGTATATAGCTGCAGACTCGTGTTGGTCATGTAGATAAAGGTGTATATGAATATGGCTTCTCCCTAACTCTCATCATTGATCAGAATTTGACTTGATGTCACCATTCCGAGACAGGCTAGAGTTTGTGATGTGATTCCTGTTCAACAGTGAGTAGCAATCGATAGATATTATGTGCACACCTTACCAGAGAGGCGAGTTTCCATCCGAAGGGAGGACATTTGGGCTATCATATATGGACTGAAGAGGCATATACGGAGTCCAAAATATGGGAGTTATGCTAAGCCAGGCCTGTCCATTCTCCATGCCGAGGATCCTTTCCTTGCTCTCTGCGACATATTGAACCATCATGACTAGTCTTGATCTTTGCATTTTATACCAGTCTGAATCTGCGGGACCTGGTAGGAAAAGCTTCTTGCTCTCTATAACATTGTGAACATTCCATTTCGGGGTTAGCCTGGCACGTACCGTTGCTGTTCCTTCAACAAGAAAGAGCAAGAACTCATGAGAGAAACAATTCGATGCTCCAAAGCCTGATGCAAAAAGAGAAATTATCCAGCACTATGTATCCACGGTGCCTATATACATATTGTAGTGTGGAAACGTGTGACCATGAGATGACTTCAGCCCAGCTATGAACCTGCTGAATGGGCACCTTCCGCTCGCCGGGCGATATTTCCTTCTCTGGACTAAGCGGATTTCAGGTTTCTAGGGCTCTTCAAGATGTGGTGTACGTACAAAAAAGCATTTTGGAAATGCTCATAGTCCTTGCAACAAGAGGGAATTAAACATCCATTCTTTTTTTCGTGAGACATACATTATGCTCATCTCATTGATCTCAGACTGCTCATCTTCTTACGTGGTGGTGGTCACTATGCGGTCGCTTTTCTATCAGGTAGTGCCGGCCGGTCGCTCTATCTCTCACTGCCAGGATTTGGTTCTTCTGTGCCCCGAGCCGTCTGCTCTTAGCCAGGCTGCATACGGCGTTTAACTCTACGATAGATAGCGCAATTACTTCCTATTTTGTCTCAGTGTAATGTCTCAGTCAGACCAGATAGCACGGAGCATGTACTCTGTAACTTGACTTGAAGGAATAGTTAGTCATAGACCTCGGGGATCTCCTCTTCACAGAATTACTCTATTAATCATCTTCCCAACACTTTTAAGCTATCAAGTGGAATTACACTTTCCCACAATTTTCTAGAAACGAAGGAAACCAGTATCATTCGCCAAATAACCGGGCACCGCCACAAATTACGTCAGAGCGACCCTGCACAGCCACCCACCCATCACCTGACTCGACGCTGTTCCATGGAAGGAAGCATTGCATGTGGATTCGTTATCTAAGAATAACCCAGCAGACCATCACAGTTTGAAATTCACATCTCTTCTCTTTTGATTTTCCAGTCCTACAACTATTGAAGAGCAAAAGCAGGAGAGCTCATTGTGAATCCCTGACCCTGCATCGTGTGGCTGAACCTTCAGGCCAAACTGCCCCTCTCCAATCGAAATTACGCCGCTGCCTATTCGGAGTCTCCAATCCATTAGACTTCACGGTATCGGTACCTCTCCTTTCGCCTTTCCACACGCCCCAACTGGCACTGAATTTGCCTGCTCGTGGTTTCACCGGTGTCACACTTCTTATCTCCACGCTCTAATCCTACCGGTCAGGCCGCCAGTGCTCCTGTGATTTCGGTGCATACGGCGCCGCTCAGCCCCGCCGCGGGTAAGCTGCTGCTGCGAGGAAAAAGTCAGGGCGATCGCCATCGCTCCAACAACCAACAGCGTCACCATGGATGCGGTTAATCTACGTCGCAAGGACACCACTAAGGGTCCGCCGCTACGAATTCTTTCTCTCGGTAAGTGCTGCTGCATTCTAGGCCTTCCCCCGCCGCATCCGAAGCCCCAAAGCTAACATACAGACAGATGGAGGCGGTGTCCGCGGCTACTCCATGCTCATCATCCTCCAGGAACTCATGTACCGGACGTACGTCGAATGCGAAGGCAAGCCACCGCGCCGCGACCAGATTCCCAAGCCCTGCGATCACTTCGACCTGATTGCCGGCACCGGCACGGGCGGCTTGATCGCCATCATGCTGGGCCGCCTTCGACTCGATCTCGAGACCTGCAAAGAGGTATATGTTCGCATGACACGGAGAGTCTTCGAGACGGACAAAACCATCGCCGGTATTCCTTATCGCTCGACGCTTTTCAAGGCCTCCAAGCTCGAGGAGGCGATCCGGGAATGCGTGCGGGAACACACTGTCTTCGAGGCTGAGGGCAACGACCAGCCCAACGCCAGCAACCCTCGAGCATCCATTGCGAGTCTTCCGTACAGCCCGGGCTCTGTCCCGCAGCGTTCCATCAGCCGGGGTAGTTTCAGTACGTCGGCGATGTCACACCCCCAGAGCCCGGCGAGCCAAAGAGGCTCCACCTTCCTGAACGGCCTGCGTTGGGGAAACCCGGAGGCACTGCTATACGACAACCGAGAATTTCGGACCAAGACGTAAGATCCTATCTTGATGCATTCAATTACATAGGACTCCATGCTAACACACGACCAGTGCTGTGACTGCGCTTTACAAGGGCACCCAGCGCAATGGGCCCGCCGTGCTGCTGCGCTCCTACGACTCTCGCCGCGAACCGCCACCCGAGTTCGACTGCACTATCTGGCAAGCTGGCCGCGCCACTTCAGCTACCGGGCTTGCTTTCAAGCCCATCCAGATTGGCCAGCACGTGTTTATCGACGAAGGACCCGGAACTTATAACCCGGCACCACAGATTCTCGAGGAAGCCGTTGCTAATGAGTGGCCCGGTCGGGAAGTCGGAGTGTTCATCAGTGTTGGAACTGGCCGACGGCCGTCTGGCACGAACAACCGACAGCATGAATGGTGGGAGGACTTCTTCGGCTCCGCCACGGGCACGTTCGCCGAGGCGCGGCGACGACTCATCTCGAAGATCGAGGGCTGCGAAGATATTCACCTGGAAATGCTGCGGGATACGCTCGCCAAGCGCGGGGTTCCCACGGACAACTACTACCGGTTCAACGTCGAGGTTGGCGTGGGTGAGTTCGGCATGAATGAGTGGAACCGACTGGCCGACATCAGCACCAATACCCGGCGCTATCTGGCGAAGTCGGAGGTCAAGAAGATGATCCTGGACTCAGGCGTCAAGTTTGCCAAGATCGACCGCATGAACAAGCGTCTCGCCGAGCATGCCGCAGCCGGTGGTGACCGCGACGACCTGTCATTTGACCTGGAGCGCGAGGAGATCTCCGTCCACTCGCAGAATGCGCCGTCCTACTCTGTGCCTCCACCATCGAATCAATTCGCGGTCGAACTCCCCGCCGAGCCAGTCGAATACTTCCCCCACCCACCAACACGGGCATCGCCTCCCCTGCCGGCCAGCGTGACCGTAACTGCACCACCAGGCGAAGACTCGCTGCCCGCGCACCCAACTCCCCACGACAGCAGCCTCCCCATCTCGCCCACACGGCACTCCAGCAGCGACGTGGCCAGTTTCCGCCCCAGCCACGAGTACAGCCGACCCTCCTCGCAACAGCAGGGCTCACCGCGGCGCAGTGGCGAGCAGATCTCATCCCACAACGTCTCTCCTCTCAATGGCATGCCGCCCCCCATTCCGCCCAAGACTCCCATCCCATATCCATCCGTTGACGAGAGCGTCTCCATGCCTGCGCCGCTTTTCTCGCAACCACATGTCCCCATTTCCAGCGGCAAGGTGCGCCCGCCGTACCCCGTCGACGAGCCCCCGCCCGCCGTCAACCGGCAACGCAAGCCTAGCTACCATGTGCGGTGATCGGCTTTTCTCGCTTGAGTTGAACCAAGCGATTTGATTTTGGTCTCTGGTCTTTTGGGTTTGTTTCTATCTGTTTCATGATTTCTTGTTCTGTTCTACTGGATACCCTTCATTCGGCACGGTGAACTGGGCCGAGGTAAACCGAGGAATGGGTGTCTAGGCGTCGACTACATTTCATGGTCTACTTTTTCGAGGCGCACTTTTTTTTGGTGGAGAAATAGGATTCCTTTTCGTGCTGATATGGGGGACAAGACCCAGTCAAATACACAATACACCCGCTTTTCGCAGGCAGCCTGGTTGATCTGGGCTTCTCCCACGCGGGGCATGATGAATGATGAGGACTTTTTACGAGCATAAAAGGGAATTCGTGTGCGCATTGATTTCTCCTCTGTATAGATAGATAGTAGTGAGACAGGGGGAATTCACGGTTTCATGTTTCTCTAGTTCGTGATTGTCCCATTCAGGTAGAATCAAGACTCGACCACCAAGTAATAACGACCACCGTGGTACCACGCGAACGCGGTGCCGGGCGGGCCCGGCAGCCACAGACAGATAAATTTAGATGTGGCGAGGGTCCCGACTTGACCGTACCTTGACGTCTTCTGGTCAATCTTACCTGCCAGGAACCGTCCGATCGCACTGCAGCTGCGTGGGGCGGGTTGTACCCACTTGGTATCGTTTCCGCTGCTTCGTCGCCTTTAGTCTCCGGCCTAGACACTTCCCCACAGGCCCAGCCACTTTGTTTCTGCTTCCCCTTTTCCACCGCACTGTTCTTTACTCACGCTTGTTCGTTCTTGCTCTTCTTTCTTGTTCATGATTCTTATACCGGCACCTCCTCTGATCCATCCAAATCTATCTGAAATCTTATCTCCCTTCCCTCCCCCCCCCCCCCAGTGTCGCTCGCAGACTGACTGACTGCCGCTGACGTGCCTTGGCGCCGATCGTTTCGCCGCCGCCCCCCCCCCTTCGATTCCCTCGTGGCCTTCCAGAAACATTCCGCGGAATCAAGCCCCGATATTCTTCAGATCAACGAAACCTCGACTCCCTTTCCCTGCCCAACCCAGCCGTCTGTGACTAGAATCAGCACCTGCATCAGCACCTGCACTACTCAGCTCAGCTCTGGCGCTACGCCCGTGACAAAGTGGCCTGAAACCGTGTCTCAGGTTAATCGCCGAGTTTCGTCGTAGGACGACTCTGTCCTCGCGACAACCCCCCTGCACCTCCCACTGCTGGCAGTGGTTTGACCGACTCCCCCCTCCTCCGTCCCTCTCTCCGCCCATGATGGATCCCCAGGATACATTATACCACGCATCCACCCTCGTGGCCCGCGCCGACTCCAGCGGCCGCCCGCCCATCTACAAGGCGGTCGGTGTCTCGCTAGCTGTCGCCTCGGGCGTCTTCATTGGCATCTCCTTCGTGATCAAGAAAATCGGCTTGCTCAAGGCGAATGTCAGGTACAACGAAGAGGCCGGTGAGGGTTACGGATATCTCAAGAATTTGTGGTGGTGGACGGGCATGACGCTGATGATCATCGGCGAAATCTGCAACTTCGTTGCCTACGCCTTCGTCGATGCGATTCTGGTGACGCCGCTCGGCGCGCTGTCCGTCGTCATCACGACCATCCTGTCGGCCATTTTCCTCAAAGAACGGCTCAGTTTCGTCGGCAAGGTCGGCTGTTTCTGCTGCATTATCGGGTCCGTGGTCATCGCTATGAATGCCCCCGAGCAGGCCTCTGTCGAAGATATCCAGGAAATGCAGGCATTCGTGATTACGCCGGGCTTTCTGTCCTATGCGGGTGTCATTCTGGTTGGGTCAGCGTTCACGGCGCTCTGGGCGGGCCCGCGGTACGGCAAGAAGAGCATGTTCGTTTATATCAGCATTTGTAGTATGATAGGAGGATTGAGCGTGGTTGCGACGCAGGGTCTGGGCTCGGCTATTCTGGCTCAGATCAATGGGGAGTCACAGTTCAAGCACTGGTTCCTCTATGTGCTGTTTGTCTTTGTCGTTGGGACGCTGCTGACGGAGATTATCTTTCTCAATGTGTGCCTCCCCCCCCTCTTCCTTCCCCATCTTTTCGTCTGCTCTTTGCTTTGCGCGGTGTGGCTAACAAATCACAGAAAGCGTTGAATCTCTTTAATGCGGCCCTCGTCACCCCAACTTACTATGTCATGTTCACCAGCGCAACTATCATTACTTCTGCCGTTTTGTTCCGGGGGTTCAAGGGTACAGCAACTCAGATTACGACGGTAATCTTGGGCTTCCTGCAGATATGTGCCGGTGTGGTCCTGCTACAGTTGTCCAAGTCAGCCAAGGACGTCCCCGACGCGGCCGTATTCAAGGGCGACTTGGACCAGATCCGCGAGGTTGCTGCGCAGGAGGAGCCTGAATATGAGCCCAAGGCTGACTCCATCCGCGGCGCGGCATCGATCCTCCGCCGCATCTCGACGACTCGGCGCACCCACGAAGAGGAAGAAGTCCGGCGCTTCGTTAATGAAAAGAAAGAGGACTACCTGAAGCCACCCGGGGAGAACGAAATCATCGAGTGGGATGGTATTCGTCGGCGCAAAACTGTCATCGGTGAAGGCCCTACGACGTCTCGTCCCCGCACTCCTCGCTCGCCCTCGATTAGGCCACCACTGCCACCACTGGGCATGTCCCGATTCCCTGATCCCGAAGACGACGAGGAGCACCGGCCAAGCACGAAGCAGAGTGGGCACTCATTCCTTAGTGATATACGGTCTCATGCCTCGAGCGTGCTCCAATCCAGCAATTGGCTTCCGTTGCACGAGCAAGACGAGAAGAGCCTGAGCGCAAACATTGCCACCGAAATGACCAACCGCAACAGTGCTGTGGACACTGAATATCACGGCGCCGGCGCCGGCCTCGAAGCCCCATTCCGCCCAACCGGCCGCGATCGCAGTGACACACCGCGCTCTATCTCCTGGGCCGACGAGAATGCCGACAACAACCCGGCGCAGGCCACCCTCGAACCGCCGCACACTGCCCGGCGCCAATTCTCCTTCAACACTATTTTCAACCGCCGCAAGACAGACAGCAACCCGCCGTCCCCCAGCCGCACCGCCAGCCCACCCCGCGGCATCCTGCGCCGCACGCACGCCGCCGACGCAAACCTGCGCAAGTCCGCCACCGAAGAAGAACGTCTCGGCCTAGTCCGCGGCGACTCGCGCGCCGACGAAGAATCCCTTGGTGAGAGACTGGACCGCTGGTCCAGCGCCGAGTCCGACGCCGCTGAAGTGCAGCCCATGCACTCGCTCCCGCTCCCGGCCCGCGCACACCGCGACTCGGTCTCCAGCGTGTCGACGGCTGCTTTCCCGCCGTACGAGGACCAGCACGCATTCTACACCACGCAGACGGCCAGCGTGTCGAACCCGTACTACCTCCCGCACAGCAGGCAGGCAACAGCGTCGCCCGAGCACATGGACGAGCACGGCGGATGGACGGGGTCGCCCACACGCACGCGCGCGCGGACAAACTCCTCAGCGCGCGGCCGCGCCCCGCCCCCAGCGCAGTCGTCCTTCTCCACGCACCGCCGGCCCAACCCGCTTCCGCCGCTGCCCGACGAGAACTCTCTTGCTAGTACTGCTGCTGCGAACGACGGTGTGCGCACCGCACCGGCCGGGTCTCTGACTCGGGAGTCGAGCGGGTGGCGCCGACATATTTCTGAGAGCAGTGCGGATGGTGAGCCGTATGAGGCGCCGGGCGGTACGCGTGGTGGGTCGAAGGGGGCGTTCATCTAGGATCTGATCTAGATGAATCGCGTGCCCCTGGTTCCTGAACTACGGCTTTCGTACCATCCCCTTGCATGAGTGCTATATTCTTGATCTTCGGTCCATCTGTGGGTTCTGATCGCATGTCTTCGACCTGGGGATGGGGTTTACTGCATTTCCAGCGGCGTTTGTCTTATTTATTGCGAGGGATTGGAACTGACGTGGGTGGCACGGGACTTGATTTTCGGTGTACAGTTTAGATCCTTGAGATGCCGATGCCGGTGCTGATGCTTGCGAAGCACCGCGTGTACGCTGCATGAACTTTGTATATACAGGACGCGAGGTCGCGTCGATGATCCATGACGGTAATGCATTATGATTGGTGTGATGAGCAAGACGAACCGTTTCCAATCTGCTATTCTCTACGAAATGTGATATTCAGATCTCATCGGAGTGTGACTGAATGTCGGAGTAAATTTGTCATCTAACTAGATGATGGGGTATCAAAGTATCGATATCACAGCCTAGCACGGCCATCTCGACGTAACGCCATGCAGACCAATGCCAACGCCGGAATAAAATGCCTGTCCATCCGCCCCTCCATGGAGGCAAAGCTCGCACTGTGCCATGTCCACACAGACGCATGCCGTCCGTGCCTTCCCAGCGACCCAAACAGGCCAAACCAGGCCAAAACAGACCACCCGAAAAGCACCCTTCCTCTGAAAAAGGAAGATTCATCCCGTCTTGTCTCTGTCATAGCTCGCCTCCGGCGCACCTCACCTCCCACCATGCGCACTCAACATACTCGCCACGCTCCTCTGACCCTTCGGCGCGATCTCCAGCACAACAAACCTCGATTCCGCCAGCCTCTTGCCCGCTTTGATACTCTCCAGAACCCTAAACCGCAAACAGAATCACAATCAGCCAGGCCCTCGAACAATATAACAATTACGACAGAAGAAGAAGAAGAAGAAGAAGAAAAGAAAAGAACCACTCACCAATCCACCCCAACCACCCTCACCCCCTTCCATCCACCTCGTTCAATCTCGCCCTGCCATTTCCCCGCCGCCAGCCCGCCGCCCGCGCCTGCGCCCAGAGACCCGGGCCGGCCGATGATGACGTGGGAGACTGTCTTGCGGGCCATGCCGATGGCGATGGCCGCGCCGCGCGACACGAGGAGCGTCTTGAGTTTGTGATCCGAGATCTGGGGGAGTGTCGAGCCGTTGATGTAGATTGTTGTGCCGGCGAAGATTTGCGGGGGCGAGGGTGGTGGTGCGATGGTGTGGGTGTGTGTCTGTGAGTTCTGAGGGGAGACTGTCTTCCCAGGGCGAGGGTTGGGAGATGTCGTGGGTGAAAGTGAAGATGGAAATGGAGAGGGAAGTGTAGGCGTAGAGGTAGAGATAGAAGTAGAGGTAGAAGTAGAGGGAGGAGCCGTCGATGTTAGTGCTGGCGTTGGCGTTGACTTTGACACCCTCGGCACCATAGCCAACATGTCCCTCTTCTCGCCCTTCACCCTCTTCCCCGTCTGCGGCTTCTCCTCCAACTCTGCCTTCCTTTTCCCCACCCCCATGAAACTCCGAATATCCCGCACCCCCAACTGCGCCCTCTTCGCCTCCTCCTCCGCAACCCATCGCCACTCCCCTACCCTGCCCCCCGCATCCAACCCTTTCTCCCCCAGCTCATCCCCGCACGTCCCATCGAACGCACCAGTGCAATTCTCGTCACCCCGCGCGCGCTCGCGACAGTCCCCGCCGCTGAATTGGCGCTCAAGTTTGGCGGTGCGGGTATCGCGCCAGGCGGGGGTGCTGGAGTATGGGTTCTCGGCGCGCTGGTGGCCTGTAGAGGAGGAGTTCCAGGGATCGAAGATGCGGTGGTTTTGCGGTGTTGGGATAGGGTTTGGCTTTGGCTTTGACTTTCTCGGGGGCGTTCGCCTGGTGGGGGGTGAATGCATTGCGGTTGCGGAAAGGTCCAGTGGAGGACTGCTGAGATGACGGTTCTGGCGTGGTTGTTGCTAGGTGGTGAGGGCTTGTAGTTGGTTGTTGCGTTTGAAGCGAAGTGGTTGTTTTTTTTTTGCCCTTTGCCGCGGCAGTGACGTTGCGAACCAGCGGAACCGTTCCATGTTTTCGTTTTGCTGGTTTGGGATAGGGTCGGCGGTGTCACGTGGGGGTGGTGGGGGTTGGAATGTGTTTTGGAGGGAAGAGAGGAGGGGGCTTTATTGAAAAAGATGAGAGGATGTGAGAGTGAGACAGACGGTAATCTCCAAAGACTGCTATCACTGCAAGGGTTAACCGGTAACCTTGGGGGAAGGCATAGTGCGGCTCTTTAGTCGAAGGGGGTGAATTTAACGTTGCCATCGGCATGCATAGATCGACTACCTTAACCCGCCCAGCTCCACCTGCCCATCAGATCTATATCCAGCCACCTTATCGACAGTTACATGACAAGTCTCAAACAGTACGGCCCAGATCTCGGTAATACCCTGAAAAAAACATGCTTGCCGAACCAGGTTGGGCTGGGGAGTCCCCTGATGGTTGATTACTCAATCCTGATATCACTATCTACCCCACTAGGAAGGTATCTGCAAAGGGGGGTTCGTTGCCCGAAAGGGAACGTCGAACGCGCGGGTTCAAGATAACATGTCACCAACACAGAACGATGGTTCGTTGATACGTTACAGCATCGACCCCCAGGTTCTCATTCTAGATCCGCTCCGTCTGCAGAAGGGGGTTCTATGTCCAAAAAGGGAATTTCGAACGCGCAGCATCAGGGCATCACAGTTCCCCCCCCAACCCAAGCCAAACCGGGTCCCGACCCGGGTCCAAGTGGCTTGTTACTAGTCTACTATGAACTAAGGTTGGGGGGCCTTGGGCAAGGGACTATTTAATTTAAATCTGGAGCTGCCCCGGAACATGGTTATGGATATTCTGGAGCTTTAATCTGAGCGTATCTGATGCATATGAAATCCGATCCTTATCATGATCCCTTCTGGTCGCAGCCAGACTGGGGTTGAACCTCAAGTTACTGCCGAACTCTCAAATGGGGTGTTGAAAGAAAGCCTATAGCGGGGAGTCGCTGTCGCAATCGCGCGTCGCTGTCGCTTTGGGGCCGCATTCGTGCTGCTGTCGTGGTCGCAATCGCTGGGCTATGGCTGTCTGTCATTCAGGCTCGGTGGGCCCTCTCTAGGATGAGCAATACGGCCTTGTCGCCATGGCCCTTTACATAATCTATGAGATCCTCCGACACCACCCGCACCACGCCCTCGGCCTTCAGCTTCTCGACTTCGGCCTTGAATCCGCCCGACACCCAGATGTCTTCGAGGATCGTGGCCACCACAATCCCGGTCTTGCGGGTCACCCGGATGAGCTCGCGCAGAGCCGGGTCGGGGCCAACGTGGCCGAGCGTGAAGGTGCCGACGCAGACCACCGTGTCATAGGTCTCGTCCTGGGTGTCCAGGGGCCGGGTCATGTCCGCCTGGGCGAGGTTTCGGTATACGCCCGTGTCCCTGGCCACGTCGAGCATGGGGGCCGACAGGTCAATGCCATCGATGGCTTTGGCACCGCCAATGGCCAGGGCTTGACCGACCAGGCCAGTCCCGCAGCCGGCGTCGAGGATGACACTGTCGGCGGCACTCTTGGACGACTTGTACTTGATCGCGGCCTGGGCGACGAGGACGGGCGCGACGTAGCTTTGTGCCTCGTCGCCAACCTCATCGTTATAGGTCGCGGCCCACTTGTCATAGACAGTCATGCAATCTTCAACACTCTTGGTGGCACGGGCTTGGCTGAGGTACAGCTGGCTCGTGGGGGCGGAAGCGTGCATGGTGACACGAGGAGAGCAATGTTGTTTCAAAAGACTTGTTCGGTGGGGAGTGGGAGTTGAGGTCAGGGTATCCGACAAGAAGTGGCCTAGTGGGTGATATTGATCACTATGGCTGTTCTGCGCAGGGTGTCTGTTGTAATCTCACTGTGCCCATGCGCGCAAGCCTTACGTTCTTATAGCAGGTGCATCCACGCCGAGCCATTTTGCTCGTCCCTCCCAATTCACCCATTGATCAATGTGTCGCGGCCTCGTCGCCCTGGCCCAGCGACGTCGTGGCTCGTCCAAGGACACTGCCCGTCCAGATGTGGGGCGACTCGCAAGGCACGGGCGACAGCTGCATGTAATAGCATTCTGTCTTACATTGGTTCCGCAGATGGCGTGATGCGGGGTCGACGGCGCATTCTGGCGCATCCACCCCAAAACGATGATATTTGTGGCGATCAATGATGTCGGTGGACCAGGGTCGGTGATTGATGATCCCCGACTCTCTCCGACTCCGCGCGGGGAAAAGGTACCGGATGATCCTCAGGCAAACTATAGTTCCCAAGTCAACAATAGACGTACCGACTCTCGTTTCTCCTTTACCCCGTACTCTTCTCTTTCCCCTGTCCAGCAGCCCGTCCAACCCGAATCCATCGACTCTAAATATGACGGCCGTTGCGCTTACTTTGGACGCAATCCCGCCAAATAACGGGCACTGTCGAGTGTGCAGGCGGTGCATGGCCCTGTTGGCCACTAGCGTTCATAGTTCCGTCACGTGTTTGCTGCGTCCGGTTTGAGTAGATCCTCAGTTCAGTGTCTTGCCTGGTCTCGCCTATGCTGAGAACGAGCGAGCTGCATCTCCTCGGGACGTAGTCCGAGCCAGATTGGCTAGTGATGGGCAATAATGCCGCACACGCAGCTAATCATTGGTGTTATGACGGGACACATTCATTGGCCATCGGCCTTTGGTCGTGTCTGTACAAGCAAGGCCAGTCTCATACTGTACGATACCCCGTACATAATCTGGTCTTGTAACAACCCTTGAAATTGACTTTCGCTCGACCTTCCCCATGGACCGGTCCCTCGGGCTCGTCACGAGAGGATATTATCAGATCTCCATCCATCCCATCCTAGTAGAGACTCATCCCTTCTCACGTATCGCCAGGCTGCGCCACCCACCGGGTGAAAGACCGTAGAAAGAGTACCCAACTTGACACGGAGTAATCATGTAAACTGAAAGACAGGCAGAGGGACACTCCGGGAGACCATATTCAGGATGCACTGCGAGAGAGTGGACGAGGGCGGGCCAGAGAGCTCCGTGCAACCTCCCAGAAACTTAGATCAGGCGGGGTCGAAGCGGGGAGTGGGCACTTGACGTCAACTCATCATCAGGTGCCCCGACACATGTCATGGCAGGCGAGGATTGGCGGAATGGCGGAATGGTGGAATGCAGGGCTGGAGAGACTTCGATAATGAGGCTCTAGGGTTGAGCATCGATATCGCCCAGCGAGGCGGACGAAAGGGCCCCTCGAGCGACAGAGCCTACAATCAACCTATTGAACAGTTTCTCTCCATGATCGCATGAATCATGGAAGTTTGGATGTGTTGAGTACAGGCTGATATTGCCGAGAAAGGGAGCTCTATGTATAGTGGAGCCTCAGCGGGAGATCAGGACATGAGAAGCCATGTCGATGAAACGCAGGGTAGCCCCTTCGCTTGCTACCTGGGAATGGGGCCAGCAGAGGCGAAGGAATACTAGAGGCAGGCCTCTCCCAATTTCCATTTTCTTTCCATTTTCTTTCAAGCGCCCTAAGCTGAGGGGATATCCCGGTGTACTCTCTGCGCTGGGCCTGCGCCTGCCCCACTCGAGGAATGTGAGCCCCACCAGACAAAAGCCGGTATTCATGTTGATGTGCATAGTTCTGCTAACCGCAGTGGCCCACCGGCAGATATATGGTGGCCTCCATTCGAGACCACGAGGCATTCTTCGATGCATATGTGGCTGACTTGGCGTTTGAGAAGCTATGCACTTCGCGCCACGAACCGTTTAGCTCTATCACGCGATGATAATGATCGCTCGGACTGTGCTCGAAATCATAGTCATAGATAGAAGTACCTTCAATTTTCGATATTGGGCGCCTGAAGTAATCTTTTCGTGGGCTTGGGTTTTCTTCCTATAGACTATACGCCAGGAATCGAAGGTTATGGTTGTTAAACCTATGGAGGTCACGGCTAATCCTTATTCCTCTAAATTAGACCAATGACCGCTTCCCTTAATCTGAAAACCAGTGACCACAAGTCCGCCGAGCGGTAAAGAGAATAAGCGCCACCTACGTTGAACACACGAGAGCGCATGTCTGCATTTCTGCAGACCATAACAGCGTAAGCAGGAGAGTAGCCACCGCCCCATTCCCAAAGCACCACAAGGCTTGCTGAGCCAGGTCAAGGACACTCCTGCCAGATGCTAGCCCCATCATGGGCCTTGAGCCGCTTCTTGTCTCCTACATGCTTCATCGTCAATTCGATCTCATTTATCGGAAGACATTCATGACAGTAGACGTTTAGAGCGGCAATTTTGTTTAACGGCCTCTCTCGCTTTGACGGTCTTAGAGCGAAAGCAAGATCACGGTAAGCTACCTAAGATGTAGATCTCTGAGTCCTTTCTGTTTGTAGCAGTGGTGTTCTGTGCAGCAAGCTATCTACACAGGGAATGGCCGAGATGGATCGTATTGCAGAGTCACTCGTTGAGAACAGATCCGTCAGTCTCAGATTCACTACTTCACCGGAAAGAGGTAACGTCGCTCAATGAGGACCAATTGACCTTATAATAAAAACCAGTGGAGTTCTGGGAAATTGAACATGCAGCCTCAGTGGTGCTGACACATCAGATAATGCTTAAATTCTGTTTTTAACACCATTAAAGCCGGATACCTGATAGATCAACATTCTAATACCCGTACTGGCGGCTGCTGGTTTGAAGAAGTTTATTCGGAGCTTGCAGGTTTGCCTGTTGTAGCTTACACTACTATACTTACAGTCATGGATGGTGGAGATGAGTGGACCCCAAGCGTGCGACGACCACGCTTTATGCGGCTCTCAAGTTAGAGATCTACCCGGTTGATCCAGGATCAGACAACTCTGGAACATCCCTATCCCCATTCCGTTGCCGACTTCTTATGTCTCGGCACTCTTCCTGCAGAGAGATGTGACAGCTCTAGAGGTAGAGGTAGAGGGTCAAGCGACGAATCATTCCAATTTCAGTCTGCCAGCCTCTCGAGAGTTGCATTTTTCATTCCGTTATATCTCTCCACCGCTCCAGCCCAGAGCCATATGAGTTTCCTACAGACTCAACCTCTACACATGTCCACAATCAGACATCACAGGCCAACACAAGTCCCTTATACGGGCTATCCCCGCTAACACAACCGCTAATCCCAATACGCTCTTCCACCGCACATCCCGCGTCCTCGTAGAGATACACTAGCAGCGTATCAGACCATGACCAAAGCCAAGGATTCCCATAGAGAGACTGAGACTTACACTCGCATTCATCAAAGATAGAGGTAATATTCACGGCTTCAATAGCGCCGTACTGATCCAAGGAGATACACGTGTTCTTCTGGCTTCCGTATACACCGAGTTCAAGCAGATTGTTCGCATCGCAGCCGGGACTGCCGTACAGACGCAGCTGTGCCCATTTACTGTTTGTTGGGGGTAGACTAGCCAGGGCAGTGGTGCCGAGGCCAAAAACAAAGGCAGTAAAAAGAATGCGGTACTGCATTTCGGCGAAAGCGAAGGCTGCAGAACCGGGATGAAAGTCGGGAGATTGATACAATCAGTGATGGAGGATAGATTCCGGGCACGAACTCTTCCTTTAAATACCTCTGGTCTTTCTCAGAGTGGACGGTCTGGGTTAGGCCTCCTAAGGTTTCAGGAGATATGAAGCTATTATTGGCATTATGAAAACTATCTGCATCCGAAATTGCTAAAATCTGACAGCAGACGTGTCTTCGGAAGAGGGCCTGGTATCTCCTGTTTCAGTCTTATCACGTTTCATTCTTAGAAAGCTTGAATGCGTGGACGCTTGTATCACCAGCCTTGACTTCTCAGATGAAGCATGCGAAAAAGTTCGCTTCCTTCCTTACGATGTGTGTTTATAATCTATTTAGTTCGCTTCTCTTACAGAACCTAGGGTTGAATGTTTTTGCGCAAGTAGTAAGTCAAAATCAAACCACCATGGATCTGTTGGTGGCCTTTTCTGGAGGGCAATCTCCTTGCAGTAAGCTATTTGACGACTGCCGCATTACCAGGCCACCCATCTAGGCGTACCTCGGCATGTAACCAAGCATTGATAGCCTTGCGTGTCTCAAAGCCTTACATAGTTCCCGTGCACTTATTGCACCGCTCTAGTGATCGTGACTTAGTGTCTAATATGCCGAATATGCAAGATCATGAAGAAGTAATAGATGCGCACTAAACCCGGTGTCTCTCCTTGCGTGTTCAACACAATTATGCTAGATACGATGATAACGGAATGCATGGCTTGATTACAGTTGACTCGGGCTGCGGGGCGGAACTAGATGGGATATTCTGATCCGAAAATTTCTAGAGGCCCTGTAGCCTTGTAGCGAAGCAGAGTAATCCAAGCTAAGAAGGAGTGCGAGATCGGGTCCAGCAAGACAATCTCAAGGTGAAGAGGATGGTCAGATGCGACAACGGGATGGGTTGAGTCCGTGGAATGAGCATCATCGAGTGGGCTTGATTGTATCATTGGCCCAGGCCTGCTGCTGAAGTAGTTGAGAGCTATAAGGAAGAGTCCAGAGAGCATCCAGCAACGTGAGTGATTTCAATAGCCAAGGCAATGTCAAAGGCAGCAGCGGCAGTTGCAGCAATGCCTTAGAGAATGATAAACGCACAAGGAGCCGGCATGGTACTGTCGCATTGTATACGGCCAAAATTTCATCCGATGGCATCTCACACCGTTCCAGTCCAGTCCCAAAATCAAAGGTCTAGATCAGCCAACCTGCACATAGCTTGAATGAGTAAAGTCTAAGAATGCGAAAGAGCAGAGCATTGAGAAACCGCGCAGTGCAAGATTCATATTCATGGTCATTCATTACCGTCATGTCATCTCTCTAAAACAGAAACCAGAACCAAAGAAAAGAAAAGAAAAGAAAAGAAAACCCCGGGCAAGCCGCGCTCTTAAACCGCAAGCATAACGTCTGGTCTGGCTGATCCGATCTGATTTGTGTCCATAGGGCGAATGCAACCGCAGCTGCAACCGCAGAAGCATACGCAGCGCAATAGGCACAAACACAGGCTAAGCCAAGCCGAGCCAAGCACCCAGAATGCATTGAGAGAAAAGAAGACACACAAGACAATAACCCAAAAAGAACCCCCTTTGGCCCACGAAAGAGAAAGAAATAAAAAAAAAACCAACACACAATATCGCAAAATTTCCAATGGTCAACATTTCTCTCTCGAGATCTCAAAAAATCTCGAAACATGATTTGCAATTCGAAAATGAAACCGTGGCTATTCCAGCCATGAGCATGACCGAACATGAGCATGAGCAAAGTAGAGCCGACAAAGAAAATTCGTCATAAAAAATTCGTTTCGTCATAGTCATAAGGTGGGAAGGATGGGAGAGAAGCAAAGCAGAACCATGAATCAAGAGGAAACACAAGCTTCCCTCTCCCCTTCCCGAGTCATCAATTTGTCAAATGGAGATCCAACAACCCAGTCCAACCATGGATGCCCAGCATAAATCCCCGGGAGTGGAAGAGCCCCGGAACGACGGAGAACATCAGATCCATGGAAGATGCATGCCCTAGAGTAAATTCAATCATGAGAAGAGGGGCCGGTCCAGTCCAGTCCAGCCTGGCCGATCCCGTCGTGGGAGCAGGCGCAAAAGTAAATGTAAACTTCAACGCAGTGCTAAAGTTCACCGAAAAAGGCAGGTCGTATGGAGCGTTCCCAGAGTCGACAGCAACCGGGATCCATGCACGCCCGGGTACGGCGTCTATCATAGTAAAAAAAAACCAAGCAAATAATACTCTATGCAGAGCAGAGAGGTAGATAGGATGATGGGTGGGTGAGCGGGGTAAGATGCAGAAATCCCCTCCACATACGACACAACAGATGAAAGCTAGAACCCGGAAAGGATTTAGCGACGGCGGGCCATCACCCCACCGGTCTTCATCGGCTGCAGAAGAGGGGCCACAGGACCGCCGAGCGTCGCGTCAGTCAGGGTCTTGCGGCGCTTGCTCTCATACTCGCCGCCGCTGTCGCCCCGGAGAACGTCATCCTCCTCGCGCATACGCTTGCTGCCCGAACCGAGGTTCCCGTTCATAGCGGTCGAGTACACGGGCGTGGATGTCGATGCCATTGAGTACGGGTCCGACGCGCCGTTGGCGGGGGTGCCGCGGGTGTCACTGACGGCGTTGTACAGAGTGGTGGCGGCCGGGGGACGAGGGGGGTGTTGTATCCCGAGGCCCAGTGCGGGGGCGGCCCGCTGACGCTAGTGCGCGGTGTCATGCGGCCCGAGCCATTTTGCTGCGGGGAGCCGGTCATCTCGGGGGTCAGCTGGGAGTGCTCGCCAGTCAGGGAGCCAACGGACGGATTGGTCGTGTAGGTGTACGAGCCGCGGCCATTGTAGGCGGAGCCCTGGTCCTGCAGGTACTCCGGTTCATGCTCAGGGACCGCATCGCCGGGACCATTGCTTTGGGCATAGCGGTCAGACTTCAGATCCGCAGGTTCGGTCTCGGGAGCACCGGGCGCCCGACCTGTCGGAGGTGCCATTTCGTTCTTCAAGTAGTTCATGGTGGGGAGGGATTGTCCATAGCTCGAAATGCCGGACTGTGTCATAGGCGTCTGGGGCGCATAGTGGGAGTGAGACTGCGGTGCGGCGGAGTAGTATGGCTTGTTGTCGTATGCGGATTGTCCCTGGTATGGTGGCATGCCCTGCATGTTGCTGCCCGGGGGAGTCGTGGCTGGCGTCGTCGGCATCGAGCGCTGGTTACTTAAGGCAGTGTCAATTGACAAGGGCTGGGTGTGCGGCACATGGCCACCCCATTCATACGAGCTCCCTTGGCTGGTCACCCCCATGAGGCTGGACGCACTAGCCGGGGGGTGGGGAAGGTGTTGGCTCGGTCGAGGCCGGGACGGGGGCCGCCTCCCATGGACGATGGCTGGGACAGGTGTGAGGACATGGGCGTCTGCATGGCGTGGTGGTGCAGGCTCGAGGGCTGTGGCGCTGTTGGGGTGCGCTGGGGCCCCGCGGGAGGACCCTCTAGACGCCGCTGCTGCGATTCTTGCACGACCATGTTGGTCCGGTTCTGGTTGGCCGGGTGGTACAGCAGCCCGCCGATGTTGTGCACAAAGAGCGGATACAAAAGATCGGTGATCTTCTCCTTGTTGGCAAATTCCAGTGCACGCTCAAATGGGATCCTGAAGAGAGGATCAAGTCAGTGGTTGAGGACTCTCCCTTGACAAATCGAGAACCAGGACATACCAAACACCCTTCAGATGCATCGGGCCGATCTTGACCACATGGCGCAGCTTCTCGCTCTTGAGAATGCCATCACGACGACCACGAGTCATGCCGGCCACATTGAGCAGCTTGGTACCATTGATCATGTGGTTATCTGCAAGGTTTATGCCGTTAGACTGAATCCCATCGAAATTACCTTACGGGGTCGCAAGAAAACATACCCTCTCTCCTCGCCACACACACCCCCTTGGCTTCCACCTGATAACAGAGACTGCCCTCGTCTTCCCACAATGTGGCGGTCACCCGTGGCTTCGCCCCAGGAGGAGCGATTTGACCCGTCGGATCATAGACAAAGCCCTGCAATGGTGATCCGGTACTGTTTCCGTATCCGGACGATGCGGCAGGATGGTTGTTCACTGGAGTGTTTTTTTCGTTAGCTTCGTCGGTCCAAAAATGACTTTTCCCAGACGAGCCAAGCTGACCTTGAGGGAGTGGCAGCAACTGTGCGCCCATTTGTCCACCCATGGAACTCACGGGCGGCGCATGCCCGGTTGGCGGAGACGTCACGCCGTTGGGGTAGCCGTATTGTGGGTAGGGGGAGGGAGCATAACTCGAGGCCGGCTGCAAGACCGGCGGCTGGTGCGGGTATTGGTAATGCGACATGGCGCTCGCAGTGGCACCCTGCGACGCGTAGGGTTGGGCGGAGGACATGTGGGGGTGCACGTCCATGTAGGGCTGTGTGTGGTTCATACTGCCGAGCGAGGTCGGACTGGGATAGAACCCGTCGGAAGGCGCAATGGCGTATTCGGATTGACTAGCCAGGTCTGCTGGGGGCGGAGGGCTCCGGGGCTCCTGGACCGCGGAGACACCAGACAGACTGGTGCGGGCGCTCGAGCTACTGGTCGAGCCAGGGACGTCGGGGTAGTAAGAAGTGGTGTGGGTGGTGCGGGACGGGGCCGGGGGGCGGTCGGGAGGCTGAGTGCGGGCAGCTTATCGCCCGACAGCAGCGGTCGTTCGGCCGCGTGGTGGTTATACCAGGGGATATCAGCAGGACCGCGGGTGTGGACCTGCGAGATCGATGGCAGCTCCAGCTTTTCGGTTTCACGGAGAACCGGGGAGAGGGAGAGAGAAAGAGAGAGCGGGAGAGCGCGCGCGCTGCAAGAGGGGAGAAGGCGGACGGGTTCACAGGGTTGGTCCAGCGAGCTGTTTTCACAAGACCTGCTTAATCAAAGAAACAGCCGGGTGTAAAGGCTGCGCTGCGTCCGAGAGGCGATGTGGTCGGGCAGTGGGAGGCTAAGATGGCAAATTGCAGTTTACCACCGAGCTTCTCAGAGAGACTTTTGTTGGTTTGGGGAGGGGGAAGACGTGAAGATGCAATCGGTTCGTTTTTGGGGTGGCCGATGCGGGCCAGCGTAGAGTCGAGACTCGGGATGAGCCAACGTAGGACACTTTTGGAAGGAGCCAGAATGAGGCAGAACAATTCCCAGCAATCAATGATCACAGAGCAGGGGCATCAATCTCATGAACGGTCGTGACAGACATAAAAGGGCGCTGATGTGAGTTCATGCAAGTTGTGAAGAACAGCAGAACGGGGTCAAATAAGGCCGCAGCGCGGGAGGGAAGGGGGAGGGGGGAGGTGGTGGGAAGAAAAAAAAAGAGAAACGAGGGTTCTACAGAAGGAGGCTGGCGTGCAGCAAACGCATCCCTCTGCAGGTTGGGTTGAGATGAGAACAAGGGGGGGGGGGGAGGTGGGAGAGAAGAACTCAAAGTGGAGGAAGGTGGGAGGTGCAGTTGGGAGAACAGGCACACTTCCGCAAGTCAGCACTTTCAGAGCCGCAGGACGGGAAAGGCGATCAGTGGAGGAGGCAGGTGACTGCGATGACTAAGGGGAGGAATGTGGGGGGGGGGAAAGGACGAGGAGGAGGAGGGTGGTGAGTGAGATGAAGTAAAGTCCAGTGGCTGGGACAGTGCTGGGACGGTGCTGGGAAGTGCTGGGAAGTCTGGAAAAGCAACGCAGAATATCCCGGCTGGGGTCCTTTTGAGGTTTCCACCGAAATAGCATCGGTGGAGTCGAAGACCAGAGCAGGACTAGTGTACGTCCGGTGGTGACCAGCGGCGGAGCAGCGAGTCAACCGCCACCAAGCAAGGACGGGCAAGGGTGGTAAATGAGAGGGAGCGGGAAAGGAAAGAGAAATAATAGGGAAATAATAGAGAAATAATAGGGAAATAATAGGGAACTAGTGCAATTGTGCCCGGGGAGGGGGGGGGGGTTTGCTAGTGACGGTAGGATAAAAGATTTACCCAAAAGAGCATTTTTAGAAAACCGAACAAAAAATGAAAAATGAAAAATGAAAACGAAAAAGAAAAAGAAAAATGCAGGGACATCGCAGGGCCGAGCAGAGAAGCAAAGAGAGGGGGGGGTCCACCGAGCTGAGGATCCTGGTCTGTGTGACACGCAAAACGCTGATCGCCCGGGATAGGCCCGCTGGGATCGGTGGAGACCGATCCCTACCGCCACGCACTGGACTTCTGACCGGGAAAAGGAAGGTACAGAGGAGCCGAAGATCGACGGGGATGTGATAGGCCGGATAGGGGTCGTATCGTTCGTACAGAGAGTCGAGGAGGGACATGGACCAGATAGCATGGCCAGTATGGCCAGTATGGCAAGTATGGCAAGTATGGCAAGTATAGCATGGCCATTACGGAATATAGAAGGACCGTAGCATGTGAGGAACCACGATGCCCAGGCCGATACGAGCCGAACCCCGACCTTCTCCTGACCTTCTCCTGACCGCGCAGAGGTACCCAGCGAGGTACCATCCTCCAGCGAAGTACACGGGATGTTTCCTCCGGAAGGGATGAGCCATGGTTGACGGCGTCCCCACGAGCGCGGGTCCCACCGGGAACCAGGGATGGCAACGGGGAGAACTGGGGCCGACCACCCACACTACGAGACCCAGCGGGCGAGCTGGACAGTGACTCCCGATCGACGGGCCCCGTGCAAGACATAGCGCCTGCAGAGCCCGGCGGCTGCACGGTCGATTACGGACGGGGGTTTCAACTGCGCTTAGTGCGAGGAAGATCCATTTGCTGGATACCCAGCATCGGAGTCGCGAGAACATGGAGAGAACACGGAGAGGAAGGGGGATTGGGATGGGGATGGAACATCCTCCCAACCGGCCACGATCCCGAGAGAGCCACAGAATCACGTCAACCCGGAAACGAACCACTCATCCGTCAAGGGCCAGGGTCGAACCTGACCACACTAGAGATCTCGAACAGGCACACGGACTCCCGCTATATGAAACTATGAAACGAAACGAAAAATCAAAATCAAAATCAAAATCAACGTCCATTGCAGTGTCAGTTTCGGTGAAGGGAATCCAATAATTACTGGCCATGTCGTCACGTCGAACGAGCCATCAGTCGCGATCGTCGAGGGCGTAGCCATCACATCCAACACGGCTATAGCCGACGAAGAGAGGGGGTATGTTTGGGGGTGGAGGGAGAATGGAGAATGGTGGGTCTTCCGAGAGCCTAGACGGTCCTTCTGGGCCTTGGGCGTGACCGGCGTCTCGCCCGGAGGAGCGTATGGAGCTCCTCTACGACGATGGCGGCCGTGGCCGTGAGGACGTTGTACGAAAACCTGGGATGGTCGTGCCCAGAACGACCACGCCCTCCCTCCCCGCCACAAGAAACCAGCCAGAAAGCGCAAAGGAAAGGACATCAAGAGACCACCAAATCCCCCAAGTCCATGATAAGGCGGCCCGTGAGTAACAGGCGCGTCACACCCAAGGGATACAGCGGAGGAGAGGGGGGGAATCAGTGGCTCAGAGGGCACCACGCACTGGCTGGAGTCGATCAAGGGTCTGTTCGCTCGGCATCCCTGCTAGTTCCACGACTGGGCGTTTACCGAAAGGGTCGGCTGAAGACCCGCCCAAATCGAAATCAAGAGATTGGTTCGTCCAGTGATGGGCGGGATTGAGATTGGGGGGTTGCGGTCTTTTTCGCTTTGGCGAGAGTCTCGCCACGACGACGGAGTAGACGAGGCTCGATCCGAACGGGTTCCCTGTCGTGGGGCGGTTGGCGTGATTGTGGCATAGCGTGAGGGAAGCGTCCAGTACACCCATTATCATTTTCGGATCCGGGTGAGCCTTTGGGAAGCTTGGGCAACCTTGTCTAGCGCGAACAATCCAGCAAGGGGAGCGGTTGATGCCCGCGACTCCCGCTGAGGGCCGAAGGATAGTACACCGCCGGTTCCTGTCCCTCATTGAACCCGACATCAACCCCCCTTGCATTCGACAGAGTGCCGCGGGTGAGGCGGTAGCGAGACGAATAATAGAACCAGAACCAGAGCCAGCATTTCCTACGAGAACCAGCACCATAACCAGAGCCCAAGGAGGCCCGACCTGAAAGGGGGGATCCTCTCGATAGTCCGGACTGCGAACAAGGTTGACAGATGTCAGAGATGACAGGGGGCAGATGTCGCGTCGTGGATTCCCTGTTTCCACCGAGATCCCCCTCGGACGCTTTTCTTTTTCGGGACTCCGTCATGATCCCAGGAGGCAGACTATCAATTTGCAAGCCAATATTTCCATGAGGGCTGATGAGGGCGCCAGTACGCCTCCGAAGTCTGTCCTCTGTACTCTGTCCGTCTTGCCATCCTCTACCTCCAAGGAGGGCGATTGCTGGATTGCACCGATTCGCCTCCCCCGGCGGGTTATGTTCCCAACAGTGGCGTCAAGCCACCCACAGACCCTGTTTGGGTGAAGAGAGCTTGACAGCCAGACCGAGGTGCTCACTCGTCACGGGGATTCGGTGAGTGGTTAGAATAGGTGGTTAGCACGACTCAACTACGGAACTACGTAACTACGGGACTGGATTGCAATACTCCGTAGAGCGTTCGGGAAGGCACGGGGGACTGCAACGATCGTGGAGAACCTCTGGCGAGCTCGCTTCTGCAGTGCAAGAACGGGCCCGAGCCAGCCTCGGCCCGTCCAGTCCTCAACGCTACCAGGCCATGTTCCGTGGTAGAGAAGTCGAGCTCGACAATGGGGCATGAAAGGGCACTACAAAGCCCAAACTGCTGCAACGGGGCCGTCCAAGCAGGTACGCTAGCGGGCAAACTAACTTCCTCAAAGCCCGGGGCGACTCCAGATCCCTGCCCGCAGCTCGCTATCGACGGCCCGATACCCGCTGCGCATACAGCGTACAGTAGGGGGAGGCAAAGAAAAGAAAAGAAAAAGTCAAAAGTCACAAAGAACAGAGAGGGGCAGTGGATTGGACGGGTAAATGGGGCCGCGCAAAGACCACCAGACGAAGGATCCGCCCGAATCGACCAGTCCCAGGGCTGTCTCGACCTCGCCAAAGCTTCGAACTCTGTTAGTGAGAGTGTTTCCACTATTCCACTACAGAGTCCGCAAGACTCAGGCTCTGGCTCTCCTGGTCAAAGCGGAAAGAAGAAAAAGCAGACGGAAACAGGGACCGCCCAATCACCAGCGGAGCAGAGAGGAGGGCTGGGCTGGGCTGGGCGGGAGGACGCTAGGAACGGCTGGCTTGCGTTTTTCCTGTCTGACCCAACCTCCTCCACTCACCTTCCCATCTGTTCCCCGATTCATGTCGGACCCAACCCGCAGAGGGGCGCTAGCGAGCGAGCTAGTCGGAGGCCCCGGAAGGGCATCAAAATCGGCCTGGTTCTACGTCCTCCGAGATTGCGACAGCGGTCTTCACCGCTAGCGCTTAGTTCGGAATCACAACCCCCATCGCGCCCGCCAGCGCTAAGCCCAGCTGCCGCTTTGCAGCGCTCCGCCCTTCCACTGTCTTCGCGACGCCCTTGTTCCTTTGTTTTCTCTCTTCTTTCTCTTGTTCTTGTTCTTCTCCGTCTCCACCCCCATCCGTGACGAAGTCACCAACCACCGTAGTTAGTTCCCTCGGGCATTCCCCGAGCCCCAAAGGGGGAAACCCCACAAACCTCCGGACGTGATGTATCAACCGGCCATCCGAACCGCTGGAGCGCCCGTTGAATTGTGAAGAACGCAAGGAACTGAGGCTTGGCCGACGTCCGTAGATGACACTAGTCCCTCGGCTCGCATGGCTCCGTCTGGTTTTCTAGATGGATCTGTCCTACAGATCGTCGCGGACCGGCGCGGGTCGGGGAGGAAGGAATACAATTAGCAATCTATCTATCACACACGATCACAGCGGTGCGGGGGCGCGAGAAATCGCCATGGTTCTTGCGCTCTGATTCGTCAAGACAGTGAGGCAATTGAAGGGGTTTGAAATTGAATTACCCTCGCTACAGCAGTTGGCTGTTCCTTCCGAGTCGAGTCCAGCTCCTCATTGCCCGGAAGGATTCAACGGGACCGTTGGCAGGATTCCGATCAGCGGAGCATGATGATGGTGGTGCAGACGGTTCTTCCTCCCTTCGATGCCGCCACTCTGCCCATGTGTACTCCGTACGATTCTATTCTTATCCCATTCGATTACGAGCCCGTCGATCGACGGGTTCGCCCGTACCTTGCAGCGACCAGTTACCCTGCAGCCTGGGGTGCTCCCCAGCTCCAGCTCCGTCCGCCAGTCCGTGCAGACCTGCGGCAAGCTTGCTCATGGACGTAGGCATAGCTCCACATATATACCCAGTAGAGTCATAGTCATAGTCATAGTCATCCATGACGAAGGCAAAGGCCGAGCATAAAGAAGACGAGCACAGGCGCTAGAAGGGGCGATTGCACATCACGCGCAGCACGCCAGATTGACTGCCCGTTGGCCCAGGCTCTCGGGGGCCTGTAGGGCTAGGGTTAGCGCCATGGTGTATCTTTTTATTATATTTCTTACGCGCCATGGCGCAGGCGAGTGTCTCGTCACTGAAGTATCGACGCCGGACTAGGAATAGGAATACACCCGTTCATATTGAAATAGGAATATGTGCTGGAGGACCGGGGTCAAGTCTCCTTTCCCCTTTGCTCTTCTTCTTCTTCGTCTTCTTCCCCGTCTGCTGCCCACTCCTCGTGTCAGGCCATGATCAGCCTTCTGCCTAGTGCTGGGGTGAGCGGGGGGTGGTGGGACAGCAGGACTATGGCGTCGGACAGGGACCGGAAGAGGAATTGAAGTCGGGGATTCGTGGCCAGGGGTCCCTGGCCCGAGAGTGTCGGGGATGTGTTGTACAGACGGGTGATTCGCCCGAGAAGAGACGAGGTGGGTGCGGGCGTGGCAGAAGCTGGCGCATGAAAGGATGTTGGGCCATGGCCATGGCCATGGCAGTCGAATGGGTTATGCCTTCGAGGGTGTCCGCTGGCTTGACTAGGGTGTTCGGAGTAGACGTGACCTTGACCTTGACCTTGACCTCGACCTCGACCACGGGTCCAACGGGCTGAGGGCGCGATGTGCGATTCGTATCGAGACTCCGGTCAGCATACGTTTGAGATCTCGTGTCTCCCCGGCCCACTCACCACGGAGTATCTGTAAGTACCTACGGGTGGATGGTGGATACCGAGGTCCCTCCATACTCCAGACTCCCTTCCTCACACTATTCTAATGTGTACTGCACGTCATGTATCCATTCTCGGCCGTCATTGGGCAGATAGTCTCCCATGGCTTCGCCGCTCAGCACCCGCCTATAGAAAAGTCACCACATCCAACCTCCATCCACAAGGAAGTCATCCTCGCCCACGCCACACCACCACCTCACGAATGACAACACACCACGCACACGCAGCCCAGGATCTGGGCGCGAGTCGAGCCCGGGGCCGTGCAACCCCGAATTTAACCTTGCATTGCATTGTCCCGGAAGAAAGATCGACTGCACGTTCATCTTGCCTATACACACGCTAGCGCCGTGTCTCGCGGGCGCCAAAGCAGACCATGCCCGCTCCGGAGCGTTCTCCGCGGACGGAGCACGGAGCATGGAGCACGGAGCATGGACAAAAGGACGGACAGTGGTAACGCTGGCGCTCGACAAGATGTCGGGATCCACGATCACCGTGGAGGTGACCAGTGGCCCAGTGGCCCAGTGGCCTAGTGGCCCAGTGGCCGTGGCCAGTGCCCCGGAGGAACGTATTTCGTACCTGCGCTGATTGGCGAGAGCACGACCTCGCCTGAATCATTCATTTTCTGGGCCCGTCGGGCAAAAGCCCACCCACGAATCACAGCCCCGAACCAGGAGGGTCCAGTCAGCGCGCCCCATCCATAAGCCCCGGCCTCTCTAGCTCTCTCTCTCGCGCGCGCTCTCTCTTGCTCTTTCCCCCCATCTTAGAATGGCCCGGGCCCCAGGTGTAACGACGCTAGGCTAGCATGGGTGGGGCCTCGCTTGGCCAGTGCGAGGGCCGAGTCACTGCAGGCGGCTGCAGGCGCCCGCCGATCGACGATCCGACCGGACAATGACTGGCGGTGGCCAGCACCACGTAGCGGGCGCGCTCTCCGCCAGGCTAGATCGTGGTGGATTTCACCGCCAGTTGGCCCCTTGCGTGCAGACGTGGAACAGGCTATTCTCTCATGGGGTTCTTGGTTCTTGGAAGTCTGACCGTGGAGCTGCCGGCCACCGTTGGGGATTTTGCCAGTTTTAGTTTTAGTTTTAGCTCTGGTTCTGTTTTGGTTCTGGTTCTGTTTCTGGTTCTGGTACGGTGTTGACTCGTGAACTGGGCCAGCAAAACGATTCGTAGTTCAGCGTTCAGCCTGGGTTGATGCTGTCACTTTCGGGGTTTCCAGAAACCCCAATGGGGCGGGCAAACGGGTCGCGAGATCACCCACGCTGAGGTCATGGCCTCCTGCTCACGGATTTGCCTCTAGTGGACTCCCTAGTTCAGTCAGTTATTGCGACGGCCTGGAGCGCGCTAATTTCGCCTCGTCAAGATAGCGCTTGCCAGTCTGCTCCCACAGACTCAGACTCGATGCCATAACCCATTACCATCATAGTCATTCCGGGAGGATTCGCCTGCTAATCGTGACGGGCTACGTGCGCAGGGCGCCTTCAGACGGAGAAGGTCCATCTTTCCTCCCAATCCTAACGAAGTACTCCCCCCAAGGTGCATCAGAACCGTATTCCCGGACGAAATTGAAATCCGCGCCTTCCCCCGCTTCTTGCGACCCGTCATCATCATAGATGTGTTATGAGTGACGAGCAGCATCATTCTCGAACGTAGTATCCAGCTAAAACCAGCCCGAGAATTGGTTGGCGATCGACGGGATCGAAGATAAGACCCCGAACAGCACCGGCGGAACCAGCGTTCGAGCCCAGCTTGGGCCTGGTGGACGAGATGTCTGCCCTGTGGCCCGACGAACCCCCATGCACTGATGAGAACAATCGTGAAAAGCTAATCAACTAACCCGATTTAATGCCACGGGGAGGTACCTCGAGCCCAGCTTGGGTCCTAACTCGGTCTGGCGTAGACCAAACCCAGGCCCATCCGTGATGCCTGATATCTGGTACATCTAGAGGTACATCGAGAAGTACATCGAGAAGTACACCCAGGGGTACTGGGTGGAACGGGGTGTACCCTCGACATCCCCCCTGTAAACCCCCCAACGCCCTCGCCTCCCCCGTGCAGAGATTGCAGCGCACGCCAGAGCTTCTTCACCCGCTGCGTCGGCCCTGCACGATCCTGCCTCACCGTCTCTTTTCAGACACCCTGCTCGGCCGGACCGTGCACTGGCCACGCCGTGAATTTGCGGTCATTCTTTCCCCAGCCGATCGAGCGATGTGCCGGCCGCACACTGCAGATGGGCTGCAGACAGACTGAAAAGAGTATTCCGGAGAGAGGACAGAGTCTGGAGACTGGAGACTGGAGACTGGAGACAGCAGCCACGGACAGGACCTCCCCGACACACGCCTCATCCTCCGGCACCCCGCGCGTGGGCCTCGGCGCCACATTCTCGAAGCTTGCCTGTCCCCTCCCACATGCATATCTGGGTGGTCAGAGGCGCGGGCGCAGACGAGGCGAGGCCCTGGGACGTGTCTGGAGGGGGTCGGTGTCGAAGCTGGGGTAGTTGAGCGGTGGCTCACCGCTGGTTTCAGGTGTCGCTGGGTTCCATTCGGGGAGTAGGGGAAGAGCTCGTCTCGCGGGGTTTCCTGGTTCTAGATCTGTTCGTGGGTCGGATCGGATCTAGGGATGGCGTGGCGCGGCATTGTTGGGTTTGAGATCGTAGATCTTGCTGTAGCTGTAGCTGTAGCTGTCGCTGTCGATGCTGGTCTAGTCCAGACGAGGGTGATTGGGTTCTGCGAGTTCCGGCCTTCCCACTTACAATTCCCACTCCAAGCCCAAGGACAGGCCCTACCTACCCCCTTCCCCTTGATACGCATGCGCATCGTGACTTTGGACGGCGAGGGGTTTGAGATCTGCTTGCATTGATGGTGCGTCGGTGTGCATTGCTCGCAGGCCAGTACCCACTGTTCCTCGAGGGACCGGGGGCACGGGGCCCGGGGCACGGGGAATCCAGGACAAGAGCGATGGTAATTTCAAGCTTGGCTACCCACTGAGCTTGTCCAGCTCTGTGCGCCGTGCGTGCGGTGTCCAGCCAGGGGCCTGCCTTGGCGGGTGTCTCGTCCCATCGATGGATGGCGGGAGAGAATGCATCTGTCTGCGCGCAGCGGGTAGGTGCCAATGCCGTTCAGTGCATCTCAGGGACCGAGTACAGAGTTACGAGCTGTGCAGAGAGAGGCGTGGTTTGGGGCCGGGGCTTCTGGAAGGTGTGTGTGCCGGTGATCTGCTTGTGCCTGGCAGATACAACCTCGTGCGAGGCGGGTTTCCGGTCGAGTCGGAGATCAAAAAAATGGAGTCAAAAAGGGACTCACGTAGATGATGGGACGAAAGGGTACGGTGGTATGCGACCTGCAACCGAGGATTTTGTTGCGGTTGGTCAGGTGTTGGTTTGGTGGTCTTGGGCTGGCCGTTGCAGGTATAGATCAGGGTAGTGCCTGTTCGTCATATTCATCCACCTTAGAAGCATGCACGTTCCGCTCAGGCGTGATTGAAGTACATGTTGTGATGCCTACCTGTAGCCAAGCCTAATTCTATCTTGACGAACCTTGGACAGTATACTGAAGTCTTTCCAAGTTTATATATATAGAGGAAGAGAGAGGTGGTCTACACCAAGTCATCTACAATGTGTCATGCCCGGTGTGATATATATCAAGCACCTTGGATACTCGCATCCCTCCAGCTAACACACATCCATCCAAGCAAGCAATCACGCTTACCTATCTACCACTCGTCGAGTTCAACTAATCCAAAACGCAGCAAACATGCAAGACATCGAGCTTGCCCCAAGTCAAGCAGGACTAGTCTATCAAACTGCATTTTTCTCTATATCCGATCCCATTCATGACTTATATATCCCAGGGTATACCCATTCCAAAGCCGCCCTCTATATCCGTCTATGTCCAGACTCAAATCATGTCACGTCTATCATAACCCGTCCCGTCTAGAGTCCCTATGTCCCGATCATATCTTGCCAGGTCCCGTACACGGTTATTCACAAGAAGATGACCTACAGATTGGAAGCCACAAAGTATAATCAACAGGCAAAAGCCAAATCAACGGCGAAGAAACCATAGCAGAGATTTTGTTCTGCGTGGTCTCCTTTCTTTCTGCTTTACTTCTTCCCTGCGAGAGTAAAGATCTGCTGCCAAATTTCCAGCCACTGCTGTTGCTTGTAGGACAGCGGTTTGTGAGGATTGCGGAAGATGGACGCGAGCAGGTCCCGCAGGCGGGAGTTGAGGGTTTTGAGAGCCAGCATGGACTTCCAGGTATGCGTTGCGAAGCGGATGCGGTTGGCGTCGATGGTAATCACGCCGGAGTAGAGCTGGTGAAAGGATGACCGGTTAATTGAGAATTCTTGGGCAGGGGGAACCAAGTTGAATAAGAAGGAAATAGAAAGAGATAATGAAGTGGAAAAGAGAAGAGAGAGGCAAAGTGGTGAAGTAGTGGGGGATGGTAAATCTCTCTTACCTTGAACTCGGCCTCTCCACAGAGCAACGCAATCGCGAAATCGTCCACCGCACTCGTATCATGTGCGTTGAGATTACGGTTTCGCGCCTGCATAATATGATAATACGAGAGCCACTTGACGGCCGGGTCGGCATGTTTGTTGATGGATGTCGGATGCAGCGTGACGGCCTGGTTGTTCGCGACGTTGCGCCAGCCCTTGCCCTCGCGGGTGATAAGTTTGGGGTAGAAGCTCCAGGCAACGACCGAGTTGATGACAACGTCATTGGCGCTGTTGAGGTCGTGTTGCTCCGGGATATTGAACAATTGGCGGTTCCGGTTCGTTGAGCGTGCTCTGTAAATAATTAGCATGCCTGAGTGGCACAGCGTGAGATACAAAGAGCAAGCCACCTACTTGTTTAGAGCGGCCTTCTGGGCTCCGTCAAGGGTGAGGAGTCCCGCGTCGGCGATCGAGACAACCAGCTGCATCTTGACATCTTCGATGCTGAGGAGCGTCTGCGGACTGAGGAAGTTCTTCCGACAGAAGGAGAATTCGTTAGAGCCTGGCGTGCTCCTCGCGCGCTTCCAGCCGCAGTAGGCATTATATACAGTCAAGAGATCCGAGTCGCCTAGAATGTGTGTTAGTGGTATCAGATAATGCACAAGGGAATGGTTGGCACAGACCTCTCTGGAAGGAGTTTCGAGCCGCGTCACGCTGCGAGTTGGAGCCCATGGTGTTCACGAAAGGAGACTTGGAAGACAGAATGGCAGCAATGCTAACAGCCGCATCCAAACACTTGAAGAACGCTCCGTGAATGATCAACTTGCCAAGGAAGACATCCAACGGCAGCTTGGCCAGCTGTGATCCCAATGGGGTCAGGCTTTCATTGCTTGTGAGTGCCTTGACTTCCTTCAGAGAATCAATTGCACGCCGGATGTTCTTAGATGACGGCGGATCCAGCGCCTCGCTGAGCGTCTGCTCCACCTCTCCCAATTTACAGATCTTGACTCGTAGCACGAGGTCCTGCAGGGACAAGCGGAGCATCTCCGGAGTCTGCTGTTCGGCTAGCAGTTGGTCGTGGCGATGTTTCGTGAACAGGTGGAAGCAGATGCCATTCTGGACACGACCAGCTCGACCACGACGCTGTTTGGCGTTGGCGCGCGAAATGAACGACTCGATGAGGCGGGATAGTTGTCGTCGTTCATCAAAGCGCATCATCTTTTCTTTTCCTGCGTCTACCACCGCCGTAATGTCCGGGATGGTGATACCGGTTTCTGCAATGTTGGTGGCGATAACGATCTTTTTGAAGCCTTCTGGGGGCACGACGAATGCCTTCTCTTGGTCTTCGCTGGCGATCGAAGAGTGGAGTGCGTGCACAATCCACCCTCTTTGGAAAGATGGCTCGGAGAGAATCTCGTCGTTCAAGCGGCGAATTTCTGCTAGGCCGGGCATGAAGACCAGGATTGCTTTGCTGTAATGCTCCAGCTCAGGGGCAGTGGCGATCTTCAGGAGCAACTTTCTGATAAGCTGGTAGTCCATGCGATACTCGTCAAACTTGAGAATAGTCTCTTTGGTCTGTTTGGAGTAGCCGTCAAGGCTAGCCTGCAGCCCTCCGGCATTGTCGCCCACGTTATCGGAGATCTCATCCGGATCGTCATCGATGGAAGTGTTCGACTCGTCCTCAGACAAACGGTAGTTTGTCATCTCAACCGCATCCTCGAGGTACTTTATTTCCACTGGGAACGTCCGGCCCGGGATATTCAAAACCGGAACCCCGCCGAGGTAAGTAGAGAAGCGTTGCGCATCCACAGTTGCAGACATGAGAATGAGCTTCAGATCTGGACGCTTCTGCATCAGTCTGCGGAGGACAACTAGAAGGAAATCGCTGTCGATTGTTCGCTCATGAACCTCGTCCAGGACAACGTGGGTGATGTCCTGGAAGTCATCAGGCCGCTCAAGCATTCGCACCACCACACCAGTGGTGCTGTGTCAGATTAGTAAAGCTTCGTAGGGTAGATGAAGGGATCAAGGAAATATCACATACGCATATACTAGGCGGGTGGCTGAGCTGATCTTACTTTCCAGCCTCACAGCAAAACCTATCAGTGATCGTGGAGTCCCGACATCATTCTTGCTTTCTCCAAGTTCCTCGCTGACACGTCGGGCCAAAGAGATCGCAGAAATACGCCGGGGCTCCGTCACGTAGATCTTGCAGGGCCGGCCGTGAAGCATCTCATGCTCCAGGATATAGGATGGAATCTGCGTACTCTTTCCACTACCGGTCTCACTGCAAATAATGAGGGCCTGGTGTGTATTCAAAGTGCTCAGAATATCGTCCTTGAAATTCCAGATGGGGAGGGTCATTCGGCCCTGCATCATGCGATGGAAAGCCGGGGTGGACGCTTTGGCCTCCCAGATGCCGGGCAGCTGCTCATTTTGGCCAAGATAGTCGCCCCGAGCAGGTCCTTTCAAAGGACTGCCCGGCTTGCTTGCTGTGCCGTTTCTTTTCCGGAAATTGTCCAAAAGCACGACGTCATCCTCGAAGGTGCCTCGGTTCTCTTCTACCAAGCGCTTCAGATCTTTGATCGTCCCTTTGTCGATTTCATCTTCCTGGGTCTTTTTCAGGTTGGAGAATTCGGTCCAAAGATCCCGCCAGACACCTGGTATCCGCAGATAGGCTTTGCCTTCTTTGGAGTTTTGAGGGAACAAGATGAAAAGCGCAAGGGTTGAAACATATCCTTCAGCCTGCTGCTGGTTTGGTGTCACAAGAGCATCCATTGAAACGAATGTTGCAAAGGCATTTGACTTGTGTGTGACCAAGTCAACAACCAGGGGGAATGGGGTCTCTTGTGGTTTGGACCATCGCACTTCGAGGGCTTTTCTATTTTGGTGGCTTGAAGATGAAATGTCTTGGTAGACAACCTTGCATCCCGAGTCTCTTGCTTTGCAGGTCTCTTCCAGAACTCTTCGTGGGCTTAAACCAGTGGTTTTCCCAAAGTCTCTGATGGTGACGTTGGCTTCCATCACGGGAGGGGGCAGTCCTAGGATGGACCCATCGTCAGGTTCGGCCTGGAACATGTCCCCAAGAAGGCCTGCAGCATCATCCTCCATTTCATCCACCGGCAAAACGTCTGCGTCAGGTGGTGGATTATTTGTCGCCTCCTTTGCTGGTTCTTCCGAAGGTTGGGCCTGCTTCTTTCGCTCTACCGGGCGACGCATGAACGTTGCATCCTTCCTGAGTTCGTCAAGCTTCCCCTTCCAGATGAATTCAGCTTCGTGGCGCTCAAACAGCACATCCCGTTCAATCTTAGTAATCTTGTGCTGCAATTTGGCCACTTCAGGGTCATCCGACTGCTCTGTAGCACCCCCACGGCCCTTTTTACCCCTGCCTGGACGATCAAACAGGTCGGGTTGAAGACTATAGAGCTTGGTTTGCAATTCCAACCACTCTGGAACCATGGTGTCAGGATCAATCGAGCTATCCGAGTCATAAGACACAGGAGGCGCAACCTTCGCAGCCTTCCAGTCTGCCTTGGGCTTTCCCTGTTTATGTTCATTCTGAGATTTGGGGGTTGAAGACCTTGACGGCGCCGAGTCTGGTGAGGGTCAGCGCTTTTCATTTATGTGGTTTCACCAAAGCCATGGGATTACCGGTCATCCACGAAGTGACAAGATCCGCATCTTTTTGTGGACGGGAGTTTGTTTGCGTATATGGTGGAAGGTCCTTCGAGTCATTATGCATTGCCAGCCATTCCAGCGCCTCGTCCAAATTCCATACGACATCACGGCCGGCGTTGACGGGATTGCCCGCAAACCATGTGAGGACATGTTTCAGTGCCTCTTCTGTACGCTCCACCGAGAATCCAAGCTTGAGGAGGGTTTCTTTCAGTGTCCAGAGCTTCCCATACAGCTCCTCCTCAGAGCCTGCCTGCTTTGCGCCAATGCCCTTAGCACTCGACGTCAAATAGTCATGCTCTTCGGCGACCGCCAATTCCAGAATTTTGTTTTGGATATCGGTCGGCAGCCATTCAAGCAGACTCAATGACACTGATTGCTGGCGAAGGACCCGCCTTTCGGTTTCCAGCTTGGTGGCTTGGCGCACCGCATCACTCCTGCACTTCGCCGCGTATTTATCAACCAGGATCTGGAGCTCAGCCTCCTCCAAATGCTTTTCGAGTTCCTCCGGTGAATAGTTCTGTAATGAGGGACCGGCCTCAGGCGCACTTGCACTCGTTGCACCTGCGGGGCGGTCTTCGGCGCGGGGGTCTTGTGGCTCGTTTTGGGGAGTGCTTCTGGAATCGCCAGCAGTGGTCGATGGAGTATCTGCTATAATTTCTGGTTTGGGCTTTGAGGGTATGGAGACTGTTGCGAAGCCTCGGGCCGGGTTGGACGCGGGCTTCTTCTTTTTTTATTGTTCGGTGGCATGGTAGGAGGGCGTTTCTGCAAAAGCACGGTGTGCCACAGATTTAGTGATCACGATGTGCAAGATAAAGCAATAAGATCAGGTTAGACTTACAAGGGTCGTGGTGGAAGTTGGAGAAACAAGAAGCGGACATGGCTGGTTGAGCGGCGGAGAATGCAGCTTCCCCCCCCCCACACAAAACTCTTATGACAGCATTCGATCGTCCCAGCCCACTTCACCACCAATTCACTCGCTCCCACCCACCCTCCCTCCACCCTCCCTTTTCTCTCCCTTCCCCTGTATTGACCTCCGATCATGGATCCAATTCCATGGGACCAGGTCAAGGCTGGGGATCTGGATGCCCTGCGGGTCGCCCTCTTCTCGAGTTCGACCTCGCGCAGGCTCCGGGCCCTGCAAGAACTTCGCGACAGGAGCGGTAAATCTTGACCCTCGGCCCTTCCAACATGAGAGAGCGCCAGACACTTACTGTCATAATATATAGGGACCGAACTATCTCCGGAATCCCAGTATGACATCCTAGCGCTACTCTTCCAGACCTATCCTCTCTATATCGACCGAACATCACGACAGGCCGTCCAACAATGTCTCCGCTCCCTCCTCCGAACCCCGAACGCGGTGGAACACCTCAAATATCTCACTGAGAAACTCAAGATAGAGGCTGCCAAGCCAGGTCTGGCCTCGACATCCGGCCTTGTCTTGCTGGAGTGGTGCTGCATTCTCTTGCAGCAGGTTAGCGAGGACTCGGCCACACCATTGGCAATTGTGCTGGACCTGATTGCGGTAAATGCCAAGGCTCTAGAGAACTGCTTCGCCCACACCCCCAAGGTCTCAGTAAGTGAATCGGCTCTCCGGGTTACAAGACGTGCCCTGCGTGCGGCCTTCTCATGCCAGACATGGGGTGAGGACGCTGTGCGCCAGTCAGTCAGCTGTTTGACTACCGACGCGGCGACCGGCAATAAGAATGCGCTGCTCCTGGGTGTCATTTCTGGAGTGTGTGCACGACTTCCTGCCCGAAAGCCCACCCTTGAGGAATCCAAGAAAGCCATCCTGGCCTACTACGTCAAGGAGATCGTGAGCTCTAAGTCTGTAGTGCCTGCTCATGTGGCCAATGGATTGTCGGATTTCTTCACTTCATTTGTCACAGCAGAGGATGTGACTACCGAATTGGTGCCACCGATGGAGAAGTCTATGCTCAGAGCACCGGAGGTTATCCTGAATGGCGTTATCCCACCACTCTGTGCCTCGTTGCCAGAGGATATTGACCTCTCCGAGGTGGTCCAGTCTCGCCTTTCGAAGCACCTCCTCTCTAGCATGAAGTCAAACAATGCGACAATCCGACAAGGGGCTGCTGACTCTTTCAGGTCATTGCTCACGCGGTGTAAAACGGATGCACTGGTCCTGAAGATCACAAGTGAGATCGTCGGTCCCTTGAAAACACAGAAAATCACTGCCCCCGAGCATCGCGTCGCCTACGCTCAAGTGATTTCTTCCATTCCGTCGTCCGCGGATGTCTCAAAAGAGATTGTCCAGGGATTCGGCCCCGTCTTTACACGGGAGTCCAATGAAGCTGCCTTGGAGGAGGAGCTGAAATCTTTTGGCAAGCACCTTGCTTTCCTTATCAGGTCGTCCCTTAAGGTCAGCGATGATGTTGTTAACGTGATCGTTAAGGGTATTTCCGACAAACGTGTGCCATTCCGAAAGATCTGGCAACTCAACGTGGCAGAGGTGCTCTGGAAATCCGATATTGCTTCTCTGAAGACTGCCGAGATCGAGCCATTCGTCACCAAGTTCCTTGCAAAGATGAAGGACATGTTTGCAGAGGTCGCTTCGAACCCGCTTCCTTCGGCTCAAAGCGGCGCTTTGTCTTCTGCATACATTTTCCTGGCCTTGTTCCAACGAGTTTCGGATATCCAAGGGTCGGAAAAATCTACCTGGGAAGAGAAGGTCTCACAAGCCATGACCATGGGCGCGAAGCCCTCGTTCCTCCTCAACCCAAAGGCTTACTCGAAAGTGACATCCTCGCTTGAGACTCAGTGGCTGGTCCGGGCCCTGGCTGCCGTAACCTCCGGATCTAAGTATACGGAAGCTGAGGATGCAGCTAAGACCGCTTGGGCTCAATCCTTTATTTATGCTATTACTGGACCATTAATGGCCACAAGCCTCCGAGAAAATGCCGTTGAATCCTTGTCAGCGGTTTATCTCAAGGATGCGGCATCTATCGGCCGTGTTCTTATCAACGCCCTCTGGTCTTGGCTCTATTCCTTCCGAACAGCCGAGAAAGACTCAGCTGCTGTGTCGGCTGGACCTAATGGTGAGCGTCTGCTTCATCTGGTCTTGAAGGCTCTGTGCCCTTCATCCAAGGCCAGAGAAGCATTTGGCATTGCTTCTTCAGATATCGAAACTCAGCTCATCAATATGATTGTTCTCAGCCGGCCAGAGATGATCCCGAACTGCTCATGGATTGACCTGTGCTTGAGGGCGGGTGCCGACCCAGGAAATCTGGTTCGTGCTCACCCCGCCGAATGTATCGAGCAATTGGTCCGTGTCAATACAGACCCTGTGCAGTCGATCGTACCTGAAGTCAACTCCGCAGTCTGGAGCGCAGCAGGTGACCTTGCGTTCGTGGCTCCCGATGTCATGATTCCCCGCCTCGTTGATCAGATTAAGAAGGACCTGGATGGTGCTCGACTTTCCAAGTTTACTGCGACTGATGCTGCCATTTCTCGTACCCCCGAGGGGACTGCGTTTATCGACGTGTTGAGCAGCAAGTCCAAGCAGCCTGCTTTTGACAAGAACACCAAGGACTACGACACTCTGAAGTGGGAGGAGGAGCTAAGAGCTCAACTGGCCGAGAAGAAGGGCCAAAAGCAAAAGAAACTTTCTGCTGAGGAACAGTCCAAGGTCAATGCCCAACTTGCCAAGGAAGCTAGGATTCGTGAGGAGGTTCTGCAGGAAGTTAAACGAATTGAACGAGGAGCTGGCCTGGTTCGGGGTCTTGCCGCTGGCCCCGCCAACGATGCTGAAGGATGGATTAACGAGGCTGTTAGCTGCTTGCTCTCCCTTGCTCGGGCCGGCGCGGGACTTTTTGTTGGCGATGCTGTATCCAAGGCGTACATTGCCTGCTCTAACAAGTTATCTTCCCGCCTGGGCAACACCCGGACGTTCGTGGGCGTTGCAACACTACGTGCTATTGGCAGAACCAACCTGCCAGCGGAGATGGAATCCGAGCACCTTGGTCAACTCGTGACAAGAATTCTGTACCGACTGCGCTTTGCTTCCGAGCAGCGGCCCCTGGATACCCCGTCTCTTTCTTACATTCTGCCCTTGATCTTCCTGATCCTGAGACAAAACGGAATCGAGGAGGTCAAGGGCGATCAGGAAGGTGAGCAGGTATTGCTTGCTATTGAGTTCCTGTCGTTCCACACCAGCTCTTTCACAGACGCCCGCCTTCCTCGCGTTGAAGTCCTTCGCCAGCTTCTTTCCGGTATGCAGAGATATACTCAGCATTACAAGCTGATCAAGGATACCCTATTCGATTTCTGCCGATGCATTTCCCCCAACATCACCAGCGAGGAGCTCGAGACCCTTCTGCAAGGCACCATTGTTCCCGATTCTTCCGTTCGGACTTCTGTGCTCCAAGTCATCGATGCTGAAATCGATCTCACGGACCTTGACTTCTCGGAACACATCTGGCTGGGCTGCCACGACCAAGTTGAGGAGAATGCAGAGCTTGCCGAGGGCATCTGGGAAGAGAACGCCTTAGAAGTGGACGACACCGCCTTCTCCAAGATCATGAAGTACTTGGACTCCGAGGACAGCCAGCTCCGCGGAGCTGCTGCTCGTGCACTGGCCCATGCCATTGAACACGACAGGAGCAAATTTGTTGGAATCCTGTCTGAGCTTCAGGCTAAATACGCGGAAGAGGTCAAGCCCAAGGCGCCCGAAAAGGATGCTTACGGCATGCCGAAGAAGATGGACAACACAGACAACTGGGTGAGCCGAAGTGGTATCGCGCTGGCTTTCAACGCCATGACAAACCTTTTTGAGGGCGACCAGATCATCAGCTTCTTGCAATTCCTGATTGAGCGCGGTCCTCTCATCGATAAGAACTCTTCCGTGCGTAGCCAAATGGCGGAGAGTGGTAAATCTGTGATTGCCCAGCGGGGACAGCAAAAGGTCGAGGAACTTATGAAGCTTCTTGAGACCACTCTAGAGACGTCGGACAAGGCGACCCAGAGCTCCGACCTGTTGAACGAGGCAGTTGTCGTGCTTTATGGATCGCTGGCCCGCCACTTGAAGGCCAATGATCCTCGCTTGCAGACAGTTGTCAAGAAGCTTCTTGCAACTCTGCCTACTCCCTCCGAGACTGTTCAATCCGCTGTGTCCGAGTGCTTGCCGCCATTGATCAGGTTGTTAGGCCCCAAGACTGCAGATTATGTGCAAGAAATGCTCGACTCGCTGCTGAATGTCAAAAACTACGCTACTCAGCGTGGTGCCGCCTATGGTCTGGCTGGTATCGTCAGCGGTAAGGGTATCTCGACGCTACGTGAATTCCGCATCATGAGCGTGCTCAAGGAGGCTACCGAGAACAAAAGGGAGCAGCATCAGCGTCAGGGCGCTTTGCTGGCTTATGAGCTGTTTGCCTTTGTACTTGGGCGCACTTTCGAGCCCTATGCCATTCAGATTGTTCCTCAATTGCTTGGTGGCTTCGGTGATCCCAGCATTGATGTTCGTGATGCATGCCTGGATGCATCCAAGGCCTGCTTCCAAAATCTTAGCTCGTATGGTGTCAAGAAGATCCTCCCCACACTGCTTGATGGCTTGGACGATACACAATGGCGCAGTCAGAAGGGAGCTTGCGATCTTCTGGGTGCCATGGCCTACCTTGACCCGCAACAACTTGCTGCCAGTCTGCCCGATATTATTCCCCCTCTCACTATTGTCCTCAATGATACCCACAAGGAAGTACGCAATGCTGCCAATCGCAGTCTTCAGCGATTCGGAGAGGTCATCAGCAACCCTGAAGTCAAGAGCCTTGTTAATGTGCTTCTGAAGGCCCTCAGCGATCCGACTAAGTACACAGATGAAGCTCTGGATTCTCTCATCAAGGTATCCTTCGTGCACTATCTGGATGCCCCCTCGCTGGCCCTGGTTGTGCGTATCCTTGAGCGTGGTCTTGGCGACCGCTCCGCCACCAAGCGGAAATCGGCACAGATCATCGGCAGCTTGGCCCATCTCACTGAGCGGAAGGACCTCATCGCGCACTTGCCGATCATCGTCGCTGGTCTCAACCTGGCGATCGTTGACCCTGTCCCGACTACACGAGCCACCGCTTCCAAGGCTCTGGGCTCGCTTATCGAGAAGCTTGGAGAGGATGCTCTGCCCGACCTTATTCCCAACCTCATGTCAACACTCAAGTCGGACACCGGCGCTGGCGACCGACTGGGATCTGCTCAGGCTCTATCAGAGGTGCTTGCGGGTCTGGGTACTACGAGACTCGAGGAGACTCTGCCTACCATCCTTCAGAACGTGTCTAGCTCCAAGGCTGCTGTTCGTGAGGGCTTCATGACTCTCTTCATCTTCTTGCCGGCTTGCTTTGGTAACAGCTTCGCCAACTACCTCAGCAAGATCATCCCTCCCATTCTTGCTGGTCTTGCTGATGACATCGAGTCGATCCGTGAGACCTCCCTCCGCGCTGGTCGCCTGCTTGTCAAGAACTTTGCTACAAAGGCTATCGATCTGCTGCTTCCAGAACTGGAGCGTGGTTTGGCCGACGACAGCTACCGCATCCGTCTCAGCTCCGTCGAGCTTGTCGGAGACCTCCTGTTCAGTCTTACTGGTATCACTGGTAAATCAGAGGCCGAGGAAGAAGAAGAGGAGGCGACCCAGGCCGGTCAGTCCCTGCTCGAGGTGCTGGGAGAAGAGCGGAGAAACAAGGTTCTTTCAGCCCTGTTCATTTGCCGCTGCGATACCTCGGGTGCGGTCAAGAGTGCCGCCATGGGTGTGTGGAAGGCTCTTGTTGCCTCGCCGAAGACCCTCAAGGAAATGGTGCCTACTCTGTCCCATCTCATCATTCGTCGTCTTGGATCGTCCAATATGGAGCAGAAGGTCATTGCCTCCAACGCTCTCGGCGATCTTATCAAGAAGGCCGGAGAATCGGTGCTGTCCACCTTGTTACCCTTGCTTGAGGAGGGTCTCCAGAGCTCCCCCGATGTCGACGTCAAGCAGGGTATCTGTATTGCTCTGCGCGAGCTTATTACTGCTGCCACCCCTGAGGCTCTTGAGGATTACGAGAAGATTCTCATTTCTACCGTTCGCGTAGCTCTGGTTGATAACGATGAAGATGTGCGAGAGGCCGCTGCTGAGGCCTTCGATGCCCTGCAGCAGATTCTGGGCAAGAAGGTCGTTGACCAGGTGCTGCCTCACCTGCTCCACCTTCTGAGGAATGACGATGAGGCTGAGCAGGCCTTGTCTGCTCTGTTGACCCTTCTCACCGAGCAGACCCGTGCCAACATCATTCTTCCCAACCTCATCCCTACGTTGCTCACGCCTCCTATCTCGGCTTTCAACGCCAGGGCCTTGGCTTCCTTGGCCGAGGTTGCTGGTTCCTCCATGACGCGGAGACTGCCCAACATCATCAACGCTCTCATGGACGGCATCATCGAGACCAGCGACGAGGAGCTCCGATTGGAGCTCGAGGCGGCTCTCGATACTGTGTTGATATCTGTGGATGAATACGATGGTCTGAACGCTGCTATGAACGTGATGATGACTCTTGTCAAACACGACGATCATCGCCGCCGCAGCAAGGCCGCCCTTCACCTCAACAAGTTCTTCTCGGATGCCGATGTCGACTTCTCACGTTACCATCAAGACTTGATTCGCATCTTGCTGATTTCGTTCGATGACCGGGACAAGAATGTTGTCAAGGCCGCCTGGACTGCACTCAGCGGACTTACATCCCATCTGCGCAAGGAGGAGATGGAGGTGTTGTCTATTCCTACTCGCCAGATCCTGCGCCAGGTCGGTGTTGCTGGCGCGGATCTGCCTGGATTCAGTCTGCCCAAGGGAATCATGGCCATCTTGCCGATCTTCTTGCAGGGTCTGCTCAATGGAACTGCCGAGCAGCGCACTCAGTCAGCTCTCGCCATCGGCGATGTCATCGATAGAACTGGCTCGGATTCGCTCAAGCCTTTTGTCACGCAGATCACTGGTCCTTTGATTCGTGTAGTGTCAGAGCGTTCGGTTGATATCAAGTGTAAGTTGACGCATTGCTGGTCTTTAATTTTTTTTGGTTTGGTACGAGGATATTAACATGAGATCTATAGGTGCCATTTTCTTCACGCTTAACAAGCTGCTGGAGAAGATCCCGCTGGCTGTCAAGCCATTCCTTCCCCAACTTCAGCGCACCTTTGCCCGTGGTTTGGCTGACACTTCTAGCGAGACCCTGCGTAACCGTGCTGCCAAGGGTCTTGGTGTTCTGATTACTTTGACTCCCAGAGTCGATCCACTTATTGCCGAACTCATCACAGGATCGAAGACCACCGACATCGGTGTCAAGAATGCTATGATGAAAGCTCTCCAGGAGGTCGTTGGCAAGGCTGGTGCTAACATGAGCGAGGCATCCCGCACTGCCATCCTCAGCTTGATTGACGATGATAGCAGCGATGAGACCGATGCCGTCGCCATTACCAATGCTCGACTGCTTGGTGTTCTCGTGAGGGTCCTGCCCGCCACTTCTGCGGTCCCTCTGATTAAGAACCGCATTCTTACCGGACACTTTTCGCACGCATCTGTTCTTGGCCTCAATTCTCTTCTCGCGCAATCTTCTGCCACTCTGATGGAGAACTTTGCTGCCGAGACCCCGGCCGCCATCTGCCAAGGTATTACGCACAAGGATCCCTTCATTTCCGACAACAGTGTGCTTGCCGCTGGCAAGTACCTTCTGTCCAATGACGGCGACCACAGCTTCGAGACACACAAGACCATCTTCGAGGCCCTGGCCGCTGTCATCCAGCCCGGAGCTCCGGTCGATACCCGCCGCTTGACACTCGTTGTCATTCGTACCGTCAGCCGCCTGCATCCCGAGCTGACCCGTCCTCACCTGGCTCTCCTCGCGCCACCGATTTTCGCCGGTGTTCGCGATCTGGTGATTCCCGTGAAGCTGGCCTCCGAAGCCGCTTTCCTGTCCATTTTCTCGGTCGTGGACTCAGACAGCGAGGTTTTCGACAAGTATATGGCTGGCCCCGGTGCCTCGCTGCCTCCTGGACCCAAGCGGAGCATGTCTGACTACTTCAAGCGCGTTGCCATGCGTCTTGCGAATCAGGCCCGTGAACGCCGGACTGCCGAGGGCGGTGAAGGTGGATTGGGCTTGTCGAATGACGAGGTTGATGATGAGAAGGAAGTGTGGAGTATTGGCAAGGTGGATCTGGGTGATGACTCGTTTGGCGATGACTGATGATTCTTGGTTGTCGGAGCATTCCAAGGTTGCATCTACGTGTCTATAGATATACCCTTGGGCTTCCTGTTTATGGTTCTTGTTTTAGTTATTGCTTCGTACAAAAGTTGTTTCGCGCCGTTGATGGTTGTTCATATTTGTTCTAGGTCGGAATAGACCTGGAGGATCAAGTCTAGATATACTTTCAGCTCATCTGATAGATATATAAGTCTATGATTGTACCCAAATAAGAACTCCCCCATGCTTTCGCAATAGATTAGGACCCTTTCCCGAAATGGAAATTTAATATCATGTGATGCTCGCAGTATCTCCCTTCAAATCACGTGACAATGACGATAGTTTGCATGGCCTCCTTCTCCCGGCGAAAAGCGGAAAGCACCCTGGATAGTAAAAAGAGAATTCCAATAAGGAGGGGTCTCTTTTTACTTACAGATAATGCCATCAATAATCGTTCTACTTTTGGTTGGTTGATTCATTACTGAAGGGCATGAGATCAGATGGGCTCCCGATCGGGACTAGCTCTTGGGGTACAGCCCTAGCCCTTAAATGCACCCAAAGTGGAGGGACTCGCTTACTGCACATTAGCTAATCGGCCCGCCCCAAACTCCTCACCGTCTGGATTTCCCGTCAAGTGCAACGAACCTCATCCGCCAACGACCGTCGATACGCCGACATCAAGATGTGAGTGCCATCTTCCACGATACCCTGAATGAGAACGGCGCTTCATGTTTGATCCCATCACTCGAAGTCGGGGAGCCGATGCCGCCGGCGCCAGAGAGGGGGACTCGATAAAGTGTGTTGTGTGCAGAGGCTGACCCCGTCTTTTTTCTTCTATTCAGGGTCAACCTTCGCACCCAGAAGCGCCTCGCCGCCTCCGTGGTCGGCTGCGGCAAGCGCAAGATTTGGCTCGACCCCAATGAGATGACCGAGATCTCCAACGCCAACTCTCGTCAGACCATCCGCAAGCTCGTCAGCGATGGCCTCATCATCAAGAAGCCCGTCACCATGCACTCCCGTGCCCGCGCCCGTGAGCTGAACGAGGCCCGCCGCATTGGTCGTCACCGCGGTCTGGGTAAGCGCAAGGGTACCAAGGACGCCCGTATGCCCAGGTATGCAGGAAATTTTGATTCGGTCATTCTGCTGGGCCCGAACCCTTCCATCTCGGGGATTCCAGCGGAATATATTGGTGAAGGAACATTCCATGCTGATATTCCGTGTTTCTCTTTACAGCCAGGTCCTCTGGATGCGCCGCATGCGTGTCCTCCGTCGTCTGCTCGTCCGCTACCGTGCCGCCGGCAAGATCGACAAGCACCTCTACCACGAGCTCTACCACCTGAGCAAGGGTAACACCTTCAAGCACAAGCGTGCTCTGGTTGAGCACGTAAGTCATTCCTGATGAATCTCGTCCCTCGCTCTCCCCGATCCTATCGAATACAACATGCCGAACATGAAGAAGAATCAACACACTAACTCGTTCTCTTCACATCTACAGATCCAGAAGGCCAAGGCTGAGCGCCAACGTGAGCGTGTCCTCAAGGAGGAGATGGATGCTAAGCGTGCCAAGAACAAGGCTCTCCGTGAGCGTCGCGCGGAGCGCGTCGAGGCCAAGCGCAGCGCTCTGGCCGGCGAGGCCCAGGAGTAAATCCGATTCCAAAAATCGCATTCCGTTGTGTGACGTGACACTCTTCTCGTTCATCGGTGCGGAGGTTGTGAAGGCGGGTGAAAACTTTCTGGGTTTGTTCCGGGGATCTCTTTCGAAAAAGCGGCTGCACTACTCTTTCCCCCCTTTTGTCTCCTCGAAATACATTAGTGTCGGCCTTTTTCTCGAGAAACCCCCTCTTCCTATAGTCGGGCTATTTCTTCTGTGAAGACGACAACGCTTACCAGTTTTTCTCTTCGGATCGCGTGGGGGTTTGGGCTTCTGGGATCTCTGGGAAATATTGGAGCAATAGGAAGATGCGATGATGATGTGATACTCAAGCTGTTCTTGTTCATAACGAGAAGGCAAAAGGAAATTCTTTTTTCAAAACAAAAAAACTAAAAATCTTTCCCCCCATCGGCACGGCGCTCGTGTGTGTTACGAAATGTGATCATTTCCTTTTCCAGTTACTTCTCTTCGCTGTTATGCTGGTCAGCAACGAGTAGATGCCTTCGGCTTTGTAGTTCTCAGCCTTGGTACTTTATCACAGTACCTCAGGATCGGACGTTATGCAGTCCAGAACGTGGTTTATCGACTGGGGTGGCCTTGATGAATCCATCTGATACCCCCAGACATAGATTTCGTGGGCTAAGTCCCTATGGGCAAATGTCCTACTGCTCAGCAGGACAACAAGAAAGAAGACTGTGTGGGAAGTAGGTAGGTATGTGGCTGTTATTGAGAACTAATACAGTGCATCTTTGTTTTGCAAATCATCATCTCAGATGGAAGCTATGGAATGAGGGCACTCTATGGATGGTGTCCAGTACAGCTAGATATATATTCAGGTAGCGTGCATTTTATGTACGTAAATACCTACAGACCACTTTCTATACATAATTTGCAGCCATCTCGATCACATCAACTATCTGATGCCGAAAAGCCTGCTGCAACTTTAAATCTTCCTTCGTATCATCCTCCACACCGAATTCACCTGTCAGACACTTAATCACAACCTCTTTATACTTTTTCCCAACACGTGATTCCAGCCTTCTTTGGGCATGTTTGATCAATTGTGCTTGAACGGCGCGCGGATTATTAGCGTGGGAGAACATGTTTTTCTCCAACTTGACGGCCGGCTCCCATAACCCAATTTCTAATAGCACAACACCTAGCGCGTAAATGTCGTGAATCTTCTTGAACATCTCCATTGGCTGGCCTTGGCGGTCCGGGTGGCGGTAGATGTCGCGAGTGGGCTCAAAGTCGGAATGTCCCACCGAGAAAAAAGGTTCTGGGCGGCTGAATTCAAATCCAAGAACCCATGGCTCTGGGTAGTTTACTGTGACGCGAGTGCCTACCTTTTCAAGCTCAACATGGTGGGGTAGAAGTAGGATGTTGTCGCTTCGGAAGCTCTCATGTAACTGGGTGGGTATTAGCGCGATGTGGGTCTTTCAAATTCAGTGGAATGCAGCTTGCCCATTGGACCATGTGCATCTGGGCAATGCACTGGGAGAGACCGAGAGCAAGGCGAAATTTGTCTCCTAGTTCGGGGCGGAGATCGGCATTGAAGAGGAGTCTTTGAAGACTGACTGGCGCCCCTATAGGTTTGGGTTGAACCTCAAAAACAAACGCGATCGAGCTTTGACTTGGCAGATATTTCCACCCCACGCAGGGGAGGACGCGAAAGACTTGCTCCTTCGGTTGATGCAGAAGTTTGGCGAGAGATTCAATCCGTCCTCTAGTCCGCCGATCGATGTCGTGCCCAGGTATCGCGGGAGTTCCCGAAGCATCATAATGATGATTCTCCTGGATATAGGCCACACTATCTTTTGTGAACATCGCGAACATGCCTTGGTGATCGATAAATTGAATCTCTTTGAGATGTGAGTCCCATACTGGATCTATAAGCTCCAGAGAATCTGTCATCTTGTCCGCATCCCATTGTGCTAGACGCAGGGAGGCATCTTGATCAAAACCGAGTTTTCTTGACGATTCGTCCGTTTGAAGATGCATCAAATGCTCCGGCGAAACACCTAGCTGTGACGCAAGACACCAGAGTTCGACCTTTTTCTTCAAGCGGGAATTGCGATCTTTGAACAACTGCAGAATAGCCTCGACTCGTTTCTTATCGCGCAAAGACCACCTGAGAAGTCCCGGCAGAGAAGGGCTAGTCCGACCCCATGATAGGTTGTGTATTGAGCCAGATGATGTTGACCGAATCCGCGACAGCGATGAGGTAGATACGTTTAACAAAGAGGAGGTTGAGGATTCTCGAGAAATACCGTACCGACGCTCCAGAAGGTCGACGCTTTCCTGTAGAATGGATTTGATCTCGACGCAAAGGAGCTCGATCTGCCGCTGGATGTCTGAGTCGAATTGCTCGAATAGAGTTTTCCCGCCATAAACCTAGTGGTTGATTTAATTTAAATCAACGAATGACATGTTGGTAGGTGTATGGATGGCACCTACCATGCACTCAGAAAAGAGCAGATTGCGGAGAAGCTTCGTTTGAAGGTTCTCGTCATTGACAAGATGCCGCATTTCGTTCGAGTCCTAAAGGTCGGTCAGAGATGATCTTCTACCATGAACCATGTTGACTCACGCTCTCGAAGGCATTCGCATCCGATATAAGCTCCGCGGTTCTTTCTCCAAGCTTGATCAGGACATCGACGATCGTGATCGTCAAGCCTGCCAAGGAGAGTGGATCAATCATAGGTTCGGGCTAGGACCAACAGTACGGTCTACGCTCACACAACAAGTTTTGTGGTATGTCAACCCGTAAACCAGTATAGCCATCAGTCGGAGCTGCGCAGGCTGGAGGTTCTGCTCACTGCGGGGTGTTGCGAGGGGAAATGCACGATGCCGATGGTGTCCAATCACACTGGGGTCGTATTTCTTGGCCCCGCAGCAACTCAGCTACTCGTGTTGATGATTGATGATTCTCCTCAAGAATCATATCGTCAAACCGATGCTCTGACTGTATTGATCTCAGAGCCTCGGATAGGTAGTCGCGATGTCGGTCTCCTCCTTGAACGATGACTGGGTCAAGTGTATGCACTCCAGCCTCCCTGCTTGGTCCTCCTTTCCCGACTAACTGATCTGATAGGCCGAGCGCCAAAGGAGCTGCAGAGCGACATATTTACATGGACTACGTCAATTTCACGCTCCCGCGTGTCTACCGTAGACGGCCTCGGATTCAGCGAAAATGTCGACGTGGAGTCCATGAATAGCCTGGAGAGCCTCCTCCACACAGTGCAACAATTGAAGCTGAAACGACTCCGAGCGGATGACTTGGAGGACATCCGCTTTGTGGCCGCAGGAGAGACCTTTGCCGTGTCAGAATGCAAGTATGAAGGCACTGTCGTCGCTATCAAGCGCATCCGGCTCAACGAGGAAGGTAAAATCTTCGAGCGTTCATACTTCCAGAGGCGACTGCAATCTATCTTGCGCGAGGTCCTGATTATGTGCCACCCACCGCTGGTTCACCATCCTAACATAATTGATATCTTGGGATATGGGTGGAGTGTCGAAAGCCAACGCCCGTCACCGTTCATCTCGGTTGAATTTGCCTCGAAAGGGACGCTCAGGGAATACATGAGGGACAAGGTACGCCCCATCCGGACGAAATTGGTCCTCATGGGAGATGTAGGCACAGGGATTATGGCGCTACACAAGTGTGGAATTGTACATGGGGATCTGAAGATGGATAACATTGTGGTCTTTTCGTCATTGGATCGCCCCTGTATGTCGATCGCGAAGGTGTCTGATTTCGGCCATTCCATTATTGTGGGATCTGCTTCGGAGAAACGAAAACAATATTTCGGGACAACCTTGTGAGTTAAACCGGAAGAGACATTCCGTTCTCAAAGGGACCAGTTGGAGCTAATGTGTTTTTGTTAGATATAACGCGCCCGAAGTTGCCGAGCAGAACGAGCAGCCTATTCCGATTGAACAGCTTCATAAATGTGATATCTGGGCATTCGGCCTCTGTGCATGGGAGATATTGGCAGATGGACAGCTTTATTTCCAACGAAGCTGGCGCAAGAATCCTCTGTACGAACGTTCTTCTTCCCAGTCCACGTCATTGACATCGGCGACCGGCTCAGAGGCCCGCGATGAAATCACCATCGACGAGGATGATCAGCATGTTTTTGGTCGGTTTGATCTCTCCTACCTCAAGGCTCTTGCTATTGAGTTTGTGAACAGCATGGATATTCCTGGGATTGGCTTTGAGAAAGGATTTCTTCGGCCCCTGATGGATCGTACTCTGCAAGTGGACCCTGCTCGAAGGATCTCAGACCTCAGTCGTCTCCCGATCATTGTGTCATGGCACAAGACCCCCGGTGGGCATTCCCTTCAGTCAAAGCTTGCAACATATGCCATATCTGGAGACATACGATACTCGATATTCAGTAGGGATACCGGGCCCTACATCATTTGGGAACAGCAGCAGCAACTTTTGCAGGACTTTGAAGCAGTGGCCCAGCGGCCCCAAGCGGAAAAAGACGACAGTTCTATGGCTTTTCAAACCATGCTGTGCTATGTCAATGCTTTTGGAACAACTCAGAATTTGACAAAGGCCACCTTGTTCCTTCAAATGGCCGAGGGGGCTGGCAACTTGATCGCTCGCATACTGGGAGCTCGGATGCTCGATGGCTTTTCTAACGAATCCATCGCTGAGAGAAGAAAGTATAATGAATGCCTCGCTTTGGGCTTCAGGATCATCCGACAGCCTGGACCATTATCTACTATCGTTGCACATAGCGGTGAATCCGTCACAAAGTTCATCAGCTACGCCGACTTCCGTGAAGCCTTTATTGAGGAGAGACGGGAAGCAGGAAAAAACAGCCAAGACAAGATTCTTCAGGCTTTTGTCACTTTGGATGCTTCTTCCTTGCAATACAATTTGCTAGAAATTGCCATTCAGCATGGTGACCTTGATTTTATCGAGAGCCTATTAACGTCTCTTTCAGCTCAGTTGGATGTCGATTCAAAACCAGAAACGCTACTTGTGCAGGCAGCTTCACGGGGCCATGGGAGCATCGTCATATCCCTTCTAAAAGCTGGTGTGAAGGTTGCTTCGAGAAAGTCAGCTTCATCTCTCCTCCATTGGCTCTTCTGCCTGGATGATACAACCCTGCACGAAGTACAGCAGTTGTTGCAAGATCAGTCTCGTAGCTCTGATATCCTACCTGCATTGGACAATGCTACCACAGAAAAAGTTATCCTCCATCCTCAGTGGCCATTTCAGATCCACGGATCGCCTCTTGCTACAGCAATCGCCTCTGGCAGCCTATCGGCGGTCAGAACCCTCCTGGCCTTGGGTGCAAATCCTTTGGCCCCTGCCTTTGCGACGATTGAAGACAATATCCCCCACAATCTCACGCCCATCCATCTTGCAGTGCAGTACCATCTTTCGGATATTCTTCTCCTGCTTTGGGAGGCGGCATTTGGAGAAAAGAAAGTGATGGGTACCCCAGCGTATCTCATTGCCTCCATAGGCCCCTTTCCAGTTGCTTGTGCTCTGAGTCTGTTGACAAATGCGGAGCGATTTGCCATTCATGGGGGCAAGTATAAGCAGGAGCTTCGCAAGATGATTCAGTTCTTTCCAGGGGACATATTCCTTCAAGCATCCCCTGACGGTAGGAATGCCATCACGCAGGCCATTGATCTTGAAGATGTTGACTCAGTCGAGCTCCTTCTCGAACACTGCCCGATATTGGCAAGCAGGGAACTCGTTCAAGCTGATAACAACACAATGTTTACTTATCCCTTCCATTTTGCCGTGCAGATTGGCTCCTGCCGTGATACGAAAGAGTCTGAGCAAATCCTGGAGTATATTCTCCAACTCGATCCAACTGCTATCGACCGACCCGATAGTGCGTCAGTCAAGCCACTACACATTGCCGCGATGGGATCTTCGGATCGGATGACCCGATTTCTTCTGGACCGCAATGCTTCCTGCCATGATCTGGATGGAAGAGGGCGAAGCCCTCTGCACTTTTGCCGTGCGCTGGTAAACGCCAAGACTTTGATACTTAAAGGGGTAGATATCAACCACAGGGACCACATGGGCCTTACGGCTGCGCATGCCGCAGCCGCTCAGGGAGCGGACGAAGTTTTGAAGGCCTTGATCGACGTGGGAGCCGACCTGAAACTTGCGGACAACGAGGGGGGATTACCATTGCATTGCGCTATTCAACGGAAATCTCGCACAACCATAGAAATGCTCTTAGCCGCTGGAGTTGACGTCAACGCGACGAACTCTCGTGGACAGACATCGCTTCATCTAGCAATGGCTGTAGGGCGATCTGACTTAGTCTCTCTGTTATTTGAACAAGGAGCAGACCCATTCATCGAGGATAAATATGGCTCTTCTCCATTCAGCATGTCTCTTACCTGGGAGAACCCCAGCATCTTCACCATGTTTCGGCTTCCCCAAACCTTCGATATTCGGGATATACATGTTAACGCCCTGATATTTGCTGCTGGTAAAGGCGAACCAGCGGTTTTCCGGCAATACTTAAGCAGACTGCCTAACCCAAGTCGCGAGCTCGATCGTGTGCCTCTTTATCTCCAGCAACGCTATGTCACAGCCATCAACACGGCAGCTGCAGCTTGTAGAGTTGATGTGGTGGATTTGTTGCTTGCACATGGCTTTAAGGTTGACACTCCCGATCTCCACAAGAGCACACCTCTCCTGCGAGCTTGCCAGGCTGGACGTCTCAACTCTGATTTCAACCCATATAATCGCACATACATGTGCGAGAAATTGCTAGGAAGCGGAGCCAATATCTTGGCAAAGGACACCAAGGGACTGACGCCTTTCCTCGTGGCCCAAGCTCACGCGGACTACCCACTGATGACGCTTTTCTTGGACCATGTGCTGTCACTCAACGACATCGATGTATCCGCTAGGCGCTCACGCATACTTCAATCCATCAAGAGCCCCGGTAGGGATGAGGAGTTTTGCAGAGCATCTAGAGCTCTAATTGGCGACGAGTTCATTGAGCCGAGCATACTAGCAGACGCAGTCAACCAAGATGAATGGGAATTCATTATGACTTGCATTGGTGGACACTTTGTCGGTAAACAGGATCTGAGAGCAGTGATTCCCAACAAACTATGGACGAGCCGGCCGGGTGTGGATAGTCTCGATATGCTACGCTATCACTCAGTCCGAATGGACCGAGAGATGGTTCAGTATCTGCAATCAGGGCTTCACAAGCTCTCGATAGCACCTGGATGGGGTTCCAAGTATGTTGGTCGTCGGAATATTGAGTTGGATCTCCGCGAGTCGCGAGGCAGCCTGAACGAAATCTTGTGGCCAGAAGAAATGAAGAAGCTGATGTCGCAGTTCATGGCAAGATCAGATCCTGAATATATCCATGCATCCAAAGCATTGTCAGAGCTTCGGGAGCGGGTGGAAGGATTCTGTGAAAAGTTAGAAGAATACGTCCTTTCAATACTCGGAATCGCGAAAGAGCGAGAGCGCACCATGCTCTTCATTGATATTCTCAGGCTCAAAGTCCGAGGATCGAATCTCACACCCCTAGACCAACTCGCAACCGGCGAGCGATTGCAAACACTGCGGGGGCATTTGAAGAGAGAGCAAGATCTTTGTTTGGATCCCGAGCGATTCAACGTTTGGAACGAGCTCCAAGAGCAAGCTCGCCTAGTTGGTGAATTGAAGGAGATGGCCGATGGAGTCCATCAACGCGCCTTGAATATCTCAAAATATCTCACTGGTACCAGTGATGGTGACTCTGAGAATTATGGGATAGAACAACAAGCAACCGATGGGGCTGGTCTTGGAAAAGACCGTACTGATCAAGCTTCTTTTGACTCTGACAACGAGGACCCCATCGAGAGGTCTGCCAAGGCCTTGTTTATCTCGAATCAGGAGATCATTGATTTCAGGAGGGATATTCTGTCTCGATATAGTAGAAAACCCCCCGATGTGCACAGTGATCTATTCTAGACAGCACGGTATCCTATCTCATGGCTTATTATTAACTTGAACTCCCTACCTATAGCGGCAGATTCATGCCAGGCAAAAGTATCTACCCCAAAAGACACGCTATTGCCGGGGTAATCGGACATTCACGATGTTGGCTCCAATATATGAAGGGAAAAGTGTTAGTGGTCACGGCTAGCGAGCATATCGGGGCATCCTGAAGAAGCCCAAAATGGTCCTTATACGACTGTGCCAGCAGGATTTGAATCATCTAGACTTTAAGGCTTCCAGAGCCGTCGGTGAAATTCCCCACAAATCTCCTTGTGACAGGTCCCCTGCGGATGTCTCTGCGTTCAGTTACGTTGCCGTGATAATCCACATCTAGGTGCAGTGCCAGGGGTGGAATAGCGCTATGCAGGCTTGTCTCGGTTATCAAGACATGTTGGGAGTCCGTCAAACGACGTTGCCGACGATGGACTAAGTCATTTATTCAACATTTGTGCGGAGAAGGCTTTGTGGGGCCGAGTTCATGTGACGCTCACGAATGATCCAAGCGTCCTACTTCTTTCCCAGTCCTTACGAAGTAGCAGCTGCTGTTATTTTTTTTCCAGCTATTACAGAGGAAGGATCTCTCCTTGAGCGAACGCCATTCTCACGTTCCAAAGGGTTTCTAATCAAAGATTTAATCCAAACAATTCAGATAAGCAGGCACTTTCGGACAGAAGAAATGTTTGATTTCTTCCTTCCAAGAAATGGAACTGAGAACGGCCTTATAAATCTTAGAACAAATAGTTTCATAATACGTCCATTCCCATGGGCAATAGCCAAAGCAGGTAAATTTTCACTTCTGACTCGCGCTGGTTCGTGAAGAGAGATATTCTGCGCTACTTGGGGCTTTTGGATAATTCTGAACTATCATTTTCTAACTATACGCTCAACACTTCCTAAAAAGGCGGCAGAGAGGAACATACTCCCGACCAGACTGAGACAAACCGGGCTCTTCTTGCCGTGGTGGATGTTGACCTTTTCCATTCGCCTTCTTCCGCCGTCGACGACACCAGTCGCTCTCCAGTAAACCGCTTACTGGGGGCCCCTCACCTCGTATCGCAAAGAACATCATCTGGAAATCAAGGCATTTCGAGTTCGGAGCTCAGCATCACTGCCTTCGCCAGCTCAGTGCGTGAGACACCGCCAACCACATCCCCGCCTCGATGTCTGGCGATGACTGACACGAACTAAAGCGCGCTAGCTGAGCTTTCCAGGCCGTCAAAACATTTGGAGGTTAGGCACACGCTGTGCCTGGGATGTAACTATGTCTCAGAGGCTCCCCCGCAAGAACGGAAGTAGCACGGTGCTTGCAGATCTCTTGAGAGTCCGAGCGCAGAGACATGTCGCCGTATTCGCGACCTCACTTTCAACCGATGCTTGCATCACGGACATGCGGTCGCTGTGATCTTCCCGCTTCTCTGATGTGGGGTCTGCAAGATCCACGGCGAGCTTTTTCCGCACTCTGGTGGCCTCTAGGACCCCCCGAGTGCCGTCTTCTTGGCTTCTAATTTAGTGTGGTGTCTCAGTCAAGGTAGGAAGTGTATGGCCTGATTATGACTACATTCCCGAGTATGAGAAGATGGTGGGAAGGACCATTATTGCTTCCTTGGCGATAACGTCTCCAGAAAAGCTATATAAAGGGCCTCCAGTCGCAGTCTAGGTCTCTCAGTGATTTTCAACGCCATCACAATTTGATAACACTACGATCCAAGTCCTCTCCATACATCTAATAATATCACCCTCCACGATGCACTTCACCACAGCTGTCGTCGCTACTATCGCGGCCCTGGCCCCTCTTGCCAGCGCGGTTGGTAACGCAAAGGTCGTGAACAAGTGCAACTTCCCTGTCTATCTCTGGTCTGTCGGTGGCTCCGTCAGCGCCCAGAATACGATCAACTCTGGAGCTACCTATTCCGAGGTCTTGCACCACGACCCGGCTTCCGGCGGTATCGCCCTCAAGCTCACCACGGTTGAGAACGGCTTGTATAACGGAAGCCCCCAGACTAATTTCGCCTATACCCTCGATGGTCAGCAAGTCTGGTACGATCTGTCCGACGTTTTTGGTGATCCATTCTCCAACCACGCCATTGGCGTCAAGGCCGCTGCGAGCTGTCCGAGCATCTGCTGGCCTCATGGCATCAACCCAGGTGGCGGTAGCCAGGTCAAGGTTTGCAATGCCAACTCCGATGTCACACTGACCCTGTGCTCGGGTACATGCTAGGGAAAGAGTACTTGGGCTATGCTGGCACTTTGGCGTGCAAGATAATGACCGCGGTTGGACATCGAGTGTTTATGGTACCGAGAGGGTTGTGAGAGAACCTGGAACGGGAATTTTGAAGATGTTCTTGGATGCAAATGCCATATGATAGTTCCCTTAATAATTTCCAAGTTCCCACTCCTCTCCATTAGACATAGCATGTAGTAGTTTGGCATTCTCTTTATGCGGGAACCTCAGTAATATCCGCATGATGTCCTATGTAGTGTGCATGAGAGATTTTAAGTGATTTTAAGTTAAAAATAAGTGATGAACATGCCCTCTAGCATACGAGGAGACTTTGTACCCGCCCGAGTAGGTGATGTGTACCAACCCTTCATGGTATGACTCGCCCGTGGGGTGACTTGGCCGGGAATTATACGCTGAATCTTGAGGCAGAAGGGACATATCCACCGAGGCATATAGCTATATCTCCTAATGGTACTTTCCGAGCTATAGCTACTCGGATCCCAGTAATCGTACCGGTATCCTTCTATCTAGCTATAGCAGTTCGGTTCATATCTACTGGCTAGACTAGGTCTGTTTCGGTTGTCGCTAGCGAACAGAGTTTAACTACACTATATTACCCTGAATCTTGATAATAATCTACCACTCTTCCTATAATTTAATATGAGGGACCCCAATAGAAGATATACCTTCTAAGCTTGGCTATAAAGCTATAGGGAAAGCTAGAGTAAGTAAATACCACCACCCCTAAGTTCGGAAGCCGCTCTACGCTACAACATTGTATTCAGGGTGATTATTGGTGCAGGTATGAACAAAAACACGACACATCTGGAAAATCTCACTCTCATCATTTGTTTCATCAGCTCACCCGAGATAGAGATCCACTGGCAAGTCGTGATACGTCTGGTAATCTAACTCATTACTCCACTCTAATACAAATAATTTGACAAGAGCAATGACAGTCATCGGACTCAGGGTTGGGGAACAAGGTTCGGAAGCGGTATTCCTCCAAAACTGCGTCTCATCAAGAGCTGATATGTCGCCGTCCCATAAGGTTATGGCTATGTCAGTTACGACCCTGACGAGATCGCCTGAATTCCCCTGGCCAGCTGAAACTGCGCTGGCTGCCATATCTGCCATATGTTCTCGAACAAAACGTGGGTCCCATCCTCTGGCATCCAGTCTCTCGGGCCATTTTGATACCGCTAGGCGGAGTGTGTTAGCTAAATCACTCCGATAGCGGTTCATTCTCTCTTTTGCAAAAGTGACGAGGAGATCGCGAAGTCCTCGATGAATGGACCAGGACAGAAACGTCCATGGTAAATGATCCAAAGCTTCATTGAGGATAGCTGATTCGTGTCTTGGGACGTATAAAGTGACTTCCCGTACACCGTCTTCATTATTGGGCAAGAGAAGGACAACGGTGTCATCTCCTAGTTGTCTTTCCGGACTTGGTGCTTTCATGAACAAATAGTCCACTTCGTTAACGTTGCCGCCGATCATATTGTAAAGATGTCTTCCACTATGCGCACCACCAAATCCTTTTGGTGCATATTCGAGTATCCATGTGCCAGATGCTCTCCGTCCTGGGAAAGCACACTTGAAACCATTTGATTTTTGCGAATCAATCACTCCAGCCAGCATTCTTAAGCACTTGTCAACCCTCTGCTCAAACAGTGTGGGATATGTGTCTTTTGATAAAGTATGAGAATCATGCGCACAAAAAAACACACACGCACGGTCTCCGATAGGCCATTCCACTCGCCATAGCCCACAGTAAGAGGCGTAGGCAGCTCGATGACCGGAAGCACTGCTATAACGGAAAATCGGTCGCGCGTTCGTTATGGAAAATAAGGCCATGAGTGTTGCACGCGAAATCACAATGCAACTAGTCAGTCCGTGCTTCACGAGAGGACGGAGAGGAATATCGGCCCAGTCTTCACTCGGCACAGTATCCACGGTCTTGCTAGTAATTGTCACGGTGTATTCGTGTTCCTTGGAATCATTGGCTTGAAGGCTTTCTACAGGCCTGCTTTGGCGACTAAACCCTCTTTGGCAGCTCTCAAGTTGAGGTCTTGGATGAATGATTGCGAGCAGAATAGACCAGGACGCTTGGCCGGTGGAACGTGTCAGTGGCAGGCGGCTAACGTACACCATCCTTTTCCCACAGAGCCCGTCCAAGAGGTTTGCATCAATGACAGGCCCCAATAGAGGTGGTTTGACAATACGATACCACGGCACATACGACTGCCGACGCCGCCAACTACCCAAATGCTGAATATTTCTCAGAGCATGGAATGGATCTGTCTGATCGATAATTGCGCTGAACTGGGTAGCGATAGCACTAAGACCCACGACTGTTGCTGCGAAGGAGAGCCATGTAGCGACCGTTGATGAGGCATCCATTGCGATTTCACCTAAGCGACTCGAGATTCGAGGGTCAATGGATGGAAGCGTGGGTCAATGGACCAAGATGAAACGACATGCGTTCCTGAGAATATCCGGATTGGGGCTGTGGGATTTTGTCTTCGATTCTTAAAATCTTGTCTCGGACATTTCAGGGAGAACGAGAATATATTTCAGATGTTGGAGTCGATGCGGCAACGGACTTATTTAGACCTATCTGTGGATCGGCCAAACGACGCGGGGCCAAAAATGCAAGTAAGCGTTGAGGACAGGACGGGCTTCCCGCTTTTCCCAAATCGCACATTGTGGCGTTGGGGGCGGTTAATAGGAAAATTCCTAGTGGGCGTTTGGGTTCACCCGTCTTACGGCGACTCGCCGCGGTTCACGGGCGGGAGGGGAGGCCCCTCATTCTTAGTTGCAGTATACACAGCCCTTTCGACCGCGGCCCCCAAAGTGGGCAGCGGGACAGGGGAGTATTTTCAGGCTGCGCAGTTCAATATCGGTATAGCATACTTGGATTGAGTAGCCTCTAGCCCTATCACAGTCATTATGAAATCATAGTATAAATCAGGCCGTAACCCTTGTGCTCTGCCTCAATAGCAACCATCCCATCCATGTATATCGAAAGACGCAGCTATGTACCCACGACTGAGCACGAACTTACTCATCAACACCCCTTATATCAACAATAAATCCAATCCGACAGGTACACGCCGAAGTTTCTTCACGTCCCCAAGAGAAGTAAGGCGAAACAAGCAGAAAAGTAAAGGCTGATGACAACGCTCCGCCTGCTCTAACGTGTCCCCATTTCCCCCATAGCACACAGCCTTGCAGTCATTCAACTTACTGACCCTTAAGCAATTACCAATTAAAAGAGTACTGTTTATAAGGGGCATGGAAAGGAGCAAGTGGATTGCTGGGTTGAAGATACTATCTGCCGTGCCTTGCAGAGTTGCTTATCATTCGGGAATCAAAGTCGATCGACATCGAAATCAGAGCAGAAGCAGAATCAAAGCCACAATCAAGAGATTCAGGATGAGGCAGATGGGAGCCAAAAATCGAAGGTACCATCAACATGAAAATCAAAACACCGTCCGAGATATCAGGTATCAAATGCAATCAACCATCCAGAGAACACGGCATCAATCCAAACAATCCATAGCAAAGACAAGGCATCGAGTCAAATCGAAGCCACCTATATCGCTCAAGTTGCGACACGATGGTTTATCAATCAATCAATCAATCAGCTCACTTCAGTTCACTCAACCTGGTTCAACCAGAGTCAATCAGACAAGCAGTCAACGATCCAATTCAGGCCATGCACACTGGAACTCCTCCCGCGGCCAGGCGGATGAAACAAGCATGACATGTATCCATAATACACGAAGGTACGAGGTATGAGGTATAAGGTATAAAATAGACGGTGAGGACCGCCGATGCAAAGAAAAACAAAAAAACAAACAAAATTCAGAGTCCGTATGCACCTCATCGAGGCAAAGCAACATGATATGATGATCAAAAAGTCAAAAGGCTAATCGCGCCGCACAAACACCGCTGTGGGACCGGGAAAATTCCAAGTGCAACCCATCCCAATATGATTCATATTTAAGGAAAAAGAGAAAAAGAAAAAGAAACAAACCCTAACCCCGCTAATAGGGGGGTCAGGGCATGCGAAATACAGCAAGCCGCAAATACAGCAAGCCGCTACGGTGCCTCGTTGAGGTTCGGGGCATGGTGGAAGATCTTGGTGTAGATTTCAGTGAGGATGCGAGCGTCAGCGCGCAGGGTGGGCGAGATGTTCTGGCTGCGTAGGAGGAAACGGATTGTGCGCTTCAGGAGGCGCTGGAGGGTGGGGCGCTCGACGAGCTCGGAGAGGCTGGAGTTGTATGTTGCGGAGAGGACAAGCATGTTGCCGAATTGGCTAGAGAAACACATCAGTCAAAACTTGTGAGGGAGTCGATGGTATGCTAGGGTGTTATGGGAAGGTTTGGTAGTGAAAGGGAGTGAGGGATCGGGGTCGCTTACGCATGAGCCGTGCCGAAGATATTCGTCACAACGAGCCGGTCCTCGACGCCATCGAACGCCTCGGTACTCAGGATCGCGGACTCGATACAAACTTTGCACGCGCGCCGCAACTTGGACGGCAGCTCGCGTAGGATGACGGTAGGCGGGGTCCAGCTGTTCGCGAACGACGAGGACAGGCTGCTCGGCGCGGCGCCGACGTCGCTCAGCATGCGCTGCATGTGCGCACTACTAGCGCGGTTAGACGCGTGCGTTATGGACGGCGACATCTGTTGAGTCTGCGAGGCCGAGGTCGAGCCCGTCGGCGAGTCGACAGGGGCCGTCTGGGGGATGGAACCGATACGCGCGCCGGTCTGACCGTAGTGCAGTGCGTGGTAGAGCAAGGGGCGGTGGATGATATAGCGGGCGCCGTAGTACTTGGCGCGCATGCGGGCGGCGTTGATTTCCCTGGCGGGGGGTCGTGGTCTTTCCAGTTCATTGTCTCGGGGAGGCTGGAGCGCCAGAGCTCCAGGTTCATGCTCAGGGTTTCTTGGACGCTGGCGGACCAGCGGCCTGTTTCGCCTTGCTTGTCGACTTTGTATAGGTCGGTGTGTACGCGGTTGAGGACTTTGCGGAGGTGAATCTGTGCTGAGTAGAAGAGCATCATCCGTGTGCTGGGCGCTTCGAGGTCGTCTGGGATGTCGATCGTGAAGCGGCCCTTGGGTAGGTTGATGCGGCCTTCGGAGCGAGAAATACCACTTGCGGGGATATCAAGCTCGGCGAGGAGATCGCTTTCTAGCTGCAGACATGTCCAGTAGGCGAAGTTGAACATGTCCTGGGTCTGGCCCTCTGGCAGTCTCTCGTACCGTTTCTGTCGCACAAGCACCTGGCATGCCCGTGCCGCCTGACAGATCCAGCCATGACTTTGGAAGGGGTGTGCTAGCTGACCAGCATAGAGACCAGCAAGCAATCCCGCCTGAACATGAGACAGTTCCACGCCACCTTGGAGGAGACCAAGGATCTTGGTAGCATATCCATACAGTGCTAGACCAGGAATGACTTGCAGGTTCTTGACATTGCCGTACTCGTCGTGGGTGGCGGAAATCGTCTGCCTGGAGAGGTTTGGATTGGGGTCTGGTTCAGAAGAGAAAGTCTGGGTGTGCTGAAAGTGTGGGGCATAGTAAGACGAAAGGGGAAGCACAGAGTCCGAGTTTGCAGGGGAGAGAACACCATTCGGGGCATGTGCTGTGCCGTTCGCTTGTTGTGGTAGCGACGGTGGTCGTGGTGGGAGGGGTCCAAGAGGTGGAGGAATAAACTGCTGGCGGTAGTCTTCGACCTTGTTGTCCATAATTGGACCTGGCAGTGGAGACTTGCGTTCGCAAATAGCGCCCAGGGCAAGAACGAGCAGAATGATGGCATTATCGATATTACGTCCCACGCGGGGCCGGTTCGAGGCAGAGGTTGAATCGGCAGATGTGCCTCGAATCCCTTGGAGATCTTCGTGTGACCGCTTGCGCTTCTTATCTCGGCACAGGGTATTCGGTTCCGACATGGGTGACGAGGTCCGAGAACAGTAACATCTTATAAAAGCATCGACCTTTGCTTCAAGCTGATGTTGCCACAGGAAAGGATGCAGTATGTGCATGCGATTCATGTAGCTCTGGAAATACCGGTAAGCAGTCTTGCCATCTAGCCTCAGCCATCCAAATCGGTCAATGTCTGCATCCGCGTCTGAGGGAGAGGTCGCGCTAAGGATTTTCGATGTTCCGTCGGAGTTTGAATATTTCTCATCGAACCCTCCGTCATCATTCGGGAAGGGCGGTGTTGGTAGGAGTGTGTCGTCGGCTGTGTACGAGATCTCGCCCTGTCCATAAACACTAATCAGACCCCGTTCCTCCTCCAACCTCATCACGTAGTCTTCATCATAGTCAGCGTTGAGTAATCTCTTGATAGACGGCCACATGAGAAGCTTGTGAGCAGCAGTTGTATGCTCCACGGGAATGGATAGCTCTCCTTCGTTATCGTTCTTCGCGGTGTCCTCAAAGCTAGAACTCAAGAGCGACGGATGCCCGGCTTCAAGACTCCCTTGAGAGTAAAATGAAGTCGAAGCTGGCTGCTCCTCTGAAAGATCTGTGGGGGCAGATTCAGTCTTCATTAATGTTTCTTGCTGTGACGCGGTTATGGGAACCGTGATAGCCGCAGCGGCCGGCAGAGCCGCAATGGCATGCGAGCCAGGCAATCGTGATGAGTCTGCGGACCTTGCGGACAGAAGGTCGGCAATCATTTGGCGCTGAGTCACCATTTCCTGACGTTGAGCCATTATCTCCTTGTATGCGCTCTCCTGTGTCTTCCAGATCTTGTTGAAACTCTCAAACTTCTCGGTCATCTTATCCTCCAATTCCAAAATCCGGTCCATGACCAACTGTGCACTCTTCTCCTGCCTATTTCAACCAACATCAATACTTCCGGTTCCCTTTCGGTCCCTCGCAGTAAAGCAGGCAAAGGGGGTATACGCACTTATGGGGCGGCACCTCCTTATAAACACACATCAAGTTATTCTCCTTGCAATGACTGCACGCCGGCCGTCCTTCGTCACACTTTGCCTTCCTCGATCGACATTGATCACACGCCTGCAAAGTATCAGTGCCGTCCAACATGTCCCATATCCCGTGGTTGGTATCTGCCACTTACCTGCTGGGCACGAGCCGCCTTTCGCTGACGAGCTCCGAAAGCTGGGTTCTGATAATAGCCCTGATCATACGGACCCGGTGTCCCAGGCGGCACCGGCGGCCCAGGCGGCATGAATTGTGACGTGGATGGCAGCGGGCCCGACGGAGGAGTCGACTCGTTGGTGCCAGGCGGCTCCGAGGCCTGAAAGCTCATGCGCGAGCGGTACTCCGGCGGCGCAGAATGCGGCGAGGATTCGTGCGGCGCGCCGTTCATCGGGGGCCGATAGCCCGCATGCGGAGGAGGGGTCGGGTCTTGTGGATGCGCCGGGGGGGCGGGGGTCCGGGCAAGCTGCTAGGACGGCCGTAAGGTCCATCTGGGGGCAGTTGAGGAAGCTCTCGGTTCGGCATGACGGGGTACCCTTGCGGAGGCAGCGGGGCCTGGGTGCTCGCGGGGCGGCGGTCCGGCGCATGTTCGAAGGATGGGGGGTATGGCGGGCGCGGCCAGGCATGCTCGTAGACGGCATGCGCGGAGGGCGGCGCATGATGCCCCTCTGGAGGAGGCATGCGGTTCATGGCGATCAGGACCGCGTCCGAAAGGGGAGGGGCAGGGTATCGAGGGACGTCTGGGACCGAGGTCAGGCGCATTCCTTTTTTGGCCAGGTTTGTCGAGGGGTTCTTCGCATGTACCACGTAAAAGCAACCTAGCTCAGGGTGGAAACAGCTCCTTAGACGGACATGGCGAGACACAACACGGGGGGAGAGTGAAGGGTGTGGTCGGCGTGAAGGTGTCAGGAATCGGGCTGGTAATTTGAAGGGGAGGGGAGCTCGGTAACGTTTGGGCGCGCGCTGCGAAGCTTTAGGGAGAGAATGTGAAAGCCCGCGTGCAACGTCGCGCGGTGCAGCCAACGTCGGTGATAACTGGATCGGCAGGTAGTGAAGCTCGGCCAAATCGAGATGACTGGGTGGGGCGTCGCAAAAATGAGCGCGACGCCGTAGGCAAGCTCTCTGGCGATTTTCCTTTCACGCGGGCAGGGTGAGGTGACTAGAACAAACAAAATCGTCAGATGCAGGATCGAAGCTGTGGGGACAGGGATCGGACGGTACCGGAGTAGGAGTAGTGGAATCGAGCAAGCAGGGTATAATAGGAGGGAAATGAAGGAAGAAGAAGGATGCTAAATAGTACTGTATCAGATCGATCGCAGTTGGGCAGAGAACGAGGGGAAATGACCCAAGGAAGGGCCTCGTATCATAGCGTATCGGGGTATTGTGTACCGCCTGGGTACCCGGAAGGTACAGTACGGTAAAATAGCGGGCAAGGGTGGGTGGATTGGGGACAGTGCTCTTCCCAACTCGTCACACAGGGACTATGTACTCACGCCAAGTATGTCCGACCGGTAGGTTCTGCTTAGGTACTGGGGTGTACCAAGTACGTCCTCCCAGGATGCGGTGGAGCAGGTCGCGACTAGAGGAAAGCCAGACAGAGCGGAATCTTTTGGGCGGGGGCCACGAAGCTAAGCCAGAGTGTCGGGTCAATCGAAGGGAAAAGGTCAACTCCGCGGCGGGGGGGCGAAGGGGTTCCAGTAGTTTGGGTCGGGCAAGAGGGAAAGGAAAGGAAAAGAAGCGAGGGAGGGTGGGAATATAACTGGGGAAGACGTATGTCAGAGGACCTAACATAATCACAGGAACCCAAGGGAAATAACAATAATATAATAATCGGCAGGCCAAGGTAGGAAACAAGGTAATTGGGGGGTGGGAGTGGGAGGGATACTAATCGCATGGATCCAGTCAATCCAGTTAGAATTTACAGAATTTCCAGCCGGAAGGGATCGACACCCCCAAACTATCACAAGCGTGTGAGCTGTTTGCCCCTCCCTGGATTGCTCCCCGATGAGCATCTCGATCGCGGAGGTACTCCCTACATGGTCTATTCTTTCCACGGACGAAAATGAGGACGAAAATGAGGACGAAAATGAGGACTACACTTCCCTCGCAGAGTCCATGCGAACTCATCCTCAGTGGTCCTCTCGCGACCTTCAGTGAACACGGATCACCGTCCCGGATCGAGGGTCCTCGATCGGAGCGCCCCCGACCAGGGCAGTCAAACGCAGACCTCCAAACTCAACCAGGGGACGCGACCGAACCAGCCCGCGAGTAAGAAGGCCCAGTACCCGTACTTTCTAAGTTGATAGGTCTGTTCCTCCCATTTCTTTTTTGCCTCCAAGTGACAGAGAAATCAGTGGGTCCACGGCTGGGCGAACATAAATTCTATTCCCTACTCCTGCGTACGACCAGTTTCCCGAGTGGAGGACGTACATCATATGATGCACATGATATATAGTCTGGTCCCGTCCAGTGGGAACACCACACTCCGGTATTGAGCCGCGTTGTTGAGGCTTAGATCGCACGTCTGGTGGGTTCCTCCCCATGATCGAAGTAAAACCACGCTGGGAAGCCCAGACGAAGTTCGGAAGTTGGTCCCCAGCATCTCTCACACGGAGACGGGGGCCCGGCGGAGAGTTGGCCAAGAGAGCGTATCGCCGCTCACGAATATGATGCTTAATATCACTCCGGACCAAAGGGGATATGATGGATGATGGTGCCCATTCCGGAAATCCTCGGTCTACCCCACGGCCTTCCAGATGACCCCGACGATCCGCGGAGTACTGTAGTTCACTATGACCTGCCGTACCAGGATCATCAGGAAGGGAGGGGCCGCCGATGACGAAGAGCAGGCAGGGATCGCATTCCCAGGACCCAGCCCTCGGGAAATCTTAAGTTGTCGGTAGACGAATATGACTGTCCAATGGCGCGGAGACTATCCCCGATCTCGATCAGAAAAAAAAGGATCTGACCTTTCGTCGGGAGGGTTGCTACCCGTTCACGTAGCCGCCATTAGAGTTTCATTGCCCTCATCGCTCGCAAGGGGCTCCAAAAACAGCGTCGCGGCCGCAAACGCCAATTGGCCAGGTATTGCTTACTGCCTGGTGGATACAACTCTGGATCGGCGGTCTTCTCGAAGGACCAGCGAATTCGATGGCTGGGTGAGAAGGCGGGCGAGACTGTAACGATGCACATGGTACGGAGTACGTGGTCAAATCTAGTAGATCAACGCAGTGTCTTGGGTTATCGCTGCTTTCTTGCAGCTTACCGGTGGGGGACGGATAGGGGGAAAACCAGATTGAATCTCACTAGCAGAGTCCTCATAATCCATAGTTACCACGTACGTCCGGTTAGGAGTCGTCTCTGTTGATGGCCCCTCGAGTTCCGAAGAAACCGCGAGTCTCTAGCGGGGCCGGTATTGTAGTATTGTCATTACCACTTGGGAGCAGTTTGGGACACTTTGAGACACCCGAGCGCATCCATGGAAAACGCCACGGGACACCCCGGGGGCTCCACTAGATTCAATGGAACGACAGAAATATGGATTTGGACCAGGGTTCTATTTAGACTTGCCGGTGTGCGACAGCAGACAAGCATTTGGATCTGGACCAGTGCGGTGGTTCAATTGACCAACGAATGTGCGGTTGCAATACGGTGGGAGGAAAAAGGAACACTCCAAATGCTCGGAATCTAACCAACTAATCGATTGAAGAGACGGGATTAAAGGGGAATAATTAATAATTCCCTGAAATATCTCCGGAGTAGGGGGTCAGGAAAGTATGAAGAACTTGCCATCTGCCGGAGTGGGGTTAGTTAGACTTGTAGCCCCAGGTGGTCATTCTCCAAGGTGGATTCCCACGCCGCAAGTTCATGCCCGTCATTGGCGTACGAATCCTTCTCGGTAGAATATTAGAACTGGAGGCTGGCGTCCAACGTCCACGAATCCCCTTATAAGAAAGCCTTGAGGGTCAATCCCGTGCCCATCACCGGCACACACCGCTAGAAGACTTGGCTGGGACAAAGAACACGATACGAAGTACCCAATCAGGCCGAAGCATTCAAGGCAATTGTAGCGGTAAACCAGGGAGCAGTGGCACAAATTCACGCCGTCTGTGCTCCTGAGGATGCTAGTCCACGGTATACGAGCAAGGATGCAATCCTCCAGCCTAATCTTCCCGCTCCTCCCCTAAACCGGTCTCGGTACATTCGTCAACCAGTCCGCGTCACACAACGGCACTACAGAGAATTCCGACATGGCGGGTTTTGCTTCTTCTGACCGTTGAGTCGTCAGTGCAGCCGCAAGCCCGGCCATCGGGTCGTCTGGGATGTCATGCCCTGTCATGGGCCGTCATCAACCGCGTTCGATCTATCTCATCCCCCATCCCTAATCCATAGCTTCCCAGCTTGCCACTGGTAATTACGGAGTACATGCCCAGCCACTAACCACATGCCACCGTCACCCAGCCAGATAGCAGCTGAAGCAGCGAGCGAAACGAAGTGGCGCAGTGGAGCCGATGAGGCCCAGCAATGCCCGGTACGGGTGGTCACAGTCCATCCCCCCACTCCGTACGGGATGTAATACAATAGTTCAGAACCATGCCCGTCAAGACCCCGTCAACTCGAATCCGGTCTCTCTCTGTCTCTCCCGAGACAGGCCGTTTGTCACACCATTCAGACTGCAGTATATACCCAGATAAGTACGGAGTATAATGCGCTATCTCCACGAGATAAGACAGAACCGAGCCGAAATGAGACATGAGATCATTCATTTGACTACTGGATGCGCCCCCTTCCCCACCCCGCTCTCCATTTCCAATTACAATTCGTCCCAACTTTTCCGTCGCCGATCCGCCGTTTCCACGATCCTGTCCCTTGGGTCTAGTTGGGCGGCGCCTGCCCGACGCCGGCGATTATGTTTAACGGCGTCGGGCCCAAAAATTCTTTGGTCCACGACACGTTACTGAGCCATGTACTCTGTACGGTGTACGGAGGAGTGCTGGGCTGATTGGAAAGGCGGCGCGGTCAGGGACGGAAATTCCGCCCGCAGAACCAGAACCAATGGGAGAGTACAGTAAACCCAGGAACTGCATACTGTAGGTAAACAATACGGTGTACATACTGTACATACTGTACATATGGAGGCGGGTGACTGGGCGACTCATTTTCCCCAGGAAAATGCGATAGAATAGTCCGTATTCAGAGCGACAGTACGTAAACTGCTGCAGCGGGGCTTTTCTTCTTTCGTTTGCATTTTGATGCAGACAATTGGCCCGTCATCTGATACAGTCGCGACGCAGGCGCAGGCCCACAGTGCATTTGGTACGGAATAGCGGTGCATACATACTAGGACCTCGTATGTACGTACCTACTCGAGTCCCCATGGCTAGCAGTAGACAGCCTCAAAAGAGGCGAGCTGTACTATCTGTGCAGTCCGCAGTGGAAAATATTTAGGGACAGAGCGGTACAGGGTCCCTCCTAGCCGATCGCCCGAGCTCACAAAGTCTATCTCGCAGACAAGGACCAACAACAGCGCCAACAACCACCACAATAGTGCTCGGGCTACGCGTCCGATTCCATATCAGCGCTGGTTACCCGCCACCCCGGTACAGCAGTCCTGCACTCTGCACGTCGCGCAGGACGGGTTCCTTGTCTAGTGACGATATAGTTTCGCACTGTCGATGTTCAAGGCTTCACGCAAGGGGTGGGCCAGCTGGTGGGCCAGCAGGCCTTGGAAATTCCTGAGGCTCTAGGGCTGGTTTGGTGTGGTATGGCAAGTGTGCAACGGTACAGAATGGTGGTGACTCCTACTGTACAGGGTACTGCATTTGCGCGGCAGGACAGACCCATCGTAGTACCTGCTTACTCTCTTCACTGGAGGAAGGGTTCGGAGGGGCAGATTCGTGGAAGCAAGTCCACGGAAGTCGCAATTTCATTTGCAGATTGGTCGGACATGCCGCGCCGCCTGGCGCGGCAAGTCTTGTTTACGTGTGGATAGATGTCGCCGCCAATAGCACGATTTGACTACCCAACCCCATCCATCCATCCATCCATTCGTCGCCCTGGTCAGGGCGATGCGGGCATCATGTACACCCCGGACTTCTCAGATATGCTGGTGCGATGCGAGTGAGGCTAACTCCACTGTGCTCAAGTGGGCCGCAGGAATGCATGGGGCTCACGGGACTGGCTGGTGGAATGGATCCTACTCCATACTGTCGAGGTGGGAGAGGTGGAGATGATGATCTACAGTATAGCACAGTTTGGCTGGCCCGTCGAATCTCAACTGGATGTCATCGCAGGAGAGCTCCATCTAGTCTAACTCCAATACCCCTGTGGTTTACGCACGGCAGGCAGGTCTCAAGTCCTAGCGTCGAACCAAGACAGAGCCGGCAGTGCTGGCTGGAGATGCTGCGGCAGTGGCGGTTGAAGCAGTGACGTGCTGCTGGTCGCTTGGTCGGGCGATCAGGGTCGAGCAGGGCCGAGCTGCTGCTGGTCCCTGACAAATCATTTCTCTCCGTATGTCAGTAGAGTGGAGGGCGAAAATGGGGAGACTGGAATGCTCAGACTGGAGATTCATCGAGCGTGTTAGCCTGTTTATCTCAATACTTCCGGGAAGTCATGCCGCCGCAGGTCAAGGATCTGCTCAAACTCCATGTTTCCGCTTCCAATTCAAATCAAGGGAGGTCACGAGGGTGACGCATACCGGAGGCCATGGCAGTCGCGCAAATATTCCCCCCGGCAAGCGCTTGGAGGTATTTCCGAGTCCATAACACACTCTCCATGTGTGTTGTTATCGCCTGCCGGGAATGCTGGGGTGTGGAGCCGGCCGCCGGCGGGGCAATTGTTTGGGCCATGAGAATCCACGGTTAAGAGAAAGAGCTTCAGCTGCTGTCCACCGAGTTTGTCAGCATCTGATTTGACTACTGTAGCGTGAAGAATTATCAAAAACAAATCACAAAAAACAAGACATGCGACAAGGACGTGATTCGAACACGCGCGACCGAAGCCATCCGCTTAGCAGGCGAACCCCTTAACCACTCGGGCACCTTGTCTTTTTGGGAAATTGGAGCATTTCTCAGTATATATTTGTAGTTTGAATAAATCAATACGGACATTATTCCAACCTTTGGGGGCGCACTGCGACCACACCAGCATATTGTATGTAGTGCAATCCCCATACTTCCCAGATACGGAATGCTGTACGGTGAATTCAAAACACAAGCTATACTCCCTGCCAATAGTGATAGCGGAACCAGCCGCCTAGAGGGGGCTTGGGTCCAGGAACATGGAAGCGGTGTCTAGTGCGAGCGGACCGCGGACCTGCCCTGAGCTTGTTTGATGGGCGTGCGAGAGGAACCATCCGTCTTTTCCGCGGACCCGAGTCTCTGGCCCAGGGTCTGTAGCCCACTGTACACCGTGCGGCTCAGCACGAGCTCGAATACGACATGCCCAGTACTCCGTACTGGTTTGCGAGGTCCGCCTTGATCTGATCTCCAGGTTTGCGTCCTACAGTAGCTTGACAAGAGGATACTGTAGATGTTACGGTATACGTGCTGTATTTGGGCTATCGCTCCGCATAAACCTGTTGTCTCGTGCCCCGCACCGCAAAATGTGATGTATACATCTTGCACAGCGCAGGTCCGCTCGCACGCTGTTTGGCTGGGCACACCACACCGTGGTAATCTTGGCGACGGCTTCGTCACTACAGTTACTTCGCACTCACACGCGACACGTTGAAACTGATACGTCGCGTGGTGACGATGACATAGATCGTAGGGCCTACAAAAGCTCCTCATCCATCCTCATCCATCCTAAAACCATGGCGAAACAAAATGAAACAACCAACGGATCTGGTAGATCATATTCCATCCATGTGGACTGCGTTGACCATGTGGTTTGGTTGTAGTCTAATCAAACCCTACAAAGAGTACTCCATCGTGGTTGTGTGGTTCGGGATATATGCTGGGCCTGGCTTGCGAGGTGAACAATCCACTTGAAGGGAGACAGAGACAGCAGACCGCAAGTGTAATGTGTACTTTGGTCATTACCTCAGCTGTGGGGTTTAATCGGTACTATTGTGAATGTAGTACTTTTGTAGGGGGCTTGTGCGAAGGCGCCTCACTTTTTGTGCGATTCTCTGCAAATCACTGGTTGGAGACGGCTAATTAGGCTTTTGAGATGGTGAGTACCTCGCTTTTCGCAAGTGCCCTCGTATCCTTGGGAATTTGATGGTACGTAATGGGAAAGGCATGGCGCTAAGCAAACATGGCAGTGCCTAGGTACTTTAGTATTCTTTTGTTTCCGGATGGTTAAAGGGCAGCGTAGGGGACACTGGGAGAGTCGGAGGTATGGATTAGTGAACTCCGGAAATATCTGATAGGCGCTATAGCAGTGCTCCTTTCTCTTGTACTTTGGGGGAATTGGTGTGCTTTCCAAGAAGGTGGTATGTATCCCGTTAAACTGCCGTTGCCGCCCATACCGCTGTCACAAAAATATATATCCGCTGAGGTTAGCTAGATGAACTGCACCTCGGCAGACTAATATGATTTCTTCGTGCCGGGGCTCCCCCAAACAGAAGAGTCAACTGACAGAATAAAAAGGTCATTTTGAGATTTTCAACAATTGTACGGACGAGCCCTCAGACCGATGCACTCGGAAACTCACAGCGTGTTCAGGTCGGTCCCCGGTGCGGAGCCCACAGTGTGTTAGCACGGAGAAATAAGGCTCCGATCGAGTCTCTAGCCAGAAAAGCAGCGGGATTAATTAGAACGGTCAAATAGAAGGTAATATCCCGAGACAGGAGGGCGGAGATATCAGTATGCAAAGAATGTACAGTATGACGCTCATCACAATATTCAACGTGCAGGAACGGCTGGTCTGTCCACCTGCCCCATGCAAGGGGAGTCCGACTGGGCGGGATTAATTCGGAACCGGATCGGGGATCTTGCAGGACCCCAACCTCGAAGCATTAGAATCAAACTTCCCATCCTGGACAGGCGCAGACCAGATGAGAACCATCAAAGACAACGCAAAAGCAATACAGAGCGAGCCGGTTGTATTGAGAATGGAGAATAGCATTTGGACTGCATTCATCACTTACCTAATCAGTACGGTAAATGTGAGTTGAGTACTCCGTATTTGCTTTGGTACCGACGTAGCAATCTCGCAAACCCCGAGATTTTCAATACCCAGTCATAAGACGAGGTATGGAGATTAACACTTCCTAACCCGTAACTGTATTCCCCAATCTCTTGCTGCTACTGTACTGTATACCATACACCGGTCTCCGCGCCTTGCCGAAGTGAGGCACAAAACGAAAGTCATAAACGCCCACCCCTCGAGACAGCCTGCGTCGCAGTCGCTGCAGATTCTTCACGCAAGCCATGCATCGGACTGATTCAACGACGATCGGCTTTCCGCAACGAGCGTGCTGCAGGGATCTCCAGTCTCCAGTCAACAACCTCGGCACTACTGCATTCCCTCATATGGCAAGATCCAAGATCCCTTGTAGGAATTGTACGGATTACATGTGCCCATACGCTGGGGGCAGTCAAGAGGGCGATCGCCTGTGCATTAGCACCAGCACCAGCCCGCCGCTCAGATCGCAACCTTGGAAACCCAAACCTCCACCAAAAGGTTCCTTGGGAATAGCCAGGATCAGGTAGTGGAGATAGGCGCGACAACAAAGGTACAAACTACGCGTGTTTCGGCGAGGTCTGGTCCTCGGGATATCCGGGCACGGCGCGAAGGAAATTATCCTCCGTACTTCCGGTCTATACCTACGTAAGTGCCTTGCGCCACATGGCAGGCCGACTCAACTCCACTGAACGGAGTGGATCGTGCGTCTGAAGTGGTACAGGGTACGGGGTACAGTATCTCGGACATAAGCAAGAAGCATACCAGCGGAATCCGAACCAGTGAGCAAGCTATATTGAATTCAGTTTAGCCAATTCTTGGCGTCGTTCCCGGAAATTGATCTTCATTCTAAATTGAGCGTGTTTGCCATGGGCTCGGTCAGCAAACGTGGCTGTTCTCCTGATGTCGGTGTGATGTGATGGCCACGCGCAGCGCTGCGGATATTGGCCGGGACGGCGATACGGGTGAGGCTCCGTTGGCGGCGCCCCAGGTCGAGGGTGGCAGCAAACATTTGCCTGCCTTTGGGACGGGGTATCTTGTAGAATGGGATATTGGATTGTGTTTGGGAACATGGGCTCCAGGTTTCGATGTGCGTACTTGTGGGTTGGTGATGCGGACCCCCAGGGAATAGTCGTTGCCTTTTGTGATTCAGTCCAAAGGGGTGGAAATATGATCAAGTGATAGATTATCATCTCAACTCGCTTGCACCTTGGATTCAAGGATATCTCGATAGAATGGGAATGGTTGGCCATTCCCGAATAGCCCTTACTATGATGACTTGAAAGCTAGGATACACCCAAGCCGTCTTGCAGCCATTCTGTCCGATTCCATCTTCTTCACTCTCAACCCATGCCCTTTGATATCTCAGAAGGCAGGCCAAGAAACCTTCCAGCCCATCCCGCAACGAAGGTCCTCCGGCAAACGCCGCCAGCTCCTCTCCTCCCCTTCACGCCTCTTCACCACCTTCCTCACAGAGATCCAGATCAGACCGACTATTCCGTCTGGCTGGACATCCCATACCTCTGCAGTAAAGCCTGTTCTCAGGCCCTCGAAGCGACACATCTCAACCCAGACCGCCGGTCTCGATAAGCGAACCCCGTACGCTGGAAAGTTACGGGGGGAGAGGTCGCTTCCGTCCCAGCAGGCCTGCAACGTGCCCCACATGGTGGCCAGCGACTCAGTCCACGCTGGAAAATACTAAAATAACCCGTAATAACTACTGAGAAGCTAGTTCATCCCCGACGGGTCGGGAGGCCCCTGCTTAGTGTCAAGCCGGGCCTTGAATCATGGCCCACTCAATCTAGTTATCCAGGGTACAGTGCACGGAGCCACTCCAGAGATTCGCCCTAGGCTCCGTGAAATGTAATTTGAGGGCAACGGTATACTGCGTGTCGGAAAATAATAATATCGTTAGGCGGGGCCTCAGCGCCCCCCTTCCCCCCCCACCTCGCTACGCTCTTCTCCTTCTGGATCCAATCCCCGGCGTGTTCCACCGCGTGATGCATCACATTTCACGGGGTCTCGAAGCCCTATCCTCCAGTCACTTCAGCGCCGCAAGCCCGATCACCCGCGATATCCGCTCGTTGGCCGAGGGACTCCGTCATGACGGTTGTCGGGTCGGCACATTAGGTTTGGCTTTGAGGGGGCGGCTTTGGCTGGCAGAAGGTGCGATGGGGGCGTGCGAAGCCTGGTAGGTGGATCGGGACGGAGATGGTGTGGTGCAGTGCAATTGGGAGATCGGGGGTTGCTGGGGAGGATGATGGGCATTTGGGGGCTTGGGGCGCTAGCGAATTTCTCATGTGAATGGGTACTTTTGAGGTGTTCTGGGCTGGTCTTTTAGCCGATAGCCTACGGAGCGGACAGGGTTGATGGACGTTTGCACGGGTGTGTGTATGGGAGATACGCGGTATGAAGGGAGGTACGGATGGGTCGGTGTAAATGTAGATGTACAAAGTCTAAATGTACGTGTCGGGGGGTGTATATGGGAGTGATACACCAGAATGGGCTGGTTGTGGCCTCTCGCACGGTGGTTTGTTGCCGGTACGGAGATTTATTGTGCGATAGGTCTTCGGATATGAGATACGGCCGGGACGTTCGTTGGGAAGACAGGCTATAATGGTACAATGGTACAATGGTACAATGATATAGTGATATAATGATTGACGAGATGATGAGATACTCGCAGCCCACGTCGTTATTTGATGCGCCGAGGGTTCCAGCAGCATGGCTACTTCTGGGAAAGCTGGCTGTGCTACAGGATGTACGAGCTTTGGTTACTCAGGGCGAGGTCTGTGGATGTTCGCGTTCACACAAGCGACGGAATACCTTTTCTGTGTAATTTAGACGAACGCGTTATTATTTGAAAATGTGCTTTCACTTGGAAATGTTACACCCGCGATGATAGCCCTCCTTAAAAGGCACTGAGTAGCATAATATCAGTACCGGATGAGCAAAGCAACAGGGACTAGACGAGGGGAATAGCCAGAAAGAAGGCCATCAGAGCCCGTGGAATTTTCAAAAAGAGAAGATAGAAGACCAGAAGGAAAGTGAGGGGGCAGGTCAGAACGGAATGCGAGAACGAGGATGAAAGGAACGCAAGGAGGAAAGTCAACAGGACACCAACGCTTCTGCGTCTCCACCCATCTCTAGAAGAGACATACACGAAAGCCCTCTATCTACTTCTATCATCTTCAGCTCTACTCCTTACGAGCTACAGACAAAGCCGAGCAGGGACGGTACGCAGATCAACCAAGCCCCACGAAAGTCTTCCCAAATCCTCTGATATTGAAGTAGAGAGGCCCGGCGTTGTATGTACAACGTCGGAATCCGGGACCAGGAACAAGACCCTCGACTCGCCACGCTCACCGACCCAGGGGAGCAAGTGGCATGTCACCGCATGTCAACAGGGGTCGCCTCTTCTCCTGGGCGTATGCACAGACGACAACCATCTCATCCCTGACCTGGTCCGCCATGTAAACGATGCACCGCATCCAGAATACAGGTTCATGCTCAGGAGCCGCCCCACTCAATGCCCGATCTGTCGCTTAGAAAATCAAATGAAATGAAATGCCAGATTCTAAATCAGATTTTCTATCACTGTGCTGCTGCTGCTGCTCGTGCTGGTCACGTCGTCCGCAGCTGGTAGTGGAACAGCGCCCAGACGCCCTTCAGCGCCTCGACGCGGTCTGGCCCGTCGAGCAGATCGTACCACCTGGTGCGCTGCAGCTTGAGGACATGCCAGGGCTGGTCGGAGTCGGAGTCGGGAGGGAAGTCGGAGTCCCCCTTGGTCAGGACGTCGAGATAGCGTCTGTGGACGCGAAGGTGCAAGATGGAGATGTGGTGGTTGATGGAGGAGACCATGTAGATCTGCCAGGAAAAAAACATTGGTTAGTGGTAGTCCTCATATCGACTCACGGCGATGATATAAGGGAGGAGGGAGGGGAAGGAGAAAAGTCAGGTGCGGGCTTCATACATCATCAAAAGGACTCTCCTTCGCCTTGCCAATCGCCATGTAACGCATCCGCTTATCCCACAGACTCGGTCCGGGCTGCAAAATCTTCCACTTCTCCCCGCTCGACAGCTTTCGCATGGCACTTGGCCGGCGCGCCAGCGAGGTGACGAACGGATGCTCGAACTTGTGCCGCTTGCGCGCGCTCTCCACCTCCTCTGCGGGCGACGACGGCTTGCTCTCCTCAAGCATCGAGTCCGGCAGCGGCATCCCGGTCGCGCCCTTGACCAGATCATCGAGGATGCCGTCATTCGGCGCCCCGCCGAATCGTGGCCTCAACGTCCACCACTTTCCCTCGCCGGGCCGTATGTCGGCCAGGCCCTCACGCGCGCGCTCCTGCGCCGCCAGGAGCATTCCACCCACTTCGCGGAAGAGATCGCAGACCTCACCGATGCCGGCACCGGGGGCGTCACCGGTGGTGCGGAAACCGATCTCGGGCCGGCATTGCGCGATGAGCACGGGTCCTTCGAGGATGCCGCTGCGGGCGATGGTGCGGTCGCGCGGGGACCGCGCGGCCTGAAAGGATTGCCGCACGGGAAAGAGGAGGCTTTGGACTGTGAGGCGGGGTGGGAGGGGTGGGACAGTCACTTGGCAGCCGAAGGGCCAGGCGGCCATCTCGATGAAGCCGCGGATCGTCTCATCGCGCATTTCGTCCGGCATCTCGTTACCGGCGCCGATGCGGCGACCTGTGTACATATGCACCGTAGGGCGGGGGAGCTGGTGTTCGCTCTCGTTGACGCTGCCATTGGATAGTGTGGGAGCCTGGGGCTCGGATTCGTGCCCTTCCATGTCCACGTCCATGGTAGGCTCTGCTGGGCCCGGCTCGCCGATATCTGCCGCTGCGTCGGTCGTGTCCATCTTGTCCGCGGCTTCGCCCTCGGCCGGAGGGGTCGGCGTCGGCGTCGCCGGCCGCTCGAAATAGTTATCCAGACTGGTGTCCCAGTATTGCGCCATGTGCTCCAGGCCGGTCCAGAACTTCCGGGACTGCGTCACTCGTACGCGGGCACGACCCTCGCGGGGCGGCAGCCGCGCGACCTCGCGGAAGGTATCCTCGTTGTCCAGCAGCAGTTCATTCTCCAGGACCTCGAAGCGGCTTTTGGGTGGGTAGGGGAGGCCATTGCTCATAAGCGGGCGCGCCTGATCTTGGTCCTCGCCTGCGTCCGCCGCGGTGGCTTGGGTTTCCGGCTCGTCTTCCCAGGGCAATGGGGGCAGCGACTGCGCCTGATCGGCCGGGAACATGTGACGCACGTTGACGTCGGCGTCAACATGGACATTGAGCGGCTTGAAGCGGTCAAGGGAGATATCATGCGGCCGCTTGATGGAGGCCAGCAAGCCGTATAGGTCGGTGAGGGTGGAGTCGGCATCGTCGCGGACGACATCGGGGAGGCTGTAGACGGGGAAGTCCAGCGGGGTCGGGTTGGAAGGTGGTTTGCGTTCCTTCTCAGGCTCCGTGGCCGAGGGCACGGCTGTTTGTTGAGCAGCGCAGGTTAGTTGGTTGCTTCAAGTCAATGGATGGTCCGGTCCGATCGCGGGGAATCCAGGGCGTCCCAGGCACGGCATTCCGCCACCAGTGGGACACCTGGAGAGCCCGGGGTGCTGGAGTGAGTAGAGAGGAACACTTACCCAGCCCAGGACCCCAGCCGAACATCGTTTCCTAGCAATGAAAATGGATTGAATCTATCACATGCTCTGGGGGAGACCAGAGGGACGAGGGACGAAATCGAGACGCTGGAAGAGGGAAGATGTTTACAGAGACGTTCCGGATGGAGTGTGACGGGCTTGGGGACTTTGGGGAGGTGGGGAATTTGGTTCCTCCGTCATCGCTGGGTACTCGCCGCCCGCCCAAGGGAGCAGCATAGATAGAAAAGGGGCAATTATACGATAATCATAATAATCATACTAATCATAAAAAATAAGAATACTAAAAGTAATAATAACCACTCTGGCTCGGATCGTGGGAGCAAACCTGAGCAACGCACCCAGCAGGCTCACTGGGTCCAGACGGGCGAGACTGAGGCTAGCAGGAGGAGAGTCTAGCTAACTAGTTCACTAAGTTCGTGAGCCAAATGGAGGAAGTGGCTCCACACATGAAACGGCGTGGTTGGATCAGTCCAATTCGCAAGTTTGGGTTGCCTCGCACGGCCAACCTTCAAACCGCCCACTTGTTTCGGATGTGAAGACACGAGGATGAAGGGGTATGGTCTCCGTGCAAGCCTCAATTGTCGATCTTCCTGCTACTTCATGAGGTGCTGAGTTTGGAACCGACTGGAAAATCTGTTCAGATGGGAAGAGATAGATGGTCAATGCAGGGGAATCAAGAAGGCGAGGAGAGATAGCTAGCATATCAATCAATGAGGAATGCGGCGTCGCCGTGCCGAAACCTTGTGGAGGGCCTCAGTCCTCTCCGTGAAGGCGACTCTATCCAATCCCCTGCGCTCCACAGCATGTTCGTGACTTCTGCAGAGGGTCAGGCGTAGCAGCACAGAAGTTCCGACACTGGTCAGGATCGACCGAGTGATCCCAGTGATTGGCTCGCCAGGGGCCAGATGCACCTCCTAGTTCCATCCTGGAGCAACCTTGTCACTCCTGACAGCATCCCGCTAAGCGCTGGATCTCTCCTCCCGACTCCCAGCCACCGAGTCACCGAGCCACCGACCGTTGGAAGCGCCAGCTTGAATTTTGAAACGGAAAATGTCCCCCCTGGAAACAAGAATGATGGTGGGCACCGTAGGGGCTGTCGGCGCCCTCGGGAGGTATAAAGCAAGCCGGGGCCGGAACTGACGTGATGTGTTGCTATTTTCCTCCCTCTGGCCCAGATGCCACCGTCTGTCCCGAAGAAGGGTAGTGGTCCATTGTTAGACGGGTAAACTAGCCGCGGGCCCCAGATAGATTGGGAAGTAGGCAGGTCCACAAAGGATGTCGTCGCGCTGGGGCGGGAATAAAGACAAGCCCACGATGCGAACCTCGCTTTGTTGACGCCCCCCGCAGTTTCAACTCGAGGCCGTTCTTTGTCCTGTATGTCTCGCCCACCACCTCCCACCAGCTGCTTTTCCTCTGATCATCCATCATCAGCTAGCACGGACTTGATCTTGCTGCTCCTTTAGGACCCCAGCCTGCGGGCTTGGACGACATGTTGAATGCCTCGTCGACGGACTCGCTAGCGCAGGGTTCTGCCTTCTCGCGTTCACAGCTGACGCATACGGATTCAGCACTGCCTCGTATCGTGGCAATCACATCGGTCGTGACTGAGACGGTTCATCCTACGTATGTCTTCACCGAGGTGATTACGGAGACGACGGAAACTTCCATGACGAGCACGATTAGGCCGGAGCTAGAGACGAGCTCTTCCGAATATGTGCAACCGGACACGGTTCAGTCGAGCGCGAGTCAAACACAGATGGCGGAGCCAGGCACGTCAACATCATCAATGACCCAATCCACTATACTGTTACCCGCCACAACCCAGTCACCGTCTCCGTCGTGGACATCTAGTCTAATGACCCCCTCGACACAACCCATGGATGACTTGACAATTTCCCACTCTCCCTACACAGAGAGACCGGAGCCGATGCTCCCTTTTTCCGGGCACCCTACTGCGGATGCCCAAACGAATCCATGGGACCCGCTGCCAGTGGGCTCATCCTTGGCTTCATCTCCACTCCCCAGCAGCACGTTCTCATCAACCACATTATCAACAGCAATATTAAGTACGACAAGCATTCAGACCACTACCTCAAGCACCCAGACAAGCTCAAGCACCCTGACTCCGTCAAGTCTTCCTCAAATTGTCACAGCCCCCATCCCATCAAGCCTATCGTCAGCCTCTTCTCCTTTATCATCTACCTCCTCATCTTCGCCTTCCTCATCATCAATAGCAGGAATTATCTCAGGCTCAGTCTACAGCGAGGGCCCAGCGAACCAAAACAAATCTTTCTCCCATCACGTGGGGGCCATTGTCGGTGGCACAGTTGGCGGCACCGCCTTCATCGCCCTAGGCCTACTCGCATGCTTCCTCTTCTTCCGCCGTAGGCGACGAAGGTGTACGGTCCACCGCCAAGGTAGTCCCGGAAAGAGATTGCTTCGCACTAGTGACTCGATGAGTTCCATTCGTGGCCTGCATGGCCGTCAATTCAGCCAGCCCTCGTTCCCTATCGCACGCACCACTATCCCCTCGGCCCCCATATTCCCGGCGAGCCGGAACTCCATGCCACCCGGCCCCCGCCCCAACCCAACCATGGCAGCATCCAACCAAGACCTCTCCCTCGACAGGATGTACCCTCGGAGCAGAGAGCAGCATGATACTTTCGCCGACCCAGAAGACGGCCTTGTGTCCCCAATCATCCAACTCCACCCACCCTCGTGCACGGTATCCAACTACTCTCCCCATTCCTCATGCGAGGGAGGGCTGGAGTTCGTCAAGGGCGACGACTACGATTCGTCGGCCCGTACTTCCAGGTACGAGAGCATCTATTACCCGGACGAGAGCACTATCACACTGCCTTTCCCCCACCCCCGCACCAACTGGCTGTCTCCGCACTGCCACGACAACTCGAAGACGCGCCTCAGCACGCGCAGCGATCCATTTGATCTGGAGACACCGCTAAAGGCATTGCACGAGTGGCCTCCTCTACCGCCGCGGCCTACGGCGAGGGGCGATAACTTCTAGACTTCCTATCAGCCCCTCCGAGGTGCTGTTTTTGCGATTTTGTTTATTATTGGAGTACTTGTTACAAAAACATCCTTTTCCCCTTGCCCTCGCTTGATTTTTTGCATCGCTTCTCTCGTTTTGTGCTTTCTGCATTTGCAAATACATACCCCCATGCAGAAGAATGATTCCCACGATTACATGCTACAGGCTACATGCTACACATACTACGCGATTTGAACGATACATATGGAACTGGGTTGCGCGTTTTTAACTGGGAGTTCGAGCTGGTGGTTCAAGAGGACTCGCTTTTGGAGTTGTTATGCTTTATGGGTGGCTTTACGTTTTCATGGTTCTGTTTTGCTTTGGGAGAAGGGGCGTGCATTTCGTTTTGCCATTTTATTTTCTTTTCTTTCTTGTTTTTTTCCTTAGCAAACCTTTTATCTTATTCTTATCTTAACTGCGGCCGCATATGTTCGGTCGACAAGGCATGAAAATATCAGTTCGGAATTTCAATTCTGAACTACTTTCAGCTGTTAAAGACTTCTATTACTCTATAAACATGTATGACTGCCTGAGAATGTATGTTCGGAATAGTTGATTGGTATCGAAGTATGCGCTTGCAGGGGTTTCCATGTGGCTGTGTCGATCACTCCATTCAAAAGTTTACTTTTCAGGGGAATTGCCAGGCCATCAGGCAATATATTGTCTATAGCGGAGAAACCCCATATCTGATTAGAGTGTAATCTCTTCACGGGTTAATTCCATTCATAAATCAGGGTATATGGTGTTATACCCCCGTTCCGATGGACAATGCAGGATCAAATGCATTTTGTGCGCGGACCTCGGCTTCCCCGCATAACGTGGTCCCGGCACTGGAGCATGCATATCAGACGTTGCATTCCTTCAAGCTGCTGCCGATGCTTTGGACCTCGAATTCTCTTTGTTGCTTTATGCACTGATACCTCTACACCAAGCATACTGAACGTATCTAACAGCTCATTGAAAAATGACCCCACAAGCAAAAAAATGGCCCTCTAGAGAAGGTATGCTATCCTGACACTATCTTTCCCTGATGTACTGGACTGAGGGTTGCTAACAATCTCGACCCAGGATTCACGGCGGACGTGGTTGGGAACGTGCTCCACCACACCCTGCTTAGTCCCTGGAAGATAGTGCCGCTGCTGGCGCTGGCCCAGTACACTGTCAAAGGCCGTGAGCTCCTCGAGTCGCGGCCGCACCTGCTCAAGGCCCTCAAAGTGCTCGCCTCACTCGCGGTCTTGAGCCGCCTTGGCTCCTGGCTCGATAAGCGCACCATCAACAACGGTGTCCAAGACCACTACGACTGGAACCGCGAAGTGGTGATCCTCACCGGGGGCAGCGGCGGCATCGGCCGCCGAATCGCCCAGCTACTCGGTGACCGTGGTATCAAAGTCGCCATTCTAGACATTGCCCCACCAACCGAGACGCTGCCCAACAGCGTGCGCTACTATGAGTGTGACATCACTTCGCCTGCACACATCTCAGAGGTTGGCACCAAGCTCCGGGCCTCATTCGGGCGCCCGACCATTCTCATCAACAACGCCGGCATCCTGACCGGCAAGACGATCCTTGGCACCACCGAAGCCATCACCCGCCGCATGTTCGACGTCAACACGCTGGCGCACTATTGGCTAGCGCAGGAGTTCCTGCCGGACATTATCGCCGGCAACCATGGCATGGTGGTCACCGTTGCCTCACAGGCCGGCTACACCGTCACTCCGAACATGGTCGACTACTCGGCCTCCAAGGCGGCGGCCATCGCCTTCCACGAGGGCCTCGCCGCCGAGTTGGTCACCCGATACCAGGCACCACGCGTGCGCACCGTACTGGTCACGCAGGGCTTCACGCGCACCACGCTCATCCGCAACCTCACACCCGAGGATACCTTCTTGAATCCACTGCTGTACCCAGAGACTGTGGCGGAGGCGCTTGTGCAGCAGGTGCTGAAGGGTGAGAGTGGCCATGTGCTTGTGCCTGGTGCAGCGGGATCGATTGCACAGCGGCTGAGGGGGTATCCTCTTTGGTTCCAGCATTCGCTGCGGTGCCGGTTGGAGAGACTTATGCGGGCGGATTAAAGGACATCGTAGGTTAGGGTAGCTCGGATTGTATATGATTGGCTGTGGGTTATGGGATCTGAGATTATGACAATCATATGAGCGGGCTTTTTGTGTTGGAAACTATTATGCTTGCGCTTTTATGGAGGATTCCATGGGGGTTTGGTTATGGTCCTTATGCAGCGGTGTTCAACTCTATTTTGGTGACAGGGCTGTCAGGTTAGACTTTGGCAATTGAAGCCGAGGAGCTGTCTGCGTGCCAATATTGACATTGCAGCAATTTTTGACGAAGATAGTGGCTATATTTGAATAATATCATGCTTTGCTATCATTAGTTTATGCTGATTTAAATCCTTTATTCGTACCATAGCCAGGCCCCTGACTGGCCGTTTTGCGCTACTGGCCGTTTCGTGCTGGATGACAAAATTACCAGCCTAGTCCTCCTGGCGGCACGTGCACTCGTCGCCCTCACCGCGGTTTTGATTCGCTCCACTTCAGCGCTGAACAGTTCATCGAGTGCCACCAGCAGATTTCTCACCTCTCTTTTTCCGCTGCAGAGTCAAGGAGGTCGGATCCTTCACATCTGCATGCTTTGCATCTGTCACTGTGTGAAGCATTAAGATACGATCTATAGACCGCCCCTATTGTCTTTCCATCGAACCTCGAACCCTGGTCCGAGGCGGGCTAGTGCGATCTCCTGGGTAGCAACCAGCCCTCCAGTGGGTGCCAGTCTCCGCTTGGGGCTTTCCGGGACGAAGATCCACGGTTCAGCTCCGTTGTTTACTCCCCCAAACAAACCATAACAACCACCAATCCAGCCCAGCCACTTTCCCCGACCTCCCCCATAATCACCATCTCGACTCTCAACATTCCGGCACCTATTTCCCCCTCCCCCTCACATTCCTCACCACCCTTTCCCACATGGTGGCCTGTGCCGTCTGGGCATCCCTCTGAATAATTGCCCACCATGTTCAAGGCCCTGATGGGCGGGGGCCGGTCGGCGTCCACCAGCTCCAGCTCCAAGAGCGGCCATCGCAAGGCCGATTCCAAGTCTTCCACCAGCCGCAAGTCCTCACGGGGTGACGACCGTGACCGTGGCCTGGGCGACTTGTCGGCCTACACGCCGTCCGCCTCTGGCAGCAAGCGCGGCCCGCCCAGCGCCGCCGGCGACTCCGTCGCATCGACCTACGTGACCGCCGAGCCCGATGTCATTGACTATCCCGATCGCACAATCGTCGAGCGAACCCCCAAGCGCCGAGATAGCGACCGCGAAAGCAAGAGCTCGCGCCGCCGCGAGCGTGATCGCTCCGAAAGCCGCGAGCGCGAGAGGAGGAAATCGAGCCGCCGCAGCGCGGATGACGGCCTAGATGATGATCTGGATGGAGAACATGACCGTCGTGAGCGGCGCCGCACGCACTCAGGCGATCCCTATGTGCCACCCATATCCACGGCCATGCCGTCCAGCGCCCCGGGCGCTCAGTTTGCCGCCGACATTGCGGCACCGGGATTCTCGCAGTTCCCTATGCAATACGACACGGCGATGCCGACAGTTGCTTCGTTCCCGCCTGGCCAGTCGCCTGGCCATGATACATCACCTGCGCCGTTCGATCCCCATGTGCAGCAGCAGTTCCCTGGTCAGTTTCCGTTGGGGACGGCGGCACCCTACTTCCCGCCCAACAACCCTGCGGGCGCGGCAGCAGACTACTATGGCGATCAGGGTCAGTCTGTCTCTGAGCAGCCGGGTATCCGGCCGCACCAGCCTGCTATCATTCCGAATAGCCAAGCGCATTTGATGGCAGCATCGTCGTCGGCCAACCCCCCTCCCGAGCCCAGCAGTTTGGGACAGGTTGGCGCGGCTGCAGCCTACTTTGGAGATGAGATTGAGCATACCGCGTCTCAAACGATCCAGCCGCTGTCAGGATCATCATCATTGCCTCTAAAGCCTAGCAAACCTGGTAAACCTGGTAAACCGTCGAAACCCAGCAAGCCTTACTCCTCACCCGCAAGCGCAATTCCACTAGCTGCTGCAGCCGCGGGTGCTGTTACCTATGGAGTGGGAAGCACCGAGGAGTCCCATTCCTCTTCCGCAGCCTATCATCAATCTGCCTCGTACTCGCAGCCGGCTATGATGAGTAGCAGCAAACCTCCCCATTCGCATGGCATTGGCGCTGGGGTTGGCATGGCAGCTGCCGGCGCAGCGGCTGGCTACATGATGGGCCATCAACACCACTCCTCTAGCCCCACGCATTCGTCGCAGTACACCTTCCAGAACTACGAGCAGTCGTCCCAGGCTAGTGTTCCCCCATACACTCCTGGCACCAACAACGCCATACTCGCGGCTGGCGCCGCTGGAGCGGCAGGATATGCTGCGCACGCCGCCCACAACCCTGGTTTCTATCCCCACGGCGGCCTTGCCGTTCAACACCGGCACCGTGGCCCTCTCTCCAAATTTGTGGACTTTTGGCGTGATCCTGAGGGCGTGGGTCGGTTCGAAGATTACACGGAAACCATCGGTGTGTGCAAGTATTGCTTCGAGCCTGGCACGAGCTCTGTCGATGCACCTCGCAAGCATTATTACCACGGGCGCCGCCATTCTGCCGATCGTTATAGCAGTGGTGGCTCGTCGAGAATAAACAAGCTAAGCCGCTACCAGTCCTCTGAAGACGAGAGCCGCCGTCGCAAGCGCTCTTCGAAGAAGTCCTCTTCCTGGCTGCCGGGCATGTTGGCTGGATATGCTGCGAAGTCGATTTTCGCTGGCAAGGACTTCGATGACTCTTACAGTGTTCGCTCAGGCCATGTATCGGGTGATCGACTCTCGTCCTACACCCGCGAAGAGGATCGGAGAAGTTACACATCGCGTGGCGTTGTTCGTCGCTCAGGTCGCAGCCCTCCGCGAGAGCACCACTCTGATAGAAAGCCTTCTCGACGGACACGCTCTCGCTCGCGATCGTCTTCCCAATCAGGTCGCCATTCGTTCGTGCAGGAGGCTGCCTTGGGTGCAGCAGTGGGCTCCGCTGCTCTCGCGGTTTCGAAATCGCACCAGCGACCCCGCAGCCGCTCCCCGTCTCGGGCCCAGCGCCGAAAGGATTCTTCGTCTAGCGCCTCATTCGTTGATGTTTCTCAGCCTTCTGCCAAGTCCGTCGGTGGCTTTACATCTTTCTTCACCTCGACGTCTGAGAACCGCAAGAAGGAGAAAACGCGGTCAAAGAAGTCGAGGAGCTTTTTCTCCTTCAACAGCTCGTCTTCGTCCTCGCTTGATGCAGATCTTGCTTTTGGGACAGGCTTCGCTAAGAAGTCGTCCAAGCTCCAGAAAAAGAAGAAAGGCAAGAAGCATGAGGATGTGGACGCTGCTCTCATTGGCCTGGGCGCAACTGCGACTGCTCTTGCTGCTGCCTCTGATCATCGCCACAGCCGCAGTACGGGCCAGATAATGACTGCCCGAGAGACCCGTCATTCTAATTACACCTCATCTGCAACAAATGAAGACGATGAATGGGTAGATGCGGAGTCGGAGGACCAGTCCTCGGCAAGCGTCAGCTCTGCTCTGGCTTTTGGTGCCAGCAGCGCTGACTCTGGAACCGACTCGAACAGCAGCGGCGGGTGGAAATGGGGATGGGGCAACAAGAAGAAAAAGAAGGACAAGAAGTCTTCTAAGATGGACGTTGCCATGGCAGTTGGTGCCGGCGCCCTCGGCGGTGCCGCAATTGCTTCTGTTGCGCGCCGTCGCGACAGCCGCCCGCCAAGCGAGGCTGGAAGTCTTCAGCAGGTCTATCCCGTGCCCACCTCTGACCCGTCTCGTTTCGACGTTTCCAAGATGTCTCCTTCCGTGATGTCCGGTGACCAGCCGCCTCTTGTCCGACCTGGCCCTATCCCCCTACAGCAGCCGCAGCCGTACGCTCCCGTTTCTCAGGCTGTGTACACTACCCAAGGAAACTTGCCCGGATCAATTCCTGCTTACAGTGCCCCTGCTGTTCCTCCCATCTTTGCCAACGAGTACGACCAGTACAACCCGCAGTTCCAGGGTGCCCGCGATGCAGCCTACGCCCATCAGATCGATAGCGTTGCTGGGCGCCGCAAGCACCATCGCAGCGACTCAACGCCCGTCTTCCCTACGCAAGAGAACTCTACGTCGACCCCCAAGCGTCGCTCTACGTTCAAGGACCAAGCCTCGGTTTCTTTCGATCTGACTGAGGAGCAGGCTGAGCGTGAACGCAACCTTGCCCGCCGCGTCAAGAAACCACGGGATGATAGCCGAGATGACTCTGTGCAGTTGATTGATCATGAAGCGGAGCTGGCTCGCGAGGAGGCTGAGCGACGCGAACGTCGAGAGCGCCGCAAGTACCGCGATGAAGACAACCGCCGCAGCGACAGCGATAAAGAGAAGGATTCCTCTTGGGTTGAAGAAGCTGCCGTCGGAGCCATTGGCGCAGCTGCCGCCAGCTCCCTCATTTCATCTAGCAAGAAGGACGGCGATAAGGACTCCGAGGTAAGCTCGCGACACCGTGATCGCCGCGCCGAGCGTCGTGCCGAACGACGCGGCGAGCCGTCCGTCATCTCCAAGTCCACTGCCTCGGAGCCAACTGTGGACCAGGCCTCTTCATCACCAAGCGCCGATCCTGACAAGCGTTCCACTCGCCGGTCTCCGCGCCCAGCTCTCGTGCACGAAGACTACGCGGAGTTCTTTGCCCCCGCGGAACTCCGCCACAGCCCAGATCAACATGCGGGCGACCAGGACCGCAGTCGCGACTCCGCAGGGCCTGAAGTAGTCGAAGTGGTGCCTGCCAGCGAGCGCGGAAAGAATAATGATATGCCCCGTGATGACCTTCCGCAGTTTGCGCAGGAACCTTATGAAGACCGTGATCATTTGCCGTGGCCGGTCCCACGACTGAACTTCATTGATCCTACGCCGCCGCAGAGCATTAACGGTTCTATGCGCGGGACTCCCACGCCTTCTGCGCCGGTTGAGCTTACTCACGAAGAAGAAGCATCCAAGCAGCGTGAACTTGAAAATGAAAATGAGCATGAGCGTGACCTTGAAAATGAACCTCAACCTGAACCTGAACGCGAACGCATTTCGACTGGCTCGCGGGTATCCTGGGGACCGCATGAGACCCATGAATATGAAATCCCATCTTCTTCCGAGCAAGACCCGCATTCCCCGATCGAAGAAGCTGCTAGGGATCTCTCCATGAAACAGTCAGAGAAGGAGCCACCCAAAGATCTCAGCCACATGGGTAGCTTTGGTCACGATATTGAATTCGCGGCCACCATTGCTGCTGCCACCGAAGCAGCTGGCTTTGATCCCTCCTTCGTCTTCAATGATCCGACCTATCACACTCGCACCTCGCCTCCCGGATCAGAGGATGAGGGCACGTTCTCCCCTCTGTCGAAGTGGGCTGCGGCTCCTCAACCCGAGCAACCCCACGGATTTGTCGAAGGGGAAGTCGAAAGCTACGAGCCCAGCAAGTCTCGGGACATTGAGCCCTCTGCTGAGCCCGTTATCGAGGAGAAATTGTTCTACGCGGAACCAGAATCGTTCACTGAAAACAAAGATGTGTCGTTCTCCCAGCGGCCAGACCGCGGCTCAATAGCCCAAGAGGTCATTGAGCAGTTGAACGGCAAGAGCGCGCGAAAGAGCTCTCCCGACAATGATGTCTTTTCTATGCCTGGTGGCTTCGATAGCGGTGATAAGACTCGCGATGGTTCCCGTGACGATACTCGGTCCGTCTTCTCTGCTCCGCCTGAGAGGGAGTCCGAGAAGAGCAAGTCTAAGAAATCTCGACACAGTGGTAATGATTATGAGTTTTCTCGTGAGATTCTCGAGCGTGAGCGTGAAACTGCGCCGTCGCCTCCTCTTGAGGATGTCGAAGAGACTGTCGAGGATAAGAAGCGCCGCAAGCATCGTTCTAAGCATGGTGACAGTGATACTTTCTCGGTGGATGATGATGCCAGATCTGCGATCGCCTCCACCGAGGACGTGGAGAAGTCTGAACGACGCAAACATCGCCATCGCTCATCGCGCGACAAGGACTTTGACGACACCGCGTCAATTGCATCCTCGCCTGCTGCTGCTTCGTATGAAGATGGAGAGAAATCAGAACGTCGCAAGCGCCGCTCCAAGCATGATAGTGATCCCTTCTCTGTGGACGATGATGCTAGATCTGCGATCACCTCCCTCGAGGACGTGGAGAAGTCTGAGCGACGCAAGCATCGTCATCGCTCGTCGCGTGACAAGGACTTTGACGATACAGCCTCAATCACATCCTCCCCTGCCCGAATTGATGAAAGCCGCGAGAAGCGCCGCAGCAGGGATAGCAAGGATGAGAAGGAGAAGGACAAGAGTGGAAGCATCCTGCGCAGCATTTTCGGTTCGCGCGTGTCTGCCCCAGAGGGGCGTACCCGCTCTAATCATTCGTCCCGGTCGTCCTCTTTAGAGAAGCGCCCGTCTCGTGACGCGATGTCGGAAGCTGGTGTTGATGAGGAGACACGCCGACGCAAGAAGCGCTCTTCCAGGCATCGCAGCTCCAGCGGAGGGGAGAAGCTGGATGATTATGGTTCGGACAAAGAGGCTGGGTTCCGGGATGACACGAATCTGGAGGAGTACAGGTTGCAAAGGCAGCAGAAGGAGGAACGACGTCGACATAGGTACGAGGAGATCGTCGAGTCGGGGAAACGCCGGGAATCTGAGAAGGTATAGCATCTGAATTTTCCTTTCTTATTGTCTATCTTGTGATCTGCTTGTTTGTACACTGTTATGTGCCATATAGTTGTTTTCTTGCACCTTCTTGTGGATCGTCTGGTGTCTTGGCCACCGCGCCTTACCCCGATCCAATGCACAAAGATCACCTTACCCCAACCATTTGATTCAAACCCAAACAAAGAAATCAATGCTAAGCATTTTCTTTTGGTATTATTCCATGTGCAGGACGGAAAACATTCGGATTATAAAGACGACGGCGACAAATATTCTTTTTTAGCAGAGCGCCCCGAAATGCCGGCCGCGGCTGAACGCGATGAACGTGGTGCTTCGGGGCTTGAGTCTTCGGTCGAGGGTGCGCTTGCTACTGCCGCTGGCATAGATCTGCGCGAGGAGCTTCTGTACCAGCGGCCGCGGAGCCATTCGACGTCTCCTCCTTCTGCAGAAAGGGCCCTCGACCTGGCCCCCAAGTCCCAGAGTAGACCCTCGTCACCGCAGATGACCAGGGTCAGCGACCAATCTTCCCATCCCCGTCGCCAGTCCATGGCCCGCTCGACAACTGAGTCCCCCACTGCAGTGCCCCTGCACTTCCGCCGACCACCTACATCACCTGGTCTGTCTCGGGTTGTGCCCGTTGGGTCTCCTACAGCTGCCACTGGCTCCCCTACTACTTCCCCCAGCCAGACCCGCCACCGCCGTCCGAACTCCCTTGAGTTTAGGAACTCTCGTGAGATCCGGCCCCTCTGGCTCGTTGAGCGCCACGGGGCGTTGAAGGGTGATCTCAACGAGCCCGACGAGGTGTTGCCCTCCCTCCCATCCAGCAAGACCTCATCCCGCGCCCCATCCGTCGAAGACTTTCGCACTCTGCACGATGAAGATGCCGTGCGGAGCTGGGAGCCGATCGCACTCAGCCCGTCCTTGATAGAGCGCCGCGGACCAACTGGCCTGACCATCTCGACTTCCTGTGCCAATGATGAGGGGGGCCTTGATCTGCTAGACTCGCAGCAGGCCACGCCCACAGCGGATTATTTTGCGTCACCGGGTCATACTAGGAAAGAGAAGCCGACATATGAATTCCACTCTCCGTCGGAACTACTGCACGATCCGGCTATGTACCCGGAGATGCCACCCTCGCCTACCATGGGGTATCTTCCTTCCGCCGAGGGGTCAGTAATTGGTGCTAAGAATGTTGATGCTCCTGAGACGCCGACTCAGGAGAAGGAGTCCTTCCTGGGTATCTCTGATGCTGCTACGGGTATTGGGTTCGCGGGCATTGTTGACGCTGCAGCCATTGCTGCAGCCAAGAAGCATAAGCAGCCCGTTGCTTCTGAGAAGGATGTCCCCGAGTCATCTGCGGTGCCAAAGGACGAGAGCTCTACTCTTTTTACCGATAGATTGTTCTCAGTCGAGTCTGGCCCTCGGGATTCCGCTGCGCCGGCTCCCAAGATCGGTGACTTTGCTGACCTTGTCAATGCTGCTGTCGCCGCCGAGGTTGCGCATGATAAGGCCCCTGCTGAAGAAGACCTCGGGGAGCCTGGTACAGCCATAGAAGAGCATGCTCCCATGGAGCTTGATGCTGTGCCCGCAGTCGAGCCAGAGGCAACCAAGGAGAGGGTGCCTGAGCCTGCAGACAACCCCGCCGAGCCCGTTGACCCCGTGCCAACAGAGAAGCCTGTTACCGAGGAGGTTGCGACTTCATCGTCCACCAAGAAGAAAAAGAAAAAGAAGGGGAAGAAGGGTCAGGCTAGTGTTGATTCGACATCCTCTGAACCCGCGGATGTTCCCCAAGACCAGTCTCCCGGTAATATTGCCGCTGGGGAGCAGACTCCTGCTGCTGAAGCGTCTCAATCCCAATCTCGATCTGTCGAGACTGAAGGTGCTCCGGCTGCTGTTGAACAAGATGTCGCTGTTGAGCCCCAGCCGCAAGCTGACTCCGCGGAGGTTTCCAGGGAAATTGAACCGGAGACTGTGCCCGTTTTTGCCGCTGGATCTGCCGAGGCCGAGGAAATTCTGACTGCTCCAGAGGCTCAGCACGAGTCCGCCCCCGAGCCTGTCATCGCGGCAACTGAGCCCGAAGCTTCCATGACAGCAGCTGAGAGGCGAAAAGCTAAGAAGGCGGCAAAGAAGAAGGCGAAAAACCTTTCTATCTCGGAGTCCGTGGAAGATGTGACAGAGAATGCGGCACCCACCCAGCCTTCAGACGAGACAGTTTTGCATGAAGAGAACGCCCCAGAAGCCGACGCCGGTACTGCAGTTGAAACTGAAGAGCAGGATGTATTGCAGGATACTAATGCACATGGGTTCCCTGAACCAGCTGAGCAAGGCATCCCAAATCTCCCAGAATGCCAGGAGATTGAGGAGACTGTAGAGCAGACTCCGGCTGAAGAGGCATCCATGATCGTCGAAGACCTGAATAAGCCGATTGATGAATCAGTCTCAGTCCCGACATCGGATACCCGCGAAATCGACTTGTCGGAGTCCGTCGCGACAGAGATCGTGGAAAAGACTCAGCCAGATCAAGACCCTGCTCAACCAGAGGAGACTGTTACGCCTGCAACGGCCGTCGACGATGATGCTGCTGTACTAGAAAAGCCCGCTGAGAGCGATGATGATCTCTTCCACGAAGCCGTCGCAGAACAACCCGATGTCTCCGATCAAAAGAAAGACCTTCAAGCAGAGGCCCCAGCTGAGCCTGACCAGACCAAACCAGATGAGACTTCTCTGACTTCAGAGAAGTCAAAGAAAAAGAGCAAGAAGGACAAAAAGAAGCGCAAATCCGTTTCCTTCGAGGATTCTGCCATTCCCTCTGAATCTGTGGCCGAATTCCAGCCTGAAGAAAGTCTCAAGGAAGAGGAACCCGACCAGTCTGCTCCCACTGTTGAGGCTGAGCCTGAGGCTTTTGATGCTCAAGCCCCTCTGACTGGCGATGAGACGCAGCCATCTGTGCTTGGCCAGCCCGCCAAGGATCAGTCTGAATCTCCCGCTGAGGAAGCTGTCCCAGCGGCAGAATCTACACCGTCTGATGGTGCTGAGCCAGTATCTGCCATTGAGACTGCTGAGTCCACTCGGGAGTTGTTAGAGGAGCCCGCCGCCGAAGCTGAAGCCGAACTTGAGCCTGAGATCGTTATGACTGCTGCGCAGAAGAAGAAGGCTAAGAAAGATAAGAAGAAGAAGTCTAAGCAGCAGAGTGTGTCTTCGATTCCTGAGGAGGAGAAGCCTGTCGAGCCCCAGTCTGCCGAGTCTCAGCCCGCCGAAGACGCCCAAACAACCCCCGAGGTTGCCGAAAGCGTTGAGCCTGCCCTGGAAGTTACTGAGACTACGGAGACTGTGGAAACTTCTGGACCTGCTGAGAGTTTTGAGCCTGCTGAGATCGCCCAACCCATCGAAATGCCTCAGCCCGCTCCCGAGGTTCAAGCCGAGACCGCTGAAACAGCCAAAGAAATCCCTTTGGTTCCCGCCGAGCCACCAGCGGATGTCGCGGCTCTAGATGAAAAGCAGGATGAGCCAGTCGCAGTCGAGCAGCTCAAGGAAGATGAAGCTGTTCCTGTCTCCGAGACGGAAGTCGTTCGAGAAGTACCCGTCGAAACGACCGATGCAGATAAGCCTCAACAGGAGCCCACAGTGCTCGAAGATGACCCCAAGCCGGAGGAAGCCCCTGCTGAGCCTGAAGTCCCCATGACACCAGCGCAGAAGCGAAAGGCCAAGAAAGCCAAGAAGCAGCAGCAGCAGCAGCAGCAACAGGAAAACATTACCTCTGTTTTTGAAGAGACACGGGCTGCTGAGACTGTGTCCCCGGCCGAGATTGAGGCTGCTGATGCCAGCAAGGAGGTTCAGGATGCTCCAGAAGTGGAGAGCACAGCTGTGGAAGGCATACCAGCCTCTGTTCCCGGAGTTGTGCCGGGCAGCGGGGACACTGATGCCGATGAAGTCCATGCCGTGGAACCGGAATTAGGAGTTCCAGCAGAGACTCCAGCAGAGACTCCAGTAGACATCGAAGCTGTTGAGCCCGCTGGAGAGGTTCCGCCTGCCCCCGACGAAGTCCACACCTCAGTTGAAGCTCCTCAAGAGGAAGAGAAGGAGAACATAACTCTTGAGACCGATCAGCTCAAGGAAGAGGATCCAGCTCAGTTGCCCGTTGCTGAACCGCTCGCTGCCGCCGAACAAGAGACTCCACAGGGAGATTCCGAAGCCCCCACAACTGAATCGGAAGTCCCAATGACTGCTGCTCAGAAGAAGAAGGCAAAGAAGGAAAAGAAAAAGCAACAAAAGCGGCAGTCTACGCAGTTGGATGGGGAGCCCACTCCCGAGGCAGAGCCTGCACCCACGGAGGAAAGGGGTGTTGAGCAGACTACGGAAATGACTCCTGATGTTTCCGTTCCGGCAGGGACCAAGGCTCTCGATGATGCCGCGCTCACAGCAGCTACTTCGATAAACGCAGAGAATGACGACCAGCCCGAAGCTAGGCCAGATGTCGAGGAAACTCCGACTTCTGCCGATGTTGAGATGGGAGTGCCTATGGGGCCATCCCCGGATGATGCGGTTGCTACTACTACCGAACCCACCACCTCGCCCTCTGCCAATTTCCCAGCTATGCTTGAAGAGACTGTTCCTGAGACTACACCTCTTGAGGCCACCGGAATCAAAAGCACTGAAGAGGAGTTAAATGAGCCAACAGCTGAGAAGTCTCTGGATGAGACTGCTGTGGATGACCAAGTCATTTCTGACCAGCGCGACAAAGAGTCGGTCACCCCTGTCAATCCTACAGTGGAGTCTACTGCAGCCGAAGAGTCAACAACCACTCCCACTCCTGATAAGACATCGGCTCAACAGTCCGAAGAGGTTGAGCCGACTACTCCATTGGCAAAGAAGGACAAGAAGAAGAAAAAGAAGAAGAACAAGTCCTTGTGCCTTGAGGAGGAGTCACAGTCTGAACCTGTCTGGGAGGAAGAGCCAGCTAAGGCTGCCGAAGCTGCTGAGCCAAGTCTCGTGGAACCCGTCTCTGCTGAGAATGTTGAATCATTAGCCCCGATTGAGGAGCCTGAGCCAGCTACTGTGATCGCAGAGTCTCAGGTCATCAACCAACCAGCATCAGAAGGGAACGTCAAAGAAGAGATTACTCCCGACCTGCCTAGCATCGAGGCTGCTGAAGAGTCTTCCCAGCCAGCATCAGAAGGGAATGTCAGAGAAGAGATTACCCCCGACATGCCTAGCATCGAGGCTGCTGAACAACCCGCCCAGCCAGCTGAATCTGAAGTGCCTATGACACCTGCGCAGAAGCGAAAAGCCAAGAAGGACAAGAAGAAGCGCAAGTCTGTCGCTTTTGATGGAGACGAGTCTGCTGCTCAGACGGAGTCCCAGCCTGAGCAAGAACAAAATCCTGCAGTCGAAGCTGTCGAGTCCAAGGACATCACTCCTGAGCAATCCGCTCTTAGTGAAGAATTGAGCGAGGCCTCCAAGGATATCCAGCAAACTGCTGAAGATACCGCCCACGAAGCTGTCTCCGAGGTTGAGACTCCTGCAGTGGACTTAGTTGAAGCTACCACTGAGCAAGCTCCCGACACAGCCATTGAGCACACCGAAGCAGCTGAGAACCTAACGCAGGCTATTCCCTCAGAGAACCCACCAGACCAAGAGCCCAAGGAGCCAGAACTCGAGTCTTTAATTCCTGCCCAAGCTGAAGAACAGCCCGAGTCCCCCGTTGGGACCGGAGTTCCCTCTGGTGAAAAAACTGACGTTTCCGAGGAGGCTTCAACTGAATCTGCTGAAGCCACCGAGCAAACCGCCGAGGGAGGCTTGTCAGCTAAGGAGCGCCGGAAGCTGAAGACAAAGGAGAAGAAGAAGTCTAAGTCAGTGGACTTGACTGAAGAATCTCCTTCTCCTATAGATGCGTCAGAAGAACTTGAAAATCCGGCCGAGCCTTTAACCGAAACCTCTAAGGAGGCTGAACCTGAGACATCCAAGATCGAGGAGACTGAAGTTGCTATCCCGGCAGATTTGGATGCTTCCATGATCGAGACGACGGATGTTCCAAAGTCAGCGGATGAACCAGTCATCGAACTACATACTGCCGAGTCTCAGGAAGTTCCCGAAGAAACTGTCGAGGGCGAGGACACCAAGGTTCTCGAAACCACCGGACCTTCCGAGCCGGAGAGAATCGTCGACTCTGAGCAGACCGCTGCGCAGGAAATCCCAGAGCCCCAGGAATTAAACGTTAAAGTGCCAATCACTGAGACAACTGCCGACTTAGGGTCTCATCTGCCGGAGGCAGAATCAACACCCGAGCAGGCCGCAGAGCCAGCAGCTGAGGCAGGGCTGTCCGCCAAGGAGAGACGCAAGCTCAAGAAGAAGGAAAAGAAGCGTCAATCCAAAAACATCGACGCCGATGAATATGCAGCCGCCGATGCTGCTGCCGAATCCGAGCCCGCTTCCCAAGAGCCCGAGCAATTTGTGCCAACCGAGTTCGACACCGGGGAGCTCTCTGTACCCGTAACGGCAACCTCGCCTGCGGAGAATGACGGTAAAGAACTTCAGTCCCACGACATGGAACCACCCGCCGCGCCGGAAAAGATTTAGCTTCGACTGATGAGTTCTTGTCTTCGCAGGTAGAGCAGCCGCAGTTAGAGAGTCGTTCTTCAGATTGTCCTCCCCAGCCCGTGCTTGAGCGTGATTTTGATTCCGGTACAGTGAGTGGCGATGTGTTGGAAGAAGAGGATGTTGTGCCAGCTCTGGAGCAGTCGGAGGTGCAGAGTATTGGGGGAGAAAAGACTCATGGTGATGTCGTTGATGAGGAAGACGCGGAGAAGAAAGGTGGGATTGGTTTAGACTTTGAGCCTGTACAAGAGGAGGAACAGTTTTCCAAAATCGATGGGCCTGTCGCCAAGGAGAGGATTTCAGAGTCGAATATTGAGGATGTGACCGAGATGGAGTCAGTACAAGAGTCCCTTGCGGAACCATCCGTCGAGACTGCTGCAGATGTCACTCCCGTGACTGAGCAAGAGCCCGTTACGGAGGACATTGAACAGCCAGTCTTGTCCAAGAAGCAAAAGAAGGAGAAAAAGAAGAAGCAAAAGCAAGAACATACGACCGAGGGGGAAGTTGTCGCCCCCCAGCCTGAGTCGTTAGCCGCAGAACAGGAGGAACATCCGCAGGTTGTACCCGAGCTCGCGGAGGAGACTGATATCAAGCCAACTACCGAGCCTGAACCGACTACTGAGCAGGAGCCGGCACCAAATGTCGATGAGACTGCGGCAGAACAATCCCGGGATGTCAATCTCCATGTGGGTGCCCCTCGACCGTCCGAGGATATTGAATTTTCTGAGGCCGTCAAACCTGCCAACGAGGAGACAACTGCTCCCGAGGCCGAGCAATCGGATGAAGCGCCACTGTCCAGAAAGTTGAGCAAGAAGCAAAAGAAAAAGCAGCGTCAAGCTCTTCTTACACAGCCAACTGAAGCAGAAGCCGAAGCCGTTTCCGAAGAGCAAGCAGCTTTCAACATAGTCGCCCCCAAGACCCCTGCTCCTCTTTCCACAGCTTCAGATGCCCCTGTGCTTACAGACAAGCAAGAAGACACCCAGCCAATTGACACAAGCGATTCCCCGGCTCACCCTGCTGATCTTCTTGAGGACGTCGCAAAGGAGACAGAACAAATCTCAGCTGAAGATGAACAGCTGATCGCAACCGAAGCAGTGGAGCTGACAGAGCCCACGGTTGAGCCAATTTCAGAAGAGGTCAAGACAGATGAGGCTGAGCCACGCTCAGATCTTACAGATCCCACAGTCGATGCTCCTCCTGCTGATTCTTTTACTGAGCCGGTACCCACTGAGTCTACAGCGGAGGATGAGAACGAGTGGCCTACGGTGTCAAAAAAGATGAGCAAGAAAGAGAAGAAGAAGGCTGCTGCTGCTGCTGCGGCCGCAGCCGCAGCCGCAGCGATTGCGGTCGAAGAAGAGAGGTCTATTGAACCAAAGCTCACAGTCGAAGACCCGTCTCCTACCCCCAAGGAAGCAGTCGAGACCTCAGAAGAACAATTCGCTCTCGATGATACCCAGCAGACTCCTGAGATCGTTCGTGAGGCGCCGCAAGAACTCATTGAGAACGATCTCAAGGGCCTCCCTCCAGTGACTTCCGAGCCTATTGAAGACGTCACCGGAAAGCTTGCTGAAGAGGTTGAGCATCCCATGGAGACTACGGTGGAAGAGCCCAAGCATGAGGAAGGAGTAGAGGAGCTACCTGCTGAGGAGCCTATCACCCGAAAGCTCTCCAAGAAGGAGAAGCGAAAGGACAAGAAGCAGGCCCAGCAGGAGCCCATTGATGATTCTGCGACACCTATCGAGAGTCCAGCTGAGATCGTCGCTGCACCCGAGCCAGAGCTCGCTGCTGCCATAGAGCTCACCTCTCCCGAAGAGTCAAGGGAAACCATTCCCGAGGCTGAGCCTGCCATTCAGGAGGAGACTATAGCTGAAGTGATTTCCCAACCCACGCAACTGCCCTGGGAAATCGATGAGCCTCAGCCTGAGGAGACGAAGGAAATTGAGAAGAGCGAGCCCTTTATCTCTGTGGACTCATTCGATGCTCCATCACCCACTGAAGCCAAGGAGGAAAATGCTCCTGCTGGACTTGCAGACCAAGCCGAGGCGGAGACTCACAGCGAAGCTCCCGAGAATAAAGCCGATTTCGAGATTGCTGATGATCTACTCAAAGACCATCTTCGTGAGCCCGAGGTGATGGCACCATTTTCCAAGAAGTTATTGGGAAAGGAAAAGCGGAAGGCCAAGAAGAAGGGGATTATGGAAGACCGGCCCATGGAGGAGGAAGATCAGGTCGCTTCCGAGGCTACTCCAGTTGAGTCTCACGATTCTGAATTGCCAATGCCTGCACCTGTGGAATCTGAGCCTGTTCCGCCCCTAGTGGAGCTTAAGTCGACCAAGGAATTGGACATGGAGACTGAAACAGCCAAGGAGACTGAGCCTGCTATTGAATCTCAGCCTGCCTACAAGCCGGAAGCGGCTCCTGAATTCACTCCAATTGTCCCAGAAACCGCCACAGAGGAGCCAGATCCAGAACCGGAGACTACGATCTCACGGAAAGCTTCGAAGAAAAAGGCCAAGAAAGCGAAGAAAGCTAGTCAAGCTTTGGAGCTGGCGTCCCCTGCCGACAACACAACCGAACAACAAGAACCTGAGTTATCTCTCGAGCCGGAAACGACAGTCAAGGATCTCTCTCGTCCAACTATGCAAGAGAGGAAACGTGAAGAGGATGACTGGCCCACGATTGAATGGGAGGATGGTAAATCTCACAATAAGCATGAGCTATCCCAAGACAGAATTGCCGAGCCCGACCCAATACCCTCTGTTCCAGAGTCTGAAACTATTGGAGAGTTCGATGAGTCTGCCATTCCATCCGCATTACAAGAGGCCAAGGAGTTGGAGCAGCCGGTCGAGGAAGTGGTAGAAACTTGGTCTGCGCCACCGAGCAAGAAAGACAAGAAAAAGGCCAAGAAGAACAAGAGAAAGTCGGAGCAAGCAGCCCTGGCAGGATTCGGTGAGCCTGATGAGGAGCCGTCTCACAAGAAAATCGAGCTGGTGCATGATTCCCAGCCCGAACCCCCTGTGGAAGGCCCTGATCCGGCTGCCAAGGAGATTGCGAGTGAGCCTCCCGTCCGAACTACAACCCCTGGTGGCTCCAAAATTGCGAGCCTGTTTCCCGGGTTGGAACGTGGAGGTTTTCGGCGAACAGCCGTGGACAAGAGCTCACCGTCGCTAAAAGATAGTGCTGAGGAAGAGAACGCAGTGGACTTGGAAGCAAATCGTGGCATCGCGATCCCCGTCTCGGAAGCACCCCTAGCGACCCTCGAAACCCGAGAAATCCCCAATCTTCGCCCCGAGCTACCTACAGAGGGCAAGAGAGAGGTGGTGCCTACGACCATCGAACATGGGGTCCCAGCGGAGGATAGCCGTTCGCAAGATGAGTCGCCTATCGACCCCGATCTCCCGATCCATCGTGAGCGTTCTATTGCGGAGCAGTTCCCATCGCCAGAACACGCTGCCTCCAAGGAGCGATCCTCCATGCTTTTCGGCTCGTCCCCGTCTACGCGCACCGAAGAGGCTTCTTCGCCCCGGCACCTGCTGCCTTCTCAGATGGAGACCCCCAATGATTCCTCGTGTGGATTACGCCGAGCCCCCTCCGTGATTCACGGGCGGCATCAACATACCCCCCGGACGTGGAACTTGGATGAAGCACCTATCCCAGCCCAAGCCCCGTCGCCGCCTCGCTCCCTTTTTGGCGGACCATTTAGTGAGCATGAGCCGCATCCCCGACCCCGGACTCCGCTAGATACTATTGCGGAGCAGGAGCCGGGGGACGGCAACCATGCGACCACGGCTCATCGCGGTACTCCCCGTCTAGAGGTCAAGCCAGAGCACGTCTTGCCACGACCTCATACTCCCGTGCGGAAGTTTACAGACAATGCCATGGCGCGGGAAGGATGGCCGACACCGGAAAATGACCGAACGGGACGCAGCCAGGATGACCTTCCAAAATCCAGCGGCGAGTCGGCCTCGCCCATGACCAAATCGCCCGAGCAGGGAATGCCTGTGTTGAAGCCCAGCGGCAGCAAGGGCAAACTGCGTCGCACGAATCGCAGCACAAGCAGCGATCTGCGGGGCGCTAGCAAAGCGCTAGACTCCTCCCAGCCTCCCCCCAACCTCGATCTCGATCAGCTTCCCTCTTCTTCCTCTTACGACCCCATCACCGACAAGGGCAAGCGTCCCCTTCGAAACATGTCGGATGTTTATGTAAGTTGATATGTTTTCCCCACCTCACTCCCATCTCCCATTGCTTTGTTGCGATCGGGTGGTTTGTTTGTTTACTAACATGGCCCAGGAGGGATGGGGTGAGACGCCCAGCTCCCCGCGGTCGCCCAGCCGACCGCCTAGCGTCCGCCGCCGCCAGAGCATGCAATACCTTCAAGATATGGAGGTTCGCCTCGATCAACTCATCTCAGAGAACCGCCTGCTAATTTCCGCTCGCGATGAGGCCGAGGACAAATTGCGCAATGCCAGCGTCGCTCGCCGAAAGAGCGACCGGGCCCTCAACACCAGCGGTGCCGACTTGCGGGACAAGGAAGCCGAGGTGGAACAACTGAAGAGCTCGGTGGAGTGGTTGCAGCGAGAAATGGGGCGTCTGACCCAGGAGAACGAGGGGTTGACGGCGTCCAATGCTGCCCTCGCTGCTGCCCATGCTGCCGAAGTCCACACCGTGCGCGAGTCGTCCACAAGAGAACTGGATGACTTGCGGTCGCAACACGCCGAGCTGTCCACTCAGTTGGATGACCGTGTGCGACAAGAGATTGAGGAGGCCCTTGCCCAGAAAGACGCCGAATTGCGTCGGTTGCGGGAAGAGCTGGAGGAGGCCCGCGACAAGGTGAAGGAGCTGCAACAACAGATCACTTCGTCGCTTCAAGACAACACCCTCGTCTTCCGGGACGAGGATTACTTTGATGCTGCCTGTCAAAAGCTGTGTGGTCACGTCCAACAGTGGGTGCTGCGCTTCTCGAAGCACTCTGACAACCGTCGCTGCCGTGCTCTGAGTGAGCTGAATGATGAGAAGCTTGCCGATCGCTTCGACAATGCCCTTCTTGACGGCTCCGATGCTGAATCTTACCTCGCTGATCGTGTTCGCCGACGTGATGTATTTATGTCGGTGGTCATGACCATGGTATGGGAATACATCTTCACCCGCTACCTTTTCGGCATGGACCGCGAACAACGCCAGAAACTCAAATCTCTTGAAAAACAACTCGGCGAGGTTGGTCCTCGTCGCGCAGTCCACCGCTGGCGTGCAACCACCTTGACCCTGCTGTCCAAGCGCCCGGCCTTCACGTCTCAGCGCAATAGCGACACCGAAGCTGTCACCCTGGAGATCTTCGGCACATTGTCTCGTGTGCTTCCTCCTCCGTCACAGGTGGAAGCCCAGCTCCTCGAGTCCTTGCGCAAAGTGCTGCGTGTCGCTGTTAATCTATCCTTGGAGATGCGCACCCAACTGGCTGAGTTCATTATGCTACCCCCTCTTCAGCCCGAATACGACGTCAACGGCGACCTAGCCCGCCAAGTGTACTTCAACGCGTCGTTGATGAACGAGCGCAGTGGCGAAACCACCTCGAACGACGAGCTGGAGTCCCAGCAAGCCGTCGTGCGCATCGTGCTTTTCCCCTTAGTCGTCAAGAAGGGCAACGACGTCGGTGAAGGCGACGACGAAGTCGTTGTCTGCCCGGCCCAGGTCCTTGTGGCCCGGCCCGGCAAAGACAAGCGTGTCTCCAAGATGGTGAGTGGTGACCGCATGTCCCTGGATGCCCGATCGATGCATAGTGTTGCACCGAGCGTGGCGCCTCCCTCCGTGATGGACATGAGCAATGTGATTTGAGGCGTCACACTCTGATCCGGATTGCTCCCACCACTTCAAGGATGGCATTTACTGGTCACCGCCATCACCCCATTCGTCTACTTCTGCTTCGTTTTCTCTTCTTCTCTCATTGGATCGTGAAAAATGGTCTTTCCATTCTGGCATCTCCTTGCGAACTCGGTTTTCTTTTAGCGGGGATGGATATGGACGATTCGGAGTTTATGAGTTTTTTATTTTGTTTTATTTTCGTATTTTTTATTTTGTGCTTTGAAGATACGGCCGCTGCGTGTGTATTTACTATCTTTGATGTCTGATGAGTGACGACTTGTACTTCTGGCACGGCAATGTAATAGAATTTTCCCATTATAATTCAATATTTTGGCTCTTTTATGATACACAAGAAAACCAATGGCTTTAGCCATAGGTAGTGCGTTGGTCATTCTCTTGTAGGCTTTGTAGTACTTTGTGAAAAGATGTCCAGCAAGATATTTCCCAAGAGACAACGCTGAATCGTACATTTCGTGTAACTACAGTAGTTCCGAACCTTTGAGGTGCCACTATATATTGACAGGTACCTATTATGAGATGTTAATGCTGCTTTTGCGATAGCATAGACAGGACCAACAAGCCGAGATCATGTTTTTGCAGTCGCCGCTCGACGCTGACCTCATCGGTCCGCTTTGGGCAATCGCGTTAGGAGTCGTCCGTGGAACCCCCTCAGCATCGCAAGGCGCTCTCCCTCTGCCTCCCTCTCGCTAATTTCTATCGCTACTGGCCTCAGTTTCCAGATTCTTGAGGTGCTAGTTGTTGCTGTTAACTGCATTTGCTGCGCTCGCGCTCATTCGCTCTGCCTGGTTGCACTCCCTACCTGATGTTCCACCTTGTTCCGCCACACGCGTCATCTGCAGCGACCGTTGCCAACTCCTGCAGCTGCAGCTCCAGCTCCGAGCAAGGTCCCCGTCCTTGTGTCTTGTGGCACTGATTTTGTTCTCGAACATGCTGAGAACTATTTTGCCGTGATCAATAGCGCCCATCGCGACCGCCCAAGAAAAAGCCGGGGAAGCTCCCATCTCTCGCCTTCCTCCGAGATTGACAGCTCGGCGCAACTCAATTGCTTGACGAGCGCAGGCATCGACGCATTCTTCTGTGCAGGACGCTCTCTGCTCCGGTCAAAAGACTAGTGCCTAGCGCTGTGCGATCCGAGGATTCAACCTTACTACAAACAACTATAGGCCGCAGCGATGGATTCCCCTGGTACCCTGAAGCCCGGTCTCGGCGAGGCGGCTCCTGGACAGCAACGCGTTTCCTCCTCCCAGTCTAGCCCGAGAAAAAGCCCACAGCGCAGCAATTACCCACTTTCCACCGAAAACAAAGCCGGGAACGGCCCAATTGGCGGGCGCGAGCAAGAACACGGTCCGGCAACGCCCTCGGGGACCCGCTTGGAGACCCCCGCGCCAGATAATGGTCCTGCTGGCAAAACGTCCAAGTCTTCCAAGCGCAGGAAAAACCGCAATCGCAAGCGCCGCAACCGACAGCAATCGTTCCTCACTTCTAGTGTGGAAGAAGCTGATGACCGTCCTGGAACTGCTCAGGGGACTGGTGGAGCTAGAGAGTCGATGGAAGGCGATCGGCCAACCTCGAAGGATCATCTGCCGTTCTTCCCACTCCGCCGGAATTTGAGCAACACCAGCCTCGAGAGCGATGCTCTACTGGATCATCGGTAGGTGGTATCATCATGTTGGCGATTGATAATTGGTAGTTCAGGGAAATTCTAACCTTTGGCGCGCAACTATAGCGACCAACCTATGATGCGTCCTCGTCGGGACAGCCGGCCAGCGACCTCATTCCGTCCCAGTTCCCTTCTCTCTGGAGCCTTCCGGTCCAACGACGGCCAATCCCGCAATACCCCTAGGAGTGGTCGGGTCCAGCAGTACCAGGAAGGAGACAGCGATGGCTCTGATGCCAATGACCGGACACCGCTGATACGTGCTCCATCGGGTCAGGCCTCTGGCCTGTCCCGCTATGGGACAGACTCACGCTCCAGCCCGTTCTCGCGCCCGCGCCGAGCATCCGTCCAGACATTTTCATCGCAATACTCGCCAGGAGGTCACTACAGCCCACCCTATACCCCAGATGTGGAGCGCGACTACGATGTCAATAACCCGCCGTCAATCCCAGGAACACCGAAGCTGGGTCCAGACATGAACTATGATGACGCGGTGGTGACAGGGATTGAGTTTGATTTCTCGGTGGGACGATCGATCGATACACGCAGGGAATCGGGGAATCGACTCAACGATGCGGTGATCAATATGGAGAATGGAGCTCAACAACGCTCTGAACCGTCTTCGCTCCACTCCGGACATTATTCCCCACAAGAACTGCGACGTCGCCGTACAGTTGCGCTGCCGGTGGAGGAAGACGTCTGCTTCCCGACAGAAGACATTTCTGAATTGGGAGATGAAGAGAGGAGGGTGCCAAGAGATGAACAGGGTGAACGTCGTCGGCGCAGACGCCGGCAGTGGCCGGACCTGCCTGTGCTGGAAGAGTGGAGTCGCGAAGAGAAGGAAATTCGCGGCGGAGATCTGCGCGTGAAAAAGATCAGTGAACCGATGCTCGTTGAGGGCCGGCTGCGTCCCCAGTATAAAACGTGGCGGCGCGAAGAGGATGATGCACCTTACCGGTTCACCTATTTCAACGAAGAGCTCCAGAGCACCATCCATGCTCAAACTATCTCCGAGTTGGTACAACCTGGTGGTAGTTTCCGCGAACTTTTTATTCCTGATCCGCCCGAGTTGGAGGATTCGTCGAGTGAGGAGGAGCCAGACGGCGATCATTTTGTGAGCGAGAACCTTGGTGCTGGACACTGGGGCCATACTACAGGTAATGGGAGTCGAGGATCGGGTTCTTACTTTGATAATCATTCTGCGAATAACCATAACGGCACAACGTCCGGTGCTGTGGATACTCGAAATGGCCATGATTCTGCGTCTGGCACAATCAACGCCCAAAGAGGGAACCAAAACCCACGTTTATCTGTTATCAGCGAACAACGTCCAGGATCAACCCGTCCAGGGTCAACCCGAGAACATTCGCCGTCTCACTCGAATACCCAAGAAAAGCCCAAGCGGTATGGTCCTCGGCCAACCTTTTGGCTGGACGTGCTTTCCCCGACGGATGCCGAAATGCGGGTGATTGCCAAAGCGTTTGGTATCCATGCCCTGACAGCAGAGGATATCATGATGCAAGAGGCCCGAGAAAAAGTGGAGCTGTTCCGCAGCTACTACTTTGTCAACTACCGCACCTTTGAACAGGACCGTAACAGCGAAGACTACCTCGAGCCGGTCAACATGTATGTGGTGGTCTTCCGCGAAGGCGTGCTGTCATTCCACTTCTCGCAGACGCCACATCCGGCCAACGTGCGGCGACGAATCCGCCAGCTTATGGACTACCTCATTCTCAGCTCGGACTGGATCTCGTATGCCCTGATCGACGACATTACCGATGTCTTCGGTCCTCTCATTCAAGCCATCGAAGATGAAGTCGACGAGATCGATGAAAAGATCATGCAAATGCACTCGTCCAGCAAGGAAGGCGACAGCGTTCCCCCGACCTTTGGACCAGGAGAGATGCTGCGGCGCACCGGCGAGTGTCGGAAGAAGGTCATGGGACTGTATCGGCTACTCAGCAACAAGGCGGACGTTGTTAAGGGATTCGCGAAGCGCTGCAATGAACAGTGGGAAGTGGCTCCCAAGTCTGAGATTGGTCTGTATCTGGGCGATATCCAGGATCATATCATGACAATGACTGGAAACTTGACACACTATGAGACGTAAGTTTTGCCCTTTCCCTAGGTTTGCAGGTCTATCGTTTCTACTAGCATTGCTGACGGTGACATGTCTATCTGATATAGAATCTTGTCTCGTGCGCATTCCAACTACTTGGCGCAAATCAATATCTTGATGAATGAGCGCCAGGAGCAGACCGCTGATGTCCTTGGTAAACTGACTGTCCTGGGTACTATCGTGCTGCCAATGAATATCATTTGTGGTATGTGGGGTATGAACGTCAAGGTGCCTGGTCAGGACATCGATGACCTGTGGTGGTTCTGGTCAAGTATGTTTCCCCCTCTGCTTTGGGCTTAGCCTGTGGGTCTGATCCGATGCTAACTATGTATTATAGTCACTGGCGGCTTACTTTTCTTCGGCCTTGCCTCGTTCCTAATCGCCAAACGGGTCTACAAGATTGTGTAGAAGGGCCTCAGCCCGCCAACTTGTAGGATTTTGTCCACTTTGCGCCCCCACACCCTACCAAACGGGCTGCGTTTCCCTCTCTGACTGATACCCCTTGTTCTGTGTTTTATCATTTTGCGTTCTCTTTTTGACATGCCCTCCTAATTCCTTCTTTTTTCCTTGTAAATGGCGGACCTGTGAATTACTAAGCATTATTGAACGGTAGTCAACGGTGGAACAAGATACTCAATGCACCGGGCAAATTTTGAGGCGTATGATGAGAAGCTAGTTAGCTCAATTCTTTTGGCGTCGACGGATCGTGGGAAAGATGAGGAGATGGACTGATATACACGATAAGATAAATCTCATTCAAGAATACTATGCACACGTGCCGATCTTTCCACAATGCTCATAATGTGCCATCTAAAGAGTGGGTAAGGATAAGGTATGCGAGTACATTTTCTAAGTTAATAGGAACTGCTGTAGTATAGTCCAAAAGCTGTTTCAGGTAAAGCTGGATCATGCGACATACAAGTCACTATACGTACCAGATTTCCTCTACCGGGTGGGGCTTTCCTATTTCAGATACCGCCGCTTTAATAAGGGCGCTCAGAGTCAGGCAGCTTTGAGGGCTAACATATTTGTTACGGCACATGCCTAAGTCACATGGTCGTACAACTAGGCCAAAAAGACCACTATGTTAGCCCTCAAGGCTATGTAACATGCTCAGGACCGATACATACAGTGGCGTTCGATAAGTTTGAAACACCCCCATTGCTTACATAACTTTCTGCCACATTTTCTGCCAGCTAAAACCTCATATTCCACACTAAATACTAGTTAATAGAGGCAGTTTGAGTGTCTAAATAGCTTTAAATGACTTCAAACTGCATAAAACAACAGAGGAATTTACATATATTAAGCGTGTTAAAGCACGTTTGGGAGCGGTCGGCTCAATATGATGGGCGGTAGGAAAAGGCGGTCAAGAACGGAGTTTCAAACTAATGGAACGCCACTGTAGACTAGGCCTCAATAAGGCCGAATGAATCAACGGGGCAACTGGCGATACGATGGACTAGGCCTCGATAAGGCCGAAGGAATCAACGGGGCAACTGGCGATACGATAGACTAGGCCTCGATAAGGCCGAAGGAATCAAGAGCAACTATTACAGAGAAGATAAGCTTGTCAAGGGATAGCCTAGAGGGACGTGTATGTACAGCGTCACAACATGCCCTGAGCATTTTTGGGGTACTCTACTCCTGGTTGGAGCCAGATGCCCGTCTGCGTTTGCTTGCGTATAGTAACCGGTTCGACCTTCTAAAACTTTAATAAGATGCGGCATTAAAATTTTAACATTTGCTAGAGTGAAATAAAAACTAAATCACGTGGGCTAGATCTGCTGCATATATAGATTGATTTTAACATTCTAATCGACTTAAAATCCTACTATTCTCATCACCTCGGTTCAAAACCCAAAACAATGAAGCTCGATTTTCTCGCCCTGCTCGCCCTGCCTCTGGCCATCTCAGCCACTGCCTTGCCATGCAAGCGTGCAGATGGGACGCTCGACCCACGCTGCTATGTTCCCGAACCTGCTACTGGTTGTTACTGCAAAATGTGAGCCCCCGGCGCTCGGAGCTTCTCTAAATTACCCTATACTCCTCTTCCCAAACCAAATAGGTTAATCCCCTACTCTTAGGAATGTGCCTGGTCAAAACTTGGTTGGCACCTACGCACTCGGCAACGGATACATCCACGGATACATGAAAGTAAACGGTGGTGAAGGGTACGGGTCATCTTGCGCCGTCTCGTTCGATAGAGGTCAGGGAGGAGGGTGTGACGGCTGGAGACAAGTTGCTGGACCTACAGGTTATGGCTGTAACCAGCTAGAAAACACTTGGCTCGAGTGTGACCCGGTCTATTGAGGCAAATCAACCCGAAGCAGGTGCTGGGGTATTATAAAGTATCTTGTGTCGGAAATTGTCAAGGAAAGGAAGCTATATAGGAAATTTAAATCATTAAAATATTAACGCGTGCGTAGATTTTAAGTTGCTTAAAAGTCAAAGTAACTTCCAGAACATGGGGTGTTTCGTTACACCCGGGGGCAGGTTAGGGGAAAAGGGCAAAACTAGGGACCACATACGACTTTGCTAGGGACCACATATGTGCAGACGATGATGATGATGATGGTGCCCTGAAACGAAGGAACGGAGTGGAAGGGGTTATTTCGGCCATGGCTACACGTGAGGTACGCGGCTTCTTGCCGCGGAAGCTGTTCATCCACGGAGATCGCGGCAACGCAAACCAGGTTTCGCAACCGTCCGTTGACCGGTCCCTGTCTGACTCTGTAGCTATGACTGTAGCTACCTCTGTAGCTACCTCTGTTGCTACCTTTCTTGCTAGCTCAAGAGACTCTAGATAGCCTGAAAGCTGCATGAAGGCAGGAAACCAAGATCTAACCCCACTGGAAGGGAAAAAGAGAGCCTCAACCCTCTCACGAAAACTGGCGACGCAAGAGATGAAGCAAAAGAGACTTCCAAGAGTTACAGCAATCAGTATGACGATGATAAACGATACTATTCAATGCCTACAAGCGGTATCTGACCACATCTCAGCTTCCGACGCCATTTTCTCCAGGGAATGGGCCAAGATGCACCTCGCCGCGCAATTGCCACTGAGCAGGTACGAAGATATCATCGCGAGGGAAAGAATACAGATACACGGTGTGTTGGATTGTTTTTCTTCACAGACTGAACCAGAAGAAAAGTGCCCGAGGTGTGTTGCTGCGGATGAGGAGCGGTTATATGATTGAGAAGCCCCTCGTTCTTCTTAGCTACTGTAAGAACAAACGGTTAAGGACAAACGGTTAGGAAGTGAGTAAGGAGCGATAAGCGGCGGATTGCCCAACAACACTGAAAATCTTCGAACATACTGCTTCGGCCTTGAGTGGCACTCCGCCCCATCCTCAGCTTATTATTCATTCATCTGGATATATTGAACAAGAGTACAAATAAATAGCTCCATTACAAAGACAACCTCCAGACGGTCCTTTAGTTTCATGGCCTTTCCGAAGATATGTTCACTAACACTGAATATACTAGGTGAGGATGAAATATTAGACAGATGAGCTGTGGGCAAAATGCCGTTCGCTGGTCTGCGGCAGGTCCCCGCATCCGAGCAAGAGAGAGAGAAGGCTCCAGAATTATTTAATCAGGGAATCCTAAAACTTCTAGAACTTTTAACGTTAATTACCTCTTCCACGAGAATGGAAGTGCGGACACAAAGAAGATACATGGGCCATGTTATGGAATCAAAAGAGTAACCAATCGCACGTCCTAACTCAACTTTACTGAGATTACTGTGAGAACCAAATTCGTTCTTGTCAATACCCCAATGGTGGACCGAATCTTGTCTTGTAGCAGCCCTCACAATTTCTAGACCCTATAGCTACGTCATTGGGTCGATTTCCTCTTTCCGTTTAATACGTGGTGGGAAACGCTAGTTGGGACTTCTTCGTTTATTCAGTACACAGGCCTTTCGAGCAATCCATGGGCTAGAATATTTGCTGGCGGGAGAAGTGCTACTTCCTGATTCGTTCCTGGGAGCAATTGTGCCTTCTCTGTCTTATCAATTAACTCTTAGAAGATACCGTCGTCACCCCCTCAAGTAGCTTCAGTAGCTTCCTAAACCCAAAACTCCTGGAAATAGCTAGCTTACTGTAAGCCGGCAGAAGTCCCAACAACTTAGTTCTATTGGCTCTCTGTGACAACAAGGCATCAATGTAATTGTATCCACGCGAGGAATCCCTTCTTGTTTGGTGGCTAAGGGCTGTTACAGATCAATTGCAACGATGTAACTAAGTCTACGTAAGCTAAACAATATTGCTCCCAAAAGGAGGAATTCAGTAAATCATATTAAAATATAAAGTAAGCAATATGAATACAGAAGACTAGGCAAAATAATACTATACGACGCTGGTATCTTACGGAAACATGCTTGTTTGATATATCGAAAATTATACAGTACTTCCAAGTATTGTGGCTTGTCTGTATCAAAACGGTGGCTGTGCAAGTCGGTTTCAGGATCCGTAATTTTCTCACAGAGAAATACGGGCAAGGTGTATCAATTCCGGGCCGAAGCAGCCATAATGAAGCTCGATAATTACCCAGATATACCAGCGTACAGGAAAACAATTAATCAAGTTTTTGGGTGATTGCAGTTTTTTGGACTCCTAACGGATTACCTCACTTCATACTGAGTGCGGACTGTTAGTGTTCAACCAGAGACGTCCAATCTTTATAAAAATATCCATTTGCTGGCAATGGTAGTCATTTCGGTTCGACGCTAAGCTCCCAGGGTCGAGAGTCGACCAAGACTGACGTGTTACACTGGGGGCCGTTTAGCCGTCCGCTTTATAAAAAAGCTTAATATTCAGGCACTTCAACAGATATGGCTTCGTTTGGTCTTGGCGCTCAGAAGAAGCACCTTGCATTTAGATTTCTTCCACTTAAATTAACTGGTTAACGATACCATGCAGGCTCCTCTCACTCAGCTTCGGCTGGTGGATTATTCTCTGTAATGCTTGAAGAGGACCGAATTGCTAAAGTATGGCGAAGAATCGTCTTTGGATTTTGGTGGCACCTAGGGTTTCTTGCTGTACTATTGTCGTTCATCGGAAAACTGAAGAGAAATGATATTGGTGACGAAAGTTCACTGGAGTGGGGAGGGAGGTCGAGAAAACCCTTCCGCTTGTAAGTATAAAACTTCGTTAGGAAACCAAATCGGAGGGGTCCATCCATGTCCGGATTTGGCAAACGGTCTCTGCAGCTGCGATGGCCTGCGGTGCAAGCCTTGTGCCGGCATCTGGCAGGTTCTTGCAACAAGGGCGGTAAAACTTCATATAACAAAAGCTACTGATCTTCACCATTCAGTAAGGATGTTGTGAAGTTTCGATATAAAGCCCAGGATCCGAAAACTGGGAGACATATCAGTCCACATTTGGAGGCTTGTTGAGGTGATTATCTCCTCAAAGCAATCTTTTCTCAGCACGCCGTATTTCTCCTTGACTGCAAGGTAAAGAGCCGTTTTGGTTACCAGCTGTTGCTCTTGGTCAGAAAACAGGTATGTCAGATCAAAATAATGGAAACTAAGACTAAATCCAAATTGTGCCATACTTTCACCATGCCTCACAAGCTCTCACCTAGCGGAAACATCGCCGTGTCGAGAAAATCGAGAATGATATAGCATAGGTAAGAGTCCTTACAAAACGTCTCGAGATCGCTGCAGCTCTATGGTCTGCCCTTTTTTGTTTTTCATAAGGAACCGCAGTTGATGGAGACTCAGTCATTTGCGGACAGACTCTTGATCACACAGTCGAGTTGATCTGAATGTCAAGTTGGTGGCAAGCCAGGCAAAGTTAAAACCTGCCAAGGGACAGGCCACGCCAACGCTGAGTAGTCTCAGAAACTGTCAGAAACTGTTGTTTTACTTTTACTTGTACTTGGGAATCTGTGTAAAATCTTACTCGTTGATTGGTTGGCTGCTCTTTCCGTGGCTATCCAGCCAATCTTTGTGTATTTTTCTGCCGGACGGCCCTCCCAACAGCTTCACTTTCTTCTTTCTCGGCTATCAAGCGCCCAGGGCCTAGCGCTCTGAGCTTAGCGCCTACCTACAGTAGTTGTATTAGGATGGATCTATAGCAATATCCAACTAGCCTATCAATGCCAGAGTTCTTATTAGCGGTAATAACCCTAGCGCACGGGACTGGTACAGATTACCGGCAAGCGAGATGTGGGTTCGTTGGGGTGTTCTTGGCTTCCGGCAAGATCGACGCCTAATTGCTTATGTCTAACGACATTGATTTTCCCCCCTCGGAGATTGTCCTCCATCAGGCCTCTAACGCAGGTGTTTCATGATCAACCTCGTCCCATCGCTTAGAAAGTTGGTGGGGCTTCCAGTCCTCGCCGTATCGGCCGCCCTCCCACCAGGCGTGCATGAAATCCTGGCCCGAGCATAGCATCCCATCGGCGGCCTGCATGTCCTCAGCGCCGTCCAACCGGGAGTAACGTAGAACACGGCCGCGGTCGTCGATATACACAAGTAGTACGTTCCCCGGCGCATAGTTTGCCTCCTTGTCATAGATCAGCACATGGCTCCATTTGGCCGCTAGGTGAACCATCGATAGAGCATAATCAAAATTGTCCATACAAGCCTCGATAGCCTCGTCTCGTGTTTTCCGCTTCCTCTTATTGTACCAAGCAGCAAACCCTGGTGTCTCCTCGACGATTTGCGGGATACGGGTTAGGATATTATGCAGCGACTGTAAACCGTCGTTGGATCCCGCATCGTAAAGTGCGGCATCGTCGAAGACTGTTCCGTCGTACTCAGCCTCGGAAATCAGCTCGGCCAGGTTTTCTTCCGAGCCTTCGCCGTAGAAAGTGCGTACGAGACGTGTATAGCTAACTCCCTGGCGGTCCGACGCACTACGGACCCGAGCGAGGAGATTCTTCTCGTCTCCTATGATATCATCTTTGCTGAGAGATATCTCCTTGAGTCGCTCTATATACGGCTACAAATCATGATTAGCTATTGGTGCTGCACGTAGGGTACCTGAGATGGACTAACCATACGGCCACGCGACCCAAGCTCTAGCCACTTGCTAAGAATCGCCGAGCGCTGTGTATCGTCGGAGATGGCACGGTCAATTCTCCATTGGTCCTAGCAGACAAACCCATTAGTGTCCCACTTCATTTCATGATTTGAGGGGTTTCTGCATGTGATCACCAGGAGATACAGGTCGGCGGCATGGATTATCACGGTCTCCTGGCTGTGGGAGCGTTTCAGGGCGTAGTCGCTAGGCATTGTGGATTTGTGGACGGAAAGGGGCTGGCGAGGGAATAGCGTTGAAATCCTAGTCCCTTTTGTACCTGGGCAGGGTCACTACCGAAGGTTAATCCAGAAAGAAGTGCGAGGTCAAACTTGGGCTGCGAAATGAAAGGTGAAAGATGCATGTCTAATAACAATTCCCAACTTCCCATGACAGGAAGCGGGACCCAAGGCGGGGGTAGCCAGCGGGGTCGGATTATCAACTCCCTATATATGTGAGATTCTTCACCTTGTATTCGACGGCGTCTACTGTTGATTCCATTGCAGGGCCAAACAGTCTAGAAATATCATATCCCAACACCACACAGGGCACCAATATTTTCACGTTTGCCCTCGCGCAGTTGCCTCCAAGCTGGACCCTAATCAAAAGAAGGTTGTCAATGGCCTTGAAGAACTGCCATGTCTCAATGTTGCTGTCAACGTGGAGGGTCTGGAGAAGCTGTCGGTCATCTATGGTGCTACGATTGAAGATAGCCGTGTCTACCACGTCTCCTATATTGTGCCATCAGACTTTGTGGGCACGCCCAGGATTTCGTTCATGTTCAAATATACCTGTTAATGAGGCTCCATGTGAACTATCTTCCTGACGTATTGCTCGGAGCACGGCGATTTTATTTGTCTACCCTAATCGTTGTCAATCCCTAGAAAGCTGCTTGAAGATTTGCACAGAGTCAGGTCAAAATTAACAAATCTTCGTTCTTGAAAGCATATAGCTTCTCGTGTATGTATGTACATAAGCTTCCGTGGTTACGCTGCACATTCAAATTTCCATTCAATATCGTATACATCATCTGTTTCAGCCAGCTGACTGCGCGGCCAATGCAGCTCCTAGACTGGAGCCGTGATCCGCTACCCCAATACTAATGAGCTTTTCCCCTTCCACTCCAATACCCGGGATGTCCCGAAGGGCTCCCCGAATATAGTGTTCAAAGTTAGGGTACGACTCGAAGAGTGAGCCTTCTACCCCGATATCAACCACCTGCGGAGTATCTGCAGTATCGGATGATGGCGAGAAGATGGACTCGGTGGCTTGTGAAGAATAATCAAGGGGTTTTGTGTAAAGGCTTCTGATACGGTGTGCGATACCATTGAAAAGTGCGGTCACCAGCGCACAAAGGTTTCGAGGCTTATTATGCATCCTTGTCCGAGTCGAACGTTCAATGTCCTCATCCTGTGAGACAACATCGGAGCTGCCTTTGACTTTCGTCGTGCATCTATTACATGAAGATGATAGCCTGCCGGATTGAAGGATGATGGCCGCCATGGCCGCGCCAGCTAGACGACCTGATCGTTGAACCACCGCCTTGGCTATTAGCCTTACTGCGCGCGCATCATTGATCGATACCTGTGTGACACCAGCATAGCGAGCTATGGTTTGTTTCGCGGCTTCATAAACCTCATCAGGATCATCGGCCAGCCGAGCAAGAAAGGACGTGTCGATGCCATAAGGAATAAAGACAGGCGAGGACGGTTCGTTGGGTTTCATATCAAATAAGCCTTGGTCCAAGAGGTGCAGAATAACCAGCCGCACGATCTCCCCAAGGTAGAGACCTGAAACACGCTTCTCAAGTAACTGTTTTGTGGGATTAGATGAGGACTGATCAAGCAGCGTATCGAATTGAACAACCGTTCCCAGCGCCGCTGGCTCGTCGTCGCACCATCCTCCCCACTCGGTGTTGATCACCATGAGCTCCTGCCCCGGCGCAGTATCGGCTCTGGCGCCAGTAGAGCTACCAGCCAGTTTCAGCACATTCTCACGTCGCTCGACATATGCAGCGTTTGTCCCGGTTCCAAAGATAGCGCCCAAGAGAGTCGATGATCGCCACAGGGAGCTGTATGAACGAGCCAGCAGAGTGCCTACGCTGTCGCTGGTGATTGCTGCCACGCGGACGGGCAGACTCAGTCTGTCGATGGCGCTCTGTAGCATCTGGCTGGGGTCTTTCCCGAGAGCGTCGGGAATATCCCAACCTTTATCCCACTGGAGAAGAGTTCCCCTTTCGAGGCAAGTGTTGGTGAAAGTAAAACTGAAGGTGAACCCGAGCTTGAAATAGTGGCCTTGAGTTGGTTGAGGATTTGAATTGATCTCAACGTGCGTCATCTCTTCGGCATGATCCTCCATAAATCTGGCAATATTGCCTGCTATAAAGTCGAACAGAGGCTCATGGCTGGAGTTGACCATGAGCTCCTTAGGGATAGTATCCTTGGCCTGTGTGATGGTGTAGGTTGCGTCGCCATGGAGATGGATGAGGCTGACTCTGCAATTGGTGCCCCCGAGGTCGACAGCCAAGTATATGCCTTTCTCGGTGCCATCTGGAACTTTGGACACAAAGGTGGGAATCTGTGCTGATCCATTGTGTCGCAATTCCGTTTCTGTACGAAGCATCCGACTCAGGGTCAGCAATCAAAAGCTTTCAGGATATGCTCCCGTCATCAAATTGACGAGAACGATCATCATGGGCAATTTCGTACGTAGCCATTCATGTAGACTCTGAGTTGTGCGCGCAATATTGAGCGCATCGAGCTCAAAGTCACGGGCAATCTTTTCGGCCTCAATGAGCAAGCGATTACTGTTCGCGGTGGCTTGCAGCATTGCGCTGCTGTAAGGACAAGGCCGGTGGTGCGGACGGGCTGGAGGGGTTACCTACCGAACTCTCTATGAGGCTAGCTTTTCGACTTATGCTTATCATGCGAAGAGCCGTCTATTGGCAGCCAAACAGCCGTAAAAGTAGACGGCAAACCCAGGTACTTCATATATGAAGGCCGGAAGCTCGGACCCTACTCTGACTAGAACTAACACAGTTGATTACCTGGAAGGGAAATTGGCAGCTAACTCCGTGTGGAGAGGGGCTTTGCCAGTCAGACACTGTCAGTGTCATCGCACACGGCGAAGTGACCGGTGCAGTCCGGCAAACCCCGGGAATTCGGGCTTCAAATCTGCGAGACAATATGCCGAGTTTTTGCCGGGCTATGGCTCGGGGTCCACCGCCCGGTGCGGGAGCGGTGTTTACCAGTCAAATAGCTAGTACTTTGACTGCACGGATAAAGACACCGGACCCATACTCCCCATGATATCGGTTGATGAGTCCACGAACTCCCGTAATTTGGGTTTGGACAAATGAGTTGAGTGGCTGGAGACACAAGGCGGTCTCGGACCCCCACAAAGATAATCACCAGCTCTTGCGTGGATCTCACATACCAACCGGTGTTCTTGAAACCCGGTTTTAGAGCCTGCATTTGGTTCTGAGTGGCCACATCCATCATTTTATATAAGATTCAACTTGTAGTCTGCCGGCAATAACCAAATAACGAGAATCGCCGACTTCCGCCGATCGACCCCATGAGTGACGCTTCAATTTTGAGTTGGTCTTAACGGTCATCTCAGCCACGTCGAGCTAGCCAGGGGCCTCATTTTACCCCATCCTGATCCTTCTAGAATCCCGTTATCTATCGCTCATCTCGCTTCCCCACTCGATGCTTATCATAGACCCACGCTCTAAAAATGGGCAAGCCTTGACGGGCGGTTGACTTGGCCATTCTCACGCGCATTGCCCACACGCGATCCAAGATCAGCGCGAGACTCCAGTGCATCCCTCAATCTTCTGTATCACTGAGCGTATATTCTCCACCAGTGTAAGATGGCACAAAATAAATGAACAAATACTCCACCTCTGTTTCTACAGGCACCGGAGCAGCACTTTAATCAATACTAATGAAACTACCGACCTGGCGAAGCTCAGATCCTCAACGCACGTGGTGCATCGAGTCCTGGATTCAGTCACTTGTTCACAGAAATCAGCAAGGTTTTTATATAGTTACCTATAAAACAAGTCAACTGCCGCAAGCAAAAGAAGACATGCTCTGTTGATCACGCAAATAGCTGCCGCCGAGTATTGGAAGCCCAACAATTTCCGCTCTTCTGAAGCATCCCAAACCATCATCCTCCGGCGTCACAATGGACGTTATTCGCCGCCTCGACTCCACCGAGAGTTATTTTGGACTTTCGAGCCATCCGAGCTGCAGGAGGATAGCGCTGGCTCCAACCAGCCACAGGCCTGTCCGATAGAGCTCGGCGATTTGAACCTCTATTGCAAGCGGCCGCTCGGACATATTCAGACCTCACCAACATACGCCTCCGCCTGGGATCCTTTCGTGTCACAAATGAACCTCAACTGAGCATTCGTGGCCCATTGATGTTGCACTTTGCGCAGGCCATCCAGAGAATCAATGCACCATAGTTTAACTGGCCCGTCATGCAATCCAGAGCCTGACTTTTGGAACACCTCTTCAATGAACAGGCCTGAGTGACGTTTCGTACCCGGTGTAGGCCGTCTCATTGGCAGAAATGCTACACGTGATGTGATTCGGCGATGCATGTCCAGGCTTCAAAGGGATGAGCCCAGCAGTAATCTTCTAGAAAAGAGCAGAGCCATCCGGCTAAATTCACCGACCGGCAAGTTTTGGCGATTTTTGCCGGGTGGGCGCGTATCTCGGATGGTTAGTTCCGCGATCAAAGCTTCTAAATGACGCCTCTTAGCCAAACCATATGTTCCTGATGCCACCAGACTAAGGATAAACTTGTAAAACGTGGCTAATCCTCTTCCCTACTCAATCTTCCCGAATGTGTACCTAAGTACATAAGAGCCTACCGGCAAAGCGTTACATGCCCCATCAGGATTCCATATTTTGTATTTATGATCCTTATTCCACAGATCATTACTTCACCCAGCGACACACTCCCCCTTCATTACCCCTCTGTGTACGCTAGCAATTTCAGATCTGCGCCTAATTTCAATTGGTGGGGTGTAGAAGACTCGAGGCGGGGGTTCTTGCATTGACTTGGCATGTCCCATCTTCAACCCCCTCCAGCTATCTCGATGGTGACCGTCTTCCCAATCTACTTTTCGAGTTCTCTCAGTCGCTAATTTGGCAGAAACGACAATAATAACTCCAAATAGTGACTTTAACAGCCACGGTATTCAGCCACCTTTGCAGGCTCATTCCTCTTCAGGACAATTTAGATCATGTCTTTTCCCAAAACTGTGGCCGACTGGAACAATCTCAAGATCATCCACAAAAACACTCTCCCACCACGGGCGCATTTCTACTCCTACAGCTCCGAGGAGAAGGCTCTCACCTTTGACCGTGACAAGAGCGAATATTTGTCTCTCAACGGGACATGGAAGTTTCGCCATGATGCGTCTCCTTACGAGGCGCCCGATTGGCTGTCAGTCGATCCTCTGAGCTGGGACGACATCAAAGTCCCGGGGATGTGGCAGCTCCAGGGCTATTCGCATCCGACATACACCAACGTCAATTACCCATTCCATGTCAATCCTCCCGAGGTGCCGCTTCTCAACGAAACTGGGTCCTATTGGAGACGGTTTGAGACACCACCCTCGTGGAACGGACAACAGATTCGCATTCGGTTCGAAGGAGTTGACAGTGCCTTCCACCTTTGGGTGAATGAAGAAGAGGTTGGATACTCCCAAGGGTCACGCAATCCCAGCGAGTTTGTCATAACTCCCTTCCTCCACCCCGCCGGGTCGGTGAACACCATTGCAGTGCGTGTGTACGAGTTTTGTGATGGATCCTACATTGAGAGACAGGATCAGTGGCTTCTTAGCGGTATCTTTCGAGAGGTCGGTTTACTGGCCTTCCCACCACACTCCGTAGTCGACTTTAACGCCGTTGCAACGCTGAGCAAGGATCTATCCTTAGGCGAGTTGCTCACCAGTGTCACCACACAAGGTGAAAGTGGCTTCGTGAACATCAAACTATACAAGCCCGATGGCACGCTACTTAATGAGGCGGTATTTCCATCCACCAAATCTAAAAGCATTCAGGTATCGGGTGATGACTTGAAGCTGTGGTCAGCCGAAGACCCCGCGCTGTATACCGTACTGATATCATTCGATGGTCGTACAATTCCCCAGCGGATTGGCTTCCGGCGTATTGAGCAGAAGGACTCCAACTTCTTGGTGAATGGCAAGCCTATTATTTTTTATGGCATGAACCGTCACGAGCACCACCATCTCTACGGACGCGCTGTACCGTATGAAAATATGCGTGCGGACCTCCTTCTGATGAAAAAGCACAACATCAATGCCCTCCGATGTTGCCATCAGCCCAATGACCCAAGGCTCTATGAGGTTTGTGATGAGCTGGGCCTCTACGTTATAGCCGAGGCAGATCTCGAGGCGCACGGCTTTGATCCCGTGGAGAGGTCTAACATCCCAAATCAACATCTCATGAGCGAACAGGAGATCCAAGAGATGTCGTATCAGATGGCCGCAAAATGGACCTCGGACAATCCAGAATGGAAGGACGCCTATCTTGATCGAGCTGTGCAGCTTGTTCAGCGCTTCAAGAATTTTCCATGCATTATCTTCTGGTCACTTGGTAACGAGGCATTCTACGGCCAGAATCATGTCAGTATGTACAAGTGGATTAAGGAGGCTGATCCGACCCGACTCGTGCACTACGAGGGCGACAGAGATGCTATCAGCGCCGATATTTACTCCACTATGTACTGGAGCCCAGACGCTCTCAAGAAGCATGTCATTGAGAAGCCTGATAAACCCCTGATTCAGTGCGAGTATGGCCATGCTAGTAAGTCTGATATTTGGATCTGATGTCGCTCTGGAATTGTATTTTAACTTGTTTCATTCCAGTGGGCAACGGTCCCGGCGGCTTGAAGGAATACATCAACGCTTACCGCAACGAAACACTGTTACAGGGTGGTTTTATCTGGGAATGGTGCAATCATGGTCTTCTGAAGAGAGACGGTGACGTGTCATACTACGCCTACGGTGGTGATTTTGGAGATCAGCCCAATGACGCCGACTTCATTCTCGATGGAATGGTGTTCTCTGATCACACCCCCACTCCTGGACTGGCCGAGTATAAGAAGGCTATTGAGCCCGTCACCGTGTCATTGAAGGAAGGTCGCCTGGAAGTGGTAAATCACTACGATTTTAGCACCCTTGATCACCTGTCCGTTTCGTGGCACATCGTCAGGCAGCGGGGAAACACGAAGCCAATGCCATGGCTTCTTCCCCAAATCAAGCCCGGGCAATCCATGCTACTTGATCTTCCAGAGGGAGTAAGCTTTGGCTCGGAGCCATGCTGGCTCACCATCAACTTCTGCCTCGGGGAGTCCAAGGCATGGGCCCCACAAGGGCATGAGGTCGCGTGGGCGCAGATTCCCTTATTCGAGGAGCAGAATCTCACACTTCCACTCGCCTCAATCTCGCCATCCCTAACACTCTCGGTACGCGAAGGGCCAGGTAGACTATACATCGCTTCGAATAATTTCGCTTCCCACTTCACGTACGATGTTATCAGAGGCGATCTGTCCTGGTCCACTGAAACTGGCAAGATTCTCCACAGCGGGCCACAGCTCGGAATTTACCGCGCCTTAACCCAGAATGACCTCGGCGCAGAGGGTCCCTGTGTCGAGTGGAAAAGCTTCCGCGTGGAAAGCACGCGCATGCGTGTCAAATCTTCTATTTGGCATATTAATCAGAACGGAAGCGTGTCCATCGCTACCAAAGTTCGCGTTGCACCCACAGTCCTGGAGTGGGCAATTGAAGCCACACTCAATTACACAATCACCGCGTCTTCTGTTAGTCTCCATGTCAAGGGTGACTTCTTCGGCACGCATCCTAAATACATACCCAGGATCGGCCTTACCGTTCGCTTACCCCGCGACTACGATGCCGCTACATGGCTTGGCCGAGGACCTGGGGAGTCTTACCGCGACACGAAGGCTGCGGCCCGGTTCGGGATATATACAGCCGCTGTTCATAACGGTCTCGAGACCCCGTATGAGTGGCCACAGGAGAATGGCAATCGCATTGACACACATTGGGTCCGTATTCACCAGTCAGCCCCAGGTACCTCGGACTATTCCTCCGCCGGTGCCAATTTACCTTTGCCGGAGATAGAGGCCAGAATGGATACGCCCTTTAGTTTCTCACTTCGTAAATATGCCACAGCAGAGCTGGACCGCGCCAAACACCCTCACGATCTTTCAGAGCTGAACCGCGAGACCGAATTTAATATTGATCTTGCGCATCATGGAATTGGTACGGCGAGCTGTGGCCCTGGCCCATTCAAGGATCATAGATTAGAGGCGGGACCGTTTGAATTTACCACGCTTTTTAGGTTGATTGCCAGCCAAGACAATTGAGCAGAATGAATGGCTGATATTGTGCGACTTTACGCGGCGTGCCATGAAGCATTTGGTTTGGGAGAGTATGCTAGTATAGGATAATCTGACCTCGACAAATTTCTACAAATTGATTTCATGTTTGAAGAAAAAGGTATGTCAAAGTCGGCAGTGCATTGCTGAGCCATCGATAGGATATTCTAGAGCAGGAGTGGCGCAAAGGCTTTAAACCAGGACGATCAATAATATTATCCGTCCAAGTGCTCTTCAAGGGACGGTGAAATATGTAGTTGTATCCTCCAATAAGCAATATATCAATGTTCTGGCGAACATACAGACCATATGCGATCTAAGGAAACAGGCAGATGAAATTCTGTTTCACTTGTGAAGATCCCATGTTTTCTATGAGTATGCTCGTGTGATGGTGATCTGTTTTCAAAAGCGCGCAAGGATTCCCGGTGCAAGGAATGTAGGTGTTACAAAGACCCAAAGGAGACTATTCCAATCTTTCACCATCTAAAGTTTGGCATAGTGGCTTTCTCCTTGACATATACAGCTGTGAAAACCCGGGTGCATAATCTAGTCTTTGATTCTGCCGCTTCTGCGTGTATCAATATTTACTTCCAAACATTGGAGGCTACGCATGGAGGTGCTTCTGTTTGTGCATCATGCTGCGGGGATGATACTGCCGTACGAGCCGATCCGGATTCATGGCATTTAATGAAGGAGAAATTTTAACAGGGCAAAGTAAACCAAATGCGTTGATGGAATCAAGCAATATATACCCAGTTGTTACTTAACTAACTAGTTTATTATCAAAATGACTAATGGGCCATGATGCGAATTTGGCCTTGGTCTATGAGATTTACGATACTCTATATTTGTATTAGCTGTATAGGTGGTTTTGATCACTTTTCTAATTGGCGGGGACTGTGCGTACACTTTGCTGTATTCTTGCCTGCTGTCAAATCCTCGGCAAGGCTGGCTAAAAGTAGGGCAAGCTAGCCGATGAGGTCATCATGACCCGACAGATACAATTGACACGGTATTGTTGTTACGAATGTGACAAGCCACGGCCACGTCAGAGACGCCGTTTTATTACCATTGGGCGTCATCCCCTGTCTTGCACATTCCCCCAGCTTCTTCGGCTGTTCTTCTCAACGTCCTTCCGTGTGTCGACCCCAACTGAAGTGCCGCCTCTCCTCTTCCTTGTTTCCGGAAAATCACGACTCTTGAATTCTCCTCTTCCTTGCGCTGCGTCAGCTACTCTTCAGTTCACACCTGCCCATCGCTTCTAGACCGACATCCGCGTGCTTCCCTGCAGTGCAAAAGGCCCGCCCCTTCCTTCTCAGACGTGGACCGCGGTCATTGGCTTTTGCCGGGCCCGGCCCTGACCGTCCACTCTGTCAGCCACTTTTCACCCGAGGTCTTGGACACCGACATCTCTGCAGGCGCTCTTCGGGAACCGGACGGACGCCACATCTCCTCACTTTATGGGCACAAAACAAGTCCAAGCCCAAACGTTGAACCGGATCGGCGGTCTCCATCAGTGAATCCCGCCAACCATAACCGATTATACTACGCCGCCTAGTTCTAGACGCTCTTCTTTTGTCCGAGCCCCCGGAAACAAAGCATCAGCCCAGTGATGGCCGCCGTGATTCTGTGATCCAACCTTTTTAAACAGGACACCTCGTCTCCATCGCTCCTCCTCATTTTACCCACAACACCGCCGTCCATAACCCATACGATCCCTGCAAATCCGAACTTGCAGCGTACATACCTCCCTCCCCCCATCGTTCCTCCTGAGCCCCGTTTGGAACCAACCAGCATGTGGATTTCGGCTATTCGCTTCGCTGCACCGGTCGTGTAACGGCCCGTATCTCCTGCGCAACATACACACTCGACATCCTGCGACTACCCCCATTCGCTGTTTACTGTTAACAACTCATCCCTCCTACACCGTGCCGCCTCCCTGTTCGTGGGTTGTACCTTGCTTTTTTCAGCTCCCTCTTTGGCACATCTTTGGGACATCATTCCTGCCCAACTTGCCAGGCTTCCTCTCGGGTCTGCTGACTTGTCTACATCGTGTCAGCGCACCCTGACTCGGTCAGAACCATGGCTGCGGAGTCCGAGAGGCCGCCTTACCTCAATGGTGCCTCTGAATCCAGGGGGGGCCAAGGAACCAGAGGCGGCCCCAGATGCCGCTCATCGGTCGGCCAGTGAGGGTAATGACATGATGGAGGTGTCCCGCCCGGCCGTCAAGTCCCAGGGACAGGCCATGTCGCAAGTGCCCAAACTCCTTCCTAATCTCCCTGACTATTCCGTCCCGACGTCCGCCTGCAACTCCGCCGTCTCCTCCCGTGAACCCTCCCCCGTCAGAATCTCCTCGCGTCCCGCCAATTCTCCGTCCACCAGCCGAGCATCTTCTCCAACACGAAAAGGCAGTCAAGATCGGGCGAGCCCGGTCCGAGCCCCTACCAACGGTCACTCGTTTGGCCTACCCATACAATCCTCCTCGTCTGCTCAGCAGTCTTTGTCGGCGCATCCTACCAATCCTATCCCAGTTCTTACTCCTCCCGCCTCCGAACCACCAGCCAATGTTCTCAGTCCGGAAAAGCACAATATGCCATCATGGGCGGGGAATCGTCGTACAGATCAAGAGTCGACCCCACCGAATACCTCCCACAAGAGAGCTTCACTCCCGCTGCCGGAAGAACATGGAAAGGTGGACCGAAGCACGCCTCGTGCGGTCACGAGGGGTATCGGTACTCAAAGTCCTTCCCTGGAAACGGTTCAAGAGATGGCTAGCAATCCATCTACTCCGTCCAGCGACACTGCACTTAAGCCAACCACCTCGGATGACGCCCGGCTACACACGGTTGATGAAAACCCCATTGAGCGAGCCTCAAAGCAGAATGCAGAGAGCGGCAGTGACAGTGGTGGCAACCCCAGCTCGAAAGAGGAAAGTCGGTCTCATACCACCGGTGCAGCCAAACTTCCAGGGACTATCATGCCCCAGCGGTCATTTACTTCACTGAGCGGTACCGCGCGCGCGAAGCCTGCTGATGGCTCGGTTCGCAATATGATTGTTGAGACAGAAACCGTCAGCTCAATACCGCAGGTGTCGGTGGGAGTTGCCACGGGGGAGCGAGGAAACACCAGTCGGGCTGAGCAAGGCACTTTGCGCATGAAGCCTTCCACGGAGACAATTCGGCCTCGCAAAGAGAAGAAAAAGAACAGGCGGACGAACCCCATCACAACTGGGCCTGCCACCAGCAAGGCAGACATATTCGAAGCCAAGGTGGCTAGTGCAGTGGATGAAGCTGATGTTTCTGACTCCGATGAGACATTTGTCTACGAATCCAACCCCCGGACCCATATCCTCCTCGACAATCACGCTATCACTCTCGGACACCCAGCGCAACATCCATGGCGAGCCAAGTTGATCAGCTGGCTGGTCGTGCCCGTGGGGCCATGCGGGATGGTGCTCATAGCGTCACTGGCAAACGCAGCATGAAATTTACGAACAACACATACAACAGCAGCGTGGATGGTGAAGCTGGGGAGGCAGATGGAAGTCGAAATGCTGGTCGAGCTGACGGGAGCGGCACTATCACCCCCGGCATCACCAAATTGGACGTCACGGGCGCAATGGGGCGTACCCATCCCTCTTCGACAATGATGGGCCATTCCCTCAACCCCAATCTCAGCTGAAGTCGCCGCGGCACTTTATTGGCAGTGGGTACCGCCACTCGCGTAATAGCAACACTCGCTCCTCGCCAAACTACAAGACTGTCAGCAACAAAAAGGTGGGCGATGTATACGATTTTGATGCCGAGGGAGCTGATGATGAGCGCACGCCATTGGTGGGTAACAACCGCGCCACGCGCAGTCGTCATGGCCGACGACCCAACAGTGCCAGCCTGCGGCAGATGGAATACATGGCCCAACGACAACGTGGCTGTTTCTCGCGGGTTGGCTCTTGTGCCATCATTCTTGTTCTGCTTCTTATCATCGCTGGTGGTGCTGCCTCGTTCATCGTGGCCGCGACGAAAACTCTGTACGATGTGCAGATTATTGCCATTCAGAATGTGCTGGCTTCGGAGCAAGAAATCATGCTGGATTTACAAGTGGAGGCGATGAACCCGAACATCTTCCCTGTGACAATCGACGACACCGATGTGAACATCTTCGCCAAGAGCCGATACGTCGGTACAGACAAATTCTGGCGAGATATTGGTTCCGACGAAGAACTTGATCGATCCCCACGTGTCGAACAAAGTCGACGCCGGTGGTACTTGTCTCAGCTTGTTCGGTGCCTGGGGAACACGGACTGTGTCGAGGTAGCCATTAAAGGTCATCCAAAGGATCATGGTGACGGTGGTGTCGACAGAGGCACTGACCCCATCAATGACCCGGAGGGTGACCCGCAAACTATGCTTCTTGGCCGCGTCTTCCGCTTTGACTCGCCTCTCTCTTTCGAGGCGTCTCCTTGGGGCCATATGACATCTATCTCCAAGGGACAAATACGGCTCCCTCGACCTGGGAACAAGACCGAATCAGGCGGCACAGAGCGATGGGAGCGTGTCCTCCAGCATCCTTTCGAGCTGATTGTTCGCGGTGTCATCAAGTACCAGCTTCCGCTCAGTTCGCGCTTCTATTCTGCCTCTATCAGCTCCAGCGTCAAGTTCATCCCGAACGACGACGATAGCCACAATAGCCCTGCTGATTCAGACTCAACACCCCCAGGCAACGAAACTGCCCACATTCTCCTCAACGAGGGAACCATTACCCCCTCCGGCCGCCTCGCTGTGGACTCCGATGCTCGAGGCGGAGTTAGGTCGGGGGTATCTCAACGACAGTTCACGGCATGAAAACAAAATTTGGTATAATTTTCTTCTATTATTTTTTTTAGCGATAGATTGATGTCCCATCACGACAGTCCTTCCCATTCTTCACATATCATATTTTCTTCGGCTTCATTTCTTTTGTTCCATCCAATGAGACGAAAAGAAGCAAAAAAAGGGCACTGTCTTAGGTAATCCCTTGCCTCCTTACGTTTTCAATGCTGTATACCCATTTACGATATCGCTGCTTCTATTGGTTTCCGTCAATGGCTTGTGGTTACACAGTCTAAGACACGTGGTGCAGTAGCCCCTTTTCGACCATTGTTTTTAACACTATTTCTTCTTCTACTTCTACCTGTACAGATTCCGCCTGTCCACCAGTGTTGGACGAAGTTGCTTTATTTCGTGACGTGAGCAATGAGGGGGGAATTTTTTGACCAAATCCTACTCGCCTTGGCTATCTGCCGTCTTCTTTTGCTTTCCCCTTTCTGAAATGTATCTTTATTCAACCCTATTATACAGCTGTCATGTAATGAAGAATTATAGTGGAAATATAGCTGTCTGTAAGCAATACGGGCGATCACTCTGTAACGATCTTATGATATGGAAAGTTCCGGCGTTTGTTCTGGCGTTTGCAGTAGTAGTGAAATAGAGAGCTCATCTCTCTTTCGCTCTCTCCTTTCTTTTCCTTCCTCAGATTCGATATCTTCGTTGAATGGACTCTTCTTTTTGATGATTTGCCATCCGAAAGCCCTCCAATTCCCCACATCCAGCACCAGCTTCATCATGGCCTCCAGCTCGAGAATGTGTCTCGCAGAGGTTTGGGCTCATGGATTGTTTTGACGGGCGTTGGGTGTTAGGGTTCACTTTCGCCACACAAATGATGGTAACAGAGGAGATTTTCTATTACATTTAGCGCTTCAAGACTATCCTTTAAAGTGGATATGGCGATACACTCTATCTTGGGGACACGAAAAGGCACCAAGGTAATAAAGCGTTTCGTGATCCTTTCGGGGTGTAATCACTAACGTATTGGTAGAAACCCCGTATTCAATATGATCTCTTGGTTGCTAAACATCGTTGAGACCTGAGGTTGACTCCCCTTCCTACCCATTGGCATAATCACTTGGTACGTCTCTTGTATGGTGATAGTGGGTTCACCCTGTTGGAAAAATAGAATCACCCTGTTGGAGAAATAGAAGAGAGATGTGAGGAGGAAGATGATATCGTTTCTCGGTTTCACTTCGGCCACGATTCCCTAGGTAAACATGATCAATAACCTGTGGCCGGTGGCTATGAATTTGATGTGATCTTTGATAATTGCTTTGTGAAGACGGCCATATTTTGATAGGGCGTCGATTTTTGATTCGAAGGCGTTTCTTGTGGGGACAGAACAATGGCTGCGGGACGTCCAGAGGGGAATCGCATATCGTGTAGGCAACGACCTTGCGACGACCTCATTTCTGCCTATTCTTGGGGTTTGAAGAGGAGTATGATTCGATGGTGAATCAGAAGTGATTCGAGCATATTTAGAAGGCGTCCACATGCTATGGGTTATGCAGGTAACGACCTCATCTCTGTCCATTCTGGGTCATTTTCTTCACTTCTTTTCTCGGTGTCACGATTATAAAAACGGCCAACTTTTTTCTTCCCACGAATTTTCCCCTTCTTCGTCATCACCCACTACGTTTCTGCCGTGAATTTCATCACTTTTATCATTGTTTCATTATCCGCACACACCCTTGATCTTATCAAGCTTCTCGAGTTTGGAGTCGATTAGGGTTGTGGCTGCCGTGCAATTGTATCCTTGCCCATCTCTCCTTGCTTGCGTTAGAGAGCAGATTGCAGGCTAAACCTTGATCGTTGGTGGGCGATGGCCATCGTTGGTGAGCGTGGTCAGTAGCTTCACAATGTTGCCTCGAAAGAGTTTTTTTTGGGTCTTCATAATCGACTGTTGTCTCCGCTACAAGAAGCTCCAATATAAGGTCAGATGGACTAGATCTGACATCGATGATAACACCTGATATCTAGCGCTGGCCGACGAGAGTGGAAGACATCAAAGAGTATTGCAATTCATGCCCAGGATGTCAGCTCGTTGGGCCGAGAATCCCGAAAGACCCACCGCTATCCATCTCGGTCCTCGAACCAATGGCAATGTACGCAATGGACTACATTGGACCCATTACGCCAGAATCCCACAGCGGTTGCAAATACATCCTGGTTGGTGTTGATTATTTCAGCCGGTTTGTCACTGCGAAGACGGATTTCTCCTGCGTTCTCCCATTCATGCGGTCCTGGTTGCGGACTGTCATCTCGCATCAGCGCTTCTGCCAACGCCTCTTCTGTCAGTGTCCTCGGTCCTGAACAATGGGGCTGGAAACCCAAAAAGAGTTGAGCTGGTGAATACCCATGATGCTTGATCGAGCGGGTGTTGATGGCTTGGGTGATATTTGGGATATACTGATCCCAGTCAAGGGACGAACAGCTTGAGGTGGTCGTTGGGATACTTGCCAACGCGCATGCCGGTCGTGAGGTCGTTCAGCAACACAGATCTTTCCTTGTCTAACACTCTTGCCACTTGGTAGGGCCCTGACCATCGTGATTCGAATTTGCGCCCTTTGACCTGATCGAGCCCTGCCTTTCGCAAAAGCACAAGGTCGTCAACCTCAAAACGACGCCTAAACTTCAAAAACGCTCCGCAGAAGCTACTAGACTTTCATGAGAGACATCCTGCGAAGTCTGGCCCACTAATCCGCCTATAAATTTAAACACATGCTACACTTAATGACGAATTCATCGATGACCACCCTAACGATAGTAAACCTACGCTTAGGGACTAAGCGCATCTAAGGCAAGGATAATATAACAATCATATAATATAGAAGGTTCTGGTATTTATTCTAGCGTTTACAGTAGTAGTGAAATAGAGAGTGAAAGTGAGAAATAGAGAGCTTGTCTCTCTTTTACTTTCTCTTTTATCTCTCTTTCACTCTTTCTTCATCTCTCTCTCACTCTCTCTTCTTTATCTCTCTCACTCTCTCTTCTTCATCTCTCTTTCGCTCTCTCTTCTTTACTTTCCTTCCTCAGATTCAATATCCTCCCAATTTCTTTTCCAAGTCCTTCAACCCATGCTCCACCTCCTTCAGTGCCCCGATCACATCTACAAGGAACACACCCTGCAGTTGTTCGTTGGCGAGGTCATTTTCGCCTAGCCCAAAATCACAGCCTAAACATTTGCGCACGATAGTCGTGAATCGTGGTCCCATTCGATTACGCAGCATTGGCGCCTGGGCCAGCTTCTCAGCGGCATGGTAGTCCGCCTGCTTGTGCAGCGGCAGGTTCTGAAGAGCCCACCTCTGGAGCTGAAGCCATGGTTTGCTGTATCCGAGTTCGAGAAGCACGGTGCCAAAGCGGAACAGCAACTCATTCCGAGCGACGACGATAGATGCCGATGATCGGGTGTTCTCCGTGTTCGGTCCAGTGGCAGTGGCTAGAATCTGGGCCTCGCTTTTTTCTGGCTTTGAGAACTCAACCCTGAAGTACGGGATAGTAGAAGAAATGTCGTTTGTGTATTCTGATAGTTCCCCGATCCCGAAGAAACGGACCTGGCTGCTTTTCCATGTATCTGGGAGCCACGGGGTGGAGTGGTATTGTAAGACCGCGGTCGCGAGGGAGCAGGCAAGGTGGACGATTGTTGTCCTTGGTAGGTTTCGAGAGAACTCATCTTCTGATACCCAGGTGATGATCTCTTCTAGGGACTTTTGTTGTTCTGGTACGTGTTGCCCCGCGGACGGAAGGTAAAATCGATGCAAATTCAGTTCCTTGATATATCCGACGCAGCTGGTAGAGAGGCGTGATTGTCCGATTTGGAAGTGACCGCAGAAGTCCTCAATAGTCTCAAGGTCAACCATTGAATCAGGCGTGTCCGGTATGCTTTCTCTCAGGCTGTCATCGTCGGTTTGATGGATGGTCGACATCAAGCCCCCCGCACCAGCAGGCGTGGGTACAGATTGGGAAGCTTTTTTTAAAACCTTTCTTTGAGCCTTTTTGGCAGGCCGAATAACGATTGGCCGAGAGTATGCCGCTAAGCCTTCCATCTTATCTGCCCAGATATTGTCCTCGTCCTGCTCGGTTCCAGAATCCGATCGCTCAACCCGCTTCCGCGAGACACCTTGGTGGTTTCCGTTGAGAGCCTCGATCTCTAACCAGATCAGTGTCTCACGCCATAATGGGGAACTCGCTGCACAGTCGATTGCCACATTAAATTTGACATAGTCGTCTACGCGATCTGACTCGGCGAACTTTCGGTCATCCACAAGGGAAATATTCGCAGCATGTTTGTCGTGTTGCGCACAACACCATCTTAGCGCAAAGATATTGTAAAGTATATATGAAGCGGACCGGACTTGGCGATATTTCTCTAGACTGTTCATACAGCTCGCCTTCCACTGAGGAGCCAGTTCCTGACGCTGAGCGGTACTCTGGATATCCCTGAGCTCCGCGACTATCCGGGCTGTGAGTTCATTGAAGTCGGCTGTGAAGTCCCGAAGCTCTTTGATCGCACTCTGGACATTCTCTTTCTTCCAGCACAGCCGGAAGCGCCTCGGGAGTTGCCTGAGAATGGTGGTGCCAGCCGACACTCCTCCCTGCGCCGTGTGGCTCGTCCGAAAGCCCTCCAATTCACCACAGACCGTCGTAATGGAATCCAGCACCAGCTTCATTGTGGCCTCCCAGCTCGAGAATGCGTCTCTCAGAGACTCGAGTCGATTAGGGTTGTGGCTGCCGTGCAATTGTATCGTTGCCCATCTCTCCTTGCTTGCGTCAGAGAGCAGATCGCGGGCTAAGTCTTGATCCTTGGTGAGCGCGGTCAGTAGCTTCACAATATTGCCTCGAAAAAGTGTTTTTTGTGTCTTCATAATCGTGTCCAATTTGATCAACTCTCTCGAGTAATGGCGGAAATTGCTGAAGCCATCGGAGATCTTCCAGTAGTACTCGTAGGCTTCCAGGACGATCGGGACACCTGCGAGGACCGTCCCGACAATAAACTCCATCTCGCATGCAGGACAGGCTCATGAAGGCATCGATGAGGGAACTCCTGAAGACCGCAGAGAAAAGGCAGGTCGGCAAAAAGCGCCTGGGAATTTGGCTGACACATCGTGTTGGCATGCAGGCTGCGGGGTCGAGGCTGTGGCGGTGTTTCTCCAGAGCTGATAACCGACAGAAGGATGGCCCACCGTGACTTACTCCCGGAGGTCCAGCGAGACGTCCGGTATGTTACTGAGTCTTTCGATCAACCACATCTCCCAAGACACGCGCAGTACCCAGTGGCTTCCTACATAGGACTATGATCACTTTTACCCTGCTTACAGCTTATTCTGTAACACTTCTGCTCTGATCCTCGACACGATCGCCTACCAGTTCCCACTACTCCCAACTAAATGACACTGGGACTAGTTGACTGCTCAACCCTGTGGTACTGCTGCGGATGCCATTTCGGCCCTTACCACGCTGAGCTTTACCATAATTGCATGCAATGTGGAAAAGCGCTTTGCGCGACATGTGTCAGGAAGAATAGGAACGCCGACAGTCCAGGACCATCAGCCAGTTGGATCTTTGAGGCAATCTTGAATCTCTTTATCAAAGTCACCCAACAGAATCATGAATCTCCACACTCAGATCGCTTCCGCGGAGAGCTGGAGCGGCTGTTCCTCTGGGGTGATAGCTTTTCTGTCTCGGAGGGCAAACTGGACGTGGTCCTTTCTAGTTCATTGGAGCTTCGTCAAACTGTACTCCATACCCTCTGCGAACTAGGCAAGACCATCAAGAGCAAAGTGGGGTCAACGATACCGGAACGATCTCTCGATCGTGTTAATCTCAATGAGCCGGCCTTAGCTGACGAGATATCGAAAATGGCCGAGCAACTTCAGCGACTGTTGGACGATGCAGCCGCTTGTTTGGATACATTCGAGACCGACGCCGACCTCGAGAGGTTCTCCGATGATGAGTTCAGTCGTTACGACTCGGACGACTTTCTCGACGACGCTTCAATATATATCGACTGTCTTCTGGACCTTTCCTCCGCGCTTGAGAGCCCAGTTGCCGAGATCGATTCCCGCGACGATCTGTGCCACCAAATCAAAGGGACCACAAAATCTCATTGGATAGTTCCAGTTCCTAGAAATCCCAATTTTGAAGGCCGTCGACTGATTCGCAGACGAATTGTCAACACGATTACATCTGCATTAGTCGTCGATACATGCCAGCGAATTGCGTTAGTTGGCCCTGAAGATGTCGGCAAGAGCCAGATTGCCATTGAAGCCGCCTATCAAATCCGTGAGCAGGACCCAGAATGCTCCGTATTTTGGGTTTCCGCTACAGAGCCTTGGAAATTTACGGTGTCATGCATGGATATCGGACTTGCCCTTCGACTAAAAGACATAAGCGATAATAGCGATGAACTAGACATTCACGCTAAGCTCAAGACCGCATTGAGTGATGAACGAGCGGGGAAATGGGTCATGATCGTAGATGGAGCAGATGATATGGACGGATTCTTCGACGTGGAGGAGACTGGCCAATCCGGTGGCCTTGCATCGATGGCTTCACGCTTGCCATCCAGCAACCTGGGAACCATTCTGTTGACCACTCGCGATCCTGGAATAGCATCAAAATTTACCAAGTCAACAATTGAAGTCAAAAAGCGAACCAGTGCTACCGCACAGAATGCTTCTGAGATGCACCTTGCGACAGAAATGGACCAAAGTGAGGCTCTCAAAGTGTTCGAGACATGTTTGAGCAAAGATCAGATTTCCAGCAAAGCAGAAAACACGGCTTTGCTAGAGTTCCTAGGAGACCATCCCCTTGCTATCAAACAGGCTGCTGAGTATATGGTACGCACTCGCATTACAGTGCCCGAGTACCTCAAGTTGTGCGTCGCCGCAACACCTACTGTCGCGCAATTCGACGAGTACCTATACTGCAATGGCCATTATGAGGTGGTGGGACATCCAGTCCTGACGACATGGTCGATATCGTTTGAGCGGTTCTTACGAAGCAATCATCCCGCTGTCGAGTTCTTGACACTGCTTAGTTTCATTGCGGAAGGAGAAATTCCCGAATCATTGCTACAGACAGCCAATGTCTCTATAATGATGTCGCCAGCAGAGACTAGTGGCAGTATCATGAGAGACAGCAAAGGCACTCCTGATGTCTCCGGGCCATCCAAGAGACAAAAAACCGAGTTTCAAAAAAGCCTTTGGGGGGTAGACTGGCCGCTGACAGACTCACCCTTTTCCACGGAAGATGCAACAAAAGTTTTCCAGAACCTGGGCACGGTAGGGAATACACCGAGTCGATATTACTTCCAGGTGCAAGAAGCCATCAATACTCTGATGAGATTCGCCTTCATCAATCAGCGGACAGGAAGCTTCTCGTGCGAAATCCACAAATTGGTTCAGGTCGCCATGCGGGCATGGCTAGAGCAGAGGGGAGAGCAAGGGGACGCCAGTACGAAAGCCATCAAACATACTTTAGCCAATTTCCCCGATCCCACGATTCACACCAATCGTGACGCGGTGATATCCTACCTCCCACACGCCGAGGCAGCGTTGAAGTTTCGAGCATCGAGCTCGGACAGAACAGCTACAGCCGGCCTGCTGGGGTTTGTGGGGTACAGCTACGACCGGCTAGGCATTCCACGGGCTGCAGAGGAACTGAATAGAGAGGCTTACAATATAGAGATACAAACCCTGGGCCCGGATCATCCCGATACACATCGGACTGCGATGTGTCTGGCGCTTTCACTCTGGAGACAGAAACAAGATGGCGAGGCGGAAAGGTTAATTCGGTCCGCGCTGGCAGGCTTGGAAAGACTACTCGGCCAGGACCACCCAGATACACTGAGTGGAACGAGCAATCTTGTCGCGGTAGTTCATGGCCAAGGCAGGCATGAGGAAACCTGGAATATGCTCCAGCAAGTATTCTACCAGAATGTGGTGGTACCAAACACAAGCCATGCACAATTTGGGCATGGTCAGAATGACCGCAGAGGGAGACTGCATATGCAGCCGAGACATATGGAGACAGAGAGAGCGCTGCGAACGTCACTGGAAAGCCATATCCAGGTGCTAGGCTTGACAGATCCTGTCACGCTCGTCAAGATGGACAATCTCGCACACTTCCTTGCAATGATGGGCAGAGTCGAGGAAGCGGAGAGTTGGCACCGGCAAGCTGCATCTGGATTGGAGGCCATATTTAGAAGTGATCATCCTTGGACGCAGGAACTTAGGAATGGTTTCGCAAAAGTTCGAGCCACTGTGGGAGTCGCTTAGTGTATACCGTCTTTTCCGACTATGAGATGATTTTCAGTGGAGGGAGGGATACGAGAAAAAAGTCATTTGAATTATTAGAAAGACAATACATTCATAAGTCATCATCATATGGCAATATGGCACGGGCATAGTAGAATCATGATCTCAAAACCAGGCAAAGCAAGACGAGAAACGGGGCATCAAATACGTAACGGCATCCATCCTCACGATATCAGCACCAGCGCGAATCGAAAGAAAGAGGGAAACAAGAAATCAGATCGCCACCCAGAATTTGAACATCAAGACAGGAAACACGCCAGAGCCCAGCATCCATCTATCAGGGGGAAAATCATTCGCCATCCCAGAATAAAGCCCAAGTTCGACTGAGCGAGCCCCAAGTCCAGAGCCGAGTTTGGTACGAAGGCATGTCTAGAACAGAACTTGGGTGAATTTCTTGATCAATTCCTCGATCTTCTCGACAGGCGGGTTCTCGCCTCTATGAGTGAGTAAACGGCCGTTTGAGTCAAAGCGTTCTGGAAGATCAATGGTTGAGTCTGAGTCCAAGGGCGAGTGTGGAGGGGAAGCTCTAGACGAATCATGGGGATGGCGATATGATGGATGCTGGTGGCGAGACGCGGCAGAAGAACCAGAACGATGATCACGGGAGGACGATGATGGTACGGAAGAGGGGCGGCGTCGGGGTTGAGGACGGTGACGGGAAGGGTGTGAATTGATTGTTGAGTCGCTGTCGTCACTATCATACCCCGGGTCCCAGCGGTGCGAGGATTCCGGGCTGAGATCGAAGGCCACGGATTTAGACAAGTTTGGCTGGCTGCCGGAACGGAGTATGGGCGAGATGGGTGGGCTTGGCGGGATATCGTTTAGACCTGTGAAGCAGATTGTTAGCTGCGGTGCTTGAGGGACGGCACTGGGCGGCGATGCAGTGAACGCACCATCGACGGTGTGGTTCTGATCAGTGGGTAGGGTGGTGGAGCTCGGTGGAGCACTCACATTCTCATCAGCCCTCCGCGGCCTCGGAGCGTAGGGCTCTTGGCCCGAGTTGACGTCCCCGTAACCATAGGCCTGTGGCGGGGGTGCGGCGCCTGGGGGAGGAGGGTAATCCGCCGGGTTGTAGGGCTGCGGGGTGGCGTTCAGATTGGGGGTTGAGCCCGGGGGTGGGGGAAAGTAGTTGCTGTTCGGGTAGTAGGTCTCTCCGGGTTGCTGATGAGCGGTCTGGGGATGCATCGGGTAGGGTTCCGGGTCATAGGACTCTTCGTAGGGGTCGCGGTGTGCGTCATCCTCATATCCTGTATCCGCCAGATTAGCATGATGGTGACTGGGTGAAATGGGAGGGTCCATGACGGACTCACGAGTCCTCGAGTGCGACCGCTCGGCGTTCTTACGATCCCGGTGCTGCGAGTACTTGTGCGCAGCATAGCCCAGGCCCGTGGCGCCAAGAGCTGCTGAGACTACTTCGCGAGAGCGGCTGCGGTGCTTGCTCTTCCGTCGGCCACCGCGGTCTGAATCGGAGCTGCCGCTGTATCGACCGCCACGGCTACGGCTGCGAGAACGGTGGCGACGGGCACCATCAGAGTAGTATGCACCGCCTGGGCTAGCCGGCTGACCGTAATAGTGCTCTGCCGGGATGCTCCCAGTAACGGGGTCTGCGCCATACTCGATAAGGCCAGCCGAGTTGCGGGTTGGATCGGGGTAGGCATCCGACGGGGCATGGCTGCGGCTGCGAGATCGTGAGCGGCGCGCCTCATGGGGGACAAGCGCTCCTTCTTTCTCGGCCTTCTTCTTCTCGTAGAACCCAGTCGCAGCGGCAGTAGCCAGGCCGGCGCCAACGACGGGAAGGGCCTTTCTCAAGCGGCTATGGGAGCGCTCTCCTTTGCGGCTGCGCGAACGGCTGCGGGCGTGTTCAACCAGACCTGCAACGGCTGCACCGGCCAGACCGGCACCAGCCATGTGCTGCCGGCGCTTGGACTCGTCGCTCGCCCCGTCCTTGCTCTTATCCGAGCGAGTGCTGCTCAGTGCACGAGCGCGGGAGCGGGAGCGAGTACGAGAGCGGCTGCGGCGCTGATTGTTGCTTGACTTGTTTCGTAAAGCTGCCACACCGGCGGCCACCGCGGCGGCACCCAGGCCCAGCTCCATAAGAGTCTTGGCACGCGAATGCGAGTGAGAACGGCTGCGGCTGCGGCTATGACGACCGCGATTGCTGTGGCGGTAGGAACGATCGTCATCAAAAGAGTGCGAGCGATGGCGGCTGCGGCTCTTGCTGCGATAGTAGTCGCGCACTTGGCCAGCCGCATTGACGGCCACGGCGCCCAGGGCACCAGCACCGGCGGTCTTGACGGCGTGGCTCATGCCATGGCTGACCTCTTTACCTTCGCGCTTGTTGTGGCTGCGGAATAACTCGGCAGCACCCACACCCACCAGAGCACCTTCAGCAAGGTGACGCTTGTGGTGAGGGTGCTCACCGTCGTAGTCGCGGGTCTCCTTGCGGACATAAACCATGCTGTCATCGCTGCTGTAGTCGTCACGGTCGCGCTCACGGTTGTGGCGACGGCTGGTCTGGGAGATAGAGTCGCCGGGACTTAATTCACGGCGCGAGCGACGGTCTTCATACTCGCGGACCCGGCGATGGCGGTGATAGTAGTAAGGGTCCTCGTCGACATCGGAACGACGAACGACATCATACTCGGACTCGCGGGGACTACTATAGGCGTTTCGGGCTAAATTCACTATGATTAACTGTTCCTAAATGACTAGTCCGGTTGGCCTGGGGGGGGGGGGGGGGGGGGATTCTGGCCGCTCCAGGATAACTTCCTGGGAGCTGGTGAAGCTGCGGTAGGTGTGGGGTTCTGGGTACTCACGTTCGTACTCGCGCTCGAAGCGCCGGGCAGGCGGGTCGTAGTCAACCTCGCGCTCATATCGCGAGATGGACAAGGGTTCTTCTCGGTCAGTCTTGCGGCGGATGACCAGCTCGCGGTCCCCGAAGGAGTCGTCGCGACTCATGAAGTCCTTTCGTTCTTCTCGCTCGTCGGAGCCGATGACGTAACGCTTGATTGTAACGGGACGGTCGTCGTCGTAGCGCTCACGCTCTCGGTAGCTGTACATGGCAGATAAGAGAGGGGGAGAGGGGAGAAAGTTGAGAGAGGTGAGGAGTAGAGATGTTAAAGATGAGAATGAGAATACGGCTGACGGGTGAAGGAAGAGGAAGAGGGAAAGGTCAGATACGGGAGGGGCTCAAGCAGACAAGCGCCGGTCGGAGGGGCAAAACGGGACGGATGCGATGCAGGGAATTTGGGGGGAGGGGCGCAGGCGAGTGGGGAAATGCAAGACCGGAGTGTGCCAGAGGGCCAAAGGCTGTGATCGACGAGTCTCTGAATGGTCTCGGCACCGACGGGATGGCACACGCGGGATCCGATTGGTAAGGCTTCCAGAAAGAAATGGAATGCTTCCAGGCGAGCGCTTCCACTGGATTACTGAGGATCCTGGATGACGCCCGTCGAGACGGGTGGTCGAGTGACCAAGAGATGATCTCAGAGCTCCAGTCGTAGGGCAGCCCACGCTAAGCGGAGCCTCTCACAGCAAACAGCACCAGTCTCAGTCTGCAGATCGGCCGGCAGCACTGATACACTTGATGTTTGGGTGAAAAGAGCAGTTGGGCAGAGCGGACCAAGGAAGCAGCAAAAAGACTCGTCAAGAGCGTAGAGAGTCGAAGACGAGGAGTAAATCGGGGAGGATGGAGGAGTGGAGAGTGTGGAGGGTGTGGAGGGTGAAAGCAGCAATAAAAGTAGCTCAAAGAAACGCCACGTGAGGCTCTCAATTCACCGACTGCCGCTGCCCTGCAACTTCGGGCAACGCCTGTCGAAAGCCTCTTTTCGAGTGATTTTATATGGGCGATAAGCGGATCGGTGAAGTGATGCAGCCCGGCCGAGCAGCCTCGCCTGGGTTGCGCCTTGGCAACCCGACGGTGAGCTGTGGCGGAGTTCTGCGACTCTCGCTGCAGTCCTTCTCGTGTCCTACACTAGTGCCGAAGGTGCACAGTACTTCTGTTTACTCCTCTATCTTTCTCGGTCTACTCGACTGGTCCACGGGTCGACTTTCGACTCCCGCGCTGCATTCCATGGAAACGGGGCTGCGCTGTTTGGGACCGGTGGGCCGCCCAATACGAGGCCGACCCTTGCACAGGGCAGTACATGCGACGCGACATGATCGAGGCAACCCCCAGATGAGGCGCAGTGATATTGCCCGCCCGATCCCCGACCTGGCTCAAAGACCACGTTTCTTGATCCATGGCTATAAGAGCGTCGGCGCCCCTCATCCAAAGGACTAGGTAGACTACGAAGAATATGAACCGCGCCTGATCCCTTGGGCGCCCGAGTGGTGCGTGGCTTGGGTCGTGGGCAAAGTATTACCCCAGGGGTGATCTTCGTCATGAATATTTCAAGTGGACGAACTCTGGCCTGCTGGGCTGGTTGGGACTGATATCTGCTGCAATCTCCAGCGCATTTCTTTGAACGCAGTCTTTTGGAAATTAAGCAGCCTCCACGCGAGTGTGGGGTTGGCCGATGACGTCAATGGCTCCCTTGGTTTGCTTGGTTGGGACAGTCTCAGCTGGGCGAATTGGGAACTCAACTGCGGGAAGAACTCGGTCAAGCTGAATGAGTAAACAGAGCGTTCAGTTCTCTCTCGTCTTTTGGTCTCTACCTGGTCATGGTGACTGCCGACGGCAAAGTCTCCTCGAAGGATATGGCCCTGGTAGGGTCGCCCCCATCGTGTCTGCCTGACGACCTTGTCGCTCATAGCGGGTCGTACAAGACGACCCTTTCAATATGACCCGAGAGATCCAACCAACAGAGGTTAGCTGTAGCTCGCTTGGCATATTCTGCGTAACACTATATCAAGCATTACCAGGCGCCGTGCGGCGCCATACGGTACCACGAAACGGGGGCGAGGAGTCTACCGCAAGATGATACTGATATTCCCGGTCCAACAGCAGAAACCCCCCAGAACTGTTCATCAGGATCAATATCTTGCACACAGGGAGCTAGTTTTCCTTGTTCGTGTTTCCACATTGAGTTAGTCGCGATGGAATATCGAGCTCATTCCACCTCGTGATCACGCGCTGACGGCATGGTGGACGCGCTAGCACTGACGACTGGTACAAGCATGATTGGCAAATGCGTTTTATGCCAGTGACATTTCCGTGATCATGTTATCACTAGCTCTTATAATGCCACATTATGTTGACGCAGCGTAGAGGTCCTGGTGCCTGTAGGATTTTATCCCTAACCATGAATTCTTCTACGATAACACTAGCCAGTATGGGGTGGATTCATACTCTGGCGTATTCGAAGATTTGGCTTACGGAAATTTTCTATTTCAGGAAGCGGAATCTTATCGGCTACGTTTAAATTGAAACCCGAGGTTTTCGATTTCGTATGGTTGGTAGTGAGACATGGGAGTGGAAACACTCTGCTGTATCATATATGGCCGGCCGGCAGCATTCGGGCGAGCCCCTCTAGACGCAGTCGCCCTGTGAGTGATACATGAAGGGCAAAATGCGACAGCGGGTTTCGGGAGGTAGGTACCGTATACTGTGAATCGTGCTCCGATGAAGCACAGTGGATGTGTCTCGTAGTCAGATCTAGACCTTCATTAACGAGTGAATTGAATGAGAAAATGGAATTATCTATCGACAGCTAGCTTCTCCCCCTTCTTGGCGAACCTTTACGCCTTCACCTTAAATGCCTTGGGCTGGGGCAGGGTAACAGGAGTATCGCCGCGCTGGACATTCGTGATCAAGTGGTCAAACGAAGCGGACGTCGCAACACGCGGCGTAAACGGGTCAAAGTCCCACAGGTAACCCAGGGTCCGTAGAATCGACGAAGCGGAGTAGGACACAGTCTCGCCATCCGAGTTGGTACCCTTCTGCTCAACCAGACCCTTGCCGACCCACGGCGAAATTAGCAGAGTGGGGATGCGGCCACCGAGACGGTCAAAGGAGAAGGTGTACTTCTCGCCATTGGGCGCAGTTTCAGTGTAGGTCAGGTTATCCGGGCGCGCAGCAAGAGGCGGGGGCACGTGGTCCGCGAAGCCACCTGTCTCGTCAAAGGTCAGGATGAACAAGGTCTGATTCCACTGCGGCGAGGCGCGGAGCGCGTCGTAGACATTCTTAATGAAGATTTCGCCGTCAGAGATCAGGCCAGTCGGGTGCATGGAGTTTGTACCGACGCCGCAGCAGGACGGGTCGATGAAGCTGAACTCCGGCAGGGTGCCCGCCTTGGCGTCAGAGTAGAAGGTGGACAGAGGCACAGCTTTGTCGGTGTTGCCGGAGGTGAAGGTCCAGTCGAAGAAGAAAGCGTCCACCATGTCGGTGTTTGTATAATAGTTCTTCCAGGTGTGGTTAGTCTCGGAGAGCTGCTGGAAAATGGAGCGTTGAGTCAGGCCGTGCACGTCGGAATTGAAGCTGGCATCGTTGGTGCCGTGGCCGGCCGAGGTGCCGGAGAGCACATAGGCACGGTTAGGGTTGGTGGGCTGGTGTTGTGTCAGTCTGGATGTCTAGTTCAGCATTAGGGTGGTGCTACATCTTACCCCAGGGTGGTCAGAGTGCCAGTGGTTAAAAGTCAGATAGTTCTGCACCAGCGAGGTGAAAACAGGAACCTGGTCTTCGGTGTAGTAGTTCAAAACCTGCTTCGCCAGCTCAGTCTTATCCACATCGTCACCATAGCGGCGCAGCTGCTCGTGTACGAAGCCCTGCTGGGTGGGAGTGAGCTTGCCGCTGGCAATAGCGGCGTTGTCTGGGGTGAAGGTGCCATAGAACTCGATGTTGTTGCCGGTGACAGAGTGAGCCGGGTCATCTAGAATCGAGTCAAAATCCTTGGCAGCGCTGCAGACCTTGCCCTGAGAGTGGTCGGTCAGGTTGTATGGGTTGCAGTAGTGGCCGTGGTTGATGGGGTTCTCAAGGCCCTTGAGGGTCTGGCCACCCAGGAGATTATCCAGGGAGCGGTTCTCCATTTCCAAGATGACCACATTCTTGATGTGGCTCTTGAGGTTCTTGACAGAGTAGCTCGAATGGGGGTCAAGGTGACGCCCCGGGGGAGCTGCAGCCACTGCAGCTGCGAAGGCCAAGAGGCCAAGGAGGGCACTGGGATGCATGGCTGAATCCGGAGGTATGGGGTATTGACAATGATCAAGGGTTGATTGATGACCTAAAAATGCAATCCATGCAGGAAAATCGACGCAGGCTTTATAGCTACTGCAATCCTCGTTGCCTTCTCGCAACGACGGCCTTCGCACCGATACGCAACGGCCATCTCATCTCCGCTGCGTCCCACGTGTGTCGCCAGGGGTCATCGTCTCGCCTGGAACCCCGAGGCTGCAGAGAGCGCCATACAGGGAACTCGGAGGCGCGCACTGCGGGATCCATCAACCAGTACAACCGGTTGTAGGGCGAGAGCGCTCCAGAGATGCCCTGTTGGGACGCACCTGATGGAAATGTAACCCATCCGATTGGCGATGTGAAGTGGACCTCTTCACTCTGAACGCGCGATTCCCGGGGATTGACAGGTACTCTGCTGCATCGAAGGCATGAAAGCACCTTGGTGAATTCCATGTCCACTCAGCATGGAGAGAGTGGGGGATGCAAAGCCGCTAAGCATTAGCTCTGGCGCCAGCGTGGGCCGTGACGAATGATCCCCTGCCGGCCCTCAACTCAAATCAAAGCACGCGCATCCTGCACGAGCGGTTGAGGAGGTGGGCGAGTGGTAGTGACTTGCTTGATGCTACCTGTTCTGGTGGATTTGTACAGTGTACCTTGGCCTTGTGGGCGGGGGTGCGCCAAGATTAAGTTAACATCCCGGTGGAAGCAAGCCGCACGCAATTCCGGGACGCTGGGCAGTGTCTATGCCGATCATGTAACAATGTCTGGGGCTCGCTTGGAGAGACTGGGCAGGCATCGAATGTCGGCGTGAATTGCCGTGCGCCTCGTGCTGATGCTTCAGCCTTGGCGGCATTGATCGGCAGGCGTGGTGCCTCGGGCCGGCATGATTGGATCTCCGGGCGTACCTATTCACTTGGCATGCAGGTTTGTTTCTTCGAGACGTTGAATCTCGTGGAAATTCCCGACCTCCGAGTTGCCCGAACAGGCAGTTCCATAAAAATATTGAGTGGTATCGAATTCAGCCAAACTCCGGGGCAACCTTGATGACCAAAATCGTCCAAACGACACTCCATGGGGACTAGACCACGTTGACCGATGGAAGCATATCCATGGGCAACCAGCAACCGTATCAGAAACGGCTCATATCTACATGAGGTCCTCAAAATAAGCGTTTTACCGATGAAACCGAATCGAGCTAACGGCTCTTGCTGATTCGGAAACTCTATCGCGATATAGAACTGCTAGCATAGCGAGTAGCTCGTATTTGTTGGGGTGTTCTTGTGAAACTTGGAGGACGAACCCACTATCGCCATCTTCGTCTTCGCTGTCGCTGTTTCCACTTCCAGAGGTTCGGTGCGCTTCCTTTTGAGGAAGGAGGGCCCATATCCACGGAATTGGATCCAGTAGTGGCACAATGCAAGCTCTTTCCGCTGTCTCACACTGCTTCGTTGCTTGGACATGGCTGGAATAGTTGTTGATAGATCACCCAGAACAGGCGATTGGCGCAAATATCTTCGAGTTGATGTACTTTTTCACCACTTGGATCGAACTCCAAACAGGCGTCATAACTTCATCCAGAAATATTGAACCACTGTCTCCCCCTGGTCTCCATACAATCCCGAGTCCCCAGAGTCTGATGAAATACCGTCCGGTGTTGATGCTTTATTTCCGAATAAGCCCCGCGGTGACTAATTGTTGGTGACCGACTTTACTCTGCGTATAACCTTTTCGCGAATAGGCTCCACTGGAGACAAAGCCCCGGTACCTTAACAACGGTATCGAGCAAGTAGTTCCCATCTTTTGTCTGGATCGGTATTTGAAAAATTGGTCGTGGATCGAGTCACTGACCAGCTTTCCTTCGTAGTATTCGCTTCGGCTAGAGGAACCTTTTACCAAGGAAATTAAAAAGAGACATCGGTAAAGGATTTAGCCCATTAGCAGAGAAATCACTTTCCAAAAGAGCTCTATCCACACTCCTCCGAGCCACTACTTCCAAATTAAGAGCTTGATGGTATACGGCTAGGCATTCAAAGTACTCATCCCACAGCTCCACGCGTTTCATTCCCAGGTAGCAACAGTCAGAAAATGGCAAAATACCTCCGCGCTGGTCCGAGAACAAACCCAGTACCTGTCGTGGTTGTGAGAGCTCACAGGCCGCAGATAACTCTGATGTGGCGGTGATGGTAGATGAATGAGCTTTTCTGGGTGGATAAAACTGATCGAACTGATGCGTATGGCAAGACAAACGCGTCGTTGAAATCCAGGCGGTGAAAAATTGAAAGAGAAAGGAAAAGATCGGAAGCAAGGGGGATGATTCCAACTTATACTGGTACCGCAAAGGGAAATGCTACCACTGTCTCCCGCACTGCCGTGCTGAACTGCACAAAGCGGTTCAATCCGGGCGTGGGACATGGTCCGCACCGCCTCATACAAGCTGGCAGCAGCCGATTGGTTCTTATCTCTATGAGAGGCTTCATAATTCATGATTAAACCTGAGGATTAATCCGGTTGTCTACTAGCGGGGAGCTCTACTCGATGTCTATGAAGTATGGATGTCCATTTCTTCGAATGCCACTGGCCAATATTCATCCATAGAGTATGCTTTAATGACTCCGGGAGTTTAACACAAATAGATCATAACGAACTAGGAAAGTGATCAAATACCACTAGGGCCCAGCGGGACAGGCTTATTCATCTTTCACCCAATTTCCCCTAGTATTTGTATGGCATTCCGGGCAGACTGGCAAGCACGGTGTCGTAGCACGCCAGAGCTCAATTATGCAGGCCCCTAAGATTGCTCGGACCGATTTTAGCTCCTTCTATGCATTATCTGATTCCATTTGACATGCTCAATACTAATCCTTACCTCGGTCCCTTATTTTGTCACATCACTGTTGCTGGTATCCGCGCGCCAAGCTTCAAGGCGCCGCGGCCAAGACACGATTCTTTCAAAACTGTCATCGCTTTCTCTCCATTAAGGTTCGAGTTAATGCCAAAATATATACCCACGCGCATAAATACCTTATGCCAGAACTACGTAACGTATTGGCCTCCTTTCACTTCACGTATAGGTTATTGTAGCGCTATTGGCGGTAAGCTCTGTGTGGCACATCGGTACGGCCGCCAAATTTTCACGGATAGCTGCTGCAGGTTCGTCGCACGGAGAAGGGCAGAAACAGCGATCATGTATTATCCCAGCTCGTCATCCCCATTAAGGGGCAATCCCTTTCATCTGCAATACGCTGAAACTTGCTATTATTACCCAATGGCGACGTATCTGAGGCATGAATACCAGACACCAATGCAGGATATCAATAGCACAGCGCCAATCGCAGATGACCTATCACCGAGTCTACCCACCGCTCCCCCAGTTCTCTTTCAAACTACGAACAGAGCCCGACTATCACCGAGGCGGTTTTTCCCCTTGGCAAGTGTGTGTCCCAACCATGGTCCTCCAGCATCTCTGGCACGCGATCAGGGACACAGTCCGACGCGACAGCTCAGAGATTCCAACAGCATGCTATAATGACTGCAGTATGTCACCCTCGAGCATAGGGCACATAATTCACAAACTAACATGTACTAATCAAGATGACGCCGCCGTCGAGGTCCAATCATCAGACAAAACGCCCAGCATCTGCGACTCGAATTCAAAGTTCCTGGTCGGAGTAGGCACCTGCCAAAAATGCATTGAGCAAAACTCGACGACAACATACAACGACACCATCCTGCCATCCTTCGAAGAATTTCTCAATTACTGCAGCCAGATCGCCTCCGACCAGACTCAATCGGCTCAGATCCAGTCCCTGCTAAGCCAGGAAACAGCCGCACAGTCTGCGCTAACGGGCCTCGGATACTCTGCCTCCAGGACCACTACTTACGCCGTGCCATCGCTGACCGACGTACCGAATTGGGTGACGGGATATCAAACCGGGCAGCCAAGTGTAGCTGGGCTGGAAAATTATTCGAATGTTAGCACTATCGTGCCGGCCGTGGTGGTTCCTGTGGTCGTGGTCGGGCTGACGGTGGCGCTGGGCTTCTTCTTCCTCCGCCGTCGACGGAACAGGAAGGTAGACCCTGTTGCTACTGATTCGTCCCTGCCCCCTATAGATAAGCCACAACTGCATTCCGATGATTTCAGGCCGGAATTGGATGGGGCAGAGGGGCCCAAACCGTACGCCGTCCGAACGTTCGATTTACCCCCGCTCGAGATGCCAGTGCAAGAGGATGTACGGCGCGAGGATGTAGCACGAGAGCTAGAGGGTAATGCCGGCCGTGGTACCTAGAAGGTTGATTGTCCGCTATATCAGGCCAGAGGCTATATACGGTGCTTTGGGGCATGGTCAATGATTGCGTTGGCTTCAAGGAATGAATAGTAACGGGGGGTGCGCGAGTGCAAGGTACTGGCTGGGTTATCGAGCGGCGGGACAATCCCACTGGAGAGGAGAGATCAAGCGTCTTCATGCGCAATGATAACGATCACAATATAATAGTCTATTCATCTGTCATGGTCTCATAAAATCCGTCCGATACAAAACCAAAAATCAAACCAACCTTCTATGCCCACCCTTTTTAAAAAGCACCCCGCCATGAAGCCCACAAAACTTTCAAGTATCCCAACATCCCCAGAAAAAGGCACAAAGTAAAGCAAACAAGAAAGCAAACAAGAAAATAGAACAAAGCTTGAAGAAAAATATGCTCTTCCCTGTCCACCCAAAAGCGCAGTCTACCCCATATCCGCCTCAAATTCGAACTGTCCTATTGATGCCCCCAGCGTAGCCCACGGTACAGACGTCGGACCCAGCCAATTCTGCGGATGCAGGTGCATCCCAAAGCTCGATTGCATGGTGGGGTCGCTGGATGACGAGGCGATCGTGGGCACGGGCGAATTTGCTTGAGAATTCGAGAGCATGAAGTTGTCTAGCATGGTGATGGAAGAGATATTCCGTGACAGGGTGGAGAGTATAGGCTGAGATTGAGCGTGGACATGGGCATGGGCTTGAGCTTGGGTTTCGAGGTGGGCGTTGAGTTGGGACTGGTGTTGCTGAGTTTGTTGGTATTGGGTTGACGTGATGTCACTGTTGACCATCGCGTTAGCATTGGTCTAGTCTCGATCGTCGAGGAGAGGGCAGAAAATAAGGAAGAGGTGGAAGGGAAGGGGAACGGGGTGACGTACATGATCTGCCTCACCACAGGCATAGCCTTACTACAAAAGGTACTCCTTACCGACAACGAGGCAAACATATCCAATGCCTTCCCCAGCACCTCCTTCGTCTCGTCAAACTCAGCCGGATTCTCGGGATTCGCCAAACCAACCGCCAACACCACCGCCGCATGGAAAGCATGAAAACTGCCCAGCCCGCTGGCATACCACTTATACCGCGCGAACAGTGGATTCTCCAGGAGGGATTGGAATATGGATAGTGAAGCCTTGGCGGAAACCATGCACTTAGCGCGAGCCGCGCACGTCTCGGCGGTGATCTCGCCCTGCAAGAACCGGTACAGGCTGGGGCGTAGTAGGAGCAGGAGGAGCTGGTGGATGTGGGCGTAGAGTATGTTCAGGTTCGCCTGGTGGTGCACCGGGAGGGGATCACGCGCTGTGTCGAGGTTATACCGGGCGTGGCAGAGCTCGCGGACGGCTAGGACTTCGGATTCCAGTTGGGAGGGGGAGAAGCGGGACTGCGGGTATGTGAAGATGAACTCGCAGATCCGGCTGGAGATTTTGTAGAGACGTGAGGTAAGGAGGAGGAAGGTCATTTGTGTGGGGCGGGTGATACGTGGGGAAGAAGAGGAGGGATCGGAGGTGAGGGAGATGCTAGGCGCCGTGAGAAGGTCAACGTCGTCGACATCGGCGGGCATTTTCACGTCTTGGGGGAGTAGGGTCTGGTCTAGGCTACCAAAGGAGGTGTTCTGGGTGGTGTAGAGCATCATTAGGCCGGCCCAGACGCGGCGGCGTTCCTCGCGCTCGATGGGGCCGAGGGTGAAGCGTTCGGGGTCGATGTGGCAGCCCATGGAGATGGCGACGTGCTGCGTGAAGCCAAGGAGGGTCCAGAAAGTGAGCCCGCGGTGGAGCCGGGCGTAGCTCACGAGGACCAGGGCTTGGAGCGAGTTAATGGAGTGGCGGGCCATAACGCCGTCTGCGGCGAGGCAGCGTAGTGCGGCAGAGCGGTAGCGTGCTGAGAGCACTTTGATATTGCGGCTCACGGTTCGCTCCCGGCCAAGGTCTGCGAGGAGCGGATCGTCATCGTCTAGGGCGCTGACTGCTATTGCGAGGATGGCGAAGAGCAGGGCGAGCCATGCTGTTGATACACTGCCGGGATCATGACAGAACTGTTGATACTCGGCCTCAAAGGTCAAGTCGTGGAGAATGTGGAATACCTGGGGAGTCTGTCAGTCCCAGTCCAATGCGGAATACAGCGAGCAAACATACCGGGGAAAAGACGCGGAAATACACTTCTTTCAGGGTATCACAGTAGCGTCCTGGTGGAAGCAGCGCCAGTAGCTCTGCCCCTGAGACGCTCCCATTTCTCGTAAGCGGGATCTGTAGATCATCATCGTCCGCAATATCTGCCTCAAAGCTCCGCAGACACTCCGCAGCGGGGCCCTTTACCACTACCGATTCCCACTGCGAGGCGAGTGGGACATACCGCACATGGCCTGATGGAGATGTATGCAAGGATCCGACATGGCTCAGCATGGGACTTCCCCACCCCTCCAAGCCCATCTCCGACTCTGAAAAGCTGCCCGAGGCACTAGGGGCGCCCAGTGGAGACGCGCCGCGGACGGGGGTTCCCGTCCGCGAGTTGACCTGTTTCTGGAGCATGCCCTCTAGGTTGCGGATGCGCGCGAGCAATTCGTTCTGCACCGTGGGGTCGGCGGAGGACGAGTGCTCTGAGGAGAGGCGAGGCTGGCCGAGGTAGATGCAGTCTTCAGCGCCGAGTCCGCGGCGCACACAGGTCTGGCATGGACGGCCATCTCTTGAGCAGCGGATCTTTCGGTTCCGGCATGCTTGACAGCTGATGGGGAGGCGTTTCCCTGATGAGCGGGACGAGGAAGCCATGAGAGGCGTGGGGATAGACGAACGGCTGCGATGTATCCCAATACCGCACCCTCGAATGTGGGTTTGTGTGGATGGCAAGTATGCTTCCAATGGACATGCACCGACGGGGTGACTATTGATCAACAAGACTGAGCAATGGATCTGGTGGGCCCGTGGCTTTCACAGTTCTCCAGTTCTGACGTGCACAGTACCCATCCACCAGATCTGAACCTGAATCTAAAATGGGTTGGAATCGGAAGAGAATAGAATTTTCCTTCTAGCCCACGACATACGGGACCGGCCGGGGAGGGGGGACGGTAGAAGCTTTAACGTTTGAGTGAAAGGCGAGGAGCAGACCGGGGAACAGCCGGGAGCCGTGCGTCATTGTCAATGTACATGACACAAAGGTCAATATTCAGAATAATTCACCATAATCATGGAAAGGAATACTATTCAGAGCCTGCCAATGTAGGGAGGAGTGTTGCCCCCGGCCGGTTCGAGTCAACAGGAGGCAACTTCCGAGCCGAACTGTTTCGCCGGCCCAGCTGAGAGACGCCTCCCGTTTCGCCCCCCTTCAGATACGTTTTCTTAGTAGCCTAAGAGGAAGTCCCAGTGATAGGGCCCAACACTGACAGCCTGTCGATTTCAATGCCATGAACCAGAATTGAATAATAGAAAAGCAAAATCGAATGCAACTAAAATCCTACTCGCACGGACTACAAAATCGCGCGGAACGCCCGATGTAAAGTGGGGGGCGTGGGATGTTTCTAGAAGCCGTGGGACCCGCTGCATCCGCAACAGAAACAAGGTTTTCGTTAGTGGGTTAGGGAGCCCCGTTTCCGAATGTAGATTGTAATGGAGGCCCGGCCGGTGCTGGGACTACGCCGTCTACCAGCGTGGACTCTGATACGGGCACTTCCGACGGACCCAGAGGCGGCGCGATGCGGAAGAGGGTACTCAGGATCCTGTCTGACAGATTGGTAATATCGAACCTGGAATCCGGAACATGGCATGGGACTGGCCACCCGTGCGTGAGCTGCTCAAATCATTCCAAGGGGGAAACGGAAGATAGATGGGCCTGGTAATCCACTTGATTTGGTTGATGGGACCGACCGGGGATCTTCAGAGGAGTTAACTGCAACATCCGATGTGAGTCGAGGGATCGGCTCTGAATGACGGGCAATCGGACAGCCGGATCCCGACCGGTTGGGCGCAGCCCTGCCAAGGCGGAATCCTACTGAGCGTTGTCCGCTTTGTTTCGTGGACTGGTGCGTGCCGCGAGTGCCAGCACAAATTTTTTGTGTTTGTGGTTGGATTCGCCACGGACGAGGTCGATGCACCGCGCGTAGACGACGAGTGGTCAGCAGGTCGATGCTGCGCTGCGACTAGCACAAATGAGGCTAAGTGCAACTGAGCCACGCGAGGCGCCACAGACACGCTCTTTTTTGTTTCTTCTAGCAGGAACTAGTGGTGAGATGGGTTGGTCGCCGTGCTATTCTCAGAGTTAGGTCAGCATTAGCTTAGATGAAAATTCTGTCGCAGCTTCTCCAGAAACGTCACTGCCTGTCGCTGTACTGGTACCTGGAGCTAGCCACCACAGCTGGGTCCAGTAAGAAAGGTGCATGGCAGCATGACAGGGGACACATGGCAGCTGGAGTGCCACAGTGGTGGCTACAGCGAGAAAGTACGCCGAATGGAGCACATAGAGAAACGTTATGGAGCAGCTGGCACGGAGTGAACTACACGGAGCATGGAACGACGTCTCGGGCCGGCATCAACAGTTTTCCCCATCGGGCGACGCAGGCCACGGATGGGAAGCGTTCCATGGTTCCACGGATGTACGGGATTCATTCTCGATTCTCGAACAATGGAACAAATAGAACTGACACGGACTAGTTGGAAACATAATTATTCATAGTCGACAAATCCGCCACTCTAAAACTGAACCCACCAAAGGGTCTTCGCGGGCCTGGACTGTTGATCGTACCCTAAATCACGTACAATCGACCTCCACAGCAGGGGAAGGGGGAATAATGAATCCCAAGCCAAGCTACGGACCAGATAGACGGTCAACTAAGAATCCACCCAACCCACCCTAAATTCCCACATGGCTCCCCTCCTCCCGCATGGAGGCATGGAATGCACGGAATGCGAAATTGCGCCCCCTAGCGAGAAAAGCCGGGGTAGGCTTGGAGCTCTCGTATTCCTCGCAACCGCAGAGCGTGCCTGCATCCCCGAAGGAAGAGGGAAAGGCACAGGGGAAAATTGCCGCGGGTAAACGGGCGGGAGGAGAGACCGTCGCACATATCGAGGATCTCACTACATAGCCGGCCAGAATTGCCGACGCCCCGCCCCCGAGATCATCTCAGATAAGCCGCGATGCTCGATGCACCGTGGCAAATAGCGTCAACCCCGAGTGAGAGCGATCGAGGACTCAAAGCACAATGCACCAATGCATGCATTCACCGAGTCAGTTCAGTGGGAATGATGAATCTCTACGAAGCATAGGACCCGCCCCCGGCATCGCAGAAGGATCGCATGACTACCCTAGCCAACACCCTTGTCCGTCAGTCTAAGTTTTAGTTCACTATGCGCTGCACAAGCACAAGCATGGATGCGTGTGATCGACAGCGACAGGGATTATCGCGTGGCAATGAGTTAAATTGCTTTTTTGGCTTTCGGAAAAGCGCATCCGGCATCGGATAGGCAGCGATGGTGCGAATGCCGGGAGTTAGCGAGGCCGTACCTAACCATACAACACTCAAGAATTGTTCAGGTAGTTAGGTAGATGATGATGACGCGGGGGGAAATGGCGCAGACCATAAGGCAACATGCCCTCTCTCTTTAGGAAGGTGCCGTCTACCCGAAATAAAGTTTACTGCCACATTCAGAGCACGCAGGGAGATTTTTGATAATTATTTCAGCTCTCTCCTAGGCAGCCATTCACACGGTTCGTACGTGTGTATGTATACATTATTCATCCAGCAGCTTCCAGGTCCAGATTATGGGAACCGGGGGCAGGGCCGGTGTCGCCACAGCTACGTTGTACAGCCAAACCTCCCAGAAACATCTAGAACATCTAGAGCCCCATAATAAACCTGGTTTTCGAGGCCTCTTATGCAGGCCCAGCTGCTGCTGATTCGAGGTGGTTTGCGTCGCCGGCGACGGACGCTTGTTTAGGAGTTTCGTGGACCAGGACGACGCGGTCACCGAAGGCGGCGGCGACTTCTTCGAGGGTCTTTTGCTTAGTTTCGCTGGAGGAGAGGGTCAGAGTGTGATTATGGTTGTGGTTGTGCTCGGGACTGGACTAGACCAGCATGACGGGAAATACGCACGGGAAGTAGAGGTACGCAATGACCAGAAAGAAGGCGGAGCAGGCCACGAAGACGTAATAGTAGTTCTCGTGGATGTTGGCGAACGCGCTGGGTCCAGCTTCGGTGACTGTTCAGGGGAAGTATGAGCGACCATCTCATATGATCTCAGAAAAAGTGCGGGTGAATCAGAGAGAGTACTTACTGGCAACATTCACGATGAAGTGCGACGCCGCTGCAAGACCCATCACCTTGCTCCGTAGCGCGATAGGCAAGACCTCCGCGCCGTACAGCCACGTCGTGCTGTTAAGCATGCCATCTAGACAAGCACCACGATGTCAGCAACTAGCCAAGCCCGTTCCAGGCCTGTCAATCTTCACAGCGGCACGGCGGTTCCACTCACAGTAGCAAACGACGAAGAGATAGATGCCCAAAATGGCAAAGCCCTTGCCGACCTGGTTGTCGGTGTGCTGGAACTCGCGCTGCATCACTGCGGCGTAGATTTCAATCAGCACGATCCCTGCCAGCCCAGTGATCAGCATCCTATGCATTTGTCAGTAATTTGCCAAGCGAAGATTGATATCACCCAAGCCGCCGATGGGGCTTCTCCACAGATGCACGGTGGGTCACATACTTGCGGCGGCCCCACTGGTCCGTCAAAAACTTGGTCGTAATGGCGTTGGAGAAGAAGGCGACCGTGCCATAGACACCGGCAAGGGCGAGGATAGAATGCGAGCCGATGCCGAGGGATTTGTACAATATTGCTACGGGGTTTGTTAGTGTCGCTGGAAACTGGATTCGCTGCGAGGGCCGCGATGCTCACTTTGATAGTACTGTCGGGCGTGGGTCAGCATTGTCACTGCATAACAGATGTCCGGTACTCCTAAACAAACACCACCCAACATACCTGGATCACATTGACACCTGTCAGACTCGTCATGGTCTGGACCGCAATCGATCTATGTTCAACATTAGCCCCGCTCTCGTCACGACTCCACTCTCTTTCTCCCACTCCCACATCTTCTCCCCAAGATGTCTGACGGGTCTACATACACCAACACCCGGTGTCGGAAAAGCCGGTAAATCTCGCGGTAGCTCGTAATCTCCCGCTCCATCTCGTACTCGATTTGCGCCTGCATCAGCTCAAACTCCTCCTGCACCTCGTGCGAGAGCTGGCCGCGGCGGATACGCACAAACTCGGCGCGCGCCTGCTCGATCTTGCCTATGCGGATCAATTGTCGCGGCGAGTTGGGCATAAACGTCGCCAAGCCGATGAACAGGATTATGCCCCAGGGGATCTGGATGCCGAGTGGAAGGCGCCACTGCACCGGGCCGTGAGGGGCGTAGCCGCAAGCGAACCCGACCCAGTTGGACATCATGGTGCCGAAGGAGATGCCACAGCCTGAGATACCACCGATCAGGCCGCGGACGCGGGGGTCGGAGATTTCGCTGAGATAGATGGGGACAGTGGCGACCATGCCGCTGTAGTGGGTGAGCGGTTGTACCAGTTGTGGCTCTTCATTGCCCGTGGTTTGGGAGAGGATTCGGGGCTCCGGGGCTTGGACTTACCCGACGGCGTAGCCTGCCAGCACCCGGCCGGCGAGGAACATGCCAATATTTACGGAGGCAGTCTGGATCACGGTGCCGATGGTCACAATTACGCACATGAGCTGCATGAACCGAATGCGCCCGAGTCGGTCGCCGATGAAGGTCTGCGTCAAGGCGCCGACGGCCTCGCCGGCGATATAGACGGCAACCACCTAGGAAACACGGATGAGCTCTGCGTTCAACAGCACAGAGAATGGGATCATTCATCGATCGGACATACTGCACCGGTCAGGCCGTTGGATGGCTTGTGCATATAATCAATCCAACTTTGATGGGCGATAGCTGTAGGTCCCCGTTAACCCTAGTTCTCGAGGCACAGGTCCCGCGTTACTCACTCGTCGTCGCAATACCAGTATCGAACCCCTGCGTCCACCCGTTAGTTCCAAGCTCAGACCGGGTCAACAAGGAAGCACATACAAACAAGAACGTGCCGATGGCCGCGAAGAACGCGATGCCTAATGAATACCACAGCGCCATGGTGAGAGAAATGTGCCAGGCACACGAGCAGGAAGATACTGAAGCCCGGCTCCGCTGCAGTGGAGAATAAGTAGGTGGATGTAATACAGGAGCAAGAACAGGCAGCTTTGTCGTCCAGCTCTGTTATCTAGGCTCGCACAGCGGCCTTTGTCCGAACAACCGAGGAAGCGTCACACGGGGCACCGTCCAACGCGGTCTGGCGTGTTTCTCGGAGGACAGCCGAGTTGGCAATGATGTTCTGGGGATGCGGGGGTGGGACGGGACGAGATGCACCGACGACACGACGAATGGGGCTCCCCATCAATCATCCAAACTCAGTCAATCGCAAACCGATTGGATGAACCAGGCTAGGTCATTTGGAATGGCGTTTAGCCTTTCTATGGTGCTCGTATTGGTGTTCCGGAAGTGCGCGTCTAAAGTGGTTCTTAGCTTTGGTCGCGTGGGGGGAGTGCGGGGATTGTCCCACTCGACGACGTTCAGTCCGCCTGGCTTGCGAAGTAGATGTCTCCTGTGTGTGCGATTGGCGATGCAGAGCCCGAGCCTGGCTTGGCTGTCGAAGTCTGCGTGAGTCAACCCCTTGACGGCAAGAGATGGGAAGTTATCCTAGGACTGTAACTTTTTGCTGGCCTCCCGAGGCGCCGACCAGACTCTGGGGAATGAGGTCATGAACCGTGCCAGGGACTGGGATGAGCCAACATACCCGGAATATATGTTAGCCGCAACCAGCTTTGCTCGTAAAAAATGCCATCCGTTCCATAGACAATGTTCGTGCTTTCATAGTGACAGTTCCACCTCACCTCTAATCAGCCTCTCGTCCTTCTAATGGATTCAAGTTGCATCTCGTCTCTAATCGGACTTGTTCCTATGTTGCTTTGAGATATAGGGGCCGGTGGTTTCTTCTTGGTTGATTAACAGCCTCATAGGCAAGAGTATCATTGCACGAGGGCCTGGTCCAGCGCCTGCCCTGATTACACCTTAATATATTTCGCTGCTGTGGTGGACGCCATCAAGTAGCGTGGACGAGAGACTCAGGATCCAAGTACCTACGGAACCAGACGGATGGGAGGCGTCCCACCATGGAATCGCAGACAGGATCTGGTCGGTAAAAGGGTAAACGCGGGGACTGGGTCTCCCAGTCTTATGCGTAGGATGTCCGATCCGACAGTCAAGTAGTACGCTTATTCTACTATTGGAGAAAGCAGGGGAGAATCCTCGTATCAGGTAATCATCGAGTTATTTTTGAAGGTATGAATTCCTATTTCATTTTTCCATTGCCACCATCATATGACCTCCACAAAAACAGCGAAGTGTTTGTGCAATGCAGGAAACCCAGGAGCCGAACAAGGAAATCGAACGCTTAGAAGACAAGAGCGGCACCCTTGGTCTTCTTGTCACCACTGCAGAGAAGAAAAAAGTAATTAGTATCAATGCCACAACAAAATCGCAGGCTCTGTGCGTGGGGGAGCGAATAGACGTACCCAAGCTCGAAGTGCTTGCAGCGCTTCAGAGCGAGCTGCTTCTTGGCCTTGCAGGCAGTGCACTCGAGACGGAGGACAACCTTCTTGGTGGTCTTGGCCTTCTTGTGGAAGACGGGCTTGGTCTGACCACCGTAACCACTCTGCTTCCGGTCGTAACGACGCTTACCCTGGGCGTACAGGGAGGCCTAGTTTTCGTGAAATCGTATATTAGCGGAGCTGCTCGGTCGCGGGTGGTGTGGTGCCTCGAAGGCAAAAGGGTCGTTTCTCACCTTGCCAGCCTTGTACTGGGTGACCTTGTGCTGGGTGTGCTTGTGGCACTCCTTGCCCTTGCAGTAGGTCCGGCGGGTTTTGGGAATGTTGACCTGTTCGCGAGAGATTCGTGAGCTTCTGTCTGTGCGGAGGTGAAAACTAATTGCTAGTGCAGGTTGCTTGTGTCCCATCGGTCTAGTGTCGAAAATGTTGCGGTCGCGGAGGTCGTTGCTTTAGGCCACGGCGAGATTTTGGTGCAGATTTTTCAGGGCGGGATGTACTCGTGGAGCTGGCTTGTTCTCGTCTCTGTCGAATTTTCATGCTTCCGTCCCTCCGTCGTGCGCAGCGCACTCCACACGTCTTCATTTTTTGCGCCCCCAGGGTCGGAGTTCAAGTTCGGTCACAGCGTCGATTTCCATGTCAATTTGTCGCAGATGTTCAGTCGTGTTTCCAGTCAAACGGTGGACTTCGAGTGGTTGGCGAGAGTCGGCCGGTGGTTGTTCACGTCGAGTTCGGCCACACATTCATCTCCTCCCACTCGCACAATGTCTCCGCGACGTCGCAACATATTTCGATTGACCAGGACTTGAGGGCACAGCAACCTGGAGCACAGAATGTGAGAGCCTTACCATTTTGACTGACTTGCCGGATAGCGAGGTGGTGGTCGTTAGATGTCGCTTGTCAGAGAAGAACCAAGCGGACGAGTGTGGTTGTGGGATTTCGTTCGCTTAGTGCCCTATTCGGGTACGCGCTAAACCGTGTTGGTGCGCCCACGCCAAGATCTGGATGAGTCATCATTCGATAGGGCCGCATTGCCCGATTGGGAAGCTATGAGTCCTTCTCCTGGCAAGACGTGAAGAAAGCTAAAAACTAATGGAACCCCGAGCCGATGAGTACACTGTCGCCTTTCCCGTACCATGACCGGCCTTTCATCAATTCAAGACCTTTTTCCTGTCCTACCACCCACTCACCCCGCGCTAAGCTGCCAAATCGCTTCCACTCATCAGACCTCAACTCCTGATTGATGTCCTCGATCTTAGCCACAAGCTCGCGCGCTCTTTCACGAAGATAATCAGCTTCCTCTGATTTACTTTGTGTAGATCCAACCGGGCGGACAAATCGCGCGATCGTGACATGTGCTGATGGCACAGTGTACCGTGCCTCAAGCTGGCATCCCGCTTCAGTCATAATATCGTAGAGATCACTCCGTAGATGCTGGTATGAGTAGCTATCATCCGGCGCCCCCTTCACCTCATAGGCAGTATCCCCGGCAGCGGGGATGAAGCTAAGAGCGAGGGCTGAAGCGTCATAACTGACAATCGGGCGGACCAGCCGGGCACGGTGGGTGAGAGTGTAGTCGAGAATATCTTGCAAGGGAGCATGCTCCTCGAGAAACGATAAAAGCTCATTAACCTCTGGTAGTGTCCGCGCCGGCATCATCTCCAGCGTGGTCATGTGCAGATGATCCGCGGGGGTGAGCCAAAGGCCTAGGAAAGCGATGTGAGTATGTTTACCCTTCAGGGATCGAAGCATGGGCAGGACTTACACGGGCCTGCCAGTGGAGCGATCATCTGCTGGATATCATGGATCAACTCCCGGATGTGCCGTGGTGGTCGAGTCCAGAGGGAAAGGTTATTCCTCGGATCGACATATTGGGTCAGACCTTGTTGCGCCTCGAGCACTTGGTGGAGGATCTCATCGAACCGCCACTCCCGAAAGCTGAGATCGAGAATATGTTCCTTGAACTGTGCATTTCGGTTTGAGCGATGCTCTTCGAAGGCTTGTTGAAGTTTTTCCTGGCAGTTCGGTCAGCGTGTAGAGCAACTGATGCCAGCGAGTCACGCGGGGATTACCGTGTCGTTCTCGGACGCGATGATCAACTGCTTGAACACATTTGGTTTCAATTGTGCCATTTCTCGGCGTGTTTTCACGGTCATGGTGATTTTTGCCTATTGTACACCGTGATCTAAAGTTTTTGTGGCCTGTCGTCGAAGCCTGATTCATCTGAGCTGTGACATTGCGGTGAGTCGGTCTGGGGTTGAAGGTGGCCCCTTAGCGTTAGCCGAGATATATATAGCAAAGCCATGGTGCTGATTCTGGCCGGCATCCTTTATGCCTAGCAAATGCAAAACACACGTATCCGAGAATTCATTACTGGACAAATAGGTAGTCAATGACGTTTGTAATGAGTTTTCTTACTGCTATGAAAAGGAATGTCCTGTGTTTTGGACACTGGGCGAGCTGATTCCACTCCGAGAATTCTGCGCAGCAATAGGCAACATCTAGCTGGAGCGATGAATACTTCCGGGTAAGGAGGACGGAAGAGAATCTTTGCTTAGCTCCAATAAAGCTTCTGAAAAACAGCATATCAGGTAATTAATAAATTTACATACTGGAAGACTCCTGGAAGTAAGGTGAAGCGAGCAACTGCCGACGCCCGAGTAGCCTCATTATCAATCAGGCAATAAGGCCGCCGGCCCCACCAAACCCCCGCCAACGCGGCTCTCACTCCCTCTTCTTTCAGACCCTCATTTACATTTACGACTCCTCTCACCACCGGCACTGCAACGTGATATACTGGTTTTCAATCCATTCCTTCTACAAGTAAACTGAAAGCAACCGCCCCGCCACGATGCTGATCAAGTGAGTGGTGGCCCCGGCCTCCGGCCTGCAATTGCATCATTGTCGGCCCGAAATGAGGAAGTCCACAGCACCTCAGCACTGACACCTTTGCTTTCTCTAGGGTCCGCACACTAACTGGCAAGGAGATCGAGCTGGACATCGAAGCCGACTACAAGGTGAGGCTCACACAGCTCTTGCAGATACGCAGACTGGACGCAAAAGGCTTCCTTGCCTGAGCCGGATGAGGCTACAAGCAGCTCCGTGGTGAGCTCGATATGGTTGAAGGCCACCTTAGCTGACACACACTGGTGGAACTAGGTCTCCCGGATAAAGGAGCGTGTCGAGGAGAAGGAGGGCATCCCTCCAGTGCAGCAGCGTCTTATCTTCGGTGGCAAGCAAATGTACGTTCCCACCAGAGCTAGCCACAGAGCTCTTTGGCACGCTTCCAAGATCAAGCTAATGTGTTACCTCTTACTACTAGGGCGGACGACAAGACGGCCGCCGAATACAACCTTGAGGGTGGTGCCACGCTCCACCTTGTGCTCGCTTTGCGTGGTGGATGCGATGCCATGTAACCCGTTATGCCCCCACTAAGATACCATTTTACTTTGAGCAATGTTATTGAAATTTGAGGAACTGCACGCGTGCAGACCGCTTGCATTCCAGGCGTGCATTTGTTCTGTTTAATTTAGGCATACCGTGGTGGGTGACAGACAGGGTCTGGATGTCAACGGAGAGCTAGGGTACCTACCCACACTGGAGCTTGGAGCTTACTCCAAAGCGCCACAATCTACGGATATCGAAGCCCTCCAAGATTGCTATCCAGTCGATGTCCTTCAAGTATGTCCATTGTATGACGCACGAACATGGAAAAGGAAACAAATACACAAGATCCAACCAGAATGCTCCAAGATGTGCAATGAACATTGAATATCACCCGTCGCCAACCAGATACCGGCCCTACAAAACAGCCCAAACTACCTATACCCGATCCCGTGCAATATCATAACTCCCAAGAAGATGCAATATATTCACATGCAAGAGGGTGATAGTCTAAACGAAACCCAAGAAACCAAAGAGCAAAAACCAAAATCCGCTAGACGGAAAGGACCGGAGATAAGTGACGATCAAAGAGGGCGCTTCTTCTTCGGTCGAAGGAAAATATCGACATCTGCTCGTTTCCGGACGACGGCGGGGCGTGCGGGAAGTCCGAGGACAGGGCCATTATTGTTCGATTGACCAGAAGCCTGACCATCGGTATTGGCTGGCATAGGCGAAAATTGCGATGAAATTTGGGGTGGCGGGGAGCTAGCTTTGCGTTTGAGGATAGATCGGTGGGCTGGTGATGAAGCTTCCTTTGCAGGAGAGGGAGCGGTGTGGGTATTAACCGTAGCCGCAGCCGATGATGGCAGTGGCTTCAATGGCAATGGCCTGCCAGATGCAATGGCCTTGAGCCTGGCCTCCCGCTCAGCTAGAGAAGACGAGCCTCTAGATTCGGAGGCTGGATGGGCTGAAGCGGACGCTGATTTCCCTGGCGACCGTCCGGATGCAATAGGATTGTCATGCCTGGCAACAGGTTGCTCGGCCGGCCGGCGATGTACCTCGACAAGCGACCGCGGCGCCTGTTTAATCTGTGTCGCCCGGTTACTGAGATGCTTCGTCGGCACCGCCAGTGCATTATTCCTTCTCTGCGGCGTGAAAATAGTGGACTTCTTCTTTGCGCCGGGTGCCAACGTATCCCCCCGGGACAGAGACGAGCCCCTTCCGCCTGACCTCCGATCAAACGAGGCAATTCGTTGGCGCAATGAAGGTTTCATTGCTGGCAGGTGCTTCATGACTTCGGGCTCTAGCCGCGCGCGCTCGGACTTGATGCCATCAATGGCCATTTTCATTTTCTCGGCGTCGGCGTCAAGCTCGCGCTGGACTTCTGCGCGGAGGTCGCAATATATTTCGTACCAGCGGTTGGTGTGCTTGGGTAGGTCGTAGGTGTTCCATTGGGGAATATCGCGTTTGATGAGCTCGAGCCAGATTTCTTGGTCTTCTTCGGCGAGTTGGGGGGAAAGGACTTCCATCGAATGCTATATAAGAATAAGGAGACATCAGTTGAATGTTATTTATCGGCTAGGTGGAAAAAGGTGCTGCGCTGCTGGAGCCTGGACGTAACGTACCAGCTTCTCCGGATTGTCGACTTTCATCAGAATAGGACGAACAAGGGCATACGGCAAGTTTCCGATATCGTTCAACACTGCCGGCAAGTCAGTTATCCGTTTGCGATGCAGGTATGCAATTTCATGCTTGTTTGTTTCGTCCGATGGCACGTACGCTTAACATGCTTGACTGCCGTGGCCGTAGCCAGGTGTTTCAGCGTCGGGACTGGCATGCTTATGACGGTGGAGGATTCGACCACGGTTGGCTCTGAGATCGAAAGGGTGACATTGAAGAAAGTGAAAAGACGTGTCAAGAGCACAGGCTAGCGGTATACCTATATATTGAGGAGCCAGAATCCAGCACAAACTCCAGGCTGCGGTCGGTGCTGCGGTCATCAGGATGCGACCGTCGGGCCTGAGGGACAGCGGGCTGGAGGCGGATCATCGAGCTTACCTGCGGGTCCCCATTGGCTGGGCCCCGTGGGCAGCCCGAGGGCATCAACGAGGCGTTGTCGACTTTCTATTCCATATTTCTATTGTTTGGGGAGAAAGGAAGCTTATAGATGGTTCTTGATAGATAGTAGGTGACGTTAGGCGATAGAGGGATTTATTTTTCGAAATACAGTGAAAGGGCGCATGGCATAAAAAGAGATGCATGTACCAATGTAATGTAAGGAGATATACTGAGGAGGTTTACTCTAATCTTACAAAAAAGAGCAGCATGTAGGTATTGCTGTCACCTTTGATCCTATATGTATTGTCTCCGGAAGACAATCGAACTTAGTCCAACCCAACCCAACCCAACTGTATCGAGTCTGTACCGCCGACCGACGCCTTGATAGCAGACCACGTGATACCCAACTTACAAACAAAGCAAACAGACATCTCCGATAGCATCATGAGGGGCTCTTGAGTTTCTTGACGTTCTGTCGAATTGTCTTGCACCAGAATACTCAAGAATCAGGAAACAAAAAGGTACGTTCCTTTTATTCATGAGATATCTGCCTCGAATGTTCTTTGCAGGGCCCTGTGGAATCCGGAAAGGCGTTTGGCATGCATATATCATTCCCCAAGCTCCAGCTGCCGTCCACTTGCCGAGATGATTCGCGATATCTATCACTTGGACTCCGAATATGGCAACTGGGGTGTCAATTTTGATTTCCTAAGCTTGCATGATAAATTCATGACGTTACACACAACACCACTTGCAATTATCTCAAAGTCGCCTCTGACAACCTTCTAGGTCTATCACTATGGCTCCTCGCTCCCAGCTTGAGATTAGTACCTCTTCTGTCCTCCGCCTGGTGAAAGAAGAGGCCTCTTACCACCAAGAGCTGGTGGATCAGGCCGAGCGTATCAAAAAGCTTGAGAACGACAAGAGCGATGATGAGAACCGGGAGTTTACGCTGCAGCAGGAGGTAGGTATCTCACCGCGCTATGATTTATTGCAATCAAGGACCTCTGTTGATTACATGTATGCACTATTTGGCATTGAGTAGTCGCTGACTTGACTAGCGCCGAGCCCTGGAGGAGACCAAGAAGGTTCTTCCAACCCTGAAGAAGAAGATTGCTGATACCGTTACGGATCTGAAGTCTCTCCTTGTGAGTTTCCTAAATCTCCATCTTGTACATTGCGACACAAAATGCTAATATACCACAGGCCGAGGAAGCCGAGAAGGGCTCCGAGAGTAACGTGGAGCACATCACCGCCGCGAAGGAGGCCATTGCGAAGGCCCTGACCGCAGAGCGCGAGATTTCGTGAAAATAGACATTTGGTTCAATCCAAGTCGACAAACGAAATACCCGCAGGCAAAATCAAAGTTATCAAATAAATGTATTCTACACAACAACCGAACACCCCAGGCCGAGACCGTAAACTCCATGCTAGTAGTGTACGTGCGCAGATATTCTTCATGTAGTATCCATCTTCTCGTCAGGCAGCTCTTCCCCTTCCTCGAGATCGTCTGATTGATCTCCTGCGTCGTCGGCTGTGACCTCACCATCGTCCACCATGTTGATATCCTCCTGGTCGGTAGAGCCTTTAACACTCTCTGCACTGATTGCCTGCCGGAGAGGAGATGTGGCTCCCGTAGGACCGGATGTCCTGTCGACTTGTAACCGACCGCTCTCGTCTTGGCTGTGCTGGGAAGGGGTCATACTCTCAGTCTCGGGGAGGGGACTGTTGGTGGCACTGAGCTTGCCCTTTGAGGCAGCATCGCCTTCATCTCCATCCTCGCCCTCCTGCATGCCTTCCCGCCGCTCGACCTCTTCCTTCTCATCGCGAATCAAGCGCCGTAGTTGCATTCCCTCCTCCACAATGCGGCCGAATTGCTCTCTCCGCTCCGCCCACGTCGTCGCGTAGTCCTTGCTCTCCTTCTCCAGCTCGGTAATCTCCACTTGTAACTTCTGCAGATTTGCCTGCTGATCTTCGCGCGGCTTCAGGAGCCGGTTGCTGGTAATCTTGTCCGCCAGATCATCATAGCTCTTGCGCAGTGCAAGCAACCTTTGTGCGTCCTCTAGTTGGGTGCGAAGCTCGGTTGTGTTTTCGCGGACCGAATGCATCGTGTCCAGGATGGCCAGCTTCTCTGTCGCGTACCGTCGCCGCTCCTCTTCGTTGCTGTTGAGGAGGAACTGAACTCGAGCAATGCTACCTTCGAAGGCGGCAAAGTCGAGGGCCACATCTTCGCGAAACGTGCGCCATTCTTCAAGTCGCTTTTGTCTTTTGGCTTCCGGGGCAACGGCCGCGTCGGGGTCGGATTCATCGGGCGGAGGAGTGAGTGGAAGGGAAACGTTGGAGATGATGAGCGAGTCGGGGTTCAGAAGGCGTTTGGAGATGCGCTTGAAAGGTTTTTCTTCGACGTTTAGTAGGCGCGACTTGTGGAGGGCGTCTGTGACGGCTGGAATGTCAGTCATCAGAGCTGGTTGGCATGGGGGTGGCATGAGACAGGACCTTCTTCTGGCTGGCCCAGAAGCCCGTAGGAGGCCATCTTGAAGCCTAGAAAATGGCGGAGAGAGTGTGGCTAGGTTGGGTGGAAAGTATGATGAGATAAACCAGTTGTTGGGACTGAAAATATGAGAGAGGTGTTAAGGGCGCCTGGTGTGGTGAGAATCAGAGAAGTGAAGCCGAGCGGTCTGGCGCTGCACGCCGAGCCTCGAGAATGCGAGCTGCTTTCCCCAGACATTCCTTCCCAGTGACCCGTGACCCGCAATCCGCTGCTGTCTCTACGATTGAAACTACTCCATTCCCCACGAGACATTCGAGACATTCGGGCCCTGCATAGCAGCTTGCTCAGTCCTCCCACCATTCACTTCGATGATGACAGGCTGAGAGACGAAGCCGCGCTCCGCACTTGACCCGCGCGTCTTCACCCTCGTGCCTCCAGGAGCATCGCGCTGCGCAGCCTGCACCCTGATGGAACTTGTCGCTCGAGTAGCTGCGACTGGCGCCCCAGTTGCTTGGCCGCTCTTATCCCTCCTGCAGCTGCGCGCCGCCTGCCCCTCACCAACATGACGGAGATGTATTCGGGGCTCCATGCGGGCCAGCGCTTTTCGTCTCTGGAGGAGTTCAAAACAGTGATTCGAAGCATATCCGTCCGGCAGCACTGGGAGCTTCGTGTTATTCGAAGCAATAAGAAGAGTGTGGTCATTGGCTGTCGGTCTTCGGCCAATTGCTACTTTCGCGTTGTTTGTCGTTCGAACAAGAACGCGACCTATATTACTAGTCTTCAGGACAGCCATAGCTGTCGAAGGAGCGCTGATTCTCCAGCCGCGACACCGGCGCGCTCTGAAGCCTCGCATGTGCGCTTTCTGCTTAGTGAAATTCCCAAGCTCTTTGATTTGAACACCAGAATCAAGGGTCAGGATGTGGTGGACGCTGTTAAACGTTACCATGGATATGATATCTCCATGAGACAGGCACAGCGCGCACTGACTAAACTGCAACCGCGGCAGGGTGATATACAAGGCGAGCACAGTTTGGATATGGATATGAGTACAGGTGACCAGCAGTCGCCCGGTCAGTCCCCGCCTGGATCGCAAGGAGAAGCGGGGCCAGCATACCGAGATATCTCGGAGAACCGCTGGATTCCAGATCATTTAACGCCCTCACTCATGGATGATGGCTCTGTCAATCCTGCCGACTCTCCAAACCATGCACCCGCGCCGCTGCCACCACCCTCAGCCGCTCAATCCGTCCGACCTCCCCAGATTCAGCAACCTCCTCCAATCGGAACATCAAGCCAATCTGCTTTGAGCAGTGATACTCGCCCAATAATCCCGCAGCAAGGGGTGGGATACCCAACTGCTCCTCCCTTACCAGGCGCAGGACCAGAACATCCTAAACCTCCCAGCTACCCGCAACGCAACGATCACCCAACGGTTCCGCACATGGTTCTCACCAACTTCAAGATTGAGTTCACCTGCACAACATGCGGGTCCCTAAACCAGAGTTTCTTCCCAAATCAAGGCAATGTCACCGGGGCCGGTTACATACCTCATCATGCAATTCAAACACAGGCCGCTGTTACAAGACATCCCGGCCCTGTACCCCCGAATGCGTCTGATGGTAGTAGCAACGAACTTCCCGAGGATGGCGGATATACAGTCAATGCCATCAATGCTCGTGTCATGCACAATGCATGGGCGGCTGGAGGCTTAGGTGTCCCCATTGGCCCCGCCAATACCTAGCCATTAGCTACCGCTCCCCTATCATCCTTTCTTTTCCGTTCCATAGAGGCCTCTCTGAGGCTTTGTGCTGGCAGGGAACTTCTTCAATCACTTGACAAACGTGATCCTGTGACATTCACTAAATCAAGATTGAAAGAGACCTTCATTTGACACCATGCTCTTGCTATGTTCTGATGCATCTAGGATCTCGCTGCGTAGTTCCAAACCTGAAATAAAAGAGCTAGCTGAAATTTGGGGAAACGGATGAATTGGAACTGGATGATTGTGAAGACGATGTGACATGACAGTTGAAAACCGCTGGTTGCTTCTTTCTGCTTGACACCATTCATATGCCCAGCACTCCGTCAATTACGCCTATTATTGGATTGATTTTGACTTTGTTTCACTTGGGCTAGCCTGGGCCGCACATACACACTCGTTGAAAGATGAACTTGATATACTTGAGTCACTGTGAAATTACCTTGCCAATCATCTCCTATCGCCTCCTGTAGCCTGGAAATTGTTGCGGACCACGATGATCCCGTACATATAGTGCTCGTCTCACAGTCCTCCACTCCCCCACTTCTCTGCATTCGACTGGGAGAGATGGCAAGCCGCTTGGGGCCTTCTCCACATTTTGCTACAACAACAATGATCTTCCCCACAACGTAACATGCGTGTAGAATGCTGTCGCCAGAGATTACAAGGCTTATGGATTCCAATCATAGTTCAGGTAAAGCGGTATCTTAAGGTTTCAAGCTCGGTTCCAAGAAGATAAACAAAGCCACTTCAGCGCCACGACGATGAGGCCCCCGTCCCCTCACCACCAGCAAGCCCAGGCTCACCATGCCAGCGGGTCCCTTCGGCAGTCAGGAAGAAGGTCTAATTCCCGAAACCCCCAGGAAATTGGCTAGCTATCGCATTAGCCTGCAGCACGCACCCGCCCCCGCCAGCTTATCCACCAATAAGCCCGCCATTTGGTCGAGCATGACTCCTCCCCACGGGGTAGCTGAAGAGATAATCATGGGGTTGGCAGAGCTAGACGTATTCATGCATGTCATGAGAAGAAGAAACTCCGCCTGGCCCCACAGGGGATCCGGGGAAGACAGTATCGAAGGTTATCCCCTTTGTGAACGGGCGTTGCTGGAGCTGCGATTTCTTGCTAAAACTCCCCGACCTGGCTCAACGGGAGACGAGTTCGATCTGTTGTCCTAACGAGCTAATTCGTAACCGACGCTCCCTTCTTCAATTCATTTTAATTTTTGTGCTGGGCTTATCCAGTGCGCATACCTGGCGACCATGGGTGATAGCCAACCGAAAAATGGCCTCCGGCTACACTGGAAGTCGTTGGTAGCTTGCTCGCTGGTTTCAATGTCGCCATTTCAATACGGAGTGGACTTTACTCTCATCGGTGGTTTTCAAGCCATGGTGGGGTTTCTAAAGGTAGAGGCCATTTCTCCCAATGCTTTATTCACTTTTACTGCGGCGGTGGATGACAAGACTGACAATGGGTCCGTTAAAGATCTTTGGGGAGGAATCCAATAATACTTCAATTGGATGGAATATTCCATACGAGCGCCAACAGCTGATTTCTTCGCTGATGACGCTGGGTGCCTTCGTGGGTTCATGCTCTGCAGGTGCGATACCTCGCGATGATTGTTTGGGGTGATCACTAATCGGATAATTGCAGGACCGATCGCAACCTATATTGGCCGGAAGACCTCGTTGTATGTTGCGGTTGTCTTGATCTACGTCGCCAATATTGTTATGATGAGTACCGACACCATTGCCGGTCTTTACGCTGGGCGGTTGATCATTGGGCTTGGAAACGGATTCTTGATGACTTTTTCGCAGCTATACATCCAGGTATGCATGCCATATTCAATATGTGTAATAAGATGGGTTTATCTCAGCTGTTTGATCATGTCCAGGAGTGCTCTCCCGCCCGCTACCGTGCCCTCATGCTAGGCGCATTTCAATTCTGGACCTCCTTCGGCGCCCTCCTGGGGACGATCATCGACAACTTCACAGCCAAGATAGAAGGCAAGAATAGTTATATCATTCCACTGGGACTCATATTCGTTGTTCCTGCATTTCTGTGCGCTGGAATGTTCTTCATACCGGAGTCTCCCCGCTGGCTGCTCCAGCACAGCAAGGTTGAAGAGGCACGACAAGCACTTATCTGGCTCAGACCGGACCAGGAAACCGTTGAGAAGGAGATGCAAGATATCCAGAATGCAATCGAACTGGAAAATGATCTGGCCAATGGCGTGTCAGTTTGGGATATGTTTGCTAAACCCGTCGATCGACGCCGGACGATATTGGCCGTGGCGGCTGTGAGCACACAGGCTGCTTCTGGAGCTATGTACATGATTGGTCAGTGCTTCAGTCTGCTACTAACCCAAATACCCTGATGAAGAGTCTAATCAGCTATGGCTAGCTTACGGAACCTATTTCTTCGAAATGGCCAATGTCGGCAATGCCTTCGAAAACAGCTGTATTCTCACCGCGCTGGGCGTGGTGGCCATCATGATCAATATTGCCGTTGTCACCCGTATTGGACGCCGTCGACTCTTCTTGACAGTTGGGCTAACACTTTGTGGCTTCAGCCAGCTTATCGTTGCAATTGTCTACACTGTTGACCCAGGCACCCAGGGAACCGGTAAAGCAATTGTTGGCCTGTCTGTTATGTTCATTTTCGCATACAACGGCATGGTGTCAACTTACGCTTGGGTTTCGGGTGGAGAGCTTCCGTCTCAGCGACTGAGATCTTATACATTCGGCTTTGCTGCGGCGGTTGGATTCTTGGGCGCGGTGAGTAATGTGCTACTTTTTCATATAGTGGGTATTGGAAAGGCTAACACTTTCTGTTTAGTGGTTGACGACTTTCACTGCACCTTATTTCATTAATCCAGACTCTCTGAACTGGGGGTAAGCTGACTTGCTGATCGTCTGAAAAACTAGAATATACTGATTCCTTGTAAAGTCCAAAATACGGATATATTTGGTTCCCGTCCTGCCTCATTGCCGCCACCTTCATCTTCTTCTTCCTTCCCGAGGTGAAGGGTCGTACGCTCGAGGAGATTGACGAAATGGTATGTGCCAATAATCAACAATATCATGGAACTGTACTGACAAAATGCTCCAAGTTTGAACAACGACTTCCTGCCTGGAAGTTCTCGTCCTACCAGTGCGTCGGCCTAACAGCTCTCGAAGAGACGCTCAAGGGTTCGGGAATACTGGCTGGAGGTGAGCTTGATGGTGAAGCTGCTAGACCTTCTGGGGATTCGGAGAAGGCAACTACCGAGAATATTGAGAACAAAGCTTGAAGCCTGGAAAATTGTCAATTTCCGATTATCTATTGACTGTGATGGGACAAAGCAGCCATTAGCAAGGCGGTACTTTAGATAAATCGGAATAGCATTTCTCAATTTCCGTCACCCAGCGAGCTAGCAAAGTTCTGTACTGGGCATGGTATAATTGGCCAGTGCTCAGTACCATTGGTGCTTGTTCGGGTACGGCACAAATTCCTTTTTCTCACCATTTGTGGAACCATAGGGCCTGTTGTTTAATGATCTGTCTCGGTACTGGATGCTATGTGAAAAGTAATGTATACGCCTACGATGTCAAATTCTGGAATATCGGCACCAGCTGTTTATTCCGGGATCAAAGCACCCTTCTCGCCCTTTCTGACTGGGGTGTAGCGAGCACCACTGGGGGCTAACTGCCTGACAGGCTACTGGCCGTATGCGTTGGCGCGATACAAGCTCGGATAATACCAAGTCCCCGTAAATTAATAATCAAGCTGACAGATCTAGGTTGCTATAACCATATAAATGTAACTGAATATGAGGAATATCACTCCAATTGCTTGATCACCTCATCGAATGTTTCTTCGGCATTCTTCTCGGCATCAAATTTGAATACCCAGTCCTCTCGAGGAAGCTGGATTGATGCCGGATTCTTTGCGACTTTATCCCAATCTGCCTTATGCCACATGTCACGGGTAGTCTCACCAGTCTTCTGAACAGCCCTCACACGTTCATACCGGATATTTTGATATGTGCGTACTGCATTAGGGATGTTTGCCTTCCCACCTCGCTTTAGACAAACAGCTAGTACGACTCCGTCTTCCATTGCCTGCGTTGCACCCTGGGCTGACGTAGGGAGGAAAGGATGTGCTGAATCCCCAAGGAGTGCTATGCGTCCGTGATCGCTTACCCATCGAGGCAGTGGGTCTCTATACACGAGCTTCCAGTCAACCAACTCGGGTGTTTTCTCCACAATAGCTTTGCAGATTGGATCCCAGCCCTCGATAACCTTGTATACGTCTTCGAGTTTACCGGGTAAGGACCAAGATTCTTTGATATCGGCTTCATCCTAAACAAGGGAAACATGAATATCAATCCCTAAACAATAAGTTCGAAAGGAGTAAGGGTATATACCTTGTGAGTCAAAACCCAACAACAGTCCTGACCATTCTTAATGGTAGAAAAGAGGAAGTGCACATCAGGCCCTATCCAGCCATTGAAAGTATCACCATTCTCGCAGAAGTGCTTTGTCCGCGGATCCCCAATCATGTCTGTGTTCGGGAACCTGTTTGAAAAATGGCCAGTCAGATCTGCTACAGGACAGCTTTTCATTCCTTCTTAGATGCACTCACCATGCTCGGAAAACAGCATAGCCACTCGACTTTGGCTTATCAAAGTAACCCAAAACAAGCTCGCGCGCCTTTGAGCGAACCCCATCGGCCCCAATAACAACGTCTGCTGTGACCTAAATATAAGTCAACCCTTCGGCCTAAATATAAAAGAAGGAGAAGTCATAAACTTACTTTCTCCCCGTTCTCGAGCGTTATCACCGCTTGGTTCTCATCCTCGAAATATTTTGTGACCCTCTGCCCAAGGTGAATTGGAATGCCCAGTTCATCTTTAGCATAATTGAAGACTATTGTGTGTAACTCGCCTCGGTGGCCATTGAAAACCGGTGCGTCCGGGTCAGATGGCGGCGTGAGTTGCGTGTGTACAAGCTCTCCAGTCCACTTATGGATCTTGAACCCGTGGTTTGCTAAATTGATGCTGAGCGGCTTCAAGCGATCTGCAACGGCTCCATTTGACCAGCGACGATAGATGCGACCTGCGTTTGGCCCGAAGGAGATTATGTCGCCTAGGGCTTTGAGCTCTAAAAGTGAAACATCTCGTTAGGGAGGTCTCACGGTCTTCGATTCAGCGGCTGCACATTACCTGGAAATGATTCGTATATTTCCACAGTGTGCCCCTGGCGGTGGCATTCAATTGCAGCTGTCAATCCACCAAACCCTGTCTCATATTAGACGGATCAAAACTGGGGCTCGTGTAGACTCGTACCAGCCCCGACAACTACGACCTTGATTTCCGTCGACTTTGTCGCCGTGCCATTTGAAGGCTGAGGAACCGTCATATTTCCCTATTTGTTGGCTGTAGACTTTGAGAATGAGAATATAAAACCCCCTATGTGGAGTGGATTTAAATTAAAGGCAACTTTAAGGTCCGTTGCACATCTCTTAAGTGGAAAAGACCACATAGAAATCTTTTCCGACGGACTCTGGAATAACCCCGAGACAAGACGGCTACGAGAGATTGACAGCTGCCGAGCACTATACCGAAAGTGTCTTCAAGCGAGGGCTCGGTTGTCTTTGCCGGTTTATTCTCTCCAATGACTAGCAATGATTTGTGACAGGTCGGAGGTGGAGAGTACTCCTGCGGGGCTTGAGGATTCAGCGAGCCAAGTCGATGAATCGAGTTTGGGATGCCCCGCACCCCCGCATTTGCTAATGCTCTCCATCACAGCAATTTCTTGGGTATTTCTAGCAGTGTAAGGATACAAGCTCATCTGCCAGTGGGAACATAATCATCAGTTGGTGGGGCTGTAAGGCGCCACGGCACATCCTCTTGCGGGGCTGCCCGTCAGATCTTGCGGATTTCGGATCAAAGACGATAAAAATGCCGGTGTAACCCAAATCAATTTTGGATGTGAACGTGAGAACCATCTTGAGAAGTGACGATAGAAGATAATGGCCACTACTTATTCGGAGTACAATGAAAAGACCACCGCAACGGAAGTTGCGAGCGCCTTTGCCGACCAAATTTGCAATAAGAATGGTCAGTGGCATCTCAAATCCTACAAGGCCAAGATCACCACAGACATTGATGAGTGTAATCAGTGGTAATTACTGGCGTCGGACCCAATAGCTTGGGCGAAGCTCTTGCCCTGGCAATAGGAAGCCAACAGCCAGCGAAGTTGATTCTTGCATCGCGTACAGAATCCAAAGTCCAACAAGTCGCAGACAAAGTTAGACAGCTTTCCCCAATGACCTCGGTAGAAATGGTGGTTTTGAATCTTGCGTCTCAGAAATCAATTCATGCCGCCGCATCGAAGATCCAAGGCCTGGTCGACCGAGTTGACACACTAATAAACAATGCGGGAATGATGGTATTGGACAAGCAGGCCACTGAGGAGGGCATTGAAATCCAGTTTGGTACCAACCATATCGGCCATTTTCTATTCACCAATCTGCTTATGGATCAGCTGAAGAACGCCGCCAAATCCTCCGGGATTGGGTCAACTCGAATCGTCAATGTTACCAGCGCTGGTCATCGATTGTCACCACTTCGCTTCCATGACTACAACTTTGAGGGCAAAGATGTGCCTCTGGACGAGAGACCTCCTGAGAGCTTGCCTCCTATGTTCAGTCCCTCAGCTAGCGGGTATAATGGTTGGCTGGCGTACGGACAGTCCAAGTCGGCCAATATTTTGTTCACTGTCTACTTAACCCAGCACCTGGCGTCTGCTGGGATTGTTTCATATAGTGTTCATCCTGGATGTAAGGTTCCCATCATGGTTTTCACTCGCTCAAGGCTGATAGCATCCAGCAATTTGGACCAATCTCAGTCGAGGTCTCGACGATGCTGGTAATGAGATCATGTCCAAAACGAGCAATTTTTGGAAAACTACCGACCAAGGTGCAGCGACTATGCTGGTGGCCGCCTTCGATCCAGCTTTGAAAGGTACATGTCAAGCAAGGGAGCTCTTCTAAGTGGCTGTCTCATTAACATGTCAGTCTTAGCTGCCCTCGATACGTCGGAAGTCTACCTCAGCGACTGCCAATTCGCAAAGGCTACACCACATGCAGTGAATCTTGAAGCCGCGAATAAGTTATTCCACTTGAGCGAGGAACTGGTGGGCATGAGGTTTCCATTGTGACATCACTTGTTATCGGCGTTATCGGAGGGTCCGAAGTCTCGATCCGTCCGACGAACATTGGGATGCTGACTGCGCGTGATATTTTCCAAGATTGGGAATCAATGCAGCGATCTCATGCAAGTGCCTCGCCTAGACATATATCAGACCGCTTCAATTTGTAGATTCCCAACAATTTATCCAACACCCAGTAGATTGAGTCAAAGCGACCTGTCCAGGGCGCCTGAGAATTAGGTTACTCCGCGATGACTAATTTTGTCGGGTATCCGATCGGACCTCCGAAATGGCGGATCCACCGCAGATTCTTTGCCCTACCAACCACAGGCAAAGATGTTGCGGAATGGAGCCGACACTGTCTGAATCGCCGCCCGCAGGCGGAGAATTGTGACAAGATGTATGATCTTTTCTGTTGGCGTCGGAGATATATCCGACGCATATGTGTGCAGCGGCGGTAGTCTCCAATCGAGATTCAGAACAACTTGCCGATCAGCCGATGGCACTAAACCACTACAACATGGAAAAAAATCCAGTCATTGTCCCTGCTTCCTTTTATACGGCCTTGCCCCCACTATTGCCATCGAAGGTATCATCATCCTGTGGAGGTCTCGTCGGCTGCCCAACACCTAAGCTTCCGCCAAGCCTTTACTATATTTTTCACAACCACGTTATGTGCCGTTGATCGACACGTATTGCGACATCTAAAATACTGCGACGGTATCAGGACGCCTTGAATCCAGACACGCCCAGCCCCAAGGCAGAAACAGCAATGAGCCGACAACGTGAGGCCGAAAAGGCCTTGCATGACCAGACAAACATCCTCCCGTTTGGGCAGCTCATGGTTGTCTTCACTGGCCTCGCAACCTCCCTCGTGATTCAATTCGTTGATCAAAACGGCATTAGTGTGACATTACCCACGGTTGCTCGGGATCTCGGTGCTCAGAATACAATTTCCTGGGCTGGAACCTCGTCCTTGATTGCCAATACCATGTTTACAGTGCTCTATGGCCGACTCTCAGATATCTTTGGCCGGAAGGTCGTGTATCTGTCTGCATTGGTCTTGTTGTGCATCGCGGATCTCCTCTGTGGTCTATCACAGAGCCCCGCTATGTTCTATGTGTTCCGAGGTCTTGCTGGTGTAGCCGGTGGTGGCGTTGGATCCCTAACTATGATCATTGTCTCCGACGTGGTGACTCTCGAACAACGTGGGAAGTACCAAGGTATACTGGGTGCATCCCTTGGTCTTGGCAATATCATCGGACCCTTCATTGCTGCAGCGTTTATCATGCGCTCAACGTGGCGGGGGTTTTTCTGGTTGATCTCGCCTCTGGCTGCGTTATCTGCTGTGGTTGGATATTTCCTGATTCCGAATACGGCACAAACGGATAGCTTTCGCAAGAATCTGCGCCGAATCGACTGGTTCGGCGTGCTAGCGTCGTCAATTGGCATCATTTTCATTCTGATTCCTGTCTCCGGAGGCGGATCATATTTCCCCTGGGATTCCCCTATGGTGATTAGTATGCTTGTAATTGGAAGCCTTTCATTCGTTGCTTTCATTTTCATTGAATGGAAAGTGGCTTCACTTCCAATGCTGCCAAGTATGTCCTCCTGTTACTTTTGTCGAAATTGAAAACCTCACTGACTTGGATATAGTTGTCTTTTTCAAGAATAGAGTGATGGTCGCCCTTTTCTTGCAGAGTTTCCTCCTCGGTGCAGTTTATCAGGCCTATCTCTACTACCTGCCTCTTTACTACCAGAATGCGCGTGGCTGGTCCCCGGTTGCGTCTGCAGCATTGACAGCTCCGATGGTGACTTGTCAGTCGATCGCTTCTATTTGCTCCGGACAGTATATTTCTCGGCTTAAACGGTATGGAGAAATCATTTGGCTGGGATTCGCTTTTTGGACCTTGTAAGTGAACGAAAAATTGCAATAATCTTCCTGATATAGGAAGCTAACGAGAATGAAGGGGCGCTGGTTTGATGCTGCTCTTTGACCAGAACACCCATCCAGCCGTCATTGCAGTCTGTGTCGGCATTTCCGGCATTGGAGTTGGTTTCACGTTCCAGCCGACCCTTGTTGCTTTACAGGCACATTGCACCAAGTCACAGCGTGCGGTGTCCATCTCAAACCGCAACTTCTTCCGCTGCATGGGTGGCGCATGCGGCCTCGCCATCTCCGCTGCTATCTTGCAAGCCGCTTTGCGCTCGCACCTCCCATCCGAGTTCTCCTACCTGACGCATTCCGCATACTCTCTTCCATCACACTCAAGCATGACTGACGCTCAGTGGGAATCCATCCTCCTTGCGTATACCAAGGCGTCTCATGCGGTTTTTATACTGCAGGTTCCTCTCATTGGACTTTGTTTCATCGCATGTGTCTTCGTGCGAGACAGAGGCCTAGAGCGACCGAAGGAGCCAGAGGAGATAGAAGAGGAAAAGCAAAAGGCAGAGCAGGCCAAGAGGGATGCCGAAGCTGCCCTTATACTTGGTAGAGATGAAGAATTATGAGTTATTTCTATAGACATTATCTTATAAGTAATTTCTGCGGAAATTCGCCTTTATAAATAAAATTTATACTTAATAAAGAATAAAAGGAGAATACTGAAAAGTAACTATAGATTCTATACAAATTATAAATATCACGGGGTTTTCTATATCTGATTTATCTGTAGGACCGCAAGACCGGACCAGACCGTGGTGGTGCGGTCCTGATAGCAAGAACCAAGCCCCATATAGTCCGGTCCCTTGCGGTTCTTGTCGCGGTCTACTGATGTAGAAGGTTCCGGCATAATACTAGTAAAAAGAGAGCTTATACCTCTTAGGTTCTCTTTCACTGGTTTTCCCTTCCTTAGATTCGATATCTTCGTTGAATGGACACTTCTTCTTGGTGACTTGCCAAGAGTAACAGGAATGGTGCTATTTCCCACTGCTTCTTTATACATGGAATTACAAGACTCAGTAAACATTGATCGAGAACGAGATGGGCAGTGTCGTCTAGAAGATGACCACCAATGCAATGAAAGTGTCTCAGTGATATCATGGGCACAATCGCGTCAACCAACTCGACATCTCTTCGGCCTCTCGATCAATGTGTACTGAATTTCTTCAGCCATGGATTGGCCGCGTACAAGTAGAATTATGCTGTGACGTTCTTTGCAGACGATGCCTGCTCTCGCTCATATGAATCGATTTGCCAAGAGCCTCCAGGTGGAAATATGATTGGTCGCAACTTCCCGAGGAGAAGCACCGAATAACCGACTCTTGTCTCTAACGCCCAGAATCAAGGTGCGTCAACACCAGGCCACTTCACAAGGGAGATGGCCTGGATCAGACCAGAATAATGGGACCTGTCCACGGTTATGGCATTATATTGCAGGACACATGACAGTCCCGATGCGTCGAGATGTTCTTTTCACTCATGACAGCGACGAGAGCCACTATAATACCAGTCTTCACAGGCTCTTATATGACTGAAAATGGAGGTACCGTGTCCTCTTGAGCCGTGGCTCGGCGTTCTCTAGGCTTCTGGTTAGGCATAAAACTATCTCCTTTCTTGAGACGAAAATCGGATAGGGTTTAGCGCGGACGACGGATGGATGAGGTAAGCTATAGGGAGACTTCCATATGTAGACGGGTATCGTCCGATATTCTTCGATTGGGTCTAGAACTCTTGGCAATGGTACCTCTCCCGCCTGGCCAACATGGCCTTGTTTTATTTTAGGTTTTCAGAGCCAGATGACCAAGTACTTATGTATAATGCAATGCTTTCCATGTTTGGAAGTTGATTCCAGCCGTGAGCCAGATTGCTGCGGTGAAGGTATAGTTCAAATGAAGTGTGTCATATGTCGAGGTGGAAAGCCCTTTAGCCAATGTAGGAGGATCTAGAACAGCTTACTCGCTGTTTGCAAACCGTTATACCTCCAGCAGCTCATCCATGGTATTGCTCGGTAGTGATCTTGCTGCTTTCAAGTTTCTCATGAGCGCTGATCATATGATATATGTATTTCTGTCTATAAATTCATGAGAATACCCCGGGTTGCTGTATTATCGAAATCCATCCAAATTTCAATTTACTGCTACCTCTTCGTTAGGACTATCGTCATTATGTCTAATCTCTCAGAGATTACCCTGAACGATGAACAAACCGCCCTTCCAGAACCACCGGTAAAAACTTTTCTAATCTCCTGGGAAGAACCAGAGCCGCCGAAGCCTGAGCCTGGTAGCACCGATCGTGCGCTGGTCCAGCAGTTTAGAACATCTTGGCAATTTACCTACAGAAAGTCGGGCTCATCCCCAAATAGGGCAGGTGCATATCGCAGTTTTCAAGCTGCTTGGAATGCAGAAGAACGAAAAAGATTGTCATATTTCCCAACCACTCAACTTGTTTCGGTTGGCGGAAAAGAGACACTCGTCAGTCTGAGCGGACAGTATAGGGCAGGTAATGCGATCGAAGCAAGAATATCCCCTGGTACAGAGCACTCAGACACAACCGGGGGCAGTGGTCCCTTCGGGCCGGAGGGCAAATGGTACTTCACGACTATTGTCCAAGTTATCTCTCGTGAAATCTCGTCACTAGACAGGACGGATTTTGACAAGACACTCCAAGCGTGGGGCGACAGCAGCAAGCAAGTGATTACCGCCCTTGGTCGTTGAAAAATTACATCCTGGCCTCTACTTTTTGGTATTAGCTGATGAAGGAAGTGGAAAAGTTAACCAGTCAAATTTATTTCGCTACGTTCATGGGTTGGATATTGGGTGACAAGAATGATTGCTTTACCACCTACAGGCTGAGTTGCAGTGATTTTTAGTTATCATTTTGTATATTTTGAAATTGGATTACAATTATTATACTCGGCAAAGTCATTAAAGGAAGAGGCTACTTGATGAAGATATCGAATCCGAGGCAGGAAAACGAAAAGAAAAGAAAGAGATATTGGCCCTGTGTTGAACTACTATCGCCTATAGGCTGGAACTAGACCTTAGTAAGGGCATGGACCGGATCATCCGGCCTTTGGTCTTTTTTAAAGTAGTTAGAACAGCACTACGGTCCCCTATACAATCCCCTGTAGCTTTATAATTATACTAAGACCTGCCTTGTTCAGCTATATAGACTACAAATGTAGCTATGTTTTTTACTATCATTAAATACTATGATAGTAAATTTATTAATATTAATATTGAATCAGGTCTAACTGTTAAGAAAATAGGTAGAACACGCTTGTATACCTCCCTGAAGATTTCGAGAACCAGCATGTTGGGGAAAACGAGACGATCGAGCAGCGCCAATTTGCGTCGACCCTCGTGGAGTCATCTGCCGTTCGTTCTCAACCAGAGCTTTCAAATCTCGAAGCAAAGACGGCTGTCGAGCAGGACAGATGGTAAGAAGAGTGTGCAGCTCCAGGACAATTTCAATTCGATTTTCTTTCATCTTATTTGCATTGGCAACTGCATGGCATTTGATACCGAAAAGTACACCCCGCTAGGATAATGTCAGAGAGATATTTTAATTGCATAAGAAATACATTAGCATCCCAAGTTACTGTGCAGAAATAGCAGTTTAAGAACACATAGAGATAGTCACCTTTGTACACTTAACGGCGCAAAAGTCAGGCTTCTTCCCCGTTATACCACCAATAATTAATATGTCCTCCCTTCCCAAAGGAAAGCATCTAAGTGTATCCAGCAAGAGATCGTTTCGAGAAGATTCCAAAACTTACTATTCAATGATACTGCTGTAATCTCCATAGATGGGTTAATCATAGGGAGTTAGGTGAGCAATAAACGCTTATGATACCCTTTCGAAAAACTTGCACAGATAGTACTGTATTCCAGAGGAAGTGTGCTACTACGTAATTCCCTTCAAAAATATACAACTGGTACAATAGTATTGAATAGGTACTTTCTATCTTTCGAACGGATATTAAACCGGAAGTGTGGTTTCTGCGGAGGCAGTAATATTTGAAATCTTCGATGTTCCTTAGAGAGCAATTTGATCTCGGGCCAGCCTTTTGAACGAATTGTAGCTACCCCAATGTCTTGGCATCGCGGCAATCCGCTGGGGCGTCGATTCCCCCTCTTAAAAACCATCCGCCTGGCTCACCTCAGCTACCCTTGATAATCGGATGGTCCTATGATTGTCCGATCTGAAAAGCCCTGAAAATTTGTTGCGCCTGGCGATGAGTCAAGATGTATGCGCCTGGCCACAGTCCTGACTCCTCCAGGCAGACCAGTCCTGCCTCCAGAGAATATAACCCCCGAAAGCGTGGGAGGACGGCATGCACTCGGTGCAAGACGAGAAAACAGAAGGTGAGGCGTACTCAAAACCACCTCTCTCCGATTTAAGCTAATGAATCCTGCCAGTGCGACAATGAATACTCAACTTGCTCCAACTGCCTGAAGGCGGGGGTCACGTGCGACAAGTCGAGTGTGCGTCAGGATGCTGATCGCCAGAACGAGTAAGTTTCAAAGCAGCCCGAATCTAGCGTCTTTTCGCTAAACAACCGTCTACTGATGCCAAATTTAGCTACACGCATGCTCTGGAAGAGCGGGTTGCGTTCCTCGAGGAAAAGCTCGGACAATCCGAATCAGCCGCGGGCCAACATGCAGGACCTAACGTTGCACAATCGATGTGGTTTCCTCAAGGGGGACACGCAACCTCGCAGACATCAAACTCTGGTCTAGACAACAACCCAGTTGGCGAAATTGTTGGTCTACTTGCCCTTAGCTCCTCCGAAGCTCCTGCCTATGTCGGCTCGAGCTCTGGCCTAGCTTTGGCTGCGAATCTCGGGGAAATGGTGCAGACCAGTGTCTGGAACCAATTTATCTCCAGAATGCAACCACAGCCGAATACAGGCTCCAGCACTGCGCCTCAGAGTCTAACATCTTTCCTACCAGGAAATCCACAACAGACCGGAGGTGGCTGCAGAAATCGTGCTAACGTGGACCCCCCAACAGATGAGATGGGTTCCAAGATTCTTGAAACTTATTTTAAAAAACTTCATTCACGGTATCCATTCTTGGATCGGAGTCAGATATGGAGGCTTCACGAGGAGCGGTGGCAATTAGCGAAGATGAAGCGCGAAGAGCTCACACGAGCTGATCGATTTGCCATTTTTAAGCTCAACATTGTCTATGCAATCGGTGCCACAATGCTGCAGCTGAGTGAAAAGTACGCATATACTGATCCCAAGGTAAGATGAACTGATTCGGCTACCGACGTTCAACCGTTGATGGTAATTCCAGCAATTCTACACGACTGCACTACAGTATGTACCCACTATGTGTGAAGCGCGGTCGATTGAAAATATAGAGGCAATGGTCCTCCTTGTGGTATATCATATTCGCACCGCGTCGAGCCATGGAATGTGGTACATGATTGGACTCGCAATGCGCACAGCCATCGATCTCGGTCTCCACAGCAGGGCCAATGAAATTAATTTGGATCCGTTCACTACTCAAATGCGACGGCGTCTCTTTTGGGTAGTATATTACCTGGAACGAGTTGTCTCAATGTCTCTTGGCCGTCCATTCAGTATCTCTGATCGTCAAATCGATCTCGACCTGCCACTTGACGTGGACGACGATGTGCACGACCCTGCACTCATCACGGCACCACAAGACCCGACTAAAACAACCAACATGACATTCGCTATCTACCTCTTCAAACTACGCCGCATTGACTCGCGTATCCAACATAAGATCTACCGTGCCGACCGACCTTTATCCTCACTGCGGCCGAAGATGGACTCTTTGTACCTCGAACTCGAACAGTGGAAAGAATCGGCTGCTCATCGATTTAGTGGCTCGGACTTGGACTATCCAATGCTTCATTATAATCGCGCTGTGCGACTGTTGATCCAGCCATTCCTGCCTCTTCTTCCGTTTACAGATCCTTACTATCACATTTGTCTCCAAGCTGCAGGCGAGATTTGCCAATCGCATAAACGGCTACATCAAACCCTCGAGTATGGCCATTCCTTCCTGGCCGTGCAAACCGTCTTCATGGCGGGAATCACATTGCTCTATGCATTATGGACACATACTGACCAGGTGTGGTCTGTTCGTATAAGTAACGACATTCGCGCCTGCTCAACCATGCTATTTGTCATGGGCGAGAGAGCAGAATGGGTCAAGAAGTATCGTGATGCATTCGAGTTACTCGTCAATGCAGCGATGGAAAAGCTGCAGGGAAACGAGACTGCTCGTAACGCGGGCATGGCGGAGCTCATGACAGCTCAGCACAGCACAGCTTCGTTGAATACCGTGATGCCCGGCATGTCGAGTGGCGAGAACTTTGCCCCAGCAAACCCAACTGGATTAGCGCCTGAGGCCGCGGCGACTGGAGCTGCACCTCAAACATATCTTGCAGACGACAGTGACCATGCAGTGAGAATGGCTCTGCAGCTTGCACCTTGGATTGACCAGGGTCAAAGTGATCCCCTCTGGATGCCGGACTTCGGGACCCTAGAGAGCTTGTCTGGGACGTTTTGGAGTGGTGCTGACACGACTCGTTTTGATGCATTGTAGTGTACATGTACAGATCTCAGGTAATGACCATATGCTCAACGCGTATCTGGGACTTCAGAGAACCAGCTCGCAAGATCGGGAAGGTCGAACCTTCCCAAGAATCCAAATTCCTCTTGCCCCAAGCCCAGTTCATCCCAGCTCATGAAAGGATTAACATTCGGGACATTGCTCTGCTCAGGGTTGTGGGAACCCGCGTCATCTAAGATAGGATCTGTAAGTTGAGTGGGAACGGCAAGGTGCCTCGTTCTCTGCAGCAGCTGACTGGCTGATAACGGTGGGACATCCTCCGTTCTAGAAACTGCTAGTTCCATGTCAGCCCCAAAACCCCCAATTCACCACATCGAATAAGGACTCAAAGTCTTGCTGTCAGCACGAGACAACATACCACTATAGTTTTGCATGATGTATTGGTGCGTCACTTGCAGAAATTGCAACGAATTTCGGGCAGACAGGCTGAAAGACGCCATGTTGGTTAGGATTTCTTCACAGTTCTGCCATGCCGCATCTACTGCATGCGCATTAATCTGATCAAGGATGGAACGACAAGAATACGACATTATCAGCACGAAGCCAGCAGTCGATGCATCTATTGCGACATATTAGTTTGGCTCTCCTTTGGAGGATTCTCTCAAACCCACAAAACCCATTGTACCACCACGCATCTGTGATTGAGGTTCTATAGGTGTCGTAGACGAGCGAGATGAGCTCCATGGCAGTTGCCACGCAGGCTGCGGCACAATTCACAGACATGGAAGAGTATATGACATTCTTTTCTTGTCGTGGGATGCTTCTGTTGGCATCTGAGCCGGACTGTCGTGCGAAGCCCATTCGTTCGTCTGAGCAGAGCTGTGTGAACATAGGTCGGTATAGAAGAAGACGCAGATGGATGAATCTATGTCAGTTAGTAAGTACTGAGAGCAACATATCAAACTATAATAGATACCTCGCGCGAAGGACGTTCCGCTGGCGCTTGAACAACGATCCTTGATGGCCGCCAGAATTGTATGATGGGTGTCTGGTTGTCCAGTTAAGGATGGAAGGAACGCTCGCTTCGTATGAAGAAAGTTTATCATCAAGCTCCATTATAGCATCCAGGCTGCTGTGCCTGGAATTTCTCAGTGAGATGGGGCGGTGGTTGTTGGAATGACTCTGCCAGGCATTATAAATGTCCGACAGAATTGACTCGAGAATCTTATAGAGCTCGATCGTAGAGACATAAAACGTCATGTATCCAAGTTGATGATCGCAAGGCTGCCCGCTAAGCTCGCACGGGTCGTCTGATTTGGACTCAGGGTACATCGCAGGAAGTGGTGCGGGAGATATGTGAGACGTCATACTGGGTCGACCATAAGTCATGCTCACGATCCTACAGTGGAAATATTAGCCTTGCAGGTGAAATCACGTCTTTAGTATTGGGACACACAAATCCATCATAACACATCCATGCCATGTCCGGCGCCGGATCTCTTTTTCAAGGGGTTTTATCGATGACTGTGTTGGTGTTTCATGCAGACCCAATCCTAGGGCCATCCGGCAAGCAACACCAATGGCGTTCCAGCACCGATTTGGATAAGGTGTACTCTGGAGAAGTAGTGAAACAATAAGAAGCGTCTGGACCGCGCCTATTGTACCGGTATCCAGAAGATCAAGACCGACGAATCGTTTGGCTCGAAGGAAGAAAGAGTATGCAGCTGCCTCCCGTTCTGCAGCAGGTATGTCAGAGAAATGGCAGCCGAGTCCGAAGATAGCGTTCAGTGCACAGTGAAAGACAATGGACTGATGACCAGAGTCGAACGTTCCCCCAATCCCGATATTAAGTTCAGGCAACTCGGGTTTGGGCCACTTGGTAGATCCCCAGAGGTTTTCGTATGCCTGCTCAAAGCTCGGGCGATGGAAGAAAGGATATAAACAGTATACGCGGTTCCAGAAACATTCAAGAAGATGATCTGCCAAGGACCGGGGAGGTAGGGAAAAATCATCAAATTGAAGACCGTTAGTGGGAAAGTTGATATCTCGCCACAGTCCCGTATCCCTGTAAGAGGTGCTTGAAGTATCCCCTTCCACTCCCTTCAAAGCTTTCAGGTAGGAACGAATGGGGATCGAGTCACCGGCGAGGCGCATAAATGAAGCCACTGATGAGTTCCCGTAATATTGCTCTCTGGGAGAATCAGTGCACTCGCCGTCATCCCCGGCGGATATTGCCCCCATTGCAGTGACGTTTCCATGGGAATTCAGCAACGGGGAGGGGTGGACATTCGTCGAACTCGAATTTTCCAGTTGAGTGCCTTTTCCTTGTTTGGAATGCCTTCTGTTTGGTTGAATGGAGCGTATGGAGGACCGGGTTCTCTGTGGAGGAGCTGCTGGGGGTGAGATAGGTGCCAGAGAAGGTTGCCGGAGTCTTTCCAGAGACACGGTCGAGCCTAGTCCTAGTAGACCTTCCACTGCAGCAGATGTTCTTGATTCTGTATCCACAGCATCTGGGGCTGGCTGTGGCTCCTGAGAATCAATAGGTTCCCTGCCGTCGTCCTCTTCAACGCCCTGGGATGATTCTCGCGGAATGATAACCCCATTTTGAACGCATGTTTCCTCTAGCTCTCGGATCCGGTCGTGAAGAATTCTGAGGTACGCATCGTTGCTCGCAGAACGAGCATTCTCGATTTTGTACACGCACTTGTCAATCGTATAGGATCGCCGAGCGCAGGGCCCGCATATCGGCTTCCCTCCATCGCAACGCACTTTTTTCTCTCGGCATGCTTCACAAGCCAACGCGATTTTACGGCGACGAGGAGTCCCGCGTTTAGTAATACTACTTCTTGAAGACATCGCGATCAAGATATGATTAATCCTCAGCTCATTGCATTTCCCGCTTTCTCAGCCAAGGCTGAGTGGAAGAGGCGTCGATCGTGTTTCTGGCGCAGCTGATTATGAGTAAATCTAAGCCAATGATATCCAGTACCGACAAACTTACTCTCAGCAACGGGAAATCACGTTCATGGCCTGGTCGAGAAATAAATCGCCGACTAGTCACTTGCGTGGAGATGGAGAAAGGGCGATTCGGAAAGCGCCCGGGACATACCCGGACCCATCACGTGGCTGTCATCCCTGAACTGCGACAAAGCTAGAGATTAGCACCGAACATTGCCATATTACAGTGGCTGTGTTGGCTGTTCGTGTCAAGTCTGGTGCAAATATCTTCAATGAACTCAATATGCCAGTGTATTGGCATTCTGTTGCGAGATCTCCCAAGGGAAGCCTTAGTTGGGTTTCGGGATGCACCCGGGCTCTCCTTATGTGGGGTTCTCCCACAAAGGCAAGCTTGGGGTACTGATAGGCAACAGCTTGTTAATTTCACTTTGTCAAACTTCGCCCGGGAATAAAATTTCATAGTCCTTGTAGAGCGAACAATCCCGCATATGAAAGTGAAAGAAGGTATTATATAGACCTGATAACGTAGGCGTAGGTGGTACTGGGGGCCCCAATCGAAATGGCAGAATGAGAGTTTTGGTGCCGGGCCCTTCCCGGCGCTCAGAGACTAGATCCCGCCGGAGTAAACCAGCATGAAGACAGGCTACTGATCAACAAAAACCCTACATGAACTAATGTAGGAATATAAATAAATAACGTGCACCTGAGAGGTGGATGGGCATTATATTGCAAACAACCAGAATTAACAAGCGAAGTTGTAATTTTGCAGATCTCGGGATGCCCCCGAATGGTGCCAGAATCCGGGTGCATCCCGGTGTTGACGTATGGTGGGACCTGCCACCTCGCAAGCCTCGCAATCGCCATTCATGTGAGCACAGATCTGCAGCTTTAAAAAGTATCCTCGTGCTCTCGGCTCCAACCTATCCGGTCGTTTTTATTTTCAACATCATCCCTGATAATCGAGACCCGGAAGCGTACAACATATACTCATAAGCCCAAACCAAAGCGACAACAAAGGGGTGATAACAACAGAGGCTCCAAAGAGCAAATACTTCGAAGACATACTTGGTTGTGTGCCCAGCTGAATTTGCACCAACTTCATTCGAACACCAGGCACCAAATCCCAGATCTATCTACCAGTCAAATCCACGCGATCAATGCAAGCCGAAGACCGGCCCTTGAATGACGTCCAAGACTTTGACGTATGCTGCCCAGAAAAGGGTAACAAGCAGCACAAAAATACCAATGAGCGCGCGCCCTTAGAGAGAGGTCTCCAATGGGGCTCCGATCCGAACTTCTGCTATCATGGATTCTCCTGCCCCATCGGGAGCTGGACCGAAGAGCGGCTAGTTCGGAATGCGATGCGCAACATGGTCTATATGGCCGCCAGCATGAAAACGGAACTTAACCTGGACTTGAATATCCCAAATTACCTTGATGAGCGCCACAATGAGCCTGCAACACCGGACGTAGGCTACTTAAACGGTCTCGACATTCCTCCTACACAACGGCCACACGACCTGCGCAGTCCTACGCCACCGTCCACATCCTCCCCATCGAGCACATCCAGCCCCGATGAACAAGAGAAAGATACACAGCCTCCCAGCAAAAAACGAAAATGCGTGCAGAAGGCTGGTCAGAAGCTATGCCATTGTCGATCAGAGAAGAAAAGGAGAGAGGTAGTTAGTCAAAGATATCGAGATCTGTCACAGATAGTACCGGGGCTCAAAAATCATAATTTTACTAGGAAGTACGTGCTAGATGCGGCGGCGAAGTATGTGGAACTTCTGCTGGAAGGGAATTATGCCTTGCGACGGCAGCTGGGGGAGATGAACGATAAAGAGGACAGGGATATACAGCAGCTTTTTATCGGATGTGGTCCAGGGTTTTGAGTTGGATTGAGGACGTAGGATCTTTTACGAGAGATGACATAAGGTTATCGGAGTTTAATGGAAGCGATAGTGAAATCAAATGTATGAATAAAGCAAAGAGAGCTTGGCTTGGGATGAAGAATTTCTTGACGGGAATTAAACATAATATCGAAGAAATAAAAAGTTACCGGATACTAATTTTGGATAACATACATGAAGACACAGAAACTGACAAATATGTGATATATCGGCTGAGTGATATATGACCGAGAAGTTAATGATAAATTAACACCACTGCTTGTTGTAGTACACGGTAGTGTACTACAAACTACAACCATTCATCCCCGCATCGCGCACGATCCGCTATGGCGGCAGTCTCACCCTGCTACTTTTGCTGAAGAAATTCTGTTATGAGATTCATGAACAAGCCACTGGCGCCGGTATTCAATGTTTGTCAAGTCGAGGCGAAGCCGGCTTCTGCGTCGTTCTGACCTGTCATCAGAATCAGCATGAGTAATGTTTCGATGATACTGGGCGGCACATTGGAGTTCAACTACCTGCCCTAGGCTCCATCTCATTGCACAAGACACAACAAAACAGCCGATAATGACCGTGAGTTATTAGCAACTACCATGGCAGGGTGGGAACTGACGGCGTCCCTCTTTCGGGATAACCACCAAGTTATGGACGGTGCCTTGAGACCCTTCACCGTGTGGGGATCGGCACAGAATGACGTCATGCCGAATTTTGCTAGTTACAATGTACAGGCTCTAGTATTTTGATGTACTTTGCTCTGTTACGATCATGGAAAGAGCCAACTGGAAAGTAACCAGGTGCATTCACGAAACAACGAAGGTGAAGAAGGAAGAAACTACGGAGGCTCTAGTAACTATCTTGTAGAGAGCTCATGCAAACAGGCCCCATTAGGTTAGCTCGGTCGGGTGTTTCTATCACTCCGCGTCTATCAGGTGATCTCCGTCCATCGTTCTGTCATGCGTCACATAGCCCTCCTTTTTAAAGAGGCTCGCCCCGAGACTCTGGGATATTATCGTCGATATAGTTACCAACGAATTCGTCGACTTCTGCTGCAGCTAGCCAGATCTGTAGGTTCTTTAGGGGTCCGGGGGAGTTAGGGTATCGTCGGTGGAAATCTATCAGTTTCAGCGGCGCATTTTTGAAGTCGGCTACGTAATACTAAGCGTCGTCCTTGTCGTAGCCTAGCTACTTAACCTTATACTGTAGTTTTCGGTAGTGTAGGCGTAACCGTAGGACCTCTTCGACTTCCTATTCTTGCTGATTATTGACTAGGACTAGCGGTAGAGGATCTTCGATCTAACCTAGTAAGGGATCGGTCTTCGATATACGGCGTAGCTTATTTAGCGAGAAGACTAGGTATACCTTAATAGATAGGGGTAGCTCGAGCCTAAACGTATAGCCTTCTTTAGCGATAATCTTATACGGCCCGCTGGCTTAGTCCGATAGCTTCCGGCTTAGGCGGTCTAGTCCCTAATAGCGTATAGTAATATAGACTATATCTCCTACGTCGAAATCTACCTTACGGCGGTGTTTATTCGCCTATATACGTTAGAGCCCTTATGCGTAGTCGATTACTTTAGCAGTCTCTTTCTAGATTCGTTCGATTCGTTCTATAAAGTTTTGTACATCACTAGTTAATTACGGCGAAAGAGAAGCGTCGGTAGGTAGGTCCTAATCGAATGATATTCTAGGCTCGTATCCTCTTTCTATAAAGAAGGGGGACCTTTTTGTCGAGTTTTAGCGTAGCGTAGACGTAGCGAAGTTAATCATCGGTAGCTATTCGGACTAGTTATCTTAGTACTTATTAACTATTACCCTTAGTCGTTAGGCTATCTATTAGTTAGCTATCTCGGTCTAGCCGTCGGTCTACGGGTAGTAAGCGGTAGATAGCTTACGCTTAATATAAAGAATTCGGCAGAACTTAGTCCAGAACGCCGATATAAACTGTCCTCTACGGTCCGATATAATTAAGTTAGGTATACCTACCCATCGGAAGAGATGTATAATAAATAATCGAGCTATTTCTACGGCTGTAGTTATCTTATAATAGGGGATAGAGGCCTAGCGCTTACTAAAGCGACAGCACACTACGAATACTACGTCGTAGCTATACTTATCCTTAGGGAATGTCCGGAAATCTATTATGATATACTGCCATAGCCGATCGGGGGTAGGGAGTGGTTATAATAACCCTAGGGGTCGGTCTCTCTATATCTTTATCCGCTTATAAATTCGACAATTATCTACGTATCGTTCGACGTCGGTTACCTAGTTAGGCTACTAGTAGCGACTTAAGAGAAGGGCCTTTATTTTAGTCTCGCTAGGATACGTAGTGTATAGTTAACGATAGACCTTATTAAGTAGGCACGCCCTAAGGTCTCCGTCATCTAGCACTACTAGTCTTCCTTCGTAGAGCAAAAGACTACCTCTTATCTCCTAATATCTATCCTCGCTTATTCTTACCTAGTTTCGGTTTACATCGAGGGAGGGATAAGTCTAATTAGTATAGAGAACGCGTACGACTACCCCGGTTATATCGGAGATAGTCTAGGATCCGTCGTCGGGGTTTATTATCGTTACCGGAGCGATTCTAGCTAGAGGGGGTTAAGGGTTATTATTATCGGGGTACATACCTTATTCGAGGCACTCGCGCGGGAGGAGGATTTAGTTCTACCTATTATAAGTACTAGGATCCTTTCGTAAGAGGGTATCAGCGATGATATTTTACTTTCCTATAAAGTAGCGTATTAGGAAGTGAAATCTCGACAGGAATTCTCCCTAACGCGCCTAACGGGCGTTTAGCTTCTTTATAGTTATAAAATATTAAAGCGACTAATAGTCAGAGAAGATACTAAATCGGTCGTCCCGTTATAGTCCCTCTAGCTCCGCTCTCTAAAGATTAAGGGCCTTAACGATTATAAATATCTTATAGTTATATATATCCTATCGCTACTCCGTAGTAGTTAGTTTTAACGAATAGAAGTAGATAGGGTACTAATAGCTATTAGGCTAGAGCTATAAGAGGACTCCTCCGATATACCTATCTAATACGTCGGTCTCGATCTTTATAAGGGCCGATACGTCGTAGTAAGCTAATACCGGAGCCGTCGTTATTATCTTCTTAAGTTCTTAGAAGGCTTATTCATACTATACGCTCTACTCGAACGGCGTCTTATCCTCGGTAAGGCGATTTAGTAGCTTCGTAATCCGACTATAGTTCTTTACGAATCGTCGATAGAACCTACAGAATCCTAGGAAAGATCGTACCCCGCGAACTATAGTAGGCTACTACTAGTCGACGATTACTATAATCTTTTCCAGATTAACCTTAATACTATTAGTACCGATAATAAAGCTAAGGAACCGGGTTATCTACGTATGAAACTCGTATTTACTTAGGCTTACCTATAGTCTAGCTTCTCGAAGCTTTTAAAGTACCTTCTTAATATATTCGATATATTCCTCTATCGTTTCGCTATAGATTAGGATATTATCGATAAAGGCGGTAGTAAAGTCGTCGAGGTATCTACTAAGAGTTATATTAATAAACCGCTAGAACGTAGCGGGTCTATTCGTTACTCTAAAGGGTATTACTTTATACTTATAGGACCTATATCGTATACGGAAGGTAGTAAGGTCTTCTAAGTTAGGATCTATACGAATTCTGTAAAATCCTTACCGGATATCTAACTTTATAAAGTATCTAGCCTTGCCTAGCTATTAGAAGATCTTATTAATTAGTAGAATTAGATAACGATCTTTCTTCGTAATCGAGTTAAGCTTACGGTAATCGACGTAAAACCGGAGTCCTCCGCCGGGCTTCCGGACTATTAGGATTAGGGAAGTATAGGGGGCCTTACTTTCTTCGATAAACCCTTACGTAAGGTTCTTTATGATATAGGCCTTAGCCGCCTAAAGCTCTTCTTCTGATTACTTATAGAGTAGGTAGTATCTAGGGGTTAGGCCTTCCTCGAGGACGATTCGATAGTCGGTAAACTCTCGGTATAGTAGTAGCGTATCGGAGTCTTACTATAAAAATATATCGGTGTACTTATAATATTCCTTAGGAATAATACGCTTTATCTTACGTTCTTCTGATTAACGCTCGTATCGTTTATTCTCTAGGATCCGGTTAATCTCCTCGAGTAAGATTAGAAAGACTTCGCTGCTACCCCTTTATATATATCGGTAGAATCCTATAGTACTAATTATCGCGATAGCTTCTAATAGGGAGGTATAGGTCTAAAGAGTTAGTCGTTATCTTTCTAAGGAAGGACGGGGTTATACCTCCTTTAGTATACGCTCTATTTTAGCTAGTATACTCTTATAGTCTTCGGCCGTAGTCTTTATCGGCTTATATTACGGTAGGCGATCGATCTTTTTAAAAAGCTAGTCGCATCGATCGGTATCTTATTAGTAATTAGGATTAGGCCGTCGTAAGATCGTCCGGGGGAGGATAGTAGATAGCTAACTAGCTACTTTATCCTATAGGCTCTGTTCTTCCGGCTAGATTAATCGGCGCTTTACGTAGTTAGGAAGGACCTTATACTCTATAAACTACTTATGTCCGAGGATTAGGTCGTGCTTACTAAGATTAGCGACTAATATTAGTAAGCGGCGTTATATATAGCTATTAATTATTAGTATTAGTTTAATAGTATAAGTGATCGGCTTTCTAGGGTAGTTATTAAACCCTCGGGTCGGTACCTCCTTTTCTAGCTATATTACTAGCTACCTAAAGGCCTTTACGGCCTATAGGGCTAATCGGGTATTGATATATATAAATCTATCTACTCTAGTATTACTAAGCGCGGAAATCGAGAATGAATATCTATTATAGGCTATTTAGGTATTAAAAGATAAACTGTTTCCTCTTCCTAATAACTTCTGTAGATTTAGCGCGAAAAGTAATAAAGTTATACTACCTAGGAAAGAGACTTTCCCTAGGCTTAGGTATTTCCTAATTTAGGGGTATTAGTAGTAGTAGGGGCTTCGTGATCGGCGAGTTCTTTAGCAGTATCGATCGAAGCGACGGTTATCGGCTTCTTCGGGTAATCGCGTAAGGTATATCCTTATTCGTAATATTTAAAGCATCGACCTTCTTTTAGGTAGGTTACTCGTTCTTTTACGGTTATTAGTTTATAAGCCGGAGTAGTATCTTTATACTTAATAAAAGGGGATGATATAGGGCGTCTACGCGAAGCGGTAGTCGTAGCTAAGCCTAAGGCTAATCTAGAGACGGTTACGGCCGCTTAGGTACGACGAGATTCTTTCTGCTTATAAAATAAGCTTAGGTTTAGGGCTATATACTAGTAGGTAGTAATAAACCTCTTAAAGCTAACGTCTAGGTTATCGAGTAGGTATATCGTCTAGGTCTAGAGTATCGGTAGTAGCTTACTATAAAGGTCGCGGAGTCGGTTTTGCTTAGGCTGCTAAGCCTCTTTAGCTAAGCGAGAGAAATCAGTAAGGAAGTCGCTAAAATCATCCTTAGGCTTTATAGTTAGGTAGGTGTATTCGTAGAGTACCTCCGTAGCTCGGTTTAGATTTAAGAAGACACTCTCGAGATACTTAATTATATCCTCTACGTCGCCGTATAGGTTAGACGCTCTATCTCTTATTCGGGGACTAATATAGAGTAAGGCCTTACCCTCGGTACGGCTCGAAATATAGTAGATTTAGTCGGACGGAGTCAAGTAGTAGTCAGCGTTACTACGTAGCTTATGTCGAATCTAGTTCGCCTACTAGTCGAAGCGTACGGTCTTACCGTCGCTAAAGAGAGAGGGGTCGGGGAGTTTCGCGGTACGGCGAGATATAGCCATCGGGGACTCGTAGATCGACGGACGGTCTTACCTACGCTCTTGTAGGTCGATAACCTTTATAGCGAGCTGACTAGCCCTTAGGGTAATAGTCTCAAGATCCCGTTATACCTCCCCGTATTTAGCGTTTATAGCATCCCGCTAGTTAGTAAGAGTTCGAATTTCGCGGTACTCTCGGCGGAGGAGGTCAAGGAGTTATTTAGGCGTATAATTCTTGATAAAATCAAGGTTAAGGTCCCCCTCAGAGGGGAAAGAGATCGGTTCGTCTAGTCCCTACCATCCGGCAGATTCGGCGCTAGCGATTTTATCGTCATCGCTGTTCGTTTCGTACTCTCCGGCTAGGTTCTCTAGGGTCTGGTCGTAAGGCTTATTAGCCGCAGTACTCTGACGGCGTCGGATCGTTAAACGGGATCGTGCCATGACGTCGGCTTATCTTAGCAGGGGAAGGTTCGGTTCGGTTCGGTTGGAATCGTTCAGGATTCATCGGTTTCGGTTCAGGGTAGGGCGTCGCTCTAAGTGAGACGGTGACAGCGTGCTGTCTATGTCTGTACAACTCAAAGATGACAGGAAAGGGTGAAAAAGGACCTTCGTTGCATGTTACGATCATGGAAAGAGCCAACTGGAAAGTAACCAGGTGCATTCACGAAACAACGAAGGTGAAGAAGGAAGAAACTACGGAGGCTCTGGCAACTATCTTGTAGAGAGCTCATGCAAACAGGCCCCATTAGGTTAGCTCGGTCGGGTGTTTCCATCACTCCGCGTCCATCAGGTGATCTCCGTCCATCGTTCTGTCATGCGTCACATGCTCTACATATTGTGGCGAGCTAAGCTGTGAATGAGACGAACCAGCCCTGCACACATGCCACAGAGGAGTCACCAGGTATTGTTGAAATGAAAACCAGTGTGGAGGGGGCGAAGCCTAGAGGATAAAATGACCAGGGACGCTGTGGTAATATGCAACAGAGCGTCGCGGTAAAAGGAGGGCTAAGGAGCAGAATACGAAGCAATCAAGGAAGGAGAAGGTGCAGATATATGCAGATGAAGCCCTAGAGCCCAAAAGCTAAGGTAGGCCCGTCCAAAGAGGGCAAAACTCATGCAGGTACAGGCGCTAACAGGTGCGAATAGGTAATACGCGGCGGCGCGTGGCCAAAGGGTCTATTCGTACTTAAGTCACATCTTTTTGCACGCTTCACGCACGTACATCCGTGTTGATTAGAACTCTTTCCCTCATACGTTTCAGGGCGAGATATGTTCCGTAGTTGAGTGATATTATCCTAAACGAGGAAGAAACCGGGGAATTCTGGCCCTATTATTGGTTACTTTGATATCAACTGAGGGGTCCAAGCGCTACATGGAGAATATATTCGATCAAAATATAGGGATGGCATGCCGCGTTTTAACGCAATCCAATCCTGTCTGAATTATTACAACTAGCCATCAAAACCTCGCGCTTGGTTCATATTTCGGGATCGCATCCACTCCACGGTTGCAAGCCAGAATGTTACTTCGCCTCCCAACTGAGTTACGTTTGAAGGTATGCTTACTAGTGTTTGGGGCATGTCCATGTCGCAACTTATACGCCTTTCCTACAACTAAGCACCAAATCGCATTGAACCTGCTCCTTGTGAATCGCCAGATTTATTCCGAAACCCGTGTTCTCAATTTTCAAATACACGAATTCGACTTCCGCAAGTGGTGTGGGACTGGAGTTTATTGTTGTCGAACTTTTCTCGGACGTCTGAGTAGATGGCAGGTGTGCTCGATCCATAAGCTGAGTTTAGGAGTGGTTGAGAGCAGTTTGATCAACGGATCTGCCAGACAGCGACCTAATTCTAGCTGGTTTGATATCTGTGCCGAATTTGTCGGTGTGCTAGGATCGAATTGCACCGGGCTACGAGAATTGCGCTTGACCATTGAAGGCCAACTAGTGCAAGGTGGTTCAAAACTTCTTGATGTCGAAGCCGCATGGGTGAAAATAGGCCTAGGAAGCTTGAAGAGTCTGCAGCGCCTCGAAATCATCATAGCCAGTGATCCGATTCAAACCGGCTTAGCAGAAAATTTCAAAGCCAGGCTGTCAGATATTCTGAACGGCGCCCAGATTGTCATAAAGACAGTGGTACAGGGAACAATGATTTCTTTGTAGTGGATTGCTCCCGTGAACTTGGTTCTGACCACAGCCATAACATAATCTATTTCACAGAGTTTTTGAGACTACCAACTCCACTAATGTGACTATTCGCTACTTACGTGGCAGAAACGGCCGCGTGGTGGGAAATTAACTGGGTACTTGTATCTAAACGAACCAATTATGCAACGGATATCACAAGATTTTAAGTGCAAGGTTTTCTTTCAGTGCCTGTTTAAGAACGTAATTTGAAAAAAAAAAAAATAAGGTATAAACACCTCGTTGTGAGCCGAAAACGAGTCGTAAAGGAAACGATATAATCTGGCAAAAGCAAAGCTAGGTAGATAAGTGACGGAAGACGAAAAATGCTTGGCTTGGGCTTATGACTCCTATGCTTGAACTTCGACAAACACGCCCACCCTTCCCTTCTACTTGTACATGGAATCAGCAAAAGTAAACCACCACCTTGAAAAGGAAAAAGCAAAACAAGACAGAATTCAATATTCCACTCAGACACCATTGCAGTCAAGCCCCGGTTCACCCTTCACCGCACCCTGTTGCTTGCAGCTCGCCGCGTTTCGTGGCGCACGCGCCCTTGACGGGGAGGCGTCGTTGGCCTAGCCGCTCATAGTATATCGAGATTAAGATTCTCACATCTCTAGATCCTCTCGTCCTCGCTCATATCCCAGTTGTAACCGCGACGCTCGCAAAGGGCAAGAAGGAGATCCTCCATATCCACCTCAGAATCCGCCTCCATTGGCAGGAGAAAATTGGATGCTTGGCGCTCCACGCGATCCAGGGGGTTATCGACCTGCTCACGTGTTGGCCGTTCAGGCGAGTTGGTGGGCTCCGAAGCCTCTTCCAGGGTGACCAGCTCGGTGTCGACGGTGTGGACACATGAGGCGTGCGGCAAGTTGGCGGAGGAGGCAGCGTCAATTTCCTCCTCAGGCTCGGCATTCTCGTTCTCATCATCATCATCTTCTTCCTCTTCCTCTTCCTCTTCCTCCTCCTCTACCTCCTCCTCTTCCTCGTCGTCCGCCTCGTAGCCCTGATCCGGGGCACTGCTGACGGAGGACCAGCTGCTTGGCGAACATCGGCCGGTTGACGGGGACCTCACGGTCGACGCCGGGGAATTGTTGATTGTGGCCTGGCTGTCTGTGGGTGAGGCGACGCCCTCGTCACCGGAGTTGTTGGCAGAGGAAGGCATCGATTGCTTTCAACTGTGATATGAGATTAAAAGTGATATCAATATGAATCAAATGACTCATAGAGATGAGCGAAGTGCAGCGCAGTGGCAGGTGAATGGCGTGTCAGACGACGCATTTGGATGAACCAGTTGGAGAAGCAAAGTGAACGCCGCGATTTCCTCCTGAAATCCCAATCTGGAAGGTGCAGTTCCTTTACTTCCTTGCTCTGGACGGGGAGAGGATATGCTAACCCTGACATACGCCCGTAACCCAAATGCATGGTATCATTCCAGAGTATAGGGACATTGGCGCAGTCTCTATAAGTAATTGACAAATCTTGAGTCAATATACGGCTCTGTGCAATCGGAAGGCTGTCCGACGTCAGATCTCGATCGAGAGATTCTCATCGTATCCCTTCATAAATATTGACTTAACGATTTACAGCATGCTTGCCAACTCTGTGATCCAGACATGGCCTGCCGTTGAGAATCCCTGCTCAGATCCTGCTGGGGAGGGGAAGTGGCAATAGACTGTTGCCGTCACATGACTACCGAGGCCCTGTTTGAGAAGAGCCCTTGCATAAAAGTTTAAGATGAAAAAGGAGACGAGTGTATAGGGTATGCTTCTCCAGCACCTCTTGTGTCTCTATATATCAGGCCTTTCCATGAAATCCCGAGACCATAGAGTAGACAAAGGTTTTCCACCAGAGCGCACTGGGAGAATTCACTAGCAAAGTTTAGGAAGACCCTTGAAGGGTTTCTGTGACCACGCTACGACCTCCGATATCCTTTCTCGCTATCTTCACCTCTAAGAATCCTAAGACGATCTTCTCATGCCAGTCAAGTTTATTAGTACTTACCTTTGGGTCCAAGATCTCGCATCTTCCATGTCTTTGGTAGGTAGATCCGATGAGACGTTCAAGTCTTCGGTTTGGGAAGCCTCGTATTTTATGACAGGCAACCAGGTCAGTTCTAATTCGTATTGTTGACTATTGACCCACGGTACTGAATGCGATCTATCCTTCTCCAAGTATCCTCGCTTTTGACTTTATCGTTGTCCACTCCATAATCAGGTGTCGCGTCACTCAAGGAAAGCCTCTTGTTCGACTCCTCAATACTTCTGTTTAGTTTATCAATAATCCCATCCAGGGTGACACCTATGGTACTTAGAGAAGTTCGTTCTGGGCAGGGATATGGCCCATCTTGTTTCAGTTCCGTGGGTGAGTGCTAGCAAACTAGACCCGCTTAGAAACGGGTAAATGAATTGACTATCCATACAGCAATCGAACAAAAGGTAAATAGGTACATTCCTAAGTACAAAAGGGCCCCAACAACATGAACAAGGCAGTCATTCCCTGCGCAGCCCCCTCACAAAGCAGGCGCATACGTCGCCAACCCCTTCGCCAGGCGCAGAATCTGGCCCGCATAGTACGACTACAACATCAAGTTAGCCACAACACCCCAACCAATTCCACCCAAAGGGATGGGATGAGAAACTCAGAACTCACAGTTTCAGCCCCAGCCCCAACAAGATTCCTCGGCAACCACCGCCCAAGCCACGGTACAGGGGCCTTCTCCAGCAAAAGCACCGCCTGCTCATCAGGAACCCCCTCATCCAACAGCACCAGCGGGAACTTAGGCTCAATCGCCGCCGGCCGCCCAATTCCCACCAGATCGCATGCGCCATCCCGGATAGCCGCTTCCGCGCCCGCGCGTGTGCGGAACCCGCCCGTCAGCATAAGCACCAACCCAGGATGCCGCTCCCGCACGGTGTGCGCAAAGTCGAGGAAGAAGGCCTCGCGGGCGGCGGTCCGCTCGGACTTGGGCTGCACGCTGGGCGAGTTCTTGGGGTAGCCCATCATCTTGGGGTCTTCGTAAGTGCCGCCGCTAATTTCAAGGAAGTCGATACCTGCGTCGACGAGAAGGGAGAGTTGAGTCATGGTTTCTTCGAAGGTGGCGGAGCTGTGGTCGGCGGAGTTGAGCTTGATGCCGATTGCAAAGGTGGATGGGACTACTTTGCGGGTTTCGGATAGGATGTCGAGGACGAAGCGGGCGCGTTTGGCCGGGGTGCCGCCGTACTCATCTGTGCGGAGGTTGGTCTGCAGGTTGTCAGTTGCGTGATTCTTCCTAGATAGATATAAGGCCAGCAGTGCACAGCACGAAGGCGTAAGAGTTATCTGGGGGCCTTTTTTACCTTGCTGCTGAGGAATTGATCTGTACCTTCCGTTAGCATCTAAACTCTTGATAATCCCCCCAAAGCTGAGCATCATCGGAACTTTTCCAACTGGACTTACCAAGCAAATACCCATGCGCGCCATGCAACTCGACACCCGAGAAGCCCGCATCCGCCATCAACCGCGCCGTATCAACAAACTGCCGGATAACAGTCTCGATTTCCCCGCGCGTCATCTCACGGGGACTAGTCCACGCCACGGCTGCAATAACTCGATCGAGTAGACCGTTGCCAACGTTCATCGGCACCGCGCTGGGCGCAATCGGCGCTGCGAACAGGCCGCGCTTTCCGGCGCCCCGGAATGACTGCCGTCCCGGGTGGCAGATCTGCACGATGCTCGGGGTGCCGTGCTTCTGGCAGGTAGACGCGTATTTCTTCCACTGCGCGATAACTGCTGCGTCGCCGGTGTACTCGGCGTGGATGGCGGCGTCGTAAGGGGTGCCCATGTGGTTCACATCGACTTGGACATTACCTGGGGATTGTTAGTTCAGTGGTTTGGTCGCTTGGGGGGTGGATGGGGTACCGGTGAGAATGCTGCCCCAGCCGCCTTGCGACCATTTCTCGTACACGTCGAGGAGTGTATCGTTGGGCTGGTTGGTTTTGGCCATTTGCTCGGCCATTGCGGCCTGTGACGGTGAGCATTTCCATTTGAAACCTAGGTCTGGATGGCAGGGTGTACCTTGGACAGCCTGTTCGGCAGGACCAAGCCGCAGGGCAGCTTTACGGGGTCTGCCAGTGGTGAAGGCATTCTGGCAACTATATAGTTCGGTTGTTATGAGCACAACGATGTATACCTAGTCCCTGCGATTGGCTGTCGCAAGCGGAATACGACAAGGCTGCAGGGTCTGAACACGGGCTATTGGAGCGTCAAAGTGGCCGAAGGGAACCAGAAGAAAAATCACCACGCACGATATTGTCCGCTCTCCTGCAGCTGATAAGAGTACAATCGTTGACCTGCAGACAGATGCGTAATTATAGTCGGCAGGCGTGCTAGTTAGTCGGCAAGGCGTAACTAGAACATCCCGTGCCGCGGTGCTAAAAGGGGAAAAAGCCTCGGTCTGGAGTCCTTTATCCTTTACTAATCGCCATACGGAGAGATTGATCGCACCGCGCCCTGACCGATCTAGTGGGACCAGTGTGGCGTTGGAGCACCCGGGCGTATGATTGGGTGTGCTGCATTTTGTCCCGCCGGCTGAAGAATAGGTAGGTCTTGGCCCGGGGGTTTGAGTTTGTCCGGGAAGCCCCAGGTGATTTTTGATGATTTCATCTCAAATTTGGATAGTCATGGGCTCTGATTTTGAATTGAGCATGATGCGAGTTTTCCAGAGATGGCAAACTACTTTATTCCGCGTAAGATCCTCGACTGGGTGCTGTGAAGGGTTGGGTGATGGTGGAAGTACTTTATATAGGCAAAATGGGATACGAACGAGGAACCCGGTCAAATGTGCCCAAGCTACGGCGTATAAGAAGCTACAAGTTCATCGAATCGTGGTAATGACAGATCTCAATTCAGATCAGATAAAAATGAGCTATTTTAGTCCCAAATGCACAGAGGTCACTCAAACGATGTGACCAAACAACAGTGAAAGGTGATGGGTATTCCGAAGAAGAAAACCAGAAACAAAAAGGGAGAGGCCAAAGGAAAAACCGCCCATGAATCAACCCGAAAGAAAATGCGCAGTAAAAGAACGCGCTCGAAACCAGCAAGATATGATGGAGAATAAAACGGTGCAAATGTTCAACCGGGACCTGCGAGGCAATTATGCAGTGATCCTAAGCAGGTCCGCGATTAGAGCATTGTTTTAAAAAAATACAGAACGACAGTTTTGAAGAAGATGCGAGGCATCAAGAGACCAGTCCTGAGCTCCACACGAGGGCGAGAACAGAAACAAGGATCGGGGGTAAGGCAGGGTTGACATGACGGGGCATTTGAGAAAAATGGGCGAAATTCTTACAGCTTCGAGCCATTGGGCTTCTCCTCGGTTGGGGAGCTGCTCAGCGAGCCGTTGAAGGGCGAGAAGGTGCCCAGGCTGGACAGCAGGTGGCCGACCTCGCGCTCCAGGGAGCGGACCTCAGTGTGCGGGTCGTACATGTGGGCCTTGATCCAGTTGTCCAGCTCCGGGTCAGTCATCTTGCGCAGGGCCGTTTCACGGTCCACGCCGTCGGCCTGAGCGGCCCGCATCACCTTGCGCGTCACCACAACGCTGACCTCGCGGATGCGAGTGATGTCCGGGTACAGCAGACCGCGCTCGATCTCCTCGGCCGTCAGCGCGGCGCCGATGGCGTCGCCCGAGGCGTAGATCATGTTGTCGGTCACGCGGACTGCCTTGGACAGAATGCTGCCAAGTCCGATGCCGGGGAACACATACATGTTGTTGCCCTGACCGGGGTAATAGGTGCGGGTCTCGCCGGCGGAGTTGGTGAAGGAGAAGTTGGCGAAGGGGGAGCCGGAGGCGAAGAGGCAGCGACCGTCGGTGTATTTGACGGCGCTCTCGAAGTCGCACTCGGACTTGGAAGAGGGGTTGGACAGCGGGAAGATGATGGGCGCTGTGTTCCAGTCGGCCATCTTGCGCAGGATCTCCGGGGTGAAGACGCCACCCAGAGTGGACAGACCCATCAGCATGGTGGGTTTCACATAGTCGATGACCTCATCCAAAGTCTTGAACTGCTGGCCCTGGTTGTCCTCGCGAGCGAAGTAGACCTTGTGGTCGGCCAACTTGTCACCGCGGTCGGCAGTGACCAGACCCTTGGTGTCAACGAGATAGAAGCAGTTACGGGCATCGTCCTCGCTCATGCCCTCACGCATGAAGAATGCTACGATCTGCTTGGCGACACCGACACCGGCCGAGCCAGCGCCGAGGAAGACCGCGCGGTGGTCCTTGCAAGGCAGGCCAGAGCGCTTGACAGCGTTCACGACGCCACCGAGGACCACCGCACCGGTGCCCTGGATATCATCATTGAAGCAAGTGTAGGAGTCCCGGTACCGCTCGAGAGCGGGGAAAGGGTTCTTGAAATCCTCGAATTGGATGACAATACTAAGCAAATAAGCTCCGTTAGCCGACGCGCCCTAACGGGGGAATAGAGTAGATCATCCGGCAGTATGAGGGGGAGGGGAGGGGAGAAACCGGGGAGTGGACCCCAATAATTGGCACCCGGGTTCTCGCGAAAATCGACCCGAAGGCAAAAAAGAGAAATAGAGAGAGAGCAGAAAAAGTATCACTTACCCAGGCCAGCGCTCGGTGAGAGCAGTCATCAGCTCGTCCAAAAACTCCCGCTCCTCTTCCGCGGAGACCTTGTCGCGGCGGCTGCCCATGTACAGCGGATCTTCCCGGAGGGTCTTGTTGCCTGTGCCCAAGTCGAGGGTCAATGGCAGGGTGGCCTCGGGACGAATACCCGCACAGGCCGTGTACAGAGCCAGCTTGCCAATGGGGATACCCATGCCGTTAATGCCCAGATCGCCCAGTCCGAGGATGCGGGAGCCGTCGGTGATACATGTGATTTCGACGTTGGGCTGCGGCCAATTGGCAATCACGGCGGCCAGGTTACCCCGATCTTCCCAGCTCAGGTACATGCCTGGAACAGAAGTTGTTAGCCTCGGTTTCTACCTCGGTCCCCGGCGAAAACTAAGCCTGTGGCCTCGGAGCACTAGCTCTGTGGATGATGTATGCAGCGCCACAAAACATAGCAAAGCCACAAACACAATATCGTAGAAGGAAAACAACGCGCATGACTTACCCTCGGGCTGCTGGTAGATCTCAGACCACCGTTGGCAAGCTTCGCCCACGACCGGGGTGTAGATCAGGGGGTAAGCTCCTACAAGGAATCTTCTCGTTAGCCTTCTTTTGGTGCTCTGGTTGCTGATCTCCCCAATCACATTGTGGGTTTAATGGCCCGCATACCCTCAGATGGTCGGTGACCAGGCGGTAGAAGAGATGGACATTGTTCTTGCGCAAAGTGCTCAAGTACAGGAACTTGTCGATTTCGCTGCTCTTCAGACCCAGCTGGGCCAGACAGCGTGCCTTTTGTGTCTCGTAGCTCTCGGAGCGGGGAGGAGTGAGGCCGTAGGTGCGCAGGTACTTGCGGATGTAGGGAGGGTTGGCGGTGTCATAGTTGGCGTCTCTGTAGAGAGGAGAAGATAGGACAGACGGTCAGTACAATGTTCTTGCTTTTCTCTGGTCAATTTGCCACTCTTGTCGTTTCTGCTGGCTCCCTTGGAAGAAATGCATGTACACCCTTCGTAAAGCGCAATTTCCCCATATTCAAGGAGAAGCAGGCAAAACAGAAGAGAGGGCAGGAATTGTACTTGACATGATTTCATAGCTGCTGGATGCACACTTACGAGGGAGTGGTAGGGTTGTTCATGAACGGGGCCGGGGTCGCATGGACCGGCCGGATTTGTTGAGGAGTAAATCGAGCCATTGTGTCAGACGAAGAGCGGTGCAGCTTACTCGTCACGGTAACGGCAGGAGAGGAGTGATAAAAAGCAGGAGCAGCAGCCGTGGAGGGCCGAGGGAGGCGAGTTTTATGTATGGAGACACGAGCTAACAGACCCTTGGGGCGCATCCCCTGGGTGGTTCTCGTGCACATCATCCCAGCCATTCCGGCCAGTTGTAACAGGGCAGATAATTAACCGGGCAAGTCCGCGTGTCGACGGATGGTCGAGGCACTTGAGAAAAATTGACGGCATAGCTGTGGGAGTCGGGAAGAGCCGGGCAGGCAATGCACGAAGGGATGGGGGATGGGGATGCGCCATGAGGGTCATAGGATGGAGTCCGATGGGGACGCAAGTGGAGTGCGGCTTCGGTGGTGGCAGCGAACCACTACACGCGAATGGGTCGGTGAAGTCTGGATCCCTCATAAAGCTTCTTTTCTTTTTCGGGAAGCAGATCCAGCAAGGGAGGTGTGGAATCGCCGGGGTGGAGACAGTGGTTGAGTCGGCGGCGTAGGGTTGGACGGGGGGCGCCGAACGAGGCCTGGGAGAATTGGAGATGACGGCGTCCCCAACGATGCGGAGATTATTCTCGGGCCTGCGCTGTACCGCGCAGAACAGAAAGCACTTGCAGCGCGGAATGGGGTGAAAATGGGTGAGAATGCGCTGCATGCGGCAGTAAGGACGACGATGATCCCCAGACTGGCCCTGGGAGCCGCCATACAGTGTACACCCCATCCTGGTGACTCGTCCACGACATTCCCCTCTCCTCCCAGCAACCACTCGAAAGTCTCCGACACAAATCTACACGGTACCGCTCGAACTGCTAATTCCATCGGGCCCGTCGCGTGGTGCGTCCTTTAACAATTCTGGAAATTCTCAGAATTCCGCGCATTCCCATTGGCTCAATTGGCCGGGGAGGACCCGCGATGGAGTCTGCCCAGCAACGCACATCCACACCAGCGAGCTTCCGGAGCCGCAGACGATGCCGAAGTGGAGAGTGGAGTTCGGCGCTGCCAAACGGACTAGACTGCCTCCGGGATGGAGCTTCGGAGGGAGTTGAGCTTGTAGCCAGTTAATCGCCATAGCTATGGTAGCGGGAGGCCCCCTGCCCTTCCAGAACACACAGCGAAGATGCCAACGCCCAGCCACGATGGAGCTGACCCTGGCGGGAAAGCGGCGAGCGGAGCCTGCCGCAGACCATATGTACCAAGGAGCATCGGGCAATAGGAAAACAGCGTCGGACGGAGACGACACGGAGCACTGTCGTCCTAAAGCTAGGCGCTGCGGATGACAGCAAGCGGTTTCGAGTTGGCCGCGTTGGCGATGCCGCCCCCGTTCTGCGCTCTGAATGGCCTCTTCCGCCGAACGCGAGGCGGAAACATTACGGGCGTACATATAGTACTTAATTATAGCCCTCCTGCTACTCCCCAGCAGCCCCAGCAGCCCCAGCAACGCAGCCCCTGACCCTGCCCCTGCGTGATTTTTGGCCCTCTTGCTTTGCGATCATCACGACTGACCGATTCGGGAAGCGGAACTGAAAGTCTGGAACAAACCACACCGACGTCCCCACTGGGGCCGCTCGGAAGCCCACGCACAAGTCCAGAAGCCAGGGATTGCTCAGCGGCCGCTGATTGGATTGTGGCGCCTTTGCCCCTCGGTATTTTGGGGGAATCCGACCACTCGGCCGGCAGGCCGGATTAATCCTCATGTATCATTGAGTGACGAGGACGGAGTGCAAAATCCCAACGGTTTCAAGAGGCTTAAGCTGAGAAATACGCGGGGACTTCGAGTCATGCGGACATTCGCCATGCTTTTCTCCTGCCCGCCCCCTTTTCCGTCCGAAATGTACTCCGTACTTTCTATACTCTTTGCTGGAATGGCACATTGGGCAGCTGCTAAATTCTTAGTACTTCTTGTTTGTACTCCGTACTGCGCATGGAGTATACCATACCTCCTGATGGCCCCCCTGGTCCTGCTCTTGTTCTTTCCAAGGTATCCCTAACCTTTTATTGTAGCATCAGTCTCCCATTTTACCTTGGTGCGCGTCTGACTGCAATAAATACGTAGATCTGCATACAGCCACCCGACATACTCTAGCATAGATTCATGATCAGAATTGATAACAATTGATCGAGACTAAAGATATCCATCACCTCCATTCCCACTGTAAACTCTAAAGTGGGGTGTCGATAAGGTCCATGGTTGGCTGTGGTTGGTTGTGGATAGAGTCTAGCCCCCGTTCGGTACAGTTAGGTTCAGTTAGGTTCATGTCCGCAGCTTTGGGCAGAGCTTTCCCCAGTCGATCATTCCAAGCTCTCCGCGGGCAACAAACATCTCTTTCTACTAGTATTGTCACGACTCACTACTCTGTACCGAATAAAATGCAATGGATTTTTCCAAGCTAGCTCATATCCGTCTGATCTCCTAGTACCAAGGCAACCACTGCCGGTTGCACAGCTTGGCCAGTCCGAGTGTCGTCATCGTGCTGGAGCCAAAACAGGTTGCAGCTGCCGCCTCCCTGGCACCTCATTCTAGCCCTCGTAGAGAGCTCCCCGAGCTCGACTTTCCCCCTCCCTTCATCCATCTCCAATCCATCCCGCCTCACATCTTTTCTCTACGCTACGGCCCCACGGGCCACACTCATCATCCCACAATGCCCTCCGAAACAGAACCCCTCCTCCCCCGCTACGAGGATGACACGGCGCGCCAGCGCCGCCTCCACCAAAAGCTACACTCCTACCAAATGCTCCGCGCCCTCGCTGAAGGTTACATGCCATCCACCGAGCAAGCGATCGCTAACCTGCGCACACTGCTGGCCTCTGACGTGCTCAACCTGCGCAACCAGGACATCGGTTCCGTAGGACGGCTGCTGGTGCGCGACGCCCGGTTGTGGATCACCGTGCTCATCGAGTTCCTGCGCGACAAGAACGCGGCGGACCAGGTGCAGGAGTTTTTGTGGAGGTTGGCGCGTTCTAGGGTGGAACTAGATACTGGGCGGGTCGGGGCGAGTGCGAAGCAAGTCAAAGCGCGTGCGGATGCGAAGGCGGGTGGGTCGATCGGACTGTTTGATTTGGTTCCTGCGCTGGACCGGGCCGGACTGGACTGGGCTGGACTCGGCGGCTTTCTATCGTGGTTGACTGCTAGGTCTACTGGGGTCTATCTGGTCCGATCTGGTCCAACTGGTGTCTTGGCGCAGGGTTGGTTTGTGGACTGTTACTAATTCGGGTTCTCATCTATAGCATATGATAGCTTTCGCACGGTAGGGAGCTTGCTCTTGACGAACCCAGATTTCCGCCTTTTCGTCGATGACGTCGCGACAGTTGGACGCCAGATATTTGCTGATACGGCTGCGTCGCTGTCTGAGACGTCGAAGCAGGTTGCTGAGCAGCTGCAGCCGTCAGAGGAGGAGGAGCGAGCTTTGCAGGGCCCGGGCGCGGATGAGGGTCGCGCCGTGTCCGGCGAGGAATTGAAGACAGAAGTGGCTCATGTAGTTGAAGTCGCTGGCAAGGGAGTTGCTCGCACGGAGCAGGAGGCTGTGAAGAGTGCGAAGGAGCATCTGTCGGGTCAGGAACGAGATACGTTGTTGCATCGGCTCAAGCAGGCTGTCTCCAACCTTCGCAAACGAACGGATTACACGGACTCCGTTTCGACGATGGCCCAGCTGATCAAGCGATATGCTGCTCTCTACGCTAATGCCGCTGAGGACACGGCCATCGCTGCCCAGGAGGATTTTGAGGCTAATGAGCATCTCAAGCAGGCCGTCGATCAGTTCTGGGGTTTGCTACGCTCATTTGGCGATGCCAAGGAGTGGGATCGACTGCAAGCAAAGTTTCGCAATGTCGTGCGCCATGCAGACAAGGATCCTGAGTTTGAGCGCCTGATGGGCGAAGTCGGCAGCTCACTGCAGGACATGCTCACCGACCCCACATTTTTCGACTCAGCGCCAGAGAAGCTCGATGAGCTCCAGCAGCAGTCGGAAAAGGTGGGCAGCGAGACGGGGATCCGGAAGGACATGGATGAGTTCTTGGCCCAGGCTAAGCGGGCGCTCAGGAGCGTACCAGAGGACCAAGCAGTATCCAAGCTGATCAATGCATCCAAGAAGCTGCATCATGATGTATTCAACGCATACAACGACAAGAAATCGGATCTATCGGTTGACATCGTGAATGTCTTTATACCCGTTGCCTTGCGCATGATCCAGTACATTCCTATTCCCCGGCTCGAAGTGTCTGCGCCGGAGATGGACCTGCTGCTTGAAAACCTGGTTCTGGAGCCGGGTCGTACCGTCAACTTCTCGTCTTTCCTGCCTTATCGCCTGCATCTCCTTACGCAGAATGATATCGATGTTGTGAAGAGGCATGCAAAGCGGACGGATACTACTATCAAAACTGCCTTCACGCTGACCATCCAGGGCTTGAACCTCAGTGCCCAGGACTTTGGATACTGGCTACGAGCCCATACGGGTTTCTTCTTCCGCCTGAAGGATGAAGGTATCGCCAGTTTCTACCTCGACCGTCGAGGCATCGACATCTCACTCGATGTCGAGGTTGGCCGTGGTCGTCTGGAGCAGATCTTCTCTCTACGCGGTGTCCGTGTCCGCATTCACAAGCTCGATTACAAGGTCTCGAAGAGCAGATGGAAGTTCTTGCTGTGGCTAACCAAGCCGTTCCTCAAACACCTTGTGCGCCGCGTTCTGGAGAAGAAAATTGCCGAGGAGATTGTTTCGGCTGCCTTTGCACTAAACCGAGAGCTGGTCTTTGCTCGCGAGCGGCTACGTGCTGCTCGCATCGCTAGCCCGCAGGACTTGGCAACCTTTCTGCGGGCTGTGCTTGCGCGTCTCAAGCCTGCCGACACCGGCGTGGAGGCTCGTATCGGCGTGGAACCGCTTGATAGCGGCGTCTTCACGGGTGTCTATGCGCCTGGTAGTATTGTCAAAACCTGGCATGAGCAGGCTACTCGTGCCCAGGAGGCGATTGACGACGGCGACGAAACACACGGCGTGGGACACACGTGGCGGAACGACATTTTCAATGTGACAGGGGCATAGTAATCACATGTTGAGAGGGCGGGTATGGCTGTTTTCGGGCGGCGCGGTGTCATGATTTACGATGCAATCGGATATGCTTATGCTTTCTATGTTTTACGAGGACCTTGACGGCGCGTATACCGAACACTTCAGACTGTAATGATCAAATACTATTCATATTTCTGGGACACTTCAAACCACCACGTGCCCGAAATAGTCTTAGATCACGCGAATACAGATCCAAAGGCAGCTGTTGCTCCCCCCAATCGGCCAGCATGTATACATCCCACGTGACCCGGGCCAACATTATTCCCCCATCGCGATAAGCATTACCTGGCCCGTTCAACGCGACACAGCACAACCGTGAAAACACCAAAGCGACTCTCAGCATCCTGCCAAAAAGTCCCCGAGACCCCCACAAACCCCAACGAACCCTCATGACTCCCATCTAATTCTCACACCCTCCATTGTCTCAACCGCCGCTTAGCGCTAGGCTTCGCGCACACGAGCCCGAACTCCATTCATACATCCATTTGCCGGAGCGGGACCCGCGACAATTGAGCCGCTTGAATTGCGCCTCCGCGCCCATTGCGAGGACACAATCACCTACGACGTATATGAGCTGCCCCTGCAGCTCAGTGTACGAAAGCAGTCTTCAAAATGTATCTGCAGCGCTTCCTGATCGTGTTGGCGCTGGTGTTGTTCTCGGTGCTTGTGCTGGCCGCGGAGGATTACTATAAGGTGCTGGGACTGGACAAGTCTGCCTCTGAGAAGGATATTAAGCGCGCCTATCGCACGCTCAGCAAGAAGTACCATCCAGACAAGAACCCGTGAGTGCCCTGCCGCCCTCAAATACCGATTTGCTTTACTTTGCTTCGCTGCGTGGACTAGAGCTGCATTGATGCTGCTAAATCCGATCTTAATACTAACGTGTACTGCTGTGGTTTAGTGGTGATGACTCCGCGCGCGACAAGTTCGGGGAAATCGCCGACGCCTACGATGTGCTTTCTACCTCCTCCCTGCGCAAGATTTACGATCAGTACGGGCATGACGGCGTCGAGCAGCACCGTAAAGGCGGCGCCGCAGGTGGCCGCCAGAACGACCCGTTCGACCTGTTCTCGCGGTTCTTCGGCGGCGGCGGGCACGCTGGGCATGCTCCCGGACACAGGCGCGGGCCAGACATGGAGGTGAAAGCGGCGCTGCCGCTGCGGGATTTCTACACGGGGCGAGAGATCAACTTTCTAGTTGAGAAGCAGCAGATTTGCGACGATTGCGAGGGAACTGGCTCGCGGGATCGCAAGGTCGTGACGTGTGATAAGTGCAGTGGGCGTGGGATGGTGATTCAGAAACATATGCTGGCACCGGGCATGTTCCAGCAGGTCCAGATGCCGTGTGACAAGTGTGGTGGGCAGGGGAAGAAGATTAAGAATCCTTGTCCTGTGTGTCATGGGCAGCGGGTTTTGAAGAAGGCCGTTGAGACGAGCGCCAGTATCGAGCCTGGGATGGACAAGGGGACGAGGCTGGTCTTTGAGAATGAGGCTGATGAGAGCCCGGACTGGGTCGCTGGGGACTTGATCGTTATTCTGGATGAGAAGGAGCCGGAGCTTGGGGGTGATGAGGCCGAGCGCACGGATGGCACGTTCTTCCGGCGGAAGGGCAAGGATCTTTTCTGGAAGGAGGCGCTGTCGCTACGGGAGGCCTGGATGGGCGAGTGGTCGCGCAACCTCACGCATCTGGATGGCCATATCGTTCGGCTCGGGCGCAAGCGCGGCGATGTGATCCAGCCGCTGGCCGTGGAGACTGTCAAGGGCGAGGGTATGCCGCATTATTCCGACGCACACCTGCATGATCAGCACGACGAGGACGATGAGCCGGGCAATTTGTATGTGGAGTACACGGTTGTGCTGCCGGATGAGATGGAGAGCGGGATGGAGAAGGAGTTCTTTGCGCTGTGGGAGAAATGGCGCAAGAAGGTCGGGGTTGATTTGGCGGCCGATAGTGGCAGGCCGATACCTCCGCCGGCGGAGGATGAGAAGGATGAGCTGTGAGCTGGTCTATGAGCGTGTGAATCGCGAGGCATTTTCATGTTCTGTATATCGCATTGGTCCCCTTAGAGTTGCTCGGTTTCCCATTAGCTCTGGATGGTTTCTGAGCATATATATCCAATAGAGTCATTTCTTCGCCAGCTGCTCTTTTGGTAACACTATGTTCAAGCTCTTCCATTATCTCCAATTTGGCGCGATGATTGCCAGGTAGGTATGTGCTGAGTGGCGGGTTGAAAATATATAACGTGCTCGCAGGCGGGCAACAGTCATAACACGTGAGGTCGCAAATGATAAAGCCGCGTAAAGTACTACGCCTGTAGAGTGTCTCCGAATGCTCTAGGTATCTAAAGAATGCTTCGATATAGGGTTATATTCATTATTGTATTTTGGTCCTTGCTAGAAGCTGGTCTATCAAGCAAGAAAACCGACCTCCGGATTGCATTAGGGTTGACCCGACCGCCATGTGGTTCACGTGGCCAGCTAGTTGTTTTCAAAACGCGTCGAATGTGTGTAGATCTGCCCCATATTCACCCGCATTCCCCAACACGAGTCACCTGTTTGCGTCGTCAGTGGAGCCCAACCGAAATGACACCCCGACTCGTTCAAAAGTTTCGCGGTTCAAGATCTCTTGCCGCACATGTGGATCGGATCCACCGAATCAGCCGCACCACGAACCACAGCTCATGCTGCTCGAAGATGCAAAGCTTGGTGGGGTACTGATGATTATCTAAATATTATGGCTGACGATATCTAAATACAGTTGGAAGCACTACCATGCAAATGATGCTTGTGTCAGTGAGTGCTCGCCCTCGTGCGGACCCGCAAACGCACCACTAGCTACCACCTAGTTGCTTGTCTCCTGCTCAAACCGGTTCGATCGCCGCCGCTACGAAGCGGGCACCGAACCCCTGGTTGGCTGCTGCAATAGCTTGGCGGGGGTCGCCAAAGTTCAGGAGTGCAACTATGCCCCAAGTCGGCTGCCATTCTTCCTGTCGCGTTGATCGTCAGGGTGTGCCTGATCCCCACAGGGCTCCGTCCTGATGGACCTAGTCATTCATGGAGGTCTTAAACCATGCACAACGCCCCGTAGAGTTTAAGAGGAGGCTTTATTTCCCATACGCTCCTTACCGACCCGCAAACTCATTTATTGTTACTTACTATGCTTTTGCCCCGGTTGTTTAGCCTGGCAGCCCTTTCTGCAGGCCTGGCAGCTGCCGTAGAACTCACTGGCTATGAGTATGTTGTTGTCGGATCGGGAGCCGGTGGGGGTCCGCTCGCTGCTCGCCTTGCTTTGGCAGGCCACAAGACCCTGCTGATTGAGGCGGGAGACGACCAGGGCCTGAACACCAACTATAGTGTGCCGGCATATTCCGCCAAGTCCTCTGAAGATGGAGCGATCGCCTGGAACTTCTTCGTCCGCCATTATGAAGACGAGCAGCGTCAGGCTCGCGATTACAAGACGACCTACGTGACCCCGGAAGGCGACGAGTACACCGGCCTCAGCCCTCCCGAGGGCTCGACGATGAAGGGCACTCTCTATCCTCGCACTGGCACGCTTGGTGGCTGCACTGCTCATAATGCTCTCATTACGGTTTACCCGCACGAATCCGACTTCGAATATATCTCGACCTTGACCGGCGATGGCTCATGGTCTCCTGACAACATGCGCATCTACTTCGAGCGCATGGAGAACAACCACTATCTGCTCCCTGGGCAGCCTGGCCATGGGTATGACGGCTGGTTGAGCGACGAGACCGCGCCTATCAGCATTGTGCTTGAGGATCCTCAGCTTCTGAGCATGCTCCTCGGCGGCGCCTTTGCCTTGGGCAACCACACCAATGCCGTTTTCAACCTCGCAACCCTGCTGGCTGCGGATGCGAACAAGGACTCCGAATCGCGCGATACAAACCCCGGATACTACCAGATTCCGATTGCGACGGATGGAGGCAAGCGTAATGGCCCCCGCGACTTCCTTGTCGCTGTGCGCGATGCCACGAATCTCGACGGCTCCAAGAAGTACCCGCTGGATATCCGCACCAACTGCCATGCCACCAAGGTTACCTTTGACAACTCGACCAACCCGCCGCGTGCTACTGGTGTTGAATTCTTGGACGGCAAGTATCTCTACCGTGCCAGCCCTCGCTCGGATACCGCTGAAAAGGGTACCCCTGGCACTGCTACTGCCTCGCGGGAAGTCATCGTTGCTGGCGGAGTCTACAACTCCCCGCAGCTGCTGAAGCTGAGTGGTATCGGGCCCGCAGATGAGCTCCGCAAGCATGGTATCGAAGTGGTCAAGGATCTGCCCGGGGTGGGCACCAACCTTCAAGACCACTATGAAACCGTCGTCCAGGGCCATGTCCCCACTGATTTTTCGGCGCTGAAGGGCTGCACTTTCCAAGTTGACGGCGAGGAGGACCCCTGCCTGACTCGCTGGGACAACCCTGTACTCGGGAACCGTGGCATCTACTCCTCAGCCGGATTTGCTAGCACCATGTTCTACAAGAGCTCGGTGACTGCAGATGACAGCTACGATGCGTTCGTGTTTGGTGGGCCCATCAACTTCCGCGGCTATTACCCAGACTACAGTATTAACATTACTGCGCGCCATGACTGGTTCTCCTGGGCTATTCTCAAGGCTCACCCTCGTAACACTGCCGGGTCTGTAACTCTCCGCTCTGCCGACCCTCTCGATATGCCGGAGATTGTCTTCAACTACTTCGACACTGGCAGCGGTGACTACATGGCAGATCTACAGGCTATTACCGAGGCTATCGGGCTGGCCCGCGACGCGTTCGATCGCCAGCTGGTGGATGTGTCCGAAGTGCTTCCTGGCAAGAACGTCACTTCGACTGAGGATATCCATAATTATATCATGGACACTGCTTGGGGCCACCACGCCTCATGCACTTGTCCTATCGGCGCGGATGATGATCCGATGGCCGTCCTGGATTCGAAGTTCCGTGTGCGTGGGGTGAGCGGTCTCCGTGTTGTTGATGCGTCGGTCTATCCTCGCATCCCGGGAACTTTCACTGCTGTTTCGACCTACATGGTGGCCGAGAAGGCGGCAGAGGACATCGTGAATGATGCCAAGTCCAACTAGTGCCAAGGGAGCTAGAAGTTCAGGCTTGTCCGACTTGTACATATCGATCATTTCTTCTCTCCTGTATATGTATCACCAATAATTCAGGCGCACCGAGCAGTTTAATCATAATTTCGAAAAGTTTAGCCTGTCTATGGGGCCGAGCAATGTATATCGTTCGACAGAATTCCGACTCGGAAGACCCTTGTCTTTGATCCAACTACTTGCTTGCACTGGTAAGGCAAAGGTATAGTAGAGCACTGTTGGGAAACAGTAATCGATGGTACTGTCTAAAGCGGCGCGTGTATAGTGACTCGATCTATCCTATGAGAGCAGCGTAGAACCGATTGAAGGTGATGATAGTTGCTTGCGGACATACCACCGCTAGAAGCCCCGTCAAACACGCTCTTCTTTCCTCGCCTCCCTCACGCCCTGTCAATGACAGACCCACCGGCCCGGTTAGAATCTCTCAACTTCATTATTTAATGCGATCACCTGCGTAGAGGTGGAATGCTACGATTTTCAGATTTGAAAAATGAGTCGATCTACACGACCTTCCACTTATGAATTCACCGACTTTGACGCCCCCGAGAGCCCCGATGTGGGAGTGAGTCTGGCGTTTCCCGAGGGCGGCCGCGAAGCCTGGACATGTCTCTTGGGCTCGGCTTTGCTGATGTTCCCCTCCTTTGGATTCCAAACAGCTAGTGTGGATAATAACGCCAGTGGCCCCCCGAACAGCATCTAACTAACAAATATCAGTTGGATCGGTTCAGGACTATATCAGTACACATCAGCTCGCTGCGTACAGCGTTCGAGATGTGGGTTGGATCACCGCGGTGCTGTGCTTCTTGACCCTTTTCCTAGGCGTGCAAGTAGGGCCTGTATTCGACCGCTATGGACCTCGCATGCTGTTACTCTGTGGTTCGCTTGCCAGCGTGATATCGTATCTCCTCCTAGCAGAAAGTACCGAGTACTGGCACTTCATGCTATGCCTAAGTGTCCTGGGCGGTATCTCCTCGGCAGTCATCACGACGGTTGGTATCGCTGCTCTAAGCCACTGGTTCTACCGGCGTCGCGCTCTTGCCTCTGGTATCTGCATGGGAGGCTCCTCAGCAGGCAGTGCAATAATCCCTCTCCTGCTGCGAACGCTGCTTCAAAGGTACAGCTGGACCTGGGCCATTCGCATCATCGCTTTCATAGCACTGGGTTGCTACTCTGTAGGAATATTGCTGGTTAAGGGCCAGTTGCCAGCAGGGAATCCGCGCAAGGCGATGATTGATTTCCGGGCATTTCGGGAGCCACGGCTGTGTTTCCTGGCGGTGGCGGTTTTTGCCTTTGAATTCATTATTTTTGGCTGTGCAGCCCTCTTGCCCACTTACGTTCGCTATACAGGCCTGGATCTTAACGTGCAGTTCTATTCGCTCACTGTGCTGAATAGTATGAGCTTGATAGGGAGGGTCTTACCTGGCTTCGCGGCGGATCAAGTGGGACGTTTCAATATCCTGCTCTTCCTGGCCTTTATCACTCTTCTGGTCATGGTGGCTGTATGGATTCCCTTCGGATCTCATGACGAAGCTACTCTATACGCGGTCGTGGCCATCTTTGGCTTTGGATCTGGCGGTTGGGTGTCTCTTGCGCCTGTGTGTGCGGGCCAATTGTGTCGCACGGAGGAGTATGGCCGATTCTATGGCACTATTTACTGTGTTGCTGCGTTCGGTGTTTTATTGACGGTGCCTGTTGGCGGCGAGCTGTTGCAGTCAACGACTCCACACACGCTCGTTGGATTTTACGCGGCGGTCCTGTTAATAGGCCTGATCAGTGTCACGCTGTCGCGGTGGGCACTGTTAGATTGGAAGTGGCAATGGAAGGTAAAGGTTTAGTTTTTGATCTCTCAGATTTGGTGTTAACGAATAGGAAAGAAATGAAATTGACGGATATGCATCAAGTGCCGGGTATATGAAGACAAAATCATCAAAATGCTTTTTGGAGAACAGAGAATCTGCTGCTCTTGATAGGATTTTTTTCTTTCATGCCTGCAAGCTGTCATAATCATCCCTCTTACCCCGATACTCCAGACCCGCCTGCCTGAAGCTGCTGTTGGGGACCCATTGCACGTAGTCTTCCATGTTCCGCGTGACCAAAGTTGCTGGATCCTGAACAACCTGCGTTCCGATACGGACATGGCCTTCCGCAATAGCGTCAATAGCCTGTTGATCATGTCAGCCCATTCCCTATCCAGACATTCCCATGCGTTCCACGTCTCGCGGATATGAACCATTCCCGACCCACAGACCCAGCCAATCCCGCTCGAGCGTGTTCCAAAACAAAAGGGGGAGAGAAGGGACGCTTACAGCTTGTATAGTCGGCATTTTCCGCTGATGAACCATCATGACTGCCAGGCGCCGCCGAGCCAAATCTGAAACTGTGATATGTTCCACTTGGGACAACGCCCCTCCCTGTTCGCGCGACTTCTTGATGATACCCATGTTGTGTAACTTGTACAGCATATCAGACTCGAGCTTCCTGCGGACAGGGTCTTCGGGGTCCATCCGTGAGAGTTTGTGCGCCAACTTGCGAACCGATCCCGCAATTTGATTGTATTTGTTATACTCTTCCGATCCGGGGTCGAGTTTATAGTCTTGGCTGACTTTACCGGCCCGGTGGCCTTGGTCTGACTTATAGGTGTAGAGATCGGTCTTCCGCAGGAGCCTGTGATAAAAGGTGTTAAGATTGCTGCATGGAAAGAGCGCAACGTGCTGGCCAAGGATCATGGGAGAGCATGAATGGAGGCGATTGCGAGGGCGGTCTTGTGACTCACTTCTGCTCGTGATGCTTGAGAGCACGAACCATGTTGACGGTTCTTTAGGTGGTAACGACCAAGTGAAAACCGAGGGAAGAAGGTAATTATCTCGCCAGAGCAAGATAGCTCGCGGCCGAGGAAAATGATGGCGATAAGGAAAATTCCGTTATCAGGCGGTGTCATTCTGCCACACTTGAGTGCATCACGTGATTAAGGTACAGTCAAATAGCAGACTCCCACTCATTACAATAGTACGATAGGCGGTGGTATTCTGCCGCTATTCCACCACCGATATTCAAAGATTCAGCTTCTCGGGAGCCGCAGGAATATTGCCAAATAGCATGACTCCCAGGCTCTGGGAGACACGGGGAACTAGGCCGTGTATTGCTCTACGGGATAAACATACAATGAAAGTTTAACTGGGAGCAGGAAACGTGATGCTAAATGCGCCCCTTGTTTTCATGAACCGAGCAATTTCATTAAAAACAAATGCTAAAATAACGCTATCGCAAATAAAGTCATATCTCATGGCGGGCATCAACGTTGCAAATCAGTGATCGTGATAAACTGGAACGGAAGATAAATACGCCAGACACAAGTACTCATCCGATGGAAAAGAAATTCGTAAGCGTCAAGTTGCATCACCTCTTAGCAGCCGAGTCGTTTGAGCAATTTTTTCGCTAAGAGAGCGGATATTCTGTGCACCCATTATGTCAAGCAAGGATACCTCGGCTTGCAGTTCTTTAACAATCCACGAGCGAAATTCCATTGCGACAAGTGAGTCTATGACTCCAAATCCGAATCTGTGAACGTCGATGTCGGATGCAGGGATCAAGAGAAGAGAAGAAAGTCGCTCCACAATTCCATTTGATACCACAGATATCGCGGCTTCAACAGAAGACGTGGTGCTCAAAAGAGCAGCAGTGCTGACTGATTTTTGGTCACTTGTTTCCGTAACCTTCGCCGTCGCAGTGTTACGCTGATGGGTGAAGAGAGAGTAGTTCAGGTATGCTGGCGGCGGAATGCCATTCTGGCGGCACATCGCCGCCGTCGGGAGGCCTAGCACGAGCTGCGACTGGGGATCTGATCCACGGTGGTTGGCTTTTGGATATCTTGGATCGATCAGGAACTCAATAGCCCCATGGACTTCATCTTCCCGGAGCAATTCGAATAATGTTGCTGTGTGGGTGCGCATTGAGTTTCTGTTTTCTGCCACCCATCCGACGCTTGACACGCTGCCAAGGTCGATGCTGTATGTGTTCATCCCCCGTCTCATGCGGTATGCTGCCAGAGCATCTTGAAAGGCGTTGCCCGCGGCGTAGTTGGCCTGGCCACGATTACCAAAGATACCCGCCACCGACGAGAGCATGACAAAAAAGTCGATGTCAGTGGGTAAAAGTTCATGCAGGTTCCAGGAACCTTGGACCTTGGGCGTGATCGCAGCCTGCCAGTCACTAACAGACATGCTTGCAAAAGCGCCATCCTGCGAAACATGTTAGTACATAGAAGAGTTGGACGAGAATGGGATAACTTGCTCGTAAACTCATAGAGCCCTGGATACATCCTTTGATGGGCGGCAGCGAGGCTGCGCATTCCTCGATAACAGCCTTGACACGATGGGCATCGGCAACGTCACATGTAAAAATGTGGGCATTGCAACCGATGCTCTTTAGATATCCAAGCATCTCTCTCACTGGCTCTGTTATACGAGCCGAGCGGGAAAGAAAGATGAGGCTCCTTGCACCATGGGAGGCCATCCATCGCGCCAGGCTGCGGCCCAGACCACCAAGACCACCGGCGAGAATGTAAGAAGCCCCACCGTCGAATTGATAGGGGGACGGAATATAAGGAGTAACCGGTATGAGATCAGAAGGATCATATTTGAATACAATCTTTCCTACCCTCTTTTCTCTGATTTTCAGTGCTCGGACGCCTTCGTCGATTTGTGCGAGGTCCATAACCGTCAATGGGAGAACTCCACCAATATTGCCTTTTGCGTGTAGCTCAAGCATCTCCACGACCAAGCGTTTGAGCAGTTTCGGCCGACATCGGACTAGTGAAGGAATGTCGACGGTTGTCATGGTCACGTTTTGCTGCAGTAAAGAAAAGTCGAGCATAGTATTGTCTTGTCCCTTGTTGCAGCTGACGTGAACCAAGCGGCCGAATGGGGCAACACAAGCCAAGGACTCTTGAAGAGCCTCGGTGGACAGAGAATCAAAGACAACGTCGACTCCAGAACCCTTGGTGCACCTCATGATGCCTCGAGCAAAGCTGAAGTCGATGTTCGAGAAGATGTGGTCTTCTGAGATTCCATGTTCCGATACAAGGAACTCACGATCCTCAGTTGTCGACACAGTTGAGTATACCTTCGCGCCAATCATCTTGGCATACTGAACAGCGGCCTGACCAAGAGCACTAGCTCCATCGTGAATCAAAATCCTGTCATCTTGGCATAACCTGGCCACCTCGCCGAGTCCGTATAAGACAGTGACGTAGGCAGACGGAAGCCCAGCAGCCTCCCAGAATGACATTCCGAGGGGGATTTTGACAGCCAGACTTTGATCCAATCTTGCCAGAGTGCGGAAGCTGCTTTTATGCTCGTCGCAGGTGAGGAAGACAACGTTGTCTCCTGGGACGAAGCCTTCCACCGCTGGCCCGATGCTCTTAACAACACCAGAAGCTTCGACTGATGGACTAGAATCGTGGACATCCGAGTTTAACCCCACTGCACGAATTTCGACCTCAATATCGGTATCTCCGAGAGGATTTTCGATGGATGGGTCTGCTAACCAGTGCAGCTCATCTGTTTTAGTCTTCGAGAAACTGAGCTGAACAGGACGACCGACATCTCCCAGGCGTTTCAGCTCAGGGGCCACATTTGATGACTGCATAGACAGAAAACTATCTGACTCTTGCCACTCACGCAAGCGGGCGACTTCAATAATCCCGTTTCGTAGGCGGTACTCGGCGTGACGATCGATCTCAGCTCTGCTCAAGAATTGGTGCTCGAGAATTGTTCCTATCAGAGTCGACATGTTGATTCCACCAAGACCTGTAGGGTTGCCAATATCGAATGTCACAATATTGCAACCGTCCGCATCTCGTTCAGATCGAATGGTGCGCAGAAGGCCCATGCTCATGCTTGTCAATGGTTGTATGGCGGGGTCCGGAATCAGCCACAAAATGTTTGGGCATTCCATCAGCACCGTTCTTAGTGCATAGAATTCTTCTTGCTTGATATCCGCGAGGAAGGGAGTCTCCAAGTCGATCAAAGAGATGCAGAGGGAATCTGATCCAGTGATGCGGTCAAGTTCGGTCGGTCCAACCACAGCCACATTGTATGAGGCTTCCTTTTGCTGGAGAGTTTCTTGCAGAGCAGTGACCGCATCGACAGTTGCTGGTGACCCCGATGTTAAGATGAAAATGCTCCGCGCAGTCGAAATCCACGGTGCAACAGCGGTTGAAACAAGGATGCTCTGCCACGTCAAGTCCTCGTCAGCTGAGCTGGGATATTCAATGTCGACACCCGAAAACCCCGATTCGCTGAGGAGTTTGTTCCATTCAGAAGTTGGAATGTATGGGCACCATTTCCGACTAGGCTCATTGCCGAGCCACCAACCAGGAAGTTGGCCGAATACGAGCGGGTACCACAAGAAGTCCTGTCTTATTCCCTCCTGCATGATCAATTGACCACCGGGCCGAAGAAGAGACCTTAGATTGCGCAGAGCTGTGTTCAAATCCGGAGTGGCATGAATGACGTTGCCAGCAAAGATCAAGTCGTAAGTACCAACTTGGAGACCTTGATCAGCAGGGTCTCTCCCAATGTCCAGAGACTGAAATTTCATGATATTGCTCCATGAGTTGAATTTCTCCTTCGCTTTACTGAAGAAGCCGGACGAGATATCGGTAAAAGTATAGCTTTCTATGCTACCTTTACTGGGATCCGATTCGGCGGACAGCACGTCAAAGATCTTCGCAGTAAAGCTGCCGGTGCCACCGCCAACTTCTAGGATATTCAAGCTAGAATGATGGTGCCGAAGAAGGGAGAGGTGGTTGTGTAGATATTGGGGCAAGTTGTACAAGTGAAGTCCCTCCTTGTAAACCTCTTCCATGATGTTGTCTTGTCCGAACATCAAGTGCAGGGGATCAACCGCGTTTCGCATGACAGCAATAATATTGCGACCCATTCTGACAGTGATAGCGCCCTCGGCACTGTGGCTCTCAGTCTCTTCACAGATCGATCGTTTCAGCGAGGGGTCGTGAGAAACTTCTTGAAACATTGAGTAAGGCAAATGGATGATCGCATCGCTGAACAATTTCTCTCGCATGTGTTTCATCCACTCATAGAATCTGCGGAGGTGGAGGTCAAGAGCCATGATATTGAGATCCTTGAGCTCATCCATTGCATCCACGACGTAGAGCATAGTCACAAGTTGCAGCCGTTGAACCCATTGCCGGTCCTGATCTTGGTTGGCATCGTCAAGAGAGACCAGGTCACAGGCTGCTTTGGAGTTGAGGAATTGGGCGTCCGGCCGCCAGTCAATCAGGGTACATAGCTCACGATTGTGGTTCTCCTCAGATCCAGATTCAAGAGGTGTGAGCTCAATTCCATCCATTCTGATCCGATGGGCATTTGAGACCGCATCAAAAACCTGTATCTGGCCGTGAAATTTTCCAGCTGCCGCAATTGATACGGATGCATGGCCGGTAAATCTGCAATGCGGCGTAGGATCAAGATCGGCTGACACCCACATTTCGCGAATGAAGGTTGGGAGTCTGATCGTAAGAAGAGAAGAACTTCCGTCGAAGTCAATAACTGCAGCAATCATCATGTGTATCATACTATCCATCGTCGCGGGATGGATCAAGTGTGGATGTATGTACTGCTTCGGCATTGACTTAGCGATGTCAGGGGTTGTCACCATGCCAGTCATTATTCCTTTTTTCGTGCCACTGGCGTGCACATCGCTGAGGTTCTGGAAGAGAGCGCCAAAGTTCAGACCCTCTCTCTGAAGTTTGTTGTAGATTGTGCGAAAATTTATGGGTAAGGAACATGTATTACGAGCCCGTTGAAGGTCATTTTCTCGAGATTGAGCTTCTGTCTTCGCCTCGCGGCCATGGTCAACGGGATCGAGACCCTTGGCGTGTTCCACAGCAATACAGCCGGTACAGTGCTCGGTCCAGCTGTCGCTTGACTCATTGTATGAGCGAATATGAAAGCGCCGCCAGGGTCTAGTCTCGGATGATGGCTCTTCGGTCGTCATTGACAGGCACACTTCAATTCCCTTCTCCGTTTCCGGAACAATCAATGCTCTTTTAATAGAAACCTGACGAATTTGGAACCCTGAGAGCTTATCGTCGCCGGCCAATTGCCTCGAGGCCTCGATAGCCATGACTAGAAAGCCAACACCTGGATAAACATAGTTGCCTGTAACCTAAAACGATCAGTTAGAAAGCAGATTGTGGATGATGAGGAATGACAGACTTACCATGTGGTCCCTGAGCCAAGGATTCTCATTCAACCTTACAAAATGTCTCCATCTCGGCAAACTGGCGTCCCAGTCTGGGACAGGGGCCCCAAAAAGATCATGGCGAGGAACCTTTCTGTTCCGCAGATTTCTGCTCAATCTGCTCTCGTACAGAACCTTCTCCGAGTGCTTGAAGCTGTATGGCGGCAAGTCAACCAGAAGTCGGGGCGGCCTTCTTTTCTGGCTTCGAGAGGCGATATTGATTATGTGCAAGTCCAAAGGATACCCATTGACGGCAATGGATCCAACGGTGTTGAGCAAAGTGTTTAGCGTGTCATCGTTACGCTTGAGAAGAGCGAAGTATTTTGCACCTGTTTCGTCTTTTGTCAGGCCCAAGGTCTCTTTGATGGCACTTTGGAGTGTTGAATGGGGACCGATTTCAACGATGTGAGGGATGCCGGCATCAGGTGCATCCGAATTTGCTCGCGTGTACATTAACCCCAGGGCATCAGTGAATCGAACCGGAGATACCATATTGTCCACCCAGTATTGACCCTGGATATGCTCGTCTTTGATCTCTTCACCGGTCACGGTGGAAAACATGTGTACCACATGTGGTGCGGCCAGTCGCCTCCCAGGGGCAAGTGTACCCATTAATTCCAGATAATCTGTGGCAATCGCCGCCATATGAGCGGAATGGTAAGCATTCTGGACATTAAGCTTCCGAGCAAAAATTCCATCAGCATCCAACAGCTTTTTAAGCGCGTCAATCATGGACTCATCGCCAGACACGGTGTTATTCCTGGGGCTATTGTAACAGGCAATGATGAGCTCTCCCGTCAAACCCTCACGGACAGAATTGAGGTACTGTTCAAGCTGCGATTCATTCAGGCCAACGGCCATCATTGCCCCATTAGCGGTCGTTTGTTTTGATGAGACATAGCCACGGAAATACGAGACCTTCCAAGCGGCTTCACGAGATAGCTTGCCTGCACAGTAGGCCGCCGCAATCTCTCCGGAGGAGTGGCCCGTGACATATCTGGGAACTATCCCCCAGCTTGCTAAAAGATCCACCAGCGCTACTTGCAGTGCTGTACAAACTGGATGGGCGATTTCAGGAAGGTTGACTCGTGTTGACTTGCCCTCGGTCAGCAGCTCATCTGCAAAGGTAATTAGACGGAGATCATTCAATTTTATCGACCACAGATGGCGTTATCTTACCAATCAATGACCAGGGACTTCCCAGTCTGCGAATATACTCTGAAGCATCCCCCAGAGAGTCTCGGAACACCGGGTAGACCATCAACGCTCGGCCCATTGCCTGATATTGTGCACCTTGCCCTGTGAAAACGAAGGATAACTCAGGGGCTTCGGTTGTTCTTGTGGTCTTGAAAAACTTGGATTCGTCTAAATTCCACACCAACTGCTTGGCCGTGGATGCAGTCACGACTGCTTTCCATGGCAACATGGACCGGTGCTTAGAAAGGGTGAAAGATAGGTCATCGAGAAGTTGGTCATTAGGTCCCGGGTGAGCCAGCCTATCGTTCAAATAGCTGGCATACGCGGACCCATTCCGCTTGACACCGTCTTCGTCAAAAGCGGATAACAAGAACATTTGTGGCACATCAATCAGATTACTGTAGTCTGTAGGTCCAAAAGCAGGACAGCTACAAGATGTCTCGCTTGTGGGCGTGTCAACAAACACAAAGCCACTACTTGAGTGGACACTGTCATCTGCAGAATCTGAATGACTGTCAGACTGATCAGTCTCATACCTGGGCCTTGATGAAACCCTGTTGAGGATACTTGCAGCACGTGGAACAGCGGGTGTTGTGTGGTGGGAAGCCGTGATATGGCGTTCCTTGAGATAGTGATAAGCATCGTCCAGGACACAGTGAGCATTAGTGCCTCCAATGCCGAAGGAATTCACGGAGACCCTGCGCAATCCTTTGGATGGCCATGGTATATTTTTAGTCGGAAATGTGATGTTCCAATCCTCGGCTGGGATCTTCGGGTTGACCTGCTGGAAATCATGGTTCGCAGGAATAATGCCAGACTCAAGGACGAGGATAGACTTGATGATACTCGCTACTCCCGAACCTCCCTCTAGGTGTCCGATGGTAGACTTGATTGTCCCAACGTAGATAGGGGCATCGTTGCGGCATTTGAAAGCCCTCGACAGGGCTTCTGCTTCAATCGGGTCCCCGGTGCTGGTGCCGGTGCCGTGAGCTTCCACGAACCTGGTCTGTTCTAAAGGAAGACCGGCTCGCCAGTAGACTTCTCGGATCAGCCTCTCTTGGGCATCAGCGCTGGGAACGGTCATTCCGGGAGTTCGACCATCTTGATTCACACCAGTCTCACGGATAATTGCGCGAATGGTATCTCCATCTCTCACGGCAGCGTGTAATGGTTTTAAGACCACGGAGCCAACGCCTTCGCCACGGGCATAGCCTTCAGCGCGAGAGTCGAAGCTGAAGCAACGACCTTGGGCCCCTAGCAGACCATGGTGACTCATACCGATTGTTTCGACGGGATTCTCCAAGATACTCACACCGCTGACGACAGCCTTTAAAGACGGATCAACAATTGCATCTGACGTTTGGAAGCAAGGGAAGGCCTACCATGTTTGTTTCCCGAGCTCGCAGGCTCTGTACAGCTAGATGCAATCCCACCAGACTGCTGGAACAAGCCGTATCGACAGTCATACTGGGTCCCTTGAAGTTGAAAAACCAACTGACCCGGTTTGACAAGCTGGCATTCGTTACACCAGTTGGTTTGTATTTGACAGACGTTTCCGGGTCCGAGTTGAGGATTCCAAGATAGTCATGGTTGAAACCACTGACGAAGACAGACGTATTGGATCCAACAGCACTCTCCAAAGCGATGCCGGCATTTTCCAGAGCATGATACACATTCTCCATCACCAACCGCTGCTGCGGATCCAGTGTTAAAAGTTCATTCTTGGTGATGTTGAAGAAAGAACTATCGAAGAAGGCTGGGTCTTCGGTGAGGAAATGTCCCCCTTGTACATGGAACTATATATGACGCACCCATTAGCCAGTGACTCGAGGGATAGAACAGACAGGGACACTTACAGTGCCTCCATGTTCAGGATCTGGGTGATAGAATGCGTCTGCATTGAAGCGTTCCTTGGGGATAGAAGACCAGGTGGACCGCGCTTCCAACAGCAGTTGCCAGAGGTCCTCCGTAGTAGTAGCATCCTGCGAGAATCGGGTGGCCAGGCCGACAATGGCAATAGGTTCTAGGACATCGACCGCAGCGACCCCATCGCCACTAGCGCCGCTGACCAGTGACAAGGGCCGCATCTCGTGTTCCTCGGGGTGGAGAAGGAGAAAGTTTCAAGAACGGAGTCTTCTGGGAAACTGCCGGATCGTGAGAAAAAGGCGAGGTGGAGCAGCCATATTTCTAGTCTTCGGAGCCAAGGTCGAGGCCAGTGTCGAACTGAGTTTGGGAGTGATGAGGTGGAAGGAACGGGGTCTGCAAAGTGACGCTAGGACAAACCAAGCGCAGTGGCAGGCCCGAGGCCGATTCGCGGTTCAGTTGACGCCCAGAAGGGGATATTTGGAAAGTCGTGCTGGCGTGACCAAAGCAACATGTGCAACCACGCTGGCGCTGATCGTTAGCGCGCGCAATCCACACAGAAAGCACGTTGATTGCCAGTATCCAGTGAAGCCGGGAAGCCTCACGTGTTAGGGACCGCGAACCACTGCTGTTTGGGAGCTTATCCTCTTTCTGCTCTCAACTGTGGAGCCCGCGTCGCAAACCCTCCGCAACCCAACCCAGTCCCCGTCCATCTACAGTCGCCGGGGACTCGCAATGTCGGACTCTTCTACTTTAGAACGAGGAGAGCCATTGCGCCGGATGCAATAACTCCCTCTCCGGCAGATTGGGCCTGTGGGGGAAACGAACGCCCGGTGGCCATTGTCCTGCACGCTGCAGGTTGTTCCGCAACGACCGCCGATCCCGTTCAGGTTTCTTGCTTCAAACGGCTGCAGGCTGTCATCCTGTAATGGCGCTAATTGGCCACGAGGCCCCAGTTCCGTCCGCCTTTCTGTCCGGCCCCGTCTGCACGTTCGCGCCCGTTCGCAGTCCTGCTCTGCCTCAGGTTCGAACCCTCAATGAAACCACTGCAAGGGACGGGCTTCGATCATCTGTTCAAAGGAAAGATTTGTGGTTGTGCTCCCAGGGAGCTCCATGTGGAGGAGGTCGCTAGATTGTCAATTCTCCGACGGCGGTCTGTTCCCGCCAACCAGATGCGGCATCCGCCACAAAATCCAACACCATCACCGGCTAGAGTGAATTATCTGCTTCAGCACACCATCCATCGGGGGGACTTCCGTCAGGAACTGAATGTTCATTGCATGCGATCCACCTGCACAGGCCCACAACGCAGTTGGGTGATTGTCGTACATTCCTCGGTGAATCTCGGGACTTTGCTTATCTGGGCAGGAGCTACCCGCCCGACAACATGCTAACCGGCATGATTCAGGTGCGCCCCACTCCTGGCAGCCGTTGACGGGAACGGAAGGGCCGCGGGTTGTCCACCCTTGACCACGTTTCCACTCCCATGACCCCCGCCCACCGAGTTGAATGGCATTGTTGTCTTGTTAGAAATCCCCACTGATGTGCCTTAATGCAACCAGCTTCCATGGATGCTGTCGAGACCCAGCCCAGGACTTTTGCCTTGCCGGGCCTGGAATCCTTTGTCCGCCCGCCGAGGTGCATGTCGAAATGCAACTAACCGCGCCACGGAACGTGGGAATGCCACATTGGCCCATCGCACTACCGGAGCTAGAGTGCCCGTGTCCTCAATTAAAAGAATCGTCCGGGTAATGGGGGTCGTGCATCCGGTATTGGTGAACGTGCGGACTTGGGGAATGAACATGCAGGCTATAGTTTCCTGGGGCCGATCCCGCCAGTTAACGCATACTTGAAGCACTGTCATGTCTGTAGATCGCTGCCAGAGATCCGTCGGGTCTCTTTGTCGCGTTTACTTGCGTTTAGTTGCGTGTCTGACCTCAAATTCCAGACTTTGGGCAGGCAACTGATTTGGAATACTCACGGTCTCATGAACGCCACGAGCAGCGGACGGACAGACTGGGCGATCATCAGTGCAAATTTCGTATTGCTACTGCCTAACTCATTGGTCCTCACTTAATAAACTTCCCTCAGTCTATTTGAGTTGTCGACGGCGGGCGGGGTTCACGGGCACTTATCAGTGCAAATGGGGAATCTTCTCCGGCTCGACAGAGGTTTGTGGTCAATTGACCCAGTTTCATAAATCCAAATGATCTCAAAACAAATTGTCAACCTGGTACGTTCATGTACCCCCCGAGAAACCGTATGACTATAAACCAGTAAATTACGGGAAAAAGGCTGGGAAGGATCAAAGATTTTCTTTCCCATTTGCCTCAATCCTTCAACCCCACTGTTTTTAAATTGATTAGCGGGCTCATTAGCAAAAACGAGAATTCATCTGGCGAAGCATGAAGTTGGTTCTAGCTGTATATGGCTTACTCGTTAAACTCATTTACTTTGCCAGGCACTACTGGTGGAGACCGAAGAATTCTTAGTATTTTGGTCCTAGCCCGCACCGACAGGTGCTTGATATTCACGACCAACAGCTCTAGCGTCTGATCGACAGTCCTTGAAGCAAGTATAGCCGATCTTCTCTTCTTTGTTCTCCCGAAAATGTGACCACAAAATCCTTCGGGTTGTTGCCAGGGCATTGCCACGTACGACCCTTTGATCATCCAAAAGCCATTTGGGCAGGATCCCACGAACTAGCGTTCAAGTGTGCCCATACTCAACGATTTCATTCGACAATGGAATCGCAGTTTTGAAGGCAACAAGCGCAGTACATCCCTGAGAGATACTCGCGAGCACCAAAGTGCTTCCTCGCCCGAAACTCCAGAATGGATTGATAGTCAATGGCCTTCATATACGGACAACACGTTTCTACCTTGGCTCCACTGTGGCACATGCTTCTCTTTCTCCACCTTCCCAATATGCAATTTCGCTGATTTCTCTTATCTAGATCCCCGTATCTGCAGCGGCTGTTTCACTTCAGTCGTGGACTCTCAATCATTCGGGCTCCTATCATGGAGGTCACTTGGGCATCTGTAACCTCTCATTATCGGTACTGTAGATTGATGGTATCAAAGGGTACTTGCTGATCTCATCTACCATAGGCTTAACCTTCCGGTCAGAAGTCATTCTCTTGCTGCCTGTAAGGTTCCGAGTCACCTTTGCTTCACAGTAGCAATATTTTCTGCTCTGTTAATCTTCACGCTCACCCCTGTGAGCCAAGTCCCGTTCCACGCACAATTATGGATCTTGATATGCAAAAAACGAAGACTTTCTATTCATTAATATACCTAGAGCCCATTCCTGCACACCTACATCACTCTTCGGATTAAGTTCAGATCTCATCATACATTGATCCCAGATTCCGAGGATAATGTTGAATGAATCAGAAGTACATGCCATGAGCACATCAATACCAAATGATGGCTCCTGCCTTAGTACCCAAACTGAATTATTGGATTTAGCATCTCTAAATCGATATACAATGTACCACAACGTGTCCAAGCCCCTGTTGATAGGATGACTGATTGAGTAGGGGTATATGGAGAAGACTTTTTATATACAGGGTAATATAGATATACTAATGAATATCCGAAGAACCTAGGAATGGCCAAATCACGATGCCTTGTCATTAGATAACTCTGTCCCTTTCCATACTGGACAAATTCGTCATCTATAGACCAAGTTAAAATGTTCACGCATTTCGCTGATTCCAAATTTCCTACAACATCGAGTCATATTAAGACCTGAGCCTTCAGTATATACCATGGTGATAAAATATCCAATCATACATGCTATATTTGGATATCATCACATGGTATAATGAGGACGTAATGAGAGACTGGTTAGAAAGGAAAGGCCGTTTTCACAGTGTTGGTGTAGGCGAGCAGCTGCCATGGTAACAAACTATTTTCGAAAATCAGAAACCAGTCACCAAGCGTTTCGAAAAGGGAAGAGTTGTACAAATGATAGATAGGATATGTGGATACGTCTATCTGATAATGAACGCCGCGCTCACTTTGCCAAGGGCTCATCAGTGACTTTCATGTCATCACAAAGAATGCGCGGCCATTATTGGAGACTGCTCTATTTCAAATCGGATCTGGAAGCGTGATCGCTAGTCATTAATATCGTTCGCATTCCTTATTGTGCCCGGGTAAGCCTTTGATTGCCTTTTTTTCTGCCTTTCCATTCGGGCTGGAGGGTGTCGTCTAGCTTTCTAGCCAGGCCGAAATGGTCGCCAGATGTCTGGGTCGTATTTTCTTTTTCCTTTGCGGTACTTGTTGCTGTTTGAGAACTAGTAGTGTGTTGGCTGGCCATCGTCACTTCTTTTGCATTCTCCATAAAGTCCTTACCTGCTTGGCCCACTAAAAAGTGTCCATTTGGCCAAGTCCATGCTTTGGCCTCTTGAACATCACGTTCAACTATCTCTCTACCGCCGGATGATCTGAGTGTTAATTGTAGAACCTCTTACTCCACGTCGGTCGAACAATTTTAGATGTCCTTCATTGCTTTTTCTATCTCGCTCTTCCTACGCTCAAGTTGCGTATGCAAGCGAAACAAATTATTCGGCAAGAGTCGAAAAAGAGTCAATGGAAGAAGAAATTTGGATAGTAAGCCTGGCGTGAACTTCTCAAAATTATCTTTCGCTTAGCCTTTCGGGCGACTGATGAGCGTATGCGGGTACGAAAGCGGAGATTGTACACCGCTAGTTCTCAATGTAACCAAGCTCTTGCCTGGCCCGCACTCTGAGAATACCTCCGCGTCGAGCTGAATGCAGCATTCAGAGCCAATCGCCTGCGCTGACGCTATGACTTCAAAGGCTGGCTGAGATATATGAACATCTGCAGAAGGTGACTCCAGCTACAGGCCCAGGGGGGGAGGGGTGACCCGAGGAGAAAAGAGGGGGGAGGTTTGAATTATCTCGACGCAAGTGCGGCACCCGCGGGCCGGTGCTTCAGATGCATTGGACAAATCAGTATGTGAGCGCTAGAACGATCGCCATCCACCGATTATCCAATGATATAGTGATCGTGGTGCATTTTGCATTTGAAATCGTGCATATTTTCATGCCGTACTACGAAAGATGCAGTTTGAGCTCGGTGCGCTGCACATACTCTTGCAGAATGCATACGGTCGGAGGCCAGCTGGCTGAAGCTGAAGCTCTCTCGTAAATTGCAGCCAGACGCAGACGGGACTTTTAAAGATGTACCTGGTATCTGCCCAAAACTTGAAGATTACGCTGAAGCCCGGTCCTGGCTTGACAATCAATCGCTGACATGGGATCAATCTCCCCCACGGTAACTGTGTTACGGATCCTCGACTCCATCAATGCAAAAGAACCCAACGCTTTATACTGCGTTCATCCAGCTTCCTCTAATGTCTCCGAAGGTTGGCTTGAAATCAGCATTGCTGATGTGGTGAGCGCGACAAATCGTCTAGCTCTTTGGCTCCATCTTAACGTGGCCTCTGCCGATGCCCCCCAAGCCCTAGCATATATAGGCGCAAATGACATACGCTATTGTGCTTTTGTCTTCGCGTGCATGCGACTTCGCCATACTGTATTACTCCCAATCTCCAGTGTACCGGTCAATGATTCTAACAGGTTTCTAGGCTGTTTTTCTTTCAAATAGGAACTCGGAGCAGGCATCCCGCCATGTGCTTTCTGCCGTCGGTTGCACTAAGCTCATCTACACCCCTGAGCGAAGCCGACAAATTGATGAAATCAAGTCGGCCGATCCATCTCTAAAATCATGGGTCGCGCCTGATCTTTGGGAGGTCTTCGATCGCCAATCTACCGCTCCTGCCCTTGACATAAAGGAACCTGCCGAGGATTCGGAAGATAGAGTGGCGGTTTATATCCACAGCTCTGGAACAAGTGGTTAGTTGGAGTGTGATATTCCACCCCCCGGGTCACTACTGACAACTCTGCTTCACCCCAGGTATGCCAAAGCCTGTTCCAATGACAAATGGCTACTTCCTCGCTTTACAGCAGATTTGTCAACTACCAACCCCCGAGAATCGGGTTGGTAGCATGGCTGCAGTTGCCGGAAGGGGCAAGCGGGCTCTTGCTGTGAGCCCTTTTTTCCACTTGATGGGCATGCTTAATATGATGGTACCAGTATTGGCAGGGACTCCCTTTGTCCTGACCCACGAAAAACCTATAACAGTGGATATTTTCGCTCAAGTCATCAAACAAACGCAGCCCAAGACTGCGAACATGCCACCAAGTATGCTAGAGGAGCTTTCAAAATCCGACCTCGGGATGGAATGCCTAAAAACCTTTGATTTGCTTACTTTCGGAGGTGCTCCTTTGGCTCGCGAAGCAGGTGATCAAATTGCAGATGTCGTGCATTTGCAGTCGGTCATTGGATCAAGCGAATGCGCCATTTTCGGTGCTTTAAAGCATCAACACAAGGACGAATGGCCCTACCTCGAGTTTAACCCTTTTGCGGGGTATGAAATGCGTGAGGCCGGCGATGGGTACTATGAGCTTGTTGTTTTGCGCGGAGAGATGGGCAGCAACCTGCATGCAGTGTTTCATGCTTATCCTGACAAGACAGAATATCAGACTGGAGATCTTTTTACTTCCCACCCGGAAAAGAAAGGCCTTTGGCTCTACGCTGGGAGACGCGACGACGTGATTGTTTTGAGCAATGGAGAAAAGTTCAACCCAGTCACGATGGAGGAGATTATCTCTGGACACCCGCTAGTCGATCGGGCAGTCGTAGTCGGACAAGGTCGCTTCCAGTCTGGCGTTCTTATTGAGCCTAACTGGGAGGCATGGAATGGCGAGGCAAGCGCCTTGATCGACGAGATCTGGCCTTTGGTGAAGAAGGCGAACGAGATCGCCCCTGGCCATGCCCAGATAATGAAGGACCGTATCGGCCTTGCCTCTCAATCCAAGCCTTTCCAGTTGACCCCTAAAGGGACCATCAAGCGACGGATGATTGTGAGCGACTACGCAGATGAGATTGATGCCATTTATGCCGTCTCCGATCAGGTCAAGGCTGCCCAGATTGCCAAAGAGGCCACTCGATCGGATGTTTCTGCTTACGTTGCTTCAACTCTGTGTGAAATCCTGGAGGTTCCAAGCTTCGATGTTAATGCAGACATCTTTGCATCGGGACTCGATTCGCTTCAGACACTGCGATTGGGCCAAATCCTCCAGGCATCTCTTCAATCTGCCTGCCCCGATCTCGGGGCCGCATTCAGCAGTCAGCAGCTCTATTCCCTGCCGACAATCACGCAACTCTCTGATTACATTTACGGTATTCTTCAGGGGGAAGGTGCAGCTGTTGCTACCCCAGTGATTGAACCTGACAGTGAGCGGGAGGCAAGGATTGCGGAGCTTGTCGGGAAGTACTCTGAAGACTTCGGTCAGAACCACGCTGTCATTCTCACTGGTTCAACTGGCTCACTCGGTACCTATTTGCTATCCAACCTTCTGAGCGACCTCAGTGTTACCAAAATATACTGCCTCAATCGATCGGAAGATGCGGCCCCTAGGCAGCTACAGAGTTTACGTGAAAAGGGACTGGCCAAATTCGACAAGTTCCCACGACGAGTAGAGTTCCTCCAGGCACAGTTCGGGGCCGAAAAGCTTGGTCTTGGTGATGAAAAGTATGATGACATGTTGCAGGAGGTTGATACAATCATCCACAATGCGTGGAAAGTCAACTTCAACCACCGAGTCGAGGCCTTTGAGAGCCCACACATTGAGGGTGTTCGTCGTCTTGTGGAATTTAGTGCCGCCAGCGAGAAGACAGCCCACATCCACTTCATTTCTTCTATATCCACTATCGAGGGATACAACAAAGGCCCGTCCATCCCTGAAATTATTTTTGATGATCCAAGCTCTGTCCTTCGTCAAGGCTACGGCGAGTCAAAGCACATCTCCGAAAGAATCTGCGCCACGGCTTCCGCGAAATGCGGTGTCCCGACAAGTATCCATCGCGTAGGCCAGATTGGAGGTCCAACAAGCGAGCTGGGTATGTGGAATACGCAAGAATGGGTGCCTTCGCTGGTAGCAGCCTCAAAAACGATCAAGCAGATCCCCAATTCGTTGGGTTCAGTGACAGTGCAATGGGTTCCAGTGGTTTGTGATGGCCGCAAATACGTCTCCACTATACACAACTAACATCAGGTTTTTGCAGGATGTGTGCGCGAAAGTGATCACTGAAATTGTTCGCACTCGACGCACGACTCAAGAGGATGAGCCTTGCGCAGCATTCCACATTGTCAACCCCAAGGTTGCAGATTGGCAATCGCTTATTCCGGCCGTGAGAAAATATTTCGACGTCGAGCCAGTCGATATTCAGACATGGATCGCCACGCTGGAGGGCTTCACTAACCCCACAGAAGACGATTTGCGGGACAAACCTGCTCTCAAGATTCTAGACTTTTTCAAGGCTATCGCATACTCGAATGAGGCTGGCCCTTCGACCGAAACAACGAAGACACAGGCTGCTAGTAAGACCTTGCGACGACTACAGGCAGTCGACGCCCCATTGATGGAGAACTGGATGAGACAGTGGAAGTTCTGAGTCAGGATGCAAATCTCTTTAGGGTTTTATCAGTATAAATGGATCAATTAACGATTATTGTTCAACCCAATCACTACTTTTTGTGGGGAAATTAGGTGCAAATATAACTATGCGGGATATGGAAATGGAGGCTCTTTTCGATAGTACCGAGGAAGGCGACAGATGCTCGAAGAGTCAAAATCTCGGTGAGATTGGCGTGGCTCTACCGGCTGATCTTTGTGTTGCATGTATTATGGATCGAATCAAAATCTACTGAAAAGGGTCATACGTTGTAGACCGCAGGGGGTGCACCAAACTATGGCCAAGGAACCCACGTGGGCAGTCGGCTTGTAGTATTTCCTCCTTACCGGACCTGTTGCTTGCGGGCGCATTTGAATATGTCAATGCGAGTGTTTTTTTTTTTTTTTTTGAAAGAAGTTCTAATTTGATTCGTTAGTCCTGTGATTTGTAAGAAAGCAGGAGGAGAACACCGGAATTCCGAGGTCATATCCCTGCCAAGTCCTTTCGGACTCGGAAAGAGCTGCCCGCAATGCGTTGATAAGCGGCAAGAAAGCCAAGATGCGTCGCTTGGCAAACAACCTCCCAAGACTTCCAAGACTTTGGAACCTTCCCAGACAGTCTTCGAGGGCTCGGCACGTGCAGATGATGCTTGCTTCTAATTTGTTGCATATAATGAGCTCGTTGAACGGACCTAACAATAACTGGAAGGACGCCTAGCCGCACGTTGCGGCCAGGACTTCCACAGCCAGGATACACCGGAGATTTGATTTCTTGTTCCCTGCTGCATTGCTTGGCGTGAATTGCGATCTCAACAACCAAGCTCCAGGTCAACAGGGCCGGCCTACTTAAGACATCCATGTCTTCCCACCTTGTTCTGACTTCCTGGCCCACCCCACTTCCTCCCCTTGCATACGAAGCGATCAATCGACGATCACAATGCGTACACTGTCGATCGTCCACGCGATCGCAGCCTTCGTCTCGTGCACAGCTGCCCAGACCTTCCAGCGTCTGGGCGGGTGTCCGGACCTTGGCTGCGTGTTCCCCCCGGACCAGTACGGATCAGCCATCATCTTTCACAGTAACACTAAGCACGGCAGACTAACAAGTATGCCCTGAATCTAGAGCCGACTTCCTTGCCGGCCAATATTTCGATATTCGTCTCGAGGTTCACTCTCCCATCAATGGCTCCGAGGCCCGTGTTGGGGAGCCTGACCCCAACTTTACGTTCACCATCACTAAGAAGCGTGGTAAGCCCATCGCGGCTACAAAATTCTTCAAAGTCGATGAGCCCAAGCTGGAGCGATGGGACTTCAGCTGGTATGAAGGTAAGAACTTTTCTTCTAGGTCCCCCTCGTCAAGAAACTAAACCGGACAGATCGTTTCGCCGAGGATGCTGATACTCCCTCTATCGTTAACGTTACCTCCAAGATCTACCGGCGGGTAGCCCTGAAGGAGCCGGGAGAGTACGAAGCCACCCTCAATTATTATGGTAGTCAAAAGACGGTGGCCAACTGGCTCGTTCGTGATCTGCCGACCAAGCGACGTGCTAAGAACGTCATCCTGTTCATCGGAGATGGCATGACCACAAACATGATCACCGCTGCACGTCTGATTGCTCACAAGAGCATCAACGGCAAGTACATGACCAAGATGGCTCTGGACAAGTTCCCCGTGCTAGGCCACCAGATGACCCACTCTATGGACTCATTCATCACCGACTCGGCAAACTCCGCGACTGCCCTCTACTCCGGTCACAAAACCACCGTCAACGCGTTAAACGTGTATGTGGACTCCTCTGAGGATCCTTTTGATGACCCCAAGTTTGAGACCATCGCGGAGATCTTTCGGCGTCACCACCCTCATGCCGGGATTGGTATTGTTTCGACTGCCTTCCTGGCTGATGCCACCCCGGCAGCGTTGACGTCCCACACAAGTGACCGTGGAGAGTATGACCATGTGATCAGCACCTATTACGAGGGCCTGACCAACTACACCTGGACGGAGTGGAATGGTCCCGACGTGCTCCTCGGAGCGGGCGCAGAGAACTTCCTCAAGAGTGAGGACGCCAAGCGTGATTACTACGATCTGTTCGCCCAGAATGATTACAGTGTGGCCTGGAACAAAACCGCGCTGCAAAATGCCCCGAACGACCAGAAGCTGCTGGGTGTCTTCCAGACGTCTAACCTCGCGACTTGGCTGGACCGCAACGTCTACCAGGCCAACCTCCTCAATAAGACCAACTACCCTGATGGCTCTGGTCGCGACGCAGATGACCTTCCCGGGCTCAAGGAGATGACACTTAAGGCCATTGACGTTCTTCACGAGCGACACAGTGATGATGGCTGGTTTATCATGTCCGAGGCTGCCAGTGTCGACAAGCAGATGCATACGCTTGACTACGACCGGGCTCTTGGTGAGCTGCTCGAGCTCGACGACACTGTTCGTGCCACCATTGAAAAGCTCAAGCACCTAGGCGAGCTGGAGGACACACTCGTCATCGTCACTGCCGATCATGGCCACGGTTTCGATGTCACCGGCTCCGTTGACACCAAATACCTAGAAGCGCAGGACGACGACCGCCACAAACGCAGCGCAGTCGGCTACTACGAGAGCTCCGGCCTGTCGCAGTACACCACGGGAGGTCCCAACTCCCTGCGCTACTCAGAGGGTGTTCATTTCCCCACTCGCTGGGACCCGCGATACACCCTGCACTCGGGCGTGGTTGCGTTCCCCGACCACCACGAGAATTATCAAGTGCACAAGGACGGCCCGCGCACGCCTGCTTTGGCGGCCCAGGGCGATAAGAACAACTACTATGCCAGCTATAAGGATGCTGTTAGCGGCATCCTGATAAATGGAACCTTGCCTGTCGATGCGGCCCAAGGTGTCCACTCCTTGACGGATGTGCCGGTGTTCGCGCAAGGTCCGTGCCAGGAGCTTTTCGGAGGAGTTTACAGCTCCATCGATATTTTCTTCAATATCGCGGAGTGCTTGGGATTGTCGGAAGGAAAGTGAGGGGATATAGATTTGCATGGAAGGAAATCGGCGATCAAGAGGTCCAGGTACTACGGGCTATATGGAAATTTTACATTGTATCTCTGCGTTAATCTAAAGGAATTCAAAAATCCTCCAAACACTTCCTGTCACTGTTATTTTTCGCCTTCTAGAAAACGCGCCCACATACATGACGGTCGTGGGACTCGATCTCGTATATACAAGGTTGTTTAGGGAGATTGTGAATCTAGGAAATGGAGTATTGGAGCCATAATATGAATTCGCGTAATGAGTGACTTAAGGCCCTTGGTCATTGTTTTCACTGCTTTCCCTCGGGGCATACATTCAAGACCTCAAGCTATATGCCAATCCATGGTGGTATCTACAAAGGCAGCCACCAGCACGCCTACCTGAACGATACGATTGGTTGCATCCAGGTTCAACAGCAACACTCAAAATGCAAGGTGCCTATTCAGCAAGCGTCTAGGGACCAGAGTAGGTGCAGTTCGAAAGGTCCAAGGTTGTCAAGTCAATCGTGTAGGGGGGCCCGGTAGTGCCTATATATAGTGTAAGTAAATCTACGAGTTGCAAGATAGAGGGGGAAGAGTACTCAGAGCGAGAGTATAAGCGACACTGCAAGTAATGACTTGATTGGCAGCAAGAAGGTCACCCTTTCCGAGAGCACTAAGCACGCCCTTGAGTTGATTGCCGCTTAATTCCACGGTCTTCGAAACGCTAGAGACAGGAGCAGCTGAGGCAGCAACGGCGAGGGCTAGCAAAGCTCCAAGGGCGGTTTGAAACTTCATATTGAAGATATCCTCTGGTTGAGATATTCCAGTTTTATTGAGTAGTTATAACCCTTGATGTCTTGAGTACTGCTCTTAATTACTTGGGGAAAAATGAAGAGAAACTGGAGAAAGATATGCCCTTATAGCTTTCTCGATGACACCTCGTAATGGCTTTCCTCTACTAGTTGAGTTCACTTCCGTTACATTTTTACATCATGATTTTACCAGTCTTTCTAGATACAGTGAAATGAAAAGGCGCTTGAGAATTCTTGGGTAGCAGTGTTACAGTTACAATATTTAAATCTAAACTACCATCCATCAGCCAAGCCAAAGTCGCATGTCAAATCCGTAAGAAAGAACTTTCGGGGAGTATTTTGGATCCCCTTTGAAATTTCATTGAGACATTTTACAATAATCGAGGATGGTACGCCATGAAAAACTAATCAAAGTATCAATTGTACAAGTATTACCTTTCTTCAGGAAGCTTGCGTTAGCTTTTGTCCGAAGTAAAGCTAAGAGACAAGATTCTTGTGGATCCTTCCTTACTTTGCACCTAGTGTATATACTGCCTCACACCTTTACCGCTGAACGGTGCGAATTAAGCGAAATGTGAAAAGGCCCTAAAGGAAAAGAAAATTATTGTTTTCTACATGATGCGGTTTCTCAAATGCCATGAATGTCTTAGGGCTGACTCGGTATCCTCGGCAGATTGATGGTGTCACTTTTGCTAGGGTATTTGAGTAGGACCAATCGATAGAAATAATGAATCTATTTCCCCACCGGGTTCGGAAGCAATTTTATGAATACCAATTTATACAGTGCATATAGATTCGAGCTTTTATAATATTCATATACTAGGCTCTATTATGCACCTATTTTCTCTCTAGGGTCCCATAACCAGCGTAACTCCGCGTATCTTGGATGTAGACGCGTACTACAATATGCACCAGACATGTATTGCGCTAGTATTGACAGACAGAACGTTAAAATTCACCTGCGAGACCAGGACCGGTCGAGACCACCATAGATGGAAACTATCATAGGACCAACCAAGGGATGCCAAGGGATATAGATTTAGATGGCCCGAGGGGTTCCTAGCTTCCGGCTTTCTTTGTCCCAGGGCGCTTCTCGAATATAGTCCGAATAAAGGCTATCAGTGCTTGTTGATCTTTATGGATCTAGTTGGAGTTAATTGGTAATCATATAACGAAGGTTGCCATCAGCATAAGAACTAATTATCTTGAGCATATGCCCATTTTTGAATTATCTCCACCAGATGGATGGCATTTCACATTTTGAATTTGATGTGAATACAACCAATACCGCCTCAAGAATAGAGCCGAATTATCGGGATTTTTGTTTACTTAGATAGGATAGCATGTGCATGCGGCGTAAAAATATATCACGGCTATTGGATTCTTCGCATGTATCACTCAGTCACATAACACACTATTCTATCACATGTTGGGCAAAAGAAAAATCTGCCGCGATGTAGGGGGATATCTTGAATCTTAGTGCAACTGTAACCATTCGGTCTTGGATAGAGTTGCTTGTGTAACATGGGAATCTATTCGTCGGTGGGGAACCACAAAAATTGTCGGTAATAGATGCTAGTACAAACCCCTGGGCCCTAGGAGAGAGGACAGTAAGCAATATTGTCTTTAGCGCAATAGGCAAGGTACATGCAAATCACATCCCGGCCATACGCTAATGCTTAGCAGTGAAGGACATTATTTGTTAACTCAAAATAAACAGCTCTGATTATCATCGCATCAACTATCAGTCACTATGTTTTTACGTTCCGTTATGTTGTACTGGTGGGTGTGGTAGTTCATGAGCTCACTTCCCACGTATGGTATATCGAAATCAATGGTACTAGAGTCAACACTCTATTGACCGGTTCCGAAAAAGGTGTGTCAGAAAGTTTCTGATCCTAAAATCCTACATCAGGGTGCTCGTCAGATCTCGGTTTGATGAGACAGAAATCAACGGGGCGTACCTAAACCCACCTAAACGCTGCTCTGAAGCTGGGGTCTCAATGAAAGAATACCACGATCAAGCTGGCCCTTTGCTTATAAATACCTCGCCCGACGTAATGTCTACACAAATGACTGTTGCCATTTCTATCAATGAAGGCAGTTCTGGTCTTATCACCCACAGAGCCTATTTTTGATAGGTGTTTCAACTATGCAGGTATGTCTCTTTATCCTCTTGCGGTCACCTGAAGGACTGCGTGAGGTCTAATTCATGGGGAGTGAAATGAGTCAGTCATATTCTCTCAGATCTAAAAGAAGTTTTGCTGACTCCCAGCTTCATATATGCTTCATTCAAGTGAGATCCCAATAACCCCCTGGGCAGCGGGTATTTTGATTGGAAAGGGGACAGCGGGACCTTGCGAGTGATGGATGTCATTTAGACAATAATCCTCTACACGATAACTGTACTTATCACATGGTAAGGAAAATATTGCTGCGATCAAAGTATTGACACGATAATGACAGTCTAGGTACCGCGAAACCATTGAGTAGAGCCTATTATTCTAAAGAGTGAGCAAAATGGCCAAACCGGTGGATGCCTGAGACATAAGAAGACTGTTTTTGTCTCATTGATATGCTGTTAGGGTGTCCCAGTGCCCTCGAAGTCCATGAACCAGAATTTCGTTGGGTATGTTTTTTCATGGATGACTTGTGCTTTCGAATAAATCTGTCCCCAGGTCTGCTGCATAGGTGATGATTTCCTCCGTATGTCCTCTTCCGTCGAGATTAATCTCGCCCAAAAAGTCGTGTAAACATGCGGTATAGCAATTCGAATGGAGCCAGCATAACCACTTTGTATGGGTGGAAGCTCTGGACATATACCAGTATAGGCTGCTTCTGCAGCTATAACGAATGCTAGCGATGGCAAAATTGGAGAAGATATAACTGACTCGATAGCTTCGGCATTAGCATAGAGAAATGCGTCATGGCGGAGTCCTCGTTCAACTTTGTTCTCTTCGCAGAGACATCGGAAGTAGCTAGAAAGCCTCTATTAGCGGGGTGCTAGAGATAAGTAACGTATGGAGAGTTGGAAAGTGAAGGGATGGCTTTCTTACCTACAAAGGTCGATTACTGAGGCGTTCCCCATAGCTGGATCCTCTACCCATTGTATCTTCCATTGAGGACGAATCCTATGGAAGTTTCGAGGAAATACTAGTGCAGACTCAGTAGCAGAGACGAAGAATTCCTTGAACTTCTCCCATGAGTCATCGCCGAATGAAGTCCGTATACAGACAAATCCCCACGTAGGCTGCTCTTCTAGATGTCCATTGAGTGCTTTAACCCATCCTATCGCATTGCACTTCACAATGTTAAGGAGATCATCTTTAGTGAAATTTTTGGATTCAGCCCTCCTAATATCTTTGATCCGCTCAAACGCGATATCGGCGTTTACGCGCGCTCTCTTCTCAGTATCCATCTCTGTGAGCATCAAACTAAGGGCATTGTCGAATAACCTCTTTGTATTGTGGGACCACCGATTTTGATTTGCCAGATATTTTAGATCCTCCGGGATACAACCGCCGAAAGGAGTGTCGAGAACAATAAGCGCCTCGGCCTCGGTGAGACTCTCCTGGCCATCCGTTCTGGCGGCTTTTTGAACAAGCTCGTCAATGTTACAATCAACGTAGAAGTTGCAGTAATAATTTGCTTGTCGAGAGGCCATCGGCGAAGCATTTTCAGACGACCTTCAGTGGTGAGGATGGAAGAATCGTTTTCATTCACAGCTCTTTCCCATTTATCGATACTTTCTTGTGGCGGCTGTGGCCCACCATGGCTGAGGGATGCCCATTGACTCATGGCTTATTTTGGGCGAGATCATGAGGCTAGAGAGGTGGCAGAACTGGGGAGGTCGCCGCTCTAGTTCATCTGTAACATGGAGAGAGTGCAAATTTAAAAAGGCGAAAAGATGAGAGAGAGGAAATGAGAAGAGAAGCAACCACGAAGTACTTAGGTGGGGCGGGGTGGCTCAGGGCGAGTCTCGTTTGAGCTAAACTATGATGCCTGATGATTGAGGCTAGATATGCGGGCTTGGGGACGACAGTGCTCGAACTCGAATAAAGTGAGAGAACTACTGAGAATCTTCCGCTGAAGATTGCTTTGTGGTTTACCCACTTCGCCCACTCCATATTGTTATACACGTGCTGCGTTGGATTTTCACTTCAAAGCCGGCACCGTCAAGCTAAACACAGTATCTGGGTCAAAATTTGCCTTCAGGCCCTTCACAACATCCAGCTTGGACCCGTACGCCGTTTCAAGCAATTCTGCGGACGACTTTGCTTGAAAAGTAGAGTTATACATGGACACATAAGCCGTCGGTAGCACATTAGCAGGGTCTGCCTGCCTGATCTCCTCGGCCGTTTGAACTGCCCATTACTTTGACTGCTCTATATCCCCCTGTGCCGCAAATCCTAGGATCTCTAGCATGTAATGCGGCTCCCGGGTCACAAAAACAGACGAATGACTCTGCGGCGCTGCAGATGGCCCGCGAAGCTGATGGATGGCCAGAATGGTGCCCGGGTCCGATGGCATGCGATTCACAGGTTGCATTTCCGGCATAGTGAGAATCCTCGATCAGCACCCTTCACCGTAACCGAAAGGTTGGTTTCAAGTCCATTTCGTAGGGCTGACAAGTAATGGTCTAGAACGAGCCAATTTTAACTTTAACATAGAAAAAGCCAGCCTAAGAAGGTGATGAGCTTGACGAAGTTGTGCTACTGACTCCCTCATGTAGGAGGGGCTTTCTGCAGATGGGGACGACTGTCAAAGCACTCCTGGCCGAAAGTTTAACGCTCCAAATTCGAAACCAATCATCACCAACGGTATTAGGCTAGAAAGCCCTGACAACTAGCTCAAAGCCACCAGAAGAGGGGGCTCAACATGAAACCAACCTAAAACGGCCGTCTGATATCGAATTTAATCTTCTTAGATATCTTTGGTAAGCTTTTAGGAGCGAGTCTATAAGGAATGCAGAAAAGATAATCATCGACGTTTTGAATTTTCAGCACAGCCGTGTACTTCTCGAATGTTTCTCATCCTAAATCCTTCTTTGATTCGCTCCAAGGCCACGCTGGAAGGCTGATTTATCTTTTCCATCTTCGCTTCTGCTTGACTTTCCCCTTCACTTGCAAATGGATCCACAGCAGTTGTGTTGAACTTGAGCGCCTGAACGTCATGCTGGAACAACAGATCAAGCTCAGCATTGATACGCCATTTGGGTTTGGGTCCTGGTAGGTAAACAAATGTCTAAATACGGCACAAAACACAGGCACCCGCCCAGAAGAATCCTGACTTGCGTCCCAACCCGACGCGGATGGGTTGAGCATACGTGGTGTAATGAAATTGGTAATCAACCCACAGATGTTACAGATGTTATACACATTACACGCGAGAACGATGGTTTTTATACGCAGGTGTGACTGAGCTTAATCCGCAGACTAGCGAGTACCAGATAGGTTCCACGCTAGTATCATAGGTGATGGTGTAAACAAAAAGCAGGCTGCGGACGGCCCACTGCGCAGCGACATTACCTCTTGAAACGATACCTAGGACACCGATGACAAATACTTAAACCATTGTGCTACTCAAGCCGCACAAATATAGTGTTCGACGACCAAATTCTTTGGCCATAGGGCGAGGGTGCCAATATCACCTAGCGCATCCTGCACCATCCACACGGTGATTGCGTTGCTTCTCGGCAACCCAGCTTACTTGTAGAGATAGGTAGAGTAGCCTATTAGATCGCTTCGGGATAGCGCTTGAGTTTGTCCAAGCCATGCATACGATTTCCGTGCGGCGCATTTCAGCGTTACGGAAACAGTTGTGGTAGGATGTAAACATGGTTATAAGTTTCTACAGCTCGTTTGTCCTGCTTATGATGGCAATCCTTTCATCCAAATTGAAATTCGGGTCTCTGCCAGACACTGTCAAGCGTTGCATTATTGGCGATGTCGGCCCGAGACTGTGCTAATCATGTATTGGGAGGGGCAAAATAGTCCTTAATGGGATGGTGCGAATGAAAGCTGTCCACTGCAAAAAAACACGCCAAGTTTCATGTTGCGTAGGTCTATGAAAGAAATTTGATCTGCCGGTTAAAACCTAATTTTTTGCCGTGATAGTTGAAAATCCACCGCGGGCGGGCATCTGGCCAATCGACAGTCTCCGTGGCTTTGGGCCAGCCTGGCCTGCCTGTTGATTAGCGGGGTAGGAGGAGATGTCGGTCTGACCATGGGTCAATAGATAAGAGGGTGATGGAGAGCAGACGCAGGACAAAAGCGGAGCGCGATGGTGTTTTGATCTATTTTGATCGTACCTTTCGCATTTATTTCTGCCACTTTGCTTGAGTATCTTATTTCCTCGGTAGCTGGAGATCATCAGCTCTTCACCTTCTCGGCATTTGCGGATTTTGACCGATTCTTTATCAAATTTCATAAGCTTTCTCATTGCGCGGCATGTCTCCGCAGGACGCTTGGTGGAAGAACGCCACAATTTACCAGATTTATCCAGCCAGCTTCAAGGATTCAAATGACGACGGAATTGGTGACCTACCTGGGATTCAGAGCAAGCTCGATTACATCCAGTCATTGGGTGTTGACGCGATCTGGCTGTGTCCCATGTATGACAGCCCACAGTATGACATGGGATACGATATTGCCAATTACGAGGATGTCTATGCCCCGTACGGCACGGTCGCCGATGTCGAGGCTTTGATCACCTCATGCCATGATCGTGGACTGAAAATTTTGCTAGACTTGGTGATAAACCATACGTCGCACCTGCACGCCTGGTTCCAAGAGTCACGTTCCTCCAAGTCGAGCTCGAGACGCGATTGGTATATCTGGCGGCCTGCCAAGTATGATGCCGACGGAAAACGCCGTCCTCCCAACAACTGGCGCAGCATGTTTGGTGGGAGTGCCTGGGAGTGGGACGAGGAGACACAGGAATACTATTTGCATCTCTTTGCGGTCCAGCAGCCAGACCTAAACTGGGAAAACCCGGCAACACGCGCGGCCGTGTACGAGTCAGCTATGGAATTCTGGCTAAAGAAGGGAATCGATGGCTTCCGAGTCGATACAGTCAACATGTACAGCAAAGATCAATCATTCCGTGACGCTCCAGTTATTGATTGTCGGCTTGAGTGGCAGCCCGCCGCATCGCTGTACTGCAATGGGCCTCGTATCCATGAGTTCCTGAAGGAAATGGGCCAGATTCTGCTCAAGTACAACGCCATGACCGTGGGCGAGCTACCACACACGCCACAGGTTGCTGATGTACTTTCTTACGTCTCCGCGCAGGAGAAGAAGCTCAGCATGGTCTTCCAGTTCGACATAGTGGACATTGGTATGGGTAGCATACGATTTGACACCGTCCCGCGAAACTGGACGCTATTGGATCTCCGAATGTGTGTAGGCCGCACACAGGCTCTCATGGACGGCACGACCGATGGTTGGAGCACGACGTTCCTAGAAAATCACGACCAGGCCAGGTCAATCTCCCGTTGGGGTAGTGAGGCAAGCCCGCAGCTCTGGGCACGAAGTGCCAAAATGCTGGCTATGCTTGTCGCGAGCTTATCTGGGACTTTGTTTCTCTACCAAGGCCAGGAGATTGGCATGGTTAATGTCCCTGTTGAATGGGACATAAGCGAATACAAAGATCTCGATAGCCTTAACTATTACAAGTTCGTGCAGAAGTTGACGGGCGATGATCCCGCTGCACTAGCAGCAGCGAAGCTGGCCCTGGCTCACCTTGCACGCGACCATGCACGAATTCCCATGCAATGGGACAACACGCCCAATGCGGGCTTCACTAGCGCTGCCGTCAAGCCTTGGATGCGTGTGCATGATAATTACCCAGACTTAAACGCGAAGCGTCAGGCCCTCGACCCGACTTCTGTGCTTTCGTTCTGGCGTGAGCTGCTGCAGGTCCGGCGTGCCCACCCGGAGGTATTTGTGCGCGGAGTCTTTACTGATATAGATCCTTTAAATGAGTCGGTGTTTATCTTTGAGAAGGCAGCGATAAATCAGAAGCTTATTGTCGCTCTTAACTTTACGGGCAGCAAGCAGCCAATTGATTTGGCGGCGTGGCTTGGTTCGACACCATACAAAGTACTGATTAAAAATCATGAGGAGGAGTCACTCGATGCGCTACAGGCATATGAAGGGCGTGTCTATCTCGTGAATAAATAAGTGGCAAGCACACTGGTACTCATATTCCATACTGTAGAACCATGCACAATTGTTAATTGAAACATGGCATCTTCAGTGGATGGAATTGTCTTCTCTCATTATTGAGTAATATTCCTTCAGGAAAAGACGAAGGAGGCGGCCTCCTGACTCTCATCCCGTGCGATCATGTCTTGAATTTCCGTTGCATTGATGACAGGGCTCATTGGGTACACATGTCACTCTTTTTCGTGCACTCATTCATAGAAGAAGCTTAGAGTAAGATGTGAAACAATCAGGAATGGATCGTTGTAAACAGAAATTGGGAGGCAAGTGGCTGCTCTTATTCGTCTCTCCGAGTCGCTTGCTGGCTAAACATCCTCCGCTCGGCAATAACTGACCCCCGTGGAGTGCCTTTATTTGGAGTTGCGGCGTTAGAGTGGTGGCATACATGCAGCGCAGGCAGACGTGCGTGCCCTGCTGACAGTCGGACTGGCCATTGCGGTGGAATTTTCGGCGCCTACATAGATTGCATCCCCTTGAAGGACATCGCTGCTCCATCCAGCCTTCAGCCCATAGCCGGAAGATGGAGTAAAACACACTAAAGCGAGGGCGAAAAAGCGGGGTTTGCGTCGGCTAGTTTGTCCACACTTCTTGAGTGGGTCTCTGCGATCGCATCGCCGGACGCACTTCAGTATTTGGTACGATCGGGATGTAAAAATTGCAACTCGTAATATACGTATACTGTAATCGAGGTAAGTCAGACTTGAAGAACCATGGATATTCAGTGTTCTCTTAGCAATCGGTTTGATTGACCGGGGGCTTTACAGCGACCACTCACAAGACGAGTTAAAATCAGGCGCTTCGTTCATGCTCTGGATTAAAGGGCTCTAGTAGCAGGATTTTACCGGCAGATAGGATTCGATGGGAAGTTGGAGAGCGTGGAAGGAAACGGGGTAGTTATGAAATCAGTGAAAAGTCTAGCTCTCTGCTGACTTGATGACTCGAGCAGGAACTCCTACAGCTATACTGAAAGGTGGAATATTTGCTTTCACCACAGAGCCAGCACCAATGGAGCAGCCTTCTCCAATCGTCACTCCAGCTAATATTACAACACCGGCACCAATCCAACAATCATCCCCGATCACGACGCCCCTTGTAAATTCATATCCTCTGTGTGCTTTCCGCTCCTGGATCTGGGTGTGGTGCTCCCCTGTGATGATACTAACATTTGGGCCGAGTTCAACGTTATTCCCAATCGACACCAACCCGCAATCAAGAATGGTAAGACTGGATAGATCAAGTCTCAATAAAGAGCATTCAATAAGGCAAAGCAGACTTACTGAAAGTTGGCATAAAGATTATCACCTACACTGATATTGCATCCATAGTCGATGAAGAGAGGAGGTTCAATGTATATACTTCCCCCAGTGCGGCCTAAGAGCGATTTCAAAATCTCCTCTCGCTGCGGGACCGCGGCTACAGGGCAATCTCCGTAAAGGGTTGCATTGAATTTTCCAGTCAACCGTCGTGCTCGTGATCGGGCTTCTACAAGCTCCGGTGCCAGAGGAGTATATCTAGCATGAGACAACGTGTTAGCCAGTAGCTGACTCCAGCGACTAGTAGTGACATACAACATGCCGGAGATCATCCGTTCGTACTCCTCTCCCCAGCAAACGTCCTGTAGACGCCGGGCCATGGCAATAATAGTATCGTCCTTTTCGGTTTGGGGAATCATGTTGGCAAGTAAAAATTCAGTTCTGCTAGTACCCTTGCACATGTCTTGTCTTGCTCAAGGGGACACCCTCCTTTTAAAAGCCAGGCTTTGACATTAGTCTTCATTCTTGTGGGCCGTGATTCTCGTCCGACTTTCCGCTTGAGAAGACAGTTAGAGTCAGCTGTTTAAGAACATCAAATACAAAATGAGATTTTTTATGTCTGTTGACCAATTGTAGCCGTACCACTCATGCAGCCGCGCAGGAATACGAGTCTTTTCGTTGGCGTTTTCGGTTCCGCGGGCCTGCAACCCGAAGGGCGGTACGCTTCATTGAATCACGATTATCAACAAAGGAAAATAAATCTGATTCTCCCCAATGGACGATTTATTTTTTGTTCTGGAATCTGGATAATAGGTAGACCTACAGTTAGCGACTACGTGATGTTGAATAAAAACCAGTTCTAATCGTGCCTTTTGGGGGAAAAACTTGTGAATTAGCGATGTCGCTGGCAGAGCAAGCATTAGCGCCCGTGGCAACATGCCAAGGGGGTTGCGGAGATATTAAGGGTCCATAGGCGATCCATGGGTCGGGCCAGATCCGAATTGCCAAGTAGAAATGGCCAGCATGCGGCGGCAGAAGACAAACGAGTCTTTTGTATCTTTTTATGTTTCATCTACATGATATAACACTGTCAAATCCGGCGAGAGCGTCCATGAGCTGCTCGTACGTTATACAGATGCTGCCCTATAATAGATGTTGTATCCCGAGGTTTTCGTCCCGTCGAGAGAAAATCGACACCTCCAGAACTACCGCGTGAACAGGGTCTACGTTCCCTCCGTTTATATCGAGTCATGATTTGACTCTTAGTCATGGAAAATCAGCCCACTATGCGAGATTAGCTTTGTATTTGATTAGCAGGATCGGGGGAGATTGTTGTGGCGGCAGGATGGCTTTTTGCTACGAGAGAGGATTTCTTGGCATGTGTTTCATCTTTGATCCCCGGACGCTGTATGCATTGCTTGCTGCACACTTCTTCTCACATACGTCCAAAGGGCGGTTCCATTGGCTGAAAACTCGAATGCCATGTTTGCGTCGTGCATATTTTGCTGTCGTCAACGGCTAATATTTCCGACCCCGGGAAAAGACCCTGTTCGGGCATTTCAAGCCCTACCGGGCAGTTTTTGTAAGTCATGAAACACATCTATTTGACCTGTCTCTCTATTTCTTCAAGTACTACATTATATGAGCTATAAGAATGCCGAGTCGCGCCTTTCTTTTCATTCATCGCCATCCTTCACACATTCACTACCCCCCGTCGCTCCTTTGACGAACACTTGGCAGGCCCAAGCTGTTCATTATATTCTAGTCATTCATTCCGTCTTCACTCCTTAGACCACTTTTTCTAACTTTATTCTTACTACGATGTCTTCTTTCTCTTCCAACTGGAGCTGGAGACTTTTGTCAATCAAGGGAAAGCTCTTGATCCTTACTGGTGTCGGCCTCACTTTGCTTGTGTTCTGCGTAAATTCTTGGACTGAGGTTCCAGTCAGCTCGCTCCATAAAAGAATACTCAAGCGCGGCAAAGTGACCAACGAAGAATCCAGTAACACCGCTATCTGGCAGCCTAAGGTTGGAATTAAATGGCAGATCCAGCTGGAGAATGCAGTTGAAGACATTGCCATCGGCGCTGATGTCTTCGATATTGATTTATTCGACAACGCCGCAGCAACAATTTCAAAAATTCACAACACCGGCGCTAAAGTGATATGCTATTTCTCGGCTGGTACCTACGAAGACTGGCGCTCTGACGCAAGCGAATTTTCCGACTCGGACTTTGGTAGTGCACTCGAGGATTGGCCAGGCGAGCGGTGGCTTGATGTGCAGTCAAGCAATGTCCGCAAAATCATGCAATCTCGCCTTGATTCGGCCAAACAGAAGGGCTGCGACGGTGTTGATCCAGACAATATCGACGCATATGGAAATGACAATGGCCTCGGTCTGACTGAAGCCAATGCGATCGACTATCTGAATTTCCTCGCAACTGAGTCTCATTCTCGCGGTATGTCTGTCGGACTCAAGAATGGAGGCGAGATCATTCAATCGGTCATTGAGAACATGCAATGGTCGGTCAACGAGCAATGCGCCCAGTATGACGAGTGCGATATCTACGCTACTTTCACGGATGTCAACAAGCCCGTATTCCACATCGAGTATTCTGGCGAGATCAAGGTCAACAACAAACTCAGAGTTCGAGTGACGAATTCGCAGAAGTCCGCAGCTTGCGATGCGAACAGTGCAGAGAAATTCTCCACTGTCATCAAAAACATGGAACTAGATGCCTGGGTTGAATATTGCTAGTTTGTCTAGGTCAATTACTTGCAAACATTCGGGGTATCGCTGTACTGCATGGTCAGCCTCGAGTGCCGAGATGTACAACCGTATCAGCTGCATTCTATCACCTCCTCTTAACATTGTCTCACGTATTTTCCCCCGATAGTGGCAAAGAAACAGTCTTTTTAGAGTCCTTGGATTGGCAAAGAAAGAGAAGCAAAGCCAAACATATATGCAACAGCCAGAATTGGCATGTGGGGTGGGTGCCCGGGGTCAGTTTTGGGGGAGAGTCGCTTTAGCGACGCGCAGCCTGGGCGAGCAGAGTGAGTGCGCAATAGAGAGGGTGAGAATCCGATGAGAATCACCCTTCGTTGCGCGAAACTACATCGACCCTTTCAGCTGAGCAGGGGGCCATAGAGGGAAGCATTCTACAGCACGTGGCTCAGCCTGCCGCTCTCGTTCCCTGGCTGTTACCCTCAGATGCAGAGGGTCGAGTTATGCTGACGTTTTTGCGCACAGCCTCGCGGGGGGCAATACGCTTACTCTTCGATCACTGGTTAGAGTTCGCTGCGGTGTGGCCGGTACGGACTACTATAGGGTACGGACTATAGATGACTGTAAAATATCGATTGGGGCTATGTACATATTTCACAAGCCTTGAGTATTCTTGGGGGCCAAACGGGATGTCTCAGTAGCCGCTTGCCCCCCGTCAGATTCTGGGGTATTATTATTCAAATAAATCAGGGCATGTCCTCCACGGCCCGAAGTTTGAAAAAGAATCAAGCAGATCGCAGATAATGGGCCGACCGTCCAACTCTGATATTCCTCTCGAATCCATCGACCATGGCGACCAACCTCCACTGTACAACGACGTGATCGATTTTTCATCCTCCAGACCAGTCGAAGAATCGATCCCAGGTGGCTGGGAATGCACTTGGGAGGGCAAATTCGGCACCCGAACGCTATCTCCATCGCTCTCTAAGAAGCCAAGGGCTCTCTATCGCCTCCTTTCCGCTCAACATAAGCTGCCGCCGCAGCATCATGTCTACATCAAAGGGCAGAAGGGCAAAGGCAACGACCCTAAGGATAAGGAAACGGATTTCGATTTTAAGCTCGACTTGACACCCACACTGCTACGCCTGGGTGAGAATGACAGTGAGTGGCACGAACTGCACGTTGTTCGAGATGGCGACGGTAAAGAGGCTTTTCGCGGGGAGGCCTTTCCGTCACTGGAATGGCAGCAGCCTCGAGGCCAAAGAAATTGTTATGAAGCTGTAGATGTTGAGGCCGAGGGTTTGGAGGATGAAACCCTCCTAGGCGCGGATGTTGACGGCTCGAACGAAGGGACTCCGAGTCTGATGGCCTGGTGCGAAAGATTCTGTTACGACCCTGCTGGAGTGAAATCATTTACCTTCACACGAGAGCTTGAAGGATTCGATGCTGAGCCTCTGCGTTCTGAGCTGAAGGCGTACCTTCGCTCAATCAATTACCGTGGCCATATCGAAATCGCAACTTCCGCGCGGCAGACTTTCATTACTGTCTATTCTCCGCATTGGATAAATCACTTGCGCAATAACTCCTTCGTCTGGTGGTTCTGCGTCCTCTCACAACTATGGATCATCACACTGGTGGTGATCACCTGTCTTGAACGACGCTATCAGGTTGTGCACTCGGTTTGGAGGTCTTCTCGCGAGGTCAAAGATACATCGATGCCGTCCGGTTCAAGGAAGATTTATGCACATGGACGCGATGAGACCAAGCTGGCAGATTTATGGGCACCCGCTGTCATGCAGGCAGCTTGTGACCAGCTAGACGGGGGTGAAACCTTGAAAGAGGGAAGCATACTGCGTCTCCAGCAGCGGGCACAGGAACGCATGGAAAATATTGAGTCATTTCTACCAGAACGCAATGTGGCAGGGGACTCTGCGGCTGAGAGCACGCAGTCCGCCAGTCGTGGACCTAGGCTGGGTATGGGACCTGGAGGGTACAACTTCCAGGCAGGATGGGGTGGGAATAGCAATCCTACCAGCTCATAGCAGCCGAGATTGACGAAAAACGACGTCTCCCTAAGACCATCGCCGTTGTCCAGTGATGGAATTCTCCTTTGGATCGATTTTACGAGGGCAGTCCCCTCGATGACGGTTTGGAAATCACCCTATACGGAGTGCCCAAAACCCGTTTTCTTAGAGGGAATCATGTTCGCTAATTGTTGTCGCTAATTGTTGCAACTGCTGTCTCGTACCCTTCACACTAACTGACCTTGTTCGGCCGGAGCATCATGATCATTGAAAACAGTGGCTGACGTGGATAGGGGGGCTGGAGCCATCAGTGAGAATTCTCATGATGGAGTCTCTGTATAATTTAACTTATACCACCTACCCACACTCATATTATGGCTGCCTGCAAGTGGCGGTGCACCTGATGTGGCTGAAGTATGGCTGAGTGGACGACAAGGCTTGTTCTACAACATCTGCGATAGTCGTTAGTCGGAATGGAAAAAATAACTAGAATCAGCCTGGGCAAAGAACAATATTACATAAGCAATGAGATCATCCCGTGGACTGCGCCTGATCCTCCCGAGTGTCCTTGTCGCGAAATTAGGCCCAAAGAATAAAATGGGTCCGAAAGCCCGGTGGTAACCTTGTTTCCCAGGAGAAATTTTGTAGAATTAACAGTTCCATAGGATTAGAATTAGCTCGTTTCAAGTGAAATGTTTTAGATTCCTTCCTGATTCCGATTGCTGTATTTGTTCATTGTTTCCTGAAGTATATGGCTTGTGGGTTTCAGGGTATATACCTCCTGTACTCTGGCTGAAAATCAGCAGTGCTTCGCGAACGACTGCATGAATGCATCTCGCTGGACACTAAACAAAGCGTGCAGCGAAATTCCGGAAGAAGGGATATCTACGTAGTACAATCGCACACTTGTCCACCGACCTCTCCTGTTGGGCCCGAACGCCTTATCGTCAAACCCCTCGCTCCGTCATTTGAGCGCTTGCCCTCGCGACCCTCCATACCCGCCTCCGGGTTGCATATAGGTGGTGGACCAAGATCCACAAATTTGTGGGTTTCGGGTATCCCTAAGGGGAAACCCGGAATGCGGTGAAGTTAGGTGTCTATGGTGTTTACAGGTCTCTGTGACAGGAGGTCTTGTTGAATCAACAAAGAGCTAGAGTCACTGGCGGCGTTGAGATGAGGTCGTTTGGAGGAAGTATGAAGGGCGGAAGGTGGGATGGGCTGCCTCGTGTGGTGGGGGGAGGAAAGAGGAAGAATGTCCTTCCGCCTGCCGAAACGGAGGGATGGAGTCATTACGTCACTCGTGCGAAAGCGGGCGCCGGTAAATTCGTAGATTCCCCATTGGGAACAGTGGGGGGCGATCGGGTTATCGACGCTCGTCACATCCTTGCGCTGCAGCCAATCGCGCCCCGGTTCACAGCCCTCCGGACTTCAGTGAGGCTCGTCCGCCCGGGCTTCCCGTGCACTGCTGAGCCCGATCTTCAGGTGAACCGGAGCGTGTAGCGAAACACGAGAGCGTCGCAGCCGAGGGGAAGGTTCCCCGAAAGAGCCATGCACCCCGGTATACCTAGGGGCGAGTCGCGCATTTCTATTCATATCAAAGATGGGCATACACGTATACGCGCCCAATGTGTCCCGTCAGTGATAGCTTGACAGTGGCATCAAAAAGGTAATTTAACACCGGTTCTATTGGCTCATATGCGTGATGAGCCGGTGGGGATCTGGAACGCCTTTTCCGAAAACGGCCGTTATTACACCTTCGTTCCCACTTAGCCACACTCACCTCTTTTTCACGCCCGCTCTGCTGCGATAGACGGGCAACCCGTCGCGACTTTGATGGGGAATGATCCGCTTTGCGCGATTTGCCCGGTCCTAACCACGTCATTGTGCTTGCTACACAATTGAAGTCGCGATGGGTGGGTGCTGGTCCGGTATATGGGCCAATTGCAAGAATCTGGGTCGACGCCCACCATGGGTCCATATTGCGGGACTGCTACTTGAGGGAGCCGATCAGCAGCCGGTTCTCTGAAATATAATGACTTAATGATTCCCAGAAACCTTTCCCCCTCATCAATCTCACATTCTAGGTGAGATATTCTGTCAGTGGCTCGCTAGACGACTGCCACCAAGACTCTTACCATCCCTCTACACAATCTCATCTATCCTCTCCATCCTATCCACCCACTATGTCTCAAACCGCCAACGCTCAAGCTGGCGCCGATGCTGCTCCTCAGGATCCCGCTCCCAACGAGCAGCCGGTTGGCTCGCCGCACGACCAGACTGACACCCTCCCCATCCCCGCGGAATCTGGCCACGGTGCCATCATCGAAATTCCTGCTACCAGGAGCTCGATCAGTGATGTTCACATGCAGCGTCTGAGTCTCTCGCCCTCCATGAAGGACCGCCGGGGCTCGCGTAACTCGTTTGGCGTCTCCCTTCCCATTCCCCGGTCCCCGCGGAAGTCGTCGCGTTTGTCCATGGTTGAGAGGCCTGGCATGCATGTCCGCGACATCATCGCTTCCGAGGTGCAGGATCAGGCGAAGGAGAAGGTTGAGAAAGTCAAGAACATGGCCTTTGTGTTTGACATTGACGGTGTGCTGGCACACGGTAACAATGCTATCCCGGAGGCTAAGGCCGCTCTCAAGATGCTGAACGGCGACAACGAGCTCGGTACGTGATTCCTTGACATTTTCTTCTCCACAATCACTAACTGGTGGATGGCGTGTTAGGTATCCAATTTCCGTACATTCTTCTCACCAACGGCGGTGGCAAGACCGAGGAGGCTCGCTGCGCCCAACTCTCAGAGGTTCTAGGATATCCTATCTCTACCGACCAATTTATCCAGTCGCACACCCCCATGCAAGCCCTCGCAGAGTACTACGAAAACGTCCTGGTCTGCGGTGGCGAGGGATTGAAGGTGCGCGAGGTCGCTGAGAGCTATGGCTTCAAGAACGTAATCCACCCCAAGGATATCTTGGCTTGGGATCCCACAATTTCGCCCTGCCGCAAGTTCACCGAGGAGGAGCAGAAGCTGGCCAAGCCCCGCGATTTCTCAAAGTTCAAGTTTGACGCAATTCTGTGCTTCGCCGAGTCGCACGATCAGGCGACTGAGTTCCAGATCATCCTTGACCTTCTCCTCAGTGCCAATGGCAGGCTGCTCACCCGCGCCAAGGACCCCGCCGCTCGGGATGCCGTTGCAGGCCATATCCCCATCTACTTCTCTCAGGGTGATCTCCTCTGCCCGACCGAGCACAAGGGCCCGCCACGTCTGCACCTGGGTGCTTTCCGTGTTTCCCTAGAAGCACAATACAAGGCTCTGACCGGCCGTGATCTGGAGCGTATCGTGTATGGTAAGCCCGAGCGTGCTACCTACATCTGTGCCGACGAAGTTATCAAGTCCTGGATGGAGGAGATTCACGGCGAGAAGCGCCTGCCGAAGAACATCTACATGATCGGCGACAACCCCCAGTCTGACATCATTGGTGGTAACCTTTACGGGTGGAACACCTGCCTGGTTCGCACTGGTGTCTTCCAAGGCAAGGGCAACGATGAGAACAACCCTGCCAACTTCGGTGTCTTCGATCAGGTTCTCGATGCAGTGAAGGCCGCTGTCCGCAAGGAACTTGGTGATGACTTCAAGTTCAAGTGGGACCCCAAGAAGCACTCCCCGCACGGATCCGCCGTTGAGTAAAGAGGTCTTTCCTGAAGAAAAGTGTGCATCTCTACAACATATTTCCTGTCTCTTGCTTTCCACATTCTTGATCCCCCTGTTCAGACCACCGCTTAGCTGGCTGCGCGTCTCCTCGCAGCCCCAGGCTTGGGTTTCTTGCCTTTTATCTTCTCTTTGGAATTTTCGTCGTTTTTAGAATGGTTGCATCTTGTGTTAAATCGGGGTATGGAAATCAACCCTGTTGAACTTGGGTTTAGGGCTCAGATAGATTTTGTCACTGTCTATTTGATGGAATTTACGACTACCTTTTACGAATAAAGAACAATATCTTATACTTCGGCCGTGATCATACTAGAATCCAGTCTGGAAGTCTTCGAAGCCAAGATCCCATTGCACACCTATGACATCATAGGCCAAATTTTTTCGACCGGTGTCCTGTCCTCCCCCTGACTATAGTAAAGGCTTTTCTTGACGGGGCCAAAAGTCTCCGTAAACCATCGAAGCTCGGATTATAACCATAGAATTGCTGCTTCGGAACCTAATGCCTTCCTAATTGATAGATGGAGAGAAAGTGGTCAAACCGTGAACAAGTGTACCACTCTGGTTCAGAGAGTGTTGCATAATATGCCGTAGCCTACTCATTGGCTTTCTTGAAACGAGCCGCCATCGACTGATTTACCTAACAGCTTGAATCAGGGAATATGGAATGCGGCTGTAAAAGTATTGAAAAATCTTGACTCATCATTGGTTGGGTTCGGAAATGTGTGGGGACTCCGCGTTGGTACGACAACATAGTCGCTCGCTCTAGCATCAAGATTCAGGTTTCTGAAACTATGTAATCGGAATGTTCTGTTCCGTTGTAAGCAGAAATGCCTTGTCTTGCAAGTCATGCCAGTGCGGCGGATACACTCTGGCTCTCGGCGGCACAATTAGTTCCGCGCTCCTGAGGCGCATGCCTAAGGTTTCGATTGAGAAGCACTTATCTGACGGTCGATCTGAGGATGCATACCAGTATTGGATCCATCTTCCACGATCTGTAGCGTGATATTGCCTAGTTCGCTGATTCACCCTCCTTTGCTGTGACAAATCTCGCTGGACGGTCTTGAGCTTCCATTCTGGCGGTCGGAAAGCCTACATACGATGGCCCTAGATCTTCCCACGGAGCAGGATATATATATCATGTGTGTGGAAACTCGGGACGCATATTTACGCCACTGCCCGACAATCCAATTGAAAAGAAAAACAGCAGGTAAGAAATGCAAGTTTGTGATCGCATAATGCAGAAAAGTATCTGCTAATTAGAATGGCAGTTCGATATGGGATTATAGAATTGAGTTGGCAGCCTTGTCGATCATCATGATATTTTAATCAACAGATTGCAACATAGCTGGCCGATGACTATATTATCACTCGGCAAAAAGTAATATAATTCCCTGGTCAGAGTGTTATAGTATAGAGCAGGATGCTGAACGGAACGTGGTCATTCCGAACCGACTAATTGCAACTGATACCCGATGAAGACTAGTACAAGGTGTCGGAAAGTGGACGGCTTACTGGTTTCTGGAGATTCCAGTCACCGTCCATCGGGTCCTTTTATCTCGCAGGCTTCAACAGCCTCTCATGATCTCAGTCGGTATTATCCTGCCTATCCCCGCCACCAAAGCTCCTTCTCACCAAGCTGTTGGGTCTCTGGAGATAAAACTCATGAAGCCCTGCAAGTCAAAAGTTTGAACACAAATAATAGGCTGCCGGGAGTAAGAACGTCTATTGCTTCTAACGCAAATATACCGTTGAACGTAGTGAAGAAGCATTATTTCACAAAGGTTACTTGACAAACTCAGCTACAGTTCACTGTGGTATATTGTGTAATCTTGTTCATAATGAGTTCCAGCAGCTTCCTCTTCAACTCGCAACCTCACTCCGTCGTACTGGGCCACGCGACCTGCAGCCTCCACCTCCAAGTAACGAGGAGCACCAAGTTCGCTATTCATCATATACACCTCGGACACATCAATTGCGGTCTAGAGTGTATTGAGAAAAATTATTTTTATTATTTTCATCCTCCTGAGGTTGGTTGCCTTTTCTGGAATTTGTGAGACTGCCCTCGTCCCAATTGGTCAGTCACTCATTAATAGCTCTGAAGCTGGTGAATCAGCGAGCTGCCTATATACCTTTGTATAATCCAGCCGTTCGTTCAAATAGATAAGTATTGAGGTCATGAAGTAGAGATCAACGAAAATGGGCGATTAAAACTACGTCGGCTAGGAAGCTTCTTAGCTTTATAGAAAGAGGTGGAATGTCAAGTCTATAATGCCAAGTCCGGCTTCGGACTAGCTCACAGCGCTAGCTAAACATTGTGTATCTAATCACCCCAGCCCCAACTAGAAGAAATTGACTAAAAGAATGGTGTTCTTTCTGAGATTAGGAACTCAAATCCCAGCATAGCCGCGGCAAGGTTCATCCCGAATTGTGTTTCCATCTTTCCGCCGACTTCCGATTAGTCTACGTTCCCGGTACCATGGCAACTACCTACAAATTCATATCGCTGTCGGGCCGAGGATATGATAGATTGTTTGATTCTACTCAAATCTGAACAGATAAGTAGTGTGGTCATTAATTACGTAATATATGCAATAAAAGCAGCCCTTGAACATACTTCTGCTGCATTTTCGTTACTCTTCAACTTCAAGCACATACAATATCCCACTAAACTCTATTTCTCACTCTATGAGTGATCCATCAATCATGTCTTCCCACCCATTTAGCTCTCTGCCCAGTTTTGACGAGCTCCCACCAGTCAAGGACATGCCTCAGGGCTGCGCCTGGGGTGTATTCGACCGCGACGGCCGGAAAGATCACCTGGGCTGCCTGAACCTCCTCACACCCCCCGTGGTACAACGTGCACTAAAGGAGGCGAAAGACGGTCAGTCAGTCTCATTGAACTGGCCCATCAACGCTATTCACTCGCCCGGTTTCGGGCGCAAGGGGCTGGAACATAAAGTGACTTCATTTCAAGACACGCCATATGCGATGTATGGTTTCGATGACGAGATCGCTTTCAACACACAGTGCTCCAGTCAGTGGGACAGCCTGGTGCACTTCGCCCACCAACCCACCGGGCTCTGTTACAACGGCGTACAGCCGGATAGCGCTGGGCTCAAGCAAGATGACACCCCCTTTCACAAGGACTGCAACCTCCCCACCCTCAACCACTGGCACTCGCGCGGTGGACTGGTTGGCCGGGGCGTACTGGTCGACTATTGCGCCTACGCCGAAGCTCACGGAATCACGTACGACCCGTTTGACGCGCACAAGATCACGGTGAAGGACCTGGAGGCAGTGATAAAGTGGGAGAAGCTTGAATTGCTGCAGGGTGACATCTTGATCGTGCGTTCCGGTTTCACGCGTGCTCTCGAGCAGGCCTCCACGCCAGAGAAACAGAAGGAGTTGTTTGGTTCCCACCGGACGGTCGGAGTGGAGGGAAGTGTTGAAACCGCGCGGTGGGTTTGGAATCATCACTTTGCTGCTGTCGCCGGCGACGCCCTTGCCTTTGAGCAGACCCCGCCCACTCGCCCAGATGGCACCGAGGGTAATATCAGTGATCTAGGTTAGTCTAGTCTTCCTTACTCTCCCTGGTTCATGCTAGCAACATCCTTACCCCAAGCTGAATGCTGACTTTATCTGCTCGACGTTTCGCTAGTGCTGCACACATACTTCTTGAGTCTTTTCGGCATGACCATTGGGGAGCTGTGGGACTTGGAAGCGCTATCCCTTATGTGCTCGCAGAAGCAACGATACTCATTTCTGCTGACTAGTTGTCCATTGAATGTGCCCGGAGGTGTGGGAAGCCCCCCAAATGCCTTGGCCATCTTCTGAACTCGAGGGCATGATCATTGGCGTTCCTTTGCTGCATCTGGCCATACCATCACAAGGTGCTGCTCACGGATGTATTCCGTTCTCCTTTGCATTGAAATTGTGAAATTAACTTGCATCCCAATCCACCACATGTAAAATCTTTCCGTCCAGGGTAGTGTAGAGTTTTGGAAATTCACGCTAGCGCTACCCCGCATATGCGGGGTAGACAAGGCCTCCCCTACATCGATAGACTACTAATCGAACCGGAGGTCTACTCCGATTCGTTAGGTTAAACCGAACGGTACCCTTGGCAATAAAATCAAAAATGCGGGCCTCTGAAATTTTAACCTCGGGTGCTGATATGAATAGCCCGAAATTTAGTTAGATCAAAGGCGACTTGGAATTGGCCCACGCTGCTTGGACAGAATCCTTCAGAAAGATATATTCTGGTATTTGTGTAAATATTGGGATGTTCCGGGCTAGTACAGAGCCAATTTAACAAGGAAGGAGAACGTGGCGGACCGTTTCCTAGAAATCTGACTATGCAGACCCAACTGAGAAAGGATCCACACCCGCCATCTGTTGCATTTGCATCCAAGTACCGAACCATGGGGATTGCTCTTCAGGTACCGGATCCAGATCCGTCCAATCCATAAATTCCTGGATAACAGATTGAATTGCAACCCACCGCTCGCTGTATTGTGGACACGTCTTTGCCCCCCACAGCTGAGCAGATTCTATAGCCGGTGGCTCCATAGCCGGTGGCTCCAGAGTCTGGCTCTCGAGCATGTCGTGCCAAATCCGAGAAACACGGTATATAGAACGGAGCTGCCAGGCTGCCAGCTCATATGCTTTCGATGCCTCCTTGATGGCTTGACAGCAGGCACCTAGATCAGATATGGCCAGGCTATATTCCTCATGTCTCTGGGATGTGCATGCAACATAGAGATGCACCATGGCCGCGGTAAGCATCGGGTGCATAAAGTTGATGTTAATGCGTCTTAGCGACCAGAGGCGCTTGTAAATGTGTGCGATGCGCGTAATTGCCTTGGCAGAGTCTAGATATCTGCGACGCGAATCTGCCCAGGTGCCGATTCGTGGGGACGTGACGAAAGGATGATTGGCGAAGATCATGACTTCGTAGAATTGCATATGCAGGACTAATACATGCGGCAAGTAGACTGATAAGGTACTGGTCATGTCGATTACGAGCTCCTGTGGGAGGCCCGCAAGCCATGTGTCGAGTGCGCTGGTGATGGCAGAAGTATGGGCCCGCAATTGGGAGATCGAATCGGTTTGTTTATCGTAGCTATAAGTAATCTTGTGTTAGGAACTGAGTGCTGGTGCAAAAAAGGGACATACAATGCTTTCTGTAGCCATTCCATGATAGAGTATAGACTTATTTGGTGCTCCCACATGGCTGCTAGTGGTTCAATGTGCTGGGTTAAACCAAGTATTGGCTCATCAGTATAGTTCTCCCAATAAGAAGGTTGGCCAAGGTGATCCCCAGTAGGCTGGCGCACTGGGACGCGACTCGCACTGGAGACGGGCATTGTTAGCCGTCCAAGGTAGTAACTCCAAGCAGTGTTGACGATATGCGTTCCCCAAAATGCCGTGCTTCGCGCATTGGCCTCTTCGCGAGACATATCATTCGACTGGACATAGTGTTCCACATCGAGGTGTAGACCAAGATGGTGAGACAACTGCGTCGCCATACCATCGCAAAGCCACCCTCGAGAATCCCGACATCTGCTCGCTTCACTGCCACTCATCATAGCCAGTGCCTGCACAGTTGCAATTGTTGGGTTGTCGATATCGCGCTCTAACAGTGCCCGGGCTCGAAGGATAAATAGGTCGTGGAGTGGGGCTGGAACTCCTGTAACTATGCGATCGGTAAAGAGTGCTCCCCAGGAGCACCTCCATTCTCCTCAGTTGAAGTTATCAGGTGAGAAACTTGGAAGATCAAACTTACATGGCGTTTACGAGCAATTCCGAGTAGCAGGGTGATTCTATGCTCACTCCCGCCTCTACGGCGGACAGTGCTAGCTTGCGAGCGTCCATGAATGCTTTTCGGTCAACCACATTAAAGTATGGGTTCTCCCACGTGAAATATAACTTGATCAGGTGGTCCTCCACCTCACGGGGAATTATCTGAGCCACACCAGCACGTTCAAGACACATGGCAGTTGTCTCGCCGGGTGCTTTGCTCTCCATAGGTGGCTGAAAGGGAATGGCCGTTTTCAGAAAATGCACGTTGGAGGTAGTTCCAAAATACTTGAGTTGGCCATGCTCCGTGAATTGAAGAGACCCTGTCCGCTTCACAAGGAGCTCCATCTCGGGGTCCAAGCCAGGTGTCGACTGTCTCCCTTGATCGATGCGCTCAATCAGGGCCTGTTCCCGATCAATTGCATCCGGAGGATTATTGTCTGTATAGTCCATGATAAGCGAGAGTGTCAAGCTCGCTTCACATCTTGAGATCCCCGACGCGTCTGGCGAGTTTTCACGAGGGGCAGGCGGCATGAATGTCGGCTGCGGGGCCAGAGATGGGGGGATGGGGATGTTGCGTTCATATAAGATATTTTCTAGCAAACGTACACGGTCAATGAGCTGATTGACCGCGAGCTTTGATAATCTAATACCAGTCAGCATAAAAGAAACGTAGAGAAGCCCCCACACGCCGAACAAGCGGAAGGGGGGCAAGTACAAAGACTCGCTAGAGAGATAGAAAGAGCGTCGGGCATCAAGGGAGCTGATAGAATAACTCACTTTCTTCTATCTGGCCGGAAATCGGTACAATCTTGCTCAAGTCGAGAACAGCTAGCGCATATTGGCGAGGCCCCATTGCAACGGACCTTCAGGCGGAAACATTGATCGCATGCCGTCGTCGCATGCGGCGACCTGCGAGGATCAGGAGCGACCATCATCGCTCGGTAAAGCCGTGCTGAGTAATTGCTGATGGAATAATCTTAGCTGAAAGCGCACTGTGTGTGTTTCTCGGTGGTCAAGAATTCCCGACGATAATTGAAATGCGGGGAAAGTGGAGGTTAGCCGCAACCCGGGCAGACGGAACTCGAAAAATGTTATTTCAGTTGATACAGGGGTACTATTGGCTTATCAAAAGCCCAACTATTTAATTACAACCGGGTTTGCAAGTAGACTCTCACGCAGGCTATTTAGGAGTTTAGTGTTTACTTCGCATCATCTGATTCTTCCGCCAGTGAAACAAATAATGCATCTCTCAGCTCAACACAACTCGGCATGAAGCACAGCTGGCTTAGGCGCCGCGTCATCACTATTATCCCCAGCATCGCGGAATGATTCATGCGCAATAATCTTACGCTCCTCCTCAGTTGCATCGTACCAGTAGGACACGACGTTTTCTGTATCGCCAAAGAGTGCGCCGATCTCCTCCAAAGTGCGACCCTTTGTCTCCCGGAAGAGGAAGTAAATCGCCGCGATGTAGAAGACGGATGGAACCATTAACACCAGTAGAATCTTTATTCGATCGTATTGAGAGCCACTGGTGCAGCAACAAGGGTGACTTCAGAAGTAAAGTAGAAGGTACTGAGACCAATTGCCACTCCTTGAGACCGCAGATGATTGGAGAAGGTTACTGCCACGTAGACATACCGTGTAGCATCCACAAAGAAGTACCACCAGAAGATATAGAAAAATGTCAAGAAGACCGCTGCTCGGAGGCATGGCTGAAAGGCTGTGCCCAGGTATACCGCGGAGAGAGCACAAAGGAAAATCGGAGACATAGTGCAGCCAATAGACCCGATCAACAAACACGTCCGGCGACCAACGCGGTCCAAATAGAAGGCAGTCTAAGTATTACCAACGAGTGTAAATGTTGTCCAACAAGCGTTAAGGAGTAGCGGGATTCCGCCGGTCAAGCCGAGGTAACTGTAGATGAGCACACCGTAGGTGGCAATAACATAGATGCCCAAAAACTGATCGGCAGCCATGAGAAGAAAGGCCGTAAAAGCTCGTCGCCGGTTGGCAGGCGTTCGAAATATTTCAAAAGGCCGGATGTTCATTGACCGATCGTGTTTAAACTGCTTCTCAATCAAAATAAACTCTCGAGTTGCTCGGGTATCATGGGGGTCGTTGGGGGTTTTATGCAGGCGTTTGACAATCCCTCATCTCGACGTCCCTGTTGAAGCAGCCAACGGGGAGAGAAAGGGATCAACGAGCTTCCTGCAAGGACAAGTAGAGGGAAAGTAACCTGGAAAGCGAGCGGGAATCGCCAGGCAAATGCCGCATATGAGCTGCTTGCTTTCATATAGAAGCAAGCGAAGCCAAGCCAGCCTGCCAGGGTGTAGCCGACAGCATACATGATTCCCGTAACGCAGACCATTGCTCCCCGAGTTCCGGCTGTCGAGACCTCAGCCTGGTATATTGGCACAATGCAAGCCAGGATAGCAGCGCCAACGCCCGCAACAAAGCGGCCTGCAAGAAGCATGTCAATGCTGACCGCACCTGAACATAGTGCACCACCAAGAACGAGTATTATACATCCGATCTGTATAATCGTGCCGATGGCTACGAAGACGACCACCTAAAAGTTGTAGGCATTGACAACGACTTTGTGAAGCATTTTGGAGAATTGAGACCAGAAAAGGCCAGCGAACAGGAGTTGGGCTAATTGAAAGAAAGACAAGGGGAATTTGAAGACACAATTCGCTAGCAGCTTTTCGCGCCCAGTATATTTATGGAGGGTTTCCAGGTTGATCGAGCCCCGGCCGAACAAGCACAGTTCTTGTGCAGCTACACCGCCGGAACACAAGACCAGGGATGGAGGATCCGGGGACCTGAAGGCGGGGAAGATGAAGCTCCTCAGCAAATAAGTCACTGAATTTCAGATTCTATGATGCAATAAGTACATCTCGTGCGGTACTTCGGCATGGAAATAGAATTACCTTGCGCGGGGAGGCGGGGGGAGTGAGGGGTCAAGTTTGCTTGTGAAATTCAAAGCAAATCTTAGACAAACTAACATATGGAGATACTTTGTAGATTCAAGCCGAAATAAAGAAAATATACCGTATATTGATATCAAAAGTCTGACCCGAGGCCCCAGCCAACGGGGCGCAGGACTTGAATAGCAGGCAATTTCTCAATAGAGAATAACAGCTTCTAGCAGCGAACGTCTGGCCTAAGTATATTTAAACTAGAGAAGGAGCTTGTGGTCACATAGCCAAGCCCCTTACATAAACAAGCAGTCTATGAGTATGTACGCACCTTAATACGCTTTCTGAGCGCCCGAGAAGAGCCGTTCCTTGTTTTTAGGGTTTGAGGAGCATATCTATTCTATCTGTGTAAGGGAAATGAAACCGCCTATCGACTCTATTTATTTTCCAAATGATTCGACTTCTAGCCGCTTCATTGATACGGATTCTCGGACCCAAACTTGGGCTCCCACATGCCCTTACTTTCCTTGACTTTGAGCTGCATGCCCTTGAGCAATCCGTAGATAGTGCGTAGTGTGGGCATAGCCACGCCCTTGGATTCTCCCTCTCGCAGAGGCTCACCCACAATGTTTTCTAGTTCGATCAGATTGCCCTTCTCAATATCCTGGCACATGGACGGCTTGAAAGCACTGCCGATTGGGTCGACGCGGATCAAAATCTCCGGGAGGTCCTCGGGAAAATCCGTGATACCATCAGCCCGGGCAGCAGCGAGCACTTCCTTCATGATCGGCCGGATGAGATCATCAATGACGTGGCTGCTCATGCGCATACGAGGTGTGTCCATGCGCAAGATGGCCGCAACTGGGTTGAAGGAGGCATTATAGAGTAGCTTGCGCCATCGAACGCGACGAACATCTGCGTCAAAAGTGACATCGATCTTACCATCGGGGTTGTAGATATCGATATAACGCTTGGCTGCCTCTTCCGCAACTTGGGCCGGTACATCGGGATTGTGGAAAGCGCCGATTGTCTGCTCATCCTGACCATCGTGCAAGATACTACCGTGTGATATCTCGGTAGCACTGACGTAAGAAACACTACTGATTATCGGGTTGGTGGGAAAGCAGGAGATGAGAGGTTTCTCAATATTGATTCCATTCTGACAGAGCACAATGGCGGTTTTGTGCGGGGTGACAGCAGGAGCAATGATATCGGACACGGTTGGTGAGATCTCTGGGATGTTCTTGGTCGTTACAAGAATGAAATCGAAGGGAGGGAGGTTCTCCTTTGCGGTGTTGGGAACGACCTTGCAGACTTGAGGATTGATATCAGCATGAGCCGATCTTCAAAGATCCACAACATTTTGTTGAACAGGAGCCACTCACTGCGCGTGGGGCGCCACCCCTTAATACCGTTGCCATATTGGGCGGAATTAATGCTGATGCCGTTCTTTTGCACGGCGTTATAATTAGATCTCATCACCGCTGTGACCTCAGCTTTGCCGCCCTGTTCGAGAGCATAGGCTGCTAGCGTGCCGACACCTCCAGTACCGACAATGAGGACTCTGGCCTTTTGCTCTCCCATCGTTGCAATATTACAGGGATGGTAGTGGTTGGTGGGAGCTAGAAAGGAAGAGAAGCGTCAGGGTCCGTAGTGCCGGTAGCTTGACGACTTTAAATGGCACGTAATGCATCCGAGTGCTGATAAGGGTCATAACAACATACGGCGATAATGCTAATCTCAGTCCAGGAGCCGGTTCACGCGTTACCATTCCCCACCAAGATATAACGGAATAGGAAAACCATGGCGAATCGCGCCCGTTGCGGCGAGGCGGGGTCGGACGGCCAGGACGCACCGAAGCGAAATTATGCGGGCTGGCCCACTTTATCTAGGATAGGCCTCTGATTACGGATCCACAGAGTGCAGACCACGGCCGATTTAATGGATGTTTGGCAAAGGCCCCTAACGAGTAGATGCCATTGAGTAGATTTGCGCTTGGAATTCATCTAAAGTGGTATTGCTAAAATAGATTTGGTACTGGACGCACTTGCTCTCAATGTGTAAACCGGCGATTGTATTTCCCCTTGGGTACCTACCCGAAAGGGGAGTAGTGGCTAATCATAGTGCGAGATTCGGCTAGAAATGGAAGTGGAGTTCTGTTATCTTCTCGCAGGATCGACACCGGTAGACTCATGAAGCAGTTAAATATATAGGAATAAATCATGATACCGGCTCTGCGGGATAATTCTACCAAATCTATTAGTAATGGACAGCGGTGTGCGCCATATGGCAAAACTAGCACAAATTATTCATAGTCGTGAAGAAGGATCGGAATTGAGTGCCTTGATAACCTCTGCCGCCGCTCGTTCTCCGCTACGGACAGCACCCTCCATGTAACCCTTCCATTCACCAGCAGTCTCGGTGCCTGCAAAGTGCAAATTGCCGGCGTTTTCACGTAGCGCATCAGGACCAACAGTGTCCAGCACGCCTGGGGTGAGGGCAGCGCACGGGCAGCCCCAGCCTGCATATTCATCGTTCGTCCACTCGTACATGGCCAACTGGACAAACTCGTTGTCCAGATCGGTGACACCGAAAAGCTTACCGAGTTGCTGCAGCAAGCTCTGCTCTCGCTCCTTGGCTGGAAGCGCGGCCCAGGCTCGGCCAGGGTCACCCGACATGAAGCATGTGAGGACGTACTTGCGATCCTCGGGACTGCTGGTGTCTCTCACTACACTAGCAGGCCCGGTGAAGGATTGGGCGAGGCCACAGAAACCACGCTGGACCCAAAAAGGCGAACGGAACTCCACCATGGCCTTTGTGTAATACCCATAAGTGGTGGATTCAATAAATGTCTGCTTTGCGGGAGGAAGCTTGGGGTGGAACGAAATATTCCTCAAACAAGGGCTAGGCACCGTGATGATGACCTTTCGGGCCGCAAAAACAGCACCCCCCGCGTGGACCTGGACCGACCGGTCCATGTTTTGGATGACCGAGTGAACCGGGCTGGAAAGCCTCACGATGTCTGCGGGAAGCGAAGATGCCAGTCCCAAAGACAATGCTTGGGTGCCCTGGCGAATTCGCAAGTATTGGCCGCCATGCTTGCGATCAGATCGCATCTGCAACAGACCACCGCCGGACTTGCAATAGTTCAAAAAGTAGAGGGCCGAGATGTCCTTCGGGTCTTGCCCGAGCATTGCGCGGGTCCATACAGTGGCAGTAGCCAAGGCTATCTCACTGGCTCCACGCGAGCGCAGATAGGCATCAAATGTGACGGAATCTAGGCTGGTTTCCTTAGGCCGCCAAGTGTCAAGGGCCTGGCAATCTGCCTCACACATGTCACGGATCTCTGCCACATGAGCCTGGGTTGCCTCGTCAAACTGTATACTAATGTTAGCGACACAAAGCGATTGAGCTCTCATTGATCGCAAATTCTCTTACATTCGGCAGCTCTCCATAAGCGAAAGGAGTACATTCGCCATCAAAATCTTGCAAAACCGCACTACCTCGCGTATTCTGCTCAATCATCTCCACGCCCAAGCGCCGTACCAGAGCGTAAACCCTACTCTGGTTGGAGTCGTTGGTCCAGGCGGCGCCGAGGTCGACGATGCCCTTGCCATCCTTGAGAGGCATGTTCCAAGTCTTGCCACCAACACGATCGCGCGCCTCCAGAATGACACAGGATAGGCCTGCGCTCAAGACATCGTGAGCGGCAGAAAGCCCAGCAAGGCCAGCTCCGACGATGATGATGTCAGTATTCTCAGTCGCGGCGGACAGGACCGGAGGGAGCGAAGGCTCCGGTAAGGCGATGACGGCGTCAATTTCGAACAGCCATGAGGGCACTGCAAGCTTGGGCACCGGGATCAGGGTAATTGCTGGCCGGTGTCGACCTAGAAATCGTTGGACGTGACGGGCATGCTTCCGACTGGCTGCATCGTAGTCGACAATGTAAAGGTTGAGCTTGACAATATGTTCAATGGAGGATTCGGCGGCGATAATGAGCTTCCGAAGGTTTAACAGGGCCAGATGGATCTGCGACTCATAATCGGTCGGCACAACGCCATCCTTTGTGCTTCCAGGTTGGCCAGCGATATGAATCACCTTGCCCGCGGGGGCAATAGTCGCCGGCGCATAGTAGGCGCTTGAGGTGGTGGAAAGATCAACCGTTTCAACAACTTTCGGCATATTGAAGAGAAGCAGATGTTGAAGGGAATCCGGAGGGGAGGTGTGAGAAGAGAGAGAGATGCAAACCCCCAACTAATATAGCATCTGGCGGACTATACACCGCTCCGGAGATGCTTATGATGAGAGAGAGATGCAAACCCTCAACTAGAATAGCATCTAGCGGACTATACACCGCTCCGGAGATGCTTGTGATGAGAGAGAGATGCAGACCCCCAACTAGAATAGCATCTGGCGGACTATACACCGCTCCGGAGATGATTGTGATGAGAGCGGGGATCCAGGCGATAGCGGTGATAGCCCAAATGTACGCTTATCATATCATCACTACCATCTCCCACGGCTCAATCCTCCGCTACTTGCCGCTATCGCCCGCCGAAACCTGCCACCACACATCCCCACCACGGATTTGTAGCAGTGTCTCCCAAAGAAGCTTCACTTTTACAAGGTAGAAGCCACCAGAGATGTCCAATCAACGAAAAATAGGGGGGTTTTCCACCTCAATCGGAGACCATTATCTCTATCGCTGACCGCGGAGGGCACTGAGAGCCCACTGCGAGCACGGTCGCCTACCGCCACGGTGATCAAGGCCGACTCTCAGGCGCCGCTGTGGTGACTGTATGAGTTAAACCGTCATCACAGCCTGAGCTTTTTCATTTTTGTTGCCCATAACACGCTATACTACAGGTTCGCATTAAGCCAGCTCCAACAATGGACGCTTCCAATATCCAGTTGGTTGACCCATCCCTGCTGATCGGGCGGAACTATATCGACGGAAAATGGGTTGAAGCTCAGTCTGGAAATGATTCAATGTGGAAGGTGAAGAAGCCTCCTCTAGGAAGTTCTCCAATGCTCGTATCGGTTGCTGACTATCTCGTTCGGCTGTCAGAGACCCTGCGAATGCGACCATCATTGGATCCTGTTCCAAATCAAACTCAATGGACAGTCTTTCTTGGCCAACAACTCATTTGGAACGTTAAGAAAACTCTTTGTAGAGCGATGGAAGGGCGTAAAGTCTTTCCAGTTCATAAATAGTTGCGAGTTTAGAGTAGGGTGGTCCCTACCACTCTAGGTATTCTCACCCCCGTTTTCTGAATTCTCACTCCAATCACCCACACTCATCGTAATGGAACCTGCGTTGCCGATTTAAATCGCCGCAGTATAGCCGTATTCCATATCGACCATTACCATAGATGGGGTCAATAAAGCAAGACAAGACCCCTTACCTTTTTCTTAATTTTGTCATCTATCTTGTGGACTATTATGTAGTTGTATAGATGTCGGATTATGATAATGTGAAATTCGATAACATGAGGCCACCTCATGCTAAGCCATCTAGAATATCTATCAGTGAAGCCCACGCGGGTAAGTACGGCGGTTCGGATCGCAGTCAGGTCAAAGGGATTGTTATCTAATCCCATCATAGGGTGAAAATCTATATTGATTGAACGTGTCTTCCGTGCGAGATTGCCAATAGGGTGCGGGCGACAATGTATCGAGATGATGACCTTCCCTCATTCCAATTATGGGTGGAAGGGTAAGTCAATGCCCGCTTCAAATGGAGTGTGTGACCGGTCGCTTGGATGGCCGGATCGGAACGCGTACGACATGCTTCGGCTGGTCCGCCGAAGGTGCGCAGCCGAATGCAACGAAACTCCCGACCAGAGTATATTCCAAGCCTTAGAATCCAGAACCTACCCGATCTGCCAACTTGCCCTAGATAGGTTAAGGCTAAGGACTCTATCCGCAGGATAACACGTGGTGGAAACGGCTGAGAGATGCCACCGCCCTCCACCAATGCTAGTGATGGCTCTATATTCATCCCCTCCGTGGGTGGGAGGCCGCTAATTACCCAATCAGGCCCGCTGACGTACGACTATTGCGCATTACTGCGGGCGCGACCAGCATCGTCTGTATCCATGGCCCACGACTTGCGTCTCAAACCTGGAATTTTGACAGTGATTTCGAGAATGAATTTTTTTTTCTTTACTCGGTGTACTATGAATAGATTTCTTGATTTTGCTTTGCCGTGGGCATCGCGTTTGCGCCGTTCTTTGGCGAGCGATCATCAGTTGCCCTAGCCACTCAGTCTAATTCCGATCGACCGAACCATTGGCATAATAAGTTCACGCTGTTTTTCCTAAGATCTCAAGATTCTTTCCCTCTTTGAGTCTCCGGGTTCTGGTTAATTCCATCACTACCTGTCTAGCCCTAAGTTCATCTAGTCTCCAACCGGTTGCCCTGCAGATATCATGGGGACTCTGACGCCGACGGCGGTTGCTCCCCATCGATTCAGCGACTATCCTCGCCCGCAGCATACGAGGGAGAGCAGCTACAACTCCGATGGCTCTTTTGACGTGAGTCGATTCTCGACACCTGCCACGACTTTGAGGCTGTAGATACTAACCAATCCGCAGCCCCGTCGCTCACTTGTTCCTGGAATTCGTCGCTACCCTACACGAAAGATTAAGCTCGTGCACGGCTATGTCCTGAGCGCGGAGTACCCAGTGCCAAGTGCCATTCAAAATGCGGTGCAGAAACAATACCGAGAGTCGGCGGAGCTTGCCGAGGAATTCTCCCAGCTCAGATGTGAGTGTTCCACCAGTGGTAGTCCGGGCAGCATTCCAGAGACTGACTGCATAGACACTGCTGCTACTTGCGATCCTGACGAATTTGTGATGCGAAATGGCTACAACCTCCGCCCGGCCATGTATAACCGACACACGGAATTGCTGATCGCAATTACATGCAAAAGCGAAAATAAGGTTCTCACAGCACGGACCCTGCACGCAGTGATGCAGAACATCCGCGATATCACCAAGCTTAAGAAGTCGGAATTCTGGAATCAAGGAGGACCAGCTTGGCAGAAGATTGTGGTCTGCCTAGTCTTCGATGGAATTGATCCTTGCGACAAAAACACCCTTGATGTATTGGCGACCATCGGTGTCTACCAGGACGGCGTCATGAAGAGATCGGTGGACCGCAGAGAAACGGTCGCGCACATAGTAAGTCAGCTGGGCTTATGTTTTCTTCAACGTATTTACGAAAATAGTTCGAATATACCACGCAACTTTCCGTCACGCCGAATCAGGAATTAGTTCGCCCCGAAGGCGACGAGTCCACGAATATCCCACCAGTCCAGATGATCCTGTGTCTGAAACAGGAAAGTAGCAACAAGATCAATTCGCATCGCTGGATCTTCAACGGATTTTCTCGCATGTTGAACCCAGAGGTGGTGATCCTCCTCGACGCGGGTACCAAAGCCTGCAAGGAATCTTTTCTTGCATTATGGCAATCGTTCTATAACGACAGAAATCTCGGCGGAGCCTGCGGCGAGGTGCATCCCATCCGGGACAAGAAAAGTCTCCTCAATCCTTTCGTTGCCGCCCAGAACTTCGACCTGAAGCAATCAAATATTCTTGAAAAGCCTTTGGAAAGCGTCTTCGGACATGTTTCCCTGGGCGAGTTTTCTGCATACCGATATCGAGCCATCATGGGTCGACCACTGGAACGATATTTCAATGGTGATCTGACACTGTCGACGAAGCTAGGCAAGAAAGGCTTTGATGGGATGAACATCTTCAAGAAAAATATGTTCTTTGCCGGCGATCGCATTCTGTCCTTTGAATTAGTGGCCAAGGCCGGTTTCAAATGGCATTTAGCCTTTATCAAGGGGTCGAGAGGGGAGGTCCAAGTACCAACGGATTTTGCTGAGTTTATCACTAAGCGGCGTCAGCGGCTTAATGGCTCACTTGCAGCGAATCTCTATGCGTTTATACATTTTACTCGGCTGTACAAGAGTGGACATAGTTTGTTTCACTTAGCACTTCTCCACCTCCAAATGCTTTACAACTTTGCCAAGTTTGTGTTGAGTTGGTTCTCACTTGGTATGGTCGCTCAATATATCTATCTAGCTATAAGCTACCGCTAATGGTTCACAGCCTCCTTTTTTATAATAACCTCGGTCATAATGGGTCTTGTGGGAACACCAAACCAAGCCAACAACCAAAAGGCATGGCCATTTGGCAGCGAAACCTCACCAATTGTGAACAACTTCCTCAAATACATTTATGTAGTGCTGTTGATGCTGCAATTCATTCTCTCTCTTGGCAACCGCCCTAAAGGGTAAGTACTCTCTCGTTGCACTCTCTGTACTGCGCTAAATACCTTCCCACTTAAAGTTCCCGTCTGGCCTACATCATTTCATTTTTATATTTCCCTGTCGTTCAGGTATACACTGCAGTTCTCGCATTCTATCTCGTCAGTCAAGCTACGACGAAGATAGCCTTCAATTCTGTGTTATACGAAGATGCGATGCAAGCAGCAGTCTGGAACAACCTCGGCTCCAGCATAATTTTGATTACATTGGTTGCTACCTATGGAGTGCATATTATCGCCAGCATTGTCTACATGGATCCACTGCACGTACTAACATCCGCTTGGGCCTACTTTGCAGGAACGACCTGTTCCTCCAATATCCTCATGGTCTATGCGTTCTGCAATTGGCACGATGTCTCAATTGGCACCAAAGTAGCGAACAAAAGCGAACTCCTGCCCGAGGCTCAGACAAAGAAGGACGAGAAGTCAAAATTTATTGAGGAAGTGGATAGGCCACAAATCGATATTGACACCCTCTTCCAAGCTACCGTCAAGCGAGCCCTGGCAACGTTTGAACCACCAGCAGAGTCAAATGGAAAAGATGTCGATGACCTGTACAAAGCGTTCCGGACGTACCTAGTGTTACTTTGGGTTTTCAGTAACCTGATCATGGTCCTTTGCATCATGAGCATATCAATCACTCGGTTCTGTCTTTCGGTAAGTTTCTCGAGTCCAAGACCCTCCAGCAATCTAACCGCATTGGATAGGAAATTCCTAATGTACGTATATGGAATTACCTTTTGGCCGTGGTATGGGCGACTGTCGGGATCTCGCTCTTCCGTTTCGTGGGGGCGCTCTGGTTTTTGGCAAAAACGACTGTTCTATGCTGTGTTTCGCGACGATAGATTTTCTATGGCTTATCCTCAGCCATTATGAATAGCAAAGGAGTGTGGAGTCTTTCTATGCATTTGTTCATAGCCTACGCATTCTATCTAGAGAATCATCGCGGGTGGCCAAGTCGGAAGTCTTAAAGTAGCTCACGGCATCCAAGCGCATGGACCCTATATATCTTTCAGGCATATGTTTGCCACCTCACAGAACGAACTTGTGTAGGTGGGCCTTAGACTAGGTGAACTTCAGCCTCCATCGTTGCCTAATGAGAACTCCGGTGTATACATTCTTGGTTCTTCTAGGGTTTCACAGAGTTTATGATGTTTCTCTTAATACAGTGTCTTCCTGGGAAGGATTTTATCCCCACTCTACGATTTGATGTAATAGAAATTCTCGTTCAAAATATCGATAGAGGTACATTCATATACAAAGGAGTCACTGGAAAAGGTAGGTACGCTTATCTATCAGCCAATTAGTACGATTGGTATCGCAGTAGACAAGGCCTTCAGGAGCAGCTGGTAACGCTGGGAACATTCTCGCAGCCACTGTATTTCGATCCGCCGGTAACATCGACGTCCGACCAAGTCCAGTTGGAGCAGGCACCGGATCCACAAACAATAACCACATCATATCCGCTTGAAGCAACGGCATCAGCTCCAGAGATATTTTCAACAGTCAAGTCTGTAATGGGAATGCCGCTAGTAGGATCTCCCTTGAGATCCCCGCCATCATAGTTTTGCTCGATCAGGATACCGTACCTGGTAGGTACAATTAATAAAGTTCTCGCCTCCCAGCACCTGAATATTGTACTTACTTTGAAATAGAGGACAGGGTGATTCCGGAATAGGTCACACCTGTGATTTCGCCGATGTCGCCGGCGGAAGCCTTGATGCGGATACCTTGATCGAAGTTGTTAATGCAACTGGCCACAATTCTCAGAACAATAACCAGTGGGATTCTTACCATTGACCGAGTCCTTCACTTCAGAGTCCTTGAATGTAACCGTCTCCACCGTGTTATCGCTCCGACCACCAACGCTACCAATAGATAGTCCGTGGCCACCAGAGCAAACACCGCCGCTGAAGGTGATATCCTAGTCGCAAGGTGAGTTATTTTGTTTTTGCCCACGTGGACAAGTCAGGTTCTCTCAAGACTTACAGTTCCAGAGTTAACTGCAACACAATCGTCCTGGTTATAAACCGTGGCACCCGTGATAACCACATTCGTGCTGCTCCCGATATCGAAACCGTCGGTATTGTGTCCGCCCTCATCGTCACCCGCCTCGTTGTTGATGGTCATATCCGTGATTGTGAGCCCATCGCAGCCGTTGATGCTAACTGCCTGAACTGGGGTGTTCTCGATGTAGAGGTCCGTGATGGTCGACGAGGTGAGATCGTGAGCATAGAAAAACTTCGGCTTCGTCTTCCCCCCATTGCTCCCTTCACCATCCCACCACCGCGCTCCATCGGGATTGAGTTTGGCGCCGCTGGCACCTTTAACGGTAATTGAGCTGCCTGAGATTTGGAGGAGTGGGCCATCCCACTCCTCATACCCCCAGGTGGTTTCGCCTTCGAAAATTACCTACGAGGGCTTGGTTAGCATGGCCACAGAGGGACAAAAAGGCGCAGTGACGGGTGACTGGATAAAACTTGCCGTGGTGTCATCTTCCAAGTCGCTGAGATCCAGTGTCGTTCCAGACGGCACAGCAACACTCGACAGAATGATTGTGGAGCAGGACTTCTGAGATGCACTCGCTTTGGAGGCACCGGTAGAGCCGGAGAAGGTACAAGAAGTAGCTCTCTTGGCTAAGCTTGGGGCCTCGGTGATGGCAGGCTCGGCGACAGGGGAAGCAAGTGCGCCAGCCGCCAAGGCAACAAGCAAGACGGAGCCAAAGATCGTGGGCATTGTAAGTGCAGGATGGGCTGTTCGTGATTGGTGTGCCTCAATACTTTTTTACCCTGCCGTTGATCCCTGGAATCAAGCCACTTTATAGGTATGTCAGCCCCGATGCTTGTTCTTCAGGTGGCCCTCAGACGGAGGACGAAAAGCTCCCGAATCCCCCAACACGCGACTCATTGTGTTTTGTTTATCCTCCAATCGCGGAAGGTTTAACCATACTCCTCCATGTCCCATTGGTGGTTTCCACACCCAGGATCATGGAGTAGATCCATACACAGCCGTGTGTGAACTTGAAATTCTTCAGGAAAGCTTAGTGGGTACCGACAACGAATAGTGGAATATTCTGTGCCGAGCTGAAACCGGCCGATGTTTCCGTTTTACCACTTCTTCCATTCCGAAATTTGCTAGGGCACGCCACCATGCTGCAGATAGAGTTGCGCGGCGTTTTTGTGCATAATAAAAACCCGCCCAGTTGTGGGGAAAGCCCCATAGATTCGCAGGGGGAATGCCTGGAAGGAGAGCGAAAAGCACAGTTGTTCCTCGTCTTCCGCGGGTTAACCTCGGGGTTTTTATTTACCACCACTCATTCAACGCTCTGTCCGAATGTTAGTGGCCGCGGATTGAGTAGCGCACCTGATGAGCCGCGTCAGATTTCTCATTGCCATCAAAATTGCCTGATTCCACTTCAAGATAATTTAATTTAATGCTTCTGGACTCTCTTACGATGCTACTTCCAGAAGTGTCTTTCATGCGGTCGGAAATACCCGTCCGCGCGAAAAAAACTAAATAAATAACTGAATAGGGTTACGATCAATGGGCAATCTACAGGACGTGAACTGACAACACGCTATTTTAGAACAAGTCCCTTGATTAAATCCTTGTGAATTCAGGATCGCCCGACGAAATAAAAAGGCAATCGGTCCTCCTTCTGGGTTTGTAAATGGCTAGAAGGTACAACCCATGGCGGGGCCATTGAAGGGCTCATCGCAGTAGTAGGAATACGGTGATAGCAACTCTCGAGAAAGGCCACTTGAACCGGAACATCCCGAAGGTATTCGCAGCAAGCTCAAGCATCAAACAGATCTTTCTGGCTTCCTGACATCTTCGGTGGGAGACGGATTCACGTCTTCGTCGACGTAAAAACTCTCATCATTCATGTGCTTGAACCTGAACCAGAAAATAACCGTCTGAAGAGCAAGTGCAACGGTCGGCGCACCCCAGATCCACATCAGCCAGGGGTCCTTGGTGACAGGGATCAGAATCTCGCCGATAGCGCTGGACAGCGCATTCATGAACAGGAAGATTGCCATGATCAAACCTCTCATGCTCTTAGGGGACCTGGCATAGGCTACCTCGTAGGCGGTGACATTGGCAAAGATCTCGCTGAGCGCGCTGAGGACGGTATTGGGGATTTGCCACCAGATGCTGATCGGAGCCACCTCATCGCATGTCGAAGCATAGTAGCCACAAGGTGAGAGCTCATACACACGCCACTGAACAAGCGTCCCGGCAATCCCAGCAACAGTTGCCAGGAAAAAGCCAAACGTGATACGACTGATCGGCCCGAATCTGATGTTGTAGCGCTGCAGAGCCGGATAGACCACATATGTCATAAAGGGAATCACGACGATAATGGTCAGAGGATTGAAGTTGTTGAGCAGGTCATTGGGTGCGCCGTTGGTGATCATCGATGCACCCTGATTTGATGCCACAGACCCGATCCCGCCGTCGTTCAGGTTCCAGATGGGGTAAAACCAGAAAATATCACATGCACCTAGGAATCAAAAGTTAGTGCATTGTCATACAAGGCCTCGGTGAACAACAATATGTGGCAGGTTTGAAGCATGCGACCAAGGCGTGACGGGGCAGAGGTGATACAGAGAAGGCTTGCAACATACTGACTGCCCTGGATACATCTCTCACAGCATTATCTGTCCAGCTCACGGTGATATCCCTTTCGCGCAGATTAGCGGGCTTTGCTGCCTCCCAAAAGTCCTTGCGCCAGAATTGGAACCTGCTTTGTCGCAGTGCCGTCCCAATGATCTTGAATGCCTCGGATAACTCGGAGCTTCCTGCAGGTGGCTGCTTGTATGTCCGCTTGTAAATTACAAAAAGGAGAATGGGAAGCAAGAAATAGATAATCCCAGCCAGGAGGAAGGACAGCCAGAAGCCGACATACTTCTCAGCGTATGTCGTAGCCAGCATATAGAAAGCACCAATGTTGACGAAGCCATAAAAGATGAGCATCGTGCGAGTTGTCGTCGCCTCGGGGTCCACGATGACCCGTTCTCCGGATTTGAGCGTCTTAACATAAGCTTTCTTCTGGCGATTCTGGTCGAGAATGGTGGGTGCGATGTTGGGCTTGAAGATTCCGGCGCCAAAAGATAAAAGCAGGAGCCCGATGACGAATGGCGGAGCAGCATTCGCTTTACCTTTCTGCAGCACTGATGGAATAGCACCAAAGATCTGGATAATATGCGCCACTCCGCAGATGAAGACACCCACGGCAATGGCCTTGAAGCGGCCAACATGGACATCTGCCCACCAGCCGCCGAAGATGGGAATGATGTAGGATAGAAAGACGAACAGCAAGGTTAATGCAGAGGCTGCTTGAAGGCCCATTCCCAGTGCGCCTGCTGTTTCTTGTGTGCCTCGTGGGGGGGCGCCAGCTCCATTGCCACCTGCAGTCTGCGAGTTAGCGGTCTGTATAATTGATTAAATAAAAGTGCGAAAATCACATACCCTTTGGCAGTGGGAACTCGACAAAGTTGGAGAAGACTGTCTTCGCTCCATAGTAGGATGCTCGCTCGGCAAACTCGACGAGGCAGAGGGCGAATGAGACCAGAGGCATGTTTCCGGCCACCTTTCGGAGAGTCAGGCTTTCCCCCTCCGTAGGATACTGATACTCATCCTCGAAGGAGTCAGTTGAGACTTCACGGTCGACTGCCTGGAGCTGTTTCTCGTCGCTCAGAGCTACAGGCGCTGGCTCCTCAGCCGGGTCGACGGACTCGGACGCATGGTGAGGCCCAGCAGTCTCCGTGAATGGGGCTTTCTTATCTTCTGGGGTCGCTAATGCACGAGTTCAGTAAGGCTGGCCAGTGTAAGAAGAGAAAAAAAAAAACCAAGAGAAGCAACAGGGGATGGTGAGGGCAAAGAGGATTGACTGACTCATCTCCACGGCTGCGTGAAGCCAAAGCTTGCAAAGAGGATGGGTGAGGGTGAAGCAGAAGTGCCCCCGATGGGGATAGAGAGCGGGTTTTAATAGGATTCACAATTCGGGATGTTGGGTTGTACGGTTGTACAAGGGAGAATTCGGGCTCCAGGAATGCGAAAGTCGCCCTGTCGCCAAATCTCGATTTGGAAACCACCGTCCGTCCAGATGGTCTCGACGAGGAAGGCACGGCTTGAGCAAGTGGAGTGTTGAATGTTGAAGAGTGGGGTGGTATTGGACTGCTGTCTCTCATCGCCTTGCGTTATCGCGACGAGGAATGGCGACCAATCTCGCGAGATGTAACATGGGAGCGCACCACGCTTGACAAGGTTCGGCCAATGGTGTCACGCGATATTTTAGCTTTGTTATTCGAAATTCACAGTATCGATAGGGATGTTTCTGTGCCAAGCCTTAGAGAGTCTTGGCTCTAAGGTGCTAAACGCAAACTAGCATTTTAGTTTATAACTCGCCATCGGGGAGCGTAAAATGATTGGTGTCAGACAGCCGGATATAGTGCAAGCTTACGCATTACACTCGACCCCAGCCGTGGATGTCCCAAAAAAGCAATCGCTAGAGCTATCAGTAAGCCAGTCTTGCTATCATTGGCAATCCTATGCGATAACTCCATCGAAAATTGTAACCATAGGGCAGTACTTTGCGTCGCGGAACAGGTAGATACTGAACCGCCCTCAGTTGCTCGTACTTTATGGCGCGGCAATCTCCTATCGCGGCCGGCAACGGCTTTCGGTTTTTTTTGTGCTGGGCTACTATAGACCTTTTGATCAGTCCCACAGAGGTATTACCAGACTAGCTGAGAGCCAGTATAAAGGTTAGCCCCTTCTTATCAGCACATACCTAACTGGGCAAATATCTCAGCCAACTCGGCTCAAAAGTTTACATTGCACGACTGTAATCGACGATGCTCAGCTCACGTGGATGGAAATTGACTGCCTGGCCAGTCTTGGCTTGTCAGTCACTCAGTCCAAGAATCATCGCCTCAGCAAATGCGGTGTGAAAGGCCGAGGTGGTGCAGATGATGACTTAGAAGTATGAATCGCAAAAGACCAGTTCAGGTTGATGAACCATCAATGCTGCGCTAGAGTACAACCTACTATCATAGCCGCTGCCAAGCCTTCTGATCCACTCAGTTTCGTCTACACTCTCGAATGTAATGCCTTCCACGCCTACCTGCTCGAGCAAGGGCGCCCTGTCTTCACCCCGGATGAGGATATCAATGTGAGCATTTCGCAACAACCGCTTGTCATCGCCAGCCTTCGACCTCTACAGAACCGAACCGCCACTTGGCGTCAGTTCAGCCCGAGCGGAAAGAAATAATCTAATCGATTTCGATGCGGCGTGGTCAAACCTACCCATACCCGTGGCTCCAGTCAGCAAGATGCGTGGCGGCTGTATATTGGGGTCTCAAGAAGAATGGTGCTTTGTCACTCGTAACATCAGACATCTACTCCACAGGAGCATGAGGTACTATTTATGCTCTTGAATTCCCCCATCGGTACATTTGATTTGTAACACTTGATTTCTAACCACCAGGTGGTATGATGGTATAACAACGAAGCGACGGAACCTAGTCGAGGACAGGATGGACCTTCCTTGACTCAATTAATGAGCCTTAAGTGCTGACTTTTAAGCATGTGGGTTCCCTCCAGTGAGAGCTTCGATCAGAGCGGCGATGTAAGGTGAAGCTGGCTTTTCCGACTGAGTTTACTAGGTGCATTTGAGTTCGTACCGGGGTTCAGTCTTTGCATAGCCTTCAGCCTGACTGCTGAGCGATTCCCTGGGCTCCAATCGCGTCACTGAAGCCTCGGGTATAAGCTTCCCCAAGACTCCTGTGATTGGCGACCGGTCGTACCCGCCCGTGCGTCCAATAAAGGCCCTACCCTCGAGGAAGCCAAAGAAAACGATACATACTTAGACATCAGATTGAGCACAGCCGATACTTTAGTCTCAAATACTCAATTTAGAAAAGAGAATGTTGGACTAGGGCCAGAATACTGATCCACTCCGACGATGGCGACTTGACTTCTGTCGCACCTGCTGCCCAGATTATGATAGAAACAGGATTGTATTCTAGTATAACAGAGCGGAACGTCGGGCATTTTTTGAGAGTTTCTACAGCCCCAACTACTATCTAGGTATCGACCCCCGTGGAGGTAAATATCCCCCATCTGGAAGAGACCTTTAGTTTCTCGAACATAGATCTATCTGGGCGTATGATAGCGCAGAGCAGAGAAGCATTCAGATGATCCCAAAGGTGACGCCCTCCCTGTTGATTCTTGGCCGCGGTAGGTGCATTAGATCATGCTCAAGCCAGCACAGCCAGGAACTAAGAACCACTCGTGCAGTTTTGACACAGACGTATTGCGGTCCGTCTTCATCTGCATCCCGGGAGCTCTAACGTTGGGTGTGTTCGCCCAGCCACCTGGATCAGGACGTGTATCATATAGCAGCTACTAGGTAACAGTACCAATAAATCTCTACTTTCATTGAGGCACCGACGGGCGCCACGATTGATTGCCAAAGCTCCGTATATTTAGGCAGTCACCTGTCTTGCAGCAGGCTATATATAGCAAGACCTCGTCTTCGAACCTCACCACTTCACAACGCAGTAAACCGTCCTCAGACGACCTACCCCAACCACCATCACTTAGCAGCAAAAAGCCCAGGCTGGAAGTACGTATGTACAACAGTCAACAGTCAACAGTCTCAAATAGCAGATGGGTATCTCAGTCTCCGTATGAATAGGCGATGCAAACAATGCAAAAAAGTGGTCAAGAAGTGGAAGTCGAACGGGGAAGGGAAAAGTGAAAGCGGACAGACCGGCGGGTCGTATTAGCGGCCAGTCCATGTCAGGACAACATGGACAGCGAAGGGAAGTAATGATGAACTGAAAGGGCAAAGGATACGGATGCAAGAGGAAAGAGAAGAGCGCTAATAAAAAGGCCGCAATACAATGCAAATGCAGCTGTATGGGATGTAATCGTCAGTGCGTAGGAGGTCGTAGTCACTTGTAGATGGGTGTGTAATGCGACGAGGAGAATGGGTAGAGCGCTATGGGGTATCAGGCAAAGCAGCACCGGTGCCGCAAAGGAAGAAGACAAGGTGAAGCACAGCAAAAGCAAAGAGACTCCGGCCTCGGCCAGTCGGGCGATCACATCAAGGCGAAGTCTTCGACCGGCCAGCCCGACGCTCATTCCCACCCTTCCCCCCGAGATCGAACGCCTGCCCCTGCCGCTTCGGCTCTTCGCTCTCGTCCGGTAGATCCATCCGGAACCGGCGCACACTGCCCTCCCGGCCGGTCTTGCCCTCTTCGAAGAAAGGCGTGCGCGAGTCCCGCTTCTGGCACCAGCGCGGTGCGACACGCCGCCACAACCCACGCACGCCGCGGCTGGCGCGGTCGATTTTCTCGTACTCGAGCCGCCGGGTCGAGGGCGAGGTCCACTCCATGACGGTTGCTGGGACATGGATGGAGGAAGCGGAGGGACTGTGAGCGTGGGTGTGGGTGTGGGTGTGGGCGTGGCTGTAGCTATGGCTGGCACCGCTGCCAGGCATGGTGTGGGAGCGGTCCCGGGCTTGGAGGAAGTGCGGTGCGGTCGTGGAGCTCACGGAGCCGCGGTTCGGATACTCGGGGTCGAAGCGACGGGTCGAGGGAGAGGAGCTGATAGGGGATGAGGGCGCCGAGTTGCCTATCTCGGAGGACGTGCGGGCGTCTCGTCTGGTTTTATAGATTGTGGAGGGTGCGCGGTAGAGAGCGGGGCGAGGCTCGTCGGTGGAGTATTTGGAGGGTGGTTCTTGCTCCTGGAAGAGACGACATGATTCCCGGTGTAAGGCCAACAGTGACTCGCGTTTGTCGGCGGGGGTGGATCGCGACGAGGGCACTGGCACGATGCTGGGGTTGGCGACGGCCCGTTGAGACGAGTGGAGAGAGCTGTGTCGACTGGGTGGTCGGGACCGGGCCGTGCTGCGCGAGTTCGATCGAGAGTGATGATGGATCGAGTTGGCGGCCGACGTGGGCCTCGACGCGGTTTGCGGGCCCGAGTGCGTGGATGAATCAGGGCTTCTTGTAGTAGCCCTCTTCACCCGGGGTGTCTCTGTCTCCATCTCCATCTTGGGCGACGATGGTGCGGACAAAATGGCAGACTCGGTGGGCGAGAGGCATTTCTCGATGCTCTCGCCTGTCGTGAGTTTAGAAAAGTCCGCGAGTTCGGTGACGGTCGTCTGCGGGCCTTTGAGTGGGATGTTCAAGCCAGGCTGGACGGACCCTGCAGGCGCACTTCTCATGTGAAGCTCGCCACGACATGTGACGGACGCCATCAGCACTCAAAACCGCATCGTCTGCCCCAAGGGCGATCCAAACTCGACACGATAGGCTAGATGACAAAGGGGCCTGATCTCATGGCGGGGTACCAGGCCAGGGCGGGCAGCCGAGGCCAGTCTTAGCACTCGGATTGAAAGGACATGGAGTATACCAAGGGTATACCAAGGGTGCACGAAGAAGTATACGCCAACCGGGAAAATCAGTGACAGGCGATTAGGTTCTTTTAATTTGAAATGGCCCCCTACACCGCTCCTCAAGGCAATACTTGAAGCGGAGGTAGTGGGGGCACACTCCATGCAGTTGCAGCGTACCAGCGCCAGACCAGGAAGCAGCCGTACTTCCCGCACGGTCTCGACCCGCCCGCCCCTCTCCCCTCCCCTGGACCCTCGCCCCTCGCACCTGTCACTCTTGGTCCAGCGCCCCTGCAGTGGGCATCGTGGCGGCAACAATGCAGGGGGCACGGGTTTGTTATTTCGAGACTGTGCGCCTATTGGGCTGGTCCAATCGAAACGCCCGGTTCTGTCCGAGGGCGCGTCCAATCGCCTGCCTGCACGCGTCCATGGCGCAAGAAGGCAGCGGCAGGGACGGGGATTGGTTGGGACGGGGGCACGAGGTACTTGGTACTGTGCCTTGTACCTGATGGACTACGCAGAACCGCTCTGCACCGCCAGACCGAGAGCCGAGGATCATCCGACCCTGACTTTGACGGCCTTCCACTCCCGTCCTCCTTACCGTGCCTCTCTCTTCTGGCCCGTCTAGGGTTTCCTGGCCCCGCCCGAGAGCGACCCACCGCCAAGCGTCACAAATGTTGAAAAAAACGTGGGTGGACGGGGATTGTGCTGATCGTGATGATGTCGCAGCACGCTATCGAGGTCGCGGAGGATCGCGCGCTTGTTTCGTCGCAGACCCCTACCAGGTTTTGGGGTGGAACAGGCACAACCAACTACGAATCAGGTCCATAGGGAGCGGTATCGACTCGACGGGAACCGGTGGGTTCCCCCCAGCGTGGGGGGCAAGGAGGGGGGATGGGTTCAACCGGAATAGTGGTCGGAGTAGCACACAGTACGAATAGTCTAGCACCTCGTGGCCGGTCCCGATCAGGCTTAATTGAATGATCATCGAAATTCAGATCTAAAATCCTGTCTTTCCATCCGACGCGGCACCTTGATCCCCAACAATTACCACCTCCGATGCCGGACATCACACCGCATACATGAAATCGGGGTTCTCCCGATCCGTCAAATCGAGCCACCTGCAGCAAGTCCGAGTTAGCGCCCACGCCCCAAAAACCCAAACTGCCAAGCCCCCAACCAACCAGGGGAGGAAACGGGGGAAAAAGACTCACTCTTGATTCTCCAGCCGCACATAATCTGGTCGCGCCTGGATCTCCAGCTTGCGGGCATTCTCCTTGCGGTACCACCACCAGATAAAGACCATGATGCACAGAGACACGCCAAAACACACGATAATGGTGATTACGGCGGGGACATAGTGGGGGGCGTCTTTGGGTCGGAAGGTTTGGGGTCCTGCGATAGGGCATTAGAAATGGGACATATTTTCGACGGCCAAGCCAGGCCAAGCCAGGACAAGCATGGCGCGCCAAGCACCGTCTGCACAGGGGGCCGTTGTTACTCACCGATAATGTTGCCCACACAGTAGCCGATCAGGTACAGCGCCGCCACGGTCGTCTTCTTCGTGTAGCCGGCCACATTGGACGAGATCATGGAGAGCAGCGCCACGAAGGTCGTCGGGCTCGCTTGCGTCATGTAGTACCCGATCAGCCGGCCGACGTTGTTGCTCTCTGGCAGCGCAACGATGAGAATCACCCCGACCATCGCGGTCACTAGCCCGCCCAGACTGCAGAGCAGCCGCTGGTTCGTGATGTACCCCATGTACCCGTTCAGCAGCAGCGCGATGACTTCGACGGCGCCACCGGGGACGCCCAGGATCAGGCTTTCCTGCGCGGTGAACCCGAAACTGGTAATCTAGAGAACAGGGTTGGTGAGCCAAGCGCGACTACGCCCGGGGGGGGATGAACGGACCAATTGACTGAAGAAGTTGGTGATGCCACCGTTGGGGATATCCGCGATCAGCGCATAGAAGAAGAATGCCCAGGTCATCGGGTCCATAAGCGCTTCCTTGACCTGGTACATCTTGAAGTGCTTATTGCCGATGCCCTGCTGGTTGCTGCGCACACGGGCAATGGCCAGGAGCCGGTCCTCTTTCTTCAACCAGCGCGCGTTCAGCTGGTTGTCCGGCACGACCCACAAGAAGATCACCCCCAGCGCGACGGTCAGCAGGCCGGTGACAAGGAAGATGATCTTCCACGGCGCAATCGACGAGCCGTACTTCGCGGTGCCGACGGCAATTCCGTACGCAATGACACCACCCAGGATCTGGCCGACGCCGTTGAAGCTGAACCAGATGTTCACGCGGGCGCCCTGTTCTTGCTTCGTGTACCACTGCCGAGAGACGGGTCAGATATCACTTATGTTGCCGGTCTGCGGCGGGGTCAAGCGTCACGACATACCTGGGAAGTGATCAGAGCAAAGCCCGGCGTCACAGCGGCCTCGAACACACCGAGGAAAAAGCGGATCGCAACCGCCCCGGAGAAGCTCTTCACCGCGGCGAAGCAGCAGAGAATGGCGCCCCATGTCACAACACACGCCCCGGAGTACTTGCCCAGCGGCAACCGCTGCAGCAGGCGGTTCGTGGGATATTCCCACGCCAGATATCCTATCCCGCGCCATCAGCCATACTCCCGCAGAGCGGAGATTCAACCACCAGGGAATCGAACGCACCGAAATAGAACAAACTTCCCAGCCATTGGTACTGGTCTCCCTCCAAATGCAAATCCTGCTTCAGCCCCATAATACTCGCGTACGACATGGTCGTCTCTGTGGGGGAAAAAATCAGTTATTATTCGGGCGTCGCAAGACGTATATTCTATATCCCAAGTGGCATCGGCATTCATACTATCCAGGAAATTCATCCCATAGACGAAACACATAATCGGCATCATGTGCCAGTCAATGATGCGTAGCAGGCGGTGGTTCGTCGCCTCGTCCAGCTCGATCGTCTCGCCGTGCAGCTCGTCAAAGGCCTTCAGGGCGTCGTCAGCGTCGTGCGCATGTTTCTCCAGCGTCGGGTCGACGTGCGGGGTCTTTTCGACGTCGACAGCCGACGAGACCCCGACTGCTTTCTCGTCCTCGGCCATGGCGGGTGCAATGGCGGGAAGAATGGTGGGGGGAGGGGGTAGGATGTGCGAAGTATAAGAAGATAGAGGGATAGAGATGGCAGATGCGATGCAATGTGATGAGATCAACTCAATCAATCAATTCCATTAATCCATTAATCCCCGTACCAGACGAGAGGAACGGGCGAAGGGGGGGAGGTAAGGTAGTATATAGGAGCTCAGCAGGTCGGTCGCAATGGCCTCGACCTCCGCCTACATGTGCGTCACACAGCCAGGTAGCTTGTCGAGTATCCTGTTAGCGTGTCGTTATCTTGCCGAGCGCAAGCATGCTCTCAAGCTTCTCCTATCAAGCACCGCTGCTCTGGTGGGTCCTCCCCACGATAAGCACCCGAGTATCTGGGGTCAAAGGTATCTCCAGCTTCGCTGGCACTCATTGGCCACGTCGGGAAGGTGGGAGGCGAGATCGGCAAAGTCGACGATGAATGTCCGTGTGTGCCGTGCCGCTCGAGCCTTATCGAGTGGCCTGCGTAGCCGAATGGCGGAATGCAAAAGGCCAAGGTGAGGAGGTGCTGGGGTGCTTGTTGGAGTCGGGGGACGCTCGGCAACTAGACGTGGCTGGGGATTTGCCGACGGTTTGCATGGAGAGGAATGCGGCGGACAGGGTGCCGTTGATTCGCAAGGCGAGGTGCTTTTTCGGGCTCGGAGGTGGCTTTTCGTCCAGCTTCTTATCAGGCCGAGTTCACCGAGTGCGCCAGGACGGGGTTGTCTTCCCTTCGAGATGAAGTTGGGAGCGAGTAACCGGTGTTATCTGTGTTTATCTTATCACCTTCCAATCTGGATGAGGTACGGAACTACTCCAGAAGGCACTGCTGTCCACGGGTTGTGGAGTACTGTAGCACGGGGGAGGTACTAGCAAGCATTGTGTTGAAACTTTGTCACCCCTGTACAAGACCCCCGCGCCAGCTTGGCCTCTCCAAATCCTCTCCAAATCGCGGAACTCGTCCGCCGCCATGCCAAGTCGATTGCCATGCAAAGCTAACCCACACATACCGGGTCCAGTGGGTGCGATAGTCGAGTCATATTGTAATCCGTAAGTCATACCTCCTATTTCCCTAGGATAACCCGCCAAACCTATTGGCTACCACCCACACGCGCCAGATACGCCTCCCACCCCTGCTGCTGATACTTCTTCGCCGCCTCAACCGGATCAGCAGCCGTATAGATGCCGCGCCCAGCAATAATAAAGTCCGCACCCCTCCCAATAGCCGACTGTGGCGTCTGATACTGCTGTCCAAGCTTATCCCCCTTGGACTCTAGATTCACGCCCGTCGTAAAAACCACAAAATCCTCATCCTCCTTCTTCGCCACCTCACTCTCAACCTCACCGAGCGCCCTCGTTGCCACAAAGCCGAGCACAAAGCTGGGGTACTTGCGCGCATAGTCGACTGATGCGGACGTATATGCACCCGTCGCGAGCGATCCCTTCGACGTCATCTCCGCCAGGATGAGTAGGCCACGGTCAGATCCGTAGGGGAAGTCGGGGGCCTGGGCGGTTTGTGCCAGCGCTTCGACGATGCCCTCGCCCGGCAGGACGCTGCAGTTGATGATGTGGGACCACTCAGAGATGCGGAGGGTGCCCTGGTGGTACTGCTTTTGGACGGTGTTGCCGATGTCGATAAATTTGCGGTCTTCGAAGATGAGGAAGTTGTGCTTCTCGGCGAGGGTCTTGAGGCCGGTGATTGTTGCCTCACTAAAGTCCGAGAGAATGTCGATATGGGTTTTGATCACGGCAATGTAGGGTCCCAGGCCTGCGAGGAAAAGAATAGGGTTAGTTTAGTTTGGTGGTGGTGGTGGTGGTAGTAGGAGGGGTGGAGGGGTCGTGGCTGTAGACGTGGGACGGGAGAGGGGCGTACGGTCGGCCAGGTCCAAGAGCTCCGCGGTAGTAGTTACATCGGCAGAGACAGTCACGTTGCTTTTTTTGGCTTCAGCGACTTGGAAGAGCCGGCGGGCCAGCGGGTTGGGGTGGCTGCTGGCACGGGCAGCGTAGGTCAATTGGGACTTGGACGACATGATGGCGGGGTAGGCGGGGGAAGGGTATCCGGATGTAGTTGCAGATACTCAGTGACGGCGATTAAGGGGTGAGTCCAGTCCGGAGTCAATGGTTATGATCACGGCGTCACAGCGCAAAAGGTCTCGATCCAATGCACGGAGGAGTACAAGAGTGTGGAACGCAGGCGAGGTCGACGCCGGGAACTTTTTTGCCGCGCCACAGGAGAGCATGCGCCACGACCCCAGAGCTAGGCGGTGGCTGGTGCACCGCCCAATTTGCAATAAAGCGAGATATTTGGCTTTTCATTAAGTAGCATAAACTAGACATACAGGTAGATCAGGGGCAAGGGCAACGCTTATAAGATCGACGTTCAGAAGGAAATCAAGTCCCGCGCCACACCAAACACGGTCAGACCCCACAGGGCGCCCTGAGCGAGCCAGAACATGCCGCCCATCATGCGGCCCTTGCCCTGCGGCTTGCCCGAGTAGACATACCCGTACATGAACAGCGTGCGCAGCACCACCCAGAGGGCGCCGATGCCTGCAGCCAGCTGGGGGTACTTCAGGCCCGCAGCGAGGGTGAACAGCATGGTCTGGGGCGCGTTCTCCATGAAGTTGGTGTGGGCGCGCTGAGCGCAGTTAAACTGCTCTGCTTTGGCCTGTTGCCAGGTCAGTATGGACGGCTCGCCCATGGGATCAGGGATCGAAGATCAGGGTGGGGGTTACTTACGCTCTCCTTGCATTGCTCCATGGTGGCGTAGCTGTGCGGGTAAGGCACCTTGGCAGCCCTACGAAGGCTGGTGGTGATGCCGCCGTGGATGAAGGCCAGCACGGGGATTGCGCCCAGCGCGACGCCAATGACGGCGCTGAGAGGTGTGTCAGCGTGGGGAGTGGCAGGGGGAGGTTCAGGGATCCGGGGCTCTGCAGGGGTAGACAGGGATGGGGGTCTCTGCTGCTCACCCGTAGTTGTCAGGAACGGTGATTTGAACCATGGTGGTGTAGATAGTTTTGGAACTGCGATTGGAACAGCTGGTGCGAATTTGCAATCGTTAGTTGCGATGGCGTTTTCTACCTTTTATACGGTCGACAGGCAACCAAGCGACCACGTAATGAGTATATGGCATAAAGAGGTCCCGGAGGAGCTCGGTCCCTCCGCCCGGGACAATCAATCCCCCCGAGCCGCCCTGCTCAATGTGGCCGGTTTCAATGGTGGCGATGCCATTGGATGGGGCTTACCTGTATGCCAGATCGACAGTCGGAATGCTTAGAAATTATTCATAAACCACACTGCTTAATGCTGCTTCTACGTGTCCTTTTCATAGGACCATGGAGCCAGTGTGCCCTCCAGAGCTCCTGACAGGTCGCATTACCCTTATGGAAAACTGACCACTCTGGAACCTATATTTGCTCTGAGGCCCGTCGTTGATACTCATAGCTTGGTCTGCGGATCAATCTGAACAAAGTTGGGGACACCAATGGGTCATTGGGTTGATTTGCTCTACGGGTTGCGGATTCCGACGACATCGATCGGGAAGATATAATGGGGCACGGCCCCGGCTACCTGGCATGAATGACTATTGACAAGGCGAAATTATATGCACACTCGTGTATATTGTGATCATAGCAGCAGATCAAAGGCAAATGCGACAAATGCAACATATGGTTCAAAATTTACGCCGCTCTCCTCTCCACACCTCAACTATGGTCGGATTTATCCGGTCGGATGGACATTACCCGCATGCTCTCTCTTCTTGCCGGCAATGGGGCGACGACTAGAGCAGGGCTGGCTTAAACGCCCATTCGACTAACACTGCCGTACTTGGCCTGCCAGGCAAAAAAGTATAGTAGCGCCCCGAGTGGCTGGCCGACCAAGCAGAAGCTAACCCAGAAGATGCAATTTCCGATAGTCTTACCCTGCGGGCCGCTCATCTTCTCCAAGGGCGCCGTGAGGGCAATGAGCGGCAGTTGGAACATCATGCCGAAGAAAGCAACGCCTGGATGGAATCAGTCATGACTCGGAAAGAAAATTCAAGTGAAGATGACATACCGATAAAATTATGGGTGGGAAGGCCCACCAGCATTTCATGTAGAATAGCAGACAGTGCGAAGACCATCCCACTCGCTGCCAGAGGACTCCAGCCGCGGCCGACAAGCGGCGAGTACACATGCCGCTTCATGAACAGATACACTGGGCGGTTCCACGACCGCCAGTACCCACCCAGACTAGAGCTGTTCCACCAGTCGGTGTAGAACTCACGGTCTCCAAACTGCATCACTTCAGCCAGGGCGTTGAGCAGGGCCTGGAAGAGCGCGAAGAACCCGGCGAGCCAGATGATGAGCGAGATGGTGGAGAGCTTCATGACACGCTCCAGGATGGATGCAATGTCCATGACCGCAATCTTGTCGATCGAGTTGCGGAGAACGGGCGCCGCGTACTGTGCCGAGAGAAGCCAGATGAAAACCGAAAGGCCGACAAACTCCGCCAGCCGCTTCGCGACAAAAGACCAGCGGATTGAGGCGGTCCGTGGGTAGACGGGCTGGTAAACTAGCGTCGGTGCCATCCAGAAATATGCCAGGTTCTTGAGGGTCACGTTTCTGGGGTATGGACAGGTCGAGTAGATCTCGGGCAGGCCGGGGTCTGCGGAGGGATTGAGGTAGGCGAGACGCAGATCGCGGTTCGTGAATGCGTAGGAGCAGTTCTTCAACCACACAATGATCGCGTGCAGCTGGCAGAGGGTGCCAATTCCCGGGTGGTGGATATAAAAGTACACTACGAAGCTCGTAAGAGCAAGGCAAATAGAGGCGTTCAAGCTGTGAAGCAGGGCCGTGTAGCGCCAGGTGGATCGAAAGGCCTGCTGGTCACGCTCCTTTTCTTCGACTGTCTTTTTCTGCCGACCGACTGTCTGCTTCGCAGCACCCGCTGCAGAGAGCTCGATGGCATATGCCAGAAAGAGGTGGCATGGGACAAGAGCAAACAGGACGGAGCCGAGGATGATGTCCTGCTTGCGATAGTCGTGGCACTTGATGCAGATCAAGACGCCATACTATGTACTCAGTTAGCATTGGATGGATATCTCAATTGTGAATGTATCGCGAAAAGAACTCACTTTCATGAAATTCTCAATGATCAATCGAAGATTCATGGCCACTGCCCCACTATATCAGCTATCACATGCTATTGACCCTTGAACGGGATTAAGTTGAAGAATCAATGCCTACCGAGCACCAGTACCATCAGGTTTCTAAACCCGAGGAAGCTGGGTGTAGTCTCAGAATCTCGACTGAGACTCGACTGCCGCAGCTGCGCATGGTAAGCTGCGACATGGCGGTACTTGCTAGGTCGTTTCTTGGGCGTGGGCGCTGTCGTGGCCTCCGCTTTGTTCTCGGAGAATCCGTTGACAGAAGGACTGGAGTGTTCATGAGCGGTGGTCACAGCCTCCGTCTGCGAAGCCATTTTCAATGCTCCACAGCCTCTGACCCGAGGTGCAATTACTCAATTTCTCGGAAGAAAACTGGACGGGTGGGACTGGTGGCTTGAGGTCAGGCCGGAGAGGAGCTAGCTCTAGCGGGCGATCCGGGAGTACTCCGCCAAGCACGACGTCTCAGAGCAAGCAAGCAAGGGGCTCAGTTCGCCTCCGACATAGTAAGGAAGGAAGGAGAATGTACCCGGAGAGCCCGTGTCAGAGTGAACAGAGTTATGATATAAATCGCGCGGACCAGCATGGCATGAGAATGGCGGGTGGGGGAAGGCATCATAGCGCGCAGGCGACCGCAGATAACCCCGGCTGCAGGATGTAACGGCCCAATCACCGCCCCCGACAGCTCCGCAAGGAGGCCTGGCCCTGCACAGCTCCGACTTCTCCTCCCAACGCTTTCATTTTCTCCAATGATAATGCTCGCGCCCGTTAAGCTGCTTTCTTAACGCTCGGATTCCTTGTTCTCCTTAATGCGACTGTGATTGCATCCCCCCCACTACTGCCCAGTCCAGCCCCTGAAGGAAAAGGCCCATCATGGCCTACTACGAGGAGCATGGGGGCGATGCCCCGGGCAGGTTTACAAAGAATTATGACGGCCCCGTGGGTCCCCGCCGGCCAAGTACGTCTGCGATGATGCGTTTTGCGCCATATCCCCCCATCCCTGGAGGTATCCTCAAGGCCACGGCTCGACTGACTTCGATGCGCACACAGGACTGGTGACCGATTACGGCTCGTCGATGGTACAATGGATGCGGACACGGCGACCACGATATCGCAGCGAGCACCGCATGGAGATGGAGCGGCCAAGTGCGAGCTTCACGGTGGATGTAAGTGTGCTGCGCGAAAGGGTGCTCCGAGCTGGGCCCACGGCATGGCAGAGACTGACTGCGGCCGCTTTTTGCGCTACAGATGCTCCCGCCTATGGCGCGAACCTATTCCCCGGCCGACACGATACCTGTGCGACATCTGCACCAGTCGATTGGAAAGTCGAAAAAGCCCATTGTGGTGGTGCGGTGGACGCCTGAAGGACGACGGTTGTTGACGGGAGGGCACACGGGAGAATTTATGCTATGGAACGGCACGGCGTTCAACTTCGAGACGGTTATGGATGTGCGTGGTGCAGCAGTTGCCGATGGCAGTATGGCTTTGACTTGCTAACACACACTTTCTTTTCGAAAACAGGCTCACTACGATCAAGTCCAAGCAGGTGTTACGTCCCTCGCGTGGTCTCATAGCCAGGAGTGGCTGATCTCGGGCGGACAAAGAGGCGATATAAAATACTGGCGACCGAACTTCAACAACGTCGAAACCATCGACGACGCACACCACGATGCTGTCCGTGACTTAGCCTGGGCACCCAGCGACACTAAATTCCTCTCCGCGTCCGACGACACCACCCTCAAAATCTTCGATTTCACGTCGCGAACCTGCGACACGGTTTTGGCAGGACACAATTGGGATGTCAAGTCCTGTGACTGGCACCCGACGAAGGGACTGCTGGTCTCTGGCTCAAAGGATCATCAGGTGAAATTCTGGGATCCGAGGACGGCAAGATGCCTGACGACGCTCCACAGCCACAAGAACACCGTCACCGCGACGCGGTTCTCTCGCGTGAATCATAACCTGCTTGCCACCTCGTCGCGGGATCAGACGGCGCGGGTATTTGATTTGCGGATGATGCGGGACATTTGCATTCTACGCGGGCACGAGAAGCCTGTTTCGTCGTTGACATGGCACCCGATCCATAGCAACTTAATTTCTACCGGTGCCGAGGACGGCTCCCTCTACCACTACCTGCTGGACGAACCCAACCTGCCCAGCGGTCAGGTTCCTACCGTGGCGCCATATGACAGCCTCGACCCGGCCAACACTCCCCCGCAGATAATCTTCCCCGCGCATCGCGTTCAATACGCCCACGGTGCGACTATTTGGTCGCTAGACTGGCATCCGCTGGGCCACATACTTGCATCGGGGTCTAAGGATAATTTCACTCGATTCTGGTCTCGGGCTCGGCCCGGTGAGACTAGTTACATGAAAGACCGATTCCACATTGGCGAGGAGGCGGCCGAGGCCCAGGGTACCTGGAACCGCGGCTTCGGCCGCAGACAGATGCGCGAGGAGGAGGAGCAAGAAATGCAGGACGAAGCCGACAGCCTTGTCGATCAACGACGACCCGGCGCGTCTGCTTTGCCTGGCATCCAAGCAGGTGGTCCTCCTCAGCAGGATGGTGCAGGGTTCCTACCCGGAATTGGCGGTGCCCAGCCGCCTCCTCCACCAGGGCTGCCCGGTATGGGCGGAATGGACCCTGGCCGGCTGGCAGCCATCATGTCATCCCATCCTCCACATCAATCAGCAACCCCACCAAATCAACCAATTCCTGGTTTCCCCGTGCTCCCAGGGATGGGCGGCGCTCCGCCTATGAACATGGACCTGGTGCAATTGCAGAAGCAACTCGCGTCTCAGGGCTTCCCGATGCCTCCCAATATGAACATGTCGCCCGGGTTTGGCGGGCTCCCTGGTCTGCAGGGTGGTGGTATGCCTGACGGTGGTCGGAGATGACAAAAAGGAAAAGTGACAGTTTGGATTTGTATGTCAGATCTGGAATCGCAGGACTGGCGTAAAGGACATATACGCATGTGATAGCCATCGTGGTTGGTGGGACGGCGCTCGTTTGCGAATATCATTTCCTGGTGTATCATAGGAGCGAAAAATATTGATTCGGATTCCCCAATGTGTCAAATGCGTTGGTGCTGTTATCATACCCGGACCACTTGTAGGTGATAGACTGAACCCCCTGGAGAGGGGGCGTATAAATGCGCAGTAGATAACGATCTGGGCTCTGGTGTCAAAGACCACCTTGCATTGGGAAGCTCGTCAGAATGAGGATCATCACATTGAGACCGCCCCAGACCATGGGCAGCCAAGTTGACATCCTGAAATTACCCGCTTCGTATACGGCGCCGAGTCTGTGCGCGGCATTGTCAGCAAGATACAGACTCAAAACACTGCGAGCGCACACAAGATTGATGTCGAAGTACTCACACAAGGCCAACAATGCTCCCTGCTAAAAGCCCCTCCAGCCCTGCAACCACACTATACAGTAACGGGACTAGCCATATGACACTCCAATTCCGGAAGTGCGTCAAGACCGCCCATCCTGCGACCGTGAGATGCGTCGCGCCATAGAAGATCAAGGTCCAATAGAGCGTGAAACGCCAGATATCCGTCGTATAGTACAGGTAGTACGCTTGTTTATGATCCCCCGGGAGCGGATCGTACAGCCCAGGGAACTGAGGCACTTGATAGTTGATGGGGACCCGCTTATTGGACATGGGCGAGATGCTGCGGCAACTGGGCGGCTGCAGCGTAGGTCAGAGGCGTTCAAAGCATTGTCGGTGTGGTCGCTGGAGCTTAGTTGCGAGATGGGGCGTTTGGAGCTACGGGGAAATCACTCACGCCGTGCACAACAGATGACGCTGACTGTTTGCACTGTTTGACGACTCCAGACCTCGGCTGCCGATGGGTCCCATTTGTCTGGGGTCTCCGCGGCTCCCTCCACATCCACACCCCTGGGCCATGTAGAGCTGTGGCATTGCTGTCCGACTCGGGTCTGTACATCATGGCGACAGAAAGATCTCTGGCTGCGTTGCTGCGCTCGTTGCAGTCAACTTCCAACTTTGAAGATGCTTCTGGGTAAGTGGTGCCACCTTCGCGTTCGTTCGGACCTCACCGACAGCCGGCTAATGGTCATGACCTCCATTCAGTCTTCTTCCCACAGCCACCAGCTTCCTGTCTATTCTCGGAAATCCCCTAAATTTGACTCTTCTTGCGTCGCAGCTGCTCTCTGCGCCGGCACTGTGGAACCACCCTGTTGATCTATCAGCTTGTCGCAAGATCCTGAGCGTCTTTAACACCGCCGCAATCGCGGTCCTGCAGAACGATACCACCGAAGAAGCCCAAATACCGTATGGCGCGGGGCGCAATCGCAGAATTGAACGTGAAGCATGGGTCAAGGCCGTCGTTGAAGGCGCGGATGATAAGTCCCCGCGCTGGAGGCATACGCTCTTGCTCGGCGGGATTCTGCTCGGATTCGAGGGACAGAACAGACAGGGTCTCCCGTGGCATATCCGGACGAAACTCGAGTCTGCACTGGCAACGGCGGCACAATTGGCTCTAGAAGAGCTGGATACTGAGGCTGGAATTGATGGGTACTGCATCACTCTGGTGCTGAACTGTACATTTGAGCTCTTGTCGGATACGGAGAGGAGTAAGCTCAACTATGATCGCTTGTTGCCTATCATGGTGCGGTCTGTTTTCCATTCTCCGGAGGGTTTGGATGGTGGATACTTTTTGGGGGCTATTGATAAAGACGTCGTCGAGGTTCCTGGGAAGAAGTTCCGCTGGGCACCTGACTCTACCACTTTCAGATATGTGACTGTGGTAGCCGCGCGTCCTTTGGTCGGCGCACTTGGTCCTCTGTCCCGACTGATTGCGCACGCTGTTGAGAACGTGCGAGATCCCAAATTAGCCGCCCAGTCGGTCGATTATATGGCAGATTTTGTGCGGACGCTCATGGTGCAGTGGCGCCAAAATAAGTTGTCTGAGATCGATGTCGCCGAAGAGGCTGAGTTCTTGGATGCTGAGTCGCTGGGGACTACAATTCCAGCTCTCTGGACGGTTCTCCGGAACTGCATGTATTCTGTGATCATTGTTCTTCGCGCCGTGCTCGGAAGAACAATCAATGACCCGGCTCTTGCTGCTGGCAGCAGTAAGTTTATTACGAATTCCGTCCAAGTCCATTTGCTAACCACATACTATGATTTAGGTGCTCCATATCTATGCATACAATCTCTTCATATTCTCCGCAACCTATATTTCATCTCTTCTCGAACCGGACAGAACGCATCCTCGCAGCAGAACTTTGTGTTCCTCGCCGCTATCGATATCCTTTCCCAATACCCTGACTTAGCCGAGAATTTCTTGCGCAGCATCAAGCCCAGGGACCTTGGCCAGATCCCCGACCATCCCGTGGAACGATGCTTGGATCTGTTCTTCTTGAATGCAGCAGAGCATTTCCCCTTGGTCTTGACCCCCGAGGCTAGTGAGGAGCTGCTTTTGTCGGCCGCTTTCCCGTACCTTGCGGCCGGCGCCAACAGTCTGCTGCTTGAAATCTTTGAAGCAGCTCACAGCTTGGTGCTTGTTGTCTTTGCTATTCCTCACAACTCCGAACTGGCCGCCAAGCACCTGCCTTTCTATATCGAAAACCTCTTTTCTGTAAGCTACCTTAATCCTCGACGAGCTTTGCAACGAGTTCATCCTGACAAGAATCTAGGTCTTTCCTGAAAATCTGTCTGCTAGACAGTTCCGCCTGGCCTTCAAGACGGTCATCCAAGTCACCGCACCTCCTTCCCCTCTAGCTAACAGTCAACCACTTCTCCCATCGATTCTGCTCGAGGTTGTCCGAGATCGCGCAATGACCGCATCAACCGCACCTATCCCCCCAAACGCCCAGAACAGCTCGTCCTCGGAGCAACCACCCCTCTCCGCGCAAGCCGTGCTTACCCTCGCATTAATTGACTCGCTCTCCTTCCTTCGAGTCGATGATCTGGAAGAGTGGCTCCCCCTCACAGCCCAGTTAATCAATACAATCCTAGATCGGGGCATGCGCCATGCATGCATTGATCGCTTCTGGGAGGCGTTGAGTGGCGGGGAGATGGATGTGGACCGAGCGCACTGCTGTGTCGCCTGGTGGAGTACCCGAGGCGGCCGTGAGCTCGTCCTTTTTGGCGCTGAGTCTGCCGCTGGTGCGGGCCCTGGCGGAGAAGATGGCGGGCCTTATATGAGTGGCGCTGTGGGTACAGTCGCACCGGAAAGTAAGCTATGAAATCAACAATGGGGGCGGAGGAGGAGGCTTTGTTGCATTGTACGAGCGTTCATTAATGGTCCATGTCCATACCATATATATACCAGGGCGGATTACCGTCCAATACGAGACCTATTTTCACGATTGAATAACCAAGGGCTCATACCTCTCTTTATTGTCTAAATCCCATGACGCCGTGTTTTCCCTTTCAGCGAATCATGGGGATTCCAACCGGGGTATCCTGTCTATACTGTACATATTCGGCACCAAAAAACTGGACCAAGAACGCTTCTTCGCCTGCAGCCGAACAATTTCAGTCAGCGACGGCATTTGAGAAAGAGATTCCAAGGATTGGGATTCACTCACGCTTGATCCGAGTGGAAAAGAACCTCCACAGCACCAGAGCATACCCGACAAAGCACACTACATTCCCCAGAACCAACTGCGTCCCCAAGCCCCACCAAAAGAAGCCAAAGTAACTGGGATGCCGCAGGTATCCATACAGCCCCGTCTTAACCAGCATATGGCCCTCCTGACGCTCCGACTGGACATGATGGTTAAAGTTGCTCCCCGCCTGAGCCATCGCCATTGTCCGCACGACCTGTCCCACCAACGTGAGCACGAAGCCCACCACAAGCGGTAGCGAAATCGATATTCCGAAGATAGGCTCCGTAAAAGAAAGCCACTGCCCGATCCGAGTCTGCTCCGGCCAGAGCAAGTGCGATACAATACACTCTACGGCCGCAGACCCGTGCGCCACGTTGTATGCCCAACCGTTCGAGGTGAGCAGGAATGCGCCCACCGTGGCGTAGCGTGTATTATACCGCGCCGTGACGAAGTACTCGAGGAAGTGGAAGAGGCTCAGCGCAGCGATGAAGAACGGGACGCGCCACAGCGGTGTCGGGAAGACTGTGCTTAGGAGGATTGTCAGGGAGGCTGTGATTCCGAGAGAGGTACCGAGCAGAAAGGCGCGCAGCGAGATGCCGGACAGCGATTTCGTGCCGCCCGGGTAGTTGGACCGGTCAAGGTCGGGGGTGGGAGAGCTCGAGCTCGAGCTCGCGGTGTCGCTGCCACGGCGTTCGGCCAGGAATGATGGGTGCCATTCTTGCTCGTGTGGGTTTGCGAGCCGCTCGATCGGCCAGGATATGTTGGGGTCACCAGGTGTAGCCTGCGAGCTGGAGGTTGTCGCGTTGGTCATTGCGTGGGTTGGAATTGTTGGTCGGAGGGAGTGGATCGAGGCTTTGGAATACGGGGTGTGATATGTGAATAGGGATGCTGTCTCGGAGTAAATTCATTCGCCGGCCTTTTATAGCGAGTTCAGGGCGCCATGTTTCATTGTGTTGCAGCGAGTGTGTGGCGGATTGAGAACAATCGGCGGTGGATTGTTGTCGGCCGCAGCTAATCGCTTTTATCTCCCCCCCCCAAGCCCCTCCCCCCAATTGCTTAGCTCCGGCCTCCGCGATGGAGACTGTTTAGACGACACGTTTACAATTCACTGGGCTGAGACTTGCTGAATTGTACTCCAGGTGCGTGCGACGAAGACAAAAGACAGGGCATCGAGCGACGGCAACTATGGCCGAACTTACTGAGCGCGAGAAAATGCTTCGCGGGGAGCTCTTCGTCTCCTTCACGCCCGATCTGATCGCAGCTCGGAATCGCTGCAAATACGCCTACACTCGATTCAACAATGCCGGCGAAGTACCTCGCAGGCGTCTGGTCGAGCTTTGGCGAGAGTAGGTGGACCCAATTGCCATTATTTTTCACCCCCGTTCGACATATGAATACAGTTCTAAACCTTTTTCTTATTTCCAGTGTCATCCAGGACAAGACTCCTCTGCCACCACAGCTGGATGATCCCGTAGCAGATGATGAGCTTTTCAAGAATGAGCCCTGGATAGAACCGCCCGTCAAAGCAGACTATGGGTTCAACGTAATCATCGGCGAGAATGTGTTCATCAACTCCAACTGCGTCTTCATCGACAGCTTGCCGATTACTATCGGGGCCCGCACGCTGTTCGGTCCCAGCGTTAGCTTGTTTGCGGGGACCCATCCGGTGGATCCTGCAGTACGAAATGGCATGGAGGGCCCTGAGATGGGAGCTCCTATCACCATTGGGGAGGATTGTTGGATTGGCGGAAACGTCACCATCCTCCCGGGCGTAACTATTGGCAAAGGCTCGACTGTTGGGGCTGGGAGTGTGGTCACGAAGGTATACTCAGTTTTGAAGTTTCTTCTGCGTTCGATCTCTGCTATTCCGTTGGACATTTTCAACAATTTAGGTGCAATGTTTGCTGACGCGGAATTCAACAGGATGTGCCCCCCTTCCATGTAGTTGCTGGAAATCCAGCCAAAATCATCCGCAAGATTGAAACAGTCATGAAAGAATGAATGCTCGCAGGGAATGGTGACTAGAAAGAAAATAGACACGGATGCTGTGCTTTCTGGTGCAACGTACCCCGAACCGCGGTATACTAGAACAATGGAACCTCTGATTTGGGCTACATCTTTGGCATGTAGGCCTGGTCCGTTCAGCGCTGTCTGTATTATTAGCTTTGCTATAGAAAAAAAGCTATCTATGGAGTCGCTATGGCATTATTTTATAGGTAGTGTGTCTGCGTTTACTGACGCGATCGACACGGACGGGAGATTCCAGTCCGCTCAGCCACTGCCAATTTATATTGTTTGCCTGCACATGTGCCCGCCCACACCGTGGCTGGCCGGGGACAAGAGAAAACACTATAGAGGTAGTCAGTAATAAGCCAATAACCCAGCAGATGCGACCGGAAGCACTAGTGACCCTGGAAAGCCCGTACTTTATAAACAGGGTCAGTCGTGTGGGCTGCACCTCCCCACAGCACAACGTCACCGATCTCCTCAGGTCGCGTCCCCAAAAACGCCCTCGACCGCTTTAACTGCCCTCAAAACACACCTCACTCCCCCTCAGCTTGCGCTCACCTCACTCCGGCAGATCCCGGAGACTCCGACAATCTCATCACCTTGCCCTTACCTTCCTCCCTCTTCTGTCCCAGCTACACCACTCCTTGTCATCCTATCGGTGAGGAAAATGTCATGGCAGAACCCCCGCCAGCGAGCTCTCGCACCCCGCCTGGCGCGCCGTTAAACGAACCCACGCGACCTCTCAGCGCCTCGATGGAAGACCTTGACCCTGAGAGGGTCCAAAAACGGCCGCGTCTGGACAGTGGAAGTGGTGACAGTTCCTCCGTATCGATCGGGGCTGCTACTGCTGCTGCTGCCGCTGCTGCTGCTGGGACGCCGGCCGCGCCTGCCTCGGAGATGGACACCACGTCTGACCAGGCGTTCCCCGCGTCCAAGGTCACCATCAACATGAAGTCTCCAACATCAAAGATGGCGAATGACACCAACACCTATTCACTGGGGCCTCCAGGCACCACTGCCTGCCCCGACTCACCCGAACCCGACGCGACACCAATCAACGTGATCTCCATCTCTTCCTCTCCCTCCCAAAGTCCCGAGATCGAAGTCGCAGAGCTTGAAGACATGGATCAAGATCCGAATAACTCGAACTGGCGACCGTTGGAGGATGCATTGCAGGACAACGCGCCGTCCGAGGTCGTCGAGGTTCAAGATCTGGCACCTCTGGTCGACTCGTTCCCGCGAGTGCGCGAGAATATTAGTGCGCAGGACAGCTTGAACAGAATCTCCGCCATAATACAGAAAGGTAAGCTGTGTACGCCTACGAATTGGGGATTCTTTGTGCTGAGCTTTGCTGGAACAGGCGACCCCCGTGATACCGATGCCGTCTCGGCAGTCAAGAAATGGATGGACAACTGCGTGGAGAATCTGGATCGGCTTACAATAGGAGAGTTCTCAGATGCTCGTGGTTTCTGGGAGGATTTCCCTCATCTGGTGGAGAACGTGCTGCGCAGACCGTACGTCCCCTCACCGATACGGGTGCCTAGGTTCCCGAGCTAACATGCACTTCTAGACATGAAGTGTTGATAGATGATGCTTCAGGAAGAGGCCCTTGGGTTGGTCTGGAAGAATTTCTTTTCGATTATGTACAGATCGCTCTTCATATGATCCGCATGGAGTGCCTAGTCTTGCGCCATCTTGTCGATGAGCCAGAGACCGTGACAGAGGAGAGCATCTGCAAAGAATATCTCCAGCCTCTCGCCTTGGTGCTGCTACCTGCGCAGATACCGACACCTTTGTATCGGGCCTTGGAGAAGCTGTACCCCGCAGACGCGACCAACTTGGTCATCCAGATCCGGGCAGCAACCCTTGCTCCTCCGATTGATATCGCCCGGACACTCACAGAATGGACATCCCTCATCCTTAAGCTTATTCCTCGATACCCCCACCAAACCGGCTCGCTGTACCACATTATGCTGATTGCGAACACTCTCGCGGATTGTCAATTAGAGCGAAGCCAGGACATGGATGACGACGATACAAGTGATTCTTCAATAACCGAGACACCTTCAATCCGCAGCCTTTACGAGATGGTCCGCCTTATCGATGACATGTATCAGGAATGGATCACTAAAAAATCTCCCTGGGCCACGAGTGATCTGAGTGAGCAGTTGTTGCGTGCAATCTCTCACCACTACAAACACCAATGTGTTCGCAACCCTGAGTTCGTGAATGAGCTCTCCAATGACCTATCCATTTCGCTTCCAGAGGACGCTAGTCTAGCAGAACAGGCTTTGGTCATATTCTGGACTTGGAAGTTTGGTGTCTTAAAAAAGCATATCATGGAAGGCCGTATGGAGCTCCGGGTTCACGGCGTGGAGGCGATGCAGTCAGACTTGGTTCATGTTTGGAGGTCCAGTATCTCTTCGAACTCTGGAGGTGTCAACTTGCCATATGTGCAACAGTTGGTCCAGTTCATCCAAGACAACCAGATTGTGGATTACCTCGTGGGCGTCGACTCCCATCCACAATTGATCAGCAGAAGCAGCAACATTGTGGGTTTCCTGATTGTGACCAACACATACACCGACTCAGTGACAGACGTTATCTGGAAGACAGTAACGGAGAGCCAAGACGGCCGAATTGTCTCCGAGGTTCTATCGATGCTTGTTCGGACCTTCGGGATGCATCCCACGGCGGCTCCAAATTTGCTCTATGTTTGCAAGAAAGTATTGGAGTTGCCCCTGGACCGCTTCGATACAGGCATGCTCGAATTTTGCAACAGGTTGCTGAGTCGAATGTACGAGCATCCATCGGAACGAAGGGTCTTTGACAATTCTGATCCAATTTACGTGGATACACTCCCGCTGCAACTCTGCGTACGCCTTATCCGGGACAGCACGGCGGCAGATGATCTCTCGGTTGAGCAAAAGAAGAACCTGCAGAAATTTGGCAGCCAGAGGCTTGTGAGCTTAATCAGCGCGGGCATCAGCGAGGCTGATAGAATGGGTATCTACGAGCGCTGCATCCAGGACATCGCTGAGATGAACCAGTTTACTGCTGGTAGTATCCAAGCATTGAGTGCTCTTGTACCGGCCAACGATGTACAGGAGATGTGGAAGTTGGCAACAGACTTTGACTTGACCGGCTTAGTGATTGCCGACCTGCTTCAGACTGTGAAAAATGATCAGGATGACTTTGCCGACGACTTTTCCCATCTCGGCTTGGTCTCACGACTGACAATCCTGTTTCGCCTCATCGACATGGTTCCGGAAACCATCACGGCTGAGCTTGGAAAAGCCCTGTGGGACGACATCCTGTTGTCGGACAAACTTGGACCTGAAGGGCACAATGCTGTGTGGAATATGCTGGTCAGTGCTTTGGGCCGGAGCAGCAAGTCCAATCCATTCCTTAACAGGTGCATCCACGAGTATCTCCCGAGCTTGGTCCCCAAAGACTACACCAAAGAGATACTGGCGTTTGCGAAGCAGTCGATCATTTATGAAGTTCGATTCAACCCACCGCCTCCAGCTGGTGAGAATGAGGTTGTGTCCATTCCAGGAATGGATCGCATTTGGACTTTTATTTTGACTGCTCCACCTGGCACGATCGAAGTACAGGCTACTAGATTCGCTATTGAGGTCTATCTGGATCATTCCATCATCCGCAGCTCGCCACGATCAGCCGTTGAGGCCACGCATATTGCACTTGTGGAGCGTTGTGTGGATCAGCTCAAATCCGCCGCTGCGACTCTCAAGGCTCTAGATGGCAACGGAGATTCTCCGATGGAGTCCGAGACTGAAACCGGTGAACTAAGCGCCGAAGAACTTAGATTCAGACGCTCTCTCTACTTCCTCCACCACCTGCTGAGTGGCTTGCGAGCTCGTCCGCAGTACAGTTCTCCGAAGGGCTCTCCACCTTCACTTCCGGAGAGGCCGCTGAAGGGTAATCCGGTTGATATATCTTGGCAGTCATTCAATGGCAATACCAGTTCCAAAGTCAACATCCTCCAAATTGGCGGCCTGTCAACCGCTGCCGACCTGGTGGAGCGGCTCACACAACTTGCCGGATTTTCCAAGTTCTCGGCAATTGCTGGCGGTCAACGAGTTGAGCTGCTGAAGAATCCGGATGCCATGGTGAAGGACATGAAGGTTCTTCAGGCGGGACTTATTATGCTCCGAAAGGCACCGGATGCCCAGGAAGTGTCCCGGGTCGACAGCAGGCGACAGTCGCTTACATCCGTCGATTCGGAAGTGTTGAAGCACTTCGATGAGCTCTATGACTTGCTCGCTCTCAATGATGACCTGGCTCGAGAAGTAAGTTGAATTTGTCAATTGTCTGACTTGTGTCTTACTGACTTCAATTTTCTTTTTCCAGATTTTTGATTTCCTTGTCACATTTTCTCCTCAAGATCGAGTCCTGAACCTTGTCAAATCGGAAAACAGCAGCACGAAGGATCTTTTTCCTTTCGAAAAGCCCTTCAATGCATTTTACTCGTTTAGCGCGCTGCTGGTCTGTCTTCGTGAAGAAGCCGTCCAGGACTCACCGAATCCTAGCTTCGTTTCCCACAGCATCCAGACTTTGGTGGCATTCTTAATGGCGGACGAACTATCCGAGTCCCTTGCTCAGGACCCAATCCGGCTGTACCTTGCTTCCTCTGCAGTCGAGTGTCTTTTGGCTGCCATTACCGTCTACAGTGCTGCCAGCAACGAAACATTGGTCGCTTCTGAGCCAGCTTTCCTTGTGAAACGGCTCCTTTATCTCATTGAGATATCTCGCTCTGTGACTGAAAATCCTCTCTTGAACATGTCAAACATCCAAAAATTGATGTGCAGCTCCTTCGCTGTTCTTATAGAAGCCTCGATTCGAGACCAGGGCTTCTGGACTGCAGTGAAACACGAGGCCCAGCTCAGCCTCTTAATCAAGGCCTTGCTTCTCGAGGAGAGCCGACAGCCGATCCGCAGTGACGTATCGGAGAGAATCAAGATGACTTGCAGCGTTTCGAAGTTGTTGAAGGAGTCATCCAAGATTTCCAATGGAGATCTGTCAACTGTGTCTAACACAGATAGTCCCGCTCGGATCGACATGCTCGCCACTATTTGGAATGCCTTTGTTGAAACGATCCCGATGACCCCGGACCATGCTACACAGTCCGCAGAATTCTTCAGAGTCGCTCTCTGGGTTTTTCGCTCTGTCGCCGAAAAGTCTCCTCAGGATATTATTTTCAATCAGTATCTGAGGCAATGGAGCGAAGTCATGCTTCGCCATAAGACTGAAGAGGTATGGTTCAATCTCTTCAGGCTTCTACAAAGAATAAATGCTAACCAAATCATAGTTCGTCGGACGCGAGCCAGTTGATGACCTGATTTTGGGATTTGCGAGCCTGTTAGAGCAGTGTCTTGAGTCAGCAGACTCCGTCAATGTTGACTTGGAAACCTTGTGGGTTCTTTCTTGTCAAAGTGCCAAGGTGACGATGACGCTGATATTTCTTTTTTTCATAGCGATCTTGCGGAGCAAGTCTGGAACAATTATCTTTTCCCAGAACTAGCCCCTGATACGGAAGAGGTCATCGTCCCTCGAATTCCCCTCATGCACACGGTGACTCGTGAAAAGCTCTACAACATAGTGAAACTACTGTGCAAGCGAAGCGACAACAATGTTGCACGTGTCATGCAGCAGTTAGAAGGTGTGGTTCCTCGAGGTAAGTCTTGCTATCATTTTTGACTCCAGAAAATCATCATTTAACAACTTGAACTTGATAGATGAATCATATGGCTTGAATGGGTGCCATGACCGTTCCAAGATGATTAGAGCACCAGAGGGGTATGCTGGTCTCAGGAATCTTTCGAATACGTGCTATTTGAATTCCTTGATGACCCAGCTATTTATGAACATCGACTTCCGAGACTTTATGCTGCAGCTCAGTATTGTAGACCCTAACGAGTCCCAGAGACTTCTCGATGAAACACAGAAGCTCTTTGCCTGGATGCAAGACACTTGGACGAAGAGCGTTGACCCTGATAATTTTGTTGAGAGCATTCGGACTTATGAAAATGAGGCAATCGATGTCACCATCCAGATGGACGTGGATGAGTTTTACAATTTGCTCTTCGACCGTTGGGAGGCTCAAATCATGGACCCGGAAGTGAAGAGGAAGTTCCGATCTTTCTACGGGGGCCAGCTGGTCCAACAAATCAAGTCCAAGGAATGCGCCCACATCTCGGAGAGACTAGAGCCGTTCTCTGCCATTCAATGCGACATCAAGGGCAAAGCCAGCCTGGAGGAAAGCTTGCAGGCATATGTCGAGGGAGAGATCATGCAAGGAGACAATAAGTACTCCTGCACGGGTTGTGGCCGCCATGTGGATGCTGTGAAGCGGGCCTGCTTGAAGGATGTTCCTGACAACCTTATTTTTCACCTCAAGCGTTTCGATTTCGACATGGTGACTATGATGCGGAGTAAGATCAACGATGAGTTCAAGTTCCCGCAGCTTATCGACATGACGCCGTATAAGGTGGAATACCTCTCCGATCCCAGCACTCCTGTTGAGCCGGACATGTTTGAACTGGTTGGTGTTCTGGTCCATACCGGCACGGCCGAATCAGGGCATTACTATTCCTACACCCGCGAGCGACCCTCCACCGGCTCTGGGCCGTTATGGGTCGAGTTCAATGACTCGGACGTGTCTAAATTTGACCCTGCGACAATCGCAGATAATTGCTTTGGTGGTCAGAGTGATGCTGTGCACACTATGGGAGGTGTGCATCTTAACAAGGTTTGGAACGCCTACATGCTGTTCTACCAGCGTGTCTCCACGATGGAGACGGCCAAGCAGAACTACCAGCCATTGAGACCAAGTTATCCTGTGCGGGTTCCTGTACCAACACCCTTTGCCAACCACATTGCCATGGAAAATGAGGTGTTCATTCGGACCTACTGCCTTCTGGACCCAGCGTACACATTGCTTGTTCCGGAATTATTGCATCGCATGCAACAGATGGATCCCGACTCTGCAGGATACCACCAGTTGAAGCTGATGGGGGTCGATATCGGACTGGATACCCTCGAGCAGTTGATTGCACGGACAAAAGATCATAAGGGACTTGATGATGTCTACGGAGAGCTTTCCAGGCTGACTCGCAACCCTCATGGCGCTCTTCAGGCCCTTCAGTGGTTTGCTCGGTGGCCAACTGCAATGCGAAACCTCATGCTAAGAATTGCCCATTACGAAGTTCGGCAGAAGGAAACCGCTCTCCTCTTCAATTCTGTGAATTGTCTCCAGCTGTTTTTGAGAGATCCAACTCTCGATGACGGGAAGCGCGGAGAGTGGCAGTACGAGCTTGACAAGGCGATCCAAGCCATTGTGGCAATGTTAGCTCAGTTATGGCCCTCTCTCCAGACCGTTCCTCGGGTGTGGGATGAGTATTTCGCGTTTTTCATCAGGCTTGTGGAGTTAGGAGAGGAGATGACCGGTGCCGTTCTTGGCAATGGCATGCTTGTCAAGTGCCTAGAAATCATCTGGCTCGATCCTGAAGACAGGAAGAACCTGAAGGGACGCTATTCTGGCTACTGCAGGTTGATAGAGAAAGGCCGCCGATTTTCCTACAAGAATTTGATGACCCTTTGCGCGATGCTTTTCGAGAGAATTGACCTCTCACTCCCACCTGCCCCCCCTGGTCGCGCCCGAACAATGTCGCCTGATGGGAAGTTTTCACTCAGTGGGGCGGAAAGCAAGTTCATCAAGCCTTTGGAGTTCCAAAGGCCTACGGATAACGAGGGAGTACTTGTCTTCTTGATGAAGTTACTTCACCATGATCAGATGTGCGTTCAACCAGAAATCTATCATGCCATCGTCGCTTCCTTCCTTGCAGCCGAGCCTCAGGCTGGCTCCCTGCCACACATTGCCAGGACACTGGAGGTTGGCTTGCGGTATTCGCCCGCAGAGCTTTGCATTCCATTCCTTGATTCGACCCTGGTTCTCTGCAAGTATTGTCCCGATGAAGACACTATTCTCAATTTGATTCACTTTGTCGCGAAAGGAGTGGAATCTATCAACAATAGCGCAGGGAACGAGCACCTCGAGTTCTTCATTCATCTTTGCAGCACGGTCAATGAGCGACTACAGCTGGATGCCGACTGGTTCACCGTGGTTGTTCGAGAGAGGATCCCCGATTTTGCCCCAACTCTGCTGACTTACCACCATCTGCTTGTCCGCCGGGGCACGACGGAACTCTTGCGAAGTTTACTTTTCATCGATGACTTAAGTGAAGAGATGCGGTTGCGACTGCCGCGCATTGCTCGCGAACTCACCCATGCCTGTATCCAGCGGATTACCAGCTCCTTCCTTGAGAGCCAGGTTCAAACCGTCGAGTCTCTACTCGTCTATCCCATCACCTCGACCATTACACATTGCTTAGAGACCTACTTTGATGAGGACAATGAGGATGACGAGAGATTTATTCAACAGGCAAATGGTACGTCTTCTTTGACTAATTTCTCTCTCACGGCCCAGTCAAGCATTGACTAACAGAATGTATTACAGCGATTCTCTTACGCTTGGAAGAAATGACCGTTGACGTCCCAGATGACGGCGCCTCAGGTAGCACCTCCCGTCGCAACCCCACAAAACTCGCTCTCAACTAACTTGGGGACCCAGAATCCGATATGCCCTCTCCCGAAGAATGGGAAGCCACATCCGCATTGGCCAGCGACTCCGAAATGGGCCTTGCGGGGACCCCTTAGATGCAATGGAACCTGGTATTGTCATACTCCTGAGCCTGTCTTTTTCTCATTTTATGTTTTTCTTTGTCTGGTTTCAGGCGGTTTCATTTTGGCTTGAGCGATGAGCGACGTGAATCCTCTGACGGCAGGATTCTTCTACGATTTGATGACCTCTGCGTGATTTGACCCTTTAGCTCTCTGTCTGGTGGGGACAGGCGTTGCTTTCTTAGAAAACGGGGCTGATAATGACCCTGTTTGGATGTTGCACCAAAGGCGCTACGGCAGAGAATATCAATCTCTATGAATGCTACAGTTTGTACAACCTGTGCGCTCTCGTAACCTTTCCCATGCGTAGCGAGCTGGCTGAGGGGAAATAGTGACCAAGTGCTCTGTCCGCATGGCGAAGGGAAGTTGAGTTGGGTTCTTTGCCGGCAAGGTTACTTCTGCTTTTGCGATACATACATCGGGTCTCCTTTGTAATCCGCATTTGGAAGGGCTGACTGGTCATATTCATGGATTAATATTGCTAATGCGATAGGGTAGGTAACATGACACTGGCGAGCTCCTAAATAGACCTTGGTAACTGATTGGCATAAAAGATGAGGACACACGGCACCATCGGGAAAACGACTTGTACTTCGAATGACACATTAAAAGCCCCCTGAATCCATAGACTTTCCCGCAGAAGTACCGAACTTTCCTTGCGAGACTCTGTCGGACTAATGGTGTTGGCGCCGGATGGTGGTGAGGAGGTTCTGAATCCTTTCATGATCCTGAACCAAATGGAAGGCTGGAAGGTCTTCGATATCGTGTTCACGGAAGATCAAGAGAGGAATATCATCGCCAATGTCGTAGGAGAAGAAGGTAGCATTTCGGACATTGGCGATGATACCGAATACACGGCCTGCACGACCAGGACGACGACGTTTGCCGAAGATCGAATCCATGTAGAGTTCCAGGTGGTCTGTCCAGCGAGCCAGCCCTGCAGTCAAATCAGACGGTTCGGGGGCAGTGCGGCAGATGACGACCAGGAAGGGCTGGCGTTTGTGGTCGGTGATGTGCCGGACCTGCAGATCGTACCAGAATTCCCGTTCGTTGAACCATCCGTGTTCGCGAGGGGTGATGAGGTAGCCCTCTTGCACGGGAAATATGAGGCTGAGGATGCTGTTCCAGACGCCGAGGATGACGGCGTTCCAGGGGATATTGGGTTCGTTGCGGACCAGCTCGATCTCGCAAGAGAGCGCGTGGTTTTGGAGCTGATGATGAGAGCAGCGGTTAGGTATATGGATTTCAACCGCCGTCTATCTCACTTACGTAGGTGCTGGACATCTTTTCTCGCTAGAATGGAGCTGTGTCTCTGTGTTTCTGTGTAGATGTTGAGTAGTAGATGGAGCCAGGACTGTGTGAAAGGGCGTGAGCAGATATCAAGGTAGAGAGAGCGGTATGGGCAAGAGGATTGATGGGTGAGAAGAAGGTAAGAGAGAGCAAGTGGAGGGGTCGCAGAAGTCGATGAAAGATGAGGGCCACTGAGTGGAAGGAGAGAAACTGGCTTGAGATATCTTCGTTCATTAAAATTAGGCCACGGCCACTCCGCTCCCGTGAATGGAAGGAACCACCCTAGGCAACAAAGCTCTTTCTACAGTCTTCAATGTTAGGCAATGCCTGAACCAGAGAGTGTTTTTCTACAGTCTTGTACGGCCGAAGCCCGTCTTAACACATGTGAGAAGTGTTTGGTATGTTTTGATGGGCATATATTTCATACCAGCATGTGGGAGCTGGCAAGGCGCCTGCGCCGATGCCATGAAAAGTGAGGCTCCCGTCTATCATTTTCGACACCAATTGGACAAGCAATATGGACGACAGCATATCATACATCCTCAAACTCTTCATCGTCCTCATCAGACTCTTCATCCTGCAAGTCGGGCTCAGGCTTCGCATCAAACTCAGGCTTGATGGTAGGCTCGGAGTTGGTCCCCGACTCCATCTTGATCTTCTTCATCGCGGGTCCATCATCAGCAGGTGTAGACGGGGTACCAACGGTGGAAGGAGCAGCGCTGGAGGTATCATGTTCTCTCTTGACCCCAGCCAGTCCAGGCGAAGGCATAGGGAAACTGGTAGGGCCAGCTCCAGTGGCTGGGGTACCTGGACCACTGGGGCCAGATATTCCCACGTCTTCAAACTCCTCGTCAAAGTCATCCGAGTCCTCCTCGGCACTGCTGGCATCTGCTTGTGCCTGCATAGCATTCTCTTTCTCCATCTCAGCATAGTATGCGGCAACCTTGGCGTCCAAGGCGTCCATGCTAGGCTTCTGGTCCTCATCCTCAAGCTCTGACTTCAGAGGAGCACCAGCGTCGTTCTTCAGCTGCGCAGTACCTTGGGCGGCATTCACAGTGGAATGCGTGTGCCATACGGGCAAAGCGTTCTGCTTTTCCACGGCAATCTTCCGAGCAGCCTCCTCGGCCTGCTCGGCGGCACTCTTCTCGGCGCTGGACGTGAGAGAGATCTCCAAAGCAGCAGCATCGGTCTTGATATTTCCACGGACAACATCTTGGGTCTTGGGAGGCACCGCGATAGCCGCACGAATCGGGTGAGTGCTCTGGTTCCGGGGAACCTCAACCTTGTGGTCCCAGGCGGTGTCAAAGTCGTTGGGTGGGATTTCCACTGAGTCAATTTGCTTCAGCAGCTTGAGCATTTTGTCAAGCTGTGCCATGAGCTTGCTGTTCTTCTCATGTCCTGTTCGGTCAATGCCCTCCGTGCCTCTAACATCCTCGGTCCGCTCCAGGATCGCCCCGCAGTTCTGACACTCAAATCCTTCCTCGGAAACTAGGCTGAGCACGTCCAGCTCGGTCCATTCGGCCAGGCATCGCAGACAAATGTATTCCTTGCGCTCCTCGCTCGGGGTGTACTGGGCTTTGATCGTCGATGTTAATTTGGAAACCTTATACTTGATCGCGTCGATGACCGGGTGCAGGGGTATATAATAGTATTCGCGGTTCACGGGCCGAGTCGAGCCATCGCGAATTTCTGCGCGCGTGCTCCTACAGTCAGAAAAATCGACTTTGGTTAGCTTTAAAGGTCGCGGAGTGCGTCAACAAAGGCGAGCCGTACACTGCAATCAAACGATCCTCCCGCAGCCGGGCGCAAAGCTTGCGCAGGTCCTTTTGCTGCATCCCCATCAAAAAAGCGAGATCCTCCGCATGGAGGCTGTGGTATGTCAGCCAATTGAACATTCCAATCGCAGTCCCTTTGGAGGGCATCGTACACCGAGTGTAGGAAGAGCGCATCGACGACCAAGATGTGGCGGGTCTCGTAGAAGGCACGTACAACGCTTCTGATGAGCGTGTTGGCGAGATCCATGGCTGCGACTGCTTCTCTCCTAGAAGTGCTAGCGCAGCGTCCGCGGTGGCAGATAGCTCGAGGCTTGGAAAGGCGGAAGACGGGGCTTCTGGTGGCGGTTTTTAAGGAGCAGAAAGAATCATCATCTCTCACAGACTCGTCGCGAGATGAAGTCTAAGTAGAGATGGGAACACGGGCGCAGGGTAGCGCAAGGCAGGTGCGCCAGGTCGGGGGATACAAAGAGGCTCTGTGAATTGCGGCTGGGAAAGCTTCCAGACACTTTGACGGCCTCGCTGCCTGGGGTGTTGAATTACCAGTGACAGCCTAGCGTTGGGACCTGCACTAACCGGATATAGCCTAGCGCCATTCACCGTGGAAAATGTCCGCGGCCGCAGCTGCGCAGTCTGCGAACGACTTCGCAGTCTCGAGTTAATGCGCGCCTCTACTGTCTGGCAGCGCAATTTCACGGGGATTTTCTCTTCTCCTCGTGTCTCCAGTTCTTGCCGATTTTATTTCCACCCCCGAGTTCAGACTGTTGCTCGACGACATACTCAATTTCTCCACATCAAGACGAACGCTGAAACTGAGCTCGCGGAGTTCTTCAAACGGGTGCCATGGCCGACAACGATGCAGGAGGAAAGGGAGCTGGTGGACGGCGTAAGAACCGCGATATGGGACGGTCAGAATGGAGGTATGTGGCATGGGGTTTCCAAAAGTACGGCCGGAGCCCAGCGGCTAACCAAGGAAGTCGTCAAAACATAGACAAGAGGGCACGCACGGAAGAAAAAGAAGCGGCTAAGCGCCGCAAGCTCGAGAATGGTGAAGCGATCGCGACCCCTATCTATGCCACGGAGTTCTCGAAGGACGAAATCGACAATGAGGAGCGCCGTCCGAAAAAGAAAGTTGCGGTCATGATCGGTTACTCTGGAACAGGTTATTATGGCATGCAATTGTATGTGGATGCCTTGTTGTTGGTCCTAGTAACTCACTTGATATTGGTACTGACGCACGTTCGAATTCGAATAGAATCGAGGACAAGCCAACCATCGAAGGCGAGCTGTTTGCGGCCTTGGTCGCAGCTGGCGCAATCTCCAAAGCCAACGCAACCGATCCCAAGAAGTCGTCATTCGTTCGCTGTGCACGTACCGACAAGGGTGTGCATGCCGCGGGAAACGTGATCTCCCTCAAGATGATTGTCGAGGACCCTGATATCGTGCAGAAGATCAATCAGCACCTCAGTCCGCAGATCCGGGTGTGGGGATTTGAGCAAACAGCCAAGAGTTTCAGCTGTTATCAGATGTGCGACTCTCGGGTCTACGAGTATCTGTTGCCAAGTCATTGTCTCCTTCCTCCGCACCCTAGTACATATCTGGGGAAGAAGATTGTGGAGCTTGCTGAGAAGGCAGGCGATCTGGCTGATGTCAAGGCCCGACAAGAGGAAGTTGCTGACTATTGGGAGAAGGTCGACGAGGAATATATTAAGCCCATTCTGGAGAACGTGCCAGAGGATATTCGCAGCATCGTTCAGCAGTCTCTCTTCTCCAGCGATCAAGAGGGAAAGCCCGAAAACGAGGATCAGCCGGCCGCAGAAGTGTTGGAGACGCCCACTGAGCAAACTGCGCAGCCGCAAGAATCTGGCGCCGATCAGCCTGAGGAGGACAAGCCTTTTGAGATGGATCCTCGCCAGAAGCTGATCTACGACACAATCAAGGCGGTCAAGGCAGCGTATATCAAGGCCAGACGGGCCTACCGCGCCCCTGCTTCCCGTATTGCTCGCTTGCAAGAGAGCCTCAATCGATATGTGGGTACCGTGAATTTTCACAACTACACGATTCAGAAAACCTTCAAGGACCCATCATCCAAGCGCCACATCAAGTCATTCAATGTGAACACGAACCCTGTGGTCATCAATGGGACTGAATGGCTTAGCCTAAAAGTTCACGGCCAGAGCTTCATGATGCACCAGATTCGAAAAATGGTTGCCATGGCCGCCCTTGTTGTTCGTTGCGGCTGCCACCCCGACCGAATCAAGGACACCTATGGACCAGCACGTATTGCCATTCCCAAGGCTCCGGGACTGGGGTTGTTACTTGAGCGGCCCATCTTTGATAGCTACAACTCCAAGGCCAGTGGCCTGGGCCGTGGGCACGTCCACTTTGAGAATTTTACCAAGGAAATGGACGAGTTCAAGCAGCGGGAGATCTACGATAGGATTTTCCGGGAGGAGGAACAGACATCATCGTAAGTTGTCCTGATTGTCTCTACGACCTGGTTTCTTGCTTGATACTGATATATACACTGCAGTTTCGCCTCATTCTTCAACCACATCGACCACTTCCAGACCAGCTTCTTCCTTTACTGCACATCTGGTGGGATCGAGGCATCGAAGCTTGTGTCTGCCCCCAGCGGTGCCAAGGGTAGGACTAAGGGGAAAGCCAGTGATAAGGCTGGAAAGGATGAGAGCGCGGCTCTGGCCGAGGTTGAATCTTCCTCCGAGGAGGAGGGCGACCTGCCAGATGGTGGAGAGGAAGGCGGTTGATGCCAAAACCGTGCGTCTTGTGATGGTTGACGGCGTTGCCATTTTAGAAATTAAATCATAGCCGCAACGAGCCGCATCTGATCTCGGACATCATCATAAAGCAAACTCAAAAACACTGTCATTCTTATTGCAGGTTTGTCAAATGGCTAGCCGGACGGTGCAGGAAGTTCCGGATGCCCGTCAGAATTTAGCGTCAATAGCAATCCCGAGCGCCGGAGTAACTTCCAAAGACAACCGAAGCCGGGTCCGATGTAATCTATTACATGATATTGTGGTTAGGGCCTTCAGATGCTGGGCTTCGACAAGTCTCTGGCCGTGCAGGAAGCGGTCGTCCAAAGTAGGTCTGGCTATTTGTCCATCTCCGACAGTCTTGCGATGTATGCGGCCGGCGAACCAGGACCATTTTCCTAATCCAGAATAGTCATCGCTATATGCCGGCGTCCAATAGTTCGGCATCTGAGCTGCGAACACGCAGTGAACCATAGCGGCACCCCCCCAGTAGCACTCCCTCAAAGTATCCTTAGCATACGTGGTTTCATTTGAGGAGATCAGCATGGTGCTTTTATGCTGGATGGGCTGAGAACTCAGCTGCGATGTCATGGCTCACTAGTGAAAACAGTGGGAATAGGGACCACCGGGCGCAATAGACCGGCGATCATATAAAAAAAGACGTGTCGCGAGTCATGCATGGCGGCATCGAGTAAGACAAGGCCTTAGCCCGCGACCAAGGTTGCTTTTCATTTACTTAGCTCGTGTTCTTGGCTCGTGTTCTGCGCCCATGTCATATCATACCCTAGCTTGCGCAGCCTCCCGCAGTGCTCCCGTGCGGATCATCCTTAAATCACAGGAACAGCCCCGCTCTTGAACTCTGAAAATGTTCTCCACTAAAGCTTCTCATGTCTTCTGTACCGTGACTTGTACTCTGACTGAAAACATACCTTTAGGAGGTTCGAGCTGTCCGTCCGGTGCTGAACGTTTTACATTGACAATGCCCAAGGCCGCGTGGAGATCAAATACCTGTATCACCTGTCGGAAAAGGAAGGTTCGGGTAAGGAGCCACTTGAAAGGCAAGAGAAAAGCAAGGTTTGAACTGACTCATTTGATTTCCAGTGTGACCAGAAGAGACCTGGTTGCGACCGATGCTATAGTTTTGGAGTTGCTTGCGGGGGATACGGTACCAGCAATCAACTTAGCCACCCTTCTACGCAGCGGGGCTCGAATCAAGAGGCAGAACGAAAGCTGGATCGGGTGGTGGCCATCACTGTGAAATGTAATGGAAAACAATATTGTCTTCAGCTTCTTGCAAAGTTCATGAGTCTCTATATGCCGAGTGACTCGATCCAGGCCCGCGAGACGCAAAGGACAGTTTGTCTGTGGTACAAGTACTTTCCTGACTCGCTCGGTCGATCGATTGTGTATGATGAAGCACTTATGGCCTTGAGCTTCCTATACATTGGTCAAACCGACAAGAATGTTGAGTTTATCATCAAGAGCCAATGGTTGTACAGTTCTGTGTCGGAAAAGATCGCCAATGTGACCGTCGCCAAAGGACTCAGCCTCGACGACCTGATTGGAATCGAGATGACCATGACTTTATACGAGGTAGAGTGCCCACCCCTACAGATGATCGCCAGCATTATTCTATTAGAAGACTGACCTCGTTCGTAGCTGTACAACCCATCATGGATTCATGGCTGGACCCACCACGTCCTCCTCGGCTGTGAACTACTCAAGCGACGCGGCCCTCCTCATCCCGGCGAGCCATTTGATCGCAATCTCTACCGGCGGGTGCGGAATTTCACAGTAAGCGCACTGAGTTGTTATGTGTGGGATCTGGTTTCACTGGAACTAACAAATTGGTTAGCTCTATCACACTCTCTGTGGCCGGCACTTCACCTTTCTCGCACAGCCGAGGTGGTTAGCCGTGTCACAAATGGACGACAGCTACGACACACTGCTTGACATCTTGCTACAGATACCGTCGTTATTTGAGACTATGGAGTCATACAGCTCCACCTTTGGACGCAGTCAAATTCCGGAGATATTCTTGCGACGGTCCCTTGAAGAATTTTCCCGTCTTGAGATGGAACTGCTGGTGTGGTTCTGGGACCTCCAATGCAACGAAACAGAAATGCTGTTTTACCTAGATCAATCGAGACCCGAGCATGCACTTTCGGTTCCGCCAGACACTTCACTTATTGCCCGCTTTGCCCGTCAGCAGCACTACGAGCTGCTCGTTTTATTTTGGTTGGGCGCGGTCTCTCTGTATATGTTCGGTGGCGAGATTGCGTGGCCAGAATGCATTGAGCGCTCGAACGAGCATCAACACACGGTCTCTTTAGAAGATCTTCCACACCCCAATCCAGATTCGGGTCTGGTGGAGTGCTGGATCAACAAAGGCGGAATCCGTACTTCCGCCGAGAGCGTCTATCTGGCCACCCACTTTGCGAATCGAATCTGCCAATCCATTGCGTTCTGTATGGAACCCGACTTCACCGTTCCTGGAATCCAGCTTAATATGCCCCCCACGTGGGCAGCACTGCAGCTGTTTCGTGATTCCGCGCCCGAAAGGCTGAATGGTGTAGGACGCAGCTGAATCGCATGAGTGCTCGGGGTATCAAGTTGGCAAATGTAATTGGCAGGATCTCCCAAAAACAATACATGGATATGAGGTCGACAAATTGGAAGTTCGAGGTATACCACAGAGAGATGGAAGATGATGATTGGTCTCTGTTTGATATGGAGACTTAGTAACTGACAAAGACTAAAGAATGTCATTACGACCGCGTTCTTATGAGAGGAAACCATGCCATCCAAGCATGCTACTCTTCTGTTGGAGTTTAGCCGCAGCAGAGTTTCGTAGGCAATCACCGCGGCCGATCGGCATGGATCAATTCCAAGCAAGCCTCATATCTTGTGGCCACGGGCCAATCAACCAGAGGCTATGAGCGAGGTGGTGCGAGTGGAGACGCCTTGTGGCTCTTGGCGTAGCGCACGAGCGCGGGTCAATCAACGAATCAAGATCTTCGAGCCCCTTCTCTGTATTCCCAATGTCTCGGCGAAATAGTGTCAATTGTTTTTGCAGAATTATTATTCTGCTTGAGACCATGTTCGCTATAACCCGGCGTAATGCGCTCGAAACCGAATTATTAGATTCACTTTCGAGAGAGCGCAAGCTCTCGGCGCGTCCCGGAAGCAAAGAGAAGTGAAATGAAGCGTGCGGATCGAGCTACCAAGAAATCCCTGACTATTGCCGGGTAGAGAGTAAAAGAAATACAGAAAGGGAGAGACAAAGGCCTAGAACACTCCCAAAGAGGAAGGTCATGGGGTCTTCCATCACATGTCTTCGCATAGCCTCGAACCGGACCAAACAAAAACCCGTTCAAAATAATTGTATCGCCATGCGTGGGTTGGGAAGGTTTGTTTGGGCTGGCTTCCCTTGCTGCCGCCGACTTTCCTCAAGGAAACAACCTTTTTCGATTTCCACCAGACTGAACGTCGTTTTATTTTGACCGATGATCAGGATACTCGTATTTGCTCACTTAACTGTATGCCCCTGGTTGGGAAGCGCATTGTCCGACAAGGAACGCAGTATAGAAGCGGCCATCACCGCACAGACAGCATCTGATGTTCATCTTGAGGGGGCTCAGGATAATGAAGCTCGTCCACAACACACCGATGGCAATCCTCCATACGGTAAGGCTCTGGACGGGGCGTTTCAGACATCTATGAACATCGCTATTCATGTTTAGATCTCTGCAAAAATCTACACAATTTCCTGCAAAATCTGAGAAAGTTCCAGACTTAGGGGTGCCTACTGGGTGTGCTATTTTCCCGCCTCCTTCTGCCTCGGCTCGAATCTGTTGGTGACCTATATTCAAGATAGGCTTACAAGCTTAGGCACAGATCAATTGTCTCGACAATTCTCTCAATGACCAATAATTTCCACTCTTGTGTATTTTGGTCCACTCTTGATAATCTACTCGTACAAGTTTGTAAGCGCTGTGCCAGCGGAGTCTACCTGCAGGTTGTAATTTCGCTAGGTCTTACTCTGCCAACCTTATTTAACTAATGTTCTCCTCCAATACATAAATGCATAGGGATATCGTACATTCAAGCATGCATTCCGTGCACATGCTGCATGAAATGCCTTCTTGATCTCCTCGAGGCCTCCTGCTGGGTCTTTTCATAAACGCTCAATGCCAAGGCTCCTCCGCAGACTTGAGTGCTGTCACCTTCACACTTCATATTACAATGATCTGCCGCCAGTATGGAGCTTCCCTCCATTTTATCACCGCAGAAGCATTGACCGGCATACTCAGTACCTGCAATGCTAAATCCGGCATTATTGCAGTATTCCACACAACCGGTTGAAGTCACCTTCCCAATACCAAGGTCCGCGAATCGGACACCGTTAAGGACACGGGTAGATTCATTGTCGGAATAGCAGCCGGTATATGACCATCCAGTAAGTGTGGTATCGATACTTGAGGCTTTGTTGGAAGCAGCTGCATCGGTCGGTGTGGAGGATAGTAGGTCGGTGGTAAGCGAGGTACTTGATGTACTGGATGGAGTGGGAACTGCGAGTTCCCCTTGTCCCCATCCAGTGGGCGGATTATCACCTGGTAATTTGTCGAGAGCTCCGAAAATAGTCTCTGGGATCAGGTTGGCAATGTTGCAGCTGTCGGAAGGGTCGTTGATTGGGCCAGCGTCAGCACACTTGTCCATGCCAGAATCCCCCGCATCACAGTTGTCAATGATCTTTTGCAAAACGTTGATATCCCAACCGGCAATCTGAACGTTCTTATCAGTACAAGTATGAGCAACCGTGTAGTTGGGTGACTAACAAAGTCTCCATGAAGAGAGTATCCAGTTCGATCTCCATTGGCCAGAATGAACGGCTGCGATCCTTGTCCTTGCTCCCACAGGTCTGCAAAGGGGGGAGTGTTCCAGTACACTTCGTAGAAGAGATGTGGAACGTGAGTCCATCCTACAGGACAGTTTGCTTTGCCTCCCGTGGTACCTTTGCTGCTTGGGAACACCATGTTATTCTTGTAGTCATCGAGGCCAGCCTTAGGATTATAGCAAGAGGGGAAGTGAATGTCTGCGCGTAGGGGAGACGCATAACCATCGCAGTTCATTTCCGGGAAGCCGGCACCGGCACCAAGGTTGTTTGGATCTTGAATACCAACACCGTGCAGCCCATCTGAGTCTTTTGGATAAGATGGCGTATTATAGGATGTGCGCGGGCAAGTCCATTGGACTGGTTGAATAGTGCCTTGGTTTGTGTCCAGGACGTTCGCGGCGCCGCTCGGTGGTGGTGTTCGAACGGTATTATTCCCACTAACCATTCGAAGGCCAACAGGAAACGCTTCGATCTTGTCATCAGTAGGTTCGAAGCTGAATGCATTTTTCCTGGTTAGATGACAATACAGTCTCAATGTCAAGGAATCGAAGTTGCACACAAATAATAAACGTTCATGTAAAACATGGGAACCGACAAGAAGCTCCCATTTTTCGGGTCCTGGAAGTACAGGGATGGTGTCCAGTAATTGCTCTTGTCAGCTTCCACGCGAGAAGAAGTGCAATTCGAGTCCAGCAACGCGTCATCATCCATAGTCAAGTTGAAGTTACTTCCGCCTTGAATAGCGTGAACATGGCTTGATGCGGTACCGGGGCTGATGATCGGGTCCATACGTCCCATCGTCAGCGGGCCTTGGCCATAGAAATGGTTCACGGCGAAGGTTCGTCCATCCTTCGCATATATGCAGGCAAAAAGACTAGCAAGATACACAACTGTAGCCTTCACGTACATCTTCGGCACGCTGCAGAGTATACAAGAAATAAATCCAACAGGAGTCGAAGACCAGCGAATGGAAAAGAATTTTATAAAGAGCGACTGCAGTGAATATAATGAGAAGTAGCCAGACTCCTCAAGAAAAAGAATGGAAGCTCGCAGATAACAAACACGATGAGAAATATATTTTGGATGAGGCAACCTTTATGTACCCAGGAGTCCCGCCTACCTATAATTTCAGGGTTGTATTCAGTATCATAAGCCTCGCTCGACGTTTTCCTTTCACGACCATGTTGAGATGGCGAAATGAGTCCAGGGTCCAGGCTTAGGTCTCATACTCGATGTGAGTGGTCATTCCCTGGTATTGTTTCGCGTGAAGCGCCAGGGGCAACGCCACAGCAATTCTACCCGAGCCATCGTGTAACAAAGTCCCCATATCCACGAAGTGCCGAAATCCGTAGGTTTGGTTCGTGTTAACGCTCTGTCCGAAAAGATACGAAAACGAAAACGTTTCAAAATCTTTCAACATGAAACAGGGTCCTCTTCGCCCCACAGCGAGCACTTGCCCCTTTTGTGTGAAGAAGAATAATTTATCAGTACCGGCAAGTCAGTCCACATCTAACATTGACGACGATCGGAAGTATCTCTTTACAAGCAATTCGGGGTCCTTGAAGCTTTGACGGACTTCGGAAATGAGCATGACTTCTTACCGGATACCTGCCGTACTGCCTACATCAGTAGTTCCTCTCCCCGCCTAGCTAGAAATAAAATCTTCTTTTACCACTTGTCAGGCTAACATACGCTACCATGGCTATACAGTTTGGGAAATAATGGGATTGTACCCTACTCACGAGGCTTCAGCGTGGTTGGGAACCAGACGCGTTGCTACGATCGATTATTTGCGGCCCTAGTAGTGCTATTCCGCGGCTATTGTTGCGCTCGCAGTATGGGGATGATCTTTAGAGCGTCTCTAGGTATTCCACGCTTTCCGAATTGGCTGACGCGATGAACAGCAAACTTCTTAGTCCAAAGGCCAATGTCGCACAATTTTAGGTAATATAACCGCTAGACCAACAATGCACGATAGGCCACATTCTTAGTCTGAACGGACATTTTCGACTTCGCCAGCTAATCATGCCTCATTCATTGAGTACGGGGATTTCAAACGTAGTTTCATTGTACATGGTTTCGGTACAAAGCGTTGAATCATTTGACAACCCAAAATGAGTAGATCAGAGAGGTCTAGGGAGGGACTTGGTTTGTATCCAGAAGAACATGAACCCGATCGCACCTGACCTGCAATCACAACTGGAATGAAATATGTCAGCTGGGTTTTATACGCACCAACGCTATTCCGTATCATCGATTATGCGGGAACGGTCGTGTTAAAGATAAGAAGGTTCGGTTGTTGGCTGATAAGATACGAGCCTTCTTGTCAGTCTCAAACCGGGAACAAAATCCTTCATGAGAGATACCCCTGGATAGCATTACCCCAATAGGCATAGTTACCAGGTAACTAACCAAGGAACTTGATTTCACGGGGGAGCAATATCCTCCGATCAGTCGACTATTTATTTCTGTAAAGCTTCCTGGAGACCCGAAATCTCATGCTTCGAGTTTATATACAAAAACCTTGCCTCGCAGTATCGCAATAGCTCCTCAAGCTAGGTATGGACTTGTACCGCCATTTGAAGGGACTAGCCTGGGGCTTTGTTCAGGGCACTGGGGACGAGGATGTATTTGATCCTGCGGTATGTCCTGTGACCTCATCGAGATTATATTATTGCCAAAACTGAGATTCTATATAGATACATCTTAGTTATGTTCCGCCCGAGAGGAAATTCACTATGGAAGAGCTACAGCTAGTACAAAGTGAAACGGCATCTCCAATCGCAGGGACGGTTCCGTTCCCCTTATTATCGACCGAGGGTGTTAAAGCCTATCGAAGGGCGATGTTCCAGCAAGACGTCCTCAATCACTGTGCAAGCTCTCCTTTCCCAGGGACATTAGTTCTCCGAGATGCAGTGAGATACTCGAAGTTCGTTAGAGACTTTTGGACACACCCAGTAACTCTTCGAATTGTCTCTGAAGCTGCCGGTATTCCATTGGAAATCATCATGCCCACAGAGATCGGGCACACAAACATACAAGTAAAGGGATCGACAATATCTGAAATGAAAAACAACCTGACGACAGAACCCACACTTGAAAGAGTCATTCTGAGTCCTGAAGACCGAGAATATGATCCCTTGAAAGATGCTAGCGCTATAATACCCTGGCAGTAAGTTTGTGAGCCTCCCTAATTGAACTCATTAGCTGAAGTCAACGTGTTTAAGCTATGACTCCTATCCCTACGTCTGTGTCTTGATGTTGAGTGAGACAGACGGTATGATCGGAGGAGAAACATATATAAAGAGAGGGGATGGGACAGCTCAAAAGGTATTTAAATACAAGACATGGACTTATAGCGAGACGGGAGCTAAATATCGCAGGTTGAAGGACCACAGATCGGACACGCCGTGATGCTCCAAGGGGGTGAGGTTGAACATCTGGCTGCGCGAGCGAAGGGCGTCAAGGAGCGTATATCCACCATTACTTCATATCGATCGAGGCATCCAACCGTGTACGACTCGAGCTTCATGACGAATATTCGCCCATACGCCGATCTTAACTCGCTCTACCCTGAGTGGATAACTTATCGGCTCCGAAAACTAAATGATGAAATCACCTACTATCTGAATAGAGTGGAGAAGGAGCCGCAGTTTGCCCTGGACTTACAGAGTCTAGAGGATCTAATCAACAAGCAGGTCTCTTACCTGCAACAGACCTCGAGACAGATGATCGCCCCTGGATTTGAAAAAGAACTCGTTGAGAGATTTGGCAAACCGACTTACTATGCAGCACCGAGGATATGGGAAACGGTCCAAAGCTATTCTGAATTTGAGATACTTGCAATAACTGCCGATGATAAGCGGCTATGGCTGCCCAACAGCGTCTACTGGATGGATCTACAAAATTCGATTGAATCGATTCGACTGGGAAAACCACTTGGAGGTGTGTTTGGGCGGCGCATATGGGGTGGAAGAAGGTACTACATGGGCGATGAACTTCTGCGGCAAGGATTGAACGAGTTATTCCTGGATTGGCTTGCAAGCTCTGGTCTCTGGAAGATATATTGTGAGTCTGAAACATAATTTTATAACTGGAATCACCCCGGGTTAGCAGAATTATCAACCCTTTCAGATTGTTCAGTCACGCAGAAATCACAAGTATCTTGATGCTACAACTAGAATATGGGGACCTGTGAAATCGACACCAAAAATGATAGCTTCTGGCGCCAGAAACGGCCGCCTTTCTACCTGTAATATTACAGCCGCTACCATTATATAAGGCTGCGGAACACACACGTATTTCGCACCTTTTAGTTAGTGGTCGATGGACCAAGCTTGACTTTAGAAGAATCCAAGAGTTTACAACAGCATCACATATTAATGGTAGCAGACCTATAAGCGAAAAGTTTTCGCTATAGTGACTAGGTCCTTCACCAAGGTTCGCCTAGTAAACTCTTCAAACCCTTTTTTCGTTATTTCGCTTGCTTCTGTTACGAAGGAGCTAGCAATGAAACAAGTGCATTCAACAAAACAACAAAAGTAAAGAAGGAAGAAACTATGGAGGTAGTGTCAACTATTATTATACCTCCTATAAGGTCATAGTCATCTCGATTCCAATCAGGTCGTCCAGGCTGAGTCCTTTGGCGACCGTCACATTGGCTCTTGATGATGAACCCAATATTCTTGTTGGTTTAACCAATAAGGAAGCTCAAGGCCATAAGTGCTTTATCATACACAATCCACCGACCCAGCGAATCAGGAAAATATTTGTACCACAGGCAAATTTTTCTATTACAATTCATAGTGATGGCCACCACCCGATCCAGCTTTCGTTCTGCCTCTAGTCCCGCTAGAACTAGATTAAATAGACCCACTAGATGAAGCAATTGTCATATTCAGGAGTGAAGGGTAAGATAAATGCTACCGATACAATATAATTCTATCACTAAGCAAGACAAGCACTAAGCAAGACAAGAGGAGATCGGCTAATCCGACGGGGCGCACATACGTACTGCATCTTCAGTCCCTTATCATTGCCGCCCCCCTTGCCCCCCGCCAAGCAGTTATGGAAATATAAAAATAAAGGCCTGCAATTCCCCACTGTTGAGTCACCCCATATTCACTGTAGTTGTTCACTATATTCGTAGACGGGCGGCTTTTGCTTCAAGAACATCTTTGATCCGCCGATGGAGGCGTTGGACAGTGCCGTGGCTTCATCCAGCGCAACAAACGCCTCTCGGAACTCCCAGTCCAAGTTTTCTTCGGGGACGGTGGCGTTGGTATTGCGGGATCCCAATCGAGCAGCCCGTTGGCTTGGGACAAAGGTTTCCGGGGGGTGTGTTCTAAAGCTGCATCGAGATCCTTGCTGGGACCAATGGCTGTTGGCACATTCACTGAAAATGCCCGGGACGGCGACACATGAAACGAAAGGGCCTCTGCCATGTTGACATGAATCGCACCTTTGCCCAGGGGCTCCCTGGGGACCAGTCGACTGTGCTAGGGGAGCCTCTATGTTTTCAGTTTTACTGCCCACTGCATGGTTAAAGCGTGGTCCATCAAACTTGGCTCTGGATTCACGTAGGCCAAGCTCACGATATAGAAGGTTCTGGCGTAGTTAGTGGAGGGTCGATCCGCACTGGTAGCCCTTACGGCGTCCGCGACTCCATGGATTCTCATAGGCAGTATGGGCCCAGAACCCAGGCTCGGCTCCATCATTGCCAATAAGGGGCTGAAGGGGTTCTGGAGATGGGAGATCCATGACTGACCGAGTGTTAGCTTGTTTTTCCTGCTAATTCATGGGTGTAACATACTGCTTGGGATGAGAGAGGAGCTTGGGGTTGTGAGATGGAAAGGATCAGAGATCTGGTGTAAAATAGGACACTCACAGGCTTGATATCAAACATGAATTCTGATCCGCCCCCGACCTCATATCTTCCTTTCCCTTTTTCTCTTTAAAACTTTCACTATTTACAACTTTCCTCTTTCCTCTTCCCCTTCGCGACGCAGCGTCGGACACAACTCACCCTCATCTCGGAAGTGGCCACCGTCGCGGCAAGTCCTCAATCAGCGAGAATATGGCCAAGGATGCATTCAATGATATTGACCAGCTCCGTAGTACCATAAACGGTATTGTGGACCGGATGAAACGAGTAATCCAGCGTCAACAGCAGGGATACAATGAAAGTCAGACGGAGGTACTCGAGGGTCTCGCAGACCAGCTCCAGCAAATCATGAACTTCACCAGGTCTTCGCATGAGCCCCTGCGCCAGGTAATCCTGCCAAGCCCTGCGGACTCTAGCAATGACCAGTAGAGTGGTCATAGATGTGGTTTTTTACTTGATATCCTGCACTAGCTACCGGATATCTTCTAGTTATTTCATTAATTGAATTTCGCAGACAAGAGTGACCACCTTTGTCACAGGCGCCCGGGAAGCACGCGTGTAGAGCCATCAGCATCGGAGAATCGATAAATCAAACATTCAACGGCGCTGGTCAACTTAAGACTTCTGCTGCAAAATCTGGCCCTCTGGGTCCAGTACGCGCCCCAGATCTTTGATTCCAATGCGATCGCGCGATATTCATTCGGTGGCACCACGTAACCAGTTTTCCATCACCCTCTGACGACCGCTATAAGTAGCCTACCTCCCTTTCTATAAGGAATGTTCGGACTGGATCCGCCACCCTAACTCGTGTTATTCTGGGATAACAAAAGCAAAATAGCACCTAGCATGCGACTATTCCAATTGCCTAATTATCTTCTATACCGGAGTAGTTTTGTCGATTTTGTAGTGGATCAAAAGTAGCCAAAATCAAGGGTATAGGCCACGTCGCCACCCTAGGTGTTGCCCCTACCATTCTAGGTAATTAATCAGGATCAGAGGAGTCAAAGGGAGGGTGAGGGGGAGAAGGAGATAAAAGCGAACTTGGGGTCTTCATGTTGGGGCGATGGAGGGAGAGGTTACGTGAGGGTGTATTAGGGGCTAGGGTGGAAAAAGAGGTTAAGAACCTTGGGATGAATGCCCGATAGCAAATCTGGAGGGAAAGGAAAATGCATGAGGTGGAACAGGGTCATCTTTTTTTACGTGTGGGGCCTGTGCGAAAGAGTGGTTACATATTCCGTACTGTACAGGAGGGCGTATCGGGGCGCCGGCCCAGATTGGCGAAACTAACCCAGATCAAGCAAATTATGTCGATATCAATGGTACTCTTACATATGGCCCTGTCCTTGGAACCACAAGCTTATCGGGCATTGTCAAACTTGATTCTTGGACCCGGACTTGAACATAACTTCGACCATCGCCATCGACACGAGCAGTCAACTCCAAATCCCTGCTCAAAATGAACGGATGCTTGATAGGCTTTCTTGTCTTTCAGTTTATGTCCATTATCGATGCTTTCTATGATTGTCCTCGCCCGTCCTGTGAAAAATGCCCTCGACGCAGATTCACGATGCCCCCGGGATCGGCTTTGACCTGACCCCCTCATACGGGTGAGCGAACGATGTTATCCGTTCAACAACCTGATTTCTCTAATGTTCAAAAAGGACGGCCTCTGTACATTACTATAACGGGACTGTCGTTGAAGTCGCCCATATCCAGGGAAATTCCGAATACCTTGATCTTATGATGCGACTTTCCGGTGACTCCCGGCCACAGTTAAACAGAACCAAGAAGTCTCTTTATGACCTCCTTTTTTCTCGGTTCTCTCTATCTGACACGACTTCATGGGGCGCTTGGTGGCGTTGGCTTAACAAAGTGCTCGGTCGCCCAATCAAAGCCTACAGCGATGTTGAAATCATCAGCGCATTACTCCAACAACTCCAAATTTCTACCGAAAGAAAAATCTCTCAGCCACTTGATAGGGTTGCGGTTGCAACCCCTGATATCAGCTCCATGAGTTCAATAGTCAACGCCGCACTTGGTGACTTGAATCTACGCACCTGGGTCGGCGACAGCGGCTGGTACCCGGAACGCTTACCGGAGGCCGATGCTGTTTATGCAGCAAACGGTTACGGACTGTGTTCAAATTACCAGGATCTATGGGAATGCACAGATGAGTTTGATAGCTCGTCCGATACCCACATTTTCTTCATCTTCTACAGTCGGCATGCTCTCTACACAAGCATTATAGCTCCTGTCTCCGGCGAGGCTCTAACTCGATTCTATTGGGATGAAGCTCAGCTTCTAGATTTTGAACTCGGGCTAGATTATCTTCTCCGAAGGAACGGTTCCCAAGATGCACTATGGTCCAGTCTGCGTTCGCAACTATCAACCCTTCCCCGAGAATACCCGTTCTCTATTACTCATATTCTTCTGGGTGGGGAGAGTGTAATGCACCCACGCTTTCTAGCTACCTTGAGAGATGCCCTGGCTGAAACGATGCCTATATCGCCCGTGAAACTTCAAACGAATATCCCAGATCATGCGGATTTTGCTACCGTGTCCAAATCTGTTGATCTTACATTCGCAGCGTCTCGAGGTGCAGCACTATATGCCCGAAGACGACAAGAGGTACAGGCTCACTGCACTGAGTCCCCTAAATGCGAAGCGATAAGGAAGAGAGAGCGAGCACATATACCTTTGAAGGTTGATCTACGTTAGAGCAACTGATAAGGCCTATTTTTCCCTTTCTCTTGGGCGCGATGGAGGCGTGCCGGGTAATATTGTATAGATGCACAGACATATCATTCCGTGCTATCTTTTAGTGAAAAAATAGTAAACATATATTTCTATCACGGCGCGATTAAAGGTTTTCTGGCCCCTGAAATGTAGAGGGGATAGACTGAATTTTGGACAGTAGTGGCAAGTAGGGCTGGGGTTTAAAAGTTGCCGAAGCCGAAATATAGTAGAAACCACAGCACAAACTATGCGTGCGCACTTTTTGTCCGAAGGGAATATCTTACCCGTATTCCATGGATCTCTGAGTTGCGACAAAAATCAATGTAATGTCACTACTGCAATGGGGTACCTGCCTACCTGCCCGTCAACCTGCTAGCTGTTTAAAATATGCCAAAAAATAGCTAGATATCGCTACAGGAGCAACGGTAGATGCTTTGAAGGCTTACACTGGTATGTCTTCACATGAAATTGCTAAGATTACTAGTCTATCTGTCTCCGTAATCAACAAGATCTATGCACGCGCAATCGAGCGAGGCTTTGTGGTTAACCATAATAATATTCAATTTGTGCAAGACGGCCAACGCACTAGCCGGCCAACTAAGCAAGATCAACCAACAACGACGACTATCCCATCCAAGGTGTGTCTTGATTTTTATAGCCGAAAGAAATCTTGTCCTGATCTTGCTGGTGAGCTTAGCAAGCAAGGAAGGAATAGACTACAAAATAAATAGTATTACAACGTTTTGGAAAAAGAATCCCGAGCCTACATTTTCCACTCGAAGCACATGTAGGTGGCCCTTAGATTCGAAACTTTGTCTTATAACCAGGAACTCTTTGCCTTATTAGGGTTGCTGATTCGGACGCGGTGAATCAGGCAGCGAGCAACATTCAATTTAACGGTCAAGGCCACTCACACTATACCGCAACCGGCATAAGCAACACTTCTGTGCAGCTGCGGTGTTTGGTAGTTTACATAATATCCCGACGGAAGGCGGGGGTGAATGCAGTTCAGTCCGCACAGACAGCGTCGGAGAAAATGAACTTCCGGCCCACAGGAGCATTATTGATTGGCTGCTATATGGCGGACTGAGCCGGCAGTTAATTTTTGTCGAGATGAGTTTCCCGGGGCGACTCAATCCCCACTATCAGACCACTAGCTACTTCGGATCAGATTACGATGGCGAAGTCCAAAGCGGCCAAACGCAAGCGCAATGCGCAAGTCGAACTTCCGCAGAAAATACCCAAGGCATCCACTACCTTAACCCCTCCTCCTGATGGCAACAATCTCGAGCCGAAGCACCTTAACACCGTCGTCTCTGACGAGGAACTCGATATCACCGTGGAAACCCTCACTACACTTGCACAATATCCCAGCTTGACCAAGTCGAAGGCATGCAAGGACCTCCGAGTTGCAGTTTATGATTTCCGACAAGCATGCACAACAGGCGTTAACAATGCTGGTACGAGCACCATGATGTCTCTACTTTGTAACTGCGTCTAACCGTCCCGTAGAGGGTGCTAACCTGACTGCACGAATCACCGGTGCCTTGGCCGACGGGAAATACTTAGAAGCCAAAATATTGCTTGCTGAGATGAGAATCAGGGGTGAACAACCCAAGATTGGAGCCTTGTGTCGCTGGGTGCGAGATCTAGATGTTGTCAGCGGGCTATCGACACAGCCCGGGGCCGTCGAGCGTGTTGCTGAGCGCAGCGCAAAGGATCTGGAGCGTCTTGGCGTTCTCGATGCCATACTGCGCGTCAGCACTCCAATTGACACCAACCCGAAGGCTGCTATTTCTACCTCTCCCATTGCCTTCCAGTCGATATGGGACCTTCGCCCCTCAACAGCACCACTCCCGATCTATGCCTCCGTGCTCGACAAATCAATCTTGGCCGAAGCGCCAGCGTCTTCCTCCGCCATCCGCATTATCGAAACAACACCGGGTCCCCTCCGCAAACCTCCGAACCACCATCCTGCCATCCTATACACCACGGCGCCAAACGCCGTCCCTCTGGATCCTGTCAGCCCAACCATTACATACCATCCACATCCCGCTGTGCCGGGTCTCGGCGTCGCCCTGAATGTTCTTTCGCCTTCCGAGTGCAAAGCCATCATTGCAGCTGGCGAATCTGTGAACTTCCTGCCCGACGCGCCCCTCCGAGAGGATGGAGATGTGAGCATCCTTGCGCACAACTTCTACTGGATTGTCGACACCGCTTTCCAAGATCTTCTCTGGGCACGGATCTCCGCCTACGTGCCCTCCTCAATCAATGGCCGATTGGTCCGAGGCATCAATCGGCGCTTCCGCGTGTATAGATACGTGCCTGGTGCAGAGTACCGGTGCCACATTGACGGAGCGTGGCCGCCGTCCGGTATTCTCCCTGACGACACGTATGTCTACGATGCCTCGCCCGAGGACAAGAAACAGAGCTCCATGTATACCTTCTTGCTTTATCTCAACGACGAGTTCGAGGGCGGTGAGACGACGTTCTTCATGCCCGCTGCTCGGGAGGGAACACTCAATGCCTACCCAGTGCGACCTGTGATGGGATCTGTTGCGATCTTCCCGCATGGGGAGTCGAATGGGGCTCTGTTACATGAAGGGACGGGCGTAAGGAAAGGAGCAAAGTATATAATCAGGACTGATGTAGAGTACGACGTGAAGCCCTCGGATGAGTGAGGGCAACGATACGAGTGTATAAAATTAGCTGGCATAAAGGCCTCTGTCACAGATGGTGCCATGATGAATTAACGACCAAAACCGAATGAGCTTTCTGGACAAACAATACGTCAAGTGATACGTACGGCCTTGCTCGTAGAACAAACAATTAAGTGGTATTCAGAACGGTCGTAAATGAGGCCGAACAGCTTACGACAAGTCTTATTCTAGGTACAGGTTTTGAGCGTATGACCCATTCTAAAGAAAGTGTGGCAATTTCCCTCTGGATCGGTCATCAGAACCCACGCGCTGTTGTCCTGGGTTAGACACATAGCATCGCGTTCGCGAACCGAAGGAATTACAAGACGAAAATTTCTGTCTTCTTCAGAGTGACATAAGGGTAGACGACAACCTTGGATGATTCAAAGTCATGTATGCAAGCGAGCCAGGATATATGCATATGATTAATCGTTTCCTACTCTCCTGCATTACTTGATGCTCTATGTTCGCAGTTCAATCTAGACCCTATTCATGTCCCTTTTCGAGAGGCTCTGTGTTTGGATATAGTCTCCCTTCCCGGAACATGCCGGTCATACAAACAGTGGGAGTTTGTCTTATGTTCTCCTTTGTTGCATTTCCCTTGTAGCAAACAGCATTCTTTAAACTATGTCCCTTTGTTTCTCTCACGCCCAAGCTCCCCCAACCGTGCCAGGCTGGATATAAATACCCGCCACAGTCCCTAGTCTAACCAGCTCTTAATGTTCGATCAGCACATTACATCTCCTTCCCACTGTAACGCAACCAAGTAACCTACTCTCACATCGCACTGTCCTATTTTATTTATTGAAAGGTCCGCCTTCGCAGAATTTTGGGACTGCTCTTTCGATTCAGCATGTGGTTGTGGTTCGGTTTGGTACACTCTACTCCTACTTGTTTGCGGCCTAGTATCCTCGCTCCAGATTCTTGCCTCCAGTTTGACGGTCCTGAGCCGCCTACTGCTCCGATCCGCCCAGCTGTTCCATGTGCAACCTGCTCCATCGCCAGCTCCTCAGGTCCAGCCTTCTGATAGTGAACCTCAACTACAGACGCCACCTGATCCAGAGTCCGAATTTGTGGAAATTTGCGCTATGGCAGATAGCTATGACACGGATGGCCACCCTGAGGAAGGTGAGATATCCCGCTCCTTTGAAGGTACCTCGTCGCCCCCTCCGGACTCCTCCAGCGAGACGTTCAGATATGGTAAGATACAGCAGGATGGGGCGCAATGCCAGTTGTGGATGGAAGATGCTAATGTACCCTGCCAGATAGAAAAGACCACTCTCACCCTTGATGATCTTGATCCCGACGACTGGGACATCACGGAGCGGCAGGCCAGCCTACCACATCATTATAGCCCTCAACAACTGCTCTCTCTGGGGATGCCAGCCGAGGGCTATTGGAAAATGACTCTGGACCTTTTTGATCCTTATTGGGTTGATCCAGCGATCACCTGGGCTGGACGTGCTGCAGAAGGCGTGCTGTTTATGGAAGATATCGTGAGGAATACGATAGATGGACCGTGGATCTCGGAGCTGAGTAAGGCCGCGTACGAGCATGTAGCCCCCCTTCCGACTCTACGACACGTTTTTGTGACTAACATAATCAATAGGGATACTCGTCCCGATGTTAGGCGCCTTGTTACTGGACATGATTTGCAGCTGTTTGAGTCTGGTACCCCCAAATATCAGGCTATGCTTGGGACTCGGATTGGCAAGATTGTGACGTATCTGGTCCTGGGTGCATTTGATCGGGGGACTCGGAGCATTTCCCGGATTGCGGTTTGGTTCGCTGGTCGCCAACATATCCTGTTACACATGCGGTTCGATATTGAGCCCCTTGATGGTTGATTTCCCGTTGTTCTATTGTGGGCGTGTTCGACCTGATTTACCCCGTGTATTTGACTTTGCTCTGTTTGAGCTTCACTTGTTCTACGGCACTTGAGTTAGATAGACTACTTGATTAAATTGGACCCATTGAATTTTTGACAGAATAAGATCTCTTACTCAAATCAGAGCTCCGTAGCCCACTGTATCTATATTTAATACCGTAAAGCCTTGTAGAGTATGCCAGATGCGTTTAATATCTTCATGCAGGAGGTGCGAAAGGACAACAAAACCCTTGTTTAAGTCCCGGCCCCATATATGAACCCAAGGAAGCTGTCAGAAGCTAACATTGATTGAACTATCGGGAATTGGATCTAGAAAATTACCTAGAATGTAAATTCCAAGTAGGTCACACATTTGATCGGTTGAGGCAGCTTCACGTAGGTATCTCCCACATGTACCCAGTCCCTTGCATGGTCTTCTATCACCCGTCGAGCTAGGATGTCAGGATATTCGGCCGATATCGACTCATCCCGCAATCTCATCATCACACATGACACTTTTTCTCTGGAAAAGTATGGTACCTCAGGACCATTCTCGGAACACCGAGGAGTGTCTGTTAGCAAGACAACACAATCCCCATCGGCTATTATGGCCGTAATATCGACCTCAATAGCCCGCTCACGCAGCGGATCATAAATGTCCTTGAAGAGTTTAGTATACTCGTCCGGAGGTAGATCCTTGGAGGAGATTAATGTTTGCCGTGCTGGCTTTAGCATGCTGCTTTGTATCTGAAAGTCTAGGCCCAAGCCGTAGAAGTCAATCATCCCCTGCAGACGGGCAGTGTGTTCACAGCCGATCGCCATTTTAACCGATGTAGGAGGCAAAGTTGGCAGATCCGCATGGATGAAACCGGTTTCGTTCTGGTCGAGCACACTGATGAACCCTTCTTCTCCAAATGTTCGTTTCAAGAAAATGGACAGGAAAAACGGTATTCCTTCCACATTACCGATTTGTGGGCGCCCAAGCTTTGAGATTGGAGTGTCTCCGTGAACCAAGAACTTTTCCGTGCCCTCTTCCTTGTATGCCAGGGTAAATTCGTCATTGGTGATCGTGATATAGACTGACAGGTTTTGATCGTTCAACGGCTTTCCATGGTAGAACCACACGAGAGGCCCGCCCGCCAACTTCTTCCCTGCGGTCCCTGTGACTCCATTTCGGAGCAAGACTGTGTCTCTCTTTCTCCCTACTATATCTATTCCGGGTTTGTTTGATAGGATCACTGAGAAAACAACGCCCGGGTGCAAGTTCCTGAGATCCAGGAGTGTTGACCAAGACTGAGGTTGCTCAGAAACTTGCAGGAATAACGGCTGGCTAACGTACGTGTTCACCAGCTGAAATTCAAGCGATTTTAGCGACTCGGCCTGTCCAGGGCTCGTAAAAACCAGAGGTTTTGCCGGAATGGCGATAGCTGGAATTGTGGGGATGACAGGAAGATGGGGGATCCGATCCTTGTACTCGCGGTATGTCTCGTCCACCTCCTTTTTGATCTCCTCGAGCTTTCACATGCTGACAAACTCTGGCCTATCACGCCCGTGGTCTTGAGGAACTCGGGGTGTCACCAGGGCCTGCATCAGGCTCGCAAAGAGACAGGAGATCGTGTATTCGGGATCCCAGGTCCCTCCCTCCCATTGGGCGCGCAAGATATCGAAGCACATTGTACTGCGAGTATCATTATTGCGATGGGCACGAAAGACATCGACATTCTCCCGGAAAGTTCGAGTAAACAGGTGGAGGACAGGAGGATCCTTCGGGTATCGCTCTGGGATGATGAGCTCGCCGATCAATGGTAGATGTGACAGGGCTCCGTCATTGGGGAACAGGAGAAAGTTCCACTTGAACTTATTGTCGGTCTCCTGCAGGACTGTCCTGAGAGAGTGGAAATCTCCATTCACGTCTCGGACTTCCTTGTGCACTCGGAGCAAGTTTCGCATTGCCATGTTCAGAGTGCGCCGTGGCCTCGTCCTGGCCCGGCAGAGACACAAGACTAAAGGGCGGAAATATGATGCTGTAGTCGGACCGGATGGTGAGAAGCGCAAGGTAGCAAAGGAGCAGAGGAAGCTACGGCGGGCAGAGACCCTGTTATCCAGAGCTTAGTATGAGTCACGATCGCCCATCAACTTGCGCTTATCTGACTCGGTCTCTACGCCAGGAATGTCTAGCGTGCACATTTCCAGTGGAGAGGCCGCACATTCGGCGGGCGTGCCCCAACTAACTAGATTGGGATCCCGCTTGGACGGTCCGACGCCACGGTCAGCATCGGCGTCGGGGGCCAGACCTGGGTGTGACTAGCAGACCCAAATTATCGCTGGATCTGGGGAATTATGCTAGGAAATGAGGATTGGTACTATGCGATCATATTTCGCCCGTTCACGCCGCATCCTGCATTACGGAATCTGAATATCGAACATGAGTGAATAGGAAGGCTAGACTGCGCCGGCCTGGGCCATCACATTCTCCAACCGAGTAACGGACTGCTGGACTTCTTCCGGCGTAGGGAGATTGACAATTAGAAGATACAGCACATCCTGCTGCATGATCTTCTTGATGATGGTCTTGCGTCCACCCTTGCGCTTGACCCTTCTGGGGCCACGAGGAGAACGACCCCGAGCGATCCGCCTGGCATCCTTATATTCCCGTTTCATCTCCCGCCGGGCTTGTCGTCGTGCTGGTGGGTTCACTGCACCACCGGTTAGAAGGGAGATCAATGAGCCGCTGGTTGCGGGGTGGTCGGGGTCGTTATATCGCGACACCATCGGGGCCCGTTCCGCGGACGGTACAGCCAAGGAAGATCCCTGGTGCTCAGATGCCTGTATATTCGATTGTAAGCACGGAGAAGTACAGTGACTGCCTGTCCGGTTGGGACATCGCATACATAGAAAGCCTGGCCCCTCCGATCCAGGTAGTCTTGGACCCAAGTGCCGGCATTCTTGAGCTTGTCGCGTGTTCCCGATTCTTTGCTCTTGCCCTTAGCCTTGCCCTCCTCCTCCAACGCGTGCTCTACGACTCGGTCAAGATCCGGAAACACTAGCTCCGCAGCCTGGGGAAGTTCGATTTGACCACGGGTCTGCCCGCTCGTCAAGCGGATGTCCTTCAGCCCTTTCTTCAGCTTGGACATCTCGGGATCCGGGTTACTAAATTTAGCAACGGTCTCGTTGATATCAAGTCTCTCTGTTGCGAAAAGGGCTTTCCCAAGAGAGCTGGACAGTCGGTACAGCGACCCGCTCTGTTGACCAGCAATCTCGTCCTTGAACGCCATGATCATGGCATACAGCCCGCGGGGCATAAGCAAATCCTGATTGACGCGGTCAAGGAAGGTGTTTCGGCGTGAACGCGATTGCAATTCCCGCGCTGTTCCCGCCGCCACTTGCACTACGGTGCTGATGACCTGCGCTGCGACCTCTGGAACAAATCCAACGATCCCGGCGGCGATGAATACAACATCAATCCAAGGTGAAGCCTGCACGGTTCGTCAATCAACCAAGGAAAGGTCCCATGTACGAAAAGACGACGCGGCAACGAACCTTGCTAGCTTTGTCCCAGTTCTCCAAGAAGCGCAAGAAGACCTCCTGGCTGATTCCACAATCGGCGAGTACAGGTGCATAAGCACGAACAAATCCGCGGTCTTTGTTTTTGGGGCGGCGCTGTGGTATAATCACGGGGCAGGGGATCGACTGGAGTGGCTGAGGGAGGGGGCCCGCCCGTCGAACAAGCTCACGAACCATTTCTTCCTCCTTCTTACCCTTCACGTCCTCAATCTCAGTTGCCGATGCAGTCTCTGACTCCTCGTACGTCGGCGGCCTCACCCGTTCGGCCATGTCGTCTAGTTCCCAGGCTGCTTCATCCTGGCCGAGCGCCCCGAGCTCTTCTGCCTCCGAGCTGTCGCTATCGCAGTCATATCCAGCTGTGTCCGCCTTCAATGGACGCTTCTTCTCATCGGTGTTAACCACCCGCTCCGCCTGTCCACGGTGGATGAGGTCTTCAGCAACACTGTCGGTGACATCAACATACTCTGGTGGAGCGGTGTCAGTGGTACCCGCCGAGGAGGACGGCTGCTCGCTGTGCGACCGGGAGCGCGACCGGGCAGCGTGGATCGCTTCAGACGTCAGTCCAATCCCTGAGCCTAGCAGTTTCACGAGTTTTCCCATCGCGGCAGGTTTGACAATTTCAAAAGAATCATGAGATCAACCGCGGGGTAATCGAAATGCTCGTCTCGCGTCTCGCGTCAGCACAAGCTTCCTCACAGCCACCGACTCCACTGACCGTTTCACACCCACTGTAAGGGGCCCAGCACGGCAGACGAATGCGGGGAAAGTAGCACACGCTCTCTGCAGATCTCTCCTATTCATAACCGTGTCAAGGACCCTGCAGCTCTTCACCCTATATCCCTGATCGACCCTGGCCGTTCGTGCCGAAACGCCGATCGATTCAGGCTGATTGAGTGGTTAGGACTTCATGGCTAAATTTGGCTCGTTACCTGCCAATAATCTATTGAAAAATCATATTAGATTTATATTAGGCAAAACCCTTCTTTCGGTCAAAGGGAGCAACGTGTTGAGACTATCTATCTGCTGCGCGGAAAGATGGAAAGAACAGTGGTGTCAATCTCTCCCATGCTTAGCCATATTTCTATAAATCAGGGGCGGTTTTGCATTCAACTTGCACACAGACACATCGAAAAGAATTATCACCTTTCACCTGCTCTGGATATCCCACTGCGTCCTTGATTTTGTCTATCTGTTGGCTCCGGCAACAATATGCTTTCTAGGTTGTTGATAGAATTTCTTCTCGGCGTTGGTGTCACTGCAGTTCCTCTCGAGGGAGATATCGAGAGGAGAAGCTGCCCCGACATCCATGTCTTCGGTGCGCGCGAGACCACCGCATCTGCTGGCTATGGTTCGTCCAGCACCGTCGTCAATGGTGTCCTGAGTGCCTATTCAGGCTCTACAGCTGAGGCTATCAATTACCCCGCGTGTGGCGGACAAGCCTCATGTGGAAGTGTCAGTTATTCCAGCTCAGTCGCTCAGGGCATTCAGGCTGTTGCGTCAGCCATGAATTCCTTTAACTCTCAGTGTCCAACCACCAAGCTTGTTTTGGTTGGATACTCTCAGGTTAGTTCAATTCCCCTTCTCCGCTGTAAGATCAATGGTAGGTTGTGACTGACCACATTTGTTCCTAGGGTGGCGAAATCATGGATGCTGCGCTTTCCGGCGGCGGGATTCCTAACCAGGGTTACACTAACACGGCTGTCCTGCTTTCCTCATCCGCTGTCAACATGGTGAAGGCGGCTATATTCATGGGCGACCCGCTTTTCAGGGTGGGGCTGTCGTACGATGTTGGCACTTGCACCGCTGGAGGCGTATGATTGCCTTGCCTTTCTCCGTCTAAGTTTTCAATATCTTCCTAACTGTTACAATACAGTTCGATGAACGCCCTGCCGGCTTTTCTTGCCCTTCAGCCAGTAAGATCCAGTCGTACTGCGATGCCTCGGACCCGTATTGCTGCAACGGCAGCAACGCTGCAACCCACCAAAGCTACGGGGCTGAGTACGGCGCACAGGCGTTAGCTTTCATTAAGATCAAGCTATCCGCCTCCTAAAGGAAGTTGATATTTGACAGGGTCTGTCGACTTTAGAGTCCGAGGGCAGCTCTAGCAGCTGATTGAGTCACCAGGAACTGTAGAAGGGGGATGTCAGACTATTTGACAGTCTGAGAATCAATGTATCTCAAACTACGTTGAGAAAGCATTAGCTAAAAACTGTCGGGCGCGGACAGCGCAGTTCACTCATGAATCAATTAGGACCTTGTTTTGCAACCGCTCATCGTCGTTCTCTATTTGGATATGGACTCCGATTACCCAACAGGAAGCACGCTATGTGTTAATCAGATAATGTGGTCTGTTCCCTCATGTCCTGCCGTATGAGGGTGCTAGAAAGGCCTTGGCGTTATCTGGTAGTAGTCAAGACGAGGCTTTCGATGCGAAGATGAGGAAAGAGTGGAAGATCAATAACCTCAAGCGTATTTCTGCGGCTCAAGAAGAAATTCTTGATTTTTCATAAGGTGCATGAAGCTGAAACCCCTTCGAGTAGATGAGGAAGCCGGAAAGTGCCTCCCGGGGAAGGAAGATGTGGAGAGGGACACTTTGGTCAAGGAAATTCCGGGGAAAGATCGTAAACATTCGGTATGAGGTTAAAGAACAATGCTTAGCCGATGTCAGCCAATTCAGGAAGTGCGATCATTACTTGGTCATCTATGATACCGTCGGTCTCCTGCTTGTTGATGCGTGTATCTAATCGGATATGTATGTCGTGTGCCAACAGACAAGTAGTTAGCCATAGCAACAGGTACCCTGGTAGTCATGCTATCAGGATCAATAGCGTAGATCCCTATGTTTGTACTTGGCTCTATATAGCCAGAGGAATATCCCCCCTTCCGCCCCTCAAAAAGCCGATTGCGAGCCACAGAGCAGAGGTAGCTTGTGGCAGATTGCCTGAACCTACAGTACACACCGTGTTTCCAGTGCCCAATTCTTTGTTTCCATCGAAATTGGGTTTCCATCAAATTGCCCGTCCATCTATGAAAGTCCAGAGGATCCCGCCCGAGGTAACCGCTCCCATCACAGCCTGACTTCCAAACTCCTCCACGAAGCTAAAAGGCATCACCGCATTCGTCTTGACTGGCAGCCTCAGAGCCGTGTATGCAAACCACGGCCCACAAACGTAAAGCCAAACAAGTCCCCACAGGTAGCCTAGGAAACCCATTGGTTCCAAGTGAGATTTTATCCCTTCCCGAGTTCTGTAAACATCCTCCAGCGCGATCATAACGGGAACAGTGATAAAGAACAGGAATATTGCTCCCAGGCTGCCAGGAACTCCCGCATACACTGCACTCAGTACGTGGAGAATGCCAGACATGGAGAAGACCAGGAAGAGGTCGGTAATCCTTTTTCCATGGCGGGAAGATGAATTACAGAGGCTGAGACGTTGTTGGATATACCCACTAAGGGTCCCCAAAGGCCAACGTAATAATTGATGCCAGAACTTCCTGTAGAATAGAGAACCGTAAGCAAATACAGCAAAAATATAACAGAATCATTTATTTTCCCAGCGGGAAAGTAAACTTTTTCAAGCAACGTACCCCCAGAAACTTCGGATGCTGAACATTCGTAAATGTTCCATACTACCAAACAAAGGCGGCCAGTCTTTGGGAGAGGTCAAATGCAAGAGAACAGAAATTGTGGCAAGAACTCGGTAGACCAGCGCGAAAAGTAAGCGCAGGTTGGCCGCTAAGATACAGCAGAGTGGAATTCGGGCAATCAATTGCTCCTTGGTTGACCTATGGCTAAGAAACTCCGCCCCAGTCGCCAAAGCACCCGGCCAATTGAGGTGAAAATACTTCAATGCCCCAAAATTCAGGAGGTCAAGGGCCAAATACTGCCAACTCAGAACGATGACATTTTTCACGATATATTGGCCTCTGGATAGTTCTCGATAATATGGCCGGGATTTCACCTCCCACGGCGTCCGAATCCCACGAGGACTAGTCACGCAGTTCAAGGCAGCACAAAGACGGGCAAAATAGGAACTGGCGGGTGTGTGAATCAATTGGTGAATTTCCACCTGGAGGACCAGGAAGAGGCTGATGAAATGAAGAAGCTTGACGATGCAGGAGAATGCAATGACTCCTCGCAGTAATTCTGGCCCCGGTAAAAATGACAGCAAGTCAATTTCAAAAATTGCGAGGACGAGGAGGCAGAATATACATAATTGTCGTTGGGTTGATGCGCGGGTAGTGAAGGCTAGAGCAGTTGAGGCAACAAGGTACTCGCAGAACAGAATAGCCACCAATGTGTAGAGGCACGACATGGTGATGACCCCCTGAAGTCGATGGCGATCGGTTGATCGGTCTTTCAATGTGGATTCAATTCTCCAAATTCCACTTTACGCAACTAGACTTTGTAGCTAGTTATACATCGCATCCCTGAGACGTGGATACCATGCATAATTGCTTTTTTCCCAAACCGGTTTGTGTAATTGTCGAGCCCCTTGCAGAATACACCCCCTTGCAGAATATAACCTTTGGACTTCAAGGCATAAATTGCGCACCTTCTATTCAGCTGTATCCAAGAAAGCTGCCCAAGGTCAGTCGAAGGGGACTGAAAAGAAAAACAGATGATAGACTCATCCAACAGTACCTGTCTTTCAGGTGGGCAGCCCATTTCGCTGTCGTCCACTATTTTGTGTCAGGACGGATTCTACTGTATGACTTTTCATTCTGTTTGCTTCGTATACCTTCATGACAATTTCCAGGCCCATCAAATGATGAACAACGCCGGCCGGTGTATTGTCCGCCTTTGCCTGACTGCCTCCTGACACGACTCCAGAGCAGCGACAATTTATGCGCCGCACCCCAAGGGAATCTCGAGCCGGTAGTATGTATGCCAGGGTTCTATTGCCCGCCTGGCCAGAAGCAGCAGATTGAGTGTCCACGGGGTCATTTTTGTCCTCTAGGGACGGTAACTCCGTTCAAATGCACGGTGATGTCAATATGCACGGCTGGAAGCTCTCATCAGACCCCACTACTGGGAATGTTCCTTTGTCTGCTGTTTGACACGTTGATAATAGGCATGTGTATTGGTTTGCGATCTGCGTCGCCATTCAGACGGTTGATTCGGTACCTTCACTTAGCCCAGCCCTGTCTGTCTCCCCAAGACGATGAAAATGGCTCAGCCGCGAAGCCTCCCCGCTTGCAGCAGTTTCAGGACTTTTTTAGCGGGGATAACATCCCGTCATCTTCCGTGCATCTTAGTTTCACTGACATTAGTCTCTGTTTACGACGTTCGCAACGCGAGATTTTGTCTGGTCTGCAGGGGACTATCCATTCTGGCTCGGTGCTTGGAATCATAGGAGCTTCCGGGTCTGGTAAATGTGAGAATGCCTGACACCCCTCCTGAGAGCAACATTTAATGATTAGTGTACCGCAGCAAGCTTTGTTAATATCCTATCGGGTAGGATACGGCCTACTCAGGGATGGATCTCTATGAATGGCCTGAGAAGCCAACCCGCGCAGTGAATTCCCCTACTACCTGCACGAAATAAAAGATTCAATACTAACCTTACCATTCGGTTCTCTATTGTGCAATAGCTTGAGAGATTTAATCGGGTTCATTCCCCAGAATGATACAGTTCTTCCCGATTTCACCGTACGCCAGAATATCGTGTACACCGGTCGGGTGCTACTTGGTGGGCAGCTGCCCGACCGCAAGATTCAGGAATATGTAGATTTTCTGATTTCTTCTCTGGGTCTGGGGAGTATCTCTGATCAATTAGTCGGTGGCCTCCTGGAGGGGGTGGCCGAGGTATATCTGGGGGTGAGTATAAGCGCGTGAGTATCGCTCTCGCGCTGGCCGCTGCACCAAAGGCCTTGGTTCTGGACGAGCCAACCTCCGGTCTGGATGCGACGGCCGCACATTCCCTGATGAAGCTTCTGCACTCAATCTCTCGTCAGGGGATTATGGTGATTTGCGTGATTCACCAGCCACGGGTGGAGATATTTCATCTACTGGATGATCTTCTCGTTCTGAATGCCGGGGCGCAGGTGTATCTTGGAAAAGCAGCCAAGGCACAGTCTTTCTTCGAGAAGTTAGGCCACAATTTTCCCGTCGCATCAAACCCAGCGGATGTGATCCTTGATGTCTTAATGAATCATACCCTTACTCAGGGTGGGAACGAAATCTCTCTGCGGGTTTCATCAGAGAACAAGTCCTCCCCTGGAACCGAACTAGCAGAAGGCCTGAGCGCGCTCTTTAAGATTGTCAAGCAAAGGCGGGCGTCATGGATTCGTCAACTTTGGCTCGCCTTTTGCCGGAGTATAGCCCAACAGACCCGACAGACCACAGGCCTTGCTTTGGAGATCGTATCCAGTGCAGTGATTGGGCTCATGATCGGATTATCCGCTTTTGAAGCCAGAGGCCACTTCTTCCAAGGAATCTATCACCATCCCTTTGACCTTCTCTCCAGTGCGGTTGATTATCGTCTAACAGCCGAGCAGGCTCTCTTATGTTGTCTCGCGATAGGTAAGGCTCCCCGCTGTTCTTCTCCGATCCCACTTCTGTTGACTAATCAAGTGTTCTGATCCAGCTTGTGCGGCTGGACCTCCGGGAGTTAAGATATTTGGAGAGGAGAAGTTGACGTTTTATCGAGAATCTCAGTCGGGCCATTCTCGCAGCGCTTATTTTCTAGGGAAGAACCTGGCGGTTCTTTTCCGAATGTTGGTGTCGTCCTTGCATTTTACCGCATTTTACCTCGTTCTGGCTGCTCCTATGATCCCGTTTCATACGCAGCTTGGTCTTGGCTTCTTATACTTTTATTGTAAGCTTTTAAGCGCCGAATCTGCGTCCTTCGTTACCAGTTAACCCCCATTCCAGGTATCTACGGGCTCGGATTCGTTGTGTCGGCCGTCACACGGCGAGAAGATGGACCACTGCTGTGCATGTTAATGAGTCTCATTATCTCAGCACTGAGTGGGTGTGCTCCTCGGCTTTCAACTGTGCGGAAGTGGCATCTGGAATGGTTTTGGTATTCGTGGCCAGCTGTAAGCTATGCCTCTTTTCCCAAAATAACTAACCCGGACTCAAGCTGAATTGACTTATCGTTGTTGTCAGACTTGGTTCTCAGAGGCATTCTACCAGGAGAACACAGCCCCCCTGGCATACCTTTATAACATTGAGGACGCTGCCACATTCACTGGTTATAGGACAGGTAGAACGGAGATGGACATAGGGTATGTATATATCCTTGGATGGTGTAGATTTGCGACGGTGACACTAACCTCAACAGATTTCTCGTCTTGATTGGGACCCTATATCGAATATTATCTTATTTCCTTTTCGTTTTCTGGGGGTGGAAGCCACAACGGTGATAGATCAGGAGGCCTCTTGTTGCTCAATGGCTGGAAAAGTGTTTTGCATAGTGCGAGCCTTGTGTGGAAATAGGTTGAAGTGATTTGCTCCAACTGATTATGTGCTAATAAGGAGCTCACGGGATGAACGATTAACGCGAAGGCTCTCTCACCCCGTGAGATTGAAAAGGGAATTACCATTTAGTTTTTAATAGTATTGACTAATAGAATTTAGAGTATTCTGCACTACGCCTCTTGCGGCAAATCAGGGTGATATTTCGGGGACGTGTTTTGAGTCTGTCGAGACCTCTTTTCGAGCGACTACTAATTCAAAGTGAAGAGGCCGAGGAGATGAGCCGTTGAAAGTGCATTGCAGTAGTGAAAGTTCAAAGGTCTGCAGTGGCTGGGATGTGAAGGTGCTGCCCAGCTGAAAACCCGAGTTGAGGGACTGTTTTGTCCCCTAAGCCGCACGCAGCAAGCGTTCTACTACCAGTGTGCTACAAATCCTACTACCCTAGCCACATTCCCCCTGTCTTCTTGGCTCTGTCGTGATTGGACATTGACTTTTCTCTCTTCTCCTGTCCTGAATATTCCCCTTTGGAGAAGCAGCACCGACTACCTGCCATGGCCCAGGACAGCTTCCAGGATGATATTTCTCGAGCACAAATCGCCCCTGAATGGAACTCAACGCCAGATAAATACCCAAGGAGAGTTCAATCTGGCACTATGGAAGAAATCTATCAGGCTCTCCCATCTCCGAATTCAGACTCCGAGCCAGAAGGCTACCAGAGTTTAGAAGTCGAACCAAATCTTCCAAGGAAGTGGTTTCGGTGTGAACATTGCTCGAAAGCATTTACAAAATTTTACAACCTCAAGTCACATCTATTAACTCATGATTCCACCTTGCCATTTTCATGTGCAATGAGCCGGCGGGAATTTGCCAGAAAAAGTGACATCAAGCGTCATATGGGAACCCATTCCGGCGAGAAAAGCTATGTCTGTAATGGATGCCAGACACCATTTGCTCGAAAGGATATGCTAAACTGTCATCACAAATTTCAGAAAACACCGGCTTGTCTGCAAGTTCAACAGAGCCAACGGGCACAGGCGAACCGCCCCGCACAAGTGCAGAGTTCCAGCGTGTTTTCAATCTCATCTCTGCTTTCATGACAGCAGTCGTTGGAGTGTTAAATAAATCAAAATACCTGTAGCGAATACTGGGTTCAAAGAGTGGGATGATGGAGCCCGAATATCCGAATGAGATCACCGAGAATCCCACAAGTCAATATACTCAATACCGCTCGCCGTGCGCTGTTGCGTATAGAACCCTCCCTTTTAGCCGCTATTACCTTAGAGAGGACTTAATGCCTAGACAATCGATGCTGATCGAGAAGGGAAATGTCTCAGCCACTCGGGGTCTCGGCGCTGTAGCACGAGCCCGTGGGAAATTTGCGCGCCTAGAACCCGAGGTGGGGAAAGTGCCAATACGCTCAATGGTTGGAACCAAGGCACCAAGACTTTAGCATCTCTGGGCAGAGGAGCGGGAACCCTGATTTGGCCGCGGAAGGCATCTCAATGCCGCACTTCCATCTGATAAGATGAAGTTTGCGCCCCTCTCGCATGGCACACTTTTTTCCCTTCCGAAGCCGGGGCTTGGCTTAAAATCGTCTCATAAAGATCCAACGGTCGCCCCGTTCAACAACTCATGCCCTGGTTGGATTTTTCTCTATAGTCTTTCGAAATTGTCTATCCCCTGTCGCCTGTCTCCATGGCAGACACTCCCGTAACACGCGCCCGTGACGATCGCTTCGGCGAAAACGTGGCAAAGCCCCCGCAACACCAGGAGGACCCCGTTCAGGAGGTGAATTTGCTGGGCGAGGGAAGTCCAGGTGTTCGACGCATCGAGATCATCACCTCACATTTCAGGCTTGTGGATCGCATCTTTCTCTTTGCCAGCATTTTCCTCATCGCCTATGTTTATGGCCTGGATGGAACCGTCCGCTACACCTACCAGGTTGGTTTCGCGAAGGACATCATTCTATTTGCTTTTCATGGAAGAGGCTAACTATATCAAAATGATCTGCAGCCATATGCGACCCAAAGTTATGGAAAGCACAGCCTGCTGGCCACTATTAATGTTCTCCGCGCTGTCATCGCTGCTGCGGCGCAGGTATGGCTCTTGAATTAGGACACAACTTTAGCACTGGCTTACGGAATTCCCCGCAGCCTACCGCCGCAAAAATTGCAGATGTGTTCGGCAGAGTCGAACTGATCCTTGTTTCCATCCTTTTCTACACCGTCGGCACCATCATTGAAACTTTTTCGAAGAGCGTGGAGGCTTTCTGTGCAGGGGCCGTGATCTACCAGGTAAAAAATTGATCAAGCCCAGGTTACTTAGGAGCATCGTCTCACTGCTTTCAGATTGGATATACCTGCATTATGTTGCTGGTCGAAGTCTTGATTGCAGATGTCACCTCTACGCGATCTCGTCTTTTTTTCTCCTTTATTCCTGCTTTGCCGTTTATCGTCAGTACTTCGTCTATCCCCCCTGGAGCTCATGTTAACCAAGCAAATTTCTACTAGATCAATACTTGGATAAGTGGGAACCTAACGAGTGCCGTGCTGAAAGTCACCTCATGGCAATGGGGTATTGGTATGTTCGCCATAATCTATCCGATTTGCGCTCTCCCTCTGGTCGTCGTTCTCTTCATCGTTCACCGCCGCGCCAAGGCTTCCGGTCAACTGGAGTCTTACAAGAGTTCTCTCGATCTGCTTGGTGGTCGGCGCCTTGTAACGGAACTTTTCTGGCATTTGGATGTTGTTGGAATCATCTTGATGATTGCTATGCTTGCCTGTATCTTGGTTCCGTTCACCATCGCTGGGGGAGTTACTGCACAATGGAAGACCGCGAAGGTTCTTGCCCCGTTGGTGATTGGCGTTCTGTTGATCCCAGTGTGGGCATACTGGGAAAGAACATGCAAATATCCAATGTTGCCATCAAAGGTGAGTTCGCATCTTAATGATGCGTAATTCCTGAGTCAAGGACTAATGGGCTATATAGCGTCTCAAAGACCGTGGTATCTGGGGTGCATTAGGCATTGCGGTCATGTTAAACACTGGTATATCTCCATTGTTGTTTTGGCGAAAAATTCGTCTAACATCATCTTAGCTTGGTATCTCCAGGGTGATTTCCTGTACACTGTACTCTACGTGAGCTTCGACGAATCTGTGCTGAGTGCGACCCGCATCACATCACTATACAGTTTCACTTCGGTGATTGCGGGGACTATCCTTGGACTTATCATCATGAAGATTCGGCAGCTGAAGCCCTTCATTGTTTCCGGAACAGTACTTTTTACAATCGCATTTGGCATCCTCATCTACTACCGCGGGGGGCCGGGTGGGTCAAGTCATTCGGGAATAATTGGTGGACAGGTTCTCTTGGGACTTGGTAAGACCACTGACGGTCCAATCGCTCGGAAGAAGAAGCTGACGGGCTTGTAGCCGGCGGAATGTTTGCTTACCCTGCTCAGGCCAGTATCCAGGCTGTTTCCAAACATGAACGTAAGTTACCTGCCTGAAGAAATCTTCATCTAGGAAAAAATTTGTATTGATTCATGCTAGATCTTGCTGTCGTGACTGGAATTTACCTCGCCTCCTATAACGTTGGGAGTGCTCTAGGGAACACAATCTCCGGTGCCATCTGGAATCAAGTGCTCCCCGCTGAACTGATCCGCAGACTTGGCAATGAGACACTAGCTGCTGAGGTCTATGCACAGCCCCTGCTTTTCGCCGCCGCCAATCCAGTAGGAACTCCGGACCGAGATAATGTGATTCTTGCGTACCGGAAAACACAGCGCTTGCTTTGCATCACGGGAATTTGCTTGACAATTCCTTTGATCATCTTCTCCCTCTGCATCCGGAACCCCAAGCTTACCAAAGAACAAACCCTTGCTAAGGCAGAGGACGAGCAGGTCACCGATTCTGGCTCAGAGAGAGTTGAGTCACGCTGATATAGGGTCAAAGATTTGAGATGCAAATTCCTTTGCCTCGATGACATTTACCCTCTACAAGTATTCCGGCAATGTTCATCCATTATGTTGATAGGCAAGCAAACGTAGTTACAACGATGCTTCCTGTCAAATATTCCACATTATGCATAAACACACTGTCTTGATCTACCTGGTTGCTTTGCGGGCCGGCGGCTTGAACAGGGTTTCTAGTGGAGTTGGAGGCCACGGACTAGGGTAAAATAGGCAAGATAAGTCGTACTTTCCAGAGTGCAAGAGAGTCCCTTGGCGATTCTCGGGATTTGCCTCCTCTTCTGGCATAAAAACAAAGGCAGACGAGTTGGGCGGAATCAAAAGGTTCATCGAGAAGACTGAATCATCACCCACAATCCACGAACATTCGATCATCCCGTAAGGGCTTTCAAATCGGATGTCGGCACTGCGAATTGTCCCACCCGGAACCGGTTGTACCTTGAAGACCTTCCAGCCCGGCTCAAGAACACTGATTCCACCGACATTCTCATGAAGCCAATTGACGACAGACCCTAGTGCATAGTGGTTGAAACTAGTCATCTGACCGGGATTAATTGTTCCATCTGGGAGCATGCTATTCCATCTTTCCCAGGTCGTGGTTGCGCCCATAGTGACTGGATAGAGCCATGATGGACACTCAGTTTCTAGTAGCATCCTATATGCAAGTTGGTGCCAGCCAGTCTTGCTTAGTGCATGTGTCACGATTGGAGTCCCGGCGAATCCAGTGGCCACTCGGAACTTGGCAAAGCGTACTTTTCGGGCTAACCGCTCGCTGGCATTTTTGACCTGGTCATTCGTTTCAAATAGCGAGAACACCAAAGCTAGAGATAACGAGGTTTGGGTGTCGCACATGACCATTCCTTTCGGAGTGATATATCTCTCCTGGAAAACTCGCTTGAGGCGGAGATGGGCCTCGCGATAACGTTGTGCGTCCACCGTATGTTGAAGGATCATCGCTATTTGGCTCAAGATGCCTGTCACATATACCAAGTAGGCGTCTGCTACATAGACACCGTCGGTTTGGCCATTTCCAGGATCCTCGGGTGGAGCCGATGGATCCAACCAGTCCCCGTGTTGCCATAGTGACGTGGTCCACAACCCATCTTCTCCACGAGAGCAGCCTTGGTCCAACCAGGACTTCATACTATGATATTGTCGCTGAAGAATGTCTCTGTCACCAAACCATCTATACAGAGCCCACGGGACGAGGATCGAAGCGTCGCCCCAAACAGCCTGTGGCGGGCGTGACTCTTTCGCAAATTGAACGTTGGGCACTATCATAGGAGGAACACCGTTGTCTTCATTTTGCTCCAGTGCAAGGTCTACGAGCCAGTCAGCGAGCATACCGTTTGTATCGTAGAGAAAATTTGCCGAGGGGCTGAAGACTTGAATATCGCCCGTCCAGCCGAGCCGTTCATCGCGCTGGGGACAGTCCGTAGGAATCGATAGGAAATTTCCTCGCATGCTCCAGACTGAATTTTCATGCAGTCGGTTGATCTGATTGTCGGAGCAGGAGAACCATCCTGTTCGTTTCATGTCACTATGAAAGACAATCGCCGAGATACTTCCCGCACGTAGCGGACATTTGTCGTCTTCGGGAGACCACCCATCGACCTGCACGAACCGAAATCCATGGAACGTAAAACTGGGAGACCAACTCGCTACTTCCTCACCAGAACATACGATCACATCGGTGCATTTTGCGGCGCGAAGTGGACGCATACAAATTTCATTGTGCTCCAGAACCTCCGCATGTTGGAATACCACGCGATGGCCAGCCGCCTTTTTCAACCCCCGGACTCGTAGTGTTCCCACTAGATTTTGACCGAAATCCAGGAGCAGTTTTCCAGAGGATGACTTGAATATTTTCTGAGGGAATATCTCTTGGGTCGCCCGGACTGGAGGCCCTTCTGGTGTAGAGAAGGAGGTAGCAGGAAGGGGCAAGACGGTGACTTTCATCCATCGTGTGCCCGGTCGGGCTTCGGCGCCAGTCTTCCACCCCGGCTGCTCTTCTGCCATGTCGTAAGTCTCGCCATTGTATATCTCACTGGTCAACATGGGGCCCACATTCCATTCCCATTCTGCGTCGGTAGTCACAACAAGCGGCGTGGGGTCGGATGCGAAATTGATCTCCAGCTGCGCGATTAGTCCAATCTCCTTGCCATATATCTGGCGGCCTTCTCTCCATAGACTCGAGGCAAACCATCCTTCGCCAACCTCTGCTGCGAGGATATTTGTTTGACCACTCCGGAGGAGGCCCGTCACGTCGAAGACCTGGTAGGAGAATCGAAATCGGTAGGAGGTGAAGCCTGGTGCCATGAAATGGTCTCCAACGCGAGTACCATTCAGGTAAACATGATACACCCCCTGCGCAGTAACATAGAGCCGTGCTTTCTGGATAGGATGGTTGGTTTCGGGGACTGAGAATGATCGCCTCAGTAGAAGGGGCCGAATCGGCTCTTCCAGGGAAGTTTTTTGCTGGCTTGTGATCAATTGAGCCCGCCATTCATCTTTGTCCAGTAAGCCTGCCTCAATCGGCGCCCAAGGAGACCACTCTGTCGCACTCATCTCTGGACAAGTCTCCGAAGTTCCGATTGACCTGACACGGGCTGTAGCTCTCTCGGGAGGCCAAGGGCGAGCTTGGCCATGGCACATGGACGGATTCGGGTGATTCCACGCGATATGTTTCCAATATCCCATTTCGTATGAGCTCTATCTCATACTCATGTTGTCGCCAACCCTGTACGCTGACATCGGTATAAAGAAAACGCCAAGAAATGTTAGCCTGGGTGTTGCTTATTCCAAAGCCATCTTGGCGATTGCCGAAGGTGGGACGGTGGAGAGAAATTCCAGGACTTATTCTCATCTTAGAAGTGCCACCCACCAATTAGTATTAGTGTGGAGGCTATTTGGTTTGACTTCGGAAAATACTCACCTTTCGTAAAGATTCTCTTTTTCTATGAACAAGCTCGGAGGCTTCGACAATCTTCTCAGAAAGAGCATCGTTAGTGTCGGCGTCGGACAACTTACACGATTCAGTTAACCAACTCTTTTCTCTACCCCGCACAATAGATTCGAATCAGAAGGCCAGATCGGCTTACATTGCCCCGAGAAGGATTTGAATGGGAGATGTGATTTGCTCCCACGCACGGCGCACTCACTGTGGCAGGAGCAGCTGAGTGGCGTCCAACTGCTTTGACCTTCAGGTAACAGCTGGACAAGGACTACTTGATTGGTGGAGCTTGGTGCAGAATATTTCCATGCATTCAATATAGGTCACCACTATACGGCAACTTTATTGGTCAAGAATCCCAAGCCATCGCAGTAGATGATAAGCCTTGCGCCCCAAAGTAGATGTTGCTTGCTTCTACTGGTTTGCGACATGCAGCGGGACTTCGGGCTTCCCCACATTTTTCCCTAATGTATGTACTTCGCTTGGGATGACCTGTCACTACTCTGCGCAAAGCGCGGCTAACGTATTGGAATAGATGGGTAGATTAAATATCATGAAGAACTGGTAAAGTACTCGAGAGAGTGGCATTGGTCGTGTGCTCTCCAAGGTACTGCTTGTTCGAAATGTCACAAGGATCAAATATATGTTCTCAAGTATTCCCCAAGAGCCATCATCGCCATTGCCTGCCCATAGGGCATAGCTGTGACTGCAATGTTTCGATAATGGTCTAGTGTATCCCCCATTCCCGTGCCAAAGCTAGTATTTTGGAGCTCCCCTTTCTCATCGATTGATCTCAGCACGGCACCAACTGCTTTTTCTGCCACTTCCCTATATTGCTTTCCAATATAACGTTTCCGAATCGCCTTCAAAATCCCAAAGGCAAATCCAGCGGTCGCAGATGCCTCAATGTACGAGCCTTCGTCTGTCTTGTCTAGCAGTGTCCGCCAGTAGCCAGAGGGCTCCTGAAGCCGTTCCAGAGCCTGGCATTGAGCATCGAGTGTATTCGTGAGATGGTAGTAGAGTGGGTCGGTCGGTGAGAGATCCATGAGCTCAATAATCTCTGGGATCACAATCGTTACCCAGCTGTTTCCTCGGGCCCACAGCGCACCGGCAAAATTGTGGCCCCCGTCTTCGAATGTCCAGCCATGGTAGAAAAGACCACTCTTAGGGTCACAAAGGTATTTGATGTGAATAAGCAATTGCTTCTTTGCCTCCGTAACATAATGTGGACGTCCGAGTAAATTCCCAATTTTGACCAAGGGCAATACCGTCATCATCAGTGTATCGTCCCAAAGCTGCTGTTTGTGTTCCATGGCATATGTTTTGTGCTGCATGCCACCATAGCATGTTCGTGGGAGCTCATACATGGCCCATTCCGCCCAACTATCTAGCCAAGGAAGATAGACAGGATTCCCTGTTTTCTCGTAGACATAGGCTAATGTGAGGAAAACGGCCATGGTGTTGATGTTTTTCGTGGTGCCGCCTTCCGCAAACCGAGCTGCGAACCAGTCTTCGATCAGTTTTAGATAAGAGGGATCTCCAGTTAATTCGTAATATTTCCATATCCCATAGAGGCCGATGCCATGAGTCCATTCCCAGCCGTTCCATGATTTTGTGTCAATTATGCGACCGTCCGATAGATGAAGCAAAAACCGTCCGGTGTCATCTTTGATGTTGATCAGGTTTTCAATGAGACTTTTCGTTGCATGGTGTATGACTGATGCGCTTGGCCGACTGGCTGCTGGAAGTTCTTGGACGGACATCGTGGGGCAAGTTCTCCGTGAGTGTGATGACTAGGACTAGTCAAAGACGAAAAGTTATTCTGTTTTGAAATTAAATAATAAGAAGCCTGACATTTAATACGAGCATACTGGGATGCGTGTAAGACACGTCAACTCCTCTGGCTTGCTCGTATATCTTTGCTCCGAGCGTTCCAGATTTCCAACGTTTCGGAAGGTAATGCACCGAAGGAAAACAGCCAAGACAGACCGAGTCATGGTCGAAGCCTTTGGCTGGACAGCTAAGCTTCGGTTGCGAGGCGAGCTCTTATGTTTCGCATTTTCTAGTCAATGGTTTCTCCGTCTTGGCAAATCTTAATTCGGGCTGCATCAATCCGAAATAGTACGTCGCGGGGTTGATCTCTAAACAAGCTCACAGTGTGGGGTTGAGAGGCAAAATATGGAGCTTGGTCCGCTTTGGCTCTATGTTCAGACTTCAGTAAACAATCAAGTTGCCGGCTAGGGGCTATAAAGAAACCCAGCCCCCTTCCCACCTTCCCCCTTCCCTCCCCCCCCGGTGGAGGTCTATGCAAGAACCACACTGATCGAACTTGTATCTAAATCTCACCAACTCCCCTTCTTTCCTGTTAAAAGGTATACCATGGGAGAACTCAAAGAAACAAAGGGAAATGTCCCTTCCGAAGCGGGAGCGATCGAGTCCACCCATCTCGAACAACAGGTCACAACAGACATGGAGGACCTCAAATCGGTGCAGATTGGCGATCGCGTTGATGACGAAGTGCAGAAATATGCAGGAATGGGGCGGGTTGAGATCGACGACGCGACATCTCACCGTCTGAAACGGCTGATTGACCGTCGGGTTCTTACGATCATGGTGTTCACCTATCTTGTACAAGCCCTTGACAAGGGTACTCTTAGTTTCACCAGTATTATGGGACTACTGGATGATACCCATCTCCATGGCACTCAGGTACTCATTTCGCATGATCAGAACGCTGGGCTCGCGCTGACAATCAACAGTATGCTTGGTTGTCGACCTGTGTTTACTTATCGATTCTAGTGGTTGAGTACCCCACGAACTGGATTATTCAACGGGTTCCTATTGCCAAATACCTTGGCTTCAACATAATTATGTGGGGGTCGGTCTTGACTTTCCATTCAACTGTCAAAAACTTTGGAGGTATACTCGCGTGCCGAATTTTACTGGGCGTGTTTGAGGCGTGTGCACAGCCGAGCTTCGTTCGCCTCTCGGGGATGTGGTATAAACGTGAAGAACAAGCTCAGACAGTTACCTTTTGGTAAGTTGCTTCAAGTGCTAATCGTGATGGACTTGCTAATAGCGTTAGGTATATGATGAACGGATTCCAACAAATGATTGGAGGGCTTCTGGCCTACCTCTTCAGTTTGATAGGCTCTGATAAAGTCCTCAAGTCTTGGCAAGCTCTGTTCATAACATACGGCTGTTTCTCGGTGCTGTTCGGTGTCTTCGTCTTGGTCGTTATGCCAGATTCTCCCATGACAGCAAAGTGCTTCTCTGAGGACGACAAACGACTCATGGTTGAGCGAGTACGAGATAATCGCACGGGCATTCAGAATAAGAAATTCCGGAAATACCAGGTCCTTGAGGCCTTGCACGATCCTCAGATGTGGTGCTATTGCGGCATTCAACTTTTCACAACCTTGCCTACCAGTGGATTAGGAACGTTTGCCAATATCATCATCAAAGGCTTTCATTTCACAACACTCCAGACCCAACTTCTGTCCATGGTTTTAGGTGCATACATCATTTTCGTCCTGCTGACTTCCATGTGGCTTGTCAAGAAAACCAACCAGAATTTGATAGTGATGGCAGCTTATTGCATTCCGTGCGTGAAAGTCTTCAACAGGTGCTGCTCATTCTTTCAACACATGCTAACACACATTCTACCATCAGATCGTTCATTGGTACTATTGTTTTAATGACGGTACAAAATAAAACAGTGGCCACGAAAGCCGGCCTACTCCTTAGCTACTACATCACCCTTTCGTTTTGGGCAGCGCAAACTCTCACACTCTCGATGATTTCCAGAAATATTGCCGGCCAGACCAAAAAGTCGACGGTCATCGCCGCCAATTTCATAGCTTGGGCTACAGGCAACGCGATAGGTAGGCTTACGCGCTGGTTCTATCAACCCACTGTGAGTGAATCTAGCTAACAAAATATGCAAAAGGTCCACAAATATTTTTGACCCATGATGCACCCCGTTATTTTACGGCGTTCAGTATTCATCTTGGATGCTATACCCTCCTGGAAATCATTTTGTTGTATCTGCGCTTTCATCTCAAACGGCAAAATGCCAAGAAAGATCTTTTGGCCGGAGTCGAGGATCATAGTCCTGAAGGACCTCGGAACTTTGAGGGCTTCGAAGACTTGACGGATCGGGAGAATCTCAGATTCCGCTATGTGTACTGAACGTTGGTTGCGATAGTGTTAGGGAGATAGTGGTGGACAGGGCAGGCGCAGGACGCGTCGGTGTTTTGCGGGCAATTTAATTCTGAACTGGTTACCTCCGAGAACTTCGGTAGTTGGGGAGTCGAGCATTTCGCTTGGGATTGGGTTTATGAATCGAACCGAAGTTATTGTTTTCCATCCATAGCCTTGCCCGTGTTCTCTACGCCTATACATATGCGGATGATATCCCCCGGAGAGAACCAGTAAAGTTCCGGGCCCAGACGCGTCAATCACAACAGTGCGGAGCAGACCCGGACCGGGAGGGAGCCCCGTGACCCATTTTCCACCTTAATTTCTCGACCTCTGCCTGCCATCTACATTCTAACATTTTTGATCATCTAAAATAATGCTGTCCTTCTTAGCGAAAAGAGTTGCACGTACTACAACGGCAAATCAGAACCCTGTGATCTTTGACGGAGGCCGTTCCTCTATCGAGTTCAAGACTCCGACCGATCGATACCTGGTGGTCAATCGCTGGCCACCCGCTTCTAGCGAGGCAAACAGGAACATTGCATTGCGCCCACCCCTGCATTGGCATCGGCACCAGAGGGAGGTATTCCACGTTTTGAAGGGATCGGCCAAATTCGTGTGCGATGATCACAACATAATCAAAAATGCGGGCGATTTGATGACTATACCACCCAAGGCAGTCCATACTTTCTGCAATGCTAGCGAAAGAGATGAGCTGGTGATTGAGTTCGTTCTTGAACCGCAGTGGAGAGAGCGAGATGAGGCCTTCTTCCGTATGTCAAGGTGGCTTATAACTAGTTGTGTGGAATCTAACCGTTCAATCAGGAAATGTGCAATCTTATCGAGATGATTGTCGCAAGGCTGGCGTCTCACGGAGTCTGCCGCAGGTTCTGCTTTTTAACTGGGTCGGTGGTGTTGTTCTTGCGGTGCCGGGACCTACCATAATTGCGAAGCCGTTAGGCGTTCTCATGAATTTCTTTGGTGGCCTTATACTGGGGAAATATATTTTGGGATACAAGCCATCTTACCCGGAGTATTATAAGGCGCGGAGTTAGAGTTCCCCAAATATTATGATTTAATGTCTCGGGCATCCTAAAAGAGGGCCAATGTACCTAAGAAGTTGGAATTGCATTGAAGTTGAAGGAATAGAAACATATTTATGAGAGGGAAGTTGATCAGGAATTAGAATTATTATTTGGTTTCACCCAAATGCTACACTAAATGTACTTGCACATCGTTAAGCAATATCTCTCTGAGAATGGACGTATCGGTCCCCTGCGCTATGCATAGCGCCATCTTGGATGCTCGCAGCATCGCAACAAGTGAGAAGAGCTTCTCTGCGGGGGCCAGCCCCTCGACCTTCCAACCGAGAGTGTCAAGTAAATTACCAGCTATCTGTTGGACAAGTTGCTGGCCACCGTCGATGGCGGTACGTTCAAGATTCATGAACTCAAGAGTGAAACTTTCCATCGTCCGCTCAATCAAGGTCGGCATGGTGTAAAGTAGATCACCGACTCCTACCGCTGAGACGCTGAAATCAGAGGTTGGCCCATGCCCACATATTTCGGGTTGGCGACCGCAGTAAGAGAGCCATGAATCCAGGGCCATTAACTCCGTGAGTCGGGCGCGGAGGTTTGCGGCATCAGAAGGCTGGTGACGATCGACTTGGAAGCCGTAGTGACGGAGAAGCTCGATTTGGAACAGTGGAGCTCGAAACCCAGGGAATAATTTCGTATTATAACCGCCCGATATCACTGTTCCATGGTGATGGCTTGCACGGACCCCATATGGAGGAAATGTCGAGAGACCACTGCGCATCCACTCCAGTCCACGAGGGTGACAGGGCGAATCGAGGTAGACTGGTTGACAATAGTCGGTGAGCATCCCAAGTGCTTCAAGGATTACGGTGATTGCCCCGACGCAGAAATGCGTGGAAAATTTGGTCGCCCAAGGAGTCGCCAAATATCCCGGAATCACGTCGGCTTGACATACCCAAAACCAGCTCATCTCGCCTGCTGCGGGCTTGCTCTCGATGGAGACCGATGCGTTTGCTTCGTCTAGTGTGTCGTCGTCGAAATCATCCCAAGAATGCCCGTTCATGGACTGCCTGTGGTGATCTGCACCATACATCCCGGCCCCGTAGAGGGATTCTGGTTCCTCTATCTCTGGCTCAGATAATGGGGAGTCAGAATCCCCATCATTGAAACGGATGAAGACGCGATTGCGCCGAGATGGCCGTCTCGACCCAGGTTCAGAATTCCAATCGGAAAATTTCGCGTTGCATTGATCTCTCCAGCTGGCATTATAACGAGCTCGAGGTGGCGAGTGAGAGTGAACCCCGATCTGCCTTGGGTGAACCTCGCCATCAACATAGCTGGGAGATTTGAATGTCAAAGATATGTCGTCTCTAGAAGGGCTGCTGCTGTTGTTTGTGGGCATGAAAAAACTGCCGATCGAAGAGTCTGGCGATAAGCTACCATTTCGTCTGCGACGACGACCTCGTGGCTCGTCCGAACGGCCTGCTCTACTAGACCTCGAGGAGCCGCGTTGATTTTGTTTCTGGCGTGCTTCTTTTGTCTAAAATTTAGTTGTATGGTGTATATGTTGTGTGCCTTGAACTCACCTCGAATTTCCGTTGTCTTCAAAGCATAGGCTTGTACCTCTTCCTTCTGTAGCACTCGAAGAACAATCACAGAATCGGCCCTCTCTTCAAAACGTTCCTTTCCCAACTCCAAAGCAGCGGGACTAACTAGTCGACGGTCAATCTTGGTCCATCGTGCTCCCGGTGGAATCCCTTTCAGGTCGGCAGCCTCTTTCAGAGGAGCAACTCCTTCTCGAGCGGGGTTTGGGTCTTCCGGGAATTTTTCTTTTGGCGGCTTCAAAATCCCCCTTGGTGGAGGTTCGCTAGTTCCGCGGCGATGATTTGACGATTCTTTATCTGGAGACGGGCTTGTCTTTGCCACGGGCGAAGGGTTTTCACTCTCACTAACATCCCCTCCGCTGCTGGATGATGATTCGAATACGTGTACTGCGTGGCCAAATCCCACTCGAGCGTGGGACTGGTTCTGTTCGTTATCTGGCGATTTCGGGCTCTCACTCCCTTGGGAGTTCGTATGTCTTCGCGAGTCCTCCAGTACGAGGGTGTCGCCATACTCGACATCCCGTAGGGTGGGAGCACGGGAGCGAACGTGAGAGCTCGCGCGACTGTGAGATTCTTCGAGGCGGTTCAGTGGATGTGACTCGGAAGATTGAGCTCGAAAACCGGTCTCCCCGTCTATCTCTGAATCAGCTGATAACCAGTGTTGGGAGTTCCGGGACGGCTGCCTTCGGAGAGCAGACGGCATAGAGGCATGGCGAGGTGCACGCGAAGATCTTTCTTGGCTAGCCACAGTCCGGCGTGATCGTGTAGAATCAGAGCTTCTGTACCGATTGGTAGATCTCGAATGGGATCGGTTTCTCGTCGATCGGCCTTCGGAGATCGGGTGGGATCGTGACCGCGTCTCGCGATCAAGCTGTCTCTGCTGGACGATCCCGCGCCATTTATGAGCGTAGAATGCAGTTCTTTGTTGTTCAGAGTCATGCTGTGATTGAACCCATATTTCCAAGACTGCCCTGGCTAGATTCTCTTTAGCCGAATTGAGTTCAGTGACTTCCTGACCTTCGTCATCATACCATCCTATCAACAGTGGCCCGTCCCGCTGGTGATCATTGGCGACATCCTTCTGCATTTCCGCCCGCTTGTGCTCGATATAATCTTTGATGAACCACCTCGGCTGGAGGACTGCTCCTTTGTCCTGTGTGATGTGGTGTCGATGTAACTGACCACGAAAAAGATTGAAGCTTGCTTGCCTAGACGCTGCAGCCTTTGTGTGGGAGCTATCCGTTGACTCTTTGTTGAAGTCACCACGCTCGACTTCGGTCCCAAAACAATCTGTTGATATTTCCCTGCGGTAAGCCTTCCCCTGACGCAACACTGCAGTCCAAGCTCGGAACCACAATGTCCATTTGCCTTGCTGGTGACTGATGACGGCCTTCTTTGAATCTTTTGACATGCTCGTCAGGCCCTGCGATCTTGCACCTGGTGCTCGGCTTATTTCCTGTGCACTGTTATCCAGATACCAATCACCATCGGAACGAGTCCAAAGTGTCCGATACTCCTGGCAATATGGTGATCCTGTCGGACTATTGGACTGTGGAATCATGTCCGTGCGAGTTCGATGACTAGACGACGTCGCCGTGCTAGAAGCCATACTTGATCGACGCCGGAGCCCATACAGCGATGTGGGTGGTGGTGAACGGTTGCGATTTGCAGGGACGATGGCACGTTCACGCGGCCTTCTTGCCCAGAGGGTCTCCTCTCTCTCTATTTGCATCCTCTCGCGTCTACTGTAACGGTGTCCGGCGACCACCACATCGTCCCACATTCGTGCCATCCAACAGTGATCGATGGCTCCAGTTCCGACTTGCAGATCCTTGATTTCCTCCGTGGATAGATTCCGGGGGCTGAAATGCAGCAATGGTCCTAAGAGCGGGTGCTGAGAAGTGGTGATTGTACCAGCGGATCCTTGCATTGAAAGTGATTTCGATTCGAAGGATGCCTGCGTGCATTTCATCCCTGTCATCAGCCCCATGGCCGCAACGTCGCGCATCGACATTTGTATCGGTACGTTGGGCAGATCTGGTGGGCACCGGTCTGCATCTCCTTGGATCAGATCTAAAACCATTGATCGTCCGCTTGATAGCTGAACAGCCCGACAAAAGGAGACCCAGGACGCCTCTCCAGCCGAAAAGGAACCCGAAACTTGGCCAGCAGTGCTGGAATCCCGACCTATATCGCACTCATCATCCTCCTCACCGTCGTTGATCCCCATCAGACCCAGGTCGGGCAAGGGTTGAGAGCCCTTTGCGTACGAAGGAATATGGGGAAGTGTTTCTGGCCACAGGTCCTTCCGCAGGCTGACTTGAGGAATCGAATATACGACGCGGAACCTGAGCTGGCTCATCTGCCAAACCCGTCGTCCGCGACCGGGCATTTTACCATATACGACCGAGTCACACAATCGGATCAGTTGGCCGGTGAGCAAATACTGTTGCAGCACCTGCATCATGGCCACGAACATGGCGAGGATCGCGACCACGAGGGCCGCGACCGTGGCAGCGGTGGATGAATCCATTCGCGCTCGGCCTAGGGAACCATCGCAATCAACTGGCTTCGAACATATGCTGACAAGCAAGATTGCCTTCTCTCTAGACGCATACCCCGCTTAGGGGGCTGGCTAGGAAATCTCACGAATGGATGACTAACAACGCTCTACAGCCCAGCCTTGGACTGTCCGTAAGTACAGAACCGGCAGCAGGGTTAGTTCCTACGTCGGCGATGTCGGCAGGGAGACTAGTAAACACCATGGCATCTTCCATAACTCTGGACCCTAGAAAGTTGACGTAGTTGTAGAGTAACCATTGATAATAATATTTAGTTACTTCGCACTAACTTAACTAAGTAGCACCACAAGACATCAAAACATTCCCTTAGCCTCGGGTCGTAACGCCGGCTATCAGTGCGCTTATCATGGTCAGCTCAGTCCAACCCCGCCCTCAATAGACGTAGCGGAAGTGGGGGTTCTCCTATAACAAATGAATTAGTGTACGCTCATCTTGACATGAACAAGCCAGAGAAATCTTACTCGATCGGTGACGTCCTCGAAGGAGTGGGCAAACGCCGTATCCGCTGTTACTTCCCCTTGCTCAATTTTTCGATCGCGTCTCTTATTCTCACTGACATACCATGTGCGCAGCGAAAGAAGAACCACCTCCAAGAGCACAAAACAGCCTAACACAGCCGCAAGTGCTGGGAAATAGCGTGGCGCATTCTTGGAGCGGAAGGTCTGCGGGCCGATCGCATTGCCGACAGCCCAGAACACAAAGTTAACGGCGATGACCACGCTCTTCTTGGTCTGTCCAGCGATATTGCGGGTCACAATCGAGAGAGCGAGACCAGCACAACCCCAGTAAGCTATCATAATATAATATGCGAAGAGAAGGCCGACTCGCTTATCATGGGAAAATGGAACAGTGAGGAGCACAATGACACCGGCAATTGTGGGCACCACCGAGGCCATCATGGGGAAAATTGTTTGCTTATATCGTTTCTCAACCCAAACAGCCCCGAGCATGGCGGTGAGCTGAACGACGCCGGAAACCATTTGGAGAAGCTGGGTTTGCCAGGTGGTGAATCCGAATGACTTGACGATGATGTTGTTGAAGGCGCCGAGACCGCCAGAAGGAATAGTGAGCAATAGCTGAATAAGGGCAATGGCATAAACTGTGCAGACGTAAGTAAATTTGGAAATATTGCGCGTAATGCAGTAACGTTGAGAATTACTCACCCTGCGGATCTTTGACAACTTCCCACACTTGTTCCTTGCGGAACTTGCGATTTTGCAAGCCAGTGCGATTGCGGCGCACACGCTCCACCATGAGACGCTTGTCATTTTCAGTGAAACAGTGCGCCCTCATGGGCGAGTCGGGCATCCACCAGCCCACAAAGACGCCCCATATAACAGTCAGAATACCATACGTCATGAAGAGCGCCTGCCACGAGCTGATCGGCGAGGTGGCGGGAACGAACGAGAAGCAAAACGCTAGGAGACCACCAAGAATTTGATTCAGTCCGTTCATCATAAACCTATATATCCAGCGCGTAAGCGGAATTGTCACTTCACAACCGTTCTTCAGGGCATTATTGTAGTGTGACATACCAGAAGGTGACCGCGCCACCCTGCTCCTCTCGGGTGTACCAAATGGACGATAATAGAGTAAACGCTGGTTGACTGGTGGCTTCGAATACACCGAGGAAGGCTCGTAGGGTAATAAGGCCTTCGAAATTCTTCATTGCAGCCTGAAGTGCGAGCGTGATTCCCCACAAGATGATGTTACCCGACAGCCACTTGGCGATGGGCACCCGTTGAATGATGTAGTTTTCCTGTCGAGCGATAAGTAAACTGTCTGACCATCAACAGCCACAGAGGGTTAATTACCGGAAACTCCACCACCAAGATTATCATGTACAGAATTGTTGTCATCCATGAATACTGCATAATACTTCGAAGTTAATAGAAGTCTTATGCGAGGTAGATGCGGAAACTGACCTGCTGGCCCACCAGGTGGGCGTCTGCTTGAATGCCCATGATCGAGGCGTAAGACATCGTTCCTTTATCCAAGGTTTGAACCAAATATGTGATGACCATGACCACCATCACCCGCTTGTCGATAAGTCTTTTGAGTCGGCGGCTGGTGGCCTCGTCGACCTCCACGATTGTCTCATTTGCGTACTCGGCGACCTCACGATCCACCAGATCATAGTTCATGTGCTCCTTCACGACATCCATCTCCACAGCCTCTGGAGCCTCGTTGATCTCAGTCCGTTTATCCATTGTGTTTCCCAGATGGGTTCCAACTCTCAGGAGGTTATTTTTCGTTTGTGGAACGCCGAGGTTGGAAAGAAGGACGCGGCTGTCAGACTCGCTTTATTCTTCCGCTTGCTGCACGCCAAATGCTAAGATCCGCCGACCATGACCCTTAAGCCTTTGTTTTCTCTGCCTCAAGTCCAACCCCACACTCCGATTTGTGGAGAGGCGGGGAAGCTTTCGACAATCTGGGGTTCGTGTTTGCCAAGCTCGCACCGCACGGGCTGAAATTTAAGCGTTTGTTTATCCTGTCGTGATTGGACGACCCCTAGCCGAGACCAATATATCTCCAGCCACGCGACCAAGACCCGGGCCCTAACCGTGTCCTATTGGGTATGCTGCTCGCTAAGATTAACTCCTTCCCCCTGCCCCGCGGAAATCGCAATCCGACTTACCAATGGGCAATTTGTCGGCGATATTCCGTCGTCGAATTGGGACATGACCAGCGCCAAGCACCGCTAGTCTTCAGGCCTGTCGGCTTCCTTAACATTAACCGAATTGGCCATTTCGGAGACAGGTATCCGATCGAAATGGAGCGGGTGAACCTCGGGCCATCTGAAATCCTAGCCAATCTATATCCCTCCATCCTCAAATACTGATAATTGCAAAACTTGCTTTCACACGGTGCTCTCTACTTTCATCTCCTGAGTCCAAGAAAGATGTGCTCTAGTGAAAGCGAGGAATGCTCCATTCCGTATCCCCTTCGTGCTTCGAGGCCGGTGGGTAAGCGGATTGCACGCCTGGACAAAGATCGCCTTGGGCAGCTCTATTCCCCAGGACAATGGGAGAAGGTCAATCTTCTTGCGTGCGTGCAAATCCAGATCGGAAGAAATTTTGGGGTCGGGAAACTGATCCAGACTACGCAGAACGCTGAATGAAGGCGTATTCTCTGGGCCCCCGCACGTCAACCTCCACGTTTGGCATGCTCCAAGGGACACGCGTCCTACTTTCAAGGAAGCCACAGATCCCTCTAACCAGTACGAAGAAGCAAATTTAGGCCAAGAATTTGGTCCTTCTTGGTCTACCCACTGGTTCCAGGTCTATCTCCAACTCCCCAAAGAGATCTGTAGCAAAGAGCACGTCGAGTTGCACTGGGACTGCAACAATGAAGCTACGGTTTGGACACAAGATGGTAAGCCTCTTCAAGGTCTCACTGGCCGCGGAGAGCGTACGGAGTGGATTATTCCAGATTCCTTCAAGGACGGACAGAAGCATCTAATTTTTGTTGAAATGGCATGCAATGGCATGTTTGGGAATGGGCCTGGCAGGCCAATCTTCAAGAACAACCCAGGCGGTGACTCAATTCAACCTCCCGACCAGAATAAATATTTTGCGTTGTCCAAGGCAGAAATTGTGGTGGTGAACTGGGACGCAAGAATGCTATGCATGGATATAATGGCTATCCACGATGCCGCTGTCGAACTACCAGAGGAGAGTTGGCAACAACACAAAGCGTTGAGTGTGGGTACGAGGATCATCAACACTTTCCGGCTCGGCGATAACGACTCGATCATCCGCTGTCGGAAGATTGCCGAGGAATTTATTGGGCCCAATACCGGCTCTAGCGACATTTATTCAGCTGACGACGAACAAAATGTTGATGTCTTCGCGGTTGGTCACTGCCATATAGATACCTGTTGGTTGTGGCCCTGGGCAGAAACCAAGAGAAAGGTCGCTCGATCATGGCTCAACCAGTGCGACTTGATGGACCGGTACCCCGAACTGACTTTTGCATGTTCACAAGCTCAGCAATTCCAGTGGCTAAAGGAGGACTATCCCCATGCCTGGGAGCGCGTGAAGGAAAAGGTTCTATCGGGGCAGTTTCAACCAATTGGTGGCTGTTGGGTTGAACATGATACTAATATTCCAAATGGCGAATCGCTGGTGCGGCAATTCTTGTATGGCCAGCGGTTCTTTGAGGCCAACTTTGGCTCTCGTAGCCGTGTTCTCTGGCTTCCAGATTCCTTCGGGTTTTGTTCTCAGCTCCCACAATTGTCCAGACAGGCTGGGATGCCGCATTTTTTGACACAGAAAATATGCTTCAACAACATTAATCAGTTCCCGCATACTTCATTCAACTGGGTGTCACTAGACGGAAGCCAGGTACTCTGCCATATGCCTCCCGTTCGCACTTACACCGCAGAGGGTACCGTTGCGGATGTTCAGCGCTGCATCACAAATCATCTTTCCATGGACCAAGATCACACGTCCCTGATGGCATTTGGAAAAGGCGACGGTGGGGGCGGTCCAACCTGGCAGCATTTGGAACGGCTTAGACGATGCCGTGGTATATCGGATACAGTCGGTATGCTACCTCGAGTCCATGTGGGCAGTTCCGCCGACAAATTCTTCGAGAAGCTGCAACGGAAGGCCGATTCGCTCGCCACATGGAATGGTGATTTGTACTTTGAACTGCATCGTGGCACCTACACCACACAGTCGAACACTAAGCAAAACAACCGCAAAGCCGAGTTTTTGATGCGAGATATTGAGCTTCTTGCTACAATTGCATCAATAGCGAACAGGTCTTATAAATACCCAAAAGCAGAGATTGACAGCCTGTGGCAGAAGATCCTTCTTTGTCAGTTCCACGACTGCCTTCCGGGAACTGCAATTCGAATGTGCTACGATGACTCGGATCAAGTACGTCACTGAGATGGAATGGACATAATTTGAAAATCACACTGATCACATTCTTTCAGGTGTACGAACACGTTTTCAAAACGGGCGAGCTTGTTCTCCAAGCACTCTACCGGACTTTCAATCTGGAGTTACCATCCGAGTCCAGGCCCTTGGAGCATCAGAACTCGGTTGCACTCAACACCCTTCCCTGGCACCGCAAGGAAATTGTTGACTTCTTGGACACATCTTGTGTACTGGCTTCGGGTACAGGAACCATACTTGCCCTCGAAGAAATCACACCAGTATCGTCAGACAGACCCGTCACAGTTCAGGAGGTCTCCACTGGGGTTTTCAAGCTCCAGAATGAAAATTTATCTGTCACGGTAGAGAGAGGTTGCATCATCTCTTTGTATGACAAAAGGGCAGACCGCGAGGTAATTCCTCATGGCAGACAAGCGAACCGTTTTGTCCTATTCGACGATAAGCCGATTTACTGGCAAGCCTGGGATGTTGAGGTCTACCATCTGGATACGCGAGAGGAGCTCGCAAGCTCTACCACATTCATCACAGAAGACAACTACCATCGCGTTGCCGTCTCGACTGAGACCAAGATCAGCAATGGAAGTTCTATTCGACACACAATTTCTTTGTCTGCATCATTCGATGAAAGCACTCCGTCTTCTGTGGAATGCACTGCAGAGATCGACTGGCACGAGTCCATGAAGTTCCTTAAAGTAGAATTCCCGGTCGACATTCGCAACACGGAAGCAGCATACGAGACGCAATATGGAATCATCAAGCGGCCAACCCACTACAACACATCGTGGGACATGGCAAAATTCGAGGTCTGTTGTCACAAATTCGCAGACCTTTCTGAGCATGGATACGGCGTCTCGATCCTCAACGACAGCAAGTACGGGTTCGCGACGGTCGGCAATGTGATGCGGCTGTCCCTCCTGCGTTCTCCGAAGGCCCCAGATGATACAGCTGACATGGGTAAACACACCATCCGATGGGCTATAATGCCTCACCAAGGCATATTAGGCCCAAGTACTGTCCGTGCAGCGTTCAACTTCAACAATCCTCTGAAGCTCCTCACAGCAACATCGAAGACGGCCATTTTGAACAATTTCCCTGTCACGCTTGAGGGTGACGAGAGTCTCGTTCTGGATACAATCAAGCGCGGCGAGGATGACGAGGATATTAGTACTGGAGAGCTGCCAAAACGAAAAGGACGAAGTGTCATACTAAGAATCTATGATTCTGTTGGTGGCCGGTCGCGGGGAACAGTAAGAACTGTGTGGAATCTCAGGAGGGTCTACAAAACAAATCTCTTGGAAGATGATGAAAAGGAGATTCCTGTTGAAGATAGCACCTTCCATGTTGACCTGGGGCCTTTCCAAGTAGGGACATATCGACTCTGCTTGGATGATTAGGAACCAGGAACCAATGGGTTTCTCAACGATCCTCCACTTCGGCCAAAAAGGATCGATTGGTCCAGGATGGTAATTGCGGTAGTTATTGAATATCAAACCAATAACTAATCATAGCTGATCTTCCAATCATGAAGCTGTGTAGACTGTTTGGAACGCTCCTTCCCTAACGAAGTGAGTTTGGACTTTGGTCACATGCCAATCTTCCTGCTTTCATCTCTGTTGTCTTCCTCACTTCTTCATTCACATATTCTTTCCTCTCACCCTCTTCGCCCTCATCTCCCTCCCCCGCCACCATGTCCTGGGTGGCAGATGTTCATGCGAAGACAGGCGCGACGATCTACATCTTTCTGGCGCTGGCAGCCATCGTCTTCCTGTTCCGGGGAATCGCTGCGTGGAACGGCTTCTTTATCCAGAAGCTGCTTAAGAAGATGTAAGATACCATGGAACAGCCATGGACTCTACAGTCTCATTGCTACCAGAGTGATACTGACAGGTATGATAGTGACCTTGCCGCTGAGACGGAGCGGCGTGTCTTCGCCGAGCAGCGCGCCCGTGAGGCCGAGCAGCGTCTCGCTCAGATGGAGCAGTGGTGTCTCGCCCAGCTCGAGCAGCGAGCCCCCGTTTCCGGTCTTGCCCCTCGCCTCTCTTTTCCCGCCGCCGAGATCGACCAGCCTGTCGACGCCGACCAGCCTGCCGACGTCCAGGAGCCTCTGGCCCGGCAAATGAAGTGAGACTGGCACGAATCGGTCCTCTCCCTTCTGGTGCGGGCCTTTCCTCCCTGCCCGCGTGTCCGCCCTGGAGTATGGCCAGACGGCACGAATCGCTCATCTACTTTCTGGTGCAGGCCTTTCCTCCATGCCCGCGTGCCCAAACTGGATCTTGACCAGATGGCACAATTCGCTCATCTCTTTTCTGGTGCAGGCCTTTCCTCCCTGTCCGCGTGTCCACCCTGGAATATGGCCAGAGGACACGAATCGCTCCTCTCCTCTCTGGTGCAGGTTTTCCCTCCCTGCCCGCGTGTCCGCCCTAGGGTATGACCAGATGGCACGAACCGCTCCTCTTTCTTCTTCCACGGGTCGTCCTCACCCGTGTGTTATGGACATTATGATCGGCGGCCATATGCCGCATGCTATAGCAGTGTCAGAAGGTACCTCTGCTGTTGACAAACGTTTGCACGTAGCCTTTTGCGTAGATGCCAAAAGATTAGTCTTGCAGATCCTACAGAGTACAGCCACATCCAATCAACATGGCCTTGCGGGGTCAGCTCGGTTCTCCGCGCCGGCCGGAAGACCTCTAACCCATTCTCAGCATGTCTATTGCGCACCCAGCCTTCTACCACCGGTCGCGCGATGCTCAAGTGGCGCTCACCTTGTTCCCGCCCGGGCGACACCTTCAACTATGGAGATTAGCCGCACATAAGCCACACACCGGCCGGTTAGTAGTATAGTGGGTGACCACACACGAAACCTGGCTATATTATGTCCTTTCTGGTGTTTATTCTCAATACGTTTAAAAGACAGAAAAATTTTATTACTTCTGGAAAACCCTCATTCATTCGGAAAGTTGGTTAATTAGCGCTAGGGATTCTGCGAAGCAAATCATTATCACCTAAGAATCCGAATTCATGACAAATCCACGCGCGACTAATTCCGTAACCGCTCAGCTATGTCCTCCTCACTGATCGCGCGTGCTTTGTCAGGCTTACATACGGGTGATTCCTAATCGCCTACCCGAGTCTAACGTTACCTCGCGTTGGTTGTAACCAGCTTACGCAGCCTCGGACATTATAATATCCGAAATCTGCACCAGGTATGTCTTTTATTGGACAGCCAAAGAAAAATGATCCGACCTAGCGGGGCCGTTGGAGAAGCAGCCACCATCGCCATTGGTGCAACACCCATCTACGGAAGAAAGCCATGGAAATGGAATGGATAAAAATTGTGGGAATGGCAGTGCCTGCTCTCTCCTGCCACTGTGTACCTAGTGGACATGGTCCACAATTTATATAAACCCCATGGCCGCCGGCTATCTTTTCACTTGTTAGACCAAATCATTCTTCCCCCGTCATAAACCGTTCACAATGGGCTCCACTGCTGTTGAATTCAAGAACCCCGCTACCTCCACTCTCCTGGAGGTGGTCAAGGCTCGCCGCACTTACTACGGTCTGAAGGCGGAAAGCCCTATCTCTGACGATGCCATTGAGAGCATTGTTCAGGACTCGGTTCTCCACGTCCCCAGCTCTTTCAACACCCAGACTTCCCGCGTGGTTCTCCTCCTGAAGGAAGAGCATCAGAAGGTTTGGGATATCGCCATTGGTGCGATGGAGGGCCTAGTGGCCGCCGGAGCTGTGCCAAAGGAGATGTTTGAGAACCACACCAAGCCCAAGTTGGAGGCCTTCCGGGCTGCTTATGGAACTGTATGTATAGCTGGCGATGAAGAGCTGGAGCCGATATCCAGTCAAAGATTTGCTTCAGATCTCTAATTTATGTGAATAGGTTCTTTTCTTCGTTGACTACGAGTCCCTTGCTCCCATCAAGGAGAAGTTCGCTATCTATGCCGACAAGTTCGATCCCTTTGCGCTGGAATCTAACGCCATGTCCCAGTACCTTGGTAAGCTTCTCTCTATTTTCGATACCTCGATGATGTTCGAACGGACGGTATATTAATCTGACTCTCCATAGTCTGGCTCGCTCTTGAGGCGGAGGGTTTCGGTGCCAACCTCCAGCACTACAGCCCCCTGATTGACGACCAGGTTACCAAGACCTGGAACCTGCCTGCTTCTTGGAAGTTGGACGCCCAGCTGGTCTTCGGTGTCCCTACTTCTGGGGCTGGCGAGAAGACTTTCGCGCCCATCGAGGACCGCTTCAAGGTTTTCGGCAAATAAGCATGATAGAAATGATAAACGTTCAGCACTACGGATAGAATAATGAAATGCGTCGTTTAGATTTTGATTCTGCATTGCACCGTATAGAAGATAACTCTAGGGAGGGGGAGCTCGTAGCTCAATAGGCCTTGTTGGAGCCTTGTCATGGCATATTTTGCTGTCTGTCAGCTGATCCACCCTATCCTCCGCCTCTCGTAGTTATCACGTCTAGGCAGGGAAAGGTTAGAGAGTCAATGTTTCGGATCTGGCAGATTTCAATCGCAATAGGAGAACCATAGGATTCCACGCTGTACGCTCTAGGACGGTGCATGCAGTTTCTATTTTGCGTCATTGAACTCAGCAGAAATCTATTCGGGATTAGCACCTGGGACAAACTCGCAGCTAGGCCTTTTTGGCGGCGGTCTATGCAGACATCATAATCACGCAGGGGCATACTGCTCCCTCTCTATTTCTCTCCCTTGATCACCATCTTATAAACTCAACTCCAACTCCTTTTAGTCCGCCTAGCCCTGAATCACTGTTTTAGAAGCTCAAATTGAACTTCGTGGTAAGTTGTCAGCTTTGTGACAAGCTCTCCAGGCTGAAATTTGTCCCTGATACTAATGTGGTCAAGATCATGGACTGGCATATTGGAATGATGTTTGAGAGCTTTAAATTCTTCAAGCCCTTAAAGGGATATGAACGCGGAACACAACATCGGCGCTTCCAATATGGCAAAGGCCTTGCGTGTTCATCGGATCTCCTTGCCAATATTATTATTGCTGAATTTAAGCTTCGAGAGTGTGTGCAAATACACGAGCACTGCAGCATGGAATACCGGGCAATTCAAAAGGTAACATTCCATGGTGATGATCTTCATGAAGATGAGGAAGCTTTCAAATTGGTCAGGAGAGCGATGGACCAAGCAGGGAGAGAGCTCTACAGACTCGAGTCAAGCCTACCTCGGCGTCCATTGAAGAAGGTTTACGATAAGATACGTGAGAACCCCGCTTGGTATCTCCAAGAAGACCTTGTCCAGGATTGTATAGGGAGGGGTGGCTGCTGCAGTCGCGGCTGCAAATGCTGTGAGAACCGTTATCTGAGCAGTGCAAGGGGAAGAGGAATCGGGCATTGCACGTTACAGTGTATGTGCTGTATAACTCAGAGAGCATTTGAGTTCACAGATGAAGAGGAAGAAAAGATTCACGAAGAGATAGAAAAGGATCTACTCGCCCCAAACCCCGCATATCTCTTGACAATGGCGGATGCCTACTTCTCAATGCCAGGCTCCTCTGGATTCGGGGGCCTTTCTATTATAAGGAGGACTGCGGGGCATTTGAAGCAGCTGAAGGGGATGAGGCAGTTGAAGAAGCTGAAAAGGGTGTTTAAAACAACTTCAGGTTCCGGTGATGATTGTGCATTTTGCTAGAGAGCCTTCGGAATTGCTATCACCTAGAAATGGTTGCGTTCAGTTTTATAGGATATCAATGTCCAATTCGCTTATTCCACGTGCATTTGGCTTATACCGTGTGGCCGGAAAGGGGATACTAGTGAATTACAACATATTGTTGTGAAGTGAGAAGCCAAGTCTAACTTTCCACAAGTTCATTATACCTCACTTGAATGATTCGGGTAGATTACCCATCAATCCTGAAAGTTGTAGTACTGACATGCGAGAGAGGTAAAATGCCTACGGCGCAAGACTATGAGGCAGACGGGAAGGTAAAATCCTACAATTGAGACCATTCAAAGTCGAGATAAGTAGCTCTTCGGTGCCTCTCCACGGTCACCAGCCCTTAGAAATCGCAATATCAGTCATTCTAGGCAGATCTGCACAGCAAACGGCTCACATTAGTACAACAGACAAGACGCAAGAAGCGAAGGGTATCGACCGACTTCTCGACATCAAGTGGAATGCCGTTCCACTGGATGTTTTCAGGTCAACCTCCATCTGTAATTTTTACAGCTGACGGAATTTGCATTAGCAGTGCCAATATTGGCATCTGTGTCAGCAGTAATCGATCATGCCAGCTGTTTCAGAAGCCGGGGGCGAGTAGCTAAGAACATCATACCTTCATCTTCCGCGGCTTCTCCCGAGTGCAGTGACCCTAATTCTCGGTATGTTTACCTTGGGAGGGCTCGCACTTACTTCCTGAGTGATGGTCGTCTCGCAAATGGAACCAAGTCTACATACCAAATGTTCCATGCAACCTGGGTACTGCTCCAATCGTGACCCCTAGGCAATCGTCGAGCGAGACGACCTCTTTGAGGGTAAGTATAGTTGTGGTGCACTAGCGATGTATCCCACGGGGTACAGGTTGAATAAATTCATGCTTAGTTGCCGGATGAATAGTCCATGTGCCGTGGCATCTGTTGAGAGATGTGGCTGCCGGCTACTTATCCATTTCAGCACACCTAAGCCCCTGTCTCACCCCATGCTCTACCTTCCAGTCAAGAAAGGAACACGGCTGAGACACTGCAGGTTAAGTGCACCTTGTGGGTTGTGGGGACATTGCTCGTCAGAGTCTGGAAGTGCCAAAGTCGACGCGTAAAGGCATACCCGACGCATGTAATGAATATCTGGCGTGATATCCAAACGTTTCGTGGAGGCAAAGATCTGGAATGAACACAAAGTGAACCTGAAGTAGAGTATATTGTGTCTCAATCACGAACCAAAAAGAGATTGGTAGATAATCGGCTAGAAATATGTACATTGAAAGTCGAAATGCAAAAGGACGCTCACATTTAAATCCCATGACTCCATTGCAGAGATTCGCGGAAAAGGAAAAGGAAAAGGAAAATGACAATACACCGCGCCTCATCGCGGGTGCCCGTCACTTCACCATTATGCGGAAGTCATCGGCAAGCTCGTCATTGGCATGCTGGTAAGAGGAAGCGATGCGGAGGATTTTTCATCTTCCTCGAACATCAACTTCTCCAGCTTTTGGGTGAGTTTTGCACAGAACGGATCCACGTATGCAGTCCACAGAGCCGCGCAGATGTAGACAAGGGCAATCCACGCAGGAATAGAAATGGCGACAACCCAGGGTGCGCGGATGGGAATCCAGTGCGGATGAAGGGGCTCGCCAGACTCGTCCAGGATAGGTTGGCCGTTGCCATCGACGATATCGCCATCCCAGGGCTGGCCACTAATGCCGTACAGCATCCAGCACAGCACAGTGCGGAGGAGGGTCCCATGCACCAGATAGACCGCGAAACTCTGCTTCCCGAGCCAGAGGAGAAGGCGGTTCGATAGGAAGTCCTTGGTGGATGGCGAGATGTAAATGGCGAATATAATCAGGTCAACACCAAGGGCTGAATAGCGCTTGCCGATGTTCACTTCCGGTGGGAAAATATATTGGGCCACCTCAAACATGTAGTTGGACCATGTCGCCCATTCGGGATGCTCGCCCGGGTAGGAACAGATCAGGAGGCCGGAGCAGGCGAGGGTGGCCGACACAATCCGACGTCCCCATTTATGCCGCTCAACAAACTCTTTGAACGCGGTCTCATAGGTCAGGTCGCTAAGAAACATGCCGTAGATGGCCTGCATTTGGAAGGTTTCTTGGTCACGTTAGCGCGCGAAGCTCCGGTCAAAGGAGAAAAGCAAGCCTCACCTGTGTTTTTAGCGGCATTCTGGTGAAAGTAGAGGAACATGCCCAGGTAGATCGCCAGGCGCCAGCGGAACTTGACGAACATCGTAATGCATAGCAGGATATAGACCAGCATCGATGCCTCCAATAGCGGCAACAAAGCCCATTGGTGATCGTCATATGCCATATAACCGGTGGTCCAAACACTAAGGAAGTTCTCAAACAGCCGGAGGCACTCCTTCCAGAACGAGTCCGCCAGATCTGGGGACGCGTAGCGGCACCACCAGCTGTCCGACCGGTTAGCCACAATGAAAGCACCGAACTGGGCCATGATCCATGAGATGATCAGGGCGATGGTTGCTGGGAAGATCAGGCGCGGAGGACGGCGGAACGCGCTCTTGGCGACGGAGGTAAACGAGCCCAAGTGGTCGCCGTTGCGGGATTGTTTGATGGGTTTGAGTGCGCAAACGTAACCAGTCAGAAAGGCGAAGATCGTAACACCCAGGCGGCCTTGCCATGGAATACGGAAGACGGGCCATTGCATAATGCGGGGAGCGGCGTCCTCATTATCGCGAGGTGCAAAGAGGTCGTAGTCCCAGGCTCGGGCAAGATGTGTCAAGACGACGAGGAAAGAAGCTATACCCCGCAGGCCCTTTGGAAAGAAGGTAAGAATGAGTGGCTTTCTCAGGATTTATGCCAGACAAAGGGGAGCCTACATCAATCCATTTAACACTTTTCCTTGGGTCTCCCTTGGCATTAGGATCTCCCGATTTCCAAGGAACATTTTCGAGGAGACGGGTATAAAGATGCCGGGGTTGAATATAATCCATAATGAAAATCTGACAACGGAAAAGACTGCAAAGGTGGACTATTTGGATCAAAGATCTGTCATCGACGCCTGGATCTCTTGACCGGAAGAGACAGTTAGGCGAAAAGGAATGTAGGGTGGCGACAACACCATAAGGTGTGAGTGTAGAAAAACGAGTGGATCGCGGAGTGGGCGCGAGCGCACGCTCTGCCTTTTCTAATATATGAAGCTGCCAAGATAGTTTGAGCGGATATCCGCCGGGAGCAGACTGAAATGATCTAAAAGAAGGAAGGGGTGGGACTAGAGGGGGGGGGTCCCTGGGGTTTTGAATAACTTACCTGCGGGCCGGGCTCCTGGCTTCTGGCTCCTACGGGGGAAGATAGGGGAGATTTGCCGTAATGGAGTGGAGTATGCCAATGCATAACCACAACCTCGGTTTGACAGCGGGCATTTGGTACAAAGAAAATCTGGTAGAAGCTGGCTGATCACTTGCCACAACCAAACTATGCTAGGGAGAAGACTCTATCATCTACCAGCTGTTCATTCAGTACCCCTAGCTACGCACTTCGATGAAGTATTTAATCGGATGCAACAGGATCCCATGCTACCTCCTGTGGATGTACCCGAATGGCCGGTCCGAAGCGCAATGACCCAACATCAAACTGCCTAACCCGGCGAGGACGCGTATTCCCTTAAGATGTGATCCCCGGCCAACCGTCAGCTTCGCGACCTTTGCGGCAAGCACAGAAAACACAGCGGGTCTAAAGAGGATATTATCCCCGAGTTCCGCCAAGAGCGAAGCCATTGCCGGCCTCTCAGAAGCTCCGGGGTACGGAGGATTCAGATACGACGGAGCGAGGTTTGGAAAAGGCCGGTGGGGGTGGCGAGCTGACGCCGGAGCAAGCATACCGCCATTTCAATTATCCAGGGTGTCTGATTGAGATCGCTTGCCACAAAAGCAGCCTAAATGGCGTGAGCACTCGGCCCAGATCACATTACGTTTTGCCCTTTGGACCAGCCCTATGTCTACTACACCAACGGGGATCTACCGATCTGCTCCTTACCCATAGCGCAGACTATGCAGTGTGTGTGGGAGGGTAAAGTAGTAGGGGTTCGTATAGAGAACGAGATCTACAGTATATGGGACAGAGATCCTGCCACGCTGCGGCAGGAACCCTATCCACGGAAATAATGCCGACATTCAATACTCACTGGGACTTCGTTTTCGTACCGCACAGCGGAGAGCATACCAGAGGAACGGGGTAAAAGCACAAAATGCCCCTTTCAAGGGAAACCATACGAAGGGGCATTGCATGTAGTGGTGATAAAATGGCGTCATCTGACCAAATCTTAGCGCGATTCGATCGAGGATTTACATTTGGCGGGACCCTGAGCGGAGCTGCGTACCGGTACGTGACCGAACCCTTCCCGCGTAACCACCGGTGCAGCCTTTCCTCCCCCACCCCGTCCATCCTCCTTCCTCATCCTTCGTACAGAATTCTTCGGCGGTACCGTACCGTAGTACAGAAACTTGGCGCGCCAGTCACAACCAATCGCCACAGCCACACATTCCGCAGCGACAGCAGGGGGCGCGCTAAAGCAAGCCTCTCATGCCGAACGCCGGCAGGTCCATCAGCCTTGTAATTTTTAGTCCATTGGAGGAGTTGGAATATGCGATCGAGATGCATTGCGGGAATGATACGAACGCGAGCATGATGGGTTTTGGGAGTGTGAGACACATCGCGCTTCTACCCGCCATGATCTCGAAATATTGAAAATAATTGGCGCCCCCCGTCGCTATATTGAACGGTGGCTGTCTTGGCAGACGGCATATAGGGTTTGGGCGTTCTGCTGGCTTGGACCCGACGGGTTGACAGCGAGCCCTGGAGAAATTGGCATTTCCACAAGGTGGGAATGGCAAATACCGCGAGGTGAGATATGGATTGCTGGCCGGGCCGGGAGTTCAGATAAGAGAATTTAAACATGGTCTGGATGTCAGGGGCCAAAAAAGTTACCCTAAGCCTGAGGGCCGGCACGCGGGCACCGGGTCCCATGCATCTACATGCTTAGTCTCCGTCACTTATTTAGTTATTGCGTGGTGTACTATTTATTGCCGAGCGCTGAAAGATACTCCATGTGTAGGGAGTACTTCGGACTGCCTGGTACTGGTATTATTTCACATACGGTAATGTTCTACAGTATTTCCAGGGTTCATGGAGGGTCCAGGGGAGTCGATGTCGCCCAAGTACGCGGCCTCCGACGGAGCCGAGGTGGAACCCGGCACCTCAGGGTCCAAGCCCACGCGATCACCCGCGGGACAGTGCTGCGAGAGTCATGATGCGTATATCAGAGGCAATTCCGACTCTCAAATGCCAGTTGCAGCTGCCGTTTCGCCTCTTGTTTGTGTGATAACTCTGCTAGTCGTGAAAGGGTGAGAGTGCATTGCAGAAACCCCGTTTTTGAACATTCTGGGGCTCCAAGGGGATCCCCCACGCCTCATTCCTAAAGCGGAAATATACCAAGACAATGGGCTTGCGCGCCCCAGCAAATCAACGGGGCATTCTCAGAAAGAAAAAAACTCTTGGAGCGCCCAGGCACCGAATGGCGCCGCTCGTGCATCTGGCTAAACCCGGGCAAATCCACATCTAGCAGGCCCGATTCCGAGCAAGCTCTCCCAGCGACCCACGAAAGGAGGGCCAGGTACACTTTCAGTGTGCGTTCTACCGTCGTGTCGGGGGGACTTGAACTCGGTCAACAAGGGCGACTGAAGTGTGGTCCCCGCCATTCTGCCTCGCCCACAGAAATCAATTGAATCAATTGAGAACCAGGGGGTGGAGCGCTGTGGTCAAATCACGCCATTCTTAGCCTTCTGACTACATTGGCAGGAACCGGCGTGCCCAATTTAGCACCGTTGGCACGTCCAGCCTTCTGTTCCAGAAAATAAACAATTGGGGTGATCCGGCGTGGTCCCCATCGCATCCGTCGACAGCAGAATGCGGGTTGCACAGCGCGGGTTAGCTTTACTGGTGTGGTCCCTGCAAGTGGCCGCGACCATTTTGCAGAACGGCCAAGTCAGAGAACACCCATACCCCGGCCAAGCGCCCAAGATTGTTCTCGATGGCAGCTGGAATATCTACGGCGCTGATTCACCTGAGATCGCCTACAAAGGGCGATGGGACAGCAAGCATGTCTCCTGTAGGTCCTGTCAATTGGATATATAGTTACTGTCTAGATCACGTTCTCATTATTATGCAGGGTGGTCGTTCGTCTCTCCAATCCCCAACACCCCCTTCTTTTCTGCTCGCCCTCCTCTTGTGGCGGTGCTGACATCACCAGTGCACCCGGAATCAAACTGGAATTTACTGGAAGCAAGGTAACTATGCCTTTTTGGTGGACTTTTATACTCGTACATTTCAATCATTGCGTCTAGGATATTAACCCATTCGCAGCTTGCCGTGAGCTTTGGACCCAGCACAACAGATGGCGTTCTGGTTGCTTACCGGTATGTTTTCCGGCACCGCCGTTTGTTACCATTGGACCCATCTATAACTTGACAGGCTCGGTTCCCTTGATTGGCAATTCTCCAATGTCACCGCCGCCGCAACGTACCAATTTATCGGCGATTGGACAGGCCTTAGCACGGAGGAGGTTCACGAAAAGAAGACTTTTGAGATGCGAGGTAAAGCACACATGCACGAGTGAAGTGTGGCAGATGCTAACCTACTGGCAGTTACGAATTGGGGCTTCGGATAAGTACACTCCGTCCGCTCATCAAAGCTGTTACTCATCTATCACACAGTTCAAATAGATGGTGTTGCCACCGCGGGCGACGCAGAGCTCACAGTGCCTCCCAGATTTAAAAAGAAGGTGGAAATTATCGGAGGGTCGTGAGTCGCTCTGGCCTACATTGGTGGGTGTCCATACCGTCTGACGCACTATACCCAGTCTTGCCACTGGTCAATATGGAACTTATGAGACCATCTCAGGATGGGCGTTCCTCTTTGCGGCCGGTCTAGGCAATGTCGAGCATTCCATCACGGTATGCGTTCTATGTTCTTATACTGGAAGAGTGCTAACTAGGCCCCTGCAGGCCTACCCGGGCGCATGCTTAACCGATAACAAATGCTATGGCGGTGTTCACGGCATGGTAGGCCTATCCCGATGTTCTCACTCCGCACTCCCCAAAGACTAAGGTTCGCTCTTACATAGACGTGGTACTGGCACCGTGCATCCGACCCGGGCAGCCGCGCGCACGCATTTTACGGAAACGAGCCCGAGAAGTGGGACGTTGAAGCCGAGCAACCTGCCGATCTCGTCCTCATTCAGATGGGCGGTAACGACCACCGGCATCCCAACGAGGTCCCCGGAAAGGATTTCTACAATGCATATGTTGACATGATTGAAGACATCCACCGCGTCTGGCCGCACGCGGTGGTCCTTATTGTCGTACGTTATCATCTCGTGCCCCGCCGTCATCACACGCTAATTTCTTCTCACTTCCACAGTCTCAATGGGGATCGTTCGTCAAGTCCGGCATGACCTACGAGCCAACCCAAATCTACGAGCAAGAAGCTAGGGCAGTCCATGAGCACTTCAAGGAGCGCGGGTTTGTCTACTACTTCGACACCACCGGAATCCTGCAATATAACGACATCAATCCCAAGAATCACCCCACGGATGTGGGACATATCAAGCTGGCAAGCCATTTGCTGCAGTGGACAAGACTTGTTCTGCGGTGGAATCTGGAGCCTCTGGGGGAGGTTCAGCACGGAACTCTCTACTGGAATGATCAACAGGATTATTAAACGATGGCTGCTGCCAGCTGGGGTTGGGGCTTAACTTGTGATATACTTTTCGGTTCTCGTGTATTATACCCTGGACATACATGGAGAATTTATTTGCTTTGGTGTATAAAACTCTTTTTAAATTAAATATGACAGTGACAACTATTGAGTTTTTCTTCCTTGGTGTCTTCACATCTTCTTTATTCTTATCTTTTTCATTCTTATCGTCTTCCCTCTCATATTCTTCCCTTTCATCTCCTTCCCTCACATTTCTTCATTCTCCTTCTCTTCCCTTTCGCCCTCATCGCCCGCACTATGTCGAAACCACAGCCACTCCGTCGTCCACCTCTAGCATGGACATCCAGGTGAAGGCTGGGTCCTGGATTGCAGATGTGCAGAGGCAGGCGGGCGCCACCATCTACATCACTCTGGCGCTGGTGACCACCTTCCTCATCGCCCGGCTGATCGCTTCGTGGAGCGATTATTTCAAGCAGAAGCTGCTTAAGCAAATATATAAGCCTAAGGAGTCTTAACAAAAGAAACAATCGACTCAATACGAGGCCACGTGATATCAGCTGCGTCGTTCCATTTTCGTAGTAGCCCCGTCAGGCATGGGTACTTAGCGCCCGCTCGTGTGAAGCGCTCAGCCTCGTACGGCTTCTCGCACTTCATGCTGGTCATTATCCCTAAGCCTACGAGCAAGTTGCGAATGATTTAGTTGCCACATAAGCAAGATGGCACGCCGCCTCAGACACGACGCCTACACGGTCGGATGGGTGTGCGCCCTGACGGACGAGCTCACTGCAGCGCAGGAGATGCTTGACGAGGAACACCAAGACTTGGCTTCGAATAGCAACGACTCAAACATATACATGCTAGGGTGTATTGGGGGCCACAACGTCGTCCTTGCGTGTCTGCCCGCAGGCCAAACAGGTACCAACTCTGCTGCGACCGTCGCCATACAGATGAAGACCACATTCCCAGCGATTCGATTCGGGCTGATGGTGGGAATCGGAGGCGGGGTGCCAGGCAAAGATGCAGATGTTCGTCTTGGCGACATTGCTGTCAGCCAGCCGGCAAACGGTCATGGTGGTGTGGTGCAGTACGATTTCGGGAAATCTACTCCAAGTGGATTCAAGCGGACAGGATTCCTCAATGCTCCACCCCCAATCCTCCTCGCTGCGATTACGAAACTTCGATCCAACCAAGACCGAGGGAGAGGCAGTCTGACACCACACCTGTTGAAGCTTAGCAACCTCCCAAAGTTCAGCCGCGATCAAGCAGGAACAGATGTGCTGTTCGAAGCGGAGTATAATCATGTTGGAGAGGGGAGCTGTATGTCATGCGTGACTACGAGAATGATACAAAGGAAGGAGCGGGCGAACAACATACCAATAGTTCACTATGGTACGATTGCATCGGGGAACCAGGTGATGAGGGACGGTGTAGAGCGGGACAAGGTCAGCTCGGAGTTTGAAGGAGTTCTCTGCTTTGAGATGGAAGCGGCCGGCCTCATGAACAATTTCCCGTGCCTAGTGATCCGCGGAATCTGCGACTACTCTGACTCGCACAAGAACAAGAGATGGCAGCCATATGCGGCGGGAACAGCAGCGGCGTACGCGAAGGAGCTTCTGCTGGTGATCCCGGCGGCAGATGTGGTGAATACGCAGACAGTCAATAAAGCAACGCAAGGTTAGTGTACTTATACCAGCTCTATAGAGAAAATTAGACTCACATATCGCAGAGCACATGCGCAGTTTCTACCTCCCTTTTTTGCGGAATCTTCAATTTGTCGGTCGAAGTGCAGAGCTTGATACGCTGAAGCAAAAACTGCTTGTGAATAAAGATTGCCGGAAGGTAGCGCTCAGCGGCCTTGGTGGTATTGGCAAGACACAAGTGGCGCTACAATTCGCGTACTCCTTCAAGGAAGACTACCCGGAATTTTCCATCTTCTGGGTACAAGCGTTAAGCATGGAGACTTTTGAGCAGGGTTGCATGGAAATAGCGAGAGCACTGGGACTGCACCAAGACCAGGAGAGCAAAGAAGACGTTAAAGAGCTAATCCGGCGACAGCTATGCACAAAGAGCGCGGGAAAGTGGTTGTTGATAGTTGATAACGTTGACGACCTGGACTTGCTTCGCGGGCTCCATCAAACGGACGGCTTACTAGCCTTTCTGCCAGAAAGTGATGATGGCCTGTCAATATTCACGACGCGACATGGAGAAGTAGCCCAGCACCTGGCGGGCAGCGACGTGGTTGAGATTGGAAGGATGACGGGACAGGAGACAGTGAACTTGTTAGAGAAATCGCTGGTTCGAAAGAGCCCTTCTCATAACAACCAGATCGTGATGGACCTTCTCACAGAGCTTGAATACCTCCCGTTGGCTATTACCCAGGCGGCAGCATATATCAACACAAACAAGAGCTCCATCTCCGAGTATCTGCGGCTCTTAAAGAGCACAGAGCAGGATGCTGTTGCTATCATGAGCACGGATTTTGGCGACAGAACACGATACCCAAACTTGACAAATGCAGTCGCGAAGACATGGACGATAACATTCAACAAAATTCTCGAACGGGATCCATTAGCGACAGATCTCCTCGCATTCATATCTTGCATCGAATGGAGGGCAATCCCGTACTCCATTTTACCAGCAGCTCATCCCGAAGCGCGCTTGGCGGGGGCCATCGGCACACTCTGCTCCTACTCATTCCTGGAGAAAAGGGATAATGGCACCAAGCTCGACATGCATAGACTTGTCCACTTAGCGACCAGAATGTGGGTGAATCAGAATGGCCGCGAAATAGAGACGAGAACGACAGCAATGAAGCACCTCTCGCAAATCTTTCCGTCTGGCGATTACACTGACCGCGAGATCTGGCGGGATTATTTCCCGCATGTGGCTCACATAAAGAAGGATGAGCAATGCCAAGATACAGAGGAGAAAAGCGAGCTCTGTCTGAAGGTCGGGCGCTGCTTATTCACTGATGGGCGGATGAAAGAAGCTGTTCTTTGGCTACGGGAGTCTTGCGAGTGGAGGGATAAAAATCTTGCCCAAGATGACTCGGGTCGACTAGCATCGCAGCACACGCTCGCCGTGACATACGAAGCAAACGGGCAGGTTAAGGAGGCAGTCGAGCTACTCGAGCATGTTGTCGCGATAGAAGCGGAAGTACTCGCAGAAGACCATCCCTCACGACTAGCGTCGCAGCATGCGCTCGCCGGAGCATATCAAGCAAACGGATAAGTCAAAGAGGCAGTCGAGCTATATAAGCATGTTGTCGCGATAGAAGCGGAAGTGCTAGTAGAAGACCATCCCGATCGACTAGCGTCGCAGCATGAGCTCGCTGGAGCATATCAAGCAAACGGACAAGTCAAGGAGGCAGTCGAGCTCCTTAAGTATATTATCGCGATACGAGCGGAAGTGCTAGCAGAAGACCATCCCTTACGACTAGCGTCGTAGTATACGCTCGCCGGAGCATATCAAGCAAACGGACAAGTTAAAGAGGCAGTCGAGCTACTTAAGCATGTTATCGCGATACGAGCGGAAGTACTCGCAGAAGACCATCCCGATCGACTAGCGTCGCAGCATACGCTCGCTAGTGTATATCAAGTAAACGGACAAGTCAAGGAGGCAGTCGAGCTCCTTAAGTATATTATCGCGATACAAGCGGAAGTGCTAGCAGAAGACTATCCCGATCGACTAGCGTCGCAGCATACGCTCGCTAGTGCATATCAAGCAAACGGACAAGTCAAGGAGGTAGTCGAGCTCCTTAAGTATATTATCGCGATACAAGCGGAAGTGCTAGCAGAAGACCATCCCGATCGACTAGCGTCGCAGCATACGCTCGCTAGTGCATATCAAGCAAACGGACAAGTCAAGGAGGCAGTCGAGCTCCTTAAGTATATTATCGCGATACAAGCGGAAGTGCTAGCAGAAGACCATCCCGATCGACTAGCGTCGCAGCATACGCTCGCTAGTGCATATCAAGCAAACGGACAAGTCGAGGAGGCAGTTAAGCTACTTAAGTATGTTATCGCGATACGAGCGGAAGTGCTAGCAGAAGACCATCCCGATCGACTAGCGTCGCAGTATGCGCTCGCTAGTGCATATCAAGCAAACGGACAAGTCAAGGAGGCAGTCGAGCTCCTTAAGTATGTTATCGCGATAGAAGCGGAAGTGCTAGCAGAAGACCATCCCGATCGACTAGCGTCGCAGCATACGCTCGCTAGTACATATCAAGCAAACGGATAAGTCAAGGAGGCAGTCGAGCTCCTTAAGTATATTGTCGCGATACAAGCGGAAGTGCTAGCAGAAGACCATCCCTCACGACTAGCGTCGCAGCATACGCTCGCTAGTACATATCAAGCAAACGGACAAGTCAAGGAGGCAGTCGAGCTCCTTAAGTATATTATCGCGATACGAGCGGAAGTGCTAGCAGAAGACCATCCCGATCGACTAGCGTCGCAGCATACGCTCGCTAGTGCATATCAAGCAAACGGACAAGTCAAGGAGGCAGTCGAGCTCCTTAAGTATATTGTCGCGATACAAGCGGAAGTACTAGCAGAAGACCATCCCTCACGACTAGCGTCGCAGCATACGCTCGCTAGTACATATCAAGCAAACGGACAAGTTAAGGAGGCAGTCGAGCTCCTTAAGTATATTATCGCGATACGAGCGGAAGTACTAGCAGAAGACCATCCCTCACGACTAGCGTCGCAGCATACGCTCGCTAGTGTATATCAAGTAAACGGACAAGTCAAGGAGGCAGTCGAGCTCCTTAAGTATATTATCGCGATACGAGCGGAAGTGCTAGCAGAAGACCATCCCGATCGACTAGCGTCGCAGCATACGCTCGCTAGTGCATATCAAGCAAACGGACAAGTCAAGGAGGCAGTCGAGCTCCTTAAGTATATTGTCGCGATACAAGCGGAAGTGCTAGCAGAAGACCATCCCTCACGACTAGCGTCGCAGCATACGCTCGCTAGAGCATATAAAGCAAACGGACAAGTTAAGGAGGCAGTCGAGCTACTTGAGTATGTTATTACAATCAAAGCGGAAGTGTTAGCAGAAGACCATCCCTCACGACTAGCGTCGCAGCATATGCTTGCTATTGCATATCAAGCAAACAGACAGGTCGAGGAGGCAGTCGAGCTACTCGAGCATGTTGTCGCGATACGAGCGGAAGTGCTTGCGGAAGACCATCCTAATCGATTAATATCAGAGATGGTGCTTGCTGATTTCTATGAGGACCTACTGAAGAGGTCTGAAACGGAGCAGTCATCTGTATCTTCTATTGAAGAACTCGCGGCTGAGGATGGAGACCAATATCAGTTGAACCGAGCACCTGAGGTTCCACAGGCGACATTGTGTAACAGCAGTGCATCTGATGCGATCTTCGACCAGGCACCAGTAGATCAGGAACTGGAGTCAAGCAGTTCTTCGAAGAGAAGACACCTCGTGAGGCGGCTGAAGGTTATTTTAAGAAAAGGCAAGTAGTGCCAGCGTTCATCTTCCGCTAGCAGGGAATTTCGTATTCCCCGGCGGGATTAGACTGAAGGTTGCTATATGCCTGGCAAGCACGGCCTTAGCAAAGATATTCAGACGCAAGCTGCAAGAAGTACGGTATCGAGAGTATATGTTCGCAAAGCGTAAGGTACTTATGAACTTCAATTATATCTACTGTCACCAGGGAGCGTGTATATCAACTTCAATTTGAGCACAATCGCGTAGTCATTTCGCGGGCACTGGTTCCCTGTTGGGTGAGCGTAAATAGGGGTAGGGGGTGTTTGTGGCGCACTTACGAAGAGCGCCTCAGCCAAGCGATATGGCCATGTAAAGGCATAATGCTTGAGAAACGCACGCGACCTAATGTATACTCTTGTATAACTAGCATAGTTCTATGCGTGGATATTAGCGTAGCTAAATGAGTGCAAAATTTATGGATCTTGCGTCCCTGGAATACGTGAGGTGGTGGATACAGATCGAGCAAGTCAGATACACGCGAGATATATTTGCTGAAGGGCAATGATAGTGATATGCCGGTGTGGGCTACTCTCTATTCGCTCTATCTATCACATCCAGATAAATTACTATCAATATCATCGGAAGCGATTTCTCTGCGTTGAATCACCCAAAGATCATATCTCATACGAATCGCCGGGCAGCACCTATTTCAACGTCATGCTGGACGAAGAAATTGGGATTCCTTTGATCCCCATAAAGTTACCGATTTGTGACTTGATACAGGAAAGTCCCGCGGACAGTAGACTTCTGACCCGCAGCGAGCACATTATTTCAAGGATCTACTGTCAGATTGGGGCCGATTATGTCTTGCATGTTTCAGTTGCAGAAGGGGGTGGCATCGACCATGACTCAAGAACTTCGAGAATGATAGCTGCTCATGAGAAATGAAAAAATGATAATTTAGAAGATTTACAAAGAGGACACAGTGTATGGTGGTTGGTAAGCGCCACACGGAAGGAAAGTCGAAGGAGAGAGCGAGAAGTGTGGGGGGCTGTCGGAGGATGTCAGGAACAACGATCGAAATGGGCCGATGCGGAAATTTTCTGGTCAAAGCGTTGAAGTAGGTACAGCTACTAGCAAAACAGAGCCTTCTTACTGCCACCATCGTTTACCTGCGGAGTACAGTGCAAAGAATGGATGGAACCATCATCATCACGCAAAACTTCCACTCTCGCCCTTCCACGCCCCCAGATGTCATGTCGGCGAAAGATAATTCACCGATCAACACGGTATCTATAATTAAGCTGACCCCGACAATTAATCTGCCCACCTTCTCCACTGAAGAGTGCCTCGCCTCTTGGCGATAGAAAAATAGAAAATGGCCCGCTTGCCAAGGTCAATACGAATGCCCGATCCCACAGGAACATGCATGCCAAGTTTCGTATCTATGGATCACTCGCATAAACCCACCGAACCCAGGTACAGTGAACGCCTCGCAGTGTTACATCCTACCAACAGTTCCGGTTTTTATAACCTCATCTTTTGGTCTTCCTCCGAGTGGCATGAAAGAGGGTGCTTGGCAACCTCGTATGAACGGGGGCGCCAGCATTGGCAACAGTAAAAACACGAGGTTTTTACGACCTCACAACGAGTGCTTGCAAGAGTTGACGAATGCATCAAGAGGATAGGAACCGACCAGGAAACCTATTTAAACGGCTTGGGATCCAGCTGAGAATGAAGAACAACAACACAACCCAAAGGCCTGAAGCCGATAGCAACAGTCAAGTTTCTCATATCCATCTCAAAGGACTTTTGATCCATTGATCGGATCTATCATTGAAAAATGAAGTTCACCATTCTTATGCATGCCCTTCTGGTGGCCATCTTTAGCCATCTGGCCTTTGCGTCTGCCATCGAAAGATCTTCTGGGCTGACTGCACGCGACGACGCCAACGGCACCGTGTCTACTCCTTACGGAGATGTCGTCAGCTCTTTCCTGCCCGATGGAAAGCACAAGCTTGAGTTTTTCAGTGACGGTGTCCTTGAAGTGACCGCCATTGAACGCGAGGATGGTGGTAAGCATCCAGGCTCTTCACACATGTCAGCCGTTGTAAGCGATAACTAACGCAAGCAAACAGGGGTCACGTTTTATGATGTTGACGACAATGAAGTCAGCCTGGACGACCTCGATGACGATGACGAATCTCTCGAGAAAAGAGTTTCCAAGTGGAGGCTGGCTATCAAGTTTGCCAAGCTGATTGCAAAGTATGGCAAGAGGGCGTGGACATATATCTACTGTGTTGGCACTGCGCCCTTCTGGAAGTGTGGCGATGAGGTATGTTCCATCTTCCCTGCCCAAGGAAATACTTGGTAGGATCGCATGGATTGAAAGTCTTGCGTTATTGACGCGTCTATAGTTCCTTGACTGCGCGTCTGCTGGTCGTCCCCCATGGAATTGCTATGAGGGAGGTCTGTGCGTCGGCATGAAGGTGTATAAGCACTGCAAGTAGAGTGCAGTAGGTCGACAATGGGGTGGAATTGATGCGTACATTTAGTCCTTTGGACCTTTCCCGAAGGGTTCGGTTGAAGTGATTCGTTACCTAACTGTTGCACAAAGAGTGTTGAATATTGAAGGAGAGGTTACCTTATATCTACTAGAGCTGAATTCAAACAGACGTTCTACTCTAATTCAGTTGGCAGGGACAGTGCGGCGGTCGCGCCGGCCAGAAGGATTTTCATTTTCTCACCCGGTTCTTAGTTTACCAAGACCTGAGGTCATACAGAGCCTCCTTTTGTCGCCTTACCAGGTTTAGGTCCTCCATACCTGTGAGACGACAATAAAAGTGACCTGATGACGTGTCCTGCAGCTGCAAGTGTATTCCTAGCCACAGTTTTGGCTAGCTTATTTCCAGGCAGGTGTTAGCCTTACAACTTAACATTTGCTGAGAGCTAGTAGCTTAGGTTATAGGAAGCACCTGGAGATGGGGCGGAGGACCTCAGGTACGCTATGGTTGCAGGCGGCGGCTGGCTTCAGCTACCAATAGTATCATGTATCTCATTCAGTTGCCTCGTTCGCTGATACAGGTGGGCGCTTAGGTGGCCCACCTCGTCGCCCCCAATGCCTTGGGCTGCGGTCGCAATCATTCTCAGTCACCCCTCACCCCTTCCCCTTCCTGGTTCTGTTGAGAATGGTTGAGTCTCCAGCCTACGTCAGGACCCTTTCGAAGCTTGATTTGAATTTCTGCCTATTAACCAGGCCTTCGTGGAAGTGGAAAATCAGGATGGACGCTCCGGCCTAGACTTAGAGCCAGGATTTGGCTCGCATAATCTTATGAGAGGCGCGACTTGATCTGTTGCAGGGACACGGCATATGGTTGAGGTTGTTTTGGAGCGACATATGATATCCTAACCAGGACCTTCGAGAGATTGCAGGTCTATAATTAGTTCACTCATGCGACATGGCAACCTCCATATGTGGTAGAGATAGTATCATCCCGTCTTGCTCTGCTCGCTTATCGATGTCATGTCTATCCAGTTAAAACCGTACGGAAGGGTATATATCTTCTGAGTACTCCACTATGCTGAAAAGGATTTCGAACTCATACGGACGGCTTTTGGCAGATGTCCTTCTAGAGGGGCGTTTTACTCGAGTATCACATGGACTGTGCGCTGAAAAAAGGGTTCAATTTGCAGTCACACTGTTCAGGAGGAGTTTTGGAAGGCAAATCAAGCTCGGGAGCTCGGAGCAGGTGCAAACGATTTGATGCCATTAAGGTTGTTGCGCACATTTGAACACGGACGTGGACGGGTGAGGACAGAGAAATGGAAGAATGCTGGGGACGATGGGGGAAATTGCTAGCAAAATACACCAATAGTGTCCTCATGTAAGGCGGTAGAAAAGACATGGGTGTATGAAAAGTTCCCTCGCAGTAACGTTGCTAATCACTGCTGTAAAGAAGGTGGGTTAAATAAGCAATTATAAATTTGGGCGGGGTTGCGGCTGAAATGCAGTGCCGTACAGTAGTTCGGCTGGAAATACGAGTTTCAAAAGAACCAAGTTGCTATGATGTCTTTCGCTAACACACCCTTGCTCCCACTCAGCCATGCGCCCATGCTGGTGCATGTTGCATTTGCCAAGCGCTCAGGATAGCGCGCCTGCTGCGTGGACGCCTGAATTTACGTTGCCTTTGTTGCCCAACGAACTGGAAATGCATCGGACTATTAACTATTAATAAATACACTTTCTTCTTCAGACGTAACTATTCATTCGAGTATCCATAATGGCAACGACAACCATTCAGTCTTTCTAATCCAGATGAATCACATGTGCTAGCATATCCATCGTTCCGTCAGGCCATGCGACTGCCCGTGTGCCTTCTCATCTCAATATGCACTTTTTCCAGCCGAACTGTTCTCTACCAACGATTCCATGCTTCGTAGACAATCCCAACGCACGCGGGACTATGGAAATTGTCTGGAGCTCTTTCGGCGTCATCATTCTTTGCACTTGGTCAATCCTCGCAGTCCACGTACCCGAGCAACTCAATGAGCTCGTACCCGGTAATAGCAAATTCAAGTCGACACTTCGCGAACTGGCGCGGGCATGCTACCCAACGTTGATTAAGCTAGGATGGATGCTATTCACCTTCCTCGTGCCCGAATTTGTCTTCGGCAAAGCACTCAACGGCTATTTACACGCAAGGGAGGTAGAAAAGGCCAAGCGGCCCGGCGAGTCCGATAAAAAGGCTACGACGTCAACTGTTAACCAGGAACAGGTCAAGGGGTGGACAGCCACTCACACGATGCTAGCGGACATTGGTGGCTTCTCTATTGATTTCCGGGGTCTGCCATTGCCTTCTCAGGGCAAGGCCGACGGGGATCTGGCAGATGATCACGGCGTCGATGTGCCAGTCCCATGCCAGGGAGACGATATCGAACAGGGAAAAAATTCATCTGCATCAACAATAAAAGTAAAAAACGAGAAAATTTCAACGCATGCGGTAACAACCGGGGATCGGCTATCAAGTTCCACTGATGCTATTTGCATCGCAGCTCATCCCGAGGACCCTCGCCTCACAGATTTCATTCAGCGGATGAGACAGGCTTTCAGTAGCCTAGGCGGAATCGATTGGCAACCACATCCAGATCACCGTTCGATAATAAATCAGCTGGCATCCGAAGGTCACATACCAGACGAGTGGTCGTTTGAGCAATTCAACGAGTGGGCAAGATCCCCTTTTTATGCCTTGTGCGGAGACAGATGGATCCTCAATGCGACGCAAATCCTGCTGGCGACGGAAAGGGGGCTCATCACCCTCCCAAGTCAAACGGCATCAGAAAGAGTCATTCATGATAAGAGCAAGAGCAGTGGCCTCATTATACTGTTGGCCCTAGTTCAGATAGTGCAGCTCGCAGCTTCTTTGATCAACCGGGCCGCCCAAGGCATAGCGATCAGCCAGCTCGAGATGCTTGCACTCGCATATGGTGTCTGTGGTATGGTTTTATTTTCCGGTTGTTGCGTTTCTTACTGGTTCACCAGCATCACCACTAACATAACAAAGGTATTGCAACGTACCTTCTCCAATGGTCGTGTCCGAAAGACGTCGGCTTACCTATCTTTGCACCCGCACTGAGGCCGGCGTCGAAAGAAGATGTCCTCTTAATCAGTCGGCAAGGGCAGGCCCGGTGGTGGTGGGGAGGAATGTTACATTTTGGCCGCACTCACACAATTCCGTACCTGTTCACGCCCAGGCAGTCCATAAGCCATGATGTCGGGACCTTGATTGCACTTGTTGTCTTCGGCTCATTCCATCTGGTTGCCTGGAGATTCTCATTCCCCTCCGATACCGAGCGACTTCTATGGCAGATCGCTTCGTTGGCCATTACAGTGATCCCGGCAGTGATACTTGTCGTTATGGCACTTTTACTGCTACAAGTTTCCGGCAAAACTCGGTCTGGCTCTGGGGAGAAAACACTATTATGGTTTAGCCTCTATCCAATGATCCTTGTTTCGGCTTTATTCACCTTGGTCAGGCTATTCCTGATTGTGGAGGCTTTCCGATCGCTGTACTTCCTGCCTCCATCTGCCTATATTGCTACAAGAAGCAGTAATATACCCGGTATCGGCTAGGTAGTTGGTTTTGAAGTTCTGTATAGGTATTTGAAGAAGCACGCAGGGTGGGAGCAATGGAAGAATGCCTAGAGATAGCGACGTGGGCCGCCGTCACGACAAAACATATATGATAACTTGCTCCCTCTTTCAACCTGACGGTTCGATGAAAAGTGACTTCTGAATACCTATTGGAGGTCCTTTCTCTATACGCATCTGTACCTATATGCTCAGATTCAAGGATGAGAGGGTTTATTCAGAATCTCTCTAAACGCCCCGTGAAGCCGTCGGAAGTATCTGTGGCACACCGCCCACCTACTATCGATAGATATATATCGTTAGAACGGTAGGAAGCAGTATAACAGGGTAGAGATGTTGGTAGATAGAGAATTCGTGGTTGTCCATATAAAATATTGAAAATATTATGATCGTTATGGAATTGGCAGAGACTGTGAGATTGGCAGGGTGGGTGGGGCCCACCCCAAGCGAATGCGCAGTGGGTAGGCGGGTGCCACAAATACGGGCGTGATCACTAGGTGTCCCTGATTAGTCTATATAGGTGCATGTGCTTAAAAAATACAACATCTTTTCATGCCATCCAATCTGAGAAAGCAAACCAACGACGAATCATGACTTCGAAGGTTCATTGATTCAGGACGTTGACTCAGCACGCTGAGCCAATCATATCAAATTGATCATCTGGCTACCGTGGTCCGCTCCCTCTCACTGGAACTCTTGCCTAGACTACTGTCGTGATGATGGCTAGCGAGCAAAGCCGGGCCTAGGGTCCATCCAAGCTGCAGAGAGAGATTGTTCTCGGTGCGAGAGGCACTGTATACAGTATTACTCTCCAATATATCGCGTCGACGATCTTCAAGCCCATTTCAACGTGGGGGGTTTGAGAGCCCCATGTCTGGGTACCTGGGGCCTCCATAGATTTAGAAAGAGCTTTTTGTGGCCTGTGTGGTCTCCGGGCCGAACGAGACACATATCCATTGTCTTACAGCCAGTCATGTAATAGGGCTGTTGAGCCCTGTCTAGGTGGGCTTCAAGTCCAGAGATGTGGATCCGCAGTTAGGCGGCCGTAGTGGGAAGGCTTTGGTTTTAGGCCCCGTGATCAGAACGGTTGATTCGGGGCTACTGGGGGCTGTAGACGTACATCCACGGCTCTGAGTCTATCGAGTGAAAGTGGCGGCGCGCATAAGGTCCTCATCTCAGGCCGGATATATATTTGCACAGCCAGTCAATACGATATGTTCTTTTTTCCAGAAGCTTTGTAGACGAGTTCAAAAAGAAAATGATATACAAGAGTAGAAACAAGCTGTAATATATATATATCATCTAAAACATCGTACACTCCAATCGCTTTTTCCTTTTACGTCGGGTATTAATCGTTTGCCAGCCTGAAAACACATCCAACCCTCAATGAACGCCAAATATGGTACACATTTTATACAAAAATATGCATATTAATGCACAGTATATCTAAATCAGGGCCTGTCCTCGGAACATACCCTCGCGAACCTCGCGGACAACATCCTTGCGGTCTTTCTTGCCAACTAGGACGACGCCACGACCACGCTTGCCCATGCGACCCAGACGACCGAGGCGGTGAATGAAGTCGATGGTGGTGTGCGGAACGTGATAAAGCACGACAGTCTTCACGGCCAAGGTATCAATGCCTCGAGAGGCAATGTCTGTAGTGACAAGGACTCTAGTGTTGGGCAGGCGGCGATCAATCTCGGGCTTCTTCTCGGGCTCCAGGAAGGGGACGGATTTCTCAGAACGAGCCTGCTTGCGAAGCAGCATGATCTCATCTGAGGTCGGGGGTTGGTCGACCTCGGTGAATTCAGCGAGGATTTCCTCCTGTTTCCGGGAACTGGAGTCACGAGAGAGCGAAACGGCATCGATACCCTTGGACACGAGGAAATTCGCGACCTCCTCCGCCTCCTCGCGCTCGTTGACGAATACGATAATCTTCTTGATCTTCGGACCCATATATGGTGTCAGAGGCCCATAGCTCTCTTCACCAATATCACCAGCTTTGCCAATGGACCAAATCACATCTGCGCAGGCAAGACTGCGGTTTCCACGGTAGGGCTCCTTATCAATATCCACCACCCCGAGTTGTACGCGTCGGGGAACGGCATGCAGGTTTGGAGTTGTCAGGCGCCTGACATCGGGATAGCGCTTGCGTAGCTGGTTGTCAAGACTGCGAGGAATTGTGGCGGAGCAGAAAATGAGTTTCTTGAGTGAGGGCGCAACTTTGTCGATGACTTCAGTGGTGGTAGAGATGAAGGACCGGTCCATCAGAGAATCTGCTTCGTCGAGAACGAGGTGGCTGACGCGGCTGAGAAGGTAAGGATTAGTTTTGGCGATGGAGGCTAGGAGATGCGGAGTGGACACCAGGATGTCGATGCCATCAGGGTGGAAAAGCGTGTTCTTGATCCGACGCGGAGTCAAATTAGAAGAAATTACTCCCGATCGATATTTAACCGAGTGAGCAAGAGCCTTAACCTTGGCTCCAACCTGTGCCACAAGCTCTGATGTTGGAACAAGAATGATGGCCCTGGGGCGACCGGCATCGGTCATCGGTGGCTCCTCTGGCTCAAGTTCGAAGGTCCGGTTCTTCAGCCTCTCCTCGCGCTCTTTAGTTTTTTGTTCTTCCAGAATCTGCTGCTCCTCCTTGTCTTTTGTCTCCGCGCGCTTCACGGCATCGACAACCGGAAGGAGATACGCCAACGTCTTTCCAGAACCAGTTTCCGCTGCAAGAAGGTATTGCTCGTATTGAGGCGCATCCTCATGAACTTTCACCGGTTGATTTTTCTTCGCGTTGGTGTCACCGAGAAGTTGTGGGATCGCGAGTCGCTGAATAGGGGTTGGCGTGACCTCTGCGAGTCCCGGCAGAGCCTGGGCGAAAATCGAGTGTCGAACCGCGGGGAGGAGAGGGAAATGGTCGAAGCTGGTGAGATTGGTGATCTTCGACTTGATAGCAGCACGACGACCGTAGGATACTGGCGACAAGGTAGTCTGCATCTTGAGGGCTTTGTACAGCGGCGCGTCGTTCTTTTCGGATTTGCCCTCTTCGCCGGAGCGCTTGAGGGCAGCCTGCGACCGGGAGCGCGGAGTGTCTCGAATGCGAGCCTCGGTCTGATTCATGCCAGCAAAGGGACCGCGGCGGTCTCTCCCAGAGCGTGGCTTCTGCAATGTGGGCTTGGCCACGTTAGGAGATAGAGCCATGCGAGAAGACTTCTTGCGCAACCGCATTGATCCCATTGCTCGCGAGGCCTGCCATGATGGGAGAAGCGCGGGGGGACGGGCAACCGTTGCTCTTGTTTGGCATAAGAAGCATATCGACGAGCGAATGGGTAGAGGCATCCTGCAGAGTCGACTCACGTGCAGTGTAGAGAGATGGCTAGTTGAAGCCGGGGGACTTAAAAACCAGATTATCAGAATGTTTTCGCGCCATTCCCTATGCGGACTAGGGCCGATCTATCGGACCTGACGTCTGAGGCATGAATGTCAGGTGACCCTTATCAGGAACTGAGTCAGCAGCACCCCCCCCACCGTTGCCATGGAGACTCCCGCGACTGTCAACACCACAACTTGCTTTGGGGTAACAAATCCACTTTCCGACCCATGGAATAGATATCGAGATCGGATCCCCTCTTGTTATCCTTCCAACATCCCTTCGTTAACCCTTTCCTTTTGAACGTTTTGGCGTTTTTACCATCGCTAGCCTGTGGAAGTTGTGGCATCTCTTTGGTGACACATTCACATTCCTGCAACGATCGACACGACTTTACGCTTCTTCCAGCACACGTACCAGGACTCGCTGTTTTCCCACGCGACGCCTGGTATTCATTAAGGCAGAGGTATGTTGCCAGCGATCAGCTCCAATTTCTCATTACCCTTTCCTCTTCGACCGAGAGATACTCGTGACTCGACACCGTGGCCAAAGCAATGCAAAATAATTGACACGTCGCAGACATCGTCTTGTTTTTGATTGTGTCTCAGCCCATCATCGTTGACGCCTTACAAGGCCTATCCACATCATCGCCATGGCTAGTGGACTCGGTCAACGGCCACTCTCCGAAGTGAGCCCAATGGCGCAGAGGCGCAACTCTCCTATCTGGAATCAGACTTCCCAGGTAATGCAACACTGATCGTGACAGCGACCGTGTAAATCAAGCTGACCTTCTCTCCTAGACCCCGAATGGCGAGTCGCCTGCCTACGATATCTCCCCCTTGAACAATAATTCCTCTCCACGACGCTTCTGGAAAGGTCGCGAGTCCCCATCTCCGTTCCCTAAGGGGGCGGAGAATCTCGCGCCCTATAACCCCGAAGGTGTCTACCTCCCGACAAGGCGCCCATCTCTCGAGGATCTTAAGCGCGTGTCGCGCGTCAAGAACCATAGCATGTTCCAGGGTGGCCAAGAATATGACCCTGCGCAAGTGTCGCTTCCTCATAGGCCTTTGGCCACTGACCGGTCCCCGCACCGAGATAGTCAGATGAACCTTGCCAAATCTCAACTCGCCGACGAGTATAGCACGGATCCACCTTCGAGACCAGTCTCACCCAGCAAAGATCAACCTTCACCGGGAAAATCTTCGTTATCGAAGGGCAGCCGATATGGCAAGGGTTTTGACCCGCAGAATGATATTTGGTCTGAGTATGACAGTGCTGGCCACCGCCATGCAAAGAGTGTGACCTTTGATGTTGCCCCTCCTCAAGTGAATGAGTACGAAATGACGACCCCCGACCCCTCTTCTCTCGCCTCCGGCTCGCGCGAGAACAGCTATGACTCCGAGGAGGAGGGTGACATCAGCTTTGAACATGAATCGTCTATCGAGCGGGATGACAGCTTCGACGCATCGCTTGAAGATACTGAAAAGACACCTGTCGTCTTGCCTGAAGACTGGCGTTTCATGAGCCCTGGCAGTGAAGACGGCGACGAAGACTCCTTCACTGAGGACATCGAAGATCACCACGCTGGGGAGCGCCCTGTATCGCGCGAAGGTGATTCCACGAGCCACACACGTGTTGAGTCCTTGGATTCTAATGGAGAACGACGTCCATTGCCTCCTTTACCCTCGGTATCACGCCTGTCTCTCTCAAACCCATCCTCACCTAGCAAGCTTGCCGCTGCTTTCGAGCTGGGCAGTGCTGGTCAGCACACCATACCTACCGCACCTGCTGCTTCTTACACCAAGTCCGATATCAATGGTGCAATGTCTCTTGAGGACAGACTCCGACTTATGATGCTTCAGGAGCAGACCGGTGACAAAAACACCAAAAGCGAAGAGGACGGCAGCGAAAAGTCAGCGAAGACCACTATGACTGTTGACGACACTGCCTGCGGTACCGAGGATGGTATTCACGGAAACAAACTTTCCAAGGAAGACGTCTTCTCTCCTCCTCGAATCTCTCGCGACTCGATTTTGAGAGACATTCGCAAGAGTGAGAGCTACGATGATGATATCTTTGGTGATGACTCCCAAATTGCATTGAGCCCCAACCCCTATGAGCATTATGATCCCGACATTCCTATTCCATCGTTGGAGGATGATGATGACGATGACTCTTCCAGCGTGATCATTAAGGAGGAAGCCCATGATGACGATCTTTACGCGATTACCGACTACTATCAGCACCTCTCCGATAACAGTCTGTCATCCAGGGACCAGAGAGCTAGGTATGATGAGGACAGCAACTACTCCCTCCGCTCTGCTGCGGAAGCGGCTGGAAACGATGCTGCCAAGGGTTCTGGCGAGACAACCCCGACTGCTGAAGAGTCGAAGGAACCTCCCTCCCAAGAGACACAACAGGGTCCTCAGCTTCCTGAGTTGGCTGAGAGCCAGCCCCTTAACATGGCCTCAATCCGCCAGTCATTGGGTGGCCCCTTGACTCCGGAGATCAAGGAAGAGCCTATTTCAGAGCCCTCGACCCCCGAGTCTGTGATTCGGCACCCCATTGGGGATGATGAAGAGCAGGAATATGAAGATGACACTGCTAGCTCCGAGGATGAGGCGATCCCGGAACCTGTGGCGACTATTCGTGCCCCTGGTGCTGGCCTCAAGACCCGGCCATCACTTACTCCGGCTGACCTGGAGTCCATGGCTGCGACTCGTCGCAAAATCAGTGGCCAACACCCACCTCCCATGCAAGCACTGACAAAGCAAATTTCAAACGAGTCCGAGAAGTCTGATCGAGAGGATAAAATAGCAGACCTGCCACCTCAGCTCACCCTGCCCTCCAACCCAACTCAGCGACAGTCCAGCCTGATGCAACTGGACATCCCATTCAGCATTCAAGAAGAAAGCCTTGGGTCCGGCCTGACCAAGGAATTTGATCGCGTGATTGAGTCCCAAAAGGTTGCATTCCAGCTCGCTCTTTCCCAACTTTCTTCCTGCCCTCCGCCGGTTCCCCAGGCTCAAACCCAGCCGGCCCCCCAAACCTCCGGATATTCCAATTCAGGCATTGCGGCAGCACCCGCTAACAACTTCTATTTTAAACAGAGAGGCTACCTCATGAGACAAAACACGAAGGTCGTCATTGCCAGCAACCGCAATGAAGAGGAAACCGCTCCCCCTGCGGAGCAGGACACGCAGGATCCGCGAGGTACGCGTTCCGCTGGCTCCTCGCCTCGCAAAGCCAGCCAGCAGACCTGGACAACAGTCCCATGGAATGGCCAGACGCGCCGTCCAAGTGTTAAGATGGCTGGTGGCGGCATCCCTAAAAAGAAGCCTGTTCCCGGATCAATTCCTCCGCTTCCTGGCCACCAGAGCAACGTGCAAGAGCCTCAACCCACGATCGACGAGAATGAACCTCTGATGAACGATGCATTCGAAGACGGAGAAGAGCGTGGTCGCCTATTCGTCAAGGTTGTCGGCATCAAATACCTTGATCTCCCTATGCCTCGTGGTACGACCCCGTGCCCTGTGTTGCGGCCATAACTTATCAATGCTAACATGAATACAGGAGAGCGCTCGTATTTTGCGCTCACCTTGGACAACGGCCTTCACTGTGTGACAACGTCGTGGCTCGAGTTGGGCAAATCAGCTCCTATCGGGCAGGAGTTTGAGCTAATCGTGCAAAATGACCTCGAGTTCCAGCTTACCCTCCAAATGAAGGTTGATGAGAGCAAGTTCTACCCGCAGGAAACTGCCGGCTCTCCGCGCCAGAAGGCATCCGCCCTTAGCCGTGTCTTTGCGTCGCCTCGCCGCCGCAAGGAACTCGATTTGAAACAGCAAATGCAGTCGCAACAAGAAAAAGCGAACAATGTCAATGCCCCCGTATATGAGAGACTCCGAAACTTGGTCGCTCGTGATGGCAGCTTTGGTCGCGCCTACGTGGCCTTGAGCGATCACGAGCAAATGGCATTTGGTCGCCCTCACACCGTCGATATTGCTTGCTTCAATGAATGGGCCGTGGACGAGCAGCCCAGTAGCGTGAAGAGCAAAAAGAGCGCGACTAGCGTGACAGCCCAGCGCCGCCCGCCTTACAAAATTGGCAAGCTGGAGCTGCAGTTGCTGTTTGTTCCCAAGCCCAAGGGTAGCAAGGACGAGGACATGCCCAAGAGCATGAATGCCTGCATCCGTGAGATACGCGATGCTGAGAGCGTTGCTGCTCGCACCTGGGAAGGGTTCCTTTCTCAACAGGGTGGAGACTGCCCTGTAAGTCGCTATTTACCACGCACTAAACTTACTGCATACTAATAATGGAATAGTACTGGCGTCGTCGTTTCTTCAAGCTTCAAGGCTCGAAGCTGACAGCCTACCATGAAACCACTCGCCAGCCCCGTGCTACCATCAACCTGGCAAAGGCCTCCAAGCTTGTCGACGACCGCCCCTCTCTCACCCAGAAGGAAACTAGCACTAAGGGTGGTGGTCGCCGCAAGTCTGCCTTTGCCGAAGAAGAGGAGGGCTACATGTTTGTGGAGGAAGGGTTCCGTATACGGTTCGGCAATGGTGAAGTGATCGACTTTTACGCAGACTCAGCCGCAGACAAGGATGGCTGGTTGAGAGTCATGTCGGAAGCAATCGGCAAAGGGTCCTCCAGTGGCAGCGGTGCGATCAAGCCTTGGGCTGATCTCGTCTTGAAGCGCGAGAGCAGCATGAAGGCTCGACGTAAGACTGCCGAGCGTCTTTCCCCTACCGGCATCCCTGTCGCCCCTGGGTCGCCTGTCGGAAAGAGAACCAGTATGATGGGAGCGCCACCGGCTTCAGCTGGATCTGGGGCGCAGGCGCCTCCATCCTCCCGGCCCCGACACAAGCACACCTTTTCTCAACCTGAGCTACCCAGCGCCGAAGCCCGCCGCCAGAAGACCCGCTCTCTCATGTTCTAAGGAAACCACCCACCCCCAACCCCCGAAATGACTGCTATGAACAAAATCTTCTCTTCTCTTCTCCTGGACATGATGTCAAGTTGTCACAATAGCGCTTTTCTATTTCTCCTTTGTGGATGGCCGTCCATACTACTTCTCTCCTGTTCTCTTGGAGAATCATTTCCTTTCTGTCATCTGGTCTTTTTTCTACGGTGCTGGCGTGTACCAAGCAGTTTTGGTTCCCTTTTGTTTTTATGTTATCACCTTGACCAGCAGCAACGCTATGACCACCGGACTACGGGACACCTCCCAATGACTTCCTTTTGAGATCCTGTTGTACTTTAATGAGACATATGCCTCCTGGTTTCCTCTTTCTTTCATGAGTCAATAGTTTTCACTGTTTTCAATGTGATTGTTTTGGATCGATCTTACACTCCCTACTTCTTTTAAGTATTAGGCAGGTCCTTGCGCCGTTATCTTCCATCTACTTAGTGTTTGAAAACCAAGCTCCACATCCCCAGCCGATTCTTTGACTCTCCCAGTCCGCCTTGTATAACAACGGTGTTATGACCAAGGATATGTGCATCGAACCATCCCCTCGATGCAGGCGTAGGATTTAGCTAGGTGTCCACTTCCGTCCAAGTTGTCTTTTCAACATCAAATGCCCACACATCACTCAGCATCTTTCCAGCCCCCTGGTGTCCCAATGCACTTGGGTCCCGCTCTCCGAACAAGGTCACCAACCATCGGCGGTCCGCAACATACATTGGAAGCAGAGCGCTCACACTGCGTGGTATCAGGCCCTCTTTCCCATCAGGCACACAACTGTGGGATGCCATGTCTAGCAGTTGGAACCGGGTGAGTAGACATCGACACTCCCACCCTACTCCGTCTTCCCATCGAACCCATTCATGCGGTGCAGCTTGCCGTCCGCAAACGCGATTGACGTACCCCCGCGCGGAGGGCCAGGAGCCGGCGCAAGCTCCGTCCATTCCTTATGCGCCACACTGAATGCCCATAGATCCGATAGTCGACCCTTCTCGGGACAGCCTGAGTGCACGTAGGTCGTGTCGTGGCCGTCGCTGGGGGTACAGTGATAGCTGCGTGCAGCAGGGTGTATCTCCCTGGATCTGGGAGATAGGAGCTGCCAGCTCGCAGAGCTAGGATCGTATTCCCAGATAGATCCTTGTTCGTCTATAGGCGTCATGGCGACGCCACCTTGCCCGGAGAAGAGATAGAATTTGCCGTTCAGTGTTGCTGCCGCGGTTTCCACCCTTGGCGAGGGAGAGGGGGATTGAGTTGATGAGGGCTTGGATGAGAAGGTTGCCTCTGGACGGGCATTTCAGTGGATGTAGGAAACTATAAATTGGTGAGTAGAGCCTTACCTCCGGCAAGAGAGAGAACATGGACGTTGTTGTCCCTTGTCCCTGGGTTCTCGGTGCCATAGCTCCCCGCCAAAGATGTATCCTTGTTCGCCTACGACGGAGAAAGCCTGCGACGAGCGCTGGAGGAGATCCGACTCGAAGACTTTAGTCCACTATGCGATAAGCTTGTCAGTGCTGCTTCGATGTGAGATATACTGTGACGGTTTGAGGAGCTGCGAAGGGCCCCCAAAATTGATTGTACCCGAATCAATGTTCATCTTGGAGAAAGAAAGATGTCAAGACAAAAAAGGACCAAGTCCTAGGCAAAATAACAAATAACCTCTAGACCATAATGCGCTATAGGCAACACTCTTAGTCTATACCGTCATTTATGGCTCTGACAAAACAATAGTATGTTTTTCATTCACGCAGAAACTGATCGAGACGATCCTGGTCCGCTTGTGAGCTATACGGCACCAAAATCAGCACTCGCCTCTTATTCTTTTCCACTCGTCAAACAAGGCGCAGCTATTTACATAAACTGATGCTCCGATTGTGGCATCGACCTACTGCAGTCCATCTCTTCCAGATATTGCCTTGACCAAAAAGCCAAAATGGGGCGAGGTCTTAACTTAAAAGTTCGTCCAGGCTGGCTTCCATAGCCGCAGTCGCAGGACTGGAGGAAGAAGCGGCCGCTTTGTACTCGTTCATACCGCCAAAAGCAAGTAATAGCCAGAGATAGTATAGACACGAGAATTTGCATAAGGAAAGAATATTGACACTCTCATCAATTTTTGAACCTGGTTGACGTAGCTTGATTCTATGGTGCTTCAAATCCAAGACTCAGATGTACTTCCGCCGTGGGGCCATCATCATCGATTGATTACGGATCATGAATGTTGCACAGGATGCAGCCCAACAGTTCGCAATTAATAATAGGGCATCTGATACGCTATCCAGATCCCAGATGTCGTACGTGTCATCTGCTCGGCATACAAAAAAAGAACGCTCAGGTGAATTTATCAGCATTTCTCTATACGAGACCAATATTGCGTGCTGCTTCTGACAAATGCGAGCATTCACCCCGCAAAGCGAGCTGATTATAAGGTCAAAATGAGATTTCCTGGGACACCTGCAACTCGGAATAGCTTTCATATCAATTCAATAATAGGAATACGTCCTTCACTAGCAACTATGGCTTCGGCAGCTGTTCACACCTCTGGTGGACATGGCCCTGGTCTGGCGCAGAAGCCGGACGTTCCGGTTTCCGATAAGCCTCATCATGTCCAGACGACTCTGAACTTCCACAAAGAGAATGAAGATGGCTCCCCTCCCTCCCCGAGCTACGTGGGCAGGCCGGAGACGTACGAGAAGCCGACGGTTCAAGTTGCGACTACCATCCACGATGTCAGCGGCCACGAGCTGGACTATACCCTAGACAGCCACGGATTCCAGTTCTACTACCATAAGAGTAGCGAGACGGACTTTGTGGACGACGAGAAGATTCGAAGGGAGTACTACGCCGAGACAGAGCAATTGCTGAAAGATGCGTACGTTGTCCGCTGTTAGGTGGATCTTTATCTTCACAAGATCAATCCCACCAGCCTGCGCCTGCTTCACCACCACGCTAACTCTAAACGACAGCACTGGAGCTTCGAGGGTTCTTATTTTCGATCACACTATCCGTCGTCCGCAACAGGATGGTTCACCTGCGACTGGCATTCGCGGACCGGTACAGCGGGTGCATATTGATCAATCCTATTCGGCGTCCAAAAATCGAGTTTCTCACCACCTTCCGGACGATGCTCCCGAGCTGCTGAAAGGGAGATATCAGATTATTAATGTTTGGCGTCCGATTCGGACCATTCTCAAGGATCCCCTCGCCGTCGCGGATGGTCATACTGTTCCGGAGAGCGCGCTGGTTCCTATCGGGCTCATCTATCCTGACCGGGCTGGCGAGACCTACGGCGTGAAGCCGGATCCTCAGATCAAGTGGTACTATCGCTACGGACAAACGCCGGAACTGGTGACGCTGATTAAGTGCTTTGACTCGAAGACCGATGGACGAGCTCGTCGGGTACCTCACACGGCATTTGTGAATCCTGAGACGGAGCATGAGGCGGCACGGGAGAGCATTGAGATTCGGGCGTTGGTCTTCCATCCCGACGATCGAGACTGATTGTCTACCTTGAGATTAGTGGTTGGTTTTGGATTTTCGTACGAGATGGAGCGATATCGATATCAACTGGGGTCATTTTGACGTGTCATCATAAGATTGAAACATCACTATCTTCAGAGGCGTATAATAAGTGGAATATCATAATGGTCATGTGCAGAAGCCATAACTCCTCTATTTTCCTGCGATTTCCTTCACAGCCGCGACGATATCGTTCGGACCGAGACCTTGAGCATTCACCTGCTCGTACAGACCGCCGCAGCCCTCTTTAATGGCCCCCATACTCTTGTACTTAGGAGTGAGCTTACGCTCCAACAGATGAGTGCCGAGGCGAGAGCCCAAACCGGTCTTCTGGGCAATGGATTCGACGACAAGCACGAAAGGAGTAGAACCATAGTCGCGGAGCGCGTCCTCATCAACGACGTTCAGGGTCACCTTGTTGATCAGCCCAACATCGAGACCCTCCTTGCGCAGGCGCTCAACGGCATCGAGCGACCGGTACACCATGTCCCCGTAGGTAACAACGTAGCCGGCGGTACCCTTGCGGATGACTTCATCCTTGCCCGGCACGAACTCGTAGCCCTCGCCGTAGAGCTTCTGGTCAGTACCCTCTTTCAGGATATAAGGCACCTTGGAGCGAGTCGAGAAAATAAATCGCATGCCCTTCTCCCAGAAGACCTTGTTCACAACGGCCTTCATCTGCTCGCCATCAGCGGGGAAGTAGAGGGACGTCGTCGCGGCATCCATCAGGCCGTTATCGGCGAAGAAGTGGTTCAGGCCAAAGTGGCAGGTGTTGTCGGCCATCTCGTCGACTCCGCTGTGAGAAAAGTGAGAGAGAACGGTGCAGGCGTTCAGGCGAGCCATGGTGATCTCGGAGATACACATCTCCAAGAACGCCGAGAAAGTGGAGAACACACCCTGGCGCTCGCCATTGCTACCGAAGCCAAAGCCGGCGGCCGCCGAGAAGTTGCCACGCTCCATGACACCTGATGCCACAAAGACTTCAGGGTGCTCGGACTGAATTGCCTTCAGGCCAGTCGAGCCAGCCAGATCAGAGTCGATGACCATGACCCGGCGAGCCGCATCTTCCTTGCTGAGACCGTCCAGGATCGAGTTCACAGCCTCCCCGAAGATGGCGCGGTTGGCACCCTTGTCCTTGGTGGAGCCCTGGTACTGATGAGGGTTCGACCGGGCCTTAATGTCATCGTAGAAAGCCAGTTGCTCCTTGCTGTATCCTCGCTTGGTGAGGTACTTGCGAGCCACATCGACCTTGAAGACGTCGTGAGCGTGGCACTCGCCCTCAACATCCTCGACACCAGGAGCCATTTTCCGGTTGACGACGACCGCTGCAGGGCCCTTGTGGTTGATCACTTCCGCAATTGCTGGATACAGAGAGTCCACATTCTCCCCTTCCGCACGAACAACGTGCAAGCCGTGACCCGCAAGGGTCTTGGCAATGTCGTAGCCCTTCAGATATATCGAGGGGTGGCCAGCAATAGTGACATCGTTGTTGTCAATGAACAGCTTGACATTGAGGTTGCGGGCGACCGCAATGCGCGCCGCCTCGGCGTCGTTTCCTTCTTGCTGAGATCCATCCGAGCCCAGCATCAGAACATTCTTATCCTGGTTCGCCATTGCGATGCCGTTGACCATGCCCCACATATGGCCCAGGCGGCCGGAACTGAACTTCACGCCGGGCGTGAGGCCCAGCTCGGGGTGGCCGGGAAGCTTGGAGTCGGCATCCCGGTAGTTCAGGAGGTGCTCGGGATCGATCTTGCCATCCATCGCGGCCAACAGGTACTGGGTCGCGACACGGTGGCCCGCCTCGTCGAACAGTGCGTCGACAAATTGATCGGGGTGCGCATTCATCATCGCCAGCAGGATGCAGACTTCCGGGGCCGTGTCGAAGGGGCCACCAGTGTGGCCCGACACGCCCCGAGCCGCACCGGTCGCGGTGAAGGCAATAATGGCATCGCGGAAGATGTTGATGTTGTTCAGAAGATCGCGTTTCTGATCAGCGGTGAGGGTGGTGCTCTTGGAGTCCAGCTTGAGCTGCTTGAACTGCTTGAGATCTACAGGGAATTTGTGCCCGCTCATGATGGTGGTGGCTGGGTAGTGTGTCGAAAGGGGGTAATTGAATGGAGTCAGAGTGCCTTTCCAGAGATTGAGCTGGAGAATTCAGGGGAGAGAAGCGTGTCTGCAGCAAAAACCGGATGGAATGCAGTCGACCTCGCACCAAGGAGGGGTGTTGACGTCATTGGCAGGCCTGAGGGGCCGGTCGTTTTGCTAGCGAAAAGTGGACTTTGCAGGGATTGTCCGGCCTGCCCGTGATGGTTTACATAAGGGCATGGGCTGGCAGGCAAACGTAACGGTGCAGAACAGTCCAGAGCCTGCAGATTGCAGTCGGCTGTTGGTTGGCTGCCGAGCATTTCGGACGCATTTGGACGGCCGTGATGTGATCCATTCGATTCGTACGGGAAACCCCTCGCCTGAAAACTCAATTGCAGGTCCGTAAAAGCAGCGCGGGTGGCCTTTCTGCTCTGCCTAAGGAGACACAAAATCACGAAATAGGCACGACTCGATGGACATCATTTAGAGTGAAGCCACCTGGTCTGCTTAGCGCGGCCAAAGTGGGTCATCGAGGCAGCCAAGTGGGACGCGATCGTCTCGGCAGAGTTACCGTGCAAGCGTGCCCGCCGGTCAATCGGATTCAGAGAAGGACGAGCAGACTGCCGTGGCCATCTGAATCTGGTGTCTCTCGCTGAAGGGAACTGGAGTCATGAAGAAGTTCGGTCAAGGAGATGATCAGCCCGGCCCAATAGAAGAATTTAAGTTATAGTTAACTTATAACTAAGTTAGGAAACTAGAGCTATGACTAATAAATCCACGCTACCTTGGCTTCCTTAGGCCTCCCGCGTTCTTCGACTCCAGCGAGGAGAGTTTCGAGTCAGAGATTATGTTCTGGTGTATTCTGGTCTCTTCTGCTCCTTTCTGGTAGATGTGCATGCCTGCGCAGCCCCCAAGATATGAGTCAAACCGGAATACATAAAGGTGGGAGGGAGTTCATCACCGGATCTCATCATCACGGGTATCCACTGAATCCACTCATACTTCGATCACTTCCTCGCTCGCTTAGAGCCTACCAAAATGACATTCCGAGTCCTAGTCTACGCGCACCGCAAGCCGGGTGTTTCGCCGGAGGACTTCAAGCAACACTATGAAGCGCACATCGATCTCTTCAAGCGTTTGGTGGGCGAGGACTTCCCGCTCACCCACCGACGCACGTACATCGAGCGCACTGCGAGTGACACCGCGGCAGTGGATGCCTCTCCTCGCAACGCCACCACCCCAGCAACCGTGATCCTCGGTCGCCAGTCAGACTACGACTTTGACTGCCTTGCGGAGCTTACATTCGCTGATAGAGCCGCATGGGACGCCTGCACGGCGAAAGTGTTATCGCCGGAGATTCAAGCGCAGATTGCCGCCGACGAAGCGAAGTTTTGGGACAGCTCCAAGACTGGGGTTCTGGTGATTGGAGATGTCACCGAGACCACCAAATAGCGCGGGCTCTATAGACAGCCGGGCTGGGCGGATGTGGTTTCGATGGAGCGGGAACCATGGGTTATTTTGAGTGCTTTTTGGTTATTTGATATGAAAATGGATTGCCTTTGTGTGTCGTGCTCATCATACTTCGTGTGTTAAATTGCAGACTGTGCATATGCCGGGTATTAACAACCAAACCCCAGGAACCCGCCACGATAGCGTCCGGACCGGACAGTAGATGACCCTCATTCGACACTGTCTCCCTCTTCGACTTTCCACCACACCCAGATAGATTCACATAAAGAAAAAAGCTCAAGAGCGGCGACGACCGATGCAATGAGAATCAGGAACCGCTTCGTGTTCGGGCGGATACCAACGGACTCAAAGCTCATGGCTAATGGGACCCCCGCAGGGGTGAGTCCGTATTCGTAGTCTCGCTTAGATGGCTTCTCCGCTTTCAAGCGTATCGCATGTGTTGAGAAAGGGGAGGAGAAGGAATGTGACGGCGTGCATGGTCGCAACGAGGGAGTGGCCTGGCGGGCGCACAATATGGGTTGGATTAGGGGTTGTCTCCAGAGTGGCAGTCTGGATCCCTGGAGGGGTACTCGCAGGGCGATAGCTGCCTTCATCGTGAAAGAGGGCTTACGCGAGAGGGAGGGGTTGCTGAGGTTCCGACGATGTTGGGTGGGGGCTGACAGCGTCGTGATGACTCGCCCGCTAGTCTGGAAGGAGCGAGGCTGCAGGTGCACGGCCAACATGAAAGCACATCACCAGACCGCATTTCTAGCAGGCGATCCTGGTTTTGACCGTCTCCCTGAGAGCTCAGTTACGGACACCGAATCTACACAGCCAAAAGCACAAGGTACCGACGAAGAACATACTCTTATTCAAGTAGACTGGCAGTTTCAAACAGAACGGTCGCTGGGTATACTCCAAGGATGGAGCCGTTATCGGCCTTTCACAGACGCAAGATGGTGTGTTGTCATGCTCTGTTCTAAGTACCCCTTACGAAATTCTGGATTCTATATCGAAGGACTATAGCCTCACACATCCGGATGGAGTGAGTTGTGATATTGATATGACTTTGTCAAGGTTACCATGGCCCAGTCCACGACCAAACTAGTTGATTAACTTGATAGTCACAGCATTAAACAGGAATTTTCTTGCCCAGGCTTCGCCAAAAATCACACCGCTCCTTGAGTTGTGCCAGGCGGACATTCTCAAATCCACGATCCACAATCACGAACTCTTCCCCAGTGTTCTGTAGCTCTGGAACCCCTGGCTCAGACGAGTTGGTCAATTTATGCGCGTTCGGGTCGCCTGTCTGGAAGAAGCTGGCGAAGGCACCAGCATATCCTTCATACACGACAGGATTCGACGTCTGCACTACATTGATGCGATTCCACTGCTTTCAAATCAGTACTGGGTAGTATGTTTATCGGCATACGCGTCATTGTAGGAGCGCCACATACATAGATAGTATCACTGCCGTGAGTCGCGGGTGAGATGGTGTATTCTCCAAGATAGCCCCTTCTCTGCGCATCCGAGGCAATCCAATAAGCCGGACATGCAAGAACCACGTCTCTGTAGATCAGACCAGCGCGGATATAGGTTGTATTATACTCGTCGATGGTTTCGGTGCTTCCTTCTGCTGGGTAGTGCTCATTTTCCACAGCCTCGATCTGCTTTGGTGACAGCCCCGGCAAGAATCCCGTCAACCACTGGTGGAAACTCGCAGTTGACGAATTATACCCGCCTGTCAACGCTGCCTTTTGTAGGCCCGAGGGTATAAAATTCTGTCCCTCGTGGCTGTTATACATCCCCCAAACAAACTCCGTGTTTAGTGTTCCACTGCTCACGGCTTCAGTCAATGTGTCTGCCAAGAACTCGCCGTCGATGACAGGCGCCCATGTATACGAGCTCGTTGTCCAGGTGTGCTCTGCATCGATAACAAGGCTCGCATCGCGGATAGTTTGCACATCGACGGACTTCAGGCAAGCCAAAGTCTCATGACCATGGCCATGCTCCGCACAGCCAGTCAAATTAGCAAGCTGGTTGTAAATATCCTCCGCCTCGGGTGCATCATAGGCATATGTCTTGGGCCAAAACGGGGAGCTGGCGAGAGCCTTCGAGAAGAGCTTGGGCTGTCCATTGCGTCCATTCGCCAGAACTTGCGCCACCACTGACCCTGCACCGGCAGACTGGCCCCAAATCGAGACATTGTGAGGGTCACCGCCAAAATGGTGGATATTGTTCTGCACCCATTTCAGGACGTACTGCTGGTCCAGGAGGCCGGGATTGAGGTCTGAAGTAGACGACGCTTTAATAGCCTTTCCAGGCAAGAATCCAAACGCATTTAATCGGTAGTTCGGATAAATAACCACGTAGTCATTCAGTGTGCTCGCATTGAGCACGGGAAACGAAGACGGGGGCATAGTGAACGCCGCATCGCCTTGGATAAATGCGCCGCCATAGAACACGACTAGCACCGGCCTGCGTACATCCTTGGATGTATCCCATGGGCGAGAAAACAGACCCAAGTATAAGCAGTCCTCGGAGCCGTTGACCGTGCGCTGGGGACACATGTCGAAGGTCTGGTCCGTATCAAAGGCGCCATTTGTAATTTGCAGCGGTGGCTGAGGGGCGCGGAAGCGGTTTTCTCCTGTGGGTGGTGCCGCGAAGGGTATTTTCCGGAAATATGAAAGGTTATAGCTTGTGTCGTATTTGCCCTGGAAGGAGCCATAGTCGAGGCGTATTAACGGGTCGTCGTATGCATCCACTACGGTAGCGAGGTAAGAGAGGGCGAGAACGAAGGTCGAAAGAAACCTCATTGTAGAAAACTATGAGCTTTGATCTATAGGCTTCAGCTTCCAGGTTGGGCACAATTTCTTCGACTACACCGTGGCGCGCGGAGTCTATATAGCCTGTTCCCATCTCAGATCAAGCAGATATCAACCGGGGAAAAGCCCGCCGCAGAAGTGTAGCTCGTCCTCTGCGGACCATGTTCGCCCATTGTGAAGAAGGAAAGGAAGCAACGAGGGCTGCTTGCGAGCATATCATTGGTGCAGTTATTGTTGACAACGATCGCGGGGGAAAGATGCGGGGGAAAGATGCGGGGATGTGAGAGGAGTGCTACTTCGGCGTCGATCACCCCGATGGCGAAAGTGGTCTTTTGAGAGAGACATGACATCATCGATAATAGAAAAAAACAGCCGTATAGGTACACTGTTGCATCCGTTGCAGATACTATGTTCGTTTTCCTGCCTAGCTAGTAGCTAGAACACAAATGTATTCCCGAATAAATACGTGACTCCCAAGCAGATACGCAAAAACCACCCGAATAACCCGGTAGACCCGGAACAAATCCTTCCATGCACCATGAGCCTTCAACACCGTAGTCCCTGTGCAATGATGTGCACTAATATTACAAAGGTTCCGTTCCTCCGAAACTGCGCTACAAACACCTCTTCATCGTAGATCCATGAAAATTAAACTGGGCATGTTTTACATTGTCATTCGAAGCCCCCGGGTCCGCCGACGGCTGGCACGGGTGTTGCGACGGGGCTCGTTTGCATCACTGGTCGGCGTTTCAGTGCGTGCGTCCGAGAGCTCTGGGGTAGGAGTGATTCCAAAGCTGATGCCGCGGTCTCGGCGGGAGACGCGCGCCTCTGAATCTGGAGACAGGAATCGGTGGATAGTGCGGTGGTCCATGACTCGGTCGGCGCGGTCGGCGCCCTTCTCGGTCTTGGGCCACTGATATCCGTAGATCTTGGAGTGTCGCTCGCATCGGGGGCACTCGCGGCGGGTCTGGTAAGAGTTGGACTGGACAAACCATAACTCGCAGGTCTGGCAGTCGACCCAGCGGTCGTACTTTTGGGCGAGCAGCCGTGAGGTCTTGGTGTAGTCGCCAGGGGATCGGACGACGGGGATTTCGGTTTCGACAGAAGCAACAATCGCCCAGTTGCGCTTGCGACGGGGCTTTCGTGCCTTTTCCATGACAGCTTGCAGGGTATCGTCTAGTTCAAACGAGTCTGATAAGTCTGAGAGTTCACTGGGGGTGGAACTCCTCGGCGGAGCGGTGGCTGCTTCTGGCTGACCTGTGATTGAGATATCGAGATGATCCTCTACGATTGATGCTCCTTGGGAAGGGTCGAGGTGGTGCAATTCTGTGGACTCTTCGATCTTCATCTTGGGCCCCGTGTCATCCACGGAAGTTGGGAGACTTGATGTCGAAGACTGATGAGATTCATCAGTAGAGCTTGGCGAGTGGCATTCAGTAGCGCCATTGTCTTGATGGTTAGTGATCTCCCTTGAGTCGATCAGAGCTATTGTGCCGTTATCAATGACTGTGAGACCGGTATCGTTCAGTTGTGATGGCTTAATCTCCCGGGTGGATGGCAGTAATGCCTCAGAGATGCACTGCACTCCTTCCGATAGTATTATCTCCTGTCTCAGCTTGGAGACCTGCCGCTCACCTCCAACGGGGGTAGAGATTACAGCAGTGTCGAAGTTAGCGTCGGGAGTCGGGGGGTTGTCTGTCTCAGGGGTCGCAGTTGATTCAGCGAGAAGCTCGGACATGCAGATCTCTTCGCGCAACTTGGAGGTCTGGCGATGGAACTTGGCTCGCATGTGCGGAGTGGAGCAGATGGAGGACAAATCTTCCGAGTCCAGGTCGGAGTCACGACGGCGTTTCTTGCTTCCTGAGTCACGATCCGCGGTTGTAGCCTCGTCCACTGATACGGGAGAAGACTCCTTGCTGTGGTCGTCCGAGTCCACCTGGGCCGACCAGCCGTTACGGACCGAGCGTTCGCAGGTTAAGCACAGACATTCGCAGTTGTCAATGCCAAAGTAGTCCTCTCCGTAGGATACCGTTATTTCTTCTCCTTCGTGAATGTCACGAGTGGCCATGACTGACATGCCCTCGGTGCCCCGAGTGACCAAGCGACCGTTGGCGTCGCAGTCGTGGTTGGCGAAGCGAGCGGGCCCTAGGAAAAAGAGGGGGTTTTGCGGCGGCTGGACATGACCACGCTGAAATCCTTACGTGTCAACCCCAGATCCATCTCTTCTTCTTTGGTCATGGCGACGAGGGTGCCAGCCAAGTACTTGATCTCCTGGCCTGCTTTGATAAACTTGCGGGCGCAAATAGCAGCCTCGTGCTGTGTGATAATGTATCGGTTCGTCGTGGTCACTTCGAACGGGCAGTCCGGGAGGTACATCTGGACATATTTGCGGAGATGGCGCCGGAACCACTCTTTCTCTCGAGAGCTGCGCAGATTTGCCAGGTACTTCCTCAGGCCAGACAACTGCAGCAGTTTGTGCTCAGCCGTCGCGACGTCCTTTGCAACGACCACCTCGTGGAGGAGGATATGGCCAACATCGTCGTCAAGGATCCCGCGGGCAGGGCTGTACTTGTTGCGATTCTTCCGAGTGGTAGTCCAGAAATAGGCCTTTCAACATATCTGGTCAGCCTACTGGTTTGGGGTTCAGAGCGCAGGCAGGAGACATACGTGATCGACCAGCGCATCGGTTGCGACGTCGTCATAGCTGGCCAGTTTGGCCAGGGTCAGACGCTCGCGGCCTGTCGCGGGAGAGGTTGAGCGCGCTTTCTTGGGCGGCATCTTGCGGCATTTACACGTAGAATAGGACACGACGCGAAGCAGCGAAGAGGTCTGGTCTTGAAACCGTGGGCAAATTGCACACGAGACGAGGAGCGTGGCGGTGCGTCGGAAGGGAGGGAGAGAGAGTGGAAGTTTGCGGCCGAGTCGAGGGTCGAGAAGGATGTGAAAGGGTAAGAAGAGAATGAACTAGGTAGACACGGCGGGCACCGGCGTAGGCAGCATGGCGTGAGGGAAATCACCGCGAGGCCAATTGGTGCTGGAAGGCTGGAGGCAATGCGCTCGTCGGCGAGGCCAAGGGGAGATTTCCAGGAACGCGGTTCGCCGGTTTTCCCTCCCCTGCACTATCTGCGCCTACGGCCCCCCTCCGCATGCACGCTCCGCCCGCCTCGGACATTTCTGGCTCCTGTGGCATGGGGGCCAATGGGTGCCAAATTTCTGGCATTTTCATTTTCCACGCTCATCACCCTGTAGCCCAAACTCGCACGTCCATCACCGCTGACTCCGCGCGTTGCCGCGTACACGGCGGCTCCCGACTTGCCCGGCCTCCAACGACTAATCCCAGATCCTAGATCAGATACTCTCGATGGATGGTCCACCGGTTTACTACACACAGTTAATGCAGTCAGGCAGTAGACCCTTGTCAGAGACGAATACCCTTGTATTAGCATCAATAGAAATGTGGCATTGATTGTTTAATGCTCTCCGTATTTGAAAACAATTCATGCTCGGGAATAATATCTCCCTTCGCTTCTACTCCACCTTTCGTTTCACCCATCAATCTCTTCTCGCGATTCTATTACACTTACCTAGAGGGCGCAGTGGGAAAGTCAACCCTAACATGCCAGAGACAAGCAACATCCCTTAATTTAACTGGGAGCATGCTCTGTTTCCCTATTCACAACAAGTAGCATATGTCATTCAATATTGATTGATCTATGTAGATGGGAGCAGAATGATTCCACGGTTTAGTCTCTTAACTAAAAACAGGAACTTGGTTCAACGTAGTAATCTACAGCGGTATTCTTTGTCAAGGAGGATGCTCAGAATGTCCGCAAATATATAGTAAATGCGTTCAACAGACGCCATGACCGCCAAATAACCTTACACAACCCTCCATGTCCACCATGCTCCTTTGATCCAAGGCTTCCTAGAAGATAATGGACAATTTCTCCACCTCAAACCCACCTGAAAAATACTGTTGTAATCTGCTGTCAAAATATTATCCAATCCCAGCATCGGGTTGCCGCACCCTGAGCGAGGACATGATTTGTGTCCCTTACGCACCACAGGAATTGGATCATCCCCAATCAGCAATTAAAACAAAATGATTGAAACTCATTCCTGCTAAACAAGAGCAATTCTAAAATTCTACCCCACACCAACTGTATATGCAAGTCGTACCAAAAAGGGATCCTCGTTGTGCTTCGGACAAACTCTCCGTTCGGGGAAACCCCCTTCCGACCGCCGAACAAATTGTGGTGATGCGACGAGCCGGCCAGCTGCCATTCCCTCAATGCGGCCACAATGATCCAACTAAAGGTACGGTCCAGATGCAGAAGCCTGGATATGTTAATGCTGACATCTGTCTCTCGCAGACATTATTAACTTGCATCGACAACTCCGGCGCCTCGGTCGTCGAGTGCGTCAACGTCCTCAAGAAGAAGCGGCCCGCGACTATCGGTCAGTCCCCCCAACCATATCAGATGACAATTGCACCGGAGGACTGTGCTAATGCGAGTTCGATGCATAGGTGACCGGATAGTCGTTGTCGTTCAGAAGCAGAGAGCCGCTGGTTCGGAGGGCTCAAGCGCCACCGCCCTCGCAAGCAAGGTCCGTCGCGGAGACATTCGGCATGCCGTCGTGGTCCGCGTGAAGAAGGAGCTGCAGCGGGATGATGGCACCGTCGTTCGGTTTGGAGACAATGCCTGCGTGCTCGTGAACAAGGCGGGGGATCCCATCGGGTCACGGATGAACGGTCAGTTGAGTGGTTCAATTCCCCGGGGACTGTCCAGCCCGGAACGGTACGACGACGGATGTGCATACTGACATAATTCTCTAGGCATCGTGGGACAGGAGCTGCGCGGCAAGAAGTGGTCCAAGATCTTGTCGTTGGCACCGGTGCACGTGTAATATCTATCAGGAACAGGGGTGTGCTCTTTAATTTGGGAAAGCGTTGTTTTGCGAAAGCATTTTCATCTTGTACTATAGAAATTTTCTCTATACCAACGCAACAATACTTGTTTTGAGATATGCATATTTCCATTTTCCTATCTCATCGCCAAAAAAAACTCCATACATATGCATGACTCGCAAACCAACTCGTGAAAGGATCAAAGGGTATCCGGCGGAAAGTCGCGCCATATCGTAAAAGGGAAATCACATGAAGACATTGCCGCACGCGCAGCACACGTAGTAGAGTTTCTGAGGCCACAGTTAGTGCATAGCCCTAGAAGAGTCAAGAGTCAAAAGGGTGACGCACCATTCCACTCTCAGCCGAACGCTGCTGAGACTGGAAGAAAACCGCCTCATTCTCGCCGCAGCTTGGGCAAAGCTTGTTGGCTCGGGGAAGCTAAACGACGGTGAAAAAAGAGTGTGTCAGCTAAGTGGGACCTTTTTTAAGACTGCTGAGTATAACTGGCGCTGAGCTCGTGAGTTTGCGCACGCCAGTCTGGGTTCACCGTGCCATGCTGCTCTTCCTCGGGGACCGCATAGTAGCTGCGGCCGCAGGTCTCACAAACCATCTCTTGGCCACAGCACGCGCAGAAGCCGGGAATGCTTAGGAAGCCAAGGGGGGTTTCTGGGAGACAAACCGTAGGATCTGAGCCCACATCCTGGGTGACACCGGCAGTATCCCCGACCTGGCTGTTGAGCTTGTTCTGGTAGACACAGTAGGAGCTCGCGGGCTCGCCGACGTGACAGGTACGGCAGGTGAACATCAGTTGGTTGGTAACGCGGTCTTCCTTGGGGTAGAGCAAGTTGGAGCTGCAAAAAAGTTAGCTACTGGCACAATATGCACATGAAATGCGATAGCATAGGACTTACCACTCGCGACAGAAGCGGAAGTGAATCTGGTCTGCCGGCTTGGAATCGGCACCAGCAGAAGGCGTTGGGCTGGCGGACATTGTGAAGTTGAATGAGAAACCGAGTGTGACTTGGAGCGATCAAGGTCTGTAGCGGCGCGTTGCGATGAATATGGTAATCCACGGGGGATCGTGCTTGGTGGCGAGTGAGAAAACGAAGACGAGGCCGAGCGAGTAGGCGGGTGCAAGGCGGCGCTGATATTCGGGCGGTTTCCAACGGCGATCTGTTTGCAATGTTTGCAGCTGTCCCCCGCAATTGCGCCTCCGTAGACATGCGATGTCAACCAAGCTCCTTCAATCAGACCGATCTTCATATTGACTTGCTCTTACACAATGGTACCTGCTTTTGTTCACCCGGAAGATGCTGTAAAGAAGCTAACTCTATTTAGGCCGACTCAGGTCTTCCAGCTGGCTGGGAGGTTCGTCACTCGAACTCCAAAAACCTTCCGTACTATTTCAATCCCGCTACGAAAGAATCGCACTGGGAACCTCCTACGGACACCGATACCGAAAAGCTCAAGCTCTACATGGCGACACATCACACTCCGGCGGCTCGCAATGATGTCGATGGTCGGTCTGAGGGCAAGATTCGCTGCAGCCACCTGCTCGTCAAGCACCGTGACAGCCGTCGGCCCAGCAGCTGGCGGGAGGCTGAGATCACCCGCTCGAAGGAGGAGGCGATCGAAATCTTGAAGGTCCATGAGCAGCGCATCCAGTCGGGCGAAACAAGTCTGGGCGACCTAGCCGTCTCCGAGTCTGATTGCAGTAGTGCTAGGAAGAAGGGTGACCTGTATGTTTCGAGTTGACTTCGGGATACAGTGCACACGCACTAACTATCTATAGTGGCTTTTTTGGCCATGGGGAGATGCAGAAGGAGTTTGAAGATGCTGCCTTTGCTCTCCAGCATGGTCAAGTCAGCGGTATTGTCGAGACGGCCTCTGGAGTCCACCTAATTCAACGGTAAGCATTGATCACCTGACCTTATTGGATTGAGAACAGACCTGCTAATACAATAGAACAGCGTCCAGTGATTTAGTTCTTACATACTAGGTTGGCATTTGGCCATTAGGCTTGGTATTATTTGTCTTTCTTGGGTTCGTACTTTGGGTCTTTCTTCGGGTTCGCATGTCTTGGACTGGGACTTTGTCAAAGGCGGAAAACAATCCACTACTCTCCATGGAATTCTCTTTATGCAACTGCCAGCTTCCAGCGTGGACTACTGTTGATCATGTCTCGGAGACAACCCCTATAGGGAAACAAAACAAGATAGCCTTATACAGCTGGGATAAAATAAGACAGCCTCTGGGACAATGGAAGTCCCTGAGACACTTCAAGAATACCAAAGAATATTCAAGGAGGACGTGCTGACCCCATAAACCTCCTCTGGATAGCCGCTATTAGTCATTGGCATCCGACTGAGAAGCGAGGAATAGATATGTACCTGATAATCTTGTTGACCGCGGCAAAACATGTTCACCTGAACGCGCTGCCAGATAGCACGCCAACATTTTCCCCCTCCTGTCTTCCTAATCTACGTTTGACCTCTTACCAATATCAATTTCTTCCATCTTTCACCCTCCGCTACTTTTATCTTCATCTACATCACGGCCAACGAACACCAGTCGCCCACCATTATGGACCAGAAGGCCAAAGAGCATCACGCCGTCGTCTACAAGACAAAGCAGAAGAAGACGATTGCGGCCTATGTTTACAATCCAAATGACTTTCGCCTCCCAACCTACCTCCAACTCCCACCGGAGCTGCACAGCCTACACATGCACGTCGCCGAGGCCGCCTACGCTGTAATTGACAGCATGCGCTTTCTCGACTTTGCACGCGCTCAGCGATACTACGCGATGTGCCCCACTCAACAGGGCGCCATCTTCGACAAACACTCTCAATCGATCAGACGCCTTCTTGAATGGACTGAAGACTACAATCCAATGGATCCGACCCTCGCCGCGGGCAGCAAGCTGTCGTGTGATATTTTGGAATTCCACATGGACCAAGTTGCCTACGCCACCTACGCTGATTTGTACCTCATGGCTTTGCAGCGATTTGTCAACATCGAGTGGTCTTCCTACTGCCAGAAGATGCTCCATATGAAGCTCCAAGCCTCGCAGAAGATGAATCGCTTCGACTACCAAGCATGGCTGTACTGGTGGCATGGAGAATTCAGAGCTTCCATGGAGAAGTGGGAGATTTACCTTGACAACATGTCCATTCCAACTTGGGAGGAGATCGTTGATGAGCTCTATGGCCTGATTCTGGAGCGTGTTGAGGACTCGCAGGGAATGAATGCTGTGACGCTTGCTAAGACACTTTGCTCCTGCCAAGTGAAGCTGCCCAAGGGCGGTAGGGAGCTACCACCTAATCCAGATTCGGTCTTTTATTTTGGAGATCTTGCTTTCGCAGGATGATACGTCGAATGATGATTTAGCGAGAATATTGGCGTTTCGGGATCGGATGATCAGATTGACTGGTTGCTTTTCGGACATAATCATGCTTATGATTCTACGAAGCCATAACTTCTGTACCTTACTACCTAACTTGAATATGATCACTCTCCTAGTACTATCACAACTTTCGTAGCAACTTCCATGGTCTTGCGTTACATGTCGCGCACAGTAATGAGTGCCACCGCAGGCGTCTGCTTTGATCTCTATGCTAGTCCCTCAAGGTTTGCGAAGAGTCTCTTTAGTATCTAAATTATCCAGCATAAGAATTTGCTTCCGACCTTTGCATCTTGTTGTCGTCTTCTTCCAACTTGGTAATAAACAGACTATTTCTAGGTACTATCCCACGAGAAGCACTGTTCTCTTTCTCTGAAGTCCTGGTCGAGATCTCGAGGTTCCTCCAACAGGGCAGGTGCCATGCCGCGGACGCCCAGGTTCTAGTGGTCCAGGGCAGCCAGAGGGGTGACGCGTAGGAATTTAACAAAACTTGAAAAGAGCCAACTTTCAATGGCGATTAGACGATGTCCGTCTAAGACGGTCATCTGGGAAGCGGAAAGCCTTCGCGTACGCTGATAACTAGTAGTAGTACGTATGCTCGACTATCTCGAGCGTGGACGTGGCTGCGATCCGCAAGGTAGAGAGGATACGGATAAGAGCTGTCCGTCGTACAGTACCACCAGTCCACCACGAGAGGAGGTCTAGCTGTTGCAAGAATCCTGAGTGAATTGATATCAGACAATGAAATCTTACCCTGAAGCCCTTTTTCCGACTCATTGTCTCTAACTTCCAGGGCCAGCAACTGCAGCACAATCCGCCCTTTATTGATCAAAGAGCTACTGACAAAACACCGAACAAAGGCATAATGCATACTGCCATTATAGGAAGACGCCCACCTACTCTTTGGTTTTATTTATAATTCACTAAACAAATGTACGCAGTTTCCAACTTATCTCATCTCGGTTTACACTTCGGTCGACGTAGCCATGTGTGTCATTTGGACTCAGAAGTATCACATTTGTGGCTGCATCTGGACTGTCCGCGACCTCTACTGCAGGCCAGATGAGCTCTGCTGGGGTGCCAGGATGGTCATCATACATTCGCACTTACAAACTTGCAAAGAGTGCTGGAAGAGCGGAGACAAGCGGGTAAACGATGATATTGTCAAATTTCTCGCCCAGCACGCAGAGACAGAACGACGGCGCATCGAACAACTCGATGAGTTAATTGCCAAAGAGGAATCCGAAGATGTGGAAGCGGAACAGGTTTACCAGGACAAAAATGATAGAAACCCTGATCTAGATGCAGGTGAGGAAGACTTTGCAGCTAACCACCCCTCCAGACCGATAACCCCAGATCTCAACCTCGACCCAGAGCAGATGCCTCGATGGCTTTTTGCAGCGGAGTCATTGGGGGATGCGACAAGATCTTGTGATCCGGTGAAGCCTGGGTCGATTTGGAAGGATTATCGTGCCAGGCGGGGCAAGACGGATTGGTATATGCTTGAAGGTGAGTCCCCAGGGGATATTATATTGTCTTTTGGAATGCTTTTGATAAATATGGAATGCTAACTATAATGCTTTACTAGACATGCTGGGAGTTTGGCTCGGTCCGACTGAGAGTAGTTCGGAGGACAGAAGAAACGAGGACGATGATTTCTAGAGGCAAATTGGATTCCGTAGCTGCTAAATAAAACTTGATTTATTGTAAACGGTGCATTGTATGCTTTTGCCTTCAGGCATGCCAAATCGCTTGATTATCGAAAATATAATCCAAAATGTGTAGAGTTATTGGACTGTAAACTGTATCAAATGCATACTATCCTAAGAACTCGGAAATCATAAACGTGCAAATATACATTGCATCACATCCACTCTTATGAGCCCATCACGCCAGCAGCGTCATCGCCAAGTAAAAGAGATGGTAGGGACCCAATCGTACCTTACAAGCTCGTGTTGAGCCGCTCCAGACGAGAAGTGATGGCGTCGATGACCGCAGACCTAGAGGGACGCATTAGCAACGGTAGCTCAAAGTGTAAAGATAGGGGTAAGCTGACTCTCGCTCAACCATTCTCATCGCATCAGCAATCTTAGCACGCTGAAGTCGCTGTGGCACCTTGGGTTGAGAGCCAGCCGGAGAAGAGGGGCTTCCGGGCTCGGGGGGTGAAGACGCCTTGGCTGCAAGGGTTTTGGTTTCGGACACGAGGTCGACGGCAAGACTTTTGACCTACATTGAGTGTTAGTAGTTGGATCAAGATGAAAGGCATGGGGATTGAATATACAGTTTCCAAACGCTGCGCGAGTTGTTGATCGCCCTCGCCGCCCGTGGATGCATTGTTGTCGACAGACTCGGACAGGGTGTTGACTTCAGAAACCCAGGCCTTCTCCTTCTCGCTGAGCGGCCGGCCACCAGAATTGAGAACCTTCTTTCGCAGCGCATCGTATCTTTGTACAAGCTCGCTCTGTTTGTCCTTCGCAGTCTGGAGTCTCTTGTTCAGAGCTTCCCCACTTCTAGAGCCATCCTTGCGACTTCCGTCTTCGTCAACCTCGCTCGTCACCCCCTTAATCCGCTCGGCGACATCCGAAAGCTGCTTAAGCTGGTCCTTCATCTCACCATGCAACCTCTCACACCGGCGAAACAAGTCCGAAGCAGCTCGTTCGAGTGCATTCGTGTGGGCCGACAGGACACGGTGTGCCGTGGTAACCAGGTCGAGCGTTGCAGGAGACAGACGTACATGCTCCTTGAGCGTATGTCGTTGGCGGTGCGGGACGTGCTTCTCGATGAAAGAATCCAGTGGAGAGTTTGCGTAGAGTATAGCTGGAACCTGGTAGGGAGCCCGGCGGGGAACCAGCGCAGGAGATGCTGGCACGGTATTGTTTTGATCGTACGAGCGCAAATCCATCGCTGCAGAAAATGTGTCCTCTGGAGCTTCCATGACAGCTGCATACGGATTAGATGGATGGTAGGTGAGAAGGAGGTATCCAAGATCGAAGTCGTAGAACACTAGAGATGCAGCGAGGTGCCCTTTCTGGGCAGTAACATCCGCGTCTGAAACTTGTAAAATCCGCTCTCTCTGGGCAACATTCCCACTGCAAAGAACTTGGAGCCGGAAGCCCGAGCCAGACGTGTCCTCGGCCTGCAATTCAGACTCTAATCTTTGCACCCAAGAAGACATGGAGAAAAACACCACATTGGTCGCGGTCGTTACAAAGAAGGAATAACGAGAGTGGATGTCCTTAGTGAAAGTAGGCCAGGTGACCGTCTCTGTGCCGCTCGTCTTGATGGTGTCCAACGATTCAACCAAGACCAAGTCTGCGGGCTCAGAAAGTGGCGTTCGGAATGCGTTCTTTCTGGCCTTAGGAAGCCATTGGCCTTCAATGCCATCCAATTCTAGACAGATGTGGACGCGGCCATTCCCGCTGGTAAGGCAGATGACTGTCGCCGACAACTTGTCCTGGTCATTGGTCTCCACCGTCAGCTCCTCGTCCTCACCCATCATCAGGTCTTCAACGTTAAGCCTGGCAGCAATGACCAGAATATCGCAAAGGTCCAAGTCATCAAGCTCGTCTCCGGTATCAAAACGGAACGGTCCTTGCAGACGCGGAATGGCGCTTGGACTTGTCGGACGAGTGAATACATCCGCACCTTGGATTGTACCCGAGTCGGTAGGAGGGTCCAGAGGCTCCTGTTCATCAATCTCGCGCAGCCAGTCATACTGTTGTCGGCATGCGATCAGCTCCTCCTCTAGGTCCTCGGGCGCTTCTTCAAGAGCTGCCATCTTTGGGATGATAGCCGATGAAAGCGAAGGGACTGTCACCGATGGCGCTTGCCACTTAGACGGCAGCAATGGGCAGAGCGCGTAGAGGTCGCCAGGCTTCATGGCAACCCACAGAGTCATCGGCGCCCAAGCATCCTCCCTGTCATTTCCATTCCCAGCAAAACAAGCCGATGCGACTTCCATATCGAAGATGTCTGCAGAAAACCCCTTGTTCTTGCCAAATCCAGAGGGCGCAAAGTCCTGATCGGACGAGGTGCCATCGACCAACTTTTTCAGATCTACAGCCAAAGTCGGCTGGTCAAAAGACCAATGGTTGTTTCGGTCCAGCTCCCATACACGCACAGCGGCGTCCGCAGTGATTGTGACGATACACCCACCAAGGTTGGTGTGCAGGCCTAGCGGGTGCCATAGTGCAGACACGACGGGTGCTTCTGGGATGACATGGGTGGTTGGGCCGAGCTGGTAGGTCTTCAATCGGATCGGAGATGTATCTGTGGACGACAGATGCGAGGAGTCGGGGAGAACGGAGATGTGAACGGTGTGCTCAGTGACGATAGCCAGGAAGGCGCCATTCGGCGAGGGAAGGATCTGTTTGATGAGCCCGTAGACGGGCACAGCCAGAACCTGCGTGATGTCAGACGCAATCGTTTTCAAATGACTTGAGTCACCGAGGGGCCTCATGCGCGCTTAAAGTATAACTAACCCTGTAGGATGGAGGACTAGAGCCATTTGTGTGCTGCTTGTTCTTCTTCTGTCTCGCCTGTTGTTGCCATTGGTCCTTCAGATGCGTCAGGTTCGACCAGCGGATCTCATTGTCAACCACAGCGAAAACTTCATTCCCTCTCTTTGCGACGGTCCTGGTCGCTCCGCTGTCCGCAAAAGGGTTGGGTTCCTTCTGCAGGTCCTGCGCAGGGTCCTTCACGGAACTGCTGGTAAAGAGGTCGGCGCCAGGCGAGGGCCGACACAGCCAGGCTGGCGCATAGCTGTTGACCCTGGGCATGACGACTGAGGTCACGTATGAATAGCGATAGTCGGATGTTGAGGAGAAAAAGGCTCAGACCATCCTAGCCCCGAGAAAGCGCGGGTGAAGTCGAGGCTGTCTCGGTTGTTGTTGCGGCGTGGAATTTGGCGGTGCCAAGATTCTTTGAGCTCCGAGCTCCCTTCGACGCCCGTCCTCTTCAAACCACCACTTGCCACTTCCTCTAGTCCTTCCACCCAGCTCCCATCCCTTCACGATGAGCTTACTGGCTGTGAATACGGTCGATCGGCTGGATCGGCCTAGCGCCTACTATGTAGGCAAGGTAAGAATTTTCCGCGCATCGCATGGGTCTATTGAGGCCATAAGAAATAAATGCGCTAACCAAGGCGGCCACAGAACAAGCGTCGCAGACATAATGACAGGGAGGAAGAGGAGCGGGAGAGGGTAGATCCTATGGCGAAGCTGCACCATGCGACTACACTCTACGTTGGCAATTTGTATGTTCTGAATGGAATCCTGAGCCCGGCAGTGGACAAACCTCTGACGCATCCTAGGTCCTTTTATACAACCGAGGAACAGATCCATGAGCTTTTCGCCAAGTGAGTGCGGGCATATGATTTGATTTTAGATTATGTGTTTAACCTTATTTTTTTTAGGTGCGGCGAGATCAAGCGACTGGTAATGGGCCTCGATCGGTTCAACAAGACGCCCTGCGGATTCTGCTTCGTCGAATACTACACACACCAGGATGCGCTGGATTGTCTGAAGTATGTTGGAGGCACCAAGTTAGATGAGCGAATTATCCGAACCGATTTGGATCCCGGATTTGAGGAGGGCCGGCAGTATGGGTATGTGGTCTTTTGATTCCACTACAAAGGATGTTCTCGAAGGACAGTGGCTGACTTGGTGATAGACGCGGTAAATCCGGTGGTCAAGTTCGCGACGAGTACCGCGAAGAATACGATCCTGGCCGTGGTGGATATGGCCGCGCGTATGATGAGCAGCGCCAGCGAGAGGAGGAACAGTATGGCGAGGGGAGGTAAGGCGTTTGATCAGCGACATGAAACAGTACTGGGGCCGGAAATTGGCGTTATCTTATTACCACAAGCGTGGAATTCAACTAGAAGAAACCGGAAACTTCTATTCATCTGATACCTTATTTACAAGTGTCTTTGCAGTGCCCTCTATCATGCTCGCTCTTCCTCTTTAGTCTACTGGCCCAGCTTCTTTCTTTTGTTCACAGCGGACTGCACCTGGTGCAACCACCACGCGTGGATTCTTGCGTCTCCAGTCAGCTCTGGGTGGAAGCTTGTTCCGAAAACATTGCCCTGACGAACGGCCACGACGTCCCCAACTTCTCGGTCCGGGCTGATATCACGCCCTTGGGTGGCGCTCCGAGCCGCGGCCCCGGTCAAGGTGGCCAGCACCTCGACTTGATCGGCCGTGGCAGCTTCCGCGACCGAGCCCTTGGCCTGTCTGGAGGGTGCGACGACGGTGTCATCCCGCTCAGCCTCCCCAAGCTGGATTCCCTCCTGGTGCGGCAAGATACATTCCACAATGGGAGCTCGAATAAAGACTGCAGGGAATGGTGGGGCGTGTTCACCGAGGAATGGCAGATCCAACGGGCCCTGAAAGCTCTCAGTCTGCCGTCCAAAATGATTGCGATTAACTCGAACGTCGAGCCCACCAATGAGCTCCTGTCCACCCTTCTTGGTCTTGTTGGCCGACTCCGCAAGTAATATCAGTCCTGCGCAAGTGCCCCAGGTTGGCTTGCGGTGCACTCTGTACAATCGCCACACAATCAGATCAGCCGAATACTCATAAGTAGCCAAGTACAAGGGCCGTACTTACTTGACATAGTCTCTCAGGGGCTCCAAAAGGTTAGACCGGGCAGCAACCAGAGACATAGTAGTGCTCTCGCCTCCAGGCAACACAAGCCCATCGCATTTGGCGAGTTCCTGTGGCGTTCGCACCTCAATGAACTCCCAATCCAACAGAGCTTCCTCCTCGGCGGCCTTTTTCAGCAGCTGAATATGTTCGTAGAATGCGCCCTGCAAGGCGAGAACTCCAACTGTGACCGGCATGTCTGTAGTGGCAAGAACCAAAAAAGGTGTACACTCGCCCGTTGGATATGACTCTGAATGCACGTGATGCAAACTTTCCGCGGGGAATTTCCTTATCGATGTCTCTATCGCCACGTGAGTCCGATAACGGCGTTCCGAGTGGGATGTATCAACACGTTCCAACCTGCAGCTCGCTGAGGAAGAGCCAGCGCGCCAGGTTGTTGGCCATGCTATCTCGTTTTCTGGTTGCAAAACACGGTGGATTCAAGTCATTCAGTCCTTTTTGACTGCAACGAGTCACCTGGGATCTATATACAGCCAACGGCTACAACATGGCAACCAATGGAAGCAGCCAGGCTGATGCCCAACCGAACAGGCCCGTAAACGAAAATATTGCGCGGTCTTTGCGCGGCCTTCCAACATTAGTGCGCTGGTATATCGATACCCGAGAGTGGGAGGCCAATGGCCTAGATATGCACCTATTGAATGTACTCCGCCCGGCCGAGCAAGAGGCCGTGAGAAGATACCACCATGCTTCAGACAAGCGCATGTCTTTAGCATCCTACTTACTGAAGTATCTGTACATTCATCATGCTTGTGGTGTCCCTTGGAAAAACATTGTCTTCAGCCGCACCCCAATGCCTGAGAATCGACCCTACTACGAATCGGATTCGGATATCCAAGTTGACTTCAATGTCAGTCACCAAGCATCTATAACTATCCTTGCAGGAGTCATTGTTCCATCTCAAGAGCAGCTTGAAGGCCAACTTGTCGACGGTCTTACACCCCTGTCACCCAGGATTGGTATCGACATAACGTGCGTCAACGAGCGGCGCAAGCCCTTGACGACGTTCAAAGAATTCACCGAGTTCGTGTCCATATTCAGTGAGGTGTTCTCCCCTAGAGAGTTGGCAGCCATGCAAAATCCCATCTCTACTCTCCGGCGAGCCCGCGAGCTTGGTCTCGCACCGACCTTTCCTTCCGATGACGATGCAACAATTGTTCGGTTTGGACTCCGCCTCTTCTACTCGTATTGGGCCCTCAAAGAAGCATACCTCAAAATGACCGGGGACGCCCTCCTAGCAGAATGGGTGCGGGAGTTGGAATTTACAAACGTCATTCCGCCGGGCCCAGTGGATCCGTTGGTCGCACCCAAGCCATATGGTCCCTCCCAGGGCCCACATCACACACCCCAGTCACCCAAAAACTGGGGTTCACCGTACACAGAAGTTGAGGTCTCCAGAGATGGTGAGCGGATAGAAGATGTACGTCTTCAGCTCCAGGCGTTCGAGTCTGACTACATCGTCGCCACTGCTGGCCGCGGATCCCCAGTTGGTCCCATATCTCCAGACTGTGAAAACGGCGATGAACATCACCTACTTAGCCATCATCGAGTGCTCGCCCCTGGATGTGAACCCGAAGAAAGCCGCATTCCCATTGGCACTAAGCTGATCGTGGGCGACTTGGATCCGTGGAACTTCCACTCTGATATTGTTGATCCGTGGCTCCCGATGCAGGAGGTCGATATTGAACATGACATTCGGGCTTGCGCCGAGGGACGCTGTTCCCATTGATGAGACAACGGAAATAACCAAGCATTGGTCCGGCACATGACAATGTGTCAACAATGGCTATTGGAACATAGCTATCTTTATTGGCGGTGTCTCTGCTAGCCACTTGATTTGTTCATGAACACTATCACACATTCGCATTTGCATTCGCATATATTCACGAGAAACCATGAGCGTTTATATGACTACTTCGTATTTCTAAGCGTCCTAGACATTAGGTCTCGGATATATCATGACCCCACAATAACTACATAGTCAGCAATAAGGTACCCACACCACGACATTAGCAGTCCCCTTTTCCACATTGTGCTTGGCCTCGGAGTCGGCATCCTCACGAATCTCCCCCTCGTCTGTTGCCTTTATAGGCTTCAGTTTGTCGGGGTCTTTCTCTGGAATTGTAAATTTCAACATGGCAAACTCTAGAGGAGCAAAAAAGTGTCGAACAGCCGTTTACGAAGGCCAAGCAAGTTTGGTGATCATCAATGTGAACAATTATGCTTCTGACAATCCGCCAGGTTTAATCTGGCGTCACCAGCCTCAGTCTCATCATTGTCAATGAGTCGCCCAACCCCGGCGGTGTAACGGTCCAGATAAAGTTTCATGTGCTCCTCGCAGGTTGACGCGAACTCTGCACATCACTCCTCGACGTAGTGTTTCTTGTCTCCAGTAGGTATAATGTGGTGGTTTAGCGCCTCCTGATCCTTGGGGTCTCTGGCGCTGGACTCTATGAGACAGATTCAGGAAAAAGCGGGCATGGACAGCAACAAGGTCATGACATTTGTTCATAATAAGAATATATACATTGCGGGGAGAGTGAAGGGGTTAGGGCAGGATGGGAAATGCCAATGGAATAGTGTAAAAGTGGAAGGTGGATTAAAACCCCGAAAAATGGGGCATGTGCCAAGAGCGGAAACAAAAGGATAGCCAGTCCACCAATGAAGCCAAAAGGCACTATAGGACCCCGGTGGCTTGTTCCTCTGTAGGAGCAGCCTGCAGGAGGGAGTAGTGTCCTTCTTCTATGTGTAACGCTCTGCAATGGGAATAAACAGTATGCACCGAACAGGAATAGGGGATGCAGTGGCACGAATTGAAGCGACGTCTGCCATAGTGAAACTGGCAAGACCAACGTGTCGGTCTTTGGTCGTTTTAACTGGGAGCATCGGGGGTCTTGCTCCATGACTGCGACTAAGAATATGTTGAGAGCGTGTATATATCTATCAAATCTCAACGGCAGTCGAGACGCCGTTAGCCCGCGAGAACTCAACCATGTTGGCCTCGCGTGTCATGCTCATGATAGTCTTGAGCATGGAGGCGCGAGTCGACTGGGTAAGCTGATCCACATCGGCTGGAGTCAAGTCTTTGGTGATGATAGGAGGCAGGACTACGTGTGACTTATGTTAACGAGGAACAACAAAGAGAATTTCTGCAAACTGACCCTTGACTTTGATAGATCCGGCATTGAAGCGCAGGTTACGAGGTGACATGATGTGAGAATAGTTCTCAGTCACCACCGGAACAATAGGCACGCCAGCCTTGACAGCCAAATGGAATGCACCCTTCTTGAACGGCAGGAGCATAGGCTCATCAGAGTAACTCCGTGTGCCCTCGGGGAAGATGAACACGCTCTGGCGGTAAGTGCGCATCTCTTCCACGGCACCATCAAAGGCCTTCATTGCATTCTCGCGGTTGGCACGATCAATAAAGACAGTCCGCGAGAGAGCCATGAACCAGCCCAGGAATGGCACATTGCGCAACGACTTCTTCGCGGTGACACTGCAGTAGGGCGGGAAAATAGCACCCAGCATAAGAACATCCAGCTCGGTCTGGTGATTGCCAATGAAAATAGCCGGCCGAGTGGTAAGGTGCTCCTCACCCTCAATGATATCGAACTTAACACCAGTGGTATACCGCATCACCCATTTAAAGCTGCGGGCGGTAGCCCATTGCGAGATACGGCCGTAACCAACGAGGCGGAGGATGATCGAGGCAATAACGCCGTAAGTCGCGCACAGAAGCAGAGACCCATAGGCGGCGAGACAGCGGGCAACAAATGCAGCGCGGGGCACCTTCTGGCCAAGAGCGAATAGTGACAGCGTCACCACCACGAACGAGCTGATGCCCGACAGGATATAGGAACTGATCGACATGGCGGTGGGATCGGTCAAGACTGTTGTGTTGGGAAAAGGTTGAGTTAGCCGTTGGGCAAGAAGGCGAGGGGACCGCAGGGGAGGGGGTTCGTGGCTCACCGGAACGTTGACGGCCACAGCCTGCTGAAGGAATGCGCAAGAGATCGAGAAGAGCGGTAATCTCAGAGAGCGAGGGCCATGTTGTGGGACTGCGGAGGTGAAGCTGCTTTTTTTGCCTGTGGCCGACTCACCGCCAGCTGACAGCGGCAGATGACGGCATCACGCAGGCAAGCCGCGAATGAGAGTGGGGAGATTCGTGGAATGTTGAACTAGTGAAACTGTCGGGAAAACAGTAGTGACTGAGTTTAATTTCTATAGAGAAACGATTTCTTCTACAAGATGCCTGTGGGAACAGGTGGGACATACTTCGTACCTAGACGTACCATCCATAAGTGAGAAATATTTGGCCTACCGGGCTCGCCAGATAGCTCGAGATTGAACCTAGTATAGCTGACCGGTAGAGCGCTGTAAAAGATGGAAAATGTTGGGACACTCTCAATCACTCGTTCGTAATGATGGATTATGCTATGCCTTATCGGTTCATCGTCATGATGCCCAACCCTCAACATTAATGTACAAAACACCATGCCTGATGCCTGATGTCTAGAATCGACCTGGAAAAAAACAACTCCCCAGTGATGCTGTGCAGAAAAATGGAAAGAGGAAAAAGAGGCCCTGAAACGCCGAGCTCATAACGTAAGACGGTATCCCCCCAAAGCATGTGTAGAGGCCATGAGAGAGACCTGGGAAGCATCACAGATCTATCATGCAATGTCGTCATCCTCCATGTCATCGTCATCCAAGGACTCCATCGCGTCTTTGATGAACTGTGCAGCCTGTGGGGAAAGGAATTCCATTAGTTAACCCAATCTATCTCGTGTGTAGCAGGGAAGAAATAGTTTACCTTTGGATCCAAGTTCAAGGCGGTGGTGAAGTGCTTGATAGCGTTGCCCTTGTCGTGGAGCATTTTGTACAGTTTGCCCAGCAGGTAGTGTACGTTGGCCTCGTCGGGAGCCATGTCTTTGAGGACCTTCAGCTCTGCCAAGGCGAATTTGAAATCATGCATTTTCATTAGGACGCGGGCCTTGCGGAAACGGGCCAGCACGGAGTGTGGTGCGAGTGAGCAGGCGCGCTCGTAGTGGACTAGGGCATTCTTCGGATTGTTCATCTTCTCCAAGACCAAGCCAATGCAGCAAATGAGGACTGCGTTGGTCGGGTTGATAGTACCTGCATTGCGGAAGTGCTGCTCGGCAAATTCGAGCTTGCCCATCTTATCGTACACCGTTCCCAGTCCATACCAGGCATTGTAGTGGCGATTATCTGCATTTATACCGTGACGATAGGCGTCGAGAGCCTTGTCGTATTCTTCATTGGCAACGTACTCGTGGCCTTGGAGTGTGAATGCATAGGCAAATTCGGGATCAAGCATAGTTGCGCGTTTAAAGCATTTCAAGGCCTGATCGTGATCTCGCTGGTGGGAGAATGAGTTGCCGATGGCACACCAAGCCTGAGGTGAGAGTCGATCAGCTTCCAGCAACTGATGTGCTAAGTAGGCCAACTCTACGTCATTCTTCAGGTGCCAAAGAACAGTCGAGTAGATTTCCATATCTTCAATACGAGAGGGTGCCAAGGTTTGGACCCGGGAGAAGTATTTGGCGGCTTCTCCATACATCGCCTGTTCAAAGTAGGCCCGGCCAAGCTGAGCCAAGACCCAAGGGGTCTCTCGTTGGCCCTGGGAAAGAGAATTGAAATGTTGGATAGCATCGGGGCATTTGTAACGACTCAATGCGCTGTATCCAGATGCAAGCTTTGTAAAGAGTCCCAAAAGCCAACTCAAGGCCTCGAGCTCTTTGGATCTTTCGGCATTCTTAGGAAGGGGGGGGAACACCGGAGGCGGAGGGAATAGATGTAGCACGAGGCTCTTTGCCATCATTGTCCGTTGACTCGAAAGGCTTGCGATTGCCGCTCACCACACGACCCATGGTCGACGTTGTGGCAGGACGGCCCTTGGCGTGTGCACTTCGTACTTTCTTCACTTCGCGGCCATCGCGACCGGTTAGTGCTGAGCTGGAAAGCTTGCTAGTGGTGGGTTTGATCTGATTAAAGAGTCTGACGCTGCGACGCTGGGGGGCACCAGGCTCAGTCGGCTGGGGAGGAAGAGGGTGGGCAACCTGGCCCGAAACAGTGCGTTTGCGATCACCAATTCGTGGCGCAGGTGGAGGTTCCCTGTCTGCCGGGCCAACAGGTGGTTCCTCAAATTCTGTTCGAGTTTTAGTTCGAGGTCGAATACCAGTTGGTCGCATTTTAGGAGGGGCTTGTCCCGTGTGATCCAGGCTCATTGTCTGAATCGTGCGATTCTTTCTTGCTGGTGCGAATGGTGGCTCCCAAGCAGAGCCTGGGTCTGTGACGCCATTCGCGATGCGGAATTCTTCTGAGCCACTGCTCTGACTACTAGGCGTCTCCATTCCCTCATGAATGACCGGCGGCGGTACCGATGCTACACTGACGGAACTTCCATTGAACTTCTCCCAGAGAGCCGAGCTCCCGTAGGTCGCATCGACTTCGCCACGCGTGGCAGAGACCATGAACGGATCCCCTCCAGAATTTCCGGTGGTTTGTGCAGAAAAAGCTCCTTCGGTTGGTGATAAATGACCTGACACCGAGTCCACATCGTCGGGGGAGGCTGAGATAATGGCGAGGAGTTCGGGACTGAGTTGGTAGATATTAGGGACTCGGATGTTGACGCCTGAATGTGAGTTAGTCTCGGACCGTCTGATTTCACATTCACTCTCAAAATGAGGGGACTCACCCGTCGCGCACAGCCCCAGGAACGCATCCCACATGAACGGGTTCAACTTCAACGAATCCACATAGCAATCTACTGCCTTGTTCAAGTCCTTATGAGCTTGCCAGAGCTTTCCAAGCAGGCAGTATACTGCTGCTGCATCCGGGAGGTGCTGTCGAGAGGTTTCGCTGTGCTTATCTGTAGCGTAATTGTAAGATAAAAATCGGATGAAGCCAGCCACTGCAGGAATAGACCTACTCCAGTGATTCTTGGACCCCCAGAGCGACTTGCTGCGCTCCAAAGCCGTCACCCCATCCAGGTATTTACCAAGATCCAAACAGGCCTGGGCATAAACGTAAGCGCAGCCAACATGCAGGCCACGCGACCCTGAACCCTGGCTACACTCCAACGCGGCCTTGACTTCTCCATTTTGTAGATGACAGAGAGCAAGTAGGTATTGAGCTTCGAAGGACCGCGGTTCGTAGGCATGGAGGCGACCGGCGAGGAAGAGGGCATTGCGAATGAGGTTGTTATCGAGGTGGTAGTAGACAAGGTGCCTCAGCTGGCTAGCCACATGGCCGGTGGAAAGCGCCATGGTGGCGCGCGGGGAGATGAACGCGATGTTGTTGTAAGCACCAAATGAAAGGTAATTATCAACACACACCACCCATTAGCGTCGCGTGAAGCCCGTGGGACCCGACTAAAGCAGATCTGGAAGGAGGGATCGTCTGATCTCGACTGGGAAGTAAGAAGATGCGGGAGGAGGGTGGAATGTAAACTGAGGCCGGATGCGGTAGGTGGCAAGGAGAATGGAGTCACGCAAAGGACCAGTTTTTACATGCTCTGTCCAGTCAGGCAAGCCCTCACTGTCGCAGGGTCATCGTGCAAGTCCTGGGGAGACAAGGTTGGGGAAAGTCGCGCGTGCAAAGCAGCAGTTCATGCCGGCTCCTCTTATTTTGGTTGCATTCGCTCAGCGGAGGTGGTAGATTCTGCCGGGCGGTGAGTGTTGTAGTGGGCAACAATCGTCGCCGCTTTCTTTGAACATGCCATTGAAAGCAACTTTGTCAGTCTCTTCTAACGTTCCTTGCGAATGACTTTTGAAAGATTTCAACAATGAATCAATCCTCCTTATCATTCTGACTCCTTTCTTCTCGGCATATCACGGCCGACTGTATGTAAATCTAGTTCTTGCATACTATACTTTAAGGTATGGACCAAACCATGTCCGAACTGATGGCAAATATTTATTCACAGCTATAGAATGCGGATCTATTATGTATGAGGATCTGTCTTGTTTGGTGATAACCAGGCGACCCATGGATTATACGTGGCAATGTGCATCATTTGGAGATTTCATATTCTTGTCTTGATATATGTATTCCTCTTTCACTAGTGCGTGCGAAGTTAGGAACTAGGGGGCTGTAATTTAAAGACAATTAAATGTTTACCTCAAAATAGTCTCCTACCGAGCTAAAAGATAGAAATTAGGAGTAATTTACCCAATTACCCGCCTAGCAGTGTATATGCGCAGTTGCACATAGTTCCAAAGCGGAGTCGAAGGCGGTCACAACGAACACATGGGGATGCTGCGCTGGGCCGCTTGGTGCCGTACCAGATCAATCGGAGGAGACCACCTCCGCATCCCACGTCTTTCCCCCTCCTTCGTTCTTCCCCAAGGCACCGAGCTGTTTGCCAGACCGCGTCGCGAATCTGCCTTGAACGGATTGGTTGTGGCATCAACGTCTGAGTGTTCGACTATCTATTCTTGGAACTCGTCCGGCGACGTCCCCAGTTCTTCTTCAACATGGCCCAGGTAAGCTCCAACCACGCCACGGTGGCCCACACCAGCTAGCATTCCACTTCCAAGAGATCTAATACCCTCCCAGAAAGCAGCCAAAACTCTGGCAACCCGCAATGCCGCCGTGCTCAACCGCACACACCTTATCACTGCAGCTCTCCATCTGCTCTTCCTCATCCTCCATTTCACCTTCCAACGGCCCCGCTCCCTAAAGCCATACGTGTTCCTTGCAGTGCCAACTCTAGGCATAGAGTTCTACCTGGACCGCGTGGGTCGCCCGCGCTACGGCGAGGATGGCTCGCTGCGGTCTGCGGGCGAGGATCTTAACGCTACCGGCCTGACCGAGTACATGTGGGACGTGCTGTATTGGACAGAGGGGTGCATTGTCGCCGTTTGTATCTTCAATGACCGGGCCTGGTGGCTGTGGGCCGTTGTGCCGGTTTACTCAATCTATCTGGTGTATACGACTGTGATGGGTGTGAAAAAGGGCTTTGCCGGCATGGGCGGTGGCGCGGAGGGTGCGGATCCCCAGGCGCAGATGAGCAAGACGCAGATGAAGAAGGAGAAGAAGGGGGATCGGGTGAAGTATCGGAGTCGGTAAATGCACTGAGGCGGGAAACTGTATTCTTGAAAGAGATGGCATTTCTAGACATTTGGCCGGGGTACAGCCTGTTCATACCGATTGGGACTCATGCAAGGCCTAGGCTAGGTCCGGCCTTCCCAAGCAGCTTGTTATGCGGAAAAGCCGGCTTCTGAACAAAATCTGGGTTTGGAGATACTAAGGTTGAGCCTCGACGCCACGTTCTAAAACATCTGTGGTGCGAGACTCAAGCTTCGAAATACGGAGGACCCAATGCAAAATATCCAGAACCCGCAGTTCATTATGTACTCATATTACACCGCTGGTTGATTCAAAGCAAAAACCTCCAGGAGAGACCGCATAGTCGGGCAGAATGAGAAGCCGAAAGAGGGGGAAAAAAACATTGTTCAGTGTGCAACTTGCAGGTCATGAGCATATCGCCGTCATAAGAAACTATATGGGGAATAAAGCATCGAGAAACCGGGCCCCACATGCTGCTGGCATGCCTCTGTAGGAGGCCCAGTCTCAGAGCGACACATTCAACAAAAAGAGTGGTTGTAACACATGGTGAAAGGGAAAGAAACATCAGAAAGTGATATAAGAGAGACAGGGACAAGTTCGTTTAGAGTTCATCCTTAGACGTGAATGAGTCGTCAGCCTTGATGCTGCTGGTTACCTCGTCGAAGTGGGATGCAGCTGTCTCGGCGGCTCTAGAGGCAACGCTGCTCGCGCTGGAGGCGAGATCGGCGAGTTGCGCGTGAGCACTCTCGACAGCGGCGGCAAGGCGGCTGGTGGCGCTCTCCACGGCACCCACCTCCTCTCCATAGACTGCGGCACTGGCCTTTGACTGGATTTGCTCGATGTTGTTCTTGGCAATATCGATATAACTAGACTCCTTCCCATAGACAGCACCGCTAATCTGTGCGGAAGCGGTCGAGTAAGCCTCGGCTGCCGCATCAGTGGCCTGCTCGTAGCGTCCCTTGGAGGTGCCATAGATGCCGACGCTGGCAGCCTCAACGGCGGCGTGGAGTTGATCATTTGCCTGCTGCACAATCTCCTCAACGCTAGGAACCTCAGAGACATAAGCGCCAGCAGCTGAAGAGGCGCTCCCGTAGGCTTCGTTGACGTAGCTCGAGGCTGCGGACACTGCGGCAGCGGGGTAGGGTGTTTCGTAGGCAACACGAAGCTTGCTCAGCACACTCTCAGTGAATGACGGCTGCTTGCCAACAAGCAACTCAGAGACAATTGCGTTGACAGCGTCAAGCTGAGGTACACGGTCGTGGACCACCTGCTGCAGGTAGGGCGCCGGAGTTCCGTAAATTCGCTCACTGGCCTTGGAAACGAGGATTTGCCAATTCTCAGAAGCCTGGCTGGCGAGGGTCTGCAAGGGAGGTGTCGTTCCGTAGATTGCGGAGCTAGCAGAGGCAGAAGCAATGGAAAGGGTAAGGGAAGCGGCAGAGAGGGCGTCATGATATCTAGACGAAGCATCATCAATAATGCTCTGGGCTTTTCCATCATCCGCCGCTGAGATCATAGAGCTTGCCGAGGCGACGACAGCGGCGAGACTAGCAGAAGCGTGGGAAGAAGCCTGCACGTACTGCGAGCCCGCCTGTTCGATAATATTCTGGAAGCCCAAAGGTGCCGGCGTGGGCGTTGGTGTACCATAAACCGCCTCCGATGCGGTGGAGACAAAGGCAGTGTAGTGATCATGAGCGAGACCAACAGCCTCATAGTAGCGGCGCTGAGCATCAAGCACAAAAGGCTGCAACCCAGCGGAGGTTGTCGCCGGAACTGTATGGAGAGCGAGCAGCTCCGATGCCATACTGAGGCCCTCACTCAGGCGCGACGATGCCACCGAGGAGATGTGAGCCAAGGGTCCAGCAGAAGTGGGCGTAGCCTTGACAGCGCCAATCCGCGCCTCAAACTCCTCAGTGGCGTACTTCACAGCGCCAGAGTAGGCGGACTCAATGGAAGACAGGACCTGGGCGTGAGCAGGAGCACTGGACTGAGCCATCTGACCCATTACTTGGGACTTTGCAATCTCATAGAGAACCTTGGCCTGGGAGGTCGAGTCTGCAAAAGCAGAGCTTGCCTCGGAGTAGTAATCTCCGGCTTTGTTAGCCAAGCTCTGAGGGGTATTGTGCTCATCCTCATCAAAAATGGGTTCTTGCTGGGAGTTCACAGTGGCAGCAGCGACACCGAAAGCAGGCTTGGCAGTGTACCTCTCGTCTTCGAAGATAGCATCTGAAACAGGCTCGTCCTCGTATTCAGACTCGACTATGGTTTCGGACTCAATCTGCTCCTCACCCTCATCGGAAAAATCCCCGCCAGGACTTGAGGTAGCTTCTTCAACGACCTCATCGTTATCGCTGCTCGCTTCATTCTCCCCAGTCTCCTGGACAGGCTTTGGTGGCTGTGGCGGAGGTTCAGCACGGCTATCGAAGTTGTCACTCACTTCACGAGCGGCAATCTTCCAGTGGCCCACATCCTTCAGTCTGACAAGTTCTTTGGCGGTGTCCTCGGCTATCTCCATGCCGCGGTCCAAAAGAGCAGTAGCCACAGACTTCGCCTTCGCGATCGACTTGTGGGTCATGCCAATCTTGCGAATTTCATTGCGCCAGTCATCAATCTGGACCTTGAGTGCATGGTATCTAGCCCAGTCCTTATAAGTCACATCGTCCATCCAAGCCCACCGCGTACCAATTTCCTGCAAGCCTAGATCGCGGATGCTGTCCAGCACGTTCAGGGTCGAGTTGATGGCGGCAGATACCCGGCGGACCAGTTCATCATCGAAGGATAGAGACCAGGCCCGGAGAGCATGGGCACGATCTCTTACCAAAATGGCAGACGTGCGAATCTCATCGACCAGCTTTTTGCGGGACGCCTCCTCAGCCTCAGGAGCATCTTCCTCAGGCAAGGTCTCTGCAAGCTCATTGATTCGCTGCTTGATGGAGGAGACCTGCTCAGTCGAAACTGCCTGAAGGGCAGTTGAGAGACTCTGACCGTGGCTTTTAGCGCTGCTCGCGACGAGAGCGGACACGATTTCCTCGATACGTTCTTCGAGATCTTCAATTCCTTTGTCAGCTGCAACAGCAAACTTGTCCTGCCACCTCTGGAGGTCGGAGCTGATTCGGGCACGGGCTTGTTTGGATTGTTCCTCAGCCGACAGTGTGGGCTTTACAGCGGGAGTCTCGGTAATCGAAGTTGTAGTCGTGCTTGCGGAAGTACGGGGCTCAACCTTTGCAGTTGAGACCGTCGAGGAGACAGTCTGTTCAGATGACGAACTACCATGCAACGTCAGCCAGATGCAATCGATCCGCGAAGGGTAAGTGTATCCATACCTGTCCATGTCTTCAACTACAGCGCGTAACCGTTTACCTTCTCGATAGCTGGCTAGGCGCTGGCCAATCTTGACTAGCTGAGGCTCGACCTGTTCCGAGTAGAGTCCTGTTACATGGGGCCATAACGAACTGTTCGCAAAGTAAACCACCGACGACCAGGTATAGCGTGCGCCAGGCATAACATGGGTAGTCAGAATATCTTGGCCTGTGCTGTAAGTCTTGCCAATAAAGGGCTGGGACCGAGTGTAGAAAGGGACTAAATGGTTCCAGTAGACAGCCAGCGCCGCACCATTGGCCTTCTGGTAGTAAGGCGATACCACGGCAACACCTTGTTGCACATATGGGTCAACCTGGGCTAGGTACAATTGGTGGACTTGGTCTTGAGCAGCTTCCAGACGCGGTGTCACTTGGGCTGTCCATTGCGCCGTACTAAAGGCCTGCGCTTGTTGCCATGCTGGGGCGCCGTACTTGTCGTAGCCGGTTTTGGCAACCTTTAGTGCCGGTGTGTAAACTCGCTGGTTGAACACTTCCACGTACGGGCGTGCCTGATCAACATAAGGGGCAGCATATGTATCATAGTAGGGAGCCACATGTGGTTCCACGTGCGAGCGAGCAATCAGGTAAGGCTTGCAGACCTTCGGAGAGCTCTCGTTCAATTCCTCTAGGCGTGATGGGCATCGCAGAAATGGCGTAAGTAGAGTATACCAAATGCATAACCTGAAAGATGTCGCGAGTTAGCCATATTTAATATTTCCTGCTCCACAAAAGCGTCTCTAAGAGGCCAAAACGCAGCTGTCGACAGAATGTTCGACGAGAAGATTGAATGGCAACTTACCGTAACACCAACCCTAGTGTCCATCGCAGGGGACTCCTTGTCCGAGTCTTTCTACTTTTCTCATCCCTCCCCTGGAGCCCGTTGGGCTTGTTGATCGCCAACCCTGTCGACACATAGCCATTCTCTTTCGCTGCCATCCTGGCTGCCGTTGGCGGCGGGCCGACCCTTGTGGGAAAAAAAGTCGCGAGCGCGAACTTCCACGTCGCGCTGGTGTTGACTTGGCGGGATTTCCGTAAATATTGAATAGGCAGCTATTGTATCATCGGGTCAGCGTGTGCTAGACACCGGTTGTCTTAGGTGCTCGCAGTTGATGTGGGAGCTTTGGTGAAGAACGTTGGAGCTGGTAGGTAGCCGGAAATGCTCGCGTTAGCTTGGCGCTAGGGGATATTCACGGGCCGCGGGCCAGAGCGCACAGAATGATGAGATGATTCCGAGGTAGATGGAGAGCTTTAAATGATTGAGCAGCGCCCACACCGGATTTAAAAAAAAACCTCCTCAGGAACGGACCTGAACACCTGAGAGGAAGACTGGAAGACTGGAGGATTGGGTTTCGATGTCCCGGATGGAGCGTAGTGTTTGGTCTCTGGGGACCAGTGAGGTCATCGGTGGCACCCGAGCAGAACCTGGCAATACGGCCCCGTACGGCAGTACGCGGTGTCGCCCCGCCTGTAGCGCGTATTAATTATGGTGAATCCGTAAACTGATACAAGATGAGTCAGCCTCATTGGGAACCCGTAGCTGCCACAAAGTGGGAAGGCCTACCTAGACCGCCACGGTTGACGATTTGATGAACGATCGAACGATCGACTATCGGTAGGCTACGCTGTCCTCGGTAGGTCCTTCTGCGCCTGGGTGAGACACGTAATTGACCGGGCTGACCCGTGGGAACTTCACCAGCTCCATCACGACCTCCCATTGACAACCGCCCGCCCCCAAAGTGTCCATATATCGACTCGACCGCGGTGGGCTTTGGCTATCGTTGATGGTAGTGAGGGTACGATGAAGAGTTGATAAGTGGCCGTGCTGCTCGGCGATTCCACACGACCTTACTTACGACCCACGATGGACTTTGCGGCACACTCCTCTCGCGACCTTGCGGGCATGTCCTCCTTTCCCGACTTGATGAACGACCCAGCTTTCGACGGGCGAGAAGGATGGACTGAAGACATGGATACTTGCCGAATCTGCCACGGAGAAGCGACGGAGGAGGAGCCGCTTTTTTACCCTTGCAAGTGCAGTGGTAGCATCAAGTTCGTTCACCAAAGCTGCTTGGTGGAGTGGCTGTCCCACTCGCAGAAGAAGCATTGCGAGCTCTGCAAAACACCCTTTCGCTTTACGAAACTATATGATCCAAACATGCCCCAAAGCCTCCCGACTCCGTTATTTCTCCAACAAGCCATTATTCAAACAGTTCGAACCCTGGTGACCTGGCTGCGCTTTGTTCTCGTCGCATTTGTGTGGTTGGGTTGGCTGCCATGGTCAATGCGCGCAATTTGGAGGGCGCTTTTCTGGCTCGCTGACGGCCGTTGGTCGACCGGTGGGACTGTCCAGCAACGAGGCGCACAAGCTGTTCAGAATGGTGTTGCGCAATGGGCTGTCAACGGCACAGCGGCCACCACTGCCGCGCTCAGCTCGATGACCTTGGGGGGTTCGAGTACCGCCTACTCCTCGGCCATTCCTGGGCCCTCGGCGCAAGCCTCAGCCCTCAGTTTCCCAGCTGGTGATCCGCTCATGCTTACATTCATCAAGAAAATTATCCCTAGCCTATTCATTCCTGCATTGTCACCAAGTGCCGGCCAAAATGGCTCTCATGCAAACGGCCATACTGGCTCGGCCAAACCGCGATACCCATCATGGCTCTCCGATGTCAAATTCCTAAATACGTTGACGCCTTACCCGACGATCAACAATATGATCATTGATACTTTGGAGGGCCAACTCATCACTTTACTTGTGGTCGTTGCTTTCATTCTTCTTTTCTTGATTCGAGAATGGGTTGTCCAGCAGCAGCCCATGGCCAACATTGCGGAGGGAGAGCGTGAGGCAGCGCTGGAGTTGATTGCCAATAATCGACCAAACGAGCAGGAGCAGGGACTGCGTCCAGATTTTGCTCCCCCTCGTCCTCATGTGGATGTTCAGCCTGAAGCCGATGCACCCGCTGAGCAAGAAAATGATGTGCCTCCTCGCTCTGCCAATCATTCACCGGCACCCTCCTGGACTGATTCTGATGATGGTCTCCCTGTGTATGATAGACAGGCAGGGTTGCGGGATGATACTTCCGCGAGGAATTTGTTTCAGAATAATTCTGAGATGGACGGGGGGCCCCCAGAACGTCAATCGGGGAACACTCCTCAACACTCCGAAATGGCGTTCTTCCAAGACATCATGGAACGTGCCAATGGTGATCGGGATGAGGTCTTGCGAATCATTCGAGAGGAAGGCCATGAAGAGGAACTACGCTGGATTGTCGATGCACTTAGCAGGGCGCCGCTCGATCAACCACTTCCTGACCCTTCGACTCGCACAGCGCGCCTTTTTCCTATAGAGTCCTCTCAGTCATCTCATGGCTATGGCACAATGACCCCAGATAGTGAAAATGCTGATGCGCAACCACAGTCTGATCAGCCAGCCACAGGACAGGACGCCAATTATGAACCATCTTCAAGAGAAGATGAGGTGATTGCGAGGATTCCAGCTGATCATCAGCCTCCAAAGAACGTGGGTGACCGCCTGATCGATTGGTTCTGGGGGGACATCACTCCTGATGACCGTGATCACGGAGACCAACTTCTAGAGGACGACGAGCAGATCATTCAAGACCGGGCATTGGAAGACCCCTTTGTCCCTGTGCTAAACCGGCTGGAGGAGCGCCCAGCCAATGGAGGGGTGATGGCCGAAGCTGCAGCTGATGGGGCGCTGGAGGGCAATGACATGGATGCAATTGAAGGCGATGACTTTGAGGGAATCATGGATCTCATCGGCATGCAAGGTCCCATCTTTGGACTTTTGCAGAACGGTGTGTTCTGTGCGCTCCTAATTGCCTTTACTGTCGCTATTGGCATCTGGCTTCCCTACTTATGGGGCAAGATCGCTCTTGTTCTCCTGGCCAATCCTTTTGAGCTAATAGTTGGTGTTCCTATGACTGCGCTCACTGTTGTCGCAGACGTTGCCCTTGACACTCTCATTGGCGTTGTAGGCTACGTTATGTACTGGCTGAGCTTTATTTTCAAGGTTCTCCTCAGTCCATTCGGTGCTCTTGTCCCTACCGTCGAATGGGGTTTCCGAGGCAAATCAATCACCAGCACGTCGCTCTCCCTTATCGATAAAAGCACGGACCGGTTGAACAAGGTTGTTAAAGCGTTCCTGGTATTCCATGAGTCCGATATCCCCATGTTCTCGGTGCTTTCACACCAGGCTCTCAGGCTGCACCAAGCCCGTGTTATGACTCTACTACGGTCCATATTTGCCATTATCAAATTCGTTCTACACGACTTCCCCCTTCGCCTGGTCACCCTCGGGATCCCGGGAGCTTTGTCCTTTGATCTCGACTTCTCCCAGCTAAAGAACGCCACAGTTCAAGTACAGCAGCACATCAGCAACTTCACAAAGTCATCGATGTTCGCCAGCTCTGGGACACAATTGATGAATGCAAGCACCATCCGGACAGCCTCCGCAAATGTACCCGTTGACTATGAACTGGCTGTGTGGGATACGAAAGATCGTGTCATTGCCATTGCGATGGGATATCTGCTGGCAACGATGATCGGTTTCCTGTACCTGCGTATCACCGGACTACTCGCTGGGGCCAATCGCGGCCAACGGATTGAAGGGGTCGTGGCCGAGGTGCTTCTCCAGGCCGGTGGAGTCATGAAGGTCATTCTCATCATCGGCATTGAAATGATCGTCTTTCCTCTCTACTGTGGTACCCTACTGGACGTTGCCCTGCTTCCTCTGTTTTCCAACGCGACAATAGCCTCGCGGATCGCCTTCACCATTGGGTCTCCACTGACATCTCTTTTCGTACACTGGTTCATCGGCACCTGTTATATGTTCCATTTTGCCCTGTTTGTGTCCATGTGTCGAAAAATATTGAGGAGCGGTGTTCTCTGTAAGTCCTGCTATATTCTACCACACATTTCATTATCACTCATCGCTGACTGAGAAGATTTTATCCGTGATCCGGATGACCCGACTTTCCATCCAATCCGCGACGTTCTCGAGCGTAGCATTACTACTCAGCTCCGGAAGATCGCGTTTAGTGCACTTGTGTATGGTGCACTGGTCATTGTCTGCCTGGGTGGCGTGGTATGGGGCTTGTTTTACGCATTCGATGGTGTTCTTCCCATCCATTGGTCGGCTAGTGCCCCTATGCTCGAATTCCCGGTGGATCTGCTATTCTACAATTTCGTGATGCCGTTAGCTATCCAGTCCGTCAAACCTTCAGATGGGCTGCATGACCTGTACGACTGGTGGTTCCACAAGTGTGCGCACTTCCTACGCTTGAGCAACTTTTTTTCCCCGAAAGACACCCAGAAGAAGAAGGGCGCCATGTTCGACGATCCTGGTGGAGTCTACTTTCTGGGAGCAAGGGTGACTGGGAACACCCGGTAATCGGAGAGGAAGAGCAGGCTGCCGCAGAGAAAGAAGCCCGTGACGTGTATTTCCTGCGGGATGGCCGGTATGTCCGCGCCCCTGCCTCCGATCAGGTTCGCATCCCGAAGGGCACGCAGGTGTTCTTGGACGTGACTGAGGACAATGAACGTGTTGATGGAATGCCCGATCCGGACAATGGGCTCCATGGCCGTACCAGCACTTCATTCGCCAAGATCTACATTCCACCGCACTTCCGGACTCGCATCGCTGCCTTTATCTTGCTCATCTGGCTGTTTGCCGCCACCACTGGGGTAGGCATCACTGTTGTGCCGCTCGTCATTGGGCGCAAGATCACCTCCATTTGCTTCTCCAGCCCAGTTCCTGTGAATGACATCTACGCCTTCTCCAGCGGCCTTTGCGCGGTCGGTGCTCTGTCCTACATGGTATACTACTGCCGGGCAGCCGTTCAATTCCTGCGCGAAAACCGGGCAACGTACGTGCAATCCCCGCGCGAGCTGGGTCTGCTTTTTGCCAGCCTTGCACTCGGTGCAGCCCGAATAGTGTACATTTCGACTGCCCTGGTAGTCCTGCTCCCGTCTCTCTTCGCACTGCTTACCGAGTTGTACATCCTCATCCCGGCGCATACCTTCATCGGCGATGGACAGTCTCACATCGTACATGTTGTCCAAGACTGGACGCTGGGAGTGCTGTACGTACAGATGGCCATCAAGCTCACTTTGTGGCACCCCAACTCCTGGCCAGCGGCCGTGCTGAACGGCATCTTCCGCGATGGCTGGTTCAAACCGAATGTCCAACTGGCGACGCGGGCCTTGATTCTGCCGCTAGTCCTCTTCACCGCCGCGGCAGTAGCCGCCCCACTATCATTAGGTGGCGTGCTGTGGTGGACACTCTTCTATACGCGTGTTGAGGCGCAGCCGGCCATCTATCGCTATGCCTACCCAGCAACTTTGCTGTTCGTGTTGACCGCGTGGACTGTAAACCTGGCCCTGCGGCGGGTGGCGATCTGGCGTATCAACATCCGCGACGATGTTTATCTGATCGGCGAGCGGCTCCATAATTTCAGCGAGAAGCGGGCGCGAGACGTCGGTGTGTCGCGGCGGGTGATTACGGGCTGATGACAAGGAAGCGATGCGAAGGCGGGGTACACGAAGCTTTAATGAGGGTTTCAAGGCCAATTGCGCCAGACGAATGCAGGCTTCGTAGCAGTGTAAGGGGGGTTGATGATGGTTAATATCGCTTGCCCCTTCCCCTTTCTCCTGTACATATACGGCGCATGCATTGAATATTCCTGCATGGATCATAGTTCCCTTTTAGTGCTAGGTAATGTTTTCCCGAGGTACTGAATACTTTCTAATACCTGTCAATACGTACCACCCATCCGTGTATTTCGTCGCCCTCCTATACCATCTTCCCGCAGCAACTACCCCGTGGCACTCTCGGCTCCTAATGCTGCTGCCTGAGGCCCGTATTGGTATTCTGGTAATCTATCCAAAATAACCAAATTTAGATGCCTGCCACGTGATCCACACCGCAGGTGGTCCGCCACGCTGATTGGTTAGGCAACAGGATTCTCTCCATTTTCCCGCGATGGTCGGATGGTCTATCGGCCTTCATCGCCGTCGACCAGGCACCCATTGAATCTCGGGCCATCCATCTCGTCTCCCTCGCATGGCTTTTTCACCTCTTTGTCTCTACGCGACTGCCAGAATGGACTTGTAAAGCCGTGAATCCTCTTGGGACGACGACGCCGATATTCTGATGTCACCATCCTGAACCATCCTCAGGCCCTTATCGAATCGCTATCGCTAAGATGTCAGTTCTGCGCCATGGAGGAGGCGGTTTCCTCCAGCGCCGCCTCACGAAGTTGTATACCGATACGAAAACCTCATGCGAAAGTGTGACGACAGCCTCGAAAGCCCTCGACGACCCGGAGCTCGTGGCTCTGCACCAAAGCTTCCAGAAACAGCGGGATCGGTTACTGTCGTGGGGCCTAGATTGGAGCGATGCGAGCGCCGCCCAGCCGAACGATATCGACGAATCCCTGACCGCGGCCGGCTTCAGCGATGTCGTTGAGAGTGTTATGTCCTCTATACAAGACCTGCTCAATGACGCCGAGCATGTTCAGCATATGGATTCGCCCATGCCTTCCAAGGAGCGCAAACTGGATTTGCCGTCGAAGGATTCTCTGGGGAGCCGGCCCCTCAAGACACAATGGACAGACGATGATATCAGTCGTTCGAAGACAATACTGAGTGACTTGACAGCTTGCATAGACACGCTCTATGACTTGTCCCGCTCGCGCCGAACCATGGCATCTAGCATGTCCTCGAACAAGTATAGCACTGGTAGTCGCCGATCGAAACCTTCCCCCGTTACACCCTACGACGCATCCTATGGCTCCTTCTCTGACTCGAAGGAGAAGGTCCAAACCCCTAAGCAAATGTACGACCCCTTCACGTACTCTCCCTCGACTGCAAAACACGATTATAGCTACCCCTCCGGGACCTCCCACACGCTCGTTATCCAGCGATCCGCCCTGCAACTATACGGCGCGGCTCACGATAATAGCCCTCCACCATACGAACCAATTGCAGCGTCGTCAAACTCTCGTGTTGTGGGTCGCCTCAAGACGTCGGCATCACCGTTACTTCTGAGCTCCGTCAAGGAGGCGTACGTCTCGGTGTTGGTGGAGTTCATGCCCATGATCGTGGATTCTCAGATAAGTTTGAAGAGCTCACGATTGGAGAAGCTCCAGAACTCGCTGGACCAGTTGCTTCAGAATGCCAGAATCGGCCACTTGGGTCTTCTAAAGTTCTTGGGCTACTGCGTTGATGAACCTAATGCCCGCTACGCCTTCCTTTATCAGATGCCTGTCGATTATTTCCCTTTTCTGCAAGACCCCAGCGACTTATTGAAAGAGCTCAAGCCTATGCCTCTCATCGCTCTCCTTCCATCGGCCGAGGACTACCGCGAAAAGCGGATGCCGAATTTGGAAACTCGGTTCCGGCTGGCCTACGATCTCATGATGTCTGTTCTGCACTTGAGAAGCCAGAATGCCGTGCATGGTAACATCAACAGCAGCAATGTCATTTTCTTCCCCGGTCGGACCGACGTGAACAATGATGAGAGTGGGTTGGCCCCTGATCTACGACGTCCTTACTTGACCTCCCCAGCTCGCTTCTCTGGCGACGGGCCCACCCCGGAGCCACTGTCCACAGCGATGTATCGGCACCCTGATGACAAGAGATCCGTTGAAGACGAAGCCGCCTGGGCTTATGACCTGTACTCGCTTGGCCTGCTCCTGCTGGAAATCGGTCTATGGGCCCCGATTGGCCGGTTGTGGAAGATGAAGTATGACCGCTCATGGTTCAAGCATCGTGTTGAAGATCTCTATGTGAAGAAGCTTGGTCCGAAGTGCGGTACTGCATACCTCCAAGCTGTCCAGCTCTGCCTCGACGCCCCCAACTTCCACCTTTCGACCCAGCCCATGACCGATCTCAACCTCCGTGTACCCCAGATCTACCACTATCCCGTCCTCGACCTGTCCGACCCTGACGGCACATTCTCTTTCTCAATGAATTTCCTCTATACGATCTGCAAGATCTTGTGGTCATGTGCCCGCATTGATATCTTCTCGGCACCGCCTGCAGAAGAACTGGACGATTGCCTGCCCCTAGCACTTGTCCCAACCCCCGAACCTACACCGGCGGAGGAGAAGGCCGATCCGTACCAGCTTTCCCGCGAACCAATCAACCTCGACAAGAAGCTTCCGACCATCCCAGTGGATCCGTGGGGTATCTTGCCAGAAGAAAAAAGCTTGGACAAGCCCGCTAAGAAGCGGACTGTCAAGCGCCTTCCCCACCTCGAGATTCCTGATGAACATCTTCAGGAATGGAACTTTCAGATGATGCCCCGTCTGAGCCGTCTTCTGCAAAAAATTCTCAAGGAATCCAATGAGTCCTGTGGTGCTACTCTCATGATGACTGGTGAATCCCCGGAAACAGCGAAAACGACCATCTGCGTGACATGCGGCAGCGTCAAGAAGGTCCGATCGGCTTTGAAAAAACATTTCCCTCTGGGTCGGGATGACTGGGATCTCATCGTCCTTCGAGGCGATATTGAGCGATCAAAAGTCCCCCGCAAGAAGCGTCGCAAGCCCGCCAAGACTCGCCCAAACGGATCGAACGAAACTCCTTTTCGTCAACGTGAACTGAACCCATGCCACCAGCAACGGCCTCTATGTGGCGCCTCTATCGGTGCGTTTCAGAATGAGGAACACCTGCCACCCGTCTCTTATGGTGGTGCCGTGCTCGTCGATGGACAACCATATGGTCTGACAGTTCACCACATGCTTGAGGCTCCAAGCGACGACGAAGGCTCTGGTGCCGAGGAACCAGAGGCCCCTTCGCGATCTGCGGGAAACTGGCCTCGAGACCTGTCCAGCGTTGCCAATCCGAGTTCTATGCCCACCTGGTGTGAGGACGAACCGTCAGAGATCAATTTGGAATTTGAAATTTCGGATTTGGAAGATGATGATGGGTCGATCTCGCAAGGTCCCGAAGGGGGGCTCGACGAATATTGGCTTTCGGATGATGACTCGTCGGATGATGAGTCTATCGAAGGTCCTGATAACGATGACGGCGATGTGGCCTCGGTCGGTGATACTGCCGGCATCGATCCGGGGGAAGAGCCGCGGCTACTCGTCACGCAGCCCGCTATTGACGACATCCACGAAGATTTCTTTCCGTCCCCAGAAGACCGCGACGATGAACATCTCGCTTCCCATTGCTTGGGCTACGTGCATGCATCCTCGGGCGTGCGCCGGTGGACGCGCAAAGGAATCAAGCACGAGATTGATTGGGCTCTCATCAAAGTTGACGACAACCGCATGGACCCTCGCAACATCATCGTCGACAATACCACTTCTCCTCCCGGCCGACCCGGTATAGGACGAGGCCAACCTCAACTGATTTTTCTCAATCAAGTCGCCCGCATGGAGGAACTAGGCGGCTTACAAGTGCACTGCTGCGGCCGCACGAGTGGGCTGCAGACGGGACAGATATCGAAGGCGATGACGTTGGTCAAGCTCCATGGTCGACACTCTTTCTCCACGAGCTTATGTGTTAACGGGAACTTCGGAGGTAAGAGGCACACTTCTACAGATTCATCTTTATGTCTATACGATCCTTAATTAGATACCCTGGTCTCGTTTTGTTATGCCTATGCCTTGTCTCTCACTTCCCTCTCGTGTCGCCCCATCTTCTGTTAAGCCGGCCGGTAAACCTATCACCGCGGCCACCGCGTTTTAAGACACCACCTGCAACGTATCAAGTAAACTTGGAACTGGCAAGAAAGCTAACGATCCCATCCCAGCCCCCGGCGACTCCGGCGCATGGGTTTTCGATAGGTCGACCGGCCGCGTCTGTGGCCACGTTCTCGCCTGGTCCGCCCGCTCCAATACCACCTACATCTCGCCCATGGAGGTCACCTTCGAAGATATCGCGCGTACTCTGAATGCCTCTGTCGTCTCGCTCCCCGGCGACTCCTCCCGCGCCATGGGCTACGCTGGCTTGGCCTCCTCTCCTCCCGGCGCATACCGCCACCAGACTCATCCCCTTCCGGGCCTTCCGGGGGACTTTAACCGCCTCGTGGCTGCTGGTGTTCCTCCAGGCCCGCCTGGTGTCCCGCCACATCCCTTCGCACACCCGCATGCCCACCACCCTGGGAACTTCCCGCGTCCTCCGCCTCCCCCACCTCCCCGCCCTGGGTCCCAGGAGACGCATGTCCTCCGGGGCGTGAGTCCCATTCCGCCATCATTGTTGACTGGGCCAAGAAACATCGAGCGGCAGCTTGCCTGATTTATAAATTGTGTTTTGTTTTCGTGATGATAGGATCTGATCGTTGGTTGAATCGGTTTGGATTGACTGCTTGATGGATTCATTACATTATTGGGGATGTGATACGATATAAAGACCGAGTCATGATTGAGATTACACGGGATATTCACAGCGATGCGGGTCTCTTGGGTTTTGGATGAATTGATACCTATCTTTTACGCCTTTAATGGAAAAACTAGTCGAATAACGCGCCCTTATATTAGAATCAGACTCGGGTCTCTGGTATAGATTGTTTGGCAGACCATTGAAGCTGGGCCAAACTTAGACGGGAGAAAGACTGTTTAAGTACCCTGGTTCCGTACTAAACTGATTGGCCTCCTTTAAAACGCTTACTTCTCACCCTCTGGCTGCAACCTTCGATTCGGTCAGCTTTGGGGGCGGAACATGTGGAGACGGCTTCAGCCCCTTCACGCCTCGAACGAAGTTTAGGCAGGCACTGCATGACGAGACCTTGCCCACGCTCTGGCATATTCGTATATCCTCACAGGAGAACAAGAAATAAGTCGCTGCAGGTCACGGGTCCATCGCAACTCACACCCAAGTCGGTTCTCTTGTTGCCTAGTCCGTTGCCCCTCTGTCAGCGTCCCCAACAATGCATCGAAGAGTGGGCAGACCAAAATCCAAGACCGGATGCATTACTTGCAAGTATGTACCATCCTCACTCCTGGGCTCTATCCATTTGACCCCCCTCATATTTGAAATTTCAGAATCCGCCATGTTAAATGTGACGAGGAGAAGCCGGAATGCAATCGATGCGCCCGTTCCGGCCGCAAGTGCGATGGCTACAACGACTCCTCGCAGAGGCAGCTCCACGAAGAACTGGACAAGGGTTCCCGTCAACCATGGAGTGTCCGCTCAGATCGCTTAGTACTAGTCCCCGGCTCACGAAAAGAGCGTCAATATGTACACGTCTTCTGTACACAGGCCACCCGTACACTATCGGGCTTCTTCCCATCCGATTTCTGGACTCGCTTTCTTCCCCAACTCAGCCATCGATACCCCACAATACGGCATGCGGTCTCTGCGGTCGGCGCTGTCTATGAGCGACAGTTGCTTCCCGCCAACGCGGACTCGACTGCGGTGGAAACGTTCACCCTGCAACAGTATAACAAGGCCATTCACAGTTTCCTCGAGGAGACGAGGGCACCACAGACAGGGGGGTCGACTTGACGTTGGTGACCTGCTTGTTATTTGTTTGCCTCGAGACACTCCGATCTCAGAACCCACGAGCCTTAGATCACATCCAGAGCGGCGTCCAGATCGTGGCCGGGCGGTTGCGGGAGAAGAGATCGGTGAACAATGAGTTTGATCGGGAGCTCTTACATTGGTTCTCTCGACTCAACATCCAGACGTGCTTCTGGGGACGAGGCATTCTGCCCCTGGATATTTGCCCGGAAAAGTCGACTATGGCGCCCGGGAAGATGCTGGTCTTCGACAATATCTCACAGGCGCGAGAAAGTTTGACCGACCTCCAAAGCCGGACTTTGATCTTTATTCGGTTCGTCGGAAGTAAAAGCGGGATCACATACCAGGATGTCGATGACCAGCAGAGACAGGCGCAGCAAGCTTTGGAGGCAGAATATCATACATGGCGCGCAGGTTTTGATCGGCTTCAGAAGAGATCTGCGAAACGCGCGGGCATTCCCGATCCACGCGCTCCGCTAGTGCTCCTAGTCGAATACCATACCTCCATCGTCTGGGTCCTCAATTGCATTTCCCAAGAAGAGTCCAACTTCGACAAATACTATTCCAACTTTGAAGAAATTGTCGCGTTAGCCGACAAGATCATCGACTGCGGCCCGGGGTGGGAATCGAAGCCTGCGGCGGAGCAATTGTCTCTGGATGCAGGCGTGTTGGCCCACCTCTACTGGACCGCCCAGAAATGCCGCCATCCTCTGATCCGGCGAAGAGCCATCCAGGTTCTGGCGCGGTGTCCCGCAAGACAAGGAATGTGGTTACGACCGTTAATGGTGCAGGTGGCATCCAAGATCGTGGAGATGGAAGAAGCGCCGCTTGTATGCTTGCCGGTGGAAGAGAGAATCGTCGAGGAGCAGCATCGTGTCTACGAGACATTAATTTACCCGGATGACTCCCAGAAGAATCCGTGCCCGGTTCATTTCTTGTTCAAGCCGCACGGAGTGACTGGGGGGTTCGAGAGCCGCTGGGCAGATGTGGCGTGGTGACGGACTGAACTTGGACGTGACATGGCCGGCTCATGATTTTGTTGTTGATCGTAGCGATGACCTTATTTCACAGACCGAATTGGACTGTTGAAAGATGGCTGCATACCAAATGGGACCCCACGAATGTGCCTGCCTACTGACTGTAGTCAATCACGAAACCGAGCATGGCTCCGTCCTATCAGCCCTTCCGACAACACCACGATCCAACGTAAACCAATGTTTGTCATGCTGCAATCATCAATCTCCAGCGTCAGTCTTGCGGGCATCTAGAGCACCGAGCAACGTCCAGACTAGGCTGACGGCGACTAAGTCGGGTTTGTTTCAGCCGCTCGCCCCTATATGTTACGAGGGCGCCAATCACAGGGCCATCCACGTCTGCGTAGATACTGCATTGGGGCTGAGTTTCGTCTGAGTGGAGGTGAAGAATTTCGTGCTCTGCGGGTCGGAGGCTGTCATTTACGAGGCCCCCAATCAGCGATCCGTTCAAACAGCCTTATGCATAAGGCTGTGTTTGCTGCCCCCACTTGCGGATTTAGACTTGGGCTTGGAAGAGGATACCCAATTTGATCCTTTGATATCAAAGTCCGATGCTTGCTTACTTAGGAGCTGGCGGGTATAAGGGTTGGGGTGGAATCGAAAGAGGGAAGTATATATACCACGCTTTTGTCTACCCAGGAACTCGTCCTGGTTTCTGTTCCTCACGCAGTCGACCGTACAGCTCCCCTGCGCTTCTTTGTGTCTCGTACAGTCTTTCATCAAAAGGACCTACACCTGTTGGAGTTTTGAGTTTTGTCCAATTCCACCTTGTGGCTTGCATCTCCACGTTTCCATTCTCCCTCCATCATGACGGGCCATTACGATCCAAATCTCTATATTGGCTGCAAAGCCTACAACGGGGTCGAAACGAGTTATGGATATATCCCGACCAAAGCGGTCGGCTTTGCATTCTGCGTGCTATTTGGACTGTCGATGATCGCTCATATTGTTCAACTGTGTTGGAAGCGGGTATGGTGGTGCAGTGTGTTCGCGATCGGATGTGCTGGTAGGTCGACGTATGCTCCTTCTCTATGGAATATCAAACCCTAATAGAGCATAGCTGAACTACTCGGCTGGGCGGGCCGTCTGTGGAGCGCCGAATGCCCCTATAACTCCACCGCGTTCATGATACAGATAGCTACCTTGATCATCGGTAAGTGTCCACCATTGTTCGACAGAATCTGCACACGTCTAACACCCTTTTCAACGACAGCACCTGTTTTTTTCACGGCCGGCATATACATCCTCCTCGCTCGCTACATTCAAATCTTCGGCAAAGAGACCTCCTTCCTCGCTCCAAAGTTGTATCTCTGGATCTTCTGCACCTGCGATATCATCTCGCTTGTCATTCAAGCCGCGGGGGGAGGAATAGCCAGCTCTGAATCCGACGATCCCCATGGGAACCCCGACCCGGGCACTCACACGATGGTCGCCGGTATCGTCTTCCAGCTGGTCTCGATCTCGGTGTTTGTCTACTGCACCATTGACTTCTTTCTACGCATCAAGCGCCTCGGGCAGCTCAAAGCATTTACTCAGGGCCCTTTGCTGCTCCTGACGGGCGCGATGGTGCTGTCTGTCCTGTGCATATACGTTCGGAGTATCTACCGTACGATTGAACTGGCGCAGGGCTGGACGGGGTATTTGATCACGCACGAGTCTTACTTCATCGGCCTCGATGGGGTCATGATGATCATTGCTGTTGCAGTATTCAATGTCTGTCACCCAGGGTGGTTGCTGCCTGCTAGAGCAGAGTCTGCCTTGTCTCAGGACCGCAAGTCTTCCAACTCCGATGTTGAGATGGTGCGCCCGGCGGCCTGAAAAGGGTACAGGGTACGGCTGTGCTCGCTACTATTGCACCCACCCTTAGTTTCCTCTCAAACTCGGAACCGAAGGTTCTGGCCTTCTGTGGGTTAAAGGGAGCTAATACAGGCGGCGACTGCATGACAGCGATTAAATTTTTTTTTTTTTTTTTTTAATTTTTCTCATTTAGATCAGCAGCGTGCAATATGAACTCAGTAATTTCATCAATACTTCTAAATAAATGATGTTCATCACGGTCTAGATATGTCCCGTAAGTTTCAGACACTTTCTCAGCCCAAGATGGCTCGATATCCGCCCGGGAGTACTGACGAGCAGGAGAACATAAGACGTACGGTTGGAAACGGGCCCACGCGGGTGCTGCCCCTTCGATCAAAACCCCCACGGGGATCTAGACATCAAAGTGGCGATCACTAAACCTTGCTTAGCTGCTTCCATTAAAGCTTATTCGCAATCACACGATCAAGCGCAGGTGCCCAAAAAAATGCTGCGTTCGGAACAGCCGAGTTCAGCTTCCCTATGGTTGGGTGTGACATCACAACCTCAATCGAGCAACCCCCCTCAAGACCTATGACAGTATACCAAGACAAAGCCACTCAAATTTTAAAAGTTCCCTAGTCCTGTTTTTTGAAGACTTGGTCTTGTTTTGTGCCGTGGGCTTTTCTTATTTGTGGTATCTTCAGCTCCTATGCCTCCAAAAATCCAATTATCCCCATTATCCTTAGGATTTTTCTTCCGTTTCCTATTTTCAACTTCACCTATTCTTCTTCCACCGCACTATGGCCGAACAGGAAAGCTCTGCAGCGGCTGCTGATATGCCCTATAATGATGCTGGGAACCCTGCAGCTAGAAAGGAGGCAAACGGCACCACCCCCAGTCGAACGTATCAGCCACCGCATCGGACGACGGTCTCGCAGGTCACTACTCCGGAGTTTCTGAAACTTGCAAACCCCGGTCCCTTGGGATTGATTGCCTTCGCAATCACCACATTTGTAGTTGGTCTATTGGAGTGTGGTGCCGGGTATGACTGGCCATAAAAACGACCCCAGTACGACATTTGATCTAACGTTCCGATCCAACTTATCTATCCAGACTTCCCCACTCAAACCCCAATGGCACTGTTGGCCCTAACCAAGCCGCATTCGGACTCGTCGTGTTCATGGGCGGAACGGCCCAGGTTCTGGCGGGAATCATGCAATTCCGCATCGGAAACACCTTCGGTACCACCATTCACTGCTCCTACGGCGCTTTCTGGCTGAGCTATGGAATGTTCATGCTGCAATACCTTGGCCTTGAAGCTGCCTATAAGGGTGATATGAGAGCGTATTCATTTGCCCTCGGGATTTACCTGATCGCGTGGTGTTTCCTGACAATTCTGTTCTTCATCGCCGCACTTCGGACCAACGTCGCCATCTTGTTAGTTTTCTTCTTCCTGGCTCTCGCATTCCTTTTCCTCGGTATTGCCGAGTTCACCCTCACGGAACACGCTACTGCCAGCGAGCGGTTGAATAAATCGGGTGGGGCTTTCGCAGTTATTTGTTCAATGTGCGCCTTCTATGCTGGTGCATCCGGTCTTATGTTACCTGAAACCACCTGGGTCCGATTCCCACTGGGCGAGTTCTCAAGCAGCGTCTAGCACCACGGTGGGCATCGGTTTGGAGCTCAGAAACGGGCTCCAGTTGCACATAAGCAGCAAACCATCAATGGCTCGAGTTTTCCCGATCCAACTCGGGTTGACTGTCGAGCAGACGATCCTTCCGAAAATAGCACAAGCAATCCTGCATGCTGATTGGCCAAGGGCTCTTACTACTTCGGGCACAAGCTTTATGGCCTCGAGTGTTTTCCTTGACCATCGAAACACCAGTTACTAACTTTAGTGGCCTTCGTTACCATAGGGAATTTAATATTCTCAACACCCAGTTCATGTGACCACTCTGTCTGTGTGCCTTTCTGTGTGCTGCCATATCTTGTCTAAAGTAAGGACCACAGCACAAAGCCGGCCTGGTGGTTAGACCCATCACTCTATGTCGATTTCTCTCGCTGAACCTTATTATTGAACATGCTATGTTGTATTAGTTGAAATATGTATTCTAGTATATTCCGCGTTATGCAAAATAACAAATATGATCCCCTTATTCCAGAAATTTCACCGTTCAACGCCATGATGTTCACCCGAGCTTCCGTTGTGGTATCGATATAAAAAACAAAAGTGTTCGTCATAGATCATGGGATGTTGCGAACATCCGTTGACGATCGGTCGGATTCTTGGTTCTAGTTCTAGAGAAGGTTAACCGCCGTCATATCACCCTATATCATTCATTCGAAGAACTGAGAAACACCTACCACGCGCTAGGCGCCTTGGAGATCCCCTGACCAGCATGTCGACCTGGTGGGAAATTGTACTCATCATCAAGGTCTTGTTTTGCAGCCATGAGCGGGCCCCATTTTTTTTGGACCCCCTCCATGTGCTTCTTCAGCCGTGAAAGTATTGTGCCATCGGCCGACTTCTTGGTGGAGCTAATGTCCGTTGTAGACGAGGATGCAGACTTGCTCATCGTGAATGAGATGGGGACAAAGTCGTAAGCAGTGAAGTAGAGTAGTTGGTTCGAGGGGCGGAAATTATGGGTTTACAGGATATCCATCGGATCCGTGAGCTGGACAGCTCTTATTTATCAATGAAAGAGAAAAAAAACTTTTGCCATCTGCTTTTCCAGGGGCACTAGGTAGGGTCCCGGCAAATACTCGGAGGCCGCCGAGTCTAAGCCGAACTGTGCCGACATATGGCCGGCTCTAATCAATTCCGTCGGTAATTGATGCCCAACGCCCCTTGCAGTTATTGGAGGGTTATGAGAGTAATACCTAAGAAGTATAAACAATAAATTCCGTTCACTCTTTACGTTGGATAGACTACACTCGCACCTTACTGCTTGCCTAAACGTGGGTCTCTGGTAGGATTTGGATGACTCCCTTCCTCGTGAGAATTTGATTGACCGTGGTAGAGATTGGATAAACAGCTAATATGATTGCGCGGAATATGACTCACGCTTTGCCAGCATTACTTCTAGAGCCCGCATTGGGGATAAGAATGCCGATCCGCTAGTATTCTTTTCCTCTATACATCTAAGTCGGGGTCTGTCCGACACGGGACAATCTCGCAGACATATTCGTTAGACAAAATTAGGAGGTCCTGGAGCTTTTTGATTCCATGAGACACAATCATACTAGACCCTCCCGTCACAGTAGATAGAGCAAGAGTCTGTGATGAGGCAGATACTCAGTCTATCAGAATGATGGCCTGACATGGTGCAGGTTGAGTAAGTGGCACTATCCCCTACAAAGTATAACGCGGCGCCCCGAGGGCCCTCAAGCGCAAGGCGCAGCCCCCACGCGCCACTCTCGGGCGCCCGACTCAGTCCGTAAAGAAAAACACGCACTTCCCCTGTCCCTGGAACCGTCATCTTCTTGGATTGTATGGGGAAACCACCCTCAGCCTTGCCTGTATTTGCTGTTCGCAGGTCAGGATCTATATGGCTATAGTACGGCCTCCCCTACCCGTCACCTCGCCTATCCTCATAGCTCAAGAAACGAATGCGCACACAGGCAATCAGTTAGGCAGGCTAGAATCGCCTTCAGGAAGACGACATTAGACAACAATGTTCAACTGGCTCAAGGATTTCTTCGCCGGCAACGCTTCTACAGAATGGCGGCGTAAACGCGCGAACCGAGCCTACCACAGGAAAGTGCGCGCCCGCGAACGCCAGCTACGACGCCATTGGAACCATGAAGACGTTGCCAATCGCTTCTTTTACTGGGCGCCCTATAGTAGCGAAAGGCCTACCAAGGATGCGGTGAAAGACTACCGCACCAAGCAAAGGTCGACTCGAAAGGACGGAGGCTCAAGTGCAAAATGAAGGGCAGATGTGAGGATCGGAGGGCGGGTTTGGTTATGGAGCAGCCAATTGTCTACTCATCGCTTGGCTAACCTTTTGAGACTGATCTACCTTGAAAAATAATAATATAAAGAACGTTGAGACCCCAATTATTGTATTTGATTGGATACGAAACATCTCAAGTATAATAAGTAACCATGAGAAATAAAACTCATTAAACCATAAACACAAAACACCATGCACTTGCAACTCTCAAAAGAAACAAAAAAACCGACAGGAAAGAACCGAGATAATAAACAAAAGAAGACACATCAAGTCATGATCTATCAATCACTCAAGGTCTAAGCCGAGGCAAGATACTTCAGCACACTCTCGCGCTCCTCAACGGGTAGCATAGAAAGCACCTGCTGCACACCACGCAGGCCACCCTCCTTATTACCAATAAGCAGCGACGCAACCTCGGACGCAACGCCCTCGGTGCGCATAGACTCCACCTTGCTCTGAACAGCCTTCTTGTTCTCCTCGTACCACATAGCGACCTTTTGGTCGTTGTGCTCGAGCTCCTCATCCAGCATGCCAGTCCACGCGTGCAAGGTGCGCAGGTGCGTGGCACGGGGGGACTCGGCTGAGACGTGGGTGGCGCCAGACTCGGAGCCGGCAGTAGACGAGGGGATTGCGCCGGCGGCACCGGTGCGGGGCGCGGGGGTCGCGGACGCAGCGACCATGCGCTTCACGATGAGCTCCTCGCTCAAACGGCGGCGCAGACGCCAGTAGAAGAAGCGGCGGGCATTCTGCCAGCGCAGCGGGGCGCGGATAGTGTTCTTGGCCTGCATGCGGCCGGCGCGGTCGTGCAGGTCCGCAAACTGCAGAGCGACCTGCAGATACACGGGCAGCAGCAGCTCCTCGCGCTCGGCCATCTTCGCCTTGATGGCAGACAGCTGCTCCGTGGACAGGGAGGTGTCCTCGAGCGACCGGCGCAGCTCGCCATAAGTCGCGTCCAGGCGAGCCATGGTGTCGAGCTGTTTGTCGCGGCGGTACTTGATGTTGACGATACCCTCCGGCTCGAGGACACCGCCGCGGGCGTCTTCGTCGGCGTACATCTCCATCTGGTCCGGGTTGATGGTTGGGTCGATGACGACCCAGGAGCCGCCGCGCAGCTCGCCGAAGGGCGGGATGTAGACGAAGATGGGTTGCTCGTACTTGACGAGGGCGTCGACGATGTATGAGCCGTACTTCAGCACCTCGTTGTACATGTCGCGCTGGCCGCCGGAGAAACCGCGCCAGTTCGCCAGGATCATGACGGGCAGCTGCTCGCCGTGGTTAAAGTCGCGCAGCGCCTGGGCTGTCTTGTACGCCGAGTTGGGGTACCAGACACCACCGGCCTCCATGCTGATCATCTCCATGGAGTCAGGGTTGGCAGGATCGGCCGGTGTGATATTCTCAACAGAGCGGGTCTCGACAGCGATGACACCGATGGGGATACCGCCGAGACGGGCACGACCGACGACAACGGTGCGGGCCCAGCCACCGAGCGCCTCCTCGAAGGAGTCCTTGTCGAACAGACCGGGCAGGAAACCCTCTTCCTCCTGCTTACCGCCAATCAGCCAGCGGGGGTCATAGGCCTGCTTGGGCGGCGGGAAGTAGGCAACGTCGCGGTCCCAGTCATCGGACCAGGGGCGGATGGGGATAGGAGCACCCTTCTTGTCGGGGACGAAGCCCATCCACTCGACGATCTTCTGGACACCCTCGAAGTCGTCCTTGGCGGTCATGTGCGAGACACCATTCTTGTACATGATCTGGGTACCACCCAGCTGCAGGTTGGAGGTGTACACCTCGCGGCCAAGCAGCTTGTTGATAGCCGGGGCACCGGTCAGGATGATGGGCTGGCCCTCGACCTGGATGGCACGCTGGCCGAGACGGACCAGGTAAGCACCAATACCGACGGAGCGGCAGGTAACCAGAGTGATAGTGAAGATGTCCTCGTAAGCCTTGGAAGTAGCACCGGCAATAAGACCAGAGCCCTTCAGACACTCGACACCGAGACCGTCCTTGGCTCCAATGACAGTGGTGATCTTGTGGCGGTCCTCGCCCTCGTCGTGGATCAGCTCAGTGATGACCTCCTTCTTCTTGCTGGCATCAAAGCGCTTCTTGACCTCGGGAGTGAGGTAGAGATACTTGAAGCCAGCCTCGGGCTTGTTCACGTCGTTCCACGCAACCGAGAAGTACGGAATCAGCTCATCGGCCATACCAATGCGGGCACCCGAGTTGGCAGACAGGTAGATGCGCGGGATACCGAGCTTGCGAGCGAGCTCAGTGCACTTGTGGAAGAACTTGTCTTCCTGGGGACCGAACGAACCGATCTGGAAGGTGATGTCGTTGGCGACGATGATGAAGCGACGGCCGCGGGGGTACTCGGGGGTACGAGCGGTGACAATCCAGCCGACCATACCGTGAGAGTTGGTACCCGGCTCACGAGAGACCTCGACGAGGTTATCGGTGTCGTCGAAAACCAGCTCGCTGTAGTCGATGCACTCACCAACGGCCGGGCGCTGTGAAGCCAGCGAGGGAATGTTCTCGACAGCCTTGGTCCAGCTGTTCTGGAAGGCCTGGCGGAACAGCTCGGGGAAGTCGTACACGTACTGGGTGCCCATGAGGTGAGCCTTGTACCGCTTAGGCTGGAGCCACTCCTTGGTTGGGTAGGGGGTCGACACGGGACGCATGTGCATGGAGCCGAGCTTGTTGGTGCCACCAATGCTCTGGAAGATCCACTCGCCCTTCTCGGACTTGCGCTCGATGTACAGCTCGACCTGGATGATGAATCCGTAGGTGTTGCTGATGATGACACGCAGAGGGTAGGGCATGCCAGTGGTGGGATCGGTGCACAGAATGCGGATCTCAGCACCGGTGACACGCAGGCGCCACAGGCGGCGGCCGAAACGATCCAGGAAGCCAGCCAGAGCCTGCTCGACGTCAATGGGCTGCAGGTTGAAGACGGGGGAGAAGTTGATGAAGATGTGGTTCAGATCGGAGTTGTTGTTGCCAATAATCTCAAGAGCATCCAGAATGTCGTTCATCAGACGGTCAGCCTCCGAAATCAGGTACTCGGCGGTGGGGATGTCGTCACGGAGACGACCGGGGCGCACCACAGCACGAATGAAGTAGCGCTTGTCGACGGCCTTGTCATTCTCAGGACCCTTGCCAATCGCCTCATAGACATGGATGTTGCGGTTCTCAGTGAAAACAGGCTTGATCTTGAACTTGGACAGACGGCCCAGCTCCAGCTGGAAGGCCAGAGCAGGCTCGCTGTGCCGGATGCTCTCATCCTCCTCGTAGGTAGGGCCACGGAAGGTGAAGTAGCCGGGGTACACTCCCTTCTTGCCGCAGATGAAAGTGACACGGCGGATGCGGCGGGACAGGAGCTCGTCCTTGGCATCGGCCAGCAGCTTCTGCATCTGGCCCACGATCTGAGAGTCATCCTGGTCCTCGATGTCGCGGATGGCGATGTTGAGCACACCGGTAAGCTCGTCGTTCTCGGTTTTCAGAGCGGGGCGACGCTTGCCCTCCAGATTAGCGATCAGGCCGTTGTCACCGCCGCGCTGAGTCTTCGAGCCGGCACGGGGGAAAGCCTCCAGAGCCCTGGACAGATACTCCTCTGCATCCTCGAGGTACTGAATGGGAATGATGACACCCTTGCGGATGGGATCGCTAGACGGATCGTTAACCAGGTAGGACATGTCGCTGATGGAGTTGATCCGCTTGAAGGGGTTAATCTCCGCAGTGGGGGTGCTGGGGGTGGAGGGCTGAGTCGAGGAGAGAGAGCCGAACTCGGGCTGGCCGAGCTTGCCGAGGGAAAAGTCCCAGGACAGGATGGGAGGCTCGCCGGAAGCGCTGTAGTCGATGCCCTTCAGAGTGTAGGCACGGTAGGCACGGCGCACGTAGACCTCCAGGGCAGCGAGAGTCACCCAAGGATCCGTGTGGATAAAGAAACGAGGCAGGACATCGAAGACGGTGTACTTGGAATCCACGACCTCTTTGAGGACACCGAAGTCGGGCTCACGGTGCTCCCACCCGGTCTCACCGTAGCGGGACTCGACGACTGAGGAGCGCAAGATGTGCTCCATCTGAGACAGGCGCTCCTCCAAGGAAGGCAGAGCACACTGAATGAGGACCTCACGGGCCTTGAGGGTAACCTTGGCAGCAGCGCGGGCCTCCAACTCGGTCAGCTTCTTGAGGATGGTCTTGAAGTGCTTGCCGACGTTCTCAACGTTGGGTTGGTTGGGGCGGTACATGTCCAGGATGGCCAGGACCAGGTTGTTCTTGGAGCCAATGCGACTGTGAGAGAGGACAGTGAAAACAACGCTGGTGATGTCATCCTTGTTCTCCTCACGCAGCTTCAGAATAACATCCTCGTCGCGCTTGGTGCCAGTGCTGAACAGCTTCTCGACCTCGTAGTACTGCTCGAGCAGACCAATGAACACGTTGTACTCGTTGGTCTTCAGGCCATCCATGTACTTGTTGATGACCTGCACCAGAGGCAGGAGAGTGGTCTTGAGGATCTCGGCATCAGCGGGGTTGACGTTCTCCTCAATGAAGCGGACGATGGTCTTCTGGAGCTGCTTGGCAGGGAACTCGGCCTTGCGGGCCTTGGCCTTGTCGACCAGGGTCTGCAGCTGAGCATCCAGCTTCTGGGGCATGCGGGAGTGCAAAGCCGAGGACTGGGCGTTCCACTCGCCGTAGGGCAGCTCGGGGTTGCGCAGGACGTCAACCAGCTCCTTCAGGGTAGCACCCATGATGACCTGGTTATCGAAACCGCGCAGGATGTTCTCCAGAATGCTATATTGCAGGAAGAAGCGCTGGGGGGGCTTAACACCGACCACGACGGGGGGGCCAAGATCGGGCAGCTGGCCCGTGAAGGGCTGGGCATGTTTGACGCGCGAGGGGTCATCCAGAGCGAGAATACCGAGGATGTCGCCGGCCTCGAGGGTGGCACCGGGCTGTTTGATGAGCTGCACAATACCGTCCTCCTGGGCAATGAGGGGCATGTACATCTTCATGACCTCGACCTCGGCATACGCCTGGCCAGCACGGACGTGCTCGCCGTTCTCCACGGTGAACTTGACCAGCTTACCGGGGGAGGGGGAGCGCAGCTGGGTAGGGTCGTTCTCCTGCTCCAGAAGGCAGGTCTTGCCATCCACGCTCAGGCGGGTGGCAGCAGGCTCCTCCTTCCAGTAGACGTTGTGACTGCGGCCATTAAGCAGAACCAACAGACCACCGTCCGCCAGAGCGCGGACACCTACTGAGCACTTGGAGCCATTGATGAATAGGTGGTAGCTATCCAAGCTGGCACGGGTAGCAGTGAACTTGTAGCGAGAGCCCTCATAGATGAAGTCCACCGGGAAGACGGTCTTCAGGATGTCCTTGGAGGGCACCTGGCCCTTCTCGAGACCCTTACGGTACTCCTCGACACCAGCCTCGCAGGAAAGGTGCGCCTTGGTGACGGCACCGCAGATAACAGCGACATAGGGGTCGGGGCGCTCGGCGGTCAGCTTGTTAGAGATGAGCTGGTCCAGCCATCCAGTGGTGATGGTGTTGTCCTCGAAAGCGGGAGTCTCGAGTAGCTTGATCAGATACTCCACCGTGGTGCGGAAATCACCCCGAATGCTGAGCTCCTTCAGGGCAACGACCATGTGCTTTCGGGAAGCCGAACGGTTCTCACCGTAGGCGAAAATATGACCGAACTGGCTGTCGGAGAAACTGTGGATACCACCGGCGGTACCGACGGAGAAGTAACCCCAGACATTAGACGAAGAGCGGAAGTTCAGCTCGTGCATGGTACCGCTGGAGGGCTTGAAGCCCTCTCCGGGATCCTCGGAGGTGATACGGCAGGCAGTGGTGTGGCCCTTGGGTTGGGGGCGACGCTGGGTCTTGAAGCTCTCCTCGCTGGAGAAGTCGAAGTCGATCTCGGTGGAGGTGTTGGGGTCGACGCCGTACAACAGACGAATGTCACGGATCTGGTGCAGGGGAATACCCATGGCAATCTGGAGCTGGGCGGCGGGCAGGTTGACACCGGAAACCATCTCGGTGGTCGGGTGCTCGACCTGGAGACGGGGGTTCAACTCGAGGAAGTAGAACTTATCCTCCGCGTGCGAGTACAGATACTCCACAGTACCGGCAGACACATAGCCGACCAGGCGGCCGAGGCTGACGGCGGCCTTCTCCATGGCCTGGAAGGTAATGGGCTTGGCGATGGTGACCGGAGCCTCCTCGATAATCTTCTGGTGACGACGCTGGACAGAGCAGTCACGGCCGAAGAGGGAGATGTTGTTGCCGTACTGATCGGCCAGCAGCTGGACCTCCAAGTGGCGGGCGTTCCCGGCAAGCTTCATAATGAAGATGGGCGAACCGGGGATCTCGTTGGCGGCGGCGTTGTACAAGGACTCAAACTCCTCTTCATTCTCGACCTTCCGGATACCCTTACCACCACCACCTTCAGAGGCCTTGATCATGACGGGGAAACCAATCTCCTTGGCCTTCACCAGACCTTCTGCCGGCGAGTGGGTGCAGCCACGACTGTAGACATCATCCTCCACCGTCACAATGCCCTTGTCATCAATCGTGACCTCCTCGACACCAGTGCCGGACCAGGGGATACAGGGCACACCGGCATGCTGTGCGACAATGGTAGACGAGATCTTGTCGCCCAGGGAGCGCATGGCCGAGGCGGGGGGGCCAATGAAAATGATCTTCTTCGGCGAGGCCGCCAGCGACTCGGGTAGCCGAGGGTTCTCGGAGGCGTGACCCCAGCCGGCCCACACGGCGTGGACGTCCATGCGCTCGGCCACATCGACGATGAGCTCGACGTTGGCATAATTATTATTATTGGTGCCGCCGGGGACCTCGACATATTGGTCGGCCATGCGGATGTAGTCGGCGTTGGCGCGCAGGTCCTCCGGGGTGGCCATCACGGTGAACTGGATGGCACGCTCGTTGCCAAAAGTCTCGTAGGCCCATTTCCGCACTGATCGAATCTCCTTGACAGCGGCGATACCGTTGTTGGCGATGAGAACCTGTCGAGGCGATTGTCAGCCATCCCACTCTCCTTCTCCTAAAAGTGCGTTTTTTTTCCCGCTCCCTCGTTCGTCCACGGAATGGGATGTTGGGGTGGAGGGTGGGGGCTTGCTGGGGAAAACTCACCGATGTAATGACAGAGTGACCGCCATTGCGGGCGACGAAATCCTTGATGGTGCTGGGCGGTGCTACCTCGAGATGGTTGCCACCGATGAAATGTGAGGGGAGGTCATATTTGGCGGCGTTGGAGCTGCCGTGGCCATTGGCAGGCGCGCTGCCGTTGGTGATGCCCATAATGAGTATGTGATGGGTGGTGTGTGTGGCGGGGATGCAGATAAATCAGACACAAGGATCAGCTGTCCCGTGCAGGGTTCGGGGGGAAACAGCCCTTCGGCGAAGAATTAAACAGCGCTGCTGGAGAATAAAGGGATGTATAAAGCGTAGGTAATGTACAATCGGAGAGTGGCGGAGGGAAAAGGCCCGGTAGGTCGTCACGGGCGGAGAGAGAAAAGGACTTCCGTTTTCCTTCCAATCTGCAGAGAGACGTCTTGGGTCAGCCGCGAAGGTGAGAGGGGAATCGGAGAATCCGATGCTCGTCCCGGTTCCTGGTCCCACGTTTCCCAATGGAGTCTGCCGGGGCTGGAGCTGCTGCTGTAATGATGTGCTGATTTGCTAGCTGTGCAGAATGGCACGCCCGATGCGGACAGGGACAGTTGGAGTTCCCGCCGGGTGGTCGTTTGCGGCCAAACCGGAGACGAGGGACGAGGGACGAGGATAGAGGATGGTAGGGCAAGGCAGGGTAGCAGCGAGTTCAGGAGACTGGACTTACCGGGACACCAGAAAACCCGAGTTGTGAAGGGGGGAGGAGTGTGAGCTGAGGAGCGAAGGGATTGAAGTTCAATTCGAGGATCGAGGATTCGAGCCGATAGAAATGGCCCGAAAAAAAATGCTGAGGGTGATTTTCGAGTCCCACCCGCTCCAACGAAGCAGCATCCGAAGTACCTTGCCATACAAATTAGTATGGGCGGGTACCTGCCGCTCCTAGCTCTCGCCCGCCACGGCGCTTCCCCAACTCCCGCCGGATTGTTGGGCTGGTTCCACCAGCACGACCACCAGTAGGCCGGCCGCCCAGGAGACTTTGTCCCACCCTTTCAACGCCATTTCCCAATCAGACCCCCATCTATTTCCCTGTCCCCTTTCTATGATCCCTCTTGTTACATTTACCCCTGCCTACTACCACTCCGTCCCCAACTTCCAACCCTACAAAGGACCGAGTATGGGGAACGGAGCACGGAAGACCTATGGCACTCTAGCTCTCTAACGGCCCTAGCTACGATCCCGCCCCACCGGACTCGGACACCGAGTCGGCGACTTTGCTGACCTTGCAGTCGGAGTGCGATCGGGAAATCTGCAATCTGACCATCTACAAGCCTCGAACCCCTCTAGCCACCCGGACACCATACCCCGGACGCCCTGCCCCCATATGGCGGGTGTTCCAATCATTCCCCATGAACGTTTCTATACGCGGAGTACGGATTACTCTGCATCGCTGCGTTCATTCTACACTTTCTCACGTATCTGGCCCCACCATGTAACATGTTTCCACCGGAATTGCACTAGTCCCTTTCAGCGTTCCAGAGTGATCCTGACCCAGAATGTTCTTCCCGCGCGATGACGTTGTTGTATCCCTCCAGCGAAACGTTGAGGTCTCCGCACGGACCAACGGATGCGAAGACGACTCGGGGATGTCACTCGAGCGGGTAGCCGATCACAGTGTGCTAGCAACCGATGCCTGGCGAGTACCTCCCCCCTCCGTTTCTCAGTAGTGCCCCCTACCCCTTTTTTACGGTCGCAACCCTGACTATATATTATCATGCTCCATAACGATGGCTCACCATTTGATGATCGGATTATTTCTAGTCTGGTTCTTCGTTCTGAGGCTCTCGCAATGGAGCTGCCAGCTAGCGTGGTTCCATTGATTCTCCACACCCCGACGCCTATATACATCGGCTGGAACCAATGAACAGTCGGACGTGTTACCTAGGTCTACCTACCTAGATACATTGCGAGACCCCCTTTCATGATTCTCAAGACCAAGCAAATAGACATTGGTACTCAGTTCCAAACCTCTAGGCATTTGAAAACATACTTTCGAGAGTAAAATGGGCCGATACTAGATAAATGGGAGTCTCATGGTCCCCTACCCATTCTCGCACATTCTCCCCCACAACCCGCTAAACAGGCCACTGCCGCGTCGCGTGGATCTGCGGCCGGCATTGATACAGAGTAATACCGAGCACCATACCTTGTTCCTGGTTGAAGTGAGTGAGCCTGCGGGCTTCGAGCCCTATGCGGCAACAAAAACTATGCCAATATTGAAGCGGCGTCCCCTTGGCACGCGGCCCCAACCATCTGGACCGGTATCGCTGGACCAGTCTCAGCCAAAACTATCTCACCTGAGCGATCCTCTGGAGGGAAACCGAATACTTCTGTGGATCTAACGAACGTGACACGGATCGACTCTCTGAACGTCTTGTAAATTAGGTAGATAAAATGTACTACGGCATAATTCAAAGACATAACATCGTGGGTATTATCAAACGCCTCGCGACGTAGAAACAAAAAACGAAACACAAGATGCTGAGACACAGCTTAGGACGCCCCGGAGTCCATCCGGGGATACATAAATCAAGAGACCAGCATACCAGCACAAAGGCCAGAGCCGATCCAGTATGTGAATAGTTAGGTCGAGAGATGAGAGGCCCAAACAACCGCCGCAACAGCGCCAAGGAGAAGAAGAAAACCTATACAGAACGACGCAAATCACGGGGCGGGGGAGGAGGGGGGGGGATAGTGTGGAGAGAGAAGACCCCGTAAGGTCACGATCCAGGTGGCGGGATGGCACACAACGAGTATCGAGTAACGAGGTAAATGCAACCCCCACCCTCCCAGGAAAGCTTGTGCGAGAGAACGGCAGGCAGAAGAACCGAAATCAAATCAAGTCGGCAGACAGAAAGCCCTTGCTTATCTTGTGCCCCACCTATTCCCGTGCAAGGAGGTGTATGGAAAGCGGGGCATCAAATCACTCTAATAGGTCTCTCCGATGTCGCTTTGCTTCCGCTCCGGTGGTGGAGGAAGGTGGCCCGGCCCGATACTGGTCTTGAAGCTGCGGGGTGTAGGAATGGCCGACATGCCGCTGGTGGTACGTTTCTTGATTCCGCTTGGCGTGGCCGAGACCGAGGGCCGCCGGATGTCCTTTGGAAGCCGCGATGTAGTAGGGGTAGAAATGTCGAGGTCCTCGTCGATATTGGACATGCTTCCCACAGACGATGTCTGTCCAGCGTGGTTGCTCAGAGATGACCGGGGTCGGCGGCTCTCCGTGGTTGGATTGGTTGAGTAGTGGCCCAGTGGAGTCTTGGCGCCAGGGCGGCTCTGCTGACTTTCAGGGCGACCAACCGGCACTCCGGAGTGAACACTCTGGCTGAACGAGCTCCGGCTAGAGAAGCTTGTCCGGCTGCTGGGACGGCTATCCCCGGTGCGAGCCCCGAAAGACTGGCGATTCTGCGGGATGTATGAAGGAGTGCCTTCGCTATCTCGCACAGATGAGCCGAAGCTGCTGCCACTCAGTCTCTTGCGAGAGCTTCTCCGAACAGTGATGGTGGAAGGCACCGGGCTGTCTCCGATAACTGACCCTTGACGGGAATGGGGAGATCCACGAGATGATGTCTCCGACGGCGCGGGAAGACGTGACCGGGCAGACTGGACTCGTTCCTCCAGCTTTTGCATCTTGCCGATCAGACCACGGATCTGATACAACGAACCGGATTTGGGAAGCCCGGAGGGGCGGGAGGTCGTCGATCTCGACAAGCTGTTGCGAGAAGAGTAAGACATAGAGGGGGTAGAGCGACCGCCATTGCTGTAGGCGAGAGATGAAGTGCGGGAGTGCGCGGGCCGCGCCGGCTGGGCTCTGGCATTATGCAGGGTCCGCGAGTTGATCGGTTCTGCACCAGTGGCTCTCGTCCGAGGAAATGTGGGCGTCGCGTTGATAGACTTGCGGAAGTTGGTGGAGGCTTCCGAGATGGGCGGCGATGGTGGAGTGGCGGTCGAAGAGGCCAAGGTCGACTTGGCGGGGGGAGTCGCAAATACAGGAGACGAAGTGGCCGTGCCAGGAGAGCGATCGAAGATCTCTAGGGTCTGCGGGGTCGACGGGCTGCGGTACAAGGGGGTCGGCTTGCGACGACGGAACCCATGCCCCTCTGTGTGTCGCAGCTTCTCCTGGACAATCTCGGCCTCAACCTTAAGATCGGAGAGTTCGTCCCTCAAACGTTGGTTATCGATCCGCAAGTCCTCACGCTCCTGCTCTCCACTTCTCATCTCCTCCTCCAAAAGCACTCCGCGCTCGATGGCGATGTTATATTTGGACTCCATGTCTTCCAGAGACGAGGTAGTATTCCGGGCTTGTCGCTCGTAGTCGTCGTTGGCGACTTCGATATCGCGCAACTTCAGCTGCAGTGTGCGGTTGGCATCACGCAGGGAGGTGATCTCCTTCTGCAGGGTGTTTTGCACATTGTTCGCTTCGGTCTTTGATTGTTTGTATTTGGTCTGGACGACAACATATAAGTCACCGCGCTTCACCAGGTTGAGGGATGCATATGCACTGGGTATCATACCTTCCACTCATCCACCTCATAGCGCAAGTTGTCAACCTTCTCCCTTAGCTGTCGCTCTCGCTTCTCCTTGTCCTCCATTTCCTTCTCCATTTCTGCCTCCAGCTCAGTGCTGGAGAGCTGGAAATCATGCAGCTCCTCTTGGATGGACTCATATTGGGCTTTATAGTACTCAATCGTATGTTTGTCTTCCACACCTTTGGAGTCCCTCCCTTTAGAGGGTGAGTCGTCGGCGGCGGGCATCTTCCGCGTTGGGCACCGGGTGACGGGCCGCAGAGCAGATTGTCCGCGGGACCACCCTCCAAAAAAATTGATTCAATCGGAAAAAAGGCCGTACAAGGAGTCACCACACTCCCGATCACCCGCACGGTCAGTTCACGGGCTCATGGAGTGGTGGTGGCTGGCGCAAGTCAACAACCGTGCGTTGTTGATAAGAACCCCTCGGCGAGGCGGCGAGGCGGTGACGCAAATGATCGGGGCTTGTTGACGGTCGACTTTGGCAGTGCACCCTCCACCGAGAGAGCAAGAGGGGTAGAAAAGTAGAGACTGTAACAACGCGACACCAGTCAGACTTACCTTTTCTTTGTTGGGGGGAGAGGGGGTGAGACTCTCCGGTGGAAGGTGGTTGTTGTCGCAAAGCGGGATTGATTAGATCGGCTGAGTGTTGATGTTTCGGTCGTCAGGGGGCCAGTGGCGCTAACCTCGTGCCGGGCGGGCAGTTCTGCCATACCGCCTTGGTGTTTCTGCCTTGTATTTCTGGTGTCAAGGCAGTGTGATGTAAGTTAACGAGTTAGACCCCAAACAGCAAGTGACTGTAATCAGCCGCGCGATCTGGATTCATCCGAGGCGTCCTCGGGTCTCTGGAGTATTTCACCGTGTCTGTGAGTGTCGGTCGTGTTCTCACCGTACGTGCCTCTCTCGTCCCGCCCCGAACGAACTTCCCCTACCTTCCTCCTTCCTTTCATCCCGCCACCGATCTGGGGTTGCTATGCCCACGCACGGCTATCCTTGGATCGGAGGCTGATCGTCGCGATTGCTTCCACGCACTTGTTTACCTCGCCCCTCCGGTTCCCACCCACTGCTCCACGAAGTATACAGACTACTGTGTGCGATGATGATGCGATCCCCGTGCTCACGCCGGTTTTGACAGACAGATCGCCTCCGAGATCGTGGCCCAACCACCCTCGCCCGTCATGGCGGACCCCGCCGACCTGAACCTGGACGCGCCCAGCGACCTCCAGGACATACCTGACCTGGCCATGCAATTGATTCCCCCGCCAGAGGGAACATACCCCGACAAGTCAGTAGCGACATTGTTTTGTCATACCCGATCACACCACATGCTAACCAGCTTCGATCCAGGTCCTCCCTGCTTGCGGCCGTCCAGGACCATGGCAAGACCCACGGCTACAATGTGGTGGTCAAATCCTCCAGCACACCAACTGAGAAGAAGCCGGGTCGAACGGCAAAAGTATGGTTGCGCTGCGATCGCGGTGGTCACTACCGGCCCCGAAATGGACTCACCGAGGAGACACGAAAACGACGCCGGACCTCACGACTGATGGACTGCCCTTTCATGCTCGTCGCAGCTGGTTCCCCGGGAATCTGGACCTTGACCGTACTGAACCCGACCCACAATCATGGACCCGTTGTCGAGAAGCCCCGACAGGTGCCTCACCACAAGGTGCGCAAAGGCCAACTCCCTGCGATTCCATACGACTGGCCACACGATGCGACCTTTACTCCATACACGACTGCGCTGGTGATCATTGACATGCAAAAGGACTGTGAGTGTTTGCGGGAGATTCCAATGCAAGAGGTTCAGGTCGCGCGACTAATCATTATCATTTTGCTAGTCTGCACACCTGGAGGATACATGCAGTACCAGGGCTACGATATCTCTCCAGCACAAGATCTGATTCCCAAGCTACAGCGCCTGCTTCATGCCTTCCGCTCTGGCGGGTTTCCTGTGTATCATACTCGTGAGGGTATGTTGTTGTTCTATACATCCACACACTATCTTTGAGGTCCCCCACTAACCTATCCTTCAGGCCACCGCCCAGATCTATCCACTCTTTCCAGCCGTGAGGCCTATCGTTCCCGCAACAATGCTACCGGTCTAGGCATTGGCTCCCCAGGCCCGATGGGCCGCCTGCTTATCCGAGGCGAGATGGGTCATGACACTGTAGATGAACTGTACCCACTTCCAGGCGAACCCGTCATCGACAAGCCTGGGCGCGGTGCATTCGCACATACCGATTTCGAGCTCATCCTCCGAAACAAAGGTGTCAAGAATCTCGTCATCGCCGGTGTCACTACTGATGTATGCGTCTCAACCACTCTGCGTGAGGCCAACGACCGTGGATTCGACTGTGTGGTCCTGGATGATGGTACTGCTGCAGCCGAGCCTCCACTCCACGCCAGCACCATCGAGTCCATCAAGATGGAGGGCGGCATCTTTGGCGCCGTCGCCAAGCTCGAGGACGTGGTTCACGCCGTCGAGAACTTCAAGTCTGTCACTATGAAGAAGCTGGCTCCTCAGATGACGGTCTGATCTTTTCTTAACTTTCGAACTCTTTGTCCTTTTTAGCGAACTTCGATTGGGATTTTTTTGGAACTGGGAGGAACCTGGCTGGCGTTTTATCTTTCGGGGCAAGGATATCTCTATCTTCTTTCTTGCGGTTCTCTGCCTGGTTGATATTTTATCACTGAAGACCGCGTTGAACCTGATCGTCGTTTCGGGTCTTTGTTTTTGTCTTTGTGATTGGCGGATTTAGCGGGCCTGGGATTTTTCGGTGAAAACCAAGTTGTTTTATTTGTTTTTGGAGGGTCAAAAGCGGTCTTAGCATAGGTTTGCAGCATATATGCTGTCCAATTCTGGTCCTATTTCTGGGTATCATACATAATTGCAGGTTCTATCTTTCTGATGAGACTCAGTCCAATGTAGAAAAGCGACATCAGAATCAGGATCGGTAACAACCAGTCCTCTTTCTTGCTCTTTGTAAGTCTCGCAGCAGATGCACTCCAAGGTCCTTTGAGAAAAAAAACGATGCACCTCCGTAAACGCCACGCTGATAGAGCCACGTATTCAACAAATAACGATATTATATGCACTTAAAGCCACTTCTTCCCCGCGGCAGTGACTCTTGTCCTGAAAACAGGGCTGCAAATTTCCATTCCCTGTTTGTAGAATGGACTCATTGCCGTCTTGACATAGCTCTCGTATACCTCGTTCATAAATTGACGTACTGCCTCCTCGGTCTGCGGGCCGGTCGGGTTAGTCGCAATAGTGCTCGACGAGCCACGCACGGTGTTGCCAGATGATCCCAGTAAGGACGATGATCCGAGGCCGCTACTGCTGGCGGGATTGGGGACAAGCGGAGGCTGGTGGAGGAGAAGGAAACGGGCTCCGCTGGGCGTGAGAAAGGCGGAAATGTAGGCTGCGGCGGGAGGATAGGTGTCGATGTGTTTGAGGTACCTATTTCGAGGGGTTTAGCTGAAGGTTTCCCGCCGGAGGGTAGGTTTAACGATTGGTGTGGTGTTTCTGAGCCTTCTTTCCGCTGAAGGTGGGAAGTAACATACATTCCGCCGTTTGTCCACTGTGCTTCCTCCAAAATGTCTAAACTGGAGTGGATGATGAACTGGTTCATGTACTGCGCTGTGTCCGGGAAGCGGAACCGCGCAATGCCATCGCCGCCGCCTTTGGATGTGCCAAAGGCGATGTTGAAGATCGGCGTATCCGTTGGCGAGAGGATGGTAAAATAGTATGACATTTTGGCGGGTTGTGATTGTAGAGGTATGAGACGGGGGTTTCGAGAGCCATGTTGCCTGAGTGGGCCCGTCGCTCGCCGGTATTTGGTGCAGGCACGTGATCGATAAGTGATTAAACCTATGGGTTGAAGCAAGGATACTGAGCTTAAGGAATGGAGAGTTGGAGAATTTTTATTATACAGAGAGTAGGTAGGATATGGATAACATTAGGATCTCATGGTGTGCAGTTATAGGTGCGCTGTACCGAATGGATAGGTAGTCAGTAAGTATATTTTGGTCCTCGATATGTGGACAGGTAGCTTGGTAGGAAAGAATATATATTGTGTCCACCTCTGGTGTCAGGCAGGTTGTGATTCAACAAGCAATAGTTTTGACGCAGGAACCTACCACGTTCAGATGAGAATAGTATCTACAGCCTACAAAAATTCCAATACACTTAACATAGGCAGCGCTCCAGTGTTACGGTTGATGAGCTTTCTGGACAATACGTAGTGCCATCCCACCCCGCAAACCATGGTCACATGACGGGCTGATAACCAGCCCCTGCTCTATCGGCCTATCTTGTCTTTTTGACTCGGAACGTCATTCACCTCCAACTGCGGTCACGCTGACCTCCTCGAGTCACCCTTTTTTTCAGCTTGCGCATATCATTCTTTGCATACGACCAACTGGGTGACATCGCAAAGATGGCGCCTCAATTCTCTTCTGGGCTAAATATGCCAAACAAGAACTCTTCGGGCCCAAAGCCGGCCAATGCCTTCGGACAGAAGCGCAAGAAGAACATTTTCGATGACGACTCCGGAGAGGAAGACAAGCAAAATGACGGCGCAATGGAAATATCCGCGATCGGTGGACTGGATGTGCCAGTATCGAAATCGAAGCCCTCATCGGATGCCGGACCGCCCCCCAAGCGAAAGCTGCAAATGGGTCTTAGTGGAAAGCCAGGCGCGAAGCCACTGAACAAGTGTTCTATTTTTGCTCATGATGAGGAGGATGATGAAGAGAAGGAAAAAGAGCGCCAGGGAGAGGTGCGCTTCGGATTGAACCAGAGACAATCGAAGAACCCGACTGGCCTTGGCAAGGACTACAAGAACTTGTCTGCGCTACACAGCAGCAAGAAGTATGCCGAAGAGGCAGAAGAACTCGACCCATCAATCTACTCCTACGATGCAGTATACGACAGTCTACACGCGAAGGATGATAAGTCTGCGACTGCCAACAAAAGTGAGGTGCCCAAGTACATGACAAACTTGCTGCGCAGTGCAGAGATTCGGAAACGAGATCAAACACGCGCACGCGATCGTCAGCTGGCGAAGGAACGTGAGGCTGAAGGCGATGAGTTCGCAGACAAGGAGAGCTTCGTTACGGGCGCGTACAAGGCACAGCAGGAGGAGATTCGGAAAATGGAAGAAGAGGAGGAGCGAAAAGAGAAGGAGGAGGAAGAGCGGCGAAAGCAGAATGGCGGTGCTGGCATGGTCGGTTTCTATCGGGACGTGCTGTCGCGTGGTGAAGCCAAACATGAGCAGGCTGTCAAAGCTGCTGAAGAAGCCGCGCGCCGGGTCAAGACTAGCAATATTGACGAGGGTACGACGAAAGAGGCGGAAGAAATGACCGAGACTCAGAAAGCGGAGAATCTTAACGCCCGTGGTGCTCACATTGCCATCAACGACGAGGGCCAGGTGGTCGACAAGCGCCAATTACTGTCTGCAGGACTGAATGTGGCACCGAAACCGAAGGCCGCTCCATCTGCCGCTCCTACATCAGCTTCTCGACCCTCAGCCGGACGCCCTGGCGCCGGAGCTGGTTATCAGACTGGCCGTGCTGCTCAGCGGGCCCGCCAAACCGAGATGATCGCTACTCAGCTGGAGGAGCAAGCTCGGAGAGAGGAGGAGGCCGAGGCTGCCAAGCAGAAGGAAATTGCGGAGAAAATTCGCAGCCGCAAGACAGTGACCGATGTGTCCAGCGCGAAGGAGCGGTACCTGGCGAGAAAGCGGGAGCGGGAGGAAGCTGCAGCAAAGGAAAAAGCCGGGAAGTAACAGGGGAATGTTGTGCTTGGAAAGAACGTTTGGATACTTGCATTTTTTGGTGCTGGAAAAGGAGTCTTATGGGATGTACATTGCAGCGGCGTTCTGGATAGGGTTTACTAGTCATGAATATCTGTATACTACATTAGACGGGGTCCTGACCCACAGGTGGAATGAAAATCTTGATCGAGCCTTGCGAACAACACGCGCACGCAGAGATAGACGTGACAGTATCCGGGGAATGATTAACGATTTGGTTATAAGTGAATCTACCAAGCACCACCGGATACTGATATTGGCCATACTAGACTCTCCCCGCGAATGACCCTCTACCTCGTCCTCACTGGATGAAGCCCTCCGGGGTAACGTAATTCCCGCCCGACCGAGCCACCCGGCCGACCGAGCCACCCTACCCCATTAGAAATTTTTGCATCAAAATATATCAACCAAAACGCATCAATTTAGCTATATCTGACGATTTTTACATTGATTGATCTTATGGCCAATTCCCCTACACCCACTACACCTTGGTGGAGCCCTGGTTGCTGGCTGAGCTAGTTGAATAGCCTCATCGCCCTGCGGCTGCACTACTACTAGAGTGTCTTCAATTGGCTGATTCAGCTGCTGAACTAGCTGTAGGCCCTCTTCGACCGTGAGGCCTCCTTCGTGCACTATCTGTTGTTTAGATCGTGTGCGTTTTTGGCGTATTTTCTGATTCGCTGTGTGTAGATCGCTGTTTTCCTGCGCCAATAGCGCGGCCCCGTGAAGCGATATGCAAGCGCCTTTGATAATCTGATCTAGCACGGTTTTTGATGGGCTCGGAGGGCTATTTGACCGATATCTTAATAGATCCTTCAATATCGAAGCTGATTTTTGCAATTGCACGACCGTCCTGGGTGTTTTTGGGCTAAATTGGCTGCAGCTAGTGGTTGGCCTGCTATTTGGTGGCGATGGCGTTCGGAGTAAGATATTGAGCTTCGAAAGCACTCGATCTGCGTCGACTGGAATAAGACCGGTAGCAGCGAAGCTATTTTGAATAATATGAGGTTGAAAGGCCTCCGTGCGCGCCCGGGCGTACTCTGCGAGGAAATCGAACTTGTCGATATGGTTATACGACGCACGAGCAAGATCGCTTACGTAGCGACCGTATGCGCGTTTTAATATAGCAAAACACCTAACATCAAGCGGTTGTAAAAGATGCGAAGAGTGTGGAGGCATACAAAGTGGTATAACATGATTTTCTGTGCAGATCTGGTCGAATTGAGGTGTAAGATGGCTACCGTGGCCGTTAAGAATCAAGAGTCGATATTTCCCCTTCGTACGTGTCGTCGTCGCTGGAATGAATAGCTTCTGTAGCCACCGAAGGCTAATTTCATCGGTAGTCCAGCCGTTTGGCGAGACCTCGATACGCCAATCTTTTGGAAGCTTCTCGTCGAACCACGACGCTATGAAGTTTTTACCTTTGAATATCACGCATGGCGGTAGCGAGTAGCCATCAGCGCTAACTGCTTCGACCGCTGTAACCCATTCACGATTACCCGGTTGTAAAATCGATCGCCGACCATAATATTCCGCCCTTGTAACGACCTTCTGTGTAGCTATAATCCCCATAGCGAAGCCGGTCTCGTCAAAGTTATAGATATCCTCCGGTTGGATACCATTCGCGTCGATAACATCTTGTACGGTCGTAAACCAGGCTCGTAGTGAGGTAGGGTCTTCGTTTTGGGCTCTTTGGTAATCGTAGCGTCTAGAGAATGCTGAACGAAGCTCAGGGCGTCGTTGCACGAAGCTTGATGGCCAATTTTTACCTACAGTAGCTGGAGGGTCTTCACCACGCGTAGCTAGTAGAATATTGGCCATTTCTCGCACCATAGAGGGCCTAGGCGCTGCACCACGCGTATCCATAGAGATTATCCACTCAGTAAGCGAATCCTCTTCGTATTGGGTCAATTTATGACCAGATGGGCGCACATCGACGCGTGGGAGGCGGCCGACAGCGCGGTGTTGTAGTGTAGTGCGAGGTATTGCGTATAGCTTCGCTGCTGCGCGTATAGACTCGACACGACCATTTTTGATATCGTCAAGGGCTAATAAGATCTTGCCCTCTTGATTGGCTGATTTCTGAGCAGATCCAGAGCGAATTGGTGGCATGGTAGGTGGTTGAATTAGGTGGGTGGGTTAGAAGACGCGTTTTTTGATGGGGTGGCTCGGTCGGCCGGGTGGCTCGGTCGGGCGGGAATTACGTTATGTTAAGTCCGGCTGACTTAGCCACCAAATTGGGTCTCCAACTGGATGACTCATCACCGGAGAAACTCCTTATCCCGCCGCCGAACGGGGCCCTCGCTAAGGCCGCCCCACCCGGACACACTCCCAATTTTGCAATCCTACGATCGTGTGTGTCGAGAGTCTCGCTTCCTTCCCCTTCAACACCTCGCAACTCCCACTCCATCGCCAACAATCATCCAACATGGGTAAGGTTCACGGCTCTCTCGCCCGTGCCGGTAAGGTCAAGGCCGCTACTCCTAAGGCAAGTGCCCCTCTTGAACCTCTTTTGCGCCGCCTAGGGGCCGAGACAGATTACACGGCCATCTGCCCGGCCGCCCAGGACCGCTATCCATCGATCCGACCTCATCCTAACTGGAATTCTGCGTACAGGTCGAGCCCCAGGAGAAGAAGAAGAACCCCAAGGGCCGCGCCTACAAGCGTATCCTGTACACCCGCCGTTTTGTGAACGTTACCCTGACCGGTGGCAAGCGCAAGGTACATTTCGAATCACTTTCCATCACCCATCACCCACTGCACACACTACACACATCACACCACAACTCGATGACTCTTTGCGACAAATTCCACACCCGCCCATATCCTCCAATACACACCACCCGAACTGGAAAGAACTTCACACTGACAGGAACCCACACAGATGAACCCCAACCCCGGCACATAAATCACCAAAACCCCCTAGTCATGACGGAGGGTCGAGTTTTCACCGATGTTTGAACCCACAATATTCGCGAAACCTGGCACCCCGGCCTACGGCTCACCATCGAACGAAAGTGCTTCCCAGATAATGGCTGGCTACTTGTACGGATGATATCATGCTTCGCGTTCACTTGAATTTTTTTTCGGCAACCGGGTCGGTTTTGCAGAGGCGGACGTTTGGGAAATGTATTGTGGAAGTCATGGTAGCCTGAGGATGAAAGGGTGTTTGCTTTGCTTTGGACTGGGAGCCAGCCAGTCACGGGCTGGGTTGAGCTCTGTACGGTCGCTTTCAACTCGTACATAGGCTATTCCATGCATTACATTTCCAATCCAGAAATGGAGTCTTGCCTAAGTGCGCACTTTTTTAAGGGGTTGGGATCTGTTGGTGCCGTCACCGCAAAATGGATGGGCTGGGATACACTCTCCCTGCTGTGTTCGCAGTATGACGAGCTACGATCTTGTAGATGCCCCACGTAGATAGGAGTGCGGCTCAGCTACGGAGGAGTTAGCCCAGCCTGGACGAGTCCTGTTGGACTTTTGACCTATCATCTATTCGGCCAGAACGCTCCACAGTATGTACTTTATCGACCTGGAGAGATGATCCGAGGTACAGGATCTACTCATAGTAGTAGGTACCAAACTGTATTGAGCCCCGGCATGCTCACGGCGCCTGTGGCATAGAGGCACAGGGTCCTGATGTCCTTGAATGCATCGGGGCCAACCGCCACTCCCAGTGCAGCACAGGCATCCAACAAGATCCCACCAAAGATGCGGGCAATAGGGGTCCGCCCCCAGGCAGACAGGCTTGGCGTCTTTCGCATAAACTAGTTTTAAGACGGACCTAGGGCTGTCTGGCTTGGCCTCTTTTATATCAAACTACAATCTTACTATCGTTATTGCCCATCGACTGGTGTCATTTCCATTGTTGACATCTGACGATATGATGCTACCGTCGCCGGCCGTTGGCCTGCCCAAAAATAGAGCAACCAAACCAAGTTTTGCCCTGATCGGCTCTCTCGATTTCCAACGCAGGTTGGGGTGTTGCGCGCCCGGTACTGGGACCTGGGTCTTTGACACCCCGGAGTATAAGTCATGGCATGATGGAGACTTGCAAACCCTACTCACTATCCGTGGCCCATTGGGCTCAGGCAAATCCGTTCTCGCTGCTTCTATTGTGAATAAGCTTCAGCAGACTGAGAGTGATGTTCCATGTCTGTTCTACTTCTGCCCCAAGAGGCCCCATACACCTCTACTGAAGAGTCCCTGGCGAAAGAGCCTGTCTTTTGGCCTTGTTCTGGACTGGCTTGTCCAGGCGGTTGAATTTGTGCCGGGTTTACAAGACACGCTCGAGCATCTGTCTCAAGGCTTGCGGGGGTCATCCCGGCATAGGGAATGGAAGTGGAGCGATTTCGACTGTGTGGACGTGATGCAGCTATGGAAGCTGCTGGTCGAGGCCGTCGAGGATTTCCCCAAGGTATACTGTGTTATTGATCATGTCGATGCGTTTCAAGACCCGGAAAATGTGGAGTTCTTGAAGGAACTGCTGCGCTGGAAAGATCTGCATCCTGGTAATGTCAAGATATTGTTCACCAGCAACTCTGTTACGCCTATCGACAATGAGATCAGCCTGGGTATGGACAACGAGAACTTGCGCCAAGATGTGTGCACGTTCTTGGATGCCCAGCTCAAGACTTTCGGTGTGCCTGAAGACACAAAATCCAAGATTGGAGATGCACTAGTTTCAAAGTCGTTTCTCTATGTCCGTCTCTGGCTGTTCTTAACGCAAGACAGCGACATCATGAGCATCTCTCAACTTCTGAACGAGCGGAACCCAACCCTGTACGCTCTATACGATCGCATTTTGGAGAAATGCAGGGTTGGGCCACTTGTGGCCGCGGAGTACCGGCGAACGGTTCTGTCTCTGATTCTCTATGCTGCCCGTCGTCTTCGCCGTCTGGAAATTCTTGCCGCCCTCGAAGTGCAATATGGATCTCAAGTGAATCACCAGCATTTGATTCAATCAGCCTTCGGACCGCTGCTAGAGTTCGTTGGTGATGAAACACCACCATCAATTCATGAGTCCTTTATCGCTTTTGTTCATGATAAGAATCGAAGCCCGGAAAGCCAGGGATTAGTCCCTGTCGTTTCACCAGCGGACGTACACCAGCATCTCGGAAGCATCTCCATAAAATGTCTGATGGGCAGCCTCCAGAAACCAGAGGAGTTGGCCGACGGGAATTGGGGTTCTACCAAGGCATGGGACGATGCAAAGAAATCCCACCCTTTGCTTGACTATGCAGCATCCAACTGGTTCCTCCATGCACGGGAACTTCCAAACATTACAGGAGAGTTCCGAGAACTTCTGCTCCAATGGTGGGGAGAAGGCAAAGAATGTGCAGCTCGTTGGATTGAGGAAATATGCAAGCCAGACAAAAAGGCAATTTCCTCTATCGCACCTATCCATGTCGCCGCTTGGACAGGAGCTCCAGCAATGATACCCCTTGCCTTGGAGTTGGGCTGTTCGTATAACCAGAGGATGAGCGATGGAACTTCCCCACTGGCTGTTGCTTCAATGTATGGACACGAGGAGGTAGTCACTACCTCTTATGCCGAGGCGGAGACCCAAATTTAGTTGATCAGCATGGTGACAACGCAATTGACCTCGCTGCACGTCAAGCTCATCTCAATATCGTGCGGATACTAGCCGAGGCTAATGCGAATGTCAATATCACCGAGGAGGAGAAGGAAAGATCAAACCGCTCAAAGAGAGACTCCCGTCGAGGAACATGCGATCAAGCTTATCCCCGATCAGCATCTGCTTTCTCAAAGGCTCTCACGGCCCGTAACATGGAGGTAGCCCGGTATCTTATTTCCTTTGCCAATGATCCGCATGACTTTGCTAAGGGACTGGACGACGCTGCAACTGAAGGAAATATTCCTAAAATTGAACTTCTCCTCAGCTCGCCCTTGGCAAATGTGAACGGGAAATGGTCCAGAGACACACCACTTTTCCGCGCCGGGCTATCTCATCATTATGACACCATGAAGTTTCTTCTTGAGCGGGGCGCGGATCCCAATATAGCCTCCAGGGGGCTGCGCTCACACGGTTGTATCGTGGTTGGCTGGAAACTCGGTGATCCGGACTCTATTCCCCTCCACGCCGTTGCCGGATTCGGCGTTGGCGGAATGCGCTACTGGAGGAGTGTGGACGAGGCACGTCTTGAGAAGGCTCAAAAATGCTGTCAGTTGCTGCTAGATGCAGGGTGCAATGTGAATGCCCAGGGACACCGCTATCAGACCCCCCTCCACTATAGCGCTTCCCGAAACCTAACGACAGTGACGGAGCTTCTCTTGCAGCATGGGGCAGACTATATCTGACGGACGAGGACGGCAAATCTCCATTAGATAAGATTGGCAGTGACAAGAAATCCCTTGCCACAATTGAGATTTTGACCAAGCATGGACTGAAGCTGGATGAGGCTCGTGGTCCTGAGGGAAAGATTCCACTTCATTCAATGGTCCAGGGGTTGAGAGCCATGGATGTGTTTGATCCAACCAGCCTCGATCCGTATGTAACTGATTGGAATATTGCAGACAAAGATGGGAACGCCATTTTGAATCTCCTAATCGGCTCTTATGCGTCGAACCCTGAGTCCATCTCGAAGCTTGTGCAGATCGGATGTGATGTTCAGAAGAAGAACAAAGATGGCCTAACGCCACTGCATACGCTATGTCAGCATTGCATTAGCTTCAACGTGGAGGAACGCGATGCGGTGGTTAAACTACTCGTGAAAGCTGGGGCAGACATTGAAGCCAAAGACGCCAAAGGTTGTACGCCGCTGCATCATTTGGTACAGGCATCGACAAACCGCCCCTCTGAGACGCAGCAGCTCATCCCTAGGTTTGTCCATACGTCTGGGTCTAACATCAATGCGATTGATGAAGATGGCAATGGTATATTGCACATGCTTTTCCAGGGAGAGCCTTCCAGTATTTTCACCGAACTGGTGGATCTAGGTGCCGATCCTCGGTTGACGAACTTCAAAGAGGAGACTATAGTGCATCATTTGATGAAAAGTCGTCTTGCAGAGAAGGCTGCCATTCCGGTGGACTTCGTCCAACGGCTCTTGGAGTATGGGCTCTCCAGCACTGCCCGGGATCGAGATGGGAATACTCCACTCCATATTCTCTGCCGAACACGACTGAGTCCCAAATCCGATACATGGCCATCTGACCAGGTGGTCGACGTCTTGCTTTCCGCTGATGGCGGCAAAAAGCTTTAGAGATGGAGAACCATCAGGGTTTGCGGCCACTTGATTTGGCTGCGGCCAACAACAAGCTACTCCTGGCGAAGCTCATTTCGAAGGGTGCCTCTACATCGAGCCCGAAGATGAATGGCCAGAACCTACTTCATGTTGCTGCTTCAGCCCGTGAAGGAAACATTGTCGGGTTCATGATAGACCGTTATCGTGAGGCGGAAAAGCTCAATCTTGTGCTGAACCAGCCTGATCAGGATGGATGCACACCCTTACATGTAGCCTGCAAATCTGGCTCAAAGGAGAGCGTCTGGCTGCTAGCGGAAGCCGGAGCAAAGATTGACATACGTGACAATGCCGGCCGTACCCCTCTAGAAACATGCCAGCAATTAATCGATGAAGTGGCCCAAAACAGTGCAGGATCCTTCGCGAGACAACCCAACTATCACTATCATCCCTACCAACATGGAAAGTTTGGATCTGAGCCCAATTCTCAAACAAATGATGGAGGACAGATGGTGGAAATTACGCATTTTCTTGGACAAGCCGTGGGCCAAGCGCCCCCACTGAGAGGAGATTATATGCCTGACCCCAAGAAACATGTCCGTTATCGTGAATGTCTGTACACCGAGATTATCAGGAAGGGTGACTATGGAGTGTTCCAGAGATTCATCGAACAAGGAATGGACTTTGCCCCTATCAAGGATAGAAGCACACTTGACCCCCTCACTCTTGTTGCAGATGGTGGGTATACTTTCTTGTTCGACATGGTCGCTCAGTCATTCCCGGACAAGTCCTGGCTCATGGGGAACAAGGTTGCGCCGCCCTACTTTTTGACCGCTGTGATGACCACAGAGCCTAACATGCCAATCATCCGGCTACTTGTGGAAAAGTTTGGAGCTGATGTGAACGTGACAAAGAGCGGCAGCACTACTATCTGGGATGGAGAGTGCGGGAACTGTGAATTCGGTGCCCTGCATATTATTGCCCGAGGCTATGTCTGGTGGCATAAAGAAGTCCTAAAGTACTTGCTGGAGAAGGGCGCCGACCCCAATCTGACCGATGAGAGTGGCCTTTCCCCGTTAGATGAGAAGATCGAAGATCCCGAGGTAGTTGATCTCCTTGTTCGCTATGGAGGGAAGCCAAATCGCCCCGATCGCTCTCGTGCCCTCTGCAAGGCTATAGAAGACCGGAATCTTCAGGCTGTGCGGGATATTTTGGACTTTGGACAAGATCCCAACTTTCGACTTCCGGAACAGACTCAACCATCTGATCCGTCGTTTGGAATAGGGGCCCCAGAGAAAACATCGCGAGGTCACTCCAAGAGAAGTCCCAGATATTCCGGAATTCGAGAAGGATACCCCCTGGAGCTCGCCGCAGCCGGCAACTTCGATGAGGACCGTGTGCATCGTGCTTTGCCTATCGTCAATCTACTGCTGGAATATGGTGCCGACCCTTTCAAGCAAAGCAAACGTGACGAGAAGAGAACGATTTTGCACCAACTCCTTGTAGAGTCGGAATACTTGACAATCTGCGAGCCATTCCTCAACCAGAAGGGCCTAAACCTCGAGACTCGCGATTCTTATGGCGATACCTTAATTCCTGGCAGCTTGCAAGCACCGGAATCGGTCCATGAAAAACTCCACGCAATTCGTGCGCTGCATGGCGCTCCACCAGAGAGGTGCCGATATCAGTGCCATGAACGACCAAGGAGACAACGTTCTACATATCTTTGTGTCTCCCTCTAGCAAGCAGTCGGATGAAGAGGAGAGGAAAGAAGCTATCTCTCTATTCCTCCGCCAGTGTCCCGACATCGTTCACCAGCGCAACAAAGCCGGCTTCACGCCGCTTCAGACTAGTTGGAAACATAGTCAACGCGACTGGGCCTGGCAGATACTCCTCGATGCAGGTGCTGATTTCATGATACCCACTCCAGATGGAGACACCGTGATTCATGCATCCTTAAGAGCGTATCTGAACTGGACAAAATGGTTTAGCCGCTTCCGAAACTCAGGGATCGATATAAATACTCAAAACAACTCTGGCGAAACACCCATATTCAGTTGGGTGAGATCACCGGCTGTTTTGATAGACGAAGGGGCGAGCTTCCTATCACCTGAGGCGGAGGAAGAAATGTGTCACAAGACGATTGTGTTCTTCAAGGAGGTGGGCTTCGACTTCCATGTGCTAAACTCCCATGGACAGAATTTGCTGCATGTCCTGGCCCAATCGTATGTCCAGAAAGGGTTCACTGGAGAGTTTGGAAAGCCGCCCCGTGAGACCCTTATTCTGTTCAAGGAATTTGTTGAACATGGGCTAGATGCTTCGGTTCAAGATAAGAAGGGTTGGTCTGCGTTAGTAGGTTCATCTCTGAGACTAAGAATTATACTATGGGTCATGACGCTAATTGCTTTATAGGACTATGCTGTTTCAACTGGTAATGAGGATCTCTCGGAGTGGTATGGGAAGAGTCGGAAGTGAGTTTGCCAGTCTACTAGCCTGTCTTGGATATTCTTGAATTATTGGACTGGATCATTTGTTCCATCGATTTACACTGCTTGTTTAAAATCACTTCTCTGGACTAGCGTGACCATTGAACAATGCTACATGAGTCATGCCACACGCAATCTATGGATGAGAAGTAGATGATCGACAATCCCCCTCGAAGAAAATCCAGCTCGATCAATCGGGTGTCCGCCGTTGACGGCTCAGCCCGCGAAATGAAGAAACATCCCATCGTGAACGATCACCAATCGTAGGACGCCCGTAGCTTCTCAAACAAACTAAAGGTCATGACATCGATGGCTACCGGATCTCAGCGTACAAACAAAGGAGGCATGATCTCATTCGCGGTCGGGACGTCCGGAGTTGACATTGTTTGGGTGGCTCTCGGGGTAATGACCTCACCGCTGTGGTATCCATGGATCGCTGTAGTTCAATTAAGCAAGTTAAGGTTGTCGGGATGATCGCGACCAGATGACTAAGGGGAGGATCACCACTCACAAACAGCATTCTGGAGCTTTCTGGTGGGCATTCACTAGCTACTAAGGATCTGAGTCTTGGTGAACCAAGTCTTTACGTCACCGGCTTTGATTACTGTGGAACTCAGCCGTTCATTCGTGCGACGACCATCTATTGTTTCCTAACTTGATAGCTATACCCCACACTCCAGCACCCGAACCAATACGTCTACTCCACACTCCATAGTCGTCATGGGGATTCTGTGCTGTAGACGATAAATGTTGACATTCATGCCCAAAAGCTCAAGAAGTCAATCAGATTCATTGCGGATCGCGAAAGTAGTCAATAGTCAACTAGGGGAGCAATCAGATTTCCCTTCAGAATCGGCTCCAAAACACTTCCGATTCATCACGCGACTTGTCATAGCCAAGAGACTCTAGGACGAAACACAGTGACGGAGCTTGAAAGTTAATACAGAGACATCACCTGGTCGCCGGCTCCACTTCCGCCCTCCATCCCGCATCCCCCAGCATCATCGACTTCGCTCTCCTGCTGGAAGGGATGGATTGTGGACTCTCATTTGCTGTGCTGATCCGCTTGCAGTGTTGGAATTGAGCTAGAAGCAAGGTATACTGTTGTGTGTGATTGGTGAGGTCGAGGGCCCCAAGACTGCAGGGCCTATCGATGACCGTCCCCTCTCGGGACCCCCGAGGCCAACCCATGATGCAATGATGGAGGGGAAATTAATTTGTCTATTAATTATCTGCAAGTCAGTTCAACTTTTGTTACCATTTTATACTTTGCAATAACAACAACTGAACTCAATGACTATATGATAATCCTCAATTTCTATTACGACCACACAACCATCAATTTCTATACCTCCACCATATCTTCTTTATCTCTATATCTATCTCTTTTGATACCCAATAACAACAACATCCACCATGTCCTCCAACGAAATGAAAACCGAAGCTGAGCAACATGGCCAAAGCCTTGGCGCTCGGCTGACCAAGAAACTGAGCAAGAGACTCTCGATCAACACTGGCTCGAAAGAGGGAGCGAAAGAAGGCACAACGGCAAGCTCAAGTAGAGAGGCTGCCCACGATAGTGGCACTGGCCATCTGGCTTTCGACAACGGCCAGGAGCCCCAGGAAGGAGTAAACAAAGGAAACGTCAGCGGTGCGAAGAACATCGCAACAAAAGGGGAGCACACAAAGGATACCGGCAGTCAGGGCGATATGAAGGGTCCCGCGACAGGGATCGGATTGAAGGGGGATAATGTCAACAAGAAACCTGCGGAGGAAGTCAGCAAGCGGCTTGGAGGATACAGACCCAGTATCAGCCATGGGCCGCCCGAACCTAATGACGACATCAAAAAGGGTCCCATCACGACAGGGACCCAGAGAGATACTGGACGAGCGGGTCGGGCTGGATCTGGGAGCAGCAGCCAACGTGGAAGAGTCAGTACAGGCAAGATGGAATCCAGTCAAGACCAGACTGTAGCCTCCCAAGGCCGGCAAGAGATCAGTGAAAGCCAGCAAGGGCTCCAGCAAGCCCAGTCAGGCATTCACACCAGCCAGAGCCAGAAGGAACTGAGGAAAGAGCAACCGGGACTCGGTCAGGGCGAGGAAAATCTCAACCCAAGTCAGCATCAGCTTGATCAAAGCCAAAAGGAAACGAGTCCAGGCCTACCCAGCAAAGGCACTGTCGCTGGAGGAACCTTTGGCGGCCAGCAAATGTTGGATCAAGAGCTTCGCGATCAATCCGCCATAAGCGATGACGTTTTCGGTGATGGAGACGCCGGTAAAGCTTCCATGTCAACGCCCAAGTCCGGAGCCAAGTCCTCGCCGAAGCCCGCGTCAAAAGGTGTTTTCGGCGGTGGCGCTTTCGGCAACCTCTTCAGCCGAGCGTCGGGCCAAGGCAGATCCTCCAAGAGAGACGTCGCCCAAGAAAAGGAGGAGATGACTTCTAAAACCACCGAGCAACATAAAATTAGTCGACATACTGGTACTGGTGCTGGAGTCGGTGCTGGAGTCGGTGCTGGAGTCGGTGCTGGAGTCGGTGCTGGAGCCGGTGCTGCGATGGGAGGCCTGGGCCTGAGCAAAGGTGCCATGGACAAAGGTGCTATGGATAGCGGTGGCAAGGGTCAAGCTGGTATCAGCAAGACTGGAATGAGCGAAGAAGACCCTGCTATGAGAAGAAAAAGTCAAGAACTGTCTAGCCATGGGGGTACCGTGAGAGGAGGCACTGCTGTAATGAGTGGTCCCATCGATTCATCCAGCACCACCACCTCGTCAGATAAAGCCGGCGCAGCTGCAGCCACCGGAGCTGCAGGTGTGATCGGCGGTGCCGGAATGGCCGGTAAATCTGCAATGGCTGGAACTCGTGGCACTGGCCTAAAGCAGGATGTCAGTCAGCAAGGTCTCAAGCAGGATGTCCAGAGCCGGGGATATGGAAGTACTACCGGTTCTACCACCACCAACACCAGCGGAGTGTCCACGCGAGCTGTCAAGGGTCTGGGTGGCAGAAATTACAAAGTGACTATCTTGCAGGAAAAGGCCCAGGCTGTTTCCCAGAAGTGCAAGACTCAGCTGGGCATGTCCGCCAGCGAGATCAGCCAACGCAGCCCGACTGTTGACGCTTTTTTCGACGCGGTGGCAGCTGAGCGTCTGCGCTGGATGCCTCGTGATGGTAGCAGACTCGATTGTAGTCTTCGATGGGCATCGCGACTCGCATATGCAGTCAACGCTCTTCGGCAGTCGATTGGGGCTTTTGCCCCTGGTGTCGATATGGCAGCCCAGTTGATTTGGGGATTCGAGATTCTGTTGCTGGAGTCTGATATGGACAACACCGACCGCTTCGAAAGTGTCTTCGGCCGATACGGTCGCGTTGCTGTCGGCATTTATCTCTTGTTGCAGTACGAGACCGCGTACAAGGCCTCTCCAGAACTCCAGCCCGAAGCCGCTGCCGTCTTTGCTGATCTACTAGATATGGTCTGTGCTACAACGACAAGCTGCGTCGAGGGATTCAAGGCCAAGGAACCTGACCAACTCATTGGGCACAATGTTGATGCAGCCTTTGTTACCTATGCCAAGCGCTATTCAACCCATTGGAATGCCATTGTCGAGTCAACTACCTCGGAATTGGTGAACCAGAGCTCTTTGATCTACTCGAGTCCCGAGCTGGGCAGCCTTCGCCAGTTCCTCGGGGTGCAGGATCGCCCGCTCCAGTTCATTCTCGAGTCTCGTACCCACTCCCTTGCCGAGGGCTCTTTCGAGTGGTTCAACAGCACCCTGTATGAGTTCTCGGTCGGCAAGTCTCCAGTGATGCTGGTGACTGGTGGTACTGGATCTGGAAAGAGCGCCCTCGCACAGTGGACCGTTGAGCGTGTGCAGGAATCGGCTGAGCATAACAACTGGAATGTCATTCCGTACACAATTCGTGAGTAATACTGTTCTGACTTTGAATGCACTAGACTGATTGAACTAGGCGCCGACATTCCTGTCGCAACCCTTCCACTGCGCATCCTGAAGGGTATCCTGCACCAGATGCTCGACCACTGCGTCAGCGACAAGCGCACCCAGGAGGCAATTCTGGTCCATGTGGCCAAGGCGGCGCAAGGTGCACTGGATGGAGCAGGTGACGGTCAAGTGGAGGAGTGCCTCTGGCGAGGCATCCGCACTGGCTTGGCCTCGAACATCCAGTACATGTTTGTTGTTGATGGTCTGGACCAGATTAAGGGTGGAGATGCCGACGCAATTGGCGTTCTAGATAGCTTCAACAAAATCCTTTCTGAGCAGAATACCGGCTCCAAGATGATCGCCTTCACCAGACCGCTCAGCACCAAGCCATACTCTGCCAACATCGAGCAGCTCACGATGCAGACGTCGCATACTCGCACTGATCTCGTCGCTTACGTCAACAAGATGCTTTCCGGTTCACATTTTGATAGCATGAAGGGTAATCAGCTCCAGACTGCCGTGTCTACCATTGTCAATCGCTCTCAGGGCTCCTTCAGCTGGGCCGAGATGGCTGTTGAGTATGCTAAACAACAGAGGACATTGGGGCATGCAGTTGCCTCGGTGCAAAGCCTGCCACAGTCCATGCCCGAGCTGCTTGATTTCCATATGAAGAATTTAGATCTCGGGCAGCATGAGGGACTGTGCATCATGTCTTGGCTAGCTGTTTCTGAAAGACCGCTATTAGTCGAAGAAGTGGAGCAGCTCCTCAGCGTCGAGCCTACGGAACCCAGCTTCCTGTCGCGTATGAGCCAAAGTGACAGCCAATGGTCGAGCGCGCTGAGCCCTCTAGTGATGACTCGCGACGGCGTGGTCTCCTTTGCGCATACATCCATCCGTGATCATGTTATCAAACAGGCCAGATCGGCCAACGCCAAATCGCCGCTCAACCTGAAAGAAGCCCACCACGATCTTCTGATGAGATGCCTTGCCTGGGTTCAGCTGAGCGTCCGGGAGGAGGTTGAGATCTCTATGGATAAATTAAGCATGGAAGAACGCAACCATCTTTTCGACAAATATACCATCTTGGAGTACACTGCTCGTTACTGGATATCCCATCTCCTCTCGTCGCCTCTGGTGACCGATGAGGGCGAATTCCAGTTTACAACAAGTTTCAAGAAGCTACTTCCGGCTACAGTCCTCTTCACACGCCTTGAGCTGACGTGCAAGGAGTCGCAGTTCACGCGGTCTAGTGTTGTGGAACTCTACCGTCTTGCGACAGATGTTCGCCGGCTGATTCTGGGCGAGAAATCCATGGCACTTCTTCAGAGCCTGTGTCTCAGTGCCCGTGTATCCAAACTCGCTCGCGCCAGTCATGCCGACGACCACTGCTACGAGGCATGGAAACTTAGCCAAGAGCTGCTGGGTCAATCGGACTCGATCACTTTGGCCTGTGCCGAGATGATGACACAGTCTTTCAGGGAAAGAGGTACTATGACCGCCCAGCAGGAGGATATCATGAAGTACCTCATCCTGACAGACTCCGAGATTACTGGAGTTGCGTTCAACCAGCGCCTGAGTTACCTCGGCATGATTGTTAGCATGTATAAGTCTCGTGGCGACAACAACTCTGCCCTTACTATCTCAAAGCAGTTCTATGAGCAGGTCCTTTCGAAATACGGCACCAACTCAAGACAATCATCAGAGGCTGCCGACTTCTTGACCAGCCAGTTCTCTGCTACTGGCAGCGACGAGATGAGTCGAGACATTGCCAGAACAAAGTACGACACTGTTGTCCGCACAATGGAAGTCACAGAGGAGCGTCGTATCAAGTATACTTTGTACATGGCTCAATTGTACGAGCAACAGGGTCAAAATGCCCAATCCCAGGCAGTGCTATCAAGCCTGTGGTCTGGTCTCAATGCCTGCGACATTGACTCGGTTGACATGATGGACAAGAAGTCCAACGTCGCCCTCGCTTACTATCAGTTCCTCCGTCGTCAGGGCCGTAATGACGAGGCTGAACTTGTCATGCGTGAACTTGTTGCGGACCTGGAGGTTTCTGGCATCCGCTCGCCGGAGATGATGCAGCGAGTACAGTTGCTGCGCGCCGAGACTCGCAAGATGAACATGTACAGCCTGGATCGCTCTCTGTCCGTCATCATGTGGCACTACTACAAGGAGAACCACCAGGAATATACACCTGAAGCTAGAGCCCTGGCACTGTCGCTGGCAGAGGGCATGGCCAATACAATCTCCATTGAAGACGCCACTGTGATGTCTGGACGCGACCGCAAGTTGATGGTCGAGCTTCTTGATTCCATCACCTCATCGCCAACCAACCTCTCTGCGGCCACCTTGATCCTATGTCACAATCTTGCAAGTATCTATATACGCGAAGATGACTGGTCTGAGGCCATTGACTGCTCCAAGGCAGTATTGAAGCACGTATATCCGTCGGTCGAGCGACCTCGTTCTTACATGAAGTTCACGACTGAAATGGCGCCTCCTGTTGCTGACTTGGCTTTGATCCTCGCCTATGCCCATTTCCGGAGTCTGCATCTGGAGCAGGCCAATACCGTCTATGAAAATGCTTTTGGATCTCTGGTCGCATCGGATAGAGTGCCTGTGAGCTCTGCCCTGGCCGTCGCCAAGGCTGTTGTCGAATTCTACGAGACTACCTTCCAGTTCCCCAAGGCACTTAGTCTGCTCCATACTGTCAGCAACTTCTTGACGTCTCGACTTGGGGAGACGCACACGCATAGCATTGAAAATATGTATGTGGAGGCTGCACTGGCCAACCGCTTGGAGATGAACAATGAGGCCAAGAGCGCGTACGAGCGTATCTACAAGAACACTCTCCGCGGCGGGGTCGTTGCTTCGGAGGGCATGGATGCTGCCCTTGCTCTTATTGGTCTCTATGAGAAGGATTCGCAGTGGAATCCGGCCCTGGATATCTACCGACACCTCTGGCCTACTCTTGTCGTGCTAGAAACCACGCAAGCCTATGATCGGTTGCAGACAGAACGTCTTCTTGAGAAGACCTACCTTGGCTACATGACCCTCCTGACCACGCGCATCAAGAGCTCTGACTTCTCCGAGCGCTACAAGGTTTCCTCCGATTATGTGACGACCTGTCGCAATGTGTACGGTCCCACTCATCAGAAGACACTTAGTGCGACTTTGCTCTTCGCCGAGCTGTGTGAGACAACCGATTCGTACACAGATCAGGCCATCGCGCTATACAAGCAGACTTTGCAGACGAGTGATTGGGTGCCAACCTCAGAGTCCACTAAGGTTTTGGACCAGATGACCCAGCCGCTGCCAATCACTCTCAAGCATAAGCTAGCTCAACTGTTTGTCCGCAAGCGTGACTCCACCAGCGAAGCTCGCATGTTGTACACCGAGGAGTTCCAGCTCGCTAAGAAGACCCAAGGCTTCTTCTCCACTACCACATTGTCCTGGCTTCGCGAACTCGCTCTTGCTCATTCTCGCCAGGGCACTCCTACTTCCGTCCAACAGGGCAATGCCCTCCTTCACAATTATATCACTGAGGTCCTGCACGCCGGTGGCGACTCCGACATGATGGCCAATTGGGCACGCAAGATCGCCGCCATCTACCTCGAGTGCGGCTTCATTGAGGGAGGCAACAATGCTCTTGATGAGATACGCCAGCGCGTGGTGTATGGATCCGACACTTCTGTAACGGTCCTAAGTGAACGTCGTGAGGCCATCTTTGTGGCTGCCTTTGAGGAAGCCTTCGGTCGTCGTGCCACTTCTGATCAGATCATGAGCGAGATGGCGCGCGAGATGCAAACCCAGCAGGCATTCTCCAAGAACCTGTCTGGACATGACTTCATCCCAACCTTGGTGTCTGGCGATAACCTGGCTCGCCTACTAACAGACCAGAAGCGGACCCGTGCTGCGATGGACACGCGCACCAAGCTGTACGAGTATTTCTGCACCACGCTTTCCGCTAGCTCGATCGCCGACCGGGATATCGTGAAACAGTTCTACAAGATCTGTCTCCGAGAGGTGCATAGTGAAAATTATAACCTCAATATCCTCACGACAACCACAAAACTTGTCCGCGACCTGTGCAACTCGTCTCGCTTCCAAGACGCCAGTGACGTGACAGGCGTGCTGCATTCGTTCCTCCACCTCACCGATGGCCTCAACAACTACGACAGCATCACGATGGCTACAAAGCTGTGCCTGTACCTCAGTGGCCATCAAGCTACCAAGTGTGAGAACAAGATGCTCTCTGCCGAGATGTCTGCCAAGTCCAAGATGCTCTTGCAGGAGCTCATGGAATCATCGAAGGCTATCGGCCTCGAGATCGTTGACCTGCCGTTCAACGAATTGAACGATATCATCACCCTGCTCGGCGAATACGAGATGTTCGACGATTTAGAAGCCATTCTCACTCAACTTTGGACCTCGCGCATCGTTCAGCGCACCTGGACACCCGATGTCGTCGTTTGGATTGGACGTCGCCTCGTCGAAACTCGTTTCTGCCGTGGCGCTGTTGATTCAGCCATTCAGCTTTGTCGCGACATTTGCTACAATCTGCGCCAGGTGTGGGGTTCATGCGACCCCGTTACGCTGGAGATGACCAAGCTCCTGTCAGGCTTATACACCGCATCCAATGATCACCAGTCCGCAGCGGCGCTACATGAAGGTGCCCTGCATGACCTGCTGGGTGACTCCGATGCAAAGAGTCACCCCCGAGGGGCAGACACTGCGTCCCAGCACTTGGAACTACTGCGTCGCGCCCAGTCACGACTGGGAGCCGACAAGAGCTCTTCCCACAAGGCCCCTGCTCACGCGGGCCTCATGTCGCAAGTGGTGGAGCGTTTCGGGTTGCAGTCAGAGCAGATCGAGGGCGTGGGTGATGCTCACGGTGGCGAGCAGTTCGGTGTCTGGTCCCGACCCAGGCGGTTCAGTATTGATGTCGAGGATCTTGATGATCAGGGACAAGCCCATAACAACCATTTGCGCGAGTCGAGTGGAGCTGGCTTGACAAGTGGCAGTGGTGCACCGAGGAGAATTTCAGTACAGGCGCTATAAGCCACCTAATTTATTGGACATTTTGACGAGGAGGATTGCGGAGAGGTGAATCAAATTGCCAGCCACCACCACCTTTCTAATATATTGGCGCTTGAGATTTCTACAGGGTATCATGTAAATTGTGAGAGATGAAATTCCGCAGCTATCTTTTTGAGTTCAGTCAATGCCACTACCTACTTCAACATCATCTCTTGAGGGTATTAGAATGTTTGACAACGCCTACAGGCGACTAGTAGAACTCAGTTCTGACGCCAGCAGTATCTTTACTACCTAAGTACTCCGGAGAACTAAGTGGATTTGCTAAGATTGAACTAGAGGGTGGCGTGGAAGGAAAGGTGGATATTGAGGTGTCCCCAAAGGCACCGGCATATTGGAATGGCAGTGTACCCAGCTATGGGCAGTTCCAGAACCGGGCAATTACGGCCTATCGGAACATCCCGTTGCCTGATCCATGCAGTGAGGGAAATCGGTGTGCATACTGCGAAGAATGTCAGTGTCCCTGTGGCATTAGCATCGAAACCATTAGAGCGCGGCCGGGAGCGTTGTGAAGGATGGTAGACCAGATACTGAATATCCGTTGGTAGCAACTACCAGCAACTACCCAGGCTGCTACCCGGTGCCAGATCATGATTCAGAGTCAAGCACAACCACAATTCTGTTTCCGGAAACCGATCCACTTCATAGAATATCCAATGACGAATGGAGAAATTATCTATCAAAGGAATGACTTTTTAAGAGATCAGAGCATCATCAAACGCCTGCCAGCTGGTCGACGAGTGAAAATAATGATGGCAACATTATTGAGCAAACTCCTGCGATCAAATGGCGAACTAGAAACGGTATGTGGGGCTGTTCAGCTACTGTTGCCATTTCTTTTCTTTGCAAGTGACTCTCTTTGTGGATTGACAGGATATGACTCAATTGCGCGCAACGTGGCTGCCTCCTTTGATATCAGTTCTCCTCTGTTGTTCCTTTGTGGACTCTATACATTCGTTTTCAACGCCACTGGTGCACACTAAATGGCCCCGGACTACCTAAAAAGATGGAGCAAACTGCGTTCTGGCCCTCGTCAGAATATTAAAAGGGCCTGAAAGTGGACATACGCTCCAGTCGATTCCCGTGGTTAACAACAGTTGCAAGAGTAGGCAAAATACAGGTACTAAAGGTCATCGAGCGAAAAGAGCCTAGCTACCATTTCCAAACTAAAGATTTACAGCTGCAGTCGACATCATGAAACTACATTAGGTATTCACACTTCATCCTCCGTGATGCCCAGAGCAATTCGTCCATCATCCTGACATCGAAGCATGCGCCGGCTCTTTAGGTCCAACGACTGGTGTTTAGCCCAGCGCTTGACCTCCACATCGCTCATACGATCCGCTTGCTCCAGAATGGGACGACTGTCTTCGGAAACCATTTGGGAAACCGCCTGCCAATAGTTCCCAATTAAGGAACCGGCTGTGCATTTCAGAAACTGGACGGTAATGATGCCAACGACGATAGAATGGGTTGCAATGAGAGCCGTCCCGATGACAAATCCGATCCACTGCCCTGGGATTGACGACACAGAGGAAAATGCAGTCGATGCTGCTGCCTTAGTGTCCAATTTCACCAACTGCTCATAATAAGCCATCTGACAGATCCTCGTTAACAATACCTGCAAGGCCAACGCGGGACTCGCTGTCGCGTTCAGCGTGTCATGAAACATATCCACATGCGTCAAGTGTGCGCTCGCGCTATATCCCATCGCATTCTTCGTGAAAATCACACCCGGATTAACGGGATTCACGAGTGCACTCGTAAGATATATTGCCGAGGGCAAGGAATAGATGAGCGATAATGAGAAAAACCAGGGCGTTGAGAGGTAAGCGCCCAAGTCATTTTGAAGTTGAAAGCTTTGCCATTGAGACTTGGGCCCGAGGGCGAGCAGCCCCCGGCTGGTCAAACTCTCTCGGGTCCTCGATGCGCCAAGCTGGCGACGGGAGCTCTCAGTCAGGTACTTCTGAGCTTGAGTATCCCATGACATCGTAGGCTCCGGGTTCTCAGAGGAGCTGTTCATGCTTACACTGAGGGTTTCGGTGCCCAGATTGGTAAGACACGCGGAGATCCGTAAGGCCTCGACGTCGGTCCCATTCGTCACCATTGCCCACGGTCCATTGGTACGCGTCACCTGGACAGCATGCTTCGCGCCAACCGCATCTATCATCGCCTCTCCGGACACCATGTCTAGGACCATGAACATGGTCGACGCTTCGGGATAACCGACAATGGAATCGGCGGCATAGCCCTCCAATTGACTTCCGGCAGTACTGTTATTGGCAGTAGGCGAGACTAAGGGGTCTTCCAAGAGCACTATCCAATTCATTCCGCTGTTGGCGAAGCAGATGCTGCTTTCTATTAGCGTATGGTTGCTCCAATATAGTGGTGCGGGCAGCTGGCAGGTAAAGTTGATGTAGGGCTGCGATTCAGTATTCCGCAACATCGGATAAGACTTGTTTCTCATTGCGATTTGACCTGACAATTGCATATGAAACTCATCAGTCGCATCGAGTGTCAAGTTGATCAGAGATGGACTGGCACAGACGACTCGGTGGTCCATAACCGGCACCGGGCCACTGAACCTGCGTAGCTTGGTTCGTTGGGCCTCATCCTCAAATGGGAGGAAAGCCCGATAGGTGTGGCCTGTGTCATGATAGTCCGATCCTTCTGTAAAGGACTCTGACAACTCAGCGAATGTCCAGCTTGCCATAGGAGGCATCGTCCACCACCCAGTGGTAGATAGAAATGTATTCTCGAGGATACTGACGTTTGTCGAGTTGTTTGGTAAGGTAAAAGTTCCATCAGCAAAGTCGGATAAGAAGATGGTTGACTGAAACTGGGACGCTGTCGTCACTAGGATCTCTATAATCACCAGTGTCCCTATGAAAAGCGATAGATGAGGCCGAAAGTCGGTCGCCATTAACAGGCTGCTCGGGGCCACTTTCACTGCCCGGATTGTGGAATAAACTGGTCCTTGTAGCAAAGGGATACCAGTTGTCTCCATGGCAATCCCCGCGACCATCGCAGTGGCAAGACCGGCCTGCAAAGCGACCACGCTTCGGATAGCAGTGGTGCATACCGTGACTAATCTGGTAGCCCAGCTCGCATTGACGATTCGGACCCAATACCTCTCTGGCTCGTCCCCAGCGATTGCGATCATCGATTCTCTCCAAAAAAGGGCCAAGAGTACCACTGGCAATAGTAGGACTGCAGAGCCAAGAAATATGGTCAGAAAACTGGTGACACCAACTCGTTGCAATAGAGTCCTTTCCTTGTACTTGGGCTGTACATTCTGGGCTTCATTGTTGATATTGTTTTCCGCGTTCGTGTTAAGGGCTACTAAGGGGACATAGTCACTTGTGTCACCAGGTTCGTGGAATGCCATGATTGATGAAACTCTTCTCGCTTCAGGTGGCTTTGCAGCTTGTCACGAGGGTGACAACGGAGATGCTTTTTGGACAAAGTTAGGAGGCTGCTAGGTTTGGGGCAGAATGTTGGAATATAGAAAATGGGGAGCCCAAAAGCTTAAGTCATTAATCTTGGAAATATATTTTGTGACAAGCGAGCGTACTGATCCTCTAACCTGGCCAAACAAGGCCGAATTTATATTTCTCGGCAGTGCAAAGTTGGCTTGCGGCTCCACGAGGTAGATTCCAGAACCCTGACGCATTTCACGGGCGTTGATTTAATTATAGCGTTGCCAGGGGTGAATGAATAAATAAATGCTCAATTTGGGATTGAGCGTCGGCCTTGGTAGACTGCAGCTCCAGGGGTATGCTTTCTACAATAGGCCGGGAGAAAGGCAAGGAGCGAGTAGTTCGTTGCTGGAATAGGATCAAAAGTAGAATGGCGTCACAACTATTAATTCACTAAAGTAGGCCACAGGCCTCGTGATGAGTTGTCAATAATCGTGCATACACAGCCAGTTAGATGGACGATGTACCCTGTCAGCCATCCCGAAAAGGCTTCCTGCACAGTGTGTCCAGCCCCAATGCAGATTTGCAGCGGGCCAATGGTACTTAAAAAAAGTGTAGAGCGAATGCACCTGCACGTGGAGAGTCAACTATCACCCAGCTCGTTGACATCCAAGGTGGTGACGTGAGCCTAAAAGCCGGAGCCGCAGAGTCACACACAGGGAAAAGGGGTTGGCGGGGCTTGGGGCTGTGATCATGAGCGAAACCGCCTCATCTGCAAAGCCTAGGGCAGAGGGCGAAAGAAATAATGCGCCCGGTCTGGGCAAGGGATCCAAAGAAGTATTTGCCGTCCTCTAAGATATCAGGATGGGAGGGCTAGACTTATTCCAGTATAGTGCTGATCCTTGTGCCTGCGAGAGGGGCCATGGCGTTCGGGAAACCCAAAATTATCATTGGCCTGTTCATTATCACATATTGCCAAGGCGAGCTGTATTGGGGTGGGCGCGTCGGCCAGTTGGTGGCGGGGGACAGTTGTTGGACCTGATGACTTGGTATTCCGCTTCTTGAAAAATAACTTAGAGCCTCGTCAAGGGCTGCCGTAGCCTAGTTGCTGCTCCTATTGCTGGGCGCGACTTCGAAACCGCTGTGACGCCTCGGCAAAGTCCAGCACGGCTTTGACCGTCCTGGCCCGTGAGACGGTGTCTGGTTTACCTTTCTCATCTTCTTTTGAGCCTCCCAGCAGGCTTGACACGCTGTTAATCCCGCGCAGATCTACTAGTGAATCGACACGATACAGATCGTGCAGTGGAGATTATCCTTGGAGTGACAGGAGGTAAGCTACGATACGCGCTTGATATCGTCGGGAAGGACACAGCGACATTACTTGAGAAAAGCCTCGATCCTTCAGGGCATTTCCATCTGCTAGGACTCACAGGTCTGCCCAAGGCGCGTAACCCAAGCATCCGATACTATACTGTGCCTTTTAAGTTGTTTCATACTGCGCCAGCAGTAGGAGAGCATGGTTAGCTGGTTGGAAGACCTACTCCAGTCAGGTAATCTTTACTTCTCCTGCGATTGTTCGCGCTGAGGGAGGATTGGAGGGGGTCAATGTTTTAGCAATTGGAGTTCTTCTGGGTTTACCTTACGCCTCTATTAATTATTAGGGGGTTTGAACCGTTAACGATAGAGATATGTATATTTTTGAAGTACTTTGGTAGGTACTCAGTCAAAGCTGGGTGTGTGAATACACTTGACAAGGGAGTGCATGCACAGCAACACCAGATCTGGGCGTTTTGGTGTTGTACACCCTAGAAGAGACGAGCTTCCGAGGGCCACACCGACTTTCCTAAAAATAGGTACCGAAGGAATGAAATATGCACTCTAGCCATGCATCCAGCACAAGACAATAGACAATAGACAATGCCTGCAAAGTGAACCACGAAAGTAACTATAAAACCCAGAGACACAAGACGCCGTACCCCGTATTTTGCCCTCTCGTATATGCAACTGGCGCCAGCAGTCACGCAAAGGAAGGTTGTAGTCGTAGAATATCTCGAATCCAGGTTGAACCAGCCCGCTTAAGATCAAGCGGTTCAAGCCGTCAAGGCAAAGCTGAATCCCATCAATCCCATCCCAGCAACCGCAAACCCCATACCCATACTGCGGTGGTGCGTCAGACCCAGGCCTTCGGTGAAAAGCTGCAGGGCGACAGAAGTCATCACACCGGCGGTAACAGCGAACATGCCTCCGTAGACGCCCCACGACGGACCAGTCGAGTCAAGCCCGGTGTGTCCGGAACCCCAGATCCACAGCGCGGCGAGGCCGGCACCAGCTGGCTGGCTTATACCTCCGAGTAGACTGGACCAGAACATGGCTTTCCAGCGCGAGTTCAGAGCCAGGTATAGAGGCAGCGCCATGGCGAAGCCCTCAACGATGTTATGGATGAAAAGGGCAAGAAACACGGTCAGCCCGAGAGTGGGACTTGCGTGATTGGTGGCATAGGTGATGAAGCCCTCAGGCAGCTTGTGCAGGGCAATGGCGAGGGATGTCTGCAGGCCAATGGAGAGGAATGCGTTTTGCGGAACATGGTGGTGGTGCGTGGGATCAACGCCGGGGTTGGATGGGCCCGAGCCTGGGGATTTTTGATGGTCCCCAGGCTGGTGGTGGTGAGTTTCATGAGGATGCTCGTGGTTGTGGTTCGTTATATCCGAGTGATGTGTATGATCAGAATGTACTTTTTGGGTATGGGAGGAAGACGACGAACTCGCCGCCGAGTGAATGACATGCTGCGTTGAGATCCCGTTGAAGTACCCGGTATCTGTAGCTGTCTCAACCGAGTCGAGGCTGGGATCCAGCTCTCTCTGGTGCTCCGAGCTCAGCTGTACCGCGATGCTCTGGGGCTGTGGCGCCAGCTTAGGCCGGGTGACCTCATTCGCGCTCATCGTTGGTGGCGGGGCGATATTTGGCCCGAGAACCTTGGTGCATTCACGGCCGCAGGTCTGCGAAAAGCCGTAGCAAGGCCCATTCTCGTCGCAGTGGGGCTTAACACCACCCATGAGAGAGCTGATGCGCCGCGATATGACTGCCCGCAGCGATTCCCGCCTCGGGGTATTGAACGCCGGCGCCGTCCGCTGTAGCACTGCCGGCGTCGATTTAGACGACTGAGCGTTTGGGGGCCGCAAGAGCGGCGTTCGCTCCGTACTGCCGTTGGCATTCGCACTGTCCTGTCGGTCGTCGCATTCTTGCATTTGCTCGCCGCGCTCGGGATCCTCCTCCGGGCCGCTGTGGGTGTGGGCACAGTCCACCACGTGTGATGGAATGAAGCGGTGGAGAAAACCAGATGCGACACGAATGACAACCACACCTCCGATGAATAGACCGGTCAAGATGTAGGCGGAGATGGACGGGGAGAACCCAGCGCGCGTAAGGTAATCTTTGGAGGTTGGCAGCATACTGTAAAGCGAGGTAAAAAGCTATCTGGGAGTTAGAGCGGCGGTCCTCGGGATGCACAAGGTAGATGAAAGCACTGACCATTACTCCGGCGCTGAGACACAGCGATGCCGATAGGAAGTTATTGCTGTTGGCGATCTGGAATCTTTTGTCATGGGTGACCCGGCGCAAGACTAGGTCGGCGCAGATGACGGCCGACCCGAGGACACAGGCTAGACAAGAGAACCAAATCAGCGAAAAATGGCCCATTGAATTGGCTGCATAGCTCGATACTCACCGACGCCTGAGACGGCGCTCATCACCCAGCCCCGAAGATCGTTGGCAGCCATGGCGAGTGTGAGGTGGCAGAGGACGAATCTGGTGATGTAAGTGACGTCCAACAGACTCGGCGGTCGGCGGTCAGCGAGTCGTGTCTAATTCGCCTCTCTTCTTTACTGGACTCGGACTGGTTCTGCTTCTCAACCCGACAGTGGAAAGATGAAGAGAATCAGCCATTCCGGAGGGATCCTGCGTCTCCAACCCTCAGGCTGCAGGCGCCTGAGCAATGCGTCCCTTTGCCCACAAGGTTCTCACTACTCCGCTCGCTGCCCGCAGCCCTAAGATGCGGGCAACAGAACGACGCTGAGGGTTCCCGAAGAACCCCTAGCAATGAAGGACAAATCCAGTATGAGAGGGTAGAAACTAACCGAGGAGAATACAGCAGCTAACTAACCTGTCTAATATCCTATGATCATTTCTATCATGCCTGGCGTGGGTCGTGCACGGGAGACCAACCCCCGAGCCTCGGGCTATCAGCCCATGGGCTAACACCGGAGCAACGACCACTGCAGATCTGTAGGTCACCAGCAGACCCAACAGCCATTCGGAGGCCTCCAGTCGATCCTATCACGAAACACCCAATTACCCCCAATCACCCCGAGTACTCCGTACATGCCGGCGATTCCCTCACTAGGTGGCTCGCAAAAGCAGCACAGTCCCCTTCAGAGCGGCCATGTGACCCGCTGATTGGCCCGTGAGTGTCCGCGTCCCCGTTTCCTTTTTTTTCTCGGCTTCCCGCGCGCCAACAGTCCAGCAGTTCGACATTGGGTTGTCAACCGTCTTTGAACCTCCTCGGATTCCGCATATTATTCACCGGGGACAATAACGATCATGTCGAAAGCCACGTTTGCCGTTATCGCGGCCGCCAGTGCAGCCACCGGCGCCGGTGTGACTGCCCTGCTGTACTCCTCCAAGCCGTCCCATCCACAGAATCAACAACAGCAGCAGCAGCAGCAGCAGCAGCAGCAGCAGCAGCAGCAACTCCCTCCCCCTGCAACTGCCGGCGGCGTAAAGGTTCCCACTGCGTTTCCTCCGCCCACCCTCGCCGCAAAGGCTGGCTCCGGCCCCGTCAACCCGGCGGGCATCCTGCAATACGGCTTCCCGGGCCCGGTCGCCGACGAGCTCTCCACGCTGCCTCTGCACGGCGCCTACGACCGCCGCACCCGCAACCCAGCCTGGGTGGCCGAGCACATCACTCCGCAGTCGCTGGCCATGAACAACGCCGATCGCAAGCACAGCACCTTCGCCGAGGACACCTCCATCCCGCCTCTGTTCCGTGCCAAGCTGGCCGATTACTTCCGCTCCGGCTATGACCGCGGCCACCAGGTGCCTGCAGCTGACGCGAAGTGGTCGCAGGGCGCCATGGACGGTACATTCAACCTGAGCAACATGTGCCCCCAGGTCGGCGAGGGCTTCAACCGGGACTACTGGGCGCACTTCGAGGATTTCTGCCGCAAGCTGGCGTCGCGGTATCCCTCTGTGCGGGTGGTGACGGGCCCCCTTTACCTGCCGCACCGCGATCCGGACGGCAAGTGGCGTGTGAACTATGAAGTAATCGGGAACCCGCCCAACGTGGCGGTGCCCACACACTTCTATAAGGTCATCTATGCGGAGGACGGCACCGATTCGCCCTCCAGCAAGGTCGCCCTCGGCGCCTTTGTCCTGCCCAACGCGCGCATCCCCAATGAGAAGAGCCTATCGGACTTTGAGGTTCCCCTGGAGGCCGTCGAGCGCGCCTCCGGTCTGGAGTTTGCCGCCAAGCTGGATCCCAGCCGCCGTCGCCGGTTGTGCCAGGAGATCAAGTGCGATATCGTCGTGCGCGAGTTCAATAATGCGAAGAAGCGGAATTAGTGGTTGAAGCGATGTTGTGCCCTGTGAAGGCGTGCGGGATCCAGGGGATGTTTAGGCCCCAGTGGCCCTGTATATTTAGGACATCTTGCATGGTTCGGGCGTTCATTGTCCCCAATGGGGACTGTTCTCATTCGGTATATTTGAAACCTTGCAATTGAAGGCTGTCGTCTGCCATATTACGTCTTTTGAGCTTGTGTATCATGGGGCCTTCCGGCACTTCTGATGCTCCTCCTTGGTGCTTAGCATTGGAACGCCACACCAGTCTTTGTAGCCACATTGCCGCCGCCCCCGGCAAATCCTGTTCCCTCTGAGCTGATTGCGACCAGCCCGGGCCGAACAGCGTCCTTGTCCTTCTTCTTGGACTTCTTCTTCTTCGCCCCTGCATCGTCCCCGTCGGCCTTCTCTGATCCGGGGGTGATATCCGTCTCGCAAACGTAGCACAAGATCAACCCATGAAGTGCTGCGGTCTTCGCCTGTTCCTCTTTGGAAGCATGGGGATCTGGAACATCGTGGGGAGTCATGAACTTCGCAACGCAAGGAGAACAGATTACATGTCCGCAGGGTTTCGTGACTGTAGCGAAGGTGTTAGTAAACCAAGACAATCGCCGCTGACCAAACAAAACGTACGCATAGCCTTTAGCCCATTGCTGAGGTTCTTCTTGCAACTGGGGCAGATGCGCGACACCGTCCCGTCTGAAGCCTTCTCTTCTGTGAAGTGCACATCGACCAGCGATTTGAGCGAGTAAGTATGCTTATGCGTCTCGGAAGAACCGGGGCAGATGGGCGTCAATTTGACGGCCTTGTTGGCGGCAATTTCATTAGGATCCGTCGTCGGGGTCAGCGAGGGAACCCAGAAGGATGGGAGCGCAGATTTGCTCGACTCCTTGAGTGCGCATTAGCAACGAAAAGAAACTCTCACGCGTCCAGTCGGTCGTCAATGGCTTCTCACCTTCTCCTTCTTCAGCTCCATCTTCAACCGCTCCTGCTCATCGCGCGCGATCCGAGCCATCTCCGTCTCATCCAGCTCAAAGACCTTTTTCCGCTTACCGTCCACCTCGACCTCTCGCGCCTTAAAGGCAGCGAGCGCCTGATCCTCCTCTGCTTTGCGTTTACGTCCAGCCCCGTTCTTCGCAGCCTCCAGACCCATAGATACCAGCTCGAAATCATGTAGATCTTTCTGTCGCGCCTCCTCTAGCGCACGCTCCTCGTCCTCCGCAAGCCGCTTTTTGGCCTCATCGCGTTCCTTCTCCAGGCGTTTGATTTCCTGCCGCTGCGCAATGAGGTCGTTAATCGCGCATTCGCGGCAGAATAGGTCGCCATTAGTCGCACAGGCGACTACGGGAGGGCGGGCTGGTTGTAGGCAGAGACGGCAAGAGGCGAATGGCAGGAATGAATCTCGGCCAATCACACTGCGTTTGGTGCCCCAGGTTGAGCGGAGAAGGCTGCGCTCATAGGAAGTGAAATGAGGCAGCGAGGTATTGCGCTTTGAGTGCGCCATGGCAAATTGGGCTCGATGTTACCGGAGATCGTATGGAATTGCGGAGCTTGGAGCTGAGCGGGAGCTGTATGAAGTAATCGCGGCCACTTTGGGACGGCACTGTGGTCCCTTTTGCCAGTTGAGCGACTCACCGCCATATACACCGTCCCCAGCACCGCCCTTGTTTAATGCGACTTCGCTCATTTAATAAGTCAATGTTAAGAGTTGGCCACTCCCTGTAGGACTCCAGGTGTTGTCCCTCAAACGCTCAAAGGTATGTCCTTTTAGGGCTAAAGCTGTCATCGAATTAGAAAGCATACAAATAATTAAGCACCGTACGAGACGTACTCTACAATCTCAAGCACAATAATCAGTCATAAATGCTTTTGTTGAACACAGTCTATCCCCACCATCCCAGTAGTCCACACAGCAGCAGGGATAAACGAATATGTTATGTTACATCCATTCTAATCCAGGTAGAAGGTAGACCAGACCCGGGTCCCGCAAGATGGAATGAAATGTAGAAGGAAAATGGAGGAGAGATAGAAAAGAAAAGAAGGAGAAAATGCAGACATCACACCATTATGCTTCCCATCCATACGCAGAACCTAAAACCAGAGTCAGAACCCCCGAGGCGAACAGAAACGAACAGAAGAAAACAAGGGTAGGCAACATGGAATGCGAAACGAGCCGAGATGGGCGAACGATGCAAGAGCCATCGTCATGCAAGTGCAGAGCCGAACGCGAGAGCCCAAAGACACGAAAGGGAATGGAAAAGGAAAGGAAAGGACAGGAAAGAAACAGAAAAAATAGAAACACGTGTGCGAGATAAGACTTGAAATTGAATCGGGGTATAATAGTCGTAATGTGAACAACAAGTGCAGATCCAGCTCAAGGAGATGGAGACGGGCTATACAGTGATGTAGAGGATGTGGTGGCGGCGGGAGGAGGATCTAGGGAGGTGCATGGGATAAAGGTTCAAAGGATTTAGGAAGGAGAGGAGCCTGGTCATGCGCCCACGGCTTGTTGCCGGAGGTTCTCGGAGGATGGGGTATCAACAACCCGCTCGCTGAGAGACGTAGAGGACGTTGAAGGAGCTTCGCCGGGCGCTGTGAGGTGGCTGCCGTAGGTGACAGACCCGGTCCCAGTGCCAGATGTCGATGGGGAATTGTTCTTGGGGTCTCGTTGGTCAGACGCGGAGGGGGCTTCTTCGGGCTCAGAGAAAACTTGTGAGATTGGCCGCGACGATGATTCCGTGGGCATAACCTCGCGGGCATCCTTGAAGAAATCGATTGTTTCATCGTCGCTGCACAGGCTAAGCCCCGTTGTAGTGCTAGCACTACGGATTGAGTGAGGCCGGCCGGTGGGCTTGTTGTCTGAAGTCATGGACTCGCCGCTGCCAATCACGTCAGGATCTGAAGCGCGCGACTCCTCATGAGGAGTCGGTTTCCGCAGCTTGAGACGCTCTTCGGGAGGCATGTTCTGCCATTCTGATCCAAACGTGATAATGGAGGCTTTCTTGCCGTGCACCGTGAAGCTAGGGGTCTTGCGAGGTAGACCGCCCCCTTCACTTTCGTCGTCCTCGGCGCCGCCAAGGCTGGACGCAGAACCGTGGTTCTTTTTGTGGCGAGAATGGTGTCGATGAACGTGATGCGGCTCACGAAGGGTTCGGTGGAGACTGCGGCGGACACGACTAGGTCTGGAGTCGGTTGGGGAGACTTCGGACGACTCGTCAGGCTTGTTCTCAGCTTCTATCTCCGGTTGAGGGGTCGCCGGTTGACGTGGCGGGGGAGAGCCACTGAGGTCGAGGAGGCCAGTCTCTCTAAGAAGTCGTTCCTCGCCTTCATCATAGCTTACGGGTGAGGTGATCTTCGAGGCTCGAGAGCCAAGACTGGCGCCGTCGAACCGGCTGCCGCGACTGAGGACAGACGCTTCCCGTTCGATTTGTGACGCACTCTCCGACCCACGCTCAGAGACAATAGTAATTGAGAGCGGTCGTCCAACACGGGCAAAGTCGGATGATGTAGTAGACGCTGGCAGGCTTGGGCGACGCATTTCCTCAGTCGGTGGCTCGGTAAGAAGACCAGCGTCCACCGGAGGCTTGTCAACAGACACCGCGGCGGCTGGCTCATTGGTATCGTGGCTCGAAGCTGCTTGTATGATGCTAGGAGCGTGACGCACGCTGGGCTCGGAAGTGATGGACGGCCCAGACACGGATGCCGCCGGTGCAGGGTCGGCGGGCGATACAGTGTTTTCAGCCACAGATCCTGTTCGAGCTTCCGCCACATTCTCCTCCGTTCCGAGATCCCGAAGAAGGACTTCACGGTAGCACTTGTTGCGCCAGATATCCTGTCGAACCCACCTGAGTTTTGCAGCCAGGCGACCTGCGGCCATTATGACATTCTCCCGAGCCCGGGGAGTGACCGGGGTCAAGATCTGCAAATGCCGTGCATTCCGCAGGAGACCGTCCAGTTGCCTCTGAGTGATAAATAGCTTCTCGTTGGTATCACGAATCTTTTGGCCCATGAGCTGCCGCCGGGCAGCCACAAACTCCGCAACAAGGTCGGTGTCGATGCTGGGCGACGCCGGTTCATTGTCCGCTGACTGGCGCGACCTAAGCGAGGAAGCAGATCCCATGCGCTGGCTCTTGCGGTATCGCTGGCCCTCGTAGTTGGTGTCAATCATGCCCTTAGTACGAACGCCGGTGGTCCGGAAAGCGGCAGCATAGTTGAGCTTGGCGAGCCAATCATTCATCTCGGGCTCCGAGGTGGCCAGAAAGATTTCTTCCAACGCATTATGCCGAACAAAGGAGAATGCGTGCTTATGCTTCTTGTAGTTTTCGTCCAGTAGGGCGACGGCATCGTTCGTAGACATGATGCCATCGGGCTTGAAGTCGGCAAGCGGAGGCCGAAAAACAAGAGTGCCTTTTCGTCCATTCTTGACGTACGCATCATACTGGGCCATCAAGGAGCGTACCCAAGTCACATTCCGGAAGAAGTAGAGCTGGGAGAAAGTGAGAACCGCACCCCATTCAGCCCATGGCGATCGCGCTCGCTTCCTCTTCGGGTCCTTCCGCCAAAGCAAGCCGACCTTGGCCACTTTGATGTCAACTAAACCCGGGTGAGAGTCGGCTGGGTTATCAAGGCTTGCTTGCATGAACGCGTCGGGCCGAGAGCGCAAAGAAATAATCTGCAAGATACCAGACTTCGTGAATGCTTGGTGAAGATCATCCATATCAGGCGGGCCGGTAGTTCCGACGTGGTTGTATGTGTCGTCAAGCTCCATGACTTCCTTCAAACTGGGTCTCAGAGTGCCGAGCTTGTTGTCCATGATAAGCGTGTAGGGGTCCACAAGTTCCCTCCCCATCCGTGGCAAATGCTCAGAGCTGGTGCTTTTGAACAAGGTGCGCCGTGGTTTAGCGAGATGACGGTCGCGGAGGTTTGCATCCTCAACATGGATGAAGGGGGTGTATGAGATGTTCTCATAGAAACATTCGAGAATGTCTTCGGCGATACCCTCGCCTCGACAATTCTTGACATAATCCGGCTTCTGCATCTTCCGCTTGTTGTTCTTGTTGAACACATCGGTGTGCAGAATGAGAATGGAGAATGCGATGAAGTAGGCTTGGTCTGTCGATGCAAAGATTCCTGGGTTGCATTCGTGATAGCGGTCTGCAAATGCCTGCAGGAAACGGTCGATCTGCTGGGTCTCCTTGGGCAATTCCACCTCCATCAACAGCTTGCGAATAGCCATGTCAATCGGATCACCAAAGTACGAGAACGATCGCATGTACTTCCGGAGCCCAACTTTGAAGAACTCATCATCAGACTGGGCCAGCACACCTCCAATCGCGCCCCGCGGGAGCTGGTCCTCCAGCTTCGTCAAGTAGGTGGCCGGTGTATCCTCTTCTTCGCGCTCGGGGAGCGGAACAAGATCTGGCTTGATCGGAGTTGCGGCTCCGCCTGTTCCAGGAGAACCATGGCGCGGAATCGGGGGCTCGGAATTTTGTCGCAATCGCTGAGAAATGTTGAAAATATCTCCAAAGCTTTTACGCCCACTCGTCGAAGTCGATGTCCGCCCAGACGACACCAGATAGGGAACTGGAGACATTTCCTCCACATTGTGCTCGGCAACCGATCCCATGGTGGAGGACCTCCCCCGGGCCATATGAGATGGGTTGGATCGAACGGAGCGAGCCGAATTCGTCGAATTATTGCGGAAGAGCAGTGGGGTGCCTGTGCCAGCCAGACCAACCGAGGAGCGCGACGGTGAGGGCAGCGGCGAGACTTGATCTTGTTCCGAACCGTCTGATCTCGGGGTACCAACGGGAGGGGACTTGGTTGTAGGTGGTGGGAGCTTTGGCGGCAAGGGAAACAGAGGGCTGCGGGTTCGTTTTAACCGTGGCAGGCGGAATCGCTTGCTGGCTGATGTGTGGCCATCGCGAGGGGAGTTCGTCCGGAACGTCTGGTCACCATAGCTATGGTCCGAGCGGGAGGATTCCGAGAACCGGGCGTCTGTAACTGACACGGACGATCGCTGCGACTCGTTGGTCGGTTGATCTCGACTTCCACTGCGCAGTGAAGCGGTTGATAATCGTCCTGGCTCCTCTGCGATGGGTGTCTGGAATGTCGAGAGGCTCGAGTCGGCGATCTGGGAGTCGGTCGATCCCTGATTCTTCCGCTCCGGTTTCCGGGGGTGGTCACCTGAATTGCGAGAGAGATCTTCCATGGAGTGTTTCCGAGACGAAGGGTGGAGCCTGAGCTTGTGCCGCTGTTTGACGGGCTGGTCAAGTTCGTGGCTGGTTGGGGCCGTGGTGATAATCTTGGGAGCTTCAGAACTGGTCAGCCATCAATTCCATCCGCAAGGGATCATTCCAAGACAGCTGTTCCTATGGTGGCTATCGGGCGGCTTGCCCTAGAGCTTCCACAGCCAAAATCAAACGTGTAGCCATCGCATAGGTCGACAAGTAGATGGTGCACTTACGCGGGAGCGACGGTACTGGGGGAGCTTCCTCTGCCTTAGCGTAAGACTTGGAGAGCTGGGGATCAGATGCATGGCGTAGTCTCATGAAACTGAATCGGTTCCTCCGCAGGCTAGGGGTATCCCCAGTCGAGGGGCCGGCAGTGCCATCTGTCCGCGCGAACCCAGCCGCTGGCCCCTGCTCCGGGACGCGCAGCTGCGGTGCTGCGCCATCGGTGGTCTCGGTGCCAGTGTTCTCTGAATCCGGCTCCAGGAAGCGAGGGGTCGACTCTGAATATCTCGGTTCGGTGATGGGGGGCAAGGGACGCGGGAGGTGTTCGCTGCGGCGACCCTGGCCTTGGGTTTCAATGGTGCTCTGGCGCTTGGAGCTGCCATCGGGGACGAATCGCAGGCCTTTCCAATGCATGGCTGCGAAGAACCGAGGTGTTCCAACCCATGCGTGGCCGTTGCCGAGGGGTCAAGAGGGGAGGGATGGGCAGTTTGGGGGATGGGGAAGTCAGGCGTGCATGGCGGGAGTGTTCCAGAACGCGGTGGGATCGGTGGAGTGAGCCCGTCGTCAGCGCGAGAAAAAAGGGGAACGCGGGAGGGAGGCGGTGCTGGGAAAAGGGTGCGCCACACGATCGAAACTGACCGGATCGAGGGTATGTGCTGATTTGTGCAGCAGAGTCCAGTGAGAACGTACGGAATAGGAACAATCGGCCGTGAACGTCGTCTAGAGAGAGAAAGAGGGAGGGGCAAGGCAGACGAGTTTCGGCAGTGCCCTGAGCGCGGCTGAACCACGGCGGACCAGACTACGGAGGTTCGCACGAACAGTGGGAGGGCTAAGTTCCCCGGGGGGGGGGCGAAGGCCATGAAAAGACCTTGGGAGACGAGACATTCTAGACCTGCCACTGGCGTGGACAGATGGGTGGGGATGCGTTCGCCTGGATGGTCCGGTCTAGACTAGTATGGAGATCACGATAGATAGTTTTGGATGCAACGTGCACCGCCGTTCGAGGTATTATTCGTACACGATGCATTGTGGGATAGTTGGCTCGCAATCCTCAGTTCCTGTGGTTGTTCCAATGGGGGAGTTCTCGATGACGGGACTCGTCCGCATGCGCTCAAGCTCTTCTCCAACTGTACTCAGTACTTCGTCTATACCGACCGACGCCAGCAACCATCGCAAGGGGCTGGGCGAGGGATCGTGGATTTGATGCTCAGGAATGGATACCCACAGAACCCTACGAGCTAGAGACCTTGTGGAATTGTATTGGTCTAGAGAGATGTGTAGATTGAGGAGAACCATGCACATCCTCCGTGTCGAGTCTAGGTACGGTTCTCTGAGCTACCACGAAGTATACAAAATGCGCTTGCACCCACCCTCCGCTGCAGGCCATGGCAGTCGCGCGATTCGACTGTGCTCGTTCTGATTATTCCTCTTTCTTCATTTGGTTCCCATTTCAACTGAGCTCTGGAACCCATCGCTCTGACAGGGTAAACCTACCGTTTGGCTGATCGGCTTGTTCCTGTCCCTCCGCGGCTTCTCCGCAAATTCCACAGCCCGTCACGGCCACCCTTCAGTTCCGCCACCTCATCTCCCGACCTTGCAATTGCAAGTCTTCTTGCAACCCCGGGTTACTGGCATCGCAACACCCCCCTAACCCCCCAAACCCCAACCCGCCCACGCCGCGATGCGTGTTCTCCCCTCTCTCCTCCTCCTCTCGACGCTCTGTCCGGCCATTTCCGCCGTCCCCGCAGGCTCCAGCATCACGCCGCCGCTGCGCCAGCCGGTCCACCATCTCACCCATTCGTCCGATCCACGACGCCCCTGGACTCGACTGCGCGACTGGGTCATTGAATCAGTATGGGGCCTTCCCCGATCAGGTTCCAAGCACGTAGGCATTCCCTCCAATGTGCGCGATCGCTATGGCAGCGATATCGTTCTCCGCTTCCATTTGCGTCATCCCGACGACGCTGAGGTGCTAGCCTCGGCGTCAAGGGTCCTGGTGTTGGACATCTGGGCCATTACAGCGCAGTATGTAGATATCCGGCTGGCGGATGATATGGTACGTACCAGGGTCCCTATCGCTCCAATGCTCGCTGCCTCTAATGATTGGGTCCTTGGATAGATTCCTCCCCTCCTCGATCTGCTCCCCCTTCCCTTCGCTCCTCCTACACCCCGCTCATGGACGACCTGGTCGATATGATCTACAACACCTATCCGAGACACCTTCAGCCCTCATCTGAGACGGAACCCGACTTCAGATCGGGTTCCAGGCGGACCGATGCACCAGTCGGCGACGTCTTTTTCCTTGACTACCAGCCACTATCCATTATTGTGCAGTGGATGCGCTTGATGGCCTCACTGTTCTCCTCGCATGCCCACTTCACCAGCATCGGAGTTTCGTACGAAGGGCGGGACATTCCCGCTTTGCGGATCGGGGTCGCACCTTCTCCGTCTGAGAAATCCGACCCGCGCAAGACCATTGTGATTGTCGGCGGCACACACGCACGGGAATGGATCAGTACCTCCACGGTCACGTATATCGCATACAGCCTCATTACCCAGTACGGGCAGTCGAACACGGTCACTCGCCTCCTGCGTGAGTATGACTGGGTGTTGATTCCCACCCTGAACCCGGATGGTTATGTCTACTCTTGGGAGTCAGATCGCTTGTGGCGCAAGAATCGACAGCCGACAAGTTTGCCACTTTGCCGAGGAGTCGATCTCGACCGTGCCTGGGACTTTGAATGGGACGAGTCCACCCGGTCGAACCCCTGCTCGGAGAATTACGCTGGCGCAGAGCCCTTCGAGGCTCTGGAGTCCCGCCGGCTTGCCCACTGGGCGCAAAATGAGACGGACAGTGGTCGCGCCGAAATTGTGGGCTTTTTGGACCTCCACTCGTACTCGCAGCAGATCCTGTATCCCTACTCCTACAGCTGCTCCTCCATTCCCCCAACGTTGGAAAGTCTCGAAGAATTGGCACTTGGATTAGCCAAGGCCATTCGTCAGGTGACCCACGAGTCCTACGATGTGACCTCCGCATGTGAGGGTATTTTGCCAAATGGTGAGGCCGCCAGCATCAGTTCCGGTGGCAGTGCGCTCGACTGGTTCTATCACCAGCTGCATGCGACGTACTCGTATCAGATCAAATTGCGAGACCGTGGCAGCTACGGCTTCCTCCTTCCATCAGAGCACATCGTGCCCACCGGCACGGAGATCTTCCATGCCGTGCTGACATTCGGCAAATTCATTCAGGGGGAGACACAGAGCCTGGAGGAAAATGAAAATGACAGCCCAAGCCTCAAGGGCCCCTTCAATTTCGAACAAAAACCACTGGCTAAGTAGCCGGCTTTTCTGTCCACGTCGAGCTACTCGCGGACTGTGATGTGCAATTTGTGATGAACTGCCTGCATATTTTTTTTTTTTTCAAACGGCGTTCGGAGACTTCTGTTATTTTGCTGGTAATATCTGTACATTTATGTACATATTGGCTTTCCAAGGAGGTGAGCTGATTTAGTGCACTTCAGGCATCGGCTCTGATGAGATATGATTCAAAATGTCATTCGTCCAACCAATCTCAGATCGGAGCTTGGGTTTTACCGTTGATCGAATCGTCCAGTCCACAGCGTAGCAATTACCCCCGACGTATATCGGCCCCATATAACAGACGCCATCACTCATCCACAACAACTCCCCAAAGTGCCCTCTATTCTCCTATATACACTCATCAAGCCGTCTTGAATTTCGCCGGCCCAGCCCAGAGCAGGAAGTATCACCCTAACAGGACGATGATCCCAACTAGAATCAAAGGAAAGAGAAAGAACACACGCAGTTCAACTTCTGCCTTTCTCTTCCCCCTACCGGGGCCAAACTGGACTGCTCAGCTCTTGTACGCGACAGACTTCGGCGGTCCACTGCAGCAGACAACCTCACACCACAAGCTTCGGCAGGTAAACCCATGCTTTGCAGCCGAAGTCGACTTCACAGGCCGCTAACGAACACATTGATAATCTCGGAACTAATGGCTAGAACCTTGCCCGGGGTAGGTTTGCTCTGTGATTTGCCAAGGTTGTATCTTCCAAGCCCAGACAGGGTCTGCGGTATTGACGTATTCCGAACCTGTGAAATGAAGCTATGCGGTGATGTCACGACCAAGGTCGTGGTCAAAATAGGGACCAGGTTGAATAGCGGAGCAATTAGCCGTGATTGCAAGAATTGAATACATATTAAACCTCATATATCGTAAATTCATAGTGTCTACCGCCAGATGAATACGGATATATACATACGATGAACGAAAAGCGCATATATAAAGCTAGCGCCACCTAGATCTGCATGGAAGACGCGCGATCAGAACAGCCAGGAAACAAACTTGCGATAGAACCAGTGGGATCCCCCGCTCTTTTCCATCTCGAGATCCTGACGCGCCAAAAAAGCAGCCTCCTCGCGGTCGATCTCGTCCTTGCCCGTCCACAGATCGGCGGTTGCAGGATCGACGCCCTTGCAGCGGGTAATGAACTTGTACCCAAAGATGAGACACAGATATAGCGGAATGCCCAGATAAGCCGTGATGAAGCTCTTGTAGTCGAAATTTCCCCACTTCTTGCTGTGCGTGAATACATCATAGTTCTTCGTGAAGACGATGAGGATGCAGAATGCCAGGGCCAAGTAGGAGCCCCATACGCCGAAGGGTGCGACGTAGGCCAGATCGGAGTCCGGCACGTTCTGCGCTCTGCGAGCACGCACGAAGTAGATGTGCGTGACTAGGATGGATATCCACGTCAAGAGGCCGAAGATGGTGACCAGGTTGACGAAGTACTTGAAGATGGTCTGCGAGTCACTGGACACATTCATGTAGGCGATTAGCGCAATGAGAGAGCAAAGTCCCAGTGCGTAGACAGGCACGCCACGACGGTCGGTGCGAGCGAAGATCTTGGGCGCCTTTCCCTCACGCGCGAGACCGTAGAGCGTGCGGGTTGCGATGTATAGATCGGAGTTGGCCGCGGAGAAGACGAAAAGCAGGATGCTAGCATTGATGATGTGTGTCAACACTGGGATTCCAGAGTTCTCAATGGCAACAACGAACGGCGACGCCGCGGCTGAGCTACTCGACTTTGCAAACTTCGGGTTGTTGTAAGGCAGCTTCTCGTCATTGTAGGGCACCAAAGTACCGACAAGGAGCACCGAGAGAATGTAGAAGACCAGGATGCGATAGAAAGTCAACTTGATCGCACGAGGAATGGCGCGGCGGGGGTTCTGCGCCTCGCCCACAGTCACACCCACCAATTCAGTACCCAGGTACGCGAACGTGGCGGACACCATAGTAGACCAGAACGCGAGGAACCGGCCAGCATCGCCCTCTTTGATGTAGGTGTTGAAAGCACCAGGACTCTTCCAATAGCGGAAGCCCTTGCGGTCATGGTCGGGACCACCGCCCAGCATCAGGATGAACGAGAGCAGGATGATGCCTAGGATGACTATGACCTTGAACGAAGACAGCCAGAACTCAAATTCGCCGAAGAAGCGCACGCCGAAATAGTTGATGCTGACGATCATGACCAAGAGAACCGTAATCCAGACTCCTGCGTTCACCTTATCCTGTGGAAGCCAGTATGATATGACGAGCGCTCCGGCGGTTAACTGATTCGGCGATAAAATAATATATTTGAACCAGTACCTGTTCGACACCTCAGTCAGCATGTAGCCCTAACAGGCTAAAAACACCCGGGGAAAGCTATTATTCACGCACGTCCAACCCAGAGTGAATCCGAGCGCAGGGTCGCAGAATCGCACAGCATATCCCGTAAAACCAGACGGCAGGGGCAGCCACGCTGCCATCTCGCCGAGAGCGCACATAACCAGATACACGATGAAGCCCACCCAGGCATACCCGATCAGAAGTGAACCGGGCTATGAAGGTTAATATGAAGGTTAGACAAGCTTGGACCCAGGATGTGTCGGATCTACTCACGCCAGCCCTGCAAGTAGAAAAGAACGCCGATGTGAGTTTGAGCACCGGAAGCGAGAAAATGAGGCTATAACTTACTTCGCAAGGGCATCACCGGTACCAATAATCAGACCAGTTCCAATAGCACCGCCGATGGCTACATGGAATTAGCCGTCTTTCTTCTGTGCTGTTTCGATCGTGTGCATACCAATCATAGTAATGTGCCGCGCTTTGAGGGCGCGGTGTAGATCCACATGGTTAGGGTCTGACAGGCCACCCTCCTCGGCCGTTGCGACTTCATCGCCGCTGTACTCGCGCTTGACAGGGCTCTCCGAGGAGAAACCCTCAGTTTTGTGCTCATTCGCCGCCATGTGTCGGGCGCGAGCGTACGGTGGCAGCTGTTTGGATACTGAGCAGCTTGGAGATTGCGTTGGAAGTGTTGGAAGAAGAGGGAGGAAGAGGGAAGACGTAAAAAAGCGGGAGATGCCAGGCGACAGGCACGTCTAAAAAGGACCGGGGAGGGCTGAGTCTAAGCTCCTGCACCATGCACCTCTCCGCTGGCTGGCCAAGGAATCATAAAGGACCAACCCACCGAGCAGCGAGATAAGCCAGCATCCCACCGGGGCGCACGAGATAAACAAGAATAAGCTGACTGGGAAGCCAAGCCTCGCGTTTGATGGTATGGGGAAGGAATCAATTAGGTAAATCGATGGTCATTGGGGGAATGTAAGTCAATTCTCCGATCCACACTTAGTGCGGAGTATGTCCTCTTAACTCTATACCGTGTATAGCCTCGCAGCCGGATGCTAAGTCCGCGTAGAAGCGTTGCAGCGCCTCGATCAGCCCATCGGTCTAGCCCAGAGCATCTCCAAACGCGGTCCCAATACGAGTGGCTTGAGGACTTGAGGCTGCCTGACCCCTGCGGCTGACTTTGTACCACGTGAGTCAGTATAAACACACGCTGACTTCACTGCCTCCTCTGAACCCATGTCCAGAGAAAATGATCGAGCGCATTACGGTATTCAGCCGGACAGCTGGCTATTGTATACAGTAATACAGTACCGTGGCCCTGGTCCCTAAGGTCAATTTCCCTTTGTCAAAGCTTGCGATAAGACCCTTTTGTGCGGCCGCAAGCCAAGCCAGCCGCCGAGCCGCCAAGACTCCGGAAGGCAAAGACTTTTGCGCAACACTCTTCTGCGACTGGTCGGCCTTCTACGGAGATTGAGGGGGACGGGTCGCTTTGCGTCGGCCTTTTGTCTGTGGTTTGTTTCTGATAGTCCAGTCGGGCCCGAGATAACAGCGACAGGCAGGCAAGTGTGTGTCGATGTGCCCTGGAGACCGCTATGTTAAGCTAAGGGCGTGAAAGGCGTATAGTTGGCTGATGCGCCCCAATCCAGGAACCAGACCGAGGTACCATCCTGACTTCAACCGTGGATCCGGCAGCCAGGTCAAGCTGGACAGAGTGAGAATCAAAGAGAACACGAAACTGTGTGTTCAGCCCGTCCCCAACGGTGAGAAACCACAGACCGTAGAGCCCAGAGGGGATGGAGGCTTGGCGATCAGCCAGGGTTGCGTCCCGGGTACCACGCCAAGACCGTCCGCCACTGCCGCTCCATCCAATGGCCACCGCCGCTAGAGACGCCCCCCGGGCGACTGAACATTCCAGGTGTCTTAGCGGCCACCCGGGTGCAACCTGTTTACGAGTGGACACGGGCCCGTCCCAATTTTCCTTCTCGTTTTGCAATCAGCATGACATCGCAGAAGCAGTGCTGATAGCGAATTTTCTGGAACACGCGTGACCCCAATGCACAGCCCTCCGGGAATGTTTATTCCCTATCGGTGGATTTGATTCGATGGTTTCCACGTGGTGTGTGCCTCGCATTGTGCCTGGCAAGCCTGCTACTCATTTTAGCTTCGTGCGACTGGGGTAAGAAGGGTGAGTGCGCTATAGACAATAGACAGAATCAGACCACACTTGAGATCATGATGTCCAACAGCTTTAATTTGGCCATCATCACCAGGATGACCTGGGCTCAGCCAAAGTACGACGCCCAATAGAGAAAACTTGCACCTAGTTTATCCACGTGATCCATCCGTCCTTTGCGTACCTTGGGCAGACTGTCAATACAACCTGACTGTGGGATTCGCCAATATTTTACTGGTGATATTTCTATACGAGTGAAGGGCACACTTCATAGATTGATGGGTGCCAATCGACCACCGACAGGCATGAGCACTGATGATCGACACCCCTCATCAGCACGATTGAAATGAGACTGATGTATAGGGGCTACTGTCATCGTTGCGATACCTATACTGATTATCTGCAAGCTATCCAGGATTCCACAAATGGAAAAATTTTGCTTGTGTATTTACAGTATTTCGATGGGCTCAATTTGCGTTTCGGATATATTTTGAGCCAAAGCGCTCTCGAAGTAGAAAGTCAAGAAAGACATGGCTTTCTACTTGCAAGAGTTTGGCTGAGCTTAATGGGCGGTACGTTGGAATACAGGCCCGGTCCCAAAAGCCATGGCAGCGTGTTATGGTTCACAGCCAGGCTTGACCGCGCCGACACAGCATGTTCAGCGAAGAAGCCCACTATGTCTGCAACCGATGGTCCGAAAGATCGCATGAGGAAAGTATCCGAGATCACTCCTTGCACGCATATCTTGCCAAGCACCGGGGCATTGTCCCCTTGAGTATAGCTTGTCGGGTGATGTACCAGAAGTCTTGAGCTATCTCACGGCATTCCTCATTATTTAGTGTCCACTGCGCGTTGTTCAGTTAACCATGGCAACTGTGCCTATACCACTCAAGAGTGAATCCGAGTTGCTCGGGCTCTGACGATGAAAGGATATCAAGAAGTCCACGCTTCTCCAGGCCCTGACAGTATGCTTTTCTCGAAGAGAAATCTTCGGCCGGGAAGTTTTCATCCAAGCCACAGCGGTGGCCACTCGGTTTTCCGCTATTGACTTCGGTGTTGGCTGCCTCGCCGTTGCGACAGAGCATCAGCGCGCACCAGTATCTGAAAGCGCTCCATAACCCACGAATCATGCGGCCTATAGGCAGGCACCATCCGGGGATAGAGATCATTCCGGTGTTGCTCTCTTCTTTGGTTCTTTCAGGGAGAAGCGTTTTTGTGTATGCGGCCAGATCAGAAACCGTGGCATACTTATTGTGCCAACATTTGTGGATGATACCGTCAATAAGAGGGTCACCATCCAACTCCGGGAATTCCATATTCTGTAGCAAATCCACAACCTTAGGCCCATGCTCCTTAGGATCATCCGTGAGACATCGATCGCCATAAACCTCGTAGCCGTAGTTTATCAAGTAATACAAGGAACCGAGGGCAAATTGCTCTGTTCGAGGACCTAAGAAGCCAGCAGTTCCACGCCGTCCTTGGTCCGGCTCATTGCTATTAAGTAGTCTTCCATATGGGGCCATGCAAGCTTCGAAGTCTGTCCCGATTTCCGCAGTACAATCGAAATCAGATAATTTCAATCGATTGCGATCAAGCAAGATATTTTCGGGTCGAAGGTCGCCATGGGCGAGGTTGAGCGATTCGAGGAAAGCGACGGCTTGAGCGAGGTCGTTTATCCATATTTTTCGAAGAGAGAGAGGTTCAAGCATTTCTACTTTAGTAACAACCATAGTTTGCTGATCTCGGATATGATTGTCTTGTATTCTAGAGCAAAGGGATATATCTTGTGACGCAATTAGTAGATAAGCCTATCAAATATTAAGAGTGGTCGCACCTCGCATATACTCGAGGAAAATGCCGTTGTCTGCATAGAGGAAGCACTGCACTATTGAAGGGCAGGACGGATGCTGCGAAAAGATCTCATAGATTCTGAGTTCTTTCCGAAATTGTTCGCCTTCGAATTCTCCAGGCTTTGGCACCTTGACCACGATACGAGGATGGACCTCATAGACAAAGGAGATGCCTCCTTTCCAGACCCAGTGCACATCAGGAAACTGGTGTTGGATACTCATGACGTGAATAGAATGTAAAAGGAATACCCTGAAAGCTAGCCGCAGGAGAATTTGTGCAATGTTGATCAAAGAGCTGAGCAGAGAGAAGAAAGGGAGCCAGGGATGATTGGATAACGTGATCAGAAGCGAGTGGGTCGGACCCGAGTGGGTCGGATCCGGGCCGCCTACCGAAAGCTCACATCCAACCGCATCTTGCTAGCTTTAATCAACTCCCGTGCCACCACGTCGTGTCAGATCGAGCCAGGATTCTGTCTGCCAAGAAGGCCATATCTTTTAGCTATACAAGCTACGAACACTAAATATGAAGTCACATCTATGCACGGCGCTACAGGGCGAATCCATTTTCCCTGTCTCACTCTCCAGCGTCGACTACGCGGTACCACGAATCGTGTTGAAATTCGCGCCAACAGCCAGAAAATTGACCAATTTGCCGAGGAAATGCTTAGACATTAGAACATACTTATAGATCAGTGTGGAGCATCCCTGTGACCGACTATAGTGCAAGAACTGGCCCATATACTGCTTGTAGCGCAGCTACTCGACAAAGTTAGAAAATATTTGATTTCGAGTTGTATTCGACATACGTGGTAGTTTCAACCTCACACAAACTCAACGAATACTAGCAAAATTACCAATATGTAAAAACGTTGTGATTGATAAAAATGCATAAAATGGTTAACGCATGGGGACAGGATGATCGCTAACTTGTAAACTACTTTGATCTTTACTTTTTCGGAGAGGTATACTCCAATATTTTCTCTTTGCTTATTTGAATAAATTTTCTGGTGGCTACTCGTATTGAGGAAATCCGCCCAGCCCATACTTTAATAGCGGATATACATACTTCAATTCAGACCAGTACAAGACAAAGTCATGGTTTCAGTCCTATGCTATAATCTTTACGCACTTGCCAATAGCGGTTTCAAGCTTTCTCCCATTTTCCATTCATTTTTACCCAAGCACCACTCGCGATACAGTCGAGGCATGGATCTCTCTTCGTTGTTTTCCCCATTTGTTGGGTTTTCAGGATGATGCCGCAGTTGTTGCAGCTATTGAGCTCTATGACACTTCCAGGAGAATCAATCCTATGCCCGCATCTGTGCTCAACCGTCTCAATAAGTCGCTGACACATAATTGACCTACATTTCACTCATGTCAGCCATGGCTAATCTGTCTGACGGTAGATCTCACTCGAGGTTTATGGTATCAAACTTGGGAAGAGCGAAATGTTTGACGTGTCTCAAAAGAGGTTGTGATTCTCTTTTGTCTTCGCAGACCGGAGGTGATGTTTTGAAGGAAATCCTGACAGAAATGAAAGTGGATGTTTATATTCGGCTGAACAAACAATCCTTACATTGCTCACGGACCTTGCTCAGACCACCTTCCGGCCATATCTAAGGAGGCTCGAGAGCCGTACTGCGGCTGATTCCTAATATACCGGACCTTGCAGCACGTACCGAAAGTCGTCGATCATTGGCTGAAACCACAGCTCGAATGCCCTAGAGGCAATGTGATGAAATTCCAAGTATTCTCGTCTGGAGAGACTGGAAACAATGGGCCTGCTGGTAGCTAGGCTTATAGTAGCAGCAATGCATCACGGGAGGAGTATGCACATCGTCCGAGTGAGATGAGCAACACCGAGCGAGAGTGGTGACTCCTCATCCGGATTGGCTTTTATGGGGAGGGGATTTCTCACCCAATGGGGGATCCATAGTAGAAGGCCGGTCACGCCGGATTAGACAGCACACGTCACTCGACCGCAAGAATTCCAAATCGCTCCCTATGTGACGGACTCTGCAGCGTCAGTGCATGTGAAGCGTAGCTGACGCGGGCTCGAGCGGGGCATTTCAGCACGTGAGATATTACCACGTGAAGAGTTGCGGCTTCCGATCTCACAAGAGGGCAAGATTACTCCCAGGGCATCCCAAGACCGAGGTTCTATTCGCGACCATTTCAATTACTCCCCTGCTGCTTTTTGACCTGAACAACTCCGCAGGATAATGAATGGTTATCCGGTGCTGCTACCACCCGAGGCCTCTGTCCCAACAACACTCGCAATTGGTCCCACCGGAACCGTCTGTCAAAACAGTTCTCCACAAGTGAATGCAAGACATTACTATTTTCGCGAACAACACTAACTGGTATAAGATCCGTGCCGATCGACAACCACATTTGATCAATTTGCGGAATCTTTCACTGTAGAGGGGAAATTCCGTCCTTCGGTAGCTCTAAGAACGACGGGGGCAGCCTTTGACCTTTTGCGGCTTACCAAAATGAATAAACGTGTTAAACGTGCGAGAAAAGTAATTTTAGCATTGTAGCTAATCAGTGAACATTTTCTCTATTTTTTGTGCATAGGGGTATTTTTTTCCCTTCAGAACAAGGTGACTACCATGTATAAATTCGCTCAGGGTCCCCACGGAATTCTCTCTCTGATATTAATTACCCTGCCTGTCTTTAGTTTACGATGAGTTGTTCCGTAACGGAAGTCAAAAGCCTGCTGTTCACGCACCCTGGGCGTTTAAATGTATGTGCAGGTGCATGACCCGCATGCCCTGCTCAAACTATGTTCATTTACGATCGTCCACCGGAAGGTGAAGCTGGCTCTTCCGACTGGATTTACTAGGTGCATCTGAGTTCGTACTGGGGCTCAGTCTTTGCATAGCCTTCAGCCTCACTGCGGAGCGATTCCCTGGGCTCCAATCGTGTCACTGGACCCTCGGGTATAACCTTCTCCAAGACTCACAGGGCATGAGGTAATTCGTTTTCCAACAAGCTCTTCTCAGCCTCTACTTTCGCTATCAGCTGGGCACGCATGACCCGCTTTTCGGCGAGCCAGATTCCAACTGTTCGGAGGGCTCCTCGCAATGTGGATTATCTGCGCCTAGTGCACATCTTCGCTCGATGACACATTCACTCGACATGTCGATGGCACACGCATGCTTTCCTTGTTGATACAGTCCGAGCTCAACAGATCTGGCAGGAATTGGGGAATCCTCGTGCGACTATTTCCCGCTTCCTGGCTCCTCTGGTGATCGTGGTCCCACGGCTATTCCTCCAGGACCCATCAACATGAACGCGGACGAGATAAGAGGCATACTAGAGACATCAAAAGGCGTGAAATGGGCTAACGATAGGTACCTTGTAACAGACCGCCCATCGCGATCGGGGTTTCCGACACACCGCTTATGGACACCTTTGGAGCAAGCCTCAATTTTGACACGCGAGGATCCCAGTATGACGACGGTCTTAAATCTTCATTACAATGTTGGCCACTAGTTTGAATATGCGGCTCCGGGCCAAAACATGCTTTGGAAGAAAGTACGGCAAGTAAAAGATAGATAATTAACCTCATATACCCCTCATTTTGCCGCCTGGACTCGGCCCCCAACCAACATTCACACGGGCAAATTTCGACTGGATAGCAGTGAATACTCATGCATGAACACCTAGCATGCATGACGCGGTCAGCTAAACTATCGAGAGTGGTTCCGCCCATCGCGGCTCTAGAACACACGGTATTCGTCGATGCTGACTGTGACGTGATGTATCTACATCCTCGATGATTCCCATATCGCCATCCTTAGCAGCAGCTGTTGCCGCTGATGAGCTGTCAATCAACTCGTCATTGATTAGATGGTCTGAGCTGAGCCTTCCATGGCGGGTTAGGATGCGATGGGACTGCTTGCCACGATCACAAATGACTCGCGACCCGGGCTTCGCGATACGAGTTTATCTCGATCGATAGGAAGTTTTCACGAGCAAACAACTGTTACTGATCGTTCACCCTATTTTCGTGGCGAGGAACAAGCATCTGGTAACACTTTGATTGTGATTACGTCGAATCATCTGCTATTCTACGTATTAGATTGCCACAGGCGAGTTTCTAGTTTGCTGTTTACCGGGGCTTAGTGTGAAGATAGAATCTATTAGCCAGTGCCATCGGTGAATCACAAAGAATATTATAAGATGACTTCAAGGGATATCGGACGTCGAAACTGAGCCCGATTGATCCATGCTCATTGTCTCGGTATAGAGTGCCCGCTTGAGAGACGGCCATAATCAAAATCGAACGCGTCAGCAAGCCCAAGGATCCAATCACGTATCGTCAGAAGCAATGTGCACGGCTGATCCTGACCCCTCTTCTCTACGACAAATCAAAGTGACTGCGACGTCTATACGCGGTGATTGATTAACATGCAGATTATAGAATTTCATGTTAGCTAGGTGCTGTTTCGATGCTGATGTGGTGCAAACCTGAAGTTGTTTCTGGCACTAGTGCTGCTCTCCATTCTCCGCAGTTCCCAGTGATATCGGAAAGTCCGCGCTCGGAAGATCCGGGCATGATGACCCCGCAAATCTTACTGTTGTCCTTCAATCTCTCCGTCGTCAACAGTTCCCCCAGTAATTCTGAATACGGCCGACGTTGCTGCTTCACGAATTCCCCGACCTATCGAATGTAGTGTCCGTCCCTCACTCTTGGAAAAAAGGAAGCTATCTGGAAACTCCAAACAGCGACGTCGCTCGGTAGCTACAGTCGGAGTAAAGTGAAGGTACCGGTCTTTCTCTGTACTTAGTTAAATCCGGTTACATTTTTTTTACTCGACAATGTCACCCTCGGGGATTGCTGCTCCTTATTTTGGGCTGATAATCGACAATGTTGATGTTACCAACGGTCAAACATTCCCTGTGTTGAATCCTATCACCGGTGCCACATTGCACGCCGCACCAGCGGCAACAAAAGAAGAAGCCATCCAAGCGGTTGAAAGCGCCGGGCGGGCTTTCGAGACATGGCGAGACACCACGCCTATTCAGCGTCGCGAAATTCTGAATAAAGCGGTGCACATCCTACAGGAGCGGAAAGATGAGCTCGTTGGAGCTATGGTCAAGGAAACGGGAGCAAAGCCCAGCTGGGCCGAGTTCAATATCAAGACTGGAATTCAGTTTGTAATGGAAGGCGCAGGCATGGTCACACAAGTGAAGGGCGAATTGCTGCCTAGTAACGACCCAGGCATGTTTCAAGCTCTGGTGATGGAAGACACCGCTTGCTGACTGATTTTACTTAGGTACCATGGCGATGGTGTTCAAGGAACCTTGTGGTGTCGTGCTAGGCATCGCTCCCTGGAACGCACCTATCATTCTCGGCATACGGGCCTTTATCACACCCCTCGTCTGCGGAAATACCTGTGTCCTCAAAGCCTCTGAGTCAAGCCCCTACACCCAATATCTCGTCGTCGACTGCTTCCGTCAAGCGGGTCTTCCTGCTGGCGTACTCAACTTCATCTGCTGTCCTCGCGACTCTGCCGGCTCAATCACGGAGGTTATGATTGGGCATCCCGCCGTGGCAAGAGTCAACTTTACCGGTAGTACAGCAGTGGGACGAATCATTGGGAGCCTGTCCGCAAAATACCTGAAGCCTGTGGTTTTGGAGTTGGGCGGCAAAGCGCCAATGATTGTCTTAAAAGACGCGAACGTGGAGGAAGCCGTCAAAGCTGCAGCTTTTGGTGCTATGCAGCACCAGGGCCAAATCTGCATGTCAACTGAACGAGTCATCATCCATCGGTCCATTGTGGGCAAGTTTCACGAACTCTTCAAGGCCAAGATCGATTCTTTATACGCGAGCGACCCTTCGTCAGATCCATCGGCTCCCCTTGGCAGCCTCATCAGTGCCGCTGCAGGCTCTCGCATCCATGATCTCCTCCAAAACGCGCTCCAGCACGGTGCTACCATATCTGGGGGGCGAGTGTCTGTCTCCGGAGCAATTGTGCAGCCTGTTGCTCTTTCGGGCGTGACCAAGGCAATGGACTTGTATCAGCAAGAGTCGTTCGGGCCGGTGGTGACCTTGTTTGAGTTCGATACAATCGACGAAGCCGTCACGTTGGCCAACGATACGGAGTATGGACTGGTGGCATCAGTATTTGGCACTGATATTTTGCAAGCCCTCAAAGTCGCAAGAAGGATCAAGAGCGGCTCTTGCCACATTAATGGACCCACTGTCCACGACGAGCCTCACTTGCCGCTAGGAGGTCAGAAGGCGAGCGGATATGGGAAATTCGGTGGGAACGCATGTATCAATGAGTTCACCGAGGATAGAGTGATCACGATAGTCGGCGAAGGGGAGCATCGCTTTCCAATTTAGAGTTAGACTGGAAGACCGATCAATGCTAGGCGAGTATGCAAATGACCCTGTCTTATACCCTATACATGTCCGGAACCTGCCCTGTTCTGATTCCCTTGCCCCCTTGTTCATCCCCGGTGGGTGTAATCATGATCGATAAGAGAGTAAGTAGTCTTCGGCTTATCCAGTACTTTCGACGGAAAAGGCCTGGTCGTCTTGGGTATTGCGGGTCTAGTCCACGGCAACCTGTTGGCACAGATGAGCTCAAGCGAGACCTGTCGATTTGGTGGACACATTGCACGTGTGCAACAATGTTCCAATTGTAGGGCTCGTCTCGTATCGAGTACATACAAGATAACTATGTTCTCTGCACGCAAGCCCAACTATGCGCCAGTCGGTGGCCCGATGCACGCGCGATTTTCTCCTTGGCTTCGCATGGGATGGGATCAGAGGAGATAACCCAGAAATGCCTCATCGCGCAAGCGAGATTCTTCGAGCTAAAAAGCCGGGGTCTGCATGCGAGCGACAACAATGACCTGTCGATAGGAGCCCACGGGTCCGTGATCCTGGATCGTGGAAATTATACGATGCGGCCAGCGTGCGCGCGGGCCAAGTGCACTAGCTATCCAGAATAGACATAAACCCTTGCGAACCAACACCCGCTGTGGGTGATAACAAAAGAGCTAGGTCCCTGTGCTGGTGTGTGACGACCTGCATAAAGTCATTGGGAATGCGGGCCGTGCTGGCCGGTGGTTGGCTGACGAACGCCTCGGCGGCTACAGGGCATTTGGTTTATTTTTGTCGCGCCGATCGCTGCACGCGCTGATTGGACTCGATGTTGCTCCACTCACAAAACAAGGTGGGCCAGAAGCAGCGATTGGACAATGGATGTGTGATTTACTAAGATTAGCAACACTGCTGCAGCTAAAATTACGGATAATTTGGGAGCTTTCTATGCTGAGATATCAACGTTGGTGCGGGGAAGATGATGTTGGACGATTGTTGGTGTTCTCTCCTGAAAGAATTATTATATCAGGGCTCTTCGAGTCGGAGTCTCTACGTTCCTCTGCTCAACCTGGGTTTCTTCCAGTCAAGTGGCCTCTCTCGAAGCCTTCTGGATAGATCTATTGAATATATTCCCCTATTGTGTCTGGTGATTCCACACCATCTAGTATCATTTATACTACTATCCGCAATGGGTGTTATGCGCTTTCCTCGCCCGGCGGGCATCTATGTCCCCAGCTCACCCACTCGCCTGCTCACCAACGACATGATTTCTCCTCCTCTCTCTCCAGACTTCAACTTCGACTCTGAAGTCGTGCTGCCATCTATCCTCCCGGCCCTCGAGTACATATCCTCCAAGCTACAGCAAAAGACCATGCATGTCACACTGCTAGTCGGTCGCGGAAAGCCATTCCCAACCGGCCAGCCCTCCGACCTCATGATCATCCCCATCACACCTCTCGACCCTCCCTCATGGCGTGTGCTTGAACGAGCCATTGCTAAGGGTGCTAAGAAATTCTCGCTCGGTAAAAGCTGGACCGACGCGCTCAGTCGCAGCCAGTATGAGCGCCATGCAAACGAGTACCTTGTACAACAATCCATCCTTCAGAACGAGGTCATTTTCAGCCAGGAAGGCTTGACGCTGCTCAATATGGACCGCATCTATATCTTCAAACGGCGACTGTGCATTCTCTCAACTCGCCCCTTTTCCCGCACAGATGATCAGTCCATGACATGTTGCGTGCAATTGCTGCACCGCATCATCAAAGACTTCCAAGGCCGCCCCTTCAGCAAGGCCTTTTTCCACCGCGTCTATGAGCAATTAGATGTTAAGGATAATCTGCTTGCTGCAGTTGCAACGGCCTATAAGAACACTCACAAGCAAGAAGCCATCATACTACCGTCGAAGGCGAAGGCTGAACATTCTCGCAAGTCACCGGTCCATACCGCCCCGATTCGCACCGTGCGTGTTCGACGCCAACCCCTGGCGAAGGCAACCCTCCCCAGATCAAGCACCGCCACCAAAACATTGCCAGCAAAGCCATTCCCTACCAAGGCAAATTCACCGAAGACAAATCCCAGCCCTGTCAAAGGAAGTCCCCTAAAGTCAAGCACCATGAAGCCTCCTTCCGTCCGGCGAGGACCGAAGACGCCCCTCTCGGCGTCGGATGTTACCCCAATCACTAGGAACGAGTGGAACATACTTGTCGCCCAGGATATTCGGGTGCAGCCAACAGTCACCAAATGGACTCCATCGCCGACTGTGTACGGCATGGCATGAAGTAACAGCTTCCTAAGCATTGACAACCCATTTTGGGCCTCACGCCCCACAGCTCGACCAGAAGGTTACCTTTGGACTGCCTGCCCGGCTCCTCATAAGGACCGCCGGTGCGCGTTGCTTGGGCGCCCGCCAGTAGTCGTGCTAGGTCTGCAGAAGGCATTCATTGGGATGGTACTTGCTGCGGACATCTTCACTCAGGCCAGGAGATCCCCTGCTTATAGCGATTCGGTTGAACAACACATCGTTGACGTGAGGTCTACACTAGTGAGGAGGGATGCAGTCCAGGCTTTCGGCTTACTCGAATGCCGAGTGTCGCAGACATCGGCCTTCAAGACATGCAGCCGTCAAAGCCCCGAGATTTGCCCCATGCCATATCCTACTCCCAGCACCGCCTGGGAGAAGAACTGTGTCATCTTGGCAGGTTGAAACAATACCCAGTCGAAAAAGGAATCCATTCCATACGGAGGAAAAATTTAGTTAATGATGGCGATTACCTGTGAATGTACAATAATTTTATTCAAAATCGATCATTTCCATGGTCTACCTCACAACGACCAAAAAGGGGTTTGTTTTTGATTAGGAATTAGAGATACGGGCTCTACAGTATTACAGTCAACATCAGTAGATTCAGTTGAACTTATCTCTTCTAATGCAGAAGTCAACTGCTTTCCAGCTTCCTATCCTATACTTAGTATTATCTGACAGAAGGGCCGGACCGAAGTGGTTGGTCTTGGCGGCCTGAGTCCGCTGAGCGGCCATCCGGCCATACACAGAACCGGCAGTGGGCAATATCGAAGGGGCTCCCGGCGCCAATGACGGAGCGGAAATCGAGCCCCAGTGGGCACATTAGCACATCAGAACGGACGCTGTGAGTAATTTGTCTTTGCTATCAGCACTCGGCGCTCTCCGCTACCCCGCCATGTCACGTGGTGATTCCACCGCACGGTCGAGAGCATACCAGCAGTGCTACTACAGTCTGTCGGACTCCCAATGTTCGACAGATCATCCCTTACCTTAAGGCGTGGCGGACGGGTCTGAAACTAATTGTGGGGTGTCTTCGGCCTCGATACGTGCCGTCCCATTGTTGCAACACCAGAACCCGTCCAGGAACTGGCTGGTTTCTGCCCCGCCAAGCGGATCGAAGCTGTAGAGTACGGAGTACTGGTGAGGGGCCTTGGCGACGCGACGGAGCGGCGGCCGATAAGACCAGACCGAAAAATTTTCTTGTTGCAGTCTATAACAATTTAGTTGTCTCCTGGTCGTTCGAAAGCATTGGTTTCCCGCTCGGGTCCAGTTCTTCAATCTGGAAACAGCCCGGGAGGGGAAATTGATACGTTGACCCACAAGGCGAAACGGACCGGAAACATCTCCATCAAAAGGAGCCGCCCTGAGAATGTCCTCGGTTATAGAAGATGCGCCCGCAGACATGCGGCGCTTCGATGGCGACCGAAAATGGAGCTTGAAGCCACTCATTCAAAAGGCTGAACGTCAACACCAGCGTTTGCCGGGAATTAGAAAGATTCCTCTCCGTGCGATTGCCATTATCTTATTCATTGCCCTGTTGAATGCGATAGTGTGGATTGCAGCTGCGATTGTGCTAGTAAGTCAGACGTTTCTCCCGGTGCCTTCAGCGAGTACGAAATGGGCTAATAGTCTATAGCGCTACCACCCGTATGTTGTATCACTCTACCATCTCCATATGGGCACAACCCTATGCCTATCTCTCCCCAGACTAATACCATCTCAGGTCGTTGGTCTCCACGTCCGTTCTGGCCTATACACTTGGTCTGAGACATGCCTTCGATGCCGATCACATCTCGGTATGTCATGATATGAATCCATTCATGTAGAGCATGCAGTACTGACATGCAAATGGGCCATTGACTTGATGACCCGAAGACTGCTCGCGACGGGACAGAAGCCTGTTACAGTGGGCACCTTTTTCTCCCTGGGACACTCCACGTGAGTCCTCATTTGCCCTATGTCATCATCTCCCTTCTAAACGGGACATAGGATTGTGATCATCACCTCTGTCGTTGTGGCTGCGACAGCTGCCGCCGTCTCCTCGCGATTTGACAGCTTCAGCACTATCGGTGGTATTATTGGTAGCTCTGTCAGCGCTGTATTCCTGATCTTGCTCGGGATTATGAATGCCTACATCCTGTACAAGTTGGTCAAACAGATGCAAAAGGTCTACAACTTGCCCGAGGGCCAAGAGGACGAAGCATGGAAAATTGAAGGCGGAGGCATCCTATTTTCCATCTTGAAGAAGATGTTCAAGCTGATTGACAGGTCAGTCGGAACCCTGAAGCGTGAACCACCCAACTGTGCTGACATTATCTTAGACCATGGAAGATGTATCCCCTCGGCGTTCTGTTCGGCCTGGGCTTCGACACCTCGTCAGAGATTGCGTTGCTCGGTATCTCATCGGTCGAGGCTACCAAAGGCACCTCTTTCTGGGTGATTCTGATCCTTCCGGCACTGTTCACCGCGGGGATGTGTTTGCTCGATACCATTGATGGAGCTCTTATGTTCTCTCTGTACATCCAACCCTCCGCGAACTTCCTTCCGGCCAAGCGGAGCAGCACCACCTCGGAAACCTCGGCCGATACTACTGGCGATGAGTTGCCTCAATCACACGACAATCACCGCGACCCCATCGCGTTCCTGTACTATTCCATCGTGCTCACCACACTGACTGTCATCGTCGCCATCGTGATTGGCGTAATTCAGCTGCTTACCATGATCCTGAATGTCACCAATGCCAAGGGCAAGTTTTGGGACGGTGTGCAGACCGCAGGAGACTACTACGACATCATCGGCGGATCGATCTGTGGCTGCTTTCTGATCTTCGGTCTCCTGAGTGTCGTCTTGTACAAGCCCTGGCGACGATGGATGGCCCGTCGCCATGGACGACCTGTGGTCACTGACGAGGAGGGGTATCAGGATGATGCCCCTGACTCTAGCGAGGAGGGAGGTGTTATGGTGCACGAGGCCCGTAGCGATATGCAGAACTCGCAGACTGAAGTGGTGGGGAAGGAGTCGTCATCCCGCGTTGCAGTAAAGGAGACTAATGAGCGCCGCATTGAAGAGGAAATCATTTAGATTTTACGTGAATTGTACCTGACTGGCTTAGGATTGCAACTCCTGCACTGACAATTGGTCGTGATGTCTCTTTTGGAACATCGCGCGCCCGTCACAGCTTCAAGATGGAACCGAACCATATATATTCAATCCACATACTCAACCGACTAGAATCCCCTGCCCTTTATGTCCAAATATAAGCAACATTTCATAAAAATCACAGTTTCCCCGCAAGATTGCCCGAGCGTGTGGATGATCAACAAGGGGTATACCCATTGTGGCCTCAGGCATCCAGGCAGGTGACGTCAGGCAAGAATCGCTCGTGTTCTGCATGTCACTTTCTTCTCAGTCCAACAGCATCCCATGAGGAGATCTAGTCGTCATGTTGCCCTAGCATTCCTCTTCTATTATTCCAACCTTCATTTTTGGTCCATTCTGCCTGTCGCACTTCCTTGGACCATGCTCGGGCTTCTACTCCTATCGCGCCCAGCGGTAGTGATTCGGTGAGACCCGAGTTACAGCGTAAGCTACATTACGCCATTATATATACCATGCGGCTGCATTTCATATCCGCAAATATCGTTGAAGTTAAAAGTATATATTATTTCTATTCCCGGGATGTCGAATCCCTTCTTCGGCAGCTCATCTCCGCATGAGCCGGCGGAAGAAACGGCAGAGGAGACGATATTATCAGGGCAGCCCGTTATCTTCGTCCTACCTACTCATTTGGCTTTGGAGAAGTTACACGACACGGAAAATCGCCTGGTGCAATATGGCGGTAAACTCACCTATGACATTGCAGAAGCTAGTGTCATCTTGGGGAACATTGGCCAGAAGAAGAGAGCGGCGCTAGAGCTGCGTTCGCGGGGAATCTGGACGGAGGAGATACCAATCACGTTGACATCACCTTCAAAGGTATCAAGGTCAGATCAAGAGCCACCGGTGAAACGAAGAAAGATCTGTGTCGGTGATTCAGCAAGCAATACAAGAGTTGAGCCTGTTGATCTCAGCACAGAGTCGGAATCTGAGGAAGATGGGGTCAGGAGTCGACATGATACGGGTCAACACCTAGTGCAACCAACGAAGGAGCCTACAGATACAGTTACTCTTCTCAAGCTGGAATGGCTGGACAACTCAATCACCGCTGGCAAGGCTCTTCCTTGGGATTCATTTGTGGTCTACAGGGGCAAAAAGACCGCCCCTCCTACCTCGGCTCGTCCTGCAACATCGCCTTCACACAGAGCTACCAGCGGGATCATTCAGCGTGCGAAAGGGGACGCGGCTTCACAGCCTTTACCGGGTCCAATGGACCGCTTCCATACTCGCAGATCCAAGGAGCCCTCTAGTGGCAGCAGCAGCCAGCGACAGCCTCCAACCTTGTATCGTGAGACAACCTCGGAACACGATGAGGACGTTCCCCCACCACCCCAGCCCGATTGGGTTCGAGATCACGTCCTGTACGCATGCATGCGCTCAGCTCCATTACATCCGCCAAACGAAGAGTTCATCTCTCAGCTCGTGAAGATCCGACGCATCCGGGAACTCACACTCGACGAGATCGGTGTGCGAGCGTACAGCACCTCCATAGCGGCAGTAGCAGCATATCCGTACGTCATTCGTCGGCCAAGTGAGGTGCTCGCTCTCCCCGGCTGCGAAGCGAAAATTGCAAATCTCTTCGCGGAGTTTCAGCAGCATGGCGGCTGTAACCACACCGATGACAACGGGAACATCGCCGCTGCCAACGATCTAGATACCGACCCTGTTTTACGCGTCCTGAACACCTTCTACCTAATTTGGGGGGTGGGAGCCAAAACCGCCAGAGACTTTTACTACCGCCGCGGCTGGCGAGACCTTGATGATATCGTCGAACACGGATGGAACTCCCTGTCTCGCGTACAGCAAATTGGCGTGAAGTTCTACGAGGAATTCCTAGCCGGTGTTCCTCGGGGGAGTCCGAATCCATTGCCGAGATTGTGCGGCGACACGCGAACAAAGTCCGGCCCGAAGCCAACGACAAAATCGAGTGCATTATCGTCGGTGGCTACCGCCGAGGCAAGGAGTTGAGTGGCGATGTGGATCTTATACTAACGCACCACGACGAGGAGATCACCCACGGCCTCATTGTCGACGTTGTTGCCAGCCTTGAAGCAGAGCTCTATATCACGCATACCCTCTCGCTGCATCTAACATCTACACTACGCGAACAACAAACACTGCCATTCCGCGGTGATGAGACAGGAAAGCACTTTGACTCCCTCGACAAAGCCTTGGTTGTTTGGCAGGACCCAAACTTTGACGACTCCGACTCTGACTCTGACTCCACAGCCCTGCAAGGTGCAAGCACGCAGAAGAAGAACCCGAATACCCATCGACGCGTCGACATAATCATATCACCTTGGCATACAGTTGGCTGCGCTGTGCTAGGGTGGTCTGGAGACACCACCTTCCAGCGGGATTTGAGACGGTACGCAAAGAAGGCACATTCGTGGAAGTTCGACTCCAGTGGTGTGCGTGAACGTACTACTGGGGGCCAGGTGGTAGATCTGGAACGCGGTGGGGAGACTTGGCAACAAAGGGAGAGGTTGGTCATGGAAGGGTTAGGAGTTGGATGGCGACCCCCGAGGAAAGATGTACTCGCTGAAGAATGTTTCCAATCAGCCCGATCCTATTCTCCTTGGACTGGATTTCTGCTCCGTCTGGAGCTGGATATACATATAGTCTACGATTTGATCTTAGGTTGTTCTCCATTTCACCCGCCACCGTAACAATGAGCTCTGATGTAATTTGAAAGGTACATACCGGATTCATAGTTGAAATGAACGTCATTCCATCAGGGCAGGCGAAGAACACGAACTGGCGACCGAATGTCTCTGAAAGAGGCGATCAGATCATCGGGTCACAAGCGAGGCCGAGAAAGCGGGATGATAGTGGGAATGGAGACGGTTATAGAGAGGCGGGTCCACCTTTGACTTGGTCGTGGCCCGGAGAGGAGTTCGAAGTGCCTAGTGTTGTGGTAACCCCAAATGACCAGATGACGAGCGTTGATATTGCTTTGCGCAGGCAAATGCAGTGTTACGCGGGCTTTCCCGGTCACTGTCGCTGTCCCAGTCGAGTCGAATTTCGGCTATTTGATATATGCTCCAGGTGGCTGGCGTGCATTCTTGCATTCTTCCACGTAAAAAGATCTTACATCCTTCTGTCCTTGAGTGATTCATAGTTTTCCCCTAAGGACCATGAATCGGGCGGTCGGAAAAACATAACTTATACTCAAAGCCAAAACGAGAGGGCTTGAAGGTCGGTCTGTGGAATCATGTAGCGTGAAGTCCTAATGTCCGAACTATCGGCAGTTATCGGTGAATCGCCAACTGAGAAGATCACAACAGTATATATTGCCCAGAGAGATATCGAGAGGGAAAATTGTGTCAAAAGTCAGGCATTTGCCTAGTTCATGTCCAATTGAAAACGAAAACATCAAGCTAAAAACACATCACATCAACAAGATATTATGTCACAGCCTTCGCCAGCCAGCTCGCATAGCACAGCTGCACAACCAGGCTGGAAGAAGTAGAAAAAGAATAAAAAGTACAGAAAGGTACATCGCTACGAATATCTCGGTATTCATGCAAAAAAGGGGGCGCACAGGGCAAGGAATGGAGCTTAAGAAAAGCAACATCGATCATAATCCCGGATTCCTGGAACTCGCCATTTCTCCGTATCGTCCACGACCCTGGGTTGTGTCGTAAGCATTCAAGACACGCATTTGACCACCGTCGTCGGCTTGGGAGAAAGCGTAGCCGCGTTGCTTGCGCATGCGCTGTACTTGGCGGACCTTGCGGATGGCTTTCTGGAATTGCTCCATGCGAGGACGGTAGTCCTGAACGTTGTATTTCTGGATCTCCTGGACGTGGTGGTAATGCTGGGGATAGTACATGCGCTTGGCGTACTTCCAGGCAAAATCACGCATGAGGCAGACGCAGGGCAAGACGATGGCCATAAGGTAGAAAGCGGGGGTTTTGAAGAGGACGGGGATGGTGCCGTAGTATTCGTTTGAGAATCCGATGGCTGGGGCAGCAAAGCCGTATGCAGGGAGGAAGGCTAGCCAAAGCAGCATGGATCCAGGAATCGCGATGAAGTGGTATTTGGTCCAGGTGTTGGAGATCAGAGAAGCCTTGCCGAGAACGGTGGCAAGAACGGCAGTGTAAAGTGCCTCACCCCAAACCCAATGACCGGCAACCTGGCCATTCGCGAGAGGTAGATCCCAGAAGAAGATCAGCTCGGAGACGATATAGAGGAGCAGAGAGTGGAAGAAGCCGTTCAGAACCCAGGACCAAAAGCTATGCATCTTGAAAAACACGCCCTTCTGGCCCAGCTGGTATAGCTGGGGATATCGGTCCAACAACCGGGCGGAGACGTACTGATCGAAAATTCCAATGGCGAATGGAGGCAAGACCGTGAAAAGGACGTTGTAGAAGGAGAGAGTCCAAGATTCGTAAATAACCTCTCCAGAGAAGGCGTTTTGAAAGGAATACTGCAAAGGAAGATTAGACTCCGTTTCTCATACGAGCAAAGTGTGTATCTTACCCAAAATTGCGTCATATACAGGGTGATGTTCTTATAGAACGAATACAGAATGACCCGACTGATGCGAGAATAACTCCAGGCACCGTGAACCAGAAGCAGTTTTCGGAGAAAACGGAATTGACCGATCGCAACATCGGCGGATCGAGCTGCCTGGAGACCTTCAACACCACTGATACCGACACCAACATGTGCTGCTTGAATCATAGACACATCGTTGGCACCATCGCCGATAGCCAGAAGCAAGGACTTCAGATGGCGCTTGACAAGCTTGACGACCAAAGCTTTCTGGAGGGGAGACACACGACAACAGATCACAGCCTTGCACTGGACAGCAAGGTCAAGGAGCAGCTTCTCCATGTCCTTCTCCAAAGCGAAGGTCAAAGACCTCCCATCGATGATCAGAGCCAAGGGTTCAATATCGCCAGAGGCAGCTTGACTTTTGACCGCGTCCAATTTTTGTTGGAGATTGGAGCGCGTCGCTGCAGCATTGTCCTCATTAATAATGAGAAGGGTCATGTCCTCCGAGATAAGCTTGCAAGACATGCCAATGTTAATCGCAGTCTCTTGTCGGTCACCGGTCAGAACCCAAATTTTGATTCCAGCAGTCTGGAGCGTATGGATGGTATCCGGAACGCCATCTTGAAGTCGATCCTCAATGGCAGTGGCACCTAGTAGATACAAATCCTTCTCGATCAACTCGGCAGCCTTGTCCAGCTCATCGGCACGATTACCGCCGACAGTAGTGTTAGCCTTGTCGAAAATATGGTACCATTGTTGATATTCATCCTCTGGAATCTCACGCATGGCAAGACACAGCGTCCGAAGACCGTCTGAAGCATATTCTTCAAGGTGCTGAAGAGTGGCCTCGACGGTCGGGTTGTCTGGGTGCAACCGCTCAAGGATGACAGTGTCAGCGCCCTTACAGTAGATTCGGACCTTGCCGTCTGGGCAGCGAAAGATGGTCGACATTCTCTTTCGCGTCGAGTTGAACTCGCACACGGCCAGCAACTCATACTCTTGTTCCACACCATTGGCTGTGAAAATCACTGATCTAGGCTTGCGGTTGGTGAAGCGATAGCCTAGCATCGCGGCTCCATCCACCAAAGCGCCCTCGTCGGGCGAAGCTGCCTGGTACTTGATGTTGTTTGGATCATCCCCGTTCCATTCAGGAATCACAGTGTGGCAAGTTGCCAATAGTGTCAGGAATTGCTGAATAGCACCCTGGGAGGGATGCGATTCCAGGTTCTTGCGAAGTGTCTTGAAGTCATGAATGCCCATCTCGGCACCGTCTTCTGCGGTGGCCCGTTGGTCTTCTGGGACGTCATCTCCATACTGAATACCAGCAATTGAGCATTGCTTGAACTCCATCATATTGCAAGTCAATGTACCTGTCTTGTCAGAGAAAATGTATTCAATCTGACCAAGCTCCTCGACCAAGGATGAAGTGCGGCAGGTGGCGGGCGTGTCGGTTTTGTCATAGTAAATATCGAGATCGGAGTTGATGAGGAATGCTTGGAAGTACTTCACAATTTCAATGGTGACGAAGAGGGAGATCGGAACCAGGTTGGAGTAGAGAACCCAGTAGGTGAAGATGTCCATGAAGAATTGCTTAACGGGATTGACGGATCCGTAGTCGAGATACGCAAGCTTGTTGGACGCTGTTTGACGAATGACAAGGTCACCAACGGAGCTCACGACACTGAGCGCAATGAGAATGCCAACAAGCATCAAAATCTGAATATTGACCATTCGCTCCACGGCAGTTCGCTTAATCGGAGTTGCCGTTGCGTTCCGCATCAACTTCGTCTCGTGGCCAGTGAAAACCACAATCGCGTGAATCCAAGGTGTGTTGCGCAGTGTTGCGCCTCGGAGCAGTAACTGGTCGGGTGCCAAAGACAGTTCCTTCTCGCCACCTCCGGCATTCATGGTCAATGTCGCCTCGTACGTGTACAGACTGCTGTTGGGTTGTTCAGATCGAACGCGTCCACTCACGCGGCTGAGATCACTGGGACTGACGAGATGCGCGGTCTCAGGGATAGCCTGCTTGATCTTCAAGTTGGTCTCTCCGTCCAGATTCGCCGTTTCGATGTAGCAAAGACCCTCGGGCTCAGACGATGCCAGAAGGACCAAATCCGCCGGAAAAGGTTCCTCAGACTCGACTCGAACCACGTCTCCCACCGCAACATCCACCCATTTTGCTTCGTGAAACGAAGAACCTTTCAGAACCTGAGTTTTCGAGTAGTTCAACCCTCTATCCGATATCCGACGCTTGTAGTCTTCTACCAATTCCTTGATTGCAGACACGAGCAACACGATAGCCAGCGGAACGATGGTGGTATATTTGTTTGTCGGAGAAACTGAAGGAATCTGTTGAAGGACGGCGGTGAACAAGAAGAACAGGTTGGCATATTTGGAGAATTGCTCGAAGAGGAATTTCGGAATGAAAGTAATGACGTTGTACTTGGCGGTTGACACGTAGTTGCTGACGAACTTATGTGCGGCGTTTGCGGGGGCGTTATTGACCTGGATTATGCGAGGACCGAGGCTTGCCGGATCGACCTTCCGCCGTCCAAAGATGGATGTAAGATCAGATGCGCGGAACTGCTTTCGCGCTTTCGGGGCGGCAGCCGCGTCACCGTTGCTATCAAGTGTCACTCTTCTCGCGCCGGCCTCTGTTAATGGTAGATCCATTTCCGAGTACTGCGGCCCCATTCCAAACATGTATTTCGCTTTTCCCATCAATCCGCCACCTAACCCCAGGATACTGTTCCGCTCGTTCGCTTTCCGGACATGACTCTCGCTCGGGATCCGCGGTTCGAATGGATCGTCGTAATAGCTTCCACCCTCAGGGTAACTTTGTTGGTCGTATCGAGAATCATATCCATCAAGGTGGGAGTCGTATCTGTGGAGAGGCTCTTGACCGTACGCTAGGTCGGTGTTTGAATCGGATCGATACCCAGCGCTGTGCGATTCTTGAAGGAATCTGCTCTGGGGCGCATTTCCCGAAGCCGCCGGGGGATACACGCCATGTTGTTGTGCTGAGGCACCAATGAAAGTATCGTTGGATATAGAGGGGCGCGGTTGCGCATTATGCTGGTCGATAAACTGCGGAAGGTGTTCGTCGCTGACTGGCGGGGGTTGCCCAGTGTTATAGATCGGGCCCGGACTCGGGCTCGACCTCAACAACAGGTCATCATCGTGACCAGCGGAATGATCCGGCCCAGGAGGCCTACCACTGGCCATGCTGCCGCGGGGGTAGCTGACAGCCTCACTAAGAGCAGTGGAGACGATGCCCCTGAGGCATTGATCAGATCCAGGGAATGACGGGGGAAGATGCGCGCCGCGGAATCTGCAGGGGGGCAGCCAAGCAAGGGAGCAAATTTGCAAAAAGAATAAGAAGTGGTTCAAGAGTGAAAGGGAAGGAAGTGGACAGGCGAGTAAGGATGAGGTGGCTTAGCGGACGGAGGAAGTAACTTTGGGTGTTGACTTGATCGTCCCGCTTTCTGGCTGAGGCGGTAAACTACTGCCAGCCACCGATCTGCAGTAGATGCGGTGCATGCGATATGGAGTAATCCCTAATTATAATTTCGCTGAGAAAAAAGTTCCTCTTAAAACAAAGATCCGGCATAAGCGATTAGATTGGTTTTCACAAATGGTTTACGAGGACCCAGTGCTGGCAGATCGACCTGAAACGATGTGCTCTAAGAATAACTGCTGGCTTCCAGGCAATGGCCGGAAATATATCATCCGCAAGCGACAATTGAGATCTTCTATGAAGTAACGCTAGGTATAATCCGACTCATCATTACCTACCAAAATAACACTAATGGAAGGACGGGTACAGGCGAGGACTATTTATTTTCCATCGGTACCTAGCTAGGGTTTAGGTCACCTATGAGATTTATCTAAGAACTGCACAATACCTATTTGTCTTCATGCTATATCATTGGAATCTGAAAAAAAAGCAATGCGGAACTCCATTCCCAAGGTCGTGAAGGCTGTAGTCATACAAAATATGGTCGTTCGCGTTTGGATTTACCGGTCATTTTCAGCTCGAGATTCTTCTGCCATACCCTTCTTTGCTCGTTTGGCCAGATCAGCCTGCATCACCCGCTCAACCTGGGCATTGATCTCTTTGACCTTCTCCAGAGCAACATTGGACCGGGTCACCACCTCCATCGCATCAACGGGCGCACCCGAAAACTTGGACAGGAAGCACACATCGCCTCCGTTGTTGATTCCAATCACGAGTTCTCCCTCCGACGATTGCTCTTCCTTGCGCGTGGCATCGACAATGATATTGTGGCCCTCGTTGAAAGCATTGAAAGTAATCGACAAAGGCTTATGCGTAATGTTGAGTGCAACCGGTACCCGCTCCTCCACCCCATAGACAATGACCTGGCCATCGCGGACCACAGCATCCGGCCGGCGGAAGTGCTGCAGTCCAGTCATAATGGCAATGCAGGCCGCATCGGTCAGATTGCCATCGTAGTCGAGGATATGCACATCGGCGCGGATACTCCAGCAGCTTACACCCTTGAGAATGCACAGCGATTCAGTATCCAGAGCGTTCGAGCGACGGATGACGCTGTCGAGGACGTGCGTAACGTAGGCTTCGAGCTCATTAGATCTGGAAGACAAAATCGATAAGTTAGCTGAGGTCGCTGAGAGTGCGCCATGTCAATTGAGAGCATACCGGCCGTTTTCCCAGGCGGGCGAGCCCATTGCAGACAATTCTAGATTGATGTTGAAAAGACCATCAAAGGGACGGTCATCGCGGGGCTTCGTGACCTCAGAAGATATGCGGACAACAATGCTAAAAACTGCGATCAGCACTTAAAGGGTCTTGTAGTCATAGCCACGAATAATGGCGCCCATACCTGGTCTTGCCCAGCTGTAGCTTCACATGCCCATATTCATCGCCAAAGGAAAGATTCAATGAACGGAACTGGTCTGCTCCCCGGCCATCAAGGCGCACATTCTCACGCAGAGCTTCGAGAATAAATTCGCGCTCTGCGACTGAGAGAGGAGCTTCTTTGGACATTTTGCGAATAGCACACCTTGGCGAAGAGTCTCTGCGGGGACGGTCAAAGGTCTTTTTTTGGACCATTTTGGGCCATTTTGCCGTTGCTGGCCGCATTACTGCTGCTTGGTGCTGGGTGTGGACCAATAGAGAGGTGAATATGGACAGGCGGTGAGAGGCCGAAGGGTCTCGCAGCGACGTGGATGGGCAGCCTCTGTTCTCCAATTGCTCACCGTCTCACACCAACCTTCACGATGACCACCGGTATGTTTGTTTATCTGTTAATTAAACCATATAATATGGCGAATACTGACGTTCAATAGCTCACAGACCCACATTCGACCCGGTACGGCCACTTGCGACTACCCTCTCCGTTCCCTCTCAGTCAGTAAGAGACTAATTTGATTTGAACAGGCGCAAGGAAAGGAGGCCCTTCGAGGTCCAGCATATCACCAGCGTCTACTTCCAGCACACACTCATTTGAAAGTTCGGTAAGTCGAGGAAAGACTCGGTATGACCGCAACGCGACTGCTAATAATCCCTGAGGCAACCCGGACAAGGCGGTGATGCCGACAATGAGGTCCGCGACCTGCGCGCAGAGCTCTTGAAGGCTGAGGCTGCTCACTTCGCTAAGAAGAACGGTGGTTCTGTCGAGGAGCTCGCTGCCCCCGAGTCGGTTACCCCGAAGCGACAACTGGAATCAGCTGCCGCGGACGCAGATGGCGAAGCTGAGGAAGATCCAGAGGCAAAGCGACGGCGGATTCTAGAAGAGTCGCGCGACATAGATGCAGATTCGGACGGATCAGGAGAGGATAGTAGCGAGGAGGAGGATAGTGATGACGAGGACGAGGCAGCCGAGCTGATGCGTGAGCTGGAGAAGATCAAGAAGGAGCGACAGGCACAGAAAGAGAAAGAGGTGTGTCTTCCTGGAAGATAATCTTGTATCGAAGATGGCATGCTAATACTATGCAGGAGCAAGAACGTGCAGCTGAAGAGCAGGAACAACGAGAAGTCGACATCGCCCGAGGCAATCCCCTACTCAATGCACAAGATTTCAATATGAAGCGGCGATGGGATGATGATGTCGTATTCAAGAACCAAGCCCGAGGTACAGAGAAGAAGGATGGCAAGGAGTTTGTTAACGTGAGTCTATATTTACTTGCTTGTGCGTGACCTGATATGCTAATGTGTCTCTGAATTAGGACTTGCTGCGCTCCGACTTCCACAAGAGATTTATGGTATGTTCTGGATTTCTTTTACTTTCTTTTGTGAATGTATATGCTGACTTCAAATTGTGTCTCTAGTCAAAATACGTCCGTTAAGCATGGCGTCGAGCATCTGCTAGATCACGCCACAACATTCAACGGAATTGCAAGGACCAATCATTCACCTCCATGGCACAAGTACTGAGGGCGGAGGAGCAAAGCTCTTCCTCCCTACAACCCACAAAGCGGGAATCCGGAAAGGACGCCGGGCAGGAGGGAAGCAATAGTCACAACTTTCAAGGAAGTCCCCATCAAATATGGTGTCATTGGCAGGCCAATTTCACAGTCTCGCACAATCCACCAACTGGGCGAAAGATATGATGCCACTTTCGACCAAATCCCCAGTAATACCAATGAAAGATTATTCAGTAACTTTTCAAACATATTCCTTGCCGCTATTTTTCAAGCATTTATTAGACCCTTTGTCGCGATTGTGGTAGTAGACCCAGCTCTCTCCTTGTCCAGCCGGTCTAGCCTCTTGTCTCCTTCACCGCCCACCTGACCGCCCATTATCGCATCCATCTGCCGGGCACAATGGCCAAAGCATCCTCCCCCCGCCAGCTTCGGAAGCTCAGGACAGCCAGAAACCTCAGGACGCACGAGATCCTGTGGATCTTTATCCCGAGATGGATACCCAGCCGACTGCCAAGCAATTGCACCGTCCGTTTGCCCCGATCAATGAGACGCACATGAGTAGACTGGATGTGTCGTCCCTCAAGCAATTTGTACTAACTTGAGCTCTTACCAGACCGAATCAACCAGGACATTTCCCAGCTGCTGCAGCGGTTCGAGAACATTATGGCCACTGCAACTGTAAGATCCGATGGTTACAGATCCATGATATCATTCAAAGCCCTGCTGATGACTTTATATTTAGGTGAACAACCCGAGCCACACCGCCACGGCTGTCGAGACTTATCAGCTGGATGTCGAGTCTACTGCACTGGTAAGAATGCTTCTGGAAGCAGCAAAGACCTGGGTCATCAGATGATCTAGCTCCTTGCTGGGCTCTTCTGCTCTTAGCTTTTCGGGGGGGGGATGAGTGCTGACCATTGTTCGCGGCCCCGCAGATCCGCGCCGGTGAGGATATTTTGAGCTTGACTCGCGCCATGAAAGAGATTTGGCTATTTGGAAAGCTTGATACACTGGGTGAAGACGAGCACGACGTCAAGCGCGGCAAGAAGCTTGAAGAGGATGTCCGTGCGGTTGAGAAGGCCGTCCAGGACGGTACTCTATTGATGCTGTGCCCCGAGACAAAAGAGACATAGAGCGGGTATTTGACCATGAGCTTCATTTGAACTGTATCTTCGGATTACATGGGCGTTTTCCAGCGAGGTTTGGGCGGCGAGAGTCTGGCGTTGGATATCCAAAGGCGTGTACATTTAGGAAGATGGTCTGCTTGTTCGCCTATGCATAATATTATTTGTCCTACAGCTCATGGCATTCAACCGATTCCTTGAAGAACGGTTCGCATTCCCACTCTGGAACTTGGCCCGCTTTACAGCACCCACGGCTCTAGCAAACGCAGGATCAATTGAATCGCAAATCTTGCTGGCATGCGTGGGAGCGGTGGTATCGACGCCATCTCGCAGATTTTAAATCCGACCGAGGACCGTCTTGCCTACCGATACCCCGGAGGCGCAGGCTGCACCCATAAGCTTCTGGGTTAGACCGATCTCGAACTATCGGGCCAACAGCGTGGTTCAAATATTCGTTGTCATAATCAAGAAAGATGGCAGGAGCGCCTGCGCCGCTCAGATGGAAATTATATGCACAGAAAGGGCTGTCGTATGAATCTCAAAGTTGACTCAGAATTGAGTTACCAGGCTCGATTTCGATTGATGCCCTCTTGAAGACCTCCAGAGCAGTGTAATCGAGATGTCGCAAATACACCATTGACGAGATATTGAGTGGAGACGACATTGAGCCTGTCAATCAAACCCTGCGGGGCCGGCGATAAGCTCACGCGATAAACACGTCCCGACTTTGGCGTTTTCGCGTCGGCCACGACCTCACTTCGGTCCTCGCCTTCGTTTTTTCTTTTCACCTCCACCTGAAAACCTCACAACCTCGGTGCTGGATCCAACCACACAAAACGTTCACTATGCTGCCTCCGACAACTCACCAAATCCCACACTCCCTCCCCCTCACCCTCGTCGTCGCCACGACCCCCATTCGCGTCGCGTCCTCCACGTCCAATGATGCATCCACTCGCTTGGGAATTGGGCTTAAGGGGACCCTACCTTGGCCGCGCATAAAAGCCGACATGTCCTTCTTTGCGCGCACGACTTCCCGCGCACCAGCAGCAGGCACGACGAACGCGATCATCATGGGCCGCAAGACGTATGACTCGGTTCCGAAGCACTTGCGCCCGCTGGGTAAGCGGATTAGCGTCATAGTGACTCGCGATACTTCTGGCTCCGTGCGGGAGGGTGTGTTGAAAGAACTTGAGGCGCGCAAAATGAAGATGGCTGAGACGGCAAAGGCTAAGGCACAGGCTGCCGCTGCTGAAGGGAAGGAAGTTGAGCAGAACGGGTCTACTGATGAGCCTATAACCGATGCGCTGGTAACACACAGCCTGGACTCCGCGTTATCTGAATTGGACGCTGTGTATGGCGCGTCTGGACGCCTGGGGAAGATTTATATCATCGGCGGGGCAGAGATCTATGGTGCTGCGCTGCGCATGAAGGCGGTTGCAGATGCTACGCAAACGAAGCGGCCGGTGCGGATTGTCATGACAAATATCGTGCGGAAAGCGGAGGGCGAGGGTGCCAAAAATGAGTTCGAGTGTGATACGTTTTTCCCTGTGCAAGGGCTTACACCTGAAGATGGGTGGAGGACTGCGAGCCCTGCGGAGGTGTCCGAGTGGGTTGGGGAAACCGTGACTGGGGAGTGGATCCAGGAGGGAGAGGTTGAGGTGCAGATGGTTGGATATGAAAGATTGGACTAAGAGGGTGGAATCTATATCAAACTAAATTTGCCTATAGAAGGAATGCATGGATGCGAGTCAATCTGGCTGCGCCTCGCCAGAAAGGCCTACGCAATGGACATTTTCATCCCCCCATTCGCGCAAATGACACTCCCAGTGGTCCACCCGCCTTCGGCCGAGCAAAGCATGTCGATGGTACCGGCAATCTCGCTCGTGAAGGCTGGTCGCCGACTCTTCATCTTCTCCTTTACCAGCCGATCAAACTTTTCCGCATCCGCTCCTGCCATAGCGAGCACCTCCTTCTCACTGTTGTAGCTTGCTAATGGAGCGGTGTCAACATAGGGCTGATTGATATCCCAGAATGTCTGGCCGGCTTTTTCATACATGTCTCCCCAGGCTGGTCCGGGGTTCACGGCGTTGACGGTGGCACGCTCGGCCAGTTCTCGGCTCCACACACGAGTCATAGATTCCACCGCTGCTTTGCTACCAGCGTATACGGACTGTCCCTGGTATCCGATAGAAGAGGAGACACTGGAGACGGTTACGATGCGGCCCGAACGGTCTTTTGGGAGATGCGGTGCAACAGCTTGTGTAAGAAGCAACGGGGCCAGAACATTCACTCGGTACACCCGGTCGAATTCGGTTCCATCGATTGGACCCTGCTGCCCGTCATTCAAGTGCTGATTCGAGGACACCCCAGCATTGTTGATGAGAATGTCAACTTGGAATTCTGCGCCGGGCATGTAGGAGCCAAACAGGTCCTTGGCCGCCTGCAGAATCGAGCTAGATGCCTCCGCTGGGCTTCCAAGATCAGCCTGGACTGAGGCACAACGGATTCGATGCGTGCAAGCAAGACGCTCACACAGCTGTGCGGTCGGCTCGGTGGAAAAATCCGATGTATACACCAAGAGGAGGTTGCATCCTTTTGCGGCCAGTTTCTGAGCCACGGCAGCACCGATTCCTGGATAGTTTAGGTCAACCATATCTTATATCCGCGAGAACTCGAGAGTCTCACCTCGCGAACCCCCAGTCACAATACCGAGTTTTGATTCATACGGGCGGTGGGATGCCATGGTGGTCTACACTGAGAGAAATACGGGTGTCAAAAGAACGGCTATGAGTTATGTCGAGTAATTAGGATATAGCGAAAGCAACTATAGAGTTTAGGTACAAATTGTGGTGGATAGTATTGGTGCTCGGCCAAAACCCCGCGAGCCGGTCAACCCCGCGTGGGGGTACAGTCTCGTGACATCATATTGTGTTGCCGAAATGAAAAGTGGAGAGGCGTGTGGGGAAACATGAACGCAAGATCGACTTCTATGTTTGGTACAACCCTCCATCTCTATATCTAATAGCCAAGAGTAAACAAAACACGACACGAACCCTTTTTGCATCCATTCTCCACGGCCACCTATAAGCGCCCTTGCGAAAGACTCCTGTAGTCCCAAAAACTTGAGGCCGACGACCAATTCGTTTAGTAGCAAGTATAGCCTCCATCAATCACACAATTGGAACCAGTCATGAACTTGGACGCATCAGAGGCCAGGAAGATGCAAAGGCCGTTGAGGTCGTCAACGTTTCCGAGACGGTTCTGAGGTGTAAGAGACTTCCAGATTTTCTTCTGTGCCTCCAGAGCAGGAACACGGTTGAGAGCGGTATCCATGTAACCCGGGGAGATGCAGTTCACTCGAATATCATTCTTAGCCCACTCTGCAGCCAGCGACTTGGCAAGCTGGATGACGCCCGCCTTGGAAGCGTTGTAGCAGCTTTGTTCCTGGGGGTAGTTGACGACCAGGCCCGACATGGATGCGACGAGAATGATGCTTCCCGGCTTGCGCGCGGCAATCATCGCACGGCCCACAGCCTGCGACATCAAGAACGAGCCAGTGAGGTTGATGTCGATCAGGCGTCGGAACATAGCAACATCGTAGGCCTCCGCTTTGATGTTGGAATCGGCAATGCCGGCCGAGTTGATAAGGACATCGGGAACGCCGTATTTTTCAACGCAGGCCTCGACCGAGGCAGTGATAGCGGCGGCATCGCGTACATCCACTCGGTAGAAGGAGATTGGGAGACCTGTCTTGTCGTGCAATTCGGCTGCTGCTTCGTCCCCGAGTTCCTGGTTGGCGTCGAAAATCACGATATTCTTCGCACCTGCTTCGGCGCAGGCGCGAGCCATGTGATTCCCAAGTCCACGAGCACCTCCGGTGACGATGACGGTCTTGCCAAACATGCTCATGCTGCGCATAGTGTGTGGGAGTTGCTCATAGACATCTCGAGTGAGGGGATTGACGGCCTCGCTTTCTTGGTACACGGGAGGCGTGTTGTGAAGGAGATGGGGCGCGTCTTGGAAGACGTGAACGGTGTGTTTGTGCCCTGCACCATGGCCGGCGTCATAATCTGTGACAGGGACCTCTTTCTCCGGGATGCGGCTCTTTTTATCTGTGTTTTGGAGGTGGTTGATGCGGGTGGTTGAAAAATGTCCCACAGGGACCCGAGAAACCGATGGAGAGGAGGTGGTCCCTGCTCGGCAGGTCCGGAAGAAAGAACGCGCCAGAGACATTGTGTAAGGAAGAAAAGAATTTGAATTAGAAAAGGGAGATAGGCTCTCAACTGGGGCGAGCGGTAAATAAATAATAACTAATGATCGATGCGAGATTCCCCTTAGACCGCATCCGCTTCACCGCAGATGGGGGTTCGATATATACCTGCTTCCAGGGGAAGCCCCTCGAAACATGGGTGGATCTGGATCGGTCTTGAATCAATATAAAATCGGGTCATGTGCGCATTTTTGCTTGTGTGGATGAACCTAAAATTAGAGCCGGAAGCGCCATTACGGAAATGAGAAAATCTTTGAATGCGGAAGAATGCGCAAAGATCGGTGAGGCGTGTATACGTGGAAAGGGGCGAGGTCTCGGAAGGACGAAATAGGCAATCTTGCTGAGCTCTCAACTCTCCATTGTGACTAGGTCAGCATGGTGGCCAATGGCTTGATCCGGCGACTTTTTCCAAAGCTGACCTTCAGTCGCAAACCGAAGTCCCGACATTTCAGCGCGGCTAGAGAGGAAAAATTAAATCCAGGGGATGATTCAAAGCCGCTGACAAGGATGCATTGGAGGGTCAGATGACTCCTGCAGTCACATAAAACATAGCTTCGTACCGAGTGTAGTTAACGTTAGCGAATTGTTAGTGCAGCCACAGATCGAATATTTTCTACCCCGTGACCTCTTAGACACCTTGACTGTTTGTATACCCCTTGACCGGCTTCGAGAATCTATTCCGAGCGCGGTCTGATTGGACAGAGCATGGGTGCAGTGGGACCTTCCTGGGATACCCCTTACAGCAATCCCGATACCAAAGAATGACTGGCCGGCAGGGGTCTCTCGTGGTGGAGGTGAAAATCTACACATCGATTAGTGTCGTCCTCATCCAATTGAAGTAAATACTTTTGCCGATGGGATCCGCGAATGAACCCACAGATTATACCCCGGAAATCTTTCACACCGCACCCTCGATGAGACCTCGGATGATTGGATAGACGTCCTTACACGTGGAACATTGTCAATTTGTGGCTGCACAACAATAAAAAGAAATATCTTCCAGATACACCGCGTCCGGCGGCTCGCATCTACCAGACCAATTCAATTCCCATAGCAGGTGAGACACGCTTCTGGTGTGAGCTCAGTTTTCTGGTCTTACGTGCCGTCAACTACCATTGCTGCCCCTACTTCGGTCGTCTTTGGAACCAACCATGCAAGTAGATTGACTAATGGGAAAACGGGCAGAAATACACACAGAGCAAGAGCAATGATCAGTGCACAAGTCCCAGGAGTATCAAAGATAGTAATGTGTATATGCAAATGCTATGCAAGATGTCCAGTCAAAACGAGGGAAAGCCCCAGGGTAACATGCTGTAGAAACGCCGGCCAATGCGGCATCGATCAAATACAAAGAATACAAATATCAGCCAAAAGTTTGCACCATCCTTGTGGCGGGAGTGCGAAGCTCGGAAATATCCGACTATTCCTTCTCGTTCTCTTTCATGAACTTCACAAATGCTTTCTTATGTACCAGCCCCGCGTAGTGGCCATTCTGCAGGACGCAGAGGTACCGCAGTCCCAATTTAGCAAAGCATTGGTAGACAAGGTCGATCGGGGAATGAATGTCTAGGGAGATAGGTGCCTGTGTACGGAAAAAGGGTTAGTATTTGAGTCTTCACGGATATGGGGTGGATTGGCGTACCGGATCAATATACCGCGTGAAGTCCTCCTGCACCGCGTCTTCATTCTCGCTATCATAGACAACCGATGCATCCACAGCCATCTGGCAGAGAGTATTATCCTCATCATCACCGAGGGAATCAAGCGCAAATTCTAGATCTGGTGCTGGAATGAGGCCTGTGAGGATGCCATTGCGCAGGATCGGCAGACCGCCGTCCAGTTCACCCGCCATCAGCAGGTGCTCAAGTTTGACGCGCAGCTCGGATGCAGCCACGAAGGAGGAGCTAGAGATATCGATAATGCGGTTTTTGCGTGGGGGGCGGACGATGTCGCCGAGCTCGGCGTCGGAAACTGGTTGCAGTTTGTTATCAAGGAAAGGGTAGGCGTTCATATCGGTAAGGAAGTCCTAAAATAGTTAGCATACATAGGCAATGAATTTATTCTCGGAAAGAGCTTTTACATAGATACTGCGTGGCTCAATGGCATCCGCAGTCCATTTGGCACAGAGAACGGCCAGTGAGAATGGTAGGACGTGGTCCAAGCTACCCGTTAACTCAAATAGGATCACGGCGAGAGTGACTGATAACCGCGTAACACCGCACATGGTGGCGCCAGCCGCGACCATTGCGTAAACGCCCGGCGTGATGCAGGATTCCATCCCCGCGACGTTGGGACATGTGTCAAATAGGAAGAAAGTAGGATTCTTTGCCACCCAGTATTGCACTGAGTGCCCGACGATCCGGCCCATCAGACCACCGACAACCATGGATGGCACATAAATTCCGGCGGGCACCTTGATACCAAAGGTGACAACCGTCAAAAGACTCTTAATCACGAACGCGACAAGAAGGTATTGAATGATCTCAACGATGCCGTCTTCGCGAGGACAAAGCCCCGTGCTCGACTCCCCTTCACACGGACGTGCAAGCTCAAAGAGCAGTTCGGTGACGGGCAGTTTCGTAAATGGATTCCAGAAGCTGACCAGGCCCGTGAGCAGGGCGACAAGAAACACTTCCAGCATTGGCCAGCGCTTAATGGCTGGGATCCGGCGGAAAGAGCGCGCCCACAGACTTGACGCTTTGATGAAGAAGGCGCCGAGGGCGCCACCCAGCACACCGAGGAAGACGAAAATGATAATTTCAAAAATCTCCCAGTCCGTCATATAACGGACCTGGAATAGAACAATCTTGCCTGTTCCGTACGGATTGAGGAATTTCAGGGACAGTGCAGCTGCAATACAGCAGAAGAACGTCCGGAACAGAGTCTTGGGTGGGAAGTAGTAACTCACTTCTTCCAAGCTGAAAAGAACACCGCCAATTGGGGCACCGAAAGCAACGGCGACGCCGCTGGCAGCGCTGGCACTCAAAACTTCTCGTCGCTTGCCATCGTTCTGGTTGTATTTGGCAAACATTCGGCAACAGATGTTGCCGACACAAGTGGCAATGTGAACATAAGGGCCTTCTTTGCCTAGACTGAGACCAGATGCAACGCTGAAGATCAAAGCGATTGTCTTGACCACCAAGGTCTTCAAACCCAGGTACCCGTGAAGCACAAAACCACTGTTGATCACCTTGACTTCGGCAACGCCGCTGCCGGCCGCGGAGTAGTAGACCATGGCCGGGCGGGGAGGAATCATGGGGAATGTCCCATGCGGGCTGGTCTGCGAGCCCGGCGAGCCCGATTCAGCAGTTCCAGTGCCACGCTTTGTCCCGCGATATTCAGCACCGAGGTTCTCATCCAAGGTCGTCAACGAGATTGACGACGGTACAACCGTCTTCGTGAGCAACGTCAAAGCACAAGAGATCATAGCAAGGGCCACAACCCAGATGACAAACATGGCGAAATTGACCCACTGATTTTCGGTACTGGAGGGACGAAAGATCTGGGACCACGACCGCCAGTTGGTACAGGTGAACCCCTCCCCGCAACACTTGCTCTTGCTAGCAAGCAGCGAATGTGCACAGTAGCCCATCTTCATGTCAAACACCCAGTCCTCCGTCACATCCACGACGTATGCAATGACCGCAGTAATGCACCCAATCACAGCGACCAGAACCCACCCCTGTGCACCGTCAAACCAGGCGAGCAGCCGGCCACGGAGATCCTTGCGCTGCCGGAGCTGGCGCAGGCGGGCTCCATCGGCGATGCTGTCATGCACCCAGTCTGTCGAGGTAAACTGATCGTACCATGTGCGCTCGTCGAGGAATGACGAAGCAGTCAGCCCGTCCTTCGCCGACGGGGGTAAACTCTCCGGCCGACCCTCATCCCCTGAGCTCCCTCGGCGACTGAATTGTTTCCGCTGGGAGTTATTCCGGCTGTGGTGTCGGGACCGGCGCAAGCTGCCCTGCGCCAGGAGGTACCGCAGCGATTCGGCGCCTGAAACGCCGGAAATACTGGTGTAGGATCGCCGCGGCGCGCGGCGTTGAGTCTCAGAGCCGAGGAGACTGGTCGTTTCACTGCTTTCAAAATGCGACTCGAGGGACTGGTAGCCTGTATGTGGCTCGGAGAGGTAGCTTTGGGCTCGGCGGTAGGCTGTCGGGGACGGGGGTGCGGTGCGGGAGGTTAGGGGTGCTGGTTCGGGGTCGCCATCGTCCTGTTCATTACGCGAGGCAGAGCTGATTTGCGGCACAGAGCGAGGCATGGCGCTGGGGGGAAGCCGCTATGCTTCGAGGCTGGATGCTGGGGACTACTGAGGGGGGTTCTGTCAGCTCACTGCTGTGGTTTGTGTATCCGTACACCGCAAGAAAAGACGGGGGGTTCCCGCGGCCCACTTCGGCTGTAGTTGGGTGGAGGTGTTATCGCCGCTCGCACGGGGGAAATTTGACTCTTGTCATAGAAGACTCAATATAAGACAGGGGGTTCTCACCAACATCCTTCGCTTAAGCTGTCTATCAGGAGAAGTAGAAGAGACAAGTCAAGTTCAAGTTGAAGTTCAGCTGTGGCGGATGATCGACTGGACGCGTCAGGTGAGTGCAGGCTCCACCGTCAAGTCCATCACTCCACAGCCCTTTCAACAGCCTGTCAACGACGATTCAGATGCACAATGCAGCGATCTTTAATTAACTGTGCAGAGAGCTGGACAATGCACTCTCCCAAGTCGCGTTTTCATTCGAATTTCCGCGGGCACGCTCCGTTTTTTTGCCTTTCGCCTTGCTTCGTCGCCGCGCTTCCCGCCGATCGGCTGGCAGAGACGTGTCTTCGCATCGACTTGCTGACTTATTGCTATTCACAGCTAGTCACAGCTAGTTCGGACTCATTTCCCTCTAATATGACTCCTCGGGAGGGGTTTCCATCTAGCGGCGGGACCAACCATATCATGCATGGGGCATCAGCCAGCCTCGGTGCTTCGGGCTCAGATGAGCAGATCGGCAGATGAGAGGGTCCCGCGAGCTTGGAGAGGGCAGTGCGCGCGCTCCATGCTTCCATTTCAGCGCCCGAAGGGTCCATCTGACCGTACCTTTTATGCCCTTCCCCCTCGGCGACTGACCCGAATGGTCGGATCCTGTCTGCCAGTGCCTGCCAGCTGAGACAGGATGGACTCGGGATGGGCGCACTGAATATCCCGTCCGAATCCACGATTTCACCCTGGGGCTGGCAGCTCCACACCATAACCCAACGCAGCTAGTCCGGTCCCGCGTTGCTGAGACATCGCCCGTGCCACACTGTTCTGGTGCCGTGCATCATGTTGGCTCCCGTGCGGTGTGTCTCCAGTCTCCGTCCAGGGCGATCTCTTGGCATGCAGTGGATAAGGCAAAGGGCATCGAGAGGTCCGAAGGGCGATCCGAGACCAATGAAGAAAGACTCCTGGCGCCTTGACGTGGGTACCAATTATGAAAGTCGTGGCGGTTTCGACAGATGATGGCGGTGGCTTGATCGGGAGTCTGCTGTTGCCGGCGGGATAAGCTTTGGGACCCTCCCTCGGGCTCTCAGTGCCTCTGATCGACTGCCCAACGGACCAAGCTGTCAGTGCATGAGCTTGTAGGAGATGCATAGATGCATAAGATCTAGCGTTTTGTGGACGACGGGCGACGGAGCTCCCCGTTCCGCCCGTTGTGCATCATTATTGGCTGGCGATGCTGGATGCAGGTTATCACCACTGGTCGCCGTGGAATATCGGCCGAGTTGTTTAAAGAGAACACCATTGGCCAGCAGTAGACTATCCACCGCGTGTCTCGTATGCTTCTGTTTAGAATGTGTCTAGATTATAGAAGTTGACTCTTGGTCCCATGGATCGAATCAATCAAGCCAGACCGGCCATTGGTGGAGAAACGCGTGGCAGCTAAGCTTGCCGCAGTCACCAAATGTGCCCCCCACTTCCTTTCGGTCACGGAGTTTCCCCACCATCGCCAACTGCCTTAAAAGCTTGCGGCCACCACTTTCTCGTCGCGTTTGCCATTCTGCTGGAGGACCGAAGACAGAAGGCGGATCGCTCATTCTCCTCATACCAGCCATCATGACAGACATTACTACCTCGCAGAACAGTGAGGACGTTGGCCGGCCCTACGACCAGCTGATCCTGTTTGGGGATTCCATCACCGAGATGTCCCACAACCAAGCCCTTGGGTTTGCCTTTGGTGCACAGCTGCAGGAATGTAGGTTGTCATCCTCCGAATGCCAGTAGAGGTCGAAATCGAACATGCTCAACTCTCAATTAGCTTACAGCCGTAGGCTGGATGTGATCAACCGAGGTTTCGCGTAAGTAGAGACAACTACTAACTGGCAGTCTCTTGAAATGCCTAATAACCCATCATCTCCTAGAGGATATACCACCGCCCATGCTGTCAAAGTCTTCCCGAGGGTCTTCCCATCCCCTCAAGCAGCCAATGTGCGGCTCATGGTATCGCCCTCCCTGCGGCTGTCGCTCGTAATACAATGATCGTTAACCAGTTCAAATAGACCATCTTCTTTGGAGCAAATGATGCCTGTGTTCCTGGCCAATCTCAGCATGTTCCTTTGCCCGTATATAAAGAGAACCTGCAGAAGATCATTCAGCATCCTGCAACCCGTGCCCAGGACCCGCGTATCATTCTCATTACTCCGCCGCCAGTGAATGAGTACCAGCTCGAGGGCTTTGACATTTTGAAGAATACTCCGCACCCCAGCCGGACAGCCCATATGGCTAAGACCTATGCCGACGCTGTGAAGGAGGTAGGGGCCTCATTGAAGGTTCCGGTGGCAGATATCTGGTCGGCGTTCATGCTTGCCGTGGGCTGGCAGGAGGGCCAGCCGCTGATTGGATCACGAGATGTGCCTAATAATGACCGGTTTGGCACGTTGTTTACTGATGGTGAGTGCAAATTGCCTGGTCTCATCTCTCCGGGCTATACTCACCGGTTACCTGCAGGGCTGCACCTAACACCAGGGGGATACCGAATTGTATATGATGAAGTGATGAGGACCATTCGGGCCAACTGGCCTGATCAGGATCCAGCGGTTCTCCCGATGGTCTTTCCTTCGTGGGGTGAAGCGCCGCGATGACCGGGGCTGTCGGACGCAATAGACGTTTGAACTTGCGAAATTAGCGAATATGTAGAAACAAAGGAAGACAGAAAATCAAAAAAATAATACCAGTGCACAACGCCTTTATTCAAACTACGTCCAGTCACCCACAGCACCATACACCACTGTTGACTGTTATAGTTGTGCAGGGACCGTTAGTGGAGCCGTGCACGGAAGCGGTCTAGATCAGCTTGTCCCCTCCTGCATGATGCCCACCCTCCTCTCCGCTGCCCCCAGATCTCGTCCCCGTTGTACCTCCGATCCCATTCGCCTCTATTCCCTGCATTCGCCATCATCGCATCACTTGCCTGTCGTCTGCCTTGGAACAGAAACCTGCCACTGGTCCGAAACCTCTTGTGTTCGCCACGATCGCCCTTCAATCCACCTTGGCCACTTCCCCCGTCTTGTCTCTTACTCTGAAGGACAAGGACCGATATACGAAAGCGTACATCTCGCTTTTCGTTGCATCTCCGATCAACTATCACCAGAAATCAGAATTTTACCCTGACATCTTCACTCACCTCCTTCCCGCGATTTAAACGCGACCTATTCCCGCTTCTGTCCCCGCCTCTGCTCCCGATCCAGCCTGATTCCACACAACGCCACTGAATACCCTGGGCAGAATCACAACACCCTGCAACTCATAGTTTGTGGACGGCCCCGTGGGCCGTCACACAGATCCAAGGTGGGAGGAGATAACCGGAGGCTGAGGTGTTGCTGAGAGAGACCGGGTTGATGCTAGGTGGTGGTCGTCCTCGAAGCTCAAGATTCGGCCGCAGATACTAGCTTGGGTAGATTTGGAGCCTCTTGAGGGACTGCGCAAAAACCCCATCGGTGCCGCATCCTGAACTTTTCTCTTTTCTCTGTACCGCAGGCCTGGCGATGGATGCGCAGTATCCGTTTGCCTCGCGAGACGACCTGTGGCGCGTCTTTGACGAGTTGAAGGAGCTACATCTTGCGCAATACTCTCAAGGAGAGAGGATTGCGAGGCTGGAGAGACGCCGTGACGAGGATGCGAGACTGAAGAATGTCTGGGGCGCTCCTCTATCGCCGTTTCCTACCCCCATTGGCAGCTCGATTCAGACAGGTACTGTTATCCTCCACCTCTGCTCCACTTCTGGAATGATGTTTTTTGGTTGGATTGAAGTGGACTGACACTTGTCTGATGTAGAAACTACCTTCAACTCCCCTCCTGAGCCGTTCAAAGGCTTCGATCAGGGTCAGCATCAGGCTACGACTAGCTCTGCGGGTGGCCTTGACGGCGAGGAGGAGCCGCGTCGGGGAGCTTCGCGGGCCAACAGCGTTCGCTTTGATGAGAGCGCGATCCATGGATACTATGGGCAGGCGAATCGGTCCAGTACCGAGCTCCCGCTGCGAACTGGCAGTGGCATGGGAAGCCATCCGCTGACCGAGCGGTCTCTCTCTCACAGATCAGACGGCCGGCAGAGCTCCCCCGGGGTTTCACTGCACTCTGCGCGGACTAACAGCCTAGGCCTAGACACTAGCAGCCGGGTTATGAGCTCATCGCTTGGCGAATCGCCGTTGACCCCACCCCCGGGGTTGTTCTTGCTTGGCCCCGTTCCTTGTATCATCCGGTGCTGGCTGACAACCGACTACTCGAATGACTCCCTGTTATACGCAGCGGTCTGCTCGGGCTCATTCACCTCGTCTCTTGGCTCATGCATGGTTCGCAAGCTTGGACTGGAGGGCGAGGTGGATCACGATGAAGATGGTCGTCCATCCATTAAGCTGGCCCTGTATCTCCCTGAAGCCAGCGTTCATCAGTCCTCATCTCGCTCTAGCAGTCCCATGCCCCAGCTTCCCTCCCTGACAATTCGGTTCTACGTGCGAGAGACGGATCACGCGGACGAGTCTATCCAGATTATCTTGGGAAGCGACGTGCTGCGATCTCACAATGCCGATGTCCTGTTCTCTCAGGATAAGATCATCATGGTTGATGACGATCACCACCGTGTTTCCGTCCCACTTGTGCGCCCCGAGAAGGACTGGGTCTTCAAGTTCCTGCATACCGCCCCCGATACCTCTCATCCCGAATTCCGTCAGAGCTCCCTCGTCAATGGACACCCTCCCGGTGGTGTGGTCGGCCGGCCTACGCAGATTCCACAGTCAACCTCGGCGCCTGCCTCTACCCGCGTCTCTATCGGTGAAGCTGACGACACGAAGAAGCCGCAGCTGCAGGATACCAGCACTAGCTCTGAGGATGGCGAGACTCCCTCGAACGTGACCGCGGCTGCTTTGTCCTCGTCCAAGCCTGAAGCTGCTGGCATCTGGAAGTCCTGGCGTCGTGAACCCAAGCCTGAACCAAGCCACGAGAACAATTCCAAAGCTCGCCCCATGACTGTGCTAAAGCCCACCAAGCCCGCAACCCGTGGGAGCTCAGCCGTGGCGACCCCAACCAGCAATACTGCCGAGAACGTCCAGCTTACGGCTCGCTCGTCCTCCGATGGATCGACCCAGTCGTCGGCTCCCAATCCAATCGGTGGTGCTTCGGCATTTGGGTGGCTCAATGCAGCCAGCCGTGCCACTGCCAACGCCAAGTGAAAGCGCCAGGGTTGGTCGGCATTCTTCCATCGATTTGAATCAAATTTGCTCTTCAGGTCTTAGCGAGCGGTTCTGTTTCATCACCATCCTATCAAAAACGGAGATCTGCTTTCGGGAATAAGGACCGGGCGTTTGGGGGTTTCTGGGGTTTCTTGTTCTTCTTTTAGTTCTGCACCGCCTGCGATGCTACTACGTCTATGACTTGAAAACCATATCAACAATGATCTCCTACCCATAAATGGGCTTGTGCTATTCCTGCCGTAATGTTCTTCTATACTTCCACCGAACAAACAGGTTCTACCTCACCAGCCCATCAAATCCTCGAAAACACCCCCAACGCCCCCTTCGTCTCCTCCTTCGTCTCCTTGACCAACTGACTAATAGATCGGAACTGCTCGTGGCTCGCATCCCCCAAAAGTTCAAACAGCACACTCTCACTACTCGTCACCGTCGCTCCGGCATCGCGCAGCCGCGACAGTGCAATCCCCCGCTCCTCAGGATTAATGCTGCTCACCCCGTCCACCAGCACATACACCCTGTGCCCACGCGCCAATAGATCCAGCGTAGTCTGCGTGACGCAGATATGCGTCTCGATGCCGACGATGATCACGTCTAATGGGTCCTTGGCTTTCACGGGCAGCTGCTTCTCGATCTCGGGGGTTATCATGGAGAAGAGGGTCTTGTCGACGTCGGCGCGGATATGGTCACCGGTGAGATTGGAGGCGAGCTCGGGGACAGTGTTGCCTAGTTTTGCGCGGCTTTGCGTCGTGATGAAGGTGGGGATGTTGAGAAGTTTGGCCGCGCGGACCATTTTGTCGGCTGTTGCGACCCTGGCTCATGGAATTAGTATGACCTGGCGGGTTGCTTGGCAATTGGAACTAGCCTGGGGGGGAGGGAGGCGTACAGCTTGGGGAATTCGAAGATGCCATTGCGGAATTTTTCTTGGATGTCGCAAATGCTGTTTCGATTGTATTAGTATTACTTGTCTAGACATAGTGGTACTTGCAAATAGTGACGCACAACAATGCGGGGTTCCCTGTTGCGTGTTAGCTTGATGTGGCCCACTGGAATGGCTCTGAGTACGTACGGATGCGGCTCGCGCGTGCGACGACAGACATGATGGGTTGAATGTGTTCGGTAGATTAATGATGCTTGATGACGGTACCAGGAGTGTTGTCGGAGTGAAGAAGGTCAGAGAGGCGGATGCCGGGCGGGGAACTCGGAAATGCGGGGAAGCAGCCGAGGGGAACGGAGGAGTGTGGGACCGTGGAGCGCGATAGCAGGTGGTAGACATCTACAGGACTTCTGATCCATGTCCATCGGAAGCTCCATATTTCTTGCAGGGAGTTTGACTCCATTCATACAGTGTTCACGTATATCGCTAAAAGGATACTCCTTTGTTAGATGCAAAAGCTATCTGAAATGAGATACCAATGCATGTCTTGATGGTATACAATAGTTATTCGATCTGTCCACCAAAGACAACAGGTTCATAACCCCTGTTCCCTGAGAGATCTTCTCAATAGCAACCATAATCTACATTGCGCCAGATATGCCCATACAGTTGAAATCACTTGCTCACGCCAACATGGAAAACACCATCCCAGCGGCACGACTCGGAAGGGTAACCATCCTTTTTCTCACACTTCCAATCGTTGCCATAGGCACGCGCCTTGCCGGACTCGGAGCCATCGGGACGCGAAATTTGGATCATGAAATCCTCAATGTTGTAGATGCCGTTCGGGAAGTTGAGCTGGTAGGTGTGGTCGCTGCAGTTGTACTTGGTGGTTCCAGCGCCGCCAACGGACCTATATCAGACCGAATTAGTATCTGGCTCCTCATCTACAGGATTGCAACGAGTCTGAAATATTATAAGATGGATAACTTACCAGACAGCATCGCAGGCAGTCTCAATATTGGTGTTTGGGTCGCTCAATTGAAAAGAGACCGTAGTGCTCGCGGGCGGAGTCTGGTCGTAGTAGTCTGCGGCGAGACTGGTGAGAGAGATGGGTCGGAGATCCCGTTTAGCAGTATGGGGCGCCGCAACAGCGGCGCTGGCAGCGGCCAGGGTGGTGGCAATGGTGATGAACTTCATTTTTGATTGTTCTGGGGTTGGTTTATGGTTGATGAAAAAGCTATTGTCTTGTTGAGATGATCGTTGATGCGAGAATTTCGAGGGTACCTCGAGACCCTTTTATATTCGGGTATCTGGTATTGCGATTTCCCATTTTAGATACTCTTCTTAGCTGTAGCTTCATGTCAATCTGACCTGGCTATGCTGAAACACCGGCAGCAGGTTCCATTGAGGTCTTGACCTGATTAATGAAATGATATCCCGATATGGCACTGGTACGTGTACACGGCAAACCAGGTGGACGCCTTTACCGGCCGCCTAACCTCAGTTGCAGAGGTATTCTAGTGAGACAGATTTCAGAAGATATCTTAATCAGGCATGTTCGTTGTAGATCCCTCGTGTCTAATAGGTGCGCCCTCAGATCCCTCATGCTGATGGTTGGATCGTCTAACCGTGCCCGGGTTAGGCCCCCAAGTTCCCATACTTACACAGCCCTACATTAGTTTTAGATATAATGTTACATGAAATTAAACATCTTAGGTAAACCGCCGTAGTGTAGCATGATTTTCCGGAATCCGGCTATCCCTTTCTTCCCTTTGGACATCGCCATTAGCGTTGCATTGTACTATACCCAAAAAAGCCCGATGCTGCGCCTAGTGGGTGCCCGGCAATGGGTGAAAGGGCCTGTTTGTAGCAACAGTGGGGACTGTTGCTACATCAATATATTATGAGAGTCAAGCATCAAAGAAAAGGCCAATTTTTGTTAGGTCATGTACAAATTCTATATACGTTGAGCGATTTATATCTTGACCTCATACACCTTAGCGCGCCCCACAAACCAGCCATCATCACCCCTAGCCGCAGCGGTACGGATCGCATACAGTTCATCAAGGAAGGCGGGAACAAAGCTGCCTGGTCCACGGACATATTCCTTGGCCGCAGCGTTTTCAGCCGCAATCTCGTACATCAGGAGTCCGGAGAGCACGGCGAGGAGCTTGTCGGAGCGGTGTGCAGTCAAGAAGCAACCTGAAATGGAGCCGACGGCGCAGCCGGTCTAGAAAGCACGATTGTCAATTGGTACTTCACATGAGAAAATAATTCCGGGAGGTGGAGCGCTGAACATACCCCTGTCACCTGGCCGAGATATGGGTGGCCGTTCTCCACAGCGATTACGCGCTCACCGTCGCTCAGGTAGTCGACAGCGCCAGTCAGCAAGACCAGGTTCCCTATACAGTATTAGAGTCACCACGTAAGACCAGAGGCAACGCTTGAGAGACTCACGTTCTCGCCGGGCCAAGTCACGCGCGAGCTTAGCCTTTTGTTGGCCATCCATTGTGCTAGGTCCACTATCGACTCCCCGCTGCTGCACCACACTGCTTCCCCAGGCTTGGCGAATCTCGCCCTCATTGCCCTTGATCAGATCAAAATATCCGCTCGCCATGAGGGTTGAAACGGCGTTCCGGCGAATTTCAGTCGCGGCTGCACCCACCGGGTCATAGACTACCGGGTTGCCGCGCTCGTTGTACGCTTGGATGGCCTTCTGGTAGTTGGCTACACTTTCACTGGTCAACGTGCCCATGTTGATAAGCAGAGCACCGTCAAATTTGCACAGGTCCTTAGCTTCGTCTCCGTAGGGGGCCATGATAGGCGAGGCGCCGCTGTTATGGATTAGCAACGGAGACGCAAAGGTCAAAGAGGAAGACGTACATTGAGAGAGCAACATTGGCAACAAAGTTAGCCACAACGAAGTTGATCATGTTGTGGACAAGTGGGTGCACTTCAGTCATCTTGCGCACGATGGCCGGCACTTCTTGCAGTAGGGCTTCGGCCTCGTTCGCCCGCGCAGGTTGAGTGGTCAATGCAAATTGGGGAGGAGTCTTAATCAGCTTGGCGAACTTTTCTGCTGACGCCTTGGGGTCCTCAGCGGCTATGATCGCACTAACAATAGCGACGCCATCCAGTCCCTTCTTGGGAAACTTGGACTGGTAAAGGACGCGCTGCACGTTGGAGTGGTTGATACCCCCGATGGCGACAGTGCCTACGGAGGAATCGCTGATAGCACTTAAGATGGCCTGAGTACCTGCTGTACCAATAACAGACTTGGTGTTTGTCTTGCTATACTATTGTTAGGACAATTGTGCTGAAATTGCTACATTCGTAAGCACTTACGTCGGGGTGGCAAACAATGTTCCAATGCCCAAGTAGTCGGCTCCATCATCAATAGCCTTTTGGGCCTCTTCCACCGAAGAAGTACTGATACCAATGATGGCGTCCTTGGGCAGAAGCTTCTTTGCGGCTTCAAATCCTGTATGCCGCCGTGGTTAAAATCCCGCGGGGAAAGGTTTGGCGGGGTAGTGGGGGACCAACTCATATCATCTTGACCCAGATGCACACCCTCTGCACCGACAGCAAGGGCCACATCCACTCGGTCATTGATTAGAAGTGGAACGCCGTACTTCTGAGTGATTTGGTGGAGTTTCTTAGCTGTGGCGATCAGAACACCAGTATCGCTGGTCTTGTCCCGGTATTGCACAATAGTGACACCTAGTCCTGGAAATTAGCATGATCCAATGGCCTTCGGATGGTCAGAAAAGGATCTTGCCATACCTCCCTTGAGAGCTTCGTCGACGACGGAGCACAGGTCGCGGCCCTTGAGGATGGCTGGCGTGGAGTCCGTGACCAGGTACAGCGACAGATCGACCGGCATACTGTGTGTTATCCTGAAATTGTATGCCCCGCACGGCCGTTTATCAAAATCTTCGGTATGGAGTGAAGTATGCGCAGCAGATGGTGCCGAGCGATGACTTAGCAGGGTCGCACACACAAAGGGCCAGAAATCCCAGGCATAAAAGTCCTGGGTGGCGGAGGGCCGATCACGCACCAGCCGATCCCGTTGTTGGGGTTCTGGTGGGGCATCGGCGGTTTACTTCATCTCGAAGCACTGGCCATGTCTGGTTGCACCTTGAGTATCAAAAGTAACGGCATGAGGCTGTTCCGACTGCTTAAAAATCCAATGCAAGCCAATAAAACAACCAAATGAGGAACTAATGCACACTTGAATGGGCGCGGGCGAGCTCTTTCAACGGCCTGAAGTCCGAGACCACGTGCGTGGCTGACATAAGCAGGGCCCGCTTAAAATCCTCTTTTCCTCGCAGTCTCCCACTTCTGTCCGTTCCAAACTCATCTCTCACGCAACTCTCTGGCCTCGAGTATCACTGCGAAGCCCTTCCATCTGCGTTGACTGTTCTGCACAGTTCACGCTCCATTTTCACAACTTTCATCCACACTGGTTAGTCCGGCACCGCCATCATCATTTTCTTCAAACGTCCGCCTCCGGGTCTCCGGCCTCTAACTCGGATTCCCTCAAGAACACCTTTGGTCGTTCTCGCTCCCAAGAGACACCCATCCAGGAAGACTGCTGCCGACTTGTTCATGTATTCGTCCTCCGTGCAAAATTTCGAACACCACCTGCCGCTCAAGCTGCAAACGTTTCGCGCGCCGAAACCTTGTAGCATACACCTCCGGTCCTGTGGTTGAAAGCTCCCTCTCGGCCTGCTCGTTTCCGCTGTGAACCTGTTTCCACAAGAGAAACCGACATAACTATAACTCCAAAATTATTTCCAAAAATTCAAAACTCGACACGCATGTCTTGTTCCGTCGACAAGATTTCGCTCACAATTCCTTCTCGCTACCTTTTCCGCAAGCCCACCGTTCCGTTCTAGTGAGCAATCATCGAATTAACAATTTTCAACCGTCACCATGGCCACCGTCAACATTCGCCGGGATGTCACCGATCCCTTCTACCGTTATAAGATGGAGAGGATCCAGTCCAAGATCGAGGGCAAGGGCAACGGTATCAAGACCGTCATTGTCAACCTGAACTCGGTCGCCCAGTCTCTCAGCCGCCCTCCTGCGTACGTCATCAAGTACTTCGGCTTTGAACTTGGTGCCCAAGCCAATGCCAAGCCGTCCGATGACCGTTGGATCATCAACGGTGCGCATGACGCTGCCAAGCTCCAGGATTACCTTGATGGGTTCATTTCCAAGTTTGTTCTCTGCAAGAAGTGCAAGAATCCCGAGACCGATGTTTTCATCAACAACGACAAGATCGTCCTGGACTGCAAGGCCTGCGGTCAACGCACCGATGTCGACCCACGTCTCAAGTTGAGCACCTTTATTGTCCGCAACAACCCTAAGGGAGGCAAGAAGGACAAGAAAGACAAGAAGGCCCGCCGTGAGCAGAAGAAGGAGAAATCCGCTGCTAACGGCGACCAGGATGGCAGCCCTGGCGACAGCAACAATTCCGAGAATGGCGACGAGAACGGCGACGGCGACGATGCCGGTAGCGATGATGAACTGACTCGCCGCATCAAGTCTGAGGCTCAGACCATCGAGGCGGAAGTTGAGATCAAGGACGACGATTGGGCTTTCGATGTGTCCGAGGAGGCCGTCAAGGCCCGTGCCAAGGATCTCCCCTCGGACCTGAAGCGCTCCCTGGTTCTGGAAGATGTCGACGATGAAGAGGCCGATGGTCCCTCATCCTACGAGCAGCTGGGCAGCTGGATTCTGGAGACCGCTGAGGAGAAGGGCGGCGTGACCAATGTTAGCGACATCGACGTCTACAAGAAGGCCAAGGATTTCGGCATCGAGACTAAGCACAAGACTGTCGCTGTTCTGGCCCAGAGCATCTTCGATGACAAGATCGTCAAGCAGATCGAGGACCGCGCCCCTCTGCTGAAAAAGATGATCACGTCCGAGCGCCACGAGAAGGCTTTCCTTGGTGGTACTGAGCGTTTTGTGGGCCAGGACCGCCCCGCTTTGGTCGCCCAGGTGCCTGCCATTTTGCTTGCCTACTACCAGAACGACCTCGTGTCTGAGGAGACCCTCAAGGCGTGGGGTGCCAAGGCCAGCAAGAAATACGTCGACATTTCTACCAGCAAGAAGATCCGCAAGGCAGCCCAGCCTTTCCTAGAGTGGCTGGAGAATGCCGAGAGTGAGGATGAGGAGGAGGACAGCGAGGATGACGAGTAGATTCGGCAGATCGTTATATTATATGTCTACATACAAGTCTTTTGCTCTGTTCTGCTCTGTTGCTTGTGACCATTTTACTCTTTGGCTACCTCATCTTTCGATGTTGAGATTCATCTTTCCTAGTGTCAGGCCCAGGCTCGTCTAGCACGAGCTTCACGGGCTTTGGCCAGTTTAGGTATCAATTAGCTTAGCTCACCAATCGCCACTCATTTGATCTTCACCCGGTTGCCTCCTGCAATGACTGTAGAGCCTTGGTTTTCTGTATACAACTAGAGCTTGTCTTTGGATTTAATAGTACTTCTAGCTGATGAGTCACTTTCCCTATCTTGTTATTCGGGCATACACCACGTAGAGGAAGAATCATCTACACAAAGCGCAGCACCGCATGTTGTGTCATGGATAACTTCGCCCTGGAACAGACTGTATGTGGTTGGCTGGGGCCGTTTGTACTTCCGGCGTGGCCTCACGTTCTTGGCTGGGGTATTTTTCAGTATGTATATGGGATTCTAATAGGAAATGGTGCCCCGACATAGCAGTATTCGTAGATTGCTAGGTATTCAACTAGCTACACCTAGAATCTGCAAAGTGGATAGGAGTGAAGAGGCCTGAAGCTAGGTAGTAGGTAGTAGGTGGACATAATGGTGGAGGCTACTGAACGAATTTTTGAGTTTGATCAGAAGGTTCGGAGTCTATATAAAGTTTCTTTGCCGGTTGCTCGGAGTCCTTGAGGCGGACTACTTTGAAGGCGATGTACTAGCGCCCCTTTTCTGGGGCAGTTTGACAATCTCGTGATGGCCTCCAAACGAGGCGGCCTGGAGAGCGTTACCGTATGCGATGCCCTTCGCGTTAACGTCTGCTCCGTTGTCCAAGAGTAGTTTTATGACCTCTTGATGGCCTTCTAACGAGGCGGCATTCAGAGCGTTGCCGTATACGCCGCCCTGCGCGTTGACGTCTGCTCCCTTTTCCAAGAGTAGCTTGACAATGTCTCGATGGCCTCTCCTTGAGGCGGTCTGGAGAGCGTTACCATATTCGCCGCCCTGTGCGTTGATGTCCGCTCCTTTGTCTAAGAGTAGTCTGACAATCTCTTGATCGCCTCCTAACGAGGCAGCATACAGAGCGTTGCCGTATACGCCGCCCTGCGCGTTGACGTCTGCTCCCTTGTCCAAGAGTAGCTTAACAATGTCTTGATGGCCTCCTGACAAGGCGGCCCTGGAGAGCGTTGCCGTATACGCCTCCCTGCGCGTTGACGTCTGCTCCCTTGTCCAAGAGCAGTTCGACAATCTCTTGATGGCCTCTTAACGAGGCGGTATACAGAGCGTTGCTGTCTACGCCGCCATGCGCATTGATGTCCGCTTCATTGTCTGCAGTTTCTGTGCGTTTGATGGTTGATCCTGCATTATTACCACTATTTGACGGCTCGTGCTGGAGCGCCAACGGCACGGAATCGTCCACATTTGGTAGATTGAATGGGGTGCTCAGAGATTTCCTTCGGGGCGTTATTTTGGGATGAGGAGCATACTCAAAATCAATGATAGTCGGTCCTGTACCTTCCGAGTTTTTCGAAAAGTGGTGATAGGGTAAAGCTTCCGCTTGATGCTGCTCAGAGATCCAATTCTTCCATTTTTCGTGAAATATGCTGGCATCTATCAAAGTGCATTAGAACATCCAGATTCTCCGCCGAGGCGTTCATGCAGGGTAAGATCTCACCACCGATATAGGAGAACTCAATTCGTAAGTAGCCTAGAGAAAGTAGGAATTGAGTATATTGCATGGGCAGACTGTCCTCAACAAGACGACCTGCAATCCCTCGTTTTGCGTCTCTTCCGGTAAACCCTTGGCCCATGTCGGGTGGTTGGTGACGAAGCATGGTACTGAAACGCCTTACGAGACCGGTCAGGCCCATTGAGTTCCTGTCTTTCTTGGACCTTTGCGAAGGGAACTCAACTCGAACCGTTTTAGCCGAGTAGCTAATCTGTATTGAACTATCGAGTAGCCGCAGAGGAACTTCAATGAGATCGTGCGGCTTGCTCTGTTGCACCATGAAGGAAATTGATCGGTTTCGGCCGTCGAGATCAGACTATAATTTTAGTGGTTGTGAGGTACTCTCCGAGCCCCTTCTAGAAGTGATGTGCTCAACTTGAAAGGTGTGTAGCAAAATCTTCCCTCGTAGTGCGCATTGGAACGCAATAGCATCATCTTCAGAAGCAAAACTATATGACGGATTACATCCTTCATATCTCCATGTAACAGCACCATCACTCTTGTCGACAACGCAGGCCTGATAGAGGCGGATCTCTGGGGCATCGAAGCGCTTATGCATGGTATATGGGTGAATTTCACTGATTGAAGGAACTTTGTGATTGTTAGTATACGACCCCCAAATCTGATACTGCGACAGGAAGGCTCACGGTGCTGCACAATACCCCACTTATAATCAACTTTGGTACTCACTATCCACCGACTGCCTAAGTGGGTGACGACATCGACTGTGCGGAGATCTTCTTCAAGCGACTCAAGTCGGCTAGGCGGAATGGTAAGCCGCAAATTGGCCAAGTTTTCAGGAATTTTTACTTACATGGTCGCCAAGTCACTTTTCACTCTATGACTATAAATACGCCGCCGTAGGTACGGAGAGGGCTGGGTGCGATAACTGGATTGCCGGTATTTCAAGCACTGTTGTGAATACTCACGTAGCCTCCTCGCATCGATCAAATTGGGATCTATTGAGGACAGCGATTGCAAACCGTGGGAAGGCAGCTCATGATCTACGAATCTGTCTACCACAAGAATCCAGAGCTTCTTGCAGTGCTCTGCACTCGGAGAGGGTGCCCTTCCTCTTTGGAGCGCCTCAAGGAGATCAACAAGGTGTCTAAAAAGTGGCCATGTGTTCTGCTCGACAGGTGTGAGCGCCGATGGTAGGGTATCTTCGTATTGAGGAGCGGCTGCGACGGCTATCACTTGGCTCATGTGATTTAGATCGGACCGTTGCAGGATGTCAGAAAACAGATCCCTGTGATTCGAGCAATATTAGCGACGGCTTTGAGGCAACTTCGAAGGAATTCTGGTTTTTCTTCTGTCTATAACTTACAGTATAATATCATCTAGTTTTGCATTCATGACATGCAGCTGCAAATCAAGGCGCCTCTCGAGGAGGTCTAGGTCGGAGGGGTTATAGATATAGCAGGCAGTTTCATGGAGCAAGTTTGTCTGCGGCGTTATGTCTTGGGGACACCATTCTAGACGGTGATAAATAAAGTCATTACATTCATCCCAGGTTTGCTGGAATTCATGGTATAACTCGAAGGCCGCGTGCTGATATTGCAAAATACTGTGAAAGCACCTAAAATTCCGGTAGAAAGCCTGGAAACGTCCAGCAATCCCTTGGATGTCTTGCAGCGGCAGTGCGGCAAGTGGGACTGCTTTGGCACAATCAACCCAGAGCTGCGACATGGTGATCTTTTTTAGTTTCTGCTTAGTCTGATCTTCGATAGGATCTTTGCCCGTGAGCGGTGATTCGACGAGAGTCTCCAGTGCTGGGAAGGCGCCCTCTGGAAGTTCCTCGGATAGCTTGACAAACTTTTCTTTGGATGCACTTGACTCCTTGACATCATCTCGCTGAAGGAATGACTTCCTGTCTACCTCAGCCGGCTCTTTCAAACTGGGGTTTGGGCTGCTTGGAGTAGGAATGGGACCAAGGTCGGATTCCTTAGGTTGAAAAATCGCCATCTTTTGCCACTTATCGGCTCTCCTCTCTGCCCAGCTTTGTTCTTGGCTCGTTTCCAGGACCAAGGTCGCAATATGACTGAGACACTCTCTGGAGACAGACTTTGGTAAAAAGTCTCGTATGCCTGCAACGTAAGACTCACTCAACCCGGGGAGTTTCGTCCCTTTTTGCCGGAGTCTCACATTTAAGATCTCCAGGTCTTTGTGCATTGCCCACAAATATAATGGAATATTAAAGCTTTCAGAGCTGTCTCTACTGAAGGAAAGACGTTGTTCCACGGAATGCCCAAGCTTGAGCTCCGAGATTTCCTCTGGTATGATATGCTGTATCTCCTTCCAAAGCTGAATCGCCAACTTTGTCGTCAACTGTTCTATCATGATGGTCGTATCTGTTGACCGAGCAACCGGCAGGAAAGAATCGAGTTCTGATGACAAGGAAGCCTTCTCAAACTGAGCATCTTCACCCCGTATGACATTGCCCATGAGAGTACAGCATAGGTCCCATGTCCGAATAAAGCCTATCGAGTTGCCTTGATCATGCAGCTGCAGCTTGGCTGGTGATGCAAAATTAATCGATATTTCACGCCGACGGAACTCTGGGAAGTCTTCGATGAGACGTTGGGAATAGCAAAGAATGTAGCATCGAGGATCTTGCTGAAACAAATTAGGTGGGGATTTCAGGGAGCCGAGGTCGGTACTAAGAGAGGTCGCAGAAAGCATCGGTTCTATGAGAGCTTTGTGTACTCGCTGAAACTCGTAGCTTTGAATGTAAGATTTGAACTCAAGAAGCATGGCTTCGTCGTGACGAGTTATGATCGTGGCCAAGAAGTCCGCGACATGTCTATAGCGGAGTGCGACCTTGTAGACCTCTCTCCACTTGAAATCATCGGGAGAACCCCGAAAAAGCGTCAATACCAGATTGAGGAGGGCCTGGGCCCGGCTGAAAGACACGACACCTGCGGTCAATTGGTCAATCTCACTCAATTTTCGGAGAGACTCCTCGCTTGGTATTTCTCCAAAGCATTCCTTGCCGAACAAGACCACGACGTCCTCCGCTCTGAGTAATGGTAGAGCTTGTAGGAGAACAACAAGTACTTGAGAAGCACTCCAAAGATGGCCATTGCATGACAACACCAAATACCACTGCACGAAGCCACAGTGGTCTGAATGTTTATCCAGCGCCCACGGGCATTTCATCTCCTCTGGCCCTACCCAGTTGGAAGTGTTTAGAGCGAAGACAATAATGTTGATGTATATCGCAAAGATATGAATCTGCTGACGTTTAGTATCAGACCAACAACATGATAACAGCTGGAGTAGATCACTCCTACCTCGACATCGCCTGGAAGTGCACCAAGAGGGAGCTTTGTACTCCGACTATGCAGGAAATTCCAGGTACGATTGGCTTGTATCAAAGCCGACCGTAAAGATCCCCGAGTATGAATATGGACCAGAGATCTCAGGATGCGCAGCAGCTCTATCTCGTTTTCTCCCAGCACCGGCTCCATATACTGGATTTGAATGTCCAAAAACTCTGATAGGATGCGATATTTTTCTTGCACCAAAAGCAAATCGGCGTACTCGGCAATGACCGGAAACAAGGAGAGATGTCCCGAGAGCGTTTCCTTAAATATTTCTTCGGCTTTCTCATATTCTCCCCGTCGCTTGAACCGCACAAAACTCTCGATTTCCTGCTCGATATCCTCCTCGACCTCGATCGTCAAGGAAGATAGGGCTCCTTCCTGGCCCGGGATTTCCGACGCATTCGCCGTCATCCTGGCCCTCGCGGTAATCCCTCTTGCAGTGATGGCCCTTTTTTCGGTCGGTGCGGGGATGAAATCAACACTTAGCTCTCCGCGTTCAGCTGAAGCGTCCACACAGATACGATCATGTGAGCATGGAGGGGTGGCGCCCGGGCGGCCAAAGCGCACCTCTCTCTTGTTTCTCTTCTCCTAACCCCTCTTCAGGATTGAATCTGCTTCCTTGCTGTGACAAAACTGTTGGTGATGTTCTCAATCACAGCGGCATCATGTGGAGTCGCTACGTATTGAAGCCTCGCATCGATAAGTACCAGCAGGAAGCTCGGTCACTGCTGGGACAGCACCGACAAAGCCTCGCTTACAGGGAGATACGAACTGTTAAGATTGACTGCTCTTTCCTGCCTGATTCCCAATGGGGTATCCTTGGGCAGGAGCCTGCCTGGCTCCTCTATTTGGACGTCAAGATCAGCCAACCGAAAGATTGCTCCCTCACCAGTGCAAATGTTGATGTGATATTCCAATCACACAACCCAGATTGTCAGAGTAATACTTCTAGCATGCCGCTGGGTCCCATCATTACGGAATACTTTGGACCCCAACGTATCGATGGGCAAGTCATCGACACCCACGGCAGCATGGTGGGTCAAGATTCATCCTGTTCTCTCGGACAGTCATGTTTCACAAGGCCAATGGACCATGACAAACTGAATCCATCCTCAGACCATGGGCATGGATGGACGCTGCCGGGATGTTCATGGCCATTGGCTGGGGATATCAGTGGTCTTCCTCGGCGCGTCGAGTGGCTAGTGGAGGACGCGGTTGCATGCGGGGAGCTGCGCTTGGCAGTCGTCCTACAGCACGACATGAAGCCCTTCTCAATAGCGGTTCGTATCGATGGTCGACTGAAAGGCGAGAAGAATAAAAGATTCCGCTTCTTCCGCCCTATGGAACAGAGCAGCATGAACAGAGTGTCATGTATTGTGACTCCCTCCAGTGCACATGGGTTTCAACTTGATGATATTGCCTCTCGATTGGATTATGAAATGACGACGCTGAACATCCAGAAATACCGGAACACGGCTCAGATGCTCCTGCTGCATAAGGAGCCTTTATCTCGTCACACAAACATTTGTCTCTAACAGAGAAACCAGAGGAATATTGCTCTTTCTGATACTAGTCAGCAGCTGAATATCCGCACTAAAAATAGCCACAACGATTATACCGTCGCGTGGATATGTGCTCTGCCTATAGAAATGGCCTCGGCCAAGGCAGTGCTTGAGGAGATCCACCCGAATCTTGCCGTCCACCCAAGGGATACCAATAATTACATCTTAGGGCGAATTGGGCCCCACAATGTCGTGCTGGCATGTCTGCCCTCGGGCGTATATGGCACTACTTCAGCCGCAGTGGTAGCCACGCACATGCTTTACACATTCACCCGGATCCGTATCAACTTAATGGTTGGTATCGGTGGAGGTGTGCCCTCGGTGAAGAACGATATTCGATTAGGAGACGTGGTTGTCAGTAGTCCTACGCGGGGGTATGGAGGAGTCATTCAATACGATTTTGGTAAAAACATCGGACACAAGATCGAGATGACCGGAGTTTTAAACAAACCACCGCAGTCTCTTCTCGTTGCAATTGCTAGGTTGCGGACCGAGCATCTGATCGGTGGGAACAAGATTTCCTACTATGTCGACGAAATGTTGACAAATAACCCGCTAATGGGGTCCGACTTCCCCGATCTGTGCCCAGATCAGGACCGGCTTTTCGAGGCCGACTACGATTATGTCGGCCCTGCTGCAACATGTGACCAATGCGATAAAACAAGAGAGGTAGTGCGACTTCCACGGACGACCCGCAGCCCCAAAATACATTACGGACTGATCGCTTCGGGAAACCAGGTTATGCGGCATGGCATGACACGGGATCAACTTGCCAATGACATGGACATCCTATGCTTTGAGATGGAAGCGGCAGGGCTCATGGATAACTTCCCTTGCTTAGTGGTGCGAGGCATCTGTGACTATGCAGATTCGCATAAGAGCAAAGATTGGCAAGGGTACGCTGCAGCGACTGCAGCGGGCTATGTTAAGGATCTGTTGTCTGTTATGTCTGTCGCTCAGATCTACTCGATCCCCGTTGTCGTGCCGTCTCTGAGTGGAGATTAGCTGTGACGTTTTATCAATTGTGCTGATATGTTGAAAAAAAATTAGCACGAAACCAAACATGTACAAATAGCCAATATTCACTGGTGGTGTCAAGAGCCCAAAAACCGTACTTACTGGTCGGCATGATTTCTGGATGCGGCTAGCAGTACGGGGGAGAGAGAGTGTGTGACATCATTTACCCTAACCCCTCGCGAGCGATGCAGGCTACAACCACTAGATATATATATCCATCTATGTATAGGTAGAGTTTCCACTTACTGGAAACGAACTTAGAGCCTCGTCAAGGCCTGCCGTGACCTAATTGCCGTTCCCATTGTTAGGCTGCCCTCGTGGCGTACGACTGCGAAATCATTGTGCGCTAAGGGAGCATCGCTATAGTATGGCTGTTATATGGTTTTGTTGTTAAATTTTTCATTGCATTACATTCATTGACTTGGTCGGGCCCAGTTTACGCGATATATATTTTTGCAGGACAGGGGTACCCTGTACAGTTGCCCCAGACCTGTTAAGCCTTTGGGGGCGAAATGGTACGGCGGACTGACGGGAGTTCCCCGCCTGCATTGTCATCACAACAAAACATAACTAGCACTTCTTCCATCTACTACTTGTGGTGATTATCCTCTCCATTGAAACAAGCGCGACTTGGAATTACCCATCTACATCTTGACTGCGGAACTGGTTAGCCGCCGGCCTTCCTTTCGTGACTCGCTCCCCACACGTGAACGTGTCCTCGTCGGCTGGCAGGTAAGCATTCCCGAAGCGGGGGCAAACTGCGGCACATACTTCTCGTGCCTTTTGGGATAAGTTGGAAAGATGCCGCTAATGGCCTTGACTCCTGTTTTCAAGTATAGGCGCCCGGCACCAACGATGTCCTTGACTAGCCTTCCTCCCGAGCTTCTTGACCAGGTGCTTTCCGACAAGGAACTTCAGAAGCGTGATCTAGCCAACCTTGCACGAGTCAATAGAAGCATCTATCCGCTTGTGCTGAGAAGGCTGTACGCAGATGTTCTGCTGGATGGTTCTGACCATCGCGAAGACATGGAAGTCCTAGACCTATTCAACCGAGCTCTTACCGAATCTCCGCGACTAGCAGCCGCCACCCAGTCCCTAACTATTATCACTGGTTCTCCAAATGATGCCAGAACTATCCCCTCTAAGGAAATCATTGGGAATCTTCATGCTCTTCGGACTCTGCCCCTGGGTTTTTATGGCATGGTACATTGCGCCGCAAACTTCCTCCAGATGATTCTGCCGGCAGAGCTCGACACCAGCGCTGCGATTCTATCGAAAATCCAAGATTTAGAGATAACCCACCCAGCAATAACATTCAGTGGGATTATAAAACTCATTTCTCTTCCCAGGATAGAGCGATTGGCCGTGAAGTGCCATCCAAGACAGGAGGCTCGCGAGGTGGCTGTTTTGCCGTCCACCGAAGGCACCGCTCCTCCCTGAAGAAGCTCACTTTGACGATTTGCGCGGGCTGCAATGAGGAATTGCGGCACGTTATGTCGGTTTGCTCAGACCTGAAATCTTTCACCTGCAATGTATCTTCCATGGACAATATCAACGACGATCTGGTATCTCCCGCTGGATTATCCCGAGCTCTGATGCCCTGTCAAGACACCCTTGTCACAATGGAATTTAATAGCGATCCATCAGGCCACATCGATGATTCATCGCTGGACTTGAGTCATTTTGAGAACGTGAGATCTCTGAAGGCCAACAGTCTGTTACTGTTTGGAGAGGACGAGAGCGACGACCCAGCTCATCGACGTGGCTTTTATACTCGCCTGCCACCCTCATTAGAAAGACTCGAGGTATGGGTTCCTGACTACAGAGAATATGATTTAAGATTTAGGTGTTGTTATCTACTCCATAATGAAGATTCTTTTCGCAACCGATACATATGCTTTTAGAGCTCTGGATGAGGTGTATGGCGACGAAGACCCCGATGATAATGGGGCTATTGGCACCGAAATTCATGTTGATTGCGTCATGTGGCTTGCTGAGGTAGCTCAATACCGGCAAAGCTTGTCATATGTGCGGATTGAGGAGGAAGCTGGACGGTCACCGTCCATGAGAGTGCATAGAACAGCTGCTCTTCACAATGCTCCGCCTCGGGTCAAAGAGGCCTTCCACGCAACAGACATCAAGATCGAACTTTATCTTCGGCCTTCCCTCTACCCCTCACTTTTGCGGCCTTAAGGATAGTGCGCAAATTTAAATGAAATTGATCTTACACTAGCTCTTCGATGGGGTCATTATACGAACTGGACGTAAAATTGGTGCTGTGGAGAACATAATGCAACCGTTAATTTGCAGTTATACCGCCATCACATCATGATAGCGAACTCATACTTGAAGTAGTTTTTTGTTTATCGCTACTTATAAAAGGCCTCACAGCCGTCTTTAATTCATACTAGGTTCACGAAGACAGCCTAATCTATCCCTCTCTCAACTGTCAAGCATAGCCAACAAGGGTAACTATTCTTTAGGCGATGAAATCTTGCGCTACCACCATCCCCTCCCTCCTGAGCTTTCTACTTCCAGGGGCTGGTGCCGCCAGGGGCTCGCCAGGGGCTCGCCAATTGGCCTCGCAAGGCCAGTTGAATAGTCCATCTTCGCACCATTCTCAGCAAGATATACGGCTAATGCAGCCCAAGCGTAGCTTTCCGGGGTGTTCTCAGTGGGCTGTCGAGGGTTTGCTGTAAACAAAATGTCAGTATGATGGTTATAGTATACTGTGCAACTACAAAGCAAACCGAGAGAGGCGAGAGAGGGGCGATTAACTATGGCATCAGACCGACGTGACTTACTCTTTTGGGCAGTGAGAATAGCATCCATTGTGGTGTCTACGTTATAGAAAGTTAGCTTTTGCCTGAAAGATAAGTCATAATCTGCTCTTACAGGCTTCCCTACGAACTTGTCCGTATCCCCTGGCCAATTAGGATTCGGTTGACCCTTGATCTTTGGTTTGATTCAAGCCAGGGGGCCCCATGCATTGATATCGGGGGTGTCTATTCATCGTCAGCTCGTATCATCTCCAATAAGGGGTGTATTCATACTCGCTGGACCTTGACTGGCATGAACCAGCTCATGTACAATGCTTAAGCTCCTGGGCTCAAGTTTCTGAAGTGCATGTCCAATATCGCTGCTCGTGTCATCAATTGATTCCAGAGTGTCTGGCTTCTTGAAAAACCCAGCAGGGCAAAGGGTCAGGGAAAGTGATTCCTTTCCAGTCGACAATGGCGTGACCACTGCGATGTTACCCGCATCTGCACAGTATGTGGGAGGATTGGTGTTATATGGAGGGCCGAAGTAGTATCCCTTCTCATCGTCCGACCAGAATGCAACCCACTTCGAGGTAGATGATGATTAGCAGACAATTTGAGTATCGATATCACCGGAACGGTCGGAGCAATATGAAGGAAGCCATACCTGTTCTGTATTTAGAAGAGAGCCCGGTTAGTTGAAATCTTTCATAGAGCTCAAAGCCTCTATCAAGGACAGACAACATACTTTTGAGCTGTGGCACTGTCTTGCCGTAGGCATCGTCATCCGAGACCTTGCCCCCCTTGACATTTCCCTTGGAATCGTACACTAAATCATAGTATGAGGCAACAGACTAGTCACAAATGCTACCTTGACGGTCTGCATACCTGCTGTTGTCTGTTCAAGCCAATCGCTGTTGCAATAAAGCCAAATTTTCTGTCCGCTCTTGCCTTGAGCATAGGCATCCAAGGCCACGAACCAATCTGTAAAGAAAGGGTATTAGTTAAAGCTCACAGAAAACCCTCTATTCAGATCCTATGCTCTGTTCATTTACCCACCCTGAACGTGTTTGAGCAAATTCGCATCATCGGTAGTGGCAGTTCCATCTTGTTTAGAATTCGGGGTGATTCCAAAGAATGTTTTGGCAAGTTTTGAACCTGTACGTCCGTGTTATATTTCCCAAACGCGTCGGAAGCAGTTTTAATAACGTTCTGTGCCTCTTCAAATAGGCGTCCAAGTTTGCATTTACTTGACCTGTCCTGTAGTTATCGCATCCTCCGTTCGTGGTCCCAGTCTTGACTTTGAATACATCATCAAGAGCTTTGCCAACCACCAGGTTGGATAAGCTGAGGAACCCTAACCACAAAAAGTAAGTAAGGCGCATGACTTAAGACCAATCCCCGGGGGCTCTAGAAAGAAAACAATAGAATGACAATATATAGGTATGAGAACAGGAAGGGCAAATTTGCAGGTAGAAGGTGGGTTACCAGCAAGATGTTCTATATATCCCGGAGAGATAAAAAGACGAATTGTATACGAGGGTGATATAGTCCTCTCTCTTCTTGAGAGGACGCTTACAAAGTTAAGAGCCCTGTAAGAGCGATAAATTATTTGGTAGGTAAGCGCAACAGAGATGATGGTAAGAAAAAGATAAATGACCCTGAAGCAATGCAACCTGGGGGCCATGTTTGGCGCAGAAAGTTAAAACGTAGGTAAAATGGGGCTGTATCACTTTCAGCTCCGAATAATCTGGTGCCAAAGTGGGTAAGCCGGGATTCAAGACGGGACCCTGCATAAGGACTAAATTCTTGAATAATGGTCTTTTCTATGCAACTGTAGGCCCCCGTGTTGCGGCGATACCTACGTAAACGGGCCTCATCTGTTTATTCTAATTAGGTGCTTCCTCTAGTTATATATCTCCTAGGTAATCTCTGTATTACCTAACTATAGGTCTTCCGCTCTCTATTAGTCCCTTATATATATTATGTGTTATATAGCCCTTCTTTTTAAAGAGGCTCGCCCCGAGACTCTAGGATATTATTATCGTTATAATTACCTATAAATTTATCGGCTTCTGATATAGCAAACTAGGTCTAAAGGTTCTTCGGAGGTCGACCTCATGTGGATGACAGTCTTGCGGAGCAGAGTGGGCTTCTTGGAGAGAGTAGTGGAACCCATCCCGAGAGAACTGGATGATGACATGCAACAATTGAAGATCGGCCTGACATGCAGGACGTGGACACCCCATTCCTGATTGTGAGGAGCTTCAGGTGATGGCATCAACAACTGCAGATACATTTTGTGAGGATACTCTTACTTTAAGCAAGAAATTTGGGAAATATAGTCTTGCTAAGGCCGATGGCTTACAGTAGTAGGGTCGTACCTTTTGAAAGGGAGTAATCCCAGGGATCTGCAACTAGTCAGCAACTTCTTCAAGCGCGTGAGGTGGTGACATTCTTGAGACACTTCTTCGCAATGAGTCTCCCTTCTCTCTCAGAATCCAACTTTAGGAACTATAGATCAGCCTATCTTTTCGATCTTCTCCCCACGTATGCGAGTGTGTATACTGAACAGGCACAACTAGCCTTGGGAATCTCTATGCAGTTCAGGGCAAGCTGCAAGAGGCCGAGATGATGTATCAGCGAGCAAGGTGCGAGTGGACCCTTTCCAGAAGATCTCTCACAAGAACGTGGTCAACTTGAGAGAGGTCTTCTTGGCGGAGGATGCAGCCTTTTTTGTCTATGACGAATGGGATGTCCCGTTGGAAGATATCTGGCGGCGCTCTGTCACCTTTCGGCTCGGAGAAGTGGGGATTGCTTGCATCTGCAAGGGTGTATGTCACGAGCCCCGCTACTCCTAAGACAGGCGTTTACAGGTATAGATTCTCGAAGGTCTGAAATACGTCCATGATGTTCTTGACCTCTATCACGGTGCATTGAATCTCGACAATATCTTCATTACGGACAACGGCGACGTGAAGCTAGGTTGGTCCCTCTCAACTACGTATCTCTTGCTTTGGCTGATATTAGCAGCGCATATTGGCGACAGTATGACCTTGGAACCTAATCCGCAAGGAAAAACCGAGGATATTCAAGCACTTGGCCATATTGTGCACATACTCTTGGGACCGGAACATGAAGGCGGTATGCGAGGTGTCTTAGGGTATCTAGCCTATGATTTTACCAAGATACCGCCAAATACAACTGCGGAGGACCTTCTCCAGGTATGATATATGACCAACAGTGTTCTCGAAAGTTCGTACTAACCGTTCTGAATGCAGCATCCATTTCTTCGGTTCGGCCCTGGTGCATGGTGTTTACAATCATTTAAAATTATGTTCTCAATTTGATGCCAGGAAGCATTACGTGGAAGGCAAATCAGTTGGTAAAATGTGCTCTGCAAAACCCTGCCATTTGCTAAACCCAAAACAGCTAACCAAGCTAAATCACTTCTACACTCTGTCACAAGGAAATAATGGGGCTGACAAGAAAACGAGAAGGCCCCTCCTGGTTCCACTTTAGTCTCTGATCACATCGACCAGTCTGCCTGACCACTTTAACCGTGAAGCCCTAGGGCTTCATACCTATACTCCCAGGCAGACATTCACTCCCGGGCGAAATTTGGATCATGTGATTGACGGCTACTGCGTTTCAGTTGAGCGTGATCATTTTATGCCACATCTGTCAATGCCACGGGTGGGCAGGCCATGATGTTTTACATAACCGTGCTGTCGAGCCTTGCACTCAATTGGTACGATTCACTGGGCCAAGCTAAACTAAGTCTTTGCTCAGGATGCTTTTCCATGCCCTCCTAATCCTGTCTTCCATTCAGTTTCTGTACGTTATTTTGATTGTGATAGGGTAGGACATCTGTAGCAGAAGATGATCCTCTGAATATCACCCGGAAAGAATACGTCTGACGAACCTGATCCGCACCGATGGGTGAGGACAGTTGGGCTCCCGACTGAGGGCTTGGAATTTCTTAATAATGCCCTGAATTCATTCAGGGATGAAAACCACAAAAGGGATTAATTTCATATTTGAATCCCTGCTAGCGAATAGAACACGCCTCATCTACGAGATAGCCATTCCGATTTAGGTTGATTTACGTGACCATACGTTACTGCCGGACATTTCGGGATCATAGGAACGCAAACTGCAAGAATCAAGTTGATGTCCAAGTTCCCTTGATAGGTAGGAGATAATGAGCGACAGAGGAAGATATGAGACGGTATAATCCACTCCGAAAATGAGAGCGCTCTATAGGCTGAAACGGAAGCGGGGGTCGTCATCACCCATATGGACGGCGTTCTGAAGAGGAAAGCTGAGAGCAACAAACTCCACACCATGGAACACCTTGCAGATGTTGCTAGTGTGGTTAAATTACTAACTCATTATAAAGAGGGTCGAATACTTTGCACCGGCACTGTACATAGAGGTTTCGCTCTTGTTCACCTCGCGATCACTCGCGTCCACCTTGCTCCCAGTGATCACTCGTGATCACCACCCATAAGCCTCCTCAAAATACTCAATGCGAGAACCAGCGTTCATCGCCCTATGCACCGCCGCCCTTGCATCATCAGCCATATTTGCCGGCCCACAAGCGAAAACGCACACCCTCTCACTCGCAGAAGCACCCCTCGCCGCTTCCGCTATTAAAGACTCGACGTCCGGACGTCCAGTGTGCACCGTGATGGCTGAGCTAGTCGACTCAACAAGTGAAGCAGATTCCTTGCTGCCGGTATAAGGTGAGAGAGGGCAAGTGCAGAAGAATTTCGCTTCGAAATCCTCTCTCCCCATCGCCGGCGCAAGTTCACGGCCACAGATATTTTGGAAAACTGCTCTGTGGCTGGAGGCCCAGACAAGGCTTATTCTGGTTATTCTCGTCAAGTCTTTGCTGCCATTTTGCGTGCGGGAGATGTGATCCAAAATATACGGCACCGCACCCGAAATACCAGTCCCGCCAACGACCATAATAACGGTATCGAAGGTATACAAGGGTGCAGAGTGGCCGTAAGGACCTTCGAACAGGAAGGTTGATGTGCAGACGCCGTTGGACTTCTTGCAGCTGTCGCGGACGCGGCGGGTCCAGCCGTCACAGGGGCGGATCAAGAAGGTGAGGGTGAGTCTGGGCTGCGTGGGAGTGGGGAGGTTGCTGGGGTTGGAAGAGGGGGATTCCAAGGGAGTCGATGATGTTGATGCGATATGGATAGAGAATTCTTTTTCTCCAGTGCCCTTGCTCGGTACTAACTCAGCTGGCCCTTTGCGTGGAGCAATGGAAGATTCGTACTTCCAAGCGGCAAGGCTGAAAGGGTGGTTTTCGTAGCCTCGCCATGAAAACGGCTGGTACAAGAAGAAGAACTGTCCTGGAGCTAGGTTAACAAGAGGTGATACAGGCCGGACTTCAAGCCTGATGATATCGAAGTCCTCGTGATATGTGGCCACAGCTGTCGTGCACTTGAGCATTTGTTTGCTGAATCGCATGCGGAGGTTGCAGCAGACGAGTCGAAGCAGGCGGAGAAAGCGGTCGAAGCACCAGATTGCGACGAGTGCCCAGAGGGGGGGGGTCGTATGTGCCGTAAAATTTGGATGTGTGCCTAAATCAGCATGATTAGCGAAGGGCATCAGGAGTGGTGATTAGAAACGTACACGAAAACCCCGGCGACAACGACGACCGATAAGAGGATGTGCATCTGCAGGAAGACCTCGTAGAATCTTCTCCTGAGCCAGGACCAAGAGGTAAGGAGGCAGAGGGCACTCATTGCGACGGTTGCCTGGGTAGCCTATCAGCTCTCGCGCGGTCAAGATGGCGCGCAAGGTAACTCACCGGGAAACCAAGGACGAACCAAGCTTCCTTTAATGAATTCCTATAGGTCCCGACTATATACAGTTAGGAAGATGGGTAGAGGGTACTAGCGCTCTAATTACTTACCGTAATAGGCATATACAACTGTGTAAGCAACGGAGTGGACAATAGCCAGAAGTGTGCCGATTCTTGCAACATGACGATGAAAAATGTTGAAAGTCTGGAAGTTCCAACCTGTTGCCCATAGGAATATATTGTTCCGTCCGGCAAACATCCAGAGGACAGGCAATGTAGCATATGAAAGGATACCGGTTCGGTCAGAGACGTATTGCCAGGCCTGCCAGCTAACGTTACTCTGCCTGGTATGTTGTGAGCACTGCCCTTTTAGGAATCGGAGATAGCTTACATAAGCGATTCGGAGAACACATCCATACCCACAACATTGAGAGCAACGACAAGAGCCCAAAAAGACCCGACAGCCAAGGACTCCATCCTGGTTGGAATAGTGCACCCAAAAAGCAAGCGCCGACGGTAGCTGCCTATGGCGGAAGGCACGATGAAGTTGGTCTGTACCCAGTGATGTATTGCGGCAAATTTTAAGGTTGGCCCTAATTTGGATGGTGTACCCCATTGCTCGATGTCGCTTCGAGTTTGAGTCATCTTGTAGATGCTACGGCTATTCAGGAGGTTATAGAGCATTCCGATACCCAATATGCCGGCCCAGAAGCCATACACCCCAAGGCAATATGTTAGGCTTCGGGATTTGCCGCCGTACCAAGCGTCCTAGTTGTGTTTAATAATTGGCTTCATGGAGACAATAAGAATATGATACTCACAACACTCCTGTAAGAAAGCCTAAAGTACGAGGATGAGATAAGGACAGGCACCGTTAGCGTATCGTTCGCGGATATATCGCCGCTATTAATTACTTTCAAGCTAGAGATGTAATTGTCCGTAAGCTTCTTAGCAATTGTGGTGAGATCTGGCAGCTTATAGTCGCTTTTTGCGCAAATTTGACGAATGTACTCAAAGCCAGCCTCGACCTCTGACGAGCTGCAGTAGACGAGTCCACCAGCGTAGACTGAAGTGAGTGCTAGTGTGCCTTGACATACTGCCCCCAGATTTGCCCGAGTCAGTGAGTAACTGCCATTCGAGCTAGAAGATGACCCATTGTGGGGAGAAGAGGATTCGCTGCTTGGGAAAGGCAGAGAAGATATAGGAAGGTAAACAGAGAACAGGCATTGTTGATTCTTTGGCATGTCCGCGGACCAAACCGTAGTACCCCAGATGGCAATTGCCAACATGGAAGGAAAGAACACCCTCATGACGGTCAAATGAGAGAGAGAAAGTGACGGTGCTGAGTCGGGAAGGCAATGGCTCAGATGGAAGAGAGCTTCATCTTATACTTACATGCTTGCCTGGCCGTCCCGTGACTGGCTCGAATACCCCCGGGGGAACATGCTATGGAGAAGCTAGTACGGGGTAAAGATCGCTGGGGCATCGTTGCACTGTAACGTGGAGACACGGCATCTCTCCCCTTCTTTCTCCTCAAAGACTTCCGAGTACGGAGATAACAAGCTCGACTGTGGAAAATGAGGGGCTCCCGCTGCAGGTCCTTCTTCTCCGCAAAACGACAAAGGATTAAATCAAGGCCTCTTTTGCCCCAGACCCTGCATTTCACGGCATGCAAGAAAACCTTACAGTTAGGATCCTCCGGTTCTTTGTCGCCGTGGCGTTTCAAAAATCCTATCATAGCATTTGGTTTGTGAGAATATCCAATAGGGACGTAGTAATGACCGCTAAGTTGGAGCCAGCTTGGTAGCTCACAATAGGGCCTTTGCCCCGAACCAGTGCATCTGAGGATCAACCTACCGTGTACTCGGCGAACATTTTTTGAACTGCCGATTTCCGGCTTTATGGTTTGCCGATTCTCGGATATTGAAATTATGTATGATTTCCTTGAAGCCAGCAGCTGCCTATAGTAGTTGTAAATTAAAATCTTGGTTGGCCCACCGGGTAAGTTGCCACTCAGCCTCGGATCATATCCACTACGGCAGGAAACCTACAATCATGCCATTTGTTCCCCGCGCTTTGATCCTACGGCTGCATTGTTCCACGTAGCAATTGTCAATGCCACGGTAAATAGGAATATCAAACGAGGACATAGAGGATACTCGGGGGTATAGCGTCAACTTGCTGCCATATTGCGGTCCGTTCTTCGGCCAATGGTATATGAAGGAGGTTTATCATCCACAGTGATCCAGAACTAAGAACCCAACCCTTAACAGCAGATCACATGGAATAGAGTCTTTCCATCACAACACGCTGGATATTACCCTCTTAACAGAACTCTAGGTGAGATGCAAGACGACCCATTTGCTTGGCAGATAGCAGAACTGAGTTCCAAGCTTCCCCAACAATTTGAAGATATGGGCCAGGGCGCAAGTGTGGTACGTGTGGTAGTGTGGTTACTTAGTTTTTCTGGCTTCTCCTGCTCTTTATTCCGCCACTAGAGGAGGAAATACCTACACCCTTTTCTGACCATATTTTTCTTCGCAACGTATAATATTAGTTCCCAGCCGAAAATGAGTAGGGAAGTTCTGGAATTCAATTTAGATACTTGCAGACTTGTAAGCCTGATTTCAGCTTGACACTTACTAGCGGTCCTTGAGAGATTATTCCCCTGGTATAAACCGGACATTGCCCTGGCGGACTTTGGCTCTCGATTAGACCCCGCCAGAGCGCATTCAAAATTCTTCCCCGTCGGGTGACTGAAAGTACCAAAACCTACGGCTTCTCCCGACCCCTTCTATTTTCACGCATCTTCTAGATTCCCAGACCCGACGCTCGTAGGCGTATTGTTGTTTTCGGTCGAGAACGGAGCGCTTGGGCTGTTCCCCCGCGCGGTCCTAGCGTTACCGTGCCACGCCATTGCGTCTCGGTAGGGGAAAACCGGGGAACTTTAGGCGATGATCACCCTGATTTTACACCAAAACTAGCTCTACATCAAACGCGAGGCCCGGGGCCCCAGTGAAGCGTTAGCTTCGACGGGAAGTCAATCCTTAGACGTAACTTACGTTTAATAGCAAATCACTACCCACTTCAAGAACAGCTCTGGAGTGAGGGCTGTCCGCAATCATTCCCAACATCCGTAAGAATAAGATTGCAGAAGTTTGCCGGCATTTCCTCCTCTCCGATCTAAATTGACTAGCTGATATCGGGGCTACTGATAGTCGAGTCTCTTCCGGGATATTGTCGTTTTGGAAGGTAAAATGCCTCTACGCAACAGAGGCTTTGCCGGTCATATCCAATACGGAAGTGGGAGTAACAGCTAAGGGGGAAACAGTACGTGAAGTTATCGTGCGCATGGGAGCGAATGAATTCAAAGGCGGCACGGCACGTACCCCACACAAAGACTGAATTCATCTAGATAGCAGACCCACCCACTATACATGGTTGCCGACTGTTCCGGTAGGAAGAGCCTTAAGCGAGATGAGAACTTAGAGGGAAAAGTTCTTAACTAGGTCTTTTGCGGGACAAGAACGTCGTTAGAGATAGACTTCGAAACTGGACCACTTCCCGTATATCAGCTTGTATTAGAATCCATTATGCAGTCCGACTTTTTCCGAAATGCGGCGCATTTCCCCTTATTTCAGGTTCAATCCTAGATACCCTAGATCTACTTAAATGTCAAGCTATACCGAAGTGGTCACAGAACTACATAGCACAATCAGAAAGCGGTTTAAATGAATATAGCACTCTATAATTTCATTATAAACCTCGTCGTGCTTGCTCTTAGTGTTCCTCTTCTCGCCTAGATACCTACAACGCCTACGTATAGCTACGAGACTAGTAATATTAGTAGCCCCGTCACCGCTAATATAAGTATCTGGACGCTTAATGTTACTAGCTCTCGCACGAGTAATTCAAAGATCGGCGGCTACACTAACAAATGGGATTTATGCGACCTGCTGCGTTACCAGCCGCAATAGTAAGTAAACGGGACGCTCCGTATCTAGGGTAGTAACTATCTCAAGGATAGCCCACTTAGTGGCTATTAGGCTACGGCGTTCAAGAAGTTCTAGCCGGGCATCTAGATCGAATATAATCTACCTACTACCGGTACCGGCGCTCGTAGCTAAGGTCGCTAATCTAGCAGTCGACCGCCCGGCTACGCTAATAGACTATTTAACCTACGAACAGGCCTTCTATAACGACCCAGTCGAAATCATAGCTGCGACTAGCTCCTATAATATCTATAGCTGGTCACCGGCCTTCGTTATTATTGTTCCTAAGTCTAACCCGCTAAACCAGATTAGCATATAACAGCTCGACGGCGTGTTCGGGGCCGCGTAATAGCGGCTATAACCGTAGTACCTGGCTCACCGATTATCCCTACAAACGTGGCCTAGAGGAAAATACTCGCACTTAGGGATAGCTCGGCCTAACGGGCGCGTAGTTAAACAAGCCGATCTATCCTTACGGCTAGAGCCCGCCCGCTAACATCCAGGACGTATTCCAGAACCTCGTTATGCGCGGCAGCGACCAGTAGGTCGAAGGCTTTCGTGCCTTTGCCAACTATGCAACGATAAATCGTACGATCGCCTCCTAGAGCAGTCAGGTGCTGGCGGCAGCGGAAAGCGATCCGCTGTCGATCTACGTTACATCGCCCCTCGCGCTTAGGGCCAACCTTAAGGAACTTACAATCTAAGGCTTCGATGGCGGTCCTTTTGTCAACCGCACCCTCGAGACGGTAAGGGACCGGAGCTACCCGCTCATCAACGAGATCTTTTTCTATGCCAACAAGGAACCGGGTAAGGCCATAGATCCGAAGGTTTATGAATTCCTCCGCTTCATCCTGAGCCAGGAAGGCCAAGAGGAGGTACAACATGAAGGTCGGTACACGCCGCTCACCGCGTCCGTCGTGAAGACGATGCGGGCGAGGCTCGAGCCCGGTTCGAGTTGAGTGCCACCTGGATTCAGCTATGCTGCAGGGATATCCAATGACTAAGCTGGACATTCAGGTTGACCTAAGTATTTGACAAGCTGATTAACAGAACGGTCTAGCTCGCTCACCCTGTGGCTCATAATGTGATGAAATTACAAAATGAAGTTATAATATAGTGCATAGAGCATAGTCAAGGTAGAAGTTCGAAGTTTATTACTTGATCCGGAATCCCGTTCCCCTATTCCTTTCTTTTGGCCCTAATACCGTGTATAGCAAGATGGAACTTCACGAAGATATGGCTATATTTAGTCTGGCCAAAGTATAACTCGACTTTGGCGTTTATGTGGCTGGCTGCTGTGTGAATCCCACGTGGGATTTCTACCTACTGTCCGCCCCTTTATTATCAGCCGCACGAGACAGGGGAATATTTGTTTGGGGTCTGAATGCAACAAGTAGCGCTACTGGCTGAGCGACATGCATGTCTCAAATTAATAGAAATCTTTCCGTCTTACTTTACAAATTATATCTTGGCAGGGCCTAGTCTGCCTCGGTGGCCCCAGCGCCGCACCATTCCTCCGATCACCTCAGAACCTTTGAAGAGAGACAAATGCTATCCTACGGGCGCAAATATATGAAATAAACATGTCCCCACGGCAAATGAAATTTGGTGTTTCATGCTCTGCATTACCATCTCTTTAGCACTTCTACACCTTTCTTGAGTTTAGGTGGCCAAGCCCATAGAAAGGTCTGGATTTTAAATCTTCCCCGCCATGTACTTAAAATCTTCTTTTATCGTTATTTTATCAACGGCCTTGACTGCCTTGTCCCAGCAGCCCGCAGAACGCCCAGTAGCAAGAGCTATAAACCCCACTTCCTCGGGACAAATTGGTATTTGGCACCCTTTCACCATGAGATTGCTTTTGTTCGCACACTAACCCATGAACTTAATCAGGCGTCAATCCGATCAGTCAATAGTAAGTAGCACTTCACTTCAACCGGGTAGAAACATGTGCTAATAGGTTGGCAGCACCGAAACTGCAAAATGGATTGGTGTTGACACGGTCAGTGTCGATGTCTACACCACTCTCGGGGCGACAACGACGGTAACTGCATCATTTGCCATCGTTACAGCCACAGCAGCCTCAGGGAATATAAATGCTGGTGATGTCAGGTTTATCACATCTCCACAAGGCAATGACAAGTTAAATGCTCTCTTCGAGGAAGTGGCAGCTGCATGTGCAAATACGCACGTCAAGCGGTCCGGTAGTTGCGAGCTATCACAATTATCGCGCCCCGGGGCTGGAGGCGTCGTGCTGGAATTTGACATTTATTTTGATATCAACATTCCAATGTTTACCGCGGGAGATGTGGCTGTGGCATTGCAAAGTGTACCGGCAGCCGTAGCAGTGGCTTTCATTGCCTACGTGATCGGAGATGGAAAGGTGCCCGATTCGGTCAAGATTCCGGCGACGGACACGGTTAAGACAACGAAAACAACGACGACATCCACAACTGAAACCGGTGACCTTGCTCCTTATGTGACGACGAACTACCCAGAAGTAGTCCCCACTGAAACCTTGGACTCGGACGCCTTGGATTCATTTATGCAAAACTTCCTGTTGTCCTTCTTTCCAACCTCAACGAATCCAGGAGCTATGCCGACACTGACAAAAGCCACAACAATAACTCCTGGAACTATCAGCATATCGACTCCTGCTGGTAGCTCTTGTGCAAAAACCATAACCACAGAGCTCTGTACCATTCCGTGGGAGCCTTGCGCCACATCTGTAGGTGTCGTGCGAGCTTGATTGTATTGGATATCTATTTCAAAAGCTAACTCGTGAGAATACAGTTGTCATGTGAAAGCTGGGTAGCGACTTCTACAGCCCCCACTGGGCCAAGTGACCTGCTTTCCGGAAAGCCGAAGGCCATTCGATAAGTATGGTGCCGTTCGGCCGGATCGGTACGAAGCAGCCGTCGACAAGGCATGTGCAGCTTTCGCAAGTAAAGGTAAACTCGACGCCAACGAGGGCAGGGGCTCTTATGTGTACCAAGCAAAGGATGGGAGTGTGCCATATTGGTTCAATATTGGTGTCGGCAATGGCTACCAAACGTGCGAAAACGAAAGCCTTGACGATCCAGTTGGCGATGGCTCGCATAAATGCAGCACTATCCTCAAGAACGACATTTTTCTTGCTTGTAAGCCAGCGTGTAATTTCATTAATTACAGAGGGAGGATAACTTGTACTAATAATTCCGCATCTAGGCAACAATGGTGGCCGTGGAGGTTTCCTAGAAGTAGGGTGTCTGACCTACGCATTTGATGTTTGCAGCGGAAACGGCGATATTCCTCTAGAAGGTGCGTGCTTTACAATTGGTATGGGTGCGCCCTGGGTGGTCACTTAACTACCCAGTGACTGCTTTCTTACCCCCTTTGTTTGTACCTACCATCTATATCTACGTTGGGATTGCGTGTTATGAGAGCTTCTTTTCCAAGATACGTCTCTGCCCGGATACCTCGCATGTGGGCGATTATACGATCAGTAGAGTTCAAGGAAATGGTACAGGGAGCCGTCGAAATGGGACATGACTGCGTAGACTAAGAATGTTGCTTATAGTGCATCTTGGTCTAGCTGTTATTTTACCTAATTTGGCGCAACAGCAGCTGCTGGAACCCGCGGTCAAAGAGGGTGAAAAGTAATCCGCATGCTCAGTGCTAGTGCTGTTCGATGAGCTCATCCACAGCTTTGATTGGGTTCTTCTTTTTTTTTATCTTTTTTTTTTTTTAAATGGCCCACTGACTGCTGCGATTCATCCAAGTCCTGAATGCGCTAAACTACATTGGGCTACGAGGCAGGTTGCAACTTCCGCAGAATTGTAATCGTAACGAGAGTAACCAGTCGATGAGTCATCGATATTATACCGTAACTAGTTAACTAACTACAGTAGTTCATGCCTCTTAAATAATGTATAATAACGTGGTAGCTCTGGCGACCTAGTATAATCGCTAGCAGGCTTTCCTTTGAGGACTCGAGCGATGTTGCTTGTAGTTTTCAGTACCATAGATTATCCTTTAACGGATTAAATACCTATCAAGTTGTAGGACAGGACCAGAACTGGATTTTCATCGCCTGGCCTCTCTCTAGCCAGCCTTCTAGTGAATTGCGACCGCCGGATTCTCGTGGTAGGAGATCCTTGGCACACGTATCCTGCTAAGTTTGTCGAACAGAAATTTGCTACTGACAGCAAGACCAAGACTCGGCAGCAGAGGCCGCCCTAGATTTTTCGATTGGGAAGCTATCATTAACTGCCCCGCCAGACAGCCCTCCCTAACCACCCGAGAGCAAAATCTAAACGCATAATCAAGTTTTCTTGCCGCAAAATAGGTACAGTCTCGAACGAACCAGAAGCTTCTTGGATCTAGGCTGTTCGCTGGACTTCAAGCATTGGCATTGGTTGTCTAGTAGGCGTCATGATTACATCCATGTTAGAAATTGCCCCCATCAAGAGAGATATGTTTGGTATAATGGCGTACGGGTTGGCGGGTTGTGCTTTTAACAGTTGCATAAGTACCCAAAACACTAGCGGAAATGGCACAAGTAAGTCGATGGTTTGACATCACACAGTACGGTGTAGAGCTCTCGAAAACAGCTACTCACGCCACAGGAATCAAGAGGGGAGTCGACGCTGCCCAGTTAGACGGCGCGATGATGATGATGATAACTCTATTAACCTAATGCAGCCCAGCTAGTGCGCAGAAATTAGACGGCTACGGAGACGTTTTTTTTCCTCGGGCAAATGCTTTCTTCGAGATTCAAATGGGCTTCAACTTGACCACGAAAATATAACACTTCTAGGTGAGGGAAGGTCGTCAACAATTATCGTCGACGAACCCGTCAGCGTTCCAATCACTATAAGTTCGTAGAATATAACTTTTCGGGATTTGAGCTTTGCATATGACTGCGGCAATATTTCTGCCTCTTGAAAACCTCAGCCTTATCCCGAGGCAATTCTTAATCATCGGTGTCAGAACAAGAAACGTTTACCTAGCAAATTTGCATTTTGGAGAATCCAACTTTGGGAATCAAAGCATTCCAAGTTGGGGGTTACATCAAGATGAATCGAATTAGTGGCCAGCCTCTTCAGATTGCGATTTATATCGAGATACCAGCGGCTCTGTCAGCGTTGACGGGGTTGAGTTTACACCAACATGGAATAGCACTTCCATATAAACAGTCCCATCCAAATATGCCGTATTAATGATGTTGATTCCAAATCGTGTCAGATCGATCCTTCTACCTAGTAGCTGCCCAGAGATAGCTCTTATATGTGCATGGCCGATTTCAATCAGTAGGGACGAATGCAGAGCAGGATATGTGACAGTGCCAAGCCCACCAACACCTCCCAGCATTGCATTGCTAAACCTATACTGTTACTTTGATTGGCAGCAGAGGTCTGCAAGTAAATTGACCATTACGATAGCCGCATGAGACCTAATATCCATAGGAATACTTCCTACGGTACAACCATGTCCCCAAGCTTAAGTCACAAGATGCAGACGAACCCGGCGACTTTTGCTCCGACCAGGGCCCTGACACCACGCTCTCCGCGGATATCCTACTCAACAATACCAACTTCGTGACAGTATCTACTGGTATCAGACGATATTGGCCTTGTATGACGCGCGACTTTTGGCCGAGTTTGCTTAACAAGAAAAAGAATCGTCGTCATTAAAAATCTCTTGAGGCATCAAAATCCGGAATTTGGATAAGCTCCGGTTCGTAACATTCGGAAAGAAATCTTAATGTTACATATAGATGCTTTATTGTACAAGCTCTTCGTCATTTGCCATCGCAACCAATTCATAAGAACACGATTTAGCTTTCTGGCGTATCGTACTTTTCCTAGATCTAATGCGTAACCCCTCGCACTCTTGCTCTACACTCATATAAATTCTCCTGGAACCGCCTGCCGTGTTCATCCAGACCTCGAAAGGAAACTTGAATTCTTTTATCCCAAATCCTGCTACCACTACGCTATTTATACCTCTATTTCAACTATGAGATTCTTTGTCAAATCTTCATCTCTGGGCTTGGCGGTGACTGCGCTAATTCTCACCGTTTCAGCGATGAAAAACTGTGCCAAGCAAGAGGTTCTCGACAAGGAGAACAGGATCAAGTCAGACGACTCTGGTCAGGTCATATTTGTTCGTGGAGGACAAGTCGCAGGCAGTGAATGGAAGGGTGGAGCCCCTCCTTCGCTTGGACTTGGACTCCTAGGGGGCGAATGTGACGATTGTGATTGCTGCGTCACAGCGTTCTGTAGAGGCTCAGGATGGCCACCGATTGGAAACAAGTGGAAGTGCACCGGCGGTGCGGATAATTGTAACTGTGGCTGCTCTCTTGGCTGCCTGTAACTCTTGGACTCCATTTTGATGGGGTTTTAAAAGCTCTTGTGTTGTCTCTAAATCGGACAAGCCGCGATGATACGTCAGCAATATATTTGATTCCCTCTTATTAGGAAACATGGCAAAGTGCAAGAAGCTTGCTTCAGACCATAGAAGGTGAAATTTTACGGGAAACCATGAAGTTTGAACTGAAGGTAATCACTGGGGTCGCTCATTAGCAAATTGCCTCGAGGGCAAGCAACAGGGGGCATACGTATTCGCAGAGTATGAGATACGATCAACTTACATTTGAATTCAATATCTAGCTGAGAATAGGCCTGGGCAGATATGGAATTAGTGTGTCTTGAATTAAGGTTCCGAGAAGAACCAGAAAGGAAAAGATGATGAAACTTACTTCGAATTCTACTGTACCACGAACGAGATGGAGCTTTGAGGCAGCGAAGCTTGGAAACATGTTATGTGGAATAATCTTGGATGACCGAAGATGTTGAGTAGTGGGAGAAGGCCTAGGTGCTGCATGGGAAGAGGCGGGGGCGGGCCAGCGAGGCACAAAATATACCATGCATATACCAATCTCGGGTTTTTGGAATCGTGAATGTGTACTGTCAAATGCAATAACTAATTGAGGAACCGGTCTGGGTAGCGAGGGCTTAACTGTCATAGCCTATCGAGACTCGCCATCCATTTCCCGGATTTATTCTGCCGGGATGAAGTTGTAGGAGCGTGGAGGTATAACTGATTTCGAAAACCACTGTATTTGACAGCATCGTGTTCATCTTCCCCTTCTCCATCATCATTGTCAAGGACTGCCTCTGGCCGTAAGGCACTAGTCCTGCTCATATACAGCTTCCATACGCTCGAACCGTGTCTCCTTCACGCTCCATTAACAACAATCTGAGCATTGAAGTATTAAGGGGCATCTATCTTGCAAGTGGCGGGGTGTTCAGCCAGTAAAAACGCGCGCATGAGCCTTAAGGTCTGCTCTTAAGTCTACTGCTCGCCCAGCCTCTGTGATTTAGCAAAAAGGACAAAGAGCAGCGTATGGTTTCCCCTTGCTTCAAGAATTGTGTTCATGAGTATCACAGGTCCTCTCGCACAGGAATATTTGGACGTTGGACTCACGATCCCTGAGTCACACCCAAACGATTCGCTCCATGTCGGGATCTATCGAACGAAGGGCCTTAGATGCATTGACGAAGACGAAGGGTATATTCCAACAGGCCAAATATAGTCTGGCCTCAACCCTAATGTGAGATGATGACGAGGTATCACGAGGGCCCCTGTGCCAAAACGAGGCATCCTCGCCAGTCGACGCAGCGGAGACTGCAGCCTCGTTTCCACCCACAGGCCCAAAGGCCATATCGACAGTCGGGAATTGACGTGATTCGCCCTGTGGTCCCCATACTAGAAACGTCCGCGAAACTCCTTTTGTGAAAGATATGGCCTGAAGGCAATAGGGTCCCGTGAGTTCAAATGATAGTGAGATCTGTGTAGACTACGCATGACTCAGACCTAGTACCCTCCATGCCAGAGTGGGCATCCGTTTCGGCTCGAAGGAGCTGCCTAGACTTGTCGCTCCACAGTAGACGGGCTATAAATTCTCCAGGCAGATAGACCGAATTGCTGGAGGTGGCCATGTTATCCTCTGTGTGGAAAAAGCGCCGTGTGTCGTGGGGTGTGGAGCTGGAGGGGTGGAAGAGAAACCGGGGCGGGACAGTCGGGGACAGTCTACGTGGTGATACTCCCTCAGTATTGGGGCGAGTGGCAGAGCCAAGGAAAATGACTTGCCAGTGGATTGTGGCTTGGCGAATCCAACCGCATAAGCAATAGACAGAGGCGTCGACCAATTTCCGCGCGTACTCTCCTCGTGGGGGCCAGAGGGCCAACATTTTGGCCCCCAACAGGCTATCAGCATTGAGCAAGGAACGACGGTAAATTCTTTTGCCCCCTTTTCTTGTCTGGTGCTGGGAGGAAGATTTGGGATCACTTTGAAACCTGCTCCTCACGACTGCACGAATACGTATCATAATGGGAGGTGCCCCGTTTCAGTCCAAGGGTTGTACGACATGCAAACGGCGCAAGATCAAGGTTAGTATGGGCTCTAAGGTCGCGGTTTGAGAGGTTTCTAATGCTGATTCTTCATCAGTGTGATCGTCGAGTGCCTGAATGCGCTCGATGTATCAAGTATGGCGTGAAATGCGAAGGGTATGAAGGAGGCCGCATCTTCTTATACGATGCCTCGGTGAAGCCAAGGATAGCCAGAGCGAAGGTCGCAGCGCAGAAGTCAGAGCCTCATAGCAAATTTGTCAACCGGACATGGGCTTCGTACCTGCCACAAGCGGTCACTACGGCGCCAGCGCGGCGCGCCCAGGTCTTCTCGTCTTATATCCATGTCTTCTTCCCTTCCGACACCAAGACGACCGCCTCCGACGTGGACGGATGGTACTCTTTGATCTCTGGATTTGCTTCCCTTCCCAGCAAAACTAAGATGCTTGAGAATGCGCTTTCCGCCATTGCCTGTTGTTACTTGGGCAAACTTAGACGCGACGATCCGGTTTTTCGCCATGGACTTCAGTTGTATAATGCAGCGATCCGCGATATGTCGTCCATGATAAACAAAGATGATTACTGTGATGACATTATCTATACGACCGTCATCTTTCAGGAGATAGAGGTGGGAATGCCTCCCTCTTTCAGCCCTCCGAGCATGGATCCAGACTGATATCTAGGAATTATGAAGACATGCTACAGTCCCCAAGGTCTCAAAGGATGGCTTGCGCATATTGCAGGTACTAATGCGATCCTGAGCCACTACCGCAGTAGGGCAGACAGTAGTCCGCTCGTCAGTGCTATATATCATGAGTATCAGAAACTGCGCATAGTAAGTTTACCAGTAACTCTCGAATAACGGGTCTAACCGACTTTTAGGTATTCTCGGCCAAGGGTATCAATATGTCCAGAGACGACTATGACTATGTCACACAACCCAGTCAAGGGAATCGTGTAGTCGAATTACTGGGTCTCTTCGCTGGACTAGCACCAATAGCCGCCGCAGTTGAAGGAGCACCGCCGTCTGATCCTGCCGTTCGCCAAATGCTCCTCCAACAGTCTCTTGCGCACAAGGATAAACTGGTCAAATGGTATGCCCGGCAAAACATCAGTCATGGGCCCACGCTGTGTGCCCCTGGTGAAGTAGTATGCACCAATCTACCTCAAACAGATGACCTGTTTGGCACCGCCTATAGCTATCCATCGCTTGACAACGCCAGGCTGCATACTATGTTCTGGACACTATTGAGCATCACCCACCCTGTGATTTCCAAGGCCCGAGCCCTTACCAACCCTCCTAGGGATGAAAGTGTTCAAGTTGAAGATTCAGACATCCTGCTTTCAGGTTTCTATGCAGACCAGATCGGTCGATCAGTCCCCTACTTTATGCAGGACACCATGAAATCATGGGGTGCCCACACCATGGTCTTCTGTCTTTGCCAATTGTGCAGGATTGGTGTTGATCGCGGAAGCCGTCCCCAATTTGACTGGTGTCTGCAAGCCTTCGACGTGGTGATGGATCGTGGTTTTGGCGCTGCCACTGCTTTGATCCAAATCTTTCACGGTATGTGGTATATGAAACATGGCCCACTGGGTTTACCTCCGCCTGCTGGGAAGGAGAGCGAAAAGCAGAATGCCCGCGTGACAGAGCTGCCCGAGGCAGTTCCTGATGTGCTGCGTACACACTGGCATCGTAGACACAGGACCTAGAGACGACACTAGTTTAGCTGCAGATCTTATACGACTCTCAATGACTTAAACAGTGTAGCGGCCTGTGTCCAGTTGCTTCGTGACATTCAACCTCTAAATCCTTGCAATGACAAAAACGCATTTGTAAAAGGGTAATAATAGCATCGTATGCACCCCATGATACGTCGAGTTCTGAAGAGGCCTTGCTGTAGTTGGTAGTTGGATAAAGGAGTGGAGGATTACAGTAGATTATAGGAAAACTTGTGCAGAATTGCCTTCCGGTGGATACAATGTCTACGCCATTAATATACCTGAAGAGTCTAGAGTCAGATCGGATGGAACACCTCGATCGAGCACCTGTCGATCTTAACAAACTCACTTCATTAGTAGTCGATTCAAAGTCCAAGAGAGCCCGTCAGGTCCGGACAACGTCGGATATAAAGCACACGTAATTTGACTCTTAATAAGTGCCGGGTTCTGGCGTCCAGCATTTTCTCCCTTGTCGTGAATGCGCCCGTCAGAGCAGCCCAGGACGTTTTGTTGTTGGAGTTCTGCCCAAGGCATTCCACATTCAACTGGATTACCCCGGAATCGTAGGGGTATAGACATTTTCTGTCATCTGCAGGATGTCGGAAATCCGGCATGGTGTAGGAACAAGAAGGAAAGTGGAGCAAGAAGCGGCAATGGAAGCCGTAGCCTGGACTAGGTTTCGTCTCGCCAAGGTGCGGGTCGGGCTGGCGTCGGGTACTTTTGGTTTCGGGCATGGAGAAAACCGGTACCTTTGTTTGATTTGCGATTGCTCAGGGTTATTGCGCAAGTAGTGACTCATTCTTGTGCTGCGTATAGGGGAACACAGAGCTTCTGCTTCTACACAATTATTACCTGGTTCTGGGCGTATTGTCTGTGGAACAACTCAACGAAAGCGAGACGCGCAGCTCTTAGGACCGGATCATGACCTCCCACGCAGAATCTTTTGCTCTCCGGAAAATAGCTCTCAAAGGATAGAAAGGTTGTCATTTCAACTCGCTCCTCTAAGCCACAGTGTCTAGATTAGATTTTTTGGTTCCACAGAGAAACGCTCAATTGTGGGCCCCAATACAGGAACACCTCTTGGCGAGATCTTAAGGCCCCAAATGGCCTCAAGGAATTCCCTGCCTTCTACGGCTGATAGGCGAAACATGCTAAGGTACAGCGTTAACAGTATCGTGGCCAAGTGCCGATGCCGAATAACTCCCCCTCCTAAGCCACCCCCTTTCCTTTCTCGGCCCCGCTTGAAAAAAAATCAGCCACGCGAAGATGCCAGCCTGAAAACCAATGAATATATCGCCGCATACTCTCTCGCTTTCCTTCCAGTTGCTGCCTACCTTTTTCTTCGCTCAACCCTGCTCTTCCCCTTGCGCTCCATGGCCAAACCCCTGAACCTTTTGGCCGCCACGGCGTCGGATCTGCAAGCTGGGTTAACGGCGGGCACGTACAACAGTTCACAGCTCGTAGACTTGTATCTAGAACAGATCGCACGACATAATACTTCTCTCAAAGCGGTCATTGAAACTGCGCCGGTCACCGTGTTGCAGCGACAAGCGAGTGAGCTCGACCAAGAGCGGATTTTGGGGAAACTCCGGGGTCCTCTGCATGGTATTCCCATTCTTTTGAAGGTACATTCCCAAATAAGACATGGCGCATATGAGATCTGACTGTGTCAGGACAACATTGCAACCCATCCAGACCTCGGGCTAGAAACCACCGCGGGCAGTTTTGCGCTGTACGGATCGCGTCCAAGGCGCAATGCAGAAATCGTTGACAAGGCAGGTGATTGTCGTGGCATATTTTTTAGGACGCGGCTAACTGAATTGCACAGCTGCTAAAAGCCGGAGTGATCGTACTTGGTAAAGCGAACATGTCGGTGAGTGTTCACTTCATGACTTCTATGTGCAAAGCTGAGTGATTGGGGTCAGGAACTTGCATACTACAGGTACGCACCGCCATCCATTAATTCCCTCGCGCAGTGACTCAATGTCTTCGCAGATCCGAAGGTATCCCATCCGCCTGGTCCGCGAGAGGCGGTCAAGGCCAGTCTGCGTACGTCGAAGGTGGATTTCGCGATGATGACTCAGTAGGCGGACACAGTGTAACCTTACACACCTTGAGCTCTCTATCCCTCGACTCTCATTGATTGTATCTATAGAATCCAGGGGGTTCCTCCTCCGGCTCAGCCGTCAGCGTCTCTGCTGGCTTCGCCCCGATCTCCATCGGCACCGAAACGAACGGATCCTTGATATTTCCTGCGGATCGAGCCGCCTTGTATACTATCAAGCCAACCATAGGCATCATTTCTCAGGACGGCTTGATCCCCATATCCCCGCTCTGCGACGCTGCAGGCCCGATGACGAAGAGTGTCAGTGATCTAGCACTGCTTCTGGATATCTTAGTCGATCCATCTACAACCGAAGTCCCCGACGGTGGCTACATTACTTCCGCAACTATGTCGTGGGGCAATATTAGGGTGGGGGTGTTGGATCCAAGAGACTGGTACCTTAAAGACCCTCCTCTGCAGTACGTCAAGGAGGCAGAGGAACAAATGGTATGGATGCATCTGAATTTCCCCATCTACTGGGCTAGAGACTCACGAGGGACGTGTAGACCGCCGAGATCGAAGCGGCATACAAGACGCTAGAATCTACCGTATCCCATGTGCGCCGCGTTTCACTAATCTCAAAGACGGAGGCAAATGATGATGGAAAGAGAGATATCAGCAAGCTATGGGGTAAGAAGCATAATCCTTAACCAGAATGTGCTAATGAAGTACAGATCACGATTTTAGCCAGGCCTTCGAAAGTTACCTTGCAACCGTCGATAACTCCAAGGTGCACAGTCTCTTGGAGCTCGTTGAGTACAATCAGGAGCATGCAGACGTGGAGCTTCCACCACGTACGCCATTTCTCTTCCATAATTGCGGGGTATATTGGAGCTAATCGAGTCGGTTGAAGGGTACGATAACCAGAATGGCCTTCTCCGGGCTCTAAACTCCAATCTGAGCAGTGAGGAGTATGACGATATTCTCGCGTTCTCGCGGAAAGCAGGTCGGGAGTTGGGCATCGAAAAGACCCTCCGTGAGAACGACGTGGACGTTATTATTGGCCCCGGAGGGAGTACAATGAGCTATATTGCTGCTGCTGCAGGTAAGATACCAACTTCCATTGTATGAACAAGTACGGTCTAACAGCTGAAGGGTATCCCATCGCGTCACTCCCACTGTCGTACCTCCATTACAACGGCCGGCCATTTGGCCTCGCGATTTTGACCCGCGCGCATCAGGATGCATTGCTAGTGCAGGCTATGAGTGCATGGGAGGCGACGTTTCCGAGGCGGAAGTTGCCCCCCATGCTGGCCCCGACATCGATGATCTAGTGGGGTGTGGGTAAACTGTATTTAAGGGAATTATCAATCCCAATCTGCCACCCAGCTCTATTACTTCTGTCCAGCATGTACAGCCAAGTCCCATCATGTTTGCTCGTAGCCCTCTTTCCCCCATTTTGCTTGCCACACCGTGTGAAATCTCTTATACCAAAATATCGGACGGTCACGGCGTGCAGAAGGCTTACTATTACTCCGGTCCCTTACCTCTCAACCAAGAAGAACTACGGAAGAATGCCTAGTTTGTAAGCCCTGCAGACATAACAGCATACGATATACGAAGCAACGAACATGAGAGAAGCCTTGACCAAGACGGCTGCGAGTTCCGAGTGGCCCCGACCAGAGTCAATATATTCCAGTAGATTGATCGAGAGGACGACCTTGCCCAAAAGTACATCGAAGAGGTGTCAGAATGGCTGATCATTGTTACAGTTTCCATAGAAACTTGCCTGTTCACCCTTTCTTTTTGCCCCTCTGACTTCGCGGTCGGCCTTTTTTGGCTTTCTTGTGTTGTAAAGTAGCAGAATAGTAGTGTCATGGCGATGACATGAAGCTGCTATACTTGGGCGATCACTTTTCGTCATAAATATGGTGGGTTATGATTGAAACAATATTAATACCATCTGTGAAAACCACAAACGCCCTCTGCGGCTGCCACACCCCGATTTCCACATTCAATCTGCTGTCTCCCCCTTGTCCTCCAAGCTATTATAACTATTTGGTTTCTTTCTCTAGATCTGCGGCCCACAAAGCTGCACCAACCATATTCGTGAATGAAAAAGCAATGGAGGCAAAAGGCACCATCTCCAGAGCAAAAGCCGCCATCCCTAGTCTATATCACAACCAGTCAGCATGGTTTGAGCACGACAAAACCGCTTGTCGCTAAAGTGAACCTACCCAGTATATGCCCCCCGATTTTTCGACACCCATTCCTCCCGTTGGCGAGCATTCCACCCCTTCAGCTGGAAATATCTGGTGTGCAGCGCCGGTCCGAGGCGTTTTCCCTGGACAGCAATATACAGCACGGTCCCGACGACCGGGATGAGATTCAAGGGCAAGTAGATCAGCGATCTGAACAGCGCCTGGGGTGTAAACCTGGCAAGTGGTTTCGAAATCATCTTGCCCAGCCTCGCCATCGCATCTCTTCCTCCCGACTGAGGTTTGACCTGGCGCCCTTGCGCGACTAGAGGCTCCAGGTCGCGGGCAATGAGAGTGCCGTCAAAGGTGTCAAGCAGGGCATCTTCAACCAGGAAAGAGCGCGACAGGATGTTGGTGATGGTCGAGCTTTCGCTGAGAACCAGTAAACCCGCAGAGAACGCGGCTAATGGGCCACTCGTGAAGGCCATGATGGCCATCTGGGGCACATAGGTGAAGAAGAACATAAATGACGTAACGCCTATCCCCAGGCTGATTGTTCGTCCAGCGCGAGACATGAACGGACCCCAGAGGCCTTTGTGTGTCGCGAAGTAGATAATGCCCTGGTGTCTAGGTGAGTTCCCAGTCGCGTTTGATGAGACTGCTTCCATTTCGTCACCCACTTACCTTGATCGGGTACAGATAAGCGCCCGATTTGAGGACATCGTGGGAGGCTGCACGGGCACTATTGGCCTCCGCCACGGCCATGTGTTTAAGCTTGTCGGACATGATGAAAATCAGCGATAGCGGTGTTTGGGAGATCGAGGAGTCCAAGATCGACAGACTGTCACTGGTAGCAGTGAAGCAGGGACAGTGGGCGGAGGCCAGTCCCAGATGCAATTATGATGTCATGAGCGACCGCCGACCTGCGGGCTCGGCGCAGAAGAGGCGCAGAAGAGGCGCAGAAGAGGCGCAGAAGAGGCTCAGGGGCACGCGACCAACGGCGGGTGGTACCTTGCGTTCGTTTGGATACGCCAATCAGAGCGCTCCTCATCTGAGTCAAATCGCACAAGCTGTAGACTTACTACAGTAGGTGGTCGTCGGGTGGGACAGCAGGAAGAATGAGGAAGACGGAATAATCCATCGTCCGAGGGAAGTGATCGGCACGAGCTGCCACGAGGCTTCACGCAGAGTTCCGTCGAATTCTAAATTGTAGCCTGGCCCAACGTCCATTGCAGCATTCATCACAGTGGTATCTTTTTCTTTCTCGCGCCTGCTGCCCCTTGCACATCACCCCTGTCGTGACTGGGAAGAAATACAGGCGGACTCCCGAGGAGCAATTGTATGAACCGCGGTCTGATCTCCCGCATTCCGGCGCGCCCTCGACGCATTCACCCCACTGCTAGGACTTGTCTTTCGTGCGCGATTGAGATTGAGCTCGATTCGACCAATTGGCGATTCCCAACGCAGCTATGAAACTTCTCGCTGGAGCCACCTTGGCCTCCGTGGCTGCCGCGGCCTCTTCATCGGCCGCTTCATCGGCCGCTTCATCGTCCCCGGCATTTGCGCCCACCGGCGCGACCTATGCGTCGGGCTTTGACATGACCCGGAGCTGGGCCAACCTCAGCCCCTATAAGGATGCGGGGGGCTTCGGTCTTCCCAAAGGCGTGCCGCAGGGATGCCAACTCTCCCAGGTGCACGTTCTGCATCGACACGCCGAGCGATACCCGACTGACTACCCTCTGGACGGCGCGGGCATGCAGGACTTCGCCTCTAAATTGACCAACTATACCAAGGCACACTCCGGCAACACCGTTGCTAGCGGACCGCTGAAGTTCCTCGATAACTGGAAGTATGTCATTGGTGATGACACCTTACTGGAGACCGGTGCAGCCACTGAGGCGACCTCGGGTGCTCAGTTTTGGGTCAAGTATGGCCGTCTGTTGTACCGTGCCGATCGTGACAGCATGGCTGCCTGGAATTCGGATCTCAATGTTTATCCTAATGGCACTGCTCGCCCGAAGCCGGTCTTCCGGACCACATCCCAGGCACGTATCTTGGAGAGTGCTCGCTGGTGGCTTAGTATGTGTAGCTATTTGGTCCACGACCATGGAATGTCGCGCTGACTGATATCACTAGGTGGCTTCTTCGGTAATACTGGTGCCAACAGCTCCTATGAGCAGTACGACCTGGTGGTTATCCCCGAGGTTTTCCCCTTCAATAACACTCTGGCTTCGTATGAATCGTGCCTGGGCGACATGACCGAGGGGTGAGTGTACTATTTTGCACAATTTGACACTCTATTCTAACCGACGATTCAGTGACGACTCTGCTGAGACATTCATCTCGCGCTACACCAAGCATGCCCGCACGCGTCTCTCTTCCTACTTTCCCCGGGATTTCAATTTGACCGCCATGGATGTCTTGGCCATGCAGAACCTTTGCGTGTACGAGTACACCAGTCTCGGCGGCTCATCATTCTGCTCCCTTTTCACTGAGCAGGAGTGGAAAGACTTTGCCTACAATGTTGACGTCCAGTACTACGGCGACTATGCCTTCGGATCCCCCACCGGCCGGGCCCAGGGCATTGGCTATGTTCTGGAACTCGCCGCTCGTCTTCAGCAGAAGCTCATCACCTCTAGTGACACCAGCATCAACTATACCTATGACGACAACACCGCTCAATTCCCATTCGGCCAGCCGTTCTACATGGACATGACTCACGACGATATCATTCTCTCCGTCATCACTGCCCTCGGGCTTGAGTACTTCAAGTATGGTCCCAATGGCCTGCCGGGTGACGTGGACCATGCTCCCTCAAACCGCACCTTCTCCCTCACTGAGATGACTCCCTTCGGTGCGCGTTTCTTCTCCGAGATCTGGACGTGTCCCCACCATGTTTCTTTCAACGAGCTGGATCCCGTACTCTACGAGAACCCCCATCTCGAAACTACTCCGCATACTACGGATTACATCCGTTTTGTGTTGAACAATGCGCCCTTACCTCTAAAGGGGCTTGTCGGTTGTGAGAAATCCAAGAACGGCTTCTGTCGGGTTGACCAATTCTTGGAGGGCGTACCGACCCTAAAGAACAATGCTAAGTACCAGGAAGCTTGCTTCGGCAACTATACCGCCGGAAGCCAAGTCGGTGATGGTGTTCCAGACTCTTAAGGGGTGTTTTAGGACATCGCATCATGCTTTCAAATGATCTCGGATGATTTTATATATACTACCTGGAATGGGTGGGACTTTGAACTAGGCAACTGGAGTTTCCTACCTACCTCTCTTGCAACCCTGTATCATAGACAAGATCCATATTCACAGGTCATGTACACATACCTTCTCGTCACTTATCCAATGATTAGGGTAAACCTACCTACTCTATGCAAGCCATGATAAGCAGGCGACTTAGCTAGAGCCTTACTCGGAACTACTTCTCCGTAGAAGCAGGATCCTTCGCTTTGTCCTGATCCAGGCAGGTTCAAATTCCCCCGTACACGCCCCCTTTCCCTTGTCAGGCAAAAAGGATTTACGGGCCAATAAATTAATCAATACCTGAGACGTGATTTTGTCTGAGTCAATATTGTGAAATGCCCAAAGACGGCATTTGACTCTGACTATCTGCTTTTGCATCCTGGGGCCGGGGCCGGGGGGGGCGGCGGATGGGGATGTGGAGCGGAAGCACCTCATAGGTACAAGATACTGAAGACAAATGTTCTTCTTAGCCCAAAAATAACCTAAACTTTTCCAACTGCGTAAGCTGTGGCTGGGTGATGGTGCCTAGGATAGAAAAGTCGTGTCTGCCTTCTCATTTCAGTTCAGTATCTATCAGTGCAGAAAATACATCCAGTCGCTGGTTTTTATATTACCACAAAAATAGAACAGGTCTAGGAGCCGCAGGATGAGGCGGAGGAGCAAAGCTAGTGCGAGAGAGCGTACCTAGTCAAAAAGCTGACAGGTATACTTCAAAGCGAATACATACAGCGAGGCATTTGGATTGCACGAGATTTAATCTTGTTTTATATATATGGTGCTTTTCTATTTAGTCCATCTGCCGGGCAGCTAGAATGTTACTTCTGTGTACCGCAAGGTCTCCCCGAAAGCTTCAACAGCATCATTGATCACAGAGGGACGAGCGCCAAGTGACTTGGTTTTATGGGAAACCATGATGAACCAAGTCAAATCAGGGTTCCACGTCTCCATTGCCTGGATGGCAGTTTCAACCGATTCTATGACGCCTTTGAGAGAATCGTTCAATGCAAAAGAAGAATACCGTGTCGATGCTTGGAAGTAATACTCCGGCCCAACGAAGAGTGCGATCCATGCACCCAGCATTTCACAAATTTGATCACCAGCTTCCAGCGGTAGCCGGACATGTGAAAGCACCGTAATGAACAATGATAATAAAGACCTCCACAAAGTATGCTCAGGTGTAAATGCTCGAGAGCCAGGCGTGGTATGCGACAAGGCCAGGGACGAGGTGAGCGCGAGACGCAAATCGGATGCTTCGCCTGTAGACTGCGAAGTTGATACTCCAGCGGTCGAGGCAGTTTTGGTCTGCCGTAGGTGTCGAGCCCGTCGCTCATTGGCCGCTTCGGAGTCCTGCCGTACCTGAGTCCAGACGCGCCGGTAGAGTCGCTGCCAGCGCGGGAACTCTGTCTCGATGCGGGAGGCCATGAAATCACCTGCACCCTTACACATTTCCTCAATAACCTGGCAAGCGGTTGTGATGACAAATGTTTCTTCTTGGAAGGTATGGGTATCTGATTGGTTGGCAGAGCTTTGAGATTCCGGGGATGGTCGTGTCATGAGGGCTGTCGAGGAGGATGAATCATTTGCTAGCGACGAGGGGAATATGACCCTGGACGCAACTGAAGGCCACAGATCATTGATGAGTGGCAGAAAGCTGTTTTCATTTTGCGACAGGGCTGGCAGCACCTCGATGAGTATTGAGAGAAGGGAGCGTCGAAGGTATGGTGAGGGGGATGAGATGTGAGACGGGATGGATTTGACAATGTGTAGAAGAAGAGAGTGGGTCTTGCTCAACGGCTTCTCGCTATCCTCTGGCTCTTTGGGTGGAGGGAGAGGCTCATCGGATTCGGCTTTGTTTAGGAGCTCCTCAATGGACTCCGGCTCAGGTGGCAGCTTCTCATAGGTTTCCGACCAGGGTTTCGTCGGGTGCGAATCATTGCGGTCGATATCCACGTCATTTTCAATGTCGTCGATATGTTTCAACTTTCGATGCGAAATATCGCTTGCGAGCCTTGCTATGGAGATATTCTCATATCGTGATTTGCGGCTGTCATGGGATCCGGTCTCCCGGTCGCTATCGATCGTCAAAAGAGATGGTTTCTTTGACCCTTCTTCGACGATAGCAGTCAACGTTTTGAACATCATTTCAACCAGTTTGGGATAACCGTGGTAGAGATCAAGAATGCCAAAGACAGAGTCAACTAGATCATCCAAGTATGGAACAAGTGGTGCACCGCACAGCTTGACCATCATGTAAAGGACCTGGGGCGGATGTGGTGACACATCAAATGTATTCAGCTTCAGGGCTACCGAGTTCACCAAGTAGTCCACATTATCAATGACCATGGAGGAGGTGTCGGGGTAGTTGCACGCCTCGGTAAGGGTATTGAGACATATCATGGCGTGCCGCTGGAGAGTAGGATTGTTGGAGGCAAGTAGTGTTAGGGTTGGATACAAGGCGTCCATAAGCTCAGGTCGGAAAGCCTTGCCGAGTTGCTGAGCTTGAAGGGCGACGGCCTCCAGCGCGAGTGCTGACATGCGCCAGTCACCGGAACCATCGGCAGGGAGGTCAGTCAAGATGGTCAGTGAAGTGTAGTACAGCTCTTCGATCATCCTGACGCGGTTGGCGAGCGACGTGGATTGCTCCAGTTGGTCATCAACAATGAAGGCGTCGAAATCAGCTGAGTGCTGCGACTGGGCACGGAGGGAAGTTAAGGCGAGCCAGTATGGAGCGACGGCCGAACCATCAGACGCGTTATGCAAGCGGTTGATAATTGACCGGGTTATTTCGTTCCCTGACTCCGAGAGATTGAGTCGCATAATCAAAGATCGCATATCTTTTAATGTTTGCTGCTGGCTTTGGTGTTCAAGTAGGATAGGCGGGAAGGCCATTGACTTCGAGTCAGAAACAAGAATGTCCCAGCTCAGATCAACCGAGGACAATAATGGCTGAAAGGTACTGTTGCCGTGCTTTACGACGGCACCGACACTATCACACAATCCAGAAGCCAGACTGCCCGTCAGAAGGTCTGATCCAGATTGGACTTGAGACAAGACCTGAAAGACAGTCGAAATTTGTCGGATTCCCCATTGCTTGGCTGTTTCATCATTGCTTTGCATGATTCGAGGAAAGGATGTGAGCCAAGTATGGAGCGATTCCTTGAGCGAGTCTAACACAATTGGGTATGTGGTAGCGATATGCATAAGACTTAGATAGGCCTGATTTGGAGTATCATCTTCTTTATCGGCCAAGACAACAATGGTTTCTGCCATCATGGGAACAGCATCCTTCAGCGTGGCCTGGCAATCTTCAATTACCATCACACAAAGATCCAGTAGTGCAGATTGGACTTCGGGTCTTTGATGGCGACGCACTTGGGTGACATTCACCAACGCGAGCTTGATCTGAGTGGTTGTAGCCTTCAGCCAAGAGGCATCCAGAGCCATTTTGTCCGACTCTGTAGAAACCGGAGCGGATTTCTCGCTAGTGACGGTAGCAAGGTCGCTGAGTACAGCTTTCAGAATGTGACTCAGAATCTCAAGACATATCTGCAAGAGCGTGTAGGATCGCCGACTTTGGGTCGTGGGGCGTATCACCTTTGCCAGTGTAGAGACAGTCCGGGGCATAATACTAGCCAACACGACACGGTCTGTGATTCGGGCATACAGGGCCTTGAGTGAATTTGCAGCGGATATGCAAACATCATCTGACCTCTCATCCAAAATGCCCTCGAGTAAAATATACACAGTCTGATCGACAACTGTAGCCGTACCAATCTCATGGAATATGCTCCGCTCTGCCACGGGCCCTCGAAGCATATCAAAGATCACGCGGAGACAGTCAAAACAAGCAATGGAGAGCTCTTCCGGAACCTGCGCCTTGAGAGGATGCTGTCCGTCGGCATTGTTTGGAGACCCTCCAACGATCAGCGTCAATAGAATAATCAACTGCTTTCCCAGTGATGGGGATAGTTGTTCCCGCCAGCCGTCCGCAACGAGAAAATTTAGGCATTGTACCGCTTGTTCAAGACACCTGGCTGGCAGCCGTTGTGTTTCGTTGAAGATATGCGAGAGCGGGAAGAAGGCATATTCGGCAAGCTTCCCGTCGAGTGCGTTCTTCCCAGCAAGCTTCTCCAAGACTTGGTGCACGGGTTCGAGGGCTCGAGAGACGTCGGAGGCCGAAGCCTGCTTTCCACGGAATCGTAAGCCTACTGAGCTGAGGTCCACGCACGGTTCGCGTAACTGTAGAACGTTAGGAACTTGCTGTAGGAACTTGCTGTAGGATAGTCCAAAGTTGGGGCCCAGCATACCAGCTTGAATGATTCCTGCCGTAGGTCGTCCATGGCGACTAGTGGTGTATTTTCAGCCCCAAAGAATTGATGACATTTGAAGCACTCGAGGCCAAACTATGGGCTTGACGACATCTATCAGCCACGCTCCCATCCAATTGTCACTCTGTCGTAGTCGAGATCGCGACTCGGCGGGCATCAGCGTGCAGATACCCCACCGCCTGCTGTTCTGCCGAACTAACCTAGCGGTGAGATCACAATTTCCTATCCTGGCAAGATAGCTCACACGTGACGGGCGCGTCACGTCGCGTGGAGAAGACCGCGAGGTTGCCTGGTGAAGCCGAGTCCAACTGGGGTTTGTTGCCTGATCCCATTACGATCCAGCTGAGCGTATTTATTGACGCTCTCCCCAACTGGATTGAGCTGGTGGTATATTTCATTACGTCTATGCGTGGCCTGCGGATTTCAGCCGCGCCTACTCCGCTGTCGCGCTCCGGACCCTACTTCTTTGAAGCCTCACGGTACACAAAGACAGCATCTTTATCGACACTCACTTCCCCCCGAAAGACCTTATCGCAACCAGTCTCTATAAAATCCCCAAAGCTTGGCCAACGCGCATCTAAATTGCCAGTATTTCATCTGGCTTCCACAAGCATGGCCGATGACAAGAGCAGGAAACAGGCTACACTGGGGTACGTGCGCGATTCCCAATTGACCATCGGGTGCGTCGACAGAGGACTCTCTACCAAAACCATCGGATGGTCTTCATGCCATTTCAACTTTGTACCTCTGGGTTTATTAACGCGCTCTCTTCTGGTCTTTTTAGGAGGTTCTTCGGCTCAACTGCGAGCGCAAATCAAGCAGCAAAGAAACAGACCACCTTGTCATTCGGCGGTAAGAGGCAAACAGCTAGCATCGACGCTGTTATTGAGCCTGTGGATGTAAAAGTTGAGAATGGAGCCGAAGCACCACCCACCGCCGAGTCCAGCGGGGACGAATCGAGCAAGAACTTGAAGCGGGAAAAGGCCGAGGCTGCGGAGGATAGCGACGGGTCAGATGTCCAACCTGTTCCTAAACGTCGGCGCAAGGTCTCGGGGAGCCCATCGGCTCCCGCCAAGAATAAATCCCCTTCTCGCAAAAAGTCCCCACCGAAATCCCCCAGGAAGTCTTCGTCAAGTCCCGCCAAAGCCGCAATACGGTCACCGAGATCGGTTGTGAAAAAAGCCTCCGGGGAGGAAACCCCAGAGGAGGAACAAGAATCGGACGTGGATGAAGAGAAGGCAGAGTCCGGGAGCGAGGCCGATGAAGATACCATGCCCGAGGCGAGGAAGAAGACAATGGCAAAGGTGCAAGCCACTCTGAAGGCTAGTGGCAATGATCCATATCCCGACTGGAAAGCTGGCGATCCTGTTCCATACGCCGCGCTATGCACCACCTTCTCATTGGTTGAGATGACGACGAAACGCCTAATAATTCTCGCCCACTGCTCTCTTTTCCTCCAGCAGGTGCTCCGCTTAACCCCGAACGACCTTCTTCCAACAGTACAGCTTATGATTAACAAGCTTGCTGCCGACTACGCGGGAATTGAACTTGGTATTGGCGAGTCATTGATTATGAAAGCCATCGGCGAGAGCACAGGTCGCAGTCTCCAGGTCATCAAGACCGACCAGCACGAGATTGGCGACTTGGGATTGGTGGCCGCCAAAAGTCGTGGAAACCAACCTACAATGTTCAAGCCGAAGCCTTTGACCGTCAGAGGCGTGCATGAAGGCTTGCTGGGAATCGCCAAGGTTCAAGGGCATGGATCACAGGACAAAAAGATCTCGGGTATCAAGAAGTTGTTGTCAGCTGCCGACTCCGCGACTGCTGGCAAAGGCAACAAAGGTGTTGACATCACCAAGGACAAAGGTGGTCCCAGTGAGGCTAAATTCATCGTCCGCTTCCTGGAGGGCAAATTGAGGTTGGGTCTTGCTGAGAGAACCGTCCTTGTCGCGCTTGCCCAGGCTATTGTTACCCACGAGGCAGCCGTTGCAGGCGAGAAAACACCATCTCCAGAAAGGCTGGCTGAAGGAGAATCGGTTCTCAAAACTGTGTACAGCGAGCTACCTTCCTATGAAGTGATCATCCCTGCCATGCTGGAACACGGTCTCTTTGACCTGGCGAAGGTGTGCAAGCTTCAGCCTGGCATTCCCCTGAAGCCTATGCTTGCCAAGCCAACTAAGTCGATTACTGAAGTTCTCGATCGTTTCGAGGGCAAAGAATTCACGTGTGAATACAAGTATGATGGTGAACGTGCTCAGATCCACTTTGTGGCGCCGGATCATATCCACAAATACCCTGGGTCGACTGCTACATTACAAAAAGACCATAAGGGACTCAGTGCGATTTTCTCCCGCAATTCCGAAGATCTGTCAAAGAAATACCCCGATGTGCTGGGTAAGCTTGACAGCTGGGTCAAGCAGGACGTCAACAGTTTCGTTTTGGATTGTGAAACCGTTGCTTGGGATACTGTCAACAAGAAAGTTCTTCCGTTCCAGCAGCTAATGACCCGTAAGCGAAAGGACGTGAAGGCAGAAGATGTCAAGGTCAAGGTCTGTGTGTTCGCATTTGACCTGCTGTTCTTCAATGGAGAGGTATGCAACCCCCGAAAGTTAACCTGTTGTTCTAGTTTCTAACTTCGTTTCTAGCCGTGTGTCAAGAAGTCGCTCCGTGAGCGCCGGGATCTACTACATAAATGCTTCCAGCCCATTGAAGGCGAGTTCCAATTTGCGCAATTCGGCAACACCAATGTCGTTGATGAGATCCAGGACCTGCTGGACGAAAGTGTCAAGGCTTCGTGTGAGGGACTTATGGTGAAAATGCTGGACACGTCGGAGAGCGGATATGAGCCCAGCAAACGGAGTCGCAATTGGTTGAAGGTACGGGCCAGTCTCGTGGTTTGCTTACACCGTAATTACTGACATTTCTATAGGTCAAGAAAGATTATCTCGCTGGTGTGGGCGACTCGCTCGACCTGGTTGTCCTTGGTGCTTACTATGGACGTGGTAAGCGTACTTCTGTTTACGGAGCTTTCCTTCTTGCTGCCTACAACCCGAACTCCGACTCCTACGAAACAATCTGCAACATTGGCACTGGCTTTTCCGAAGCACTGTTGGAGGAGCTCCACAAGGAGCTAACACCCTTGGTCATCGACCGGCCCAAGCCCTTCTATTCCCATTCTACTGTGCCTAAGGATCAACCGGATGTGTGGTTCGAACCCCGACTGGTCTGGGAAGTCAAAACGGCCGATTTGACTCTCAGCCCGCGGTACAAAGCTGCATCAGATGAGTTCGAAGGAACTATCGGTGGTGGCAAGGGCGTCTCTCTGCGGTTCCCCCGGTTCATCAAATCTCGTGAAGACAAGAAGCCGGAGCAGGCCACCACGACCCGGGCTGTGGCGGAGATGTACCGGAAGCAAGAGGCGGTGACCAAGGAGAGCGCCGGTAAGCGCGGCGTGGATGACGACTTTGAGTATTAAGACGCATTCTGCTAGGCGTTTTGCGAATTCAACTATCGGATTTCTTGGATGTTGCGTTTGTTGTAGTTCGTAATCTCCCGGTTATCACACCATTCACCAGCGACTACGCACCACCCTGGGGGCTAATTAGGCCTCCAACGAAGGCACTCATCAGCTCATCCGAGCAGTAATTACACACTTTTGGGATGCTCTGCGCGATGAGGACACCTTTGCACTAATTGCCATTCACAATATCCATCTTTCTATTGATCTGAGACCCCCAATATTCCCCCAACACTGCTTATCTTCCCAATCCCGCCGGATATCAGCGGGCATCCCCGCTCAGCTTGGCGGTGCAACCCAAGCCGCCGCACGGCTGCAGGGGTCCTTCACTGTTCTTGCCGCGATCCAACCAGGTCTCCCAACTGTTTTAGTGCACTTTCTTATCCCCCCGCCGAACAAGCCGATCCCATTTTGTCTCCTGCAAGCTCATCGCCATGGCCGACAAGGACCCCTCAACTTCTTGTTTATTACTCTTGGCGTCGTGGAATGTAACATTTACCCAAGGAGGAAAGTGCCGGGCCACGGATGGTCCCCGCCGTCCCGGAATACTTAAAGAGGAAAAACTACGACCCGCTTCTTCATGCGGTTATTGTTATTACTTTTACTTCCATCTGTGTTTGTGTGAACCTGGTTGCTAAGATGCGCACGTTTGAATGGGCGGTGCTTGGGTTGGGGGTTGTCCTGGGGGCGGATGCTTTGACGCCCGAGTGAGTATACTTTTTTTATGTCCATAGTCGACGGTGATCGGAGAACTATATCTTGCTAATGCCAGCCTAGGCAGTTGATTGCAGCCCCACGGCGCAGTGAGGCTGTCCCCAATCCATCCGGGGTAAGTGGCACTGGTTCTAGGGAACGAGTATCCATTAACTTATTAACAGGAAGTGGCATTGTTCTCATCCTCAGAGTACTCATGGGAATCCCATGAGACCTCATCAAGCTGGAACTTGATCGATCTGGATAGTGGCAAGATTACGCTGCTGACGAACGACACCAATGTCTCCGAGCTGATCTGGCTGGGCTCCGATGATTCGGGCTTGCTGTATATCAACGGCACCAATGCTGATATCCCCGGTGGCGTCGAGCTTTGGGTTTCCAATACAGCTAGCTTCGACAAGCTGTGAGTCTCCCGCTTCCTTTGCGATGTGCTCTCCGCTGATGGTCGTCCAGTCGATACAAGGCAGCCTCACTTCCAGCTTCGTTCTCTGGTCTCAAGACCGCAATCACTAAGGGCGGCGATGTCAACTTTGTATTGTATGCTCAATCCTATAGCAATGGGACAGCGTATAATGAGGAGCTAGCAAGTAAGCCGCTAAGCAGTGCGCGAATCTACGACAGCATCTATGTGCGGCATTGGGATACCTGGCTCTCGACAACATTCAATGCTGTCTTCTCAGGCACCCTCAAAAGGAAGAAAGGAGGACAAGGGGCCAATTCGCGTTACTCCTCTGAGGACTCACTGAAGAACCTCCTGGCTGGTGTCAAGAACTTGGAATCACCCTACCCTCCTTTCGGCGGCTCATCTGACTACGACATTTCCGGAGATGGAAAATGGGTTGCTTTCAAGAGTAAAGCACCCGAGCTACCAAGGGCCAACAATACTGCATCGTACATCTACCTCGTTCCGCACGACGGGTCCAAGAAGCCCGTGGCGATCAACGGCCCGGATAGTCCAGGAACCCCCGACGGCGTTGAGGGTGACTCGAGCAGCCCATCCTTCTCGCCGGATAGCCGACGCATTGCCTACTTCCAGATGGAGGACATTTCCTACGAGTCTGATCGCCGCACGCTCTACATTTATACAATTGGCTCCGAGAAGACCATCCCAGCCCTTGCTAAAAACTGGGATCGGTCCCCGGATACAGTCAAGTGGACAGCGGATGGCAAGAGCCTGATACTGAACACTGAGGACCATGCGCATGGGCGGCTATTCTTCCTACCTGCCGATGGCGGTAATGATTACAAGCCTTGCAATTTCACCAGCACTGGCTCTGTAAACAGTTATTACAATCTACCCAATGGTGACCTCCTGGTAACCGGTTCGGCTATCTGGACAAGCTGGACTGTTTACACCGCAAACCCAGAGAAAGGGGTCATCTCCACATTGATCTCTGCCAATGAAGTTGATCCCGGTCTTCAAGGACTGAGCTCCTCCGACCTGGATGAATTTTATTTCCAAGGAAACTGGACGAAGGTACGTTGCACCCCTTGCTGCAGAAGACTGACACTAATGGGTCAGATTCACTCTTGGATCATCTACCCTGCCGGCTTTGACAAGTCTAAGACCTATCCGCTGGTTTTCTATGTTCACGGTGGACCTCAGGGCTCATGGGCCGATTCTTGGAGTACTCGCTGGAATCCGAAGGTTTGGGCCGATCAGGGCTACGTGGTGATTGCGCCCAACCCGACGGGCAGCACTGGCTTTGGAGACAAGCTCACAGATGCGATCACAAACAACTGGGGTATTGTCTGCCCTTGCCCGCAGCAGTACACATGAAACTAATCATCAGCAGGAAGTTACCCATACGATGATTTAGTCAAGTGCTGGGAGTACGTCAGGGACAACTTTGACTTCGTTGATACAGAGAACGGCGTTGCTGCCGGCGCAAGTTATGGAGGCTTCATGATGAATTGGATCCAGGGCAACCCACTGGGACGGAAGTTCAAGGCACTGGTCTCCCACGACGGAACCTTTGTGGCCGATGCCAAGATCTCGACTGAAGAGCTTTGGTTTATTGAGCATGATGTACGTGTTTCATTGCCTTGGATCTATCATGGCATTGACTTGCTGACTGTATGCAGTTCAACGGCACCTTTTGGGCCAACCGAGACAACTACCGCCGCTGGGACCCGTCCGCACCGGAGCGTATTCTGCAGTTCGACACGCCCATGCTGATTATTCACAGTGACAAGGACTACCGGCTGCCCGTGTCTGACGGCCTAGGCTTGTTCAATGTGCTGCAGGAGCGTGGCGTCCCTAGTCGGCTGCTCAACTTTCCCGATGAGAACCACTGGTAAGCCCTTTGTTCGCGCAATACTCAGCTTGCAATTACCAGAGGGTCCACCTCATTTAGCTAATATTTGGATAGGGTCACAAGTAAGGAGAACAGCCTGGTCTGGCATCAGCAAGTCCTTGGCTGGATCAACAAGTACTCTGGCGTTGGAGCTAGGAATCCTAATGCCGTCAGTCTGGACGATACAGCTATTCCCGTGGTAGACTACAATCCTTAAGAGCGGCGGATAAATCTATATAACATTCCTCTGTACGCTGCCGTTATTCATTCATATCCAGTGCATTCATATTCCTACGCTCTTTCATTACGCGCGTACTGTCTCATTTATCAATGCATTAGCTCCACCGGTTAATAAAGCATTTCTTTATACCTAGTAATATGCTCTCCAAGTTTATTTTCCGTTTGCGACATATTGACTGTTTGCCATGGCTGCATTTATAGTCGCATAATTCAGAATTCACAGTAGCGCATCACAACCCGCCAACTCTCACCTCTCTCTACCACAGACGACAACACTTATCCCCCCTCTCATCCACCACCTCATCTACCATTTTCTTCATCTGCCATCCACCGACTTCCTCTCTGATCAACCATGCCTCTATCGCCTACCCAGCAAGCCGCAAAGCGCCAGTCGCGTAAGCGCCGTGCCTCCCAGGTCTCTCTCAAAGTATCGAAAAAAACGACTAGCGGCCCGTCGCCGTCTTACTCCCTCATCGGTAAGCTTACCCAGTCTTCCTCTGCCACTGGGTGTCCGTCGTCTGTCATTCAAGCTGACTATGCTCTTAGATCGGCTGAACGAGGCCGAAATCATGGACGGCAACACCAAGCTTATGGCTGCCAAGCCGGACTTACTGGATACAACCAAGGACAAGCTCAGCAAGGACATCGCCAAGCTCAAGGAGCAAGCCGAGAATGGCAAGCTTGCCGACACGGAGGAGCCCGTTGACAAGAACGGCGATCCAGAAGAGAAGTCGATCAAAGGTAAATACCCTAATTTGTTCGCCAGTTTCCGGAGATTACCACCATCACTTGTTTGGCACTATGACTGACATATCCTTCATGAAGAACCTGAGAAGCAAAAGACCAGCCCCAGCGCGAAGCTCCTCCACCCCGAAAAGGTCATGCCAGTTCAGTTGTTGGGCTCTACTAAGGACGCCTGCAATGAGGCCGACAATACGGAGGACTTGGATGACTCTGCAGACTTTGTTGAGTCTGACGACACTTCTGAGGTAGACAACGATGTTGATATTGACAAGGATGACAATTCTGAGTCCGGCCACGATGATCCCGTCGTCACGGATGACTACGCGGACCCCAGAGAGAAGGCCAAGGCCAGAACTCTGCGCAACGTGCAAGCCTTCCTTGATAACACCAAGGACAAGCACTACATCGATATTCGCCTTGATCAGCTCACCGGCCGCACCAACTTCAACAACTGGAATGTCGGTATGGAGCTACTGCTTCGCATGCACCAGGTCTGGTGCGTCGTCGATGATTATGCTCCACTCGACGAGAGCCATGAACTGTACCCGTGGTACGACCACATGGTCACCGTGGCTATTTCTCTCATCTACGCCAACGTCTCGCCGGAAATCCGTGCCCAACGCTGCTTCCGTCAGCTTTTGATGGAGCGCTGCCCAGATGATATGATGATACACCTTTGGGTGCATTACGGCCGTCCGGAGAGTCAGGACAGTGAGGAGCCGGAATGAACGACACAGGACGCCTCCCATTGCTGAATGACTGGATGGTAGTTTAGATCAGCCCTACGATACATGCAGTCATCTTTTTTCCTTTCCTGGTGGAATCGTGCTCGAGGTGGATTTTCTGTTTTCATGCTGAGGACGTTGCTTGATGAACCTGGACTGAAGGATGTTTCTCGTAAGCTTTAAAAATTGTGCTTAATCATACTGTTGATTCAACATCTTATCTCGGCGCATCCAAGTAACCTTGTACAAACACGCACTAATATCAGATATGGGGTGTCATATTCTACAACATAGCGCGGCAGTGATTTCCTAGTCGATCACGCTATCGGTCAAGTCTTTCTAGACCATCGTCGGTGCATTCAGTTGCCGGCATGTCACTTCCGCATGCAAGTAATACAGTCGCAGTCTTCTCCTCTCCTTCGCGGACTGCTCCAGTGCAAGGCACTCCTGGGCTTCTTGCATGACTGTCGACACAAGCGTAATGAAGCAGCGGATTTCAGACCCGAAGTGACTCAGTCAAACCTGTCTTGTATCTCATTGCTGGGTGTCTCCCCGGCGGCTTGGATCAACTCGAGCTTCAGCGTAAGCATCGTGTTGGTCTACTTTAGGCAGTAGTAGCTAGAGAATACTCTGTTGGCCGGCTCTTCAGAGCGCAAGCCCATGATAGGAACCGGTATATACTCAAGAGCTAAATCATTTCATTGAATAAGAGGTCATGGTGGACCCTCACATCAAAATTGAAGATATAAGTGACGGTATTTCAAGGAGCTTATTGATCTCAGCGAGCATGGTAGCATTCATGATGACGGGCTTTGGTTTAGGCATTGGCGAAGCTATCGGCACGGGGAAGTGTCCGATCGCATTCAGATTATATTTGGGTGGAAGGTGTAGTACTAGTGTTAAAGCGACGTTGGTAATGAGATAACAGCAAATTGATCACAGAAGCAATGTTGATTAAAATAATAGCTTATTCACATCTTCTGAAATGAGATTTTGCGCTAGTTCGAGAGTGCCTGGCGTGCTCGGACTCTATGATTTCCCGTTACAATACTTGGGAATTCGCTTTAGATTATTGTTACGTTCAAGTTAGATAAAGGGGAACCGTACAACCAGTTCGTGGTTCATTATCAAGGTCCTCTTGAATAATCTTAGCATACATCTCTCGTATGCTGCAAAATCTCCCTTGAAGATGTGTGCCAGTCTGGGTCTTCAATAAATGCACTGAACTAAGTAAAATCTTCATCCTCGTCTATTTCCTCGCGGCACGTCTGACAGAAGCAGACCTCTTCTCCGGTGCTCAGAGCCAGAGCCATTGCACGTATCCTGTTTTGGACCTCGCTGAGCAATCGGGCGATGGAAGTCCGCAAGCTCCGAATTTCGCGGGAGACTTCTTCGGTCCGCTCCTCTTCTTCCTGCAGCTGTATATACAGCGCAGCGGGGGCCTTGCCGGAGTTCGCAGACTCGGCCTGTAGTATGCCTGTCTTGGTCTGCTGGATCGTGTCGGACAGGGCTCGAAATTCTAGAATCCGCTCAGCCCATCTAAAAGTCATGTGTTAGTTTCGTCTGTGGTCATGGATCCTTGATGCACTCTTACTCGCTGGCTGTTTCTCTCACGCGCAGCTCTGGGTACTGGCTTGCAGCGAGTGAAAGTGCATAGACCCATGCTTGCGGGTTGAATGCAGGCGCAGCCATGTCGTGGCCAGGGTGCAGTGCTCGTGGATATCTTGAGGGGGGGTGAGAAGTCTAGTTTGGAAGGTTATGAAGGGCGTACTATTGACTTACGATGTTGTGACTCTTGCAGAGCAGACGATAGCGACGGCTGACCCTTAGTGAAGTCCTGAGGATAACTGGTGGGACTGGAAAAGCTGCCAGCACAGGTGATTTGGCTCGCTGTGGACTTTGAGGAAAGTTGTCACGGTGAACTTAGCGTCTGGGCGAGCGAATCTCGAAAAGAACGGGGAAAAAAGCTCGTTATTCTAGGGAGTAACATAAATCAACGGGTCGGTGGTCGTCGTCTGTATGCAGCGTTAGGCTTCATGTCACTTTTGAATGAAAGAGGATCTGGTACAGCATGCCCTGCGTAGTGTTGGCAGTCACCGTCCTTCTTTATAGCAAAATCGTCAGTCCTTTCAATCAACAGTAAGCAACGCATGTCCAGAGAAAGTCCATATGCATCATGCCTTCTTCCTGCTTCTAATTATCTGATGGGTACCACACTGTATCCCCCCTTCATTAAACTGGCTGCCACCGCATGTACAGTGCAGATGTCAAGTGTAATTATTTGGATGCGAATCAACAAAGAGTCCAAAGACCAAAGATCCTCACCGATGCCGATGTGGTGAATTTGGAAAGGGCAGCTTTACCTCCGTCACTTTCCTCCCTCACTCACACCCACTTGAATCTACCCGTTCTGCATCACATTTCCATTTCCATCAAAAAAAAATAACCAACCCAAACACTCCTCATCTTCAATCGAACATGGTTGACGTTCCAACGACAACCGCTGGCCCGAAGGCCAAGTCGGGCAAGAAGCCGACCAATAACCAGCGGTGGGCGTCATCAATATAGAGATTTCCTGATGAATGATTTCTGACCTGTTCACGAGAAGACTCGACAAGCTAGAGGGTCAGCTGCGAGACATCCAGTTTGGTCAGGTGAAGCAGAATGCGCAAATTGCAGCCATCAAGTTCAAGCTTGAGTCTCTCCAGAGCGGACTCGACCGCCACCAGGCTGCTCTTGAGGCCTTAGCTTTATACGCTGAGTTGGTCCATCAAATTCTCGGTATGTAATCTAAGCTTCCAACATTTGCCGTGCGTTGTTTGTGTGTGTGTGCGCGCTGATTCTGGGCTTCCTTCAGCGGGCAAGACCGACAAGTAGACCTCCATCTACGTGGCAAGCAGCGACCGAACCGCCGCAGACCTTATTTTATTGTCTCCTGGATCAAGGCCGGTGCTGGATCAGAGATAGTTGGAGACTCAATTCGAAACAGAGTTAGTTTTCTCGTCTTTATTCTGATGTTTATTCTTGCGGGGTTATGAGAGGATGCCAATGTTGCAAACCTCTCGCGCCCTGTACTTCAACCTTTAGGAGACTTGAGATGCGTTTCTGAAACGGTTCTCTGGTCTTGCACACGGGCTCTGTTTATACGGCGTGCGGCGAGTTCGTGGAACGGTCCTGGTGGTCCCATCTTATCAACCTCCCGTTGCGGTGGCCCATTTTAACCAATTGAATTGCGTCTTGCGTCTTACTGGTCCAATCATGTGTGCCTCTCTCAGTAATACGCGTGATACTGTCTCTGTCCCAGGTTAAAGGCTAGCTTCTGCATGTTGTGCATCCTGTGTAGCGCTCAGTGTTGACTGATGCCTTTGGCTTTGTCAGACCTTCTATCGCTCGTCCCGACACCAATTTTTCTGCAAATATGATCTCGCTCGAGTGAAATATAGGATGCTGATATAGAATATGTTCGCTCGTAGTCTGCGAGACTCGCAAAATACGAAGGTCAGGTTGTTAACGTGCATACATTTGAAAGGAAAGCTAGCTAGCTATTATAGTACATACACTCACAGGTCCAAAGTCTGTAGACGCCCGCGTTTGCATTCGCTTACCTTCTACTAGGTACCACAATCCCTGTACCAAGCTATATTTACTTTGAAAGGTTATTTTGTTCACTGAAAAACAAGTGATACGATAGACCGTATATCTACTGATTTACATATTCTTGACTGGATCGGTCTGAATAGGTTGCAGGCAAAAAGGACAAACGACAAACACAGCCTCGATGAGATAGCTAGGATATCCAAAGATCTATAACATTCACCACAGCCTACCATGTACTTTTGACCGGGTAGTCTTGTAAAATGAATCTTAAATTACAGTCATGATGTTATACACAAATGATGCAGTTACTCGAGTCCTAACTGCTCTCTTTCTTTCCTTCCTCAGCAATCTTCTCCAACTGCTCCTTTCTCTTCTTCAACACGTCTTGAATATCCTCAAATGTCTCCTTGACAACACCCTCGGCTTCGCTCCCCTTCTTGTCCGCAATTTTCTGTAGTGATTGCAACTGCGGGATAATGTTCGAGCCACCAGGGATCATCTTTAACCAATCATCCAGATCACCGAACCCGCCGCCCTTAGATTGACCGACCTTGTCCTTGACGAATTTCTCCAATTTCTCTGTCTTTCCGGAAGAAGCACTCTCCTTGACGAGACCCCACAGCTCCTGGAAATTTCCCTTCTTCAAAGCATCGGCATTGTCCTCGACCAATGACTTCGCCTTGGGGTTCTTGTCCAGAAATTGCTTGGACTCCTCAATGCCCTTCTGCCAGGCCTCGTCACCTAGCTTTTGGAGCTTGGCCTTCTTGTCGTCGATCAGCTTCTTGATCTCTTCCGCCGACTCAACACTAGCACCACGCTTGACAATGTCGGAAATTTGCTGCCAGGTCTTGTTGACCTCCTCCTTTGCTTGTGGCCCAAAGCTGTCACCCATCTGCTTCAGCTGGTCAAAGCTCCCGCCCACCTTCTCCTTCAGCTGGGGATGATTGTTCAGGATATCCTCCGCAGCGTCGCCAGATAACTCCAGGAGACGGTTGAGATGCTTTTGCAAAATGTGGAATGCCTCGAAGGCCGTGTCGGTATCGAAACCACCTTTTCTAGAGACGTCGTTTAACTCGTTGTACGCATCCTTGACGATTTTGTCAAACTCCTCGGCGTGATTATCTCGAATCTTTTCCAGATCGTTGAAAGCTGTATCAACATAACCACGGCCGCCGGGAATGAAGACGGCATAGCGATTGACCGTACTCTTCAACCAAGAATAGGCCTCATTTGGCTCGGGCGCTTTTTCGGAAAGCTTTTTCCGGGCTTGCTGGACGTACTCCTTTACTTGCTTGTTGGAGTCGACAAGTGTTTTAGCGCCGGAGAAGTAGTACCAAGTATAACCCGCCGCGAAAGCGACTGCACCACCAGCAACACCACCAACAATGGCAGGATTGCTTGCGGATGAGGTGGAATTCGATGCGGTGGATTGGAAACGAGGATTCGCAATGCGTGACTTGGACTGACGGCCGAGCTGTTGTCGGATTGCCCCGGTAGCTGGCCTCGGAGCTGCTGTTCTAAACATCTTCTTCAACTGTAGGAGGATAGTAGATAGGAGGGGAAAAAGGTGGAGAGTTCAGCGAGACGCAAGAATAGTTGGAATTGAGTGCGAAGTAGTTGAAGACCCTTGGAAAAGCATGGGTGAGGTTCTATAAGTACTCCCCGCATCAGCCACTTCAAGAATTTCCGTCATCCTAAGGGACTATTGGTGGCTCAGCCAATATTACATTGGCCGGAAAAAGAAGCTTAAAAGCCGGTTCTGACGGGGTGCCGTCGTCATGACAGGAAAACTTGATTTGAATGGCCAAGCTCGGGAGCAGCCGAGGCTCGGCCGACAAACACCCGTTCAACCGTTTGCGGGTAAGACGGTATACACTATGTTATGCACGGCATATTTTCTCAGTTCAAAACTCCACGCGGGGGCCTTTGCGGGTTGTCCCTGTCTAAACCCTTTTCTGGGCATTTTTGTACGGTACGCACCGTGCAGCTTGACATGGGCTTTAGCTCACGGAAATGGCAGTGGCAGTAGTTCAGCTAGCACCTTTCATCCAGAGGCCTTTATCGACTAACGGTGCATAACCCGTGCGTGATACCCCAGGACCCAGTGAGTTAAGAGAGGGTCGGCATACACTGAGGGGAAATTGTTGCAAAAACTGGGGATTTCAGTCACGATGCTTTGATTCGCATGAATGGTAGAAGCAAATACATGGTCTGCATATTTTCATCCAGGATAACTATCAATATATTGCAGGTGATAATAAAGGACAAGTGGAATCCCGGCTGGGCGAACGGTCGCTAAACAGCCTGAACAGATCTTGCTCTATGGTCAAACGATGCCCCCAGACTAGTGTGCAGCCGCTTCGCGATCTATCTTCGTGGTCTAGATCACCCTCTAAAACCATTCATCGTACGTAAGCATCCACCCGGGAATGTGTCGGTCGCCGAGGAAAATGCGAGTTTCCACTCTCACGATGCATTGTCATCATGACTGGACCTGTGCATTGGGTGTACAGGTGCCCTTTGCAAAACTTGGAACTTGTACTCTTCCTCCAAGTATGATATCAAGACAGCGTAGTCGATTGCGTTACAGAGTCTGGTAAAAGCTGGGAATGTTGACCTCCACGTAAGAATGCGCTAAAACGAGAGGGTAACATTCGAAAACTGGAGACGAAAGGCCCCACGAATAGCATCACGTCATAGAGGGCTTGTTGTGGAAAAAGATCCGCAACCGCTATAGTCCATTGCACCAATCACAGACACCAATTGCGAGTCAGCATACCTGATTCTGGCTCAACCCCCAACACGGCTACGATTCCAGCCAATGGAGAGGCTCGGCCGGAACTCCAGAGAAGTAAATCGAAGTATACCAGCTTTCCCATCTGGTCATGGCCGATGTCAATAGTGCCCGCCCCACTTCAAACAAGGAAATGGTATTTGATCGAGTCAATCGGCTTGAAGTCTTCCGTACCGATTTTCTCTCTTCCTCCGTACAGGATTGACGGCTTCTTTCGTAGTACAGCTTGACCATCTGTTGTCACTCACGGACGGCCGCCTGGCAGTATTGAGGTTCTTGGCATCTGCTCTCCATGCTGCGATACCGGTTTGTATCTCCGTATGACCTTGATTTAGATCTGTAGCATCTATGACTAACGTGGCGAACCCTTGACAGCACTGTCCATAAGCCTGATGATCAACTTATTCATCAATTTAGGAGCAGCTATGGCTCAGTGTTGTATAAGCAATGCCACCCCGACAGGGATACAAACCTCGCTGCAATTGACATGCAAGACCCAAGGCCGCCTGTTGGGTATGACAGTCTCATGATGGGCTTGAATGATGCCCATGAAAGCGCAGCTCCGGTGGCCGAGTCGATTAACCCCAAGGTGATCACATACCAGGGCGTCACAACTCCGGGGTCTGGCGCAGTCTTTCACAATCAAGCGGGTGATCTCCACTCATCCACATTGTCATGGATTATGCCCCCTCCCATCTTGGGGGACGAACTCGCTCCTCAGGTTCCTTCCGATACGCTCGACGGCTTTATGCCATACATCCAGACGCAAGACGGTCTCTATTGTGCCACACATCTTGACCAGGAGCATATGCCAAAGCTTCCGACTCCCCGCCATCTTAACTGCGACGGCGCAATAGAATGGTCCCAGAACGATTCAGCCTATGCATTCAATGATCTATTCGAGTCGGCGGTCAGCTCGAACACATCTCAAAGTTCCACCTGTCAAGGAACCCCCAATGCCATCCATGAAAGGTATGTTCACCTCGAGTGGCCCATAGTTGTGGATGATCATGGCTCATCGCCGATTCAGCTTTCGCTACAATGTGACCTTATCCGCACCGGTGGCGATGTTCCCGCATGCTGATGGGAACCCAGTGACGTATCTCAACAAGGGCCATACCTACATCCTGAATGTAGTCGACTCCAGTCCGCCCCTCGTGAATGCTGGACCTGTTACATACCGAACCTATGTGCGCGTTACATTCGAAGCAGAAGAACAGCGGTCTAATCCGGCTGTCGCGTGGCAACTCTGGAAAGCGCTTCGGGGCCAACAAGGAGCACTGGACCGGGAGGGCATGCCTCTAGGTGTAGAGTTCGGCGAATTCCTCCATGGAGACGCCAAAGATGGGGCCAATCCCCGAGTCCGAGCCGAACAGGCCTCCATTGATCAATTTTCCGTCATATGGACCAGTGATCCAGCCAAACACGCCGCTTCCTGCGATATTCCCGTCAAGTTCAACTTCTTATCGACCGACTTCACTCGTGCAAAAGGGGTGAAAGGTGTGCCTGTTCGACTCTGTGTTCGGACAGAAATGTTGCTCGAGGAGTCGAGCGGATCTGAAATGTGCTACTGCATCGTCAAGCTCTTCCGTGATCACGGTGCCGAACGAAAAATGACGAACGACGAAGCCTCCGCCAAGAAGCGGATTGAAAAGCTCAAGCACGAAATTGCCAAGGAAGAGGCTAAGGCTCTTTCCTGCAAGCCAAGTCGCAAGCATCTTTCACCAGGGGATGGAATGCTCGAGGCCCCTCCACAGAAGAGGCGACGCTCGGCGTGGCAGAGCGACCCAATCCTCCACCACAAACTACACACTGAGCTTTCTAAATTGACAAGCTTGCTTTCGTCCGAGCGTGAGATGAGTAGACTTGGTCTTCGTGGGGCTGTTCAGGATGATCCAGTGGTCTGTCCTTTTGCTCTACCAACCGAGTCGGACTCGTCTACAGGAGATGAGAGAACGGGGCCCATTCGTGACGGACACAGGAAATCTTTCTCATCCGTGGTACCTGCATCCAGGGCGGTCGACAATAGTCCGAGTAGCCGCAGCATCGCTCTTTTGGAAAGTTCACTCGAGACTCGAAGCACGACGAGTTCCGAATCTGCAAACTCTACCCCAGCATCCAGTATAGCAAGCACTCGCGAATCATCTGCGGGCAGATTCTCTCGATATGGTACGTCCTTCATCTGTTTATGATCAGTGTCTAGTTGCTAATTCCACATCAGCTGCATGCTTTCTCGTTCAGTTCGTGCGAAACGGGAAGCCCCTCCATAGCTACCACCATGCGATATATCTAAGCGCACGGTCTGAATCGGAACTCAACCAGAAGTTGGCCGAGAAACTGCCGATCAGTCCGGATCAATTCCGGGTGATCTGGGTCAATCCCAAAGGTGTGAAGGTTATAGTGGATGACGATATGGTGGAACAGATTCCAGAGGCGCAGGTCATGAGTGCAGATATCTCTGCACTCCCATCAAGGAATGTGGCAGGTCCAGCTCCGTTGGTTTCACCCTCTGAAATCAGATTAATATTTTGAGTCCCCTTTTCTGCTGTTGCACGCATGAAAATGAATGCAGTTCCCTTTCCCAGGAGATCGTCGCTTATTCGTCGCCTTATTCGGTTTCGTTCAATCTGCTAAACAAACAGAGCTCGCCGCGAGCATTGAGGAAGATCCCTTAGAGATTGCCCAAGCCACGTCAACCACCAGAGCTAAACACCCCAACTATGTATCAAAACGTAACTTCAAATATCCATCCGCATATGAATTCAATAAAATCACATCATAGAAGAAACAACTACCTAGTAAAGCACCTCTTCGTTGTCGTGTCACATTTTCCTTCCGCACCGGCCACAAAATCACCCAGTCATCTCAACCTCCATACAAACTTCAGCAGGACATGTCCGATCCTTCTCAATGGTCACATACCCGACACCAAGACAATCAACCTTGAGCCCCAGCGCCCCTGTCCTCAACATGACCCTCCCCACCCTCCCGACGCTTCTCCAACCGACCAATCCACCACTGATAGAAGTTCTTCGTGAAATCCATAATCAACTCAACAGGAGCATCGTGATTCCCAAACTGAGTCTTGACAGCACCAATAGCCTCCTGCAGCGTGTCAACCTTAGCCAGCAGCGGACCCAACTTCTTCCGCAAGGACTGCAGCTTGGTGTACATTTCCGTACTATAGATCCTATCACCTCGAATGACCATGCGCAGCGTATCATTCATGTGGGTCATTTCTTCCAAGCTACTGCGTAGCTCGGCGTGAGCGCGCCTCTCGCTCTCAAAGTCGGAGCGGAGGGCGTCCAGATCGTGGCGCAGGGTCGCGATGATATCGTTCTCCGATTCGGCACCCGCCTTTCTGGCTTCGGATCGTAGGCGCGGGAGACTACGCTTGGTGAGATGTGCGTCGGTGATCGGACCGTTCAGGCTATGAGGCAGTTTAGGGGCTGCATTTTGTGATTCCCTGGCATGTAATGGGGTCCATACCTGAGGGACTGTACCTTTCTGTACGCCTTTTCACTGCTCGGTGTTCCCGCTGAACGGGGAGAGCTTTCAGGAGTTCTCGGGGGGAGGAACATGGTTGACGGCTTTCTCTTTCGCTTCAGCGAGCGAGGGGGCTCTTCATCGTCCATGTAGTCCACGACCTGGGACTTGGGGGGTGTGATCGGCAGACCGGCCACTCGAGAAGAGTCAACTTGTTCTCTAGCTGCCGTGGGCTGAGAACCATCACTCTTGGTGGATGCCTGGGATACCGTTCCCTCAAGACCATCGCAGGAAACACTCAGATGTGCCGGAGCTGTGATGCCTGTTTGAGAGATCTGGTTGCGTCGATCGCCAGGTTGCCGCTTACTTTGAGTCTCGTGGGCGTTGGTGACGGGCCTATTAGCCATACGCATCACAAAGCACCTGGGATGCATTTTGAATTCGACCGGAGGATGGGATGTGCAAGATCGAGGAACGGGAGGGCTGGTAGGGGATAGAGGGAGGGAAGTGGCTGTGGAGGAAAGCCTTAGGGCCTGGGTGTGGTCTCTCTCTCTCTAAAAGTTTCCAGGAATTAAGAGGAGACCAGAGTTGATATTTCGAGCCACGCTACACATACACGCCTCCTCTCCAGGTCCTATGGGTATATCTTGAATCACCCTGGGATCCAAGCCTCCGGATCCCATGAACCACCATACAACCCATAGAGCCGCACACAATCAAGCCCTTCATTCCAGAGGCTACGCTCCGAATTCCACACTGGAAACCCTATCCTGCCCCGATAGAACACCGTCCTTCAGCTGTGGCAGCTGAGCCTCGTGGCGGTCCACCACGCTCTACAGTGAATCGGTCGTGTTGCCCGTGGTGGTGCGGACAACAAACGGGAGTTTTCCTTGGTATGTGAGAGTGTGAGTGTGACGGCAGGCAACTCTGAACGGGGAGCAGAAGAGTTAGGGCGAGGGGAAATGAGGCGAGAGAAAACTAGGGTAAGATTGACCACACGACTCAAGAAGGGCAGGATTGTGCCTTCCTAACCTAGACATGGTCTGTCCCCGTGACTACGTGGAGACGGCGGAGACGGCATCGTCGAGGATGGCAACACCGGAACAATTGCATGCAAATCATCATATATTCACATGCGCGGCTTGTCTGCTCTCTGTACATGAACGCCAACGCCTCGGGCCCAACCAATGAAATCGACAAAATAAAATGCAACGCCATGGTAGATACAAAGTTCCCGGCATATCATGGGACTAGCTGCATGGGTTCATACATCAATCAACGTCAGGAATTCGCAGGCCCTGGGAATGATGTCTGGCGCTCCACCCATCCACATACCGTTAACCAAGAACCCCCTCAAAGCTCATCTCCATGCCTCGGCCGCCCGTCCAACGGCAGCTCTCCCGCCATAAAGCCACCGGCCTTGACGCGGAGGCCAAAATTGACCAGCACAACCACCACAAGGCCGACACTGACCACAGTAGGTCCCCACTTTTCATAGTAGACTCGCTTGACATCGCGGCGCTTGCGAATCTTGTCCACGCGCCAGATATACAGCAGGAGCGAGTAGACCAAAGCCCCGGCGGCGAGGATGGTAAAGGCCCACGCGGACGCAAGCGAGATAAAGTCCACACCGAAGTTGAGAAGGGTTGCGGCGATGCCACCCAGGATGATGGAGAATTCAAGCCAGGAGAGGAAAGTACGCTCGGCGGCGAAGTAGACTTTGGGTTCGACGCGGACGGGGACAAAGATTTCTGGGATGAGGTGAGCAAGTGAAATTGAAGATAGAGGGTAGAGAGGTTGGGCACGAGGAGGGTAAAAGGAACCATATGCAAGACATAGGCCCATGTATACCATCATGATGGACGTAGGATAGAAAGAGAGTGCTCGATACGAAGTAGGGGGAACATACTCTTGCCAGGCGGCGCCTGGAAACGCTGGAGCTTGCGCTGCGTGCCCATCACCTGAATACCACGCGCCTCCTGAGGCGGCATCGACGTCGGCCGTGGCCTAGGCATAATCGCCCACAACCCCTGCGCAACCGCATGCCCGGCCCTGGAAAGATAATACTTGGCCAATTGTTCCGCATAATACATACCGCCAACCCGGCGGGCCTCCTCCAGCTCATCGGAATTGATGGTCTCATCGTCATCGTCAGAATCGTACAGCGGGTAATCCTCATCTCCAGGCAGCGGGCGCGCAGCGATGCGCTCCTCGATATCGAGCTCGTTGCCGTTGGTCTCGGTAAAGAGGTACCGGTCCTCGGAGCCCTCGCGGGACACCCCGTTCAGCGTGCCAAGCTCGGGGCTCGGGGTCTCGTCATCGTCGGAGTCGTCATCGTTCGCGGACATCGACGTGCTTGCCAACGGGCGGTGGATACCGTAGTGGCGGGTGGCCGGCTTGCGGATGTCCACGTCCATCTGCGGGTACCAGAAGGGCAGGAGGTGGATGCGGGTCGGGAACAGCGTCGCTGTGCCGTGGATGAACTTGCTGAACTTGGGGACCGCCTCCACGAGATGGCTAGCGGTGAGGTCCCGGATCCACTGCGGCGGCTCCTGGCCGGCTTGCGTTTGCAGCTTGACCTCCAGCACGGCATAGGGGAACCGGTCAATGTCCTCGGGTGGCAACTGCGAGAACGGGAAGTCGACGCCGATGTCCATGCGGCGCCAGTTGGAGCCAGCGCGCCGGCGGCCGTCCAGGTTGTCCTCACGGATCATGGTGAGCTCGGTGTCGAGCGAGATGCGCACGCGCGCGTCGCCGGGGAGCTGGAAGGCGGTACGGTGGTAGAAGGTGCGTGTGACGGGGACGAGGCGGCGGGTGATGACGCGGTACTGGATCTCGCGAGCGAGCTGCTCAAGGTCATTGATCTCGGCGGGGCTCTTCTTGCCTTCCTTGCGCATCTTGTCGAAAACCTGCTCGACTGTCATGCGGCCGTCCAGGAAGGCGTTGACATTCTTCTCCTTCAAGACAAAGCGGGCCTTGACGGACTTCTCGCCTGTCCAATCTTCGCGGTGAGTCTTGCGCTCAATGAAAATCTGGTCACTCTCCATGCCACCGTACCAGCGGAGACGGATAGCCTCTGCACCTTCGGTCTTCTTCAGACGGCCTTCGTACAGCTCCCAGGTATTGGTGTTGTCGAAGTAGATGGAAGAGATGGCGGTGTCCTTTTCTTCGAACTCCTTGCTGGCGTTGAAGACCAACACGGGCAGATGCTTGAGAATGACCAGCTTCAGTTCGGTGATGTTGTCGCGATGCACCCAGTACTTTGTCGTCTGGCGAACAAAGTTCTGCTGGGTCCCACCGGCGGAGGAGTCACCCTTGACCGGGTTACCTTTGGTGCGGACGAGGTCATAGAGCTTGGACAGTTTGATCACGAAGGCATCGTAGTTGTCCTTGAAGAAGGGCTTGGCATTGAGGCGGGCCGCAAACACGGGCTTCAGATACCAGTTGGTTTGTTTCTGCAGTGGGACGGTCAGTGAATTGACTCGGTTGCAAGCAATTTAGAACGCCCCGAATAGGCCCGCCGGTCTGGCTGGCAGATGGAGGGTAGGGGAGATGGGCCACGTACGTCGTGCTTCTTGATGATCTTCTGGAAGCCAGTGTAGTTCAATTGAGTGAACTTAGCCAGGTCGTGGACATCAGCGATGATATCGGAGAGTACCTGCTCGAGCAGGAGGAAGTCTTCGTCGGTGGGCGGCGGTCTGGATGGACGGGTGCTTTGGCGGCGAGCACCGGAATTGTCTTCAAGGCGGGAGACGACGTCATTCACCTCGAGCTCGCTCTCCTTGATGCGCTCGACGATCTCCTCCGACTTGCGCTTCTGGAAGAGGAAAACCTTCTCCAGTTCAGACTCGAGAAGGGAGACAAAATTGGTCTCGTCATCCTCGGTCCATTCCTTGCGGGCGGGTTTGGCGTTGTCGGGGGTAGGTTGGGTCACAAAGTCGGTCTTGAGGGCCTTCTTGAGCTCGTCGTAGGCAATGTAGTAGGGGTGGTACTCCTTGATCATGGAGGATCGGAGATGTTCGCCGAACCTTCGAGGAAGCCGTTAGCTGGTGCCGTGGAGAGAGAGCAAGAAGCAATGACGAGGCTATGCGGGGAACAGAGGGCATTCCGCTGGAGAGCTCGAGCTTGCGGGTGGCAAGGGCGCTGGCGACGCGCGGCTGGGGAGCGAACTGGGGGGGTTGGTACCTCATGATGGGCAGAGTCAATGGGAGAGCAAAGCCAGACGGGATCAATCGAGCATGACGAGAAGAGAGAAAAATCAAACTGAGCGAGGCGGGAATCAGTTGAGATCAGGAAGCGGCGATATTCTCTGGGCCGCCCGAGACGGCTAGCCTGGAGATGGGACCGGACCCGCTCGGTAGATGCAATTGGGGGCCAAGTCGACTCGAGCTACGCAGAAACAATAGTTTCGGGGTTATTTCCCAGACAATGCAGCTCCAGACCAGCTCGATCCGAACTTTCCGTTGGACGAGCAGAGATAATAGTCGAATAGTTGACCAGCGAACGGCCGTAAATGCTAAAAGATGAGAAACCCATGCGATTGCCGCATCTGCAGCTGTCTGGTTGGTCAGATTCCCACTCGAGGCGCAGCCCCCGCGCATGACTCAGCGACCAGCTGGCCAGTTAACGAGACCAAATGCACACGTGCGGCGCAGCTGCAACAAAGTCGAAAAGTGAAACCCAGCGGGCGAAACGCTAAATTCCCTTTCCTTTAGGGGGCTACGAGGAGACACAAAGGTGGTCTGATTACGTACTGTCGAGATGGTCGATACCGGCAACTTTCAACCACCCATGACACCATCGCTGATATTCACCGTCGGATATGCGCTTGGTACTTTGTATAAAGTCCCTCGGTTCATCAGGCTTCCAATCAAACCCTGGAAGGTCCTCCCTGAACCCCTGGCACTTGTACCGACTCGTACTTCGATACGGAGTAGGACATATATACGGGTCGGCCGGGGCCCGTGGATGTCAAGACGAAGGTTCCATTTCTCTCCGAGCCATTCACCGTGCAACCCGAAGCCTGGCCTGATTGGCGCTCCCTATTTGCTCCGGGGACCGGCTGGGGGGTATCCTGGTGGTCCACCGTCCTCCGTAGGGTGGGACTACCAGGAGGCGGGCCGAGTCCGAGATCTCGTTTCTTTTTTTTTTCTTTCCCGGATTTGCTCAACGGCTGATCTGCGAGAGACCATGCCTGCCGAATAATATGCACTATCACGCAACCCTAAGTTGGAGCCGTATTCCAACAGACTGCCAAGCTTCACGCCAAGCTTCACGCCACACCCGGAACTCATCACCACAGCCTACCGAGCGCATCTCTAGTGAGATGCCGCGACTGGGGCCATGATGGTTTAGCCCACACTCCCGAGCACTCCACTACCTCCGAGCGCCCAGAGCGCGAACAGCCGATGGGGAGTGGGACACCCCGTGAGGAGAGCAAAACCGAGCACACGAAGGATTGGAATACGCCATTGGCCGTGGGGAGCCGGCACTGGCGGTCTTTTACCCACTTCACTGCATGCACGATAAACTCGATGCCTATCCGTACATGCCGACTGAATAAGCACTCTTCTGAGAGCATCCGTTCCCGCTTATATTCCCGCTAGGCTCATACTCCGGGTAAACTCAACAGGGCTGACTGCCGATCGGCCGGAAGCGGAAGGCCCTCACGCGACCTGGAAAACGCTGCAGGGGAAGGGTATCGGGGTACTACGCAAGTCAGCAAGTGGAAGGTTTGTAAATGGTTCACATTAAGATACGCATATGTATTCTTTCCTAATTTCATCAAACAGACCAACGCCGCCCCAAAAGACAAAACAAGAACACCCGTAGTCCTGGGCTAACAGACAGCCCCGTCGATCATGGCATCGTAGGAATGAAAAAAAAAAAAAAAAACTAAGAACTAAAGAAAGAAACAAGAATCGGGAGGTAATGCACCAACACCCACTCACCAACGACCCTTTCCTTACGTAGGATAGGTCCTAGGGTAGGTACTAGTGCACATTCAGATCATAATCATGCTCATCCCACCATCTATCAAGGCAGACCCATCGCCGCCCGACGAATACTCCGCCGCGGCCCCTCACCAGAAACATGCACCGCTCCCTCGGCCTCGAGCGCCCGGACCGCATCGCCAAACTGATGATGGTCCAGCGCGACATCGCTCGACTCGCTCAGATCGCGGAACAAATCACCCCAGCGCACCGCAGTGCCAGCCACACCGCCTCGCTCCTCGAGCCGCGATAGCACTGCGCGCTTGAGGTCCTCGCGAAGCCGGCGCTCGCTGGCGCTGGTTCCCTCTGTCAGCAGGCCCATGTCGATTAGGCCGGTGCGCGCGTCCGTTGCAGCTTGCTTGATGGCCGAGCGGATCAGACGCACTGCCTCGTCGACGTCCGCGACAGTAACTTCGGGCGAGAGGCGCATGCGAGCGTGCGCTTCTGACAGGCGGATCATGGATTCCAGTTGTCGCGTCGTGGCTGTGATGCGGCGTTCCGAGGCGCGGATATCGTCGCCGAGCTGGCGCATGGCGACGTAGGCATCGGACAGGGCGCTGCCGGCTTCGGGGGTGAGGACCGGGTGGACTAGAGTCTTCGCGTAGGTGATGTAGGCTGTGAGGAATTCAATGGGCTAGAAAAATAAGGTTAGTTGAGTTGGAAATAGGTTGTGTGGAATATCTGCAGGTATGATCTCACCAGGACTTCCTCGGATGCCGCATGTTCGGGGGTATCTTCCAAATACATGCCGACCAAGTGCTTGGCCAGCCGACGATCCTCGGTCTCGTCCACACGATCCAGAACCAGGTAGACCAAATCAAAACGGGAGAGGAGAGTTGGGGGCAGATCAATGTTCTGTGGAACGGGCAACTTGGGGTTGTACCGACTGCCAATGGGGTTGGCCGAAGCCAGGATAGATGTCCGGGCGTTGAGGGTGGTAATGATACCGGCCTTGGCGATGGATACGGTCTGCTGCTCCATCACTTCGTGGAGGACAGAGCGGGTGGCTTCATTCATTTTATCGAACTCGTCGATGCAGCAGGTACCACCATCGGATAAAACGAGGGCACCAGACTCCAGGACCATCTGCTTGGTCTCCGGGTCACGAGTCACATAGGCTGTCAAGCCAACAGCCGAAGAACCCTTGCCGCTGGTGTAGACACCACGGGGGCGATCTTGTGCACGTAGCGCAGCAGTTGGGACTTGGCGGTCGAGGGGTCACCGCAAAGCAGGATATTGATGTCGCCACGGTAGCGCGGGTTACCGCCCTTCTGGAAGGTCTTGTTGGTACCGCCAAACAGCTGCAAAAGGATACCCTTTTTTACGTCGTCCAACTCGTAGATGCTGGGGGCCAACGACCGGGCCAGCAAATCGTAGAGATCGGGGCGGGAGGCAGTCCGCTTGATCTTCTCCTCTTCCTCGGCCGAGATCTTGCGGGCTTGGTCGGCCTCGGCAGCCTGCTCAGACATTTCTTGCTCGATGGTGGATACGTCGATACCCATCTTCTTGCGGTCGACCTTCTGGACATGCAGGACATCGATGTAGGTCTTGAACAGAGCCTTTTGCGAGCGCTGGCGGGCACTGACGCGCATGGGATTGCAGCGGAAAATACCCGTCACCTCCACGCGATCACCGGCCTTGCAGATATCGACCAACTCGTCGTAGACACAAAGAGATACGGAGTGGGGAGTTTGACCGTCCGGGATATTATCGGGGGTTTCTTGGAGCTTGATGACCTGCTTGTCCGAGAAGTTGCAGCGGTTGTGAATGAGCTGCATGGAATTCTGCGACTTGCAAGAGTCGCGAAGACAGGTTGTGGGCTCAGCGATTCGGCCACGGTCAATCTCAACTGTAACACCGTAGCTGCAGACGCTGCAGCGGAAGAATGCTGGCATGGAGTTAACAAATATGCAAGTTTCGTCGGCTAATATTTACTGCTTACCATCCTTCATATCCGGAATAATAGGCGTGGTACGAATGACGAGACCCTTAATGCTGACCAGCTTGTCCATATCTGTAGCAGGTCAATGATCTAGAAATTCACAAACAGAAACATGTACTTGAACTTACCAGCTGGATCCAGATCTCTCATGTTAATGCTTTCGTCCATTCCAAACGGCAGGACCTTATAGTTGACGGCCTCGACCTCGCCAACCAGATCAGGAACATCAGCGGCGGGACCAACACCGTCCGAGGTCAGGATAGACTGGCCACGACGGTCGCGGGATTGGCCACTCCGCTGAATCTCGGACCGCATCACGTCCATCTCCTTCAGAGCCAAATCAACCATGACATCCTTGACAGCCTGATCCATCAATGGCACGATTTCCTGCGGGTATGCGAGCAGCTGGTGCCATAGCTTCTGGGTGAGGGGGTAGGACTTGAGGTTTTTGCAATCGAGATTGAAAGTCGTCATGCCGAGTCGCCGCATGTCGTTCATCATCGTTATGTATTCCCGCTTCTCAGCGGCATCACCCAGGATCCGGGTCTCGTCCTCCGACGCACCATCCGCCCAGAGGCGGTATTTCGTGGCAAAGTTGTACAGGAAATTTTTGAAAGCGGACATGGAGTCATGAATAGAGACGTTCGTACCCCAAATCACACGAGTGGAGTTTCCTGCCATGGCCTCCGCCTCGGAGGTGCCGGGATTTATGTTCGAGAAAGTAGCATCGGAGCGAGGGGCATTGTCGCCCATGGGCATGCCATTGGGACCAACGAACATGCGATTCCGACGAGCAGGAGTCGATGCCAACCCACCGGAGTGGAGTTCGCTGCGGCGAGCGCTTCGACGACCGCCGCTAGGGGAGACGAAGAGACCACTACTAGTGCTCAGGGCATCGGATCGGATGTCGGAGCGGATATCTGACCGACCCAAACCACGGGCGGGGCTGGAGCTAGCGATGTAACTGATTGGAGAGGAGTCTATTGCGATATTAGTGTCTGAAGGCAGGATTATTTGAAGACAAAAAGTTTCGCTGGCATTTACCTCGAACTCCCTGGTTCGCCCGTGGAGTCCTGTCCCCATCATCGACCTGTGAGCTCCCGTCGGCCATACGGATATCAGGTGTCTCATTCCGTTGGCCCATGGGAGAAGAGGACTCGTAGGCTGCCGGGGATGACGATGGCATATTGCGCTCAGCAGCGAGGGCTCTGGCCGCACGGGGAGTGGCTTCTCGCAGAGTCGGGCTGCTGGGAGGTTCGCGAGATGATCTTGACGGTGTCGACGATTTATTGGAGGCACGGCTCCTCCGAGTAGTTGGTGAAGACATGATATGTGTATGTATGTGGTGATGGATGGGAGAATAGAGAGGGAGGGTGGTGTGGCGGAGGTGTAGGTGGAGATGGAGGTGGACGGAGACAGGTGTTTGCAGAAAGGGAGAGCAAAAGCACTTTTTCGGCGGAACACGCAGCGACGCGAGGGACGCGTTAAGTGATTTCCTCTTTGGGACGGCGCGTCGGAATAGCCATGTGTCACATGACACTCATTCAGCTCAGGCTGTCACATGACATTAGGGGCTTGTGCTACCCAGTCAGGGCAGGGCTGTGCCACATTATTTCCTGATCAGGTAATTCACGCACAGCCACCCCCGAGTGGCGCTGACCCGCTCCTTCCTCTATGGGACTGTTTACCGTGGCGCAGGCCCATTTCGGTAGTCTGTTGGTTTGTTGCTCGATGCTGCTTTATGAAGTGAAACCGCTAGGCGGTAGCAGGATTGGCATCGTCAAAGGCTGTTCTGCCTGTTGGGGAGGCACGGACAAAGCCCGTTCTATCCCAGTCGCCCTGAAGCCGCCGGGGCTTAGCCTGTTTCGCCAGACGCCTGATGTCATTCCACAGGACGATCGGCGTTTCCACGATCCCTCCAATCAACCCCTGTTTTTGCGCTGCCGCGGGGAGCTGTCAGGTTGGTGGGCGCCAACCCAAACACCAGCCACTGCAGTCATTGTGTGACAACCCAAAGTTGACCCTGTTCGGTGGACAGCGAGGAGTTGTAGGGCCAGCTCCACCGCCGATCGCTTTGTTGTCCTTCCTTTCGACGGGGTCGTTCTTCGTGCAGGAATCTCCTTCTCGCTCCATTTACAACTTCCGACGGACCATGTGCTGCGCTCCCATCATTCTCATCGACGCAATTCGAATCTACAGAATAAACTATCTGCAAGGGAGACATATCTCCAACAGTTTTTTCGGGGGTGGGACGATCTTCTATCCACCCTCTGATCGCCTTCACTGCCTGTTAACGTTTCGGCCCCAGATAAGCTGCTGATCATCATGACTTCGAGCTTGGAGGAAGCGTTGGAGTCCACGGGCGGCAAAGGACAAACCGCCCAGGGTGTCTCGATCAAGACCTTTGTGGCCTCGCTGGCGACGGCCATCGTTGTCTTTGCGGTCGAATTTCTACTCTTCATACTGCTCAAGGGCAAACTGACCCGCATCTAGTGAGTGTCGCGCAAATAAAGAACAGGGAAAGCGAGGGGCAACACTAATGCCACCGTCTCTAGCCAACCACGAACCTACCTAGTACCAGATCGAGAACGCACGAAACCATCCCCGCCGGGCCTTTTTCGCTGGATTGGACCTGTGTTTCGGACTTCCAGCTCAGAATTCATTCAAAAATGTGGACTGGATGCCTATTTCTTCCTGCGCTACTTGCGCATGCTACTCAAGATATTCATCCCCCTGGGGTTGATAATTTTGCCGGTATTGCTGCCAATTAATCGCGTGGGAGGAAAAGGCACGAGCTTCCAGAATGGAACTGAAAGTGGCTCTCAGTGGAATGTCACTGGCTTAGATCAACTGGCCTGGGGTAATGTCAAACCAGAACACACCAATCGCTATTGGGCGCACTGTATCATGGCGATCATCGTGATCTTCTACGTCTGCGCCATTTTCTTTGATGAGCTGCGAGGCTACATTCGCTTGCGGCAGGCCTATATGACATCCCCTCAACACCGGCTGCGCGCCTCTGCGACTACCGTGCTTGTCACGGCTATTCCCCGCAGCTGGCTCAATGTCGAGTCTCTGGATCGCCTCTTCGATGTCTTTCCCGGTGGCATTCGAAACATTTGGATCAACCGCAACTTCGACGATTTGAATGAAAAGGTCAAGGAGCGGAATGATCTTGCCCTCAAGCTTGAGACAGCCGAGACAGAGCTGATCGTTAAATGCAAGAAGGCAGCACTGAAGAAAGCCAAGGCTGAAGCAAAGAAAGCTGGGAAAAGCAAGACCACCGCAGCGGAACGGGAAAAAGCCGCAACGGACATGAGAGCATCTCAATTGGCGATGGGGCCTGGAATCAGCTCTGGGGACCCTCACCAGGCCCATACTCTGCAGGAGGTTTTACATGGACAAACCGACACACGGAAGCGAAGTACTTCCGATGGATCACGCACTGGTGGACGGGTATTCGACCCGGCGTTTGCAGCCGCTGGTGCGGTGGGACACGGCGTCGGCAAATTGGGTAAGACTGTACTGGGTGGTCTCAAGAAAGTGGAGGTTGGCTTTGACAACACCTTGACCCAAAACCGTGGCTTTGTCGAGGCAACGGATAATGGCCTACCGCCTCTTCGAGGTAACCCGGAGAGCGATTCGCCAATTAACGACTTGCCTATGGGGGCCTTTCTTTCAGACAAAAAGGCACAAATCCCTCAAGAAGGTCAGACTCGCAACATGTGTCAAGAAGCATATCCATCCCCCCCAAACCGGCCGTCCTGGAAGAATCGCGTGGCGTCCCATCTGTCCTCCCATTCCAAAAAATCTGAACCTGAGCCTGATGAGTATCCTCTAACTGGCCCCGATACCCCTGTGACCGATGTGCCTCGCTGTGAGTCCGCTAAGTCCAAGAAATACAAGGAAAAGGCGGCCCTCGGGCAAAGTCACAAAGAGGGAGACGAAGTAGGAGAAGAGTACCCGGTCGCCTACAACGAGGATTTCGATAACGAAGACTATGGAAAGCCAAGATGGAAGGAGTACATCCGGCTAAAGGACAGAGACACGCACCGCCTCCCCATATTTGGCTGGAAGTGGATGCCTTCGCTATGGCTTATAGGCAAGAAAGTCGATACCATTGATTACTGCCGGAAGGAACTCGCCCGGTTGAATCTGGAGATCGAGATTGACCAGCAACACCCGGAACGATTCCCGCTGATGAACTCGGCCTTTATTCAGTTCAATCACCAAGTCGCTGCGCACATGGCATGCCAGTCCGTTGCACACCATATTCCAAAGCAGATGGCTCCTCGAATTGTGGAAATTTCCCCGGATGATGTGATTTGGGACAACATGTCCTTGAAGTGGTGGGAACGCTATCTACGGACCTTTGGCATCGTTACCCTAGTCATCGGCATGGTAATTGGATGGGCTTTCCCCGTCGCATTCACCGGGCTACTCTCGCAACTCACATACCTCGAAGGAGCATTCACATGGCTCTCCTGGCTCAGCACGTTGCCCGAGTGGTTTATTTCCGCCATTCAGGGTATTTTGCCTGCCCTTTGTTTGGCCATTCTGATGGCACTTCTCCCCCTCATTCTCCGCTTCCTGTGCAGGGCTCAAGGCCTGCACACCGGCATGTCGATCGAGTTGACGGTTCAGAACTACTACTTTGCATTTCTATTCGTGCAGCTGTTCCTGGTCGTCACCATTGCCTCCAGTTTCTCAACCATCATCGAAAATGTCACCAATGTGACTAGCTGGCCCGAGATGCTTGCCCAGAATATTCCCAAGTCGAGTAACTACTTTTTCTCCTACATGATTCTGCAAGCCATGTCCGTGAGTGCAGGTGCCCTTGTGCAGATCTTCGGTCTTGTCAGCTGGTTCATTCTAGCGCCTATTATGGATTCTACTGCCAGAAAGAAGTGGGCGCGGACAACAAATTTGAACCAAATGCAGTGGGGTACCTTCTTCCCTGTGTACACCACACTGGCTTCAATCGGTACGTTAACAAATTTCTTGCTTTCCACCTTTTTTCACCCGTTTCACAGCTGTGTCTAATTTTCCGCCAGGTCTGATCTATTGCGTTGTTGCGCCACTTATCATGGTGTTCAACATTATTACATTCAGCCTTTTCTGGTTCGTCTATCGCTACAACACTCTTTACGTTACCAAGTTCCGTTTCGACACCGGTGGCCTCCTTTTCCCCCGGGCTATCAATCAGCTCTTCACGGGGATTTATTTCATGGAACTGTGCCTCATCGGCTTGTTCTTCCTCGTTCGGGACGAGAAGGGAGAAGTGGCCTGCGAGGGCCAAGCCATTTGCATGATAGTCGTACTCATCATGACGATCGGCTACCAAATTCTCCTGAATGAGGCGTTCGGTCCTCTTCTCCGGTATCTGCCTATTACTCTTGAAGATGATGCTGTCCGGCGCGATGAGGAGTTCCAGCGTGCCCAACACGCCCGACTCGGACTTGCCACGGACGCCGAGGATGAGGACGATGATGTCGAGCATCGTCTCGCCGATCGCGAGCGTGAGGAGCGCGACCACGACCGAGATGCCCAAGAAATCGAACTGAAGACTCTGGAGGCGGATTCCGAGAAACGCAAGGCCGGCGGTTCTGGAATCCTGACCACTCCGGCACTTGGGGACAAACGACCATCGTGGGCTAGTCGCTCGTCTAATCGGAAGTCTAAGTACTTTGGAGAGAACTCGGCCACCTCAAGTCCAACTATCAAAGCCCTTCGAGAGAAGATGGCACACGATACCGAAGCGCAGGGGCCACCTACCAACACCGTGGGCCGTGCTCTCTTTGCGGGTATTCACGACGAATTGGAAGATCTCACTCCGGACGAGCGCGACCAACTCGTACAACGCGCCTTCCAACACGAAGCCCTCCGCGCCAAACGGCCGGTGATCTGGATCCCACGCGATGACCTCGGTGTCAGCGACGACGAAGTCTATCGCACACAGCGGTTCAGCAAGCACGTCTGGGTCAGTAACGAATACCAGGCGCTGGACGGCAAGTGCCGGACGATCTTCAGCCGCAGTCCACCGGATTTCTCGGAGGTGGACTTAATTCAGTTGTAGCGGGCATGCATTTTCAGGGCGTTTGCTTTGCTTTGTGGCTGTGGCCTTTTCTTCTTTTGCATAGCTATTTTTGAACGTTTTCCGTATGTCTGTCTTCATAGAAGCACATGCGTTTCCCACGCATAAGCTGAGGGATTTGACTTTCAGTATGTAGCTTAACTTGGTACTATTCAGATATTTCCCGGCTGGTCCTCGTAACTTGGAGTATCGTTCCATGGACTTGAACTATTCGGTCGGTTAGAACATCTCACTCCTTAAAGACCAAGTGTAACTTGTATACTTGTATATTGCTCAATCCATGAACCGACAAAGCGGCAACCGATAATTCTCAACAACCCAGTAAGCCCGCCTCACACCCTCCCACTCGCCCTCCAACTTGGGCACTGGAATCTCCTCCCACTCGACATCGAAGCCCGCCTCAAAGAGGTCCATCTCCGCAACCTTTTGATACACATCATACGAGATCTGCCGATCAGCTCCCATGCCATTGAAGAAGCCCCACTTGCCGTCCTGCTCCAGCAACCCGATCACCTGCTCGGAGAAGAAGTCGCGGAAATCCGCGTAGGATTCAGCGAATGTGTCGTAGTAGATCGCGTCAAATGTCACACCCTCGCCTACAAGCGCCGGGAGAATATCTTGCCACCGGCCCTCGTGGATGGTCACGCCGGACTTGCTGTCCCACCCCTTAGACTTCATGTCGGCCAGCACGGACGGATGCGCTTCGATGATGTGGTGCTCGGCGGGAGACTGGTCTTGGAAGAAGGAGTCCACAATGCCCATGCCGTGGCCGATGTTGAGAACTTTGAGTCCAGGGCGGGGGAGGAGCGCCTTGGCAGACTTCAGCATGATGTCGCTTTCCCAGCGCATCATCACGCCGTTTTGGTCTGAGTCGAGGATTCGATTGTTGTTGATGGAGAGGGTGGAGGAGAGATAGGTCTGGTTGCTCACTTCGGGGTTCGTCGGACCGGTGGATTCGGATTCGGCAGGTTGTTCTGTAGAGGCTTGGACAAGCTCAGGCGCTGTCGCGTCGTCGGGCTGCTCCCCAGCGCCACCCTCTTCCTCGTCCTCGTCCTCGTCCTCGTCTTCTGATAGCGCCTGGTACTCATCCAAGCGGTTCAGGAGCATCTCGGCGCGCACGCCGGCGTCCACGATCAGCTCGTACAGCTCTGGCGCTCCAATGCGCCGCGCCAGGCAGCCTGGAGTCTCGTTGTTGTTGTCGAGATCGTTCCAAATAGCACCTTCCTGGAGTAGAAACCTGACCGTTTCAACGCCTGAGTTCAGTTGCTCGTTCTCTCCGGGTGCAGAACTGCTGTTCGTGCCGTTCGCTTGCTCGTCCTCATCAGGCTCGCAGGCCGCAATCGCGGCATGGAGGGGCGAGTAACCGGTCTCCGGGTCTTTCACGTTTGCTGCGTCCGGCAACGAAGATTGTGTGCGGCAAAGGCGCCGAAGTTTGGGGATATCATGCTGCGAGGCGGCGAGCAGGATCTCTTGGATGTCCAGGTCGACGTCGATCTCCGTTAGGTGGACTTGAGGGTCGCCAGTGGTGGGGTCGTTCATGTTGGAGGTTTTTCTGGAAGTCTATTAGTCGCAAAACATTTGTGAACATAAAGTAAGCTGGAGAATTGCTTGGAGAATTCTTTCGGAGCAGGAACTCACCGAAGTAGCTCAGCTTCCTCGATTCATTGGCGCTGCTGATCTGAAAATGGCGGAAGCTCAAAAAAATTGGTAGAGCCCTCCGCTCGCCGCCTTCGTCCCCGCCGCAATATATATGTTCGCCCGACGTCAGCATCGACAGAAGACCTACGGAGTACTACCTTACCAACGATTTTCTACTACCGACAAAAACAAGCTAGAAGAGAAGAGACAACATTTGGATGCTCCTAAACAAGCTATTTGTACATGATCCCACTGCCCCTGCGCCCAATTACTGTGACTTATTTGGTATCCTCGGTAGCCACATTGACATTCAGACCCAAGCCCTGGTTGTCCAGGTACAGCTTATTCTTGCCACCAGCCTCTTGTAAGATCTGTGCGATCTGACGGGCATTCTCGATCTTGCGCAGCTCGATGTAACTCCTGCTCTTCTTGATCGCGTCACCAATCAGCTCGGCCGAGCGAGCCTCACCCTGGGCGCGCACGATGAACGCCTGCTTCTCCTGGCGGGCCTTGTCGACAACGAAAGCGGCACGCTGAGCGTCCTGCTGGGCAACCTGCTTGGCTTCGACAGCAGCGGTAAATTCGGGGGAGAAGGTCAGGTGCTAGCGAGAGATAGGTGTTAGTAGCGAATCTAGAATTGTCCGAAACGCGAAAAACCAAGGTGCGCTTACAGTCAAGGAGACATCATCAAGGGCGATATTGAAGCGTGCAGCGCGGCGAGCCAGGTTCTCTCGAACCAGACGAGCGACATTCTCACGCTGCGTAATGAGCTGGCTGGCGTTGAACTGAGCGACCACACTCTTCAGAACCTCGTTCACGATTGAGGGCAGAACACGCTCATCAAAGTCCTGGCCGAGGGTACGGTAAATCTGCGGCAGAGCATCGACTCGGGGACGGGACAGGACACGGCAGGTGATGTTGACCATCTGCAAATCCTTGGTGCCGGTCAAGGAAGCAATGTTGCGCGGCTTCGCGCGGACATCGTAAATAATAGCGGTTTCGAGCCAGGGGATCCGGAAGTGAGTTCCTATATAGTTTCCCAAGGTATTAGTTCTGAGCTCGTGTGCTCCCTCTGCGGAGTTGTTATACCTTCACTGAAGATCTCCTTCTTCACACCACCCACTCGAGAGTACTTGATCGCACGGTGACCACCATCAACTAGATAGGCATATTAGCTACGAATCATCTGCCACCCAAGATATAAGCAACGGACCGTTGAACAGCGAATTCGAAATCGCCCAGCCGCCCACGCCGAGCAGGACGAGACCGGCAAGACCCATGCCGCTACCGCGGCCACCACCGGGAATTCCGCCAAAACCACCCTTGCGCCTTTGCAGCATGAGCTGCACTCGCTCCCAGGCCTCCCGTTGATTCTGAGACATGTTGTGAGGCTGTTCGTGAAGGTGTAAAGATGAAGTGGGTGAGGACGGGAGTTCGAAGAAGGTCCAGTACTAGGCGGTCGGCCAAAGTCCGGCAGAATCTGTCTCTTCGTTCGCGTCTGGGAGCAGCTTTGACTTTCAACGACGCTTCACCAACAGCATCGCAGCCATCGCAGCCATGGCCCCCGATCGTACGGGAAAGAGTGTGTTCTTGGGGAACATCCCCTACAGTATGTCTCGGACTTCCACGTTGCTCGTGCTTGCCGTGCAATGCTAACGATCATGCAGATCTCACGGAGGAGCAAGTCAAAGACATCCTTAGTACAGCTGGAACCGTGACGAAGTTTCGCTTGATGATGAATCCAGACACAGGCAAGCCAAAGGGATATGGATTTGCAGACTTTGCCGATGCCGACGCAGCAGCTTCTGCCGTGCGCAACCTGAACGACTACGAGATTATGGGTCGCAAGATCCGTGTCGACTGGCCACACAACAATGAGAAAGACTCTGTACCAGCGGATTATCCCCAACAGGCACAAATTGAGCAAGAGACTACACAAATGCAACCGATTCCTGGCGCGGCACCACTTCCTCCTCTGCCACCGGGCGTGGAGGTTCCACCCCATCTCGATTGCCCTAACGCCATTTCGCACACTCTCGCCTCTCTCCCTCCTAACCAACTCCTCGATGTTCTCTCACAAATGAAGTCTCTGGCTGTGGCGGATCCCGCTCGCGCTACCGAGCTGTTGCGCCAAGCTCCGCAGCTCGCCTATGCCATTTTCCAGGCCCTGCTGCTTATGAACCTGGTCGAGTACCAGCTTCTGGGATCCATCGTTGAGCAAGCGGCCCAGCCTCAAGCTACCCCCCAAGCTGCTCCCCAGTACCAGCAATATGGCGTTCCCGGTCAAATTGGCACACCGCCCGTCGCTGGTCCTTTCGCTCCTCCGCCTGCGCAAGCTGCGGCGCCGCCCCAGGTTCCGGGCCAAGAAGAGCTGCTCCAGCAAGTACTGAGCATGCCTCAGTCGGCTATTGATGCCCTGCCTCCGATGGAGAGGAGTCAAGTCATGCTTCTGCGGCAGCAGCTGATGCAGGGTGGTATGCGGTAATATCCATGACCGCCTACCGCCTAAGGGTCCCTGTGCGAGACCTTATCTCCTGCCTTGGACGGGCGGTCGAATCGGCATGGCTGTGTGACGTTTTCATTTTCCTTTCCATGTTGACTAATTGTACTTGACGAGGCGAAGGGCGGCGCAACGGAGTGATCTTTTCTGGTGGGATATCTTGCATACCAGCTTCAACCTAGCTGTATTTTTAAAACAATTCATTATTTTTATTCCCAGTCCGGGCAGCTATGCTGCTCTCCGAGTATCCATAAGCATTTGTAGCTAGCCATCCTATACCTACGAGTTATCCATTCATCGGTGCCTGTCGTTTGCCTCGTAACACTGCCGCCGGCCGCGCTGTAGCTGCTTTGTGCTCGGCCGAACTAAGGTATCATCTGGAATGCTTCAAAATTGATTGGTAGGATTGATTTCGCGCGGCGGTCGTTCGCATTAAATTATTAATCCTCCAGCCGTATACGTCCATCTATTCACGACCAGGTTCTTGCCAGTTCACGCAAGGCACCTGACACCCTCCTGATTCCCTTTCACATCCTCATTGACTGTGTTTAGAACTAATGCTACTATTGGCAGGTAACGTGCTTAAATTGTGCTACTGTAACTAGCATCTATGCACTATAGAGCATTAATGTCAAGCGTGGAACACTTCCCGATGTGCCACGATTTCATTAATAATCCGCGTCATCTCAAAGGCCAGGACAATGGGCTCATGGCCCTGAACATGAACAGTATGATTGCGTATAAACAGATAAATGGCAGGCAATGGAGTGGATGCCTTTTTGAATGGGCCAGTTTCGATGGGGTGAGGTAGGCAGCGACAAGATGTAAGCCCTATACCCCGAGTGACGGCTCAATAGAGCAGCTCAACAGAAACGGACCCGCTTGGACCCGCTTTTCCAGCCTCACTTAAAAAGCCCAACCTCGGCCTTCGGGACTTCTTTCTTCCGCAACGACCGGAGCTTTATTCTTCCGAAACCCTCTCTGCCGGAATGCGATAAGCACCAATTATCGCACGTGACCGGATCGTGCCCTATTCAGAGCATCTCAAGCAGCTTTGGCTGCCTCGCCGTACGTAAATCTCCGGTTGGAAGATGAAAGAGAGCGAGAGAGATTTATTTGAAAAGATGAGTTCACTGACAGGAGCAGATCATTATGGCCGGGGCCGAGGGCGCCGAAGCCGGCCATGTTCCCGAGGAGGTTCCGGAGGAGGAGGAGGAGGAGGAGGAGGAGGAGGATGAGAAGCAGCAGCTTGTGTTTAATGGTGCTGACTTGCCTGAGATCCCCGAACTGCTGCGATCAAGAGCTACCAGTGGTTGCAAGTATCTTGACCTGCGCCTGTCGCCCATGCATACGCTGGAAGACATTTTCCAGGACCTCGCCTCGAAGGCGATGACTTTGGGCTTTGCTAAAGTCCTAAAGCATTTGGGGGAGCGCCCACTGCGGGTAGCAACGGTCTGCTCGGGCACTGAAAGCCCAATTTTAGCAATGGAGATGATCCAAAAGGGTGAGTTCCTTCCCATACTTGTTTCCCCTGGGTTCGATGCGGGTGTGGCGGGTCTTGCGCGTCGCCGCCTCATCGTCGTTGGCTCTGTCGCATGGCATACTAATTGACCACAATTTATTGACCCGCCTTTCCTTTCATTCCTCCATGCCCTTCTCTGCTACTATTTATTCTGCTTCCTTTCCACCGTTTGCTACTTTCAAATCACTGACTCCGAGAATCAATCATAGGTCTTGGTACGGACCAGCGTTTCCGGGTCTTACACGCCTTCAGTTGTGAGATCGTCCCGTTCAAACAAGCCTATATTCAACGTAACTTTGAGCCCCCTGTTCTCTTCCAAGACATTTTGGAATTAGGGGAAAAGAAAGCGTAAATGCTACATGAATTCACTGGTTGTACACGAAACCATCGCTGACTTAACACACAGTCGGACGGCATACGGGTCACTGGAACCCATACCTGGTGATCTCGACATCCTCATCGCTGGGACCGCGTGCGTCGATTTCTCAATACTGAATAACAAACAGAAGCTTCTCGAAGACTGCGGCGAGTCTGGCAGTACTTTCAACGGTCTGCTGCGGTACGCCAAACGATATCGTCCCCGACTGATCCTCTTGGAGAACGTTTGTACTGCCCCCTGGGACGAGTTCGCCAAAATCTGGGCAGCAGCCGGCTATCTAGCTGTCCATCAAATTATAGACTCGAAAGAGTACTATATACCCCAGACTCGTAGGAGGGGGTACATGGTGGCCATGGACACTCACCGACTGGATACGGCAATGATCGGTCAGGCATTACCAAGCGTCAACGAACTCGGCTCTTCCTTCCGGAGCCTCATGCAGAAGTTCATTCGTCGAGCGAGTTCGCCCGCCGGAATGTTCCTTCTGCCGGAAGATGACCGCCGTCTTGAGCAGATCCAGAAGGATCTTGCTACACGTCTCGCAGCCAAGGCAAGTCGTGTTGGGTCCAACTGGGACAAATTCCAGCTCCGGCATGAGAACTTACGCGCGAAGGAGAAGTTAGGAGGTCAACGGCCCATCAGCCGTTCCCAGGCCGGGGGTATGGTATCAATGCCCCCAGACTTTTACTGGCGCTCTTTCTTTGTGTCACAAACCGAGCGCGTTTGGGAATCCCTCGATATCAACTTTCTCATGGGTGTAGCGCATGGCATCGACACCAACTACAAAGAGTCAGTGATCTTAAATCCGCGAGATATACGATGAATAACTAACAGATGAACGGATTAGGCGCTGGTTTGATACAACTCAAGGTGTGGATCGTGCTAAGGGATCGTCTATCTCGACCGGAGTCATTGGCTGCGTCACTCCGAAGGGTATGCCCTTTCTGTCAACGCGAGGAGGCCCATTGTCTGGTTTAGAGGCTCTCTCTCTACAGGGGCTTCCGCTAGACCGTATCATCCTGACTCGCGAGTCACAGAGAGATCTACAAGACCTGGCCGGTAACGCCATGACATCCACTGTCGTGGGTGCGGCGATGCTTTCCGCTCTCATTCTGGGATATGAATTGTTGGACCAAGGCGAAGCCAGACCTGTTGATGCCCTCGCCCGGACTGACGATAATTTGACGCCGTTCGCAGTTGTGGATGGGGACAACAACACCCTCATCCCGGTCGACATCGAGGATTCCAGTCCATCTTTCGACCAACAAGACCGTCTCTTGCAGCGCGGGGCTGAAAGTGCTCAGTTCTGTTTCTGCGAAGGACAGTCTGTGATCAAGAAAGACCTCGTCTTTTGCAATCTCTGTGGGCACCGTGCATGCGATTCCTGTGCTGGAAATCCGACACATGCCTACCGACCCCTGCCGGCACCCACCTCCCTGCGAAGCCCCCCACTGGACTTCATCAAATTTCTCAAAGGCGTGTTGCCTATGAGACTCATGCTGTCCGGTCTGTCAGTTACCGACTTCGAAAATCTTCTCGCCAACTTTCCCGTCAGTCACCCTCCGAACCCTCAGGTTAGACAAGCTGCCAAGATTCCCAGCAAGACCCACTGTGATGGGAACCTGAGCGTGGAGAAGATAAAAGGTGAGATCTGGCACCATGGCAGTCCAGGTGACGACACCATCACCGCTGAGAACGGCGCAGATCTCGCCCGACAAGACTTCATCGAGACCGTCCAGTCTGCCCTCGCTGAAGTTGTCCGTTTCTACGGCATCCAGCGATCCGACATCTGGACTGTCGTCTACGAAGGCGACTGTTCAAGGCTGCAGTTGCAGATCCGCCGTGATGGATTCCAGTGGCTGTACTTCGCCAAGGCTCCACGAAGTGCTCCAGCTCAGTGCCTCATGCGAGAGATTGTCGGTAAACCGATTGCTCGCCTGACCCCGACGCCAGGATCTCTCCTGGATGGTTCATGGGAAATTTCTGCTCCCATTAGTGCCCAGTTCCCCTTGTGGATCTCCGGCATCGGAGATCAGATGAGGGCGTACGAAGCAGAGATTGGCATCAAGAAAAAGCTTATCGGCCACATGCAGGTGTGGACCCAGATTCTGGTCGAAGGCGATGATGATGATGCTGAACACCTAGATGCTGATATTCGTGGCCTGTACACCTGGCTTCCTGATTGTGGCACAGCCCTGGCGTCGTTGTACAAGAAGGAGGCCACTGCGATCTGCCCTGCCGTCTACCTCTTCCTCGATCCCAACAAGACTGGCAACCCAATTATTGACTCGTGCGTGTTCTCGTTCGAGCATAACCGTCTTGCGGGGTATTCGAGGCGCATCACCATCGCCGAACTGTCACACAAATGGCGAGCATCGGCCGTCACGTCCAAACCGACCGAAGTGAATGCGTTCTATCGAGCCTGGACCGGTGCTCCAGCTGCGGCTTTGGACCCGGTAGTGGGCGACCAGATCGTCTATCGCAGCCTACAGCCTGGTCCCACAATCAGCCTCGGAAGCAACGACTGCCGGGAATCATACGTCTCGCTGGTTTCGCTCGCAGCACCAGCCGCCTCTCTCAACCTGTCAAAGGCACTATTGCCCTCTCTTTCATCTCCCTCCACTTGTTGGGAAGTAGTGAGTCTCGAGAAATCCAACGCCGAAATACGGGGCGTCGCTTGGGCGGTTCAGAAAATTGCCAGCCGGACGGAGTTCCGGGATTGGAACAACATCACCGTCGGCGCCGAACGCCCGAGTGACAAGAGTACGATCTGCCACACCTGCGACCCTCCAGCTCCTGGTATTCTCTGGGGCCGCGACAAGAAGGGACGTGTCATCCCGTATGAGGACCCTCGCGGCGCCGCTGTTTATGAGCGCGCCGCCAAGTCAAAGCCAGCTCCCTTTGTCCTCTTGCGCAGGATCGATGAAGCTGCTAACGCTGAGTTGCGTTTTGCTCTCAACATCCAGTCCCTGGCACACCAAGCCTATGGGCAGCTTGGACACATCGGAGATCACTCCAGCATTGAGGCAAAATGGAGGCTGATTGGCAACACGTATGACTGGGGAAGGGCCAGCCACCCGAGATTTCGTTTGCTTGACAACAAGCATGATAACGCTCATCACCAACCCCCGAACTTTCAGCTCAAGCTGCGTCCAGAGCAGCTCCGATCCCTTGGCTGGATGGTCTCTCAAGAAGACGAAGAGATTTTACCGTTCGTCGAAGAGGAAACAGAAGAAGCCCACTTGCCGCTGATGTCCTGGCGCGCAGAAGTCAAAGTCAGCATGCCCAGAGTGGTGCGAGGCGGTGTCCTATGTGATGAGGTTGGATATGGCAAGACTGCAATCATCCTTGCGGTGATTGACGCCCAATACGAGCAGGATTCCCACCGGCTGCACCACGCCCCTCAAATCCATGGGCTGGTTGCGACGAAAGCAACTCTTCTTGTTGTCCCATTCAGTGTGTACAAACAGTGGGCTGACGAAATTGGCAAATTTCTCGGGACCAAGTACAAGGTCTTGAGCTTCTCGACCACCCATCAATTCAGCAAAATTTCGGTCAAGCAGATTCGCGAAGCAGATATCATTCTTGTTCCCTGGTCGTTGTTCAACAGTCCGGTTTACTATCGAGCCATGCAGTACTTTACGGGCACGCCGAAAGTACCTGATAGACCGGGTCGCAGCTTCGACAGCTGGTTCAAGGATGCGAACACATCACTTCGCGAGGTTGTTTCAGTCTTGCAAGATGAGGGACCCGAAGGGTATTTGCAGCATGTGTGGGCTCGGCGATCACGGTTGCGGCGAACACAGGCGAATTCCACATATGTGCCGTCTTGCCGTCTGCGCGGCGCAGCCTTGGCGGCTGCTCAAGCCCGAGCGATGGCAGGCAACGAGACGGGTACTGAGACCGTCGCACACAGTCAGTCTCAAGAAATTTCTTGCACCTCCGTTCAACAAACTCCCGATTGTACTGAAAATTGTCCGTCTCCTGAAAATCCTTCGACCAATCTCTCCCCAGATGGCATCGAGGCGAATAGTCCTCCAGAAGGGCCGTATCCTTTGCAAGCAATCGCTCCAGACGGTGATTCCGCTGATGAAGGTGATGACTTTCCGATGCGACCAAACTCCACGATTGGTAATAAGCCTGCAGCCTTGGAGAAGGATGACGCCGAAGAGCCTGCGAGCAAGAAACACAAGCGTGGCCGAATGTCAAAGACTCGCGACGGGAAGAAACAGCCATGGGATGACCGAGAGGAGTTCAACATTCCGGCTCCAACAAGCAACCGGGTCCCCTCCATGGATGACATTACATGCATGCCGCTCCATGCTTTCAGTTTCAACCGAGTCGTAGTTGACGAGTACACGTACTCCAATGAAGAGCGAAATCTCTCCATTCTGTCTCTGGTCTCGCGTTCAAAATGGATTCTCTCTGGAACACCGGCTCTGGGCGAGTTCGCCGATGTGAAGAGTATTGCTCGTCACCTGGGCATTCATTTGGGTGTTGACAATGACGGCGATATTCTGACCTCGAACCCTCGTTTGAAGGCAGCTCGCAGAAATTACACCACAGTGGAAGCATTTCGGAATGACCAGCCGCCTCGCAGCAATTCTTGGTACGATAATCGATGCATACATGCACAGCGCTTTCTTGATCGCTTCGCTCGTCAGAACATAGCGGCTATCACTGCAATTCCCATGGAAGTGCACCTCGTGATGTCCGACCTTCTCCCGAGGGAGAAGGAAATATACCAGGCATTGTATGACCGATTCTCTTAGGAAGAGGGCCGCGTCCGCAAGATCCCAGGGGCAGATCTCGACATTCTGCACACGGTTTTGAATGGTTTTCTGACCAACAGTTCCTCGCCATCTGAGGCACTGATAAAGTGCTGTACATCGGCAATGTTGACGGAGTTCCCATGGGGCGCCAATAATTGCATAAAGCACATATCAACACAGCAGGCCATGAGGGATTCCCACCGCGAAAAGCTGGAAGCATTGGCGAAGATGGCTTCTGTCGTGTTGTCCGATCCCCACCGGGGTGAACAGTCTTGGCAGTCGTTGCTGGGGGATGATGGAGAGCCGGCGGATGCTCGAGATGCTGGGGGGTTCGCGAAGAAGATTGGGGACAAGGACACGGTGGAGACAGTTCGATCCCTCTTCCAAGGCATCTTTACAACATTCAATGAATGGTCCCAAGATGCCCTGTACAACAAACTCATCAAGGACAAGGTTGATGGTAAACTGAAACAGATCCGACCGACGAAGGCCAAAGAAGCACAGTTGAAGAGAGTCACCGATGAACCACTTGAATCACAACCCAAGTCCCGCACCAAGCCCGGAAAGGGATCAACTGGAAGCAGCAGCGAGACAGCGTGGAAGAAGCCTCGCAAGATCATCCTCCTCTCCGCTGAAAGGTTCAAGGAGAGGCTCAACGCCTGGAAGACGAGTGCTGTCCTAAAGGACCTCGTCAGAGACATTTTCATGGTAGTAGAATCCATCGTTGCCAGCAACCGCGAAATCCGTTTCTTCACGGCCATGCGCCGTCTGCAAATCGAGCCCGTTCACCCCTGTGACAGATGCGCAGAATGGCACGACTCTACGGGCCGAAGCGGTATCACAATCATTCGCACCTGCGGACACCGCCTCTGCCAGAGCTGTATGGAAGACGTAAATAAGCCGGAAGACGGGCAACGAGTGTGCGTCGCGACGGGATGTCGCGCATCCGCGTGCGAGTCCAAGCAAATCAATGGACTCTGTGCCGATATTGGTGCTGCTGTGAAGGAAAGCAGCAAGCTCGACACCTTGGTAGACATCATCAAAGGGATCCCAACGGGTGAAAAGGCGCTGCTGTTTGTCCAGTTTGAAGACACAATGATCCACGCCTCCCGTGCTCTCGCTGCCGCCTATATTGATCATCGTATGGCCAAGAACAGATCCCCGATGGCCATCATGGACTTTGTCAAACCAAAGGCAACCCCCGTGCCGAGGCAGCTGAAGCAGCCGAAACAGTCAAAGCAGTCAAAGCCGTCAAAGCGGAGCACGGAGATGGTGGTGGACGGAGAACTGGAGGTGAATGAACAGGAGCTGAAGAGGAAGAGAGGGAGCGAGAATACCGAGAAGGACACGAAGGATAAGCCAATAGGACCGAAAGTCCTCATCCTCCTTCTCGGTGGTGTGATGGCTGCCGGACTGTAAGTTACTCCTGAAGCTGTTGATATCACTTTTGATAGAACTTGAACTGAAATTCGATCGCAGCAATCTGCAATGCGCCAACCATATCCTCTTCCTGTCGCCTCTCCTGGCATCTACCCAGCACGACTATGAAGCCGGGATGACCCAGGCAATCGGCCGAAGCCGCCGGTGTGGGCAGAAGCGCACAGTCCACACATACCATCTCCTGACACGCAGGACCGCCGAGGTCACCATCTTCCAAGAGAGAACGTCCACGACTGTCATTCAGCGTGGTGTCGACGTTCTGCAAGTCGCCGAAGAAGACATTCTGCCGACAGATGAACGTTGCGAGGGCGACTCACTTGACTTCACGAGGTTGTCTGATGCCGAGGAAGAAGTGACTGAGGATCTTCCACAGGAAGGAGTGACGGAGCAGCTTCCACCGGAGAGATTGACGGAGCAGCTGCCGCAGGAAGAAGTTACTACCAAAACTCGATCCCTCCCAGACCCTCATTTGGTTGGCCAACTGCAGGACATTGTCGTGGAGCTAGAAGCGGACGTTCTAATGACCACCGAAGATCGGCCAGACACCGAGATGCCCATGGAGATTAACGCTGAGGATGAGACTTAGACACAAGTGGGACGTGAAACGAAGATATCTCCTACAGCGTCTATTAGCCCTGGGCCATGGGATAAAGTCAGATTATGGTCGACCCATACGCTGGGAGCAACATCACGGATACAGATGGAAGTCATGGCTTGTGTGATTTTTACATTCTCCAAACGGTGCTTTGTACATGAGACCCATACGGATAGATTATTGCGTTTTCTCACAAATTGGCCTCGTCCCTTGCGACACGAGGTGGACGTTGTCGATCTCAATTTCATATTTCCTTGTACCTATTTCAGGCCTGAGGTAGAGCGGGTGCATTTCATTTCATTACTTGTTTGTGAGGCCCTCTGTTTCTGTGCTGTTACGGGAGATACCTGAGAGGTTTTTGGTAATGGTTTCATGAAATATGACGATTGCGTGGAGTACATACTCCAGCCACTGAAATGAAAATTCCTGGATGAGAAATAATGCTAAACCACCATGGGGTAGTGATCGGAGCGGAGCGGAGCGGACGGGGCGGACAGGCGCGGCGGAGGAGAGTGACGAGCATAAAAGCGACGCACCCGACGGGCGAGCTTATTAGGTGTCGGGGCCACGGCCATCATGCACAAGTAGACAAGGCCATGTCGGGCACGCACAATTAGCCCAAACCAGGTTGTCAACATCATCGTTACTCCAGTGCCACGCTTTACGGTGTCTACTAATGACTGACGCGGGTGAGACCATCCCTGTCAGCATTTAATGAGCATCATCATGATATGCCTGCTTGCATGCTGGCTAAATCAGTTTGGTTTGGGATATGTGGTGACCTATTAGGACAATGTCTCCGGACAGTTGGTTGCTCCTCGAAACCCCAGGAGATATAATGGAATTGAAGATCATCATACTCTACGGCTTTCCAAAGTTTTATTCCGAGCTGAAAATCATTGAAACTAAAGAAGTTGCAAGTGTATCGGTGCCGATAACTAGTGACTCGGCTGGATCTGCTGCAGGCCCCCTCGCAGAAGCGATCCAGAGCCACGTACTGTACATGGTGAACAAATCAAACAAACGAGACGCCCTGAAAAAGATAATTGTGCAGATGCAGGGCGCCGGGTGCATCTAATTCTTTTTTTCGCCCTGCTCGGCTCGGCTCCAGCTGAGCAGCAAGCAGCACGGCGATAGGGCTCGTCACCAGTAAGCCCCCAATTATAAAATCTATTCTCCATCCTTTCATTCACATTCACGGCTTCAAGTCTTGGGTTCTTTCACAAATGAAAATGATGGGAACACTCTCTGTTCTCCTGCTTATTGCTTGGCCTCACCGTCGAGAGCATTGTCCTTGCGCATCATCAGCTCGGGATTCCACTCCGGCACATCACGAAGGTTGGTTAGGCCAGCGCTGTTCTCGCAGGTGCTGCGCCCGCTCAGCGGGCCAGGGGTAGGAGGCTTGGCGCCGGTGGTGGCCGACTCCTTGAATGCAGTCAGAAGGGTCTTGATCGACTCCGGGGTCAGGTCCTCGTAGTAGTCGTCATTGATCTGAACCATGGGGGCATTGACGCAGGCACCCAGGCACTCGACCTCGATGTAGGTGAACAGGCCGTCCTCGGTGGTGTGGCCGGGGGTGATGCCGAGGTGCTCGTTGATAGCCTTAACGATGGCGTCAGAGCCGCAGCCGCCGAGCTGGCAGGGGGTCTACAGATACATATAGAAGTCAACTGATTGCCCAAACAGGGTTTGTGAGATGAGCAAACGTGGGATTCCTTACGGTAGTGCAGATCTGCACGAAGTACTTGCCGACGGGTTCGCGGTTGTACATGGTGTAGAAGGTCGCGACCTCGTAGACGCGCATTGGGGGCATCTCCAGCATGCGGGCGACCTCGTTCATGACGCTAATGCTGGTGTAGCCATGCTGGCGCTGGCCGAGGTCCAGCAGGGGCATGACGGCGGCCTTCTTGTACTGGGGTGGGTAGCGCTTGAGGATCTCATCGGCGACCTTGAGGTTCTGCTCAGAAAAGGTGAACGGAATGGTCGGGTTGTTGGTAGGCTTATTGCGGTGCTAATTGACAAGGGCCATTGTTAGCTCTTCATCTCCTGTAGTTTCCGACTGCCCCGACCCTGCGCGGGCGTTGGTCTAGAGGGGTGGTCCTGGATGGAGATGCGTACCACGGCGAGGGAATCGCTCAGCCTTTGAGGAGCGGCGGAAAAGCATCTGTATTGAGGGGTGGAAAAAGGGCGCAGCAGCCGGCTGGCCCGGGGGAGGAGTTTCGAGGCCATGGCGCAGGTGGAATGGAGGGTCAATGTGGATGAAGCTGAACTTGCAGGAGAAGAGGAGCGGATCGAAGTTAGCTGAGACGTTTTGCGGGCGGTCGGCCAATCAGCGCGAGCAGATTACTCCCGCCTAGCATCACCGCCGGTCAGGCAACTTGACCTCTTGCAATTCGGGATATTCGCTAGTCGACAAAAGCTCGGTCAATTAATACTGTTTCATTCATGACGGACTTGCGATATGATGTTAATGATCACATTTCATCAATTGACCCTGCAGAAGCACAAATCGTGGGATGACGCCGCACCCCCATCCTCCCCCAACTAACTACAAAACCAGCACCAACCTTACCATCCACCACGCACACCGTTTCCCTGCTTAAACATCCTCCATCCGATAAACCTCATATGCAACCTCCTCATACGGATGCGCCTTGACCAACTCCCGCACCGCATCCAGCATCACCGGCCGGCCCAGGCACATAATCTCGACTTTGATCTCCTCGCACTGCTCCACCATGCCCACGGCTCCAATCGCCGGATTCGCCCCCTCATTTGGCAGAAACTGACCCTGTCCGTGCGTCTGGAAGCAGCATTTGGTATACTTGCCGCCGGGGAAGGAGCCTGCGCCCGTCGCGAAGATGGCTGCTTTGCAGGTCTCGAGGTTCTCCGGGGGCACGAAGAAGATCAGCTTGTAGCGGTCGAGAGATGTGGAGGTAGACATGCTGCCGTTGTAGATGGGGTACGGTGCTGTGAAGGGACGCTGGAGGAGGCCTCCTCGGACGGGGGCAATAGCTGTTTGTAGAGGCGCGACTCGGGATGATACAGCGCAGAGATGCCGAGATACTTGATTTTGAGTCTGCTGATGGAGCGTAGGCCTGGTGAGAGTCCAGATGGAGCAGAGGAGGCGGGACATTTAGACTGCAGTCAGGCTGCGTTGTCAAGCTGCAGGGGTTTGCGATGGCCTCCCGAGTGGTGGCTGTATTGAGTGCCAGATTCATCAGGCAGAAACTGATGTACTTGAAGCATCCGTCAGATTATTGCGATTAAAGGGCTCCTTAGACTTGAAGGATCTCACAAGAGAAAAACCGTCCATGCTCATCCTCTATACAAGGTGTATGCTAAACGTTGAAATAAACCATATACACGAAAATGTTGAATCGTCAATCACAGGGTATCATCATGCATTTCCCCCCCCAATAGTGTACACCCCCCATCTCCCCTCTGAATCGCCACCCAGCTAGGCCTCAGCCGCGACCATATGCTGCTTCACATGGCTCTCAATGCGCTCCAGTAGCTCGGCCTTCCTCTCATCCGGAATCCAGCTCTGCTGCACACTATTCTCCGCAATAATCCTCCACTCTAATATAGACAACTGATGCGCCTCCTGCACGGCGCAATAATTATCCAAGATATACCCACCAAAGTACGCCGGGTCATCGCTGTTAATGGAAAACTTCACGCCCGCCTCCAGGAACTTGCGTATAGGCACCTCCTCCACGCTCTTCACGCAGCGCAGCCGCACATTCGACAGCGGACAAACCGTGAGCAGAATGCCCTCGCGCGCCACCCGCTGCATCAGCTCCGGGTCCTCGACCAGGCGAATGCCGTGGTCAATGCGCGTCGCGCCTAGCTCCAGCGCCGTGCTGATATACGTCGGATCGCCCTCCTCGCCAGCGTGCGCCGTCAGCGGGACGCCTTTCTGCGCCGCGGACGCATACAGCTCACGGAACATGTCCTTGGGCGGGCCAACCTCAGTCGACGACCAGCCAAGCCCGTGCACGACGCCGGACTCGAAGTGCTTGTGCGCCAGGAACTCCTCGTACACCTCCTTCGCCGAGGACACGGGCAGATGCCGCACGAAGCACAGAATCAGCCGTGTGGACAGGCCCAGCTCGGTCTCGGCGCGCTTGCAACCCGCTGAGAAGCCGTCCACGATGGTCGCGTAGGCCACGCCGCGGCTCTGGTGCACCTGCGGGTCGAAGAAGACTTCTGCATGGTGCACACCGTCGGCATGCGCCTTTTGGAAGTACGACCAGGCGAGGTCGGTGAAGTCTTGCTCGGTGCGTAGCACGGCCATGCCTTCGAAGTAGAAGGCGAGGAAGTCGTCTAGCGAGGTGAAATGTTCGTAACGAGCTGTTAAAGCCGCAATGGAAGCGTAGGCAGGGTTGTCGGCTGGGTTGGGGAGGGCGATGTCATTGCGCGAGGCCAGGTGGAAAATAAGTTCTGGCGTGAGACAGCCCTCCAGGTGGACGTGGTGCTCGCACTTGGGGAGGCCGTGGAGGAAGTCGTGGAGCGGTGATTGGCACATGGTGGGCGGAGTAGAAGGAGGAAGAATTATGGGAGGGCGGTGTTAGGGTGCGTGAGAAGAAAGGAGGATTCTTTGCGTCCAAAATTTCCTGAAAATGGGGTATACGCGGGCGACGCAGCTATATATGGATGCGTTTCACCGATGGCTAGATGTATAGCGCCACTCCGGGTTACCCAATCGAGCGGGGCAGTGGCTCTGTTTCCTTAAAAATTTAAGGGCCGCTAGTGATATTCCGGCAGGCTTAAATCCACACAAGTACAAACCCGAAAACGCAGGCCCACTGGTGGGCTTATCGGCGGGTGAAATGAGACAACTCAGGCACGCGCGATAAGCTTTGCGTGTCCGTAGATCGGCGGTCTCCGATGGGGACGACTGCAATACGGAGTACAGTACTCTGACTGGACTACTGGAGAAAGCAAGTCCAACAGATGCATGCATGTCAGATTCTTAAAAATAAAATAAACCTGCGCGCTCATACAAAAAACATGCAGAAACCTGTCCCCTCAAGACTTCCCCTCCTCAAACGCAAACTCTATCTCAGATACCCCGCAGTCCAGCAGCAAGGAAATACGTAATCGTCATTCAATTCACATTCAGGCCCATTTACGACCGTCTAGCATCCAACATTCGTCTAAGGGAGGATAGGTTTGGAAAGGGACGCGATGGGCGATTGTAAAGAAAAGAGGCTACACCTTCATCTCCGTGCCGGCAGCCTTCCGCAGCCGGTTCATCACGGCGGCCGCCAAGTCGCCGTCCCGATCAGAGATACCTTCCACGTAGATCACATCGACATCGAGCTCATCCAGCGCCCGCAGAGCCGCAAAGAGCCCGTGGGCATTGGCACTAGTATCCGAGCCGAGGTGGTAGTCGTACGCGAGCTTGGTGCGACTGCTCGGACTGCCCGTCTCCTGCACAGGAACCGGGAAGCTGAGCAGGTTCTCGATGGCCGAGGACACGGGCTGGAGCGTGCTGGCCAGGACCTCGTCCGACGCAAGACCTAGGCCCTGCGGCCAGTTGCGCGTGCGCACGATGCCGATATTGTGAGCGCCGATCGCGCTGTCCTGCAGGTCCTTCTGCACGTGGCGTTTCACGCCGGCCAGGTTCGAGCTGGCTTCGAAAAGCACGACCCGGGCTTTCGGCGAGTAGTGCCGGTACTTCATGCCCGGTGCGCGCGGGACCTCTTTGACGTCGAGGGTGCCGTCATTGTACGCGACAGTCACATTCTCCCAGCCGGCGCACTTGCGTAGCTCTTCGATGCCGATCCCGCCGGGTCGCAGGATGGCGGGAGGATCGCAGAGCCCGTCGACAACGGTGCTCTCGACACCAACGCCGGATGCGCCACCATCAAGAATCAGGTCAATCCGGCCGTGCAGGTCGTGGTAGACATGCTGTGCGGTAGTCGGAGAGGGCTTCGTCGACGCGTTGGCTGAGGGCGCGGCAAGCGGTCGGTCGGTGACATGGATGAGCAGACGGGCCAGGACTGAGGATGGCATGCGCACGCCAAAGGTCATCAAGTTGGAGGTCACTTCCGGGGCCAGCGCAGATCCAGACGGGTTCGGGAGGATGATAGTCAACGGGCCTGGCCAGAAGCGTTCGAGAAGCGGGTTGTAGATCGGGGGAATGGACATGTGCCGTGTTTTGGCTGAGTTAGGGCTTCCGGGGCGCGGACTGGGGTTCAGCAGGCGACCCAGCATCTCAAGGGAGTCGATATGGACGATCAACGGGTTGTCTGAGGGTCGCTGCTTCGCGCGGTAGATACCCCGGACAGAGGCGCTGCGTGTGGCATCTGCGCCAAGGCCGTATACCGTCTCTGTGGGGAATGCGACGGGCAGATCACTGGTGCGAAGGAACTGGGCAGCCTCCTCAATAGCTTTGGACTCGGGGGTCTGACTCTTCTTCTCATCAGCCCACCATTCAGCCAGGGACCGGGTTCCCGGTCCCTCGTTGAGGCGCTGGACAGACACAACCCGTGTCTCAGAGGCCCCCATGGTAGTGGTAAAGAAGCGGGCAAGACTGCGCCCACCGTTGCCAGCAAGGACTCGGGGGAACAGCAGCTTGATGAACAAGCGCACACTGTGAACGATAATGTAGGGCCGCTCGCACACACGAAATCAGACCCGCCGAGGAGGGGGCGGAAAAAGCACTCGCAGGAGGGCCTGAGTCACAGCGCAATGGCTTGAGTTGGGGAGTTTCAGCTTGTTGCTGGCAATGGAGCGCCTGTCGCGATCAGCTATAAAGTCTGCGGTCGACGATCATCCCGTGCAGGGCCATCTAGCGCAACATGGTCTTCTTATCGTACGTGCAGTCCGACGGAAAAAAGAAAAACGCTGATAATGACGTCGGATGAGTCAGCCGCTCAGGCACCAACATCCTGCGGCATGAGGTCGAGTTGCATGTGGCTGATTGGACTGAGTGAAACTCGGCTGATGCGGTCATGGAGAAGTAGAATGGACACGAGATGCGGTGTCAGTGGGTTGTTCCTCGTATTACGTTGCTGCTGGGATACTAAGCCCTGGCACCTTCCACTTTGAGCGAAACGTCATCCCATGTCTCCAGGTACTGTAGACTGTAGATTGCGGTGGGGATGCTGGCAGGATGATCACTGATGCTCTAGGTTGATTTTCAAGTCATACACTATTTTTTCCACGATGTGGAGTCATATAAACACAAACGCTGTGTTGAGGTTGTCTCTTCCATACTGAGACTGCCCGAGCATGAGGTGGATGTTGTGTCTCGATATATAGTCCACAAGTTAAATGTATTTTCAGCTTCAACCACTCAGAGAAAAAATATCTGATTGTCTCTATAACATCGAGGCCGATATATGGCGTCATCTCTATAAACAACCCCAGTAAAATCCATCTTATCTCTTCTTCCCACCCTTTCCTCCTCTCCCCCCGCCGCTACTCTTCTTCCCTTTATCCGCACCACCACCTCCTCCGCCACTGCTACCAGGTGTCATAATGCGCACCTTCCCCACAGGCATGGTATTAATGATCTCCGTCTCCTTCCACCCCTTAATCAACTCGCCCTCTCTAGCCCGCAGCTTCTCCGCATCAGCCCGTGGAATGCCCGCATCTTCCGCATGATCCTTCTTCACCTTGCCCGTCGTAGTCTCCGATACCCACCGCCCAACTATCTCCTTGACAGCCTTGCCCTTCTTCACCGCACCCGGCTGCAGCTTCACCTTGTACTTGTACCGGCCCAGCGCCGCCCATGGCGCGCACACTGCGATCGCAGCAAGGATCTCGTCATCCGGCGTCGGGGTGCCGACCAGCGCGGGCAGCCAGCTGAGATCCGCGGCTTCGGCGGCGGCCATTTCCTCGTTGTAGTCGTCGGCGCCGTCGTCGGCGAATTGGGCCTGGCGCTTGCGCTCTGCTTCCGCAGCGCGCTCATGCTGGGCGCGGCGGCGTGCCTTTTGGGCCTCAGCTTCGCGTTCGCGCTGGGCTTTGGCTTCAGCGGCCTGGGCGGCTTTTGCGGCTTTGCCTTTGCTGGAGCCTAGGAGTCGGAGGGCCAATTCACGTTCCTCATCATCTTGGTGGGCGTATTTGGTGGCGGCGCGCTTGTCTTTGGCTTTCTTGCCACGGGTTGGGGGGATACGGGCTGCAGCGGGCTCTTGCTCGCCGGGCCGGTCGATGGACTTGCCTTGCCGCAAGGCGCGTCGTTCGCGGGCTGTGAGCTGTTCTCTTTCATCCTGGGGAGAAACTGATTCTTGGTTGGCTGTCGATGAGGCCTCTTCGTTTCCCCGTTCGCCCTCGTCACCCTCAGCGGCCTGGTCTTCTGGCACGGACTCCAGCTCTACTTCCTCCTTGGCATCACCCTCACCGTCTGCCTCAGACTCGGGCTCAGACTCAATTACCTGCTGATCTGGACTGACAGGAAGTTGCGCATCGCCGCGTTGGAGTGGGTTTCTGGCAGCCGTCTTATCCTCATCATCTTCTTCCTCATCCCCGGAGCTCTTGTCTTCTTGTAGCTCGGCTTGAGGAGCCTCCTGCTTCATGTCATCCGAACCCACTTCCGCGAGCGCGGTTTCTTCCGTAGCAGGCTCATGCTCAGCATGAGGCGCCTCCTTAACCTCTGCAGCCACACTCTCCACAGGTGCATCTTCCGCCTCGAATCGTTGCTTATGATTCTTCACACTCTCCTGACTAACCTGCCATAAAACAGCGAAACCTAGAACCAGCTGTGAGGGTGCAAGGAAATTTTTCTCGCCCTTCACCTCAAAGCGGCCTGCAGGCAAGATGCCACCGCCCACCTGCGCAGTCTTCGAGACCTGGTTTGCGTGCACCCACCACGCGGACATGACGGCCTTGGAGTCCCAAGCAGTTGATGTCGACACGCACAGATTACCTGCCTGCGAGAGGGTACTGGGAGAAATCGGTGCGTCTGCACTCCCGGAGCGGTTCTTCACTACAATGGGAAGGGCGCCTTCGAGGTCAGCGTGAATAAAGATGTCGCCTTTGTTAAGATAGCGGCGGTAGAGGATTTCGCTTTGCAGGGCGTCGCGGGCTCTGGAAATATGTTAGAATCATCTCAAATCCATGAGGGCTGAGTGGAATGCATACCCAAGCACTAAGTAGCCTTCGGAGGAGATGAAGAAGATGAACTTCTCGAACCAGAAGGGCACGCGGGCCTGGCGCAAAACTTGCTTCTCCTGCTTCAGGCTTTTCTTGAGATCGGCTGTTACCTTCTTCTCGTGGCTCTTGAGAGCTTTGGTGGAAGACTGGGCGGTCCGCTGCTGCTTCTCAGACGCCTGCTTCTTCTGGTCGTAGTACTGCGAAGCGTTCGCCCAAGGCGTCTGGCCAAGATCAATGTCGATAGATAACAATCTCGACGTCGCGGCTGCACGCTGCTGCAACTCCCATTCTTCGCTTTCTGAGTCAGAATCCGATTCATCGCCGGAGGCAAGCTCTTCCTCGTCCTCGTCCTCGTCACCAGCCTCTCCGAGCAAAAGAGTGACTGTGTTCTCGTAGAGTTTCAGAGGGAGTTTGATGATCTGAGCTACCGGGTTCCCTCGGCCCTGTTCCATCTCGATCAGACGCGCGATTTCGCCCCAGTCCATTCCTTGCGCTACCAGGCCGTTCACAGCATCCATTGCCTCCTGGACCCGGTACATGTTGTCTTGAATGGCAGCAGCCTTGCGGATATGAAGCTCCTGTACATCCTTCAGAGCATCAATGCGCTTCTTATGCTCCTCTCGAACGGAGTCCAGCTTGCGCTTGGCTGCCTCTTCTCTCTCCGTTAGTCGGGACTCCAGTCGCTGCGACTCCAGAGATGAGAAGTACTCGTCGACCGTGGCATTAAAACGCTCGAACTCCAAGATCGAGATCCCCGGCTTGCCTTCAAACTGCCGCGGCTTGAAGGGGTGGAAGTCCTCGTACAGAAGGCCTGGTGTCTTCGAGGAACTCTCACCATCAGCGGATGATCGCTTGTCTTCCTTTGCGATAATATAGCCTGGATGGATATCGCCAACGCTGAAGCTGTTCGAGACCAGCTGGGCCTCCTCGAGCACGCTCCTGACCGTCTGTAAAGCGCGTTCATCGCTTAAAACCTGATCAAGCGGCGTCGCTGAATCAAACTCCTTTACGGCAAAAGCATGATCCAGTAGAAGCGGTGGATACTCTGGGAAGCCCTGAGAAAGAGCTTTTCGAAGCACATCCGTGTTTTTCTTCTTCGACTTCTTCGGCGCGCTATCCCCCTTCGCGAAAAGCGCCTTTGCCTTCTCTAGCGTTTCCTTCACGCGTTCGTCCGTGATATCCGGAACACCCTCATAATTCTGCTTGTTGGTTACTGTATACTTCAATCCCACCTTCGTTTCTTCCCCCTCACCAGCAGCGACCTGTCGGAACAGCGCGATGATGGTATACTCGCGGTCAGTGACGATGATGTTGCCTCCCGCGAAGAACTCGAGGAACATGTGGTGTGTGCCATCACTGAAACAGATATCGATGATCCGGTCGGTGCCAATTTGCGTAATCCCAGTGATGCGCCGTGACTTGAGGTACTTGCGCATGCGGGTTACGAAGGGTGAGGGGGCGGACGCCGCGGTGCGAGAGTATTGTGTGACATGCGTGCGGAAGCCGGAGTCGACGATGAGTTGGCGCCGGTGGTCTGGCTTAGCGAGCTTGAAGAGAAAGATGCGCTGTGGACGCTGTTAGTAAGTGATTTACCTCAAAGCGGTGTTTCGCGGAGTGATTGGGTCTTACGGAGGAGAGGTCGTAGATGTTGGACACGCGGAGGTTGACCAACTCCGCGGCCAGCTCCTGTGTGATGACCTGGAACGCTGGTGAGCTTTCTCTCTGTGAGCATGCGGGCACTGATTTGGAGGTGTTACCTTGACGTCTAGCGACGAGAATCTCTGCTTCATCGTGGGCGCAGGAGTTGGAGAAAGAAAGGAATTTTCGAGTGTGACGTATGCGGGGCAGGAACCGAGTCGGAGTCGGGCTCCTTTCTCGGACATGCGATTACCCACCTAGTGAGTAAGGAGAGCATCCGCCCAGTGATTCGGACTTCAGAAGACCATCCAGAGACAATATACACAAATTTGGATGACTATCTACACTGGTATAGTATTATGGGATCGTCTTTTTTCATTGCAGTCATCGGCGTTTGCGCCAGTATTACCACGCAGCCCCAACTATGTGGCCGCAGCCCCCCTACCTCAACGGGCAAGGTTTTTGATGGAACAAAATGCACAGAGAAAAGCATGCGAAAGATCTATGAGAAACCAGCAGCCCCAGGAATAGCCAACTAGGGCCAATAAATGAAAAACCATATCACGCCAGGACCAGCCAGGAAGAACTCGGAAAAAAAAGAAGAAAAACAGAGGCAATGCTCCAAGGCAGGCGAAAAAGACATGTCACACACAACTAGCAGGCTACTGCCCCAATAATGGGAATATGAGATCAAATGAGGCCGGCGGTATGCATTTACATGTGCCGCAGACCCTCTGCTAGGCGCCGCTTGCCGAACTCCCAGGCGTTCATCAGGCCCTGCTCGGTCAAGTCGATGTTCTTCATGTTCGGCGCATCGGCAGCGGGTGCGCGGCTGACCCGAGAGGCGATCATGACGGGGTCGGTCTCGAGGATAATGCCGTCATCAATGATCTCGTCGATGGTGAGGGAGACAAGGTCATAGTTCTCGACGATAGTGCGCTTGTCGGTAGCGCCCCTAGAAGACACCCCCGTTAGATTTGAATTTGGAACAAACATCTCCCCCATATTTCAAATCAGGCCCAAAAAGAAGACATACTTGAATAGAATGCCTAGCGCATCCCGCAAAGACAGCACAACATTGTACAGCAGCACCTCGTTTTCGTCTGCGCTCCCAACAACGTAGAGCATCACGTCGCTCTCCATTTTGAACACAACAATACGGTTGTCGTACAGGATCACATCACTGGTTGACTTATTTGTCTTCTCGAGCAGGCCCTTCTCAAAGCTCCGTTGCTCCTTGACTGTCGGGTATGGGTTGGCACCGGGGAAGTCTGTCGAGTTGGGTGCAGTGCCGGTGGGGGGATGCGGTGCGGAGTAGTACTTGGTGAAGATGCGGGATCCATCGTCAGCCGACATGACGAGGACCGCATTCACGGAGAAGAGAGATAGAGGGCCAGGCATGGTGGGTTTAGGTGTGGTGGTTGTGCAATTGGAGGGGGTTCTTGGTTGTTGATGCGAGCTGGTGCCAGTCTGGCCGCTGGCGGACAACGCACTAATGTTGTTCCGCGGGAAGTCCTTCAGCAACAATACACCGTTCAATGGACCACCGCAGATTTGAATTATGGTAGGTGGTAATAGGATAAAATTATGAACCGGCATTTCATGTAAAGATATGTGATTAATTTATTCAGCACAGATAAAGTGACGGGGTATACTATCTACATTTGAACGGAAATCATAAAAAGGGGCGAAATACAACGTGCGGATCTCAAACCATTTCAAAAATAAGACAGGAATTGAAAGTCCATCACAATCCTCCAGGGAAGAAATGACAGAAACAACCGGGAACAGAAAGCCTTTACATGACCAAGGGGTGAATAAGATAGAGAAGGGATATTTCGAATTCATAGTGTGTAGATCACTCAGTACCCTCACTCGAGTTCGAGCCATGCATTCCAAGACATGAGGCGTTATGTGCATCACAAAGCAACGGGGTATGATAAATGGTAAAGACAGGTTCGATATCACATCAAGTCATCCAGTCCGGGCTAGGGCCACGCGGTTTGCAGCTTTGAACCAATGGGTCTTTCTGATACAAAGTCTAGGACTGCGGCTGCGGCTGCGGCTGCGGCTGCTGTTGCTGTTCATCCGGGTTGGTAGGACGGTTGAACCAGCCTGGGATCCAGCTCGCACGGTTGGCTTTCTTGCGCGCGGCCTCCTCTTCCTCTAGCTTGGCAGCATCGCTCACCAGACGCAGAGGACGCAGCTTATTCTGTGTCATCACTGCGCCGGTGTAGTTGTTCATGCCGCTGCTGGAGCGAGGCGGGCTGGATGTTGCACCCATGGAGCTGGTATCGCCATGGATATCGCTGGTCACGCTGGGAGAGCTGCTGCGCCCAGCCCGATCAGGTTGACTAGACATTGAGGGTGCACGGCTGGAGATGTAGCTGGCGGCGCCAGAGAACATGCTCTGGCGCGAGCCGGGGCCCATTGCAGTTGGGCTCATCGGCCCGCCCGAGTTGCGGCCACGATACATCTGGCCGACGACCGAGGCGGCATTCGGATCCACCTGCTCCGAGCGGGTGCGGCGATGATTAGCACGCACGGACTGGGCTCTGAGCGGGATACTTGGCGCCGTATCCGGATTCTCGTTCGCAGTAGTGTGGGGGATTGTGGGAGGGGGCATCATGCTGGTTGGGCGAGATCGGGGCTGGGAGCGAGGAGGACCCGAGACCACTGACTTCGCCCGCTGCAGGAGGGATTGGGCTGGTGCGTCATCCTTCTCGGGCGGCGTAGGAGGCAGCTCTTTGTCCCCTGCCGCAGTGCCAGGCTTGGACCCGGCTTCATCGTCATTCCGGTCAAGAACGTGCTCGAAGCCATCATGCTGAAGGACACGGCTGATGATGCGCTCAATATATAGCGTCAACGCCTTGTTCTGGTCTCTCAGAGTCTTGGCCTCGGAGTCCACCTTGCGGCCGGGATCAGTTTCTGGCGCTTCATCAACAGACTCAAGCTCATCCGCGAGAGAACCTAGACCACCGCTAGACTGCTTATCGGGATGAGCATGCTGCATGAAGTCACCCTTGGTGAAGTCACCGGTGAGAGTCTTCTCGCTGAGTAAGAGTTGGTAGCTTTCGTTGTCTTCCATGAGACGGGCATTCGCCATCCGAGCCTCCAAAAGCTCCTTCTCCAACTCGCGCTGCCGGCCTCCACCTTTGTTCTCCATCTCCACCAACTTGATCTGGGACTCAGCCAACTCGAGCCGCAAGGACTCAATGAGCTTGTCTTTCTGGAGGAGAAGATTTGAGTTATTCCGGGAGGGGCTTCGCTCGAGTTGCGACGATGGAGCGAACTGGCCATCGACATCGGGAGAGGCTCTGTTGCGGAAGCTGGCTGTTAAGGAAAGTTAGCATAAAGCACTTTAGCGACGTCGCAAGTAAGAATTCGTACAAGATCTAGAAATCTGGCGTTCGCTCTCTGCGTTCATGGGTATGCTCTTCTGCGCCACTGAGTCCTTCAACCGCTGGATGGTTGCCTGCAACTCTTCCTCACGGCTGGTCTGCTGCTCCTTCTCCTGCAGCATCGCATTCCGCTCTAGCTCATGGTTCTGCTCGAGATCCCGGATCTGACGAGCCTGATCCCGAATTTCGCCATCCAGCCTCTCCAGCCGAGTATCTTTCTCGTGGGCTTGGTCCTCCAACTTTCCTTGCTCGCTAACCGCTTCATCTAGGCGCATTTGCAAGACACCGAGTTGTTTCTGATATTGTTCGGAGGCCGTCTCGGCCTTCTGCAGCTGCTCTCGGAGCTCCTCGATCAGGGCGGCATTCTGGGCCCGCGCCTCCTCCTCGGAGGGGTCGTTATTGATCCGCGGGACGTTGGACATACTCAGATTGGACCGGCCAGGTTTTCGTGCAGCGGCGCGCGCAGAGACGGGAGTGGAACCTCTTAAGGAGGGGGAGCGGTTGAGGCCGTTGGTCGCAGCGCTGGGTGAGCGTGCATGTCCTCGTGTGGTGGACCCGTTGGTCGAGGGCGGATCTGCGGCCACTGATTTGCTGGGACTGACGGGGGTTCCAGGCTTGCGAGGCGTTGCTGACATGGTGCAGAGTCCCGGGGCCAGTGGGGGCCGAGGACTGTATATAAAAAGCAGGGAATTCAACACTCTGTGACTGAGCTTTGGGTTCGAAACTAGACTATCGTCCGGGGTGGATGAAAAGGGTGAAAGAGTGGTGGTCGTGGTCAATTGGGGGAAGCGGTCAACCAAGGCGAGTGGGCCGTCTTGGGTTTAGGTCGTCTCGGGGGAGATGGGAGATTGGCCACGGGAATTGTTGCTGAGCGCTGTCAGAGATTGATTGTGTGCCACATGGCGGGTGGAAGCCTAAGAATCATTCCAAGCCAGTGCGTCATTCGCCGTGTGCAATCTGCAATGGAGGGAGAAAGGGAAGAGGAATGGGGAGATGGGATGCTTGCAGAGTCCGGAGACGACCTCTTTATTTTGCTGCGAAATGCGGGCGGGATCTCCTTACTCTGTATCTAAAAATACCAGAGCAGCCATTTTGGGGGCGTTGGGGGCTGGATACGAGGCTGGATGGAATAGACGAAACAGAAGCAAGGGAAAGACGCGATAGAACGAAGTAGAAAAACGGATTTCATACGAGAACAAAGAGAAGCGTGAGGTGACCGAGGTGAATGTTGATATGCGTCGAGGACAACCCGCGAACAGCCTGGTGCAGGCCTGATGCTGCAGGCCATCGCGTAACTGTGACTACTGTATGGAGTAACGCACGTGAAATTACACGCAGGACCACTGCGGCCTGAGGCAGGATATTTCCGTTTTGGTCTTAGGCCTTCTGAAGTGAAACACTCGTACAGAAGATCATGTGATCGATAGATCAATGACATAAGCAAGGGCCTCACTTCCGGAGCGGAACAACCTGATACTCCGCGGCCGCCCGCACAATTCTTGGGTTTTGCTTCAGAGCGGAAGTCTCGTATCCTCTACTATCCACACCGGCCGGAGCGCATCTTTCCATCTACTCCTCCACATCTCCTCGAAGTCCATTTAGAACTTCACAGCGCAACGATGGCCCCCACCAAGAAGTCCAAGAAGGGTTCCGACAACGTGAGTGAACTCTAACCACCGATCGCTCGTGCCGCCTAGTAAGCAGTCGCTAACGCCCAATTCCAGCTCAACTCCAGGCTCGCCCTGGTGATGAAGTCCGGTAAGGTCACCCTGGGTGCTAAGTCTACCATGAAGACTCTGCGCTCCGGCAAGGCCAAGCTGGTCATCATCGCTGCCAACACCCCCCCCTCTCCGCAAGTCTGAGCTCGAGTACTACGCCATGCTGGCCAAGACTCCCGTCCACCACTTCTCTGGCAACAACGTGAGTGACACTACACCCTGCGCCAAGATAAGGCAACAAATTGCCAGACCAGGACAATACGCTAACTCCCGTAACAGATCGAGCTCGGTACCGCCTGCGGTAAGCTCTTCCGTTGCGCCACCATGGCCGTCCTCGACGCCGGTGACTCCGACATCCTCACTGGCACCCAGTAAATGGGTGGTCATGGAGACGGAGATTGGGGAGTCAGATGTCTGTATCTGTTGTTGGAGTGGTGTGGTGTAACCGCCTGATCGCCTCGCGGAGGAATCACGGCCAACCTACGAATAGTTATGAACTACGAGCTCCAAAAAAGAAAAGCCGGAAACCGGGCATCTACCAATCCAGCGGACGAGAACTTTTGTCGATGTGATTTATAAGTAGCAGCCTCCTGTAAGGGTTTCTTCAGCCTGCTGTAGAGGCGTACCGTAAGCGCTAAGAATGGACGAGGGATGAGCAACCTATCAACCCTCTCCATCGACACGTTTGCTAGTCATTATGACTCCACTGAACGACCGAAAGTCGCCCAGCTCGCCCAAAGTAGCCATAACCGGCTGTGAGAGATCAGAGTGGAGCCTCGCAGAATACGCTGGTTGGCCCACTGATTAGGGCTTAGGGCTTCGCCACTCTACCGCTGCTTGGAAATCAAACAATCCCGTGACCCGCCCGTTTACCTTCTTTTTCCCCTTCGATCCCTCGACACCCACCGACCGACAACCACACCTAGTTCGCAGGAAGTGCATTTCGCCAATTTCCAGCACTCACCATGGCTCGCCGTCCCGCTCGTTGCTACCGCTACTGCAAGAACAAGGTGCGTCGCCGATCTCGATCTGCCTGGTGATTTTTTTTTGTGTGCGGGAAACTGGTTGTGCGGAGAGGCAGGCCGCATGAGGCACCACGCTCGCGATCATCCATGAGAGCGCCGTCGGGGTGCTGAATGCTGGGAAATACCTGCTGTGGAACAAGTGCTGGGATTTTTGGGAGCATTCTTCGAGCTCTTTTGCTGCAGTCGAAATGGGGGGACATGAAATCATGCATGGCTTGGCAAAGATCGGTTCACTGACATCCTCTTCTCTCCACAGCCGTACCCCAAGTCGCGCTTCAACCGTGGTGTTCCCGACCCTAAGATCCGCATCTTCGATCTGGGCCGTAAGAAGGCCAACGTTGATGACTTCCCCACCTGCGTGCACATGGTCTCCAACGAGTATGAGCAGCTGTCCTCCGAGGCCCTCGAGGCCGCTCGTATTTCCGCCAACAAGTACGTTGTTCATCCTCCCTTCGCTCGCCGACTTGCCGAGCCGATCGATATCACTCAACTGGAGCCTCCCAATCTAACCCTCTCTTGCTTAGGTACCTTGTGAAGATCGCCGGTAAGGAAGGTTTCCACATGCGTATTCGCGTGCACCCCTTCCACGTCATCCGTATCAACAAGATGCTGTCGTGTGCTGGTGCCGATCGTCTGCAGACCGGTATGCGTGGCGCTTTCGGTAAGCCCCAGGGTACCGTCGCCCGTGTGAACATCGGCCAGATCATCATGTCCGTCCGCACCCGTGACGCCCACCGCGCCACCGCCATCGAGGCTCTGCGCCGCTCCATGTACAAGTTCCCCGGCCGCCAAAAGATCATTGTCTCCAAGAACTGGGGTTTCACCCCCGTCCGCCGCGAGGAGTACGTCCAGCTCCGCCAGGAGGGCAAGCTCAAGCAGGATGGTGCCTACGTCCAGTTCCTGCGTGGCCACGGCCTGATCTCGGAGAACATGCGCCGCTTCCCCGACGCTTACGAGAACGTGTCTCAGGAGGCTTAGATGAAGGTTGTTTGGGTTTGATCCAGAATATGAACTCAAGAACGAAAAAATATTAAGTTCGGATGTTACTCTTAAAACCTTAGTCCTCTTTCCCTGTTACATTTTCTTTTTCCCGACCTACCTAGCTTGATATCTCTCAGTCTCGTGCAAATGGAGTTTGTTCCATGGGTTCAAAATAAGCTTTCCGTGACTGTCGTGCCTGTAGTGAGAAAAGCGTATAGTGAGAAGAGCGTATATCCCTTTAAAGTAACCAGCTGGTAGCTCTATCCTAGGAGCTGGCACCTCCGCTCTGCCTCTACCTAAGCTCCTATTGAATATTTAAATCGGATGATCAGAGCCTGTCCTGGTCTAGAATCGTGAGGTTCGCGCTAGCCATGCATGCACCATCTGTCGAATGGAACCTGTCGAGCCCGCCTTGAAGACCCTCTTATCTAAGAGCACGTCTCTCCATTGCACAGTGAAAGCAAGCAGATAGGAAACTTGGAATTTCTGTTTTAATTTTAATTTTTCGATTTCAGATGTCCGGACATCATTTGACCATCTGGTGATCTCATTATTTGCCCAAATGGGGCGGGCTCCACAGGGAAGTTGAGTCTCCAGAAATAAAATATTCCTCAATAAACATTATATCCAATATCTTGCGAAAACACTGTACCACACCAGTAAACCCAGCACGCAATTATTCTTCCGCCGGCGTTCCACATCGCTCTTTATGTAGGTCCAGTGCCTCTGCTCACGTTCAAACCGTTAGTGGGGGGTCAAAACACATATCTGCGGGACAAGGCTGATCATACTTTCTGCATCCTCTGGTGTACAATCAATCTTCAGACACATCTGCATGTTATCCTTAAATGCTACACTGGGGCAAGTGCAGTCCGTGTCGTACTGGGAGATGCAACCAGCGACCATAGCACTCTCATTGAGACAATGGTTCTAGCGCCGATGATATGGTTAGTATACAGGCTGGATGGTGGATCGACTCGAGAATATGTACCAAGCATGGACTGATACACTCATTTGTGATACCGATTTCAGCGGCGCTCATGGTCAGGAAGGCTGCCAGGGGGAGGAAGATAGACAACTTCATTTTGACGTATGTATGGGTGGGGGGGGGGGGGATTTTGATGGTAGAGGATTTGAGGCGTGGAGAATAGAGAGGGGGAGTGGAGTAAGTCCAGGAACTCAAGAGGGGAATTTTGCATGGATAAATACTCTCCTTGAATGAACATTTCTGTGGATATTATGATAAACAAAACGCTGATGCCCTGGTGATGTGCAGAATGAGATCGCCGCAAGGAATGTGGTGGCTGAGCCAGAGTCCAACTCCCAGAAAATGTGGATTGTAATCTGCTAACAAGGAACGAAGGTAACCAGTCTGATCTTGTTTGGGCTCGCTAGGGCGTAATTGATAGTACAGCGATCCAAATGGAAGATTGAAAGGCTTTTCCCTCTTGTCATTCCAACTAGGTATTCCTTCACCACAACCACGATTCTGCGACGGCACGATGTTTTTTGCGTTCTATCCTGCTTTTCACTAACCCGATGTGGTCTCCCGGGGAATTCAGTTGTATCAAGGGGCATCCTCCAAACAAGAATTGAGAGAGGGTCAGTTCTCGCATACATTGAATCTCGACCACACTATCAAGCCAAGGAGAATGCAGACGACAGCTTACCATTTCCATGGCCTTCGACCACATTATGTATCCAATGAACATCAAAAGAATACTGGAATGCTAATAAAGGATGCCATGGACGACTGGTGGTTGAATGGAGTCCTAAAGACCATAAATCCCCAAATCCGCAGCAGGAAGATAATGAATAATTTGCCCTAGTAAATGAAGACGTGGCCAGGCGCGGCAACCGAAAAGGTTCTGATATTGATGTCCTCCTTCCTGGCGGCCGCGTGGACTCTGAGCTGTACGAAGGTAATTATATCATAGCCCAGAAAATGTAAGCCACTGTACCCCCAAAGGAGGTGAAGTAGGAGAAGAGGCTCCTACCTAGCGGCTGTTTGGAATGACACCAGACCAAGGAAACCCCACATATTTGAAAAGGCGATAGCGACATATAGGACTGAGAAACAGGGTAGTCCTTCCCTGAATGTAGTATCTGTTCTACGTGCGCTATTATGTGTCTCCTTTCACCATCGAGGATGATAGAGCTCTTACGAGGGGCCAATTATTACAACCAAGGTACTTGTGTAGGAATAAAGTTATCAACCCTATGTGGTATGGGTAAACTGCTTGTAGGTTGAAAGATATGTATTCGCTCGCTTGGTGCCTTTTTTATGTAGATATGTAGAACGCCTAACTATGACACCATGAGGGGTGCTTTCAATATTGCAGCTTTATCTCTGCCTTCAAGTCTAGTCAATAACTTATAAGAAACGTAATGAAAGGTAGATAAAAGGTAGATAAAAGGTAGATAAAAGGTAGATAAAAGGTAGATAAAAGATAGATGAATGATAGATAAAAGATAAAAGAAGCTAGGGGTAAATAGAGGCAATATGTACGCTATAAGGTAGAGTTGCTAGGTAAGATAAAGGTGCATTATTCTAAATATATGAAGCAACTAGCTATCTCAGAGGGAAACTTGTGACTTACCAGGCAGCAGCCCTCATAATTGACAACAGAGCCATGATTTTCGATAAGAATAAAAGGAAGAAGAAGAGTAATAGAAGGTAACCTAGGAGTTCCTTATGCCTGGTCTTCTTGCATGCCTCCACGAAAGCACCTTTCTTGCTCCTCACCCCTTCATCATGAGCCGCTCGATTCCCCAGCCATGCGTGATAGATGAACCGGTACCAAGCCATTTTCTTGCCGGCCATGGCCTTCACCTGCTGCTCGATCAGTTCCCAGGATTGATGGTTTTCCACTAAAGCAAGCGTGAGATATTGCAGAGGCTTGACATAAGGTCGCTTTATCCCAATAGGAGTTGTATTGATTTTGTGCATTAGAAGCAGGTGCCATGTTTTCATGATCATCGTTTTGTCGGACATGTTAACAAGTGACTGCTTCGGCTCAATATCGAAGATGGATGGAAACTGGAGCCCAGTTTGCTTTCTGAGGTACTCGGCCTCATGCATAGGCCCGAGTCTGTATGCGGTGATCTCCGTCAACTCCTGCATATCTTGTCCGGATAGCTGGCTGCCTTGAGAACCCGGCGTAGACAACCGTGCAAGCTGATGTTCGGAGCACCATTGCCGGCGCCGGGGTGAGAGGCAAAATACTCTTGGGCGAGGTACTGTAGGCGTTTGAGTCGCCGTCCACCCGATCTAGCCAACTGTCTATTTGCCGGGCAGGTGGTCCCGGTCTGGCGGCCTTTGACATTCACCTCGGAAAAATCAGCCGGGCGGATGGTGGAGGCCATTGCGAAGCATCCAGGTTAGGATCCTGGTTGGATGGAAATAGGAGTGGTGGATAGAAACAGGAGTGGTGGTCAGGCGAAGTTGTGATTTGATGATGGACCATTCGACTGTTGTGCAATTTCCGACCCTAGTCAGATAGCCGTGCCCACAAGATTGCTAGGACACTGGTAACATCCGAAGAACTGATGAGGTCGATGAAAGATGCTCCATTAGAATCTACCAAATAACTAGACTAAAGGGACTGGTCAGTGACCAAGTCGCCGAACACTAAAGCAGAAAGGTGCAGGTCATCATGACCGAGGCTATGAGTGCCATGACTATAATAAACACATCACTGAGGGAAGAACTAACCATGCCCTCAATCCCGAGTCTCTGGATTTCCTACACCAGTTTTCCATTTGGGCTTGGAACACCACCTTCTTCGTTCTCTCCGTACTCACAACTCTCGAAGTAAGATTCTACGGAGAGAACAAGTACTATTTGGACATGTTCAAGCTTCTGTCACTAGTCGTTCCTTATCTATCTCTATAATTGCCGATGTTGGTGCTTTGGTGGAAGAATACGCAGGTGAATGTGGGCACGAGGAAGAATGTCACGCAGCAGCATTATGGGGATGCAAGCGTGATAACTACAAGGTATTTGGAGCATCTAGCGAAGATTACGGATGAGATTCGGGTGCTGCATAAGTGGCAGGAGGGGATGTGTTGGTCTATGATAATATGATTGTGCAACATGGGAGAGAGCCGTGGCAGGGCGAGCAGGCGGATCGGGTGGTGTTGGCGAGTTTGTTTGATGGGGAGAGAGTTCCCCGGGCATACGGGTTGGGGACTGGGCACAAGTTGTACAGGCTTTGGATTGAGATGAGTATGGATGTAAATGCGTTAGATATGCAGAATTGTATTTCGGATCTTATACACCCTGAACCCCAATTTGCTGCCCGCAGATTGGAATTTCAGTCTGAATCAAGACTCGCCAGTAGACTTGCGGACGGAGCAAAGAAAGTCGTTCCAGTCAATGGGGTCGAGAAATCCAGAATTCGATCGTGCAATCCAGGTGGATACCCAACAAACATGCGCTCCAACATCTTCTCAATGACCCAAAGCCGGCGTGTATATCCAATAAAGTAGGTGCCAAATTGCCCCGAGCCGGGCGATCCAAATGGCATATTATCCCGCAGGATATCATGCTCATTACCATTCTCATCCTCGATCGTGCTCAGGGTCTTGTGGGATCGCTGCCCTGACTCGGCATCGTCCAGTTCCACATTATCGAGCTTGGTTCGCCCAATGACTTTCTCCTGTTGCTCGATCGGGAGGGACTTCCAAGAGGCGAGATCGTGCGTATACTTCTGGATCACAATGTAACTGCCTCCCTGGGCAGATGAATCTTCTTCTGCAACGAGGACGGAAGAAGGCACCGCGCGCCCGACTGGGTTCGCCGTACCGTCAACGAAGCCGAGGAGATCGCGGACGTCAAAGTACCGGAAGCCAACTGTCTCGTCGACAAGAGAAACCGAATCTCCAAGTTGATCCATCAATTGTCTCTCGAACTCGAAGCAGATATCCCGTCGTTCCGAACGAATGTGGAAAAGCAGATCGCCAGGCGTCGAGACCGCCGTATGCTTCTCGCCCTTGATCTCTTTGAAAGGATGAAGCTCCGCGGGCCTGGGGAGACCCGTCAGGCGGTCCCAGATATCGCTGCCAATGCCCACAGTGCAGGTGAAGTGAGCGTTCAGGTCGCGGATGGAGACATTCTTGGCGAGACCGTCCAGCCCAGCGAGGACGGATCGGATGGTCGTGATAGAGTCCGGTTTGCTGGTCGCTGTTACGACAAGGAAGGTTGCGGATGAGGTCAGCGGCGCATCGATGCGCTGGGATGCGATTGGAACGCGCTGGCTGCTCATGGTGGCCTTGCGGAGTGCGATATGGAACTGGCAAGGGATATGGCGGGTCGGAATGTGCCTTTGAAGATTCAATCGGGTTGAGAAATGTCGAGTGTCCCTGGAGATAGCGGACGGAGTTGCCCAAGCCAGATATTTCACTTGACCTCTTAGTCGGATCGTGCCCCGAAGCGCAGTATTCAAGTAGACAGATGCGGCGGATCCAAGTCTACGCATGTTTATGCCACGCCGAGCTGTCAATGGTGAAGCCAGTTCTTATAAAAGGCTGGCCGTGAGCAAAAGTCTGGACTGATTATTTCAGCGGCAGCATGATTGGGCGGCATGTTTGGAATGCGGAGGAAGCTTTCACTCCGAATGGTCGATGTGGTCGATGCATCGGTGGGAAGGCGGTGGTGAGATCACTCAACCGGAAACGGCGCCCCGCTATCAGCTTAGTTTGAATAGGGCGATAGATCATATTGCCGGGGAAATGAGCTAGTCGAACACGGTAAAACCTCTGTCCAATGATCATGCGTGGTTCTGGGTACTTACACCAATCGGGATGCCGTGTTCATGGTTCTACAGTAGGATTATACCAGCCCTTTAGTAACCCACCACGTGCTATCGAGTACGTAGTGAAAGTTGTTTCCGATTGTCTTCAATTATGCAAGGACCACAACTACTCCTATGTAGAGCCGACCCCAGAAGCCGTAGAATGGTGGAAGGAACATGTCGCTGCATGCAGCAAGACATTTGTCGAACGAGATCGATCGTTAGATGACTGTCATGTACAAGAGTAACAAGAGCAATATGTAGTGTTCGCAGTGCGGCACGGTACTACGGACATGCTGTGGAGTATCGTCATAGGTGTTACTATACGTAACATATTTCCTCTGCCGGGTGGGGCTTTCCTATCTTAGCTGCCGCCGCTTTTACGAGGGCGCTCAGAGTCAGGCTCACTGAGTAAAGGTTAGATCTTAAGATCTTGATTCTTGGGTGAGTTGAACCCCCAGATTGGGAGTCGAACCCCCCGATTATGCCTAGTAAAACGTCGGGCCGATGTATAGGCCGATGTATACACTGTATAGCCTTACAGAGTGGAGCATCTGTAAAAAAAAGGCATTAATCAGCGCCAAGAACGTAGTTATGTATATGTATAGGCTTTATTAGGTGCTTTATGGGCGCCCACTGATGGGTTATGGGCTTGGTTGGGCCCTAGGGTTTGGGCCTATAGCCCACTGCTGGTTGGGCCGTGGGCTGGAAATTTGGGCCTAACCCGGCCTATTGCGGAGGTCGAACGACCCTATAGATATGTCAGTGGATGAAGGGATAACTTACCACTAGCAACTGATTGGTTGCTGATGGGCCTACATTCGTTTAGTATTTCCTATGTAATCAGGGAACCGAGCTGTAATGCAGCCATTGTCACAGCTGAGTACCGGAGACATCAGACACATCGAATAGCGGTGTATCTGAGTGTGTGCTTTTAAAACAGCGCTTCTCCGCCCATCTTTCTACTGAATCAATCAATGTTATTCATCTATATTAGTTCCGCTTGATATCATTCGTTGTCTTCGCATACTAGGCTATACAGTATCAGCGTGCGCTGATAAGATAATATATAAAGTATTATCGAGCAGAAACTTGAAACTCATAGTAATAATATTGATTTTATTAAAGTTAAATACGCGCTTAAAGCTCTCTCTTATCCCTCGATAGCAAACGGTAAAAGTTGTAAAGAAAGGGGTACTAGCTAAGACTAATCAATCAAACGACGAAAAACACGTCGTTGATGCTTATATTCTATTAATACTCGGTTCCCCGCCGATAGGGTATTAAATAGGGCAGTACTAGTTAGTGTTTCGCTGCTAAGAATTATCGAATCCCTGATTTCCTGTAGGAGAATGAACCCTCCTTTAACTAGAGTGTAGGTTTTTTTGTTCCTTTTCCTAACTATATAGGTAAAGGTATAGGACTACTAGAAGTTCTGAAATACTACTACTAGGGCGGTCGTATCCGATAGGCGGCCTAAATAGAGAGGGGCCCCTAAAGTTCTATCCGCTAGGGCTATCGAACGATCTATATACTATAATAGAAATACATTACTTTATTTTCGGATCTTATCCTAGGAGTAACCTATCCTAAGTACGGCTACCCTACGGAATAAATTCGAGTTGATAATACCTTAAACTACCTAGATACCCCTAGTGCTTATATTTTAAGCAACGATATAACAGTCTTATCTATCTAAGGCATCCGAATAGCTCGCCTACTATATCACCGACGGATAGCCAGGAGGGCTGACCACATCAGGAAGCGAACGATCTAAAATCAAACACAGATCGTGATTGTAACCGGCAGGGTATAGTTTGTCGTTACTTGGGGTATCGTACATATGGGTTATAGTTCCAATCTAGTGGAGTTAGAACTAGGATATAAGAGTAAAATTGACTTGGGGAACATACCGTTCTGTTAGACACAGCAAGCGATACTTGCTTACCAACCGGGTTATTGTTGGTCAGGTTTTCCTTGGCCACGACCAAGCCACGATCATGTTCTCCTGCTTTGAATGGTAGAAACCGTCGCATTGTCTGTTTCATTTGATCGACTATCATCTCAAACACTCGCAGTCCTTTGTCAAATCTCGAGGGGGAGTTCTGGTTACGGACGAGACCATGAGTCACAGTTGTGACTGCCGTAGAACCATTCTGCAATTTGAGCTTTAGTCCGAGACATCCAGCGAAAGCATTGTTTTCTTTTTTGGAAGTTTCTTTGAGAATATTTCCGGACTCGACAGGTGCTGTGGTGAAGGTATAGTGGGTGAGATGGAAAAAGACTTGAAGACCGGCAAGCTCGAGAGGCCACACGGTATCGTACGCATTAAGTACGTGTCGTTCTTCTTCAAACAGGATGATCAGGAAGCCTGCGATAAGTAGGTGGACACCAACCGCCTCTGCAAACAATTCTCGAAGGCTGTCAAGATCAGCTGGTGTAAGGAATCGCCTCGGGTTGATATATCGGTTAAAGTGCTGGTTGTATTTTTCGGCGTTTTAGCCCCAGACCCCCGGCGCTACAGTGGGCCGATCGTTGCCTCACTAGCGCAAGGCTGTAGATCTATACATTGATAAGTCGGTCACACATCAGAGCTTGGCTCCCATCATACAGCACCATACCAGGGAAGCCTTACGACGAAAACCTTCTGTTACACGCACCTATTCAACACACACAATGTCTCGAAGGATTCAAGTGAAGGATCTGCCCAGCTTGGGGGCTATGCCTCTTCTCCGGGGGCCAGGATATGATGGATTGGCTGCTACTCGTTAGAACTATAAAGCATTTGTATAGTAATCTCGCATTTGCCTGTATTTGCAGCGTGGCCTACCAAATTTCACAGCACAGATACTACTCTGAAAATCGGGTTTCCTTTCTTCAGTTCGTTCACAGACCCTTCCTAGGCCAACTATGAAGGTAGCCTACATTCTGCTTTGGCCAGTCTGGCTCCGACTGGTCGGAGCAAACCCCATCGCGACTGAGGGTACCCACTCAACCTCGTTGACCAAAGCAACGGAGACCAAGAAGGCCGACGCGACTGATACTAAACCCAAATCCAAAGCTACGACTACTTCACATACATCAACAAAAACACATTCGACAGACACTAGCACCAAGAGCACGAGTCCTTGGCGGTTCCAATATTCGGGAGATTGGGATGATGATGATGATGATGATGATGATAACTCTATTAACCTAATGCAGCCCAGCTAGTGCGCAGTGGCTATGTAGGCGCTTCCTCCGGCGGAAGCAAGAGCTGACCGAACGCCCTCCGAAACGCAGGAGATAGTAGATACAAAGGAAAACGGCGTTTTGCCAAACAAATGCAGCTGAAAATCAGAACATTATAGTACCCGTACGCCCTCAATAATCAAATCCCACTGTTTTCCTCCCTCATTTCGCCCTCTCTCGCCTGTGTCGCTATGTATCGCCATCTTTCACCTCCGGCAGCGTGTATATAGCCGCTTGCTTCTTTCGATTGATGTTCCCTGCCATGTAGGATGGCCTCACCTGGCAAGATGTGGCCGGTCGGCGTAGCGTATTCAGCTGTAGTCGTCCCAGCCCGTCTTAGGTTGAGCTAGGGTTTGGCGGTTATATTGCACATCGTCTTCGCCGCCTGCTCCCCTGCCAGATTCGCTGTCTCTGGCCGTTGTTTCGTCGTCTTCTAGTTCCGGGTCAGGGTCAGGATCTAGCGCAGTGTCAGCATCTGGCTCAGCGTTAGGGTCTGGCTCTGGTTCGATCTCTGTCTGTCGGAACTGGCCCAGAAGACCTATTTGCAACATGAATTCGGCCACGTAGCGGGTAGCCTGCGGATGAGAGACGATCGCGTCGTAATCAGCGGTCGCTCTAAGATCTGTCTGTGCCTAGATCTTTTCCAGCATCTCATGACGCTAATCAGTGTACAACGGACACTGCATAAGGATGTGTCTCGGTGTTTAAGACCCTCCCTCGTAGTGACACTGATCAGAGTTACGAGCGCTGATTTTGAACAGGAAATGGTTTAGAGCTATACGCATCGAGCGTATTTGAATCAACACCGACGTATAGTGCTTGGGCAGAGACTTATATAGCTCCAAGGCTTTCTTATCCGGCTTCGGGAGCAACCGTTTGGTCGGTTTCCCCGTCTTTTCGCGGTCCCACTCAGCGGCCCAGCGTTACTTAATCTGCCGCCGCATACGGCTCTTAGCGAGGCTGGCCAGTAAGGGGTGCGGATGGTCGGATACACATTGATCTGTCCCGTTGGCCCTACTGGTCGCTGCTAACTTTGCTTCAATGTCTGCCGTCTCATTGCTAGGCACGCCTACGTGTGCGGGGATCCAGCGGATCTCGACGGGAATCGTGTCGGACGTGGGCGTGTGCTGTGCGGCACCTAGCGGTCGGAGGGCTTGTATGTAGTTATAAATTTGGTTGAGAACATACTGGCCGGAGGATCGCGTAGGGTTTTGCACTGCTTGAATGGCAGCCTGGCAATT